TAGTCCTAATATACGGATTAATATATATTCTAATAGTACTACGAAGAGAAGTAATTAAATAATATTACGATAATCCTATAAGAGGATATATAGGAACGGAAAAGATAATAGAATAGATATTAAGGAACTACTTTATACTAAACCTACGACGAAAGGTTATAGGATATATCTAGAGATACGAAATATACTAACGAAATAAGCCTACGAGGTATATACTCTACGGAATACTATAGAAGAGCGAAATACTAACCGAACTATAGGAATAGATAATAATAGATTTTATTACTAAACTACTAAAAAGCTAAGAATAGGATATAATCCTAGTAGTAGTAGATAGACTTATAAAATATACCTATATAATCCTAACTATAGAGATAATTAGCGTAGTATAACTAGCGTAGATTTTATTAAAAGAAGTATTTTTAAAGTATAGAATACCGAGAAGGATTACGAGTAATAGAGATAAGCTCTTTATATCGAAATTCTAGTAGTTATTAATAGATTTAATCGGAGTAGAGTATAGGCTCTCTACTACTTATTATCTATAAATAAATAGATAGATAGAGAGAGTAAATTAGATACTCGAGTAATATCTATAGATAAATATAAACTACGTTTAAGATAACTAGGTTATACTACTACTATTAGCCTAGTTTATATATAATAACGCGGTTAATATAATAACTAGAGAAACTCTATTCTTCGTAAATTACGGAAGAAATCTAATAATAATTAGAGAATTAATTAGAAACTATCCTATTATAGAAGAGGCTTAGTTAATAGTAAAAGAATTAAAGTAGCTATACCTATAGCTATACTAAGATATAGAGTTTATTAGTAATAGGATAGTACTCTACTACGATAAAGGTAGATTAGAGAGACCTAATTTAAAAAAGGGAGGGAAGGTTTACCTTCTAAAATATAATATTAAAATAAAATAACTAAGTATAAAACTTAATTATCTACGAATTAGACTATACGAAATTAAAGAAAAAATTAGTAAAGTAAATTTTTAGTTAAAACTACTAGAGAGAATAAAGAAGATATATCTAACGTTCTATATATTATTACTAGAACTAGCACCTAAGAATACCTAATACGATAAGAAAGGAGAAGAAATCGAACTTAATAAAGAATTCGAAGTAGAAGAAATACTAGACGAGAAACGAATTAATAGAAAGTACTACTACCTTATTAAATAGAAGAGGTACGATACTAATAATAATATATAGGAGCCTATCGAGAATCTAATAGCTTACTAACTATTAGTAGGATAGTTTTACTAGAAATAGAACTATAACTAGGAGATTATAAAAAAGCGTCTATATTATCCTATATAAAGTCGGAAGACCCTAGGACTTACGATAAACTAGGAAGGTCGGAAGTCGCCGCGAGAACCTAATAGTTCGTAGAAAGAGTAGTATCGTTATATCTAGAAGCGGTACTAGACTCTACTCTACGATTATTAAGAGTAGAGGCCTCGATACGTTCCTTTTCGAGACGCTCTAACTCTTCCTTTTCGTAACGCTCGAGCTCCTCGAGCTTAGCAATATCTTAATATTCACGAGCGATAAAATTACTAGCGCGTTTACGTAATAGTTTTTCCTACTTTCGGATATATAATAGTTTAGCAAAGATTTCGGATTACGCCTATAATAATTCCTCTTCCTAATTACGAAGAGAGGATTACGACTTAAGTAAGTAGCGCTACTCCGCGTTAGAAAAAGACTTCTCGGGTATCTTATACCTAACACTACAACTAGTACGGATATAGCACGAATAGCTCTTAGAATAATCGGAGCGAATATAGACGTAGCTGTCATATGATATTGCAACATGAAGCTATTCCCAACTTCACGCCTCAGGTGTCAACTCGACACCTTATCGGTCAGGCTTCGTCATGACAGCCCCACGTCTCCCCAACAAGGATGCATAACCTACAAGACCCTAAGGGTTCGGTGCCCTTCTATTAGGGATTCGTGGACCCCTCTTCTCTGTAGCCTTTGCTTATCTCTGACACATAGGGGCTACGTCAGACCGTATATTATAATGTGATCCATCGTCTTTGCTTGGTCATATAGGAAAAGTGTTGAAGCTTGTACATAAATTGAGGATTATGGAGAGATCTATGATAGCAAGAAACAGTATTTTGCTATCCTTACTTGACGTTTATCTTCCTACCTAGTCGACAGGCTTTCTACCCTGTACAAGTAGTTATTCTCTAACAGTAGCGAAGACGAATATAGCGGTTATAAGGGACTAAGGATTTAAACCCTTTACTTTCGATTAGAAGGTAGAGCTTACGACTAGAAACGCCTAACGAAGATATAGTTAGGAAATATTACTAAAGGGAATTAGAAGGAAAGATTACCGATAAGAGGGACTTACGACTACTTATATCTTCCGAGAACGAAAGACTAAGAGAGAGGGAGGTAATATTATAGACCTACCCCTAGGATACTAATTATAGACTCGCCTAAACTAATTAGTTTAGCAATAAGGCGGTTAGATAGATTCTACTAGATAATCTATCGAGATACTTAGACTATAATACCTAAGTATAGGATTACGTAACGATCCGTTCCGTTCGAACGGAACGGACCTATCCGCATAATAGGAAAGGTCCTATCGAGAATAACGGAAGGAATAGATATATAAGGACGCTTATTCACCTATATATATTTAGTTCTTCGCGTTAATTTATCTATTGTTACTTACAGTCACACTTAAACTTAACAATCGACTATCTTTAAGAGACGTAATACCCTTATAGTACAATATAAGGATATACTCTAACTAGGAGGAACACTTAGTAGTTATCATATAACTACTTAGTCGACTGACTAGGCGCCCTTCAACTATATACGTCTTCGGTCTACTCTATAGATCCGAGCCTGTGTAAGGCTAGAGTAGGCAACGGTACGATTGCGAGATAGATCGTCGGAGATTACGAGAGAGGTACGTTACAATAACGCACATTTACGTTGACTAGTTAGCAGCGCGTAACACCTAGATATACCGTTATTAGTAGTATATACTATTGCCAAACGTTGCTAAGGGGTAAGCTTACCATTTTTCTTCGTTTTTTAGCAGATTCTGCTAGGTTATCTTGCGTATTAGTATTATAGAAGGAAGAAAAAAAATAGGGTAGGGGTTGTTATAGCAATAAAAAGTGGGGTCGGGAAAAACTTTTGAACACGATTGTATATAAGGCCGGCGGCACTATTTCTCCGCCCCCATATATATAGAGGATACCTAGACTATTTCGAAAGTTACTTAACGCTGTTAATAGCTTATAAGGCTATAGGTGTATACATAGCGTAGTACACTCGGCAACAGCTGGGACTATCGCGGGACTAGCTGCAGAGGCGGAATCCCTTCTTTCGTTTATCTTTCCTTTGTCTATTCGATTTTATATCTGTTCGTTCTGGTAGTGCAACTACTACCTAGCTGTTACTAGTAACCTCTTATGCGCACTAGGCTGGCTAGACACTAGAAGGCGTAAATTCCTACATAGCACCTTGTATATAGAGGAAGCTCTATCAGGAATAAGATTATTGATTGATTGATTGATTGATTGAAGAAAGCTTATTTTTATCACTATTACCAGATTCTATACGGCGGCACTATTTCTCTGCCCCCCGCATGTATAGATGTTGCATGTTGGATTTGCTGAGGCCACAAACGGTACATGTTGTGGCGTGGTGCACTCGGCAACCTCTGGGACTGCTGTGGGACTGGGCCGCGGGGGCGGTAATCCCTTCTCTCGCTTATTTGTTTACCTTTGTCGTTCGATTTCATTCTGTTAGTTCCGAGCAGTGGCAGCACTGCTCAGCTGTTGCTGGCAACTTCTCATACGCATTAGGCTGGCCACTAGAAGGCGCAAATCCCTGCATAGCACCTTGTATATAGAGGAAGCTTTACCAGGAATAAGATTATTGCTTGATTGATTGATACCTAATCCTATGGAATCAAAATATACCAATAGAAAGAGCGGAGGAGGCACGTTTGGAAAGTGATATTCTTTATATATATCATTAGGATACCTTGGTAAATAGGGTATATAGGAAAAAATGACAGTCTGATATAGTTTCGCAGTCTGACGTGGTGCCACCACAACCCGGAAGGGTTGGGGGGGGGGCGGTGTAAGGGACTAATAGCTAGATTTACGGAATCTTACTATTTCTAATAGTGTATATAGTAGTAGCCTAATATTAAGTAAGGGTTAGCTTGCTATTATTCTTTTAACTACTACTAAAATCGACTTACTATGATACTATTTAGTAATTAAAGGAGCAAGAAAAAATTATCTATTGTCATATGATATTGCAATATGAAGCTATTCCCAACTTCACGCCTCAGGTGTCAGTTCGACACCTCACCGGTCAGGCTTCATCATGACAGCCCTACTTCTCCCCAACATGGATATATGACCTACAAGACCCTGAGGGTTCGGTGCCCTTCCATTAGGGATTCGTGAACCCCTCTTCTCTGTAGCCTTTGCTTACCTCTGATTATATGTGGGCCACGTCAGACCGTATATTGTAATGTGATCCATCGTCTTTGCTTGGTTATGTGGGAAAGTGTTGAAACTTGTATATAAATTGAGGATTATAGAGAGATCCATGATAGCAAGAAACAGTGTTTTGCTTTCCTTACTTGACGTTTATCTTCCTACCTAGTCGACAGGCTTTCTACCCTGTACAAGTAGTTATTCTCTAACATCTATATATAGTCAATATGGTAATAGGGAAGTAGGGTCGGGACAGACTTTTGACCTCCTATGTATTATAAATTTTTCTATATAAAGAACTACATTATCTAGAGTATTATAAAAACTACAATAGTATGACTCACTATAAGATACTACTAGACAAAGATTCACAGATTGAATTTTCCCTTTCTCAAAATTCTTATTTCATGAAATGACGAGCTAGAATATTACCAAGAAAGACATAAAGGAAAATAGAGTATATATAGCAGGAAACCAACAAGGCTAATTAATCATCGGGATATTCATCTCTCACATTGCTCACAAAGGCTCGAGAGGAATGATCCCATCGTTTGAAATGCTTTCCGGCAATGGCAATCAAGCTCTGGGGTACTTCGCTAAGATGAGGAAGAAAGAGTTCGATGTTTTCCTCTGCCACATACCGGACACTACGATCCTCAACACTACCACCATTGTTAGCGAAGAGCGCAAAGTCGGTTACATGGAAGACTCACAGAACATGGTAGAAGCTTTGATGGCGTCCAGCCTGCAGACGATCAATACCCATTCTTCTCATCCACTGCTCCCCTGCACCGCATTCGGAGTCCCAGCCAGTGATAATAGCCTGGTACTGGTAGCGACGATGTCGAAATACCTGGCCCACCCGATATCGTATATCCTTGTTCTCACCGGATCGGCGTCGTACCTGCCTAGGAATTTCGTCTACGGCACGCATGACATGAAGACTCTCCAAAATATGTTCATGCTCAAAGAGGCCTTGGAAAAGGGGGACAATATACTGTTCCACCAAAAAGATATCCGATGGAAAATCCGTCGCGAAGAGCTCCATTAGTAATGGGAGCTGATGTCGGAGGTCCATTGGCCGGGAATCCCCTGAAAGAAGCATCGATGACCACACAGAGGCGTACTTGGCGCTCACCATATCTACAGATGTGATAGGTCCGTCATATTGATGAGACGGGGAATGGATTGAATTCCAGATGTTTCTGCTGCAACGCAAGACGATCTCCGAGGTCAATGACTCGCCTAGAAATTCAGTCTGTTCGGTTTCAGACGCTCCAAGAAAAGCCAGTTGGTCACGTAGGTCCGAGACAGGAGTTTCCCGCGCTCCTCGAAACGGGTCCAAGTACATTGGGGTTCCCGATCCCATACCGTTCACCGTATGGCCATTCATATCGAGTCCTGGGGGAGGGAAGATAATGACATGAACATGGAATGGAAACCCACATGGCTGGGCATTGAGGGTTAGCGCTTGGGCCACGTAGCAATAAATCGCGGCGGAGATCAGTGGAAGTGAGTTGTGTCCCGAGCTCTGCAAAGCCAGTCCGATAAAATTATGCTCAAGAGCATGAAACTCTCGACCTTGCTGAATGCCAATCAAGTCACTTTCACGCAACCAGGATGCCAGCTGAAGAGCCTTATTGCGCGGGCTTAAGGTGCCAAAGTCTGGGCTGGACCGGGTAAATCGAGTGACGAGACCTGCCAAGCTATCTTTGATCTGAGACCAGTTTATTCAGCATGTTAGGACAATCAATATCATATGAAATTAAGAAACTGACCTCTTCTAGATCACCAAAGCCACTCTCGGGGATAAAGAGATCAAAGGCACCCAAGGCACGCTCCAGTGGCACCGGTTCACCGCGCGCAAGCCTAGCCCATTCGGGAACAGCGATACTTCGGTGGAGGCAAGTCAAAAGGGCTCGGGCGTAATATCTGCACATCAAAGCCAGGGAAGCCATTCGTCAATATGAAAAAACAGGCTAAGATGCGGGAGAAGCTAATACACACCTCCGCGCGAAGTGATCCTCGCCGGTCTCTACCCTGCTATGGCCCAGAAGAGTATCCTTTGCATCGTAACCATAGTCAATGACTGCACGGAACTTTTCAATTCTCCCCGTTTGGCTACCGAGAATACTGTCCAGGAGCCGAGTGACGGAGCAGTCGATACAGTGTCTCAATACAAAGAGCCCTTTCCAGTCTGTGGACGACGCCGGGCTCGAAAGTTTGCGCGCTATCTCATGTTTTCTATCCCAGTACCTGTAACGGCTTTGGCAGTAGTGGCGCCACAATAAGGGCTCGTTTGTGACATTCTTGAACCGACGGCAAGTTTGCTCGAGGGCGGCGGACGATCCAGGGGGCAAGGAACATAGAATCGCATGAAGGATTTCCTCAGGGAGGTGAGTCAAAGACGGAATCATCACTGTTACTGAAAAAACAGAAAGGAACTTGAAAGTCCCTTGGCTTTAGGTGAGCTAGAATTGGCAGCCCGAGAGGTCCGGGGGGATGAGTTGACCATCCGATGGGTGGTGGTGCTTGGCAGCGGAGCAAGAGCGAAATCAACGCCAGCGCTGAGCCCTCATTCGCGTAGAAGTCAATTTAAAAGCATTCTTCTCTGTAAAAAGGCTGGAGGGGAAAGGGTCAGAGGCGGGATGGAAGAAAGCTCAAAAGACGACGGAGGGGAGCGGGGAGAGATGCCAAGCCGAGTTGATCATGGTTTCCTCCCCCGCCACACTAAATCTTGTTCCACCGCAACGGTTCGGACTTCGACTTGACCTTCTGCGCGCCAAAAAGCGCACGGTCGCTGTGCTCACTCACCAATCTTTGGTCCCGGGGTCGCCCAGGCAATTCATGCCCCTCGAGATCCGGTGTCTTGTATTCCTCGAACACTCAACGCAGACTTTGTTTGGTTTTTCGACATGGGTCAATCACAATCCACCGGGGCGAAGACGCCCGATGCCCAGGAGGCGCCGTCTGAGCAGAAAACAGACTATTATGAATTGTTGGAGATCACACGGAGTGCAAGTGACGAAGAGTGAGTCATTGGCACCCTGCGCCCGCATCACTCGCGCTTGGCTGACACTTGGTAGGATCAAGAAAGCATACCGCCGAAAAGCCCTTGAACTACACCCGGATCGGAACTTTGGTAATGTTGAAGAGGCTACGCGGCTCTTCGCCGAGATCCAATCCGCATACGAGGTCCTCGCCGACCCTCAAGAGCGTGCATGGTACGACTCGCATCGCGAGGCCTTCTTGGGCACAGGCAGCAGCGCTGGAGGAGATCAATCTTCGTCGAGCATACCAGTGACAACCGCACAAGATGTTCTCAAGATGTTTTCGAGATTTAACCCTCGGATGGAATTCTCCGATTCGCCAACCGGGTTCTTCGGCGGCCTTCGGGAGCAATTTGATCAATTAGCGCGAGAGGAGCAGCTGGCATGCCAGTTGGAGGACCAGGTGATGGTGGATTACCCTTCTTTTGGGACTGGGGATGACGATTTCGAGACCGTAGTTCGCCCATTCTATGCTGCATGGAGCGGGTTTTCTACCAAAAAAACATTTTCATGGAAGGATGCTTATCGCTATTCTGAGGCTCCTGATCGTCGAGTTCGCAGATTGATGGAAAAGGAGAACCGGCGCATTCGCGAAGATGGCATTCGGGAATTTAACGATGCAGTTCGTTCCCTAGTGGCTTTCATCAAAAAGCGAGACCCTCGATACAAAGCCAATGCTCAAAATGAAGCCCAACGGCAGGAGACTCTGCGCCAATCAGTTGCGGCCCAAGCAGCTCGATCACGGGCCAAAAATCAGGCCAGCATGCGTGAGCATGTTATTCCAGAGTGGGCACGCTCGGGTGAGCCTGTCATGGACGAAGATGACGCCAGCTCTGAGAGTGAGATTGAAAGCTTCGAATGCGTGGCATGCAACAAACATTTTAAAAGTCTGAAGCAATTTGAAGCTCATGAACGGAGCAAAAAGCACTTGAAGGCATTCAGGCAATTGTGCCGGGAGATGCAAGCTCAGAATGATGAACTCCATCTTGAGTCAACAGCACATGCCAACAGCTTTCCAGACCAAGGCCTGCCCACTGTCGATACCTCTGAATCCGATCGCAGTGATGACAAGACGCCTGGTCAAGGATTACCAGATCAGCGATGCGAAGCCCATAATACAAAATCGCCTACAAGTCTTTCGGGTGACTCAACCACGACTGCATTGCCCAGCCCTGATGGGGATGACCAGTCATCCCCCCGTTCATATCTAACGCGACGTTCACTTGACTCTGTTGGGGACGAGGATTATGCTTCACGAGAGACCATCGAAACCAGGCTTCGTTCAGACTTTGGTAGCGAATCAGGAGATGATGACAATGTCACCTTCCTTGCTGAACGAATATCGTCTACTGGCTTGGGTGACGAATCACCAGCCCTTCTAAGTAATAAAGCTAATAATATTGGCAAAGCCAAGCAGAGACGAGCGAAGAAAGCAGCTCGTGTCACCGATCAACCGTCGGGGCTTGCATGTACAGGCTGTCATGCCATTTTTGCCTCGAAAACAAAGCTGTTTTCCCATCTGAAAGAAAATCCAGACCACGCACACCTAGCGAGGACCACCACAAAGACCAAGAGCAAACGAAGATAGAGTCATACATTTTCTTTTTCTACGTCTCAATAGACGGAATCAAAATGCTCAAGGGGTAATTGCATATCCGACTGTATTGCTATGAGCGTCTAAAAATGTGGGGATGCAACAAAAATCTGGGAATGATGACGCCTCTAACCCCAACCGACATGCCCTCGAGCACAAAAAAATTCATTACTCCTCCACGCATATATGCAAAAGAAGACATCCTAGCCTAACCCTGTTCGCGAGTTCTTGACCACATGTGCAACTGGAAGAAGTATACCCTTATTGTTGGTTGCCCCAAGTGCAGTGCCGCTGCTCCATCCCATCTTTTCTAACATGGCTCGTCCTCGGTTGCCGACCCCAATCTCCGGGGCAGAGGCACCAACAACATCTCCATCCATGTATGAGACTGTAGCACCCGAACCACCCCGTTTGGTTTTGACAGGTTTGTACTTCGAGGCATCTGAGCCCCAGGATTGGAAAAGCCGACGATTTAGCTTCCGTCCAGAGAGTAAATCATCCACCTTGGAGATAGTCTTTGATGTATACCCGGGGGTACGAGAAGTCTTGACGAGCATTGGGAACCGCGTAAGCCCATTTCCGCGGGATTGTGATTTCAGGTTTAATATGTTAGCCAATTCGTGGATGGTCTTCCGTCGTTGCTTGGTCATGGGTGGTAGAGATAGACTAGACGAAAGTTAGCGGGGGCTTCTCACTTCTCACGTTATCGAAGCTAGAAAACATAATCAATTCGGCCCGTACCTGGTCTTTGAAGATAACAGGAATGCTCGAAACTCTGTCATCAGCTCCTCCAAATTCATTCCCTTCGCGTACTTAACCTTCAAATCCGCGTCCCCGGGGCTTCTACCTAGTAATCCCTGCGAGCGAAGCTCCTCTCGTTCCTTCTTTCTCGTCTTCTTTTTGTTACGATCGGTCTGCCAGACTTCCTGGAGGTGAAGTTCCAGGTCGCTGTCGGAGAGCATCACGTCCAGGGCGGGATGTTTCTGACCCTTGCTCTTTTTGTGTAGGCTGGGTCGATCAAGATCCATAATATCAAATCCATAGTATGGATCCGACTCCAGTGCATCTGCAAATGCAGTGGCGGAGGCGAACGAGATTTTCCCCCGGTTTCCCTTCTTCCGCTCTGTTGAACATCGAACGGCCAGCTCCTCGAGAAGATCTGTGTCGATTTCTTCTTCCTCGTCGGAGTCTGCGTCCGGTGAATCTAATGGATCTGTATCTTCTTCTGCCTCGTCATCTGGTGCCAGTGCTGAATCGAATTCTGGTTCAAGCTGTGCGTCAATATACATTCTTGAAAGGACTGATTCTTCTTTGTCGGGGTTATATCGAACTGGTGGGTGGTTGGGGATTCGGGGGATGGGGGCTGGGAGCTCACCGTCGATCGAGCTTTGAACCAGGTCCTCGTCTGTTCCGCCTGCTGTGGGTATGTCTCTCTCGAAAGTTTGCGACTGCGGTCGGCTGAAACGCGTGGATGGCCAGGGTGGCAACAGAGAAGAATCTTTTGAGACTTCGGTAACATCGATACCCCCTTCGAATTCATCTATGTGAGAGTGTATGTTCTCTAGATGGTATTCGCTGTCGATATTGGCAATGTAGTCAGCTAGTGCATCCACTTCATCGCGTGGTGATTCGCTATGAGCAAGACAGGTATCAGGCCTGGCTGAACTTTGCATGGAGTTCAACAGATCATCAGGCTGTGCTTGTACCGCCTGTTCGGGCTCCCTCGCCTCCGCTGCGAGCGGTATTTGGCGCTGCTCTGTCAGAGTTGTATCCAGTATTTTTCGAACTTCGTCATTGCTTGATTCGATCACTACCGGTCTCGTGGTATTGTTCCGGCCGGCGAACACCACTTCATCCTCGCTTGAATCTTCTGAGTCGGTGGAATCGAATCGTGGGACTGGGTCTGGCAGTCCCGTGTCGACCACGAGTTGTGCACTTGTGTCCAAGAAAAATCTGCGCCCCTGCTCATTGGTCTTTGGGTCAGAAGGGTCTGATGAACCCTCGACTTCTGGCTCCTTTCGCCCGGGGGCATTCACCATCAGGTCGCGGTCTTCTTGTTCGACACCTTCGAGTTCCTTTCGCTGTAATGTACCTGCGCTCACAAATCTCACCGCCTTGTGGCGGAGATTGCTGTTCGACCACCATCGACTGTGAGTTTCTGTGTTCCGAGCCTCTTGTTGCATTGTAAACCGGTGTGGCGAGGCCGCTGTGGCGGCGGTTAGTCCTGGCAGGCGGATTGTGATGGTTCAGAGGGGATACTCTACTGAAAGTTTCCATTGCAGAGCCCCGTTTGGCACGGGCCTTCGCCTTGCCATGGCGGGCCATGGGTGTCGGTGTTGAGAGTTTGCCCAGAGAAGAGGGATTGTGGGGGGTAGGTTGAGGAGTAGGATTTCTTGGGCAGTTTGGGATTGGCCGGGCGGTGGGGATTTCCCAGCCTCCGACCGATCGGAGGGTGTCGTAGCCGTGGAGTGGGAGTAATACAGTCTATAACGTACGACTCTAGTAAAGGTTCGAATGATCTAGTAGGAAGTAAATAGCATCGACCGGCTGGTGATTATGCGAGTTCAAAACTACAGAATGAACTGATGCGATCCATTGCGATCTGCCGCGGTCAGCTGAGTGACGTCGTGCCCGACGCCCGTGACACTCCTCAATCCCCGCGGGCTTCACCTCCTCGTCCTCCCTTTCTTTGCGACTTTTGGGGATTAATATTTGTGCTGTGGGATTTGACTCTAGTTTTTTCCGACTGTCGACCGGCCATTCTTGTCTGTCCTTCTGTTTGCAGTTATTCGATCGGCGCTGAAGCGAGAGGATGTGAATATATATGTACTTCGTCGATATATATATTTGATATCCCTACTACACGCACGAGATATCCCCCTCTCTCGGCTCCCCCCCCCCAGAACTCCCGTCAAATCAACACCCCTCTCCCCCCCCTCCCCAAACCCTAGCAACCGATACACAGCCCGCGGACATGACGGGAGTTGACCTGGAAAAATGCAAGCGGATTGTACAATACTTCTGGGATCCCGAGCCCAAGAACGACGCCGCGCCGGACGCCTCGATTTGGTGCCTGGGCGAAGAGTACAAGCCCCTCTCACCACAAGACCCCCCCCCCATACAGGTATGTTAGAATCGATGAATCGAGGCACAATTTCCCATTCAAACTCCACCCTTTACCCAACATGGCCCTTACTATGGTCATCCCCTCAAGAACCACAAGAATCACAAGGACCGCAAGATACCGAGCCGATCGAGCCTACAGAGCCGAAAACTAATAACTGTCCCGCAGACCAGCCAACGGACCCAGTGACCAGAACCTGGCCTGCATCATTCCTGGATGATTTTGAATCAAGAATATGGATGACATATCGCTCCAACTTCCCACCCATCCCACGCAACAACACATCCCAAGCGGCCTCCTCCATGACCCTGAGTGTTCGCTTGCGGAGCCAGCTGATGGACACGCAGGGCTTCACATCCGACACTGGGTGGGGTTGTATGATCAGATCGGGCCAGAGCCTATTGGCGAACACCCTCTGTATCCTACAACTAGGACGAGGTAACTCCAATTCAACCTAAGAACAGAACATCATCGGATGAACCGTCGCATCTCTAATGAGACATACAGGTTGGCGAAGAGGCCAGAGATCGGATGAAGAATCAAAACTCCTTGCCATGTTTGGCGATCACCCAGAAGCGCCGTTCTCAATACATCAATTTGTCCAACGGGGCGCCGAATCATGTGGAAAATATCCAGGGGAGTGGTTTGGACCATCGGCCACCGCTCGATGCATCCAGTGCGTGCCAACAAAACCCTCATCGCTACCCTCAAAGACCCTCCGAGCACAGACCTGATGAGCATCGGCAGGATCCTATCAAGCGAATGCGATAACCCCACGCTTAGAGTCTACGTGACCAACGATACGTCCGATGTCTACGAGGACCAGTTCACTCGGCTAGCTAGGGATGAATCAGGCCATATACAACCCACTTTGATCCTCCTTGGGCTCCGGTTAGGGATCGAGCATGTCACCCCAGTATATTGGGATGGATTACGAGCAGCATTTCAATACCCACAATCTGTCGGGGTCGCAGGGTACGTCCAACAGCCATTGACAAAGGGCATAGGAAGCTGACGGTCCACTGCGCAGGGGACGACCATCCGCGTCTCATTATTTTGTAGGTGTGCAGGATTCTCATCTCTTCTTCCTAGATCCACACACGACTCGTAGCGGACTCCCACCCCGGATAGATGACGCACATACAGCGGAGGAACTCGACACCTACCACACTCGCCGCTTACGAAGGATTCCCATCCAGGAAATGGACCCCAGCATGCTAATTGGCTTCCTCATTCAAGACGATGCGGACTGGACAGACTGGAAGAAACGGGTCCAATCCACCGCGGGGAAGCCGATCATCCACATCATCGCGGCAGGGAATTCGATCGATGTGACACCTGGTCGGAAGGAGGCGCTGGACGAGGTAGAGGTGTTGGATGATTCGGATGCATTGCTGTAGGAGCATTTGCTGGAACGACCAGAAGGATTGGAAAATGGCACCATATACAGACTAAAAGAGCAGAGGAAGACAAGTTTGCAATGCAATCAAGCATTTGGAATTTCGCGTTCTAGTTAGGGGAGGTTTAACCGTACAACCAGCCCCAGACCCGAGTTATGTTACACCGCGCGCATCGAGTAGTAACCATCAGAAAAAGTCGCCCATCGGGGAAAAGAAAATTGATACCATCCCATGACACATTAGAAAACCCGCAAAACACCCATAACCGACCGCCTCCGAGCCCAGAAAAAGATCAGGAGGCAGAAAAACAAAAGCAAAGCCGCAGGAAACAGAAAGCTAACAAGGCGCCTATTTGGCGGAAGAGGAGTACTTGGTCACGGCCTTGGTACCCTCAGAAACGGCGTGCTTAGCAAGCTCACCAGGCAGGATGAGCCGCACGGAGGTTTGAATCTCTCGGGAAGAGATGGTGGACTTCTTGTTGTAAGCAGCCAGCTTGGAGGCCTCAGTGGCAACGCGCTCGAAAATGTCTGAAGATTGGAAACGAGTTAGCAAGATAAAATACGACCAAGAGCGATTTGGACATCACATACCGTTGACGAAAGAGTTCAGGATGGACATGGCACGGGTGGAGATACCAGTATCGGGGTGAACCTGCTTGAGGACTAGAGAATAGGGGAAAAAACGAAGTCAGTTTCACGAACGCGTCGCGTCATGCGGGAGGAGAAATCCAAACAAGCTGAACATACCCTTGTAGATGTAGGAAGAGTAGGTCTCCTTGCGGGTCTTGCCACGCTTCTTCTTCTCGCCGGAGGCCGCGGCAGTCTTCTTGCCAGCCTCCTTCTTCTCAGCGGGAGCCTTGCCGCCAACCGGGGCCTTGCCGGCGGTGGTGGGCTTCTTTTCAGCGGCCTTAGGGGGAGCCATTTTAACGGGAGTTGTTAAGAAAGGTGAGGAAGGGTGAAAAAGTGGTGAAGTTGGATGGAGCGTGAAGGTGGGAAGCAGAGATGGAATGGGGAAAGGAAAGTTGATGGAACGCGGTGATGAGGGAGTTGCGGTCTTTATACTCGACCGCCAACGGCCAGTTGATCCCGAGGGGCAGAAAGGAGGCAGAATTTCAATACGGTCACAATATTGTATGATCTGTATGATTAGAGACGGGGCGACGCGTTCTGGAGCAGGGTTTACACCGCGAGAGCGGGTATTAAGAACGCGTGATCGCGGTATCACGCAATACGGGAGATATATTACGCCGCCATTCCTGATCTGGCATGCCACCCGCCCCCTCTTTGGCGTTGCGTCGCGCTGATCTGCGCTGCTGATTGGTCGATCCCGCTAAGCGAGAGCGTGATCTGGAGCGCGGACTGCGTTGATGCCGCCCAACGTCACCTTCCGCCGCGTCCTTATAAGACCCCTCGCTCTCCTCCACGCTGCCCTCCGACTTGCTCCTGACACGTACGACAATCTCCAACTCTACGCACACCACTTCAACCCCCCTTTTCCAAACCCTTCTCTTCACAACCTACATTCAAAATGACTGGCGGCAAATCTGGCGGCAAGGCTAGCGGTTCCAAGAACGCGCAGTCGTAAGTTCACCCTGGTTTCTCGACCTTGATATTTTATGCTCGGCTTCTTTGCGTTACAGAGCAAGAATTCCGGAGTCGGTATGAAATCGAAGTGCCCGTTTGTCTAACATGTATATATCCACAGCCGTTCTTCCAAGGCCGGTCTGGCGTTCCCCGTCGGTCGTGTTCACCGTCTGCTCCGCAAGGGCAACTACGCTCAGCGTGTCGGTGCCGGTGCCCCCGTCTACCTGGCTGCCGTCCTCGAGTACCTGGCTGCTGAAATCCTCGAGTTGGCTGGTAACGCCGCTCGTGACAACAAGAAGACCCGTATCATCCCCCGTCACCTTCAGCTTGCCATTCGTAACGATGAGGAGTTGAACAAGCTTCTGGGCCATGTCACCATCGCCCAGGGTGGTGTCCTCCCCAACATCCACCAGAGTATGTCCCGCATCCTTCGAATCCTGGGGGCTTTGTCCCCGTGAGAGCATGTGTACTAACCGTCGGTTCCAGACCTTCTCCCCAAGAAGACCCCCAAGGCCGGCAAGGGCAGCCAGGAGCTGTAAACTGGTGGCTTTTCTTATCGCGGGTTTGATTTTGTTTTTTCCGGCGTGGGTTGGTTCATTGACACGATAATGGGGTTATGGGACGGGCACGTTATGGCTCTGCGTTTTCTCTTTTCTTCAGTTTTCAGGTTGTACATTATGTCTGCGGACATGGAATGATACCGACGAACTTTCAGCTTGTTCGAGGGATTTCAAATTTTTTTCGGATAACTAGCCCTGGGTATGAACACCCAAATCAATGAAAAAGATTCTAGGTCCACCAGATATATTTGGTTCCACGCTATTTCCCCGTATTTTATGATATGACTACATTCTGTCCAATAAGTTCTTGGTTTTGCTGGTGTTCATTTGAGCGTCTGACCGGCCGTTCGCGTCGGAATTTATCCTGTGTTACGACTGCTACGACGATTTCATTCAATATAGGTTGATCCACATGGTCCTAGTTTTTGATATCTACATTTGTCCTTGGGGGGATATTAAAAAGCGTGTAATTCATCGCAAAATCCCAGCTGTCCTGGTCACAACGCCCACCATGCATTTCTTCCTTTAATGGGCGGCGGGAGGGGCCGCGTCTGTGCCGAATCAGTATGGGTTCAGATGGTTGGAAAAGACTGAGCAAAAGAAGGGAGCATCAAATGGCTCAACCACTCAGAACATACATGGGAGAATCGGGGCTGGCAGATTACGCTCCCATTTGTTGCCTGTGGTCCTGGTCAGTTGTGTGGCTTTAAAGCGAACGAATATCAGATTCCGAAACATACCTCCAGGAGCAGTAGGAGGTCGGTAGGGGTCGGGGTGCTTCCAGTTCTCCAGCAATTTCTCAGTCTCGCGCAAAAGCACCTAATATTGTCATTTTTAATAAGTCCTCAATGATCCCGTTCTCTTTTAAGACTCGAATCACACGCATGGGGCGCGTACCTGTTGCTGGCGAGGATCCCGGACGTCCTTGTTTGCGTCGAACAGGGATCGAATGTAGACCGCTTGTCCACGCCAGACAGATCGGTGGACAGCCCAGTCTAGAGACAGCTTCAATGACCGCCGGTAAAGCGACCTAGAAGAAGCAGTTAGATCAGGTGAAGAAGGGAAGGGTCCGGGTGGAGAGAGAGTGCGTATCACGGCCTCCCAGGATCACTCACGTCACGGCGGAGGTGGACATGATGCACACTCAAGTCCAACTGGAGCCAGACAGTAGGTTCAGAAGAGTTGAAAGAGGTTGTGCGCGCAGAATCTCCTGGACAATCCGCGTCAATCCGTCAATCCGAGATGGGGGTTGCAACGGTTGACTATTCTCAGCTTCCTCATTCGTTGCAAAGTGCCACTTAGGCCCCTGCAGCGCCCCCAACAGGCGTAAGAACATTACTCCGCTGCCGAGCGCCTTCCGCATCTCGGCTTCGGGAGCTTTTGGCTTCGGCTACGTAACAGCAATAGGGAAGAGTGAGCTTTTTTCCTCCTTGTCTTTTCCTTTTCCCCCTTCCAACTGCCCTCGGGATATCTTTCCTTGTTTTCTTCTTCTCTTTGTTCATTCTAAGCACATCATGGCTGCTCGACTTCCTCTCGCGCGCCTTTCCGGCCAACGCTTGACGACTTTGACCCGGGCCACTCGATCTCCTAGCCGGCTGCGCGGCGCCCAGTGCCTTTCCACCCTCAGCCGCTCCAATGCCTCTCCTAGAGCCTCTGGTCTCCTGCAAGCTTCATCGGGGTACGAATATGCACCACCTCGGCTTAGCAATATCAACCTAATGTTCTGATATAGAATTAATGTGTCGCGCAACCTCGCTCCGTTCGTGGGCTCCCAGATCCGTACATATGGTAAATCCCATCGCGCATTCTGGCCACTAGTTAAGCTCAATGCTGATATTTTTGGCTCCTTTCAGCCGATTCCATTGTCAAGGTTCCCCAGATGGCGGAATCGATCACCGAGGGTACCCTGAAGCAATTCTCTAAACGTATGGCATTGAGCCTTTGATCCCTAAGCAGCTACCAGCCGTACTAACTCTACTCTTAGAGGTTGGAGACTTCGTGGAGCGTGATGAGGAAATTGCCACCATTGAGACCGACAAGGTAGGATCCACAAGAGTCTCGTTAATCTACCGCTTCTAACTCTGGTACTTACCGGCAGATCGATGTTTCGGTGAATGCGCCCGAGTCGGGCACCATTAAGGAATTCCTTGTGAACGAGGAGGATACTGTCACCGTTGGACAAGACCTCGTCAAGATGGAGCTGGGAGGCGCCGCCCCAGAGCCCAAGAAGGAGGATTCCGCTGAGAAGCCCAAGGAGGAGTCTGCTGAGAAGCCCAAAGAAGCTGCTCCTCAACCCGAGAAGCCCCAGGAGACCCCTTCGAAGCCCGTGTCTTCTGAGAAGCCTAAGGAGGCCCCTGCCAAGTCCGAGTCGCCTAAGTCGCAGAGTGCACCTGACTCCAAGCCGGCTCTGGGTAGCCGCGAGGAGCGTAGAGTATGTTTTCATTGTTCTGTTTGCTTACCTGTGAAATCAATGCAAAGGCTAATCCCTTGCGCTGTGTTATAGGTCAAGATGAACCGCATGCGTCTACGTATTGCCGAACGCTTGAAGCAGTCTCAGAACACCGCCGCTTCCCTTACCACCTTCAATGAGGTTGATATGTCCTCGCTGATGGAGTTCCGGAAGCTCTACAAGGATGACGTTCTCAAGAAGACTGGCGTGAAGCTTGGTTTCATGAGCGCCTTCTCCCGCGCCTGCGTGTTGGCCATGAAGGATGTTCCCGCTGTCAACGCCTCCATCGAGGGTCCTAACGGTGGTGATACCATTGTCTACCGTGATTACGTTGATATCAGCGTTGCCGTTGCCACTGAGAAGGGTCTTGTCACCCCTGTGGTTCGCAACACCGAGACCATGGATCTCGTTGGCATTGAGCAGTCCATTGCTGAGCTGGGCAAGAAGGTTCGTCCCCAGATGGTGTCTTTATGATATGCTGTGCTAACCAGAGATCAGGCTCGTGACAACAAGCTTACCATCGAGGATATGGCTGGCGGCACCTTTACCATCAGCAATGTGAATTTATTGGCCCTTCTATAGCTCTGGTCCTGATCGGTTACTAATTTGTTCCTCTAGGGTGGTGTCTTTGGCTCCCTGATGGGTACACCCATTATCAACCTGCCCCAGACCGGTAAGTTATCAGCCACGGCTCTCGCTTTCATCTGGATACCAAGCTTACGATTCCAACAGCTGTTCTGGGTCTTCACGCCATTAAGGACAAGCCTGTTGCTGTGAACGGCAAGGTTGAGATCCGCCCGGTAAGATCTAGACTTGCTCTCACATTTTACTCGAGTTGCCTGCTAACTTTTCTTCGGTCTGTAGATGATGTATCTTGCCCTTACCTACGACCACCGACTGCTCGATGGCCGCGAGGCGGTCACTTTCCTGGTGAAGGTATGTGGATTTGTTTTGTTTTCCATTATTGGACGACCCACTAATTCCATTATAGGTCAAGGAGTACATCGAGGACCCGCGCCGTATGCTGCTCGGCTAGATGATTCAGCCATCAGTATTCTGTTGGTAAATCTGTGTTATTCGTGCTTGGAGCAGCCATTGGCACCCCTTGTAGATTATTTGATTCCAAAATATAACTGCCATTTCATTGACCACTATCGAGGGAGGCGGTCAAGCAAGCCCGTTGCCTCTCCTTTCACATCCCCAGGCATATTGATGTTCCCGTAGTGTTGTCGGCCTGCTAGTTGAACCATTGATAGAGAATGGAGTAAAGCGATGGAAATGCTCGGCCTCGGTATGGGACCTCCCTTTGGTTGTACCATGATTCAACGTAGTCCCGCCCGTTCCTTGAGGCGTTGTGTCTCGGCGCGGCTAAGTTGGCCGAGCTTGCCTCGCTCCAGCTGTAGTAAAATTGGGGGGTCCAGAGTTATCATCAGATCGACTAGGAATTCGATAATTATCGCCTTGAACTGAGGAAAGGGCATCCGCTGGGTGAGTGACTCGCACTCTGTCAGTAGCTCGTCCGGGTTCGGGAGCTCCCTCGTGTATTTCTCATGGGCAATTGCCCACTTCGAATAGAGCGCTGAATTTTCCGGTACCCATGCGCGGAGTTTGGAGAGCTGTTCTGACGTTGGGCGCCCTTCCCGCTGTTCCTCCAGGGTGGCCTGGACCACAAATCGAGCACCGGCATCGAACCACCTTGTTTCAGAGACCTTAGATGCAGCTGTGGAGCAAAGGTTCATGAAATCAACACCTATGCTGGACAGGCTAGGGCACGCATCATGGTCCTGGGGTTGCCCGGATTTGTAGGACTGGAGCTGAGAGCCAACCGAGAGTAGTCGGAGTTTGATATCCAGGTCCTGTGGTAGTGATGCCTCGGGCTTGGCTGCGGCCAATGTGAATTGAAAGGCTAGTATCGCTGTTAGTATCCATGGCCTCGAACGGGGCGAGGTATTTTTTTTTTTTTTGGTTTCCATAGCTGACCTTGGACTGATTCCACCTGCCAGTTCAGTTCCTCGTCCCCCGCTTGGCTCCGCGATACTGGGCTGTTGAGGATCCTATTGATGGCGAAGCATGCCAGATAATCCAGGATCATATAGTCTATCTCTGCCTGTAGGTCCGGGTCGACCTGGGCTGGAGGCATGGTAGTGGGCTCAGGCTTTGACGATCATCGTGGTGTGTATCTTGATGCGACGGGGCATGCGGGGTCCGGGTCCAGAAATGAGAGCACACTCAATGTAATGGAGGAAACTGAAGCGCCGTTGATGCGGGGAAGGGGGGGAGTTGACAAGAAACTTTGAGGCCACCAACGGCTGGAGTTTCTTGATGTGATGATGTTGGTTGATGGTTGTGGATCGGCAGCGCGCAAGCGCGTTTCTCTCCCCGCGGGTTTGGCGCGATTTGATATCCCAAGTGGAGACGCGACGCGACGCAATGAGCCGAATCTTGTTCGCCTTATATGTCTACATCGATACGTATATGCGAACGGAGCTTAGAGGAATCTCAAAAATGGAGAATTAAATGTATGCGATGGGCAGCCGAGTAAGAGAAATGTACCACTTTTAAGATGTCACGGGCTTGGGACGGCAATACACACACATATATATATAATGAAGCAGATCTATAGAGATACATGTCTCTCCCTCCGTGGATGTCCCGTCTAACAACTAGCCATCCTCCCCATCTACGCACCCCCAAAGCACATCCCAACTAGCACGTTACCAAAAAGATATCATATCCAAAGAGGAGATGGCTATTCGCGGGGACAAACGGAACCCAAATGAGGCGAACATGGCGTCACAGGAGCTTCCAAGATCGTCCCCACTACCATGGACTCCCCCGCTACTCCAATCTTCCACTGTCGCAATCCCTGTCAGAAAGAACAGCTGCATATGTTATTTCTCCACCGCATCTGCCTCCCCTTTCGATTTCCACGTATTTGGTACCAAGCAAGATCCCTGACGATGGCGTGGTACTGCTCCGGATCCACCAACTCCGAGCTGATCGAGAATCTGTTCAAAGCGGGTCTGATCAAGAATGAACGAGTGAAGGAAGCCATGCTGGGGGTGGGTACTCACATATCCACATCTCTTCAACCTCTCAAACTATCTCACTCCCTCGTCTCCCCTCTTCCAACGCGCCTCTAACAGGCTCAACAGGTGGACCGAGCTCACTATGCCCCATCGCGGCCCTATTCAGACTCGCCCCAGCCCATCGGCCATGGAGCCACAATCTCTGCACCACACATGCACGGCCACGCGTGTGAGTACCTTATTGACTATTTGAAACCGGGTTCCCGAGTGCTAGATATCGGATCGGGCTCGGGATATCTCACGCATGTGCTCGCCAACCTCGTGACGGGCGCCCCGAACACAGCGCCCGGGCAGGTCATCGGGATCGATCACATTCCCGACCTGGTAGATTTAGCTCAGGCAAACATGAACCAGTCCGATCAGGGTCAAAAATTGCAAGCCTCGGGCCAAGTTAAGTTCATTACCGCCGACGGACGTCTAGGATGGCCGGAAGGGGCTCCATACGATGCCATACACGTCGGTGCGGCCGCCGAGAAGATGCATCCCGTCCTAATTGAACAACTTCGAGCCCCCGGACGACTGTTCATCCCCGTGGAATCCGAGGAGGATGTAAGAACCTCGGGGTTGGGACTTGGCGGAGGCCAGTACATCTGGGTGGTCGATAAAAAAGAAGACGGATCGGTCCACAAAGAGAAGGTATTCCAAGTTAGCTACGTCCCACTAACGGATGCGCCTCGACACTGAGAGGGTGGATGGCATCATGCCTGCTGCACTCATTGTCGGCTCACCCACGAAAGAGAATCACTACTCTACAGGCGGGCCATCGGGCAGAAAGCAAAGGGAACTGTGGAAAGGAAGAATAAAAACTGGAGCGCCTACGAGGATTACGAGATAGGAACTTTTGGAAGCGGAAGAATCAAATGCTGCAACCCGATCATGTCCATTTGCTGTAAATCATAACCCAAGAGAAGAAAAAAAAAGAGATGCCCAGCCTAGACGATCCTTCACTGGCGAAAGACCCGGCGTAAATACTCCTAGAAACACCACAGTATGTTCTACAATGGCCCCAAAACGGCCAAATGCAATCAGCGGAATGGAAACCCACCAGGAAAGTTGAAGCCCTGGCCGCCAAACTTGAACTGCCCGCCACCCTGCTGGAACACAAATTGCTGGCCACCCTGGCCGAAGGGATGTCCCTGGAATGGATGCCCTCGCTGCCGGGACTCGGGATCGTTGGGATCATCGCCATTATCGTACCTGGTTCGGAGCTCAGAGTCGGACAAGACCTCGTACGCCTCGTTGATGGAAGCCATCTTCTTCTCTGCTTCCTCCTTAGATACACCCTGGGCGTGGGCCTTATCGGGATGATGCTGCTTCGTTAATTGGCGGTAGGCTCGCTTGATAGTTCGATCATCTGCATCACGGCTGACACCCAACACCTTGTAGTAATCCTTCTGCTTGGAGCGCTTCAAGAGCGCCTGTGCTTTTTGAAGAAGCGACTGGACATCCTGGGAATGGGGATGGTGCTCTTTGGCTGTGTTCAATGTACGAACCGCCTCCTCGAATCGATCCTCCTCTAATTCAGCGTTGGCCTGGTACAACAGACCGTGAAGCGAGTATGGAACCAGCTGAAGAGATTCAGAACAATAGGGACCTGCCTTCTTCACCATGCGCATCTATAACAAAACAAATAAGCAAGACTGTTAATAAGCACATTGTCTGTTTCTCTTCTGTTCTTTTCTTTTCCTCCAAGGAAGGAACAATAACTGGAATTGCACGAACCTCTCGGTAAGCTTCGCAGGTTTTCTCTATCAAGAAGATATAGAGATTATTGGATGCTGCACGGTGAATATGGCCTGCTTCTCTGCCCTCAGCGACATCAGCCTTCACATCCGCAATCAAACCGCTGTCATCAGCATCGCCAACCATGAGTTTGACGGCATTGCTGAACTTGCGCGCCTCCAGAGCGCTGTGTAATTTTCCTAAGAGCTTCGACAGTTGTCGTTCCCTTTTATAGAGACGGTTGCACGGGTTCGAGTCGGGATCGGTCAACAAGCACCGGCGGATCTGAGCTAGACCACGATCGCTATCACCCAATGCATAGAAGAGCATGGAGGACATTTGTAGGTGAGGCTCCACCAAGTGTGGTGAGATCTGGAGAACATGCGCTAGGTCGCTTACGCCCTCTTCCACCTCGCCTCTTTCAAACCGGCAGCGTGCTCGAGCTTGCCGCAGGGAGAGGTCAGTATTCGCCTTCAGGATGGCGACTCCGGCATGAGTGATGCAGGCCTCCCATTCACCCTTCTTCTCGGCGGCAAGCGCGAGGGCGGCCGCATCTCGTGCCGCCTCCAGCTCCTGGTAATCGGCGGAGTCCTTCTTCCCTGCACGTTCGAGATCCCGTAGTGCTTCCTCCCAATGGGCGGATCGTGCCTGTAATCGGGATCTCTGGAGAAGCGCGCCTTCGAAATCGGGCTTGAGTTCCAACACCCGGTTGAAGTCCTCTGAAGCCTGGGAATTCTTGCCGATGGATAGATATGCGGCGCCCCGCTGGTAGATGGTGATATAATTGGTTGGGTCGCGGGTGACGGCCGCATCAAAGTAGACCAGGGCATCGCGCGGCGAGCCTTTGGCGAGATGGGCCTTGGCTGAGGAGACCAAGTCGGAGAGCGGCGTGTCGGGAGCGATTTGGAGCGCAACGCCGGTGGAGAGACAGGCCAGCACGGCCGTCATAGCTTCAAGCGAGATGCGCATTTTTAGAGAAACACAGAGGACATGGCCCCACCTGCAGGTCAATAATATCAAGTTGGTTCAAGAATCTCAAAGAATCTTTAAGGGTTGGGAAAGATCAGAGGAGAGGAAAAGAGGGTTGGAAGTGCGCAAGTTGGCGGCGCCGTGGCCTTTACGCGTACCGTACGATAAATTACAGGTGACCATTCCGCCCCCGAACGTTTCCCTTTTTTCGTTCAAGGATGCTGCGAATGCTTCAATGGGGTCGTTGGCGCCCGGCAACTTCAGGGCTGGCCTCCGCTCTGCGACGTACCGCGCATACGGCGCATTCTGGTAGGTAGTGCTTTCCTTTTTCCTTTGTTCTCTCTTTTTTCCAACCCCTGGTTCATTGCCCGCTCATACTCCGCTGCAGAGGCCGACCTGTCTCCTGTCCTTTTGACCCGCGCTCGATTGCTTGCCGTGGAGCATGCGAAGCTATCAAATCGATTGGCAGAGTCCTTTGATGCTAAAGTGGCTAAGCGAGCCGGAGAATTGGCCCCGGTCACTACGGTTCTGAAAGAATGGGACAATGCGAATGAGGTATGCTCTTCTATCTTACCCGATGCTTCCGTCTTTGGGGGCGTGTCGTTGACTCTCGGCGTTGAAAAGTCCATAGTCGAATTGAAATCTCTCCTTGAAGACCCTGAAACCGATGAAGAGCTACGATTGCTGGCGATCGAAGACCTGGAATCTAGCAGAGACGCCATCCCCTCAATATCGGACCGTCTCAAAAAATCCCTGATTCCCCGGCATCCATTTGCGGACCTCCCCTGTTTGCTTGAGATTCGACCTGGAGCCGGAGGAGATGAAGCTGGTCTGTTCGCATATGAGATGTTACGTATGTACATGTCGTTCTGTTCTCGGCGGGGCTTACGACCAGCCATCATCAAGCAAGACGTGGAAGATGGCCCGTCGGAAGACCGCCTAAGCGAAGCAGTGATCGAAATCGAAGCCGACGGGGCCTATGATATTCTGCGGACCGAATCAGGGGTGCATCGTGTCCAGAGAGTGCCAGCCACTGAAACCAAAGGTCGAACTCATACGAGCGCCGTCAGCGTCATGGTCTTGCCCAGCTTCCCAGAGACCGGCAGTGGTATGGATAGCGCCTTGAATTTCGAAGACCCGAACAGTGATTACTATATCGACCCACAAGAAGTGCGAGTGGAAAAAATGCGGGCAGGGGGGCTGGCGGGCAGCATGTCAACAAGACCGAGTCTGCCATTCGATTGACCCATATTCCCACGGGGACAGTGGTCTCTATGCAAGATGAGCGTTCTCAGCAGGCAAATCGTCGGAAAGCCTGGCAGATGCTACGTGCGAAGATTGCCGAAGTCCGCCAGGAAGCCCGCGAGCAGGAATTGGTCCAATTGCGGCGGGGAGCCATGGGTGGTGTAGCTCGTATGGGCCGAGGGGACAAGATCCGCACCTACAACTATGGCCAAAGCCGTTGCACCGACCACCGAAGCGGTATCACACTCCACAACCTGGACGATATCCTGAGTGGCGGGGAGGGCCTGGAAACGGTCATGGAAAGCGTGCGCACTTGGATGGCAGATCGCGAGATCGAGGCTATGTTGGCTGAGGAGTTGGTCAAAAAGAAGGAGAAGTAAAGTTCAACTTGCAGGACCATGCTGAACAGGCTAGGGAAATTATACACTAAGACAAAAAAAGAGATACCATGTATTTTTATATCGTAACATACTCCCACAATCTTGGAAATCTATTTGAGCAGCATTGGTTTTGATCCCCGTCTATTTTTAAATGTACCTTCGCTGAGGGTCTGCGAGATCCATCAATTCCATGGATTTTTCATACCTGCTCATGATTAGCCTCTCAATGATCCCAGAGTACACACAACGGTATCCGAACACATACATAGTAAACACGATTCCTCCACTCATGATCAGTCGGGCCAGTCGTGGCATTGCCCCGGACCAGAAAGTTAAGATACCTTCATCCTTGAAGATCTTTGCGGCGCAAACAAAGCTATTTTTATACGCTTTGCTGGCTTCAAGTGATTGCATCCTGTTTTTCTTGACGATTAGTCTTCATAGCCCCAAGATCTAAAAGATAAATTTATCTCTCCAAACTGACCTGGTTTTCACTGTGTCGAGAGGTTGAGTCACGTAACTGGGGTATCTTGGTCAGTGGACGGGCCGGCCATTTAGAGCTCGACACAAAACAAAACATACACTGTGATGATTCCGGCAACCCCACCAATAGCAAATGTGCTCAAGGTTCCAAGCTTTTCCCCAGGAGCCACATAGCCTTCAGCGAACTGTTTCAGGGTAGTGTAAGTGGTGAACCTGGTGGCCGAGTTGGCCGCTTGTCGAGCAGTAGTCGGTACAAAGCCCTGGAAGAAGCCGCGAATGCCTCGTTCCTGGAAGATAACTTTGCTGCCATGAAGGAAGCCATTCATTCGTGGCTTTGCAGACTTCCGATCATCGATCCTACCATGGTAAAGTTTGGTTAGCGGATTGTCATCTCCGCAAAAACAGAGGTAAAGGGAGAAGGGGGAACTGGGGGAGCAAGGCCCACATACAGCTGAGTTTTGATACTCTCAAAGGGTGTGACAGCCAGAAGAGACTCGGTGAAGCCCGCACCAAATCCAGCCACGACCGTCCTCGGTCCTGATATCTTGCCATTCTCATCCTGTAGGGACGCCTTGATGGCGTCAAATGCGACAAAACCTATGGGCTCGGCTCGTCAGCTCACAATTCCCGCACTCACGAGAGAGGTCTCAAGTACGAATTCCAGCCTTCAAAGAGTTCCCAATGATTAATGTTGTGCACCCGGCATACCATTGCTTGCCGAATGGTGGCCACGGCAACTTCTGGCCTTCCGCAAGTCGGCGGTTGAGTTGCGTTCGGGTCTTTGCGACTAGGCAGGGGTTAGTTGTGGCCGGCGAGTTGTAAGCAAGGTTTCGTACACTCAGCTGGATAGGTGATTGCTGGCAAAGGGGTCTTCGTTAGCGCACGTCGCTGTATGACACATGCGGATGGGTTTCCTACCGATCTCCACGGCTCCAGCGGTGGAGCCGGCAATGATGGAGCGCAAAGCGCTGGGCTGGCTCATTGATTAGCTTTAAGTTGTTGATCGCCTCTGGCTAGTACGGATAACAGAAAAAGACAAACCTTCGCCTTTTGGTCTTTGCTTGCTGTGGTCATTTAGAGACAATGTACAATGGTTGCGGGGAAAGGTTGCTGATTGTTAGAAGCTCGGAGGCTTTCGAGGGCATTTACGGCTGTCCGTAGCCCCACTTTGTGCAGCTCTGTTTACTCCGACCTCGGGCCTTAGGAACCGGCGATGAAGATATGCAATGACCAGTAATAGTCAGTTGGCCGGCGCGGGAATCAACGTGAATGAAGTCAAGGAAAAGAAAAACAACACTCGTAGGCAATCCTTTTCAGGTGATATTATGACGCCAAGCCACTCTACAGAGAACTACTTCATGATAGCTTACTGTATAAATGATGGATGAACACTTCAGAGGGATTCTTTGTCAATTCACAAGATGCTAGTGGAACCTGGTTGGCATCTAGTGCTCCTCCAAAATTTGTCTTTTTTTTTTTTCTGGATTTTTTGTGGTTTTTGAGGGTTGTTTCGACATTGACGAATTTGAGCGGGGGGCCCGAATTCGTTGTCCATTCCAAGGTGCCAGATCTATCGATAAGATGCCGATGGACCCGGCAGAGAAAAGGGTGATGCCGACAAACAGACACCATTTCAAAGCGGAAACCACAGAGTGTATGTTTGTGGATGAGTCGAGGATAAGTAGATGAATGAGTAGGTGGACAATAGAGAAAAAAGGGCGAGGGTGTCCGAAAGAGGAAGAGTGTAGACGCCCGTCGTAATAGACAAGTGGTGGCGCTTTGAACAGCGACGATGGAAAACGAAAGGGGAGAAAGCCATCAGATGGAAGAAAGCCATATCAACATGAGCCGCCGCCGACGCCGTCCGAACGCCAAGGTCAACCGAAAGATCCCGGAGAACGCCACTCGCTCTGGAACCCATCGAAACACAACCGCGGTTGAATTATCTGTCAACCTCGCAATGGGATGCAAAAAGGGCCGCAGAAATTTCCCGGCACCGGAAAATGCATCATTCTCGAAACAAAAACCCCAACGCGAGCAACGGCAATAAAATCGGATAGGACCCATTAGGAACAGAACAAAAGATTATGATACACATGTCGCACTAGCACCGTATCATCGTGACGAGAAGGGAAAAGAGTCTGCAACGGGACGAAAATTCTCATCCATAGGATGAAAGAAGACTCGAATCCTCCGAAAGAGCTCAAACAACGGAGGGACCGTAACAGGAGGAAGGGAGAAGATAAGCGGAGAGGGGGATAATCATCAAGAAGCAAAAAGCAGACAGAATAAACCGACAGCACATTGAATGAGCAGTATCAAAGCACTCGTGACGGAAGTTTATCCCGGGATTCGATGCAATTCCAACGAATCCGGAATGAGACACGGTTTCGTTTTAAGAGACCGGGCTAGGATCATTGGGCGGGCCACGACGAGGCCCTTGCCCACGACCACCCCGAAATGAGCCTCGGCCTCGATTATAGTATTGCCCACCATTGGAATAGTGGTTTTGGCGACGAGGCTGGCGGTCGCCGCTGTTTGGTTGCTGGCTGCCAGGTTGAGGCTGGGGGTTAGAGATAGGGCGCGGAATGTTCTCAGGGGAATCATAGACGTAGAGCTTCTTGTCAATGTTCTGAGGGATGGGCTGAATTTCAGTACCCAGTTCCTGTTCAATCTTGTATAAATTGAAACGGTCCTCCCAATTGATGAGGTTAATCGCCAAACCCAGGTGTCCAAAACGTCCCGAGCGGCCGATACGGTGTAGATAAGTTTCGGCGTTCTTCGGGAAATCGAAGTTGATCACGACATTAACTGCCTGGATATCGATACCACGAGTCAACAAGTCAGAGCAGACCAAGTTACGGCAAACACCGTTCCGGAAGTCATGAAACACCCGGTTGCGGTGCTGCTGAAGCATGCGCGCGTGGGAGTAAAAGCAAGAGTAGCCAAGCTCTGTAATCTTCTTGGCCAGGAGCTCAACGCGGTTGGTAGAATTGCAGAATATGATAGACTGGTTGATCTGAAGCTTTGAGAATAGAGTGTTCAAGCAGTGAACTTTCTGCTTCTCCTCCACGAATGCGTAGTACTGGGTGATACCACGAAGAGTGAGTTCGTCCATGAGGTTAATCTCATAGGGATTGCGCATGTGCTTGTCCTTGAAAGACTTGACAATGAGGGGAAAGGTAGCACTAAAAAGCATGACCTGGCGGTCCTTGGGATGGAAGGACAACAGCTGCTCGATGACGGGAGTGAACTCGGGAGAAAGTAGTTTATCAGCCTCATCCATGACGAAAGTCGGACACTCGGACAGGTCGGCGACACCCTTGCTGGCTAAGTCAAGCACTCGTCCAGGAGTACCAACCAAGATATGAACAGGATCGCTTAACCGGATGATATCGTCCATCAGACCAGTTCCACCAGTTGTGACCATGACATTGATACCGAGGTGTTTCCCGAGTGTCTTGCAAACTTGGGATGTCTGTAGAGCCAGCTCCCGTGTGGGGACCAGGATCAAAGCCTGGGTCTTCGTGCTTTTAGGGTTGATTCGTTCGAGGGTCGGAATAACAAAGGCAGCAGTCTTGCCGGTACCGTTCTTGGCGCGAGCCAAGATGTCTCGGCCTGTGAGAGCAACGGGTATCGTCTCTTCCTGGATGGGAGAGGGCTTCTCAAAGCCCGCTTCGAAAATGCCCATCATGAGTTCTCGCTTGATGTAAAAGTCCTCAAATTCGAGGCCTTTAGTGGCGGTGACGTCCTGAAAACCCAATTAAACCTGTCTTGCTTATCACAAAATCAATCATTGACGAACCTCAGTTTGTGGCCGAGCATCTTTGGGGGGTAATTTGAGGGAATCTTGCAGCCTGATATCTGTCTTCCCATCGCTGAAACAAATATTAGATCTGTGATGTGCATGATGCAATCAAAGTTCAAGAGAACCCTTACCCAAGAGTGGTGTTGTTAAGTTGTGAGGCGAGGGCATCGGCCATGGTGATGGTGGGAGGCGAGGAGACGGGAAAGAAATGTTAATTGAGTGAGACTGATAAGTGCGTGGTGCGATTTTTGGAAACCAGAGCCAACACAAAATGAATAGAGTGAGGATGTCGGTTTTAAGTTGCGGGGCTCAAGGAGGGTGACTAGGGACTTGGTTGGCTTGTATCGTCGAGTCACGCGGTCGGAAGTGGGAGGAAATCTCAAGGTTTTCGGTAGAGATTAACTCAAAGAGAACGATAAAGAGTTCGTTAAAACGCTTCAAGAGCGCGGTTCGATGTCGCGAGGAAGTTGTGAGTGGGTGGATGAGAATTTGGGATGGTCGTTCAGATTGAGAAGGTTTCAAGTTGAAAAGCAGTCAGATCGGATGCCCAATGGGTGGGAGAAAAGACAAGATCAAGTAGGATCTTGTGGGCAGAAGGTGAAGACAAAGGTGAGTGTTGGAATAGGATGAGGTTGGAACAGTCTATTAGAATTGCAGGTTGCGGAAGTCGAAAGACTTGAGTGGGAGGTCCCACCATACCACGTGACCGTCGACTAACGTCTATTCCCTTCTACACTTGAGCTATCAGCCTAGTCACTGCTTCGTCCAGTACATATTGTAATAAGGGATAAGAGAAAAAGATAACAGAAAATGCGATCAAACAGAGAGCCGTAGGGTATTGCGTAGAAAATAGGGTGATTGAATCCAGGCCTAAATCCAAAATCCCCAAGAAAATACGGGCTCCAGGAATCAAGGCCATTGCTCACAGCGTCTATGTACCAGAAATCAGAGAAGCTATCATCACGACCGATGAAAATTGAGAGTAGTCTGGCCCCGCTCAGGTTCTGCTAGCTCCACCACCCGCACGTCCGAAGATATAGTAATGTCCGTCTTACTTCCCGGAGTAATGAGGATGAACTGCCGTCCAATGGATCGGCGAGCGGCAATCATCTAGCAGTACGGTCAGCAATCGAAGGCTTGGAAGGCGAAAAAAATTCTCAGCTCGGGAGAACTTACGAGCATGTCGATAGCCATCTTTCGGTTGATGTGGTCCATATACACATCGCTAGGGTGATAGTCAGCAATGCTTGAAGTGATAAACTATATGAACTACTAGGAAAGGTAACGAACAATTCATCAAGACAACGGACCGGAGACCCCATGGCTTCCCAGAGAGCAAGTAGTAGGCACACCTGTGAGAATGACTTTTCACCACCCGAAAGCGTTTTGGCTCCACGACCAGTGCTGTCATCTTTCGTAATATCAGGTTCAACCTGGAAAGAGCCTATGAGCTGTGGGCTATCCGAGTTGATAGAAGGGAAAATATTACCTGCAAGTCCAACAACTTCTCATTATGGTTGGCGAGAAGGCGGCCTCGGAAGCTTCGCTCACTCAAAAGATAGGTGAATTGAGCTTTCGCTCTAGATGAGATGTGCGATCTAAAGATCTCCCACCTCTTCTTGCGATTATCAAGAGTGTCTTTAAATATCTGGTCATTGTAAGTGATAGGCAAAGATCCCTATGAACAGAGAAGAACTGTACCTGTGCGAGAGTAGTAAGCTCATTGACCTGGTTCATTGCTCTCTGGTAAGCGATCTCAGTTCGACCAGCTTCGGCGGCGATTTCCTCCCGGGAAGCTCCCAGCCTAGGAAGGGGTTAGCATGGACAAACTGGCTGAATTCTCGTTGGCTGATGAAGCATATAACGTACTGCTGGTTGTATCGCTCCAGATCTCGGTGTAGCCGTTCCAATTTCTGGTCAAGACTAAAGGTAGTCTCACCTTCATCGACCGGAACTCTCTCGGAAACGATGCTGGCCTTGCCATTATAATCAAGAACCTTCGCGGCGGCTTCTTCCCACTTCTGGCGGATTCGTTCCCTGTCTCTCTTGTAGTCCTCAATGCGCCCGCTTGCAGCACTCTTGTCATTAAGAATCTTACGGCGCTTATCTTCAACGCGCTTTCGTTCCTCTTCGGCAACGGCACTGTTTTGTAGAAGTTTAGAGATGTCGTGATCTTTCGCTGACATCTCCCGCCGCATCACCTTCAAACTTTCCATGATGATCGTCATGGCAGCGCGACTATCGTTCAGAGACCCCTCGTTAAGCTGCCTGTCAGCCTCAGCCTCCTGTAGGGCAGCCTGCAAGGCATCAAGTTGTCCATCTTGGGCATTCTGCTTGTCAAGTGCATCCCGGAGAGATTCAGCTTCATCCTCCATTCTCTGCATATTGATCTTTAATTCTTGGCTCTTTCGATGATGCATCTGAAGTTCCTGCTTGTAGGAGTTAAGTTTGGCATCGGCAGATCGCCGTTCTTCTTGCAGGTCGTTGAGCTGGCGCTTGAGATCTTGAATAACCTCACGCTGGGTGCTGCGCATGAGACGTGGAATTAGTCAACTGCAAACCGTGCAAGTGAATGGTCGATCTTACCTGATTTGAGAGGCTAGGTCGGATTTCATTCGAGGGTGTCCCTGGTACATCGGCACTGGTGCTTGGCTGGGCTCGCCATTTCGATTATATGATAGATGGATACCTCGACGGCGATCTCGGGTGTCAATGCAAAAGCATCGTTTCACGTTTCTAGGGCGGTCCCCGTCGAAAAGCACACTGGATGCCTCTTCCAAATTTTCGATCAACAACATTTGCTCCACGCCGTGATTGATGATGAGTTGTCGCTGTACCACTGGGTTTTCAATCTTTGAAAAGGATTAGTTAACATCTCTGAATAAATTGATTGGAGACTAGCTTACTTTGAGTATTTTCAAGGCGGTTTGGTGAGATTCAAGGTGCGGTTCATGTCCCGTAACATCGATCTCACCGCCATTTCCAATGTAAATCGGCGAATTACTGCATTTCTTGTAAGCTTTAATTTGACAACTTTGAGTCCAAGAAGCTTACCAGTTTGTCCTACGCATGAGACCAGAGAGAAGGTTCATGTCCTTCTTACAAGTCACGACAAAGCTGTTCAGTGAGCCACCCAAGGTATTCTCAAGGACGGACGCCCATTTGGGCTCTAGTAAAGTAATGTAGTGACCCAATGGCCCGACTGGAGGTGTGGTAAATGATCGCTCTTGTCGGATGAGCTTGAGAAGTGATGGCATATTTTCAGAGAAGCCAGTTTGCCTTTGCCCGTCTTGGTTTGTGAGATTTCGAAGTCGACTGTTGGCCTGATTGATATCCTCTTCTTTCGCGTCAATCAATTTCCGGGCCGAATCTGCATCCCGTTCAGCAATTTTGACATCTTCTTTCAAGGGGTTAACGCCCTGTCCGTGTTCCTCGTATTCGATTCTGGCAGCACTGGCAAGAGCAGCGGCTCTTTCGCACTGTCCCTTCTTTCGGGCGTAGCCCCCGTCACTAATTTCAGCAAGGCGTTGGGTTTCGTTGTCAATCTTTTCCTGCGTCTCTGTCATCCTGGCCCTTGCCGCTTCATAATATTCTTTAATCTGACGTTGTTCTGCCTGTGTATAACAATTAGCAGGACATCCCTATGTTTATAAATACAGAGAGCCGAAAAGGGGTTGATAGTGAGTTTTCGTACCTGGAGGTCGTGCCGTCGACTCATCTCCTCATCTAATTTCTCTTTCATTTTTTCCTTTTCGCCACGCGCTTCTTCAACCAGCGTATCAGCACGATGTGCATGGTCAGCGGCTGTTTCAGACTCCTCTTCAGCTGCCTGGAATGCGTCATCAAACTGGCCAAGTGCGGCTTCTGCATTCGCAATCTGTTCATCAGCCTTTGCCAGTTCATTGCTGAACGAGTCCCGTGCCTGTCCTGAGTTAGTCAAATTCAATTAAAGCTCGCAGGAAAACACTGACTCTTTCTTGATCTTCAACCTGAGCCCACGCCATCTGGCCCCGAAGATTTCTGATGCGCTCCCTCAGAGAGTCATGTTGGTCCGAAATTTCTAGCTTCTTTTTTGCAGCGTCCTTGCGGTTCTCGAGAACACGAATATCCTGTGCTTTGATTCGAAGCTTTTCTTCGATTTGGTCGATAGATTCTTCGATCAAGCGGTAATCCTGATCCAGTTGCTCCAGCTGAACACCCTTTACAAAGAACTTGTACTTTTCAGCTGGACTTGATGTACTGAGAAACTGGCGAGCCATATCCTGAGAAAGAACGTTCATGGGATTATCGATTTGAAGGGAGAAATAGTCGGTGATAGAATCCAGCTCCGCTTTCTTCGTTGAGACAATGCGTCCATTCTCTCCTTTGATTTTGAACCCACTGGATCCACTCTTGGAGAAATGACGCTCGACGATAATTGATTTGCCGTAGTCCTCTGGCATATAGGCGCCATCGCCTTGGTTCTTGATTCGCACAATGATGGAGGCATTCTCTTTCCCTTCTTTAATGAAGCTTTTCAAGCTCTGGCCACGGTTAGTCGCAGATGCTTTCCCACCTAGACAAAGGGTGATTCCGGTCAAAATTGCACTCTTGCCACTCCCGTTTTTTCCAACAATGAAGGTGATTAAGGGGCCTAGCTCCACAGAGAAGTGATCATGACACATGAAATTGTAGCATTCGACACGTTCAAGGATGCCATGTTCGGCAGGCACGTTAATCTCATCGACCAAATGTGCGTATTTTTCTTGAATAATTTGTGTTTGTCGTAGTTCCAACTCATCTTCGTCATTCAATAGCGCGTCATCGGAGCGAGGGGAGGGCAACCTAATGCCACGATCACTTGTATCCGAATCTTCGAAGGAGGGTGAAGCTGAAAAACGGGTTCGTTTTCTCTATTTTGATATCAGTTCTCATTTCTGAAAGGGAACAATGCTTTGAAACACCAAAAGAAAGCATACTGATTGAGGTGGGGACGTTGATCCAGCACTCTCAGATCCTCCGTCACTGGGGTATTCGGAGTCCGAAGACGCCTGATCGCGTTTGCGGGATGACATCGAAGGAAAGAAAATTTACATGAAGAGTAGCTCATTCACATAGTGATTAGGATGAGTGTGACGCCATCTAGGGAGGCGTGAATAGCACTAGTATCCAAGCAACATTCGCGTCGGCGCGCAATTTCGCGTCACACTGGAAAGCGCTGAGTAAGCACCCCCGGCCCAAAAGAGAAGTGGTTGAAAATACCAGTATGAATAATAGTTCAAGAGATATATATGATATGATATGCATGGAGAATTTAGTAGGTCCTGTATTATTCCTAACATATAAACAAGAATATTTATTTCTTTTTTTCCCAGGATGAGTGGGAGATTTTTGGTCATTGAGTTAGCTTTGGAAACCATATTAGCAAGCACTGGGCAGCAGCTACCGGCAAACCTTAGGCTCAGATCTACTTAAAGGATTTAATATGAAAGTTGAAACACCAAAAATGATTGAGACAATTTGTCAGATTTGAGATTTGCAAAGCGATTATTCCTATTGGAATGGTTTCATTCTTTTAGCGCTGTGTTTATGGTGTAGACGAGAAGTTGTTCAACATTGAATGCTTGCACTATTCCATTTCCGTGAATATTAATTTCTAGAGACTGATACTGTTTACTGCAGAGGTTCCTCTGCCACATAGTGCAAATAGGCGCCCAACAGCTTAGTTCCTTCAATATAGTTCCTCCGGTCCAGCTTCTCATTGACGGAGTGAGCAGCATCGGTGGAGCTGCCCATGGGGAGAAGCAGGACATTCTTTCCAGTAGCTTGCTCGAAGGTCAGAGTGACGGGAATACTATCGATCTTGTTAGCTTTCTATATTCATACAAACACCATCATCCAGCTCTCCTTGGGATAAAGTAAAAAAAATTCGCATACCTTCCACCCTCACGGGTCATATCCGGTTCGACGCCAAAGACCTGCTCGACGGCCTTGCTAGCAGCGCTAAAGTTCCAATGCTTCGGGCTAGCAACCCACCACTTGCCATCATGCTGTAGCCACACATCCATAGTGTTCTTGCTGTTGAGCTTGGCAAACTCGGCCTTGATGTAGTCGAAGACCAGCTTGTTCACGTCTGCACTCTCCATGTTGGGCACAGTCCGGATCGAGAACTTGCCGATCACCTTGGCGGGGATGACTGTCTTGGCACCCGGGGCAGAATAGGCACCTTCAATGCCGTGGATCGATAGCGATGGGTACCTCCAGCGGGCCATCAGAGTTCGCTCCTTTGTGGGATGAATGCCGGTCTCGCTGCCTAGGGATTCGTGCAGGTTATCCATAGTGTAGCTAATGCTGCTATACAGAGTTTTCTCCTCCTCGGTCAGAGGGGCCACCAAATCCATCAGGCCGGGGATCTGGATGTTGCCCTGGGGGTCCACCAACTTGGACAGGATATTGACGAGGTCGGTCATGGGCTCGTGAGCGGAACCACCGAAAACACCGCTGTGAAGATCTTGAGCGGGACCCGAGACGCTCACAGAGTAGTAGTTGCAGCCACGCAAGCCGTAGGTTAGACAGGGCTTCTCGGTGCCGAGCCAGTAGTTGTCGGAAATGCAAACCGCATCGGTATCCTTGAAGAAGTTCTTAGCCTCGGCCTGGATGAACTCTTCCAGACCCTCCGATCCATACTCCTCCATTCCCTCAAAGCAGCAAAGAAGGTTGACGGGAAACTCGACACCGGCCTTCCGGTGGGCCTCAATCACATTCAGCCAGCCAAGCACGGGGCCCTTGTCATCTGTGGCACCGCGGCCATACATGCGGTCCTTCTCATCAATGGACAACTCAAACGGCTCGGTGGCCCAGCCGTCCTCTTTCAGAGCAGGCTGCACATCATAGTGACCATAGACCAGGATGGTGCGCTTGTTCTTGTCATTGCCGTACCGCGCAATGACGACCGGGGGAGGTCCAGGTGCTCCTTTCCAGGCTGCTTTCCCAGTGGTCTCTGCTGCACCTCGGCGCCGAGAGCCTCGAGCTCAGAGGCCAAAAACTGGGCCATCTTTGGTGAAATGTTCATCGGTCAGTCTGGCGCTATATTACAAAAGGCCACAGAGGTCATGGCTGGGAACAGGAACAACTCACGCGGAACACGTCCTTGCGGTTCTCATCTTGGGCAGAGATCGAGGGAATCGCAACCGCTTTGCGTAGACCTGGAAATTTTGATCAGCTTAAGTAAGGCTGACCTTGACCTGTCTTGACCATCCAGGTACTTCAAGGTTGGGGAGTCGCGGGGTTGGAACGTACGATCAATGAAGGAATCCGCGGAGTCGTCGACTCTGAGGAAACACTCGCGTGTCAGTTTTCTTCTTCGAGGAGGTGGAGAAGTCAGGCAGCATACTGTTTAAAAAAGGGCTCAAGCTGGGGCGCCATCTTGGAGTCACTGATATATCCGTAGAAGAAGCGGCGGGAGATAAGTGACCGACTGACGGGGCTGACGGGAGGAGAAAACCTGGAGAGAAGAGATTGCCCGGGTTTTGAGAGCGATGGGATGCGACGGAGGGGGAAGAGGGGCATTGCAGACTGGAGGCGCCTGTCGCACCGAAAAGTACTATCTTATCACGTAATTAGCCCTGCAACCCTGGAGTGCCGGCAGTAGCCGCCTATCACGATTGTGGTGATTATTTGGGTTTCCAAGGACACGGACTCAGACTCGACGGCGGGATCATTTATTATTCCATGCCCTTATCGATTGCGGTTGGGAACGGGCCATGTTGAGTGGTGGCTTTTTAGAGTATCTGGACATCTATGGGAACTGTGAAACTAGGTATGCCAACGAGCCACCAATTTAGATCTTGCAATCGAGGGAGAAAGCTATTATTCAATGCCCAAGATTGTGGATGAAGGTCCCATGTCTGATAGCGCACAATTGGCCCAGCGCGTCTGTCGGCTGTGTATCTTTCAAGTTTTGAAAGGTACCCGACCCACTCCGTTCACATGGCCGCCCCATACGACTAGTCCTCTGCACACGGTGACTGTTATGAACGAGCAACTAATCAATCGCAGGTAGGATGGAAATCAATCGAAAAGAATATATTGAAATGGGTCATGAGAGACCAAAAAAATACAGGGTACAATGCTAGTTTAGAATACATGTCGTTTTTACACGAGGCCGCAGGAACTGCCATCCAACCGCTTTCCTCATCCCACGGGAGCTCAGCCCCATAAGGGGAATGGAGGGAGGAAAGGAAAAAAAGAAAGGAAGAAAAGCGAAAAGGTCCTATCAAAAGGCAGACCAACCAACAGATACAAGTTGAATCATTCATCGCGGCACCAGGCCTCCCTGCGCAACTTCCGGTCCTCTCGAGCCATCCGCCGCTTCGGTCCCCATTGTGACTGCACAGCTTCCATCACTTGCTTCTGAATTTGCTTCTTCTCTGGGCCAGCCTCACAGACCAAGGCGATAAAAAGTGGCGAGCACTCAAATCGCTTGGCAAGTTTGTTTCGGCTCCAGGTCATAGGGTCACTCAATCGGAGTTGACGGATTTCTTCAACTTCCGAGGGACCCAGGTGGTACTTTCGCTCGGAGCCGTTCTTGAAGACCTGGGGGAGGGTGTTGACGTTGGGAGTCATTTTAACCGAGTCTTCCACGCGCATCAGCCTCCGAGCATCGGTGGGTGGCAAGAATTTGCTCGGGGTATGGAAGACTGTTGGAGCGCTAGAAGGAGGGTTGTAGATGATCTGATCGCGATTCTGGTTCGAGGGGCCAAATGAGGCATCCGGCTTCACGCGTAGACGCTGTTTTGTGCGCCGATATGATGATTGATGGCGCCGAGACCCAAGCGCAAGACTATCTGTCCAGGAAGGAAGGAGAAAAGGAAGGGTGACGAAGGGCCGCTTTGGGGCCACGAGGGAGGTAGTCATCTTCGGAATTGCCAGTCCAATGGCGACCCTGCGACGTAAAGGGGTGAGTATCAAAATCCAGAGGTGCTTTTCGATAACAGTCAGAAACATACCACGAAGAGAAAGAATCTGGAGCTGAGCAAGAGGGGGGGCAATGGACCGTTGGGGGGCAATCCGGAGTTCGAGAGGTCAAAGGCGGACGTGTCGAGCCCGAACTTTTTTCCCTGGGTCTCGTGACCTATCTTTGCCCAATCGGGTATGGCCCATAATACGCATGGTGTCAGGTACCGGTACCAAAGTTTCTTGGGTCGATACGCAGGTCGCGCAAGTAGCTGGTACTTACCCCGTCATAACATCCTCGTTGATCACGTTGATCACCTGGATCACAGGATGTCATCATCTCTCCTGGGAAACGTAAGATGCTCCATTTCGAACTCTTCCCCTTCAATACCTCACGATCGCCTTCGCCATATTCTCGTGCACTATATCCAGGCCTCTGGAACGTCCCCAGACGATTCTGGGTCATGGCCGACGTCCTTTAGACTCATCTGGGCCACCATTTCCACGCCTTAACCACTATTATTCCCGCCAGTTCCGCTAGTCTTTCTTTCGTCATGTCAGACTCTCGCAGTATCCACCCGGAGCTTGTGAAAGACCAACGGTGGGACACTTGTTCAACTTCTTCGCAGCTTCCAGAAGGCTATACACCATCACTCGCAGATCAGAATGCTTCCCTGGTCGGACAATCCCCCATAAGCGTACGGGCTCCCGAACCCGAATGCTTGACCTGGAATCATACGTCACCGGTCCAGAAAGATCAGTTTGCAGAAAAGATGACTGCAGGGTTTGAGACGTTGAGTAGTGGTCCGGTATCGCCGGTATCTCCTTTGAACCCCTCAGATGCTTTGCGAACGCCCAATGCTTCCGAACGACGCCAACAGCAGCCCTCCTCACCCGGGACCATGTCACAACTACCCCCTCGAGTTCACTCTCCAGCGTCTCAGATCTTTGAACGAAGTGTTCAAGAGGATATATTGCCTCAACAAGCATCCCCGTCGATCGCGGCGCACATTCGCACAGAAAACTATATTCCTCCGGTCCTCGAGGCATCGTCGGCTGCAATAACTGACGAGCAACTGGATCCAGATTCGGTTGAAATTGTAACGCACAGCCTCCACCAACCTGCGGCCTTGGGTGTGACTGCCATATCAACTGCTGAGCAGTCATTAGCCTCCTCTGGCATTGTTGACCATACTGCAATGCATTCTAGTGATGGGGATGAGATGTCCTCATCACATGGTGCATTGGAACAAGCAGACGTGAGACGACTGAGTTTCATCTCTTTTGCTGATGTTGTCAACGCCGAACATGCGGAGACAGGCGAATCCGTATTTAATCGAGATCTTTCTCAGAGTGGGATGGCTCCAGGGAATCCCATTTTTGCAGGATCTCATAATCGGTCGCCGTCACCGCTCCAAACCCCTGGTTCATCACATGGACTTGGGACATCCCCTCCTAGCAGCATTGCGACCTCCTTTAAAGGCTTGGAAATGTCTCCCAACCACGGTGGTCGAAGGGCAGGCAGTCCATTACCTATGGCACAAAGTCCTGTGTCTTCTAGCTTCGGTGGTGAATTCAATGTTGAAACAATGCGGCAGGCCCTCCGAAGAACGGGCAGTGGAGATTTGAGTGGTATTACAAGCCAGACTGCAAGCGCTGTTGGGCATGAGGAGACGTTTGACCGTTTGTTTTAGTTATCACACTTCGTATTTATGTTCAGTTGTGCCTGGCGTTACCACTGATTGCGGGCGATAGTGCTGAAACAGTCGTTATCGTGCATACCCAACTTATTCTATTTTTTACCTTACTTTGCATAGTATCATATCAGGAATTTATACCATATCGGGCTCGAGTAGTTGGATGGCGTGATGAAGGTGACTCTTCTGCTTTGGTGGTTGCGTTATATAACCTCAATCTATGAATCTGGATGTCCCCAAGACACGCCTTTTAAACATTCAATTGCTTTGGTATTTCATATGCTTTGTGGATATACCATCTTGGAAGATATAGGAAATGGACATGATCATGATGGTTGAAATGTTCGATGCTGAGGAAAAGACCCCTTTGCCCTGATACCCTAGTACCGGGCTCATGTTTCCCGAAACTGGTGTACCGGTGTTGAATACGTGAATCTCCCGAAATATGGTTTTTCTCATTCTCTCGTCTTTTGAATTGCATCCAGAGCCTGTTGGAATCGGGATCGCAGATCGGCCACATCTTCTAGTCCAACACTGATTCTGACCAGGTCAGGATCGACATTGAAAGATCTCGCCTATCATGGACGTGTCTAGCATCAGCTTTTATCCACACAAATCATGGCAATATTTAGCCTTGTCGGAATAGAAGAATACATACCCAGTCAAGTTCACCGTAATGGGCAAGAAGAACGTAGGGGGAGCTGCAGGCAGGGGGTTAGTGCCTCTTCGTCGTTTTCGATTCCTCGAGTGAGGGCTCACCTGAGAGTGAAGTTGGTTCCAAGACTAGGTCCCTTTAGGACCTCCAGCGTATCATAGAAGGCTATGGCTTCCGGTGTTGAATGAAAGGTGACGGAAAAGAGACCGCCATAACCACCCGAGGGGTTACGAAGGCTGTCATAAAGGGGCTTGGTTGGACTATATTTGGGATAGTGGACATCCTTGACTATAGATTCAGTTAGCTCAGCAACAGAGATAGAACCGAAAGCGTTTCATACTTAATGGAGAGTCCTTAAGCATGGCCGTGATATCTTCAGATGTCGAATTAATCTTGTCAATTCTAGTGACAAAATCTCGGCTGTTTCGTTCCAGGAAGACCGCATCCTCCGCCCAGTAGATATCTTCATAGTCGCGGGTATAGGTGTCTTTCAGTTGCTTATATTGGCGTCCATGAGGATTGAGCACTGCACTTCCACCCATCACATTGCTATCTCCACTGAAGATTTTCGTCAAGCTGCTGGCTACAATGTCGGCATATTGAAGCACGTTGATATTGAGGAAATTGCTGATGGTCTCATCAACAACCACAGCGAAATCGTACTTATCAGCAAGAGACCGAATTCGAGCAAGATCCGGGGTTCTGAGAAGAGGGTTGCCTGGTGCTTCTGTGAAAAGTCCGAGGAACCGTTCGCCGTTTTTCAGTCGAGATTCCAAATCGTCCAGGTCTTCCGATGAGCCATGTCCATAGAACAAGCAGCCTGGCCCCCACTTTTGTAGAATCTTCAGGGTATCGGTGTATGGAAAACCAAAACAGATACTCTTCAAGGAGCCTCGTGCGTGAAGCAAGGTCTGGTGGGCGTTGAATATAGCGCTCATGCCAGCAGGGTAAAGATATACATCGTCCTCTGAAATACCAGAGACTCGGCCTTCGGACGAGGCTGTTTCTAGAGCCTCGGGCAGCTCAACATCCGCCATCAATACACCCGCAATGCGTTTTCGAACCGCAAGTTTGGCTTGATCCGCGCGCATGGGGCTCAAGTTCCGGCCAAATCGTTCTTCAATGAACTGAGCATAGTCGCGGCCATCCTCACCACCATTCACGGGTGAGAGGTCTTCTGTAGCAGAAGTAGGAGTAGACGGGCTCCGTGAAATACCACTTAGAGAACCCCTTCCCTGATACCGTCTTGGGCCTTTACAGGGCCGCTGCGAAAGTGACTCCGATGTAGACGTGTTCTTCCCCTCTACCAAAAACCCATCTTCGAGGGCCCGGAGACAAAACTCGCCTCGTCGACTCGATATGCCATTGCCGGAATGCTGCCACACCTGCTTGGCAATGGAGGCGAACTCTTTCGGGTAGATCACGGAGACCAATGTGGAGGTAATGGAAGTCGAGCCAGACTCGGCACGCGAAGAGGGCACGAAGTTCACAATCTTGACCTTTTGTGATTCGTCGGGCGAGATCTTGGATAGGATAAACGACTGGCAGATGCGCGCGCTCTTGTAGGAAGCGAAAAGGGTCGCCGTTTCTGTTTCGGGATCCCCCACACGGCGGACAATTTCGAGGACAAGTTTCTGGATGCTAGGGTGTACAAAAAATCGTGGATAGCCGCATACCATCTTGCTCATAACCCAGTCTTCACCTTCCTCGTAGCCGATATTGGATCTCCATGTAGGGAGCGATACACTGACGGCCTAATTTATGATACATGTCAGCCAATCACCTCAATCATGGAAGCCATAAATTGTTGAGGCCATTTTGGGGCGTTGGTTGGCTAGTGAATTCGACCATCCATATAGGAGGGGTACACCGCGGGGTTCGCGGAAACATACATGGTCAGTGTTCGGGGGCACAGTCCCTCCAAGCGCTTGAAGCATGCTGATTTTAGACAATGGAGAAGCTAAGGAGTGTTTTCCCAAAAAAAAAAAAAATTAAGAATTAAAAAAGGAAGCAAGTAAGGGAAAGTTTTTTCGTCGACTCATGTCGAAGCGACTTCGGCGCGATTGAGCATCCCAGCGCGGGATTCATGACTCAGCGCGCGGCAGGCCAATGTGGGTCGCGGAATCACGACATACCTCGTGAGTAATGATGCTTCATTTAGTTACTTGATTAACAACCAAACTCAAGTTGGTTGACTGCCGCATTCTGGAGAACATCGCAGTCTGAGACTTCAGGCTAACTTCGTAATTTGACTAGTTAGTTAGTTAGTAAATTGGTTATCATAATAAGATAACTAAATAGTTAGTTAACTATGCCTTTCTTAGTCAGCGGGGGACGCCGACCTCGCTGACCGCCCGCCAGCTCACGCGACCGCCCGGCACTACTGCCACATATTGAAAAAAAAATTAGTCGAGAGATCGAAAGCTTGTGTGTCCATCTCCAAGCTACAAAACTTCTTCCAGACACTTGCTTGGGCATAAGCCAGCCGAAGTCAAGATGTCAGATCACTCCGTGAAGAGAAGAAAGCTGAGTCCCTCTCCGGGCCAAATCAAATCTTCCGCCACCGTGGCGGCCGAGACCGAGAAAGCGGACCATACTGTCGCGCGCAAAGATGCGCATCAATCAAGCACCCATCCGGACCGCCGGGCAAAGGATGACCATTCTGCTGAATTGGCAATGGCGAGCGGCTTTTACAAATCTAGCTTTTTTAAGCTACAGGTGGATGAGCTTCTGTCTGGGCTGAAAATGAATTACGACAAGCGAATCTCGAAACTTCAGGATACCCTACACAAAGTGAAGGGTGCCATTGAAAACCTGCCGGACCGTTCTCCCAAGTCAATTCCGGAGGCTGAAAAAGAGCTTCGCACGGCATCAGGAATTATGATCCCATGGCCCGAGCCGCGGCCGAGCAAGGATGCTAAGTACACCATGTCATATATGAAGCCAACCAACATCAACGTGGTGGGAAGCTTTGCCTTGCGGACAGGGGCCAAGACTGCCGAGTCTCGTCCAGTGGATCTGGCGGTGACAATGCCCGGTTCTATTTTCCAGGAAAAGGACTACGTCAATTATCGGTATTTCCACAAGCGCGCTTACTACGTTGCTTGTCTCGCCGCCGGTATCCAAGAAACTGCCAATGCTCTCGGATTAGACGTGAAATTTGGATTTCAGGATGGTGACAGCCTCCGCCCATTGTTATTGTTGGAACCTCATTCCTCTAAAGGCGACGTGACACCCTCGCGCCCTCAAATCCGGATACTGACTGCGATTGACCCGACATTGTTCCCCATCACCCGAACGCTACCATCCAAGAACAACATTCGCCAGGGCTCCGCGACTGAGAAAGAATCCGATATATCGACATCATTTTACAATGCTAGTCTTCGATCTGAAGCCTCGGTCTCCCTCTGTCACAAATATCTTCACTTTGCTTCCCAGAAGTGTGAATCTTTCCGCGACGCGTGTATCCTCGGACGTACCTGGTTGCAACAACGGGGACTCCATACCTCGTTCCAGCATGGAGGCTTCGGGGGTTTCGAGTGGTCCGCGCTCATCTCCTTGCTATTTGAAGGTGGTGGACCTTCTGGCCAACCGATTCTTCTGCGATCTTACAGCAGCTATCAGATCTTCAAGGCTACCATGCAATTCCTTGCTGGCCGTGATTTGACAACTCCTTTGGTTCTTTTTGCAACCGAGATTTCTGTTTCCAGCAACGGAAAACCTGTTTTGTATGACGGTCGCCTCGGACTGAACTTGCTCTATAAAATGACTCCATGGTCCTATAAAATGCTGCGCCACGAGGCGTCTATGACACTAAAAATGCTCAACGAGTCCCGAGAGGATAACTTCGATAGGGTCTTCATTGTCAAGGTTGATGAACCGGCCTTGCGATTTGACCGACTCATCGCGTTCCCCAAGTTCTTCAACGGCGGTACTTTACAATCTCTTCGTGATCAAACCAAGCTATACAATGTACTGTCAAGGGCTTTGGGGGATCGCATTAAATTGATTTCTCTCACGAGCCACTCTGTGGGCGCTTGGTCTGTCCGCGCTAAGGCAATGAACAAAACAGCCACCAAGGATGTGTCTGTCGGTCTCATGCTCAATGCTGATAATGTCTCTCGAGTAGTCGATCACGGACCATCGGCAGAAGATAAGGAAGAAGCGGCCTCTTTCCGTGCATTTTGGGGTGAAAAGGCCGAACTCCGACGATTTAAGGACGGCAGTATCTTGGAGAGTCTTGTGTGGTCCGATCAAGAATCTGAAGAGTCCATCGTGCACCAAATCCTTGCTCATGTCTTGCAGCGGCATTTGAAAATCTCCGAGGACGACTTCTTCCTCCATGGTGATGAGTATGATGATATTCTCCACGATGAAGGTGACGGAGTTGTGTCTTATTCCAATTCTCCCTTCCAGTCCATCAACGATGCTTTTAGGGAGTTGGAGCAATCGATCCGAAGCATGGACGACGTTCCCTTAACTATTCGGCATTTGGCCCCGGCCAGTCCCCTACTTCGTTATTCGGCCCTCCGCGTACAGGGCGCAAGCGGAGCCCACGGAGCAGCTGATGTTGTTCTTCAGTTTGAAAGCTCATCGCGCTGGCCTGATGATTTTGCGGCCATACAGATGACAAAGACTGCTTTTCTCATCAAGATCGGAGATTCTCTTGAATCCTCGGGCGCTGCTTCATCGTGTCGTGTTGGCTTGGAAAACGAGTCCAGCAAAGTGCTCAACAATGCTTACCTGGACATCCCCCACACATCAGGCTTCACATTTCGTCTGAGAATTCATCATGAACGTGAGCAGACACTACTTGAACGTCAGCTCAAGAACAAAACAATCAGCCCCCGGGAACGAGAAGAAGCTGCCTACGCTCTCTTTGCGTACAAGAAGGTTTTCATCCAGACTCCTCGCCTGACCCAGGCTCTTCGGAGCCTCTGCACTCGTTTCCCTCTGCTGTCCCCTACCATCCGTTTAGTCAAACATTGGTTTGCCTCCCACCTCTTCTCTGCTCAAATCTCCGAAGAGCTGATAGAGCTGCTGACTACCCGGGTCTTTACCCAATCTTACCCCTGGGACAGTCCCTCAAGTATTATGACCGGATTTTTGCGAACTCTCCACTTTATTTCCCGTTGGGATTGGCAACAAGAGCCTTTCATCGTTGACCTCGGCGGAGATCTTAACCCCGAAATCACTGAAACCATTCGAACTCGGTTCACTGCATGGCGCAATATTGACCCGGCAATGAACACTGTTGCCCTATTCATTGCTTCGGACGTCGATCCAGATGGCGTCACGTGGACGCAGTATGAAATGCCTTCGAAGGTCGTGGCCGGACGCATGTCTATGCTGGCAAAGGCAGCGGTGAATTTGCTACGAACACAACACGACGAGCTCGACGTAACTGATCTCTTCCATACATCTCTTGCGCCTTACGACTTCGTCATTCATCTGCAGTCGAAGATGTTCAATGGCCGATCGGTCTCGAGGTCGAAGTATAAGAACTTGGCAGACGCGATTGCTCCCGAGCAAGCCAGCAAGCTAGCTGTTGTTAAGTCTTTTATCCAGGAAGTTCAAGCATGTTACAGTCAAAGCATCCTTCTCTTCTACGGAAACGAAAGCTCTGGTTTGGTTGCAGGTCTATGGAACCCCCAAACACTCAAACCACGGAATTGGAATCTGAAGACAGCATTTTCGACAGCGCCAGCATCAGTCAACCACCAGGAGAAGGAGGGCCTTGTTATGATCAACCAGGCAGCCATTTTGAATGAGATAGCCCGCCTGGGCGATGGCTTTATCGACCGTATTGAAACGTCCAGCAGTGTGGAAGAAGCATAACTCGTGTGCATTATATCTGAATTAAATTTTATCCTATTGGCGAATGTACACTACCTGCTAGCGCCACTGCAATGCAAATTTTCTAAATAAACAGAATCGGCATATAGAATTCAACCCGCATGGAATCACATCATATTACATTCATGAAGAACCCCGGTCCGACTTACCCGCCGGCACTTGAGAGGAGAAAGAACAGTACTTGTCCTTGATCGCCACGACCTCATAGGTTCCTTCGTCCGAGGTCTTGACAGTCTTTTTGTGCTCGTAGGAAATGTCATGCTTGATATCGAGAATCTCAGACTTCTTTCCTTTGCGAGCATTGGAGCTTCGAATGTAGCTGTAAAATTCAGTATTAGTACTTGAGCATGGCAACCAATGGCGGTACAGGATCGGTATTGAACTTACGTGAACTCAAACGGTGGTGTGCCCCAGAACTCGAAGCTCAACTCAGCCTCTCCACCCTCGTGGATGTCCACTACCGACACCTGGCCCTGACTGATCCGCACACTAGGCATTTCATGGATAACCTTGGTGATGTCCTTGTGCGCTTTGCACTTGCCGCTGGCCCCATCGCCGACGGCGGTGATGGTAAACTCTCCAGGGCGCTCAGCAATACGACGAAAATTGGTGTTCTGCGATGTGGCCTTCCGCTGTGCCCCATTGAAGGTGTAAAACACATCGAACGGAGCATGTCCTGAGAGGGAGAAAGATAGGCGTTCACCTACACAGTAATCGACCTTGGACTCGAGAGGAATGATGGTGGGCACATCTGAAACGGCAACTCGGACGGAGGAAACGTCATAGTCGCTTGTCCTCTGGCAACCACGAGCATCACGAACCTTGTGAATGCTTACCACATGCTGGCCGAGATCGAGATGACGGCGAGGAATGGGCAAGTTGTGACGATTGGAGTTGATCTTGGGGATAGTGACAATTTCTGGCTTGGCATTGGAATGGTGTTTGATGGTAATTTCCAGCGAGAATGGAGGAACGCCTTCTAGTGTGATGGGAATAGTCTCCTCCCCACTGACATCTTCTTTGCAGAATCCATAAATGCGGCCAGGAGAATCGAACCGAGCAGAGGGCAGCGAATTCACTTGCTGCTTCACAACAAGCCCTTTGCTCTTTGGGTCATGGTCATAGAGATTGTCACCCACTTTTGTGAATTGATAGGTGTACAGACCAGGTTCAGAAGTGTCCATCTCTACCGAAGCTGTGTTCAAGGCAGATTTCACAATGCGTGCCTGAACGAAAGAAGAGGAGCCGCGTTCCGATGACTTGCGTCGTTGTTGGTAATGAACATTGAACGGAGGAGTCCCTGAGAGGCGCAGCTCAAGAAGATCATCATCGCCCTGGCAGACGGCGGGCTTTGCATACTGACCAGCAGGGCCAACGGGAGAACCATCCACAGCGATGACTTGAGGCTGTGGGATCCATGACACTTCAAATTCCTTGGCAGACTGGTCCACTGTCCCAGGACAGGAGCCATCGGCGACACCAATCAGTTCGTACAGGCCCTCACGATCGACGGTCAGAATGCTGTTCTCAGACCAGAATGTTTTCTCCACGGGATGATCATTGGAGTCAACATTCTTATATCTCACTCGCCATGGTTTCTCGCCACTCAATCTTAGCGGGATATCAATCTTAGAGCCTTGTAAAGCTGAGACAGTCCTCTGTTTATCAATTTGACCAAATGTTGCATGAGGTGGCTTCGAGCGAGCGTTAATCTTGATGCTGTCTTTGAGAGATCGTTTGCAATTCGATTTGTCCTTGATGCTAGTCAGTGCGAGGGTGTATTCGCCTCCACTAACCAAGTTTTCAGTAGTAATGGTGGCCAAGTCGTTCTCTGACTCAAGAGTATGCTTTGTTCTCTTGCCATTGTGGAGAAGCTCATACTGCAAAGTCCATGGGGCTTCTCCCAAGAAAGACAAATCCACAGACACGCTCTGGCCAAAGCAAGCTTTGCGCACATTCCTTGGTCCAGCGAACTGTGCAGAAGCTGGGGGCTTGACATCTTGCTCTAGAACTGGCACCTTATCTTTCAGAGATCGGGGGAGTAGACAGAATCCTCAATGTCCAAGAAACGAAGGCGGTGGAACCCGGCTTCTTTAGGAGTGAAATCCAGTTGAGTCCGTAGTCCCGTGACGGTTTGAACCTTGGTCGTCGTTCCCTGGAGGCTTTCAATGCTATATCGGAGACGAAAGGGTGGTGATCCCGTGAAATCTAGGTCAACCAGTAGGCCAACGGCATTATTGGCACACCGGTCAAAGACCTTTTCGGACTTTACAGACACTTCTGGTTCGGGAGGGTTGTGCAAGTAACAAGAAGAAGGCTCCAAAATTTCTCCTGCGCAATATTGGCTGGACACCGACGTCAGAGAGTACCAACCAGGCTCTTTGATTGGAGACTTTTGGTCTAGAGTCTTCAATACCAGAGTCTTGCTGATTTCGGAACCCGACTTCTCCTGCGGGCTATCGACACTGCTGTATGAGTAGGTGACAGAGAAGGGACCATCACTGCTATATCCATTGCCCACGGTTTGGAAATCGATTGGAAAATTAACACTATCTCCTTGAGCAACTTCCAGCGGACGCTGGTCGTTACAGCCCGACATAGCCAAGCGGGGTCGCTCATGAATCGTGAGCTGGTGCCACTGAGACAAGGACTTGGCAGATGGTCGCTCGTCGTCTTCAAATATAGTAGAATAATTGGCCACGTTGCCGCAGGCATCATGGACCTCTTCGATGGCGTAGAACCATTCTCCACCGACATTCAACGATTCATTCAAAGGAACGTCGATCTTCTGGGCTTGGGCCCATGAGATATCAGGCTGGTTAATACTGAACAGTGCCCCGCCGGATTTCTGGTTTAACAATGGGGATCGGAGATTATCAGGTTGGATGTTCTGGAACGAAAATCCACGGTCGAGATGATTGACCCGTCGACTGTACTTGATTTTCAAAGGAGGAGTCCCTTCAACTTCGAGAACCAAATTTGATAGCTCGCCCTTGCATTTGTTTATGTGGGAATTCTTGACTAGGGCTCTGGGGCAAGAGACGACCAGCGCGTCAGAGATGCGTGTTCGGACATCAAGTTGAGTTTCATCAACCACTCGTTGCAGACGATAGATGCCAGTCTTGCGCACGGGGAAGAAGATGTCCCGATGTGGAACTGGATCCTGGTATGCATGTCTTTTCTCTGCCTGTCGCTTGAGCTGTTTCAACTGCTTCGCCGGGATGGTTAGAGTTTCGTTTTCGCCGGTATTCAAATCGAGACGGAGGATTTCGATAAGGATAGGGTCGGTCTGGTTAACCCGGATTGGGAGGTTGATGATATTTTGCTGGGGATCAAGACACAGCGGCACACGTTCTGGATTTAAGACAGCAGACCTGAAATAATTAGAGGGTCTCTCTCCACGCGCACAAACCGTCGGACTTACCCTTCTGGCAGGATGTGCACGATTTGCTTCCCCAAAATCAACGATGCATTATGAATGATGTCCCCTGGTTTGACCTTGCGCTCGGAGATAGACAATTCGCGGTCATAGGCTACCTTGACCAATCCTGAAAGCCATGCACCCAGTGGAATCTGTTGGCGTCAGCGGTAGACTCCTGAGTGAGCTCGAGTAAAGAAGCTGAGATACGGGAAACGTACCGGAATCTGAAACATCAGAAACATATTGCCCACTACGTGTAGCAAGAACAGAGCCAGCGTAGTTGGAAATGCCCATTCCAGCCATGGTATGCGTAGAGCTTGGAGACCGAACAGAAAAATGCCATCCACCGACACCCACTTCAAGAAAAGCCAAGTCGAGTCCAACTCATCCGATGCCAACCAAGATTCATATACCCGCCACGCGTTCAGAGCGAGATAGAAGGCCACTACGTACAGTCTCTGCGAGGGCGCATCGACCAGGTCGACAGGGACCAGCGGGGTGTTGGTATTTTGCTTTTGTTTCGATACCTTGGCGGGTGACTTGGGAGGCGATTTCCGATCGCGCGCATCAGGCACATCGGGCACATCGCGAGGATAAGACCTTGAAGGGGTCTCAAACAGCTTTCTTCTCCCTGGAATCGTCTGGGGCGTCTGAGGAAAGGCAGACGGAAGGCGGGGAGTGCCGTTCATGGCATGCTGTGGTCGCCAGGCTTCGTCGGAGGCGAGAGGAATCCTTTGAAAAACAAAGGATGTAATAGCGGTCGCAATATCTTCAACAAGCTTCAGGACCGTGTATTTCGTGCTGGTCAATGGGGCCTTTTGGACCAAGACGAGGAGGTGGGAAGAAAACAGGAACAGAAAGTGAAGGTTGCCGAGACGCGGGAAGCGCGTCGGGGGAATCTCGGTCCACCCATCGACATACCGCTATACATTTATTCTACACTACATCATGCGCTCGCTTGGCTCCTGCAAACACCGTCGCGAAGTCTCTTCGCATTGATCAACAAGCTATAGAGCTTCCCCTTATTCTTGCTCTTGCTACCATCCAGCTCTCAACACCGAATAGCTCCCCCAGTATGGGCCCACGTCCCAAACGTCGGCGTCTGACCGATCCCACAGAGGACCTGGACGACCAGGAAATATGTCAGCCTGCGAGTCAGCTAGAGAAAGACCGATGGAATGGATTCTGTGAGATTGAATCCGAGCCAGTATGACCATCTCGATATTTCATGTCCACCTCGTTCCTAACACCCCATGTACCCAGGCTTTATTCAATGTGATGCTCCGCGACTTCGGAGTGAAAGGCGTCAAGATCCAGGAAGTAGTATCTCTGGATGAAGAAATGATGGCCTTCCTCGAGTAAAACATCTTTCCAAATCCCCATCTAAATTTACAGACTGATGAGTTCTTGGACAGCAAACCTGTTCTCGGTTTAATCTTTCTGTTCCGCTGGCGAGAGGATGATGCCGAGAAGCAGGAGGCGACTTGCCCGGATGGCATCTGGTTTGCAAATCAAGTGAGTTGGTCCATGAGCAGGAGCTCAGATTGTCTCTCTTTCCTGCTATCTCGAGATACCCATAAATTATCCATATTTAATTTCCTCTTTCTCTAACTGATCGCCCGCCAGACCGCTAGCAATGCTTGTGCTAGTGTGGCACTGCTGAACATTGTCAACAACATTCCGAACATCGATCTCGGGGAGAATCTCCGCCACTTCAAGGATTTTACTATGCAGTTCACCCCAGCACTACGGGGTAATGCGATTGACAACTTCGAGTTTGTCAAACGAGTACATAATTCATTTGCGCGGTATGTAGCTTCCGCCAACGCCTGATACCGCTGCCCTCCAGCTTCTGGCTAACTGAGCGGGTTTTCATTACCACCCCCGTCATAGGAAGATGGACATCTTAAATTCAGATCTACAGCTCCAATGGGACACTAAGTCGAAGAAAAAGCGCTCCAACGGTCAAGATGAGAATGATTCCGATTCGGGCTTCCACTTCATTGCATTTATGCCCGCAATGGGGCAAGTCTGGAAATTCGATGGTCTTGAACGGCAGCCCCAGTCTCTAGGTACGTGTCGGGATGGAGGAATGGGTGGTTGGAGGAGGTTCTCGCCAAGCCAACGGGTGTCCTAACTCATCCCTAGGTGAATGCTCCGATAGCGATGACTGGCTGAGACTAGCACGGCCCAACATTCTTGATCGAATGGCCGCCTACGAAGAGGAGCAGATTGAATTTTCGATACTGGGATTAGTTCGTGATCCCTTACCGGATCTCATCCAGCAACTTGCAGTCAATGTGAGGAGCCTAAAAGTCGTTCATGACCGGCTTACATCCCATGCAGGTCCCACGGCACAGGTCGAGGCCGCGCGGACGAGCGCGAGCTCTGGGCTAGAGGAGACGGTGACCGGTCCGGAGCCATCCTTTGGACTCACGCGCATGGCTATTGACGAGGCGATGATCACCAAGGCGTCGGATCAGGCGTATCGCACCTGTTCCCCGACAGAACTCCAATCGCACCAAGAGGACCTTCGGCAGGCGCAGCGCGAATTGCGCGAACGTATTCGGGAAGCCCAACAAACGCAACGCGCCGACGATGATCATGCGACCGGGCGGCGGTACGATTATGGGCCGGCCATCCGGACGTGGTTGCGCTTCCTGGCGCGCAAGCAGTTGTTGGCAGAACTGCTTCAATGAAGTTGACGGTCGAGACCCTCGTGGCGTAGCGATTGGCCCACAAGCCGCAACTCTGGGGAAGTGGGAAGACCCAAACCAAAGTATCATGAGGGACCGCAAAGTACCCCAAGTACCTCAAGTACCGTATACCTGAAAAGTACATTGCGGTTTGCGGTGGACAAATGGGCAACAAAGAAAGCAATGAGAATAAACAGTACCTTTTCGGGAGTTTCCGTACATGCAGACCTTGTGTATATTCCTGAGTGCGTTTGGTCACCCTCATTCGTGGGTTCTGGATTTGAATTTCTTGGGACGGCGGTCAGCCCCAGGCGGGAAGTCTCCAGTACTTAAGTTTGTTGGGCCGTCTCCGCAAAAAAACAAGTCTTCTCGACCTGCCCGTCCGACTTTGCTTTGAGCCCCCTACGAATCTATTCAATTTGTCTCATCGCATGTTCCTTCCCGGCCTCTCTTTTAGGCTCTTTTCCACGGAGCCTTGTAATGGAAGATACGGCCTTTTCCTATCGTAAAAAACAATAGCATCTCATATTATTTCATGTCGCTATCTATGGATCAAGACCTCCAGCCTTATATTCCCTCCGTCGTCCGCCCTAGGTTGGGCGAGGTGGAAGGAAGGTACCTGAGGGTACTTCTGGCGGAATGGAATGTACACCCCCACCAGGCAAAAAATAGTTCACACGTCACCGCCTGGACCCCCAAGTCCTTCTCCAACGGTCAAATCCCCCTCAAGCCCTTCGACTTCCTCCTTTCCGTCTTTCTTGTTCCTTGTTTCTTGTTTCTTGTTCCTTGGGGTGGACCTCACGATCTTTGGCGTTGACTTTCTACTTACTTTCCTACCTTCCACATCGCAATCCGCCTCGCGGACAACCCTCCAAGCTATACTTCGTTCGCCACCTTTGGAAGAACAGAGCTTCCCGTTCGGAAACAATTCACTGACAACCCCCTCCTCTCCCCGCCAACTCAAGACAATGTCATCCGCCGCCGTCCCCGAGAAAGCCCCCGATGATTCCTCTAAGCTCAAGACATTCCTCTCCATTCTGCGCAAGTATGTTCCTTCGGGGACAAAGGAAACAATACGTTCAGATGATGCTGATGCGACCATGAAATAGGTTTGTCGGTGTGACAGATATCGCCTCAGTCCGTTTCTCGTTGCCGGCCCAGCTGCTGGAGCCCCGGCCGAATCTGGGTATGTCCATCGAACGTGTGAAGCTGTGGTGTGAAAGTCCGAAGAGCTGATGTAGCTGATGTGTTGGGGTTTTAGAATACTGGAATTATTTGGATCGACCGGAGACCTTTGCAAGGTTAGCCACATTCCCTCCTCCTCCTCCTTCTCCTCCTCCTCCGCCGCGTGGCAAATCGCTTCATACCATACTAAACACTTTTCTAACAGCATCGGCAAATCGGACGATGAACTGGGGCGGATGCTCGAAGTGTTGAGGTTCTGGTTTACCAAGGACCTGGTATATCTTGACTGCGGTTGTCCTAGAGGGAAGATGTGCTGAGCGTCCGACAGAAATACATAAAGGGAAAGCCATGCAAGCCATACAACTCCACACTGGGAGAATTTTTCCGAGTATGTTTCGCATTCTGCATTACTCTTTGCCCTCTTCCACTCACGTGCTCCTTCCTGGGCTACCTGTACTGATCATATCTCCTCTTTTACAGTGCAGCTGGGAGGTCCAAGATCTCGTTCCGGAGGAGGTGAACCTGCCCGGAGTTCCCACAGTCAGCAATGGAACTACCGTGAAAGGTGACGATGAGATAGTCCAAGTGTGCTACTTGACTGAGCAGACCTCTCATCACCCTCCAGTCTCAGCCTTTTACATTGACTGCCCAGAACGAGGCGTCTCAGCGCGAGGATTTGATCAAATCAGCGCAAAATTCACCGGCACCAGCATTCGGGTTAGCCCTGGCCAGCACAATCTGGGCATATTCGTGAACATCGAGAAGAGAAACGAGGAGTACCAGTTGACTCACCCTCACGCCCATCTCGGAGGTCTTCTTCGAGGAGCCCTGGCAATTACCGTGTCGGATGCATGCTACATGACATGCCCCAAGACACGTATCAAGGCGATTTTACAATATATGGAGGAGGGATGGATTGGCCGGTCCCAGCACAGACTTGAAGGCGTGGTCTTTCGCTATGATCCCGACGATGATAACATCACAAAGGTCAAAGACGTCGCCGAGAGTGATGTTCTTGCTCGGATCAGTGGGTCCTGGCATGGCAAGATCTACTACACTCCTATAGGTTCAAAGGAACCCCGTCTCCTCATTGACATCACGCCCCTCTTCCCCGTGGACAAGATTCTCCCTCCCGTCGACAAGCAACTGTCTAACGAATCCTTGAAGTTTTGGGGCCAAGTGACGAATGCGATTGTCGACAAACAATTCACCGAAGCTACCCGAATTAAACAAGAGATTGAGGAGCGCCAGCGCCAGAAAGCCGCTGAGCGCAAGGAACAAGCTGAGGAATGGAAACCTCGATTCTTCATCGGCGCTGTGACTCCATTAGGCAGACCTGAATTGACAGAGGAGGGCCGCAAGGCTTTGGAGGGTGTACGAACTCGGGAGTATGCCTTGGAAGAAAGTACAGTGCAAGGCGCATAGATCTATAATGTTGTCCTTTCTCCTTTGGTTCCCTTGACCCTATGGCGTATCTGGCATGCGACAATTCAACATGGCGTCTCTCTTTCTGTTAATGTTCCTGGCGTGTGCTTGCCAATCCTTTGGTTCTTCTTTTTCTTGACATACTTAGATTTCGCAAGGGGACATGTATCCTTTTTGTTTTCCTCCACCCCTGAATTCTTTTCTTGTGGATATTTTGATTGCCGGCCAGTGGTGATCCTCATGGGAGCTGCTACCTTGCCTCCTGTGCTATCAGAATGGATATAGACATGTTTGCATACAAGTTGAATTTCTGGACAGCCGATAATGACTACGTATGATTGTATTTATGCCGCCTCGGTCTGCGCGAAGAGAGTATCATGTTCAAATAAGCCAGATGCACAAGTAGAAATTGGTCCGATATCTACCAGCCGGTACATAGAAGCCGCTTCCATAGAGAAACCCTTGGTCCAAAAACGGAAAGATATATTACTTGTTAGTGATACCTAGTCATTGAGAAGTATTAATATGGAAAAGAATCCCGAAAAAGAAATTGGAAATGATTCATTTATAAGACTCCAAGTTAAGCCCTAAACAGCCACTAACACTCAAGGCCAAACACCAAAAAACACCGCGAAATAAAACAAATAATACAGTCATCAAGAACATCAAGGCATCAATCAATCATCTCCAGGAACTAAAGACTAAGCTGACGCACTAACCACCTTGGTAAAGCCGGCAGTAACGGTCTTGGCAATTTCCTCATTCTTATGTGGGAGCAAAGACAGTGCATAGGCAACATCGTTCCATTGACGTTCTGTCTCGCACCGGGGAAGTCTAGCTGCCAATTTGTCTGCAAGTTGGCGGGCATGTTTCTCCTGTGGACATCTCGTGTGAGTATTCAAATTTTGAGAACGAAGAAACAAAGTGGCTTACCTTCTCGACAAATCCGATGAGGAATTTGACGATGCGTCGCAGAGACGTCTCCTCCAAGTTTCGCTCCGCACTCAGCAGACTAAACATATCAACAAAGTGGTTGTAAACAGCATTGTCCTTGGTTGCTAGTTCGGTGAAGAACATGCGGGCCAGATCGGCGATCTTTTTGTCATCATCCTCAAGGCACTTCGCCATCTCACCCAGTTGGCCTTTGACCTTGACTTGACCGGCAAGAATAAGGAAGGTCAGGGTCATGAGACAGGTGCGCTTTACGGAAGCATCGTCGTCATTGAGACGACGGTATAGAAAGTCTGTATTCTCATCGATAAGGTGGTTAAAACAAACTGCCATGTCGCCCAGGGCGATGACGGCATTGCTGCGCACAATCGGATCCTCGGATCGCTCCATGATTGTGATCAGAAGTGGAAGATTCTTCTCGCAATATTCGGCCGACACACACATGAGCTTAGCCAGGCACAGAGTCGCGGCAGCTTGTAAGTCGCGGTCTGGGTAGGTGTTATTGTTGGCACATATCTCGGCCACCAGCGGACCAAATCTGGCAAGGAGGGAGTTCTCGCCGTAGAGCAGTTCTCGTTCTCGAATATGGGCCATAGCATCGGTGAAATCATCCTCCGTCGTTCCCCCAATGAGATCAAGCTCGTCGTCCTCAGCATTTTCAGCATCTTTTTGAGCAGTCGCCCCCGCGGTCTTGTTTTTCTCTTGTTCAGCCTTGCGGCGCTTGAAGTCTAACTCACACAATTCAAGATGCACAATCTGCTTGATCGCGATATGCCCAACAACATACAAAAGCTGTGAAAGGGCAGCCGAAGAAGGCTTAGGTTTTGTACCCAGATCATCTTTTGAGCTCTGATCGTCGGTCGAGGCAGTTCCAGGTCGTTGATCCTCGGCGCCAGAAGTAGTATAAGAAGAAGACGGACGCTGCAAGTGGGGTTGGAAGACGAAGCGTGTCTTTCGACGAAGGATATCAGAGCAGAGCACGTCAGGATGCTTTGACAGAGCATAAATCGCACTGATTGCTTGTTCAGCTACTCCGTACCACTCCTTACTCTCAGAGACAATCTCAAGCATAGCCGAAAGCTTGGTCAGCACCGAATGGTCGTTGGCGAGTTTTGGAATGCCGATTTCTTTAGACTTGGCTTGACGACCAGGAACCATGCGTCGCAGAGCAATGCATGTGTACTTGGCCAGAACAAGATCCGATCTGCCATAACCTCCAAGACCAATGCGTAACATGGCTTCGATCTCCTTCACAACAACTTCAGGATCTGCCAGTGCCAGCATACCGAGGACAATGATGGAGCCCCGGCGTTGGGTCTTCGAAATCTCTTTCTTTTGAATACTATAGACCTGCCACAGCTTCGCAATCACTGCCTCGGAGATGTGGCCGGCCTTCATCATGGTGCTCAGCAATTGCTCAAGACATGTAAGCTCCGCAGGGGTTGATCCGAAAGTCAAACTAATCATATTCCGTGCGATATAGTTTGCCGCGTCATTGGGGCTGAAGGAATCGGGAGCATCGAAGAAGAGCCCTTTGTAGCAGTCGATCAGATGAGTCTGGACGCCCTTGCCTTCGTCACTGTTGCCCTTTGTCCAGATAAGACGAAGCATGCGGCGGATGCCACTACGAGCCGTCTCAACCTTGTAGGCGTCGAGGACAACGAAAAAGTCCATAGCTTCAATAACCTCACTCTTGTTTCGAGACGAGAGTAATTGTGAGACAATTGTAGATCCCGAGTGAAGAACTTCAATGAAGCGAAGGGCTTCGTTGTAGTACTTTCTGGTCAACTGCAGTCGTGTCAATAGCTCAGAAGTGGCAGCTTGCTCAGCCGCCTTCTGCATAGCAACGGCCTTCTCTTCCTCGGTCATCCGTGGAGCTTTGGAGGGAGAGTCATCGGGCATTTGAGTTGCCTCGTCCAACAGCTCAGGGTCCACTGTGGTAACGTCTCCATCAAACCCAGGGGTCTCAGGAGGCCGAAGTGCATTCAATTCGCTATCCACTCCATCCAGTCTCTCCGACCATTCTTTGAAAGAGAGTTGACCACCATGCATGACGCTAAATGGATGAGTAGCAACGAGTTTGGACAACAACTTGATCGCGTTTCGCCGGACATTGCTGCTCTTGTCCTCCAGGCTCCGCGCTGCAAGTTCAGCAGCACGCTGCCGTCTCTTGGGGAATTTCTGCTCCAAGTCACAGATTCGCATCAGAACTTGAATTGCTCGGCAACGGCAGTATGGGTTGATGTCGAGGAAACGCTCCTCAAGAACATCGAAAAACGCGTTTATTTGTGTCTTGTAGTTTTCGCTGGGTTCTTCTTGTCGGCTGAGATCAGAGATTAGATTTCCACAGACTTCAATGACTGCGCATCGTAGAGTGTAGGCCTAAGGGTATTATCAGCTTGGAGCTCTGGCTAGATCGAGAGACAGACAATTCGGTACCTCGCTATCAAGTTGCTTAGCCAGAAGAGTCATTTGCTTGATGATCAGCCTCGGAGCAAGCTCAGACAACTTGATAATAAATGCTGACACAGATTTTGGTCCACGTGTATCGTTGGAGTTAAACTCTTTGTTTCCAAGTTCCCTAGGCTAGTCAGCATAAATATTCACGCTGAGCCTGAGACGCAGTCTATTACTTCAAGATCTCATCTGAAAGTTGAGGGTAATCATATTGCTCCGAAAGAATATGGAGGAATTCGGCCATTGGCTCCGACAGATGCTCGAAATAAGTCAAGCTCTGCACAATCGAAGTTTGTGCACCTATATTCGAGATGAGTAATGTGCCTTCACTTGATCCGATAGATTTTGGCAATACATACCAAATGCATGACCATGGTGTTTCACCGCAATACATAGGACCTTGAAGGCGTGCATGCGGATGGTCATGCTCTTCACTCTCTGTTCACTTTCTAGGATAAGATATATTGTGCGAGTGAACAGATTGATGAATGTGTCGCGGTCGGAAGTAGTCAAAAAGATCCGGCCCAGCTTGAGTTTCATCACCTTGCACATAGTCTCCATGCAGATCTGGATCTGAGGAGTCCAATCCCAGTTTCCATCTTTGGCAGACTTCGACTTCGATTTGGGGCCTCCTCGTCGCGCAGGCGCAGATTCGGCAGGTTTTTCGGCGGCCTTTACCTCGACGGCAGACAGCGCCCACTGCAGAAGAAAGCCATACATCTCCAGAAGTTGCTTATGTTGTTGGATCGCATCTTGTTCGTCAGATTCCAGATCACCATGAATGATATCTGCTTCCACGGATAGACCAGAAACAATCAGGTCCAGGACCTTGCTGAGGGATTTGGTGGGGAGGAAACTCGGGTATCTGCCAGGGTTTAAACGTTCAGAGTCGATTCCAGGTGGAAAAAAGCCTCCATGGGGGATTTGGGAAGGGACCGGGGCGCACTTTAATAGAAATTGTAGTGATTCAAAGGACGATGCTCTTGTTAGTCCCTCTGGGTTCTCCGCCACTGCATCCACAATGGGATTCAAAACATTGTCAATCAGCACAGTCGAGAGCTGGTTCGGGTCGGATTCACAATCGAGCAGTTCTGGGTCTGCATCGGGGGTCGGAATGGAGGTTGGGTCACTCAAGTAATACTTAAGCGACTCGTTGATGTCGAACTGTATTCTGTCCTCCATGGCGGTGGTGTGTAGATGAGATGGAGAGGGGGAGCTGGTGGAGTGTTGATAAGCGGGTGTTTGGCTTTTGCCCTTTTCGGCCGCTTCTTAGGTAACCGCATGTAAATTACACCCGGCCCCGTTCTCCGCCTGCCCGTTTCGCGGGCTGGTATTGTCACCGTCGCGTATCGTTGTCTCCTGCTTTCGGAGAAAAACAACGGAGCAATGCATCGCTCCGCTGCCTCTTTATTCGCCTCCCATTCAACGTCCAAGCGAAGCCAAACTCGCTGCTCTAACCTGAGTCGCGTGCCAACCCGAGTTGCACCCCCTAAGACTTCCATCTGTCTCGTCCTCGTTCCCTCGAGAAGGAACTTGCTATGTCGGCCCTGCGCGGGGCACCTGCGGGCGTCTTTGAGCTCCAACGCAGCAGCTCCTTCCAAGGCCTCCAGGCCAAATACAAACATGGACTGGAGAAGGACGATGAACAAGCTTCCACTAGTCAAATACTAGATGGAGAGAGCGACTATGAGGAAGAAGAAGAGGTGGACGAGTCAGTTCGAGAAGATATGAACAGACTGGAAGATACCTTTCCGGGTATCTCAGACCGATTTCGTCTAGTCAATCGAATTGGAGAAGGTACTTGATCTGCTTTGCTTAGATCCTACGCAGAATACAAAATTTGCTGACAACGCTTTTTAAAGGGACTTTCTCAACCGTATATAAAGCAGAAGATCTGCTTTACGACCACTACCACAACGACTGGGATATCTTCGCCCAGGCGCAACAACAAGATACCTGGGACAGCCCTCCTTCCAAGCGACGAAGGGTAAACGGGGAACCATCTGGGAATAGAAAGACTCGATATGTGGCGCTCAAGAAGATCTATGTCACCAGTAGTCCTATTCGAATCCAGAACGAGCTGGAACTTCTCCACGATCTCCGCGGTTGTCGATCTGTTTGTCCTTTGATCACAGCCTTCCGGTATCAGGACCAAGTTGTTGCAGTTCTACCCTTTTCCCACACACGGATTTTCGTATCCAGTACCGTACATTTATGGTGGCAGACATGCGCCATTATCTGCAATCCCTCTTGACAGCGTTGCAATCGGTTCATGAACATGAAATTCTGCATCGAGATATCAAGCCAACGTATGAAACCCAAATCATGGACATATTTGTACTTGCTGCTGACACCTCCTGGACAGTAATTTTCTCTACAACCCAGACTTGAAGGAAGGCGTGCTTGTTGACTTTGGACTTGCGGAGGTTCGTTTGGTTCTCCTTCAATTTCACCGCTTCTTCAGCTAATTTCTTCTCGTAACTTTCATAGCGCCAAGGATCTGAGTATAGCAATCCATGTCTTTGCTCACACCAAACCTACGTTCGACGCAGCCGGATACACACTAGTTATTATTCCAAGAACCCGCCATCTAATGGAACTTCAAGCGGCTATCCCAAAAATGACTCTCGGCCGTCAAGGCGAGCAAACCGTGCAGGCACTAGGGGTTTTCGAGCACCGGAAGTTTTGTTCAAGTGCACATCGCAGACCACTAAGATTGACATGTGGTCAGTTGGAGTGATCCTTCTTACACTGCTCGGAAGACGTTTTCCTTTCTTCAACTCGGCTGATGACATTGATGCTATGATCGAGATGGCAAGCATCTTTGGTACAAAACGTATGAAGACTGCTGCAGTGATGCACGGACAGATCTTTGAGACGAACATTCCCACCATCGGCGAGAAGGGATACAGCTGGGAGAAGCTGGTGAAATGGTCCAGCTGCGTGGAAGATCTGACAGAGAGCGAGCAACAGGCAACGCGCCTTCTATCCGGGTTGATGGAGCTTGATCCGACAAAGCGTTTGAGTGCCGAAGAGGCGCTGAATCACGAGTTCTTTACCAACCCCATTCATCACGATGTTGAATGGGGTGGTCACCCTGAGGAAAGCGGTGGTGATTCAGGCGAAGAAGATGTGGGAGAGGATGAGGCAGACGAAGTCACCATGCTATGAGTCCCAAGATTTGTACGATATATTATGTAATTCTGACACTACATTGATGGTGTATTTGAATAAACTGTTCCCTATTGTAGGCACACTCGGTAGACATGAGTGAGGTATCTAGTTTGCATCATGTAGAATGAGCCTAATTTTCAACCAACCCTACTCTTCGTGTACCTCTCAACATGGATTGAAACACGAGGGCATTCTCTATAAGTTTGGCCGCTAGGCCGCTTCTCCAAAGTCATAGTGACCGGTTTCCGATGCATGCTTGGCGGCTCCCTTCTCCCCAGTGAAAGTTCCTCCACAGGTATTGCAGCGAACAAGGAAGCCCGAGGTATCGGTGTAATAATGTTTGCTTTGTAAGGCCTGACCCATCTCCTTCGCCTTCTGCAGAACCACTGGATCGGCGGCGTCAAAGACCTTGGTGTCACTAGGCGCAAACAAGTTGGCGCGGGTGTGTGGCGGATCGGATGGGCAGAGAGCCAGCACATCATAGTGAATGCCTGAATAGACCACAATACACCGGGTTGGGGCTCCTTCATTGAATTGGAACATATGAAGCGTCTGTACATCGATCGAACATATCTCGATATTGAAATACTCGCTGATAATCTTGAGCTCGATCGCACCGCCCCACGAATCCTCATTCTGAATCCATCGGCAATATTCGTCTGGTCTTTTCCCCAGGATGGCCGCCGTATACTCTGCTGGGTTTGCTTGAATGGCACCTGCCACGACCGACCGGAGCTCTACCATAGTATCCATATCACCCATCACGGCCGCCCCGACTGCGCGGAAGAGGCATGAGTTATCGTCCGGCATGACCCGTAGAACGAAGGTGCCGCCATGCTCGGGCGATGCGATCTCCGGTGGATCGTCGGCTAAGGTTTCGGGGTTGGCGGGCATCGAGGACTGTTGCGAGGGTTTCTGGGCGTCAAAGCCAGGTTGGCTGGCAGAGGCAGCGCTGGGCGGGGCAGCGCTTTCTCGTGGCGCGATGATCAACTGCTCACAGTTCAGGTTGATTTCAAGTTCGGATATAAGTCGTCCCGGTAGGAAATCGTCCAGATTCAAAGGCTTAAGGTCTGGGTATCCATATTTAATATCGAAGGCTGCGAGGTTGGTCTTCTCTGTGATTTGTGCCCGAAGGTCCTGGATCGTGGCTGAATCGTCTAACGTGACCGTCGATTGACCCGAAGGCCCACGGACTCGCAATCGCATGATCGAGAGGCTCTTCTATAGTTGGAATGTACCGCGATAAAATGACAGAGCAGCCACCAAGCGGACAAGTGATGGCTCAGCTGTGGTCCCACCCAACGATGGTAGGAGCTATGACGACGGAGGGTCCTGTGTGGGGTAGAAAGAAAAAGAGAAATCGAGACGCGCTGTGATGAAAAGACCCTTGTCCCAGCCCAATTCACGCTAACACAACGCGTGAGGCTTTCGAATGAGAAAAGTACCCTGTCTGACAGCATTCACTCTGAAGCGCCGGGACTAACACAACGGGCAGAAGAAAAGAATGCAAGTGACTTTTTTGATGCGGAGATCAGCATGGCTGGGCCAACCCCCACACGACCGTGTTTGTGTATTACAGGAGAGCCTGCCATCCCAATCGCATTGGACTTTCTAGGATTTCTCTGGGGATTTCTGGGCCCCGTTCGATTCCTGGGTAGTTGGAGATGTCGTCGTCGCGATCAATCCTTCACTCGAGCCTTCGAGAGCCTGCGTATTGAGGCCGACAGTGACAATACGGTGGTTTGGAAGTGGTAACATTACCGATGACTCAGCATGGCGCAAAACATTCCCTACACGAGACGCAACCAGTTCCAACCTCCCCCCAAGCTTCCTTCACCTCCATCGCTTCCCTTCGCCCCTCATACGCATTCTGGGGTCTGTGAATAAGATGGAATCCGAAGAACGCGAGATGTCGCAGCCGCAGGCTGAGGAGCCTGTCGACTCCATCGAAGATGATGGTGCCATCTCTGAGGACCAGTGGAAGTCCATGATGGATGTGATCATGGCGATTTATGATTTCCGGGAGCAAGAGTGAGTGCTGCTCGGACACGGCAGCCAGGCCATGCGATCAACATTCTAATTGCTCCCATTTTTAGTGGCCATGATCCGTCGCGCCTCTTTCACCGCAGCGTCAATAAGCGCCTCGTACCCGACTACCACGAGATCATTAAGGAACCTATGGCGCTCAGTATCTTGAAGCAGAAATTCAACAAGCGAGAGTACAAACAATTTTCAGATTTCGTGCGCGACTGCGCACTGGTACGCGGGCTGCGCCGTTACCCTCCACCCAAGATCCCTTGGAACTGACTGTCGCTGGTATCCTAGATCCCCCATAACGCGCAAACTTACAATCGCCCCAAATCGCAAGCTTACGAAGATGCCCTGGTGATCAAGGTATGTTTCGAGGCTTTCTTCAGGCTTCATGGAGTACATCTGACACCCACTGTGCCTTGTAGGATGTTTTCATCGCGGAGTTTAAGAAGCTCGCTGAGCAAGGCATAATCAGCGCCGAGGAAGCCGAGCTGCCTGATCTAGGAGAAATTCCAGAGGCAGATCCCCTTCCCGATGAAGATGAAGATGATGAGGAGGAAGAGGAGGACGATGAAGAGGATTCAGACGACGAGGGTCGGCGCAAAAAGAAGCCAGGGCCAAAGCCTGGCGGCAAGCGCGGGGCGCAGAAATCCGAGCCTGACAACCGAAAGAGACGAGGTCGTCCTCCACGAGTGGATACTCCGATGGAAACCCGAATCAAGACAATCTTAAAGGGGATCCGCAAGTTCAAAGGCCCCAATGGTCAGTTGAAGATCATCCATTTTGAACGGCTTCCAGACAAGATCGCCTACCCAGATTATTATATGGAGATCAAGGAGCCGATTGCGATTGATATCATCAAGCGCAAATCGAAGCGCAAGAAGTATAATTCTGTCGATCATTTCATGCGAGATCTAGACCTCATGTTCAACAACGCCAAAGCCTATAATCAATCGGAAAGCCAGATTTACAAAGATGCTGTTGATCTCCAGAATGAGGCACACAAATTGGCCGAACAGGAAAAGAAGAAGCCCGACAGCGAATATTTAATGGAGGACGGGCGTTTTCCGCTGCCCGATGGTATTCTGCATCGAAACGAGTTATGGAAGGTTGGAGATTGGGTCCACGTCCAGAATCCCAATGATGTATCCAAGCCTATTGTTGCGCAGATCTACCGCACATGGCAGGACTCGGACGGTGAGAAATGGATCAATGCATGCTGGTATTATCGGCCCGAACAAACTGTCCACCATTTTGAAAAGCACTTCTATCCGAACGAAGTGGTAAAGACTGGCCAGTACCGTGACCATCGGGTTGAAGAGATTGTGGACCGCTGCTTCGTGATGTTTTTTACTCGCTATAGCCGTGGTCGCCCACGAGATCTTGCCCCTGATAAGGAGATCTATGTTTGCGAGGCACGCTACAATGAGGAGAAGCACAAGCTCAACAAGATTAAGACATGGGCTAGTTGCTTGCCGGATGAGGTGCGCGAAAAGGACTATGAGATGGACCTGTTTGATGTGCCTCGGAAGATTAAGAAAGTCCCTAGTCCAATCAAGCACCTTCTCAAGGATGATGCGAAGGAAACGGACGATCTTCCGCGGCCGACTTGGGGCACCGATAATGCGCCTCCAGTCGTAGGTGCGGTGCATCGTCGCCCGCGCGATGAGAACGTACGTTTTCTAACATAATAAAATTTGGGCTGACTGCCGAATCTAACTTAAACCTCATCTAGGAATCTCCGCCACCCGAGCCAACCCCATCACCCCCTCCGCCTTCTCTACCCCCGCAGCCCGTGCCATCTGCCACTCCACGCCAGTCTATCAGTCAACCCCTTCCACATACCGCGATGGGAAGCGCGGGTAATGCAGCAACTGCTCAGCTCCAGGCGCCTTCCCCTGCAGTTCCCATGGCTCAGGCTTCGCCAGTAACGGTTCCCCAGGTCCCTTACCAAGCTCAAATTAATCCACAGATGTACCAAGGTCCTAGCCAGCGCCGCCCAAGCAACTTTGTGCCCCCGACCCCCACTGGTGGATACCAGGTATCGCCTGCTGCGCCTCCATATACCGCGATACCTCAATCGCCATATGCTAATTACCCCACAAACCGTCTCCAAGCCACAGCTTCTGTGTACAACCCCAACGCCCCCCGCCCCATCGAGGTCTATCATTTGAATGATTCGGCCAATAATGCCATACCTGAAGATATTCGGGCGCAATTCCATACCGATGCCATGGGCCATGTACTTTTTTTCTCCGCGCCGCCTCTGGATATCATCCCTTTGTCGCAGCAGAAGCTCGGGCACTCGCTCAAGTACTTGGCTTCGAAGGAAGAGCACCAGAAGAAGGTTGCGGAGCGGAAACGCAAGAAAGAAGGGGAGCAAAGGGAGCGCGACGAAGCCGCGAAGCGCCAGCGTGCAGCAGAGGAGGCTGCTTTAGCTGGTCGCATCAAGGCTCTAGCTCCCAAGGCCATCGAATGCATGGTGCAACAAGTTGTCGGCGGCACTGAGGAGCTGTACAAGGCGATCCACCAAGACCAGGCACAGAGTATCTGGGCTGCGGATAACCTGGCTCGTGAGAAAAGAGCGCAGGCTGATCGGTTAGCTCGCCAGGAGACCGAACAGATCCAGGCACAGTCCAGAAACGAGGGCTTTGTGAGCCTCAAAGGCAGCGCCATGTATCTTGGAGATACCTAAACTCAGCCACAAATCCAAGGCGAGGCTGTCCTCAACAGATTATTTTCTGCTTTCCAAGTCGAGAGTGCATATGCCATGTGGCCACGCCTCGTTGATTTCCTTTAGGGAGTGTGTATATTTTCAAGATTCAGGCCGGGACAACAAGGCGTTTACAAAGACGTGATTGTGGAGGATCAAATCGAGGAAGAAATCAATATAACAGGAAAGCATAGAATGAATTGATCGAATCCAAGATGCTACGGCACAAAGCAAGCACATTGACCAATGAGTATAATCGGGTAGAAACCGTGAACCTGCATATTTGCTGAATCCTCCCATTTGTACACTGCGGTAAGACGGAACGACGAAACATAAGAAGACCAGGAAAGGAGACCCGAGTTAGAAACTCCAGAACCAAAGGTCGTTGAGTCATGAACATTCGAGTGAGGCAAAAAAAAAAAAAAAACAAACAAACCAGGAAACCAGCAGTGCTGTTTACCCTGACGAGTCCCGGACCCGTACAAGATCGTAAAGAAAAAAAGAATTAGTACAGGAGTTGGCTACCCGAGTCTCGAGAGAGCCCGATGATTGGGAAGAGGACGAAGAGGGGGAACGATGCGACGGGTCTAGATGATCCAGAAATGTAGAAAAAAGTGGAAGAAAAGTCACAAATCAATCCCAAGACAAGAACGGAAGAAAAAAAAAAACAAGAACACGGCAGAGTCAATCTATAAGAGCGGAGTCGGGAGAAGAGTCTTCTTTGTATTGCTTCCATATTTCCCTCGCCGAATCACAACCCCAACCAAGCATTGAAGGAGTCGGTTCAGCAATGGACAAAGCGGGGAGAGTGGGTATGGGGTGGGTGCACTTTTGAATTCCGTGAAATATTATTTTCTTTTTGAAAAGAGAGTTTTTGTTTGATGCTCTTGAAATGCTGCCGCTGCTGCTGTTTTGCCTCAATGAAACTCCAATGACCTCTTTTTGATATGAACAAGTCCAGAACTATGGACGCCGCGGGGGCCGTGTCGTCGTGATCGTAGTAGTTGATAGCAGAAAAAAAAAGGCGAATTAGGATTCATTCGAACTCTCCTTGTTCTCGGAATCCCAGGACGAGCTGCTCCGTTTATTACTTTCCTCTTCCTCCATGGAGAAGACCAGGTCACTCTGCTCTTCCTCCTCGATCTTGCTAGTAGTCATCGGGGAGGGGATGGTTCGGTCTAGGCGGCCTGGCCCGGCGGATGAGTGTCGGGCAGAACCAGGATGGAGGGACATGCCACTGAGCTGCTCGGAGATCATTGACATAGAAGATTGTCGGCCGGGGCTAGAAACAAATAGTGAACCATCGTGCGAGGTGCGACTGCCGATGGGACCCAGGCTTGGGCTGCCGATGGGGTTTAATGATGATTCACGGAGTGGAGAGCCGATGTGGGGAAATGATGACCCAACGGCATCATCTTCTTTTCTCTGTCTCTGTTTGGCAAACAAGGCGCCAAATCGGGACGGGCTTGACGCGAGGGGCGAGCCATTCTTCGAGAAGCTGGTGCTCGTCATTCCCAGGCCGCTGGGATCACGATGGCTGGAGCTGAAGTCGTGATCTGTTCGGGATAGGCGGCGCAATTTCTCCTGCGGCGTAAGGACATCATCATGCAAATTAATAGGCAAATAATCTTCCTCCATAGGGAAATTATCATCCCAGTCGTCAAGAGCCGCTGGTCGAGGAACACTGGCCGATAGCATTCGAGGTTTGACAGAGCGAGAAGAGTGCAAAAAGCGAGGTCCAATTGAATCTTCGGGCGCGGGGGGAGAGGAGCCAATATTCGATGATGGCTTGCGCAGCTCGGAGCTATAGCCAATGTCCCGCAGGTTCCGGAACACATCGGAATGACCGGGTCTCTGAGCTGGCGGGGACAATTCGAGGCCGAATTTGGAGGGCATCGAGGCAGCCACCGGACCGTAGCGCGCAGCATGAGAAATGCCCTGGCTATCAAATGATGCGGGGAGCGGGGCATCAAGGGCCGTCAGATGGCGAGCACTTGGCGACATGGGGAACCGCACATCCTCCACAGGAGATCCGTATTTAGAACCGGCATCGGAAGCCAAGCCGGCGTCAATCGTGGGGATAGAATCATATGGCGGTTGCTGCTGACCCGACGGGAAGGCCGAATCATCTTGCGAAGAGAGCTGTTGAGCGTACTGTGCCTCGTGGCCGTTCAGGCGCTGCTGCGACAGGACAGAGTTTGTCAAGGCCGAATCCTGGTTAACGTAGGCCTGCGGGTTAACTCGGCCACCCAAGTTGAGATGACTGCCACTCATGCCCATCCCACCACCACCGCCAGTGGGTCGATTCACTCGTCGGCCATCGGGGAGGATATGCGCAAGTGCGCATTTTGCGCCGAACTTGCAGTTTCCCTGTGAAGGGACAAAAAAAACAGATTGTCAGCGCCGGGTGGGAAAGGTGTTAAAGATATGAAGAACTACCACCATCGCTCAATTCATCTTACCTTGGTGAAATACTTGCAGGGAGCATAGTCCACGGCAGCGTCGGTCGAGTGCAGAAACGGACAGGCGGGGCCGGCCTGGCAAGCACCTTGGCGGAAGAATTTGCAGGGGACATGTTTAGTATCTGCAGGGTGGCCGGAGTGACGGGTTTAGCTGGATGCGAATTTCACAGGATGAATCCCAACCGATCGGTCAGGAAACGGGGATGAGGGTCAGGACATACTCTTGTTGCTCGGGTTGGGCGGGCTGCGAGCCATATCGAGGCTGGAGGGGTTACGGGAGTGGCCATTTTGGAGCCCCGAGGGCACCGGTAAAGGTGCACGACCTCTCATATCGGAACGATTGGGACGAGATGCAGGAGGGCGAGAGGCCGACAGCATCTAGTCAATAGGAGTGAGGGGGAGGGGAAGAGAGGGAGAGGCTGGAGGGGTTTATCGGAGGTGAGAGGGGAAGAGAAGCCAGCGGGCGGTGTACCTGGCCGGGCTCCAGTATGTACAGCGTCCGGAGTCCGGAGTAGTGGTGGATGTAAGACCCGATGGAAGCAACGGAATGGGGATCCACAGGAATATTCAGCCAGGATATCGTTCTCTATCTTTCGGGAGCGTCTCTACGCATCTAAGAAGGGAAGAAGAAACAGGCCACGGTAGACGGACGGGCCTTGGATTGGGAAATCCTTCTCCACTAGTTCTCGTTGGTCCGAAACTGCGACCATCTGCACTGTTCATCTGATACAGTTCGCCTCTCTGGTTGCCTCCATTCTTTTTGCTCGGGCCACTAAGCCCGATCTCTCAGGCCGGTCAAATTAGAACATGACCGCAGCAGACATGCTCACGCTCAGGTACCAGCAGGTTCAAGTATCAGGTATCAGGATCAGGGTATGAGGGTATGAGGGTTTCGGTATCAAGTATGAGCTTTGAGTTCCGCTCAGGCCGAGCCGCAAATCACGCTTGTCAAATGATGTGACCTGGTGGGGACGACAGAGATCACCAGCGTCGATACCCGACCATCGCTCATTGGAGCGCGCCTTCAAGCCCCAAGGACTCCTGCACGGCCCTGTTTAGTATCACGTCTCATGTCCGCACTTCTGTACTTGTGCTCCGAGGGGTGGTGGCAAGATGTGGCTTACCCATAGCTCTTGGGAAGTCGTATTTTCAGGCAAGACTTCGGAGCATTGCCTCCATAACTCCCGGCAGAGTCGACGGCGGACGATGGCCTGTCGCTGCCAGTGTTTCCACTGTCTCTCGAGATTTTCTCGGTCCTCTGGTGCCATCAAGACATTCTCGTTGTCGGAAAATGCATTCAGGTGGCCTTGGAGCGCGACGCGCTCCTCGTCGAGTCTCTGAATTTCCTGACGAAGATCGCAAAGTCGAGGCTTTGTTTGAAGAGCGACTAAAGCGGCTCGGATTTTTTTCTCGCCCGCTTTGGTAATAGATAGCTGATTTTGGCATTCTTCAATCTCCTGGTTGAGAGTTTCGATATCGCCCGCATCAGCAAGGGCTACGGGATCCTGGAGGGAATGATAGACAATTTGCCTTCCTAGATGCATGTCACATTTCAGCGGCCGACATTGGAGCATAGTTGGGCCCAGGTCCTTCCAGGAGTCCACATACCTGCAGTTCGTCCTTCGATCTCACCATTCTGATGCAATTCCCGCAGCAACTTGGCAGCTTGGGCTGGGAGGACCCCGTCACTACACAATGCGATGAGAGGACCCACCAACCGAGGGACTCTTACCTTTGGACACCTTATTGTGTAGATTTGCCGATATATCAATAGCCTGAATCTCGATTATTCTGTGTTCTCCGACAGGCTTGGAACTGGGGGCCGGGGGTGAGAAGGTCAAGACATACAGAGTATGGACGACTGAGGGCATCCGCTTGGGTCAATTTTCGCGACAACTAGGGAATTGAAAAGTGGGAATTCGCATACTTTTGTTCGCCTGTTGAAGTACCCTTGGAATCAGCATGGCCTTGTCATCAAGACAGGGCATGGTGGAAACTCACGCAAGTAGTCCAGAATGAGCGCGGCATCTTGTTCGTACTTAGCTTTACATCTCTCCAGCATCATCATCACTATTCTAAAGACACACCATTTATTCCTGTATTCGTGTCACTCTTGCCTTTACCAGGAGCCATCATGGCCGGTGGTTGCGATGCGGTGGGAGAGGATTGGTATAGAGGTACGAGTTCGGTGGAAGATGGGAGAGGAAGATAGGAGAGGAAGATGACTTTCTCATTCATGCGCTACTGGGGAATCAACCGGGCAAGAGAATCCATGAAAAGCAAACAGCACAAAGTAGAACGGCTACCAAAATCAAAAAAAAAAAAAAATACAAATCTGGTATGGTTCATAACAATTACGCCTCGCATCTAGAAAATCAAAACAGCCGAACAACCATATGTCCAAAGGGCCCCAGGGCAGCCATGATATCCTGAGCGTAAATGCAACTATGTGGGAACAAGAACCAGAGACAGCGTCATCAACAAAGTCGCCTCCCGGACGGCGAAGGCAATTTTTTTAAACCCCGGGATTATAGAGAAAGTGTTATTGGGGAACAAATAGAGGGCAAAAATGCAAGACGGAAACGCCTACAAATCCATGACGGAATTCCAGGGTATCACATCACAATCTGGCGAAGTTGTAAGTTAGCCTCAGATTCATTGGTCCAAAAGGAGGGATGGGGGAGATGTCTGATCAGAGTAATACGTACGCAATCGCTGTCATTCTTCGCACTAGGCACACCCATTTCCTCAAAGGTCTTCGGGCCCTTGCTAGGTGGCTTCGCGGCCGGCGCAGCCGGCTTCTGAGCTGACGCAGTAGTGGGACCCGACGGCGGCTGAGGAGTGGAGGATGCCGATCCTCTGGACGGTTGACGGGACTCCATGCGCGGAGGGAAATTAGCAGACGAGGGGGAGACGGATGGGCGAGGAGAAGATGGGGCACGGGGAGATGGCAGCCCACCACCGCCAACAGGAGTTCGAGTAGGCTTGCGGTCCGGTGGTGCCCCATCAAGACGCGCAGGACGTCGGCGTTCCGCCCCTGGAGGTGGAACCGGTGCGGAGTAACCGATGTCGAGTCGGGGGGTTCCTGAGGGACCCATCATGTTTCCAGCTTGGGGGGTGGTTGATCCGGCCGGGGCACTGACCGCACTGACCGGTGTGCCGGGGCCAGACTGGCGATACTTCATCGGAGCAGGGCCTGGGCCACCAGAGCCGTAGGAGGCAGTTCGCCCCCCGGCAGGCGGAGGGCCGCCATAGCCAGGACCAGGCGGACCATTCTGACGGAGGTTCGGGTTGACACCGAAGGCAGAGCTAGGGCGGTGATCTGGCATCTGATAGCTTGGCTGGCCCGGTGGGCGAGGACGAGCGGAATTCGGACGATCAGGATATGGGGCAGCGGATGAGGGCTGATCACTGAGAGTCATGCGTGAAGGATCAGGCATCTCAAGGTTTTCAGGAGTTGTTTCCAAAGAAGATCCACGTTGATGGACATAACGAGTCGATTTAATCCGAGCAATCGCCACCTTCTCATGATCCTTTCGGGACAGAGTTTTAGATCGGGAGATGCTGTCGATACGGCCTGAAGCATCTTTGTTGCCGCTGGCGGCAGCCTTCGCGTACCAGCTGCGAGCTTCTTTGATGTCGACAGGAACAAAGATTCCGACTTCATAGAAATATCCTAGGGCAAATTCGGCTGTCGGGAGACCACTTTGCGCCGCGCGCTGGGCATATGTGAAGGCCAGTTCATCATTCTTCTCAAAGACACCTTCATGCCCACATAGGAACCATTTGCTGATGGCCATTTCCGCTTCGGGCTCACCTTGACGGGCCGCCAGCGCATTGTAATGCAAAGACAATGCGGGATTAAAATCACAGCCGAGCTGGCAGAGCTCATACGCAGCACCCATCTTCACCTGAGCCTTCGCAAAGCCATGGTAGGCGGCCTTTTCAATGTTGACCCTCGCGGTATTGAGATCCGGGGGTAAGAAGGATTCAGGAACGCTGACTTGAGGAAGCTCATGAGCTAGGAGCATACCGTAGACCTAGATATTGACAGTGAGTTGTGTGCCGCTGAGTCTTGGCTGTGATAGGAGGTATGATCACTCACGTAGGCACCCTGCGGCGCATTCTGGTCGCATGACTGCGCGGCTAGCCTAATATAGTCCAAGCCGGTGTGATAGTCTTGACGCTGACCATGCTGACCGAGCAGGATCATCATTCCGAGGCGCTATCAAACGATTAGAGAAAAATAAAGAAAGCAAAAAAAAAAAAAAAAAGAACCTGAATGGTATGGGCTGGCGGGATCATGAAAGCAAAAAGAAAAGGTGTATGCGCTTGGGACACATACGTAGTACGAAGCAGAGTCCGCCATGGAGACACCACGTTCGTAGTGTCTGATCGCCTTCTCCGGCTCGCCCGAACTTTCGAATTGCATACCAATGCGGTACTCTGCACGCGCATACCCCTTCTCGGCAGCGCGCGAGTAGCACCGAAAGGCCTCCTTGCGGTCCACCCGGAAGCCAAACTTGCCGAACTCCAGCCACATGCCCTTGATAAATTCTGCCTTCGGGTGCTGCTGTCCGGCCAGGAAGTTGACAATGTTCATCGCATCGGTCCGCAGTTGCCGTTCGACCTGCGGGGTGTGCGGACGCGGTGGCTGCGTCAAGGACAGGCGCGCTTCATTCTGCGCCGCGACCTCGACAAAGGCGAGCGCATCCTGGGCCCAGGCCAATTGCATTTCTGGGTCGGTGGTGGACAGAACGGCCATGCGGGCGCGCTCCAAGCTGGCTTCGCGTTGCTCGTCGGTGGGGGGAACATTTGAGGGAGGGTTCCGCAAGACGGGGAAAGGCGAGAAATTGGGGTGGTCCATGCTGTCATAAGTTGCGGACTGCGCGTAGACGCCGTGATCATGGGCCTGAGCTTGTTGCGGTTGACCTTGGGGGGCGGCGGAGGACGTGCGCTCCGGAAACTGTTGGCGGTACTGCGCGGGCGGCGGCGGTTGCTGACCGCGGCGCGGGTCGCGGGCGTGATGCTCCATCTGCGCAATATTGTCTTGCATGTTCTCCGGGACTTCATGCATCACTCTGCCCGGGCGGATCAGCACTCGTACACGCGGCATCTAGTCGTCGAAGATCGATGGAAGTGTCCGGGAGGGGGCCGGGGGGGGGGGGGGGGGGGGGTGAAATCGCAAGCGTACCTTTGTGGAGAGGGGGGAGATGACCTCTGGCATGTAGAAGTCGTCCTGCCCCCCTGGATACCAAGTCGCCCCCAGTCGTGGCTGACCACGACCCTGGCCCTGTGGCGGTCGGTTCATCCCGCGGGTAAGATCAGTTGAGCAAAAACACCGGTAGCCTCGGAGGCACGGTGAAGAGCATCCGTCGGGGAGGGGAGGGGGGAGGAGTTGGAGAGGGGAATAGAGGAAGAGGGGGTGGAAGGAGGGGTGAAGCTAAGACGATGGGAATAAATGGCGTGAAATAAATCAACCCTAGAACCAAACAAGCCCACTCGGGCTAAAAATGGGGCCTGAAATAATGGAAAACACCCCTCCGCCCCCAGTTTGTGAGCCCCTCGGATAATTGCTGACAATGAGGTACCACCATTTACAATGACTTTGATGATAGAAAAAAAGGACTTTTTCCTAGCCCGTAGTATTTTTTTAATGTAAAAAAATAAATATAAAAGCGTGTAGAGCCAAGTATATATAGTATAAAGTATGTGGGAAAATGGATAGTGAATACAGGATAAAAGATGGAGGCTATAGAACATAGGATGTAGAACGGCAAACACAGAACATCGGAAATACAATATCAGCTGCGAACGCAATCACCTTCATCTCTCTCAACTATCAAATAAACAGCCCCTTACAACCCTCCCTCTCAAGCATAGGCTGCACTTGTTTTTTTTTTTTTCTAACCTGAATAGATTGGTCCTACTCAACTTATCCTGTCTCATCTTGCGTTCAGGTGGTGAATATTCCTTTTTTTGATGGAGTCACTTTTATTAGGGGGAGGGACTTCATAGATCCACATCCTCATCCCGAAATATTTCTCCGTCTCTTTTGGGATTTCAGCCTGACTATCATCATTATTGAATCTCCGTTCTTTGATGCCTTTTCTGGAGCCCATCAAAGACTCCACACGAGCCCACCAGGATGGATCCTAGCGGCTGTTCAGACGTGGGTTCTGGTGTATGTAGAGACGGTGCATACTGTCCATACCGTCTATACTGCATGTACCGCCACACTCGTGTTTACCTCTTCCAGGTTGAGCTCACCAGTTGCGTGAGCTGAGGGGGGTCGATCTTCATGATATCCTGAATAGTGACTCTAAAGTGTTCTCCACTTCAACTTGAGCGATGCATCTGGCTTTTTTTTGGAACCAACATCTCTTCCATGACGGAGTATAGCCCTCGAAGCCGCTCTGTTTCAAGATGAACCCACGTAATGACAATACACCAATACCTCCGAAAAAACATCCCCAAACCAACATAACCCAACTTCATCCTTCTCCTCACCCATGTTCAAATTATGAGATGGGTTATTAATAGAAACATGATGGGAAATATCATCATCGTCCTACTGTTCATCTCTTGCGGCTAATCAGCCCTCTATCAAGCCCCCTTTGTCAACCATCCCAGGTCAGCGCCAATCGATCGCAGACCCGCCGACTAGCAGATTATCCCCTTGAGGTTGCAGCGGCACTGGGGCCTGTCTCTCCCTGGAAGCCTTACGGGCTCCACCAACGGGCGCCCGGGGGTTTATTTTTATCTGCCTTTCCGAGAATTTCCAGAACCTCGTTCCACGCGGATCACCCAGGACGGGAAAAGTCCCCGGCCTCCTGACCAACATGGAGCAGCAGGATTTCCACCACCCGTACACGCCATACGACATTCAGCTCCAGTTTATGCGCGCTTTGTATGGCTGTCTGCAGGATGGCAAGGTCGCTGTCTTTGAATCCCCCACCGGTAAGCGCGCTAGGGTAATGCCGTCCAAGCCCAATCTACTCCAATCTGACCACCGCCACAGGTACTGTAAGTTCGCCGAATCCCCACCGTGCGAATCATAGCCCGAGGGGTGCAAAGCAGATGCCCGGTCTTCCAGCGTCGGTTGATGGCCCCCAGCTAACCCAGCTTCGCCGTAAAGGGTAAATCGTTAAGCTTGATCTGCGGCTCTCTCACGTGGCTGCGCGACCACAAGCGCAAAGCTTTCCAGGAGACCTTGGACCAGGCAGGAGGTAGATGGACCTTTCGAAGACCAACTCCCTCCCTGCCGATCTATAGCATGCTGACCCTCATTAGGCGACGACGACGATGAACCAGAGTGGATGGTCGAATTCGCCAAAAAAGAGTCCCGTCGTGCCATTGCCGAAAGGAGACAGGAGTTCGAGACTCGTCTGGCCAAGATCAAACAAGAAGAGGAGCGTCTGAAGCAGGCTCAATTGGGTCATGACCGCCCTCGTAAACGACAGGTATGGCTTCCTCATTAATTTCACCCCCTTCTCTCTCTCTCTCTCTCTCTCTCTCTCTCTCTCCCGCTTCCCCTTCCTACCCGAGAAACGTACAAGTCTCTTCTTATACTCACGTGCCCTCTGTTAGCGGCTGGAGGAGTCGATGCCAAACGTGGATCAAGACGATGAAAGCCAGTTTGTCCTAGACGATTATGATAGCGAAGCAGACGAAAAGGGCAAGACGAGTGGCTCAGCCAGGGGCACGGGAGACTTGTCGGCCAGCACTCTCGCCCTGTTAGAACGATTTAAGGGGCATTTCTCGGCCCAGAAACCGACTGAGGAGGATGAAGAAGACTCGGTGAAAATCTTCTTCTGCTCTCGAACACATTCCCAGCTGAACCAATTTGCTGGTGAGCTGCGCCGGGTGTCGTTTCCCTCCAGTATTCCTCCAGATTCCGACACAGGCGTTAAGGAGGACGCTCTGTCAAAGCTCGAGGAGACGGTGAAACATCTTTCTCTGGGTTCCCGAAAAAACCTTTGCATCAACTCCAAGGTCCAGGCCTTGGGGGACAGCACGGCAATCAACGAACGCTGTTTAGATCTCCAACAGTCCGGAGTAGCCGCCGAGAAAAAGTGTTCATATCTCCCTTCGAGGGACAATGAAGCTTTAGTTCTTCAATTTCGAGATCATGCTTTGGCTACGGTCAAGGACATTGAAGATATTGGCAAAGTCGGGAAAGAGATCGGAATCTGTCCCTACTATGCCTCCCGTTCGGTAATCAAGGATAGCGAGGTTAGTAATGGCGAGAACAAAAGGCTATCTCTCAGTTTGCCATCTCTAACAGTGAAATATAGATTATAACACTGCCATATCCTCTTTTGCTACAACGCTCTGCTCGGGAAGCTCTCAATCTCTCTGTCAGGGGGCATGTCATCATCATTGACGAAGCCCACAACCTCATGGATGCAATTTCTGGTATCCATTCAGTGGCCGTCTCGCTTTCCCAGCTCCAGAGTGCAATCACACAATTAACAACATATGCGCGCAAATTCAAAACCCGCTTGAAAGGAAAGAACCGAAGCTACGTGGCCCAAGTAATTAGGCTGGTCAGCTCCATCGCCAGCCATCTTCAAGCAATATCCCAGCAAAAGGGACCTCAAGAGGGCTCGGTGCGTTCGGCTGATCTGATGGCAGGGAAAGGAGTAGATCAGATCAACCCGTACAAGCTTTCCAGATATCTTCAAGAAAGTAAACTCGCCCGGAAGGTAGACGGTTATGTCGAGTCGGCGCAGGAATCACGGGATGCCCATTCCAGGGACAAAACCTCGGTTCCTGTTCTTTTCCATATTCAAAGCTTTCTGCTGCCTCTGATGAATCCGTCGGAAGAGGGAAGACTATTCTACCAAAAGAACCAGAACGGTGTGCAGTTGAGATATATGCTTCTTGATCCTACCAATCACTTTCGCGAGATTGTTGAAGATGCTCGCGCCGTAATTCTAGCCGGTGGCACAATGTCTCCTGTGAGTATAGTGGCAATTTGATTTTTCTCTTAATTAGCTTGACTAACTCAACCTAAATAGATGTCGGATTACATGAATCATCTATTTTCATATGTTTCACCCGAGCGACTTGATACATTTAGCTACGGGCACGTTATACCCTCCACCAACTTGGTGGCGCAGTCACTCACAAAGGGGCTTCTGGGGTCGGAGTTTGACTTTACCTACGAAGCCCGGGGATCGGAGAAGATGGTAGGTGACACAGCCGACCGGCTGCGCCTTGTGTAAAGGTTAATTTGTAGACATTTGGATCTTCTAACGCTTATGAATTCTAGATAACTGACCTTGGAAGGACCATTGCAACGCTCTGTCAGGTGATCCCCGATGGAGTAGTAGCTTTCTTCCCTAGCTACGACTACCTGAGCCTGGTCGTGAATGTGTGGAAGAAACATATCCCCAATGGCAATGGTGAAACCACATTGGGGCTGATTGAAAAGAAGAAAAAGATTCTCTATGAGTCGCGCGACACGGTAATTACGACCGATGCCTTACTTCGAGAGTATACCGAGGCGGTCGAGTCCGGCTCAGGAGCTTTACTGTTATCCGTCGTTGGTGGAAAGCTGTCGGAGGGTATTAATTTCTCCGACAGGCTAGGACGCGGAGTCTTGATCATTGGACTACCATTCCCCAATATTCGCAGCGCGGTTTGGCAGGCCAAGATTAAGTACATTGAAGAGAAGACCTACAAGCAGAGCCCTGGGCTAGAATCGGAGAAGAAGGCTGCCGCATCGGCCGCCGGCAAGAATTTCTATGAGAACTCCTGCATGCGAGCTGTCAATCAATGTATTGGCCGGGCGATCCGACATGTGAATGACTATGCAGCTATCATCATGGTTGACCGTCGGTACGACACGCCGCGGATTCAGGGCAAGTTACCGGGATGGATTCGAGGAAGCTTCGTTTCTTCTCAGTCGACGCGCCCAGCCCAGATGACTGTCCAGCGACTCTCCAAGTTTTTTGCCGGAAAGGTATAAAATTTATATTTATCAATAATCAAAAAAAAACCCAATAGAACATATCGAAAGATATTTTTATCATTCCCAGAAATGGCTGCTAGATGTAACAGTTGTACACAGAAGGCTTGTGACCAGAAAAATTGCAGGATAATTTAAGTTTCAGTGGTGATACGGATGACTTTTCCCTTAGACTAACATCAACTAATTTTACGTGTCTAATTCCACCACTTTCAGGGGAGCTTTTGTCGTTACTTCAATGTTTATGTATGTTCATTTACTTGGAGGTGATTAGTGATTTCAAGAGGCGGTGGCAGAATAAATAGTGCGTCAAAGAAAGTAGGCGGTATGTTGACTTTATTTGCACGTGATGATTTGTAGCCCCAGGGCAGGGTTTGACCCTATCACGGGACAAGCGAAGTGCTTAGCGCACACTCTAGCTTACCGGAGCGTGGATTTCAACATCTGAGCCGGAAGCATCACGACCTCCCCCCTTCAACGCCCAATTCACAGACCGGTCTTGTCGAGCACACCACATCCGACAAGATGCCCACCCGTTTCTCGAAGACTCGGAAGCAGTGAGTCGACCCTTCCTTGTCCATCCTCGAATTTTGATAGCGATCGGCGTAACGACTTCGACCTCGCTGGCCATCGCACATCCGCAATCTGTCTCCGAACCGCTTATACTAACTTCACTTTCTTCTAACAGCCGCGGCCATGTGTCCGCCGGTTACGGTCGTATCGGCAAGCACCGCAAGAGCCCCGGTGGTCGCGGTATGGCCGGTGGTCAGCACCACCACCGCACCAACATCGACAAGTACCACCCTGGTTACTTCGGTAAGGTTGGTATGCGCTACTTCCACAAGACCAAGCAGCAGTTCTGGAAGCCCACCATCAACCTTGACAAGGTACGTGACATCGAACAAGTCAGAATCGGTTCATTGTGAAATTTTTCTGTGAAGCGAGCGAGGAAGGATCTTTGTGCTATTTGTTGAATGAGGGGGAATTAAAAGAACAACAATGGAGAGCAATATCGCTTGCGAGTGGAATGCAGAAGAACAGAATGGACCGACATCCGTCGTCTCGTGGAACAATCTTGCTGACTGGAAATTTTTACTCGCGATATAGCTGTGGTCCCTCGTCCCCGCCGAGAAGCGCGATGCCTACCTGAGCGGCCAGAAGACCGACACCGCCCCCGTCATTGATCTCCTGCCCCTCGGCTACTCCAAGGTTCTCGGCAAGGGCCGTCTCCCCCAGATCCCCGTCGTCGTCCGTGCCCGCTACTTCAGCCGTGATGCCGAGCAGAAGATCAAGGAGGCCGGTGGTGTTGTTGAGCTGGTCGCATAAGCGTTGAATTAAGGTGTTTTTCGGAGAAGGCGGGTGAATCGGGGCATCGCAGCTCTGCGGCTGCGTTCGGTCTTGTGGAGGATTCAATGTCTTTCCGCCAGTGGAGGAGGACGATCGGAACTCGAAAAAAGGCTGCCACGAGCTGAAATGGTTGGTTCTGGCTTGTCAAAAGAAAAAGGGTTTTTGTGTATGCGAGTAGCATAGCATGGCCTCCGAATGCCCTTACGATTTCACATTGTGTTAAACAAATACCACAAGGAGGATTTTTTCAAAGTTTACTTTTCCACACGGAACTACCATACTCGCTCCAAGATTTCCTGGTTTGACCTGGGGTATTCCTGGTATCTCCGGATTATGTGATCTTTACCGATCATTATGACATTAATTGGATCTTACTGGGTCTTATTATGGACTGGATCATCAGATTTGTTCATCTGGGGCGAAGCCATTGAGTATTTTCCACTGCCAGTAATGACACCCGGGTTGCAGATGCGTAGAGGATTTTATGTATATGCACGTCCTTGAACACAATGCACGTTTTCGGTCGCTATTTACAGTAGGTCTATCGTCCGTAGTCTATCTCTTGTCGCAGAGTTCAAATCTTGGATTCCCTTACTGATCCTCTCCGGCCTTTGCTGTCCGCGCCCGCGGCCAATGTCTCACTGATGAAACGAACAGCCTCGTCAACCATGCCCGCCGTGACTTCATGGCCAGCGGACTGGTCAATAATATCCTCAAACGTCACTCCACCGTCCCCAAACCAGCCATTGGATGCAATGGCTTTCTTAAACCAAGTCAAGAATGCCTCGCCTCGGTGATAAGGCACAAGCTTATCCACCCCACCAGATAAATTCATTATCCGCTTGCCCGACAGCAAACGAGTCAAAAGCGGGCGAAGGTCCTGCTTTTCCTTTTCCGAGGGTTCTGGCAACAGCCCCTCGCGGGAAAGACTTGACGATCCGGTATCCATATAGCCAAGTATCAGACTCGCGGGATCGTATTGCTTGACGGTGTCCACGAAAGAGGATGGGAAAGCCTCTGAACCGAGGATCTCCGAGCCGGGCGGATTCGACTTTGTCCAAGACGATAGCTTTGAGAGCCGTGCGCGGTCTACCATAAGGTTGAGGTAATCTGGGCAGCCAATAATGACCACACCAGCACTTATCCGAGGCTCGTGCAACAAGCAGCTCCAGGCCGCATGTCCACCTAGGGAAACGCCGAGAACCAGGTTCTCGGAGATCGTATGCTCTCCTTTCGGGAAAATGTAGGAAGCTAAATAGTCCATCAAGAGAGACGTATCGCGTGCAGTTCCCTCTGCATATTTGCATTAGCTTACGGCAATAAGGTCCACGGTAGTGCATAGAGGCTGCAACATTCACTCACGGAAGATAGAAAACATATCCTGGGCATGACGAGGGTTCCCCTGTCTCCAGGCCTCATTGGCGAGAGGATCAACCATTCTGGCTCCATGGTTTCTCTGATCAAAGGAGACGGCAATCAAGCCCTTTGGCGACCCGATCTGCTGGCATTTGCTATTCCAGTCACTGATGACCGATCCTGCGATGCCGGTCATCCGCTCCTGGGTCGCCAGTCGTGGATGCAGCAGCCAGAGACATGCCACATCTTTCGTCTCTGCGCGGAGCTCTTCGAGCCCGAAGACGGTCACGGAAATCCCGGCGATGGCATAGACCTGCTGCGAGACTGCGGCAGGCTTGGGCCGGCCGGATGAATCGAGAGTCTTCAATGGATCAGTCATGATCGGTTTCGATCACGGTGAATGGGGGTTGTGGGGGGTCGAAATAACAAGATAGGTGACCAAGTGATTGTAATTAACTCCGGGAGCGGATCGGACGGAAACTGACTTTATATTGGTAGGTTGGTTGTCTACCAAGTCAGTCAATGGGCGGGGCACGATTTTCCACGTTGATTCGGGTATATCGCGTTTGGAGCCGAGGGCCCTTGGGGTTTGTCCAAGTACCGAGACCCCACTAGGAACGCAGCCATCGCAGGCGAGTGTGTCTGAATATGCATCTACATTCTGTGCTCGTGCGATATAGAACAATCATTTAATCTCTGATTACGGTAACTTTTCCGGTCCCACTCACTATCGATATTACGCAACAAGTTAGAAATATATATATATATATCTGGCCCCCCATCAACGGTGGGGACACGTGATGATCCTGCCTGAGGCGCGCATCGGCCTAAGAACAAGAAGTAACCCAAATTGGGAAAAACCAACACTGTTGATAGATGCTTTCTCCTTCTTTCTCGAGGGCCAAGCTGGAGTTACTGGACAGATCGGAAGTTACTTCAGAGATTGCTCCTGATCCGGTGAGGTCGGCGCCCGCTTTCCCTCCCCTTTTTTTCCAGGAACTGACCGCCCACTTCTTGGCTAGCTTGGCGGGAGTTCTCCAGTCGGAGACAGTCTGATGGGGCGGAACTCCACCGCAGTCGCGAACTAATTCAAACGACTAACGCTCCTTTAATGTCAACAGTCGCGTGGGCCATACCTTTATATGCCATTGAATCGCCCCTTCTCGACAACCAAAGTACTACAGTAGGATGACAGCGAGAGGATCCGATCTCACAGAACAGGGTCTTGAGTGATCCCGCCGCCGCAGGTATGTGCAACCCCCCGTTCCTGAACGTACCCTCCCTATGAGCTGCATCTGACGATCGTCTTGACATGCTAGTATGACCGACGCTCAGTTGGCTTTGCCTCCACAAAAGGAGACCGGCCACACACCCAAAAAGAAACAGTCGAAGAAACCCGATCCGATTTCAATCTCGAACGGGGCAAAGCTGGCCTCGCCATTCCCGTCTCCCACCGAACCAGCCCGCCCAGCTTCACTTCAACAAACTCAACCGATAGATGCCACAGAAGACGAAAAAGCCCCGGAAACCAAGGAATTGATAAAGGGATTCGAAGAAGCTCAGAATAGCAAGGAGAACCCCCGCTCATCTTCCACGCAGCGGGGCTCCCCAACAAGCAAACCGCCGCTGAGCGCTCGCGCACCAAATAGGTCGACCGATGACCGGGCACCCTCTCTGAACCACCAGAAACCTCAATCACCCGGGTCAGGGATGTCTCCCCAATCTCGTGCTCCAAGTGTTCAATTCCGAGACACCGACAATGAAGCCCCCGAAGCCTCTCATTCCCGGCCACACTCCCGGCCATCGTCTCTATATGAAGATGGAGAGCAAGCAAGAGGGAGACAGTCACTCATGACTCGATTGAAATCATTGGCTGCATCTCCCCCGTTTGCATCGCACTCCCGGTCTGCCAGCGGAGCCACGATTGGGGATTTCCGACCCCAAGCTGACCTGGCGACCCCAGGCTCTGAGCGTGAGGAGCGCGGGGAATTCCGCTTTCCCGAACCTCTGGCGGAAGAAGGAAGTGATGCAGATGCAGACGCTGAAGAAAGTGGTGGCGAACAGCGCGATCCTCCCAAAAAGAAAAGGATTCTTCGGCGTCGGCAACAAACGGACGAGGAGCTTGGAACGCGAACGGCTCCCACAACCCCTAAAGCAACACGGCGCCCGTCCTTCCATTTCTCTTCCTCCTTTGCTCCCTTTGAGAACTACCGGACCAACCTTTTTCCTCGAAGAGCCAGCACTACCGATTTCACCCCTCAGCCTCGGGAAGGCGTCTCTGAGGATGAGGGCAGAGCTCAACTGAGTCGGAGGAAAAGAAGCGCTTTGGCGGCTCGTGGCCTGTCCTATATTGGACTGCAAAATGATGGCCAGGCAAATCAGGAGGAACAACGGCCAAGCCACTTGAGGCGACTGACTGGCCTTGCTGGGCCATCCGAAAATGCCGAAAGCCTTGCCGCTACCTGGAGACGCCATCGCAACGAACGAGGCACGAGTGCCAGTGCCCAGCGCTGGCGACAGATCAAGGCTGGTTTGAAGCTAATTGGCCAACGACGAAAGCCCGATCATACCGTGGATAACAAAAAGTCCGCAGAGCTGCTTGCTGAGCTGGCCTCAGCCGTCCCCGCTGCGTTGATTTTGGCCAGTGCCTTCCAACGAGACGAACACGGCAGCAAAAGAATACCGATTCTTCTAGAGCAACTTAAGGTTCGGGTGACCGATAGTCGTATCGATGCTCATTCCGGCGATCGTCATCTTGTCTTCCGCATTGAACTGGAGTATGGAAGTGGTATGACCCGAATGAAATGGATCATTTTCCGGACTCTGAAGGATTTCGCCAACCTGCATCTCAAGTACAAGCTTCACCTTGGAACACAGAAGTATATCCAGCTTCGGACTACCGAAAATAGCCCCAGCCTTCCCCGGTTTCCGAGAAGTGCTTTTCCCTATATGCGAGGTGTTCGAGGACTGGAGAGCGAATTCGAGGATGAAGAAGACGACGGAGGCTATGAAACTGGCCCTGAGGCACAGAGTGGCACAGAAAGAGCCGGAAAAAAGAAGGTTAAAGAACGCAGACCTTCTGCTGGAATTGCTCGCAGAAAGTCCAGCATCACTAGCCCTCCAGAAGGAGAAGCCGGTGCTGCAACTTCAACTCATGAGGGGGCAGGGGGCAGAAGGGAGACTTACCCAGAACGGCAACGGAAGAAGCTCGAACTCTACTTGCAGAAGATGATCCGATTCTTGATCTTCCGAGCTGACAGCAATCGCCTTTGCAAATTCTTGGAGTTGTCTGCTCTTGGAGTCCGTCTCGCTGCCGAGGGCAGCTATCATGGTAAAGAAGGCTTCTTGATCATCCAATCATCTAAAGGCTTGGACTTCCGACGAGCTTTGACCCCTTCCCTTATCAAGAAGCGCCATTGGCCCAAGTGGTTTCTTGTTCGACACAGCTATGTAGTCTGTGTTGACTCTCCCGAAGAAATGAACATTTACGATGTCTTCCTGATAGATCCTTATTTCAAGATTCAAACCCAGAAGATGAGTCTTCGCAACCAGAAGGCGAAAGATCTAGCCAAGTCAGCGAAGGAGTCTGCCAGGCACCCTCAACATCACACTTTGCGCCTTGAGAATTCCGAGCGCAAGCTGAAGCTTTTGGCACGAAATGAGCGTCAACTTCAACAGTTCGAGGACTCAATTCGTTTCATGGCCGCAAATACCCCCTGGATGCAACCCAATCGGTTTGATAGTTTTGCCCCTGTGCGTCAAAAATGTTTTGCGCAATGGCTGGTGGATGCACGCGACCATATGTGGGTTGTATCGAGGGCTATCAATCAAGCAAAGGATGTCATTTATATTCATGATTGGTGGTTGAGTCCGGAGCTTTACATGCGGCGACCTGCTGCCATTAGCCAAAAATGGCGATTGGACCGTCTCCTACAGCACAAGGCTCGTGAAGGTGTAAAGGTATTCGTGATCATGTACCGGAATATCAATTCGGCCATCCCCATCGACTCGGAGTACTCCAAGTTCTCCCTTCTTGAACTCCACCCCAACATCTTTGTCCAGAGATCTCCCAACCAGTTCCGCCAGAACACTTTCTTCTGGGCTCATCACGAAAAGCTGTGTCTTATTGACCATACGGTGGCTTTCGTGGGAGGAATTGATCTTTGTTTCGGGCGTTGGGACACCCCTCAACATCAGCTGACGGACGACAAACCCACTGGTTTCGAAAATACCGATTTGCCTAAAGATGCAGACAACTGCCAGCTCTGGCCTGGAAAGGATTACTCTAACCCGCGTATCCAAGATTTCTATGATTTGGATAAGCCTTACGAGGAGATGTATGATCGTAATGTTGTACCACGCATGCCCTGGCATGATATTTCGATGCACGTGGTTGGCCAGCCTGCTCGGGATCTTACTCGCCATTTTGTTCAACGGTGGAATTATATTCTTCGTCAGCGGAAACCAACACGCCCCACGCCTTTTCTCCTGCCACCGCCAGACTTCAATCCGGCTGATCTGGAAGCCCTGGGTCTAGACGGAACTTGTGAGGTTCAAATTCTGCGTTCCAGCAGTATGTGGTCGACTGGAACCCCGGACGTCACCGAACACAGCATCATGAATGCCTACGTCAAGCTGATTGAAGAGTCTGAACATTTTGTCTATATCGAAAACCAGTTCTTCATCAGTACCTGTGAAATTGATGGTAGAAAGATTGAAAACCTGATTGGTGATGCTCTGGTGGAGCGTATCGTTCGAGCAGCCAAGAACGAGGAAGCATGGCGCGCTGTCATTGTGATTCCACTGATGCCTGGTTTCCAGAACACCGTGGACAGCGAAGGGGGAACTAGTGTGCGCCTTATCATGCAGTGCCAATACCGCAGTATCTGTCGTGGGGAGACATCGATCTTTGGACGACTTCGTTCGCTTGGCATCGAGCCCGAAGACTACATCCAATTCTTCAGCTTGCGAGCCTGGGGCAAGATCGGTCCACATAAGCAGTTGGTTACCGAGCAATTGTACATTCACGCGAAGTGCATGGTTGTCGATGACCGAGCCGCCATTATTGGATCAGCGAATATCAATGAACGCTCCATGCTTGGATCGCGAGATTCAGAAGTGGCGGCTGTTGTTCGGGACACTGATATGATTTCATCCACCATGAATGGCAAGCCGTATCTGGTTGGACGATTCCCGCATACTCTTCGCATGCGTCTCATGCGGGAGCATCTTGGAATCGATGTGGACGAGCTTCTTGAGCATGACTTCGCCACTGAAGAAGAACTAAGGAAGATCCAATTTGCCGAAGAAGGCGACCAGCGTGAAGGCAGCCGCGAACGCCGCGAATCAGAGTCATCTGTCATTGAGAGACAAGACGAGCGTGAGATGATTGAACGTCGGCACCGCGTTCAGGATGAGTTCCTGTCTCGCTCCGAAGGAATGCATAGTTTCAACCATGATGTTGATTGGGAGCAAGGGAATAACCCCAACCTCAAGAGTAATCGGAGATTGACAGCCGATCCCCGAGTTACAGATAACTCCGAGCACAAGAAAGATGTGGATGGTGACGGTGTCGACAATCTGAGGGCAGCTGAACAGGCTGGTTTGGGGGTCGGACGTGATTCACAGATGGCGCCTAGTGGAAGAGAGGCATTGGTCTCTCCGATTTCGTCTGAAGGCAAGGGTACCATCGACCAACCGAAGCAGTCGTCTCCGCGAAAGCTGTCTCGAGCGGCTTCTGCATGCAAGGAGAGAAAGCAAGGATCTTCAGGTGAAACTGCCCGTGACTCTGAAACCAACACCAACTCAGATACCCCATCACAAGGCCATGGCGCCTCTGGATCTTCGAGTCTCGAATCTGAGAATGGCAGCAGTGGCCTAATCATGTCCAAAGAGAGCCACGACAATTCCAGATTTGGGCAACCATTTGTACCCGACTTGAAGCGTATTTTCATTGACAAGGATTGCATGCGGGATCCAGTAAACGATGCCTTTTACCTGGATACATGGCAAGCTGTTGCGGAAAAGAACACGAAGATCTTCCGCTCCGTGTTTCGCTGCATGCCTGACAGCGAGGTGAAGAACTGGAAGGAGTACAAGGAATATGCGGCATATGGTGAACGATTTGCTGAGATGCAAAGCCATCATAGCAGCAAGTCGTTCAATCCACCTCATCAGAAACAGACTACTTCACCTGGTGTTGGCTCCAACACCGCTGCTACTGCCACTTCCATTACTTCTCCAATATCTCTTATTAGCCCTAAGACTGAAGGACCGACGACCGAGTCGAAGACATTCTTAGCCATTGACGAAAAGGCCGGTCTGGGCACATCTGATGCCAGCAATAACGACGGCGAACGGCCACAACCCGAGCTTGCTCATCAAGAAACTCTTTCATCTATCGATGAAAAGGCTGCCCTCAAAACCATGTCAGATCCCCACCTGTTGAGTACTGTGCAGAATGCGCAAGAAGATCTCAACGTCGGGGAGGACGCTGAAAAGCCACGTGCGGCTTCGATACAAGTCGACTACTCTGAGGCCATCAATTTGAATGCATCTCTCAACCGAAGACGAAGACGTCGAGCAACCACAAGTGGTTCCAAACGTGAGTTTCATGCCTCGGACGAAGTCATGGATAAGGGGCGTGCAGAAGACCTTCTGAACAAGGTTCAAGGCCATCTCATCCTGTGGCCTTATGAGTGGTGAGTATTTCGATACCGACTAATTGAACTGTCCGAAACCTTTTGACTGATAATTCTTCCCACAGGCTTGAGAAAGAGGAACAAGGTGGCAACTGGCTCTATGCGTTGGACCAGATCTCACCATTGGAAATTTAGTAAGTTTTCAGCTTTCTTTATCATTATCTGATCGAAATCAAGGCTAACCTAAAGGGCTCCAGCAACTAATTCCCCCTTCCTCCTACATGATTGCAACTCACAGCGTCTTTCTGTTCACCGGTCCATTAATTGGGTGTCAACCCTCCTACCCATTGCGTTCTTGCGTATTTTTTCCTTCGCCATTGGTTTTTTTTAATCAGTTGTGAGCGTCGCGTTCGTTGATTATCGCATTATCATTCCGCTCACTTAGACCGATCTCCCTAGCAAAGCGGAGCCGGCAATTGCTCTGATTATTTGCTTCGAAAACTGTTTTCCAATGGCACTTTCCAGATTCAGCCGAGCATTAGACAAAATAATTGGTCAATTGAAGATATTTTTGCTAAAAAAATTGAGAAGAGACTTGTGTATATACAGGGTATCTAGCATGTAAACAAGAGAAGAATTGTTCTGGAAGGCATATTTCAAAGTCGGTAGCACAATTTCCTTTAGATCATTTAGTGAGGGTCTACGGGGAAGACGATCTGGCTTCGTAAGTCCTCAAGGACGTCGAAATTTGCACGTAGGGCAGTGGTGAGAATGGAAGTGTTTTCCTGTGGACCGTCCCAGGCATCACAAGCAGCACGAAGCTGTTGATATGCGGCTGCAAAGGCACTCTGTAATTCGGCGGTATGAGTACACGAACGCCCTAGGTCCTTCATGTAATGTGTCGGGTCTTGAATGCATAACCTGCGACTAGCGGAGATATTCCCTCTAATTGCAGCAGTGCGTTTCGCAGCCATAAGAGAGCGCTGGCCTCGGAGATATGCAGGCTCTGTCTCCTGATGAGGGACTGGACGTAGAATATCAACATTGAAAAAGCTCGGAGGATCAACGGCAACACCAAAGGCCTGGAGGTCAACACCAGTGCTATAGAATTGTAAAAGAGCGAGTAGCTGGTCGCCAAGGCGATGAGAACCTGGGAAACGACCGTGGTTCATTTTCAAAAAGGCGACCACGAGCAAGGCCAACGCGCTCGGCGCAATTCCGACTCCTGATTGTGATGATCCATAGAGACCCTGTGTCTCTAGTAAGACCCGGAGTGATGTATACAGAGGCCGAAGAACAGGATATTCGACCAGATAGTCTTTGAGATATTCCGATATAGCTGGAACACGTTCCCCGCAAACAACGTGCAGTGATAAGCCTGTTGGGCGATGCTGAGCATCAACGGCACGATTGTTTTTGCTATTGAGGCGGACTTGACCGTGAAATGCCGGGTCCTCCTGCAGAGCGGATTCAACTTTATGGAGCAGACGCATACAGGAATCTTGGATCTGTGAAATTGTCACACGGGGCTTGCGGACATGGTCGAGCGTCGGTGGAAAATCTTCGTAAGGAAGGAAGAGACTGAGGTCTGAATGCGCCAATGCTAGGCCTGTAGCGCGGGACCCAATGAGTTTGGGAGCATGAGGGGCCACTGGCTTGAGCAATGAGACTAATTTCCAGCGCACTTGGTCGATCTGGTGTTGCTCGCGGGGACTTGTGCTCAGATAACGGTCCAACGCGAGAATCTCCGCGTCGAGGTGCGCGGAAGCATCGCCAATGCCCTCAGGTAGCTCTAGGTAGCTCAGCCATGGGGTTTGCTCGGGGCAACCGAGGCGTGTTGAGGTTGACTTTCGAATCGCATAGGTCTCCTTTCGGGCATCCGTCAATTGTGCGTTCAATTCTGGTTTCCGCTGGCGCGAGTGTTTTTTGCTTTTCGTCTTCTTGGGCACGGGCTTGAACGGCTCCAGCACTGGTGGCGCCGGTAGCTGGTAGCCCGGACGGTTTTCGGGAGGAATTGTCGGCCTGAAGAGTCCTGGAGCTGGACTACGGGGATAAGTTTTGCGGATGAGACGAGCCCGATTTGAGGATCGATGCGCGTCTACTGTCTTGCGCAGGCTGTTGGCGAACACATCATCGTCCTGGCTGGCTGAGACAGAGGAACGGAATCGCCGGATGACATGATGAGGAAGACGTGAGAATTGGATGCCGGACAACCGCATCACCGCACGATCACCGAGGTGGCATTAGGAAGAGAAGCCGTGGGGAAGTCCATGACAGCGGCAATGACCTGGTTTATGGAGGCCTGACGTTCAAGGCAGTATTACGATCTGGGGATCAGATGACTTAGCATGATGACTAACTGGCGATCTCCCCCAATTGAATTGCGACTCACGGATTTCGTCAAACAAGAGGCGCGTTAAGTTGTTAGTCAGGTACTTTGGTCCGCTGGTTCCCCGTCAGTCCGCCACCGAATCCATCGGAACTACGTGACCTGGCCGGGCCAGTCCCCCGGCTTTCTTTTGATATCTCTGTGATCTCAGGCCCTCCAATCCTGGGAACCGTATCCTCCCGCATTAGATGTTATCTTTTCTCTGTCCATTGCCACTGTAGATTGCGGCCGCCCATGACGTAGGACTGAAGGCATTCGCCGAAATAGGCCCAGAGACAATTCCTGATTCGGACAGTGGCTTCATCTCACCGCTTGCCCCTCCATGAGCCAACTTCACCTTCTGACTTTCCTTTCCCCCTCTTGTTCCCTTCAGAATTTCTTCAGGATCCAAGACTGTCTGATTACCGGGCCTGTGGCGTTGTTACCGTCTGAATATCCATGGCTTGCTCGCGCCCGTAGCCCGCTTCTTGTGTCGATCTATTCGTCGACATCCACCCCGTCTCGCTCCGAGGTATGCGATCCGTTCTCGTTACCCCTAGTCCATCGACGTCAGGGTTCCCCGGCATCGACAACGGCCTGCATGTGACAATTGCAGTGATTCTAACAGACTATACAGTTTAAGCGCTGGTGTCACGCCTGGTCCCCGATTCCCGCCCCTCTCCCCCACCAGCCATGTCCGATCAAGGAAGCCCCGCGCAGGTGCCTGACGGGCAGCCAAACCCGGTGCTTGTTGGTCCAGGTCTCAAGGCCTTGAAGGAGCAGGCATATATGAATGCGACCAATGCCACTCCAAGCGTGGATATCGATAAGGAGCAGCAGATGGATAGTGATGCGCCCTCCTACTTTGCCAACATCCCGGGCGCTAAGACCGACTCTCTTGACCCCTCAGACTTGACATCAACACCCCCTCAGATCCGAAGAAAGATGTCGTCTGGACAAGATTTGTTGCGCCGGTTGAGTTTGACGGCAGGAGCATCCCCCATATCGCCGGAGGTGGACCCCCGCGCACAGCATCCCGGCCTCAAGCTAAGCGGCCGTTTGATAAGCGTGGCATTCTGTATTCCGTACAAGCTTTATTTCCAGTCAGGATCAAACTGGGTATGCGACGGAAGTCCTTCATTCATAACTAGATCTCAACTTGGTCAAGCTAACCTTTCTTCGTGATAATGACAGACACTCAAATCACGCTCCGGCACTTCGGCTCTCTTTGACTCATTTGCCCACCTGGCCTCCGACGAGACTCAATGGTCACACACCCTGGTAGGATGGACTGGCGAGGTCGAATCTACCTCAGACACCAAAATTCCCTTACAACAGATTTCTCTCAACACCACGACAAATTTGTCCACCAGTCCTAGTAATACCGCCTCTATACCGATCAACAAAGCAGCTGCCCCGATCCCTGTCAATGCGAGCCAACAGCCACCCTCGCATCCCCTTGTCGATGGAATCAGTGTCGGCAAGGAAGATCGTGAGCGGCTTGACAAGCAACTCTCTTCAGGGCGTTATGGCCGAATCTTGCCGGTCTGGCTATCGGATGCATCGGAGGAACCAGAGGATACTGTTCTTCTGAAAGATCAAGGAAGATGGCGGCGATATTCAGAGAGGGAATTGTATCCCCTGCTGCACTACAAGCAGCATGGGCCGACAGATGGTCGCTCTGAACGTCGGTGGTGGGCTGACTACGTTCGGTTGAATCAGCTCTTCGCAGACCGAATTGTAGCCGACTATCAGGAGGGAGATGTTGTGTGGATTCATGACTATCACCTGTTTCTACTTCCCAGCATGTTGCGACAGCGTATCCCTAACATCTACATTGGATTCTTCTTGCACTCTCCTTTTCCCAGCAGCGAGTTTGTGCGGTGCCTGGCCAAGCGTAAAGAGGTGCTGACTGGGGTCCTTGGCGCAAACATGATTGGATTTCAGACATTTTCTTACTCCCGACACTTCTCCTCATGTTGCACGCGTGTCTTGGGATTCGACTCGAACTCAGCTGGAGTGGATGCGTACGGCGCTCATGTTGCGGTTGATGTCTTTCCCATTGGCATTGATGCGCGCGCCATCCAAAAGGCAGCGTTTGGGGCCCCGGATATTGAGAAGACTGTGATTGGCATCCGCAAATTATATGCTGGAAAGAAGATCATCGTCGGCCGTGACCGATTGGACAGTGTTCGAGGAGTAGCACAGAAGCTCCAGGCTTTTGAAATTTTCTTGGAGAGATATCCCGAATGGCGCGACAAGGTTGTCCTCATACAGGTGACAAGTCCAACCAGTGTGGAAGAAGAGAAAGAAGACCCCGAGAACAAGATTGCCAGTCAGATTTCTAACCTGGTGTCCACGATCAATGGGCGTTTCGGATCGCTGAGCTTCTCACCAGTTCAGTATTATCCGCAGTACCTTTCTCAACGGGAATACTTCGCCCTCTTGCGTGTTGCGGACGTAGGTCTGATCACTACGGTGCGAGACGGCATGAACACCACAAGTCTTGAGTATATTGTCTGTCAGCAAACGAACCATAGCCCTCTCATTCTCTCTGAATTTTCCGGTACCGCGGGTACACTCCCCAGTGCCATTCACATTAATCCATGGGATCTGGTGGGTGTCGCAGGCGCCATCGACCGGGCCCTCAGCATGCCTGCCGATCAACGGCGTGAGCAACATTTGAAACTATACAAGCACGTTATCACTAATACCGTCTCAACGTGGTCCAGGCTGTTCCTTCATCGGCTCCTCACCAATCTATCCTCCTTTGACCAGTCTGTTGCTACCCCTGCACTTGACCGTGCGAAGTTGGTTAAGCAGTACCGCAAAGCTCGGAAACGTCTTTTCATGTTTGATTACGACGGTACCCTCACACCGATTGTCAAGGACCCGCAGGCCGCTATACCATCTGACAGAGTTCTCCGTACACTCAAAACCCTGTCGGCTGATCCACGGAATGCCGTCTGGATCATTAGCGGACGTGACCAGGCCTTTTTGGACGAGTGGATGGGTCATATACCCGAATTGGGGCTAAGTGCCGAACATGGCTGCTTTATACGCAAGCCTCGATCGGACGATTGGGAGAACTTGGCCGAACGATCAAATATGGGCTGGCAAAAAGAGGTGGTAGAGGTCTTCCAGCACTACACGGAGCGGACGCAGGGCTCATTTATTGAGCGGAAACGAGTGGCTTTGACATGGCACTATCGCCGGGCAGACCCCGAGTATGGGGCCTTCCAGGCGCGCGAATGTCGAAAGGCTCTGGAGGATACAGTTGCCAAACGATGGGATGTGGAAGTTATGGCTGGTAAGGCTAACCTGGAGGTCCGACCTACGTTTGTCAACAAAGGTTTCATCGCAACCCGACTCGTAAACGAGTATGGCACAGAGCCTGGGAAAGCGCCCGAGTTTATTCTGTGTCTCGGAGATGACTTCACGGACGAAGGTATCAAGCCCAAACACCGCGCTTCTAGAATTTTTCTGACATCAATTTACAGATATGTTCCGTGCCCTCCAAAAGTTCGACCTTCCCCATGACCATGTTTACTCAGTTACAGTGGGTGCTAGCTCGAAGCAGACCGACGCCAGTTGGCATCTCCTGGAGCCCGCCGACGTTATCGGCACACTACAGATGCTTACCCATTAGCCATCGTCAAAATGCAGAGTCAGCACGAGCTTTTTCTAGTTTTACCCCCTGCTCTCAGCTTGGCAATCCTCGCCTTCCACTTCCTGTGTTTAGTTCTAGTCACGGGAGCTGAAATGGCTTGGCTTAGCTTGGCTTTGCCCTTGCTTGGCAGTTGAAGAAAGATGGCAGCCCACCGAGCCCCACCTTTTTCATACACGTACACGAACCTGAGCCTCTATCCGATCCAGAAGGTGTTATCATTGTCTCTCCTTCACCCGCATTATCCTGTCTTGGTTTTTATTTCTCGATTTCGAGGGGGTGACTGGCGTGGCTATCTCTTTTTTGGCCTTGTGGCTTTTTGATCTTTTTTTTGTGATAGTTTCTGACCCGGGCATAGATGCATCAGCCTTGAGTTGTAAAGACTAGTTTTTAGATAGCGAGTGCAAATACAATAATCGGGATTAGCTCCCGATGGCCGATTGGAAGCCGAGACATCCGAGAATGGCCCTTGTTAAAAATTGCGGGGGAAGCCACTCCATGCGGGGAAAATATGTCGTGATTGATAATAGATTATTGCTAGTTATAGCTGCCCTTTTTGTATATATAGACAAACGACTTATTTGGTCTCCATGGGCCGAGCCAGGAGACTCACCTCATGTCAAATGCAGAGTTTCGGTGGATCCTGCTCTCGGATGTGTCTTCGGAAAGGCGTGTTGTGCTTCGGTAATCTCTGCGAATTACCGGCGGGTGCCCAGAGATCGGCGCGAAGCCCGTTAGAATGGACGGCAATTTTTTTCCGGGCCTACTTCGGCACCATGAGTCAGTTAAGAGGGCCGACTGATCCAATTCGTCCGCTTTTTGATTGACAAGATCGCAGTTATCTTCTTCTTCGTCCTCACCTAGGGCTTTTTGGTAAAGCATTTTTATGTTAAGCTGTTTGTGGTGCTGGTACAGGGACATGGGCGACGACACAGGAACGACCTGATTGCATACATATTCGAAATTCCGAAACTTCAGCCCGCATCCCGATGGCCGAGTCCACGGCGCAGTGCCCCGAGAAAGGACGAACCTCGAGCATGGTCGAGGAAAAGGACTTTCAAGACAAGGTTGATCCAACCTCGCTGGAGAACAATTACCCTCTCCGGACATCCTCTTCTGACGAAGAGTCCACGATCGGCGAAGCCCACGGGCCCAATGACCTCGTCCAGATCCCGACCAACACCAGCGCTGTAGCACGGACGCTCTCCGTCGTGCGAACGCGTGAGTCGGGCAAAGATCTCGGTCCGCCACCGGACGGAGGATTCCAGGCCTGGCTGCAAGTTGCGCTGGGCCATATGATCATTTTCAATACTTGGGGATACATCAACAGTTTTGGCGTCTTCCAGACCTACTACACATCGACGCTGGGGCGGTCGCCCTCCGACATCTCCTGGGTGGGCAGCATCCAGATCTTCCTGCTGTTTTTCGTCGGGACTTTCTCCGGCCGCGCCACCGATGCGGGCTACTTCCGATTCACATTGACGGTCGGGGCTGTGCTCGAGTGTTTCTGTATCTTCATGACCTCGCTGTGCACCGAGTATTGGCAGCTCTTCCTAGCTCAAGGTCTTGGGCAAGGCATTGGCTGCGGCTTAATGTTCTGTCCCACCCTGGCTTTGATCTCGACGTATTTCGTCAAGCGCCGAGGCATTGCACTTGGGCTCGTCGCCTCGGGATCGGCCACGGGAGGCTTGGTTTTCCCGGCAGTGGTGATGCGCCTGCTGCCACGGATTGGGTACGGATGGACGATGCGGGTGCTGGGCTTCATCTCGCTCGCCACGCTCATCCCGTGTCTGATCTTCTTCAAGCAGCGTCTGCCGCCGCGCACGAATGGGCCACTGATCGAGTTGGCGGCGTTCAAGGAGCTTCCGTACCTGCTGTTTGCGGTAGGGATGTTTCTGAATTTCTGGGGCCTGTACGTCGCATTCTTCTATGTGGGCAGTTTCAGCCGCAACATCATCGGCACGTCGGAGACAGTGTCGATAGACCTGCTTATGGTGATGAACGGAGTTGGCATAGTGGGCCGCCTGGTCCCAAATCTGCTGGCCGATCAATTCACTGGCCCTCTCAACTTACTGATCCCATTCAGCGGAGCCACGGCCGTCGTGGCTTTCTGCTGGGCGGCGGTCAAAGACATGTCTGGGCTGTGGGCGTTTGCCTTGTTCTATGGCCTCTCCGCCGCAGGCATTCAGTCCCTGTTCCCTGCCACACTCAGTACGTTGACGACGGACCTGAAGAAGATTGGGGTACGCATGGGCATGGTGCTCAGTGTGGTGGCGGTCGCCGCGCTGATCGGATCCCCCATTGCCGGCGCGCTGGTCCAGCGTGATGACGGCGAGTACCTCTATGCCCAGATGTTTATGGGCAGCGCGATCATTGCCGGGACGTTAACACTGATCGCAGCGCGCATCGCTAAAGTGGGCACGGGCATTGCGCGAGTATGAGCCCAAAGCCTGGAATCTGAAGCTTCAAGAGTTGGGTCGGGAGCCCTTAGCACTGAAGCATAAACAATGAACCCCCCTTGCATAGATAGACTGTAAATAGCGGCCTTGGTTGCATGCTCATAATGTTAATGGCAAATATAAAAAGTCTCAATTTGGTGTTTTCTTTTGGCCCTATTCAAGGCTTCTCTTTTTTTTGGTCGTCGGTTGTCGAGTGTCGAGTATTTGATTTGGCTGGGACTGGACCATCTCCACATGTGACGGGAACTGATTAATGCGAGCGCGTTGACTCGTCTTTTCCCTCTCGATCACCACGAGCCCACAAACACACCCATTGACTCTCAAAAGTCCCATTATCTTTCTGTACGAGTCACAGAAACGCAGGTTAGTTTGCCGCCAATTGCTCTGCGCTTCCATTGCAGGCGCCAGAGATTCCGCCCCCTCCCCCCCCCACTTCTGCCCCTCCATTTCAGTTCGTGCATGCATTTACGTCGCTGTGACTCAAGAACCGGCACTGATGTCGATAGACCGTACTGAGTGACACATTTTCAACCACTACCCTACCTACTGCTCGAATACCTAGTGTGCGACACACTATTCGGTCAACTGTCTCGCTATGGCACCCCGCAGCCGTGGAGGAAAGTTCTCCAAACCATCACGAGGAGGTATGGTCGCGTGCACAACCCCTCCAGCACTGAAGCTAGTAGTATCTGAGGCTCACATAGACGTGGATCACAGGAGGAAAGCGCTTCAGCCGGGATGTCCAGCCCACCGATAAAGACGGCAACCCCGTTGGTCTCTGGCGCGTAAGTTGGGCCTCAAACCTCCGGGATTGACCCCCCATATTCTCAGATCTATGAACTAATCCGTAACCGCCGCATACCCCAGGACCCTGAGGATGAGATTCCGTCAAGTGGAGAAGAGTCCTCTGAGGAGGAGGAGTCCTCTGAGGAGAGCGACGCCGGTGAAGGGCCTAGCACGGAAACTTCTGGAGCCGCAGACATGACCCGCGAGGCTCGGCGAGCGGCCGCCAAGAAAAAGAAAGCAGAAGCAATCGCCAAACGACAGAATGCACCCGCGCAGCCAGGCGATTTGCCGCCCTCCGACTCGGAAGAAGTTTCGGACGACGACGACTTGCCCGCGAACCCGAACCACTCGGCGAAGTCACGGTCACAGCTTAAGGAGCCGGGGTCCGATGAGGAGAAGCCGGATAAAGGTGTGAAAGACCTGTCGCAGCTATCGCGACGGGAGCGCGAGGCCATCGAAGCCCAGCAAGCGCGGGAGCGGTACCTGAAGTTGCACGCGGAGGGGAAGACTGAGGAGGCGCGGAATGACCTCGCTCGGCTCGCGGTTATTAGGGAGCAGCGCGAGGCGGAACGGGCCCGGAAGGAAGCTGAGAAGGAAGAGAAGGCTGAGCAGGCGAAGCAGCGTGAGGCGTCGGTTAAATCGCGCGAGGAGAAGCTCCGGCAAGCAGCCATGAGAAAGAATAAGCCTGGGAAGAAGAAATGAAGAGCTTATCTTCCTTAGGCCAATTCATGACCTACCGAATCTAGATACATGACGAAATAATCATATACCAATTTAGCACGGGCCCATTCTGTGAGGATGGGGCGTAAGAAGCCAACAAGCCACGTTCCACCAAGTATCAAATGATGATTGAGGACTCGCAAGCAGTCATCGCACTTGCAATCATCTTGTCAATGAATAGGGTCTCAACAAATGGTGGATAGTCAAATCCATTTCGACATGCTATTTGGACCTCTAGCATTTGAAAACTCTGGAGTACCAGGATTGATATTGGATCTATGGAACACACAGAAAAAAGGAAACAGAAGATGCCTGGTCATATAGGCGAAAATATGGAAACCCATGCCTGCCAACGCCATCCCAATTGCAGAGAAGAAAAAGGACAATGATTACTCTTCCGATGCATAGCGAAACAGAACATGAGAAAGGAAATCGGGTTTCATACAAGAGGCTGCTGATATCAAACCCCCAAGGGCGATAGAGAGGAAAGAGGTCAAATGCATAGAGGATAGCCCGGAATGAGAGATAATCTTAAATATTGGGCTGTTCATACCCCCCAGAAAAGGCCTTCAACGCTGCGGCCTTGCATGATAACGCCCCAGCCAGCAACGAGACTGACCAGCCAGAGAACAGCAAAGGCGAGAATGGGGATGAGTAGAAGCTCTGTATTGTGCAGAAAGGGCAGAGCGTTATAGCCGAGGAAAGTGATGTAGGTGTAGTACACCAAGGCGGAAAGATAGAGGGAGTTTCCAAAGAAGGTCGCCAGGAAATTGCTTGGGCTACGAGTGAGAAGAGGAAGAAGCAAGAACTGGACCACGTAGAGGTGGAGATACAGCGGAAAAAAAGCGCGATTGGAGACCTATATAGTGAATAGCAAAAGAGGTTTAGCAAGAATGACGTCTCTCGTAATTGGAGAGAGGTGGACAGATCTTACATCGAAGCAGTACCCAAACTCCAACTGGTCCTTTTCGCCAGGTTGCACAAAGAGACCCTGGGCGGCGCCCCGCCGGCGACTCCGCGAGCTACGAAGACCCGTCAAGGAGGCAGCCGCGCCATTGGGACCGAAGAGGCGACCGATGATGAAGTAGCCGATTGTCGAGACGAGCAGCGAGGACCCGATGAAATGTACGAAGATGAATAGAAATGACAGGCGTACAATGGCACCGAAGGAAGGGGTATATGCGAGGCCCCAAGCGAGAGCTGTGAGGAGTAGAAAGAACGAGAGAAGATAGGTGAAGGAGGGATCGGGGCGATGCCATGTGTTTTTGGTTTCTGAGGGAGAGGAAAACGAAGTTAGTAGACGGTTCCGTTGGCGAGAGATTCGGACCAGGGTCTCCACGGCGATTTATGATTGAAATAGTAGTCAAACTTACGTTTCTTTTGCACAAAACGTCAGATGATTAGCATAAGTCGAGCTTGAAACACAAATATGAGGCAGTAAGCACCTTGAAGATGCGGGAGGAAGCTTACATGGTAGTATATGGACTTGAAGACCTTCTTGGGTGCAATCAACAAGGAAGTCATCTCCCAAATTGCCATTTCAAAGTCCATCTGAGGAAACTTGAAGAGCCTGGCCCACGGGGTTTTATGATCAGTCACTCCATCACCTGATATCTTTTCGAATATGGTAGGTTCCGTCCAACCTGAGCTGGAGACGGGGGAGCCCTACCTCTTGAAGAAGCGTGGCATGCGTACACTGGACCCACGACTGGGCGTGGAGCCAAAGTTGGCAGGACCAGCATGTTGACGAGGGACGGAGATGTGCGGGTTCATTTTCACAGCCCGTTCTGGTCAGGAGCCGGGGATCATTGAGCGAGCACCACTGGAATGAGGGTCTCGTCGACGTGTCGGGCCCGGGGAGCCTGGGTTATGTCATCGTTGGAGTCCCACTCACGTGCTCTCCTTGACACCTGAGGCACCAACAATTCTATACAATTGCCTGTTATAGACATGGGACAGTTTGCGACGACATCCACAGTCTGAGCCCCCGGCTTCTACCAGCAGATCTTATTACAAATGCACTCAGACGAATGGTGCGAGAACCCGAGATCCAAGAACCGAACCCCGACTCCAGGTTTGGCAGAACTCCCAAGATGAACGAATCAGCCCACACCATCCGGTTCTGGTGCTTACTATATTATCCATCCTATTTGGATAGAACCGCGCGCCTCATCGATCGGGTGGCGATCTTCTCGGGCATATTCGTGCTGCTATGTTAGATCTCACCCGGTCTATCGATTTCTTGGTCTGATCTCGACCGCTTCAGGGAATCTGCAAGGGACGGGTCTCTTTTCCCTCCCCCCTCTTCTTCCCCTCTTCTAAGCGTCGGCCCAAACTTCCTTGTGGATGTGATTACCGACGACGACACGCAGGGCGGCCGATGCGTGCTTCGTTCACTCGATCTGGGCACGTACTGCTCGGAACTCAGTACATATGCATTGTCTTGACTCTCACTGGCATGGGCGCATGATATATCTATCACCACAGAACAGAGTTGTGGCGATTCCGCTGATCTGCATGGTCGGACCCTGCGATGCATCACATCGCTTCGGCATGCATGGCAGGAGGCCTGGATGTCCCGAATCATCATATACATCAGATATCGAGGCCGAGAATCCGGGCAGACAACGAGTCTGATCCTAATGCTCTACCCTGTCTGGTACATCTCTGGGCATGGGGAAATGCCCGACACTGGCCGCCAGTACGCTAGCCTTGCAGGATCAAGCAGACCCGGCAAGCATTGATGGGTCTCCACCACACCTTGACGCCTTTGGGAGGGGAGGGCCCACTGAGGACTGCAGGGCCATCCGCAGACAAGCCCGAAGTAGGTAAAGCAGGAAACACAAGAGAAAACCAGGAGAACCAGAACTCTCAGACTCCCGAAGTATAACCCCAACCTGGCAATAAGCCAGTTTTCACCGTCATTTGGGCGTCGGTATGCAGTACACAGACCCGCAGCAATTGGTTGCAAATAATCCATTTGAGTCGGGTAGTCTGATGGTCTATTAATCTATTAATTTAATTTGATTCTACTGTACCTTACCCCATTGATCCTGTTTGCCGTGGATCCTCCCGGGAGATATGAATACGGGGGCCTCGTTCTCTTGTGCCAGCGCATCAAGTGGTTCGTGCTTTTCCCCCTGAGTCGGACAGGACACGGTCGATCAGGGATAAAGAGGATCAAACGGGTCGAGAACACCATTTCAAGACAGTCTGAGGATCGTCCGATATTTAATCGCTTGAGGTTTGAACGGTGCAACTCGACGAGTTTCTCCGTATTCCCGACTCAGCACGACTAGTCCGAAGTCCCGAACCGACGTACGGAGAATCCTGAAGTCGCCCCTGTTTCGCACTGGCATTAGCTGCTTCACTAAGTTTCGGGTCTCCTCCCGATTGTTTTCTACCCTTCTTTTCTACTACTTTCGCCTTCTACGTTGAATCCAGCGTCTCGACCTTGACGAGAATTTTGATAATCCCCCAAGTTGGAAGTTTGGTACTGGGAGTTCCACTTCGGCAGGTCCAAGCCCCCCCAGTTCAGGAGTTCGTCCCGCCCCCGGCTTCTACTTTCTTCCTTCTCCTTGGACCAACTCTGGACCGCATCGGCATCCACTGGCCCCGTTGCCAATCGGTTCTTGTCCTCCTCCACCGGCTGCACGCAGCCGCGTCGCCATTGCCCCTTACTGGCACAGGACATGCGATGACTGCGTGAGATTGAACCAGCCCTCCCCCTCTAGTGCTCCAGTCCCGCAGCCAACGAGCACAATCTGTCCGACTTCCAAACCGGCATCCCACTTGACTAGACTGGACGCCTTTGGGCAACGGCTGCTCCGAGATTATAGCCTTGGGCACTGCGGGTACGTGGCGGCGCTCCCAACTCCCTGAACCCCCTTCTGCCCGACTCCGCATGCAACAAGCTCCCAAGCTCTCCTTCAATCGGCATTGAGTTGACATAAAGGCACAAGACGCCCCATTGACTAGACTCGCCAACGTGACAATGTCCCAGCAACGTGAGACGTTCGCGACCGACTCCCCTCCTCGCACTCCTCCGTCCCAAACCGCGAAATATCGGCCCAAGCGTGGCTATAATACTCGACCCTCCATCCGCGATGCGTTCCCAGACACTGCAGCTGCCCTGGAGAATGCCCCAAGGGCGAGCGAGTCCGGCGACGAGCGGGATCCGCATGATCTGTCTCTATCCCCGAAGCATGCGGCCCGCACCTCGATTGTAGACAACATGCTCCTATCCCTCGACCAGTTCGCCGCTCCGGGATCATCTGTTCTCGACGACTACCGACTATTCAACTCGGCTTTCGAGTCTGATCTCCATGGCCGGTACCGTGGCCATACTTTCTCGTCTTCGATGTCCTCCGAGGCAGACTTCGGTTATGATGATGGTAGCGGCCGCTACGCAACGATCACTGCCAAGGGCCGTCGGAGCAATAGCAGCTCGAATTACCAAACAGCGCCGAGGAGGATGAGCAGTGCTCGTGGTCGGGATGGGATGAGCTCGCGAGGTGGCGCAGGAACGATGCCCAGGTCAAATGACATGCGAAAAGGGAGCAAAGGAAGCGGATCCAATATCGAATATGCCTACACTTTGCCCCGAGGACGAGCAGACTCGGAAGGTCGGCGCTCAGAGAGTTTTGACTGCGGACCAAAGAAAGCTTTTGTCCCGTATGCCGACCCTGGAATTTGTCAGGACTCACTGTTGTACGATGACGACGCAGCTCCAACCCCGAGCGTGCCAGCTGGACCGCGCAAGTACCTCGACTACAAAACCCCAACTAACGCAGCCTCACGGACACCGGTGACATCGCGCCGAAATAGCGTGAAATCTGCTCATGCCCCGCAGGTGCGAAAATCTCGCCCTGAAAATCTGGGGACCGGGGTCCTCAAGGTACGTGACAATGACTTTATACCGGATGACACCGAGCTCGACCTCCCCCCGGCCATTCCGGCCTCGCTAGACCCGCCTGCTCCGAGCCCGACGATATCATACAACAAGCCGGCCTTTCCTCCCCCGGAACCGACGGCGACTAGCACGACCACAATAACAACAAATACAAACGCCTCAGCCATTAAAGAGCGCCCAGGATTCTTCCGGCGCGTCTTCGGCTCATCGAATAAAGCTTCTGCTCCTGTGGACCCTGGATCTTCCAATAGCAATGACCTCGCATATCTCCAAGAAAATGAAACGAAGGACTCGACTGGGGCAACGGTCAATCTGAAGGCACGAGAGCCGCCACAATCCCAGCACCAGCAACAAGCCAAAAGCGCGATGGCTCCTCCCCCTGCTCCTACCCGTAAAGGCCCACCGCAGCTGGTGAAACAGAAGTCTTCGTTCTTCCGGCGCCGTAAGAAGTCCGTGACCGACCATATTCCACCGCCAATCGTGTTGCCGCAAGATCTGGCGCCCCATGCTTTGGATACGATGAAGCCAGAGCCCAGCCCAGTCAGCAGCTTACGACAGGTGATGAACCCATATCTCGCAGATGGTATGCCAGCACATCCGGACTATAAAGAAAACCGACAAGGGGACGATAACTTACGCCGTGGGTCAGCCTCGTTACAAGCACAAAAGCCAAGAGAAAGTGTCTCGGCTCCTGGCGCAGGCTCTAAGACCAAAGGACCTCTCCAACCTCCCTCTTCTGCCCGCAGCCAGGATCCTCATTCGCAGAAAGCAGATAACCGGGGCACCAATGATCAGACCTTTAGAGCGTCTGATGTGGATTCCATCTCGTCTGCCGATTCCCCCTTGCAGGAGAAGAGTTCGAATGCCATACCCACTGGACTGTCATCAGTCCCAGAGGATTTCTCTCGCACCATCAGGGTATCAACGAATTTATCACCCAATGACGCCTCACAAGTTAGTCTGACTGGGTCCCGCAAGTTGGCACTTCCATCTGACAGCAATGTTCCTGAATCACCTGCTGTTTCAGAAGCCTCTCATTACCAAACAGCCTCTACTACTCCAGTCATTGAGTCAGAAGAACCCAAAGCCGACGAGGACAGCGAGGTTAAGATGGATGGACCAGGCGAGGCCATTGAGGATGGTCCGACCGCAAGTGACCGAGAGCAAGCGCAGAAACTCTTTGATAGCCAAGACCAGGTTGTTGGAAACGAGCCAGCGGCTGCTTGGCTTGGTGAGCCTGATCGAGCTTTGGTGAGGGAGGCTTACATGCAGCTTTTCAATTGGTCTAATTTGAATATCCTTGCTGCTCTCCGAAGCCTTTGCCAACGCTTGGTTCTCAAGGGAGAGACCCAGCAGGTCGATCGAGTTCTGGATGCTTTTTCGAACAGGTGGTGTGATTGTAATCCAAGCCATGGCTTTAAAGCGACTGGTAAGTATTTGATTTGAGCCTAGAAACATGGTCAAAATATGGGCGAATTGGCTAACTTCGTTTTCAGACGTTGTCCACACTATCTGCTACTCCATTCTTCTTTTGAATACCGATTTGCACTTGGCAGATATCGAGCAGAAGATGACTAAATCTCAATTTGTCCGAAATACGATGCCCACAATCCATAGAGTCGCTATGGATGCGGCCCCCGAAGGGTTTGAAACATTGCGGCCTACAAAAGTGAAGACTACACCCATCGCAGCCGAATCGGCACATTCTGCACCATCCTCAGCTCGTTCCCCAACATTTCCCCCTGGTGCTGGGCGCAACTCGTTCGACCAAGAGACTTCTGGCCGCAATACTGCTGATGGCGATGCGGGTCCGTTGGTCTGTACGCCTTTCACTGGCACTGTCAGGGCATGGGAACAGCAAGTGGAAACCGTTCTCAAAGACTTCTACGCCTCAATCCAGAAAGAGCGACTTCCTCTTCACGGTGCTCAGCCTGAAAGAGAAGTATCCCGCATGGCCTCGAGTAGTTTCTTGGGTCCTGCCACCGCACTGCGTCGCAGCCCCAGCACTATCAGCAAGAGCGGATCGGACATCTATCCGCGTGGTCGCTCTGCGGACTCTCGACATGGAGCCGCGAGATGGTCTTCTAAGCCTCGTTCTCGAGGAGCCAGGCTCTATCCTGCCTCTGTCATGGGTTCGAGTCGCACTAGTCTGGATGACCAGTCTTCTGTTTGGAGCCCTGCTGCCTCTAGCACATGGAGCAAATATTCTTTAGGCAAATTCACATCTGCATCTGTGGACTCGTTTGGCTCTGAGTTTCCTCGCGGAGAATACCAGCAGTCCATTGGGTTTGCCAATGCGCTCAGTCAAGCAATCATCCGCGAAGACTCTGCCACATCGATCTACAGTTTCGAGGAGCCCGAGCGAACAACTCCTCTTCTTGAAGATGAGACACTGGCTTTGGCCGGTGCACCATGGGCTAAGGAAGGAAGCGTCAAGCACAAGCACCACTTAGATGCCGTTGACAAGCGCGCCAAGGACCGCAACTGGAATGAATGTTTTGCGGTCATTCAGCAGGGCTGGATGCGATTATTCTCATTCAATAATGCATCTAAATCTGTGCGCCAGAAAGCGAAACAACGGGGTGGTGTTGTGGTTGGAGGTGGTAACTGGACTGAGAATGCGGAGGAGATCTGGAAGTTTATGCTTCGTCAGACTATCGCCAGTGCTCTTCCGCCCCCGGATATTCCAAATCTCGACCCCATGTCTGGGCTTTGAGCTTGCCAACTGGTGCTGTCCACTTATTTCAGGCTGGTACTCCCGAGATTGTTCGAGAGTTCGTATCCACAGCTAATTACTGGAGTGCTCGACTGTCCAAGGAGCCCCTGGTCGGAGGTATCAGCAACATCGAGTATGGATGGAGTGATGCTGTCATTAACAGCGCTCTGATAAACTCTGAGAACCGGTCGCCACCACCTTCCTCCGGTGCGCCTCGGCCCAGTATCCAAAGCTCAATTCGCAGTTCGATCGACCAGGGGACTGTGCGGCCGAAACTCCCTGCAGACCGAGTGCACATCAGCGATTGGAGTCCTCCGCAACAGAGTATGGTAGCGTCTCACCTTTGTGAGGAGGACCAGCTGAAGGCCCTGCAGATATACGTGAAGAACGTTGAGGATGACCACCAGCGGCATAACGACCTACGCCCGGCCATGAACCTAGCCTTCTCGCCGCGACACCCCAACTCGGCAAAGGCAATGGCCAACTGGGAGCGCAAGTCATCCTATCTCTTACGTGAGATTGTCAAATTTCGAACCTATATTGACTCTCTTCGCAATGCAATCAATCAAAAGGGCAAGATCCTTGCGGTTTCGCCTTCCGCCGACACTTCGTCCACAGATAATGATGTGACTGCCGGGCCATCCACCGTGAGCCCAACTTCAGCTTGATTGCTTCAACGTAGCCCGCTTTGGGCCGCTCTGCATTTCTTTCTATGTGCTCTCTTCACTTAGACTCATGGCATCTTCTCCACCCCTTCCCTCTTCTCTTTTGATGAACTATCTGAACTTCGACTGCACATCGCTGTATATACCCCCCAGGCTGGGGGATACTTCGGGATACATACCCCTCTCTCCAAAAGCGATTTGTCTGCTTTACCTCTCTTCATTTCTACCTTTTCTCATTGGTGTGCTGTTTCTATTCTCCTTTTTGTCCATGGCCGTTTTATTTTCGTTACTATTTCCCTCTACTTTTTTTTCTCATATGTGGCCGGGCTTGGGTAGCTTGTTTAATGCTTTTGGGACTACGATGCGACTGATGCTATGGATACCATGATAGTATTTTCTTGATTTTGAAATGCAATGTCAATGTTGACTTTTCTATTCTACAAAGAACGAGTCCAGCGTGGACGTGTCCATTGTCGCTATGCATGATCCTGGGCTTCGGTACATAGTTGTAGTCTGTGGAGCAAATCTTTGTGGCATTAGACTTGTGTCGGAGAGATTGCGTTGCAATACCGCTTCCAGGGTGTGTGCCTGGCCGTGTCGATACTGCCGCCCTCCACCTTTGGTACACGTTGATCTCGCTCCATGGCACCTGCCCATTGACCCCCCTCGACAGGTCAGATTCTCTGTTCAAATCTATCGAAATCTATAGCTCTCACCTCCAACTCCAATGAGAGCCATCGTCGACTCCTGTACTGGGCGACGCTTATTCGCCAATTGTTGTGGGTAAAACGCAGAGCAGGGTGGAGACCAAAACACGCTTTGACGCCGTCACCATGTCGACCAGGGCCCCAGTGACAACACCTCCGATCGTCATCCCAGGCCCGCCTTCGGTGCGCATCCCCTCTCATGAGTCTGGCGCATTCCACACCCCCCAAGAACTCTCGCCGCTGGATGCCGATTTTTGCGCCGCAGATTACTTTATGGCCGAGGACACACGGGGGCCTGACCCCCGAGTACAATGGACGACTCAGTATTCCCGGTAACAACGAGCAAGACCCCCGAAGTCCAAGACGCGCAACAAACCATCATCACCTCCTCTGAACCGACCGCACACACGGAGAAAGATGAGCATCAAACTTCCGAAGAAGCGACCCTTCCGACAGAGCTACCCGATCCTGAAGATCCCAGTCTTCTGCCCCCTTTAACCGATCTCGACGACAGCAGTCTGTTCCCCTTGTTCAGCGAAAATGGCGACCACGAGCGCGGCAACAACCAGACGCTTATTGAAGAGCATGAGATGCGCCGGAAGCTGATGGACATGGAGTCGAGCTTTCTGCCGGAGCCCTCAACCATTGACGTCGCTGCGACCGGCCGAACTGCCGGCGCTGATGATACCTATTTAGTTGGAGTTGGAGGCTATGATCCCGATACCACAGGAGTTACCGAATCATCACAATTTTCTGTTATGCCGCCGTCGGAGGACTTCCGAGACTATGAACAGGATCGAGATGAAGCTGCTGGGGGGGAAGAGCATGCCGCCGCGCAACCGATACCTGCTGCGCATACACAACACGCTAGCAACGAAATCATGCTTGATTCGCTAGCATCCTCTCCATCAGCAGCAGCAACCTTCAGAAGTTTCCAGCGCAACCAATCCACATCTTCCGAAAACGCGCACGACCAGAGCCAGCTGTCCCAGGATGAGCGGCCTTGGAGATCCCAATTTTCACTTGTTGAAAATGAATCGCAATTGACCCCCTCCAAACTACGACATGCCTCTCGCAGTGTCTCGCCGGGTCCGACGAGGCTTTTCAGTGACCAGAGTGGAAGCATCGGGGGTAGCCGGAGAGGGAGCCGACCAAAGTATCTTACTAGCCGTCAATCTGCTCAGCGCCTTTCACACTCTTCTATTACGAGCAACAACACCGAAACAACCCATAGTGATGCGACATTGGGGGGTGCCGATTTTGCGCTTCAATCCGGTGGCGCAGCTTCTGAGAATTGGGGCAGTCTCAATGCTGGATCCCGTAACCACATGACACGCACGACGAGTCTCGGTAGCATGGCGTCTGGTGTTTCAGGATACAGTGAAGAGAATGCACTCGATAGACGGATCGGGCCCGCAGATGGAGGCCTGCATACTCTTCAAGAGGAAAGCTCCCCGCAATCATCCCGTCAGACAACAGGACTTGATGACGCCTCGACGCCTGTGACTCCGAAAGCCAAGCCTCGAGACAACAACCTCCCAACAGATACGGCAATTACAGAGCGTGTCAGGGGCATTCATGTTCCCACGAATTTTGTCCAGAGATTCCGAGAAGACTTCGCTGGCAACATTGGGCCATCCCCCGAGAAGCGGGCTGGAGCTTCAACGCCTGCCTTTGGACGAAGTGGCCGTACCATGACACTGAAGGAACAGAGCAGCACTATTGACCGCCTCTCGAAGGAAAACTTTGACCTTAAAATGCGAATTCATTTCTTAAACGAGGCGTTGAACAAGCGCTCCGAAGAAGGCGTCAAGGAGATGATATCGGAGAACGTCGAGCTCAAGTCAGACAAATTGAAGCTTCAAAAAGATAACCAAGGGCTGAAGCGCAAAATTCGCGATTTGGAGAAACAAATAAAGGACCAGCAGTCTGACAAGGATTCTATGGTTAATCATGACCCTGAGGCATCTGAGGATGACCGTGACTCGGCCCAAGATAGCGAGCTGATTTTCCTTCGGGAACGGGTCGAAACCTATGAGCTTGAGATCGAGCGAATGAGATCAGAGAGCATTGCCAGGGAGGGCGAGAAACGGCGACTGGCTGAGATGGTCAAGACTCTTAGTGAGAACCGCACTGGGGGATCAGAAACCGGTGCTAGAGAGGAACGGGTAAGTTCGGTTGTGCTGCATTTCTTTCGCCTTTCGGATGTGTGAGCAAATACTTAAATAATCATCTTACTAGGACATGTGGAAAGACATGCTTGACGCAGAGACGGCAGCTCGTGAACAAGCCGAAGAAGAGAACCGACGACTACGGGATGAGTCCATTCGCCTGAAGAATGAGATCTATACGTCCGCTGGTAATCCCAAGCCGGGCCATCGTGAACGAGACGGCTCTACAATCTCATATGCATCTGCGTCCGATCGAGATGGCAACCGAGGTGCTCTGATGAGCGCAAGCACCAGTGGTATTCTCGTTGAGCTGGAGCTTCTCAAGCAGGAGAATGCTGAGCTAAGGAAGGAAGTCAGCGCGCAGACCTCGATGCTTACATCTCGCAACCGGGAAAAAGAACGGCTCTATCAAGAGATCGAAGAGTTGAAACTTGGGCAGCGACGGGATGGGTCTCGATCAGTGGCTGGAGACAGTATCTTCGATCGATCAGTGTCTCGCGCCCAAATGCGCCCAGGTTCTGAAGCTAGCGAAGGAACCGGATCGCGAGATAACATGGACCGAGATGAGCTTGAAGCGCGTAATGGCCAGCTCCGTGACCAAGTTTCGACTCTCAAACTAGAGAATCAAGCAATTCGGGGCCAGCTTGAGGATTATATCCGAGAGCTAGAGGCCCTCGACAAGGCCTACCAGGCCGATGTGGACCAAGCCGAAGAGGAAATGCAGGGTCTGCAGCAGGAGCGAGATCAGGCTATCCAGATGGCGGATGAACGTGACGCCGCCTTCCAAGATCTCCGTGCTGAAGCCCAAGAAGAACTGGACGCCTTGGGCGATGAGCTTGATCAGAAAATTATCGAATGTCAGCGGATGAGCGAAGACTTGACAAATCAAGACGAGAGCCTGAAGGTGTTGCAATCGGAGATGCGATCGGCTAGCGAGGGCATTATTCGACTTGAGGAGGATGCGCAGAATAATCTAGAGCGGTACAAGGCTGTCCAACAAGAGCTGGAAGAAGCCAACAGCGAGATGGAGTCCCTGGAGAAGAGTTTGTTCGAGGCCAACACCAAAGTGCAGCGACTGACGGTGCAGTTCGAGTCGAGCCAGAACGAGATTGCGTTCCTCCGGGAAGAACAAGATGGTGACAAGATTCGTATTGGCGATCTGGAGTCTGAGTTGAAGACGTACCATATGAGCCTGCACAGTGAAAAGGACAAGACGAGAGAGCTCGAGCAGCGGCTTGCGGACGAGCGCCACCAGCGGGAGGTTGTCGGCAGCAAGGAGAAGCAGGAAGTTCAACGTATCATGAATGAATTGAACCGGGAAGCCTCAGCCGCCAAGGAGGAAGTCAGACGGTTGAAAAAGAGCCTCTCAACCCAGGAGATTGAGACAACCACCTGGCGAGAACGTTTGATGGATCTTGAAAACAACCTTCGAGAAACACTGGGTGATCTGAGCGGCAGCCGGTCCAGCTTGATCTCTAATATTATGAAGCTCCAGAAGGAGCTCGAATCTACAGCCCTTGAACTGGAGAGTGTACGTCAACAACTTGATGAGAAGGAGACTCTGCTTCGGAACCGCGATGCCCTCCTGGAGAGTCACGGCCTCGAGTCCCGCAAGTTGTCCGAGCTCCTGGAGCGTGAGCGGCAAGCGCGACGGGCAGACAAACAGTCCTTCGAGCAGTCTCTCAAGTCTCATCAGCAAGCTTCGCGGACCATCACACAGACCAACTCTCGTATCACAGATCTTGAGAATGCTCGCAGCCAGGATCGCAAGCGGTTCACATCTCTTGAGCAGCAGTTCCGAGATCAGCTCAGCGAGCGTAATGCGCTATTCCTCGCTATCTGGAAACGACTCTCGACGATATGCGGTCCGGATTGGGCCCATTCGAACAGTCTGATCAATGGCAATCTTCCAAGCCAGGAAGTCATTGGCAACATTTTATTCTGGCCTGGTTTCAGTCGGAATCTACTTCTCGCGATCAAAACTGTCGAAAGCGTGATTTCCGGATTTAGGATTCGCATAAAGAGTGTCGAGCATGACTTCTCTAAGCAATACCAAAACCTCGAGAACTCTTTCAACCAACGAGTCCGAAGACTCGAGCGAGTTGAAGAAGCTGTCAAGAACCTACGGTCTGCACGTGGCTACTCGAGCTCATCTTCCGAGGTGTCCAAGTTGCGTGGTGAAAACCGCCTCTTGAAGGCCGAAATCAATCTACTCCAGTCCAATTCTCGAACCCACGGATCAGCCTCGGCGGCAGCAGCGGCAGTGATGGCGTCGGGTTCTCCGTCTCCGTCTCTTGGATCCCCAGTAGATGTAGAGCGCTCGTTGACTCGTCACAACTCGACTTCTGGAACCGGCGAGAAGCAGCGGTCAGAGAGGGGCTTGACACGGAGTTCGACCGGTCTGCCCCAACCGTCAAACTCCTCTTCTAGCAGCACATTGACCAACAATGCCGGGGCCATGATGCACCGCACGCGCAGCAATGCAAGTGGCTGGGAAGGGGGTGACGAGAAATGGATCCACCGGCTTCACGAGCTGGAGAAGCGACTCAAGGCTGAACGAGAGGGTCGTCTCCTTGACCGTAGTGGGGCCCGGAAACGACTTGAGGAGCGCGATGCTGAGAATCAGAGACTCCGTGACCAACTTCTGCGAGAACGAACACGTCGAGGCCCGTCCGGCGCTATCACCGAAGGGGAGCGCAACCGTGTGACAACCTCTGATGAGGGCCCCAGCTCAAGTGAAGGAGAAGGCATCACAGTGGACATTGAAGTATAAGAAGGATGTTTGATAGAAGCTTGAGACGGCTCTGCTTTTGTGTACTAAATACCCCCGGTCTATCCCTGTTGTTTTGTTTTTTTTCGGGTCTGTACTCACTTCACATTCGTCCGCATTTCGGCCCGATGTATGAGATGATCAAATCACGATGATCACGAAGGAGTTAGGAGGACTTTGTTTGGAATTATTCTATTTTTTTTCTTCTCTTCTATTGTATCCTATTCAAATACATTATATTCGTTAAATGGCCCCTTCGGATATCATCGAAATATGATACAAGGCTCGGTCATCCTCAATCAAATCTCGAACAACTCAGCTACCGCAAGGAGACCTTCAGCGAGAAATCCACGATGCCAGTTCCCTGGTGGATCGAGCTAGTCGACAAAATATCTATATCCGAGCACGCATAAGCCGGCGCATTCTCCTCCGTCAGCCCCCCGCTGACTTCAATCAGGAACGTGCGGCCCTTCCCAGTCCACTCTTGCTTCAGCGTCCGTGCAGCCTCGCGTACTCCATCAGGGGTGAAATTATCCAACATAATGATATCTGCACCGGCACCAATCGCCGCATTCGCCTCCTCCAGACTGCGGCACTCGACCTCGACCTTCGTTGCGAATCCGCCGGCACTCTTCGCCGCATGCACCGCGCGCGGGATAGCCGCCGCAATAGACTCAATGCTAGCCGGCTCCTTGCTCTGAACAGCCCCTCCATCCGCCGCGGAGCGGTTGTTCGCGCACGCCCAGACATGGTTATCTTTAAGCATGGTCATATGGCTCAAGTCATGGCGATGTGGGTCCGCACCGCCGACCAGGATGCCGTACTTCTCAACGACGCGGAAGCCCGGGGTAGTCTTGCGGGTTCCAGCGAGTGTGCCGAACCAGCCCTGGGCACGCAGGGCGGCGAGCATGGAGGCGGATTTGGAAGCGATGCCGGAGCAGCGGGCGAGGATGTTGAGAGCGACGCGCTCGCCGAGGAGGATTTTGCGGATGGGCCCGCGAACGGTGGCGCAGTGTTTGATTGGGTCGATTTGGTCGCCTTCCTCAACATGCCATTCGATTCTAATCAAAACATAAGTGGTCAGTCTGTAGCTATCACTGGTAAAAGAAGAATAGAAAGAAATTTGGGGGCGGGGTACAGATGACGTACGAGCAACCTAGTTGAGAAAACACCTCGTCGAAGAACGGGACGCCGGCGACGATACCCTGAGCGTGTCAGGGTTGGTTCAATTCCATCCAAGTGATTGAGACGAGGAGCAACTCGCGATGGCTGGAAGCGTAGCCGAACTCACCTTGCTCTTTCCCAAGAGACGTGCCTCACCCTCGGACTCGCCGACGACAAAGCCACCATAGTCCAGACTAGGGCAGTCTTCCTCAAGCCATTCAGAGATGAGGCGCTTGTAATTGCCAGGCAGCAGATGCCGCAGGTCCCCGTATGTGGCAGCCATTGTGTGGGTTGGAAGATAGCGACTGAGATTTGAGATCGAGGCGGGGGAGGATCGGCGGGATGGAATGCTCGACTTTATCTCCGCGCGGGGTCGGGCAGAGTCGGAATTGCGAACAGTCACGTGGGTGGGGACATCCAGTGTATGCTCGGTCTTTGATGGATCAAGATTCTACTTTTGTGTTGAAAAGCAATAAGAAGCGATTTACGTGATGACACTGATGAGGCATGGTCCTTTGGGACTTCCGGCTCGAGATTGATTGAAATACCATGTACAGAAACATGTTTATGATTGTCAACTCGTGAGGTATGAATGAAGGCGTGAGTGTAATGCTCAATTTATTGGCGACGAGTAGTCCGATGGACTCTGGTTTAATCATATAAAGAGGGCTCTTACATGTTAATCATCTCTTGGCTGATGAAAGAATGAGGAAACGAAATTAAATTATATCAGAGGAATAACCCCGGATGGACAGAAAGGACAGCCTGGATATAGTTTCGAAATCTAGAGATGGAAACGTGTCTAATGGCAGGAATTTACGGGTTTTCAATTAAGATCTAGGGTTGCGCGTGTGCAATTATTGAATAATAATAGTAATAGCTAACTTAATTGAATTTATGCCTGATGCGTCATCATCCCCCCCGACTTGTTCGGCCCCAATCAACAGGGCCCTAAATGCCTTCCTTCCAACACGTATGATTGGGTTCTCTCTTCGCCCCCATCTTGTCGATCTGCGCCAGGATCCCCCAGAGATTAGCTCTTGGAGAGACAGAGAAGTGGATTTGCCTAATTTATATTAGTACACGTGAAGGATGAAGGGGGGCTTGGAGGAATGAACATCTAGATCTCTCGCTTTCAAAATCCTCTTATAAAAGTTGAGCGCCCCCAAAGCCAACGGGGCTTATATCCTTATATCTTTTGTTCTCGCAGGCCACATTTGAAATAGACGAGTTGCTTGTCGCTTTTGATGATGGCGACTACTAACCTGCTGTGTTTGCTCGCTGTCCCAATGCTCCTAGTCTTGGGATATGGCATACATTGTGGGTATCAAAGCCGCGCCATGATCCTCCAGCTTCACAGACAAGGAATTGTAAGCCAGAACACGATATCACAATATACTCAACTCGAGATAAATACATGAACTAACGCGGCCTGGCCAGCCCATGCCGAAAGGATGGAGCTGGTGGACCGGCCACCTCTTGGTGCTTCAAAAGTATGTTGATCGGCTTCCCACCAATGCCAACGTAATGCTTGCCATCCAGGAGATGGCACTGGAGTTTTCGGACACGGAAATATTCATACTCGACATGTGGCCCGTCTATCCCCCATTGCTGGTGACATATAGCCCCGAGGCAATGGCGCAGATAACCACGAAATACAATTTCCCCAAAACCCGCATGCATCTCAAGTTTCTCGGCCCTATCGTGGGAGGGCCCAACATGCTGTCGATGAATGGCGCCGAATGGAAATTATGGCGATCCGTTTTCAATCCCGGCTTCAGCACCGCGTGTATGGCGGACCTGGTCCCGGCCGTGGTGGATTCTGTCCAGACCTTCTCCGATATCTTACGGGAGAAGGCCGGATCGGGGCCAATTCAGCTGGATGATTTGACCACTCGCTTGACCATGGAAATCATTCTCAAGGTGACACTGTGGGGATTTTACCCCCTTTCAACCTTGGAATCCTAAGCTGACAGCGAGGCCAGTGACATGGAATCCAACCGCCAGCGTGCAGACCACACAATTGCACACGCACTCGGTACGATCATCGATTGGCATTCCTTCTGGGATCCGCGTATCCTGGCAAACCCTCTTCGACCTCTTGTTCAAAGATACTACGGCCATGTAATCAACCACTCGATCAGGGTCGAGCTCGAGAAGAGGTTTAAGGAAATGAAGGCTGCCCGACGCTCGCCCGAGTCCACAGCCAAGAAGGCCAAATCGGTGATTGCTCTTGCCCTGGACGCCTATCTCACCGACCAAGAAAAGGGAATCAACGAGGAGACCATACTGGATGATCATTTTGCCCAATATGCATCCTACCAGATCCGACTCTTTCTCTTCGCCGGCAATGATACGACATCAACCAGCATCCTTTACGTCTACCACATGCTTTCAAAACACCCCAAAGTCCTCGCCAAAGTCCGGGAAGAGCATACTGCCATTCTTGGATCTGATGTGTCCACAGTAGCGCAACAGCTGAAAGACAATCCGGCCCTTCTCAATAAGTGCTCTTACACCACGAGCGTGATCAAAGAGTCGCTACGACTGTTTTCCCCGGGAGGCACCATGCGCCAAGGGCAAAAGGGGACTGCAGTGACGGACCGACATGGAAACGTATACCCTACGGATAAATTTATGATGATGGTGTCACACCAAGCGGCCCATCACAACCCGCGGGTTTGGCCTCGAGTAGAGGAATTTTTGCCCGAACGCTGGCTTGTCGAAGCCGGTCATGAACTATACCCTGAGACTGCCACGTATCGCCCGTTTGAGCAAGGGCCCCGCACCTGTATCGGACAAACTCTCGTGTGGAACGAAATGCGTATAGTGCTCTTGATGACTGCCCGTGTGTTTGATATCTCACCAGCATACGAGGAATGGGATGCGCTGGCCCTCCAAGCTGAAGGACCATTAACCAAACTTGGCAAGTGGGTCGGAATTATCACCCAGGAGAAGGACAAAATAAAGACAGTAAATGGGGACCGAGCGTTTCCGACGGAAAAGGCAGGCGGACATCCAGCCGATGGGTATCCATGTCGAATTACCTTGGCACAGTAATGACCCTAGATGTCTGCGGCATAAGCACGCTTTCGATTCCCAAGATTCCCAAGAATAAAGTCTTTTGATCATAAAACATGGCTCTTATCCAGTTTATTTCACAATCCTTGAATCTAAACTAATGATTTTAACACTCTACTATCCATGCCTTGGATGCTATAGAACATGTACGGTCTGTCAAAACAGGAATCCCAGCGCGTTGCTCCCGAGGCCCAGAATTTTTCTAGGACGGCCCGTGCTGTTCGAGGCATATACGAGCCTGCAAAACGGCTAATCTCCTGCAGCTTTTGCTGGACAAAGATGCGCATCTCTGAACCGCCATCCACAGCGTGCATACCCAGCACCACCAATGGCCAAGTGAGAAGCCGTCGGAATCTTGGGAATGGGAGTGCCTCGCTCAGAAAGTTTTGGAGAGTCTGACTGAGCGTGATACTGCTGTTCTTTAGAAATGGTGTCAGGGGCAAGACCGATGAGCTTTGGAGCGAAGCGATGCAGTATAAAGCGACAGCGGTCTGGTAAACAGCTGCTAATAATGTGAAGTCTTGCGCCTGTACCTTGGACCTACAGCTAGCCCAGTTTTCTGGTGAGAAGCTGAGTACAGTGCCGAGTATGTCGAAAGCTTTTGATGTCAAGTTTTCCAATTCTCGTAGTCTTTTTTAGAGGCGCGATTCCGAAGATAGTTGATGTGAATGGTTGCCGCGAAAAGAGGCTCGGGAAACATAGTGAAGAAATCATGGTCCTTAGCGTGATGGTTCATCATAAAATCAAAATCGGCAAGCTGTTCGCGGTCCATGAATTGATCTGAAGCTGGAGAGGAAGTATCCCCAAGAACAACAAAGCTTAACATGCCATAGTCAGCCTGGCCAATCCGTCCAGTCAAAGATGCTTTGCGGAAACAACGTACAGCATATAAGTCTGAAGAAAGGGCAACTCGCTCATCGACGCACTCAAATTGGGTACTCCGCCACGCAAGTTGAGGATACGTTTGATGCCGTCGAGATGGTGCCGCCAAGATTGATGACACAAGCCTTGTTGGATCTATCATTCCGCGGTATACACCATATTAGCCCTATTAATCTCACGACGCCCCTGATTGCATACGGGTCGGCTCACATCCACTACCAGTAGATTATACATTCCCATGATGAGAATATTCTTCTTTCTCAGCGGATCTTCATTTAGATCGATGTAAAGTGAGCGAATCATACGTCCTCGGTAATTGAAGAATTTCCGACGGAGCGGTTGGGAAAGCTCGTCGCTCTGGTTCATCTGATGAGCGAGAGACGAACAGACTAGACTCAGCCGTGTATGATCAGGGACTGAAAGACATCTTTGGAATACACATGGTGATATCAGCCGAATAGCAAGGTTTGGTGTGATTTCATGCATGGGTTGAAGGCTCGGGGCCACACGGGTATTGACTACGGTCGATGTCAGCCACAGTGCAGAGACAACAAAAGGGACTTCCATCACCCTGTCATACAGTATTCTGCGGCTTCGACCAATTGAAGCGCCTCAAACCTCGTCTCCAACCTGGAGTAGAAAATGCTCGTGGCGGAAATATCGGTGGGCGATCGCTCTTGTGCCTTTGCGGGCATCTTTGCCCTTTGAGCTCTCTTATCTTGAACTCTCCAGGTTCTTGATTTGCTCTTTCCAGGCTCTAGCCATTTGAGTTTTACAGGCATCATGGCCTGGTCCATATCATAGTACGCGTTGACGTCTGAGCGTTGTCCACCTTCAGTTCGCGTGGAAGTTTGTTGCTGTCGGTGACTGTCTCGACAAACACGCTTCTGGTCTTCCATCACCTGATGAAAGTTAATTCATATCACCTTCAATCGATTGAGATCTCCGAGATGAACAGAGCCATGCGCGATATTTCATGACGCTGGAAGGGTTGGGGTTGTGCGTGGGGGCGAAGGAGCCGACACGCAATCATCACGATGCTCCGGCCCCCTGGACAGCCGCGTAGGAGCCAATCGACGGGCGAACCTATCACTCGGACAAGTCACTCAATTCCAACGCTGTTGAATATATGCGTGAGGCCGGAGCATTAGGCCTGAATTAATATGACACTGTCATTTCAGAAACCAGTGTGAAAGTACCAACTCCGCCTGGTGAAATAGAGGGAAAGCTTGTTTCGGATTGATTATATACAGCCCCTAGGCCGTAGATCATGGATGATTGATATACATGGGCTTTTCTAAGCGTAAGGGCAATGACTGTCCTTCATGCTTTGGCCGTGTCCTGTCAACACATGCAAACAAGTTTCAGTATGGCTGGGTAGATACGAAGCCTTGTGCTCCACAACCCGAGGGTGTACATAGTAGTATACCCCCGATACACTGGAACTACCATTACACATACCTACGCCAGTACAACCGGGCAATCGTTTGTCACTATTGGGCATAAAGCGGAAAACCCAGGCGATGTTTCTTGTAGCTCAAGGATTTGATCCTCGGCCTCTCTGGCAAATGAGCTGTCTCTTTTCAGCTTGAGGTACCCGCAACCCGGAACCAGCCACAACAACGCTCATCCAAGTCCAATGCCAGGCCAGCTCCTGCTTCGACAACACGAATCCTCAGCGTAGATTCGTATATCTGGCCCCGCAGTCATTCGTCTGCGTTGCTGATAAGACGACATCGTCTGTCTCGCAAGTCCCACGGCCGATGGCGTGATCCTGTGACTTCGTGCGGGGAAGTCGATATAAAACAGGCCCAAAGCTTCTCCCATGCCTCTCTCAAGTCTCTGTGTATGCTCGTGCACAGAGCTCGATTGCCCTCTTTTTATTGCTCTGTAAATTCTCACAATGGCACCCCGAGTCTTAGATCCCTCTTTGCCTTTGCGCCCAGGCCCTGACAAGGATCTGCCACAATATCCAGAGCCATTGAAGCTCAGTGGCGCATTGGAGCAATTCGCGTTCGAAGACACAACGCCAGTTATTGGTCGCGAGTTCTTGGACGTGAATATTGTCGACGACCTCCTCAATTCTCCGAACTCTGATGATCTAGTCCAGGACCTCGCTATTACAAGTAAGTCGAAGCCATCGCAATTTGGGAATAGAACATCCACCAAACAATCCAGATCCTGACCCATCCCTCGTTTAGTCTCCCAGCGGGGTGTCGTTTTCTTCCGGGCTCAGGACAACCTCACGGATGATCTACAGAAGCAGCTTGTTCACCGGCTCGGACAGCTAGCTGGCAAACCGGCCGACTCGACTCTACACATCCATCCCGTTCTCAACAACACCAATGAGTTTGGCGTCTCAGATGCCCAAGTCAGCACGATCAGCTCACTGGCGCGCAAGAAGATGTTCCGCCACGAAAATCAGCCTAACAAGCGCCGCTACGACTCGGCCCAGTGGCACTCAGACATCCAGTTCGAGCCAGCGCCGGCGGACTATACCTCCCTGCGGCTCACACAGCTGCCCAAGACAGGCGGTGACACACTCTGGGCTTCCGGCTACGAGCTCTTTGATCGGTTCTCCAAGGCATACCAAACGTTTTTCGAGGGTCTCACCGCGAAATACGTCGGGACAGGCTTCATCGACGCCGCCGAGGCGGACCCGGTCAATGTGAAGATCTACACCGAGCCCCGGGGCAGTCCATTGAACATCGGCCGCGAGCTGGCGACGGTGCATCCGATTGTGCGCACGAATCCAGTCACGGGTTGGAAGAGCATCTTCGCCGTGGGTCCGTTCCCCAAGCAAATCAATGAGCTGAGCCCGACCGAGTCGGACGAGCTCCTGAAGAAGTTCTACAGCATGATCTTGGAGAACCACGACCTGCAGGTGCGGTTCAAGTGGAGGAATCCGAATGACATCGCGATCTGGGATAACAGGTGCGCGTTTCATACGGCGACGTTTGATTATGAGGGACTTGGAGAGCGATTTGGGCATCGGGCAGTTGGAATTGGCGAGAAGCCCTACTTAGATCCGCGAAGCACGTCGCGGGCTGAAGCCTTAGCTGGAGAGAATGTTTGATGTAGTTGAGAAGCATGTAGGAACAGTGGGTCTTGGATGTCTGTATATACGCTAAACCGATGCGCTGATTGGCCATTATTGGAAAGGTTGCGCAGTCAAATGTCTCGTGGAGTAGAACCCATGCTTTTTTACTTTTTCTTTTCTCCCGTATGAAGAAAAGAAAAAAAGAAAAGAACAATGGAAATAATGAAAGTACGTACAAGAAAAAAAAAACAAATATGAGATTGATTAGAAATTGTACATACGCATGCATATTGCATATACGGTACACTCGTTACCTGGAGGTCTCGTCAAATAATATCACCTCGCGATTCAAGAGACATGGTTGCATCGCCCCTGGTCCTTTCCACCCATAGATCAGGGTTCACGCCAAGAACGCAACAGCCGACTAGCATTCATGCTCTGATCCATACATACTACGTACTGGTGGTACCAACCGAACACCAGAATACGAAAGGCTGCCCTTCATACGCACCACCTTCCCCCCTAATAGAAGGCATAATAGTCTCCCAATATAAAACCAATAATCACCCGCTAAGCGGGGCAATCCCCCTCATCTCTAGAAGAAGCGGTAGAACACGCGTAGAACGGGACAAGACCCCTTAGCGGGCCCCCAAGCTGCCAACCAGCCAAGGGAACTTTCTACAGGGAGAGTGGAGGACGGGAAGACGATAACTAAGCGGGCCAAACCCCTAACCCGCAATGCCGAGCTCCGCGCTATGCATTCCGTTCTCCGTATAACCGGCGCACCGCCCGCTCAAGCCACCGTCCTAGCGATCGGGCAGATCCTCTTCACGGCACGAGCCCCCGATGATCAAAGTTTCAAAACAGAAAAATTGAATAAAGTAAAATATAAAGAACCAAAAAAACCTTTAAAAAAATGACGCGTTGGTGCGGGCGGGAAAACAAGGTTCGAAACTAGAGAATCCTCCCCTGCCGTTTACCGTAGATGATGGGGCCAGTCCACAAGTATATCGCCGTGCTCGGCACCCAAGTTCCGGAAAACGGCACGGAAGGCCGAGTAGTGGGAGGTGACGGACAGAACGATACATACTCGGGAAGGGCAATGAAAGACACCAGTTGCGTGATTGTTATATCGTACATTGTATTGTTCCAGGGGGGTTTGCAATCTACTCTGTATAGCGTACCGTAACTCTCAGATGTGATTCATGATCTGGAGAGTCCCGTTGTATTGACAAGTGGCCAGGGAGGTGGAATATACCGACCACGCCTATAATACTACGTAGTACTTAGTCACTGCTGTACTTCGTACAGCAGAGTCCGTACATGTCCAGGTTTTGGATACATACATACCTGACCGGCACACACCCTGAACCTAGAGCATGGGTAAGTGGAGACACAAACCATCCGGATTGCCGAGTCTAGCCTCTAGCAGTAATGAAAAAAAGATCTCAGCAGAAACAAGAAAAGGAAAAAAAAATCGGGGATTTTTGTGAAGCACGGAAGCAAATCCGCTCGGCGAGGCCCACACAAGACAGGCGGACGATGTCAAAGGCATGGAAGGATTTTCAGAGGGGTCACGAGAATGGGTCGGGATCCGTGGATCCACCCGGCGTTGGAAAGATCGATACAGGACAGAGTACGGAGTAAAACCAGGGTGCTGGGTGAGAGGATCAAAGTTAGAGGGAGGGTGGGGCGGAGGAACTGTTTTTGGTTTCTGATTACTTGGAGATAGAAGAAGTATGGGACGGGTTGTGGCCATGAACCTCGGCATAGTTCAGGGCTCAATTCCGGATCGAGACCGCGTGTGGGCGGATATCGGATATGGCGCCTCACGTTAATCCACGGACAAGGAAACACCTCTTCAGCTTCTTCTGCATAGTCTTTGGTGGCTGGAGAATGAGGGAGGGGAAGGCTCTGGTTTTCCTCTCTTTTTCTTTCTTTTTTCTTTTTTTTTTCTTAATTTTTTTTTTTAATTTTAATTTTTTTTTGTTGTCATCCATCCAGAAAAAAAGCCTCCCCGCCGAGTCGGGCTTGCCCTATGATAGTGGTAGGGCGGGCTGCCGAGCCCAAGATCGGCGGATTCGGCTTGGTGATACGGATTTAACAAGACGACTCGGCTCGGCACCTCGGGATCCAGCAACCGGGATGGATGCCGAGGTTCGCAGGGACCGAGTCCGTAGGGCGGGCTTCAGAGGGCACCTGGCAAGTACTATCTTACTACTATACATTGCACATATACAGTCTTGTCCCGAATACCAAAGAAAACAAACAAACTAGAGAAGAGGAATGTAGTGTATGAAGTAAATAATACTATATGCAATGAAACACAAAGGGGACCAAAGCCGGCGAGTTTCCACTTTTAGCGAATAATGCCTAGGGCCACCAACAGACCCTCTCGATTGAATCATGAAGCATAGGTTATTGCCGTATCGGGGGAGAGGGAGGGAGAAGGGGAAGGGACCACATGAAAGGCACGGCATCCGCTCGGCGGGTGCGGCCTAAGTTCGGGGACTATGAACAAAGGTGGAACAAGACCCAAGCCGCGGTAACAACGCAGCTTGGGGGGTCTTACGCCTTACACCTTACGCCTTCCAGGCCTTATACACATTCTTGCAGCCGAAAACCTGGCCCTTCTTCAGCAGGACCATGTTGCGCCAGGCGGGCTCATTAATAGCATTGACGTAACGGCTAGGCTCGACACAGAAGCCCGCGCCTTCGCCGTGGGGTGGGGCGCCGTCGACCTCAGGGACATTGATGTACTTGCCAGTGTAGAACTGGAAGGCGGGCTCGGTGCTGTGCACTTCAAGATGTAGGCCGGTGTTGGGGTGGCTGAATTGGGCGAGGAGACGCAGGGGCAGGGCGCGGGTGTCGAGGGGGATCTTAGAGGGGTCGGTCTCCATGAGAAAGACGTCGTCGATGTGCGGCTCCTTCGCGTCCAGCACGAAGGGCTCCGTCACGTTGCGGGGAAACTTGGCGATGCCACCCTCAGGGATGCCGGTCGAGTCGAGGGGCAGGTAGTCGGCGGTGGCAAGCTGGGCAGTGGTGCCAGAGACGGTGGTGCTGTCACCAATGTTGAAGTAGCTAGGAGAGAGAGAGAGAGAGAGTAAGTGAGCAAGTGGGGAACTTGAGGGTCGGAAGACAAAGAAAAGTCCGGGAATGGATCACATCTGAGTGATTTAGAGATACGGGGGACTGGACTCATAGCTCAACTCACCTGTGGTTCGTGATATTGACGACCGTCTCCTCGCACTCATCACCAACAAACTCCACCTCATACTCCACCGTCAAGATCGACTTCGCCTCCTCCTCCTTGCTGGCTGTATACCAGACGCGCACGTCCAGGGTCCCGGGGTAGCCCTCCTCACCATCTACGCAGCGGTACTTGAACAGCAATGCGTCGCGGCCATGGCGCTGGACGGTATGCGGGCCGTCGAAGATGCGCTTGCCCCAGCCCTTGGGACCGCCGTGCAAAGCATTGGGGCCATTGTTCTGCGCGAGCTGGACCTGCTGACCGTTCAAGTCCTTGATCAGGCCGTCCTTGATGCGGTTGGCTACACGGCCGATGGTGGCCCCGAAGTGCGGGGTGTTGTACTGGACGTAGTGATCCTGCGTGGGGAAGCCGAGCACGATGTTCTTGTCGCCGACACGGAATTCCTGGATGATGGCGCCCAACGGCAGGAAGGTGAACTCGGCTTGTTGGGAGACAGGCATGGTCAATCTATGGATGGGGAGGAGCTGGACGGTGGAACGAGCAAGGGAATTCGGGGAGGTTGAAATTCAATTTTGAGGGAGGGGAGGGATTTCAAGAGTCTGGGGGAGGAGGGTGGGATACTGGAGAGGGTCTTGTCTGGCATGACGTTGGAACCCCGCAATGCGACGGAATCACCCACCGGGATAAATTGCAATGGGCAGTAAGTGGACACTTTTAGGCTAAAGCAATCCGGTGCCTGTTGTTAGGAGGAAAAACTCCATCTGAGAAAGGGAGATTAGCATATATCAGTATCTCGTCAATTTAGCAAGAAGTCGAGCTCTTAGGGCTTTTGAGTGCCCGTGACGCCATCCCAGCCTGGCATTGACTGGACGTGGCCCCCGCACATACGACGGTCAAGGCTGGTCTTTGCCTTTTTTTGGTCCCCTCCAATCGACACCTATCTCCTCAGGCTTGTAACACGGAGCTCCACTTCAGGCACCCTCAGGCATCAACCCCAAATTGTCCGCTTTGAGCCTGTGGGAGGGTTGATGTGTCAGCGGAGAACCGACCAAGTCAGGGTTCCGAGCACATGGCTACTTGCCAAGGTTCGCGGCCAGACTCCGTGATTATGAAAAATAGAAAAAAAAAAAGGATCGGTCGTGTCTCGACGTGGATCATATGCTGATCGCGGATCCGTTCATCGTCCATCAGATGCAGGTCCAGCCCCTCCGGGCGAAGAACACGCCGTATCCGGACTCGGAGAGAACGGCGTTCCGGGCGCCGAAGGTCTGTTTACCCCAGACGTAGAACGGGGACAATTGGTCCACTCAGAAACGGCGAACGGCAACTATGAATCCCGTCGGAACAATGAGAACGATAAAGACGAGAGCGCCGATCAATCATAAAAATAATTAAAGGAGAAAGGGGAGTGTGCGGTCCCAGGCACCAACAATATCAACCCACTGGCACAGGCACAGCCTTTGCGGCTTAGAACGTGGCTCCCTGTAGAGCGTGGGGAATGGGGGGGGGGGGGGGGGGGCGGTGCTCTCCCAAGAAGCTCCAAGAGTTGACGTATGCCTGTATTGGGATGTGTGGATGGAGCGTCCCTTATTATAAGGTAGGCTATTGGATAGCCTATGCAACAGGATTATCTCCCCCACCCCCCACCTCTCTTTTCCTGCTAGACGTACGTGGAACAACCGCTTGGGTCGTATAGGATACGAATACATCACGACGGAGCAGCAAGCTCGCAGGCTCCCGCATTCTGTACGATCCCTAAGCGGCCGGAAAATAGGATTCCGGGGCGATGTCCTGAATGGCCCAAGCGCGGCGCACTCTCAATACGACACAGCATGTACGAACGGGAGACCAAGCAATCTGGAGCATGGGCCAATGCGCCCAGGAGAAACCATTGCTACAAACAGAAACACACCGATACAGAGGACAGGTCGGGAGAATGATGGGTAGCACGCATCGAAGCAGGGGGCTGCAGTCGTGCACACAGGATGGAGTCAGAGGGAGGAAATTGTGATTGGAAATACTATATCCCAAGGGAGTAAGCGATTCGCGCGGGACGTCCCAGACCGGAAAGTCGGCCTTTCGGCTCTTTTGGGCCCGGGACAGTTGAAAGGAGAAGCAGAGAGGAACAGGAGAACAGGAATTCGCAGGTGTGTGTGAAGCCCGCGCAGAATAACATTACGGTGGAGCCCAGCAGGAGCCCAGCAGCAGTCCAGTAGGTGGCCTGCTTTGTATTTCCCGTACTACGTACTATGTATGGAAATTGGTAATACTGCCCTGCCAGAGCTTCCCCCTTCGGGCAATGGATTTGTCTAGGAAAACTAAAGTAGACCCAAAAAGGGATGTTCTGGGGACGATCGTAGGAACAGAGAGAGGGCATACTGGATAGAGATGCAAGCATCCTAGCACGGTGGCCTGGTTGAGAGCCGGAATAGTCTTGATAGTCTCAATAGTTCCCGTGGTCTCGATGAATCTATGGGCGGACGATCTTTAGTCTCTGAGTCTCAAGTCTTTATTTCCTCCGAGCCAAGAGGTACAGCAGCTCATCCGCGGGGCCGCGGACCTTCCGCTGCCCTAGCAGCGCAATTTGAACGTGGAGTCCGCGGGCCTGAAAGCGTGGAAGGAAGAGGTTCCTCCATTCAGGATCAGGAGTGCCGCCCCCAACAGGACAAGGCCAATGTAGCGAAAAGAATGCCAGAACAGGAACCCGCTAATCAATCACCGCACAGAAACACCCTCACTGACTGGCGATCAATAAAAAAAGGTAAGAAAAATCATATTACCTGATAACGACCTAACTACAAATACCTGCCAGGCGACCAAAGACGCACACCCCCCCCCCTCCCCAAATCAGAAAAGCTTGATGTGCAAGTAATATGGCGCAACGAATGAGCGAGGGCCTTAAAGTAAAAAACAGAAACTCCAGAAGTGCATGGTTGCTCGTATATCGGAGACGTGAGATGGACTTAAGGGGCAGTACCACGGTACAAGGCTTATGTCCGAGCTGACGAGCCACAACACAGCTTACTCTGAACAGCTAGAGGAACAAACCGTTGGACCTGTTCCCGGCAGATGGGGCCAGGAAACTTGGTAGAAAATAAAAAAAAAAAAAGTAAAACGGGGTTAGTCAGAGACCTAGGCTAGAACTCGGGAGAAGCAAAAGATGACAGGCGATGAATCATCGCCCTGGGGCATTAGTCAGGTGGAGTTAGTCGGCACGTTTGGTCCGATGGTGCACTGGGGGAGCACGGAAGAACGGGTGACGGAGGTGCAGAATCATGGTGGATTGTGGGCCACGGGCGCATCGAGGATAGATCGAGATGAGAACGAGATGAGAAATTGGGTTCATGAAGGAAAATGTAAGATTATTATTGGACGAAAGATGCCCAGTCTAGATGTAGCAGAAGAGAGGTCATCACGAAATAAAAAAAAATTTGAAAGTCGAGAGAAAGAAGGCAAAAAAGATCCATTGGCTTGTCAAGAAGAAGAAACAGAGAACCCAGAAATTAAAAAAAAGAAAACGCCGCACGGCACCCATTTTGACCCAAAACCCTAGTAAACTCCCAAAGCCCCGATCCCAACACTGTACAGGATGATTGAGGATCTCAATGGCTTGCGAATCCTCAAAAAGGAAGTAGAAGAAAAGAAGAAGAAAAGCCGGGGGATAATAGCCCCAGAACAATAAGCGGAATCGAAGAAAGATCAGGGACAGGAACGAAAAAAGAACATGTATAGTATACATGCATCACGTCATACGGCGTTAAAAAATGATCTTCTTGTCCAAAGGGGAAAGATGATCTCAACAGAGGTCAAATCAAGTGCTTTCGCTCTCTCCCCGCCTTAAATAGAAGTAATTTCTGTGGGATTCGGATTGAGGAACTGATTGAAGTCGTCGTAATCACCGGACGGTACGCAGTTCATTGGCATGGGTCGATTGAACATGGGCGACGGGATGGGATCATCGAAGTTGAGGTTCGCGTAGTCGGCCGAGGTCATCATATCCATCTCGTCGAAGGGATTGAACCCATTGCTGCCCGGCCATTGCGGAGCCCCTCCCTGTAGGGCTAACGGATTTACCACACCCTGCATGGACAGTGCATATTGGGATTGCGGGTTGGCGGGGGCGGCCATGGCGGGCTCGGTCTTGATGGGCGCTGCGCGCGACGAGGGGCTATAGGCGGGCGGCGTGGGCGGCATGGTCTGCTGGGAAGAGAAGGCGTCCGAGGAGAAGCGTGAGCGGGCGACGGGGGAATGGGCGCTCTCAGAGCTGCCATCGGACGACTCCTGGCGCTGCATGCCATTATTCCGCCAGAGTTCGTGTTGCATAACTTCGGGGTTCTCCTCGAAGCGCTCGCCCTTGGTGTGATCGAGGGCACCGAGACGCGTCAACAGGTCGTGGGTAAGCGGATGGCCGTTGGGCTCGGGCTTCAGGCGATCGCCAAGCCAGCCCTCGCCGTCGATGGTTCGTCGATAGAGTTCCTGGAGGCCGTGGACCAGCCAGGCTTGTTGCTGTTCCAGCATTTCAACATATCTAAGCCGGAGGAGTTAGCATGAGGTCCTGAGGTAGATGAATCGTCAAGTGCCATGCTCACCCCTTGGGGTACACTTTATCATGGGCCTTCTTGCGTTCGCCGAAGACACAGATCGCATTATCGGCTCGACAGCGCGAACATGGGCTGGCTCCGTCACACTTTTGTGCGGTGTCAGTCTGGGTTGTGATCGCCATACGGTAGATCCGCTCCCCGCCTCTCCTGCTTCTCTATTGGCACATACCTTGGATTTCTTCAGACGACAGCGGTCGCAGGCCTTACACACGCGCTTGCGCACATTATCTGAATGTGAGTGGTCGGAGGTTGGTGTTGATTGGCGGGCTGCCATCATGTATGTGTTGGGATATTCCGAGATGTTGAAGAGAGATGAGGGAAGGAACAACCAGAAGGAAAGAAAAATAAGACGGAAAGTCGAGCACGAAAAAGACTAATCGTCAGGTCGAGATTTGGTGGTGGCTTGCGAGGGGGGGTAATGGTTTTTTTCTTTTGGTGAGCCAGTCGAGCTATACTTCCAATTCCGGCCAGCAGGACAGCGAATGATCGACGTCAACCAGTCGATGATCTAATGACGATGTCGAAAGGGCTCCCGAGGATGGGAGGATTGGGTTTGGAGGACGGTAGAGTTTCACGAATGGACGAATGGAAAGGGAATGATCACTGGTTCTCCAACCGCTGGTCATATACTAGTCATCCGAAGACAGGGAGACGATGATGCAGCAGCGTTTGGGAGATGAGGAGGAGGGGGGGGGGGGCTCCTTTTTTAGTCTTCTGGGATGTTCCTTTGAAAAATGGATTTTGGGGGATTTTCTTTTCTTTTATTTTCTGGTGCAGAAAAAGGGAATAAGTTCATTGGAAATCAAATGATTATGGATTAATCGGTTTTATTTTATTTTATTTTACCTTTCGAGGGATTTTCTGGTGTTCGAAACGCCCGTACCGGGATATCTTACCAGACTTACCAGCTCACCACTCTGCCAACCTGCCAGTCTGCCCGCTTACCCGCTACATCGATTCCCGTCGTCCCTGTGCTGCTTCGTTTTGGCCCGTACGATCGGATCGAATCAGCTATACTGCAGGGCTCCACTGCTGATGATCACAGGGCCCGGTTTTTCCTTTTTTTTTTTATTTCCTTTTTCTCTCTCTCGCACTCTCTCTTGATTACTCTATCGGGTGGAGTCTGGAAGACTCGGCATTTTCGCTCTTACCACAGAGTTCGCTAGCACGGAGGACGGAGCTTCCATCGGCCCTCGGAGACTTCTGAACGGCCCTGACGTATATCCGGCAGGACTGTACTTCCGGCCATTCAAAGTCCGAGAAACCTGAAATTTCAAACCAGCCCCCTCCCCCCTTCCAGCTTTGAAATGGGAAATGGGAACGACTTCAAAATCCTCCAAAGTCACCCGTTTTCCCTTCAAGAAGATCCTGCAAACGCGCGAGAAGCAGAGCTCGATCAAGTATAATGGTTGCGCGCTTTATGCCAAATGTAAAAAACAGACAGAACCTTACGCCGAAAACACCAGCGATCGCCCCGTCTTGGCAGTGTGCATAATAATGCGTACAACAGCCTGCACTGCTCGGCAACGCCCTGCCGACTCGGGCAGAAAGTCCTGTGTAATCGTGGGACGGGCCCGTAATAATGCTCGTAATGCTCGTATTCTCATAATGCACACATGGGCCGTACGAACACGCAGCCCGCGCTTGCTGGCCTGTTGGCAGCCCCGACATCTTGGGTCTGCCTCTTGGCTCTCAGGAACTCTTGCTCTGAGTCGCACATGTCGAGAGTGAATCGAGTGGGCTGAGTCCATACAGTCCCTATCGTCCCTATAGTCCATACAGTCCACATAACCCACACAGCCCCCCTTGTCCTATAGCCCATATAGTCCATATAGTGAGTGGCATGGTGAACATAGTATTATAGGGAATCAAGCTATGCGAATCATTCTCGTCGATCGTCAGTTCATATACTCCGTATGGTCATCTCCCCATGACAGCATAGCATTATCGTCATAACTTTCTTCCCATTATGAATGACATGTTCCTATAGTCTAGTTCCACTTCTAGTCTGACCAAGTTGCGCGATTTCCCCCCTCCCTCCCTTCCCCTCCTCTCCAAGAAGGTTAATCCCGTAGTCATAATGATGATGATGATGCTGATCAAACCACCTCCCTCGATCACATCAGCACCCGTCAGCACATTAAATCGGATTTATCAGAGCCCCAGCCCGAGATTATTAATATGATTTGGGATAGTTACAGGAGTTCCCACGGCCAGCTACTTCGCGGCCGTTTCTCCCTAGCATTGTCCGCCTCGACCCTCATCCCTGAAATCTCTCTGTCGATCTCTCTCTCCTTCTCTCTATGTGTATGTGTATGTCTCTGCCTCTGTCTCCGGAATCCCCACCCCCACCCGACTACTGGATGACTGGGTCTACAATGATGAACCCGAACTCCAGGAGCCATCATGTTGCCATATTACCGATAACGTGGATGATCATTATGCTCCCTCGTCCTTCCGAGCCCCCTCCCTTCTCGATAGTCTCGTTTGAGATCTAAATTCTAGTTCCGTTGCGTTATATGCCTCATCAATAATACAGGGAAATTACATAGAAATAACGTGGAAATAACGCGGAGTTAGGAGAGTGCGAACCCCGACCAAGGAAGGACGATCCCAGAGTACCTTCAACCATGTCAATGAGCCCGATACGGACGAAATGATTTACTCTCTTTATAATTATTATACCTTTTTAAGGGTTTTGATTTTCTTTTTTTGCGATGATCACTGCTCGGCATCGAGACTAATACTAGTTAGCAGTACGACTAGTAGCTTAGTATTGGCTATGGCTCTCGACCTTTTAGCTGCAGCTGGAGCTGGAGCTGGAGCTGGCTGCCCAGGGAACCGAAAAACGGTGTCCAGCTTACCCCCTGGAAACCGTCCTCATCATAGATCGGAAACCCACGATCGTGATTCATGACCGATGGTCTTGGTTCAGGGCCACTGGCTACGCCTCAAGGTTGGGCTGGTGCAATCGTCGCAATCCCAGAGGGGCACGGGATGCCGTAATCCGCTGCAACCAAGTCCATGACGTGACCATTGGCGGGTCCTTGTATTCTTCTGTGTGCCTGGAGGGCTCGATTCCAGGGCCTGTTCCACTCGCTACTTTTCTGCAAGCGCTTGATCTGAGGAAACCTACTGTACAAGCGAACCCCACTACTTATGATACCCATGATACCCACTACTGGGTGGGGAGTGGAAAATAAATGAGGCGAGTAGTGGTTACGGGCGGAAAAGACATGATTCTGGAAGCCGGCAGCTGCGATAAGCAGCGTCGATCTGCCGAGAACCGCGAGCGACACGTACAGGGAGCGAGAGAAGGGGAACGAAGTGAAGCTAGCGAGAGGGAAATTGGGGAAGGGGGGGGGGGGGGGGCAGCCCTTCAATGCGCAGCCCACGGCATGTCCCACGGCTGGGTGCATGCGGAGCACATCCCAACTCCGTGTGAGAAACGCATTGCACAGGATTGCAGGATCGAAGCTTCGAAAGCTTCGAAGCTCCAGCCTTGATGGCCCCAACACCCGCAACTCAGCTCTCAGGGCCAGCTGTCTGCCCCAACATGGGTCAATGCTCCGGAACATGATGCCCGGCCGAATTCCGTCCGATGTTTTCGTGGATACGAAAGTACATAGAGTCCGACAGTATGACCTCATTGGTCCGCAGCGTTTACCCTCTTAGGACCAGTCTTACGTGACCCCGGTGTTCCTGCTTGAGGAAACATGCCACGTCGAACATCCAGGCCTGATCTCTCTGATCGAGCTCGATCGGTCCAATTTCCCCGCCAGACCCTAGAGCTGAGGGGTCGCTTCAGCATCAACTCTCTAGGACCCAGTCACAGAGCCACAATGTCTCGGGCGCCGCACCTGCACTTCATGTGCCTAACCGTGGGCTCTGTTGTCCTCGATCCAGGTTTTTGCCTATTTGGGCCAATATCACGGAGCGCCATTCCGGCACCATTCCGCCTTGCACGGCATCGCCGCCAAACCATGTTTCACGCGACAGTTGCGCGGCTATGGACTCGTTCACTCCATTGACCTCCTCTCAAATAGGCGCAAAAGGGAGCAAGACTTTCGCGAGGACTATATTTCAAAGATTCCATATCCTTAAGGTAATGTACATACACGAGGGGAAGCAACAAAAAGCGCGGAGAGACCAACGCAGAAAGACAGACGGTGGATATACAGGGCACATGCACCGCACCCGAAACAAAAACAAAAATCAAGAAGGTGCGCAAGAGGGTATATGACGGCAAAACACAGCGTATACGCAGAGCGTATGTATCTACAATCCCCATCACGTCTCACCTTCTTCCCTGCGCTTCGTTTCCCCTCATCAACGACAACACCCACACCCACACCCACCACAGCACAGCCGCCGGAAAAAAGATCTCCGCGGCTGGTACTCGTCCTTCTCGGTCCGCAAGTCTTCCTGCTTGGACGACTCAGTCGCTCCCGTCTTGCTCGAAGTAGCGGGCTCGGCCAATTTTCGGCTCAGACCCAGTCCGAAGAAACGACTGAGGCGAGACTGAGCCTCGTGCGCAGCCTTGGCACTGGCGTGGGCTGTCACCGGCGGCAGTGCTGTGGTGTGCATCGACTGTCCTGCGCGTGAAGGTGGCCGCCGTGCAGGCGTTGTACCCTGGTAATCATGGAGCCGGCGCGCCTCGACAACGCGGCGGACCAATACTAGAATAGGACAGTGATCAGTATGGCGAGAGAGAATTGAAAATTGGGAGCTTCGTAGAAAGAGAGCATGAAAGGAAAGCAGTAGTTGTAAAAGCAGTAGCAGCAGCAGAGACGTACGCGCAAAAGTCTCCTCGATATTGACCATCTCACGCGCACTCGTTTCCATAAACCCACAGCCATGCTTGCGCGCATACTCCAGTCCATCGCGCGCGGTGACCGCCCGCCCGTCCTTCAAGTCGCATTTGTTGCCGGCCACAATCTTGACCGGCGGCGGCAGGCCGATCTGAACGCCCGCCCCCTTGGGGCCGAGCTCCTTGCGCAAGCGGTCATTATCTTCGACGCGTTGTTCGGCTTCCATATTGATCATCTCCATGAAATGGTCCAGCGTGGCCAGGCTGGATGGGTTCGTTATATCATAGACAAGCAGGAACGCGTCCGATTTCAAAGTTGACGCGGTCCAGAGCCCGCGGTATTCTTCTTGGCCAGCGGTGTCGGTGATTGACAGGAAATACGGTAGACCATCGACGGTACGGGTGACCGAGTACGAGTCCTCTAGGTGTTTGGGAAGGTGTGAATAGATGCGCCATTAAACAGGGGGCCTGCGATGGGCAAGGGAGGATGAAATACCGATTGTTGGGTCATATCTAGACAGAGTGGCACAAAAACACAATGTTAGCGTCTTCTATTCCTTTTTGATTCTGTTCTTCTTCTCTTTCGGAGAATTTACAGCCAAATTGGTACCAAACAGGGGAGGAGGGGAAGGGGGAGAGGGGATAGTTACTCGTGAATCCATTGACTACGGACCAGCCGTAGCGTAATGGATGATTTACCTATGACCCGATCTGATCAGATCTCGATCGCAACAAAAACCCACAGCGCTGGCACCGAATCATATCCGCCCAGTGAACCCGACAATGAAGAGAAGGTTGAAAAAGGTTATAAAAGGTTGCAGGGACATACCACATCCGCCGTCGCCGCAGATAGTGATTGAGATCTTGTCTGCCATCGCGCGGCCGACCACGATGCACCCACCTCGAGGTCGGCAAGAAGGGCGAGAGCCCGGGGAGACAGGTTACACTAGGAAGAGCGCGCACGGGTCGCGAAAGAATGCAAGTACGAGGAAACAAAAGAGGGGTCAAAAGAACGAATGTGGTGGGAGCTGGAAGAAGACAAGGGGGCAAACGACGGAGACCGCAGATGGTCACTGCGTCAGGTGTCGATAAGGATAAAGAACAGTTGCAAACAACCTCGAATTCCACCTCTTCGTCCGCGCGGGGCTGCTTGCTTTTATCTCATCTGAATGCATTGAAGGTAATAGTATTGTGGTGACTCTATTCTATGCTTTCAATCATCCTGCCTGCCCCCTTACTCGAGCCCACTGTACAGAAGAACTTTCTTCTTGTCACCCCCTAAACACGACATCTCACCCCATACCCACCCGTCCCGAGGACGCAAGTGTGAGGTGTCAATGCACTTCAATGGACAAAAGGCCCTGGTTCGAGCTGATTTGTGATAGATCGAATCTTCCAACCGCTCACATCCACTTGCCCTCCCCCATGCCTCCGAGATGCCTTCGCTCTACCAGACTGAGATTGAAAAACAGAACCAAATGAAACCAATAGTATACAACTTGCAACCAAAAACCAAATACGCCGACTGGGAACCCTCGTCGATCAAAGAAGTCGTCGCAGCGTCCCCCCCCCCCCCTCCTTCCGCCATCTGCATGCTCCCCCTTTATGGAATCCAGCAGCGCAAAGGTCGGTCCCGAAGGCTGGTCACGGCCTTTTGAATTCTCATTGGCCCTGTGGCGCAAGCCAGCGGGCCAGCGGGGCCCACCATGACATCGGGTGTTTGTACTTTTGAGAATGAGGAAGAGAACGGGATTGAGACCAAATTTCTCCTCTCACGCTGTTTTCTCCCGGCTGGGCAGAGACTGGCCACAACCTATTCTCTTACGAGACACGATCTGTCTTCGTTGCACATTTGGCCTCAGTCCGTGACAGCCAACTGGAGTCCCGGTCGCCCAACGTTACGAGATTCCAAGCCGTTGGTTTCTATTTACCCGGGGCTCTGGAACTCGTCCAAGCTTTGCATTCTGGACCCCACGCAGGCCGAGGCCTGTGTTTTTCTCTTCCCCAGGGACATGGCCAACCCTATGAATAGTTTCAACCACGACCACTCCGCCGCCCGTCGCGATGACCCCCAGGACCCTCGCGAGGGTGTGCCGCCGCACCTACAGCAGTCCTTGCCATCGCATGACCCTTCGTTGATGGGGTTTCCTCCCGGCCCGTTGGGAAATTATGGCTTCGGTGCCATGCTACCCCAGGATGACGACCTCGCCCTCAACGCCTTTGATCAACCACAAGGGCCACAAAGACCTCAAGGACCCCAAGGACCCCAGGGAGGCTTGGAAAGTCGCCTCTCCAATGTGATGCTGACCTATGACACGATGCTCCCCGGCGGGGTATCTATGGGGATGAGTTTCGATCCCGGGAATGCCTTCGCCTACGACGTACCAACAACCTACCCCGCGACCTCCATGGGACTTGCGCCAGCGACCGATCATTCACAATTAAATCCTTCCTTCTCCCCGTTTCCGCAGTCTATGCCGCCGGCCGGTCAATATTTTCAACAACCAAATACCCAACCTCAACCACGGAGAGATATTTACCCCGGCAATAACACCACAACCACTTCCACAGGCAGCTTTGAGGATTCCGATTTTTCTCGGGCTAGCGAACGCTCGCAGCAGATACGTGCACCGCGGCCGGTTCAAGAGCGTCCGCGACCCCCCCAGCCTGTCCCATACCGTCCACCACAGCACGTCGCGATACAACCCAAGAAGCCTGTCCTTGCCGCCAAAGGTGAGTCCACATGTCTTGGAGCGGGGCTGACCCCTCAAGTGCCATGCCAGTGAATTTATGGCTGAAGTGGACTAACTCCTCAGGAGATCTCCCTTCCGGAATGTCGAGCCCAGACGCTCCTGCGACACAGCACACCGGTATTTATTCCAGTAGCGGTTTCGATGTTCTAGGAGTTCTAGTAAGTTTCCCCTCTATCAGCCCTCTATCAGGCGACTTGAGCTTTTGAGATACGGAAAGTCTAACAATCCGCCTAGAGCCGAGTGGCCATGAGACCTAACCCCAAAATCAACATCGGCGCAGTCGACTTGTCCTGTGCCTTCGTGCTCTGTGATATCACACGGAAGGATCATCCGATTGTATATGTCTCGGAGGCGTTCGAGCGACTCACAGGCTACACGAAAGAAGAAATTATCGACCGGAATTGTCGATTCCTCCAAAGTCCCGATGGCCATATCAACGCTGGTGCAAAGCGGACCTTTGTCGATGGTCAGACTGTATATCGTCTGCGGTCGATTATTAATGATCGTAGCGAGATTCAAGCTAGTCTAATCAACTACCGCAAGGGGGGCAACCGTTCATGAACCTCATCACAATGATCCCTATTCGTTGGGACTCAGATGATATCCGATTCTATGTTGGGTTTCAGGTTGATCTAGTTGAGAAGCCTGATGCAGTGACAAAGAGGAATCCTGGTATGTGGTGGACCTTTCCCTGACTTTAACAGTATTGTTAAACTGACAGCTTGAATCAGATGGGACATATACCATCAACTATCAACGTGACCAATTGCCCCAATATGTGGTACAACCCCCGGAGTTGTACAGACTGCGTCCTGATCTCACGGTTCAATTTGGTCATGATGAAGTGACAGCTATTCTCAATGCCGCGGGTGTTCCAGGCAATAACTTATATCGGCACTATTTGGATCGCATTCTAGTCGAGAACTCAGATGACGTGATCCACGTTCTTTCTTTCAACGGAGAATTCCTTTACTTATCCCCATCTTGCAGGAGGATCCTCGAGTACGAACCTATTGAGCTGGTTGGTAGAACTCTCTCGACAATCTGCCATCCCAGCGATATTGGACCCGTGATTCGTGATCTTCGGGGAAGCACTACGCCTGCCCCTATCAGCGTTGTGTACCGTATTCGGCAAAAGTATAAGGGGTATACATGGTTTGAAAGCCATGGTTCATGGCACATTGACCCAACCCAGGGCCGAAAATATTTGGTCATGACCGGCCGGACCCGACCTGTCTACTCGCTGGACCAGATTGCTCGTCTCGGATCGAACGCTGCTCTGGCCGAGAATGATATATGGGTCAAAACATCTCTATCTGGTGTAATTCTATTTGCCACATCCAAGTCGAAGCCAGTCTTGGGGCGCTCGCCGGATGATCTCATTGGCAAAAGTCTCCATGACTTGATGGAGCCGGAATCTGACCCTAACGCGATCATTGATGCCCTCGATGAAGCAGCTAATGATTCACTCATTGAAGGAGATGGTGGGATGAACAGCACGAGTTCACGGGAATTGCCTTCATTCCGTCACAAAATGCGCCATAAGAAGGGCCACTCGCTTTCCGCACATACCACCCTATATCCCGGCGACGCTGGACCTGGACTGAGACCCTCCTTCCTTGTCGCCCAGATTCGCTTCGCACGAGCTTTCCCCCCTTCTTCGGCCGCTGTCTCCGCGGCCGAAGAAGAGGAGCTGTCCAACGTCCCCGGAACTTCTAAGAACACCACTATAACCACGGAAGACCCCAATCCACCTAACCAATACGGAGCTCTAGGACAACGCATGCCCGATCTCTCGGCCCTCATCGGCCTGAACGGCCTTCCCGCTGGTAATCGCAGCCTCTCGCCCTCCGACATGCCCGCCACGTTTTTCACGGAACTAAACCCAACGCGCGGCTCCAGTTGGCAGATCGAGCTGCGCGAGCTGGAGAAGCAGAACCGCACACTCGCCGATGAGCTGCAACGGCTACTGGGCCGGCGCAAGAAGCGCAAGCGCAAGCAGATCGCCGCTGCGGTCGAGAAATCGTGCTCGATGTGTAGCACGAAATCGACGCCTGAGTGGCGGCGCGGGCCGAGCGGAAATCGCGATCTATGCAACAGCTGTGGCCTGCGGTGGGCGAAACAAGTTCGGAGTCAAGCACGGGCTGCTGCGGCGTCCTCAGAAGAAAATACGAATACAATCCCCGCTCCAGCGCCTGTATAGTGTCGAATGCTGGGGGAAGGGCTCAGTTGCAAGGGTTTGTGCTTGTTCTGTTTTGTACTGGCTTTTTCAGTTCTTGTCTTACTGTATCATGGCGGCTTCTCTTCGCCATGTACGAGCTTAGCGCGAAATTGTTGGTTTCAAGCTTGTTTATTAGTTTGATACCCTGTATGCTTGATGGAAGTGACTTAAGTTATGCGTTTCTTCTTCTTCTGCTCTCTTCTTCTCTTTGGAGCGTTTGGCCAGTTTTATCGGCATTATTTACCTCATCTTTTCTCTGCAAATAATTATCTTATGTTTCCAGAATGCATACTCCGTTTCCAAAGCTCTAGCTCTGCCTTCATCCACCTTGAATGGTAGCCATTCTTGCAAGGTAGGAAAAGAAATCTTGGAACGCGAAACGATGGAGCAGTAAAGGTTGAATATTCTAATATACAAACAATACCGAAAAGGGAGGGAAGGCCGGGGTTTTGTTCTCTATAAGCTTTCCCATCTCCTATCATACAATCCGACTCCTTCATCTCCCCCCAGCATGTCCCGAAAGCCGTACCTCGAACCACGCTCGATGCAAAGTAGGATTCTTTTTTACGCCTTCAAGCGCTCACCTTCTTTTCCATTCCCTGCCTCACAACCAACCACCGCTCCAACCACTCCCTCTCTACAAACTCCGCCTTCGCACTCGCGAATGCCGCCGCGACATCTCCAGCCCCGCGCTCGTCTAATGCAACCTTGACCTCGGCCGCACTCAGCGCAGCCACGCCCCCATTCCGCCGAATCATGCTATCATCAATGGCCAGATATTCCAAATACCGCCTGAGCCGCGGTCGATACACAGGACCTACGAGCAGCGCCGCGCCGGTCCGCTCATGGCTGCGGACAAGCCCGAAAACAGCGCTGGCGCGTAACACGGCAGCGCCGTCCGCGCGCATCGCCCACGCAGGGCTCGCAAACTCCGCGAGCAGCTCCAGCTCGGCAGAGTCACCGGCGTGGGGGGCAGTCGAGCCCGAGGCGCGGGCGTGCGCCGCCAGCGCGAGGGTCTTGCGCTTGGACGCCGCGGCACGCTCCTTCGCGACCTGGCCCGGGACGCGGCAGGTGGCCGGCGTGATGGCAGAGCCGAAGAGTGGCACGATGAGGGGGGTAAATTCGCCGCAGACGATAAGGATCAAGGTGAAAGGGATCATGCGGCGGACATCGCGGGCGGCGCGGCGGACGAGCTGGAACTGGCCGCGGCCGAGGGGGGTTGCGGGTGTGGATGGAGGGTGTTTTGGAGAGGAGGGGCCGCGGGGAGGAGAAATTGGTAGGTATGCGGGGAGGCCGAGAGAGGAACGAAGTGGTAGGGAGGCGCGGTAGTTGTGATAAACGTTTTTCAGGCCGGTCTTGTAGAACGCGAGATAGGCGCGGCCAAGGGCGACATAGCGTTTGAGTTTCTCTGGGGTCGGGGCATAGGCGGGGGAGGGTGGGCGGCAAGTCGATGGCCGCAGGAAAGGTACTCAAGGGCGCATTAAGGTCTTTGGGCGACGGGATCGTCACGGTGGATGATGTGGTGGTGGTGGATGGTGGTGGTGGTGGTGAAGATCCTTGGTTTGAGGCTCGTAATGCCGCGGAGGTTGAGAATGATGGATAGCGACTGCACATTGATGGGACGGGGAGTAATAGCCTCTGCGCGGGACGAGCAGCCCTCAATGGGGTTCTGAGGGCACCGTGGCACCGGACAAGACAGGACATGGTCTGGATGAGGTAACGTGGAGAGGTGGAGGACGGAGAGGGAGAAGGAGTCCGGAGTCCGGAGTTTCGAAATCTGGGGTGTCCTGAGGCATCCAGGGGACCAGTTGTGGGGTCACCAACGATAAATAAACTACGTAATAGACTATAGTTAATGCGAACCCTAGTGCGAGAAACTATAAGCAACCTAAATTGATCGGCCCCAATTTGTTCAAAGACTACCGAATCGATGATGGATATGATAGAGCATGTGCCAATGAGAGGACAATAGCATAATAATATCTCGCCAGATCCTATCGGGGCATGTCTTTAAGATTTTCTAATAAATGGGAAAGTGGCTGTGGTACATATCGAGAATACCAGAAAATTCTTAAGGGATCAATTACCAAAGGATTTCGAAGTGTTTTGTAAGCACTACTCCCAGGCTGTTGGCCACACTTCAGCTGCTTACCTCGAGTATGCTCTGAACAGCCTCAATTTGGCTGGGGATATTTGGTCAGTACCTTACGCAAGCCTTTCACAAGTCTACTATAGACAGTATGAGCAAAAGAGATTACAAAAATCAGCTCCTCAGCCGAGAAAGAACCTCATAATATAGATCAGGCAGACTCCTTAACAGGCACCATCCCCTCCAGAAGTCGGTCCCAAGGTACCATAGACCCACCCCAGCAGCAGGTTTGTTTGTGTCCACCATTCAGATATCGCCAGACTAAAGTTTCACATAATGCCCACACCACAGCAAAAGGAATCAATCAGGGGAGGTTACTCATGTATCTATTTGTTACGGGACTTGATACGCGTATTCTTGAAGGTATGTCATCTTGCCTACTGGACTTGTAGGAATTGTATCCTGATCCTCTAATATTCTCATTCTTTTCTCAATATTATGTTGGTGGTCACTTCCCCATTGGCAGGATCCCGAATATTCCTAATACCTTGCAGACACCATTCTAACAACTCGAGCCAATAAGGGTAATTTCTAGAGGTCAAAGAGACTTGGTAGCCAATACAATACGCAATATTATTCCGAATAAGCTTAAATAAATATAGGGGGAAGAAGCATAGGCACTAACGCTGTGACATCCTGGATAAAGTGCATACAAAATTTATCATTATACCAGGCCATACAAATCCGGATCAGCCCTAACATCACAGGAAATTGAAAATATAGTATCAACTTCGACATAATAGTAATGAAGCCCAGAGTAATTCCCAACTCCTCACAGCACCTTACAAATCCACCTCCACTGCAATCATACTCTCCGACAAAAACCCCGTCACAAACAACCACGCCCTCTTCACACCCCCCACCGGTTCAACTGGCACCAGTACCGCCGCACTGGCCGTCCGGATCCGCGAGCCATCATCTTCAAACAACAACTTCCTCTCCCAGCCATCACTGCCCAACCGCGCATACCACACCTGCACTGGGTCCATCGCATCCGGATCGCTCGCTGTGCGGGGCATAGTCACTGCCCGTGAAATACCAGCGACAACGAACCCACTCGCATCGTCAGTGTCTGAGTTGTATGGGTCAACAAAGTAACTGGGGTTGTCAGTGAGCGTGCCAATCGGGATGGTCGTGTGCACGGCGATAGAGGTGTTCTCCAGGTTGCGGGTCGCAAGGTACAGCTCACCGCCCATGGCAGAGGAAACAACTAGCTCAGAGTCGGTGCGGGCGTGACCAAGGCCGTTGTTGTTCCATAGGCCGGAGTGGGCAATGGTGGCCTCAAGGCCTCCGGTTGGGTCCGTGTGCTGCAGCTGGTGCAGCTGGATGTGGATGATATTGGTCCATTTTGCGGCAGGCCAGACATCCTCAAGCAGGCGGAGGAAGCCGGTGCGATAGAAGTGATCATTGGTGACATAGAAAGAGTAAGGGCTAAGGGCGGCGATGTCGTTAGGAGTTTGGATGAGTGCGTGCCGTATGGACCGGACATGCCGGGCGGTCTTTGAGCCTAGGACATGGTGGAAGAGTTCGATCTGGGAGCGTGCGGCCGGGGTGTCCGGGATTGTGTTTTGTGCGTATTTGGGGTTAGGAAGATGATTGACGGCAAAGATATACACGGCATCGTCCTGGTCAGGGTCGGCGATGACGTCGATACCGTGTGTAATGAAAGCGCCATTGAAGTTCTTGAAGGCCAAGCGGTCGGAGGTGAAGGTCTGAGGTGGGAAGTCACAGCGTTAGCTTCTCAGTGAAGTGTTTCAACCTTTTTTTTCATGACTTTGACTCTCTTTGTATCCGGTGGGCGCGAAGCTTCAACCTACCTTGGGATCCACCACATGAATTGAACCCTGCCCCGCTGATTCAGCGTCCAGATGTCCAAGACCAGGGAACCATTTGAACCGAGTTGTCTTCACATCCTCGCACGCTGTGAACAGCAAGTTTGCCGGACGATAGTGGTGTAAGTCTTCGCAGTGGATAGTGTCTGGAATGTAAATAGGGCCTTGCCCTTCGCCGAGCACCGTCTGCTTGGGTGTCAAGAAAATCCCATGGACTTGAACCATGTGAATTACTGCGGGCGCAATCACGGCTGCTGCAATTGCGAACAGGCCCAAGAGGGCTGAGCGGAAGAGACCCATGACCAACAAATAGGACCAAGCGAATTTGTGTGCTAGCGTCACGGTCAATAATCCAACTAGCACCGCGAGATGATAGAGTAGACAAGACTTATAGACCACCACCACCACTTCAAAGAACGATGGTTTCCTCGAAGCGTGCAGGTGACGAGAGTGTGAAGACCCTGAATTGCCCACCGATGACAGCACTTTTGAATGTTGTGGGATAACCCTGGAGCCCGAGATCAAGCTGGAGACGGTGGAGACGGTGGGGAACACAGTTTTTTTTAGACCAGCTCAACAGAATATATGTCGATCGGGGGGACCATGGGGAGAAAGGCAGCGCTGAATCTTATGTACCGAGGCAAGATGAGCGTTCTTCAAGGGCAACTCAGCATGCATCACGGTATGGAAGTTGCAAGCGCCTGCACATAGAATACAAAGCAAGGGTGAAGCTTCATTTACTGCACAGTGCCTAGTATAGTAACATTGCAAGTATATTGTCTAATAAATACGGGGGAACCAAGCTCCGTTCGTCATATAGGGTTCGCCAGAACCATTGAATAGTTGAGAAATTACCATCATACAGAGTAATAGCGAGGGCGGAAAACATAAACAAAAATAGTTGGGGATGGAGAAGTCGTGTAAGGGCAAAACGCACAACCCCGCTGCGATGCAACATCCACATCAAAAGCCTCGGTATGAGTAAATTAGTAACCAGTGTGCCACAAAGATCATCCCATACGCGGGGGAGTGGAGTCTGAGCGGGTCCGAGGGACTGAAAGAGCAGCCGAGTTGGAAGCCCAAGACCGAGAGAAAGTCAATTCCTATGGGTAAGAAGACACTAAGATTCTATGAAGGCGTCATTGGGACATAGAAAATCGGCGATGGCCGCCGAGGAGAAAAGTAGCCAGTACGTAAGGAAGAGCAAAAAAAAAATGCATTGACTATCCTAAGAAGATGAAGATACAAGATCTGTCTGTTTTTTTAGTCGTTTGGAAAAAGAGGCGTGATTGCTTGTAGTGGGGCAGCTTCTGCAGGGCAAAGAAAAGGGAAAGAGAGAGGTAACACAGGGCAGATCAGGGACAAAAGCGAACCGGCAGTGAAGAATCAAATTCAAAGATCGTAGTAGTGTCATTATTTGGACGCCGGCCATAACAGAAGTGGCCGAGTCGGTGTTGGGTTCAGAGTGAGGGAAAGGAGAGTGGAAGTAACAAATCAAACCGCATCCGAATCCCTTCAGGTGTGCAAATTCCCGTCCTCATTTCATGTCGTCAGGATGTGGTAGAGCCAAATGGTGTACTAAGTAGGTTGTTGATCTAATGCAGGGATTGCTTCGCCTCTAAGAACTCCTGGTCACTGGCGTCGAGCACATCATATTCTTCGTCAGTCAGGAACCCGGCATCAGTGGAGGTAGCTTCATCCAAAGTGAGGCTCTCAACGTCTTCCAAAACGTCTTCTCCCTCCGAGGCCGTCGACAGGGTAGGAGCTTGGTAGACCGCCTTGACGGTTTCATAGGTGCTAGACTCGGGAGACTCCTTCTGCAGCCTGGGAAAGATCATGCCACTGCCGACCCGCTCAGGGTTACTGGGGGCTGGAGACTCAGCCTTGGCCATATCCTCCGCCACCGGCTGAATTGTCTGAGAGGGTACAGAGAGAGAAAAGGGCAAAATTTGGACTTGAATATCGCACCAGAGTCGATGGCCGATGGCAAGGCCATTGGGTAGTTTGAGTCGCCAGTACGAGATGGCATTACCCCTCCGATTGGGAGCGCGGAGCGTGACGCTGAAGTCAGCACTTTGACCAGGCTCCACAGGCGCAGTCAACTTATTGGTCTCCATTGCTTCCTGGATGGCATTGACGCTAGAGGGGCCGAAGACATCAACATTGAACATGATATCTCCGCAGACGTACTGCACGTTACAGCCAACAGGCCATGCACAAGGACCTGGATTGAATAGGGTCCAGGTCTGGCGGAAAATTGTGTTTTCAAGCAGTTTAGTGCCATCGGCAATTGTGTCGCGGGTGAAACAAGCCTTGTAATCGGCCATGGGGTTCACGGAAAGGGTAGAATCGGAAAGATTGCTGCTGAGAGACTCGCGGCAGTGAATAGACTCTATTGACTTGGTCATCTCCGGTTTACTGGCATCTACCTCGACAGGGGCCGGTTCCACCACAGGCTGCTTCTCCTCGAAAGGTTCAAGGGGAGGAGCTGGGATCGCAGTGGAGACAGGGATGGGGGCTGGGTCGCCCAGGGTGTACGGCCCACGACCTTCGTCCTCGTTCACGGTGTTGACAGTCACACTACGAACGGGGGTCTTGAACTTGATCAATGGGTGAGTACGGTTGTGGTCATTGAGGGGATGAGCCTCGCAGTTGGCGCAGAAATCAACGTCGTCACAGACTGCACACTTGTAGCGAACCCGCTTGATGTAACTCTGGGCAGGCTTGTCCTTGCACAAGGGACCATCACAGAAGATGCCGTAGTGGATCTCAAATTCTGGAACTTGCTCCTCAATAGCTTCATAAATAGGAACGAACCGGTGACCAGGGTGATCTTGAGAAGCAGTGGCCAGACAGTTGGAGCAGTAGTCCCAGTCGGGACAGCTCTGGCACTTGTGACGGGCACCAAGAATGCGCTAAGCGACGTCGTCAGTCAAGAAATCTCTGGGGTAAATGTTTTGACAATGAGGGATGGATTTGTGAGAATGGTCCTACCTTGTCACAACCATCGCAGATGGCAGCGTGCTTGAACTGACGTCCCGGAAGGCAGCGAGACATGATCAGGTTCTTCAAGCTGAAGTTACGGTCGGAGCCGAGGCTGAATGTATGTGCTGGGTGGTGCCCATGCTTATTTCGCAAGAGGCAGCGAAGGCAAAGATCGTAGTCCTCGCAGTCTTTGCAGCGCACTAGGTTCGACTCGTCGACCTCTTTGTAGTGTATCAGTAAGAACAAGTGCATACAGAGAAAGATGAGAAGGGGCCACGACTTACCACGGCAGCAGCCATTGCACATAGGCTTGCTCAAGTCGTGGATACCAGACTCGGAGCGATCTTCAGCGTCTGGGACGGCTGAGGCAGCCATCTCCAGGGCACACTCAGGGGTAGGAGGTGAAAGATCGGAGAAGGCAGGGCAAACTGCAAGTGTCGGCTTGAGTTCCTGTGCCGCAGGACGGGCAGCATGCTGAGGCACGGATGCCTGGGGCTCCAGGGAAGGCAGGTGCTGACGGGGCGGAATGGTCTCGGTTGTGCTATTGATCACAACGCCGTTGACCACCATTCTCTTGATCAACCAATGACCCTCCCCACGACACGAGGCACCATCGTCGACACACTGAGGGCACAGGTCATAGTCTCCATACTCACAGATACTGCAATGATAGTGATCATTGGCAATTGAACGGCCACAGTTGTTGCAGTCAATGCAGAACATCCCGTTGAACGATCTGTGCGAGATGACGGGAAAGCGGAGGTTATCCTGCTCCATATCGAAGTCGCGGTAGCGAGGCTCGTTGTTAGCGTCTACTAGGCCAGCCTGAGGCTGACTGGGCTCGAACGCAGAAACAGGGTTCGATTCAGAAGTGGTGGGTAGAGCTTCAGTGCATGCCACGGGAATGGGGGAGCTGAGAACCGTCTCGAGGTAGTTATGTCTAGGGGGGTCTGATCGGCTGGTTGGGGTGGGAGCGGAGTGTCAACGGGCACCGGTGCCGACGCATCCACCGTACTGGCTTTAATTCGTAGCTTCGACTTGGCCTTGGCAGCACGATATAATTGTTTGTAGACAGCAATATTGTCGCAGTCGAGACGAATGTAGGAGCCGGCGCTGTCGGAATAGCGTTCGAGGATGACGTTAACATCCGCGGGAACGCCGAGAAGCGTGCGGAGCTAAACCGAGCACATCCGTTAGTCAACAGGCGACGGCCAGTATTGGGAGTTGTCTTCTTCTGAAGCTTTTATGAAAGAAAAGCACGTCTCACGAAGCATCACTCAAATAGCCACCAACTATCACCATGGTTGGTACGGCTGTGGTGATAGTTGATAGGGATGGGCGGCCTGGATGTCCGGTCGGGGAGCTTGAGTGGAGACAGCTTACCTTCTGAGGGAGGATCTGAGCTCGCAGATCTTTCAACGGCAACTTGAAGCGACGGTTACTGTCATTATAAAGGACTTTGATGGTAACGAGATGATCTGGGCCGGGGTGGGATGGCAAAGCCGGAGTCGCCGGAGTCGCCATGGTGCAAGTTGATCAAAGGGTGTGGGGGGGGGACAAGTAGTACAGGGAACTTAGAGCGGGAGAGGGAGATAAGAAAATACGGGAGATGAAGGCAGGGTGGAAGAGGGAGTCAGGGAGAGAAAAAGAATACGGATAGCGGATACGAGAAGAGTGGAAGGGAGATGCCAAAGGGAAGGGCAGATTTGGGGGAAGAGGAGTCAAGTCGAGAAAATAGAGGTCTGGAGCAGGCAGACGACGTTTGTTTGCACGGTCAGCTGCTCCCGGCGGTGGACGATGCAGACGCTTAGCTAAGGGAGTGAGGCGGTACGGGGGGAGGACGGTATCTGTAGGGTGACTCAAGCGTTATTCAGGCGGTGAGGAAGCGGGCGCATCGTATGACACGTATCAACCGGTATCGATACCGCGGTACAGAGTACCTCGATAACGTTACCCCGGACTATGGGAGTGAAGGTACAGAGACTACGGAGATCAAGCCCCAAGCCCTGTTGAGCGAGAGCAGACAGATCATTTAGTGGATCCTACAGGGAAGATGACGGCGACTGCAGGATTTCAGCACTTTTAGTGGTTTCATAGCCCCGTTCCAATCGGAAACAGAAGGAAAAATGAGGTCATGCAACTGGGCCTAGATCATGTGAAGTGATCGAAGAGTAAACAAGAAGAGGGGGAGGAGGCGTGTTTTGCGGGAGGGGACATGAGGGGGGAAAACGCTCAAATGCATCCGAATCCAAGTCTAACCATGGCCAAGACGGGTAACAACATAGGAATCCAAGACAAAGAGAGAAAGAGATTAGGAAAAAGAAGACACAGAGAAAAAAAAAGTGAAAAGTGAAAAGAGGAGAAAAAAAAGAAAAGAAAAGAAAAAGAAAAGCAAAAAGAAGAAGACAAGACCGCGCTCAAGAAGCAAACGTATTCAGCCCTCGGAGCCTGAGAGGCCAGCCCCTACTGCGGGCCGTAGTATACTCCCCCGCCCCCAGATGGTTGGGCGTAGTAGTAGGCAGTCCCCGGCGGCGTCATCATCCCCCCCATTCCCACGACCCCTCCGGGCCCGGGCCCGGGCCCGCCACCCGGCACGCCAAACGTGGGATTCGAATACATTTGGTTCGCATCGTAGAAGTAGACCGTGCCGCCAGACTCGTGGGCCACCATGCCCGGCTGTGAGGGCTGTTCACCCGAAGAGGATGGCCCGGCATAAGGAACAGACTGCTGCCCGGGAGGGAAATTTGGCATCGATGCCCCGGGGCCCATCGGGCCATTATAAGAGGCGAATTCGGGCCCTTGAGCAGGATAATACATTGTCGCACCAGGAGCATAGCCCGGGTAGAAAGCAGGCTGCGGGGGATAGCCAAATGGTTGAAATGGCTGGGCATGGATCGCCCGCTCGGGAATTTGAGAGAGGGGGGTTCCAGAAGGCTGACTTGAGCCCTGTGTTGGCTGCTCCTGGCCTGGTCCGGCGGCAGGAGCGGGCACCTGGTGGTGGAAAGGCTGATCCTGCTGGGTTTGCTGCGGATTGAATGGGAAAGTGGCAGGGCTTTCAATATCGGCCACAGACACGGCCTTTTGAGGGCGCGGTTGATGCATGGGGATGGTTGCGGGGCGACTTTCACGGTAGGCAGGGTGTGGGAACGGAATCGGGAGCATCATTCCAGGAGGAAGCCCGACTCCAGGTCCAGCAGGCGGCATACCGACTGGGGGACGAGGAGGAGGAGGCAGCCGCACAATGGGCTTGCCGACATCAGGAGGAATCATAGACGGTCGGGAATAGACCGAGCCCGCCGGGGACGGGTACCCATCCTGCGATGGTGGCAGGCCGAAGGAAGACCGGCGACTCATACTCATGACGCTCGATGCATAGCTGTTGGGATAGTAGCTGGGTCGTCGGGGAGGACCGTAGAAGCTACCTCCACGGCCCCGGCCGCGATAGCCTTGTTGGTTGGGGCGTAAGGCCCGTGGAATAAAGATGAAGGACCGCTCGGTGGACGGGAAGATATAACGAGGTTCTTGACCAGGAAGAGAGATGCGCACCGGTTTGTCGCGGCGCAAGGGAGGGCGGTGTTGAGGGAGACGGGTATGCTGCTTTTTGGGTACCGCTGGGAATGGTTTGGCCTGAGCCATGCCAGGCAAGAGAACCACGACAGGGACATTGCCAACCAAGGTGGTGCTGGAGAAGGATCGATTTGGAGGAGATGATCTGGGGGCAGTCGGAACGGTCATGATGGGTGGAGGTGCTGGAGGTGCTGTGGATGGGGCAGGGTGTTTCGGAGCAGGTGCTTTGTCGCCAGCCACCGTTTCGTGAAGGTCGTGTGTCCACTGGCCCTCACTTGCATCAGGCTTTGAAGAGCTTCTAGGTGATATTAGAAAAGGACACATGATGGTCATGTGAAGACGGAGAAGGAAGGGGGGGAGAGGGGTGACTCTACCTGCGAGCATTCCCATCCACAATGAGACCGTACGGCCTCGACTTGCCCTTATTGAAGGGGCGGAAGCCGTTTGTTCCAGGTTCAGACGATCGCTTGTCGTGTAAGAAAAAGCTGCCTCGACTAGGAACGAAAGCCGGGTTCTGATCTCGCTCCTTCACAAATTTCTCATGCTCTCGACGCTTCCTTGTAGCTAATGTGTCCCGCTTTGGTTCGGTGGGTGGAGCAGACGGCGTCCGGCCCATCTGGAGCTCGTGATCTTCACCCATCTGGTCAAACAGAATTTCCTCACCCTCATCTGAGATCTTCAGCCCATTTAACATCGCTTCTGTGTCCGAGACCGTGGTTTTGAGGGCTGGTTTGCTGGGTGAGGCGGAGCTGTGTCGTTGAGGCAGTGGCAGCTCCCGGCCATTGACCTTGCTACCGTTCAGTTTGTCGGTGGCTGCCGTAGTCGATAACTCTCCGTCACTTTCACTTCCTTCCCCGTCGGCATCCTCTTCATCTTGGCGGCTATCTACCGACCCTTCACTCAAGGAGTCATCTTCCAGATCTCCAGCGAGCGAGCCCTCATCCTCACCCTCGTCATCCCGTCTCTTCCTACGGCTCGTTCCGATATGGTGTCGACTAGGAGCCATATTGATGAGAGGACAGATTGGACTTGAGAGAGGGGGAGATGGTCCCTGCTGGAACACGGTTGGCGTTGGGGCCAGCCAACCAGGAAGGGGTGAGCAGGGAAAGAGGGAAGTGCGGCGAAGTCTCGCGGGCGAAGCAACAAGGAAAACGAATCACGCCACAGAATCCAGAACTGGGATGGGCTCGTCAGAAAAGGGGGTGGGGAAAAGCACCTCACTCGGGAGATGAAAAGGAAGAAGAGAAATGAGCAAGGGGTAAAAGAGAAAGAGATGCAGGTTGGACGAGATGCGAAGCAGATATTCGACGAAGGGCATGACATCGCAGAGAGACGTCACCCCAGATCGGGCTAGCGTGGGCGGTGAGACATAGTTCTGCCCGAGAAGCCTAAAAGTGGATGATCGGCGTGTTTCGTCTTTGACAAATTTCTTTTCTTTTGCGTCCCCGGCCGTGAATATTCTTGACAGGGTTGATCTCGAGTGTCTCGAAATTGGGCTCGCGCGAGCCCAACCGCTATATGGGGGCCGTGCAGGTGTGCTGGCGGGAGGAATGCAGTGGAGATTGCAAAGTAACGCATGCTACACCTTGATTGATAACCTCGACGGCGGATACGACAAACAAATTACAGCAACATATTCTATCGCCAATGCTTTTAGGGAAAACCAACCATATACTTTTTATCCAGAGGTATCTATAAACTTGGCGGAGAAGGCATCCTCAAAAGAGCCAGTCTCACATTCGCTGCCACGTCAATCCAATAAGACTATACACCGCACAGCAGATCGTTGCTAGTTAGAGTCTTTCAAATACAGTAGAAAAAGAACATCCCAGACGCCTGCGGATCCGCTGCAATGATCCGGCACTAAAGAATGGAGTACAGGGGAGAAAAAAGCTCAGGGTTTGCGGGAGTGGCAGTCCAGACCGAAACCCAGCGAATTGCCACAACTCCGCTCAATCGAAGGTGGTTTTCTTGCCTTGGGCCTCAACAATAGCACCGCTGAGTCGCTGGACCGTCTCTTTCGAGTATCGGGACTCATCAACATCCTGTTTCTTCGGTTTGAAGACCCGGGGTTGCCCTTCAGTTTCCTCCTCATCGACATCCGTGATGCCAGGCTGACCGTTCTTCTTGCCCTCGCCATCCTTGCCAAAACGCTTCTTGTACCGGGTTGATGCGTCTTCGGCAAACTCCATTCGCATCCGGCGGCCCATCAGCTGGTTCACCCATACCCGACGTTGGAAAGGCTTCTTGGTCTTCTTTTTCTTTTTTTCTTGTCCTCAGACTCTGATTCAGAGCTATCACTGTCGCTGGATTCCTCATCCTCCTTGACCATGATGAAGCCCTTCACCGCCGCTTCCGAGGCTGCAATATCTTCAAACTCCACCCAGGCATACCCCTTGCATTTTCCTGTATCCTGGAAAGTCGCCATATGCACATTGGTTATCGTACCACATTTGCCGAAGTGCTCCTCAAGATCCTCTTTTGTTACGTCGAAACTGAGGTTGCCCACGAAGATTCGTTTGGACGGAGGGTTGCCGGGCTTGCCCGTAGGAGTGCCGTTACCCTGGTCGTGAGACTTTTCCGGTCGGCCCTCGAAGCTTTTTGCATTCTTGATCAAAACTCGGCGACCTGTCAAAAGTTGCTCGCTCAGAGTCAAGGCCTCGTCCAACGCCTTCTGGGTGGAAAAGTCAACGTAGGCAAAACCCTTGTTCTGAGGCCGTCCAAATTTCTCTGCACCCTTGGGCATATGCACTCGAGTAATCGTAGCATCGGAAAAAGAGCAATTGCTGGTGAAGAACTGGCGGAGATCGTCCTTGGTCATGGAGAATCCCAGGTTACCAATCCAGACTCCATATTCAGAGCGCTTGGCCTTCGAGTCATCAATATCCTTGGAGTTAGCCTTCTCAGTTTGAGGCTCTTGAGTGTCTTCTGACTGGGTAGGCTCTCCGTCGGTCTTTTTGTCTTTTTCGCTTTGCGGAGTGCTTTTTTGGATGGCGGTTCTGGCGCAGAAATATCGATCTCAAGTTCGGGGCCGTCTTGTAGCTTGCGCTTCTTCTGGCTGGAGTCGGTAACCTCGGTCATGGTGACGGTTATATCAGTTTTGTCCCAGGAACGATTTCAAAGAAAGTGTGTAAAGGTCATCGGTTGGTCGAGAGATTAAACACTCCAAACAATTTCACTGAAGATCTTCGGCATCGCCGCTAATCAATTTTTTACGGCGGCCGAGACCCGCCCAATCCGCAGGCTCGCGAGCCCGTGCTTGGCGCGCCCAGCAACTTGCCCCGGCTTTCCCTTCCTTCCAAGCATCAGCATCTCTTGACCTCCTGGCGCTGCATTCGCGACTATCAACTCATTTTCCGCCATGGCAGACGAAACCCTTGATTATAAGCCTGTTCCTGAATCTCTATCTGGTGCTCCAGCAGCGGCCCCTGCTAAGCAATCAGTGCGCTCCTTTAAGTACAGGCCCTCGTTACCGCGTGTTGAGATTCTGGACTAACCAGGCTTCCTACAGGAAAAAATATGCCAAATTGAAGGTAAAATTTGAACTTGGAATTCGGGAAAATGAAAGTCTCATTCACGAGGAGTTGCGTATCGAGGATCTCTCTAAGCGCATCCAAGAACAGAATGAGTATGTTGGCTTACAGCCCGAAGAAAATGCTTGACGCGGTCGCTAAATCCATCCTTAGCCAATTGCTGGAAGTCCTCCTTGAGTTTAACGAGAGTCTCCATGTTCCCCCGGCTTTCCGGTTTGACTTGAACATACCTGATGACGCCCCTTTCCTTCCATCCTCAGAGCAAGAGATTACGCCCCTGATCCACGATGCGACCCTTGCTAGAACAGCTTTGCAGGAAGCAAAATCCGAGTTGGCGAATGGAAACTTCTCAACAAGCGCCTATCGCCAAGTGGAAGGGAGCATCAAACGGAACAAGGAGTTCGCCCCCGCCCACCAATACAGCAAACTGAGCCAGTTCCCTCACACGAGCGCGACAGCTCCTGAGCAGGCCAAGGGGATCGATGGCGTGGAACGCAAACTAGGGTATTTCAACCCTGAGCATGAAACAGAATACTACCTGGCCCTGGATGCCAAGCTGGGTGACGAGGCTGCGGCTGTGCAGCTTCAGCGCATCCCAGATCCACCCACGTTTGCTGAACGAGAACGAGAGGCGATAATCCGAAATCCCGCGTCGGTCTATAACTGGCTGCGACGTAATCAACCGCAAACTCTGCAAGAACACGAAGTCGCCTCTGAGAAGTCAGTTTCTCGGCCTACAAACCAGCGAGCATCCAAGCGGGGACCTACCTCGCGCAAGGACGATGAAACATTGGATGAAGACGGGATGGATGTCGAGCCTACTCCCAAAAATAAACGCAAACGTGACGATGATACTGGATATCGGCCAAAGGGAGGTAGTAGCCGCCCGAAGAAGAAGAAGGATGAGCCGAGTGCTGCGGCCAATCGCAGTGCTAAGAAGACTTAAATCGGCCATACATGTCCTTCATGATTGCTTTCTTCATTTTTTCTGTTATTCACGTTTATGTATTAATAGTGCATTCGCATTTGGTTCTCCATTGGCGGGAAGCTATGAAATAAAAAGTAGTCTCTATCCAAATATCGATTGAATTCGTTTGTAAAATGAATTTGACTGCTTGAAAACAAAGACCAAGTTTTCTAGGTAATGGGAAGTATGATTTCATTGTATATCAAATGCAAATTATAATTTAACATGATGAGATGATATCCAACTACATGAATGTAAGTTTTTTAACGAATCTGAAGCCTGCCATCAATCCACAGATTATCCAGAGCTCATATTGCTGGAGTGGAGCATATCTTTGGGGCTCATATGTAGTGGAGAATAGTCACGTGATTCTGCAAAAGTCTCGGTCTCTCAAAGACGATCCATAATCACAACGAGCTTCCAGCAACCCACACAGACCAGCGCTTTTCTACACAATGGCAATCACAATCCTGCCACCTGTGGTAGAGGACCTCGGGCCGTACCAGGCCGAGTCGGACGATTCCATGTCCGTCGACTCAGACTCAGATGTTGAAATGACCGGTGCTTCCCGAGCACCCAAGCGGGTTCGCCTATCAGACAAGAAACTTGGAACCGGAATCGTGACGCCGGGTGAAGTAGTCACAGATGACCCGCAATGGATGAGGTGAGTTTGGTGGCTTTCCCCCTTTTCACGGGGTGAGCTGAAGCTGCCTGTCTTCCGGGCGGAAGTCATTACCCAGTCCGCTAACAGCCATACAGAGGACATGGCACATATATGAACCCACTCTCGACGTCAATTATTGCCACCGTGGCGGGCACAGTTCATAAAACCAACAAACTGCTCTCAGTGCACCCGCTGCGTGCCCGATATACGCCCGAGATCGGTGATCTGGTGGTGGGACGAATTGTCGAGGTGCAATCACGACGATGGAAGGTCGACGTCGCCGCCCCGTTGCTTGCGCAGCTCCCCTCTTTCCGCTATCAACTTGCCTGGTGGTATTCTGCGTCGACGAACAAGCGCCGATGAGCTTCAAATCCGGACTTTCTTTAGCGAGGGCGACCTAGTGGTCGCGGAAGTGCAGAGCGTGCATCAGGACGGATCAGCTTCTCTTCACACCCGTTCTCTTAAATATGGCAAGCTTCGAAATGGTGTCTTCCTTGCAGTGACAGGAACCGGTGGTAGTGGGGCCTCCAGTTCCAGCACCAAGGGAGGTGTTGGATCCGGACCCTCGGGCCCTTCGACCGCCAGCGGCACCGGAGGTGTGGTGCGATCGCGGCGACAGGTGTGGACTATCAGCACCGCTAATGGCGGTGGCGAAGTAGATGTTATTCTTGGAGTTAATGGGTATATTTGGATCTCAAAGCACGCGGATGGGGCTGCCGCCGCATCGTCTACAACCGAGAATGTTTCGATTACACGCATGGAAGAGATGGTGTCGAGTTCAATTTACTCCAGCCAGAACGATGAAATTCCCCCACAAACCCGTCGGGAAATTGCGCGTCTCGCACAGTGCATCCAGGTGCTCGTGCAGGGGGGGTGCGGGTGGACGAGGAGACGGTGATGGGAGCTTATGAGGCCAGCTTACAGGTGGACCTTGAGGTAGGGGATGATGAAGACGAGGATGATGATATCCGCCAAGAGGGCCGAGAATACTTGGAAGGTGCCAAATCCCGGCGAATCTTGGAGCTAGTGGCTCGGCAACAGTGAAATGCGGATTTGGTTTTTCCAGAACAGAGCTTGATGATTTTGCCCGTCCTTGGATGTATGATTACGGTGGAGTTGGTGATACCCCTCGCAACAGAAATAGAATGCCAAGAATTCTCCATGCTACCTGCTCTCGCTTTATGCTAAAAGCTATATAATAAAAATCTCTTAGGTTCTTGTAACCAGACGGTCTATGAATCGACGATCCAATAAATTGCAGTGGAATCATAATTCTGCCGTAGTTTATAGTTCCCCCTCCCCGCACTGGCGGTCAGCACAGCCCGCCCGCCCGCGATTGGCGCGAGCCACGGTTCTGCCTGTCGTTCAATTCATGGGCTCGAGGCCAACTTCTACTCGCTCGAAGCCTCTCTTCCCTCCTTCATCACCTCACTGAAACCTCTTATTTTCCCCATGTTTTTCTTGCAAGACGATGTCCGATATTACGCTCTTCATTCCTCAATTTTGCTACACCATAGATCCGTTCCAATAGGATAAATCCGCCTCAACTTCCATCCTTATCCTTCGTCACCATTTTTTCCCCTACTCTTTGAACCTGCTCTTTTCCCGAGGCTTTCAGTCCTCGAACCACCTTTCTCCCATCTTTTGAAATTTTGCCTGCTTCCTTCTATTCCTCTCCTCTACTATGCCTGATCTCCGTCGCCAAATCTTCGAAAGCGGCAAGACCGTCTCGCGGAAGGCTGCTTCTCGAGAAGCCTCCCGCACTAATTCCCGGCAAAGCTCCAAGCAGACATCCCGCCAATCATCCCGCAATGCGAGTCGACACCCCTCGGACGACGAAGACTCCGGATTCCTCTCTGATGATACGGCTATGAGGTGAGCTTGGCCTATTCCCTGCCGTTTCTCTTTTCCTGATTCCTTTCTTCTGTCGTTTGATTTTTTGTGCATTTCAAGTTATCCATCAGGGTTCCACTTCGTGGCGGGATGATGTCACCGAAATCATTTTTGCTCGGATCGGACCAGTGGACTGACCCTTAACCCCTTCCAGCATCGGTTCTCTCGATGATGAGAACCCAGAGCAGGACAATGTCGACTGGCCGCAGGAGTTAGCCGACCGAGTCCAAGAGATTCTCGATCGCAAGCGCAGTAGTACTCAAGGCCGTGAGGAGGCACTCGCAGCTTTTTGCCGTCTTACCAAATACCACTATGCGGAGGAAGAGATTCGCCCGTACGTCACCGACCTCTTGACCTCTTTTGCACGAAGCGTGCGGAATGAGTCGAGTACGCGCGAATCTACCTTTGCTCTTCGTGCCATCGAACTGCTAGTGATCACCTCGTCCGACGATAAAATCTATGAAAATGCCGAGTCATTGCTGACCCGAATTATTCGCGACTCAACATCCAACAATGTGAAAGCCGCTGCGATCCAGGCCCTTGGTGCATGTGCAATTTTTGGTGGGGCGGGCGAGGGCGGTATTCTTGATCAGATGACCTTCCTGCTAGATATTGTTGCTTCAGATGGACAGTCGATCGGTGCAGCCGATGACCCCACTAGTGTGACGGCGGCCCTGCAGGTCTGGGGCTTCCTTGTCACCGAGGTCGACGACTTCGAAAGCGAAAGCGAAGAAGCAGTCCAGATCTTTATCGACCAACTCGATAGTAGTGATCCAGGCGTCCAAATTGCCGCCGGCGAGAACATCGCCCTTCTTTACGAAAAGAGCTTCACCCCACAAGAGGATGATGAGGACGAGGACAGTGAGGAATCAGACGAAAGCGGCGACCACATGCTCGATGATCCCACTGGCCCCAAGCTGCTCAGGCGCTACAATGCCTATCATAATACCCCCGAGCTGGAGCGACAGCTCACCAAACTGGCCACGGTCCACTCGAAGCGGATCAGCAAACGCGACAAGAAATCCCTGCACAGCAATTTTGCCTCGATCCTCACTACCGTTGAGAACCCCCGCCGCGGTCCACGCTACAACATGGCCATCGATCAGGATACAAACCGACACTACGGCAGCACATTGACAGTCAAGATCGGGCGTCATGGGATTATGAGCATCGACCGCTGGTGGAAGTGGGTTCGACTGTCGTCTCTCCGGCGCATTCTGCAAGGCGGATTTGCCGAGCATTACTTTCAAGGTAACCGGGCTGTCCTGGAAAACCTTCCAGTTATGATGCGAATGCCCGAGACCGGTGCGGGGAGCAGTGCCGGGTCGAGTGATCGCCGGAGCGCGCAGAAGGCGGCCAAGATGCGGAATGCCCGGCGTTGGACGGCGCAGCACTCGGACGATGAGGATTAAAAGTGACGAATATAGTGCTCTCGTTGATGATATGTCCTTCCCCTTTTGTCTTTTCTTTTGTTTCCATCTCTCTTGGTGGCGGTACCAGGCCGCGATGCACTTTCTCTCTACTCTACGCAGAACCGTACGTGGTATATGTTCATTCCTCTTCCGGTTGCGACAAAGATAATTGGTGCGCCGCAACGCTCCTTTGTTTTACGAAATGCGAGTTCGCTGTCCATAGTTCATAGCCAAAACTAACGCAAAGTACCCGAAGCAAACGAATCGGTTCAGATCGTACAATGCCACTGTCCAGTGTAATATGTAATCACCAAATACTATTTCTAGAGTGGAGTTCAAGGCCCGGCCAGATCCTCCTCGTCATGCACCTTTAGATACGCTTCAAGTCCAAGTGCTCTAGGAGTATATCTACCGTCTCTTTTTTTTGAGTTCTTCCTTTCATCGACCGCGAATCCAAAATTCCCGGGGCCGATTAAAAAAACCAAAGCAAAATGAGGGGAGGGAGGGGAGAGATAAAGGGACAGGGAAAGATAAAAAAACCCGAGAACTCAAGACAACACAGAGTGCCACCTATAATCACACACACATATACCCAAGAGTCGATATTCCCCAACCACATGCAGAGAGGCGCCGATCTAGTTCGTCTCGAACACAGACACAACGCCTGACCAGCTGCCGCGTGCACGCTCCTCCCAATACCCATCCTTGCCTCCCTTCAACCGCCACACGTCCTCCCCATCCGCGTCCTCACTGGCCCGCGTAAACCAGCGCGGCGTCCAGTTCTCACCAGCAGCTTCCATATCACGCCTGCGCGCGCGTTGGCCCTCTTCCAGCTGGACCTTGAGCTCCTCGGCGCGATCGAGATCGCCGTCCTCGAGCGCGCGCTGGTCCGGACGTAGCCGAGAGTCTGTGCCCGGGAGGTGCCCGTCCTCAATGGACGTGACTTCATTGAGAGCGGCGGCAAACGCCGTCATGCCATAGTGCTTGGGGGCGCTGGGGACGAGGGGCCCCGCAGTCCAAATGGGGCTGCCGGTGGAGGAGCCGTCACGGGTGATAGACAGGGCGGCGGGCCAGGTGCCGGCAAGGCCGAGAGCAAGAGGCTTGTTGTAGGAGTCGACGGCGCGGGTGGAGACTTCCTCGCTGCGGCCGGAGAACATGCCGCCCGCTTTGAATGTGGAGATGGAGCGGTGGCCGGTGGTCTCATTTGCAACGGTTAGCTCGCCAACGGGCTCGACATATTTCTCGCCAGCGATTATGTTGCGCAGAAATGAGGTCGCGGGAGTCCAGCTGAAGTGCTCGCCGGTGGCATGGAGGGTGATGCGGACGCGTCCCTCGGTCGTGATCTCAGCGGATTTGCCCCAAAATTTCTGGCTGGGCTTGGGCGACTGGGCGAGACTCCATTCGCGGCTGTCGGCTTGGTAGGCGAGTTGAACGGGACGATGGGAGACCTTCTCGGCAATGAAGCGAAAGCCGTAGTCTTCGCGGACAAGTTCGTAAGTCTCACCGAGCATTGGGTTGAAGGGTTTGCGGATGGAGCGTTCGCGGACTCGGTTGCTGGAGAGCGAGGAGAGGGCAAAGGAGGTGATGTACATCAGCCGTTCGACAGCGTCTGAGGACTGAGCTGCCTTATCGAGCAGAGACGAGTATTCCAGGATTTCGGCTGCACGCTGCAGAAGGGACAGAGGCTCGTTTGCAGATACAGGCATTGAGATCTGAGACAAATCCTTGCCAACATTCTTGCGCAGGAAGCCAATCAAGCTTGGAGGCAGGACGGTGGGAGCGAGGATATTCTGACGACGACGCACGCGATCCAGCGGTAATGGAGCTAAGGACTTCGGTCGAGCGGGGAACAATGAGGAAGCGCCAGCACCATCATGTGGCGCAGACGCCTCGGTCTCATCTTCACTGTCGGAAGGTGCATCGTCCTCGACATCTTCCGCATCATCAGCAGCCCGGTCTCCGTTTGCACCTTCGTCATCACTGTCTTGGATCGTGAGGAGCGGAGAAGTAGCGCCTCCATCCATCGCATCGAAAAACTCTTGTGAGATATCTGACTCCATACTGCGGCGCGGCTGTATTGCGGATCGAGGCGGGTGACGGCGCTGGTTGCTCTCTGCAATCAGCGTCGAGAATTCTGAGACCACATTATCAAGATCACGCAGAACTGCCATGAGATTATCATGAATCTCATCCATTCCATCCGTATGGCTAGCAATGCTGGCAGGTCTTCCCGATCCATCTTTAGATGGCACAACTAACTGAGATGAACTCGAGTTCGTTTGCTCCGGCCCAGGGGGCCGTTTGGCACTAGATTGCGAGTTCGCGCTGGTCTTGCGCTTCCAGAATGGGCGTTTGAATTCGGCGCCCGGAGTATCAGCAGGAGCGGCCTGCGGGCTCGACGGACGAGCCTCAGCACGCTGGTCGGCGGAAGAAGGAAGAGGCGTAGTGAGATACTTGGGGTCAGTGTCTCTGGCCAGTCGGCGCACAGCATCCCGCGATCCAGACACTCTGCCTACAAGGCTGTGCACTCGAGTCCATTCCGCCTCCTCCGCCGGATCAGGAGATGCAGGCGTGGTCAGCCGGAGCTCTGGGGGTCCGACAACGGTGAGCTCATTCTCCTTCGACAAGTCCTTCTTTGAAGCCTTCTCGAGCGCACGCTTCCAGGCCGCGAAGTCTTGCTCATTGCTTGCACGAAGATGCCAAATTTCAGTTCCTGAATCGATGGAAATCTCACGGGTCTTCTCGTTCGTGGCTACCGCAGCCAATGTGAGCGGTATGGCGCCGCGCAGCGCGGACGAGTTTGGATCATGGTAATAGGACAGTGTAGACGAGGTAAAATCGAGGGAGAAGAACCGACGTGCCCAACCTTGGTGTCGCTTCCGCCGGCGTTTCTGCAGCAATCCCGTGTGCACCGTCGACGAGCCCGATGAATCCGACAGCTGCGCGTTGAGGGTAGACCGGCTGTTCCCTCGGCGGCGCGTCCGAGGCTGGTGTAGGGACTCGGTAGAAGCACCATGTATGGAGCGGGCAATCGAGGGCGGTGCGGAGCCACGAGGCTTCACGCCAATCGGGTAGGTCAAGAGAACGAGGGTGACTGTCTTGGACGTCTGTTTGGAGAATGTGTTGTCGAATACGAGCGCATAGTTGCCCGCTTCGGTGGAAGGGACATCATAGGTGCCTTGGGAGATCTTGTCGGCCTCACACTTGCCAATCCACTTGATCGATTTGAGTCCAATGGCCGTTAACTTGTCGATGACGGTGGGTTGTTGATCGCGGGCGCCAGAGGTGGCCGGCAGGTTTTCAGCCGAATCGGTGCTGTGGGAATCGGAGGCCGGCAGGTGGGAGCTCAGCGAGTTCTGACCGGGGTGCTTGAAGAGTCCGAAATTCACGGACTTCTTGTGCGGTTGAATGCTCCAGGAGATCGTGTGGTTGGCACTGACGCTGATCCATCGGACGAAGTAAGACTGGCACCAGGAACGACCGGATCAGCTTGGAGATCCCGAATGGTCGCGGGACATTGGGACATCGATGAGTATTCTTACCTTGCTGTGAATCTCCAGCTCCTCCATTGCCGCCATGGTTGCGCAGGAAGGGAGTTGCGAGAGACTCCCGAAGAAGCCGTCGCGTACCGGTGGAGTTGCGGCTGAAGGGGGAGGGGAATAATGCCGCGCGGACAGGACACCTAATATATGTCGTGCCCGGGGGCCAGATCTAGATCACCAACAAACCCAACACTTGTTGGCGCAGACAGGGTGATTCCACTTAGTCTGCACTGACATCAGTTGCTTTGAAAGTCAGTCAATCCCCTGGCGGGGGGAGGCGGAGCCGGTCAAACCGAAGCCGAGGAATCACACTTCACATGGTATGCGGGATCGACGCTGGCTGGTCGAGGCTGCTTATGCTTCCCCGGTGTTTATCCATGACTCCGCCCGCTAGTGCGCTTGTTCAGATCGCAGATGGTGGCTGAACGGGCGATAGGGAGCACACCAGTTGACGGCCAAAATTAGTTATATTAGCTACAGGATGCTAAATCTCTATGGTGGCTTCGCGAACAATTTCTTGTCATCTTCTCCCATGCAGAATACGGTCCATTGGTAAGTTTCATAATGGTTACAGATATGCCCATTGCTCCCCCATCCCAAAACGATCAGATGGTGTATCAGATGAAAGGCAAACATTGGAGAAAAAAGAGAAGAAAGAGGCGGGAAAAAAGGGAACATTGAGGCTTTGAAAAGGGGCATTTTAACAGAAACGAAGAAAGAAAGGAAATGCAATGCCCATCTGGTAATTTTTTAGTCCGCTTGTTTTCCTTGTTGAAATTCCCAAAGGAGATGAAATAGTACACTATACAGACGACGCACAAGCCTTATCTCCGGCCCGCTTGCATGTTGCTGAACATCAGTTTGAATCCATTGCACAAGGCTTGCATGTCTGGATACGGGTTCTTTTGCAGCTCATAGCCTTGAGGGATCACCTTGACCGGCCAATTCTGGAGGCGTGCATGCTCTCCTGCTTTGAAGCAAAGATAGAAGTATCCGGGGTATTTGGGGTTGGTACAGAAAGCATAGGCCGACCGACGGGGGTTGGCCTTAGTATAGGTCTCCAGCCATTGGTCTGAGAATCATGTTAGCTAGAGATATCCAAGAATAGAGGAGATGTATGTGTATGGGGAGAAGGAGAGCGGGAGAAGAAACATACCAGTATCGGCTTTGCTGCCGTCTTGGAACTTCTCGTGGAGAATCATCTCCTCCACCTTCTTTGCCATCGCCTTGACGTGATTGACAATTAAGTCATCCAAATCGCTATAACTGTACTTGCCACCCACTCGCAAAACGCGACCAACCGAGAACTCATTCTCCTTATCCAGTTCGAGAACATCAATGTGCTGATAAACACCCTGCGCGACCTTCCAGGTAACAGCCAAGTGATCGGGTCCACGAGAGGACGGGCGAATAACAACATCGCCGCGGCTTCGCGAACCAAGATACTCCTCGGCTTGCGTAGAGTTGAATGGTCGGAACAGTGGGTGTTTAATCACACGCATCGCCTGGCCACCCTGTTGAGTCTTCTCCTGCATCGACTCCTTATCGTTCCGTTCTTGCGCCTCATCCCAATCTCCAAAGCCGTGATCCGGAGTCCGGCGGATAGGATTGCTGACCTGGTCCTCACGGAGGGACACATTGCAGGTAAAGCTTTTGCGATTCAAGAAGACAATCTTGGCAGGGACAGTCTGGTGTGGGGCGTACGCATTACGCACAGGAAGATCGTAGGGAAGACCAAGTTCGGTCTCTGCGACCAGCGCATCGACTCCACAGTCCAGCTTCGCGTCGATATGGTCCTCAAAGACCCGCTTGATGGCAATAGGGACGACCATGCCGGGTTTGAGTGACTCATTGGTCTCGCCCGTAAGCATGGTAAAAATGTCATCAGTGCTAAGGAAAACAAACTGCTTGCGCAAGTCCTCGTAAGGCTGCTGCAGTTCTGCACGGATTGTCTCCAAAGTCGCACGCTTGCGCTGGTTCAAATTCTTCTCCAGCTGCTCGGCGTACTCTTCCAAAATCAGGTCGTTGACACGGTCTTGTTGCTCATCACGGAATAACTTCCGCACGATGGCGCCAGAACCATTCTCATCTGTCTCTGCTTTAATATCTTCCTCATCGAGCTCTAAAGCATCCGCCGCCATCTTGCGTGCAATATCATAGTCTTCAGGGTGCACACGGGTGTTGTCAAGAGGGTCTGCATCAGGGTCGGCATTCTCGAAATCAATGTAGACAAAACTGGCACAATTGTTCCACACTTTGACACCCATCGCGGGGTATTGTGCGTTCACACCCAACAACTCCACTCGATTGTTCACAACGCCTCCATTCATATTCATGATCTTGATCAAATGTTCTGACTTGCGGGGACCAAGGCCGCAGACATACGGCATGAGGTTAGCAGTCAATTGGTCGTTGACTGCTTCATTGAGATCGACGCCAACCAAGTTGACCATATCGACGAGAGCCGTCTCCAGCTGCTTAAGCAGCAAATCTTGCGATACAAGCTGTTGTCCCGGCTTGAACTGAATGGAAACAACATCACGACCAAGGGAAGCATATTCCTTGAGAGGGCTCTGGAGGTACCGACCCAAAGCCACACAGTAATGAGTCAAGGGCCCGAAGCCTGCATTATCGAGAGCTGCGCGAGGACTGTTGTGATACAGACGAGCAACCTCGTCATTGACAACTACGACCTCAAGACGGTCACTGACCTCTTCATCGCGATCGTCTGTATATGGCGCTCCACGGATGTCCTTGAGATCAACCACTTCAGAGAGAAGCTTATAGAGACGACGGGTCTCCGGAGTCATACCAGAAACACCGATAACGTCTGGCTTGCGCCGCTCTACTAGGTTCACAAATGCGGCCACATCCGCACCGTCATCGATACCGCGGCTCTTATCCCCCACGGACAAGTCTTTGAACTTTCCATTCTCAAGCACACGACCATCCTCTTCGATGTAGACCCAGTAAATATGATCTTTGCCAACAGTGCCGGTACCAGTAGAAAAGGTAAGAGTGCGGGGTACGGTACCAAGAACCATCCCCTTCGGTTTGTAAGGGGCCTGGTCTAAACGCTGGGAAAACGCCTCACGGCACTCTTTCGCCACATGGTTTTCACACTCCTGTCGAATGTTTTCCTTGACACTGCGATTGATGGTTCGCTCTAGCTTACTAAGAGCCAAATCCAACGTGTCACGACGCAGGCGGTTCCACGCATCAGCCACTTCTGAGTAGTTGTCTGACTCGATATCGGCGTACAGGCGTTGGCGGAATTGGTCAAAGTTCTCGAACCGGACTTTTACTTCCATCAGGCCCTCTTCCTCCGCCTTCAGCATTCGAAGGAACATTTCTGGTCGGCGGGCAATATCGCTGAGCTGCTGGTTGCGCAGATATTTAAAGTCGTAGTAAGGGTGCTGGTCATCGATTCGGCGCAAGCCCTTTTCTGTTCGGAAGCAGTCTACAACTCCATTCATGTAATACGCCTGCCGGATAACCTTGCGCATCTTGGGGCTGATAACGAGTTCTTCGGCAAACATCGATTTCGCAGCTTTCAGAACTTGTGTGGAGTTGGAGAAGTCAGTGTCGACAAACTGGTCTGCCAGCTCCTCCGGTCGTTCGCCTGGATCCTCGGTATACTGTCGACGGCCCTCTTTGGCGGCATTGCCAGCAAAAGCATCCGCAGTGATGCCAAAAGCCCGGACCATGCCATATGCATTGCCATTCCGCACCCGCTCGAAGAAGGACTTGTTGGTCGCCTTCCGTCGAAGTGGTTCACCATTAGTATCTCCATTGAGCGAGGACAAATCGCGCAGCGACGAAGCATATTGAAAGTGAATATAATCCTGAATATCTTGAAGTTCCTCCATGGTGGCAGCAGTTTCCAGAAGATCCTCCACGTTGGCATCGTTCACACCATAATCGGTTTGCAGGCCGTCATACGTCTTCTGAATAGTGTTTCGCTTGTCGACAAGTGCACGGAATTTGAGATCATATTCGAAAATATCCCACAGATCGGTCATGTTCAAAAGCTTCTCGGCTCGGATGGTATATTGCGCAGACTCGTCGTCAGGGTCGGCTCCGCTGACTGGCTCCTTCACTGCGTGAATCATATAGTCCTTTCTATGTTGAAAGATGAAGGGGACTTCCCAGTCATCTGTGACCAGGAACTCCAACATCTTGGCCACTGACCGCTGGAACGGCTCTCGCAGCTCTGGCTCCATGCGCTTCTTCAGCAACATCAGGTTAGAAATCCAGATAGCCTCCTCACGGAACTGATCTTCGGAAAGCGTGACATGCCGATATGGTTTGCGGGCAATCTGGTGGCGTTCGGGTTCATCGAGCAGACGGACCTCGTTATCCTCCTCGGTCAGCATGCGCTCCGCAAGCTGCGACGGTTCAAAGATGTCCTTCAGGTCCAGGTGTCGCTCTTCATTCTCCTTGTCTTCTTCTTCCTGTTCTTCGATGTCTAAAGCAAATCTGTAATCCGAGCCATCGCCGAAGACAGCCCGTAAATCTTCCACTGCATTTTCATCCAAGCCGGCAGCCTCGGTGGCCCCAAGACCGGGTACGCCGGTTCGGACAGGAGCCGCAACTTCAAGGTCATCCCGCTCACGCTGTGCCTCCTCGTCGGAAAAGGTGTCCTCCTCGATGAAGTCGTCCATTTCGTCGTGCATACGGCCACGGTGACTGGCTCGGCCATACTGCTGCGCTTCTTCTTCCTCATCCGAATTGAACATATCATCAATACCTTGGGATGGTTGGCGGTGGTCACGATCCTTGCCTCTCTTCAGACGCTTGAATTTGGACTGTTTGAGCAGACAAGACAGATGTTAGCAAATGATCGCCATTCGAGAGACCTCTCATGGGTTTGATCCAAGGCAAAAAAGCATTGAGTCCAAGGGAGTATTCCCGTACATCAGAAGTTGTTCCCCGATTGAGTCCAGGGACGTGCTCGCCGATCAATTCTAGATCTTCTTCGTCCAGATGTTCTTCCTCCCGAGGGCGTGATCGTTTCTTGTCGCGCCTGCGCCTGGCGCGATCCTCAATCTCCTCGTCATCGTCAATGAATCCTTCACGGACCTATTGTATCAATTGAAAGTCAGCTAAAGGGGAGCCAGATAATGGGGCGCAGGCAAGACTCACGGCGCGAGCGGCCTCTTCATCATCATCTTCATCCTCGTCCTCCTCGCTGGAATCATTGTAATGGTTGGCGGTCCTCGCCCCTTCGCCGGCCTCTCCATCGTAGTCCTCGGCCAGCTCTTCATCGTTCTCTTCATCATCCAGCATGGCCTCACCTTCGACCAGATCGCGAAGACTCATCGTGACTGATCGGGGAGAGAGCCCTTAATCCCAGCTGGAAGCGAACACAGACGAGAGTGGGGGAGGGAAGCGATGAAGAGTTAGGATTGCAGCAGCGGCAGATCCAGCGCCTAACAGTGCTCAACTCGGTGATAAAAAAGATGTGGTGAGAGTCGAAGGGGAACGCGAGCCGAGCAAGTGAAAGAAAGGAACCACGACTTGGTCGGCGAAGGAGCACATGTGGCGGTGATCAGCTGCGCCTGTGGCTTGTGTCTGCTTAGATAACCGCCTGTGTGGCTGGTCATCAATGCACGTGATTTTAGTACGGGCTGGCACGGCACGTGACGAAGCCCATCAGCAACCCAGTTGACGCAACGGCAGTCGGTTGTTGGCTTTCGTCTCTCTATAGAACCACATCCCTGCAGATATGACGACCCTGGCTCTCTGCTTGACCCAGCATATGTCCACAGTCAACCCCCTTCCTCCCTTTTCCCATTCAGGCCCCATCTAAGACGAGACATTTTCACTCACGATCCTATGGGGTAAAGCCAAGTGGAGAAGGACAGGGACATCAGGAACAGCTTGTGTTTCAGTAAAAGTAGTTCCGAGTAGTCGCCGTAGAGAGCAGCAAAGTCTCATATGTTTTTTGCTTTTCGTTTTTTGACCCCCAACCCCTGAAACCGACCGACAGCCAAGATTGCCCCCTTCAGGGTCTCGAGAGCCCAACCGGCGAGCTGCTGAGGTTGTTTTGGCGCCGACCGGGGCTTGCGTCGGTGTTGTTGGTCCAGTTGAAGCGCCCGCGAGACCCAATCAGCGCCGCCAAGACCACATCGCAAGGTGATATCGAGTTCCCCGCCGCCTCACGCTTCTCCTCCCCTTCCACCTTTTCCTTTCTCATCGGCGTGCTCGCCCGGCCTGGTCTCTCTTTGTCTACAATATTCTGTTATTGTTGATTAATTTTTTGTCTTTTTGGACTTCCTCCCGTGCGCTCCGACGAGTACAGAGACTGCTTCCCTACCGCCTCCCCCAACGCCATGGCGGACCCGTTCAAGGCTCGAACGTTGAAACGGAAGAACGTCAAAGGCCTCGCCCTCAATGCGGCCCCCAAGGCCAACGATGCCTCGAAACCCTCAGACGGCGATGCTCAAATCCCGGGTGCCATTGGAAATGCCGACCGCACAGATACTCTCGAGATTGGATTGGAATTCCGGCTAGACCTTCGAAGTGAGGATCTGGTGACGCTGAAGGAACTGGGCGCCGGAAATGGAGGAACTGTCTCCAAGGTAATGCATGCCTCGACCAAGGTCGTCATGGCTCGAAAGGTACGTCTTCCATTGTTTGCTTCATCTCTACGGACCTCACGCTGATCTCTATCTCGCTCCAGATCATCCGAGTCGATGCCAAAGAAAACGTGCGCAAACAGATTCTACGAGAACTGCGGGTCGGCCATGACTGTAATTGCCCAAATATTGTGACGTTCTACGGCGCCTTCCAGAACGAGGCCCGAGACATTGTTCTCTGCATGGAATACATGGATTGCGGGTAAGGTTTTGCAACAGGCGGGACAGGATGAGGAGGACTGTGAAAAGGCAATAGGCTAACATGGAATCACCAGATCTCTTGACCGGATCTCAAAGGATTTCGGACCCGTACGAGTTGATGTATTAGGCAAGATCACCGAATCGGTGCTCGCAGGTCTAGTCTATCTGTATGAAGTTCATCGGATCATGCACCGTGATATCAAGCCCTCCAACATTCTAGTCAACTCACGGGGTAATATCAAGCTGTGTGATTTCGGTGTCGCTACAGAGACCGTGAACTCAATTGCCGATACCTTTGTGGGTACCTCGACATACATGGCTCCGGAACGAATTCAAGGAGGTGCCTACACGGTCCGTTCGGATGTGTGGAGTGTTGGTTTGACCATCATGGAGCTGGCTGTCGGAAGGTTTCCATTTGATACATCGGACTCGGCTGCCGGAGATCGAGCCAGTGTTGGTCCGATGGGAATTCTTGATCTCCTCCAGCAGATCGTTCATGAGTCTGCTCCTAAGCTGCCCAAGAGTGATGCTTTCCCGCCCATCCTCCACGATTTCGTCGGAAAATGTCTGTTGAAGAAGTCCGAAGAACGGCCAACTCCGCGAGAGCTCTATGTATGTCTTCACAACTCGTGATTCCCTTGTTGAGACAGCACTGACTTGCCCACAGGACAAAGACGCATTTTTGCAAGCTGCTAAGCGCACGCCCGTGGATCTTCAGGAATGGGCCATCAGCATGATGGAACGCCATAATCGCAAGTCATATCTGGCACCGCCGGCTCCCAAATCCCTGAAAGAGACCGCCACGCCCACTTCGGGAGGTTCTTCGAGTCCTTCACCAGCGAACAGTTCGAAACCCTCTATGAGCAGCAAATCCTCGCGGACCCCGCAATCGCAGCCTTCTCCGTACCAGCAAACCCCAACCTCCGGCGATATTACCGTGAACATCGCCAGTGACTTGCCCACGCCGAACCGCAAGTACCCTCAGAATCAACAGTACCCGTCGTCCCACTCTCCCCATTCCTCCCACTCCTCCCACTCCATGCGATCTCCGGCCCCGGCCCCGCCCTCCCTAGAGCATCTCTCCTTAGAGACCAAGGACGACGAGGAGTCCCGCTACGGCCGTCGCCCCACGCGGAACTACCTCAATGACCCCAGTTCCACCCTGGACGCTCCATCCCGCCCTTTTATGAGCCCCCGGTCTGTCAGTTCGCACAACACCAAGTCTCGCACCAACCTGACCCCAAATGCCCTTCCAATTCGCATGGCGCCTCCACCAACGCAGGCCCCACCGCCTCCACCTGTATCCGCCGGCGGCAGCTGGCGTGGCTATCCCGGTCAAATGCCGACTTCTTGAGTTAAAAACGAAGGAATGGAATCGATGCCCATATGTTCTTTCTTGCTATGATTTTTTTATTGTGATGTCTGATTTGATGCGTTTGCATAGGCACATGATTTTGCGACCCGAGTCTGTTTTTCACTGTTATTGCCTTCTTCCTCCAGCCCATTAAGATGAGATACTTTGCGTTTCTGTTAAGATTTCTCCCCATCGCCCTCCTCTGGACATCCACGCTGCTTTCAGCCTTTGGCACGCTCCCCAAAGGGAGAGAATCAGATGAAAGCCAAGGCAGAGCTCCATCTTACTCTCCTTCCCCATCCCAACCATCCTCCACTCTGAACCACCCCTTTTACCCGGGACTCCCTCTCGTTTCATTTGTCTTGTCTTCTATTCCCCTGGCTCGTGGACCACACCCTCTCTATTGTTACTCCTGTACCTCTGTTTTCTGTTAAACCAGTTTCACTTCTCAATGACTGGATCTTGGCAACAACGACGACGACATTGCCCTCAATTCTTTTTCTCCCACTTCTGTGATTTCTAGTTGTTGTCATTCTGCCCAGATATGTTCCTGCATGAACCGGCGTACATACGTGCAAGTTCCTGACGATATTCCAAATCTATTTCTTTACAGTCTTGAGGTACGAGTGGAAGACTACTATCTTCTCCTATGGTAGAATATGATTTAGCCATGATATTGCAAAGTCCAAGAACATACAGTCCCTGGTTCAGACAGACCGGCAAAAACAACTATATACACCTATATATAGGCAGTAAACCGGCCGCTCTTCCTTTCCCCAATCTTTGACAATCCATATACTACATGTATATAGTTGCATGCATAGGGCCCTACCAACACCTGGAAAAATACAAAATATTCAAAGCTCATAGTCGGAATCAATACACATAAATAAATGCTACCAAATATAAATACAAAAGACCCATGCAATCCAGTCCCCAAAAGCACACTCCACAAACTCACGACCCAAGGAAGTCTTTCATGGAATAATGACAGAAAGTCCCGAAACAAAAAGAGAACATCAAATACTCAACAGCGAGAAACACACAAGCAACAACGCAGCCTCAGGACCCAGACGCCGACGCCAAGCCGAAGCCCTCGGACCGTGGAAACCAGACAGAATAACACAAGAGATCAGGAGAATGTTTCGCCTTAAACACCAGATCAAGAAGCACACCAGCTCGAAACAGGGTCAGTAGAATAAATCTAGAAAACGAAAGTGATCAATGAAGGGCACAGAGGCTGGCCATGTGTCTCTATTTCATTACGAGCTCCGGCCCAGTCAGCGGGCTCGGGCTAGGCGCAGGAGCAATATTGGGGGTAGAGTTGGACGGCGGCGCAGGCGCCAGATCTACCATCGTCGTCAAGGAGCTAGACTTGCCGCCGCGCGCACCACCACCGCCACCGCCACGGGAAGAGCTGCCGGCTGCACTGCCGCCGCGACCGCTGCGGCCTTCATGGGCGGATGAGGCAGTGGTGCCGCTGCGGTCGGCGTGTTTGTCGGCGTGTTTGTCGTGTTTATCGGCATGTTTGTCAGCCTGATCGGCTTTCTTGGCGGTTCGCGCGCGGCGCGAGGTACCACCGCGGGAGCCAGGGCCGCGGAGAGGTAGACCGGTGTCCTGGGAGATAGGGACGGCGGCGGCTATCGGGACATGTGGATGAGAGGCGATGGAGCGGCCGCGGCCGGTTCCTCTGCCGCGTCCACGGCCACGTTTGATGGTGCCGTCAGCACTGGAGACAGAGGCATGTTAGTGTATGAAATAGGAGGGGAGATGGAAAAGGAAATGGTGATAGATTCGACGTACCGTTCCACCTGGACCTTCTCGCCCTCGGGGACGAGGGGACCACTATAAACAAAGAAACCGTCTTTACTTGCGGCGGCTTGTTCCTGCCAGGCCAACTCGCTGTCATCAACAAAGGGGTCGTCTCGGTCGTATTCTTCGACCTTCTTGCGTCGCTTCTTTTTGCCGTCGCTTGTTTCGGAGGGGGCGTTGGTTCCAGGACCGGCGCCGAGCATGCTGATATCACCGTCCATGTCACTGTCACGATCCATGTCCAAACTGAGATCTTCGTCAGCACTCTCCCCAGCTGACGCTCCCTTCCCACCTTTGACGTTCCGCTCCAGTGCGTCTCCGGCGGCGGCGACGCGTGCCAGACGCTCTTTATGAGCCGCCAGACGAGGATGCAGCGCGGCAAACCCGTAGCGTTCCTCGGCGAGTTGCGCGAAGTTGATGACTTGGTTGCCCTTTTGCAAGGGGACATGCACAATGATATTGGGTGAGCTGCGCGCATCGGACTTGGAGGACTCATCAATGCCACCGAACAGTGCGTTCGTGATCAGACCGGATCCCTGGGGTATCTTCGGAGCTTCCTTTGCAGCGCGAGCCGGCTTGGGAGAGGGTGCCTTGGATGTCGGAGCCGTGGTCGTGCCTTTTTCTTTCTTCGTGGTAGACGCCGGCTGCTCCTTCGAGTCGATATCCATGGCATCGGATGATTGCTGAGTAGGGCGTGGCGGAGTAGATATATGTGCCGAGGGCTCTGGAGGTTGGGATTGTGACTTGGGTTGTGCTGGTGGTTGCTGCACCTGTAAGGCCGGCGAGGAGAGTTCTAATTGAGAGGGCTGCGATTGCAGTGGTGGACGTTGTTCCATAGAAGCATATGGGGAAACGTGAGTGGGCTGAGGTGTAAACGCTCCGTGCGATGGAGAGGACGCAGGTATAGGCGAGGGAGCAAGGGTCGGGTGGGTCGGTGTATGTGCCATCGCCGGTGGCGCTGGCGAGGAGACGGACGAGACATAGCCAGGCGATGTGCGCGGAGGCACTACATACAAATCGACCGGGTTTGAGAACTGTGGTGGATCGATGATGCTGGAGATAGCCGGCGATGCACTGGCGCGATAGCCATTATTTCGCGGCGAGGCGATATGAGGTGGAGGAGTATAAGTCGGGGCGGGGGACGGGTTGTCAAACGCGGATCGAATAGGATCAAAGTTTTGTCCACTGGTCCGTTGGGGAGCTTGGGGGGCTTTGGTGGGTTGTGATGGTGGGGGTTGTGGTTGTGGTTGTGCGTGCACTTGTTGATATGGCCGCGACGCAGGCTCCTGGGGCCGGGCAGCCGGGGGGGGATGTGGACTTGAGTAGGCCGGGGGTGGAGTCGGCTGAGGAGGGCTCGGGGCCGTGTGCAATTGAGGAGGAGGACTTCGGGAATCGGCCGGGACAGCAGGAGGAGGGGGAGCGGCGGTGGTTGGTGATACTACCGACGCTGCTGACGTTGCAGCTGGTGTGGGTGCTGGTGCTGCAGCCCCGGCCCCGGCAGGCCCCGTGGCTTCGTCTCCCGGTTGCTCCAGCTTGGCTTTCTTGCGCGCCGCCGCGGTGGACATGGATTTTTCCCGGGGGCGACGAGGGGCCCGAGTTGGCTTGGTCTCCTTCTTGACTTTGGATTCTGGTGTAGCGGTGTGGTTTGTTGTATCGTCGTCCTTCTTGCGACGCGACCGTCTGGCGCCCGAAGCCCTTCGGGCGTTGGAGTCGATGTCGACAGGCGGGCCTTCTTCATTGGGCACACCCGCACCAGGCGGATCCGTGGACATGATGGGCGGTGGCAACAAGACGAATCGATGGATTGATGAATTGATAAATTTATCAACAGCCCGCACTAATTCGGTATAGATAGGGGAGGGGATGAAGTGATGTTGATATATGGAGGGGGTCGGTGGTGGTGACGGTGTAGTATAAGGACGTAGCTGCGATCGGGGCTGAGCGTATGGGTTGCGGGCGGTCGTTGGGGATCAGGTGGGAATAATCGAACACGAAAAACGAAGTCGGGGATGGAAGAAGGTCAAGAGCGGGTTGCGGCCGAGAGGAACACCGAAAGCCGGGAACAACCTGCAGACCCGAGATGGGAAACGAGGAGGAACGAGATGGAGAAGATGGAGAAGAGAAGAGAGAAAAAGAAGCAGGAGGAGGAGGAGAGGAAAGAGAAGAGGGAAACGGGCAGGGAGAAAAGGGCCAGAAAGGGGAGCAAGCGAACAAGGAGCGAGTTGGGTTGTACGTTCACTTCCCGTTCGGCTTGATATGCTCCTCGACGGCATCGTTCAAACCACTTCCGAACGGGGGAGGGCGAGGGCTTTTTCTGGTATTCTATTTTCTATATCAAGGAACCATATGCTGGTCTCAATGGAAGCCAGTGGCATCGATGCCTCTCTCTTCTATCGCCGACCACAACCAAGTCAATCCTCCAGAACCCAAGTACCCTAAACTACTCCCGATGCGCGCGGATCTGGCGTTAGTGGAGTTGGCTGAACCCGCGGTTGGTCAATTCTGTGCCCTCCCCCCGTTGAGGTTAATTTCAATAGGGTCCTTTCATTTCTCTTCCCCACGAACGGTCCGGTTCATATCTCGTTGACCTCAAACTCGGGAGTCATGGCTTTGGCTTTGCCGCTCGCCAGCTCCTTGGATGCTTCATGCTCCTCGCCCATAGCTGCCAAAGTCCCCCTTCCTGTCTGGTGACCGGAGATCGGTTCCAGAATCAGTGGCCCGAGCGTCGACCTCCCCCGGGCCTGTCAGAGAATCTCTGTTCGATGATAGCGCCTCAATGCTCCCAAAGCGAGTCGCAGAATGATTGTCGGAAAGATACCACTCCCTCGACTCTCCTTGGTCGTCTGGAGGGTTCGTGCTGTTGGATATACTTCGATGTTTCGCCTCTGCGGAATCTGCATGGCCTGTTTTGGCAGCACAGAATTACTCCTTTGGGCCTAGCATATCCGCGCCAATGGTACTAACCATAAACGGTTAGCCCACTGCACCCCATTTTAGCCTTTTGAGCCGCAGAGGCCCCGCGCTGACATAACTTCATCTTTTCCTCCCCGGCGCGCCATGGCTTTTCGTGGCGAGCGCTTCCTCGTCAACCTCGACGATGAGACTCCGACAATCCCGAATGATCCCGTTCCCTCCCCCTTCTCGCTAGTGGGGGAGATCCGCGAACGCGAGCCCTCAAACGCTACACCGCCGGCCCCAGCACCTCCGACCCCTTCGGCCTCCTTGACCGGATTCCCCGCGCACCGCCGTCGCAACAAGCCTTCCTCCTTCAAACAGCGACGAGCGAAGCAACATGCGGATGACTCGCCCCCTGATGTGTTACCCACCCCCCAGGATGACAAGCAGGCTATCGCGGAGGAGAACCGCCGGCATTTGGCGTCCATGTCGGATTCCCAGATTGAGAAGGAACGGGAAGAGCTGATCGCCTCCATGGACCCCGGCTTGCTGAAACGTTTCCTCTACCGGGCCAAGATCGACGAGGATGAGCAAGCGAGTGCTGACCCGCCTCCTGCGCCGACACTGCTGCCAACCTCAGACGTGTCGGCGGCACCGAAGCCCCAGAAATCCGTGTCATTCGACCTTCCCACCCCGGCACCGGCACCCCAAACCAAACCACCTCAACCCGCGCCAAATTCGTCTGCCAAGCGGCCTGTACATGACGACTTTGCCCCTACCCAACCCCCGAAAGACCTCCACCCCGCCTCCGAGCGCCCAATCCTCGACCCCGCGGCCATCGAAACCTTCCACTTCCCGCAACCCACCCAACCCATGCCGGCCCTCGACCCATCCTCTCCAAACTTCCTTTCCGACCTGCAATCCCACTACTTCCCTGAGATGTCGCACGACCCGTCCGCCCTGTCCTGGCTGCAACCCCCTCCACCGACGATGAAGACCCAGACTCCGCCTCGCCATACCACCCCGCCAGCGCGGCCGTCTCGATGGCCCCGTCGTCCGTGCGATTCTCGCTACGCGGCACAATCCTCGCCCCGGCGACGTCGCTGGCGTTGCCGACGTCCTTGGGCCTGCATCACCACGGCGATGATCCGCACGCTGCGGGGTATACGATTCCCGAGCTGGCGATCCTGTCGCGCTCAACATTCCCGGCGCAGCGCTGTGTGGCATGGCAGGTACTTGGTCGGATTCTGTTCCGCTTGGGCCGGGCCGAGTTTGGGGATCGTGGCGGGCCGTTATCGGAGGGGTTGTGGTTTGTCATTGAGAAGGAAGGTGTTGTAGCGGGGATGCTGGCCGAAGCGGAGGGAGCGGCGGGTCAGAGTCTGCCTGCGGCTCGGGGTGAGGAGGAAGAGAAGAAAGATGAGGATACGGACGAGAGCCCCAATAAGCTCGTTGCGTCGGGCATTGGCCGTCACGCCAGTGCCGCGGCATGGGCTGTTGAAGGTGTGTGGTTATGGCAGCAGGGCGGAGGGGGAGACCGGGGATTGTTGAAGGAGGGCCAGACACGGCCGCGGTAAATAGGGCATATGGAAAGTGAATATGGGCTGAATCAGATCGAGGCACTTTATTGCTTTGCTTGCATTTTCTAGGATTGTGAACTAAACTAGCACGAGAATCAAAAAAGAAAGAGCAACCCAAAATATCAACGCCCCATTTCCCGGCTATCTACTCCCACCTCTCTAAAATGATGTTCAAGGGTGACGCGGTAGAAAAGAAGGAAGCAATATCATCAACCAGCAAAGTTCCGTATAACATAGGAGGCATTGCTCATGAAATGCACCAGTACGCTCGTTCCGACGTCAAGTCCTTTTGAGTTTCCATCGATTTTCAATCTATTACCTCAATTCTCAGAATTTACGATACATTGCGAATTAGTTTGATGTTGTTTTTCCCCAAATGGGGAATCAATTTCTTTATGACTTGCAGCGTATTACTAGTCACTGTCACTGTAACCGAAGATGGAGAGAAGTTGCATCGACGGAAATATTCAAGACGAACATTCTTCGATGTCCCGATTTTTTTCTGAGCTACATAATCCTTTGTTTCATTATCGTAGTAGGCCACTATCGGGTTCTTTGCAAGGCCCCACGGTCGAATTGCCTGTGCCAGCTTGATCTCGAACTTCGAAAACTTTCCATTAGCGGTACCCTCAAGCATGGACGGAGAGAGAGAGCCGATCAAAATTCGCCTGGACATCTTCACTGCAGATTTAGGGCCTGAAATGAGATGCGGATTGCATAGGTCGACGTTTTCGATAACCATTGGTAGCTTCCAAGCTTTGAGGTTTGTCGTGACGTACATGTACGCTTTTCCGCTGTAAATTTTCTTTGTGTTTCCCTCCAGTGTCTGCTCTCGGAAGTCGGTAAGAACATAAGGGACATATTCAGAACGAGAAGATGTAGCGTTGACCGTCAGCAGAAAGAGGGGATATCGATTCTGTTTGCGTAACATAAAATCTATATTATCCCATTCCAAACGCATCAGGTCCGTTCGATTATGATCACTTGATTCAGTGGTGTAAGCTACTGGTTCTGGAACTGCAGGAGGAACCATTCCTGAATTCGAACTATTTTTGTCTTGGGCTGCCTGTGATCCATTTGGTGCGGTGGTATTCTTTTTATCCTCTCTCTCTCGGCCGAACCTCCAGGAAGATAGAGGTTTCGAGAACGGTGTCATTCGTTTGTCTTTAGCTGAATGAGAACCCATTTTGAAAAAATTCACTCAGACGAATGAATCAAGTTTGAGTAGATATTTGTACTGTTTGAGGAATAATGAAAAATGAATACACCCAGAGGGTGATCGTCGAAGGCAACTAGAAAGAACACACGGTGAAAGGGAGATATAGAGATATACGGAAATATGGAGGCAATGAAGGGAGGGTTGGGGGCAGACAGCAAGACTTATAATAATTGAATTAATCTAACTTTTCCTAGATTTTTGCTTGAGACTAAGTTGGGGGCAACACTAGCGTTTTGATTAGCATAGACGCAATCCAATTTCCAATAAAAGAACGGCTAGCTCCATTCTATTTGTGCAGAACAGGTCGAAAGTGGGCATGTCAAGAATCAGGCATATATGCCGCCCACCACCCCACCCCGGCTAAGTCCTCTTTGAGAGGCATAGTAGGGAGTGGTATAACTCGTAGTGCGACTTGGGGCGCTTAGGTTTCTAAATAGATCTACCGATCTCGATTCACTCCCAGGCTGAAGGATTGAAGGGTTGGTTGGTTTCCATTTGCTGTGGGCGCTTGTGCCAGACACCCAACAATGGTCCGGGCGATTGGACTTGCGTCCTTGTCAATGTATGGGATCCCCAATCATTTTGTTTCGCTTCCATGCTACTCCGACTCCTGTTGTTCTAGTATTTTATGTCTTACGGCATTTCTTCTTCTCTCATCCCATTTTGCCTTGCTGTTTTGTGCCGTAGAACCCCTGGCGTGTAGTCTTTAGTGTGGTTAAATATACTTCTTATTCGCATCGAGTGCCCGTATTTTTCAGTGGCTATTTAGACAAATGACTTGAAAAGCAATAAGGGAGAGGGTTTAATCCCATACCCAGCAAGCACGACGCTGCTTATGTCTATTTTTCGCGAGAGGTCACCCCTCTGTAACTCTAGCGAGACACTTCAAATCTTCTTTTTAAGGGGAAGAACGGAAGCCTTCTCCATGAAACTGGAATCCATGTATTTTGATCACAGATGAACAGAAACTGAAAGAAAAAAAAATATTACACTCCCGTTTATGCTCCACATCAATACATCATAGTTCGCTCTTGGAATAACTCACAAGCACAAACCTTATCAAATATGATTCTGACGAATATGAGCACCGCCACTAATTATCTTCCTTCTGGTGTTAGGTTGTCCGTTGGGATCTGTATAGACTTGGGAGCGTATGAAGTTCCAGTCCCGTGCGAAACTGTGCCCTACGTTGTTCAACGAAACTAGGTGCCACTGCTCCAGAGCACGAAGCCACGTCAGACACAGAGGCCATGTAGTTTTGAGTCGGTTGGAACCATGAATGATACGGCACTGAGATGCTTGTCCCTCGAACTTCTCGGTGTCATGATATCGCGTACCATTATTGGATCTCTTGCCCTTTTCTGAAAACTTCCTATTTGTCTGTCGATTGGGGACATTCGCGGTATCTGGTATTTGGGAAAACACCCGTGCAATGTCTCTGGTCGCCGTCGGTCTGCCGCGATATGGGTTATACGCGACAGTCCTCTTGAAAAGGATTTCGGCCATAGGATTTCTCCCAAGCCACTTTTGATTAGATTTTTCCAGCCTGTGCATCATTCCCAGCCTGGGAATCATTCCGTACCCCGTCGAGATATGTATTCCCTGATTGAACCGGCCTGAGGTTTGCATTCGCACTCTTGGCCGTCGATCAATGGCAACGTTAGGCCATTGACTATTGATCACCCTTGGAAAGAGGCCAGTGGCGCTTTGCCAGTATTGCCAGCTCCTAAATTGACTCGTCGCTATTCCTAAACACAAGTCCCACTGTCGAAGAGATTCCTTAGTAGTCGTACCAATGTGGATTCCCTTATTATTCAGGCAATATTTTGAGTCGGTGGGCAACCCTGTTGATACCGATCCGGGGCGAAAGTTCCGTAGTTTCATTGGGACAGAAACGTATCGATGTCCATTTTCAGTCTTTTTAGTCTTGACCGGAACTTCAAGGATTCGATACAGAATACCTTGCCTGGAACCCTGCAACCCGGTTTCGACCAAAAGAAGTAATTCGCAACACCGATCAGTTCTATTGTAAGGAAGGTACGGCTTCTTATTTGGGTCGTTAAACGTATCCCACTTAGAACGAAATGCTCTTTCATAGGCATGGAGCTCCTCTTCATTCACATTATCCGGGGCGCTGTACTTGAACAAGTAGACGGAGAGCTGGCCATCATTTTGGGACCTCTGCTCTGGTGATAGTTGCTGCCCAGCTTGCTGTTGCTGCGCGACTGGGTATTGCGGATATTGCTGCGAGGCTGGGTATTGCGGATATTGCTGCGAGGCTGGGTATTGCGGATATTGCTGCGAGGCTGGGTATTGTGGATATTGCTGCGAGGTTGGGTACTGCGGATATTGCTGCGAGGCTGGGTGTTGCTGTCGCCAAAATGGGGGTACCCGGCCAGAGTTGTAATTAATTCCGTTGTTTAGATTGGACGGATAATGCTTTCGAGGCTTTCTCTTTCCGAAGATTGACTGAATCCCTGAATGGGCTCTTTGCCCTCGTCCTTGTCGTTTGAACCTCTGTCCAAAAGACATGTTGAGAACTTCAGGAGGAAACCAAAAGATTGTCCAGACGACTCGTTTGATTTCAAGATCCTTTGGATACAAGCCTCAAGTGAAGGTGAGGGGAAAGAGAAAGAGTGGTTAAATAGTGTGGTCCATCGGATTTATACCGATCCACCACCTGGGCTGGGATTCTGCCACTGTCGCTCTCCATGGTGGACGGATGGGTTGGGTCAGAAGTTGGAGACACTAGGGGCGTTTCGACAGAGTTTCGTTCGGTCAATGATAAAAACCCGCGATATACGGACGATGGCAGATGTTTGGCCAGTATACGCTGTCTTAATGGGCTGACTGTTGGGTTGGTCAAATTTATGCGAGATGATAGGGCTCTTATCTTATTCTGGCTGCATATAATTAGCGCCTTGGAAGAGTGGTTCCCAGCAAGGGATCTGGACGAGACCCAGAGACCCACAAAGAGAGGGTTGCCTTAGTCTCAGGAAGTCTCATAGCTGGCTAGAGCCCATGAAGGCCGAATTCTGGCTATTAATGGCCAGGCTGTGCAGATTGAGAGTGTTGGTCGCATGAAATGTCCCTTCTCGGAACAACTCCCTCAAGCCGCGCGCTTATTTATGGGTACGGTGGCTCGCTCTCGCCAGCTACGCACCTCGCTAGCCGCCATCATCAACTAGCCCAGATTAGCCGATACTGCATCATCTTGCGAACCATAAAGTTGTTACAAGACAGAAAAAAAACCTAAGAGTAGCGGAGCCTGTTTTGTCACAAAGCATCACTAGGCAGCAGGAAGGAACTGCTATCTATATCTAGTGATGCTGTTCCTCCCCTATATAAATCTTTCTGGCCTGATTTATTACCAAAAAGGGACGACATTGGTGTTCATTTTGATGAATAGTCATGTAGTAAATATTAAAACATCATAATACTCATTGCAATTTAACTTGTTCTCGTGACACTTGAATGTAAAGTAGGGGTCAGGCCATAAAGGGAACCACACATAATTGGTCATCTTCTGGATTGCTAAATCCAACAAAGCGAGCAATTGAGCCCACTCCACTTACGCTTTGAGAGCGCTACTGCCATTTGATACCGTGCGAATGAAGACTATTGACTGTTAGGGGGAATTTGCAAATGAACTGCGGCTCTTGAGTTTAATTTGCACCTATCTCGAATAGTATGTACTACTAGAATCAGTTGATAAGTTCGTGCTTTTTTTTAATAGCATTATATTTTAGCATGCTTTCGATATTTCTATACAAACACCTCCTGGGGGCTCACCATTAAAATGAGGGATTGTTTGCTGACAACAAAAGTTTAAAAAAATATATAACAGAAGTGAAGATGGAACATGATATTTATATAGCGAGAGAATAAGAGAAGACCTCATATATCACATTGATCATCCCTCTACTTGTCTACGATATGAGTTCAAATGAAGCAAAGTGCTGCTTGATGGATTGATCATTCAGAAATCTTGTCAAAATCGCAAGGTTGAATCGGCTTTTTTTGGCCCCAGCGGCATTGTGTGAGTGAAGTAAAAGAAGGCCCAGGATGGAACAACCTACCAATAGGATGTCCATCCCAACGGGACCGAGTCAAAACCTCCAGGCATCCTCTACTCACAAGAAATACTACTATTCATAATCGAGGCACCCACGAAGGCAGGTATCCCGGAATTGCTTGAATAGAGATTGACTCTCCATTATACAACTAATAAATCATAAACCACCTGTGCAGATAGAGCTGTAGCCGCGTGTCTTGGCAGCAAGGGTATACCTTGTCCATCAAAGAGAAAGCATAGTCGAGCTGGTGATAGATCTTGAGGATCCAGGAGAGCAACCCCTCTTCCACGATCTTCTGTTGGCTCCTTGGAGTCCCAGTGCGCTGATATCGACCACGCAGCCGAGGCAACCGCCATCACTGGTATGGTAGCATTCGACCATGCCCATCAGCATGCCCGGGCCAGCGAATATCTTCTGATCCCGGAATTAGTTTCCAATGATGAGCTCCTCGATTTCGTTTCCCCGTTATTTAAAGGAATATTATGTGACGATTGCGCACATGAACTCATTATATATTTCTAGATAGAGCTAGATGGTAATTTTGAAGCCTAGAGATTAACGGTAATCTTAGTAAATATCTTTTCTTAGTAGATTTTAAAAGAAGCTTCTTATCTAGCTAGAAATTGAGATAATGTTCTTTAGACTTCATTAACTAAATTGAAATTATAAAGACAAACACTTACCTCACCAAACCAATCTTCCGTTTTGATGAATGCGGCTCGAGAGTGTCGGCAGGGAAGTCGCTGCTGTAGAACTATAATATCACAATTTTTAACTTGAGATTCGGACCTTGATCTACGTCTCGATTCGAGGAACGCCTTATTTTTGTGATGGAAAGAGTTCACTCTCGGCGATTTTAGCTAACTAGAAGACGTAATACCTAAAGGCATCTTAGTTGGTCGCATCAAGGTAAACCCATGGTCGATTTCCGGTATACGTGAAAAGAGGAGGAAATTAACCTACGAACCAAGCCGAGCCTCTCAACCAGAGGTAAAGAAGAAAAAATACTTGGAATGAATGGACATGAATCATCACATTATGGAGATCATATAATACAAAATATCAAATGTTATCGCGGTAGCACCATTGGGGCCCCGAAATGGTAACATAAGCTTGTGTGAAGCCTTGAATGAGGAAATAAGCCAACACACCCATTGCAAAGGAGAAAACATCGGCTCTCGCCCAGTTGAATGCAAACATGCATCTTCAAGTCCCGACATCAGCATTCTGGCCTTGGTCCTCGACCTGGACGCCCCAGATCTGCCACCGCGCCTCCTCCACGAAATCCCTCCTCAGCCACAGCCCGGACTCTTGAAGTTGCGGTTGTGCATGATTGGAAGCGTGAATAGAGTCGTCCTCAGACTGTACGCGATCGAGCCAGTCAAACAGAAGACGAAGCTGCCATAGTTGATCCCGTACTGCATCAGGATCGGCACCTCGGCCGCGCGTGGATTGGACGACATTGCGGACTGTGTGGGACAGAGTAAGTCGGGCATCAACCGCGGAGGTGCGAAGCCACGGTGGAGCGGTAGGGAGTTGTGTACTGATACGAGGGTTTGGGGTTGGAAAGGATGACGGGAGGACGAGGGAACGTTCGCGAATGTCTAAGCCACGAAGAGAAGGGAGATTGAATATCCAGTCCCATGAGGATTGAGATGGAGTTGTCACTGTGGATAGAGGGCCGGAAAGGAGGGCAGCGCGATTGGGCCATGCAGATGGAGGAAGACCTTTGGCTGGGTTCGCAGCTGCAACCGCAGTGCCAGGAAGAATATCTTGCGCTTCACTGAGACCTGTTAGCGTGGAGGCGAAGATGGAGGTCGAGGCACCGGAAGGGCTGTAGGTTGCTTTGCGGCGGAGATAAACAGATGGGTCGCCTTGGCGGAACTTATTACGGAGTGCGTCATCTTGGCTGAAGTCCAGAACGAGGGGCCAATGGTCCGGGCCGCGGATTTCAATGCGGGAAATGCTACTGGGATCAGGAAGAAGACACGGAGCGTTGATGGTGCGCGCCAAGCCGCTTTGGGAGGTGATGGTGATGGGCATAGAGATCGGACGTCGCGTGTCGAGGTCTCGTGGTACAAGACAACGAGGCTCGGCAGCAAGGACCCAGAGATGGCGGAAGGCCTGGAGGTGACACTTGTTGTCCAAAACGGTGGTGGGGAAGATAGGATAGAAGGCACAGAGGAGAGAGGCAACAGCTAGGTCGGATGTGCTGAGGGTATGACTGCCGCCGCCTAGGAACAGCATTCCAATGGCCATATGGGCAGCCATATGACTACCATATGGTGTGTCGGGATCCAGTCTGCCATGAAGCGAGCGCAAACGTCGGAACAAAGCGAGGTCACCAGTACCAGCCATGACAGCCGCCGCCGATAGGGAGACGACATCTTGACAGTTTCGAACGGAGTTGCGCGTGAGCTTGGCGTCGTAATTCGCCGCTGGAAGTCGCGAGATGCGGATAAATTGATCCAGATAGAACAGCAATAGGTCCCGGGCTTGTGTTTGCCCAGAGCCAGCATAGCGAAGACCAAGCGCAAAACAGAGACCGGCAATAATGTTGAAAAATGGCATGTCCTCACTACGAAGCTGACAGATGCCTGCGAGTCGGGCTCGTCGCTGGTATACCTTCGGTAAGCTTGCGTTAACCCAGTCAAAATTGGGCTCAATGCGATCCCACATGATGAGATGCCTTGCGAGTGTGCGAAGAAGGAAAAGATCCGGGCGAACGTAGTCGAAGCGCACAGTAGTGTCAGGAATATCAATCTTTTGGGCCAGGACCGCATCGTTGGTCTTCATAAAAATGATAGCTATCGCAATTGTCGCGCCTGCAGTCGCACGATCAAGTACATGGGCGAGGCCAACGTTCTTGGTACCCACGGCGATTGCCAACAAGCGTTCAACGATATGCATGTCGCGCATGCCTCTTAAATCCTTGCCCTTGCCCAAGTTGATGAAGCCCAGAGCAAAACCGGCTGCTAGACGGTAACCTTCATCCCGTAAGTCTTCATGCGAGGTGGATGACTCGTCCTGATCAACGTTCTCAATTTCAGAGAGCATAACTTCACTCATTCGCCGGTGCTGAGAGCCGCAGTAGAGCAGGCCAATCCCCATAATACCTGCTGTCTGGGTCAATGGTGATAAATTAAGCTCTGCTGCTCCAGGTGGCAGCATCCGGGTTACATGAACCGACAGCAAGCGCGTGATGAGCGTGTCCATGGTACCTGTGTAGGATGCAGAAAGTCCGAGCAACAGACCAATGGAGGTCATGGTATGCTTCGGAGTCAGGTACTTGAAAGCTACCCACTTGGCCAAAGACTTGAGGTGACCGTTCAGACCGAGGGCAAGAAGAAACCCGGCATGCCGATTAGTGAGCTCTTGAGGCTTATTGAATAAGATCCATGATGTATCAATCCCTTTAGACGCTTTGGAGATTGCTAGACCAGTAGAAACACCATTATGAAAGAATGCCCAGCAGACTTTTTCCTCGGTGAACGCGCTTCTATCCGCGCTCACAGTGACATTTGATGGCTTCATAATACACTGTAGCGAGAAGGAAGGGATTGGTAATTTCTCAGTGAGCAGAGGTAGACGCCCACTGAAAGAGAGCATGGCCCGACCAGCTGGAGTAGACAATGTGCGGAAGGATACAAGCTGCACGAGTTCCTTTTGGGCTTCGAACAGATCAGAATCTGTCCAATCAGGCTCGGGTACGCAGTCTGCCACAGGCGCTTTCGACTGGTTTAAGAGACGTGCCGCCTCCAAGAAACGCTTGTCCTCTCGGAACACAAGTCTGGTCACAGAGAAACGGTCAGCTTCTGCAGAGGCTTCGAAGGCATTAATGGCATCAATCTCCAAAGCAGAGCTGCTGATATTACGGAAATCACGTATGGCATCATGGGAGACCACGGGCGGCTGCGGTGTTGCAAATAAATGAGCTTGAGTAGGATTAATTGACAGGTAAAGATCCTCTCGATCGATCAGTTCTAGGAGGATTGCATCCCAGCTCGTTGATGCTTCAATTTGGCATTGCATCACTGTCTCATAGAGCGGGGCGCTGACACCTTCAGGGAATGTGTCAATGATACTTTTTGTGAGGCCCCAGCGATGGAGGAGCTTCATTTTTTCAAGCGGCGCCGAGACACGGTGCACGTCGGCAAGGAAACCATTTAAAGCCAACGTTCTCGGAGTTATGCTGAAGCACTCTTGCCACATATGGCCCTTTCTAGGAGCTGCATCTGGCGCGCTGACAATATCGAGGAGTGTGAGGAATGGCGACGGTGCCTGGCGTGCAGCATTCATGATGAAAGCAAAGATCGACGGGGGCGAGAAAGGTTCACCGGGGACATTGAGGAGAGTAATGCGAGTTTCTTCAAACTGCCAACGTTCAATACTCGCCATCTCAGTGCCAAAATAAGCGCTTTGCTTCCAGTCCCAGGATTGCCAACCTAACCAGCCACCAAGCTGCGCGAGGACAGGGGTGAGAAGTCCAAGGGGACATCGTGATTCTTCACTGTCTGAAGTGGAAAGCTTCTGTTCCTCTCGCAACAAGTGAAGACCAACAAGGATAGTGCCTAGTGCCGTGCATCTTGTATTCTCAGCAAATGCACCAGAAATCGGCAGGTAGCCATCACGACCAGAAGCCCGAACGCCTTGGGAGCTCTGGAGGAATTCACGACTTAGAGACACACAGCGGAGAATGTATGGATTGCAGCGATATGTTGTTCGGCTTGAATTAGGCTGGTCAGTCTTCGGAGTCCGAGTTACTCCGCGAGCTGCAAGATCTGCAATCGCATCTTGTTCAACGATCCACCCCCATGCACTTCCTGTCATCCATGGTGCCGCAACTCCAGATGATCCGGATTCCAAATCGAGCATGGCTTCCCAGCTATCCAAATCGATATAGCTACCACTGCTTGACCGGAGAAGACCTTTTTTCCGACGAGTTCGCTTGGCTGGTGTTTGGGCTGTTTGAGGTTGCTTGATGAATGGGATCGCCAGAGAAAACAAGACGATGACCATAGCAGTCCACTCAATCTCATTCTCAATTTCTTCTTTGCCTTGAAGCCATTTCATAGTCTCCCACCAACCCACTAGGATACCATCTCCGGCTTTCTCAGTATCGCGCAGAACAAATTTGCAGATTTGGAGAACTTTCTTGACGAGATCATTGCGAGGCTCCATGTGGATCTGCAGTCGATGACGCTGCCTCTCGGAATCCACTAAATCGACTTTTCCTTTCGAGCAGCTATGATCGAAAGCGTGAAACACGAGATCTGGATCTGCCATAACGCGGTTGACGCCGCTTTCTCTCGAACGACTCACGAACTTGTTGGCTGAAACTCCATGGGGCTCATATAACTGTAATGGGTTGGGAATTGCAACCTTCGCTGGACTCCCCCAGAGAGTTTGCAGCGACAACTCACGTTGTCCATTCTCCAGGACGCTCAAAGTAAGAATACGGGAAATATCACCGTCGGTGACTTTACATGCATCCCATACGTTTGGTACATGCTGAACACCTGTTGCATGAACTAACAATGGGCGCATATCTGGTCTTTTAGTCTTTTTAGCCGCTCGGCTTTTTGATACTGCCACTCGTTCCGCTCTCAAGTTCATGATAGTCATGTTTTGAGATTCCTGGTCCACGATACAGACCGCCACAAAGCTTGCGTTTCCGTTGAGCGCACTTCCATAGGCGGAAGAGGATAGAGTGCATATTTGCAACTGACTGGATTTTGCTTGCTGAGTAGAACCACGGAAGTTTCCCGAAAACCTAGCAGAGAAGCTCTCAACTTTGGAGAGCAGCAGTTCCTCCGGTAGACCTGATGCTGATTCGCGAAGGGCGATGTTCTCAAATCCTTCGGAAAGAACATCGCTGTTTAGTTCCTCGAGTAATCTGTCGACTGGCGCGTCCACGAAGCTGCCTGCCGTACTATACACAGACCCTGTTGCAGGAGGTAGAGAGCTACGGGGATTGAAACCAAAGCTCCCCCGGGTGCTGGTAGCCCCGATAGATTGCCGAAACCCACCATGAGGCACAGTGCTTGATTGGCTGCCAGTGGCAAGATCTGAGAACGCAATCCGGTCTTGACTTGTGGCAAGATCGGTTCGCGCAAGTAGCGAGCTAACTCGTCTTGATGTTTTGAGAGGCACCCCGACATCGCCAAAATCTTGTGCAACTCTTGATGCTAGATCATCCTCGCTGTCATTTCTATTCTCAAGCTGCTGCGATGTATTCCGGTTCTCTGTCCATGGCCCGAAGCTTTCGCGCGCTACTGAAGGCCGGGCGGCTGGAGTAGTCGCACCAGTCGCCAATCCAAAGTGTGAGCTCCGTCGCTTGGACCGACTCCCTTCAGTGTGACGACGGTTCTTCTCCTTGGTGGAGCCTTCGCTATCATCGTCTCTGTAACGCGCAGTCCAGACCGTATACAGTCCGGTTCCTGTGTTCATAGTCACGACAAGAATCAGAGGACGGTCTGTCTGGGCTCGCCCTGAGTTTGAGAGCTCATCTCTGGGAGAAATGTATACAATCTCATCGGCCGGGTCCAGTCCCTCTAGCCCCGATGGCCTTCGTTTGGCAGAGCTTCCCACACTGCTCTGGAATATTTGAGATGGTTGCGATGTCACGACTAGTCCCATTTCTGAGTGAGGGTCAATAAGTGAGAAGACCCGAGGAAGGTCTGAGTTAGGATTGGAATTCGGGGCCCACGCCGAGGTCTGCAAAGAAGACAGCTTCAGAGACTTTCGGTTTCCCTTGCTTGGAGCTGGTGGTATATTTAATGAGGCGCCGGGGTCGAAGAAGGAGCTGGTCATAAAAGAGTTCGGGGGTGCATTTTGTATTTGGGGTTCCGTCTTGTCGTCGGGAACCTTTCTCTGAAATACAAGTCCACGAGGGGTTGCAAAGACAGAGTCCACTTCAAAAGGAAGAGGGATTGTATGGCTGTTCCCTGCAACGAAAAAGATGTGCGCCTGGGATTTGAGGACCACAACCAAGGCCCGAGAGAGCTTCTCATGGACTTGCTGAGCAACCACTGCGGTCTTTGAATCTCCATGCAGATCCAATGTAGAGGCCAAGTTGGGTATTGTCGAATCCTTCCCGTATCGCTTTCTTTCTTTTGTTCGCGAATTGGGTACAGCTCCAGCCATGCCAGATCGATTCGAAGGTGCATCTCCCGTAGTTTCATGACCAGAACGCTTGACCTGCCCAGCTGCAAACTGAGTGAATAGAGCAAATCGAATCTCTTCTTTCTCTGGATCAAGTCGAAAGACTCGCCTCACCATCCCTGCGCGAGACCAGACCACGCAATGCTTCGTCCATACTAGCTCGTCGTCCACTGGACCTGTCAAACCGTTCTCATCCACGCATGTTTTCCACTTGTACTGATTCTCGGGTGGATCAGGCGGAAGAATTCCTTCAGTAATCAGGTAAGAGACGGCCGCGGCTTCGTGGAGGCCGAGTGAGCGAGTTGTTGCCATGGTGGGATGATTAACAGCTAAGGTAGCGATCCTAGTGCGCCGTCACGTTCAAACTTATGACGGCCCAGGCTGTTAGACGAGCCGTTTCCATTGTCAAAATCGAATTTAGTCCAGGTCGCTCTGCCAAGGAGCCATGTTGAAGCGGGTGTGAGTTGCAATGTTGAATGTTGGAGGACGCGCGCTGGAACGCGGACGGATCGACCTGCCCGACTTACTTTTGCTTCCGACCAAAACAACCTTCCGTCTTCCTCCAACCACCACCGCCACCTCATCTCCCCTAAACCCCGTGCAAATCCTTCTTTCCGGCTCGAACTGATTTGCGACATCTTACTGATCATCTTGGGCCATTGAGATCGAGCTTGTTGATTATCCCCTGTGGTGCCGTGTGGCGCCTGTGCTCAGAGCTTTCGCACTCGAACAGCTCAGACGACCAACGGTATGCCTTCATTTCCCACAAACCCGCTTGTGCGGTCCAGAGAAGATGGTCTACAATTGAGGTAAGGGATTTTCTTTCTTATACCCCCCTGCGACCGGGCTTTGGGAGCTAATACGATATCTGTGCCCTCTAGCTATCGACTTCCCCATCGCATCCATGCAGCCAAAGGGTACCCGCTGCGAGCTCCCAACGGCTCTTCGATCATTATTTATGGCTATGACACTGGATTGAAAGTGATATGGAGGGGAGGGAGACACTTCTCGGAACTAAAAGTGCCCGAACCGGTGGCACAGCAGAAGAATGCCGCGAATAGCGGAGGCGACTCAGTGATGATCATTGACTCCGATGAAGAAGAGGCCGTCGAGGAACCACCAATAGTGCAAGAGCCTACATATGAGTTCCTGGGAGAGGAAACTGAGGTTGACCCTGCTTTTCCGTTTGAAGCGGTCTTGCGACAAATCGATATCCCTTTGGGAAGTCGAATCCTTGACCTTGCGGTCCCGCGTGTTCATCCGGACGCAGCGCGGTCATCTCTTGATCCTTTCCCCCCTATTGCTAGGAACATGATCGTGGTGTCGGCTGTCTGCTCAGATCTTTCGACGCGAATCGTGACCATACCAATCGTTCCTCCCCACCCTGCACAAACCGACTTCCACAGCTGGGAGATTCAGACGGTCATGATCAACGGAGGTGTCACCCACCAAGACATTCCACGAGGTGTGTCACTTACGTTCACCTGCCAGGATACGGAAGAGGAGGATCATGGCAAATCTCGCAGCCGTGTCGGGAGGTCGGAAAAATGGGATCTGCTCATTGCGACACACTCGGCCGAAGGATCCGGTGTTCTCTTGCTCCATCGCATTCCAATCCGAGAGGATTCCTCTGGCAAGGGCACCGTATATCGCCTATCTGAAGAGGATATCGTCTCTCAGCGCCGAGCACTGGCTGCACCAGCTCAAAGAATTGCATTCAACCCGTCCACATATCCCTCAATCCGTCATTCAAATCTACTTGTTGCGTTTCACAGCGGTTGTGTAAAGGTATATTCATGCTTCTCTGTTCAGAAATTGTCCAAGACTGCGCGTCGGGCTTCGATCCCGCAAGAGCCCCATGATACCGTTGACAGTGAGGGTCGATGGCTCATCAGCTTGTACCCCGGCTTTGAGCAGGGTTCTACGGGGCTTACGCGACGAAAGACTATTGTTGATGCCGACTGGGTTCTTGGTGGTCGAGCCATTATGATTCTTTTGGAAGATGGCGAATGGGGTGTTTGGGATATTGAAGGCGCTGGTCCTGGAACCGCGAAGGGTCCGCTGCATCGCCAGTCCAGCGTGCAGGGTGTGACTGGGGGCTCATTAACCACATATGCTGTTAGCGGACGTATTGTGGCTCCCCCTACCAACACCCAGTCTGACGCTGAGCATCGACCACGATTTGCCCCCATGACGCCGTCGACAAAACGTGTTCGGGAGGATACGCTCCTCAAGGGGTCCATGAACGCCGCGAGTCCCTCTCTCCGTGGGCAAATCTCAGTGCTACAAACCAACTCTTTAAGCGACACCCTTCCTGATGAGTCCATTCTGGTGCGACATGGTCGTCACAGCGCTGTTATTCCGAGTTTGCTTTCTCTCTGGCGCAATGCGGTGCGTGCCACTGGCACGTTTGATGCCTCGAACCGGTGTCGTGTGACGCCGTTCCAGGATGTGAATTTGATGGGCGAGAATTTCCAGGCTATCGGTCACCTTCCCGCCCCTGTTCGTGGTTCCAGAGCTGCGGAGTCTCAACCATTTGACGTGCTTGTGGCGGCGGAGCATCACATCATGATCATTGCCCCCCGCCTAGCTGAGTCCGAGGAGGGTACTGCTGCTGTAGCACACGCGATCAAACAGGAAACTGCGGCCGAAGCTGACCAGATGATGCTGCAACGAGGCGAGCTGGATGTGGAAGGAATGGGCCGGCTGTTAAACGGCATGGCGAACGGGACCGGAGCTCTACGCATGGGCAGTCCTGTGAAGCGGACGCGCATCTTTACTTGAGTATCGGCTTCGACAATAGATGATACCCATGCTCCAACGATGAATTTCTTCCAATTCCTTTCTCCAGTTTACTAACTATTTTTATTCATTCCCGTCTACCTTAGGGGTCCCTGGACCCAAACCCATTCGCGCTGCAAGGTGGAGCGCAAGGCGAGATCCATGCCTTGAAATTCCTTCGTCCGAAGTGAATAAGCTCTGTATCGGATGCGATATATCAAAAACCATCATTCACGAAGTGCTTGCACTTCAGCCATGGACCATTGCGTCTCTGAGCGACATCTTGTCGCTGCGCCCGTATTTGATTCTCGGGCCTCCTGTCTTCTTTAAATGACCATCGCGAATCCCGATCTGTCCTTGGACAAGCTCTACATCGGCGGGCGTGCTGACCAGGATGAGAAAATGGCCGAAATCAGATATGGTGCCTTTAATTGGCTCCGATGGGACACTAAGTTCTGCAAGTTAGTTTTGGTAGGGCAGTGCCTGCAGGCCGGCCGGAAGAGGCCCATGGCGCGATCGAGTCTCCGAACGCCATTTGGCCGATTGGCAACTCGAAACCGGTTCCACAATCCAAGTTCATCAGTCATCCATTTGTTTCCTTTCTCTTTCCTTTCCCGTTCTCAGTTCAATGCATCATCCCTACCTTCTGCATCAGCACCTTTCAGGCCGCAGCTGAAGGTCTCCATGGAGTCGCCCGTCCGCCCGAAGCGGGGTGAGTAGCCACACATAGCCCCATCCGCTCATGAGCTATGAAAGACACTACATACACCATGTCTTCCGCCCTCAAACTAACCATGCTCTCCCTACATCAGTATGGGCCTCGCTTATTACGAATCTGGACTACTTGCCGGGCCTCCTAACCCTCCACCATTCCCTCCACAACCCGCGACCAGACTCATCCACCAATTTCCCCGCCTCGCCCACCTCTCCGAACGATGGCATTCCCGACACGACCTCCAATCCCGCCGCTCGAGGCACCCGCTACCCTTTCGTCGCTTTCTACACCTCCTCCTTCCCGACCGAAGGTCTCAAGGTCCTCCAAGCCCGCGGCATTTCGACGCAATGGGTGCCGAACGTCACCCCCGCCACCACACGCGAGTATGAGCAGGACCCACGCTTCATAGAGACCTGGACCAAGCTGGTTGCGTTCTCGCTGACCGAGTATGAGCGGGTGGTGCTGCTGGACGGTGATATCCTGGTGCGCCGCAACATGGACGAGCTCATGGAGATGGAGCTAGATGCGCCGGAAGTGCTAGCACGCGGAGCGGGGACAAAGGTCTTTGCGGCGGCGCATGCGTGCGCCTGCAATCCGATGAAAAAGCCGCATTACCCCGACAGCTGGTATGTCTCTCCACTTCCCTGCCCTCTCCAACTCCCATTTTTTTCTCAATAGATCTGTCTGGATCGCGGGTGTTCATCGCGCGCTCGAGTCCGGACCAGCAGAGAAGGCTCTTTTCTCCCGTACATTCTATAATGGCCGCCGAACTAACCACCCTCTCCGACCAGGATCCCCGCAAACTGCGCCTACACAAGCCAACACCCCGTGCCCAGCGTCGCGCAAACTACGGCCCCGGCGCCCTCTACCGGCGTCGGCATGCTCAATAGTGGTGTCCTCGTCATTGTGCCCTCCGCCCATACGTACGCGGAGATCACCATCGCGCTGCAAGACACGGCCCGCATCTCGGCATACGATTTTCCAGACCAGGAGCTGCTGACCGACGTCTTCCGGGGCCGGTGGGTGGCGCTGCCGTACGTGTACAACGCGCTGAAGACATTGCGCTGGGCCGACGTGCACAGCGCTATATGGCGTGACGACGAGGTCCGCGCCGTACACTATATCTTTGCGCGGAAGCCGTGGCATGAGGAGATCAAGCCGGAGCATGAGCTGCGGGCTATCAAGGGCCTGGATGAACCTGGGGTGTGGTGGTGGGAGGCGAATTGGGAGCGAGCGAGAGGGGAGAGGGAGGCGGGGATTGTAGATAAGTATTCGGAGTAAGCAAGGAGTAGGGAACTTGCATTGTAAGTGAATAAATGGTATTTGAGACTCGAGAGGTGGGCAAAAGAGTTTACTGGCTTGTGTCTTTCTTACGCGGATTATGAGTTATGGCCACGGATATGAGCTTTTTTTTTTTTTTTTTTGCGTACCACTAGGTTCATTCTTGGGAAAGAAACTCTACTTTGCATACACGATCGAGACTCTTTCGGAGGTTCTATTGGGTCCTATATCTTCTTACGCAGGACATGCATTCAAGCGACAAAATGCAGCAGCGAGGACGATGCTCCAGCATGTTACGATTACCGTCCTTGATAAGACGAGCATAGAAACTCCCCTGCTTCTCCTACACGCAGACTAAATATCTGATAGCTTCAATCTGGATGTTCATTTTCTCTATTTTCTCGCGAACATAATAGGCGGGATGAGGAAAGAGTGGGAGAGAGAGCGCGCGCGAGATGATGCAAATATACAATGCACCATTGTAGAGCGGGAACATAGATGCACACATCAATGCATATCAACTTAACAACACCCATGAAACAGACTCCGGATCTACCGCGATGCGAGAAGATAAAAGACCAGTCGGAAGAGCAGGAAGCAGAGAGAGCAGCGCCAAGGCGGGCTTAGCCACTGAACCCAACCGCCTCGAGCTCCTTGCGGACCGCGTCTTCCGTCTGGATCTTCTTCATCTGCGTGTCCTCCAGCTTCTCGCCACCCGCAAGGCGCATCTTCAACTCGTCAATGGCCCGGATCTTCTTCAGCAGGCCACGGATCTTCTTATCCTGAGCCGTCGGGTTAAGGTCCACAGCCGGGGCTGGGGCGGCCACTGGAGCGGGAGCAGACTTGGGTGCGCCGTTGACGGGCGTGCCGTTGTTCTTGCCGCGTGCGCGGTTGCGATCCGGGCTAGGGCCGGTGGGCGCGTTGGGCGGGGGCGCGTTGTCCGGGACGCCCTCTTCGCGGGCCTTCTTGGCGGCCTCACGCTTCTTCTTGTTCTTGGCGGCGGACTTGGAGAGCTTCTCGTCGGCACCAGGGAGGGCGACGCCACCACCAGGCGCGGCACCTGGGGGCAGATACTCCTCAACGGGCTCGGCACCGGGGATATCACGGCGACGGGACTTCCCGAAGCCATTCAGGCCAGCAACGCCGGCACCGGGCACACCCTCGCGAACGTAGGCGGCACCGCCCTGGTCCTCGCGCTTGAACGCGAGCGGGGTCAGCTGGCCACGCGCACCGGGGGGCGGTAGGCACCGGCAGGCTTGACGGGAGCTTTACGAGTGCTCAGGTACGCGGTGGCAGAGGGGTGAGCCACGGGCAGCTTGGCAAGTGGATCGCCCAGCGGATGCTGGGTGATGCTTTGGGGGCGCCAGGTGACATCGTACAGCTCAGTCATTTCCTCGTTATACATGAGGCCACCACCAACGTGCCAGATGCGCACGCCGTTATCAACACGCAGGCGCGGGCTGGTAGTAGCAGTCAGGATATACTGTCCGTCGGGGGACCAGTTACACACACTGGCGTTGGAGGCCTCGACGGTGGTAATCTTATGATAGTTCCTGTCCATATCATAAATGTCCATCTGACCGGCCAAGTTCCCGAAACCGGCAACTAGGACAAAACGCCCGTGGGGGAAAAGATGATGGTATTCCGCGGGCTCAGAGGGAAAGTGTGCTTCGGTACACCGCGCATATTGAAGATGGTAGTCTTGGCGGGCATGTAGCCGTACACAACACCAAATTCCTTGGAGTTGGGATTCCAACTCACGTCGTGAATGGGTCCTTCCTTGTCTATTAGGGGAAAACAGTCAGTCAGGGCACATATTCCCGTCCAAGTGAGATCAGATTCAACATACCAAGATCGACCCGCGAGTCAAAGGCGCCGCTAGCGCTGAGTAGGTACAGAGTAGTCTCGCCATAGTAGCTCTTACCGGTCTTGTCGACCTCGGTCTGCGCAAGCACGATGAGGGTTGTGCCGGAAGAGTTCCACTTCAGCTGAACCTTGTCACCCTTGAAGAAGCTCTTCTGGGAGACAGGAGCGCCGAATTGTGGCACAATAAAAACCTTCACTTGGGCGGGTTGACCCTTTCGCTCGGGAACAAACACCGCAAGCGAATGGGTCTGTCCCGGCGAGAGAGCGAAATCCGCCACACCCTCCACACGTAGCTTATTCCAGACAGTTTGCAGATTGTCACTCTGGTAAAACTGAACCTCGTTGGTCACAACGCGCCCGCAGAGACGCTCGTCGGGGGGTGTACTGCAGGTTCCAGCCAGTCTGCGACTTCTGGACGAACTGGCCCACGACCGAATTCTCGTCTCCGGTATCGACCGTGCGCCACACCTTGAGGTTCTTCACAGCGTCGCCATTAGCATCCTTGGAAGGCCGTTGCCAAGTGATCACATAGGTGCCCAGCGGAGAAAAGCCCAGCTCAAACACGTTGTCGGCGGGGATAGTCGAGACGGTGTGACCCACAGAGGCGTCAACAATGGTGACCCTGTAGCAGAAATAAAAAGCTGTGGTTAAATTGGACATTCATATAAAAGCGGGAGGGTCATAAGCTAGCATACTGTTCAGGCGAAGCCCATGCATAATAGCGGCCGCACGGCGAATAAGCGCTACAACGAATGTTCCCTTCGGGCCTAGAGCAGCAAAGAGATCGAAGTCAGCGATGATCAAACTCAACAACAAGAAAGCAGATTCTTACCTCACAAACCCCGACAGAGGCTCATAAACAGGGGCGGCATCCATGATGCCAACTCCCTTGAGAGTTCGGTCTGGAAATGAGTCAGCCGCTGTCAAACTAGTATAGCGTGCTCAACTGGGGAGGATCGCCTCAATCAATCGCATCAAGGGAAACCGATGGTTATGAGAGGAATAGACGTACAAGCAAGCTGCGTAGGCGCCGCCATCTTGAGATCGAATTGCTGGATAAAAACCACCAAAAAGAACACAAAGAGTTTCAAGTCTGTTCCACGACAGTCGATAATCTTCTTCTCAGTTTCTGATCTAACAAAGCACCAGAATGAGGTCGAATGAAGAAATGCACAGTTCGATCAGTATGAATCAGACTCTGATGATCGTCGAGCGTAGCAGGGGCACCGCCACACAACGTTTGTGCAAGTTTCGAGAAAGAAGGCACAGAGCGGGTAGTGACACAAAGGCTCGAGATGATATGGCGACTCGAATCAGAATTGAAACGATCTGTCCAGTAACGTGGCTAATGGTGGAGTTTGGGGCTGATGAGCACGAAAGCCAACAATGGGCGGGTGCGAGGCGAAACTCAATTGAGACAGGCGGGGGATAGCAGCGAGAAGAGGCGTGTCGGAGTCTTCGAACTTCTTTGCTAGACAAGTCAATGCCAGCAGCGAGGGGTAGAGCCGAAGAGGAGAGGGGGAGGAGCGGAGCGGAGCGGAGGGTGGGAGGGTGTTGACGGTGGGTTGGAGAAGGGAAGAAGCGGGTGGGGAGAGATTGAGTGGAAAAACGAAAATTCGGGTTGCGCTGCGGCCACTAACTTTCGGGGGCGGCATGCCGTCATTTGGCTGGCGGATCGGGGCCGAAGGGCCTAGGCACTCTCAGGCAGTTGTAGCTATATAGAGAATTGACACTGCGCTCGGGATTGAAGCTGTACATAGTCTACTGAATTGTCAAGTTAGAAATTTTTGGATGACTTAGGTGCTCGATTTCATTTGCTTTCTACAAATCGCCTCCCAACCAACCTTCACCATAACTAGTCCTACGCCGCCGAGTTCTCCTAGGTATTCACAATACTATATCTATGGATCTTGAAATATCTAGCCAAATCCACGCAGGTCGCCATACTGCAAAGCCTCTGTATACTAAGCAAGCGCATGCGATATAGACAGCATAATGATTGGTGAGTGGGGCTTTCCTATCTCGGCTGCCGCCGCTTTGATGAGGGCGCTCTAGAGCCAAGTCATGTGAGCATTCAGTAATACTCAGCAACCACTCAGTGACTCGGATCACGGGGTGCTTACTCACCGTCTGATACTTCGCGCCCAATTAGCTTCAGGATGAACGCGATCTAGAGCTATATGGTGTAAAGGGAAAAACGGGGGAAAAGTCCCACTTTCTTCTCCCAGAGAGTTTGATAAATCGAACAAAGGATTCCTTGGTATCTTTCAGAATCCTGTCGAAAGCAGGGCACAACCCTTGGGGATCACCAATGATCAAGGACCGCGAACGCATTGTACACACTGTATCTAAGTATCTTTGGCTATGCTCAAATGAGTTTTCCGGGTATCGTGATCCTTGTCTGATTGACAGATTGCTTGACCTGACAACAAAAAAATTTTCTGTAACACCAGGTCAAAATTGAGTGTAGAAGAGTATAAGGCATTCCACAGAGCTCTGTAAAGTGATCAGTAAAGACGAAAAGAAACTGTATTTCGCCTAGTAACCAGTTTCATCACCCTACCTCAGTCGTGCCTCCCAAAATTGGAAAAAGAAGGATCCTCAGCGCATGAGAACTAATATAAGGCAGATTTTCCATTCAAATAATATTCACCATTTCCATCATTTGTTAAGGTCAGGATCGCCGCATTAGTGGCGAAGGTACGATCTCTGCTCTTTATTAGAGGGAGAGAAGTTATCTATATTCAGGAAAAGAATTGCACAAGAACAGAGCTAACTTGTCCGTGAACCAAGGAGATTACTTAGTAGAGTGATTACATTGAACCTAGACAAGGAAAGTCTCGGCAGAGGCGGTCTCTAAACTCCGTCGGCCACGACTTGTAAAAAGCAACCAGCATCCAACAGCCAACACTGGAATCGCGATGGTCCAGTACACCCAGAATCGGCTCTCACCAGCTGCAAAGTCCCCTCCCATGGAAAAGATTGCTGCCACAAACGAGATAGGTATAAAGACCGTCGCTAGAGATGTCAGATACCCCACATGTAAAGCCTGCTTGTTAGAGGTGACGCTTTCCCGGATTGATACAGCCTGCATATAGGCCTGGAGAATGTTGTCCGTTTTCACCTTGAGCATTTGCACAGCTTGCCGGAGACGATCCCACGCCTCTGCCTCCCAAGGCTCGAGAACGTCGGTTTTCGAATACAAGCCTAAAGCATCCATGTTGCGCTCGAGCTCCCAAGCAATCGAGTCGAGCGCCGACTTCGCCATCACCAGCCGAGCAAAGTTGCGCGGGTGCCACGGCTGAGCCCAAGAGTTGTCCACAAGCTCCGTGGCAGTTCTTTCGAGCGTGATGCTTCCAATGCTCATGCGGCATGACTCTTGAATGACTTGGGTTTCGACAATACGCAACATAGCCGTCCACGCGGATAGAACAATCCGGGTGCACGTTTGTATGCATTCGTTCTTATTTTCCGCCGGCTGTGGTCTCATTGAGGGGGCTAACAAGCACAAGTCCTTGAACATGGATTCCGTGGGTGGTGATTGTCCCCGAAGCGACGCACAGAATGGGTACCACGAACCCTGCTGCTCCAAACCTAGGATCATCGGATCCACCAGCTGGATGGAATGATTGCGATCAACCCTTCGAGGAATTGGGGAATCTTTCCATCGTACAGTATCACCCAGGGGAGGGTCTACCAGAAATATCACTGCAAGATCTTGTTAGGCAGCCCACAAATTGAGACCGCATAAAAGAATAGGGTGACTTCACTATTTCGAGGCGTTGCGCCCTCGGTGCTCCAGAAGGACAGATGCTCGGGGCTCTCTAGTGGACCATTCATATCGCCAAAGATCGTCTTTCGGGAGAGAAGACGATTCCCATCTGCCTCTATCGAATAGAAGGGACTTTTCTCATCACCGATCCGTGCTTGGATTCTCGCTCGATGCAGGCGAGGGAATCGCAAGATAAATCGATTCTTCACGTCGTAGTGTCGTGGCGTCCTGTTCAAAAGACTGCCGACAATGGGACAAGACCAATGCGCCGCGAAGAAATCAGGAGGAACTTTGAGATCCTCTCCTAGAATTTGGATGAAATTACGCGGGAGTCCTTCCAGAATAAAAGCCCGCTGCTTTACATCGTTCGGCGGTTGATTCAGATAGCGCTTGAGGGCTCTGGATGTCTCCAACGTTCTCACGACTGGGGCAGTAGCGACTTGAGCATCTTTGAATTCAAGCACAGCTAATTGCCCCTCTTCTGCAAAGCTGCCTTCTTGGTCAGAAAGATGACTGAGAAAGCCAGGATAATTTTCCTTCAAGGTTGAGTTCAGGAGTGACCAGTAGGTCTCCTCTTCTAGTAGATCAGGCATCTCGGGCGTCGGATGGATTGTGGACGAGAGACCACGATTTCTCAGATATGTCGATATTTTGTGAGCAGGGCCCCAGCGCGGTATAGATCAGCTTAAAGTTCTAATCAATAAGCATGATTACTCCACAGAATCGGCACAAGCTAAAGGACTCGAGCAAGAATATGCGACGGTACAGGGGGCTAGAATTGCCCGAGTTCAAAGCTGCACGCTTACAGCTTATAAGAGCCCACGGCTGCATGCAGGTAGTCGAAAGAGGAATCGTCGAACGACACGTACTTCTTGCTGGTTGGTAGTGACCGTCAATAGGCCCTACTAGCCCGTGGCCCTAGGAACTGGATCCCCTCGGGTTCTCTCAGTCTAGATGACCCCATATAAGACGGGGGACTCATCTCATTTTGGGGGCCAACGTGGGTTGACTACGATTTCCATCTGCTCGCTCACGTCTCCAGTCGATCTCTCTGGGACACTCTTCCACGGGAAATCTGCCTCAATTTTTCATTGAAGCCGATTTCAAGGCCTCTATTTTAACCTCTCCTACATAACAAACAATCCGACCTTGCTTGCAGAGAGGAAGGATTTGGTTTCGGGCTGATCTTACCGATCTTCATGCAGGTCTGGTACACGAATCTCGAATGATCATGGGCGGCACCGACAAGAGTCCCGACCAGGGAACTATACAACCATTCGGAATAGTTTTCACCGACAAAAAGCTTCCAGACATACTGGCAACATGTGTGACCTGCTTCGACTACGCCATACAAGCCGAGCCCGATAGCCGGGTAAGACTATCTCTCAATGTCCTTCGACTTCGACTCACACGATGGGGCGAAGCATCGGAGATTTATAAGAAACCCGCGTCCTGGGAGCACGACGCCCACCCCGATGATCTGGACGAGGTGAGGCAGTCTTTGCTGAATATGATAAGCCTATTCGAAACCAAAGCCGAAGAACAAGAAAAAGATGAAGATGAAGATGAAGATGAAGGAGAGGATCCGGCCTTAGCTCCGACAGATTTGGTTGTGAACGACACAAGTGGCCCAGCAAAGCTATTGCAAGAAACACTCTGCAAAATCGCTGCTGAAAGATCTCAGCAGGGCACCAAGTTGATTGACCCCAAATACATGGAATGCAGCTGGTGGTCCAATGCACGATTAAAGCGCGCGGCGAGTTTCATCGACATCCTGGAAAGCATGTTTGGCTCTCGGCGCCTCAAAGAACTCTGTGCAAACGATCTCCTCCGGATTGAAGACGAAGTAGCCCTCGCGCTTCTGAAACTCATTGCAACCGACCTGGATCCCTGGATGGTGAGAGCGTGGGCACCCAACAATCACTTCCGAAGTCTCGCATTTAACCTCAGTTACCAGCTAGGTAGAAATGCGAGCTACGCTTCCGGCCTCGGATTTTCCGATCACTGGCATTCATCGTGCTGAAGTGGACATGGTCTCGGGTTATAATACGCCGGCCGCCTGGGGAGAGTGACGTGCGGTTTCTCTACTAGGAAGCCCCTCTACTAGGAAAGACTTGGACTATAGGAATTTTGTATCATTTCTTTTTCTGACGATCCTGCTACATCTGGTCTTGGGATTATCCTATCTGGCACTGATCTCAACCGGTACACGTACTCTCGCTTCATTGTAAAAGATATTCTGGTAGATTCTATCAACAGCAAAACGCCTCCCTCCCCTACCAGGGTCATCTCGCAACTAGAAACACCTGATAATAAACCACAGAAGAGAAAAGGGAGAGGGAAGAAGAAAAAAAAAATAAAGAGAGAGTTTAGTGCTAGAGAAGCGGCGCTTGTCAATCAAAAAAAAAATAATAATAACAAAGTCATATCCCATGAAATTCATACCAGGACTTGCTCTCTCCGGGTCTGCCCTATTCCATCCAGCTATTTTTCCTTCGCCTACAAATACATCCATGACCCAGGTCCAGAGCAAACAGCAGCCAGAAAAGAGAAGAAGGAGAAAAATAAAAAGCAAAAGAAAATCAATCAGATCAGATCAGACACGTAGCCTACCGCCCCAAAAAAAAAAGAAAGATACGAAACTTTAACGCTGCGCGAGTCTCTTTCTCTACGAACCCAACGAGACTTAACCCAGAGAAGCGGAAGGGTAGATCCCGCGGGTCGGGTTTCACTCGCGGCCCAGTGTATCATGACCACTGGTGCTCCTGTTTGACGGTGTAACTAGCCGCGGTGTGCGAGCCGTTGTGTCGACAACATCGGGGTCGAAGGTCATGCCATCCATCATGCGAGCGTCCTCATTCACCGGCTCGGGGGTATTCGAGCCAGCCGGAGAGGCAGAATGCATGGGGCTGTCTCCGGCTAGGTCCTGCTGCTGCTGCTGCTGCTGGAGGTAGGAGGCGACCGGGTTAGGCCGGGAGACAGAGGCGCTGCCCATGGAGGTGGGGCGGGCACTGAGGCCGCCGGAGGAGACACGGTTGAGGCCAGCAGGGCGCGAGGTCGGCCCGCTGATGGTACTGTTGGCGCCCTCACCGAAGCCGACAAGGCTGGCATTGCCCTCGTCGCTGAGGTTGTCGACGCTGACGCTCGACACGCCGTCATCGCCGTCCGGGCCCTCGCTCATCTTGTCCGCTTCGAAAGCGTCACTACCGCTGGCCCAAGTCGTATGCCCGCCGATACTGGCAGTTGCACTGGCACTGCCGACAGTGCTACGCTCCTTCATCCACGAGTGGCTATCGAAGTAGCCTGGCATGTGGGAGGGGGTGCGACGGCGTTGGCGGGCGACTGGCCGCCGGCGCGAGCGGTCGCAACACGTTCCAGACCAGCGAGGCGAGAGATGCGGTCGGCGCGTTCGGCATCAAGGGTATTTGTAGAGGATGTGGAGGCAGAGGAGGATTGGTGGGCGTGGTGGCCATGGGGGAAGGGGGCGCCATGGTGACCGTCTTTGATTGCAGTCGTGGAGAGTGCGGAGAGCGATGTCGTGCCGGAGTTAGGAGTACCTCTGCACCAACCGACCGCCCCAGCGCCCAAGGTCAGTCAACCGGATGCCAGAATTGATCACCGCACAGGAGCCAGCAACGGGAAGGGAGGAGGGGAGGAAAGAAAGGGGCTCTTACGGTCCCATATCCGAAGGAGTGACAGGGTCCGAGGGGGGAGGTGGTAGGTTGATTAAAGTGGGAGTAGTCATTGTGATGAGGGGAGCAAGGGGAGAAAAAAAAGCAACGTTAGTTTGAATCTGACCGAGACGGTCGAGATTGAGAGCTGGAAATGCTTTGGTAGATATGATCGGGTCAGTGTCTGACAGGGAGCAAGGGATAAGAGGTGAAGGCTGCGATCGAGATATTGCGGGGAGTGGAAAGTGGTCCGCGATTCGAGCAGAACGTTTGGATTGTCCCAAAGCGACGTCATGCCCGCCCGGGATTCAGGCCAATCACGACCGCCCGACGTGCGGAACGGCCGACTCGTGGATATGCAAACGGCCTACGCATCGAGGGGCATTGGGTGGATTTGAACGAGAAAAAAAAGACAGGTCGTACAATGAGTTTCATACATTCATAAAGGTACATGGCAACCAAAAAATAAATAAACGAGATCAACCAGGGAAAAGCCTCATTGACTGACCTTGCGGCTCTCATAGTGCCCGCGAAGGTCATCCACCTCTTTTTGTAATCGGGTCAGATCAGCCAATATATCATCTGCATTAGAAGGTTGAGGTAACGGAATCTCTTCTGCAGTAGTGGTTTGAGAGAGCGGCCCGCCGTCGCTGCTACGTATACTAGAGTCTCGAGCGCGCCGAGGCGGCGGGGGAGGTGGGGGAGCTGCCGCCGCCGTGGAGGAGGAGCTCGCTACTATATTGCTATACGAAGAGGCACGCCGACCGGTCGGCGGAGGAGGATGTATTCGAGCATCATTAGGGGCAGTCGGGACCAGCGACGCCCCCGTGGAGGGATTGGTGGCACGGAGCTCTTTAGCGGATGGTGGGGGCATGCTGGTGCGCTTTCGGTCTTGGGAGACCGTTGAGGCGACAGACCGGGCCGAAAGACCCGGACTGGGGGGCTGGGAGCTGCTGTTGCTGTCTGAATCGCGCGATGACATAGCTAATCGACTGCCGCTAGATTTGGATTGAGTAGATTTGGACCGTCGCATTTGACTGTGTCGGCGGCTGAGAGGAGGTGTGGGCGGGCGTTTCTGTTGGGAATTACTGCGGTGGAGGGAATCGGTCGAATCTGCTGCCCTGTAGTCCTCCATCGGAACCGAGAAGTAGTCCGGGGCCAGTGATTGCGGGATCGAGCTGGCATTGGGGGTCCCTGAGGTCGCCCGGGCCGTAGATGTAGACAAGCTTTCGGGGGACGAGGCATGAAACGAAAGGCGGTTCGTAGAGCGAGGAGGTGATTGACGAGACGATGATGAGGCTGTGAGAGTGGAAACACTAATTCGCTTCCCATGATGGTTTCGGGGTGGTGGTGGCGGCTTTTTGTCTTTCTTGGGCCGACTCGAAGGACTGGTACTGGAGCCTGGCTCTGGCAGGGAAGTTGGCTCCGCCGACCGAGTCCTCAGCAGTGGGGGATCTTGCGATGTGTTGCTCGATGTGTTCCCGGGCTCTGCTACTCCGACTGACCGCATGCTGGAGTTGGCCGATGTAGACGGGACGGGTGATGATGATGTGCCCGTCGACCCATCGATGGATGGAGCTCGGTGTGGAGCAGACCCAAATGATGCTCGAGGGCGATCATCCAGAGCTGCTAAGCTCATGGAGCTCCCCTGAGGAAAAGGGCGATCATCATCATCATTGTCACTGACCGAGGAGTCAGGATTGAAAGGATCGGCCGTCTGTTCGTCCGATGAGGTCGACTCATCGGCCTCGTCGCGCTCGTCGCGCGATCCAGACGACTTTCTGGGGTAACCGTTGGGCAGCCGGGGAGGCAACGATGGAAGTGGTTTGGTGAACACATCCGGCGAGACGTCACCCGAGAGAATGGGGCCAGATGCCGTTGCACCTGAAGCGCTACCTAGAATCCCATGAAGCCATTAGCATATTGGGTTGGTGATCGGGGTGGATGCCCATCGCGTCGTCTTATCGGGATCTGGCGGGTAGGACGAGGAGGGGGAGGAGACGCGAGAACGAGGACTCACCGTCCAACTTCCGGGCACGGAACGGATTGAATCCCGACATCATGTAGCAGAGGGCGTTCCTCGACCAGCGAGCTGGAGACAAGAGGATGAGAAGGAAGGGAGGGAAGAGGGGGGGGGAAGATCCCCGCCGAGCTTCTTATCCATCGAGTTTCTTGTCGCGCCGCTTTCCGGATCGATTGGTGTCCGGGAGCCCCGAAAGGCTGCAGTCGCGACTACAATCAGCCCCCCTGGTTTCAACCGCCTCGTCTGGGGGAAGGGTTAATGGAGGACCAAGGGATACATTGGAAGACACTAAAAGTTCCATCTGACAATCTGGTAATTGCATGGGGCTTGAATTGGACCATGTTTGGTCAGGTTCGTAGTAAAAACCTCAAATAGACGAACAGGGGGCGAGTATATGGTACAATGCAAAGATGAACACGCAAACAAACAGGACGAAAAGCAAACGCAAACCCCGTCCGAGTCCCAGTCCGATCGAATAAATCAACAAAAATCCCCCCTTTCCCGACCCGGTAAAGAAAAAAAAAAAAAAAAAGAGAAACAAGGTGCTGAAAAGAAAAGAAAAGAAAAGAAACCTTCCCCATCCCAACGAATGCCACGCGCGATCCATGTCCAATTTGCAACCCCTTTTGAGAAATTTCCGCAACTCGCACACAACAACAACAATAACTCACCGCTCATTATACACATGCCAGGTCTCTTCGCCTTCGAAAAACCTATCGGCCAGCCGTTTCCCGCTCTCGGTAGGCTGGCTGAATGCAATCCGATCCTTAGGGATCTCCATGCCATAGATGAAGTTGCTGACCACGCAGTCCAGTAGATCCAACGCAATGCCTTTCCGTCGTGATGCCCCGGACGTCCAAATGCGCGACACACCCACGATCGCCGGGTGGAGCTCGTCCGATACCGACACTGACGAGTTATGGGTGGCACCGTTCGTGGCGCCCCGGATGACCGGACGTGATTCCCAGATACGCTCGGTCAGACAGAGCCCGACGCATCGACTATCCTTCATGTGCAGGAATACCCGGTATCGATCCACCTGCTCCTCCGGGATATCCTCAAGTAAATGTTTCGGGGGTTCGGCCTGACTCCATAGCACCTCGTCGTCGATCTCAGGGGACGAGAGCTCCTTGTTGACGACCTCGAGCACTTTTTTCGCCTGATTGCGGGCACTGGCCGTGGCCTTGCGATCCACAATTACCACATAGCCCTCGTCGAAGCGAGTGGCTTCGTAAACCCAGCGAGACGCATTTGCGCGCATGAATGCCTTGCCCAGGTCCACGCCGGTAGAATTCATTTCGTGAAATTTTTTGTGCAGCGCCGCGTCCTCGCTGTTGGAGGGGATATACTCCATCCCACACGTCGCGCATGTCTTGCGCACCTCGTTTCCTAGGTCGAGCTGCATCTGGCGGAGAGCTGGCGGTTTGGGGTGAGGTTTGGGCTGGGATAGTTGCTGTTCTAGTGACGGCGGTGGCAATTGTTCTTGTTGTTGCTGCTGCTGCTTGGGTGGGTCTGCGGACGAGCGCACACTGTTGGAGTTGACCTCGGTCAGGGGGAGCCGGCGGCGACATCCTTATGCTTTCGCTTGAGAAAGGCGAAGGTGGGTTTACGTGTGTTGGCTGGAGGAGGGGTCAACCGTGGTGGTGGGGATGAGGGAGGTGTGGTGAGATCGTCGAGATCATCGAGGGTGCCTTCGGACAAGACGATCGAGTTGCGGCGCGAGGGACTGGACAACACGGCGGCGGAAGACTCGCGAATCGCATACTGCAGATTGGCCTCAGCCTCATCACCTTCGTCTTGGACGCGTCGTTTTTTCGCAACCCGTTCATCGTCATAGACGCGCCATGTTGGTCTTCCGTATGTTTTCATCAGGCCTCTGGCAGAGAGATCGCGCGACCGGTTAGTTGCTGGTTTGGGGGGGGAACAGATCGGGAGGGGCAGACAATCGGGAGGACCTACCGCTTAAAAGAATTGGTGACTGTCCACGGCATCTCCCTGGAAGCTCCCAAGATTTTGTCGAGAGGGACAGGGAAGGTGTTTGTTTTCCGACACGGGGGGTTTTGCAAGTTTACATAGGCGGATCGGCCGGGTTCCACCGCACGCGTGGCGCTAACTGGATTAGGTCATATTGTTCGGTGACTTGGGGGGACCACCACTCACGTTCTGATCAAATAATGCCCCCTTGCTGGCAAGCAAACACGGGGAATGGAAATCAGAGATGGGGGAAATAGTGCAGAGATGGAGGATGATGAAATGGAAGGAAGAGGAGGAGAAGAAGAATTCAGATCAACAGGATAGTTGTTTTTTTTTTCCCAACCCAGTGGAAAGTCGCCACCAAGAAGTAACAATCAGCAGCAGCAGCAGCAGCCGCCGCCGGTAGAGGGGCACCAGTTGGGTTGGAGTGGGGGGGGTTGGACAGGGCCAACGGGGGGAAGGCTGGGGGGTTGTTTGGGTTCTGACAAGGGCACCGTTTGGGAGCTCGTCATGGGCGCCCGCAGGGAAAAGGGGAAGACGACGGGCTCGCGGGGAGGCGCAGGACTGGTAAATGCCTGTAACGGGAGTCAGCGCGATCTTTTGTGATGTCTCGAGTCCTGATTGCGGGATCATAATAATCAAGGCGAGCAAGGCTTATATATCACTCACCGGTCTTCTTACTTCGTACCAGGACACCCCCTAGGCAACATCGTGGATCATCGCCCAACGGGACACCCAGTTCTCCCAGTTCTGAGAACGGTGTCGACCGGTCTATAGAACGTATCAAACAGTACAAAATAGCGTCACCAGAAGCGTCCTGCCCCGATGACGGGCTATTTTTGATTCTATCTCACTAGGAGATATTCGTATATCACTAAATATAACTAAAGAAGGATAACTAAATATAACTGACATTCTTACTCCTCGTCCTGGTCCTCCTTCTCCTCCTCTTCCTCCTCTTTCCTCCTCTTTCCTCCTCTTCTTCCCATCGGACCAGCCACAAAATAATCTGAAATTCCGTCTGTTCTTCCGGTATGCTCGGTTGTGGGGGGAGCAAATACCCGTTTGTGAGCCCCCCCCCCCCCTATTTGGCGGCTCAAGAACTCTTTGTTTGTAGAAGGATTGAGTGAATTAAATGGGATAACAAATGATTCCATTCCAATGAGCATTGCTATAATTATGATTGGTCGTGCCCGCAGGACGCCCCGAACTCAGTCGCCAGGGGGAAACCCCAACGCCCCCGGAGGGACCAATGACACCCGACAACACCCGCCAGCACCCATGACACTCCCGGTCCCAGGACGGTGGGGGAGATTAAGAGGATTTCGCCCCCTCCAGCTCGTTGGCCATCAGTAGGGGCTTTGATTAGCTGTCATCGTTGCGCTGTCACGGCTGCTGGTTGCGACTTTGCGGTGACGTGATTACGACCAGAGGACTGCGTATGAAGGACAGAAAAGACAACTGGGGCTGATGCTGATGCTGACAGCAGTGAATCCGCGGATCTACTCTGAGAAATGGAAATTGGACTCGGGAGTCATCCACCTATCACCCATCCACTACTTCCTCTAGACGCTTCCATGAGGCTTGGCCCCACCAATGCGCAGAGCAGAGAGCAGATTCATGATGCCCTCCATAGCTCCCTCGCTGGAACTGTGACGGGCCGCTCAACCCTCGTTGGTTGCCTGCTCAACATGCGTCATCGGACAGGCTCCCCCTCCCCCAATCGTTCCCATCTTTCCCATCTTTCCATCTCCCAGTTGCCAATTTGCCAGACTTCCCTGACGAGCCGACGGGGTTCCGAGGACGGCGGCTACGCGACTTCCACAGGGAGAAACCTGGCAAAAGATGACCGGGGGCCTCATGCTCGATGCTGCTGATTCGATCCGCCCTCGTAAGTGCTGGGCCAGATCGTAGATCCCATCGACTGATTGGTTTGGCACGGCCGTTGAGTTCAGCATGGATTACGATGGCCGTTGTCGGCCTGGAGACGAGCAAGCCCAGCTCCCCCGGATTCTATAGGATCAGAGACGGCGACTTCGTCCGGGGATACTGTACGACCGAGAGGCTCCCCTGTTCCTCCAAGGCCTCGTCGGGTGGCAAAAATCGGCCAAGAAGCCCGTGGCGCTTGTGGTCTTGTCCCACCTCGAATGCAGAATGCTGCCTCGGTGACGGGGTTGGATACCGGCCACCAGCCTGCCAGACCAAAACAGCCAGACCCTAGAGCGCTTCAATGATGGGCCGCTGGGATCGTGCCCATCCCCTGTATGATATGACCTGTGCCATCCGCCCACGGGGGATCAAGGCCAAACATAGGGGATAAGAGACGGGAGGCCTGCAAGACGCAAAAATGAGACCGAAGGCGATGGGACTGTTTGTTGTTTGATCACCTAATTGATCTATGTATCACATCAGGAGTCTCCAGAGGGAAAATGTTCCTCCTCCTGGACCTCATGGCGGCACCCACGCAATGCCCTGGCCCTTTGATTTGATAGCCCTGGGTGCAAGTGAGGTTCCAGTCATCCATTGGCAAGAATGGACAGGGTAATAGGAGCGTCTTCACCTTTGATCTGCAACTATTCGACACCATGCAGACCCACAGGTTACACATGCGAATCCCACCGTGCAGGGCTCTTCCAGTTCCGCCCGAGTCGGTGGGCTGTGTATCACGGAGCCAGATGGACAGTATTTGGTGGCGCCGGACTGTCTTCCGCTATATAGATCACAGTTAGACTCGAGGGAGATCCTGCAATATTGACACCTTCGCTGGATTCGGGTTTTCTTGCTAGTCCCCCGCCGCCCCTCCGGTCCCCTCGTTGCATTGTATTTGCAGTAGCGTGCAGGATAAGCTTAGTGTTTCGGGTTCCGAATACATCACAGAAGCAATGAGGGGAGACCACCGCAGTCGGTCCGTTGCATAATCCCCATCCATTTATTGACACTAAGACCCATTTTGAGGCAAAGCAAAAGTCTCCGGTCGGGGCGTTTTGAAGCGTAGCGCGATTTATAAAGAAGCCCAGTCCCGAAGAAAAAAACATAATTGTCCGATGTCCGATCCCGACGGTCTTGAAAGTTGAACTCATAAAAGGTCTTCACATAGAATTCCGAACCAACTGAAGTTATTTGAAGGCCCCGTTTTGCAGGACTTTGAGCAGCATAGCAGCCGTGAAGTTGCGGACGTTGGGGGAGCTGCATCGGTCCCGCTTTTGACCCGCGGACCCAAAAGTCAAGTCAACTCAAAAATCTCTTCGACCCTTCTTCTTCCCCTCCCAACACCTCCTCTCCTTCCAAAATCATGTCGTCGGAAGCCGCGCAAGTTGCAGGCAAGCGCAAGCGTGCGAGTAAGTAGCCTAATTCCTATCTGACCTTCTTTACACTCGTTCTCCCCCTCTTCCCCCAACGATCGCGACGGTTCTGGATGATCCATCGGCTCCGGCACGAAGGCTTCTCATGCACCATCCCCCGCAGTCTCGCGGCGACGGTCTCCCAACCTCCAGGACGCCCAGTTGGCCAGACATCCTGCCTGTCAACATATCCTCCCCCCGCTTCCCTGCCCCTGAATCCCAAATCACGGCCCTGGATCCTATTTCGCCGCCCGCGGAACCCGCGACATCCGCAGAATTTCCATCCACTAACGATATCACTCTCAGGGACCCAGTCGTGCCCCCCGCCGGAGCTGCCTCAGCTGGTTGCCGAGCAGCATGTGCCAATTCCCTCTCACGACAAGGACACCCAGCGGTTGATCGTCATTCTCTCGAATGCCAGCCTGGAAACCTACCGGGCCTCCAGTGGCCGTGCTCCAGGAAAGGATGAGAAGTACTCGCTGCTGAACAGCGACGAACACATTGGTATCATGCGTAAGATGAACCGGGACATCAGCGAGGCTCGTCCGGATATTACTCATCAGGTACGCTTCTTTTTTCTAGAAAGAAAAAAAATCTCTTTGCAGGTCATTTTTTTTGTCCACGACCAGATCCTCTTGCTGCATTTCGATTTTCGAACTTCTCTTCTCTTCGTTCTTGATTTTATTCTATTTTGGTGGTTTTTTTTTTCCTCTTCGCTAATTATGCATTCTGATCTCCTACAGTGTCTTCTTACCCTGCTGGATTCCCCGGTGAACAAGGCTGGGCGCCTTCAAATCTTCATTCACACCGCCAAAGGTGTTCTGATTGAGGTCAACCCGTCCGTCCGTATTCCGAGAACCTTCAAGCGATTCGCCGGTCTGATGGTCCAACTGCTACACCGCCTGTCCATCCGCTCCACCAACTCGCAAGAGAAGCTGTTGAAGGTCATCAAGAACCCGATCACCGACCACCTGCCGCCCAATTGCCGCAAGGTGACGATGAGTTTCGATGCCCCCGTCGTCCGGACCAAGGATTATATTGAGTCATTGGGACCCAAGGAGAGCATTGCCATCTTCGTTGGTGCCATGGCCAAGGGCCACGATGACTTTGCTGATTCGTTCAAGGATGACACCATCAGTATCAGCAACTACAGTCTGAGTGCCAGTGTGGCTTGCAGCAAGTTCTGCCATGCGGCCGAGGAGGTATGGGATATTCTGTGAGCGGATCGGGTCGGAGGGGGAAGTTTCCACACATCGCCTTTGCCATCTCTGAGGGCGCTGCGAAAGTTCTCCCCTTCGCCTGCCGTTCACCTTTCCGGGCATTCCTCGTTTCCGTATGCCACACGACGCCACGAATTTCATTGCGACGGTTTTTTTAGGCCTACGGGCGGGTTCGGGGTTCGAGGGAGTGTGAGCCATGGGATGCAATTTCGGGGCATATCGACCATCACAAAAGGAAGAATTGGCCACGACGTTTCTGTTGTTTGGCTCGTTCTTTTTTTTCTTATGGCTGCCTGCCATCCCGATGTTTTTTTTTTTTTGCGTCCCCGACCTCGTTTTTATCTACTCTTCTCATTTGTGTTTTTTTCTTTCTTTCTGTTGGAGATCCATTCCCCTGTTGAGACTCCTGCGACAGGATCGGCCAGTTATCATTCGATTTTTGTTTCTCCCTCGCTCCTTTTTCTTCTTTCTTCTCTTTGACGGGGAGACAAGTCGAGGACGGTCGGGGGAGTTAGTTTTCTGGGCCCGTTGGAATGTGTGAACTCGGAGGGATTTGGCTGCGTCACCCCATCTCTGGGCTGATCTGCTTTTGCTTATCCGCCCTCCCTGTTTCATAAAGAACAAGAGACACTCGGACTGGATGGCATTTGGTTCCTTTTCGCCAGTCCAGTCCTGATCCAGAGCCTCTTCCGCAGCCTTCTTCCTTGCGATGGTGGCGATGAGACCAGAAAAGTGAACAGCAAATAGATTCAGGAGCCATGATGGCTTGCCTGAGAGACCAGGCACATATCGTGTTGAAATACAGTACCTTTTTGAATCTTCCTTTTCTATCTGTAGTATTCTGTTGGTAGTCATTTGTCGTGTCTTTCAACGACTCCTCTCGGAGTCTCCTCGCGGTCTCCTGGGTTGAACGGAAAATCCAGGTCATCCGAGAATACGTTGTCCACGGCATCGCAATCTCATCCCCGCGAACCAAGTTCAAGCGTGCAGTCTCCAGTTGAAAGACGGCGTGGCAGACGAGGCGCCCGCCTCACTTTGAATCCTGCACCTTTTTTCCGTCGCTGCCGGCCAAACGCGAATTGGGACCATGCATGGCCCGGACGAATCACCCTGCATGTTGCCCAGGAATGCTGAGTCGAGCACACCGCGAACTATACCGGATCCTCGACTCCCCCGCCTTCGAAGACTTCAATCGCTTCAACGACTGCGATGACTCAAAGCCAGAGAGTCTCAGGACTCGGTCAACAAGACGAATTCCCCAACCTCCCTCTTTACCCGTTCGCCATCCGGCCTCACGGGGGACAGTAGCGGTCAAGCACCTCTGCCCAAAGGAGGTCCCGCCAGACCCTCCGTGTCAATGGTCCATGCAAAGCTCCACCAGCCTGGTTGGCGCGTCATCATTTGTCGAGCGGAGAACCACTTCCACTCACGTCTCCATCCCACGAGCTCTTCCGCTCCACCCAGTCCCCGCGCTGACCTGGCCACCCTGAGACCCAAGCGGGCGACCCGCCCGGAAAATCGACGCTGGGTCCGGCTTGTGTCTCGTGTCCTGACAATGACTGCAATTCCCGAGGTGCAGGAGGGCCGTCGAAAGGGGTTATTCTTAGTTCAGGAACATGATTTGGCCGCCGTTTCCTTTTTTGAGAGAGGCATTGCATTGCCCGCCGAAGGAAGGAGTTTGTCATTCAAGCTGCGAATAACCTCGACTACCATACCATACATGAGCTAGAGGCCCCCCAGGGCATGCAGCATAAGCCGAGTCTGCCGCCGTCACATCTCGCCTCACGGCTCACCTGGCGCGTCAGTCGCCAGTCCAATTCGCCTCCCGGGACGAGATCCAGGCCAAGTCGTTTCATCTCCGTTTCCGAACGCGCAGATCGCTCAATCGGGCAGAACTCTGATCACTGGGTCCCGGTCTGGGAGCGTCGGGGCAGTTGGCCGTACGTAGGGGCCGGTCCACATAGGCTCTTCTCTCTCCTTAGCCGTGCAGGTCCTAGGGTTCCACTGACACTGGGTCAGGTCCCAGCGTCTTGAGTCGTTCCAGCACTGAGCAAGAGAGAGGGGGAGATGGGGCCGCTGGTTAGGCTGGAGTGGCTTACCTTTCTCGGACGACTGCGGTGGGCACCGCAAGGTTGTCTTTGGGCAGGAGAACAGGTGACGGAGATGCGTGGCCAGGAATTGGCTCGCATGGAGCTATTGGCTGCTCTTTTTCAACGGCAACGCGACTGGCTGGCAGTCCGGCCGGCTGCTATCTCCCTAGAGGGGGGCAGAAAGAGAGAGACTGGTGGTGTGTGTCATCGTGCTTTTGTATAGACCCTGAGGCCGCCTCACCGTATATATTCACTCGTCCGATTGCTGGTCTCTTGTCTTTTCTACTCCTCACACAATCTATCTGTCTTGAAGCTTTACTGCCTTCCGGACAACTATTCTCTTCCTTCCTGCTCTTGCTGCGTGCTGCTGTTCTCTCCAGCGCACCGTTGTCTTTCCTGTTCGCCCCACGACATGCCCGTCTCGCATTTGACCTTGACTGTCTCGCATTTGCCCACCTCTACTTCCTTCTTCCTGTCTTGCCTGCAGCCTCTGGGATATCAGTTTATTGGACGTCAGGATGGCTATATTGGATTCGGTCAGAAACAGGGGGAGCCTGCGGACTTCTGGATCACCGAGCAAAAGCCGGGGTATGTGATCAATGATATCGAATGCCGGATTCGATAGATCTCTCTTCCAAGCAAAGAAAGATTGGCTAACAGTTACAGAATTCTACCCAGCGCCGTGCATGTAGCATTTCCTGCGCCGTCGAAAGATGCTGTCACCGCATTCTTTCATCAGGCCATGCAGGCCGGCGGCAAATTCCATGGCGAGCCCAAGACGCGGGACTCCTTCGGTTATCACAGTGCAGCTGTGCTCGACTTCGATGGGAATAGTATCGAAGCCGTGTATCGACCCGGAGGCACCGTTGTTGCATCAGAGGCCGGGAGTCCGACAATAGCTCTGCTAGAGAACGGATCTGTGGCCTCGAAAAGCAGCAGGGCCAGCACGATCAAGGCACCGAGCACCATCGCTCCACCGCGGTCAGAAGCCAAATCGCGGGCTCTCTCCAAGGCGCCCACGACCATTGAGCGGGCTGCACCAACGGTCGTCTCTCAACAGTCGAAAGCCTCTCCACTCGCCTATGGACCACCTCCAGCCCAACAGTCCGATGATGGAAGCAAAGCAGCCAAAACAATCGTGGGCACGCTCATTGGCGCCGCCGCAGGAGCGGCCATTGCATACGCTATGGTGAAGGGCGACTCACAGTCCTCCTCCGAAACCAAAGAGGCGCCAGCGCAATACATCCCCGAGTGGCCGCAGCTTATGCCCGCATTCTCACAAACTTCCCACTCTGAGAGCCAGGCGCAACCGTACCAGCAGATGCGCGCTATTGAAGCCCCTCCCACTCGCAGCGTCTACACGACAGCCTCGGCCCCCCGTTCCTCGCTCACCCGGAGCATCGCCTCCAAGAACCCGCGCGCCAGCACCCTTTACGAGGCTACCGAGTTCTTCGACGACCACGGCCGCCGTGCCTCGGATGGCAGCATCTTCTCAGTGCCCGAGGACATGCACCTCCGCGCAATCGAGTACCCGCCCTCCAGCGCCAGCTCGGCCCGTCACCGCGGCGCCAGCACCCTCATCAGCAGCTACGCCGCCGACAAGCCACGCGCTCTGCCCAGCCCGGGCAGCACCCACTCCGCGTCCACTGTCAAAGCCTCCAGCACACAGCGTCGTCATAGCCACGATGACCGTGCTTCCTACACCTCCCATCACAGCCACCACTCTAGTTACCGCGCCATGTCCTCCCACAGCGTGCGCTCCTCTTCTTCCAAACCTCCCTCTAAGGCCCCCTCCAAGGCCGCCTCCACTGCCTCTTCCACCCGCACCGCCCGCAACATCCCCCTCCCCACAGACTCCGTCGCCAGCGCTACCCGCTCGTATGTGTCCGCCCGCGACGTGCCCCTGCCCGGTAGCATCGCCGACCTCGACGTCGACTCGCACGTCACGCCTGACGACTCCATCAGCCAAGTGGGCGGCAGTCGGTCTGGCCGGTCGTCGCACTCGCGGCATGGCGGCAGCCGCCACTCGTCCAGGTCGAAGTTTGACGACCCCGTGCGTCCGGCAGACAGCGTCAGCCAGGTGTCGCGGGCGTCACAGCGGACGATCAAGGCCGGGTCAGGCAGCCACGCTGGGTCGAAGGTTGGAAGTCGCCGAGGGAGCCAGGTTGTCTTTTGAGCTGAGATGGGTGCCGACTTCCATGAGACTATTCTTTTTTCTCGAAGCTGGAGCTGATTTTGGCGGTTGTCATGGCTATCCATACTTTGGCAGCTTTCTTCTCGGTCCCTGATCTTTATCTTTTTGGGGCCGGGACATTATTCCTACGACAGATGAGATGTTTTTTTCTTCATTCCTTGCTTTTTTGCTATTTTTTGCATGGGTTGTGCCGTTTAATATTTGCATAGTTATGGTATTGGCATATATAGATAAGACAGATATTTTCTTTTTGTTAGTTGCATCGATGAGAATGTTCTTTTTTTTTTTTGAAATAAAACAATGGTTTCCTCTTATAATACCGAGGCTATATAGTATATCTGTGAAGGTCATAGGCCTCCGATGGTTTGAAGGAGAAATCTCTCTATGCTGTGGCAAGAGCTGTTATGGTTGGGAGTATTTGATATCTGATGTTTCCCGAAACAGAACTTGAACGGGGTTGAATTCCAGGTACACGGCTTTTAATTGGTTCGTTTCCAGCCCAGCTCCATAACAATACTCATGGAAGCCAATCAGAGGGCGCCTTTCTGATTCGCTTTTATTGACAAGATGAAACGCCCCGGGGGTGAGGAGGACGTTTTATTGTGACCTACCTCTTGTTTCCGAAGGAAATGGAAATGAACGATTTGCTCAATACACTCTGGTATTGCTTTATGCAATCTTGATTAATTACTTGGGATCTGGAAGTTTTCCACTTTTTGCTGGTTGGTTTAATCTGACGCCATCTGTATATACATTGATCTAGGCTTCGCGGGCTACAGCCAACCTTCCCCCATTGAATGCGACATATTCTCGATACCGTCTTCAGGCACATCATATGGATGACGATGACAATTGATGAACAAGGTTTCCATGAGCACCTCCACTGCAGCGAGGTACAAAGCTTGGCAGGGATGGACAAGGGATGAGCTCCACGAGCTCCCGCCGCATACCTTGCAGCATGACTCGCGGGCCTTTCCAATCCAAGCCACCAGCACAGCCGGACAATTAATTTGATCAAGAGGTCCAGCGCACAGGTGTAACTGGGAAAGACGGATCCCTCGCAGCAGCAACGATCATCGGTCGTCGGCCGTCCCCCGGCATGCGTGTGCCTCGCCCGCCAACCTCGCCCTTTCTGCGGCAGTGGAGTGTCAGTAGAAGCATTGGAACATGTAACTGGGAGGATTTGGGTGTGGGCACTTGTAATGCAGGGGCCGGGCCCTTTCTGATGATCACTATGATCACGATCCAATAAGAGCACACCCACATTGCGCTTGCAAAACAGGGACAAGCAAACACGCCCCTCCGGCGGCACCGCGGATGCGCGAGGCAGCACGTGCATTCGCGAACGCGATATAAAGATGGGACATGCCTGACGCGCCTAGTCTTGCGTCCATATCTTCTTCAACGAGCGCTCAGGGTACAAGAGCAGCGCAAGGACGACATTGGACGAGTGCATATTCGACTCCCCAATACCCAGCTATTGCAAGGAAGGATGCTGGCGTCTACGATCGCGCTGGCCCTGGCGGCATGCGTGGAACAGGCTCTGGCCATGCAGCCAGTGCCTGAGAAACCGGTTTGTTTTTGGGTGTCGTTGTTCTGCGGAGGCCATTTAACTAATTATATGGGGTTCGTACAGACGACCTTCGGCCCACAGGTGGAAGAATGGTTCTCGGAGCCATTTTACCCGTCACCGTGGATGAATCCGCGCGCGAAGGGCTGGGAAGAAGCTTATCAGAAGGCCCACGACTTTGTATCGCAGTTGAACTTGCTGGAAAAGGTCAACCTGACCACTGGTGTAGGGTAGGTTTCCCAACAGGCTGGCGTGACAGTTCGAGGAGTGGTGATTAACTGGTGACCAAGGTGGATGAACGGTCCTTGTGTTGGAAACACCGGCTCAATTCCTCGTCTGGGATTCAAGGGGTTCTGCACTCAGGACTCGCCGCAGGGCGTTCGCTTTGCCGACTATGCGTCGGCGTTTACATCGAGCCAGATGGCCGCTGCCACATTCGATCGCTCAATCCTCTACCAGCGCGGCCAGGCTATGGCCCGTGAACACAAGGGCAAGGGAGTTACAGTGCAACTTGGTCCAGTCTCTGGTCCCCTGGGTCGAACTCCAGAGGGCGGGCGCAATTGGGAGGGTTTCTCGCCAGATCCCGTGTTGAGCGGCATTGCTATGGCCGAGACGATTAAAGGGATTCAGGATACCGGTGTGATTGCATCAGCCAAACATTATATCGGCAATGAGCAGGAGCATTTCCGACAGGTGGGCGAGTCAGCAGGACACGGGTACATCATCTCAGATGCGCTGTCATCCAACATTGACGACCGGACCTTCCACGAGCTGTACCTGTGGCCCTTTGCAGACGCGGTACGCGCGGGCGTGGGCTCTGTTCTTTGCTCCTACACTCAAATCAACAACTCATATGGGTGCCAGAACAGCCAGACGCTGAACAAGCACCTCAAAAGCGAGCTGGGATTCCAGGGATTCGTGGTGAGCGACTGGCAAGCCCATCACTCGGGCGTCTCCTCTGCACTGGCCGGTCTGGATATGTCTATGCCAGGCGATACAGTCTTCGATACTGGGCTGAGTTTCTGGGGCTCAAATCTCACGATCGCCGTTTTGAACGGCACGGTCCCAGAGTGGCGTCTCGATGATATGGCAATGCGGATCATGGCCGCGTACTTCAAGGTCGGCAATACGATCGAGAATCAGCCAGATGTGAATTTCAACTCATGGACATATGACACCAACGGTTTCAAATATGTTTATAGTAAAGAGGAGTACGGACAAGTGAACTGGCATGTCAATGTCCAGGGCAACCACTCGAAGCACATCCGCGAGACTGCTGCGAAGGGCACAGTGCTGCTCAAGAATAACTTCAATGCCCTGCCACTCAAGGATCCCAAGTTTGTGGCGGTGGTTGGTGAAGATGCTGGCCCTAACCGCAAGGGTCCCAACGGTTGCGGTGATCGAGGATGCGATGAAGGTACGCTGGCGATGGGATGGGGATCTGGTTCCACCCAATTCCCCTATCTTGTCACCCCAGATTCTGCCATCCAGTCTCGTGTTTTGGAGTACGGTGGTCGTTATGAAAGTGTTCTGGACAACTGGGACTCGGACGCTATCTCGGCGCTGGTCTCACAGCCCGATGCTACCTGCCTTGTCTTTGGCAACGCAGACTCGGGCGAGGCATTCATCACGGTTGACGATAACTGGGGCGACCGGAATAACATCACTCTGTGGCAGAACGCCGACGAGGTCATCAGAAGTGTCAGTTCTATCTGCAGCAATACCATCGTCGTCTTGCACACAGTTGGTCCAGTTCTGCTGGATGAGATGTACGAGCACCCGAACATCACGGCCATTGTCTGGGCCGGAATGCCAGGTCAGGAATCTGGCAATGCACTCGTGGATATTCTCTGGGGTGAGGTCAATCCTGCCGGTCGATCACCGTTTACCTGGGCCAAGGAGAGGAATGACTACGGGACGGACATCCTCTCCGAGCTCAACAACGGCCACCGAGCACCGCAGCAGGAATTTACCGAAGGCGTGTACGTCGACTACCGACACTTCGACAAAGCTGAGATCACGCCCATCTACGAGTTTGGATATGGCTTGTCCTATACTACCTTTTCGTACTCCGATCTGCGAGTTGTGAAGAAGCATGTTCACTCCTACCAGCCCACCGTCGGCACAACAACTCGCGCACTTTCCTTCAAGCCTCCAAGCAAAGATCTCTCCACATACCAGTTTCCCAGCGCCTGGAAGTACATTCGCACCTTCATTTACCCGTACCTGAACGACACAACTTCCCTCCGCGTCGCCTCCAAGGACCCCGAATACGGCCGGGTTGATTTCATTCCGCCGCATGCTCTGGACAGCGCACCGCAACCGCTCAATCTGGCGGGAGACCGCACCGCCATGGGCGGCAATGAAATGCTCTACGACGTGCTGTACGAGATCACCGCGAAGATTACCAACACGGGCGACGTAGCAGGTGATGAGGTGCCCCAGCTGTACGTCGATCTCGGAGGTGACAATCCGCCACGCCAGCTGCGAGACTTCGCTCGGCTCACGCTGAAGCCGGGACAGAGCGCGATTTTCAAAGGCACCCTGACGCGTCGCGACTTGAGCAACTGGGATACGACAGTGCAAAACTGGGTTGTCTCGGATTCAGAGAAGAAGGTTTACGTGGGTAGTTCGAGCCGAAGGTTACCTCTCACCGCTACGCTGGAGTAAGCGTGTTGTTGTGAAGGGACTCAGTCCGTGGTCATGATTGATAGTAGTTCCCCCCCCCCTTTCCCTCCCTCTTTGTATACTGAATTTGGTGGCATGCATGCCCGAATTTTGAGACTCCAAGGCAATCATGTTTAATAGCCCGTATCTTCCTGTTTGCTCCCGACTAATGCACGGTATCGCCCGAGTCGCTGAGATGTTCGTGTAGACGTGTAGACTGCAAAGCTTCAACAGCATCAAAAATGAGACAAGCAGCGGTCATTCCTCCGGTTCTCTTTCATGCGGTCAGTGCATTTGTTTTTTTTTTTTTGGCGTCCATATCCTGACTTCTCCTGCCACAAGACAGATGATCAATGAGAGCTGTGCTCGAATTTCAAAGCGAACTGCCCCCGCATTTCGAAGAGAACTGTCCTCGCATTTCAAAGCTGAGATTGCGATAGAGTTTCTTTTTTCTTCATCAAAATTGCTCACCCAGACTCGCTTCAAGTCCAACCGGAGCCACATCCTGTTGCGCTCTCTGCAGACCCTTGTCCATCGGTTGCCTCCCAAGTCCCTGGCGCTGGCGTTCGGGGGAAACCACCAAGCTCTGAACACGCAACCAGTCCTCATAGCCCGCCTGCATCTCCAGCTGGATTTCCAATCCGCCTAGACGCGATCCGTTCTCTGTCTTCGCCAAGCCGACGGATGGCAACAGGATCAAGGGCTCAGTCCGGGGAAAGGAAAGTTGACATCCGACGTATATATGCGGAACCGTACTTGCAGTATGCGCCGCCAAGAGTTCTGCTCTGCAGCTAATCGTCACGACCGTCTCGTCAGCCCCAAAGCAAACAAATTGGCCATCACACATTGGCTCGCGGGGCCTTCCCAGGCGATAACGGCAGACAAACACGTTCAAGTTCGAGTCAAAGTCCTTGCAAGCGGCTATCTGCGCTGTCCAATGGCCGTCAGCATCTTGTGCGGAGCGAATTAAAAATCGTGTCAACATCTTGTTGCATCGATGAGCATTGGTAAAGCCCGTGAATGAAGCCATATAATGTCCTTGTGTATAGGAATCTATGTAGCCATGAATGATCTCTCAAGGTGGTCTCGATCATTGTCTCTAGCAAAGGACGACGGTCCGAACCTATTTTTGAGTCGCATATTGAAGACACGAAGTCCAGGCCAGCCCCTTGATGCGAAGTAACCCTTTCAATGCACAGTGATGGAAAAAGGACCGATCCGGTCAAACAGAACGTCCCGTGTCATGACTCGGGGCCTGTCAAGCAAACAAACGAGCGCGTCCAGCGGCAATCTGGTTGGTGGTATGGAGTATGGATTTGAACGGTTAATGACATATGCATGCGCGACTACTTTGGGATTAGCCCAGGATTGAGTGTCGCAATCTCCCGCAATCAATTTTCTATGATAATTTCCTTTTTGCTTTTTCTCCAAAGTCGACCGACCTGCAAAGAGAAAGGCCGATCCTCACCACGGTCCAATCGCAGCCGAGTATCTCTTTGTCCTCGGTCAGCCACTGTTTACTCCCGGACGAGGCTCGCAATCAACTCTCGGAGACAGAGACAAACCACTCTACATATCCACGGAGGCAACACGAGCAGGACAAACACCGCCATTTTGGAGTGCTGATGTTTGTCTCGTATACGTAGAACTGGCAGGGATGCTAAGCATGAGTTGGCCTGAGAATATCTAAGATAGGCCGGCCTCCTGCATATGCCACTCTATAGTTTTGCGCAGCCCGGTCTCCAAATCGACAATCGGCATCCATCCGAGCTGGGCCTTGGCCAGTTCAATTCGAGGACATCGGACTAGAGGATCATCTGCAGGGCTAGGATGAAATGTGATAGCCACCTCCGGTTTGTGTGTCATCTGCGCAACAAGTTTGACGACAGTTTCGGCCAATGTCTGAATGCTGCTCTCCGTATCATTTCCAATATTGACCGGACCCGCATTATACGTGCTGTTCATCAACAGATGCAGTCCGTTGACACAATCAGATACGAACTGGAACGACCTTGTCGTGGATCCATCGCCCGTGACCCGGATACTTTGACCAGTGAGCGCGGACGAAACAAAATTCGACACAACGCGGCCATCGCCTGCACCCATCCGGGGTCCATATGTGTTGAATATCCGGGCGATGCGGACTTCGACGTCGAACTGTTCGCGGAATGCATAGCAGAGAGATTCCGCCACCCGTTTGCCCTCGTCGTAGCATGACCGGGGCCCGTGGGGATTCACGTTACCCCAATAGGTCTCGGCTTGCGGATGCACCAAGGGATCCCCGTAAACCTCTAGAGAAATTGACGCATAGTCAGTGGCTCGATTCTCTCCTCTCGAAGGAGAATGTCCCTTCCCGCAAGATTGTTTGCTACCACGAACCTGATGTACTCGTATGCAAGATTCTAATGCGTTTGCATTTGGCCAGCTGCAAGAGGTTCTCCGTGCCGAGGAAACAAGTTTTGAGGGTCCCGAGATGATCCTTCTGATACTGGATCGGGCTGGCCGGACAGGCGAGGTTGTAAATCTGATCGACCTCTTCCACGTCTTTAGAATGCAGTGGATTCTGAATATTATGGCTGGATCAACAACAAGGTTTAGTGTACTGCGACTCTCTCCCTTCCAATTCGAGTAATACCGACTTGATCAACGTGAACCGGGGATTATTCCTCAGGTGTTCGAGATTTCTAGGAGAGCCGGTCTCGAAGCTGTCAACTCCAATAACGCGATGTCCCTTCTCTAGGAGGAAATCGATCAAATGGGATCCCAGAAACCCAGCACCCTAGAAGCCACTGTTAGCGCCAAGTTCATGCAGCCGACCGAATCGAAGCCATGGTCTACCCCTGTGACGAGGACACATTTCGAGCTATATGTGCCGTTCATCTTGCAGAATCGAATCTCACTCTCTCGAACGCGGCTTTGTGAGATTCATGATCTTACCACCCTTTCTTTTCAACCCGGGAAAAGGACAGCCCGCTAAACCAGTCATGTAAGGGGGTGCATCCCTGTTTTCCTTCGTTGGCTACATGGAGAATGTGCCATGGGGGAGGGGAGGAGGAAGCAAACGAGCTCGTGTGATTGTCAAGCTTTCCGGAGAAGTGATAGATCTCATGCAGGTCCGTTTGCTTTTCATCGGCTTGTAAGGCACGGAAGCCATGCCGCCTCCTTCCCCCCACTCGAATCCAGTCTTGCAGGTAATCACATCATGCATCGCATGGAGATCTTATAGTACTGAGGGTCGATATTTGTCTCATGCATATGCAAGAGGGCTAATGCAGTTTATTCTGTCAGCCATTGAGGGGCAGCTCGTGCGCTGGTCAGACTAACATCTGGATCGACGATAAACCTCCGGCACGGACCGCCGACGATTAGTTTAAATGATCCACAGGAGACCACTTGACTCCACCTTTCTTGTCTCCATAACTTTTCGATAGCTTCTTTTTATTACTACCGCAGAACAATCTTGCCCCAGTCAGGCCAGAAATCCAACATTGATCATAAAAATGGTTGTCATCAAATTGCCACCTCTCAAATCTATTAGCCATATTAACGAGGAACTGAGGAAGGCCGCAGCATCCCGTCGGCGAAACAGTGCGCTCTCTTCCTTTCCATTATCACAAGGTGGCGTGAAGTATACTGACCTTCTTTGATTTAAAGATCAGCAGTTGACAACAGGTCGCTCTGGCTACAATGCAAGAAATACCGCCGCTGAAACCCAAAGAAACAGTGCGCTCTCTTCCTTTCCATTATCGCAAAGACGCGTGAGCTATACTAACCTTCTTTGATTTAAAGATCAGCAGTTGACAACAGGTCGCTCTGGCTACAATGCAAGAAATACCGCCGCTGAAACCCAAAGAAACAGTGCGCTCTCTTCCTTTCCATTATCGCAAAGACGCGTGAGCTATACTAACCTTCTTTGATTTAAAGATCAGCAGTTGACAACAGGTCGCTCTGGCTACAATGCAAGAAATGCCGCCGCTGAAACCCAAAGAAACAGTGCGCTCTCTTCCTTTCCATTATCGCAAAGACGCGTGAGCTATACTGACCTTCTTTGATTTAAAGATCAGCAGTTGACAACAGGTCGCTCTGGCTACAATGCAAGAAATGCCGCTGCTGAAAACCAAATTTCGCTTCTTGAAATGGAACCTGAAGAGCACGAGTATACCGTCCACGGCGACATCGAACGAACGGTGAAAATTCGGCTCTATTGGGTCAGCGAAGCGGCCAATGGGCACAAGTGGCCGATCAAGCTTTTCGCTGAATGCACTTGCGAAGGCTTTGCTGTTGCCAACGCTGTGGCGCGGTTAATTGCTCGAGAGGGCATGCGCTCGGAATTCTTGGACATCATGAACCAACTCATCAGGGAGATGCGCGATATTGGCATCCAGCTCTTTGATCGATATGTAGTAGTCCTGGAAAAGTATAAGCACCATCAACACCAAAAAGGAAAGGGGGTCTGGAGAAAGAATCTCGATCATGGCCCTATTTTCTTCTTCGAAACAATTCATATTTCAGCACCAGCACTGCGTCGCCGAGGACTGGGGCAGAAATTAGTATCGTTACTGTTGAACAAAGCCCAAAAGTACATTCTCAGCGCGAAAGGAGATGGTCAATATGCCGACCTTCTATACGGTTCCCATGAGGCCTTTGAGCGAATTTGGACTCTACATGCTTTCATCAAACCCGAAATAAAAAGAGCAGGTGCCAAGTCCTACATATTGAAAAGGAACTCAGAAGAACGCCTGATGATTATGAATCAAATCCAACTCTGTGCTATCACCTTTTGGCGATCGTGTGGTTTTCGCCGAATCGGAGCGTCTCCCTATTTCGCATACTCGTTCGATCTCCAACGTCCGTCTCACAGCCTTGAGACGAATTCCGATTTTGACCTACAAGGGAGCCACTCCGAGGATTCTGAGAACGAAATACTCACAAATTTCTGTCAGAGGTATTGCTTTTTCAATCTGCCGTATCTGAAATTGGAGAGAATTCGTCACGACAAACCGCTACATCATGCGGCTATCGTTCTATCAGACGAAAGGCTCAAAGCTTTTCTCATCTCTAGTATTACCCACAATCATAACTGGCACGATGTGACATTGTTTCAATCCACGCTTCTGCATCTAACAGCTCGTGCATTTAAGCCCCAAAGCACTCGCTGGCTAGTTGAAAATATCCCCTTCTCCCAATGCTGGCTGGCGTACCGTGATTTTGAGGGGCATACCCCTATCGAAGCATTGCAGGATAGATTGGAGTCCCTACGAACACGAAGAGAATATGGCGCTCTCCAATTTGTGGATGTAGCGGATTCTTTTCGAGGACACCCCGAGGAGGCAGTGGCCTGTCTCGCCTTGCTGTTTGAAAAGACTTTCGTACGAATTGACACTGAATGCATCCGATATGGATGTACATGCAGAGAGTGCTTGGCAGGATTTCTCTCCCCCCGAATGAAGAGAGCCTTGATCTTTCAAGCCAATGCGATGTACGACTTCATGAATCAACAAATGACCGACGGCAAACATTGGGCTGAGTTCAACGATTTTAATCTCGAACAACTTGATCCCCGTCTGCGATCGCACCTCGAATTCAGCATTTCAATTCGACAGGGTTTTATCAGTATCTTCCAAATTGTCATCGAGTGTCTTAGGGCGAATGTAGTACCCACCGCGGGGGCAATCTCGCAGTACTGTGACAATCACAGTCAGCAGCACCAATATGCCAAGAGTTACCTCGAATGCGCTGGGGCGCAGGTGGGCTGTTACGGAGTGCTTCGGCAAATTTTCAACGCCGCTATAGAGGAGGATCAGAGAGCAGGTTCTGGAGTGTGTCGACGCAAATCGAAGAGGACATGGACCGACCCACCAAATTGCAGAAACGATTATGAGTATGAATTTGTCGCCGAGCGTTGTGGTTATGCTCGGAAGTGGAGGAATTAAATACCATCCTGGTAGGTCGAGCCATGTTTCTTATGTGGGAAAACTTTCGTTTGTGAAGCCAACTGTATTCTGTCATTTGAATGTTGGATGCTCAGTTTTTTCATAATTTCGTCTGCGAAACCAGCTGTATTCCGTCATTTGAATGTTGGATGCTCAGTCTTTTGATGCTTTCGCCTGCGAAACCAAATTGTATTTAGTCATTTGAATATTGAGTTCTCAGTCTTTTCATACTTACCGTCGTGTAATTCTCGAATATTGCGATCAGATGTGTGCCATGTTCGATTACTTTCGAGCGAATTTCATATTACAACATGGCATACTGCTAGACATCGGTGTAGTCCGTCAACGAGGCTCCTTTTTTCCGAACTCGTTTGCAAGCTTCTGTGTCGGCTTTGCAGCTAGCTCCAATTATTTGTAGCTGCGTTGGGCTTCCTTGGCCTCGGAAAGCGCGTTTGTAATCGCTATGATGTTCTTGATCTGATTGATGATGGTCAGTAAGTGACACGAGCCCAATAAGACCACACCCACACCCAACTCTCGTCCATGAGTCGTAGAGTCTCCGGTCCCACCAACGTTATTTCAGTGCGTCCGGAATTCGTCCTCTCAAGTTTATCAAGATTCCAGGTATAACGGAATGGTGATCTCTGTAGTCATTTAATCAGATTGAATATACTCCTACGGCCCTTGATATTCTGGGGTAATGGTAGAAGTTGCCCTAGCAGTGAAGGTTGTCCCCTGTGGGGACGACTCAATATTAAATCAATGAAGTCAATATTATGTATCACAAGACCTTGGTCAGCTGTGAAAGATCTCAATTTCAATCTTCTTGACTGGCTAAGAACACAAGCAGCCCTATTCCTGTACTAACAGGGCATTTCCGACTGTCATTCATGCCAAAGATTCTAGCCCAGCGCAAACTACGAAGACCTGACGCGCTAAACATCAATAAACACGTTGAGGTAATAGGTTTGGATCTGCCTATCTTCTGGTGGAAAAGAATCCTTGAATACAATGACATTGCTGGCATCTATTACATCACGGACAATATGCGAAACCCGGCTTCCATGCTGGGAATCCGTTGTGTATATATCATTGACCCTAATACTGACAAAAAGAAGAGATATACAGGTGTTCTTCAAATACGTACTTAAAAATATCCGGTCAAGTGTATCGGTTCCTGATCCGCCCAATTGCATATCGCAACAAGTATATACTCTAACTAGGGTTGAATTCCTATTAGCAAAATCTGAGCTGCATGTGCCAGATCTCTGAGATCTAGTTATTGTCAACACATTTTGCCTTGTTGCAATGCTGATCCCTGGCACAAGTATGGACTATCTGCCAGCGCCTGCCTCGATTCGGTCCGACATAATTGCATTGAAGCTACACTACACCATGAGTGAGGGTAATCAAATAGACTAAGGCATACCTACAACATTATTGCCGATAACATCGTAGACACGATTGACTTGACCGTTACATTTATGGCCGATAACATGACTGGCTATCGCCACGTTCGTAAATGCCAGCATAACAAGGGTGCTTAGATATGTGAGCTTCATGACCCTGGAATTTGAGGGTGCAGAGAGTGAAGTGATTGGGAATGAAAACCTCATGGTCTAGTCATGGATTCTAGCGCGCTTTTAAACAATTGTACTTCTTTATATAGAGCGCGCAGTCTATGATGAACTTACTCTGTAGCTGCGGCTGAGTTGACTAGGCCACCCAGATAAGCCGATAAGCGCGTCTATCTGGTTCGAAGCGCCGATCATTGATGCTACACCAGCAGTACATCAGGATAGCATGCTCAATCCCAGATGTTTTGCGCAAGCTAGTGCTGAATGTTCCACATAACGGTCCCTGCCCTTCAACCATGTTCTTTCTATCTTTTACTTTTGCAGGAATTTAGTGAGGGGCAACTCAGCTCTGCCACAGTGGTTTACATGATAAAGAAGGTATTTTTATACATTTCCTCATCCGCAAATGCATTATACTAGTAGAGTTGACTAATCTATGGTAATCATGATTCAAAAATTTACAGTGGTGTATTGCCAAAAGTTCATCAATCACACCATCCCCGTCGTCATTCTTCGGATCATCGGATCTTCGTGAGCGCTCTCCTCTGGCATCTCCTCGGCCTCCATCTTCTTTGTTTCATTTAGCTCCTCGTATTCATTGCTCGGTTCAACAACATTTGAGCCAGCATGCGGAAGGCCAATCTAATCGTGATCCAAATTCATCGCCCGTATTAATATCGTCTGCCAAATTCATCTGATAGACACGGTCTAAGAATCTTTCCTGTCCGGCGATCTTACACATTTGAGATTAAATCTGAGTGTAGTAGTGGCTTTGACTCTGAGCTTCATCTTCGGTCAATATCTGATTCTCTAGGAACCATCATGCAAGCACTAAAATCCCCTCCCATGTCAATTCTCCGGTGGGCTTGCTGAATGTCCTGTGGTTCCTAGTAGGGACAATCACAGATTCCACGGGTGTCTCTGCAGCATGGGTGATATTTCCATGCTGGAAGGTACTTAAGTCACCCTCATAATGAACAGGTGATACATTTTCGTCCACAGCGAGTGTTTCACCCACACGAAGGCACATATGCTCAAATCATGCGTCTTGGAAAATCCCCCAACACCCACTTCTTGATAATAATCTGATGTTTAATTCTCCGGGTATTTGGATATGACGGCCAATAATATCAAGTTCTGGTCAGCCTCGCGAGAGTAAAATGCGGGGAACTTGAATCGATTGGAAGCATATCTCATTCACCCCCGCTCCCGACGTAGGGTTGAGAGAGAGTAATGGCCATTGTCTCAGGAAGATGTTGCCGGGTACCCTTTTTTTTTTTTTTTTTTTTTTTTTTTCAGAAAAATGAGTCATTATAGGTGCTACCATGTCAATTCCTCTGCGTAAAGAGGACTTGGATAACACTGATAATGATATCAGTAGGTCGATCAGGGTGCGTCCGAGCCACCAGCCTCACATCAACTGCAATAATGTCTCGCGCTTTGACAGAGTCCAACTCGCCGGAGGGAATGCGGTCAATCAGGACGCCATCTTGAGTTTCATAAACCCTCTTGTCCCAGGCCGCCTATTCATCGGTTGAGAGGAAAAGCCGTTGCTTCAATACCGCTGCGTCGGTTGAGGCTTTCTATTCTTGCATCTGATATTCAATCTCGAAAGACGGGACTTGAGAGAAAGCGAGGGTGATGGACCATATGGAGTTGATGGTTGAATACATACGCTTCTGGAAATATTGAGGAGGGGAGATAAGAAGTTATGTTGTTCATGCCAGTGAGGTGCAGGTTGACTGTCTTTTGTTTTGGGGCAGGTCGTCTCTATCTCTGTCGAAATGGCACCACTCAACAGGTCTTTTGGAGCAAATATCCACCAGCTTCTCGACGGACATCGACAATGATTCTCTCACCGTCGCCGGGAGTTCCTGTGTCGTGCCTGATATGGGTGATGGGTGTGGAGTATACGGCGACAGCGACGCCCGGGGGCATGTGCCTTGGCTAGATGAAAGGGACGAGTTTGTCTGGTTTTTGGGGTGAGGCCATAAGTTCTTTCGATGGCAAACTTGAATGGAATCCACTGCGTCTCGTATATACGAAGCTTCGGTTACACCACTGTCTTCGAGAATCACGCCGACCCGACGATCCCGATCTATATCGCTTGGTAGGACAAGTACCCGCACGGGGGTTTCACACTCCCGTCCAAATGATAGCATCCCGACACAACTACGAAACCCCCCACCAAAAAAGACATACAAAAGGTAGAAGGATCAAGTGCAACACAGAGACGGGCCTGCCTGGATTGTGCTATGGACGACAAGAAAGAAAATCGTAAAAACCTCCACTCTGCCCGCCTGCAAACAAAACCCCCCTCGCTTCCTCTCATCCCCGTCGCCGCCCTGCAGCATCTTCTCGCTCGTTCACTCACAATTCAATTCCAATCCACCCTTATGCCGGAAGCGTCGAGAGAAGCAAGAATGGAAAAAAAAAAACAAAAACAAAAAGAGAGAGAGAGAGAGAATGGCTCTCGCAAATTCACCAAGAAACGAATTCGACTCGGGAATTCCCCGGGTTTTGATATCGAAGCGTGGTTGTTTTTTTTTTTTCTTTTCTTTTCTTTTTTTTCTTTTTTGGGCGCTTGGGCTTGCTGCGATCCTTGTTGAGGATTCTTCTTTTCTTTTCTGTTCTTTCTTGGACATGGAAAACAAAAAGTATCAAGGCGAACTGAAGAGGGTCGTAGATTTCAGGAGAAAAACAAGACCCCCGAGAACGGACTGAAGCTCCCGAGGAAACACAATGTCATATGCATGAGGAATTTGGTCATAATGATCGTTGGATATGCCATGTCCCAAGTTAACTAACACACACACGGCGGAGACGCGCGAGAGATGGGTTTTTAGACGTAGCAAAGGCGCCTGCGTATCATAAAACAAAGTGCCGGAAGAAGCAAGATAAAGAAGAAAAGACGAAGCGCGCAAAGTTTCTACAACCACGGTACGCCGGGCTTCGTGGATCTGAATCTAACGGAGTAAAGGAAAAAGAAGATGCAGAGGACGGCGGAGGAAGACCAGAGCAAGGGAAGAGTTGATGTCGGGTCGAAAGGCAGAGTTGTTGAGAAATTGCCGATCAGATAGCGTACTTGCGTGTCCATTCGCGAGCCGTCGCCTCGTACCGTTCTGTATCCGTCTTGTAGACGTGTGCGATCTCCGGCACGAGAGGGTCGTCGGGGTTGGGGTCTGTGAGCATGGAGCAGATCGAAAGCAGGACTAAACCCCAAGAAAAAGAGGGAACCGGTTAGCAACTACTGAATGGGAAAAAGGCTGCGTTCCCGGCACCCCGAGAACATAAGTCGTGGCGTTCGGCCAGGCGTTCGGTTACGAACCTTTCGAGATGGTGAGCGCAGGGCTCCATTGGTCCCTCAGGATATCCAGACAGATGCTGCCGTTGGAGTTGATGTTGGGGTGGTAGATGCGGGTGGTGAAGTTGACCTTGGGAGGCTTGAATGGGTAGTCGGTAGGGAAGTGAATACTGAGGAAGAAAACGCCTCCCGAGTATGGGGAGTCACCCTGAAGCAAAGAGTATTAGTAGTGTCTCGGGGACCGGCCGATCAACCCCTCCACGGGGCCTCCTTTTTGAGACAAGCATGACTTACCGGACCCATGATGGTAGCTTGCCAGACGAACTATCAAGGAGAAAGCGTCAGTATATCACCATAACCCAATGATCCATTCTCCGACTTGGGCGATCGGGCTCGGAGGGGCTCTGGGCTGTAGGAATGGTGTTTTGAACCCCGCCGGCACGATAAGCCCACCTCCGACCGTCCAGAACGAGAGGGGGAAAAGACAGAGGGAGGAATTCAACGAGAGGGCATCATACCAGATCATCTCCAATGGGGCCAGCAGAGCAGGAGGACGGGGGATCCCTGTTAAGTAGATGGTCAGTTATCATGGCTCTCGAGTCCCGTCTCAAGGGTCGAGAGGGAGGGGGCAAGAACAGATCCTTACCGGCCGAGATCAGTGAGTTCCTTGTTAATTCGCTTGAGAGCCATCTTGACGGTGAGGTGAGGAAGGAGGAGAGGACTGGAGAGTCAGCACGGAGAGCGTTCGGAGAGGGTGGTGGTCCACGTACGGTCACGTCTTTGTGTGGAAAAGAAGAATGAGAAAGAAGAAGAAAGAGGGGGAAAGTGGGCAGGCGGATGTCGGACGGGTATTACGAATACGCGCCACACCATGACACATCCCGTATTTTTGCGGGCTGTAGGGCTCTGCAGCCTGATGGGTCATAGTAGGAGACGGGATCGATAGGGAGGGGGGAGGGGTGATTCTACGAGTCTCGTGAGAGTCGTACGGTGGAACTAGAGCAGACTTTCCCGTTCAAGGGTATAAAATCATATATAAAATCATATCATGGCTACATATGTGTCTAGGTATTGAGTGGCTGTGACTAAGGCGATGTGTGTCTGAGTTTTAGCCCCTCGATGATGTCACGTGCGGGTGAGGCGTTTACTCGGCCCGATGGGGAAGGAATCCGCGCTCCGAAGGCTTCAAGATGCTCTATGTACAGGGGGAAGATTGAAAATTCGGATTGACCAGTATACCAGGAGAGTGTGTGGGGGAATGTGTGTGTGTGTGTGTGTGTGTGTGTGAGAGAGAGAGAGAGAGAGAGAGAGGGGGGGGTAAAACCAACAGCTCAAACAAAAGCCTGTTTGCCTGTGATCGCGCGGCCCAGAATCAACGCTAGACAGGTCAGTCTCAATTCGGCCCAACTGACACCTCAACTCTTGGGCGCTGTCACTTACCGTGGATATCGCTCTGGCCCTCGTATGTTTGCACCACGAACAAATTAGCCACATGGCGGCCGATGTGATACTCGTCACTAGCAGCATTGCCACCAAACACTTCTTGGAGACTGTGATGGAGTCGACAGGTTAGCAAGGGTACTGTGGAGTATAAGAAAACATCATCTTGGAAAAAGGAAAAACAAGGCAAAAAGTCCCCCCCTGTCCCATCTAAGCAAACTCCCGGAAGGCAAAAAAGAAGAAGAAAAAGAAAATAAAACAAAATTCGACACGTACATTCGTGAGTTGGCTAGCGCTCGGTCGCAGTTCTGCCGCTTGATCATCGAGATCATCTCTGGTGTGGCCTTACCCGCATCTTTGAGACGGGCCACCTGGACCGCTGCCAGCGTGCCGTAGGCCGCATCCGTAGCGGCATCCGCCAGCTTCTTCTGGATCAGCTGGTACTTGGCAAGCGGGTTGCCCTTGAACTGTTTGCGCTCGAGGCTGTATTCGCGCGCGCGGGCCAGGCAGTCCTCCAGAGCGCCCATGGCGCCAAAGGCAATACCCAGCCGGGCGCTATTCAGACACGTGAACGGGCCCTTCAAGCCCTCCACCTCTGGGAACATGTTCTCCGCAGGGACAGGACAGTCGTCCATCTGAATCATTCCGGTGATGGACGCGCGAAGGGCCGTCTTGTTCTTGATCGCCGGCGTCTCGAAGGTGCCCGGCGGGCAGCGCGAGCGCTCGACAATGAAGCCGCGGATCTTGCCGGTCGACTCGAGTTTGGCCCACACCAGGGCGAGGTCCGAGATGGGCGAGTTGGTGATCCAGGTCTTGCTGCCGGTCAACAGGTACATGCCCTTCTGCGTCGGGTGTTCGCGAGCCACGGTCTCCATGGAGCCAGGGTCGGAGCCGTGATTTGGCTCGGTCAGGCCAAAACAGCCAGCCAGCTTGCCTTTGGCCAGCCCGGGCAGGAACCGCTGCTTCTGCTCCTCTGTGCCGAACTCGTAGATGCCTGTCATCGCCAACGAGCTCTGCACCGACATGCCGGAGCGGTATCCAGAGTCGACCCGCTCCACCTCCTTGGTGATCAGGCCCGATGCCACGGTGCTCACGCCGGCACACTCGTATCCCTCAATGGAGGCACCCAGGAGACCCAGCTCGCCCATCTCCTCTAAAATCTTGCGGTCGTAATCTTCGTTGCGGTAGGCCTCTGCTCATCCCCTCAAAGGGAATTCCATTAGATCATCGCAGCCCGAGAATGAAGACAGAAAGAAGGAGAACAAAAGAAGTAAACAGCTGACAAGCGAGAAGAACTTACCTAGAACTCGTGGCATCAATCGGTCCTGGCAGTATTGCCGTGCTGTGTCCTGAATGGCCCGCTCCTCCTCCGTGTACAGCTCCTCCGCGGCGAGAGGATCCTCCCAGTTGAACACCGCGGACGACGCATATCGGCGCCCAGCGATCGTGCGACCAGCCTGGAGCGAGTGTGCAGCAGCACGCAGGATTGAGCGATTCATCTTGTCCGTAAGATACAGGTTCAAATTCTAAAACACAACTGCAAAAACAAGAAAGGAAAGAGAGAAAGAGAGAGAGCGGAGAGATATCGATGTTATCGGTTGTTGCGGGGGAGCTCAAATCAAATATGTGCTAGCGGCCGGAGAACCTCGGCAATTCTGGGGTGTCGCGAATCACCGAGCTGTCCCTGAATTGCCAAGTCCGCTCGGCGCGGGGACCGTAATGACGGGCGATTCGATTTGCCTTGCTCGGCGTCATGGTCCCCGACTCGGCCTTTTTCGGTCACGTTTCGGGACGACGGCTCGGCTGCTGGACATATGATGACCGATAGCAGCGCCAGTGCCTATGAGGCAACTACATCCGGTGGATGATCAAGTGGGACTACGCTTGCCGATTCCTATTCTGATGTCTGTATATTCATTTGCCTATATATCGTCTGTGACACCTGTGGTTGCCGGGTATGGGTCGTCAATATTATATACAATGAGGGAAAGAAAAGAAATATAGATATCCAGGAGGATAAGAAAAAGGTCCAACATCCAATCGAGACCAACTCGAGCCGGAGAGTCTACGTCGCTACGCAGGCATCTGGCTCTGAAGAAAATCGAATACGCCCGTAGGGAAGTAATCCTCATCGAAACCCCACAGGTCCGCCATCATGGGATCCATCGAGCCCTCTGAGAGCCCAGTTTCCTGCTTCCTCACAGAGACACTCGGTTCAACCCCATTACTGCGCTCGGCAGACAGCGGCGCAACACCCAGGAGCGGTGGAGGGTGGTTCAAGATGGTATCGCGCTCACCCAGGATCTGGGCTCCGGGGATGATAACAGGCTTGAATAGCGACGAGGTCTCCTGCTGGGGGGTCGTGCCGGCAGACGGCTGGCCGCCGTTCCGCTTTTCCCACTCTTCCAGGCCAGTGAGCATCTTCCGCAGACCGCGGGCAATGTGGTGACTGAGGTGGCGCTCGCTGGCGCGCTGGCTGCACCCCACCATCATCTCGACGATGCGTCCGACCAGGATTCGGACATAACCAATGTCTACAAGCAGACCAGCTGAGGCGATAGAATTGTTCTGGCTCGAGCCGCTCTGACCATTTCCATTAGAGCAAACTTTCGCTGCAATTTTGAGGAGGAAAACGGCTGCGAATGTAATCATACTGTGCAGGTACAGGGGCACGCCGACCAACGCACGTTGGATGTCACGCTCGTCTAAGACAACCTGGAGGGTAGCCATGGCCGACTCAATAGCGAGATTCGCCCGTTTGCGGCGCTCCGGCGACATAGTCTTGGATGATGTTGAAGAGTGGTAGGTGCGCAGGGCAACGGAGTTCAGCTGTAGTCGCGAGAAATGGTAGTGCATGTAGACAGCTTTGTAAGGGTATGCGCCGACATGACGACTCCCAGCTGGGACTTCGTTAGTTGAAGGCAGATACAAAATGACAGCCCAGCGACGGATCGGTGGAACTTACCAAGACGAGGCAGCCAAGCTGACTTCCAATGCCCTAGGTCCATATCGAACTGGTCGATCTTGGGAAACTCGCTCTCTGGGACCTCTAGATCCACGTCTGGGCCAAACGCAAAATAAATACGAGTAAGAATGATAAACAGGTCGACCTGACTATGCAATCGCAGGTCCCCTTGGGAGATGGACGGTGATTGTGTGAAGGTGTTGTGTTGAGTAATTGCGGGATCTTCGTGAATGATGGGAGGGCGGCCGTATGCGATGGAGAAGTGGTGCTCAAGGGTCTAGGGGTTGTTAGCCTCATAAAGAGATTACTTTAATCGGGGAGTGGGGTTGAGGGTTGGCATATGTAAAATGGGCATACATACATAGAGAAGGTACCATAATCTCGCTTGTTCCTTGTGCTCCGGTGAGCCCTGGATGGCTTTGCGGAAAAATTGGTGTAGATTGCGCTCCGTGGCAATGCGGACAGCATAACCAGAGAGCTTCCAGCTCACATCCGCAAGCCAGAATGCCCCGATGCACAAGGCGCGAATGTCATCCATGGTGTGGTGATGTCCAAGCATGGATTCGGATGCTAATTTGGCAAATTCTGTATAGCAGGTGTCAAAAGTCCGTTCCTTAGAAGGCAGATGAAGAGCCGTCACAGCGAGAATGGCAGCAGACAGCATAGACGAAGATTTCCGAGCAGACGTTAGGTCTTTATGTGCTAGTAGCGCACCATCCCATAGGTATCGATTTAGCACCTGGTCAAAATGGTGAAATAGTTCTTCTGCTTCTTGCAAATCCACCACACCACGCGCGATGAAGTCAGTCACTAGGGCCTGGTCTGGCGCATAATCCTCCCCAGGAGAATTCTCACGATTCTCACTGAGCTGTGTAACCTCGTATAGGCTGCCCATGGGCGCCGTGACCAGCGAGGCAGCGCCGGTCTCTTCGCGGTCAATAGAATACTGCGGTTGCTGCTGCGAGAAAGTATAATTCGATGGGTTTGAACCCGTCCCTCGTCCCGCAGGGTTATCCGCGGAGTCGGTCTTCCTATGATGCCCCAGAGCATGGCCAGCATCGTCTACCGACACAGTCGAGTCTTTCCGGCCGCGTTTTTTTGGCGGCGTTTCAATCGATCCCCCGCCCGCTTGATAGTAAGATAGTTCTGGGAGCTGCGCTTTCCGGAGAAGATCCGTCATGGCCAACTCAATCATGCTTTTCCATCTAAATGAGATTCGATATTCCATTCAGTATTGTGCCATTGTCCATCATGCAAATAGCATCCCGGAGCCGTCAGGGCAAGATACTCACTCGGCTTCGTCCTCCAGGAGTGTTTGGAGACTCTTATTAACAATGCATTGCAGCCCCATACGCTGACATCGAGAGCATATCGCATCCCCTGCCTTCATATCGCACCGGACCTTGTGTCGCTTACACTCGGTGCATGCGCGTATCCTCCGCGAGATCTTCGGGACATGCTGGGGGTACCGCGAGTGGTCCTCCGGAGTGAAGCCACCCTGTGGTGAAGCGGATGAGGCGTCGCCATTAGCCTCGAAATGGATGCGATTCCGCTTCATGTTGGTGATTTGGAGCTCATGCTCCGCAACAACGACCCTGGGGAAGTCAGACAAAGGCGGGGTTGAGGCTGGGGCTGTCTCCGATTCTCGACCGATTCATGGCGAGCCTCAGGCATGAATAGACTGGGGCCTGTCCCAGTCACGTGTTGTCTCCGCGTGCTAGTCACGTTATCCAATGCGCTATACCGCATGTGGTTTAAATGATCCAGCGCGTGTCCGTTCATCGAGCGCGTCGTTTCGTGAGGAGATCCGACCTGCTAGAGATCGACCTGCTAGCACAGACTGTCACCCTCCCCAAAATCCGACTGCGACCACCTCCGCCCACCCGCCACCATGGGTATCAAACGTGAGTTGACGCTCCATCCTAGCTAGTAGCCCCATTTATGCTGAACGAACCTATGCCAGAGCTCTACCAGGTGATCTCCGAGAACGCCCCGGATGCTATCAAGACCGGAGAGATTAAAAACCACTTCGGCCGCAAGGTCGCAATTGTATGTTGCCTCGCCACGCCCCCTCCGAATGCCCTCAAAATATTCCGAGTTGCTAATCTCGTCTGTATCTGGACATAGGACGCGTAGGTTCCACCCTCGTCACCCCCTCACCAACGACAGCTACTAACATCCAGCTCAGGTCCATGTCGATCTACAGTTTCCTGATCGCCGTGCGGTCCGAAGGTCAGCAGCTGATGAGCGACACCGGTGAAACAACCTCGCACCTGATGGGAATGTTCTACCGGACGCTGCGCATGGTGGACAACGGCATCAAACCGCTGTACGTCTTCGATGGGGCGCCGCCCAAGCTCAAGTCCGGCGAACTGGCCAAGCGCGGCGCACGCAAGGCGGAGGCCACCGAGGCGCACGAAGAGGCCAAGGAGACCGGCACGGCGGAGGAGATCGAAAAGTTCTCTCGGCGCACGGTGCGGGTGACGCGCGAGCACAACGCGGAGTGCAAGAAGCTGCTGAAGCTGATGGGAATCCCGTACATCGATGCGCCGACGGAGGCCGAGGCACAGTGTGCGGTGCTGGCGCGCGCGGGCAAGGTCTACGCGGCTGCGTCGGAGGATATGGATACCCTGTGCTTCGAAGCACCCATTCTGCTGCGCCACTTGACCTTCAGTGAGCAACGGAAAGAGCCAATCCAGGAGATTCACCTGAGTCGGGCGTTGGAGGGTCTGAATATGAATCGAGCCCAGGTACGCGGCGCCGCTTCTTTATTTTTGGATTCTTTTTTTGTTCTGTTCTTGGTGGGAGGGGTGGGAGGGAGATCTTGGTTACATGGAGCTAATCACAGTGACTTTTACGTAGTTTATCGACCTCTGCATCCTGCTGGGCTGTGACTATCTGGAGTCGATTCCGAAGGTCGGCCCTAGCACGGCTTTGAACCTGATGCGCGAGCATGGCAGTCTGGAAAAGATCCTGGAAGCCATGCAGAACGACCCAAAGAAGAAATACGTTGTCCCGGATGAGTGGCCTTACCAAGACGCTCGGGATCTGTTCCTAACGCCGGACGTGCGCGACGCGAACGACCCGGAGTGTGATTTCAAGTGGGAGGCCCCCGACGTCGAGGGGCTGGTAGATTATCTCGTGAAGGACAAGGGCTTCAATGAGGATCGTGTACGCAACGGTGCTGCCCGGTTGCAGAAGAACCTGAAGAGCGCGCAGCAGTCCCGGTTGGAGGGATTTTTCAAGCCCGTCGCGAAGTCGGACGCCGAGAAGGCGTCACTGAAGCGCAAGCATGACGAAAAGATCCAGGACCAGAAGAAGCGGAAGAAGGACGAGGCCAAGGCCAAGAAAGAGGCCAAGGCCAAGCCGCGAGCTGCGGGCTAGTTGTGGTCGGTATTTGGTCAGCTTGTGCTGTGCGGCTCTCCCCGACTTTCCGTAATCCCGGACTAATCTCTTATTCCCTCGATAGAGAGCATCTCTCCAGAGTCCTCCGTCCTGATTTATCTACGAACCTGGCGTCGGCGTTACCTTAGAATCCCCATTTTTGTTTTTGTGTTTTCTTTTTCTTTCTTTTCCTCTCGAAATTCGAAATCTGAAACTCGAAATTCGCTCGCATGGTCCGGAGATCGGAGCTGACGTCCTTTACTTGGGCTTCTTCCCCCAAGCATGAAGTCTACCATATCATACCAGTCTCTTCACCCTAAAATTCAAAAATTTTCACTGACCGAACCAATGATGCTGCCCTTGCCGACAAATTGCCCCTTGTCTGGCAGGCTGTCCCTGCGTCGGGGATGCGAGATCAGCCATGATTTGGTCCCTGACATGGAACCTCGATGCACATCGCTCCATCATTGATCCTCACCGCCATGAGCACCAAATGGGACTCTAAACTCGTAGATGATCTGCAGTAGACACGCTCTCTTGAAGCGATTGGGTCTAGAGGCATTGGAGGTCCATTGGTGGGGGCGCATCGCGGTGTCTGGCGCGCGGGCAGTTGTATAGATCGCGGCGGATTAAGCGAGCGAGAGAGCATGATCTGAGACGCGGCCGCGTGATCTCGGTAACAATGATAGTTGAGTGGTGAAAGAAGACGGTCAGAGCTTGGAGATGCCCTTGCTGGGCAGATTGATGAGGCTCGATTGGATTGATCTGGGTGGTGTAGTTCAGGATCAAGTGGTTTGTCTGTGCCGGTCCCTTGATTTGAGGCCGCGGGAGGGAAGCCGAAGTGGTAGGGAGTGGGGGCGGGGAGGAGAAGGCACATCGTCGACCTCTCCTTCCCCTTAGATCCCGGGCCACACCTCTCTAGTAGATAAAACCGTCAATTGTTCATTGGGGTCTTTTGTTCTGAGTCCTACGTAGAATCGGCTGTCTCTGGGAGGATTGTGTAAGACATTATGAGAGCCCGTACAGGGGCACGCGCGACCAGCCCGAGGGGACGACGGGTGGATGCAGCATCGGCCAGCGATCAGTGGATCACGAGGGCGGAAAGGTGCAGGGCGATGCGGACGTTCTCGATTGAGATCGATAGTTTAATCCTTCGTACCCTGTATTGGCTCTGCTTGTAGCGGTGCTGTCGTCGGATCGGAGCGTTTGAGGCGGGTCGTACTCGTCTGGCAGGGTCCGTAGTTATGGATATATATATATATGCCATGGAAGTCAGGACTGACCCCATCCCCTCTATGGTCCTCTTGATAGATATATGTCTCTACCTTGGGCACTAGTATTCGAATATATGTAATGAATGCCCTCAGTATCGCCTGAAGTTTCCCATAGGATTGAGCGCCACAGGACTGGTTGGCGATCTGTGGTGATGGTGGCTTTTCATGAGATCGAGAGAACTTAGGGCTTGAGAGCAGGGGCGCAGACCACCCAATTCGCCCTATCACCAGCAGCATACGATGCGAACTCCGACAAGACCCAATGGATATGCGTTTATTGGGATTGCCCGGTCCAAGTCTCTTTTCCTCCTTTCCTCTCTCTTCCCCCACAGGCTCCAGTCCCCCAAAGTCTAGCCATCATCGAGTCCCGGTCGTGATCCATGGACCCGGCCTGTCGGCCCTCGTGATCGCGCTGCAGGTCCCCCCCCCGCTCTTGAAGGCAAGGGAGAACGCACATAGCCGCGCATCAGGAACTCTACGGGAAGTATAGCGGAAGTATGGAAGTATGGCGCAAGTATAGGTATAGAGAAGTATAGTGAATAGTGAAGTATAGAGGAATTAGATATAGAATTGAATATCGACCACCTGGTTGAAGCCGCCGCGACCCTTCGGCGATGACTCTGATCGAATTACTTTCCCTCTCCCTCTTCCTCTCCTTCTCCCCCGTCTTCCCCCCTCCTTTGCTCCTCCATAGCTAGCTTCAAGCCCGTGGGGATAAAGATGGACGGGACCGGTGGATGGAACGTGCCGTTCGCGGCCCCTCTGGTCGATCGCCCTTATTTTTAGGGTTGAACGCGCCCAAGCTCGACGGAGATTCCATTCGCGTTGCGGGAAAGAGGAAACAGGGGGCTGAACGCCGATCGCTCTCCGGATCCATTGGAATGTGTCGTGCGCCAAAAAAAGAGAAAGGGCTGGGAGGGGGAGAGTGGGGGGTTCGATCGTGGACAGGCGCTTGACGAGAATGCGAGCGCGTGTAGTATAGTTACTTTCTATGAAGAGGACAAGAGGGTTGGAGGACAATAGGACAGAAGAAGGGGAGCGGATGGGTGCAGAGAGAATATAGAGGAGACTCGCGAGAACCCGCGAGAGTGCAGGGTTCGCTGAAGCGATCGATAGTCTCCGATGCCCACGGGCGAACCTGGGAATGAGCGGCGCGAGAGAATGCGCCCTTGGCCTCGACCACTGCGCGGCGACGAGCAGAGTCAAGGAGCCCGGACGGATGAGCAGCGACACACCCCAACACCTGGAGCATCCAACGAATCTATACGAACATCTCGCGAGAGAGATCTCTAGAACGCTGGCCAAAAATATCTATCGCTGACGAACAAGAAACCCGACACAAGCTCGTAGCGTCCGCAAAAGCGAAAAAACGACCCGTGCGATTTTGGGCGGGTGATCTGGTGTCAACACTGGGCCGCCTATAAATCGCGGATGCCCCGCTGCTCTTCCCATCCTCTTCCGTTTGCTGCTTCTTCCCCCTTCTGCTTCCCACTTCTTTCCCTCCTCGACTGTCCCGACCTGCAAGATCTCGACCCGCTTATTCTTGATCTTCCTTGATCCTTCATATCGATTCTTCTTCACTCCTCATCATGCCTCCCAAGAAAGCTACCGGCACCACCACCAAGAAGGCCGCCCCGTCGGCGCACGCCTCCTACCGTGGTATGTTTCTTCTGATCCTGCACGCGCCATCCATCGCGTCGATCCAAAATGGATATCGCTCGAGTCGCGAATATCTGCTGATGCCATCCATATAGACATGATCAAGGATGCTATTCTGAACGTGAGTAGATCACCGTCGCCGTCCCGCGTGTTGTGATGGATCGGGCGCGCGCCCGACCGTGACACGCCTGGCCATTGGCCTCACCCTCTGCTCCCCCTCCCCCCAACTTCTTATTTGGGGGTATGAACTGCGAGTTTCTGTGCTAACCACTCTCCTGACTGATAGCTGAAAGAACGCAATGGTAGCAGGTATGTGACCGTGGCTTTTACTCGCATCTCGTCGCGCTGCCGACCGACTCCCCTCCCCAATGGCGGCGCGTCGTGTATTTTCCCCCTTGGTTCTCGTACTAATTCCTTCCCACCAAATAGCCGCCAGGCCATTAAGAAGTATGTTCAATCGAACAACAAGATCAATGTCGCCACCCAGGCCATCTTCGATGCCCAGTTCAACAAGGCCATCAAGGCCGGTGTTGAGAAGGGCGAGTTCACTCAGCCCAAGGGTAAGTTTCATCCCCATCTCCCCGACGTGTATGATTCTAGATTCTCTACACAAGCACCTGTCTTAATGGAGAATCGGTTTCGCCGTCGCTAAACTTCGTATTTATTTTTGTTTTCATATTTTGTTGTTGTTGTGACGGCTCGCTAACGCGTCGGGCTCTAGGTCCCTCTGGTCCCGTGAAGCTGGCTAAGAAGGAGGCCAAGCCCGCGGCGAAGCCCGCCGCGAAGACTGCTGCTAAGTCTGCTGCCCCCAAGGTATGTGTCGTCCATTATCGTATTGTTTTGCATTTGACTCATTCTCTCCTCACAGAAGGCTACCGCCACCAAGAAGGCTGCTCCCAAGAAGACTGCCACTAAGGCGACTGCCGCCAAGCCTGCCGCGAAGAAGGCCACCACCACCAAGAAGACTGCGGCCAAGCCCAAGGCCAACTCTGGCAAGGCTCGCAAGACCTCCACGGCCGTAAGTCGCCCGCTGTGATTGCGTCGATCATCCTCTCTCGTTCCCATGCTGACTGACTTCCTAGGCCCCCGCCGTTGTTGAGCAGCCCAAGGTCATCGGCAAGACCAAGTCTGGCCGTGTCACCAAGACCACCGCCCAGCCCAAGGCTGCGCCAAAGAAGAAGGCCGCTCCCAAGAAGTAAGAGGGTCGCGGTGCCTCTTTTGACTCGCGGTTGTCCTCCCATTTTACGTGCGCTCTTCTCGGGACCGGCACCACGGGTCTCACCTTGATTCCCTTATGTCGTCGCTTTCTTCTCTTCCGCTGTAATTTCTTTCTTTTTCGACCCGTTGATCTGGTGGCTTCTGATGCTTCTCTTTTTCTTTTACTCTTTCTCTCTCGTTTTGGTTTACTGGGAATATCTTCGTTATGATGGGCTTTGTTTTTTAACTCCAAAGTCGAAGGGATGGCGTCCTGTGGTGGGTTTTGATTCAACGGGGAAATTGTGTTTCGTTTTTTTTTTCCCTTTCTGTTCCTTTTTTTTTCGTGCGTGTTCTCCGTACTCTATTGGGGGTTTGTCAGAGACTTCTGCGGAATTGGAATCTCTTTCGATCGAGTCTCGAGCGTGGATTGTGTTTAGTCGCGGGAGGGCAAGAGGAAACTTTCGCCCCGTCGAATCCGTAGTCGATACGTATCTCCAGATGAATGCAAATGGACGTTCCTTTTCTGCTCCTGATTAAATGACCCTCTCGAGCCCAATGGATGAGTGGAGCTACTCGATAGGTTAGGATGTCTATCGTGATCTGTGATCCACTTGTCTCGAGGCCGCCCTCACATGAGCTCTGCGGGCATTTATACACCAATGGAGGCAGCATGGGATGACATGAGACCGCAGGAAGAAGAATTCTGTATTATTCTTCGTATACTCCGTCCTACTATGCTCCCGATTGGGGCCCCTTCCCTTCCTTCTTCCAAACTGACTGGCCCATTCCTGGGGTGTCATCATCAACCCGCACTAGGATCTACGGATGGAGTCCCTCAGTTTCTATCATCATGATACCTCAGATCCTGGATTGTCGCTGAGTGGATGAGGGTTCTATTTTGAGTTCCCAGGTCCGTGGGCGCGCCCGTTTTAACGGCCTACGTACAGTAGCAGGAGGGAGAGGAGCAAACATGAGCCCACCGGGCCCCCGACCGATCATCCTTGCACCGGCAAAAAGACAGAAATCGGGTCCCGTCGCTGGTTTCCGAGGGGCCATTGGTGGGTTGCATGCTATATTCTGGACGTTTATCGTTCCGGGGCCGAGAGTGGCTTGCCCCTGAACCCTATGTATCTTATTTTCGTCGTTGGAGAAGAGGGGGAGGGAGGGGGAGTGCTTGAGATATTACTTGCATGGGCGTGTAGGGCTGCAGTTTTTCACCGCTACTACAGTAGGCAGCCGTGTTTTTGTTTTCTTTTTCTGTTTTTCCTTTTTCTTTCTGGCGAGATTAATGGAGATTAGACGGACCCTTGGCGGCTGCTTTGAGTAAAACACTGTATGGATCGTAATACATTGTATGGTATAGGATTATATTGGATTGATATTATTGTTCTTTATTCTAGCGCGGTAGTTGCGCGGTGGGAGGGGCCGTTGGTATTATCATCGCGGGCCAGACGCTCCCCCTGATCCATAGGAGGGAAGGGGAGGGAGGGGAATGACGACAGAGTTTATGGACGATCTACCAGTTAAAGTGAGAATTGATCATCCACTGGATGTCCCTGGCACTAGCCACACTTTCCCCATGTCCGAGGCCGTCCTTTGGAAGGTGGAGTGCATGGATGCAGCCTATTTTTGGATCGAAGAAGAAAGGAGGGAGGAGAGGGGGGGGGGCAAAACGGAGACGCGGGCACTTGGTGATTCTAGGCGCTCTATTTGCTCACGCAGGATTCTGTGCGCGGCAAATAGGGTTGTTCAGCCGAGCCGATGCTAGTTCGGTCTCGGTTTGACGGGCTCTTTGTTGTGTACGTTGTGTATGGAGTGCTGTGTATGGAATCCGGACATCCAGTACAATCGCTGGGCTTCGGTCGAAGTCTTGGTTCAGTCGATCGCGATCTATTCCTCCTGAACGAAAGATAGACTCGTATTTTGGGAAGCGTGTCCGGTCCCTCGGGATGCTGCGCCAACGGGGTTCCCGCTCAGGGCCCTCTCGGGTGCCCTGTTCTCCCGACCCAAAGGATTGCACCTTGTTTGATAGCTTGCACCTAATTTGATGTTGAAGCCCTGGCCTCGGAGAACCTAGAGACGTGAGGAGAAGCGGAAAACAGGACGTGATGAGGGGGTCGCACGACGTCACAGCCCTCCTTGCAGGCTTCTTGATGAGTTGTCGGGGGGTCGGGGGTCCGGGGCCCTCGTTTTTGCACAATCGGCTGCATAAAACCAGGACCCCGTGCAGCGTCCAAGGGTTTTTTCCGACTGCTCGGAGCACCTCGATGCATTGTACCCGATGGGTTCCGGGACTGTGAGGTCAAGCGTAGCGCCGGAAGAGATAGATCTAGCATGATACGGAATAATAAAAACCGTAGACATATCGACAGAAATCTCAATATAGAAACATCAAACATGTCGACGCTCCTTGGGGGAGGAAAAATACCAGGGAACGGAATACCGGTACCTGCCCCGTACGTGGTACCCTGCAGCGTCCAGCTGAAAGGTGGAGCAGGAGGTACCTGGTCGGCGTGCCCCCGGCCCAGAAGGTACCGCCCACCGGGCGCCCGTACCCTGTAATTACGTCTCTGCTCGTCTCGCCCCGACAACCAAATCATTTCCATCCACTTCCTTTCTCTTTCGCCCTAATCTCAACCTCAATCCTCAACCACGCCCCCCCCTTCCCCCTTCCCCAAATCACCACGTTCGACATCATTACCGCTCCATTCCTCCTATTTTGTCTTTCTGTCTTCCTCGTTTTGCTTCTCTGGTGACCGCGCATCGCTTGAGCCCGGCGTCGACGCCGAATATGTTGATTCGCTGAAAACCCACTCCTGCCACGCCCGGGCCTGGCCGCAACTTGGAGATTCTCTTTCACACCATCGATTTCTCTCCCGTCCAACCCCTTCCACCGTGACCCCCGTCTCGAACCCCTCCGTCCCTTGTCCTCTCGTTATTATCCGCTGGAACGCGGTCCGGTTCTGAACCTTTCCCGCCGCTCCGCCAATAAGGACCATTGCCGTCACCTCGGTTTGCCGGCCCACGCAGAGCTCACGTCACTCGCTCCTTGTTCTTCACTGGGAACCCCCGACACCCAAACACATATCCACGATGCCGTCCTTCTCGAGCGAGTCCTACCAGACAACCACCACAACGGCCACGCAACCCCCCCGCTCGTTTGAATCGCCGCACCGCAAGTCTCACGACAAGAGCTCTGTCGGAAACACATTCCTGTGGACCAACTGGCCCAACGGCGAGACCAACGGCGATGCCCACCCGAATGACCGGCACTTGCTCACCAATTTGAAGAACGGCAGTGCATACTCCCTGAATGGCCCCCGCTCTAGCATCGGGTCTTATACGCGCGATCTGCCGCACTCCAAAGACAGTAGCATGCAGTCGCTAGGAAATGGCTCTGCCAGGGATATTCGGGATGCTTCCCGGCCATCGGCCATGCTCGACCGGAAGTCTTCGGACGCTGGACCGGGAGCAGGTGTCGTGACAGCCACCTCCACGGCGAATCAACCGGTCAATGGCACCGCCCCGGCCTGGAGCCATCGTGCTGGCCAGGGGAAGCCGTTGGCCAATGGAGATACCCACCGTCCCTCTGCAGATGAACCTTCCATCTCGGATCGGGCGATCAGCCCATCAACCTCGCTTTTGCAAATCCCACCTTCCGACGACGCAGGTCGTCTCTCTCCAGATCCTGATCGATTGTCCCCGAGTCCGAAGCCCAGCCACCACCGCTATTCCTCTCCTCCCGCTCCCCCTTCCGCTATCGAGGCAAATTCTATGCAGGACCCGCAGCAATCCGGGTTGCGACAACGACATTCACTACAGGTGCCGAGAGCACCGAGTGTCCGGCGAAACAGCCGAGACCAAGGTGAGGACACCGCGTTTAGCAGCGGTCGACTCTCACCAACGTCAGCCGGGCCTCGTCGAACATCTTTCAGCTTGATGCGCCGCTCAACCAAGACAAACCCACTAGATGCGCCGCTTGATGAGGCGCCACCAGATGAAGAGGCGGCACGATGGGCGGAAGCAATCAAGCAAAGACGGGCATCACGACGGCGGCGGGAAGACGATGACGATGAACGAGTCATCGTCGGGACCAAAGTGGACCAGAATCACGTCAACTATGTGACTGCCTACAACATGTTGACTGGTATTCGCTTCACCGTGTCGCGGATCAACGCGAAGATGGACCGGGAGCTTACCCCGGCAGACTTCGAGGCTAAGCACAAATTCTCCTTTGATATGTATGATATTACCAATTTCCCTTCCTCAATGGCTGTCTTTTGTTGATGGCAACTAACAAACTCACAGCACTGGGAATGAACTGATTCCTTCCGCCAAGTACGACTTCAAGTTCAAGGACTATGCTCCCTGGGTGTTCCGACACCTTCGTGCCAAGTTTCGCCTCGATCCTGCCGACTACCTAATGTCCCTCACCAGCAAGTACATTCTGTCTGAGTTGGGATCTCCCGGAAAGAGCGGAAGCTTCTTCTATTTCTCGCGCGACTACAAGTATATCATCAAAACCATCCACCACGCCGAACATAAGCTTTTGCGCAGGATTTTACCTCTATATTACCGCCATGTAGAGGAAAATCCCAACACCTTGATCTCCCAATTCTATGGTCTACACCGTGTCAAAATGGCATACGGCCGCAAGATCCATTTCGTCGTCATGAACAACCTTTTCCCCCGCACCGCGATATCCACCAAACATTCGACTTGAAGGGCTCAACGATAGGCCGTGATCTGCAAGAGTCAGACCTCGAGCGAAACCCCCGTGCAACGATGAAGGACCTCAACTGGGTGCGGAGGAACCGTCATTTGCAGTGTGGCCCTACTAAGCGGGATTTCTTCATTGAGCAGCTGAAGCGAGATGTAGAGCTGTTGAAGAAGCTGAAGATCATGGATTATTCACTCCTTGTTGGAATCCATGACGTGGAGCGAGGCAACGAGGAGAAATTGCGTGACAAGACTCTTCAAGTTTTCCAGCCCGGGGGCGACCGCGAAGAAGATACAAGTGCGAACATGCTGATGCGGACACCGTCCAAACTGGAGAATGAACGCAAGGCCCGCGAGCTCCGCATGTTGATCAAACGCGAGCGACCGGTGCCTCTGGATAAAGCAACCGCCAAGATGCCGGATGAAATCCTCGATGAGCGCCAGTATCATGTCTTCTACGCTGATGATGGTGGGTTTCGCGCTACGCACGAGAATGGCACGGCCGGCGAGGAGATCTATTATCTTGGCATCATCGATTGCCTGACGCACTATGGCATGGTCAAGAAAATAGAAAACTTCTTCAAGGGTCTTTCGAATGATCGAACGCAGATCTCGCCTATCCCACCGGAAAGCTACGGTGACCGATTCATCAACTTCGTCAAAGGAATCACAATGTCCAAGGAAGAAGCTGAGCGTCGCCGAGAATCTAAAGCATCTGTTCGACCGTCGAACGAGAAACGCCGTTCTCGCTCCTCCTCTGTCGAGCGCACGATGCAGGCTGCGGAGAAAGAGGCCGCTAAGGATGTCTCCGTTACACACCCGCGTACTCTCGCCACCGTATGGGATCCCGCAGATGCAGGTGGCCCTGGCCCGACCTCGACTCTTCCGATTGTCGACGAAGCCGGTGAGGCGAGCAGCGTCGGCGGACATAGCTCGCACAGTCGACACGGAAATCACTTGTCGGACAAGGACCTACCTCCTCCTCCGGTCGATGAAGGGCCTCAGTCCTCGGCCAAGGGCAAGCAAGTGGACCGCGGTGACGGCCTTCTCATGAGCCCGAGCCGGCGGTAATGTGACCGGCACATCGCGATTGATGCCGTCCTTGCGTGTGCCAAATCTAGCAGTTACTGTCCCCTCTACCCGGCTTTGCGTCTCTGATCTTTTCTTTGCATTTTTTTTTGTGTTCAGCGAGATATCCCATCCCCCTGTTGCTTGATAGACTACGCAGTTTTCCCCACTCTCTATTCCTCTTAGCATGCCCTGGGCACCTGAGCCAGCTATGTCTACTCGATTTTGTCCTGTCCTGCTTTGCTTTGCTCTCAATGTCCCGCTTGCATCATCTTCCCCCAGACACTGTTGTTGTTCACGAGTGACGCGTGTATATTTCCTGCTGTTGAGCGTCCCCTCATCCTCATCTTTCTCTCAAACATACTCTCTCTTCCGGAAATGCCCTGTTTATTCTCAGAGGTTAGGAAATGTCACCAACCCAAGCCTTCTGACTGTCGTTTCTTTCCTTTCCGTCGAGTTCCCCTCATTTCGACTCGACCCGCACAAGACAATGCTGTACCACCAGACGACCCTCTCCATTACTCTCTTTTCGTTGATTAACCGCCTCAACTCTTATTGATCCTCCCACGTTCTCTATAAACGGCATTTTGCTCCATCGTCGAGCATTTTCGTTATCTTGCCTATCTGATCACAACCAGTCACTTACGTCCTCGCATTGCATTACAGCTCCGCTCGCATCTTGTTCTCTCTTTTGCCGTCTATCGGCCCACTCCATAACCACGTCGTCCTGTTCATCATACATAGGGGCCAACAGGGGACACCAGAGGCACACATTGCCATTTTCGTTCCGTGGACACTACCCGAGGACCTTCAACTCACCAATTACCTCCGTTTCTTTTACACTTTTTCATTTCCTTATTTCATTTCCTTTTTGTCTTGTTTTTTTTTCTCTGCGCTGAGAGCCATACCCTGTATCAATCACTATACCACTTGTCTTGTCCTTGAAACCGTGCGCTTTCTTTCTTGTTATCTTGAAACCGGGCGATATTATGCTCCCCCCCAGTTCGCAGATTAGCAGTGCCAAGCATACAGGAAGCCCATGCTTCCTTGAATTTTCACACCCTTCCCCCATCTTTTTTGCGCCTTTCTTACGTTAAATTTCTCTATTGCCCTTTCTTTTTTCTTTTTTCTTGATCTCATAGAGCGGGAGTCGCAGCCATTGCCGTGGCTGTGTCTGACAGGTCATTCTATGGTCAGGGCAATGAGTCTAGCTGGACCACAGTGATACACGGTGGCAAGGGCCAGGGGGGAGATTAGAAATGGAATGCAACGGTTAGAATATTCCCGCGTTAGCGCTTTTCTCGACTGCCCCAGGGCGTCCAAGACCGTCGTAGACCCTTGGGACCTGGCGCTGGGGGCTAAGTCCCGTAGCCCTGTGAGTCCATACTTCTTCGAAGTCATGTCATGTAGGAGGCGCGCGATTGCGGATGGAAGATGTTGGGGGTGTGTCGGACGGGCAGGTCATCATCTCGAAATAATATAGGCAACCTCCGCCTTCTCTACGCAGTGCAGTGGAAGTGGTGCGTGGGACATGGACGTAACTAGTAATCTGATTCCATTGGGGCCTTCGCGGTCCTGATTTTTGACTTATTGTGGGACAGAAAGAATAGAGAAATAGCTTGGAAAGGCAAATAAGAAGGAACAAGAAAGAGGAGAACAGACGCCAGTCGCCCCCTTTGACAATTCCTCGACGGTTCAGTTCACCACCCCTGTAAGCAGAGAGCAAAAAAAAAAAAAAGAAAAAAGAAAAAGAAAATAAGAACAGCGTCCAAAATTGGGGTTGGGGGGGGGGGGGGGGGGGGGGGAAATTGGCACGGCCAGGGTTCAATCTACAACCCTGACATCCTGCAAGGTAGAGGGGAAGACACAGGAACAATGTAAAAGCCCTTTTCCAACCATGAGACAAAAACGCCGGGAAAAGAACAGATCTCTGGAAAAGGAAGACCGTGACATAAACAAAGAGTAAGTAAAAGTCGAAGTAGAGGAAATGGGTTATCATGACATCGAGGGACACTCCTGCCCAAGAGCAGTGCACGGCAAGGGAGAACTGTTCTTGTCGCGTGTTGCAGTCTCCCACGTTGGGCATGGTCAGTCTATGCGGAGTGTAGCTGCTCTGGATTACTACTCATTCCGGCCCTGTGTGACCTTGGCCGCTTGGATGGCGGACATCTTCTGTAGCCAGCCCTGGGTAGGCTGAGGCTTCTTGACAGTGCGGAGGTCGTCAGTGGCGAAGCCCGAGATGCGCATGTTATAGTTGCGCTCGAGGATAAGCTGGATATCGCGGATCTCGAGGGTCGATGACGGGCGCAGCTTGGCGAGGCGGCAGGCCTGAGATATCACGTCGTCGACGAAGTCGTCTGCCATTTGCAGCATGAACTAGAGGGTGAGTCCGGGTCAGTTTAGGAGGTTCCTGCTGGGGATCTTTCACTCGGGGGGGGGGGGGGGGGGTTCGCTTGGCAAGTTGATGAGAATTATATGAAGAGCGGGAGGAGAGGAAAGTGAATGAGAACGTACTTCTTCTGCATCAGGGGTCAGCATTTCGCCCTCACCGCCGCCGGTGACCTGGCGCACGAGGATGTCGAGCATCTTCTTGCTGAGCACATGTTGACCTTCACCCTCAAGTACGTATCCTGGGTGCTTTTGAATAGCGGGCTGACCCATCATGCCCATCTGGCTGTGGCCAGGGCCGCCGGACATGGAGGGTCGGGGAGCAGGCATGGGGACGGGCTCTGGTGTTGAGACATTCAGGTTCTTGGGGATGACCATGTTGATATTGCGAGTGGACGCCTCGGTAGATCGATTTGCTAGATAGCCTGGAGGATGACCCTGATTATTTGCAGCCTGGTTGATGTTTTGTTGGTTCGACTGGCCCTGATTCGCGGTGTTGTAGTTGGCAGCTTGTTGAACAGCAACTTGATGTGATAACGGGCGTGGTGGTCCCTGTGGCATTTGCGGGGCACCTGTTGGCGTCGGAGTGGATCCATCGGGATTGGGAGTTTGACTGAAGGTGATTTGAGCACCTGGAGTTCCCTGCTGCGATGGCGGTTGAGGTCGCTGGCCAGGCGGTTGAGCATTCGGAGGTACGGGGGTGGTGCCGCCGGAAGAGGTTTGTGGTGCTTGTCCCGGTTGGGAGGTCGAGGGAGACATTGCCTGTCCAGCTTGATTACGTGCGGCATTAACGGCCGAATTGATAGTGTGTGGTGCTGGGGTCGGCGCCTGGCCTGGCATGGCGTTCGTCACATTGCCGGGTTGAGTATTTGGCGCTGGTGGAGGCGCGGCCGCTGGCACTGGCGGCGCCACAGGAGTAGCAACCTGCGCAGGAGGAGCGATTGTTGACTGTGCTTGTTGACTCATCTGCTGATTCTGCTGCGCCTGGATTTTGAAGCTTTCTTGCTGTTCCTTGAACTTGGTCAAGAAATCGCTTCCCTCTCGGAACAGCTTCTCCGCCGCTAACTGTCGGTTCTTGAGGTCCTGCACTTCTTCTTGTGTCATATTTCCTGCAGCCTGTCGGGTATTAAATTGGCCTCGTACTTCTGCCATTCGAGCACGGCCCACCTCCTGCTTCTGAAGCGCGATTCCATAGCGCAACCGAGCCTCTGGAATCCATGTCTGCACTTGTTCCTGCGTGACGTTCGGCGGGAGGTAGAAGTTCAACGAGCTGACTTTGGCTGAAATCTGGGGAAGAAGCTGGGACAAATTTTGTGGGTTGTTCGACTGCGGTCGTTGCACGGGCTGCCCTGGCTGCCCTGGTTGTCCCTGCTGCTGCGCCGCAGCTGCTGCCTGGGCTTGATGCTGGAGCACCTGCCGGTTCTGTTGGAGGTTCTGCTGAAACATGCGCATTCCCTTCATGAGGTTTTGAGACAGCTGAGTGAGTTTCATATGGGCGGTCTGATAATCATGGCTCTGTGGGTCGCGGGTATTTAGAGACTCCCAGAGGTTGCGCACCAGCTGCGTATGCTGGGCCTTCTGCTGATCATTCAAGTGCGGTAGCTTTTGTACCTGGTCGGTCCGGATCAGATTGGAGTGTTGCTGAGGTTGTACCATGGGCTGCTGCTGCTGCTGGCCAGACTGGCCCTGAGACCCTTCCATATCGACGACCGCGGAGGCTGGCTCGGAAATCGGCGCGAGGGATTTGCGGAATAGGTATCGGCGGTGTGTCCGCGGTAGACTGATGAATGCGCCACGGGTATCTCAGTTCGACGGGACAGATCGCACCCTGCCTCCCCAGATATAGGGTTAGAACAAGACCTGGAGGATTGGGGATCGGAGGTGGGATGGAATTTGGCCTGGCGAGATGAAGTCGGTAGGCGGTCTTGGCGTCCGCCCGGGCGGCATTTTAGGTCGTAGCAACCACGGGAGCTATGGGAAGTATCGTTAGCCATTCAGTGCCACACAAGATAATTATACGCTTGTAAAATGGTACGATATACTTTTAATATTTGTTTCATGAGAAGAAGTGTTCTCTTTGCTTTTAAACTGCTCTATAAGGGAATTAAACTCTACTACTATGCGGAGGATGTACTACATACTACCATACGTTGCTGTCTCTGCTTAGAGTAATAACTCGGAATTCAAACCGAGCCTCCTGGTACGTAACAGCATACCTTGAAAAGTTCTTTCAGCATCTAGCTTTTGTTGTGCCCTACAAAAATGGATCGGAAAACTGGATCCGCCATATCATAATCATAGTAGGCCAGTCGTCTTGCTTGTATCCTAAGCACATGTAGCTGGCAAGTTTCAGCCTGCTTCAATAAGTACATTGCGAAAATAGGCTCAAGGTTGTCAATATTATTAAAGCTACCTACCGTGATGCATATGGTGAAAGGCTTGAAAAAACCTCACAACCCGGGGGGATTTACAATTCTCGTATCCTTTCCTCGAAGGGAATGGACAGGCGCTGGATCATGTACCATTATATGCAACTCATTTTCTCTCAAGGACAGCCAATCCCCATCTTAGGAGCTTTCTGAAAAATACGAATAGGCCTCAATTGACTAGACCTATTCATGGGTAGTGAATATTGCCTTTAATGGAATCGGGCTGCGGACTTCTGGAACGCGATCCAGATGCACCATGGGAATCAACCATATTTATAGAGAAGTTTTGGTCCTTATTTTGTTTTTTTTTTTCATGAAAATCGTTAAACATAAAATGGGTATCTTCAGACTAAAAAACCAGGAACTTTCACCATTCAGCCCATCAGACCGCCGAGGTCCCGCTCCATTCCCGTGACCCTTTCCTCCAAGGACCTTTTCTTCCGTTCCAGCTCTCTGATTTCAGCCAATTCCCGTTCGATCTCTGCGTCAGTAACTTCAGGAATGTCCGGTTGGGACGGAGAGGCATATTCATCTTCGTCGTCTTCGTAACCATGTCGCATCTGCTCCAGCTTAGCTGCGTTAGTGGCCACCCGATCTTCTAGGCGAGCAATGGATTCAGCAACAATCTCATGGCGATAGCGTAGGCTGGCAATCTTTTCTTGTGCACCTGCTACAGGGCTAGAGATGAGTTGTTAGATATAGCCATGCATTAATCCCCTGGCTGACTTACTACACGTTGCATAGAATCTCTGCTCCACGAAGCAGAACCTCAATGTTCACCTCCCCTCGCGGACCTCGTGTCGAAGTGCCTGCTGACCGCTTAATTTCCTCCATCATATCTGAGCCCAACACCCGGGCCACTGCGGACTGGTTGCGATTATTTCGGACCGAGTAGATTCGACTGGCCATGGACTCGGATTCGGACTCTGCGGGGAAAGTAGTTCCCCTTCGGATCGCTCGCCGCTGCGATCCCTGGGTCTTGGAAGATGGATCGACCTGGAAAAGAGCGCGTTCATGCGCCTCCGTGTCGCGGATTAATGCGGTAATATCGTGGGAACCCAGCAACGCGTTCGTGAAGATGCGGGGCGGAGGAAAACTGGAGGAATTACGTCAGTGTAAGAATGGTCTGGAGAACGATACTGAACGAACGGTAGTTCAGCAATAGCAGCGGACGAGAGCGCAATTTGCTCCAAATGTGAGTCGAGGAGCCCCATGGTAGCTGTGGTGGTGGTGTGTACAATATACAGCTGCAACTGGTTCGGCAGTTTGTTTTGGGGAGCTTGTCTTGTGTGCCTCAGGCGACAAATTGACAAGGCGCCTAAAAACGGCAGCAAACCGTCGCGTGGTGAGGCTGATGTAAAAAAGAACAAAGTAAAAGAGACCGGGGTCTTCAGAGCCCTAGAGATTTCTGATTGCTTCCTTTCTCGCCTATACCCTCCTTCCGTACCGTCCTTACAGACTCACGAATTCGTTTCACCAAACCAGACCAGTCGGACCCGCCGTTGCCATCCCTCCGAGTAAGCTCTCCCCTGACTAAGCACTCCTCTGGTCCACGTCTTGCGCCCGTCCTCGTCTCTTGACATCACATCACCCATCCACTTCATCATCCGTCACTCTGCCCAGTTTCCCCCATCATTTCCCTGGCTCCAGGCAGCTTGACGGCATCAAACTTACTGTTTCACTTCCCATCTCCTTTCTGAGCCCATTATCGCCCTTCCCCCTACTTCCCTGAAGCTCGGTGCTCAGCTGAGCTCAACAGCTTGGGAAAGATGCCAGCCGAGAGGCGTTCTCTTCGATCAAACAACAAGTCCGATGCGTCTTCATCTACCAACGGTGAAAAGGCACAATCGAACTCGAGTGCTAAAGATCAGCCGCCCACGACTCGTGCCGCCGCCAACAAGAAAGCTGCTCCGGTAAAGAAGGGCGCACCGACCTCCGAAATGGGTGAGCATGACCCGTCGCACGTGAACGGATCGAAGTCGACGGAGAATGGCGTGAATGGTTCTGAGGATGTTGAGATGGGAGAGGATACGGCAGGTGCGCCTACATCCTCAATCAACCCCAGTCAGGACCGGCATGGTGACGAAAAGATGACTGTTGTAGTGCCCCCGACCAAGGCTCCCAGATCGTCCGGCAAGAACGGCCAGGATAAGGACGAAGATGTGACGATGGAGGGTGCGGAGGCAGATGAGAAGGAGCAGACCGAGCCGGAGGCCGATCCAACAACGAAGGCCATCCAAGGTGAGCTGGATAGTCTCTTATCCCTAGCCAAGCGGGAGACTCTATCTCCCGGAATTGTGTGAACTGACCATGAACTTCTCTGTTTCTCCCGAAATAATAGACATCAAGACCAATTTCACTTTGCTCGAGCGAGCCATCGCCCACTTTGATCCCCGGTTCACCCTCCGTGTCCTTCGGTCGATATCGTTGATGCGGAAATACATCACCCCCGAGGCCCTTGCTGAAGTGATTGTTGACACATACCCGGCTTCTAGCTCGACAGCTACGTTTCTGCTCAATGCCCTTGATCAGACAAGCGCCTTCGACAATGCCCCGGAAAGCTCAAAGATGGAAGTTGACACAGAGAAGAACAAGGCGGCCTCAAAGGAGGTCCTGCCCGAGGTGGATGTCTACCTGTCAATCTTGGTGCAAATTTACCTCTTTGACCAGCGAATGATCCAGAAGGGTGCCCAGTTCTCAACCGAGCTCATCGAGCGCTTGCGCGCTCTCAACCGCCGGACACTGGATTCTCTTGCGGCTCGCGTGTATTTTTACTACTCCCTCTTCTTCGAGCAAATCGGCCCGCTAGCACCCTCACCTGCAGCGGCTGTGACAACTATCCGCCAGCCGTTGTTGACTGCCTTGCGAACTGCTGTTCTCCGGAAAGATGTTGATACACAGGCTACCGTCATGACCCTGCTGCTCCGCAATTATCTTTCTACTTCCCATATCACCCAGGCTGATCTACTGATCTCACACAATCGATTCCCCGCCGCTGCTTCCAATAATCAGATTGCTCGGTATTTATACTATCTCGGCCGTATTCGTGCCATTCAGTTGCAATACACCGAAGCCCATAGCCATCTGATCGGAGCCACCCGGAAATCCCCAACTAGCCACAGTGCTCGTGGATTCTACCAAGCCTCGCACAAGCTTCTGGTGGTGGTTGAATTGCTGATGGGTGATATTCCGGACCGTGCTGTTTTCCGTCAACCGGCTCTGGAGAAGGCCACGTATCCTTACTTCCTGCTTGCTCAGGCAGTTAGTGTTGGAGATCTGGATGGCTTCCTCAATATCGTCAATACTCACAGCTCAACCTTCCGAAAGGATGGCACATATACTCTGATCCTTCGTCTTCGCCAGAACGTTATTAAGACGGGTATCCGCATGATGTCTTTGTCCTACTCCCGTATTTCTCTGCGGGATATCTGTCTTCGCCTGGGCCTTGACAGTGAGGAATCTGCCGAATATATTGTTGCCAAGGCCATCCGGGATGGTGTTATCGAGGCCTCGCTCGACCACGAGAGCGGCTACATGAAGAGCAAAGAAGTTGGTGATATTTATGCCACCCGGGAACCCGGTGAAGCGTTCCACGAGCGCATCCGTGCGTGCTTGGCTCTTCATGATGAGAACGTCAAGGTATGTGTCTTTCTCTCTTTTTTTGTGTTCTTGTCCAGGTCATTGCTAATCTCATTGATTTTTCCCCCATAGGCCATGCGGTTTCCGATGAATCAGCACCGCGTGGAGCTAAAGAGTGCGCAAGAGGCACGGGAGCGAGAGCGGGAGCTAGCCAAGGAGATTCAGGACGGAGACATGGACGATGAGGATGCTGGTGGCGATTTTGATGCCATCTAAAGTCAGATGGGTCCTGGTAATTGATACATCAATTTTTCTTCCCTCCCGGCGCACTTGGCCCTGTGCATGCCATGCATGGGGTCTGCCCTCGTAGTGGCCTTCTTCACCTTATGTGTTAACTGTGTGCGATTTCGCTTTTTCTTGTCAGATGTGTACGAAGGGAAATGTGCAGGACCAAGATGGCCGGCGCGATCTTCCATGTCTCTTATACTGGAATTATTCTTTCTTTTGCATAGGATCGTTGTATTGCCCTGTATCTCCTACAAAGAATCACGGTAGAAGTCGGTTGGGATACTCGGTTCCATTGGAACATGTTTTGTTTTCGTCAGAGTGCAGTCTACTTGGTTCATGTAGTCCGAAAATGGTGGAAAAATTAGACTTATTTACAGTATAGGTTCCAGTGTATTGTACACCGTGGAGTGCGGAAGCCAAACTCGCTCTCACGCGTGGTCCGTGCCGTCCCGAGAGCTCGAAATCTTCCCGCCTGATTATTCCTGTGGACCTCATATTCCCAACCCCAAACACCTTGCATCGGCATCAACCCCCATACAATCGGACGAATCCATGTTCTGCTCGATATAATACGATATTTTTTCTCATTTCAGAGCCCCCGCACTGAACATGCGAGCTCGTACCCTTTCGACCACCGGGCTGGTCCTCACCCGAACATCCTCGCCCTCCGCTTTCTGTTCCCAATGTCTTCGCGATGACCTGCTCTTGCCCCATATCTCCATTCAATCCCGCAAATATCACCCTACTCGCCGGCGAGATGTTTCACCCTTTGGTGCTGCCGTGTCGGCCGCTCAGACTATCTTCAAGGGCATGCCAAAGGCGCCTCCGGGCATCTCTGTCGACCCGTTGCGAATTGTCGGCAAGGAGCTGAAGTTCTTGACTAAGAATATCCGCCAATTGCTAGGATCAGGCCATCCGGCCCTGGATAAGGTAGCCAAGTACTATACGCGGAGCGAGGGCAAGCACATGCGGCCGCTGCTGGTCCTGCTGATGTCCCAGGCGACAGCCTTGGACCCTCGCAAGCATGTCTACGATTCTCCTAATTCGAAGCCCGTTGACAGCGCCCTGAGCTCCGCAAGTATCCTCGAAGACGCAAACCCAGATACGCATCCGCTTGTGTCCCGGTCTGCCGAGGCCAAGTACGACTTCGCCGGCGACGACAATATCCTTCCCTCCCAGCGCCGACTAGCCGAAATCACAGAACTCATCCACACCGCTTCGCTCCTTCACGACGATGTCATTGATAATGCAGTGACCCGTCGTGCCAACAGTTCGGCGAACCTGGCGTTCGGAAACAAGATGGCGGTTCTGGCTGGTGATTTCCTGCTGGGACGGGCCTCTGTGGCCCTGGCCCGGCTGCGTGACCCAGAGGTGACGGAGCTGATGGCTACCGTTATCGCCAACCTGGTGGAGGGCGAGTTCATGCAGCTGAAGAACACAGCCCAGGACGAGGCTAAGCCTGTCTTCACTGAGGATACATTGAACTACTACTTGCAGAAGACTTACCTGAAGACTGCCAGTCTGATCAGTAAGTCTTGCCGCTCTGCAGCTGTGCTGGGACGAAGCGCTCCCGAGGTCATCGAGTCCGCCTACTCCTATGGCCGTAATCTGGGCCTGGCATTCCAGCTGGTGGATGACATGTTGGATTATACTGTTACCGAGGCAGAGCTGGGTAAGCCGGCTGGGGCCGATCTGGAGCTTGGTCTGGCCACCGCTCCGCTCTTGTTTGCCTGGAAGGCCAATCCCGAGCTCGGTCCCCTGGTTGGCCGTAAGTTCCGTGAAGAGGGCGATGTGCAACGGGTAAGAATTCCATTTCCCTCTGTGAATTGAGCGTGATTTTCTAAAGATTAATGCTGATCATATGCACAGGCCCGTGAGCTTGTTTATAAGAGCAACGGAGTTGAGCAGACCCGTCTCCTGGCCCAGGAGTACGCCGACAAGGCTGTGACGGCCATCAGCGACTTCCCCGACAGCGAGGCCAAGTCCGGCCTGATCGAAATGGCCGAAAAGACCATGAAGCGGAGGAAGTAAGGAAGAAGATCTGTATCATTGTAAACATATCTGCGTTTTCGTTGCGATCACCCCTTGTTCGGTTACTTTTGGGGTCGAAAGTACATGTATACCTAGAGTTAGATGCGTGTTTTTTTTATTTATAAGGTAACGACATGGAGCTCTGATGGTATATGGGACTCATAATCCTGATTATTGAGAAGCGGCATTATGACATTGTAGGCCTCGGAGTACGGAGTATATGTAGCTCTGCTGTAGTGGTGGTTCCTGACAGCTGGTCGGATCCTGCGGGGTATGGCGGGTACGGTCTGTAAGACATAATACGCGAACTCGAAATATGGAATGTATGCACTCAAGTTCGGTCACAATACTTGTATTACGCTAACCATACTCTCTCGAGACGGATCATAAGGGGCTCAAACACCTTCGTCATCCCGCTGTGCTTGGGAAGCTGCAACTCCACTTCTCAACTGCCATCTGCTCTGCTCCGCCGGTTCACTTGTCTTCGCGCACGTTCGTTTTCTTTTTTATTTTTGTCGGAGCCGGTCTCTCTTTGTCTCTTGGAAGCTTCCACCTCTCTTCTCTGTGCCCCTAGACTACCTCCGAATTATGGAGCTCTTGGTCCTCCCCCATTGATCGAACGATCGACTGATTCCCGATGGGTTCACTCGGCAGCTTTCTCGTTGCATACCTGCTCGGGGGCGTCACTTTGTTGCCTCTGGTTCTTTCTTTCATCGTATTCTATGTCTACCTGACCCTCCCTGATGCCCCATCGGCCAATCAACCAGAGAAGCAAGCTCCCGATTCACTCCGACTGCCGGCCGACGACGAGTACAGCCTGAAGTCTGGGACCGACCAGCTAGCAGACAACTTTCATCGTACCCACGATTCAGATGTTGCCACAGGTTATTTCGCCGTCTGTCGCGAATATGTTCCTGGCGGAGTCAATGGGAAGCCCCCGGAGCGCACAACACCCGCGGGCGAGGTCGTAGCCGCCGAGAGTCCCAGTGTATACCAGACGATGTATCGAAGCTTGTTCGACCGCAAGCAAGCACCTAGTATTGAGCCGGCTAAGTCGAATGGAAAGAATACAAAGCGGGCGCGGAATGTTTTCTATATTGTTCTTCGGTATGCTTTTGCACCAGGTCGAGTCATGACGTGACATATGATTTGCCTGGAACGGATATGCTGACGATTGGCGAAATTCGCGATTAGACATGGTCATTTGATGCTGTATGATGATGTGAATCAGGTGGAAGTGCGCTATGTGATCTCTCTTGCCCACCATGATGTGACTATTCACAGCGGCGAAGGGGATATTCCCGAGGGCGAGCTTTGGATCAAAAGAAATGCGATTTGTCTTTCACGGCGACTGGATTCGCTTGGAGACTTGGGAGGCCCAACACCGCCATTCTTTTTGTTTTCCGAGAACCTGTCAGAGAAGGAGGATTTCTATCTCGCAATGCTCCAGAACCAGAATAAGCTGTGGGACTCTCCTGACCGTCCTCCCAAGCACCAGGACTTTGATGTGAAGCATATTATTTCGCTGGTCCAACGTCTTCATTCCTCAGAGGAACAATTACAGACACGGTGGATCAATGCTTTCTTCGGTCGCTTGTTCCTAGCGTTATATCGCACTCCGGAGCTGGAGGAGTTTATTCGGGGCAAAATAGCGAAGAAGATATCTCGCGTCAACAAGCCGAACTTTATCAGCAAAGTTGGCTTGCAAAGGATCGACATGGGCGAAGGGGCCCCCTTCATCACCAATCCTCGGTTGAAGGATCTGACTGTCGATGGTAACTGCTGTGTCGAGGCGGATCTCCAATATTCGGGGAGCTTCCGGGTGGAAATTTCCGCCACAGTACGCATTGACTTAGGGCCCCGTTTCAAGGCTAGGGAGGTCGATATTGTTCTGGCAGTGGTGCTCAAGAAATTGGAAGGGCATCTACTGATTCGCTTCAAGCCTCCGCCTAGTAATCGCTTCTGGATGTCTTTTGAAACAATGCCCAGGATGGAGATGGATATCCAACCCATCGTTAGCTCGAAGCAGATTACGTACAGCCTAATCCTGCGCACCATCGAGAGTAAGATCCGTGAAGTGGTCGCAGAAAGTATTGTTCAACCATTTTGGGATGATGTTCCTTTCCTTGATACCCATGGCCAAGCTTTTCGTGGTGGTGTTTGGCAACGAGACACTCCCGAGACGGACATCCAGGTAGATATACCCGATGAGTCTGGTGATCCTCCATCAACACCAAAGAGCCTACGCGGAGACTCCATTGAAGTCCTCAAGTCCAAGGACGACAGAACGATGAGTATGCCTGCACTCTTGGAGCCTAAATCGCCGAAAGTCAAAGCCAAACCACGAAAGGGCTTGAAACAATCTTCCTCGGATTTACACCCCAGTCACATCATGGCAACTTCTACTGGAGTTGAGAGACCGGATATTATGCCCCTTCCCCGTGCCATCCGATCGCAAACCTTCTCCCATGCGGCAGATCCAGTCGTCACGGCAGACAATGCCAAAGTTAACAAGGTTGTGTCTGATAACAAAGGTGAGGAAAGGAGCAGTGCAGCAAGCGCCATGATTGAAATCTCAAACCGCTCTCCACCTACCTCTCCGAATCGGACTCCGAACAACTCGCCGCCTTCTGGTGGCATCATGATGCCAGAGAACGCGGTCCATAGCCGTGGATCCTCCATCGCCGAGTCTATCGACAGCATCAGCTTTGTCAGTGACCATGCCATGAAAAGCCCATCCTCTGCCCATTTCGAAAATCACTCCTTGCCGGGCCCGCGCAGCTCTCGGGGCAGCTCCACCGCATCTCTCACAAATGAAAAGCCTCGCCGGCGCAGCACGATGGAGACTTTAACCAAGTCTTTTACATCCGCTACCTCATCCGATGACAAGTCTTTGGGCAATATGACGATTGGATCTGCCACTGCCGCTGCAAAGAAATGGGGCTGGAATGTGTTCGGAAAAAGCGACAACAATGCTGAACAAGACTCCCCTCGGACTCCAGCAGGCACCATAGATGAGCCCATCGGACGGGGCCACCCTCACCCTCCGCCTGGGGCTCCCTTGCCACGTCCTGACAAGTTTGCTTTGAAAAGAAATTCGGGCTCAGGGACTCTCCCCCGAAGAAAACCCGTGGCGCCCTCAACTCTACCGGATCGGCCAAATACCAGCGATCATCGACCTGCTCCACCCCTAACTTTACCTCGAAGAAAACCCATACCCTCGAATATGCATACCGACACCGGGGTTGACGAGTTGCTTGTTGTACACCCGCCACAAGATTCTGCACCAAATAGCCCCATAGTCGGTGATATTGACTCTGGAGAAGGACCAACAGATGCTATCCTCCTCGAGAGCGAGACCCCATCCAAAACCGGGACAGATCACAAGCAAGACGATGAAGACAGACAAGATGCCAGTTCCCTAGAGCCCGTGGAACCGATTTTGGCGTCAACTCCGGACAGTCATAGCGAAGCACTTCCACCCATTGAACAACCGATGGAAATCCGAACTTCGTAATGCGCTTGGGTGATTAATAGTATGATGGATAGCTACAGTGCCTAGCTTTCCTGGGACTGGGATTGTGTAACTATGTGATTTCTGAAAACTGAAGAGGCGTTCTATGGATCTGGCTTTGTTTCCGATATTTGTACTGCAGGACAGGAAGCAGAAAGCTCTTTATGGCCGCTGGATTATTTTTGTGGTTGGGGGGACCCGACATAGAGTCAAGATATATTTTTTCCTCGAAGCCTTTGACGACCCAAATGTACAAGGAATGCTTCCACTTTCCTCCTTTACATTAGAGATCATAGTCACCATCACACCGGGACGTATGATTTGAAGACAAATTTGCTGCCTGCTCCGTGCAGCAGCATGACGCGGCATAGTTTACTGACCCTTAATAAACGGGCGGTTGGCAAGGGATGGGACTCGAGGCTTAGGCGTCGCCAAGACTGACAGGCGCCAGCTTTCCCCAACGTCATTGCGCTCCACGTGCAGGACCACCACCACTTCTGCACCTCCACCTGCTCACTTTCCGGCCAGCGCAAGCTTCATTTGGCAAATCGGCGCTGTCCGGATTCGGGATCTGCTGTGACGCTCGATTCCTCCTTTTCTAGTTCCCCTGAACCTGCATCCCGTGTCCCCGCATCGCAACCAACCCCCCAAAGCGAAGATGAGTCGGTAAGCGGGACCCCTACCTGCAAGACGGGCAGAAGAATAATATAAATCGCGTAGGACCGAGGCCGATTTGGCCATCAATATCCGAAAGGCTACGAGCATTGGTGAGTATCGCTCCGGCTGTGCCGGCCCCGAATTGGAAAGGAGAAGAGGCTAACTGTGAACGTTGCAACAGAGGAAACTGCGCCTAAACGTACGTCCTAACCATGTCTCGATTGCCGCTAGACAGAAATTCGATTGCGATGGGGATAAATGCTGTGCTAGGCTCGACTGACACCGTCCGACTCTTTCAGGGAAACATGTGCGCAGTTGCATTGTGTACACGTGGGACCACAAATCTTCCCAGGCCTTCTGGGCGGGCATGAAAGTGTACGTGTTTTGGAGTCCCAGAGAGTGCTGATGATACCGGAGAGTTTGAAAGTACATAACTGATGTTTTTGCCTGCTACAGGCAACCTGTTCTCGCCGACGAGGTCCAGACCTTCAAAGCACTGATCACCATCCACAAGGTTCTCCAAGAGGGCCACCCCATTGTCGTGCGGGAAGCGCAGCAACATGCCAATTGGATCGACAGCTTGATGAGAGGAGTTGGTGGTGATGGCATTCGAGGTATGGAATTCACATGTCGGAGTCGCATACATGAACTCCGTAGGGAGCGTTGGCGTATGCCGCGGATGAGATGTTGACCGTGCTTGAACAGGATATGGACCCCTCATTCGCGAATACGTTTTTTATCTCGAGTCGAAGTTGAACTTCCATCGGAATCACCCCGAATTCAACGGTATGATCAATCTACTCGTCCAAGGTAGAGGAATAAAAAGATCTAATCGTTGCAGGCTTGTTTGAATATGAGGAGTACATTAGCCTGAAGAGCATAAATGATCCAAATGAAGGGTGCGCATAATAATAATGCCCTCAAAGTCCGATCATGGCGTGCTAACGGCTTCCACAGCTACGAGACTATCACCGATCTCATGACTTTGCAGGATCAGATCGATGCTTTCCAGAAGCTTATTTTCTCACACTTCCAATCGGGTACCAACAATGAGTGCCGGATCTCCGCTCTGGTGCCTCTAGTGCAGGAGAGCTATGGCATCTATAAGTTTATTACTAGCATGCTACGGGCTATGCACACAAGTATGAGATCCCCGGATCTAATACCTCATTAATTGAAGACATCGCTGACGATTAAAACCATCTAGCAACCGGAGATGATGAAGCCCTTGAACCACTCCGTGGACGCTATGACGCACAGCACCACCGCCTTGTCAGATTCTACTACGAGTGCTCTAACCTGCGATACCTTACCAGCCTTATCACCATTCCGAAGTTGCCCCAAGATCCCCCAAGCCTTCTTGGCGAGGATGAAGAACGCCCTGCTTTGCCCAAGCGTCCGACCAAGGAGGTTGAGGCCCAGCCCACCCCCCCACCGAAGGTGGCCGCCGAGCCGGAACCCATTAACGACTTTTGGACCAATGAGGCTAAGCGGCAGCAAGAGGAGTACGAGGCAGAGCAAGCCCGTCTTCAGCAGCAGTGGGCGGATCAGCAACAGCAACAGATTCTTGCTCAGCAACAGGCTCAGCGTGACTTTGAAGAACAGCAACGTCTCCAAGCTGAGCAGCAACGACTGGCACAGGAACAGCTTCTCCGTGACCAGTTTTCGACCCAAACTCAGGGTCGTTTGGCTGAGTTGGAGCAGGAGAATCTCAATGCCCGCGCTCAGTATGAGCGGGACCAGCTGATGCTGCAACAGTACGATCGCCGTGTGAAGGACCTAGAAGAGCAGATGAACCAGCTGAACTCCAACCTTAACATGCAGAATGCCTCCAAGGATGAGCAGATCCGATCCTTGCAAGAACAAGTGAATACTTGGAGGACGAAATATGAAGCTCTGGCCAAGCTGTATTCTCAGCTGCGGCAGGAACATCTGGATCTCCTGCAGACAACCAAGAGCCTGAAGCTCAAGGCTGCATCGGCTCAAGAGGCTATTGATCGCCGAGAGAAGCTGGAGCGTGAGTTGAAAACCAAGAATCTGGAGTTGGCTGATATGATCCGGGAGCGTGACCGTGCTTTCCACGACAGAGATCGTGTCTCTGGCACCAACAAGGATGAGCTGGAAAAGGTGAAGCGAGAGCTTCGCATGGCTATTGAGCGTGCTGAAAATGCTGAGCGGCAGAAGGGCACGGAGATTTCTTCTATGCTGTCCAAGTACAACCGCGAGATGGCTGATCTGGAGGAGGCTCTTCGTGTAAGAACTCACCGCTCGTAAATCGTGGCTTTCTTGTACTGACGATCTACAGACCAAAACTCGAGCTCTTGATGAGTATTCCAACCGCAATTCCGAGCGACAGGGCGATCATGACCTGGCTCTCCGCGAGAAGGATGAGGAAATTGAAGTGTACAAATCCGGCATGGAACAGGCTTTAATGGAGCTTGAGGAGTTGAAGCTGGTAAGTGTTGAACTTGAAACAATCTATCGCTTTCTCCAGCTAATGATTGACCACTTCTTTTGTAGAGCCAAGGCGACGTGGATACTGCCCTGGATAGCCAGATTGACACTGTGCTCCACGGTACAGTGGCTAAGATCAACGATATTATCGACTCCGTGTTACAAACTGGTGTGCAGCGCGTGGACGACGCCTTGTATGAATTGGACTCATCCATGCAAGCCGGTAACCAAAACGCTTCTCCACCCTACGTGCTCTCACAGATTGAAAAGGCTTCAGCTTCAGCGACGGAGTTCTCAACTGCTTTCAACAACTTCATTGCCGATGGCCCCAACAGCCCGCATGCCGAGATAATTCGCACAGTGTCTGTCTTCTCTGGCTCCATTGCCGATACACTGAGCAACACCAAGGGTCTGTCTCGATTTGCCAATGACGACAAGAGCTCCGACCAGCTGTTCAATGCTGCTCGCAAGTCCGCCCAGGCTACTGTGCGTTTCTTCCGAGGCCTGCAATCGTTCCGTCTCGAAGGCATGGAGCCCTTGCAGAAGACTGATGTAGTCATCAACAACAACCTTGAAGTCCAGCGAGACCTGCAGGCTCTGTCGAAGATGGTTGAGTCCTTCTCGCCAAAAAGCAGCAAGATTGCCACTAATGGAGATCTGGGCGACCTAGTCGACCAAGAACTGCTCAAGGCAGCGGATGCGATTGATGCAGCTGCCCAGCGCCTTGCGAAGCTCAAGAACAAGCCTCGCGATGGCTACTCGACATACGAGCTGCGCATCAACGACTCCATCCTGGCTGCTGCCATTGCTGTGACTAATGCCATTGCTGAACTGATCAAGGCTGCCACCGAGTCCCAGCAGGAGATTGTTCGTGAGGGCCGTGGTAGTGCATCCCGTACTGCTTTTTACAAGAAGAACAACCGCTGGACCGAGGGTCTGATTTCAGCTGCTAAGGCGGTTGCTTCTTCCACTAACACCCTCATTGAGACTGCCGATGGGGTGATCTCGGGTCGTAACTCGCCTGAACAGCTTATCGTCGCCTCCAACGATGTTGCTGCTAGTACCGCACAGCTTGTGGCCGCCAGTCGTGTCAAGGCCACTTTCATGAGCAAGACTCAGGATCGCCTGGAGACTGCCAGCAAGGCTGTTGGCGCCGCATGCCGCGCCCTAGTACGCCAGGTGCAAGATATCATCAAAGAGAAGAACCGTGATGACAATGAAGCAGAGGACTACGCAAAGCTGAGCTCCCACGAGTTCAAGGTTCGCGAGATGGAGCAGCAGGTATGTTTGTATCCGTCTTCTTCCCTCTGAATATCTACTAAATCTCTTTACCCGTTTTCCTAGGTCGAAATCCTTCAACTCGAAAACAACCTCGCTCGTGCCCGTCAACGCCTGGGTGAGATGCGCAAGATTTCATACCAGGAAGAGTAAAACCCACTTCCCTTGACTCGTTTCCCTCTGAACTGTTTTCTCGCGCCGGACTGTGTATATCCTGGACATTGTTTTGGGCTCTGTTTCACCTGTACTCTTCCTATAGTGTCTATTTCATCTTCATTACAGTGGCTCTTCACGCCAATGCTTAGCGAATTGTACTCAATTTTCCCCTTTCCCCCGTCTCTTTAGTTCGATGACGTTCCCATAGTCTCTCGCTCGCCCAAAATGTAATAACCCTTTCATGCCCTACATCCCATGGCTGCGCATCCCTGCTTTGGCTATGCAGTCCCACCCCATTTCCAACCTTTCGCCTCCTGCCCACGTTGTCCAATCTCGCCCCTATCCCCAAGCACAAAGACCACACGAACCCACGAACCATGGTCGGCCCATCTCCACTCGTCCCACTCATCCACCGATCGGCGGTCTTGGCATCAAGGTCCAACAAAGAAACCGCGCCAGCCACATCCTGCGTCTCGACCACCTACACGAAAGAATCGGCCGATTCGAGCGTCGCAAGCGGATATCGGTCCAGGAATCACACCGGAAATTACTTCTAAACTCCGGTCCCAACGTCATGGACGGCTGCGTAGCCCCTGTCTAGGCCGGGCCTGGAGTCTGGAGGAACTATAGTCGTTTACGAGAACAGAAAATGCAGGAGACTAATTATCTGAGAATTTGAGCGATTTCAAGTCTAAATTCGCAGAACTGACCAGGGATACAAAAGCAAAAAAGAAACAAAAACGGCAGAGAACGAGAACATGCAAAGCACCGAAAGCAGGACGCGCAAAAGTGGATTTTGGTCAGATCATGTCAATGCAACTGTGGATGCAATTGGATCATTGTCATAAGAATTTTGCAATGGAAACAACAAGCTGGATCCGTCAGGATCGTGGATAGTTTGGAATTTGAGGTTTCATTTGTCAAGGAAAGGCAGAAGGATGTAGTTGTATTCGGTAAGATCTTTGGCACTGGGACTAACTCGTAAGTCCGACTACCGAGGAGTTGTCATATGACACCCGTCAATGCCGACGGATGGAAGTATGAAGCTGTCCTCAGTGTCTGGCCTGTTAAATACAAAGATAGATTCATGCAAAAAGAAGCAACGCCGGCTTTGATCAATGCCTGAAAGGTCTCGTAGCATGCAGTCGATCGCTCTCATCATCTCCGAATATGCTGTTGGCCGCTCCCTCCTCTGACGGCCTTTATTTTCCTTTATGTTTGCTTCTGGAATCGCCGAGGATGATCAAGTGCTTCCTGTAGTGAGTTCTCCAGTGCCAGCCATCTGGGCTTGTTGAGCGTATCTAGGTGTGCTGCCGGTACTCCGTGGGTAGGTTGGAGGTGATTTCCTGGATGACAGCATCGAGGGCTTTGTCGGCATCGAGTCGACCTCGATGAGCATGAATTGTTTGGCCAGGGCATCCGATTCGAAGTATCCAGAATTCCTATTCTTCAACTTGTCCTTCGATTTGGAGCGATGGCACCCTGGTCAGTGTCGGCCTCGAAGGGAGATTGGGGGGAGACTAGAGTTGAACGAGATCAAAAAGCCGCTCGGGGAAGGGCCGTGGCACTCGGTCATAGTGGGAGGTATACGTGTTGTGCGGAATAAACGGCGGAGTCTCCGTCGGGGGCGGTCATGATTGTGGCGGTTGTGTGAAGGATGGCCGCGGCAGCCGCAAGGTATGACGTCCATCATTGACTGCCCCCATTTCATCATTTCGGCCATCTCGGTATATGAGTGGCCGGTGAACATCTGGTACTGAAGGCGTACGCGCCATCCAGACACCAATTATCGTGCGCACTGGGCCGGGAATCAGACGGCACAAGTCTCTGAAAAGCACCTCGTAAAGAGAGGAAGCCGAAGAATATTGATTGAGTGATGTCAAAGGGACAAGGACGTAGCGGGTGGAGTATTGCAACGGGACCTGTACCGGCGCGGCAGGCGGGGGAAAAATGTGTTGCAACAGACTCTCAGGGAGACTAGGGGAGAAGATGGCGGCTGGTAGTTGTCATTGGGCGTCGACGAAGATTCTAAAATCCGATAGAGCTAGCTAACGTCGACTGCCCACGCCAGTCAGAATGAACTCCTAATTTTCGTCGCGCTCCGTCTATGTCGTCTTGAAAGCAACAGAATTAGATCAAACTTATTCAGGAGACGGGTGATCGAGACATCGATGACAGGACCTACCTGATATGAGGGTACCCCTGGCAATGATTTGGCAGATGCGACCGCCAAGGAGGCCGCCCTCTCTGATTCCACGGTCTCCGATCCCACATCCGGCAGCACCAACCCTGCTCATCAGAACACCCGATATATTGTCATCGTATCAGCGATTAAACGACGTATCCGTCAGCGAGCAAAGCAGGCGAGGGAGGCAGCGTGGTGGAAGGAGAAGGGAGCGCGGTCGACGAAGCGGCTGATCGAAAAATCTGGCAAGAAAACACTGGATTTCTGGCAAAGCCTGCGAAAGGCTACATCATCTGTGCTGATACAGCTGAGAGCGAGTAAGATCAGACTGTCAATCTACCTGTCAAAAATCAACAGGCGCGATTCCCCAAGATGCGGGTGTGATTTAGGCAAATCAAACGAATGGAGCCGAACACCGGGGAGTCTTGAGTCTCAACCTCGCAAATCCAGCGAAGATCAAATATGAGCACCCAGAACAGTGGCTATGAAGAACTGATGGGGCAGAAAACAGGAACAGACTGCCAGAATTTCGGCCAGCTCCCTTGGTTGTCACCGACAACCGAGACATGGCGACGGCTGCGCGCATGAGAATAGAGTGGGAGTGGGCGCGTGGGTCCGAGACATATGGGCGTGCGGAAGAGGCAGTTAAAAGCGAGATGATCTGCCAATGCAGCAACGCGGCAGGCTGGCAGACCAGTGACTCAAAGCTTGGTGACACGAACCTGCCAGGGAGATGGTGCGTGGGAGATGCCAAGGAAGGCAGAGTGAAGGTTTGTATGTGGAGAAAGGGGTGTTAGGGTTCGGGAGCGGGCGGGGAGACTGCCCCCACGCGACCTTATCGAAGCTTATCTCTCTAACCCCATTTTGGATATTCTGCTTGGGGCCATGACTGCTGCATGTTGTGATGTGGTGCGCCCTGGGCCTCTACCGAGGACCACTGTGGAATATTGGGACGTGGGGGCCTTTTTTCCCTTCTTTGATTTCTGCCTTTTCCTTTGTTTGCAGTCGTTTTCCATCCGTTCGTTCCAATCGCTGATTGGCCTCATGTTGCGGGCAGCACTTGTCATGTGCACTGGGCTGGAAATCAGAAGGCGAAAATCCTTGCATAGCACCTTGTAAATAGCTGAAGCTCCAACAGGGATAAGAATATTGATTTATTGGTGGCATGGTGATGGTGATGGAAAAAGATCGCGAATTCGGATCCGGAAGGCAGGGGTGACGGTATGGGAACGTGCTCCACCACCGGATCACGCTGAGTTCGAAAAGAAAGATGGTATCTCGACCAAGAAGAATTGGCGGTCGAAGGATCGCCAGTGACGATTAAAAGGGCCAGAGAAACCGGCTGGAGGGATTAGATGCTGGCTGGTAGGGCGGCTTGCATGGGTGCAACCAGCCGGCAACGACCAGGAGAGCTGGAGAAAGCGAAATAGGTAGAGCTGTAGGGGGTGCAAAGGTTTGTCGAATCCTTGAGACTGGTTCTCCAACGTGAAACAAACCATAACTAGCGTTAACTAGGCTTGCTACAAGTGTAGGAGGATCTGGTCATAAGGAGTTGCATTCCGTAAGATCGTCGTCCGACTGCCGAGGAAATTTCCTGAAAGGAGTCAGTGTAAAAATCTCATCATCCTGGACACTCGGAGTTGAAATGATTTGAGGCGCAATATTCGAAATATTCGCATAAGCTTGGTCAGGGTCATAGACAAGGTCGTCTAACGGATCCATATCAGAATCGGGTTCCGAGTAGACCTCATCCAATGAATACTCGAATCGGGCTTTGTTGAACTTGTCATCATCGTCGAAAAGCCATTCGAAAGGATCAGCAACCTTCAGCACAGGACGACATCGACGAACTGCAAGGGCCGAGTCAGTCCACGTATTTTGTGCTGGCCAGAGGGACCCAGGAATTTTCCGAACAATCCAGCCGTTTTGGATGCAATCGACGATGATGTCGTCAATAGACACATTTGAGACCGGGCATAGGTGAACTGTGCACTGCGAGACTTTGCTGAAAAAAATAGAGTTGTCTTCGACTCTGAGTTCCCAGCCACGTCGTGCAAGGTATGTTTCTGCATCTGAAGGTAAGAGAAAAATATCGGTGACAAGGGTCATGTAGAGCTGAAGAGACTTGGCAGTGACCTCGAAATTGTCTCGAATGATGCTGTAAGCAAGAGCCATAAGTTCCCACTGTGGCTTCAGAGGTTCGTTTTCCCACAATAAAGCGGTGGCGCGAGACTTGGTGGCTTGAGTGATACCCGCAAATAGTGGAGCAACATAGGCTGAAGTATGGTCAGCACTTACCAAAGGGAATACAGGAAATGATGCTGGAATTCACCTCGGAATGACATAAAACCATTCAGGGCTCGCTGCTGAGGCGGGGGCCGACCAACTGCAATCTCATTGCCCACTTCCACAGGTGAATCCCCACCAAGGGGCTTTCGATATCCAATAACATTGCCACCAGAACCCTTTCCATGAACAACAATAAGCCGATTGTTCTGAAGCTCAAGACGGTCGCCATCGTAAATGGGAAGATGCTGCTTGAAGTACTGAGGTGGAATGGCAGCAATTGTCCGGCGTGCGTATTCTGCGAAACCAAGCTCTGTTGGCCATGCCGCGATCATTTGTTGAGCATGTGAGAAGGGAATACTGCAAAGGTAATCAATACATTTAAGTTCAGCGGCACTCCATGTCTCCGGTCCGCGGGATATTAGTATGTTTAGCTTGGGAGCTAGATTTAGGATTGAAGGCATGAGAAGGGGCCTCAGCAGAGGCAGAGCAAGTACGATCCTAAATCTAGCTCCCAAGCTAAACATACTAATATCCCGCGGACCGGAGACATGGAGTGCCGCTGAACTTAAATGTATTGATTTTTGGGAGGATTGCTTGTTTTTTTGTTGATACAACCGCAAATTTCATTAACGCCCTAAATTAAAAGATTCATAACAAAAAGATTTCATTGAAAATGAAATGAAATGAAGCGTATGATTGATGGAAGATGAGGCGAAGTCCTCTCACAGATTGAGCAGCTCATCCATATTGAAGTCAGTGTCAAATTCATCTCCGGCTAAAGGAACAAAGTTGAGGGTCTCGATCGCTTGACGTTCAAGCTGCATATTGACAATGCGTTGGAATTCATCATCGTCAATGGGACCAGGGATTGGAGCAACACCATTCGGACCATAGAGAACATCGGCCATTGCAAGTAGATCAACCAAGTCGTTATCAACTTCAACAAAGCCATCGGTTTCGTTCATAGCCTCTTGCAAACGCTGCGGGCCACCATGAACATTGTTCAGGAACTGAAGGTAGTTGGCATGGATCTTGCCCTTTCGACGCGGAACTTCAGCAGGGCGACGAGGAGTGTACTGATAATTAGGGTGTTCAGCAGCGTGCTTTTGCTTCTCTTCAAGGGCAAGTCTCTTGAATGTCTCTCGAACAGCTGGTTGCTCATTACGCCACATTCTAGCAATGATACGGGCTAAAACTGTTAGTAAAGACGCGCAAATAGTAGAATTGACTTACAAATTTCAGTGTTCTGAACTCCAGGGTTTTGAGCAGTGACTTCATGGTGATGGTGTTGACGGTAGATAATGAACTGATTTCTGGGACGCGGAATTCGACGAGGAGATTCAGGAATTTTCACACCACTCATAACAGCCAGTTCAAGTTCTCTTCGAATTAGCTGATGAATACCGGCATCGAAGGGCATAAAGCGAGGTGGTTGACGTGGCATCATGCGCCAGGCACTGACAGTGTCATCATAGATCACATCGATCGAGCAATCTAGGAGTTTCCTAAACAAATCAGCAAAGAAAAAAAAATCGAAGAAATTAGCGCTCACGATAGCCGGCTTAAGATTTCTTTGAACCCATTTTGACCGATCCGGGGCACAACGTTGTCGGGGATAAGAACTTCGTTGTTGGTGTTATCAAGGTGCCGCACTGAGTTCCACCAGAGAGCTTCGGTTGCCTTCTCCTCAATGGAAGAAGCCTCGTAGAATTCTCTAGGGAAAGGATTAGGCAGACTGGCGAAGTATTCCTCCATAACGAGAAGGGGCCTCAGCAGAGGCAGAGCAAGTGAAGAATGAAAATGAACGAGCAAGCGAACAAGTGAGGTTGGGAGAAGTGAGTAAAGGAAAGGAAAGTGGAGAGGCGGTGGGGACGGAGAAGAAAGAAAGTAGGAAGAGGAGGGAAGAAAAACAAAGTTATTTATACCCTTGGCGATGGTTGCCAGGTGCATGTGCCACATCACATATCCCGATTTGGAATTCGTCGACGACAGGCACCTCAGCTTGGAGAGGAGCATATTTTAATGGCGAAGGTTGCACATTCAATTCTTCTTTGCCGCTGTATGTACCAGGAGGTACCCCCATCCTGGTGCGGTACTCTACCTGACTCCCGGACGCCCCACCACCCCTGGGTTGTTGGTCTCCTCCCCCCCCCCCCCCCTCCCCCCTGATTCACAAATACGAGGATTTCGATTCAGGAGTTGTCTGGGACATCGGTGTGGTAGATCAAGATATGGGGTTCATGCAATTACAGGGGTGGAAATCTTCTCCATCTATATTAGGTTTAAGCATATTGGCAAACAGACTGGAAAGGACCGCCCTGTATGGTGTAACGTGTGGGGGGCTCCCACGTGGAGGCGGTCTACATATAGATCTGGCCCAGTGCAACGGATCAAGATCTACTAGCTCTATCATCATGATAACCTTGAGTTCGAGTATTCCAGGAAAGATTGCGAATCATGGTCAAAGGATAGATACACAGAGATGCTAGGACGGCAATGCGTCGGTCTTGGCGGTCGGGATGGTCATGTTTCTTCTCAAATGGGCAGCCCAGCGAACTGCAGTTGCGAGGCCTCGAAGTCCCAGTCCAGCCCAGTTACAAGCCAAGTACAACAAAGCCAGACAACAGGTACAAGTAGATGTAATGACAACCTCCCAGGCATCAACGGCTGGGGTGGAGACGGACCCACTCAAGAGCGGACGACTAAAACTGTAGGGGCTTCAACATGGGCAGGTAACAGGGCATTTCTATTCCATATTGAGCGCGCAGTATTAAAATGTTGAAGGATCCTGCCTGGGATGATCACCGTACAAACTGTTACCCATACTGGGGCCTGTAGGACCCACTCAATACCAGATGACCCACTCAACGACGGACAACAACCTCGAAGGTACACTGGCACTACAACACCATATTGGTCCATGAATATTAGAGTACTAGAATACACGCTCTCGAATGGCCATATTACGACCCCCAGGAGCAGTTGCCCACCCATGAAATCCCTTGGCGGAGTGGTCACGATATACTGCACTCGACGAAGACATACTGAACGTGGATATGCAATGCTTTTCATGTCTCATGCTTGTCATACCTCAGTGGGGCATCGCTGGGAACAATCAGACAGGGAAATGGTACCAGGTAGGACCAGGTTCGCCGGGAGACCATCTCGCAGCCCAGTGATGAGATGACGTAAGAAGAGAACAGCAAGATATAGGATGCCAGGGCGTATTCGTCATTTCAATCATGAATTTCCTTGGGCAGTCGGATTCCAATCACTCGCCCACATAAAGGTTGGGCATCGCCACTGGGAACCTTTTTCTTTCTCACCACTAGGCCCCAGGGGTCGTGAACAGATCCAGAACGCTCGACCGCGGTTCATACCAGGTTTTTTCGTGGTCAAGCTCATACATGGTTCCTGATGTCCGTCACAACGAGGAGCCGGCTTTTTTGTGAAGAGTTTGGACCAGTCTTCTTTGCTGACGATAGGGTCGATGATATTATTTGAGTCAAAGAGGGGAAAAGGGGTTTCAGCAGTGGCCGTCGACTCACCAGCCGTGTTCTCGAGGGCATGAGTCACCATATTAGAGCTTGCAAGAGCAGCTGTTCCGCTTTTATCAGACGAGGAAGATGTTTCTGTAGGAGGTTGAGAGAAAGCATCCCGCTCCACAGTCTTTGCCTTGAAGAAGCCTTTCAGCGTCTTCTGGCCAGTCGTAGCAGAAGACGGGGTCATGGCAGACTTGGGACGTTTCGAAGGTATAGAAGAAAGTGGCTGCGGCCTTTTCCGAGGGAGCTGGTTCAAACTATGGTTCTGAATGGGGGAACTTGAATTTGATGATGCTTCATTGGTGGCAGAGGATACCGATGAGGTTGCCGTTACACCTGGCGCCACACATGTTGCCGGTGGAGTCGATTGAGCAAACGGTGGTTGAGTAGGGTTACTGGTTGACTTGCGGGCGAACATATCCTTGATGCTACGGCGTTTGTCCACATCAAACTCCGGGAGTCGTCGCCCCGATGCCGGTAATATGGACTGAGATGAGTATTCCTGTTGACGTTCGCCCTCCCTGAACGTCCCTACTGGGTTCATAAGGTCACGAATGTGAGAGATGCCCGCACCATGGGGAATCTGGTCTTTAAAAATTGCATATACAGGACAATGGTCCGAGCCCTAATGAAGATAGTCAGTAAGGTACGATTTTGCGATTAATGGGAACAGACCATCAGGCCTTCTTGGATATTCGAGTCGGAGAACCATGTCTGCATGTCAAGGCTGCACAGAACGTAGTCAATTCTTGCCCCAAAATTTCCTGGGCGTGTATTGAGTCTTGTATCCCAGCAAGTATACATTCCAGTTCGACTGGGATGAAACGCCCTACAAATATCATGCAGCACAGGATGTTCTCTGCCGCTCTCTCGTGGTCCAACAACAGCCCCATCGGACAGTAGTTGATTGAAGAGTCTGCGAGAGGGTCCTGAGATATACGTCTCTTCAGTTTGTGTCTTTCTTCGAATTGCTTCCAGCGCATGTGCGGAATCGATGGCCTTCTTGGCAATATTGATATCCCCGGTTACAAAAACTTGCTTCCCTAGAGCGACAAGGTTCCGAATACGAGCATCCAAGGCGTTGAGGAAGCCAATTCTGAAATTATCACGACTTTGATCGCGGTTCGCCGGGCAGTATACTCCGATGAGGACGAATGCCGGAAATTCTAGAAGGACACTGCGGCCTTCTGAGTCGAGCGTTACAGGATCAATTGGCGTGTCGGTCCTTTGGTCTCCATCATCATCCTTTTCGGAGTCGCTATAATCGGAGCCAGGAGAGGGCCTGGAGAGTTGCTCCATAGTGGGATACCCGCCAATTTGCTGGTCCTTAGAAAGCTCGCGGAACGGTGTTGTTGAGTTGGGCGGGCATAAGATCCCAGTAATGCCCTCTTCTGCACGTATGGGTGCACATGTCTCATTACGAGTGTAAATTACCACACCGGAGTATCCTAGTCGGCGTTAGCATGGTCTATGAGTCGCTAAGAATCAACATCAGGAGGATGCAAACTCGCCCTTCTTGACTCTGGGCAGGCTGAAATAGCAGTCCCAGCCAGGGACGAGGACCATATCATCTCGAAGATCCTTCCGCTGAATTTTAGTTTCCTGGAAGACAACAATGTCGGCCTCAAGGATATCAAACATAGACTTGATTCATGTCAGCGAGGCTATAGCTCTAATCGCCCCCGTTAAGATAGCTCACCTCAAAGGTGCGAGTTCCTCTCCATGGCTCATATGAGAACGGGTTTCTGCATAATCAATCAGCAAGATTCATTACCAGTCATGAGCATAGGCCAAATACCGAATCCCATTCACTGCAATTCACAATCAGCAAGATTATCTCAGCAGAGTTCCACTCCTTTGGCCAAAATGGGTTCACATACCGTTCCACGTCGTGATGCGGAAGCCCATAACTGGCTATCACTGAAAGTATCCCACTGATGTCTTGCAGCTCCAGGGCGCAGATTTCAGCAAGGAAGATCTGATGGAGTTGACATATTTTTCGACTCAGCTTGTGAAGTCCTCACCTTGATGTGTCGGTATATAATCACGTGATTGTGGAGTGACATCAGGTTACATAAGCCGGGGGATCACGGGAGTCCACTAAAGCGGCTTCGATTTCAACGTACGATGTGCTCCGACTCCTCTCTCCTCTAGCAAACCCTCCGCTCCAACCACCACCATGCTCCCCCAGCGCAACATTGCTCGCTTTGCCCAGCGTGCCTCTCAGCAGGTTCGCTCGACCGCCCAGCGCCGCTTCAACAGCGCCGAGGCCAAACCCTCGTGGATTGTCGACAACGAGTTCAACCGCGAGCGTGCCGCTGTCAAGCACCACGCTGCCTCCACCAGCGGTACGTGAAAGACCCCAACCGGGCATCCAGACCTGTGTCCCTTGACCAATGCCTGGTTCGTGATTGTTACAACTACTTCGTGCTGATTCAATGTGATGCAGACTTGTGGCGCAAGCTCTCCATCTTGTATGTTTTTTTTCTTGCAGATTTATGGAGCCAATGGCCTGCTGGCTTGATTATACGGACTTTACTAACCATCGAATTTTTAGCGCTGTTGTTCCCTGCCTGATTGGCGGTGGTCTCAACGCCTATAACCTCTGGAATGAGCACTGGGAGCACTGGGAGCACATGCCTCCTCTTGAGGAGCGCACCGAGTACCCCTACCAGAACATCCGCGTGAAGAACTTCCCCTGGGGCGACGGTGACAAGGTGAGTTTCTTTCGTCTGTTTGCGTTATCTCATAATGATACCCACGGTTACTAATCAACTTTCCTTAGACCATCTTGTAAGTTTCGAAGCGCCCCTCTGATACCCAGATTTCTCCACAAAGACTGCCATGGTTACATTTGAGCCCAATATTTTACGCTTGCTCCGTATACTGGCCTCGGAATTGACTTGTTTGATTCAAACGCACCACCCCCCGTGTTTGAGGCCCAATGCTAATATTGACTTAGCTGGAACTCTGAGGTCAACTACCATAACAAGGACAAGGCCACCTAAGCCTACTCCCCGCTCAGCTGACAATAACTTCCAAAAAATCTCCTTTGAGCCCCCGATGCGTGTTTGGGAGATATTACCTTTGTCTTTGGTAATTACCTTTGTCTTTGGTAAACAGCTACATGTACATCTATCGCAGTGGTGTTCCGTGGGAGACATAGTTCACCTGTTTGAGGATGAGAAAGAGACCCGGAATGTAGTGAACTTGTCGTATTCTATCATTCTTACCATTCCCTTTGTTGAATATCGCCCTAGATCTGAAATCAACTCGGTTTGTGTGGATTATGTACCAAGTAGAGACATACAAATCTGTCTATTTGAAGTACTCGTGGGCAAACCAGGCCGCATACAGAGTCTTGTTAAAAACCTTCTTTCGGATTCTGTATTTACCAGGAGCCAGAGATGTTGCGATTTTGATATCTAAAATGGTTCGTTCAAGATCAAGCAAGTCCATTCGGGAATCATGATACCGTGGGTATAGCCCAAGCATTCAATTAGAGATACAGGAGACTTAAACCTCGGCCCCTCTCCGCTTGCGCAGATCAAGATACTTTGCCGCATAATCGTTAGCCAAGACCGGGTCCCCCGTCAAATGCATAACCGTAGCCTTCTTAGCCATCATCTCCGTTTGCCCGAGAATATCCTCGATCTCTTCACATGCATCATATGCCGAGTCAATGTACCCAAGTGCCCGATTGACGTACTCCTTCTTGTTAGATGCGCTCTCCTGGCCCTGCTTGGACCACAGTTCACCAGCAACGCCGATGTTTGCGTCAACGAGCAGCGAGTACGCACGCGCCGTCAGGGACGAGTCCTCTGCCTCCAGGATCTGCGGCATAATGCTCTCAACTAGCTCAGAGGTAGCCTCGAACTCGCGTAGTGACAGAAGTACAGTGGCGAGAGTGGTGATTGCCTCCCAGAGGTCGAAGAGGACTTTTGACCGGTGAGCAATGTAGGCAGCACGCATGGCGAGGGAAAAGCCACGTTGGGGGTGTCCGGATTTCTCGAGAATCCGTGCCTTCAGGCATAGGAGTTTGATCTGGGAGTGCACATCGAAATTTTCGGGTTGCATGGAGTGGGCGGCTTGCTCGACCATGCGCAGGGCGCGGCCGTAGTCACCTTGACGGATGGTAAATTCGATCGTGTAGAAAGCGAGAAGGAGACGCATGTCGAAGTCAAGGAGTTGCACAGCTTGGAGCTGGGAGAGGATGTGCTCGACGGCTACCTTATCATCGCTGGAAATGGTGTTAGACAATGTATATCAAGGAGTGACTCGCCATGACATTCATACCGAAATATTTGCCGGCGTAGTTGGAGCAAGCCAGAGTAATATGTCCAGGCATTATTATACTTGAAAGCGCGAAGTCTTTCTGGTTCGATTTTGTTCATCCGAGCGAACGCTTCTTTGTAGTTTCCTTTTTGTGCCAGCTGTATATACTTCATTAGCCTTTTCGAAATAGAATATCGAAATGAAAGCTATTCAGCGTACAATTTGGCAATTGCGGAATGTGAGCTTGATAAAGTCATCGTATGGATGACCTTCAGTGTAGCATTCTCGAAAGACTTCTGAACTCAACCAAGCCAGATGCGTGGCACCTGCTCAAAACAGTTAATACTACTATTGAGACCAGATTTGATTCTGATATCGTACCTATCCGAGCGTACATGGCGCTCTGGAGCAGCATATATGCACCCGTGGGGGTTGACAGGCCCTTCGTGACATTGACGTGGGAGGCTCGTACAAGTGATTCAACAATCGACGCAAGACTCTCTCCCTGGTAGGTTCTCGTGAGAATGACTATATGACAACTAATTAAGGATAGGTGCTTACCTGCTGCATCTCAAGTTTGGCCTCACTCAGTAGAGTTGTGCTCATGAGCGACCACATATCGGTCTCTTTTGACTTCGCTTTGAGGAATGCCAATCCTTCCTTCTCATTGCCCAACATACCGCTATTCTGCACCTCCCGCATTTGTTCCGGGAATGCCTTGCCGAAGTGGTAGAGCCAGCTCATGCAGAAATTCAAGCAGTTCATGTCGTGAGATTCACGAGCAATGGCCACGGCCTCTTGCACGGCGGAGATGGCTTCGTTGAAACACTCAAAATCTGCCTGGATAATAGCGAGGTTCAGGAGTGCAAATTGATATGCACTTCGGTCGAGATTACTGTGCATGGTGTAATCGAAGTAGCGGTGGAGATTATCAAACGCGGATGTATAATCTCCAGCGCGCCATGCATCGAGGTATCTGTCTTGTTAGCCAACGCAACCGATTCTCCGGTATAAACCAGAGGAGACACTTACTCTAAATAGTACATTAGTACGGGAACTGAAGATTCTGATGTCATGATGTGCTTGAGTTGTGTCCTCATCTCGTCCGGAACTCTGCCTCCCAGTCCTATATCGGTTAGCATTTACCCAGCCTCTATCCGTGAGGAAACCAAACATACTCTGTAGCTCGCCAACTTGAAACTCAACCAGACGCTCTGCGTCCTTGGCACTAACCACATTTTCATCCTCTTCATCGTCTTCTATGTTTCCATACACGACGTGGGAGAGATAGGCACTGTGATTGAAGCCGGGCGATTGGAGATTAATGTCAATAGGTGCCTGATGATCTGAAGCATTTCTTCTTGCAAACATGTGATAGGTTGGCAGGCGATACTTGACAAAGCCAGACCAGAGCTTCACAGAGTCATGGAACTGCAAGCGTGTATATTCAAGGTAGGCCCTGCGAACAAAAGCGCCCAGTGGCGAGCTGCGGGACAGCCGTATGCCTTCATTCTCCGGTGCAAGGCCATTGTCCCTCTCTTGAATCAATTGTTCACGCGTCTTCGTGAGCAGGGCAGGCAGGACCTCGCTGAAAAATACCTCTAGCGCATCGAGCGAGTCAAGCGACCAGATCTTCTTGAGGAATAAATCCCACAACGACCGCCCCGGTACCGAAGACTCATGGCCGGACAGCGCTTCTTCAATCTCTGTGATCGTTGGTAGGTAGTGCTTTTCCCACTGCTTATCGGCGGGATCTAAAGGGAACAAGCCCGCGGTTAATGAAGAGAGTACATGGATGGCGGACGAATTGGGCACAAGCCCATCAGTGTATACTGTTATCAGGCACAGTAGAGATATCCTCCACGGTGTTAGATAGCGCGTCATGGTGGCAAATGGCCCATTTTCCGGTGTGTTTGGCCTCTTGCTGGAATTTAGGTCGCCGTCGTGCACGCGTTTGATCGATAGCTCGATAAGCGCCTGAGGCCACAAGGCCGCAATCGGCGCTGCCCCGCCAAAAAAAGGAATCCCGCGAATGACGCATATGCTTCATTCCCCTCTCTCTACCCTCAATTGACTCAATTAACCATGGCGGAAGCTGTAACGACCACTGACCTACAGGGTGCCCTGCCACTCATTGCTCGGGGAAAGGTGCGCGACTTGTATGAAGTCGACGAGAAGACCCTCCTCTTCGTTGCCAGTGACCGCATTTCCGCCTACGATGTGATCATGGAAAATGTAAGAGCCCCAGAGTATCCCGTTCGAAAAATTATTCCAGAGCCGACAATTCTATCTAAAATAGGGCGTTCCGAACAAGGGTATTCTTCTCACCCTATGCACCAAGACCTGGTTCAAGATCCTGTCGGAAGCCCTTCCCACGCTGCGCACCCACTTTATCACTCTCGACCTCCCTCCCCAGATTCCCGAATCACTTCGACCTATGCTGCAGAACCGGAGTATGCAGGTGCGTAAACTACGCATCCTGCCGATTGAAGCCATTGTCCGCGGTTACATCACCGGCTCCGCCTGGAAGGAGTACCAGAAGTCTGGCACTGTGCATGGTATCAAGGTTGCGCCCGGATTGAAGGAGAGCGAGGCCTTCCCCGACGGCCCGATCTATACCCCCAGTACCAAGGCAGAGCAGGGTGAGCATGACGAGAACATCCATCCGGATCAGGGTATGCCTCCCAACACCGCCTACAGATGAAATGCGTGACCTTTGCTAATAGCTGCAGCTACTGCGATTGTCGGAGAGCCCTACGCCTCGACTATTGCCACGCTCGCTGTACAACTGTATAAGGCGGCTCATGCTTACGCTCTCGAGCGCGGTGTTATCATTGCCGATACCAAGTTCGAGTTCGGTGTCGATGAGGAGACGAATGAGGTCGTGCTGGCTGACGAAGTGCTGACTCCGGATTCGTCCCGTTTCTGGCCCAAGGACACCTACGAGATCGGTCGTGGTCAGTCCAGCTTTGACAAGCAGTACTTGCGTGACTGGCTTGTTTCTCAGGGACTGAAGGGCAAGGAGGGTGTGCGGATGAGCGATGAAGTTGCGCAGAAGACCGCAGAGAAGTACAAGGAGGCATGGGAGAAGCTTACCGGCGGCAACTAAGCGAGCTTTGATGAGTTTGCTGTATATTACAGGCTCTTTAACAATTCCACCGAAATTAAGGGCTGTATATGTTTTTATGAAAGGTATCAAGGACGAGAAGAATGAAAAAAAAAAAAAAAAAAAAAAAAAAATACGTCATGTCGAAATAGATAGGAAATATGGCCACGAATTTCGATCACAAATTAATATACACGGCCTAGGGATTACGCGTATCAAAACTACTCCTCCCATTCTGACCGAAGACCCTTAAGGCCCTTCTCCTTAGTGGTCTCAGGGCTCTTCTGGTTGTGAGCCTCCTGTGGTGGCTGTTTTTTCTCCGTCCATGCTGACTGTACTCCTTCATCGAGCGGCAGTGCATCCGCTCCACAGATACGCCGCTCCTCCTCGATATCAGCCGAGCCCATGCCATTTGTTGCCCATATCTTGTGAATACGCAAGTCATACGGCCCCTCGATACGGTCTGTCAGACCAATGCCGATACTCTTGACTCGAGAGCGAAGGAGCGACGTCTGCGGTTCGATCACATAACCATGGTTTGTGCGAACAAAAGAGTTGAAGGGTAGGAGAACAGTCTCCCACCCCGTTGTGCCCGAGGTGGTGGCGGTAGAAGAGGACGAGATAATGGTGGACTCGGGTGGAAAATCAGAAAGAGCAGCTGGGATACCCCGTGGATACAATTCCTCGGTGACTTCAGAATCTTCAGCTGACTCGGAACGCAGGGCTTGTTGGAGGGGGTCGCGCCATGGACACGATGGTGGCGAGTATAGAGTCTGTGCTGGTGGATATCGGTCTCAATGACGGAGTCTGTCTGAACATTCACCGTGTAGCGTCGGCCGTCAGATTTGATGCGAAGCGCGAGGTAGGAATATGGATCGACATCCCAGAAGAGACGACCGAATAGCCAGAAGCCACGGTCGTTGTTTCGGAAGGCGGCGTATCCTACAGACAATCTCATGTTGATCAGTGTCCTCGGCTCCCTTTTTGACAGCGCTGCGGGCGGGGCATACCCGTTCTTTCCACCCGCCAGTTGGCCGGGAGCTTTGTAGAGATACTTCCGTGAAAGCGCGCATGTGCAGGTGTGTTCGTTGAAGAATCTCCGGGTTCGTAGTCAAGACTGGAAGTGCTGAACCCTCCGACAGCGCGGTCCGCGAAGGTCTTGCAGCCTCCCACGGTCGATTCATCTTCGAAGTTGAGGAGAACATATGGCTTTGTCGGTGTGTGCAGAGCTTCAGTATTCCATGCTATGAAGCAGGTATCGCGCAGTTAGCTCGCTGGACTGATCGGACGGAGGGCATTCCGACGCGACTGTACCTATTTTCGAGAGGCGGCCAAGCTCCTCCGCGCTGCGCCGGAAGAACCCGCCCTGTGCAGCCAAGCTCCGAGTTGGAATCATCATAGATTTCAGCAGCCTGAATATGGGCAAATTGAGGAGGCGGAGAAGCGAAGAGCTGGGGGCGCTTGGGAAGGAATTCTAGTGGACCATGTCGGCTTCCGAGGTGGCGTGAAGCCCTGGACTTGATCCGGCGCGATAAGATAGCGGCTACGCGGCTATTTTGCCGAACTATACCCCAAGTGTCTAGATTTGCTGTGCTTCCTCCATGCTTCTGCATGTCAGTATATGGGTGGTTAATGAGGAATTTGGTGCTGTTATCATCCATATATTATTTGATATAGGGGAATCTCTGCATTGCTCCCTCTTTTTTTCAGGTGTGCCATCACTTGATCACGTTCCAAGGGTCCACCACCCTGGCTATTTCGAATCTCCTGGTTAGGCATCGGAGCACAACAGGAGGCCATTGCGCGCGGGACAAAGCTAGCACCGACCTGGATCGAAAAATTCAAGACCCGGAAATATTCATACGGTATGGAACTGTGTGACTGAAGATGTAAGGTATAATTTATTACCAGATTTCCTTCAGGGTCGTGCGACATGGACGGGAATGGAGCCGTGGGAGAAACCACTAGGAGAGTTTCACGTTATGTATTGAAAGCACATATACCCAAGAAGTCGAGTCATATGGGGCTTGAAGTATGATGCTACCATGACTCTCGTTCAATTGTTGACCGGTCAATTAGTGTTTGGCTCTGAGTCAAGTAGCGGTCGTCCAGGTAGTTGACCCCGGACGTGGAGCCGTGGTTGGATTCAAAGTTCCCAAGGCCAGTGCCCAAAGAATGGGTTTAGTTCCAGTGGCCTGGCAGACAGCAGACAGATTATTTCAAAAATATCCACGGAGACCAGTCGGAGGGTGGGCAGATGGTGATGGACATTTTCCCCCTTCCAGGAAAGCCCATCTTTCTGCATTTCATCCATTCGTTGGCCTTTGAATGCATGTTCATACATTCGTTGTCTTTGTTTCCCCCCTTCGCTACTACCTCCCTAAGATAGCTATACGCCGACACGCTCGTTCGAACCTAATATATATCCACCATGACCATCCAGGTCGCCCCAGACTCTGAATCCAAGTATCCCCCGCGTCGGGGAGATCGCTTGAATGAAAAACCCTCCGCCAAAAATGCACAAGGGCTATTTCCTCCCGACGCATGTATTTTTGTGGGAAAGTAAGTTCATTCCCTAGAAGGAATATAGATAAGCTTGACATGTGGGAGATACTAAGATACTGGCAGCCTCTCAACCAAAGTCCCTGCGGAGACACTTGCAGAGGATCTCAAATCTGTCTTCGCCCACTTCGGGCCCTGCCATGTCAAAATTAAACAGGACAAGAAGAAGGGACTCCCAGGAGCATTTGTACAATTCGAAGTCAGATTTCTTTCCTGCCTATCTGTTCTATCTATCTTTGGGTTTCTAAAATATCTCTACAGGACGTTGAAGCTGCCACTGCGGCCCTCACGTGGGATGAATGTACGGTATTGCATGAACGATTATTGAGAATTGAACGGGCCAAAGGAAGACGTGAGTGGACTGAATGTCGTTTGAATCGCGAGAAGCGAGCGCTCATATACTTGACAGGAACCGCCTGGCTGGGCCTGCGCTCGCATCAGTCTATCACCCACCAGGAGGCTATGACAGTGCTGGATGGCCGCGGCGCTGTGGAAGTCTGGTGCATGGACTGTCGTCCTACAGCATACCAGACCTGGACAACCGTGTGTAAAGTCACCTTTGCCTATGTGGATGACTGCAGAGACGCTATCAAGGTATTTGCAGCGTTATTCAAGTCCCGTTCATTCTGTATTCTCGAGCCGCAACCACTGACTCTCCGGCAGCATTTCCAAAAGGACGAAAAATACTATTTACAACTCCTCGACGTCGACGGAAGCCCTTTGCGCTCCGATATGGGGACCTTCTCTCCCCATCCCAAACCCGCAGGCCTCTCTTCATCGCATCGCAACGGCGGCAGCCAGTCGCGATATAACAACTATCGGCCGCGTAATGGACCTTCAAACTACCATGCAGACCAAAGTGGCTTCTCCAAACTCCACCACCCGCCTCTTCACCAGGAAAATCTGCCTCCACCAGGCGGCTACATATCAAGTCCTCCTATCCTGGTGAATGGGATTCCTTACGAGAACCACTCTTTCTATCCTCCACCACCGCCAATGCCCAACGGTTTCACAGGTCCACCATTTATGATGAATGGTCATCCAGGTTATCTCGGCCCACCACAGCCCCTTCCAGAAACATTCATGCCCAATATCAGTATGCCTGGAGCCCCGTTTCTCGTAACGAGTCAGCTACCATATGCAGGCTCCACTCCAAGCTTTTTCTCGGGCCCCTTTGCTCCAGACAACGGATACTTCAGCCAGCCATACTACGGGGAGCTCTACACAGCCCCCATGACCCATCTGTGCCCACCTGTGATCCCGCCTCGACGCAAGTCCTCACATACCGTGAAAGCTGAATGTGTAGACGAGAAGAATGGACCTGACGAGAGGGAGAAAGAAAAACCTGCTGATGATCCAGAGCCGATCATTGTGGCAGGTGTGGTCATGAATCCCAAGACACCCGAGAAAGCACCTCGTTTGCTCCGTGTCTACGAGGTTGACTCTGATACTGAAGAAGAAACCCCCAAAACCGGGCGAACGGGAGCACCCCGAAAGACAACGGGACTGAATTCCCTTCATGAGGGGGGCTGTAGATGGTTCTGCGGCAACAGATATCACAACGCAATCCATCTGTGGATCACCAACGGGAAATCGGCCGCCGCTTATCATCGATTCAAACCCACAGCAGAAGCCGGATGATACTGACGGCAACGGCTCAGAGTTTTATGATGAGGACCCTCCCCAGCCACCCAGTCCGAGTAGTACAAGCTCGACATGTACCTCGCAAACCGTTCGTCCATCTGTGTCCTCCAAATGCGAAGCCAGGACGAGACCCACGGTCGAAGAACGTGTCAGACACGAGGCAGAGAAGTCCAGTGAGGAATTCACCGAAGAGTCTCTACAGGACGTTATTAAGAGCCTGGAAGCCGAACAAATGGAGAAATATCTACTAGAAATTGAGAACTCCGAACTCCCTTCCGACGGCGAGTCGGGTACCGCAGCAATCACACGGCGCTGTTCGGCAATGTCTATCTAGAACACGATTTTTGGAACTATTCTGATACGCGTTATGTCCCCAATTCTTTTAAAAAGATGATGGCGTGGGATCTTGTCCATGCCATGAATTACGCTGTTTTGTGATGTTTATTTAAGATTGTACTTGCAGGGGGTGCTAGGAAGTGAGTTGTCTTTAAGCTTTGAATAAAGTCTTTATTTTCCTAGGTTCTAGTCCAGCTTCTCGACTTGCGGAGTTTACTTTCATGCTATCTATTGCTCTGCGTCGCGAGAGCTGATGAGTATAGTTTCTCTCCGCGTTTGCTTTTTCTCTCCCCCCCACACTGAGCACACATCAATGAGTGAGATAAAGGTTGAAGCTTCTCTAGCTATTTGATAATACCACATTGAATGTCATTCTCAATGTTCCTTTGACATCACTAAATCAAGCAGGAAAGAATGAAAGTCTCTTGGCGTTAGCCAAGCGCAGCTAGAAATTAGGTCCAAATATCATCTTCAACATCACGAATCAAAATCCCGTCTCAGACGCTACGTAGTGGGTCCTTATGTGGGGGCAGCGATACGATCTGTTCTTTTTTTACATTGATTGCCTTTCTGGCCCCAAGAGGACTGTGAGGCTCGTAGCTTTGTCTATTACTGAGATTCTACTTGCGAGGATGAGGACCCACGGCGCATGCTGGTCAACCTGGTCTTCTCCTTCCCTGACTCCATAGAAGCCATGATCATTAGGATTACCTGGATAGGTAGCCTCACGCAGGGACAACTCGCCGTCGATGTTATTTTGGACGTGTTGTTTCTGGCGTGTGAAATTGGTATCCGCGTGTCCCATTGACGAGGGGATTTTGATCTCTCAAAAAGGCCGGTATGAGGCATCATTGCGGTGTGCTGTGCGGGCCTTGTGTGAGAATCATGTCCCTGATGCATAGTCTATATAACAAAAGAGAAAGAGCACCCCAAACCATTATTTTGAAATGCCTCTATCTTTTTATCTACACAGGAGATTATAATATGAGACTGAAGTATTAACCATGTTTATAGTTCAATATAGGAAGTTCTCCCTAAAAGCGCGCTGCGATGCTATATACAGTGCAGGACCGAATGACCAAAGACGCTGACCAAGCTCATAAGGATATACGTAGATTTGCTTCATAGACACCATCCGCCAGGAGGAAAAGAAAGAATCAAAACCAGAAAAGACCAAAAGCTGTAAAGACGCATCCGCAAGAGCGCAATGATCCAATCTGATCCCAGCAGGCCAATCAAACGCCGGGATAATGTGGTATGGAGAGAACGCACGAGATATGATGATATATATATACAAAGCAAAACGAACAACCCAAATGCGAGTGGATGTCAATGCAATCGTGGCATGGCGTGTATGAGATTAGAACCAAGGCAAGCCAGAAGAGGGGTGAAGGTGAAGTTGGGGGGGGAACAGGTCGGGTTGGATGAGAGAAGTGACGGAACAGGAGGAACAAAACAGCCCGAATGAGGAATTCCAAAGCTGACACCATGTGGAGGTATTCGATGCAAGTGAAGAAATCTGCTCGTGACCAAAGAGATGCGTTTGTCGTGACCCGAGATCCGATGCAAATAGGACGAGAAGAAATGTCGGTATGAACGGAAGACGTGACTGGGGGAATGACCATCACATCGCTGCCTTGAAATGCCAAGATAAGACTTAAAGATGGAGAGAAAAAGAAGGAGGGAGGTATAAGACGAGAAAATAGACGAGAGTCGGCGTGGCGCGCAGTATATGCCAAATTATTGGAGGGCTTGAATCGGGACGCAGCCTAGACGCGCGTTCGTCGTGCATCAAAATAGCCTAGGTTCACGGCGGTATCGTTCACGCCTACGAAAGGAGCCGCATCCTCCAAAAGTTCCCAAGGGCGAATTGTATATGGACCAAGGAGCCGGCCGCGATCCTGAAGCTGAAGCCAATTGGCTACGCCGTCCGAGCCTTCCGGGAATCCACTGTACTGACTCGACTGCCCAGCGGTCTGCTGAGATGAGGCACCAGCGGCTGGGAATGTGGTGGAGGTTGGGGTCGGGGTAGATGCTGAAGCCACCGGAGAAGCCACTGAGGCAGACTGGAGAATGCTGGATGGGTGCGAATCGGACATTGGGCCCAGCAGGTAGAGAAAGCGAGAATCGTTCTGGAGCGGGATGAAGGGCGGACACTTTTCTTTCAAAAAGCGACCGCATTGATGGCGGACTTCATCAGGAAAGATATCGATGAGTGATGCGGCGACATCCAGAGCGTGCGTTTGCAGCAAGATGCCTGGGCAAGGACGAAAGTCTTCTGTCGCTGCAGGGCGAGGGAAGTAATCTGCGCCGGGGAACTGGCGGAGCACATCGCCAGGAAGGCGGCACAGTGCGATGCAGAAAATCGACACCAAAATACGACACTGTTGATTCGAGGTGCCGATTTTCAGTGTCGGGGATGGCTGCATGAAAGAGGCACGGTGGATAACTACCATCCTCAGCAGAGCAGCGAACCAGAAGGCAAGAGATCGTTCGAAGTTGGACCGCCCTTGGGTAGTAACATGTTCGTTCTGCTTATCGCTAGGGTTGTTGCGTTTCGATTGAACAATGATCATCTTGTGAAGAAGGGCATCCATCTTCTCCACAATAATCGACGCAGTAGAAGGAGCTCCAGACTCAGGTACGCTGTTAGCAAGGTCATCAATGATTGTGAGGTACATCTTGGCTGCCTCTAAAGAGCCATGAGGTCGCGGAGACGTAGATTGATCATTCACCGTATACTCGAACAGCGGAATCGCAAAGAATTCCTTTTCAGCACGCTCGCGAATCTGACGAGTAGCTTCCGGACTCATGAGACCGATAAGATCAATCCATTGATGTTTTGGGGCGCGAGAATCAGCTACAATAGTCCTGAACATTGCATCCACCACATTGTTTCGATCATCACCTGCGGAATCCCCGTGGAAGAGAAGCTGAAGCTTCAGTCGGCAGAACGGGAGCGAGAAGTCATCCGTTATGGTAGCAAGTTTTTCAACCTCGGAAATAACCGAGCTGCCTTTGCTCTGAGAATCGACACCCAACAACAGATCCAGTGCTTTTTGGACAATACCCATAGCTTCGGAATACTGATCGGCTAGCTTTTGCATACACTGCTGACTCGCGCATTCGGGGTTCCGCACAAGCAGCTCACATAGCAGACTAACCATAGAGCCCTCAAGTTGGTGATACCAGGGGCTAGGCTTTGGACAACTGGCATTGAGGGATGCAGCAGCATTGCAAACAAGCGCGAGGGCCTCCTCGGAATTTTTCGCAAGAAACTCTTGTTGTGCCAACTGGAAACGGTAGGAAACTAGGTCGAGGTATCTATTTTCTTCGTTGTGTAACACTAGGAGCTGGACGAGGTCTGTAGGTAGGTCTGCGGCATTGGGAATAGCCTTCGTAGAAAGAGATAGTCTCTTGACAAGGGACAAAAAGGACCGAATGGTGACACATCCGACTCCAATAAGCGGTGGGAGAACACGAAGAAGACCGGACCGGTCCGGTACTCTGAGAAGACCACAGACCCAGCGGGCGAGAATGCCATCGAAGTGTTTTGGCTGGAAGGAGCGCAGCTGTGCCAAATATCGGGAGATGTCGTTCGCTGACAACTTGGTCTTGCTATCATCGGATTCCAAGTGCTTCGTCAATGTGTTGAAGAGAGTGTCGAGAGTGGGCTCGTCCATGACATTCCCGGAGAGTAGTAGTTGATCAAGCTTCTCGCGAAACAAAGGGTCAGCCTCACCAAAGTCATCTGGGATATGATCTGAAACGGGGGACGAGGCGGCCATAACCGATTTGTTCTCCATACGAGAGAGGTCCTGGCGGAGGAAGGTGACGGCATTGGTTTCGTTGGGAATACGTAAACCAAGCTCAATCAACGAAAACATGAGGTCAAGACTAGGTATGCCGAAGCGCTTAATTCCAGCGTACGCATCGACCAATTTACGGAACAGATCCGTTGTTGCGCCAATCACGCACAAAGAATCGAAGTGGCGATTCGTCGTGTCAGCGACAGACGCAAGCACTGTGCTATCATCAGAGCTTGAGGCACACCTCAGCACGTCTGCCAGCATAGAGATATCACCGAAGGTTTCAGGACATTACGAACACTATAGAACTCAACTGCCGTAAGGGCAGAGAAGGACGAGGCAGCATTTCCAGGAAGCGTGGCTCGTGTCGTGGAAGTCGTAGCATTGCGGGTATGCTCAGCGACCCCGCGTCGTAACCACTGGCCAATTTCGGCCTTCACAGCCCAAGACAGATCCAACGGTAATGATTTGAGCGTGGTATCCAGCTGCATACTGGCACTGAAAATAGACGGCAGACGCTGGCTGACCAAAGCTCTAACACTGGTGATCATGGACGTCTCGTCCGAAAAGGCAAGTCCAGTGCGTGCCATTAGAGTACTGCGCAGGTTGCCAACGTGTTCTGGAAGACGGCCGACAGGGAGGTGCGCGATCAGCCCAATATCGACCGGCAATTCATGCGCGGTCTGTGTTTCGCTCGGAGAACGACTTGTGACACCTCTGGCCATAAGCCACTGGAGATACCGGCCAACTGAGAATGTCTGTGACCTGACAAGCTCGGAGATGGCATGGTATATGTTATCCACGTTGAGCTTCTTGTTGTCTCCAAGGCTAAAGAGGAATCTCAGGATATGATCATCAATGTCAATCCCCACTGCTTTCCATTTCCGAATTAAGCGAACGCCAACGTAGACACGACATAAGCCGTGGCGGAATGGAGTGGCGAGCCATTCAAACAGCTTAGAGACCAGGACTGTGCGGTCACCGACAGCATCCAGACAAGCCACGGAGAGAACAGAGATGTCATGGGTGGAGTGGATGGTATCGAAGAGAGAGATAATACGTTGGTGAGGAGGGCGCTGTATAGTTGGTTTCGAGAGCCGGGGTCGCTGCACTCGGGCATTGCGTTCCGCAATGCTTTGGAACAAAGCTCGGTCCACTTTATTCGAGAGATCAAGGCAGGCTCGGACTTGATTTTTATATGTGTCCCATGTATTCGGCAGAATCATTGATGATGTATGCTCATGAACTAGCTTCTTAATAAAGCGGGACAACCGGACGATGAGTGGCTGAAGGGGATCATATTTGGTCGCAGTGGCCTGGCGTAACTTCTCAAGAAGCAACTCTGCTAGGCGCCGACCTCTTCGCCGATATCGCAGGATGCTCCTCCAATAAATGCCCAGCATTAAAAGCCAGATCGGGATCGTGGCGAGAGGTGCAGATTCAAAGGATGATAAAAACCACTCGATGAAATGATCATGATCGAGAAGGTTTTCAAAGAAGAGACGAGCAGTCAATCCCACCCTACGAGAAAGATTGTTAGTTTATCACTTTCACGGAAAGGATTAGGGGCCAACATACGTATAAGTTATTCTGGCTTTCCAGTCATTCGACCTTGGAGAACTGAACACCCCTTCGACAAATTGTTGAACACTTGTGGTCCAATCTCGCACCCATTTGGCTTCAAGCCCCACGGCCAAGGCGCCACTGGTGCCTTTTCGCTTGAACGCACGAATTTCATTGGCACCCACACACTTCGCCAGCCAGACAGCTCGAGCAACTGGAATCCACTTGCCAAGGCACTGGTCCAGAAGCACCTTGCCGCGAATGCCATGGGGAATAGTGCGGCTCAATCGGCGTAAAGGTACAGCAGCATTGGCAAGATCCCGGAGCCAGCCTTCGCGTTTGTTATCGGTGAGCGTCACTCTTGGAGGTGGTTTGAAGGTCGATGGGGCATGAATAGTGTTGTGGTTCCGACGCTTCTCGAGGGTGGCGGCGAAGACGGACGACAACACCTGCAACCCGGCCCGGTGTTTCAACTGCCCGTATAGGGCAGGGCGTGCGGTGTTAGATTCGTTTTGAGAAACCTGAGTGCGATCGTAGTATCCAGATTTGGCGGTATGCGCATTGAGGACATCTTCGGGGTGATTACCGGTCCATGGCGTGAAATCGGCAACTTCTATAAATCACCATTTAGCGCTCCACCACTTGCATCCTAGGAGAAGACAGTCGAATCACTTACTCTCGCCCTTGATCACCGGTGCCGCCGAGGGCGTCTCGATACGATATGGTACCGTCGAGACCGGCCCGACGGGGGAGCTTTCGCGGGATCTAGAAGATGTATTCGCCGCACGTTCCGGAAGAGTATTGGCCCACGGTTGGGCAGGAAACGGTGGGGGTGACGAAGGCCTGGAGCCAGCCGAGCCATCGCCTTGATTCTCATTCCCCGAGATGTCAGACATAGCGGCCTGAAAGGACCACATTGGACGACCGCGCCAGGATATGGAAGGCCGTGAACTAGCACTGCTGGGAGTACTCCGCCCGTCGGCACTCTTCAGGGCTGCGCTGGCGTCCATGATATTGTCCCCACCTGACGACACACTGAGTTTGGGGCGTTTCGACGGCGGTTCTTGACCTTGCGACTCGTAGCCGCTGGCGGTCAAGTCGACGACGGGCAGTTGCGAGGAGACCGACGGCGGATCATACTGACTAGCCATCTGCGTCAGATCAGCCCGTCCAGGGGCCCCATTGAATGCGCGCATGGGGTGACTCCGTGGTTGACCGCCGACAGAGGAATGGGGGATCATCTTCGGCTCATGGTGTGGACATTCGACCGAATATTCATTTGCAATTGTAAGGAGAATGGGGTGTTCCGGGCGCAACAGGTAAGGGCGCCCAGCGACGTTTTATAATCTTGAAAGGAGGATAGATGCGAAACGAGGTGATCGGGTCGAACTCGGGCTCACGACATTGGCCGGGGTTGGTTGGTTCACGACGTCTCCCGGCCACGGGAAGGACGGGGTGAGGGCGAGGGCGAGATTGGCGGAATCGGAAGGCAAGCGGTCTAAAGGAGACTAAAGGAGAAAGAGGCGGAAGTGGAGAGTAATCGATCACCAGGGTGAAGGTAGGTGGAAAGGGGGATAAGGGTGTGTAGAAGAAAAAGAAAGCACGTATTTGGGGGGTGAGGAAGAAGAAGAAGAAGAGGTAAATGAAGTTTACGTCGTTAAGAGAGGTACGTGAGGACGAAGTACTCGAGCATGTCGAATCGGTTCAATGTCTAATAATACGGCTGCTGCTCCTTCTCCTACTGGAAGAGGCCAGACGACGATTACCGGAAGGAGGGCGGTATTGTACTGTACGGTATCCGATAATCGCGATAACGTAACCAAATCAGTCGTGCTCCGACGATCCACGGGATCGACGGCATCACAATTGTTCCTCCACATCGTCTGATAGACTGGGTCCAGATGGGCTGGGACCACTCCTCAAAGGGGCTTCCGGAGAGACTCAAGGGCCGTTCTAACACCGAAATCTTACCCCGTCACGCTTTCCCGTCACCGCCATCAGACGATGCGGTGTCTGCAGATGATCCCACCGGAGTATACCAGGGTATACCGTGGTATGTTACTTACCCATTTAGGTTTTCCCTATTGCTCAAGACTCTCGGGAAAACAGAGTGTGTGCCAATAATTCTCTTGATACGGCGGCTAATGTCGACTCCCGTCCCCGTTATCCGAGCTATTCTAACTATTCGACTGTCCAAACGATCCACTATCCCATTATCGCATTATCACGCTATCGATGGCGGACTCGGTGGGATGGTTTCCGAAGCGCCGCGACTCGAGCCCACTTTCTCGGTCTTCGATCGCCGGGGTCTTTTTTCCTGGCTCCCTAGCGAAATTGACTCGACAGGACAAATTGGGAAACGGGGACAGAACCAGAAACTGCCAAACTATGCAAAACGAATTATTTCCACGCCTGCGTCTCTTTCTCTCGCCCTCTCCCTCGTTTCCTGTATTTCTCCCGCCACCCCCGTTGGGGCCGAGCCATTGCCGAGGCCGCCGCGCTTGCATTCCGGGCTCCTTGTGTTTTAGGAATGTGATGGCAACTAGATTTGCCGTCACAATACGCCGTCGGGTAACTTCTGGACCGGCGATTTTCAACTAGCGATAAACTGATAAATTGGTTCAGAGTCTTGGTGTCGAGGTATACTTCTTTCGTAAGTACACCTAATACATGTCTAGATGTATCGGATTGGGATGCGGGATCTGTGATCTCTGATTGATGTTCCGTGATCATAGTCGATGGCCTGATAATCGGATGATCTGTACGATCCCGTGTAGCAAACTACAGGATGCAGATGCATCGACGGCCACTTCTAAGCACCGGGACCGATGTAAATGCCGTAACGAGATGCCTGGATGGATGTCCGGCCACGTCAAGGTAAAAAGAAAAGAAAAGCCTGCTCCGGGTGTGTGCGGTAGCACCAGGGTTTTTCATGCTTTTTTTTTATTCGACGGGGTCGGAGACGTAACAATACAAACATCCAGAACCACTATCATCATCATCATTCTGATTATCAATATTATTACAATTACAATAATTCACATGGGGAGGGGGGCTATACCTGCCGGATTTATTATCGATATACGTACTCTAATCAGAACAACCTAAATCGTATACAGATAGACACTGCTTATTGGGGAGAAGGGGAGGGAGTTTCCGCCCTGAGTAAATAAATGATTTTGCTTCCGCGGGTATGCCCAGCCCCGTTCGCATCCCCCTTCCTCACCAAGCCGGGGGCCAAGTCAGAGTGGGAGATCGTCTGGGCCCGAAAATACAACGCACTGGCAGAGTCGGAACGAGATAACTAAACGGAGTTCCGTCTGGCATGATAATTTTCGTAAATGAACGTATCAGTCTCTTCACGAGCAACATCGGAAACCCTTGTCTGTGTTTGATGAGATTGCGGTCAAGAAAACTGTGATGATTTCGGCCTTAGGATGGCCATTCCCTGGTCCTATCTTTGTTCCAAGCGTGTAGGGAAAGGGGAACGAGGAATGTCGGGCTCACGTCTTTCCCCACGCGGAACCCGGGTGCGAAGCAAGAGCCAAGCCCAAACCCAGTCTGGACGGAGATACAGGGAGGCAGGATCAGCTCATCAGCAAACTGCAGGGCTCGCGCCGGGCCGCAAGCCATTAGGGAGGCCTGTCAGGCTCGAGGCACGGCCTCGAGCCCAAAGGACAACTGACAAGGGCTGTGGTTTGTGGTTCGCCGATCGCCTACTCGCTTATCTTTGGGAGGGGGGCGCTTGGGAGGCACTTTCGGGACTGAGTGGTATGGACTTTCCGCTTCCTACTGGACTTGAGACCGGCTCTGTTGCCCTGTTGCCCTGTTGCTGCTCCGATGCCCACATTCCGTCTCTGCCCACCATCCGGTTGCTTGCAGTACACGTGAGGGTCTCGCCCGTCGAGGACGTAGGTCCCTCGGTTCGTGGTGGTTCGGTGACATGGCACCATCCCGGGAGATCTGACTGTGACCTGTCTGATTCTTGGGTTTCATCGGTCTTGGACGGAACTCTCGTTATCGCGGCTGGAGTTTGTCCGGGCAAACAGCCGGTCGGGCTGGCATTACAAAAGCACCGGACGCAAGGAATTTGATAGGTCTCGTCCGAAGGTGTGTTCCCGTCCCCGGGTTCCCATATTCCATGTCCCACATACGATGAGGTACAGGCGTCACACATCGATCGGCATTGCATGACACTCGCAGGGCCGCGCTGGGTGGACTGGCCGTGCTGCCTCACCGACCATTTTGGACCGCGAGAGATCGTCCCCAGATTTCGAGCGATCGCTGCAAGTAGTGCTGGTCGCGCTGATCCAGGCTCAGCTACAAGCCCCGAAATTAAAAGGAACCAATAAATCTCCGTAGATGCTGTTTGCTGATGTTTGCTGTTTGCTGTTTACTTCACGATATCACGAGCGCCTCCTTCGAGTCAGGTCGTGTCGAGACACGGACGATATGATCCTGCCAACAACTTCGAAGGATCCTCTGGTCCCCCACAGTTCAAGTGTCTGGGTCGTTTGAGTGACTAAGACCTAGTCTAGCCCAGATGGGCGCCGGTCTTGGCACCTCCCCAGTTCAGGCCTTCTTCCTCTCTCCCCCAACCTCATACCTCCCTTTCAACAAGCTTCATCATGTCGACCAAGGATATGCGGCGCGCGGATCTCGGTCAGTCTGTCTCGGTTTCTTGCGCTGTCTTCGTCTGTTAACGTCTCCCACCAGCGATTCCCTACATGGATCCGCCCAAGAACACCAATGAGGCCGACCTGTCCAGTACGCTCACAATTTCGCGGAGGCATCAGTCGCATTGGGATAATCATTAATAGCAATTTTACAACAGGCACCATGTCAAGCACTATGCCAATGGCGGCGGTAAGTGAATGCGATCTCGCGCTCCTCCATCCCTGAAATTCGTGCTCCCTAGCTGACACGCGATGTCTAGATGTTCACTAGGAACAGGTGAGCTTGGAAAACACCTAGGGACTGACATCGAGATTCCGTCTATTAATCACGGTTGCAAATATAGGATGATTGGCTGGTAAGAATGATCATTCGCATATCCAAATCGATATAGCATTGACCATGCGAATTGCCCACAGGGTGTCGTTTGTCTTTTCGCTTCAGTCCTGGCTCGGCGAGTCCCCAGAGCAAAAGAAGAACGCGGCCACTCCGGCCTACATGTCTGTCTTCATGTCCTGTTTGTCATCCCCGCTCCCCCTCAAAACTCGACTTCGTCGAGTTTTCTCCAAGTCCCAACTAACCTCCTGGTGACTGCTAGTGATGGCGCTGGCCGTCGTATGTATCTTCAATCCCAATACCAATTGCCGACACCTTGACGATTCTCTAACAGCCTCGCTTCTCTCTCCCAGACCTACTTCCCCCTCTTCCTGCCCCCCCAGGTCGCCAAGGGCACCCCCGCTGCTCCCCCGGCACCCTCGCCCTCGCCTTGATTGTGCCTATTCTTGTGATACCTCTTTCTCTATTTTCTCTCCATCCAACGAGCGTCACACCTCTGAGTTCAATCTCTGCACGATCCATATTCTCCCTATGGCGGTTCTGGCGAAAGCAGAGATCGGGCGCTCGGTGCGAAACATCTCTGACATCCGTACTCACGCGGGGCTTCATGCTGTACCAATATCTGAGCAGATCTCTGTCTTGTAATCATAAAATTGGACACTTAATATCCCAAAACTGTAACCAACCTCCTCTTGAGTTGTGTAAAGACCCTATGCACTAAACCTTCTTGCTCAGAAGGGTGAGCGTGATCTGAAGTATTCCTGGTACGATCGGGCGGAGGGGCACTCCCGAGGGTCATGGATTTTGAAGGAGGACGCTCTAGACCTTAACTCAAAGCGCAGTCGGCTAAGGATTCCCCTTGACATGCCTCGGAATTCGAAGATTCTATTCTTGTCCCGCTCTTCTATGGTGGCGATAAACACGATCACAGTACCAGGCCGGACACTGGGTTGAGGGGTCGCTTAGTCACACACCGCTTTCCCCCGCGGGCCACAAAAGGCCTTGCCTTTCTTCCTTCTGATTCTTCCCCGACTCCATCAGTTCTGTTAACTTCCTCCTCCACCTTTCCAGTCGCTCATCTTTAAAGAGATATTGAATCTCGCCTTCTCGCACTCTTTCACAACACCGCTTTCAAAGATCAGTCTTCGACAAAAGGCCGAGTATATGTCCATCGAAAACGGCAAGTCCCGCGATGCGTCCATCGAAAACGTGAAGACCTTCGATGCGTCCATCGAAAACCTAAAGACCTTCGGTAAGTCGCCACCCCCTCCTCTCGGGCGCAGGAAGCCACCACCACCCCTCAACACAACCTTTTGTTCTCCATATTCAGATATTTTCCATGATCATGGAACTGTCTGCATGTGGCTTTACTCGGTTTGCAAAATTAATCGCTCGGCATTCCTCCCCGCCTTACCGATCGCCGTAGCGGGGCTGAGTTCGTTTTGGTTCGACGCTGACACATTCCTTCCTTTACTTCTAGATCCCTTCGCTGAGGCCGACGACGATACCGGCGAGCCTCAGGAGACCAAAGACTACATCCACATTCGGATTCAGCGTATGTTGCACGATCTTCATTCCAGCTCACTTTCACATCGTCGCGGATATGACAGAACTGAGTCTCTTGAGATAACCACAATGCTAATAATATTTGTTATATACAGAGCGTAATGGTCGTAAGACCCTGACTACTGTTCAAGGTCTCCCCAAGAAGTTTGACCAGAAGAAGATCTTGAAGGTCATCAAGAAGAAGTTCGGTATGTTCCTTGATCTATCACCCTTATCTTTACCTACCTCACGAGCCATGAACAGTGAGTCACACCAAGGAATAGTCACACTAACTCTTAATTTCTAGCCTGCAATGGCACCGTTGTCCCTGATGAAGAGATGGGTGAGGTGATTCAGCTCCAGGGAGATCAGCGCAAGGATCTCTATGAATTCTTGATTGACACCAAGGGAGGCCTCGAGCTTAATGCCGATACCATCAAGGTAAGCCGATACCCCTCTACTTTTTCCATGATTGGACTCTAACAACGCCACCAGGTCCATGGGTTCTAATCCCATTTCCAGACCTTGTTCCGGTCCCTTCCTCCCGGTCTATGTCGCCCTGGGAGCGGTAGTCGAGGAAGCACTATGGTATTCCTCCGCCGCCGGCTATGCTACTCGCTGCCGGCCCTGGCATCAATCGAATCTTCTTGCTTTCTGTCTCTATCACTCCCCGCCTGGTGCATTAGATCTGGGCCACGATGTCGAACTATGATACCTTATCATCCCTCCCCTCGCATACGCACGACCTCGGCAGCTTGCTCCCGCTCCTCAAGGTAGCGGTCAACAATCCAGGCGTGTGTCCATTTCGACGTTTATTTCATTTTAGGAACGGGATCATGACGGAACGAGGCGTTGGTAGATACCCCGTATCTGCATTAGACAGACGATACTTTTTTTTAACATTTCCTTCTATTGACAACGCGTGTTACCCTTTTTTCTATTTTCTTCATTCCATTGTCGCTTTCGGAGGGCCTTACCTCGCGGGTTCGCCCAGAATCGCTCGCTCCATTTCCTGAAACGCGGGCGTGAACCTGAGCAGCCCGGGGGCGTGGTCGAGAAGAATTCAGTTCTGAATCAGAGGGGGCGCATTGCTTCTGCAGTTCGGCTTTGTCGGTCTTTACCGGTCCCTATTCTATTCTTTTCTTTCCCTGCTGTCTCTCTCTACCATGTTCCCCCTTTTGCGTGTCTGCCAATCCCGTTGCTTGGAAACAAGGAATATGAAATGTGTTATGAAATTTCCTGTTCGTGGCTGTAGTTTCTTGTAGGACGCTGGCGGCTTGTGTAGTATAGGACCGACGCTGCAGCTTGGTATGTACGGGAATCTAGAGAGTAGAAATGAATAAGAAAAACAATAGAAAAGAAGAGGTAATTGAAATGAGATCTGTCAAAGATCGATGAATGAGACGAGCGGAACAAAAAGACAATAATGGTTCCAGGTAGACTAAAAAGAGGCAGCTCACTATGCAACATGGGAATTGAACGTGGGAATCCCGAAATATACAAAATCTAAACAGGAGAGAACGAAAAGATGCCCCAGCCACCACTGCGAAGAACCAGGGCTTATCGAGGAAATACCCTCGACCTCTCTCGCCAGGCCAGAAGATCCTGGGTGATGTATCAATTGACAACGGCACAATACGAAAAGTAGCTGGGCATGGGAAGGTTACAGGTCGCCCATGACACGATCGTCCGCAACGCGCATGCGCAGGAAGATGGCAACGGCCCAATCCCAGAGTTTGCGGGTGATCACGAAGACGGGGACCTCGGGCTCGTTTTCGCGGGTGAGGTGAAGTTGGAGAAGGAGGGAAGACATGCTGAGAAACGAGGCGACGGATACGACAAGAAGAGAAGCTGCAGTTTCGCGTTTGATAGTTGCGTGATTTTGCGTGGCGTGGTAGACGAACGTGAGGGTCTAGAGGGTAGGCCAATGTGGTCAGTCACTTCCTATCTTCGGCGGGGGATATGCGGGTCGAGATGTAGGTGCAACGTACCGTGGTGATGGATATCCAGGCTGGGAGAAGGAGTCTCGGGTCAGATGATGCGCCTGAAAGATAAAGGACCCAAGAAGTGATATATGCAATTAATCCGTTTGTGGTCAAGAGGCGGATTACCACAGCCGGAGGGGTGTAGTTCAGAAGCCTGCGTATAAAGTAAGTCAGCTAATCTGCTGGAGGGCTGGATGTGCGAGAAGAGGCTACCGACCATCGAGACATCATACAGTCGGCGAAGAAATAAGAAAGATAAGCAGATGCACAGCACTAGCAAAAAAAAAAAAGAGAAATTAGCCCACAAGTCCAAACCTTCGAATAAAGCGAGATAATTATGCTCGGCGTAGCCAGCCTCCAGAGTCCCTACATACCCACATGATAGCCAATGCCACCTCTGTAACCCGAAACCTCCTCTCAACGTCCCATTCCTGCCCGACACTGCCGACAATTGCTGCCGCCCAGCCCTCCCGCCCCATCCCCGGCCGGATATGCAGCAACTCGGCCAAGAAGGTAAATGCACAACGCAACCCCCACCATGCCGCAGGCAGCGTGCTCAAGGCCCGACACACCAGTAATGGAATATACCACCTGCGGTCTACGCCCAAGATCACGGCCACCCGCGGATGCAGCGGCGAGGAACCAGCCTGGCCGGAATCGCTGCTGAGTGGGGTATGGGAGATATCGGAGGTCGGGGACGGCGGGACAGCCGACGACGCGGCAGACGCCACTTCTTTGGCGAATTGGCGTGTCAACGACACAGCAGGAGGGTGCAACAGCTCTGCTGGGACGCTAGACCGCACCAGGTTTGGGTCTGGCTCGCGCGGCGGATGGGCGGGGGGAGAGTAGGGCGGAGGAGAGGCATTACGTCGAGGAGCCAGCCTTTAAACTTGGTCGCGGCATATGCGGCCGCCGCGCAAGGTGGTAGAACCGGTGTTTCTTTAAAGAGAAAGAGCGTGGAATAGGTGGGTAGGAGTAGTGTGGTTGTTCGCGTGAGCTGTATGTCCGAGGTGGTGCGTGTCGAGTTGGGCGAGTCCCCTAATCGGAAGAATTCAAGATGTAGACAAGGTGCGAAGTGCTCGCTGAATGGCGCGTGGAGACTATCCGGATGTTGGGGGAAAAAAACTCAAGTCGGCACTTGCCGTGTGGAGAATATGGAAAAGGAAGAGGGAGAGAGAGAGCGTGTGTGGTGTTGCAGTGAGAACCTCGCACTGTCGATGGAGCTTCCATAGTTGGGAAATTGCGGAGGTCGACACGTGACCATCCGCGGATTTTATTCTCTTTCGCAGTCTTTGGAGATCCAACGACCAAACGTCCGCCCTGAGTCGCAACTCGCCATGGCGTCCTCAATGCGCCTGCCAACGGGCAGCATCATTACCAGCACACGCCCAAGCCTCGTCATTACCCAGTCTTATGCCTCCGGTCTTCACCAGTACCGAGCCTTTTCCCAGGCATCGCAACGATGGGCATACCGAACGACAAACATGCGCCCTTCAAGCGTTGCTCAGCCATCGATGAAATCCCGCGCAAAAGACATGATGATGTCGCAGCTGCCGAATGATATTGGTCTCTTGCCTGGCACTTTTGTCCGGCCATTGTGGAAGGACATGCCTTCGATCTTCAAGGACCCGCGAGACCGGATATGGATGGAGTGGGTTTGGATTAAGAACGTGGTTCAAAATTATTTCAGGTGAGTCTCAGTCTTCGTCTCTATACTCCTGTCTTAAGGTCTCGAATCGGTCACGACACAATAGAGTGAAAGGCATCCGAGAAAAGAGGCATCTGAGGAAGACGACCTTGATTGTTGACAAGAACAACGGCTAACTTCGACAACAGCATTCTAATTTTTTGCAAACGAGACCTGAGCAACCTCGATTTTGTGGCCAACCAAATGAACGGGCCTTTCTTGAAAAAGTCTATCACCTGGCCAGGATTCTTCCGGTTCTTCCACGACGTACCGCGGAAAGCAAAGGCGCAAGAGCTCCTCACCAACATGTATACCGCCCTTGCCAAGTAAGTACATGTCCATCCTGCTCAACGGCTTAGTTAAACCATCTCTAATATTCCTTCTCAGTGGCGATACCCGTGAAATCCAGCGCATTTGCTCCGAAAAACTCGCTACCAAACTGACCGCCCAAATCAAGCGGCGGCCGGCAAACGAAGAAGTGACCTGGAACCTGGTTAAGTGGAATGGCAGCCCTCGGGTTCTCTCTGACCGCGCTCTCCGCCTCCCCGAGGTCCCCAATTCTGGCATTCGCCAAGTTGTCGTACGCCTGTCGTCCAAGCAGTCTATGGCCAAGTCCACTCGTGCGAGGAACGGCTCCACCGCCGTCACCGCCCCCGCCAAAGAGCAGGACTGTATCGAGTACGTCGTTATCCAGAAGATCTTCTGGCGCGGCCAAGATGCGGATTGGCGCATCTGGGGCCACGTCAAGCCGACCGACATGGATGTCGTCAACAGCGACGCCTCCTTTGCACCTGGTCTGAGCGCCATGGAACGCATGGAGATGATGAAGGAGAGCCTTGGACGGAAATAGAGCCTTGGCTGTCGTGCCGGAGGGGTGTGGAGTGGTGTTCCCTCCTTTCTCTTCTCCCAGTCTACTTTTTAAAACTTCCTTTCTCCAGCTTGTGTTAATGGTTACCTCAAATACCACCAATCCCTCCATCCCCTCACCATCCACTTTCACCCCATTTTATCCAGCCGCCCTATGGTGAGAGGCGGTGTCTTGTGGTTCTGATCGGGCCACCTGTTGCCCAGGGCGTTTTTGGTACTGTCTATTTATGAAATTTGCGCCCCGTCCCAGCCAGTGATATAGAGCATCTACCAATCCCATGTACCATAGTTATTTATATATTGAATTTACAGAATCAGATTCATCTTCCTACTTGCGTAAAGCCTTTGAATGGGAGGTGTGGGAGAGGACATTCTTAGAATAAATCATGACTGGAGGGTGAGAGTGAAAAGGGGGGGGGGTACTTGATATGGTGGGGGTAAGAGCCAATTGGAAGTATACTATGTACATGAAAGACACAGATGGCCGCAGCGTGTAGTAAAATCAAGCCTCGTCTCCAAGCGCAGATAGAGGACGAGCAGGCAGACACAAGCTAGAGTCCAAAAAGTGTTCGCAAAAGAGGAAAGCAAAAAAGGAAGTCATAGTTGAGGGGACGAGAGGGCTAAGTCAGACCGGGTACACGTGTGCTAGGAATCAAGCGGTGGTGAGGAGTGTGTTATTAGAGGAAAATGACATCCAGAGCCACCAGTGGTCCAACAAATGAACTATATTTCCACAGGTTCTCCAACGACAGGGAGGATTCCGGGAGATGAGGGGAAAGAGAAAAAAAGTGTCATTAGGCGGAAAAAGCGTGCGGATCTAGTCGTCGTCGAAGATCTGGAAGGTGTTATTGAGGATGGTCTCGATGACGCGGACTTGCCAGCCGGCGTCAGCGATGTTGCCTCCAGAGTTGGCGCCCATGAGAGTTGGCCTGCGGGTAGTCGGTTAGTTGAGTCGAGCTGAGAACAGGATGCGAGTACGCAAAGATCTTAGAGTGGCGTATAACTTACCCGAAACAGATAGCCAGGTTCCCGGCACCCATGCGGTTGTGGCTGTAGTTTTCTTGGACCTTGTTCAAGTGCTGTAGTGGGAATTAGGATACTGCTAGAAATAAAATTGGAGAGTGGGTTGAAATTCGGCATACCAGAATGATAGCCCGCAGAGTGGCGTAGTGGGCATCGGGCAGGTTGTTGATGAGAGCGTGTAACGAGTCCCGGCGGTTGATATCATCCTCAATGCCTATGTTGCCAGCGGGTTAGGCTTGGTAGAGATTGTGTTGGGCAAGGGTGAGAAACTTACGGGCAGCATCAACAAATTTGGTATAGTACTGCGAGGTAAACAGCGGGTTAGGCAGTTCCCTAAAGAACTGTTTCACAAGGCCAGCCACGCTGTTGACGTCTTGGTAGAAGCTCTCTGGGTTGGTAAAGTCGACTTGAGAAGAGTCTGGGCATTATATTAGCAAAGGTCCTTGTGAAATTACTGGGTATTTGCTTGCCAAGCTTACCATTATCAAACAGCGCCTTCAGGTGATTAATGTGGTTGGCACTTCCAGGGATTCGGTAGATACCCTCGGTTTCCAGACCAAATATTTCAACAGCCTGGAAGCACTGGTACACGATGAGCGGCACAGCAGTGCCGTCGCGGGCATAAAGTTCTTCCAGAGAGACACCAAAGACTGGTTTAAGGGGAGGCAGAGTCGAATGGAGAGTATTCTTGTCCATCGGAGGTGGACCTGGCATGAGAGGACCAGAGCCAGTGGTTATTGGAGGAGGCTTCTCATGCACCGGTGGTCCAGACACAGGGTAGGGGGGTGTTGCGACTGGGGGCGTTGCAACTGGATCTGGGTGTGCTGGGTAGGGTGATTGCTGGAATTGATCAGGACTGGCCTGTGGCGGTTGGCTGGCAGGAGAAGAAATGTTATGCTGAGAGAACGACAGGGGAAGGGTAGACTGGCGTTTGGTCTGAATGTTCGGTTGTGAGGATGGGATCGAAGGTCCAGGACCGAGAACCTTCCGCCATGTTAGTACCAAGCAAAAAGGGTATATGTTTGGAATGTATATGGCAACAACTCACGGGATGACGCTCGTATCTAGCCTCCGGCCCGGTCACGGCTCCCGGATGCCCTTCATGGCTCAGAATGAAATCGTGCAAGTCTTTTTGATTATCAACCTGGCGGACCACTTCGGCCAGACTCTTGGGTGCGAGGGCCTCGTTGGTCTCGGGCTTCATCGGGTTGACGCAAAGACCCTGGCCGAGGAGCAGCTTTTCACTAAAAGTAGCTGTGAACAGGGTAAGTAACATGCTCCCAGAACAACAACTGGTAAATTTCCCCATTCATGACTGACCAAATTTTTGTTGCTGCAACGTCAGACCCGAGTCACACTCCGCAATCAACGTCTGGAGATTATGCACTGTCGTTGGCCGCTGTGAGGACACCAACTCCTGACGAGCCGCCTTGGCCGCCGTCACCTTGGCCTGGTAGTCTTCGTCTGCATTCTGCGTCTTGCGCAGAAGCTCCTCCTCCTGCTGCGCCACTGACTTATGGCCCTTGAGACCGAACTTGCCGCCCTGTTTGTCTCCCGTGCGCACACGCTCAAGCTGCTCCGCCAAGGAATCGTACTTGGCCTTCGCCTTCTCAACCAGTCCTTCCGCATCAATGACTTTCTTCTCGGCCGCCAATCCGGACTGTTTCCACTGCTTGCGCCCCCGTTCAATGTTAGCGGCGAGCTCGGACAAGTCGTCGGACATCTGGTGGAGGGACAAGGCGAATTGCAGGCCATGGTCGGCCATGCGCTCCTGTAAATGATGAATCTCCTTGTAACTCGAGCTGTACGTGCCCTGTCGGTTCTCCGTGCGCTGCGCTGCATCATTGACTGTGCGGGACAGCTTCCGTAGCCCCTGAGCATGTTCCTCCTCCAGCGAGCCTCGTTTCTTGAGGAACGAGGAGAAATCCTGGGTGGAGGGTATTAGCGCATATGCGAACCAGCTTGACATTTGTTTTCATGGCGGAGGATCTTACCCTGGCGGAGGCGACACTCTGCTTCAATCGAGACAGGAGGGTGACGACGCCAATCTGGATGCGGAAACCAAGGGCATGATTAGCATCAGTAAACACGATGATAGGTTTGCGCGACCCCAGCGCTGGGTGGAGACGCGTCGTGCGATCCAGCCAGACTCACTTCTGAGTAGATAACCTTGTCCAAACGAGGCTTGAGCTCGTCGGGGATGACCGCGGGAGGTTGGTCGACCGGCCCCGAATGGCCGTCGGAGCGACCGGCGCTGGATGGGGGCGCATCGGACAGCACGGGGAGGGCGGTCGGTTCAGGGAGGGCCGTATTATCAGACATTGCGAGTGAATGTCTCCGGGGATTGAGAAAGCCAGGAAGGAAGGGGGGAGGAAAATAGAGGGAAAATAGAGGAAGGGGAGCAAAGCCACGAAAGCTATTATTATCGATGACAACGGATACCGATTGCTTGGCGGTGGGGAGCGGTTGAGGCGGCGATCAATGAGGTCAGTTCGGAGTTCGGGAATGCTGGAGCCTGCGAACGCAAAGCGTTGTTGATGAGCCACTCTGGACCACTCGGAACCTTCATGGGATCTCGATTTGGACTAAGGAGTTAAAGTATTCGGACCTGTGTGGCGTCCGGCAGGGCGACGTCAGCCCGACCCAGCCACAATGCGTCTTCACGACGAAACTCCGGGGAAGTGCATGTGCATGATGCGCAGGGTAGATGAGCAGTGACCTGGCATCTAATCCATATATCTATCCAGATCTATGCAAGCTACTCTCTGGTTGGTTTCAATGGGAATTTTGGTGATCAAGTAAGATACTTGTTGAATGATAAGCTTGAAAGTTTATTTCTGAATCGCCCAATACCATGATGTACCCTACAAGATGTCTGGGACCTTAGGTGTGCAATTGGTGGTGTTCTCGCCAGATATACTTGCTCCGTTCATACATGTAACTAGCAGATATGATGCCTACATGTCCATCATGCGCTACTAATGTGTAACCCTCAATCCTAAATCCAGAAATTCCGGCATGGGTAGTGCATTGGACCGGATGGCCCCCTGCTAAAGTACTCCAGCCCGGGGGCCAAGGCATGGCCGTTGCTTCAAAGCAGATTCTGTAAAATTGCGAGATTAATTAATAAGTTTTCTAAGCCCATTTTGCTTTCTTGGCTTTTTTTTGTTTCCTGGTTTCTGGATTGGACCTGAATCTCTTTTTACATAGAGGGTCCGTCGGGCGCAATCAACTGGAGTCCGTCCTTACTACTTGGATCAACAATGGCGCGCTTTGACATTTGCTGTTCCTTCATGACAATGCATCATCTAGATCCGATGATATTTTTTATGTTAAGGGCCCTGTCAGGTCCATCCTGGGCATCTCTGATCATGGGCCTCAAGTGTCTGGGAAGGATGATTTAGTGATATGATGCGCAACCATGAATGGAAGTGTAATTCGTACTTGGAGGAATTTAAGCTTGGAGCGCGTCAAACCCTAGATTCGCCGGGGACGGTCTAGTTGAAAGTCGTGTGATGGACAGAAAAGGACTGGAGAAAGGGAGCACCGTCGATTTACTCCGTATACCCAGTATACTCCGTCCACCCCCGTAGCGGATCAGATAATGAAGATGAAGGAGCGGAGCAGCCGATCTGATCATCTCATGAGCGACCCACTGCCCTGGCCCGAGGTTGCCGAGGAACCCAACAGCCTCCCAGTTCGCCATGATCCTTTAAAAAGGTGCTGATTGCCCTCCCTGGTTAATTTGCGACTTTCTTTTCTTGTCTACCTCAAATAGTGATCGCCAGTCTCTGACATTCTTCGAGATTGACCCCTCTATACTCCACGCTGGGTTCGTCCATGATTTTACTGTGAAGGCTCCCTCATACTAATTGTTCCCATCGCAGTGTTATACATCTATCCTGACTCTGCCCACGACCTCTCCACTCTTGAAATTTACAATAGAACCATACGCCATGGCCGAAGTCAACGTAGCTGCAGTGCTGTTTCCGAAGCCGGAGAAATTCAAAGAGGTAGGTTAATCCCCGAGGCCTGGTACAGAAGATCGTCTGGCACTGATATGGTCATGCCCACAGGTGGCTGCTCTCGTCGCGGAGGTGGTCCAGAAAGTGCAGGAGAACGAGCCGGACACGCTGCTGTACTACGCAATCCAGGTCCAGGACAAGCACGAGATTGTCATTGTCGAACGGTTCGTCTCCTCGACTCCCTGCCCCTCTTTTCCCTTGTGCTTCCTTCTCTAGTCTGGGCTGCGGGCGGGGGGCGATTGTACCTCGGCATCGACGGAATCGGCACTGTAGACTTCCCCTCGCTGGGGCGCTGATTTATCTGCCGCTAGTCGATGAAAGAAAGAAGAGTGATGGTGGTTCTATGCTGACTGGAGTCCAGATATAAGAATGCCGCGGCCGTGCAAGCCCACATCAAGGCGCCATATTTCCGAGCCTTTGCGGCCCAACTGCCCACGCTGCTGGTCAAGCCGGCGGAGATGCGGGCGGGCGGCTTCCTGGGCGGCGCGCCGGGAGTGTCGCGTCTGTAGTGGACGAGAGAAGGAGAGAAGGAGAGAAGGAGATTGGGAGAAGTATATAGTATAGTATATAAATAGGGCCAACTGTTCGACAATGGATCTCGCTTCGTCTTGGCGCATTCGTCCTCCCCTATGGGCCGGCGTGCCTCCGTGTCTCCATATCTTCATATCTCCATATCTCCGTCCCTCCCGCCCCCCCTGGTCTATAGGTGTATATCGGTGCACGGATCGCGAACCAGGTTCTGTAACGTGTAGACGTGACCCAACGGACCTGCGGTGCAGGCGCAGCTGGGGGTGGAGGAGGCCCGGGTGCAGGTCATCCTAAACCAATGGCCAACAAGTGGGACCACTTGACGTTTGAGGTTGGGTTTCGTTAGTCGCGCGGTTTGACGAGTTGGGTTGGCTGTTGGTGGACCTTCACCTCTTTGGCATCTGCCACTTTGGCGCTACTGAAAGTGAGTCGGTATCATTGGGGGGAGATGTCGCGAGGAGGTTGGGAGGGCGGGGGGTAGTCGACCACAACTCGGGGTGGATGCTCAAGATAGAGAGTCGCGGCGACACGGGTTCGGAGGTCTGGAGTCGTGCCAACTCGGAGGCATCCAATGATTCCCCGATCTCGAAAGGAGCAGGATCCAAACATCGCGAGTGGAGCCCTGTTATCCACTCGAAACGATCTGCTGCTGAACTGGAGTGGCGTTTATTCGACGGTCTTTTTGGTCTATTAGCGTGAGTCCGTCCAGTCGTGGACTGATCGCTTTGTCCCAACCTCCATGCCATCTTTCTAGTCTCTTTGTCTGGTCATCTTGTCATCTTGTCATCTTTCCATCTTTCCATCTTTCCATCTTTCCATCTTTCCATCTTTCCATTTTCCCCTCGTCTTCCCACTTTCCACTGCTGCTCTGTTCTTTTTCTGCTTCAACTGCCAGGTGAGCTCCCTCGCCCCTCCTTTTTTTTGCCTGGTCAGATCGGCCGTCTCGTCTCCACCAGGGCTTTTTCCCCTCCTCGTTTTCTTGAGCTCCCGCAAACTCCAGTTCCCCTTCTGCAATCCCGCCCGCCGCCCGCCTTCCCCTGAAGCTCGAAGCTCACCCGTGTTGACTGCAGGCCGTTGCGATCTGACCAAAGTCCTCTCCGGCTCTCCCTTGGCGATTTCGCGTATTTTAAGACTTGGACCCCGTTATCGATTGCCATTCGGACCGACCCCCCTTATCTCCCCTTTTGATCTCCGGGTATATATACCTTCACACAACCATGGCGACGGGACCGGCTACTCAATCGCTCAAGGTCGGCGAATCATGACTCGTGGGGATCGCCAAATGCGCTTGCTAACACTCCTTCCAGTGCGTGGTGACAGGCGACGGTGCCGTGGGAAAAGTCAGTACCCAACCCTCCCATTTCCAAACCTTAGCTCGCCGGGACATCTCCCCCCCTCAGCTTCTCCCCAGCTCCCCAGCTCGCCAGCTGCTCCCGGGATCTTGACCGAACTCACTCACCCCCTCCCTATGTGCTGAATGAAGGTCCGACTGACAATCACCGACTGGCTCTTTAGACATGTCTCCTCATCTCCTACACAACCAATGCTTTCCCGGGAGAGTATATCCCGACCGTGTTCGTTTCTCCCCCTACCCAACGTCCCCTCTGCTCCCCCGCCCCCGGGGCTCCCCGTTCCCACCCTCGGAGCAGACAGAGGACTCAATTGGCAGCGAAACTAATGCGACAGCCGACAGCTTTGACAACTATACGGCCAGTGTAATGGTCGATGGCCGGCCGATCAGCCTCGGACTCTGGGATACCGCCGGACAAGAAGATTACGACCGTCTCCGCCCACTATCCTACCCCCAAACCGATGTCTTCCTGATCTGCTTCTCGATCGTTAGCCCTCCTTCCTTCGATAACGTCAAAGCCAAGGTACGACCCGTTCGGCCTCCCAGCGCTCATCTGCATGCGTTCTTCTGCTCTCCGTGGCATGTCTTACTAACTCTCCACCTCTGCTAGTGGTTCCCTGAGATTGAACACCACGCCCCCAGTGTCCCCATCATTTTGGTCGGCACCAAGCTCGACCTGAGAGACGACCTCGCCACCACCGAAGGCCTTCGCGCTCGAAAGATGGAGCCCGTCTCGTACGAGCAGGCCTTGGCCGTTGCCAAGGAGATCCGCGCCCATAAGTACCTCGAATGCTCAGCTCTGACCCAGCGCAACCTGAAGAGCGTGTTTGACGAAGCTATCCGGTACCGTCTCCCCTTCCCTGTAGCACAAAAACCCCCCATTCTCACCAGAACTGATTGATCTCCCATTGATCAAATCTATCAACTAACTCCTCCTTCTCCTCCCAGCGCCGTTCTGAATCCGCGCCCCCTCGCCAAATCCGGGAAAAAGAACAAATGTCTGATCTTGTAGAGGTGTTGTGCATGGCCGTCTCCCTCTTTTCTCGTATGCTATAATGAATAATATATAGTTAATACGGCGTCCGGGTAGCCAGAGGCTTTTCTTTGGGCCTTGCTTGATGAATTCCATTGACTCGTTTCTTTCTTTGCGTGTTTCCCCCCTTCTTTCGTTGTTCCGGGGAGGCAGAGAAAACTACTTGTCGTCCCTCTCTTTTGCGATATCCTCTCTTTCTCTCTGTGTGTATTTTTGCGCTGCGTGATTGTGCCTGTGTTGTTCTGGATCTATAGAACTGATATAGGGTCAAGTGTTTTCCTGCAAATCCATGCTTTCTTCTTGCCCCTTGCAATTGATGCCATGTGTGTGGCCTCGTGAACGAGTCATACTACGCTAAGTGATATTTCCTTTACTTTCCCTGTGTGTGTTACCCAGAGCAAAAAGTGCTAGGTATTTTCACATCAAGGGAAGAGTTTTGGTGGGTACAATGTACCTCGTATAAATTGAAAGAGCGTCTTGGGAACTATATCTTGTCGATCAAAGCGGGAAGCATGAATCACCGTGCATTCCCTCTGCATTGCATCATGCACAGAAGACTGTATAAGTGGTATCTTCCATCAAATCATCAGAAACTATAGACAAAACACGCCCGCATATATGCCAGACTTTTTGGGGAATTCTTCTTTCTTGTCCCTCCGATAGACAATGTCAAGTAAATCAAAAACAAGAACGCTCCCGCGGAAAAAAAATCAACCCAGCAGCTGGGCCATCCACACCGTCAAGAATTAGGCGTTTTCCCGTGCAGCAAACGTAACTATATTCCCTACTGCATCCGTGGCCGACGGCTCGGGTGCACACCCGCCCACTTGTCGTCAGCAGCATCGACGGCGATGGCGTTGGCACCGCTGAATCCCTGGGCCTTCTTCTTGTCATGCTTCTTCTGATCCTTCTGGATAGACTTGGCGTTGCGCGAGCGCTCCTCGTTGAGTTTCTCGTTCTTAGCTTGGATCTTGGCTCTGCGGTGCTCGGAGTTGGCGCCGCCGCCACCAGCACTGGGAACATTGTCAGCGTCCAAGTAATGTATACTGAACCACAAGGCCGAAATTGGGGAACCTGGGGAAGGGAGACAAAAGGCACGCATGCCAAGGGGCCAAAACTCACGTCAGCTCCACATTGATCCGGCGTGGCGGGTACTTGCCATCGTCGAACATAGAGTGATGGTACAGCTTGAGACAGGTCTTCATGCGGTCGAAGTTGTCGAATTCGATGAAGGCGAAGCCGCGGCATTTGGTTGGGGCGTCTTTCTTGGTGGCGACGCGCACCGCCGCGGGCGGGTTCTTCTCGAAGTGTTTTGTGAGAGACTCGTGAGTGGCCGAGTAAGGCAGGTTTCCTGGGAGAAGCGTCAATCATTAGTTTGCTAGAACTCAACCCACAAGCCTGGCGGTCGACGTACCGACGAAGCAGATGAAACGGGAGTTCTTCTCGGCAGGCTCAGCGGCCGGTTCAGCGGCCGGCTCATCCTGGGTTTGGGCCACGGGCTCTGCTACGGCGGTCTTATTCTTCTTCCCGTCGTTCTTCTCAAGTTTCGCAGCCTTCTTCGCGGCACGTTCCGACTCGCTGACCTCAGTTTCGGCGTGCTTGCGCTTGTTCTTCCTCTCGGCCTTCTCCTTCTTCTCGGCCTTCTTCTTTTCTCGCTTCTCTTGCTGTTCGGTCTCGGAATTTTGCTCCTTGGCCTCCTTCTCCTCGACCTCCTTCGTGGCGGCCGTCTCTGCGGGGGCAACGTCGACGATCTCCTGCTCGGCCTTCTTTTCCTTCTTCTTCTCCTTCTTCTCCTTCTTCTCCTTCTTCTCCTTCTTCTCCTTCTTCTCTCCTTCTTCTCCTTCTTCTCCTTCTTCTCCTTCTTTATCTTCTTTCCCTCAGGAGCAACGTCCTCGGCCGGTGTCTCCTCTGCGAGCTTGCGCTTCTTGTCGCTCATTTTGAGAATTGAGACTTTTTTGAAGACTGGTGAGTCAGACGATTTCGTTCAATGCACTCAGCACTTTTCCTTGCAGAGTAAGAAATATGGTGCCAAATGGTAGGAAGCAAAGAAAACACAAAACAAAATGGTGAGAGCAATGCGAACGTCCAGCTCCGAAAAAATTGGGCGGAGACGGCGAGAAAATTGGGTTTTTGCCGGCTCGTGCGGAAGCGGTGAGCCCAGATCGCCGATCGCCTTCTCACTTGATCGGGCAACCCACTGTCGGGGGCACGTAGTGGATCTATAACTCCGTTCGTGCTTGAAGTTTCCGCCAGTAAAGGTGCCAACTCTTAAAAATACTACTTACTACAGCTCCCATACTACAGCGAGAATGGCCCCGAAATAAAAGAAGAAATTGCTGTAGATATTGAGATTGAGAATGAAATATCATAACGCCTTGTCATGAAGCCTTTAGAACACTAGAATCTGCACCCGGTTCTTCTTAGTTCCATACCGCTCACGCAGCTCCGGCCGAGCCAACAACTGCAACAGCGGGAAGTGTGTCTCTTTCATATCAAAAATACCCCGCTGTTTCTGGTCAATGTGGGATCCATCAATAACAATGCGCTCCAGCTCATCCACCTTGAGAGTTCCTATAAAAGATTCAAGCGAGAGATTAGTTAAAGATCAGATATCCGGTATGCGGCTGACAATTCCTTCCTTACCGGACTCGATCAAGTCAGATATTCTGGCTGGCGTTCCCGCACCCATTCCCGTCCTATATAAGCGATTAGCGCCAGCCTTTGGTGGGGATATCGACACAGAATCATACCGTGCCCGTTCAAGGAATTGCTTCGCTTCCTCAAGCTTGATGTGCTTCGCAAACAGCTTCCCTACGATCGATTCTTTGTTCTGGAAAGTTCGAAGTGCTCTAGAATGAATACAATCATCAGCGACCATACCGACTTGAAGATCTCCGATTGACCAGGCGATTATCGCCCACTTACCTCACCACATCCGCCGCTCGAAGCCCAGCCGAGGACACCACCAGCGTATGGGGGCTACCTTTCGTTTCTGACGCCTTCGACAAGTCTGCACCCTTCGGGCTAAACGCCTTGAGGAAATCGGGAAGTTTGTCCAACGATCGAGGCTCGGTGAACGAGGAAGTATCGAGGAATGCCGAATCTACAACTAGTCAGTTTCTCCCCCAGTCAAAATACACTGAAAACAACAGATCGACTCAAGTACCAACATACCCGGAATTGAAAGGTCACTAAGCTCCACCGCCGAAAGCTCCTTGTCCAGCTTCTGTGCCCGTTGCGCAAAGTAATCGGCCAGCAATCGACCATCCATCTTCCCAATGGACTCGTCAACACCACTTTTGCGATCCTGCGACTTCACATCTTGCTCCGGTTGCTGCTTGTTCTTCTTTCCCTTCTTGCGCTTTTTCTTATTCGGGCCATCCGCTGAAGCTGCCGGCGCTGTGGCGGGTGCGGCCTGAGGCTTGTTTTGCTGTGCGGACTCCTCAGCCTGGCGCTTGCGTTTCTTGTCTAGCTTGGCCGACAAGCCTTTAGGAGATGCTCCCTCGGTCATGATGATTAAATGCTTGTGCGAAAAAACCTTTAGCTCAATTGGCGCCTTTCGTAATGTCAAGCTCGAGACCCGCAAAAAAAAGTCCAATCGCGGCGGATGAATAAGCCAGCGTTATCGATAAGAAGCCAGGCCAATCACACGCGGGCCCGCAGTGTTGTTGCAAGACGCGCTTCCCAAACCCTCAACTGCTCTGCGTTGTTTTTACTCTTTTACTCCCATTGAACTGTCCGCTCGGTAATTGTGGCTGCGACTCGATATTACATCATATTCAAAATCAACACTTCTATGTTCTAGCCATAATCGGCTTTCCAAACCTTGGAGATGTCGACTCCGAACCCGCGTAGCCGTCGCTCACTACGCAATTCGGGTTCTGGAATTAATACTCCATCTGGCGAGACAACATTAACGGGGGTGAGTGACACAATTCCTACTCCACCTTCAGTATTCTTCTTTAACCGCTCTTCCTATAGCTCCAACGACTTCCTAGTCACACGCGCTACCCACTCACACCTAGCCGCCTGGTCACAACTGCGACTCCGTCCGCGCAACGGTCAGCTTCTCGATTCACTCCCCGGGCGAGGGCATCAATTGCGCCGTCAACACCGTATGGACTTCGCGCACGCCAGCAACGAGCCGCAATTACTCCAGCCCGAGACCGGCGACGTAGCGGCCGCGTCCAGCGAGAGACCGTGTTCGACGTCTTGCGAAACCTCGGTAAAGGTACGAGTGACTAGGTAGCGAGAACGCGTTTTTGATTGCTCCCATCGCTGACATTTCCCGGGGGATTGAACCAGCACTTGCCCCTGTTTCCCAGCCGATTCAGTCCTCCCCGCAGGAAGTGCCCCAGCCCGAGAAAGAACCGCGGCATGAAATCGACGAGCTAGATAATGAGTCCCCAATTGAGCGACCACGACTCTCGCTCCCTCTTCAGGAAGAGGAAGGAGGTAGCGACGAGGCTAGTCCAAATGTGTCCCCGCCGCGAATGTCTCTACCCTTCGATGACGAAGATATCACATCCATATCGGTGGAATATCCCCGGGAAATAAGTCATCGAGATCATGACCGATTGTCAATTATCGGCCGCAATATTGGACGGATCAGCGAGGATTTCAGGGTCGCCCAATTCGAGAATGAAGATGACGGTGATGTTACAGGATTTATGGGTGATGAAAATGCTGCTGATGATACGATGATTAGCGGCGGTGCTTTCGATCGAGGGTAAGTGTCTACTGAGAAGATATGATGCTTGTTTATAGTACACATAAGACTGATATTTCACAAATAGTGGAGAGACAGAGGACCTGGGCCCGTTCAACATCGACTTTAATTTTCCCTCTCCGGATGCAACAGCCCTGGGTGAGCCCATTGAGGAGCCTATCGGCGAAAATGAAGGCTTTGAATTGTCAGCAGGCGATATTCAACCGCTTGATACCATGACTTCATCGGATGACGATCAGAATACTGGGGCTTTCGGGTTTGGACTCAATTTCCCACCAGCAGGCTCTCCAAGCGAGAGTCCGGGTATTGTTGGAGGTGGCTTGCGAGACGGAGATGCTCCTGTGCAGGGCAAGCAAAAGAAGCTTTCGCGACACGGCATCCCCATTCCCAACTTGCCCGTAGGTGTAGTCAAGAAGCTAGCCACTCGTTTTGCGCGCACCAGAGCAGGCTCAAAAACGAAAATCAACAAAGCGACCCTGGCGGCAATCGAACAGGCATCCTCATGGTACTTTGAGCAAGTCAGTCAGGACTTGGCGGCCTATTCAAAGCATGCAGGGCGAAAAACAATTGATGAAAGTGACGTTACAACGCTGTTGAGAAGGTGAGTTTTGATATAAGTGGAGCCGCATAACGAAGAAAGCGCTGACTTTGTCAGACAACGTCATATTAATAGCTCCACAACGGTGTTCTCCCTGGCACAAAAGCATTTGCCGAAGGAGCTTCAGCAGGACTTGAGACTGGCCATGCCTCCGTGAATACCTCAACTCACTACCATATTACAGCAAAGAAAACCCCGAAACGCCAAATGAGGAATATGCATAGGTAAGACGGCAAAGAAGGCCGTTGCTACCAATTTCGGTTCTGGCGCACGCGGCGCATGGCCTCGTTCGGCTTCTTCCGCACGACCATCCACAACATAATGGACGTGGCCAGAGACAGGCCGTACCTGCGAAGGTTGTGAGTGACTGGGCCAGTCCTGAGGATCTATTGTTCGGGACTTACCATGTGAAAATGTACTGGGCGTGATTGTTTCTCAAGTTGACTTCGGGTGCACGGCCAATGGGAATGCCCTTGGCTGTGCGATCATACGACTCGAGAAGGTCGGGCACTGGAAAGAAATTAATACCTGCCGGCCATCCACCATATTGATGGAATCAGGTCACTCACCCATGGTCTCTTCGATCCACACAGGCTGGCTTCCACCTAGCTCGGCCATCTGCTCGATATCAGGAAAATAGAACTTGCCCTCTTCAGGCTTATTCTCCGGCGTAAACATGTTCTTCTTCCACGGCTCACGTAGCAAGCCTTCCACGGTCACCTCTCCCTCCGGCAGCCCATTTGGCCGGTCCTTCTTGTCCATCATCTTCCGAGAAATCCAACCCCGGTTCACGAGGACGGTGCTCTGGCCATCTCCACGCTCAAGGGGTGTAACAACAAGGAATCCGTCTTCGCCCTCATTCATGCGGGGTCCAACCAACATCTCCTTGTCGTGGCGGTAGTGACCGGTGGTGTAGACGCGGCGGTAGTCAAATTCGGAGATTGCATCGGGGTCGACTCGAGGCGGCAGCGGAAGCGGAGGTCGGACGAGACGGTCCTCAAATTTCGCAATGAGCTTGGTCTTCCTGTCTAGGCGCTGAATCTGCCACGATCCCAGCGCAAAGGAAATAATTGGGATTAAAGCTATATGGGGCATCTTGAATCAGCACAGTTGTCGAGATGTGGGTAGCTTCCTCACACATGATGCCTCAATTAAAGAGGACATACCCAGAATGATAAGGCCAGGGCCATGCTTCTGATTCACTCGTACAAGCTTAGCCGGATGGTCCACGTTCAACAAACTTTCAGTCAGCTGGCGTGTCTTGGTGAATTGGCGCTTCTGTTGTAGACGGCATCGTGCGCAGATTGAATCCAACTTCCAAGCTGGACCGCTATTGCGGACAACTCGAGCAGGCAGCGTCCAAGCCACCGGAGCAGCCTGCTGGAGGACCGAGAATATCGGCCGCATGGCGAGCAGTATTCTAATGAGACGGACTGGTTGCGCAAGATGTCAAAGAAATTGGCATAATAACAAGAGCAGGCGAAGCCGGCTGGCGGGATTTTAGAACGGGCTCCGAATCCTTAGGCGGTCACGCTCCGGCTTCCCCGAGCTGCTCTCCGCAGTATATCTGGCCTACCTGGTACCATTTGCTCACTACTCCAACGATAGAACCGCTGAACCCCGTCGGTGGAATGCGATGATTACCATGTTTTTCCAGGGAACTCTTCAGGACGGTATTGCCCTTGCCGTAAGGGAGACCAAGGCTGTGGTTTGCTTTGTCCGAGGTCAGTATCTCCCCGCATCCCACGACCCCAGCTCTTCTGATCGTGCCTCATGTGCAGATGATGCCACACTCAGCTCAACATGGGAGGAAGAGTACTTTTTGGATGATGAGGTATTTTGATATTCTCACGGTATCCACGATCGTCAGGCTGGCGATGCTCATGGTCCATGCAGCTTGCGCAGGCCCTCGATGCGAAAGCGGTGCTTTTGCGCCTTACTGCCGGGACACAGGAAGTTGCGTTCTTGAGCTCTTTCTGTCCGATTGCCGAATTTCCGGCCACTATTGTGATCCAGTAAGTCGAGGCACGAGTACGTGGAGTTTACGCGTGCGGTATCCCTCGTACCACGAGCTAATCGGTACTCTGGTAGGAATGGCACACTCCAGGAATACCTTTTGCCAGGCATTTCGAAAGAGGATTTCAAAGCCCGTCTTGTTGCAGCTATAAATGGACAAGGGCCTTCCGTTTCCGCCTCTACACGGCAATCACAGAACAGCACCGCTTCCATTAACAATACCGTGACACCAGTTGCCCCTAATACAGCCATTCCAGCAAGTCCTCCGACGTCAAGCCAACCATCGCCGAGTACCAGTGTCCTTTCAAGTTCTACGCCCCCAATACAGAGTAATCATACGTCTTTGGAGGATCGAGTTGTCCACAAAAAGACACCGAAGCCTGCATCTTCAAAGTCCCAGCCATCAAAGGAGAACCAGAAGAAACCTAGCCCTTTGCCAGGGGCAAAGGAAAAGACGGTCCACGTCCCTCCAAAGGCTCCAAATCCCATTGCTAGCAAGGATCCTGCACCCACTGTTGAAGAACCCAAACCACAATCACCAATTCCAAGAGGACCCCCAAGCCATTACAGACTTCAGGTGCGCTTATTCGATGGACGCTCTGTGCGCTCTAGTTTCTTGCCCAATCAGACAATCAGCCGCAATGTGCGTCCTTGGCTCGATGAGCAGATGACGGACGACCACCGACCCTACAATCTCAAGCACATCCTGACACCTCTTCCAAACCGAACACTCTCCCTCTCCGAAGAGTCGCAAACTCTTCAAGATCTGGGCCTTGGCTCAACCGCAAATTTAGTCATGGTCCCTGTCAGGTCGTACACCGAGGCATATGCTTCCGCCGCAGCCAGCTTACCAGCACGCGGTATCTCCGCTGTATATAACGTAGTGTCATCTGTCGCAAGCTCGGCCACGGGAATTATGGGCTCTTTCATTGGGTTAAGCTCCAACGCATCAGCAACAGAGCCGGCCCCTGCTTCATCTAGTCCTACGCCTAGCGAAAATACCCGACGACCACATTCGACGGGGCCCAGGATCCGAACACTTCGGGACCAGCAAATTGGGCAGGACGAAAACCAGCTGTATAACGGCAACCAGGTAGGTGGTCTTCATTTTTAGTAAAACCTTGAGGTGTTCTTATTCATTGACTGCTTCGATAGTTAAACTTCGAGCCAAGGAACCAGGATAGCAAAGATGATTGAGATTCGGGCGATGGACCCTCTTGAACCTGCCTGGAAATCATGACTCCCAGATTAAGCGGGCATGCTTATGTTTTGATATGGTGTTTTGGCGGATTTAAAATAAACCGTTTCTACGTTGAATCCTCATGTATATCATAAGACTAGTAAATTGACGATTTCATATAAGCACATTACATCCCTTTTCTTCGACCGATAGAGATATAACTATCTGAGAAAACATCAAGACCCAGGTAGATCGAGGGACACATTCTTCATTTTTTCTATATCCTTGCTTCCGGAGAGGGCGTGAGCGCCATCAGCTCAAGGAATCTAAAGTCACGGATAATATTGATTTCAGTAACGAGGAGAGATGGTATAGAGTACAAGAGCGCGATATCAAAGTCGCGATGCAAAAGGGTTTCTACCCCATTAATGTTAACAAATTTTGGAATTAATTCCAAAGAGCAGATTTAACTAAGCACAGCCACTAGCTTCTGCCGAAATTTCCCAGCCTAGGAAATGCTTAGTAGGGCTTAGCAGCAGCCTGGCAGGCCTTGAGCTGGTCCAAGTACCAGCCGCAGATGCTCATGTTGCCCTGGTTATCGTCCATGCACTGGCGGAAGTTACGGACATCGTTGGCGCAGGCTGGGTTCTCGTAGGCCTCGCTGGAAGCGCTGCTTTGCCACAGGTTGTTGTCCATGGCCTGGCTCGGGGCCGGAGAGGCAGGGGCAGCCTCGGCGGGGGTGCTAGACCCACCGCCGCTGAAGAGACCGCCGATGGCATGGCCGATCGAGGAGCCAACAGCGACACCGCTGAAGCGCAAAAGGAGATGTTAGCGGCTGCGTCTCTCGCGTAGTCGGGGAAACAGAGAGCCGATCCCGTTTTTCCCCCCACGGTAATGAGAAAGGAACTCAGAGCAAACTCAGTGTAAAACTTACGCAGCGGTGGAGGCCATCTGGCCAAAAAGGCCAGGGCCCTGGCTTTGTTGCACTGGAGGGGCCTGTTGCATGGGAGGAGCCTGCTGTTGTGGAGAGGCAGCGGTTGAGTGATGCTGCTGTTGCTGGGGAGCTGGCGCAGGCCGGGCAGGGGCCGGAGTCGGGCGGGTAGGAGCGCTGCGCGCAGGGGTAGGGGCGGCACGGCGTTGTTGGCGAGGCATTTTGTTATATGCACTTAGGTGAATATATGGATTGACAACCGTTGAGGAGAAAAGAAGAGTAGATAACTGTATATGGGGTCCAGATAGAAGAAGCTAGAAAGCTGAGTCAGTCAGTGCCAACTGCAAACTCCAATGCAAACCACGCTATAGGTCAGCTGACTGGAACGGACTTTCCTCGCTAGAAGAGGCCCACTTTCTCCACCATATCACATGACTTTAAACATCAGCTAGGCCAATTATCCGAAGGGAAGGCCTATCTCTGTCATATTACCTGGAGATTTATGCCAGAACATCGAAGAAGACCAAACCTGCGCCTGATAATCTTGGACATGACCCTAGCGGATACAGTTCAAGTGTTATTATGTTCGAAATGTCAATCCGCATAATGAAGAAACATTCAGCACTATGCTAGCGGGATATGAAGGCTATAATCTGAAAATCATAGTGCAGAATTTAGTGGAACCTATTACTGAATTTGATGATGAGTATAGTACGTTTCGAGTTTGTTTCGCTCTTTCAATGCTTCTAAAGATGTCTTTTGTGGTTTGCTGGTCAAAAGATGTCTATTCGATATACCAGCCTGTTTATGACTGGATCAGAGATCAATGGAGCGATAAAGAGGAGATTGAGCGACTATAGGAATGTAAATAGAAAAAGGGGCTATGAAAGAAAATACCTAAGAGTACTAGTAGAGAGGTATTTCTTAGGTTTATCTATCTAGATTACTCCGATTGCAGTAATTGTAGATCTTCTATTTTGAAACATCCACATAGCGCAATGTAGCAAAAGAAGTGAGATAAATATAAGATTCTCGCTTAGTCTCTATAGGGTATCAAATCTTTCCTTTCTATCTCTAATAAATCAAACTCCTTTTTTCTCTTTACACTCCCATAGTCGCTCGATCTCCTCTTTATCGCTCCATTGATCTCTGATCCAGTCATAAACAGGCTGGTATATCGAATAGACATCTTTTGACCAGCAAACCACAAAAGACATCTTTAGAAGCATTGAAAGAGCGAAACAAACTCGAAACGTACTATACTCATCATCAAAATCAGTAACAGGTTCCACTAAATTCTGTACTGTGATTTTCAGATTACAGTAGCCTTCATTCCATTTCAAAGCATTTTGTTGGCAGCAAAACGCTTCAGATTCAAGATAATGAAGAGCTTCTGTCAACTCGTCTAAAGTTAGATATTGACGAGGAGCCCAAGCAAAAATTTTGAGTACTTTCCTCATATCCCGGTAGCATAATGCCGAATGTTTCTTCATTATGCGGATTGACATTTCGAACATAATAACACTTGAACTGTATCCGCTAGGATCATGTCCAAGATTATCAGGCGCAGGCTTGATCTTCTTCGATGTTCTGGCATAAATCTCCAGGTAATATGGCAGAGATATACCTTCCTTTCGGATAATTAACCCAGCATTTGCAATGTCAATGGGAAGCAGACCGATCTTTTTTATAACATCCTTTGCCTGTTGAGTGGTTGAACGCCCGTAAGGTTCCGAGAACCTAGCAGACTTCAATAAAAAAGTGATTGCTTCCTCTTCTTCTAAATCTTCTAAATTGAAGATTTTTTGTTTGCCAGAGCCCTCTTGTGGTTGAGTGCAAGTGGTAATGAGGATATGTCCATTCTTACCACGTGGGATCCAACCTTCGAGCTCGTCTAGCGGCAGTTCGTCAGCATGATCAAACACTAAAAGCCAGGAGTTTTGGTTGCTTGAAAGCTCCGATTTGACATTCTTGGCGATTGATGTCCTATCTCCTTTTTCTGACAGACCAAGGAGTTTGCCAACATCAGAATATGTTTGTTCAATTCGAACCGATGATCTAGCATCAATCCAAAATACCCTCCAATAGCTGTGGTTCAAAACAAAAAATCAGCGAAAGGGTCATATGAGATTGAATGAGAGGAAATGAAATGCTGGACTTACTGGTCTTGATAAGCTTCTGCAAACTTAGAGCAGATCTGGGTTTTTCCAGAACCGGGTTTCCCAGTAATGAAGCATTTACCCCCTGGACACTCCATGGAGCTTCCAAGCTTTTCTTTAATCTCTTTCAACTTTTTGATGCGGCTATTTTCCCAGAAAAGCATGTTGACAGACACAGTATTCTGCTGTGGAGCAGAAAACAACTCCATTCGGGTCCGGTTGATTTCGAGAAGACTATCATGTCATAAATTAACTTTCAAAACTTGAAAGGTTTGTTTATGACACTTACCTCTTCATGGATTCCTGAATCTGGTCATGTCTGCCTTTTATAAGATCAAATCCTTTTATCAGATCTTCTTTGCTGTTCTTTCTTTGGTATAACCGAATCCGCTTGGAAAACTTGTTGCGATGCCCGGAGATCATGAAGCTGCTTTTGCTGCATATGGACCTTAGCATATGAGAGATCCCGAAGACATATCTTTCGCAATCATCACTCCATATTTGAGCTTCTAATTCCAGAGACTTCCAGGCCGCTTTGCTATCTGGGTGCAGAATTGTAGCTTGTTCGTGATGTAAGGTGTCTTCCATCTTACAACTCATGCTTTGGACAAGGGTTCGGAATGCATGCAGAGCACAAATCTCTTGATGAACATCAAGATCTTGAAGATCCAACCCAGCCTTGGCTATTGGGTAAAGTATAGATACAACACCGAGACCCAATGATACGGCGTCCATCTTGTCGTAGAGTTGTAGTCAAGTTGATCCTCTGGTGTGCCTCACATATTGTAAGGACTTTAGTCGGCTTTTAAAGCTATTGCCTCGCAACTGGAAAGCTGGGTTCAAATGTGTTCGGTTTGATCATGCCCAATTTCTTTAAAGGATATTCCTAAGGGGTTCTTTGGTGAAACTATTACTCTAGACATATTCATTGAGCCACTGGGGTCAAACAATCAAAAATAAAGACTTCATCTTTATACACAGCCATGCAGGGTCTCGGGAAGCTACTATTCAAATATAAAGGCAGAGGGTACCTTTAAACCCCAACGTTTGCAAAACCTGGCGGGGCGCAGCTAGTAGCAACCTTCCAATTGACTCAGCTTCTGATCTTCTTTGTTTCTTCCAATTCTGGCCATTGTCTTTTTAAGAGGAGGATCAAATAGTGGTGATAAGCTGCACCTCTGCGACTTGAATAGTCTAGTGGGTTTTTATGATTGAGAAGTATATTCAATAGGCGACTAGGGTCAGACAAGTAAAAGTAAAGACTTTGTCCTTTGGCATAGCCTTGTAGGGTTTTGGAAGGCTACTATTCAAATAGAAAGCCTGAGGGTACCTATTTAAGATCGAAGCCTTTGTGAAATTTCACGTAAAACGGCTAGGAGCCACCTTTCCATTGACTCAACTTCTGATTTTCTTTGTTTCTTCTGCTGCTCCTGGTCGGTGCTTTGTCAAAGAGGTCAAATGGCGGTGACAACTTGTATCTCTGAGACCTACGTGTGGTTCTTCAAATTGACAAAGGAATGAAATTTCTCAGGGATGTACGATGTGATGATGACACGAAGAAAAGGCGATGTTTAAGCACACTAATACACTACCTATCCAAAAGTCTGTTCCAATGCCCACTTTCAGCACCTCAATATCGAATATACGTATATCTCTGTTACACTCCACAATCAATCAATCAACCAATCAAACTCTAGTAACCTAATGCATCCTAACTTGGCGTAATGGCCATGTAGGTGCTTCCTCCGGCGGAAGCAAGAGCTATCCCAACGCCAGCCCAAGCAGATAGAATGCGTAACACAAAAGGAAAAACGGCATTTTGCTACACAAAATCAGTCCAAAAATATCCCAATGACCCATAATTTAACGCTTGCAAGTAGCTTTTGCCTTCAACCCCCTCATTTCAACCGGCACCTCGGTTACATGCAGCATGCGGTATCATTTCCCATCTCCCACCAAGCCAGCAGGAAATATTTCTTGCTTCGTTGACATAGTTCATGACTTGTATAATTATATCCTCCTCAGCTTCTCGGTAAACATTGGAGATCCCGTTCCTTACACCTAGCATCTTCACTGCGCTGTCTATCTACTAGTTTATCCTGGTTGCTTGGTTTCGGGATCTGCTTCGGCTTCAGAATCGGAGTCAGTATTGAATTGCCGGAACTAGCCGAGAGATCTATCTGTATTATAAAATTTACTACGTAGCGGGTAGCCTGCGAATTCGATATAACAGCTTTATAGTCCGTTACTCGATCAAGATGCGACTATTATGGAACAACCAAATGTATAATACTTGATGTTATTCGGATCAACTTCGGATGTGAATTATATATATAACGCACACACTTATCAAATATCACAGATAAGGCGTATATATCACAAAGCTAGATCATATTCGTCATACATCTAGCAAACATTACAATGACCATATCAAGATTAATAAAAAAGGAGAATTCTCCTTCTATACTATAATAATTGATAGAATTATCATGAAATGTAAGGAATGATGACGATAATAAAATATCTTTATCGCGTCATATTTGCATCCTCTACCCGGAGCATTCATGATTTATACATGTTCATCACCTTATATATATGATTCACATCCGAAGTTGACCCGAATAGTATTATGGATGTTGTTCTCTAACATACTAATTCGAATTTTCTATTCAGCTGGATTACACTCTTAACTATTCAAGAAAGAAATATCTTTCTTATAAACTATATAGTTACTATATCTTGCCCAATATGTTTTGGAAAGGAGTCGTGAATACTGTTTCGGACTCAGATTAGTAGTTTGCTAAATAGAATACTCATCCGGAAAGATCTAGTTTTAAATACTGATATCGCGGTGTTTTCGTGTAAAAGCAAGCCAAATCTTCACTAATTTCTTCTAAATAGAGATCTTCTTCTTCAATAGCTATTTACAAAGTTGATATTCAGCAATAACTGGACGGATTTTTAACCTAGAAGGATGATTAGTCAAGTAAATTGATAACTGATTATCTAGAACGGATATCTACGCGCTTATAAAAAGAAATTTTAGTAATCGTGAGTACTTAGCTTTCTAGGCCTACATCAGCGAGACGCTGATTCCAAATTAGTCTTCGCTTTAGTAGCATTTGAATATGCTATATATAGTCCTTGGCGAGCACCTAAATTCACGTGCTAGCTAGGCACGCGAAATATTACCCTTTTTATAGGGTATACAATAAGTTACCGTTGAGAAGGTGTTAAGTCATAGTTTTCCCCACGTTTACTACTAGCATATAGTGGCTAGGATGCTATCTACGCGGTTATAGAAGGAAGAAAAAAATTATCTGTGGTGGTTGATATTGTGAATGTAGTGATTGTAGTGATAGGGAAGTAGGGTCGGAACAGACTTTTGACCCTTTTTGTATATATTGCATTACACTTAACCTGCCTCTACAGGTCATGCTAGCGGATATCGATCTAAGACATCATCTAGCTAGATAACACATTCATTGTTTCTGTGCTGAATGAACAACTGACATGTTTTACTTAGCTGGTGGATGATCGTTGTGAACTTTTTCTACGCTATGTCCCCATACAGTCACTCACAGGAGGCCTAGTACAGTGAAAACTTCGTAGAGATCAACTTCGTTCATAATCCTAATACTTTCTACCCTAAGTGATATAGCACCCAAATAATGGTCACCATGAAATGATACAGTACATGATAGATGGAAGATTGAAAGTCTATCACGTCCCGGCAGGGACTGATCATGATGCTCTTTGAAACCAAGCTTGACATGATTATGTGATCACATGGAAGTTGTTAACATATTGGCTTTAAATGGGTAATTTTTTATAAATTTCTATTTCTATATTAGCCTCTATACTGTATAGTGGCGGGGGATTTAGTTTGGGTCGAATTGGAATGCGACAATCATTCTCTTCACTTTGCCCATAGTATAGGTATACAAAAATTACTGATAATGAGTCATATTCCATATCAGGGACCTGGTTTCTTACCTTTTTTCGATTCATGGAAAAATCAAGAAAAAAGGCGCATAAATGAGCAAATATATTTCCAATATTAACGTATTACCTACAGTTAGGTCAAGACTCCCAGTCTAGCTGATAAAGCTGAGGTTTTATATACAGTATAGATACAGATTGACCATCTGTTTCTGATATAGAGCTTTGTTAAGGAAGTAGCAAAAGCCAGATAAAAGTAGTCGAATACTTGTTGTGTTCGGCAGATCTTAGGGGGGAAAGTTCAGCTGAAAATTTTTCGCTCTGCAAAGTGTCTTAATGAGATCATAATAGTCTAAGATCTTTTCTATACCTCTGTAACAAGGTGACTTCTCTTCCTTGATAGTCTGAACTGAGCCTTGGATTGGGATTGGAACATATACCACAATCTCTGTAATTGAATCCAAGACTGGTAGCCGTCGTCTTTGCATTTGATAATGCTTTGACATATAGCTCCTTACTGTAGCAATGATTGTAGCAAAAAGAATCCTTCATGTATGATCAATGATCTAGCATGAATGAGTAAGATTTCGGGTCGGCCAATGTTCTCGAATATGCATATATTACGGAGCTATCTAGTTGATCAGCTCTATATGCAATTAGTAGTTAGCTGCTCCTGCTACTGCTCTATAGTTGTATCTGACTGATGATGGCGAGAATATCGCGGCATTTCTCTTGTATCAACATAATTTCTAAGTTTAAACAGGTAATCATAATTCTCTTGCCTCTGTCAAAGGAGACGTCTACCTGGCTATTACACCACTAATAGATTGCACTATGTTAACAGAAAAGATATAAGTTGATGAATTGATAAAGTACGGTGCGATCGGCCGGCTACCAATCACACTGGCATGGGACAGCATCACAAACGATAATTTTGGGGAAGAGGGGGAAGAGGGGTAAGCTGTTCGGATTTATGGCTCAATCTATAAATGCTTAGTAGAATCTATCTAGCAAGAATCATGCATATTTCAAGGGATATAATGCCCATTTTGCCCCCCATACGCATTTGAAACATCGCATTCCACTGGAACCCACCAACTATCTGGCTGTAATCTATTGTCAAAACGGTCATATCTAAACCACAGTGGCATGTGCTCACTGTAGAATTCAGACCATGATTCTCTTTCCCAGGTAATCATATATCCAGCACGGGGCAGTTCGCGACCAATTCGGGGTCTTTTCAGGTCCATTGGATCGAGCACTAATTCCATACCTGAGGCGTCCTCCTCCCTGTCAAGGATCAGATCTTTTCTCTCAGCCAGATCTCTCATCAAACGAAGATGCATTTTCACTGCCGGTATGAACGATTTGTGTCTGCGAAATTCTTTTCCCTCTTTTGAACACTCTAGTTTCTCAGGGAAATATCCAAAAAGCTGGAACCAGAACATACGTCGAGGGTGGTATTTGAGACCAAAAAATGGCGCATATAGACCGAAATAAGCCGTTTCGCCTAAAACAGATGCCTCCAGCTGTATCAAAAACCTTTCTAGGTCACGAATTGGTCCAAACCGGTCCAAATCGAACCCAACCCAGAATGATTTTGGACAGTGTATCTCCTCTTGTTTCTTTTCCCTAACATAGACTCGTGCTAAGGCAGGGTGATCGGAGGCCCAGAGTATGACTTTGTAAGAGTCGTTTCGGATGGCCGATTCGTGAAGAGGTAGGGAAATGCGCACTTTGGGTGCATCCGGGTCAACGCCCTGACCTGACCAAGAATCCAGTGAAAAAATCTTCGATCCCAAGCGCTTCTCCTCTTCAATTTGAGGATTCGCCTTTTCGATTTGATCAGACGCCATAGTGAAGTTGCAAAGATCAATTACGAATTGGATAGGAATGATGGTAGGATGAGCGAAGGGTACGCTGGATGGTTCTGAGTTTAGGAGTTGATGGACTCTGATGGAGGTCAACTTGAGATAGTTCCTGCTTTTATATTTGCGGGGAAAACAGAGTCCGAGGGAAGACATATCTTGGAAGTCACTCCTTGCGTAGATTTGGTCTCCAGACCGAGGTTCTCGAGGCTGAGGTCAAAGAAAATGAAAGGCCCAAGGAAACAATGATACCTTATGACATTTACTCGAGAGCCTTTGAAGATTCTTGAGAGTTCTTTCAGACCCAGCATTTTTGCTAGCATTGTCCGGTCCTCGGTCGGATGTTTTTTGAAGATCATTCTCATTGAAATTACACTGGTAATTGCCTAGTGGGCTTCCTAGCAGCTGTCACTGATTCTTGGCCTTGAGCATATCCAATTTTTCAGTTTGGTCAATTTAATTTGGAAAGAAGATAAGTCGAACCGAAAGAAAGAAACAGGCATTCTTCCTCCTATCTTAGGCTCGTGATCGCTCTTAGGCTCTTTGTCTAGAGTTGATAAAGGGACTCGGGGCTCACAACAAAGGAAGAGTGATTCGAAAATGAGGTTCCAACATAAGCCAAGTGAAGGTAATGTACTTTTCAGATGCTTTGATGTGGCCAGTTGTTACCATGTGATAATGTCTCCCCCCCACATAGCTTAGCTTATCTGTCAACAAAGTAGGATACTCTATTAGCTTGTTAGGCTTGGATCCAATGGTACGCAATGCGCAATGTGATAATGTCTAATATAGGAACTATCTGGAAGGGAGTGTTCAATATCTTCTGTCTCGCTGACTAGCGCGTTACGGCGCTGATTTCCGAGTCTACCCGGGATACCATGCAAAACTAGTGAGGAAACGTATTCCTGTAAGCGCGAGATGCACAGTGGAATATATGGGTGCTCGTGGTATTCAATGACTTCTCCTTCTCGACATTATCTCGTATCTTCCTCGCCAGAATGGAACTTCATTTCTACCACGGCCCAGATTTCTACAGTCACCATCAGTGATAGACATTTGTTGCCAATGCTGTCTGCACTTCGAATGCGATCCGAACGGAAGTATGTTTTAATAACAACTTTGGGCACCGAATTAGTGACAGCCTACTGATTACCTGATAGGACTTCATAATGGAAGTTATGCCGTGGCACTAAGACATCGAAACTCAGCTCAAGGGATTCAACTGAATCCTGTTCTGTATCAGATTTCATCTCAGCAAAGTCATTCAAGTGATGGAAATCATGGTTGATGATACTTATAGAAAATCGAGAAAGCTTTTTATGGCCCTTTTGCCCACCCCCTCCTTTCCTTCAATTCCCTGACTCTCACATTTTGAAAGCTATCGTCAGGATAAAACAACCAGTATAATAAATATACATACCCTCGGAAGTACAGATAGAATGTTCAAATTCCCGAAGCAAGCCTAGGGCCTCATTACGGCCTGGTGTGGCCTGTTTGCCGCTCTTACTGTAAGGCTGTCATCGTGCCATCGTAGCGCGCGGCTGCGAAACCATTGTCACGCCTTGGCGAAGTCTAGTACGGTCTGAGATGTCTTCGCCCTTGAGATAGTGTCTGGTTCATCTTTTTCGCCTTTCTGAGGTTCTCCAAATAGACTCGAACCGCTACTCAGCGCGAATTTAACTTCTCGCTTCAATACCCTCTCTGGATTCTTCAATCATAGAAGAATCATGTGATAATAAGCATACCAGGAATTCACGGGGATTGTAGAACGATAAGGGTTTGGGTCATTCTGTTTGATTCAATTCATGATTTCTGGGTATCTATATGATCGTCGATATATATACAAGTCTTAAGAGGTAAGGCGATCTGAAATAATAATGGCAAGGCGCGGTGAAACAGCCAAATGTCGGCTCAGATGCGGAGGTCGACGGCCGATACTCATGCATCAATTTCAAGGAGAGCCGCCAGATGGTCCGAAAGCTCATTGGGATTTCCGAGCTTTGCGCAATGCTTCCTTCTTATGACGCCTGTCCTTCTTCTGCGTTGTGCGATCCTCCTTGCTGAGCTTCCGCTGCTTCTTTACGAAATCAGCATTCTTACTCCTAGCCTGCAGCTTCTCGGCCATTTTTTTCTTTGTTATGGCTTTGCTTTGCGCAGGTTCACTGGATTGTTGAGCCGAGTCCTCGTCCTCGAGATCTTGATCGGAATCATTGGAATCGGCGCTAGACTGTACGGTAGAGTGTGCTGCACTGGAGGGAGCATCTGATTGGACTGCAGAAACATCGGGCTTTGCAGCAGGCTTGTTCTTCGCTTGTAGCATCGCGGCTTTGAATTGAGCCCGCGCCTTCTCTTTGGCTTCCTTTTCAGCTCGTTCCAGATCAAGCTTGTCATTGCCAGCCTGTGAAGAAAAATGTTAGTCATGATTTTCATTCAATAGCCAAGAACAGATTTCACTTACCAAGCCGTGTTTAATAAATCGATTCGCGGCCGCCTTGTCCAGGGTCATGGTGCGCTGCTCTGGTTCGGTTTCCAAGGCTTTCATCTTTTCAAAGTACTGTTTAACGCGAGTGAGCTCGCGGAAGACAGGATGTTGCTTGGCATCCACGCCGTGTAGTCTGAGATAAGCTATAAGACATCAGCATAATTCCATACCTGGCGGTATGCCGCAACACGTACAGAAAATGAGTGACTCAAGGGCGTAAGTAATCAACACATGCAGTTTAGCCTTATCCATAACCGGTAGGTTCTTCGAAAGCTTTGACATTTGATGTCCCAAAACGGGCTGCAGAACATCTTCAAGGTCGTCCACATTATCATCAAGCTGCTCCAGCAGCGGCAAAAGGTCTGTTGGCTCCATTGTGTTGTCGGGTGTGAAAGACAAAAGGATTGCAGGAAAAATTACAACCGATGTAACTAGGCGGTGGGGCGGGCGGTGGATATTTGCGATAACGCTTTTGCACCTCAATATTTCGCCGAGGCGCGCCTGTCGAATTGCCTTATTGCTCGGCTTTATTCGAAGCTTCCACAAGCACCAATGACCATAATGATATTTTAAGTTATTACTTCTCGTCTCCGATTATTTTGGGAATAGTCTTTGATCTCCATCTTCCACTCTCGATCTCCACCTTTCGCCCTCGATCTCTCAACCGTCGCTCCCGGGGGCTTCCCCCAAAACACCTTCAAAGTGTTACGAATACTCAGAGACCGCCCGCTATGGCGGAGTGGGCTACTTGATCTGTGTCTTCAGCCTCAGTTTCAGACGCATGGCGGACAGACAGCTCGATGCTTAACGACATGGACGCAAAATGTCGACGACGTCGCCCGCGAAACCCAAAAGCCCCGATTGTCAGGGCGAGTACATATTCTTGGTCTCGGAAATGTAGGGACATTCATTGCGCATTCGTTGGCCGTACGACAATCTCCACCACCAATCACATTGCTCATGCACCAAGACTCGTTCTACGAGGCGTTCCGGAGGAAGAAACAATGCCTCTCGGTTACCTATAATGGTCTCGACGATGTCAAGAACGGTTTCGATGTTGAAGTGTGGAGGGGAGATGGGTGGCATAAAATGCCATCACAGCAGGAAAAGCTACAAGAGGCGGACGATAACATCCCCCAGGAAGAAAATGAAGAAGACATACCCAATGCCAAGGGCGATGGGGAATATATCGAATGTTTGATTGTTTGTTGCAAATCGAGTGTGACTGAAAAGGCCATTAAGGGGGTCAGCCACCGCCTGAACTCTAACTCCACCATCCTTTTGGTACAAAATGGTCTCGGTGTTATTGAAAAATTGAACGAAACCGTGTTCCCAGATGAGAAAACACGTCCACATTATATGCAGGGTGTGTTTAGCCACGCCCTCACAAGAAGAGACTCTTTCCAAGTCTCTCACATGAATGTCGGGTCGCTCATTCTGTGTCCAACGGTCACCGATCAGACCCCATTAATTGACGCTGAACACGATACCCACTGGGCCCCTACAACTAAATACCTACTTCGACTTTTAACCCTCACTCCATCTCTGGTTGCTGCTGCTGACACACCTGCCGGTCTGCTCCAGTATCAACTAGAGAGACTCGCTGTGTTCAGTATTATCAGCCCTCTCACTGCCTTGTTCAATTGCAAAAACGGTGAACTTCTTTACAACTTCTCATGCACTCGCATTATACGCTTGCTTCTCTTCGAGATTTCCAGTGTAATATGTGCTCTTCCCGAGTTGCGTGGCGTGCCAGGGATCGAAGATCGATTTTCGCCTGAGCGTCTGCGTCGGCAGCTTACCACCGCTGCTTCACTCAGCGCCAAAGCTGGCAGCGCAATGCTGCAAGACATAAAGGATCAGCGACTCCCGGATATCGATTTTCTGAACGGCTGGATTATTAAACGCGGTGAAGAGATTGGCATAAAATGTGTGTTAAATTACATGATCAAGAATATGATCCATGCCAAACTGGCCATCATCCAACGACAAAACACCAGCGCCGTTCCGTTCGACTTCGATAACACCCTCATATCTGGTAATTCCAAAGGTGACAAGGGAGAAGATGCTTAGATCCATCTCCAGGCCTTCGGCTTTTCTTTCTACTGATACCGGGACTTCCAGGACCTGGAATTTTCCTCCGTTATTGATCAGCCACGCTCAGGGCATTATTGCAGATCTTTTTAATCTGTGTCCATCGTCTGAGTAGCGTTTCCGCCTTTGAGCGATGTGCTTGCAGCACAGGGTTGGTCGTTATAGCCTCTTGCAGATATTTCATGGCGGCATCCGCCTCACCTGCATAAGCCCGAATCCATCCTTCGATGATGGCTTCCGTTTTTTTCTCATCCACGCCCTCAGTGGAACCTTCGAGGATATGATTCCTCCAATCTTCTTCATTCATGTATTTTAGACAGGCCGCAACCTCGGTGCGGTAGCAGACTCCATGACTGGTCAATTGGTAGTTACTGGCGAAATGTTTAGAGTGGAACACGGAATGTATATACCGCTTGACTTGACAATCTCTAGATTTCTCATTTAACTTACCCGTAATACTGGTTCAATAAAAGCTCTTCCTCCTTTGCACGGTTGTTAAGGTCGCGGAGGATAATCTCGTCAAGGTAAATGCAATCTGACTCGTTTTTGTCCAGAATGAATCCATCTAGAGAGTTGGATTAGCCCGGGTTGACGACAAAGAGAATTGAACGCGCCCCACATTCAGCAAGAAGGAAATCGTTCGGGTGACCGCCATAGCTCATGTACACTTCATCTCCCACTTCGTAGTCTTCCGTGGCCCGTAATGTGTACTCCTCGGCGTTGAATTTCACATCGCACTTCGACCCTACATTAGCTTATAGCCGGACAAAGCACTGGCGAAGAAGAGGATGCCTACCTCAATATCTGCATGGTTGAAATAATCCGCAAATGGCAGCATTGCCATAGCATCATTGCGATCATTAGGTGGTTCCTCACCCTCTGCTACCCAATAGAAGCTTCGCGTATTGATAATAAGCCAGTAGTAGGAGAATAATCGCCAATCAGTTTCCGGGAATATAGTGGTCACATGCGCCCAGGCCTTGCGCAGCCGAATATCCTGGCCCAGAAGAAGGTTCTGATGTTCAGTGTCGTACTGCTTCATCGGGATAATCTTTTCAATAGTGGGCCACTTGCCCGAGATACAAGGAGTGAGGAGATTAGCTTCGGCTTGTAATTCATTTGGGTCACTGTCTGGCAATGGAAGGCCGCCGAGAGCGGCTGGCCACAGCAACGGCAAGCTGTCCTCGAAATCCCGGCGTGTAGGCCAGGCCTTGCGCCAGAGCTCATATTCAGCTAGCTCGTCATCGCTCCCATGGGTGAAGTATGCTGCCATAATGGTTTGTACGGCGGTCCCTTCGGGGAATTGTTCTTTGAATGAGGCAGGGATTCGTTCCATAGTGAAGATGGAAGTTGTAGGAACCTGGACAACAACATCTCCTTTCTTTAAACATGCATTGAATTTCAGTATCAGTCAACGTAGTATGATATATGTTAGTAGTTGAATGTCTGTACCTTAATTTTCCGAGTCGCTATCATTCCAAGACCACGGCCAGGAAATCGAGCTGGTGCGACCCCGAAGGCTTCAACGCCTTGAGCCATAGCCCATTCTGTGAAAGCCTCGTGATTCTCACCAGGCCACCATTCTGATCTCATCATGAATCTGGGATACTGGTATCGGTTCAAAGGACCAGGGAGACTGAACTTTTGATAAGTATGAGCAGCAAGGGCGGGGTTCTGCATAAGCTTCCAGCAGGGCAGATGGTAATTTTTGGGCAGTAACTATTAATTTCAAATATAATGTCACCGGGTATCAGCTCCCATGATGCTGTGAAGTCTTGTGATTCTATTTTTTCCAATCAGTCACTGTTGGTAAATGTTGGTGCAAATCAACAAGTGCGGCTTTGACGGAGAGCCAGATGTTTTATCGATGTTATCGATAAAACTGCTTATCACTGATTACGGGCCCGCATAGGAGCCAGTCATGCTATCTTCCCAATTACCGTACGACTCGCCGATCGTCTTTGCATGTCAATTGATCTCCAGGTTCCATTTTGCTAGGTTTGAGATACACTATGTCGGCACTGGGAAGGCGAGGGGCTTCTGGGCTTCAAGCTCTGGCTACTGCTATATCCCAGAACCCTACGTGTCCTCTGCGCTCATTCTCCATTCTAAACCGCCCTCGGCCAAACTATCCGGGCCATATTCCGCTGACGACAATTGAGCGAGGTGCCCTGGCTGTTGGCTCAGCAATTGGATCTTTGATCAATCCACGAAGAGCAGGTATGTCCTTCTAGTTAGAGCCATATATCAATGGGTTCTTTGCAGGCATCTTCAATTTTCCCTTTACTTTTATCATCTAACTATATCATCGGCCACGAAGCTGACCCACAAGCTCCTAGACCTCATTGCAGCCCTCGGCGAAGCCACTGCAACCCCATATTTCATCTACCGGCTACGAGACGCAATGCTCTCCGATTCCACTGGTCGCCGCATCCTCCGTGACCGCCCCCGCATCACCTCCGAGACTCTCAAAATGGCCTATCTGCGCACTCTACCCGAAAACTCCGTCGGCCGCACATACGCCAAATGGCTCGATCGAGAAGGTGTATCACCCGACACACGGGACAATGTCCAGTATATCGATGACGAGGAATGCGCCTACGTTATGCAACGGTACCGCGAATGTCACGACTTCTATCACGCTGTGACGGGCCTGCCCATCTTCGTTGAGGGCGAACTTGCGCTGAAAGCATTGGAGTTCCTAAATACTTTATTACCTATGACAGGGCTGAGCCTGTTCGCATTTGTGCGCATGAAGCCGGTCGAAAAGGAGCGGTTCTTATCTTTGCATTTGCCGTGGGCGGTGCGCAGTGGGCTTGGGAGCAAGGAGCTGATCAATGTCTACTGGGAGGAGGTGCTGGAGAAAGACGTGGATGAGTTGCGAGCAGAGCTAAACATCGAGCAACCGCCTGATCTGCGCGAAATTAGGAAGATGATCCGGCGACAGGAGAAGCGGGAGAAGGAGAAACAGCAGCAGATGTCGAGCTGAGCGGCGTTCCCGGGCATATGTTGCATGGGTGTTTTATAGCTCTGTTTGTTCAAGAGCGTGTACTATTATTACTGTTTTTGTTATTCTCAAAGAATATCCCCGACTGCAAAATCATGCCAAACAAAGAAAACCCGTCCGAGACGAGCAACAGACCGTAAACGCCTAAAGTAGATTTTGAGGGGCCGCGATGGGGTCACCCAGTATCATCCAGCATAAGATATATAAAGAAGATAGAAACAAAATGAGCGGCCAAGCTTGTATGGGTTTTCAAAATTGCAAGCTCATCAGCCCTTACAGGTCCAGAAGGTCGTCATCGTCGTCCCAGCCGCCTTTGCGCCGGCTGATCACGATCTTGTGTTCTTCCTCTTCCTTGCGCTGGTTCTCGGCAACGGCGTTCAGAAGCTCCTTGAGCTGGTCTTCAGTCACCTTCTGGCGCAGCTGGCCAGTCTGGGCAAGCATCATCAAGCGGTTCTCAATATCCACGGCGCGTGATTCCTTGACGAGTCGGATGCGTCCGAGGCGGTCGGCGGCGGCGGGGTCGAGGATCTGGTTCATGATGGTGGCACGGCGTTCCGCTAGAGAAGGGGTATATTGGGTTAGAGACTCTCTGATGACATCTCGGGAGGGTGCTGGTTTGCGCGTTCCCGGGTCCCTGGAGATTGCGGGACGTGGACAGTCGGAAGACTTGGTCACCTACATTCAGCTTGCCTGGTTGCGGCAGCCCGTCAGTTTTGTTGCCATATTTTGATCTTGGAGCCGAACCACTCACTTTCTCTGCTCTTCCTGGCCGCTCTCATGACTGGGACCCCCGCGCGGGCCCTGCTGTTGCTGGAGCTGCGCAAGACGAGCTCGCCTGATCTGTTTCCTTTTGTGAGCAAGGAGGGGAACAGGTCAATCATGGGGTAGGGAGGTTAAAAGACTAACCTCCTCCAGCTCTGCGTCCGCCATGGTGTGTGGAGCTATTACTCGTGTATTGGAGGTAAATGCAAGTGTCAAGTCGACCGGGCTCGTTGATGCGTGGGCGAAGAATGATTTGACTGACCCCACTTGTCCCGCCTGAGGCTGCCACGCGGGGGGAGGAACCAGAGCTGTCATCGGATGTTTGGCGCGACATTACAGTCTGATGCGGTAGTATAGATCAGAGATGCCATCTAGAGAGGGGGGCGAATATTATGATATGATGAGAATTACTGGCACTGGAATATGTTATTTTTATTTGCATATAGACGCAAGAAGAAGAATTGGGAGACGTCCGCTGTATATATATTGTACAGACTTCATCTCGGGTATACCTGATATACTAGTCATACGTCTAAATCTTGGCCTCGACCAGAGCCCCAGAAAGGTAAATACATATCTCAAGTGAGCCCTTGATGGTTATATATCTCTATATACCATTGGAGTGTATTACTTTGAAATTGGGACATCTAAAGTGTTCTCAGCCAAATCCAAGCGCAGAGCCAACGGATGTATTTGAATCGCGGCCGAACAGGTCATCCCACCGACTAAGATAATTCGACAGGTGAGAGGCTATTCCATTATTATTATGTTGACAGAGTTAAAGGTGAAAGTGTGCCAAAAATTCGCCTAATCTGGAGTCACCTCTGACCAACAAAAGGGGGGGGGGCAAATTGGACTGCGCCTCGGGGCCGGGCACCCTAAGTAGTTGGTCGAGCCTACAGTGAAAAAGGCGATGATAGGTCTTCCGAGAGGCAAATTTCCACACAGTCCTCAACACCAGACACAAGAATGGCCAAGCCAAAGAAAACCCGATCAAATTACCCGAGAAGAACAGTGCGTCCGATCGGCTGGTGGGTTCCGACTTAGTCGCGAGACTATGTCTATAGTTCGCGATCAGGCAGAACCTCCGGCTTCTCCGGCCAAACTGGGTTAAAATCTCCTCTTTCCCATAGCACGAAGTAGCGCGAAAAAAATGGACTGAGGAGGGGAAAATGAATCGATCTCACCAAAAAGAGTGGGTTAGAGCCTCAAAGGGGATTTTAGACCGGATCGTTCTGTCTTGTAATATTGCCCAACACCATCTGCATTCCAAGGCATCGCCACCCCCCGATTCGTCACCTTGCACGTTCTGCCGGGCCGATCACCTGCTTCCGGTGTGATGAATGACTAAGCGCGTATGTAGAGGTCGCCTCCCAGAATCACTGCAAACCCCCCCCCCCCGGATTGCTCTTCGCCTCTTGTCCGTGGAGATTACAACCACCGAAGTCCTCGAATTCGGTTTTATTCTCCGGCCACACTCCTTCTCATCGCTCCTTTTCCCTCGTCTGCTTCAGCGATTCCAACGACCGCCTTCTTCCGGTCCGAGAGCTCACCCAACCGAACACTTGCGGGGGTCTTTCAGTCTTCATCCTTGTCGCCGCCAGTCAGTGAATGGCTTCGTGAACCCTCTATCATCCAGCGCGTGTCTGGGTGTGCTGCCAGCTGGGGTATCAATTGACGCACTATACAACCGAGATCTGCTCTCAGCTCACATTCCTTCGACGCCGTCGACGTCACTCAACATGGCCGAGTAAGTCCTTTCAAGGAACTCGAGAGAGATGAGAATCGATCTGGATAGGCTGCTAATACACAAGGATAGTCTAATCGCCTTTCAAACATACCATCATAGTAATCTTCTCCCACCATCGACTATGATCCCGCGCCACGCCCATAAGCGGTCGTTGTCCTCCGAGCATCGAGCGTTGTCCCCCGACAGAACAGTCATCAAGGCCAAATCTACCACCAACTTGACCGAAGCCGCTTCCCAGGCAAATGACCGCCAACAGTATTCGAAATTTGAAGAGAGCAGTTTCAACACCTTGCAGGATCCCCGATTGGCCGTGAGCCGGGAGGTCTCACCATCGACGTCATCGTCCCATCACCCCGACCTGAGCAATGAAGTCGCAGCCTTGAGTGTGAAACTGATCCAGGCGATCAACAACCAGACTACTCTGGATGACAACCTGGTAGCTACGCGCCAGGAGCTGGAGGTCGCACAAGGCAAAATACAGGCCCTGGAATTTCAAAATGAGAAATACCGACGGGACTTCGACGAGAAGGTCTATATTAAGAAGTCGGATGCCGATAATGAGATTATGCAATTGAAGGCTGCGCTCGCAGAGGAGAGAGCTCAGCGGGCGGTGGCGGAGAAAGCGAAGAAGACCATTGAAACGGAGCTGGAAACTTTAACTGCCGATCTTTTTGAAGAAGCGAACAAAGTAAGTGTTTCGCATCGATTTGGATCCTGTAATATCACCATGGACCTACGTTAACCATATTTAGATGGTCGCGGCTGCCAAAATTGAAAGGGAGGCGGTCGAGAAAAAGAACGAGCAACTACGTTCTCAGATTAAAGACACCGAGTCGCTCCTTGCATCACATCAGGATCAACTGACGGAACTCAAGTCGGTTCTGCAAGGGATGTACGTCTCCAAAGATGATTTAGACACCCGCACCAATGCCTCTACTACGGCTCCGCCTTCTCCGGCCACGCCCCTCCAGATGCAGACATCCGCCAAGCAAGAACCCGAGCCTACGAATGTTGTTGCAACACCATGTTACCCCGGGGAGTTTATGCCCGGTCCTTCTTGCGACCTACCTCAAATGCTTCGCATAGTGTGCCGCACCGACTTACAAGCTTATGAGGACTTCCGGGAATTACTGGAACTTCCCCGGAGTTCCAAACCACCTAGTCGTGCCGGAAGTGGATCCTACGCTGGCCTGAATGTCATGAGCCTGGCTGGGTTTACCACTGGTGGGTCGACGTCGGCTAACTCATCACCTAGCAAGGGATTTGCACACTCTCCGAACGGTAGCCTCTCCTCCCAAACTGGTTCGCATATACCTTTGAAAGAGACAAAGTTCTACAAGCGAGTGCTTATGGAGGATATTGAGCCCACATTAAGACTCGACCTCTCGCCGGGGATCTCATGGCTTACTCGTCGAACTGTCTTGAGTGGTATTTGTGAAGGCACTCTGGTTGTTGAACCAATTCCCGCCACAACAAAGAAATACGAGTTTCCCTGTTCCGTCTGTGGCGAGCGGAGACCGGGCACCCAAAATGAGCGGACTCATCGTTTCCGCACATCGGATAGTGAAACAGCTCAGAGATACTCCTTGTGTCTGCAGTGCTTGGAAAGAGTTCGTTCGTGCTGCGAGTTCACCGGGTATCTGCGCCTGATCCTGGATGGACATCTCCGCGCGGGTGATCCTGATGAAGAGAAAGATATCTGGGAAGAGACCGTTCGCTTGCGAGAGCGAATGTTCTGGTCACGGATTGCCGGTGGTATCGTTCCACTGATCGGTCCGCCGCTCGAGTCCGAACACGAGCCTGCAAACAAAGATGCCAGTATTATTATCTCGCAGGAGAATCACAAAGTCAACCAACTGGACCCTATGGATAATACTGCAATGACCCCCAAATATTCACAAACTGAGGAGCCCACGCTAGATGAAGACCGCAGAGCATCATCCATTTTGGATATGAGCGTGGCCAAGCCCATGACTCCTGACCTTCCACATCTCGATAGAGAGGATATCGAAGATTCAGCAGACGAAGCGCTCCAGCGGCGCGGCTCGGTGGATTCTGACATTAGTGTATATGAAGAAGCCAATGCCGACGTGACCCTGGACACGATGGAGCCTATCAAGCATCTACATACTTCTGCAAACGAAGAAGAACGCACCGAAATCACCATTGATGCGCCTGAGTCGGCCAAGGCGGCTTCCCCTACTCATGAAGACGCTATTTCCAATGGCCAATGCAACGCATGAACTAAGTTTGATCTCGGAAAATCGCATACAACAACCACTGCACGGCTAGTCCGGTGCCTCATGACCCGCCTGATGCATTTCTCATTCCATTTTTCCTTTCTCATTTACCCATTTTTTTCGATTCCGGAAATAATTGAGATAGAAAAACTACGTTTCTATATTTCGCCTTTTCCCAGCAACGCTATTTATGCCTTTTGACTCTTTATTACCGCATTGACCCCTCCTCCTCCCTTTTACCTTTTTTCTTGTCTTTCTAACCTATTCTATTCTTCCTCTCTTTTCTCCCTTTTTGGCTTCGTTGATATCCCCTTTTGAGCAGCTTGCTCGCCCCTACATGTATTATTATTGACTTTTTCATTCCTATCATGTATACATACTAATGTTTTCTGGCACTGGCTTCCTCCCCATATCCCTGTCTCGGTTCCCCACCCCGCCTTGGCCTTGCCGCTACCACAACCATCCATTTGTTGGATGTAATGTTTGGAGCAGAGATACTTGGCTTTCGTTCTCGGACGTTTATATATAATTGATGGCTTTTGATGGTTGTCCTTTTGCTATCCTGTTGTTGGGAGTTTTTACCTTTTTTCCTTAGCCAAGTTGCATCGTTTTGGGTCTTTGTTATGAGCATGCTCTAGACTCGACTGGAGATTGTTTTTATTTAGCTATACGGAAGCTGCGATTCGTTGATAAATGAAAGCAGATGACATTGACTTTTTTCTGCGGATATTTTCAGCCTCAATCAAGAACCACTGAATCATTAATGCAAAGAAACACGAAGATATGGAAGGAGAATGGCGTAGAGACTTTGCGAGCCCGGTATCGTCAATCTGTTTGCTCCTGTGTACTTGATTGAAATATTGAATCAGGATATTTAGGGCCCCGGGGTGGGAGGCGATTTTTAGACAGCAAGCTTGATATGAGGTTTCTAGGTTGGGGTTGAATGTTTTGATTACCAAATTAGTGGTGAGAGGGAATATCCCCCTTTCTCCAGATTTGCATGGAAGGCAGGATACAGCTTGAATAAATAATTCTATTTGGTTTGTGTATAGAATGGAGGCTGAACGGAGAGCCAGATTAGGCGAGGGAAGAGAAAGCCTACATTCATAATACATTTTAGGAATCGAAATAAAGCTCTGGTCATCATGACAGGACAAAAAAATCTTCGGGCATTGAATGTGATAAGCTATTATACAAACGAGTCCATCGTCCATTTTCCATTCCCAAATGACTGCGAAGCATGCCGAAGAGAGAAAAAGCGCCCCTGTGAACTCCAGATGCGAAAAAAGGGATGAGAAAAGAGGCTGGCAAAGTGGCTAAGAGTATTTAAACTTCTTCGGCCCCGCCCAGTCGAACGTGAAATCATTGATTGGCGCGATGGTAAATATGCCGTATCTGATCTTCGAGATTCGGATTTTGAGGATTGGGCACACCCCCGGGGCCAATGCCGGGGGGCTGTGGCACAGACATACCAGGTGGCAAAGTACCGTCTGGTGCAGCACCCATGGCAATACGCTTGCGGCGAGCCTCTTCCTCGGGGTCGACCCCCGGTGCTGGGTCGAAGACGTCGCTGCGCTGACTGGCCAAGCGCTTGAGGTTGTTGACGACGTCGACTGTGGACAGATTTGTCGTGGCACTACGAACTTCCGCTTTGGCACGCTGCTCCTTCCAGCGAGGGTCTAATAGCTCGATACGCATGTGTTGCTCCAGCTCTGCGACGGGAATCTGCTGGTGACAATTTGGACAGAGCGCGGTTGCGCCGGCGCCTTGCTGGCGTCGAGCTTGGGCACGCGGAACATAATCCGAGCGGATTCGCATCGGCGGTTGGCCAGGCGCACCAGGGGCAGAGACAGGGGATTCGGTGCGGACCTGCTGGGCCTCTGGCTGGACAGGGTATTGTACACCGTAATCCATGCCGCCGGGCGGCGGGTAAGGCGCTTGCGGTTGAACAGGGTAAGGAGACACAGATGGGGGTGGCGGTGGGGCGATAGATTCTGGCTGGGCGGGGTAGGCATTGTAGTAGGTAGGGTTGTCGAGGTCGGTGGGCATGGCTTCTTCGATACGAAGAGGGTTGAGAGACATCGCGGCTTTCTGCTCGAGAGAAGCTGTCTGCAGATCTCCGAGCGAGGTTGGCGGAGGTAGCTCTGTTTGGTCATCGCTCTCCGTAAACACAACGGTCTCTACAACGACAAAATCATGCCAGTCGATCTGCGCGTATTCGTTCCGCTCCCGCTCTTCTTCGTCTTCTTTCTCCTGTTTCTGTTGCTCCTGGTACTTCACCCACTCTGCGCGCTGATCGGCCCGCTCTAGGATATGGTACTTGTTCCGCACATTTTGATCTAATTCAGCAATGCGTTTGTTCTCCGTGGTGGCCTCATCAATCCCTTCCGGTCGTGACAAGATGGTGTACTGATCCACAAGTCGCGTGAAGAATTGGTAGAGGGTATGATTGGGTCGGAGAAAATCGAACTGGAAATTTCCGGCTTCACGTTGGGACAGTGCCGTCATGAAAGATTTTCCTCGCTTGGCGACAAATAATGCTGTGAGCTTGACGACCTCCAGATCCTGTGCATTGATAATAGGCATGCGCGCAGAGAAGTTGAACGCGGGGGGCTCCGGGGGACCCTTTGGCTTTTCCGGCTCAGCAGCTGGTACAGCCTCGCCAGGGCGGCCTGCGGAAACTGATGTTCCACGGCCCTCCTTGATCTCAACCAGGCGCCACTGGTAGAAGGGCGCGTAGGCATCGTCCGGGTCTAGGAAGGAGAATTTTGGATTGTTCTTCTCCTTTTCGCGAACACGATCTAAGACACGTCGAATAGCGTTAGCTAACTAGTTATCCAGATACCCTGGGAGGGGTGTCTTGCCTTCGAAGACTGATCCATTGCGAGACACATAGCCCGCGGTCTTCTCCACGATCGCTGCAGAGATGGTTAGCAATGTTTCGTGCACACACAGGGAGGGGGCGAAGACGAACCTCGAATATCCTTAGGAGGGAGTACGACACCCTCCGGAGGCTTGCTCACTTCCTCCGGGAGGGGCGTGTTTCCATTTGACGACTCCATGGTGGCTGCGATGGAGAATCAATAGCTCATGGAGGTCTTTCGGATAGACGACTGGGACATCAGATGCGCTGACTAATACGACCAGCCACACCCTATGTTAGAAGGTATTAGTGGCGGTGCACATGTGGCGTTCCCGCGTGCAGCGTGTTTCTGTTTGACCTGTTTGGTCTGTTTTGTCGATGGGGGACAGTTGCATACTCCGCATTCAATCAGTCAATTCAATCAATCGGATGACGAAGTGCAGATGGGTAATTGTAGAGTGTTTAGAACTGTAGAAAAGAAAGTTGAGCACGGCGAGAATTCCAAAGTGCATGGAGAGACCGAGCAGGCCACCACGGGCCCGAGGCTCTGAGACTAGTCAGCGGTCGCCGGAGCTGAAATCTTAAGGGGGCCGTTTGGCGTTCACGTTCTGGTCCTCGCCCGTTCCGCACGTCGATCTGGCCTCAAGACGGCATTGCACGCTTCCGTCCATTCTTCATCAACACTCACTTTCGTCGCCTTTTCTTTTCTTTTACTTGTCTGCTCTGCCATGGGGGCTTTCTTGCTTACTTCCTACGATCATTAATATCGTTCCGCCATTCGGTTGTGGTGAGCGCTTCAGGCGTTTGAGAGCTCCGACTGTGAAGCTTTCAGCAGCTTTTCGCTCTATTGGATTCGATATCTATTTTTTTCCCCGCCAAATTATACGCTGTCCGACGACATTTCGATATTGTTTTTCTCCTCCTTTCTCTCTCGGATATTTCACTGTGGAGGCCAATTCCCTTGTGACCCTCCTTTTCCATACTATCACGAACACTGAAACATAATGGGCCAGAAATCAAAGGATACTCTGGCTGTGCGGCCTCAGAGTCGAGGCCGGCGCTCTCGCAGTCGCTCACCGAATCCGAAGGGAAACAAGCCCGCTAAGATCGCGAGCTACGCTTCCGAGGGTGTGCGGGACAATGACATCCTCAATTTGCCCGCCTCCGACTATAAGCTGCTAGTGCTGGTAACGCTTATTGCGGCGGCTGTCCGCCTCTTTCGCATTTACCAACCGAGCAGCGTTGTTTTTGATGAAGTCCAGTAAGAACCCCGACCTCTCAATAGCAACTCAATTAGGCAAGAGGAGGCTAACAATGTGTTTCCTTGCCTAGCTTCGGTGGCTTTGCGACAAAATATATCAAAGGAAAGTTCTTTATGGACGTTCATCCGCCACTTGCAAAGCTCTTGATTACGCTGGCTGGCTGGCTGGCCGGCTTCAACGGTGATTTCGACTTCAAGGACATTGGCAAGGATTATATCGAACCTGGGGTCCCATATGTGGCGATGCGCATGCTACCTGCTATTCTTGGTGTTCTCACCGTTTCATTGATGTTCTTGACACTCAAGGCTACTGGATGCCGAACTTCGACCGCAGTCATGGGAGCGGGCGTCGTGATCTTCGGTAAGCCTTCGCTGCTTTGACGATAATTCTACTTCGCAACTGACATTGGATCTTTATAGATAATGCGCTGACTACTCAGTCGCGTCTGATTCTTTTGGACTCCCCACTGGTCTTTTTCACCGCTCTCACTGCTTTGTCGTTCAGCTGCTTCAGCAATCAACAGGAATTAGGCCCTGCTTCTGCTTTCAAGGGCCCCTGGTGGTTCTGGTTAGTTGCTACAGGTATCTCACTCGGTGCTACGCTGAGTGTTAAATGGGTTGGGCTTTTCACCATGGCTTGGGTTGGATCCCTGACCCTTCTCCAGTTGTGGGTGGTTCTTGGCGACCCGAAGACCGTTACGCCCGTATGTTGGATATCTAATTCGATTCTATCTTCGGTATGCTGACCTTTTTAAATGTAGCGCCTCTGGTTCAAGCACTTCTTCTCGCGGGTCTTCTGCTTGATCATAATTCCTCTTGCTTTCTACATGGCTATGTTTGCCATCCATTTTGTTTGCTTGGCCAATCCAGGAGAAGGCGATGGCTTCATGTCTTCGGAGTTCCAGGCCACCTTGAATTCCAAGTCCATGCAGGATGTCCCTGCTGATGTTTCTTTCGGATCACGAATTAGCCTTCGTCACCACAACACACAGGGAGGCTATTTACATTCGCACAACCACATGTATCCCACCGGCAGCAAGCAGCAACAGATCACTCTCTATCCTCACAAGGATGAGAACAACGTCTTTATCATGGAGAACCAGACCCAGCCATTGGGCCCTTACGGCGAAGTTGAGGGCCCCTATGCTTGGGACAACATCACTACCAGCTTTATCGAGGACGGTGCCGTCATCCGACTGTACCACACAATCACGAACCGCCGAGTTCACTCGCACGATGAGCGTCCGCCTGTGACCGAAGCCGACTGGCAATTTGAGGTCTCGGCATATGGATACGAAGGCTTTCCCGGTGATGCTAATGATCTCTTTAAGATCGAGATTGTCAAGTCCCTGTCTGACGGCGACGAGGCCAAGAAGCGCTTGCGTACCATTCAGACTAAGTTCAAGCTTGTCCATGTCATGACTGGCTGTGTTCTGTTCTCACACAAGGTCAAGCTTCCGGACTGGGGGTATGAGCAACAGGAGGTCACTTGTGCTCGTGGCGGAACTCTCCCCAACAGTGTCTGGTACATTGAGTCCAATGGTCACCCTATGATGCCCGCGGATGCTGAGAAAGTCAACTACCGTAACCCTGGCTTCTTGGGTAAGTTCTGGGAGCTCCAGAAGGTCATGTGGACTACCAACGCGGGCTTGGTTGAGTCGCACGCTTGGGACTCTCGCCCTCCGTCGTGGCCGACCCTCCTTCGTGGCATCAACTTCTGGGGCAAGGACAACCGCCAGGTGTATCTGCTTGGAAACCCACTCATATGGTGGTCATCTACCGCAGCTATTGGTATCTATTTCATCTTTAAGGCGATCGCTATTATTCGTTGGCAGCGGAGTTGCAATGACTACCGCCACGTCTCATTCAAGCGCTTTGACTACGAAGTGGGCACCAGTGTTTTGGGCTGGCTCTTCCATTACTTCCCGTTCTACCTGATGGCTCGCCAGCTTTTCTTGCACCACTACCTTCCTGCTCTCTACTTTGCCATCATGGTGTTCTGCCAAGAGTTTGATTTTGTCACGAACCGGGTCAAGAGCCTGGGACTGGCGTCTAAGCCGGCTATTGGCAAGGCTCTGATGGCCGGATTCCTGGTTCTCAGCGTCGCCGTGTTCGCCCTTTACTCTCCACTGATTTACGGCAATCCCTGGACGCAGGATGCGTGCCAAAGAGTGAAGCTTCTGAGCACTTGGGATTTCGATTGCAACACCTTTCACACCGACGTAAGTGTTCCAGAGTGGAAACCTCCCCGCCGAGGATATTAAAAAAATCGACGATTTCACATTGGCTGACACGCAATCCACCAACAGCTGAGCCAATACGTTACCGATGTCGACCACTTCATGAAAGTCTCTCCCACCTCGTCTGCCCATGTCTCCGAAGCCGCCGCTGCTCAGGTTCAGGAACCGGTCGGCGAGGCCCCCAGGAACCCGAACAGGCTGCGGTGACCCAGCCTAAGCTTTCGGGCTCTGTGGCTCGCGTCGAGTATCGCGACCAACACGGCAACGTTCTCGATGAGAGCCTTGTATCTTCGCTCCGCGCAGAGGGCAAGGTCAAGTTTGAGACCCGGTACGAATCCCGATCGAAACTTGGCGAGAATGCGCAGGAAATTCCGATCGTGAACGGCCAACTTGCGCCTCCACATCCGGATGTCGAGGGTCAGAACCCCGAGACCGCCAGTGCTCCCGGGGACTCGGTACCACCTGAGAAGCCCGCCTCTGTGGCACAGGGAAATGAGCAATCAACTGAGAGCCCCAACTCGCCTGAGGCGAAGCCTGCAAGCGAAGGCAATGAAGCTACCAAATAAGTGGATTGAGTTTGGAGAGTGGGAGGTGGCTGTCGAGTATTGAATGGAGAGGGGTTGAAAAAACTTCCATACCATGTATCATGAAACCTTATAACTATCTTTCGTCGTGATTAGTTGCGTTTAGAATATTCGGACAGCATCAATTGTGATAATGAGCGTTTGTTGTCGTCCTGCCTTCGGCCAATTACGTTGTAGCTGATTAGCTCGAGTGGAACCCGAAAATTCCCGAAAAGCTGGGTCGTCTGGATCAGGCCATATCAGAACATACGTATCTTACATGGCGCTACATATTGGAATTGAGGGAGAGGGAAGATTTAGAAACATAAAAGAGGCCTATTCCCAATTGACTCTTATCTGGAACAACGGATACTATGCACAAATCTCTGGTAATCGCAATGGCAAGTCCACACACAATCTCCCCCTTCTTCACCGTAGTCCTAGTATACAGCATCCGACCGCGTAAGCGGCGTTTCGCTCTCACATCATCTTTTCAAGGGCTTCGCAAAAGCTCGTTTAGTAATCCCACTCCTCCTTGCCGTACTTGTTGAACTTCTCGTGGAGGTCCTGTTTGAAAAGTCCAAGTTAGCAAAATTGAAAAGCACATGGTTAGATCGAAGTGACAGCATCCATGAATTGCCGAAATAGCACAGATACTGTTCGTAATGACAGGACAAAAGGAGATAAGATGTGCACGAAGTATAGGAGAGGTTGCATACCGCGGGCAGGGTGACATTGGGAACAATGACGGTGTTCATGGCGCTGGGAGCAGCACGAAGGGGCTGGTTCTTGTCACCGTGAGGGTGGTACTGGTACTTGTAGACCTTGCCATCCTCGGAGGTGGCGTGCCACGGCATGGCGCTCTCGCCGATGCGGACATTGCTCTCGGAGGTGACGGAAGTGGGCTTGCTGCCGAAGTACCTGTAAGATCACCAATGATTGATTGCATGGTTAGTCCAATTGTAATGACGCATTTGGTGTGATTGGTAATGCGGGGATGCAGCTTGTTCAACAGCTCAGTGATGCTGAGGCAGGTGGCAATAACGTCACAAGGAGCATAGCCGTTGGAGATGAAGCGTGGAGAGAGAGGGACGAATTTACCAGCCAGCAAGCAGGAAGGCACCGGACATGACGCCGAGCAAAACCTGTCAAAGAATCTATTAGATCAGGGGGCTTAACAGAGGTCAATGGCGGCTCGAAACACATACGTAGAGCTCGGGGTCCTTCTTGCCAGCGTTGTCGAGGCCGGCCTCCTCGACCTTGGAGGACATAAAGCGGCGCGGGGGAGCGCGGAAGATGGGCTGGCGAGCCAAAGCCCGGCGGGTAGCCAAAGCAGCGATCGAAGACATGGTTGTAGCGGGTCGTGCGTGGATAGGGAATTCGCGGAGGACTGGGGGCGGGTTGGTGGGAGAGAATCGTGAGCATCGAATGATGTTGTACAGTCATGTGACTCACGGTTGGGCTGAGTCAGCGCCGCTTCCGCAATTTGGCAGATGCGCGAAAGGCTTCGTCCAGTGGTTCTCGGTGTTCTGGTTCAAGTCGACGCAGGCGGATGCTTCCATAGCTCTGTTGTGGTCTGTGGCACAGTTGGCCTCCTCCAACAATTGTTCAATTATCTTTTGGTCTTCATCAATACTTGAGGTGGGTTGCGATCTCTATTCTATGACTTCACCATCAGGGGCTCGATCCGAGATCTGACAACCCCGGATTTCGCGACGCGTGGATAGATCCATTCCAGAGTACCCAAACTAATCACTCGATAGATCCTAAATTATCCATCCAGTCTCTCATTAGATTTCGACTTTGATTCTCACGTCACTCCTTTCCTTTCTCTTTCGCTCGCTGTGGCCTCTGCGCTTTTATTGAAGCCCACGATTCACCACGTTTATACCCACATCACCACTCATCCCGAATTTTCGCCACAGGAATATGATAACTTGAGCTGCATTTTAGAAAAGCCGAATAACTTTCATTTTCCAAGCAATGGCGAGCTCCACAGACCGACCCGACACCCGGGATACGACCCAGTCCACGGCGCAGCAATATGTGCTGGGAATCCCCCGACCTCCTTCTGTGGGAGGTATTTCATCTCGAGTGACGGACATCGCCTCGGAAGATGGAGAACACTCGCCATCTTTCGCCTCACGTCCTCCCTCACTCCAGCCGCGCCCTTCGGTCTCCAGACGTGGTCCACCTCCTACCCGCAACTCCATGGCTGCGTCCAGCCAAGTGACCAGCAGACCTGGTAGCTCCGGGAGCCGATTGAGCCGGACGCATATTCCGTCCCTGACTGCCCAGGCATTCTTTCGGCCGATGAGCTCCCAGCGACTACAGGCACATCGCGGAGGGCGACCCATGACCAAAGGAACGGTCTCGTCCACTGACGACTGGAATAATGATCAAAACAGCCAGAACCGCAGGAGCATAATATCTAACAGTACGCTACAACAAGGATCGCTTCCCCAGGTGGATATGGAAGCTCCACCATCCCGAGGCACAGAATTCACGGATCCTATAATTCCCGACCGTAACACCTCAAATGCCAGCCCAACGGGCAACACCACTGTCAGAAGCTTGGGAGAAAGTGTCAGACTACTCCGCGACCGGGATCAAAAAGCCAAACCGCGTCCGGGTCATCTGAACCTAGGTGCCAACTTCAATGGACATACTGCACAGGACATGCCTCCAAAGTCACCTCTTTCGTTCCTTTCGCTGCAAAACAAGGGGGTCGGGCATCACGGTCAGGATATTCGAGGCCATGAGCGACTATCCTCTGCTGGTTCATCCCCAGGGCCCATGGATGTCAAGAAACCACAGCTGCCCAAACGTAGTCTGGGCAAGAATTATGAATACTTCACCGGCAACATTCTCTTCTGTGGCGGAGGGCGGTTCCTGAACTCCAGAGATAAGCCCATCAACATTGCCACTGGGTTCATAGTCGTGATTCCAACGGCTCTCTTTTTTGCATTCTCGGCTCCCTGGTTGTGGCACAATATCTCTCCGGCCATTCCCATCATATTCGCCTACATCTTTTATATCTGCTTCTCATCATTTGTGCATGCTTCGACCGTTGATCCTGGTATCATGCCTCGAAATATGCATCTGATGCCCCCTATTGATCCTTCGGATGATCCATTGTCACTTGGCCCACCCTCCAACGATTGGGTTATGGTCAAGCTCGCTACTTCCGACGTGGCGGCCATGGATGTCCCTGTGAAGTATTGCAAGACCTGTTGTATCTGGCGGCCTCCTCGCTGTTACCACTGCAGAGTTTGTGACAATTGCGTGGAGACGCTTGATCACCACTGTGTCTGGCTGAATAACTGTGTTGGACGACGCAATTACCGTTACTTCTTCACTTTTGTCAGCTCCTGCACAATTCTTGCTCTGTTTTTGATTGGTGCCAGTCTCGCTCATATTTTGGTTTATAAGTCCCGTGAGAGTATTTCCTTCGGGGATGCTATCTCAAGGTTGCGAGTGCCTTGGGCCATGGTGATCTATGGCATTGTTGCTTTTCCATACCCAACATCGCTGTGGGCATACCATTTATTCCTTGTTGGTCGTGGTGAGACTACAAGAGAATACCTCACCTCTCACAAATTCGCCAAGTCTGAACGCCACAGGCCTTTTACTCAAGGTAATGTGTTGAAGAACTGGATTGCCGTTTTGGGCCGCCCTCGGCCACCCACCTACATGCAATTCAAGCAGTCCTATGAAGAGGGAGACCAGCGCTTTGCTATGCAAAAACGCAAGTACCTCGCCCAGGACCTTGAGTCTCAGGCGGGGATTGAAATGCAAAATATTGGTCCTCACCAATAGGACCGACAGATGAATCACTACTACTCAGTAATGTTTTCTTTTGCAATTCTTCTCCCCCATTGGGGCTACTAACGACCCGTGAAGACGACATGACTTTGCATTTCTGGTCACATCGGTCCACATATTATTCTTCAGGATTAGTCCGATCTACTCACTTTCTAATCGCTCTCGTCCCATACCTTTCGTGTCCTCTTTCTTATTTGTTACCTTTGGCAGCATATACCACGCTCCTATTGACCCTCTTTGGAAATTTTCCTTATTCTTATTATTCCCCTATCTTCATAACGGTTCCCCGAAATCTGGCAACCCTTGTCGTCTCATGTTTATTCAACGTCTTATCTCCCTTCACTGTGCTCGCTATCCTTTTCCATTACATCTCCATTTTCTTTGGGTCTCTTCCCTGCTGGAAATTTTTGAATTGATCTGCATGCCATACGCAATGAGACGGTCAAACGCTGTGTATGATCCGGCAAGATAGAAATTAATAATCCGATCCTATTGAGGCGCAAAACATCACGCGTAGAACACTGCCCGGCGGGGCCCGAGAGTTATGGCAGGAATTTTTGCATTCCGTGACCTGCCACCCGTAATTGTCATGCTAGAGACACCTTCCCCCTTCCTACATTTCGTTGAAACCCGATTCAAGTCCATTTTCAGCTATACGGTGCACGGTTGGGCTAGAAACAAGTGTTGGCGTTGCACGCGTCAAGTCACCCCCCATCGCCCTAAATTGATAAGAGGCGCGGCTGCTGATCCTCCAACCTTCACACACCCCTGATACGTGAATATCCCCCGACCCAGAACACACGCCGTGTCCATCTCGAGAGAGACAATTATCCTTTCTCTCGGATATTGTCTTTCTCTCGATATCGGCCTCTCTTTCCCATCATGACGCGCCGAACCTCCAGGCTCTCCACGTCCGCGACTGCCGTACTCGCTGACGTCCCTGCAAAAGACACGCCCGACGAGACAATGAGCCTCGACATTCCCGAGCAGCTTCTGACGCCTGAGAACAGCCGGTCTGAAACATCGAGCAACAATGAAAACACGTCAGCGGAAGAGAAACCTGTGGCGCGACGGAGGTCAACACGGGTTGTACGCGCATCACTGCAAGCCACCGAAACGCTGGAGAACACGCCGGTCGAGCCTGAGGAATCTGCGGCTTCGTCGAGTCAAGCCTATGTCGACAGTCTTGCCAAAGCAAAGCGCACTCGCTCTTCGCTTCGGCATAGCATCGCGGTGATGGAATCGTCTCTGTGGAACGGCACCGCAATTCAAAATGATGATACAATGACAGATGACCACCCAATGGTTCCCGACACCCCAATTTCCAAGTCTTCGCAAGAATCACAGACAAAAGATATGGATACATCGCTTCAACAGCGGACCCTACGAAAGCGCGTCGCAAAGGCTCTTGTCGCAGACAAAGAAACGCCGAAAACTCGGGTCGCTTCCAAGAATGATGCTGTTGATTCACCACGCCGATCATCTCGCCTGAGCCTCGTGAGTAAGGCCTCCGATCTACTAGGTCGTGCCAGTAGCGTTTTGGGTAAACGGACGCGTGATTTGAGCGAAAAGGGCAAGGATATTGGTCGCCGAGCTAGTCTTCGTCCTCGCAATGTAGCACCAAAGGAAGAAGCACCAGCATCAGCGCCGGCTGAACCGGCACCAAAGAAGAGACGAGTCTCCGAGAGTGATTTGTCAAAGCTGCGTGAATCAGAGGTTAAAACTCCTCCAGAAGAACCAACTCCTCCTGTGCAACGGTATAAGCCCAAGCGCTGGTTGACCCATGGGCTGTACACGGGCCAGGAGCCATCTGACTCCCCTCCCAAGCAGCGCCGAAGCAATACTTCTAAGAAGGCTAGCACTGGACCTTCGCAGCGCCGCATGCTTCCTATGCCCATGTTTGCGGGGTCTCGACTCGTGAACAATGGCCGGGACTATCAGCTGCCATTTGATATTTTCTGCCCTCTTCCTTCAGGTCAACCTAAACCGGATGAATGGCGGAAAACTAACAAGAGTGAGTATTCAATTATCTAATATCTGGTCACTGCGCAATTCCTCTAATAAGCTTTACTAGACGTTTTTGTCGGCGATGCTGCCAGCGAATGGAAAGCGAACAAGAAGCTGGAATTGTCAAGCTGTATGTGCGATGCGGAGACTGGCTGTGATGAAAACTGCCAGAACCGCTATATGTTCTACGAATGTGATAACGGGAACTGTAACCTGGGCCCGGAGTGTGGTAATCGCAATTTCAACGAGCTCAAGCACAGAACCAAGGCTGGTGGGAAGTACAACATCGGAGTCGAAGTAATCAAGACTCCGGATCGTGGATACGGTGTTCGCAGCAATCGTTCGTTTGAGCCCAATCAGATTATCGTCGAGTATACTGGAGAAATCATTACCCAATTTGAGTGTGAGAGAAGGATGAGAAGTGTCTACAAGAACAACGAGGTGAGTTTATGTATGTGGCTGGATACACTATCACGCTGACTCAATGATTAAAGTGCTATTATTTGATGTATTTTGACCAAAACATGATTATCGATGCCACTCGAGGGTCTATTGCTCGCTTCGTGAATCATTCTTGCCAGCCGAACTGTCGAATGGAAAAATGGACTGTCGCTGGAAAACCACGCATGGCTCTTTTTGCAGGTGACCGAGGTATCATGACTGGAGAGGAATTGAGTTATGACTACAACTTTGAGTATGCTCCCCACGAAATGCCAAATGTTCTTTATTGACTGACAAATGACTGACAAATACACCAGCCCATATTCCAACAAGAACGTCCAGCAATGCCGCTGTGGGTCAGAGAACTGTCGAGGCATTCTTGGTCCGCGTCCGAAAGATAAAGATCAACGTGCCAAGCTCGAGGAGAAAGACAAGGCCAATGGCAAGAAGACCAAGAAAGTTACTGGCAAGCGCAAGCTGGCTGATGCGCAGAGCAAAACCTCGCGTCAATCCAAAAAACGCAAGCTTATCACCCCAAAGTCCATCAAGGCTGGCGTCAAGAAGGCCATGGGCAAAGTCACCTCCACTCGCGGAAAGGCAGCAGCAAAGAAGACAGTCGCAACTTCAGCCAGCGGCCGGGGCAAGACTAAAAAAAGAAATGTTAGACTGCCAAAGGTCAAGGCCCCCTCAAGAGTCAAGGCAGCTATTCGAGGGACGGGACGAAAGACAAATGCTACCAAGGCGGCCGCTGCTTCGCCAGCTAAGACTTCCCAGCTCAACCGGCCGTCTCCCGAAACCAGGAAGAAGATTTTAGCTCGAGCCAAAGGCACTCGGAAAAGCGACCCGAAGACATCCGCAAAAAGCCCCAAAGCTACGTTGAAATCTCCTCATAAGCCCGCTGCACGGAAAGCTCCTATCAAGACACCAGTCAAGGCTCGGATGTCCACTGCGAAGGCAAAGGCGGCAAAGACAGCAAAGACAGCACCTACTTCAAGTCCGAACGCAAAGGGTTTGACCGGCAATGTGAAGGCCACTGCTAGGAAAGTTGTGCGTACTGTACGTGGGGTCAAGAATTAAGTTTTTTTTCTTGAGTGCGCTGCTTATTCGCCATCAATCTTATTGATATTCAAAAAAGCAAATCAGTCGTCTGGTTTTTTTTTGACATCGAACTTTGATATTGAATCAAGGTCAGTAATCTTGACATCCCTTCAGATGGACATCAGAGGGGCTCTATTTTCCAATACCCTTTCTCTCTTATTGCTGGATCCTATCCAATCCACTTTCAAACCAGCCATCTCTGAACTGGTGTAATAGTGCAATCCCTGTGCCTGGATCTAGTCGTTATTCCTCTCCCCTTGATAATCTTCTCAGCCCTCACCTCTCCAGACAAGTGTTTGCAGTCTGAATCTTTTCTTTCCTCGTCCCTGTTCTTTATTACCTAATTCCCCATTATTGCGTTCGTCCAATGGTGCAATCTGTTCCCTAGGCGCCCAAGATGGCGTTTTGTGCGGCGTCTTGGTTACCTTATCTTGACTTTCCTATTGCGACCTTGCAAGTGTTACATTTACTTTTCTTTTCCTGGGCACCTCTGTTTTCTTTCTTGTGCTTCCGTGTTTCTTCTATGTGCCATGGTCACGAGGGTGGATTTCCTTTGCCTTTGCTCTGGTTTTATTGGTAGGATTGGCTTGGTGATGTATTGGCTGGTGATGGTGACATTGATCTTGTCTTGAGTGCAACTGGGGTAGATAACCTTCAAATTTCAACATGCTCATGCTGGTGGACCCCAGTTCTATGTGATTGTTCTTTTGAAATAAGTAAAGCGTCCAAATGGAATTTTCTCAATACGTACGATAAATGTGTTGAGTATTTCCAGCACAGAGTCCAAAGATCTCCCATGCTCACAGATGACCAGATACTCATGGCTAGCAAGTGCTTAAATATGTCAAGACCGTCAATCAGGCCAACCGAATGCAGTTTAACCTACTTCTGGATTGCATCTGAATATTCCAATAATGCTTTATTCAAATATATAGAAACACAATTGATCGCAAACAAGATAGCAGCGTCACTGAGTCTTAATATTTTACACGTAAAGAAACATCGACTCCAGCCTGTACTCCAATTTAACCCTCATAAACAATAAACCATACATACATCATCGATTTAGATGAGTGGTCGTCAAACAATCTGAGCAAACCAAGTGGGAGCAATGCCATTCGCTGTAAAACGAAACAAAAAAAGGGGTAGGAAATTTCAAGGATTGCGCAAAGACTATGCGAATTCTGGACCAGGAGCAGGGGCCAAGGCCGATTCTGGCTCCTTTTTCGGCTCATCAGCCTCAGGCTTGGGCTCGACTGACTCTTCCGGGATGATGGAAGCTGACGCTTCGGCGTCTTCAGATTCAGGTGCAGACACCGACGGTTTCTCCGAGGTAGGGTCTGTAGGAGGGGATGGCCTCTCAGAAACAGCAGGCTCTGGAATTGGAGCTTCAGTCTTCGGAGCAGGCACATTGACAGGCTCAGGCGCAGCAGCCTCACGATCAGATTCGGCGGACGCTGGTGGAATAAGAGAGGCTGTTTTAACAGGGGATGAAGCGGCTGGGGCCTCCTCTACTGGTGCCGCAGGAGTTACCTCCGCAGAGAGAACACCACCCATCTCAACGTCCTCTTTTGATCCCACGGGCTCAGAATTAGTACGAGCACCAATAACTTCTGGTTCATTGGGCGTTGTTTGATGTGTATCAGCTGGTGCCAATTCCTCGATCTTAGTTGGTGACTGGGGTTGTTCATCAACGGCAGGTTCGGATTCAAGAGTGGAAACTGGTAGTTCTTCTGCTGATTGTGTTGGTTCTGATTTCTTCGTTGACTCCAATGGTGTCTCTTCAATAGGCTTGCCAGGACTATCGGAAGGAGCGGCGACACTTTCATCTGTAGGCTGAGGCCGGGGCTCTTGTGCTGGTTCTAGCTTGACCTCACCTGGTGTGGGTTCAGCTAGTTTTTGAATTGGCTTATCATCCGCAGAGGTATCCATTGCGCTATCTTCTGTAGGAAGTGGAGTTGGCTCCGGAGCTTGGGATTCCTCCTTTGCTGAGGCTTCCGTTGAAACCGCACTAGGTGGGTGCTCAGTTGTTGATCCGGCTGCAGTAAGCTGCTCGGTAGACCCTGTGGACGGGGCGCGTGTTGTGGAAGCAGAGATATCGGCCCCGTTTTGAGGAGTCTCAGCTTGGGGCGCTGAAGTAATATTTGAGGGCTGTAATAGAGACTCCTGATCGACGGCGGGCTGCGAAACAGAAGATTGTGGCACAGACATAGCGTCCGTCATTTCCACATCTTTGGACTGATCAGCAGCAGTGTCGGCTGGTGGTTTCTCTGCGAGTTCAGTGCTGGGAGGAGCCTGCGGAGTCTCTGGGGTCTTTGCATCCATCATGGACTCGTCGCCCTCATCGCTTTCATCACCATCCTCACCTTCCTCCTCCTCCTCATCCTGACCAGACTGATCGACAGACACCCGAGAAGCATCGTCGCCTTCCTTGGCACCTTCAACAGCACCTTCGGTTGGCGCAATGCCGTGCACAGTGGTAGCATCAGCTCCTTCTCCAGGCGCAAACATGACCTTCTTCTTCCGGCCCTTTCCAATGCCCTTGCCCTTGCGCTTGGGAGGTGGCGGACGACGCTTGGGCGGTGTCATGACAGAGGCTGAACCGGCCTCTGCAACAACCACGCCCTCCGAGTTGACAACGCCGACGCCTTCAACCACAGTTCCGGGGGCGGGTGTTTCTGGTTTCACCGGCACGTTGCTTTGCTGGACAAGGGTTTGAACATCCCCTGAGACTTCACCCTCGATGCGATGCCCCTCTGGCACCCAAGCTTCGTAGATAGAAATGTTTCCAGTCTCAGGGTCAACCTTCTGAAACTTTGTCCTCCGCATAGGGCCCGGTGTAGCTCCCAAGCCTCCCTCTGCCGACCCGACGCCTCCATAAAGCGAGGGCAAACCCGGACGTCTCTTCGCAAGGAACTCTACCTCCGGGGGCTCCAAGTGCTTAGGCAATGCCGTCCATTTACGATTAGTGAAGCTGCGATCAGCCATGTGCACAGCCGCCGCGGCCTGATCTTCTGCGTCCGTTGCATCTTTATTTTCTCGTTCCTCGGCAGCCTGGCCACTTTGGCGAATATAAATACACCCAGCACGGGCTGCGCGCAGCAGAGCGCGGCTTATCGGAGGCAGGAGCTGGCTGTCTCTCGGCATAGCTAGTTCAGGGAGCGCGGCAGCCCCACCGGGGCCCCTGGGTTCCAAACTCCGACTCTTCGGTTTTCGGAGCCTGGGAGAAAGTTTGTAGTTGGCGCGACCAGCGGCGAATAGGTAATCCCTCGAAGACATCGTGATCAATTTGGCCGGTACGTGTGCGACCCTGGGCACCGTCGAACTGTCGGTTAGAGCGGACCCTTAGCTGTAGAAGCAACCATATGATTAGCGGAGATCTGTGACCAAAATTGATTTTGTAATGTGTTGGCCCAGAGTTTACACTGGTGGCGCCTCGCGCTAGATGGAATGAGGCCGATGATGCTTCCGGCGCGAGAGGTACATACGTTCGATGGCATGATGAAGTGCCTGAGGATACTTGCCCCTCAAAGATAACAGATGAATTGCTTATCCAGAAACGGGAATCAAACCCCAGAAGAACGCGAAAGCCCAGGCGGTTGGAGGTGGATGAGTGGAGCGTAGCGTTGCTTCCGTCGCGTTGCAAATCGCCAAAAGGTCTCCGGTGCTGGTAAGGAGTTATCACGTGACAGACAACATCCAAGGCAACTTTAGGAGGAGGCAGTTTGGTCAGTATGATCCCTGGGGTGTAAATGCCGTTAAATTCCAACAGTAAGCTGTCAATGCAATTAAATGAACTGCAAGCTATAGCTATTGTAATCTCTAGGCCTATTCACATGTTGGAAAATACTGAAATGGCCGGTGTGGGGATAGTGTATCAGGAACGGGTTCACTCCTGGATACTTGGTCGACAGGGACAAGAAAGTATACTACCATCAGAATGTTCAAACCAGTGTTACATTGAAGTCTAACAAAGAATAATACATGCAAATAGCAATGTAGAGAGAAGAATTCTATTCTGTCAACTGGAAAAATTGGATTTGCCCGCCGTGGCGGCGCTTGCACTATAAATACAGAGGAAGAGAATCAGGTTCAATTGCATTGTCCACTGTTGATAGTTCACTTAATCAGAAAACAATCAACCAATAACTTGTTTAGTCCCAGCTGTAAAAAAGTCAGTATAGTAAGGGAAGCAACGAGGGTAATGCAGAAGATAAGGCTTCGCAGGATGTTGAAGAACTTACCCAGTGTCCTTTTGACGGACAATACCCCCATGATCTCCTGTTTCCTTTCCCTGGAGAGAAATGGCATTAGTCGAGCAGATAGACTCCAGTCTCAGCTGGAAGCGCCTACTGTCTTCTGGCCTTCCACCACCATCTTGTCCATCTGATAGAACTGGCTGATGATAGTTTGCCTCTGTTTCAAGTTAGTTTCAAAAACTCCAGAAAATTCAATTTGAGGAGTCCAAAGAATGCATATTGGTCTCGGGAAAAAGCCACAGTTATGATCAACCCTTTCCAACCCGAAATGTTCTCCTCTCATCAATCTCGATATGAAAAAAAAAGACAATCGCTCACCTTCACGAGACGCAGGCTCTTGAGTCCTTCCTGAATCAGCTCCTGTATCCGGCGTTCCTCTGTCTCATGTTGATGTTCACGGAACGAGTCTCGCGTCTTCCGGAGGGCATAATCACGGAAGTTGTAATTGGAGAACTGGGACGATTGTCGCAGCAGGGAGCGAAACTAAATGAATAAAATGTTTGTCAGTATCTTGCGACAGGATCATGGTTGATGCAAGCCCACGATGGACCCGGAAATGCCTATGCGGAGCGTGACCTACCAAAGACCGCACCTGAAAAGCGGTATCGCGCTGAAAGGTCGCCACAGACATGATGAATGCCAGAGGAGATTGTAGAAAGCGAGGAATGAACAATCACGGGTTAACGTCGATCAGAACAACCGATATCACTCGTCGTTTGCCGGGGTTCCAGTGCGCAATCACGGACGAGATACGCTGTCGACGACAGTGGCGGTTTGGGCTTCCGCCGTGGCACAGGGCGATCGGGAGGGGTAAGGGATGAGAAACCACGTAGATGATGTCGAGATCGATTCCAGTCGAAATAGAGAGCAAGTTTCGGCGAACAGAGGCGCGAGGTGGTGGAGAGTAGAGAGAGTTGGAGATCCCCGGACGGAGCGTAGGGCGGGAAATTCTTTCGAGTTCGGAGGTGCCAATGACGGAGTTATCGGGGCCGAGCTCCTAACACTCCACGGTTCTTCTTCGATCGTGATCCCCTCCCCCACACACAGTCAAACATTGCAAGTGCCAGCAGTCTGCACCCTCAACGTGCTTCTGGCTCAGTGTTTGTTCTTCTGCAATGACTCAGGTTCCCACGCCGCCGGCATCACGCCTAGGCTCGGAAGCCCCCGAGATCGAGGTGAAGCCCACGGAAGCTTCATCAGAGTTGCGGCAGTCTTTGGACATTTTGCTGGAGCAATACTTGCATCTGCTGGACCGACAGCAGAAATTGCAGTCGGGGTTGGCAAAGCAATTGTCTTCGGTACGGTCCCTTTGATATTTTGATATGCCTTCTTTTTGGCCCCAGTATGGCATGATGCTGACATCCCGCGGGCAGGGATTCCTGTCACTGGCCCATGCCAACTACACCTGTCCCCCTGGCCGGCGGTATGGCGTGGATTATTATGATGAGCGGATGAAAGCCACACGGAAGATGTACGCGGGCCCCGACTGAGGAATTGATATTGGATCTTCATTAACGTGACTCCCGCGAACAGAGCCATCCAATCTGGCCTCGACAACGATATAACCGAACATGGAACAGAGTCACAAGATACAATGGAGGGTTCCCATTTGCATGATTTCGAGTACGACTTCCATCTAGAGACTGTCACCAACGTCACCCCCGAAGACAATACTGAAGAGGCAGACGACCGGGGAAAATCACCACCCAAAGCAGCATCGCCACTAGCATCGCAACAAGGGATCACACTGGCAATTGAGAATAAGACGGACTCTGCTGGATCGCAGGACGCAGGCGCTGATTTATCAACACCCAGAGAGTCGAAACAAGCTCCTAAAAAGTTCCGCTCTGACGATCCGATCCACTGGTACGGCATCCTGGTGCCAACATCGCTGCGCACCGCCCAGAAATCCTTCACAGAAGCTATACAGACAGAGGTGCCGGAGTTGGCTGCCGTAACTGTTGAAATGCGTAAAATGGAGCGGAAGATTGCCCAGTTACGAATGGACCTCGGTGTCGACTCCACCGAGGCCACTGATGACCGGTGACTCAATGTCAGCAGTCTCGATCATCGGTGTTCATTACTGTGGCAGCTAGGACTTGAATGATCTAATCTGCGGGAAACACCTCGGGATGCAGGCATGATAGTTGTTATACCATGAGCGGAGTTACGGCATCAGCGCCTGAGCGGCCCCTCGGTTGACGATCATACAACGCAATCTAAGATTCCGGCTATGTATAGAATCATACAATGTGATTGCCAATATCACCTTTGAACCACAAATTGAAGGAATGTGGCAGTAGCCATGAGGGCGCTAGAGAGCTCACGAACGGTGGATGGGCGCGATGGCTCCATCCGGGCTCCGTATGGAGACTGGCGCAGAACGAGGGCAATGCTCTGGCGCCACAGTATTCCTGTTGATAATAAATAGCTGTACATTCTGCATAAAGCACTGAGGATACTCATGGTAGTCCAAGTCATCAGTCGAGTGCCATCCAATAGCCGTGGAACGGCTATATTACGAGGAACATAATCAATTATAGTTCTGCCAGGTGCGCCCACTTTCGGAATATCGCCCCTTTCGCCCCCTGTTTTATGCTGTACAGGGTGAGACCGGTCCTGGAACTAAGGTCTCAATCAATATGTCGAGAAATTCTGTGCCGTTAGCATTGTCTCGCTGTTTCACCCCATTGCAGCATTGTTTCCCGAGTTCCGTCTGATTTCCCGCTTTCGCGCTTTGATGTTCCGGGGCCAACGGTCAAGTGATCACCCTCGAGTTTATCTCGATCTATTCCTGTGCGTTGTAGGAACATCATTCATTCTGAACATCTCCAACCTGCTGTTACTGATCTACCATGTCTCTCTCTTTCGCGTGATCTGGTATTCTTTATTTTTTTATTTTTATTTTTCTTTTTCTAAATCGGACCATGTCGTCCCTGAAATTCTCCGGTATCCTTACGTTCCCATGCTTCGCTTTGTCGGGTCCCACCTAAGCGAAGACCCGTGCCCCTCAATATGAGACGTAGCGTCGGAGACTAACTCCTGGAACGCACCCCACTGGTGCAACGCCCTCGAGATCGGTCGGCATCATTCGTGCGCTCGGCCCCAGAACCCATGGTTGATTCGCTGCAGGATTTCCTTCTGGTCTGGACCTTTTTTGGAGCTATCGTCGCGTGTAGCGACCTGAAACCACCCCCTCTAGCCCGGCCCCAGCCATCTCATAGGCCAAAGGGGCCCAGGGAAATACCCCCTGCGGACCTTTATATCACCGCAAGCGAGTGGGCACACTCTTAGACAAGCCTCATTGGTTCTCAGGATGGACCAGTGACCGTGACCAGATCGGATGCCCCCCCCCGGGTGAGCGAGACTATCGACATCCCTGTCAGATTGCAAGGACAGAAGAATAGACCAGACACGGCCCGACGGGCAGATCAATGAGAGGCATCCACTCATCCTCCTCTCCGGGCAACACAGTCTTTGTCGAGTCGGTTTATGGACAAGGAAATTTTCCTGGTTAATATCTGGCAAATATGTCAATATCCTGACCTAGCTCCATGGCGGCATAGCTCTGTCGCTAGACCCACCGGGGTCACTTTGTCGGCGCCGCCTCGTGGCTCGGAAATGAAGAAACAGAAAAATGGTGCTTAATCTATTTCGACCCGGGGTTCGAGGCCGGTGTCAGTGCAGAGGGGAGGCTAGAGGTCGCAAACTGTGAGTTTAGCGTGGAGTGTCAGGTTGAGTCGGGTTTAGCCTGCGTTGGATCATTCCGGTTATTCCAGCTCATTGTCTCGCCTCCTCCCTTTCCCTCTTTCTTTGTTTTGCGACGCCCTCTTTCCTCGAAGAGCTCGAGGCTCTTCTCCCCCTTTCTTTGTGTGTAAGTGGATGATTTCTGGCTTGGTTTAGACTTGTCGGGATTGCAGTTCACAGGCGACAGATTTAGGGCTTGGGTGGGAGGACGAGTTGAAGCTCTGAAACTCTGGCGAATTGGTCGACTAATAATGCCCTGCCCTTTCTAGGCTCCTGTTTTGTGAAACATCGCTGGTTTGATACTAGACGCTGTTTTGTTCCTCTCGTTCTATCTTGGACAGTTGATTGAACTGTAGTAAGTCATTGATGCCTATAATGACGCTTCATGAGAAGAAGACTTGATCGTCTTGATATTCATGCCTGTTCTCTACAGAGGCATTGAATGCCCTTCCATTCGTTTTATATTGTGATCGTGCTTGCCAGTCTGGACCCGTGGTTCATCGACTTGCTGCTCCATTGATACTTTCAATCCGGCATTTGCGATAGAGCCTCTCGATTGTTTGTTGATTTCAACAGCGTTCTCTCGTTCTCTCGTTACTTCCCTTTGCGCATCCTCGCATCGTGCATCTACATTCTTTTCTTTTACCGATCCGGGTATCGACACTTTATCTTTCTCTCTGGACTGTTGCGCCCCCGGAGAAAGACAACCCTTTTGACTCCAACTACCTGCTGTGTCAGCCTGGATGCCCTCGTACGACTGAGCCTTGTATCCTCTTCAACAGCCATTTGACGAGTGCTTGACCATTGATTATTGAATACGCCCTCACCAAATGAGTTCAAATAACCCGAGAAGTGCTGGGTCAGACCCCAGTTCGGCTGGGCCCAATCCCAGTCGCAAGGGCTCTGTAAAACGAGCCCGCGAACTGCTGGAAGCCGGTGTCCGCCCTACTCGAGCCTCGCCGACGATCCCTATGCCCATGCCCCTGTCCAGACCGTCGCCAGATCCAAGAAATATTGCCCACCAAAGCCAATGGCCTCTTCCTGCGTCGGGCCTTCAACCCCGTCCTTTAAATCCGCAACATCCCGGTCAACACCCTGGTCATCCTGGTCAGCATCCCAGGTTTCTGGTTCCACGAGGTCCTCCGCCATCGCGACCACCCCGTCCGAGTGAAGTCCCCTCGCAAATCCCATCGCCTTCAATTTATTCGGTCAGAAGTGGCCAGGAGTCGGAGACGAGCTTGAACCAACCCAACTATCCCACACGACCTGCGCAGTCTTTTTCTCAACCCAAGCCGCACCAGCAACCACCACCGCAGTCGTCGACCAACGATGGCTCTGTAAGTCCTACGAGCACTACGGATATGACCCCTCGCATCTCAATTGCGACCGATGACCTATTTCGTCAATCCACCGCGTCTGGTTCATCTTCTGTTCCCGATGTGCCACCGATCCCTCTACCCGAGCCGCCCTTGCCTCCGGCAGAACCTCGACAGCGGACAGCAGGTCTCGCTGTGCCCCCAAGTGCCCGTCGATCTGGAGCTCGCAGGTCCTCTGTTTCTCCCATTCCCGAAGAGTACTCTGACCCCCGCCAAACTCTTGGCTCGCTAGCGTCCAGCCGAGCTATCCCCTCTAGCTGGGGCTCAGGCCCAGCGGCATCTGAGATCCTGGGAGCTTACTTGGACATAGAATCGGACGACGAGCATGTGCCGCACAAAAGGCAGACCGACGCAGACGCAGAAGCCGACGCCGACGCAGCACTTGTGCGAAGTGCCAGTCTGGGAAAGCGTGGCAAACCCACAATGCGCACGATTATGAAATCCAACCCTAACTCCGAAGTAGTATCAATCCCAGACGTGCCCTCTTCCAATCCCCAAGCAGAGTACGGCCAGCCACATGCTGCAACTGGCGCGGCAGAGACCCTCGCTGTCGGGGCAGCAGTTCATCAAGTGCTGCATGCGCCCAGCACAGGACGTCGAGAGTCAACCTCGACCACGTCGCACGAGTCCTATGTTGACCCTGAGAAGCCGCGATTCGCCCAGCCAGCTGACGAGAAGATCTATAGCTTGGCCATGGAGAAGGAGCTTGGGGTTCTGCCCAAGGCAGCCCCTACGATGAGTGACAAACGACCTGGTGGCAAGAAGCCTCCCAAGCTCGATATGAGCGCTCTTCGGGATGCTGAGGCACGTGGTAGTCTTTCCAGTCTGTCTGATCTGATCCGCCGCGCCACAAGGCTCGCCTCCAACCTCGACCATGGGAGGACGGCCAGCCAGGGCAATCTGGTGGCCGACACTGCCCACAAGCCTGCCTTTGGTGAGAAACCATTCAAGCAAGACATATATAAACAAAAAGGAAAAAGGAAAAGCCATGCTGACCATGACCAGGACGCCGCCGCAATTCTGGATCTCTGTCTGATATCCTAGCCTCGTTCCCCAATCCAGGTCTGCAAACACCCGAGACCCGCGGCTCATGGCCCGTCTTCTTCAATCGCTCAGGACTACGCAACGTCGAGCCCCTCGGTTCCAATGAGGACGATCCCGTCGCCAAAAAAGAACCTCGCAAGTGCTGTGGGATCCCCCGCAAGTGGTTCATCCTTCTCTGCATCCTCCTTTTCATCATCGTGGTGCTCGCGATCCTGCTTCCCGTTTTCCTTATCGCCGTGCCCAAGCAGAACGCCAAGAATTCAGGGTCCTGCTCGACGACAAACCCCTGCCAGAACGGTGGCGTGAGCGTCTCGAGTGGCTCGGAGTGCTCGTGCGTGTGCGCGAACGGCTACACCGGCTCTCAGTGCACCGTGGCTGGCGATAGCAGCTGCATCACCTCCGAGGTGGATAATGGCACGATCAGCAAGAAGGCCACGATGGGCAGCGACTTGCCGGATGTGTTCAGCTATTCGGAGGAGAAGTTCGGCATCAGCCTCGACACGGTCACCCTCATGGCCCTCTTCAGCATGAACAACGTCTCCTGCAAGACCGAGAACTCCCTTGTCACTTTCGACGTCGAGACCAGCAGCGACACTAGCAAAACCCGACGTGCCGTCGAGCTGCCCGTCGACTTAGCGGCCGTCGAGTCGGCGGACGCATTCCCATCCAGCTCAGTCGGGTCGATCGAACCGACTCCAGCCCTCATCGCCCGCACGCTAGCGACCTCCAACGGGATCCTCTACGACGGTAGCAGTGGCATCTCCGAATCGTCCGACTCCACAAAGACGACCAGCAGCGCCACGACGACGACGGCGACGGCGACCGCCGTAACCAGCGCGGCCACGAGTATCACCGCGAGCAAGGCCAGCGCAACTGCCAGCAGTGTGCCGACGGCGGTGGTCGAGTTCTCACGGGTGGCGGTGCTTTATATCCTGGAGAAGACAGGATCGGTCCTGTCGGCGTCGTGGTCCGGGTCGCAGATCGAGACGTACCTGGAGGACTCGTACTCGGATGCGACCCACCCGCGGCTGGAGCTGTTGGGGGAGTTTGGGTTGGACTTTGAGAATAAGACGATAACGCTGCGGAATGGAACCATTGCCAGCTGAAGAAAGATGGGAGGAGGGCAGAGAGGGAGGGAGAAGGAGCAGGAAGAAGGAATTTACTGTATATAGTAGTGTGCTACCGTATGTTGTCGGAGTCTTGGTGTCTAATAATACGGGGATTTTCCAGTTTGCATCTCAAAAATTGTATGACTACGGCAAAGGTCCACGGTCCACGTGGATGTTGTTCGAGCATTGGCCAATTTACCTATTTTGACTTAACTATTTTGACTCCTCGAACTGAACGGATGGAATTCAGGATGGAGTATAGACGTGGAGTCTTCAAGTTCTCTAGTACTGTCGGACGTATCCAGTGGAGGTGGGATTAGCTCTCCTGGTGCCAATTCAGGGTTCAGGGTTCCGGTGCCAGCACTCGAAACCCTGTGCCAGTCGAATCGTAACATGTAAAATGAAGAATTCGATGTCCCCATTTGGGCCCTGCCAAGAGCCAAGCCACCTTTCCTCTTTGGGTTGTCCAGCACGACATTCACCGTGGAGGTTGCGTGCTCGACAGGCTACGGGGCGGTGGGACTCGGCAGATGGGAGCCCGAGATCGGCCAGACTTTCGAGAACCGAATTCGAGACAGGCAAAGCCTCATGCAGAATCAAGAGGAAGATACCCCTTTTTGTTTGCAAAGAAACAGGAGACCGGTCCAGGGCCAACGTGGCCGGGGCAACGTTGCTCGGAGTAAATGCCGCCCCCTGAAAATCCAGCCCTGAAGATCCCCGCCATAAACGAGTACGGAGCCCACGATTCCGCGATGTCATCGGGCGGTCGAGCGGAGCTTCGGCGGGCCTTATTTCACCCGCAATAGGGACGCGCAGCCCGATGCGCGGTTCGGCACCATGTCAAATTGTACGCCGTACCGCCAGACTTGGGGCACGCTGGATTTAATCGGAATAGTCTGTAACCACGATCGCAATCCTGAAACCACGGGAAGCTAGCAAGGGACGAATGCGAAACGACCAGCGGACGTCCGAGGAGGCAATTGATAGTCGGGGCGGTCCCCTGGTTTTCCCCAGCGGCGGTGCTTCTGGATGGATGAATCGACCCAGCCAAGACTCCAGTTGCTCCACTGTTGACGACTGTTCGTGCCAGGGCCAGCCGGGGACTGTCGTTTTGCCCCCCTTCTTTGGGACGAAACTCGTAATGGACTGACGCCAGTGGCAGAGGGAGGATCTGGCTAGAGGGTATGGAGTGGAGGGAGTGGAGGAAGGGCGGTCGTGCCAGTTTGGGAACAGGGACTGTCGTGATCAAAAGGAGCAAGTCGGTGGTCTCGCAGTGATTGATCAGCGACCCGGTTCGGCCTTTTTCCTTGGTCTTCCCACTGCCTTCCTTCTTCCCTTCTTCCATTCCTCTCTCTCTCTCCCTTCTCTACCTCTTGTCTTTGTACATTACCTCTCTTCTTCGGAGAAGGAACAAAAGTCGTTGTGTTTTCCGTGTTTCGTTTTCTCCCGACCTAATTATACTACACCATGGCCAACGCTCCCCACGGTGGTGTCCTCAAGGACCTGATTGCCCGCGATGCTCCCCGCCAGGCCGAGCTCGCCGCGGAGGCCGAGACCCTGCCCGCGGTTGTCCTCTCCGAGCGCCAGCTGTGTGATCTGGAATTGATCATGAACGGTGGTTTCTCTCCTCTGGAGGGTAAGTGCCATTGAACCGCATTCCCCCGCTCTCCGGCTGCCAGTGTCTCCGTTCGCAGCCTTTTTGTTGGTCTTCTTGATATTTCCTTGACTCAATTCCCCTCTGCTTGGAAGCTTCCTGCAGTGTGCGGACCCGGGCTAATTGCCTTCTCCCCCCCCTTCTCCCTTTCCCCTTTTTTTTTTTTTTTTGTTAGTTGGAGCGGGTGGAGATGAACAGAGGGGTAATTTGCTAATGCCGATCTCGCGCGCAGGTTTCATGAACCAGGCCGACTATGACCGGTATGTCAAGACACTCGAGAGGGTGACCCCCTCCCCCAACCAAGCGCCAAGATAATCCATGATGATGCAATTGGCATGGCATTTGCGCCAATGTCTTTTGCGCGCATGGATACGAGGGGCAGGATACGCCAAGGAAAAAAAAAGTCATGACCAAACTGACTCTGGTGTGCAGTGTCTGCGAGGACTGCCGTCTTGCTGATGGCAACGTTTTCTCCATGCCCATTACTCTCGACGTCAGCCAGAAGGTGATCGATGCCAACAAGCTCCAGGCCGGTGCCCGCATCACCCTGCGCGACTTCCGTGATGACCGCAACTTGGCCATCCTGACCATTGACGACATCTACCGCCCCGACAAGTGAGTTTCAACCATGTCTCCGATATACCTTTTGTTTTGTTTTGCTTTTTTTCTTTTTTTGTATTCTTTATTTTCGCGGGGTCGACCCGAAGTTGCCGCGTTTTCCTTGAGAGGCGGGAGGGGGATTTCTCTCGGAGTCGCGTGTATACTGCCGATCCCCACAATACCCTTGGGAGAATGGCGTCCAGAGTCATTGCGCAGCGGACGACCGCCACGCAAAATCGATTCCCACCCCTTTACTTGCTCTGCTCTAGTGTCACCTCAATTTCGATGTGGCACTCCCCCGGTCGCATGTCTAGATTCCCTCACGCAATGAGAGGAGCCCCCTCTCAAGGCGGCTCGTGCTTTGAGTGGGTCGTTGCTGACGTGGATTCTTTTCCCCCTGATTTAGGGCCAAGGAGGCTCAGCTCGTCTTCGGCGGTGATCCCGAGCACCCGGCTATTGTCTACCTGAACGAGACCATCCAGGAGTTCTACATTGGTGGCAAGATCGAGGCAGTTAACAAGCTGAACCACTACGACTATGTTGGTCTGCGCTGTAGGTTTTCCATACCGGCGATTCAAATGCGTGACCGCTTTTGAAACAAGCCCTTTTGGGTCCATTCGTGCCACCGCGTACTGATCATATTGCAATTTTAGACACTCCCGCTGAACTTCGTGTTCACTTCGACAAGCTGGGCTGGTCCCGCGTTGTCGCTTTCCAGACTCGTAACCCCATGCACCGTGCTCACCGTGAGCTGACCGTCCGCGCGGCCCGCTCCCGCCAGGCTAATGTCCTGATCCACCCCGTCGTCGGTTTGACCAAACCCGGTGACATTGACCACTTCACCCGTGTCCGTGCCTACCAGGCCCTCCTCCCCCGCTACCCTAACGGCATGGCCGTCCTGGGTCTGCTGGGTCTGGCTATGCGTATGGGTGGCCCCCGTGAGGCCATCTGGCACGCCATTATCCGCAAGAACCACGGTGCCACCCACTTCATTGTTGGCCGTGACCACGCCGGTCCTGGTAAGAACTCCAAGGGCGTTGACTTCTACGGCCCCTACGATGCCCAGCACGCCGTCGAGAAGTACAAGGATGAGCTTGGCATCGAGGTCGTTGAGTTCCAGATGGTCACCTACCTTCCCGACACCGACGAGTACCGCCCCGTTGACCAGGTCCCCGAGGGTGTCAAGACCCTGAACATCTCCGGCACTGAGCTCCGTCGCCGCCTGCGCACTGGTGCCCACATTCCTGAGTGGTTCTCCTACCCCGAGGTTGTCAAGATTCTGCGCGAGTCCAACCCCCCTCGTGCCAGCCAGGGTTTCACCATCTTCCTCACCGGTTACATGAACTCCGGCAAGGACGCCATTGCCCGTGCTCTGCAGGTCACCCTGAACCAGCAGGGTGGTCGCTCCGTCTCCCTGCTATTGGGCGACACCGTCCGCCACGAGCTCTCCTCCGAGCTGGGCTTCACTCGTGAGGACCGCCACACCAACATCCAGCGCATCGCCTTTGTCGCCTCTGAGCTGACCCGTGCTGGTGCCGCTGTCATCGCTGCCCCCATTGCCCCCTACGAGCACTCCCGGAAGTACGCCCGTGATGCCGTCTCCCAGGCTGGTTCCTTCTTCCTCGTCCACGTCGCCACTCCTCTTGAGTATTGCGAGAAGACCGACAAGCGCGGCATCTACGCCAGCGCCCGTCGCGGTGAGATCAAGGGTTTCACCGGTGTCGACGACCCCTATGAGGCTCCCGAGAAGGCCGACCTTGTCGTCGATGCCTCGAAGCAGTCAGTCCGCAGCATTGTGCACGAGATTGTTCTCGTCCTTGAGAGCAACGGCTTCTTCGAGCGCAGCGCCTAAGCAATTTCTCTCCGGAATACTTCTTTTGAGATGATTCATTTTTCTAGCTTTCTTTTTTTTGATTGGAGCTATCTTGCCCATAGAGATGTGTACGTGCTTTTTAATTGCGACTGGATTCCCCTAAATTAGATTCTACAATTGAATTTTTGGTCAGAAGTGGTTCTTGATTGTAGATTACAATGTAGTCTCAACATCGCTCTCCCTCCATCGTTTAACCGTACATCAGAAAGTTGATATCCCACCTTCATGCCGATCAATTTAATTCTATGTATCATCGCAACTAATTCTGTAGAAATGGACAGAAATGGACAGACTCGAATCGAGCAACATTCAAGACAAATTACTTACACCATCCATCTCTGCAAGCATCGGTGGTCTGCTTTATAGTTGAATGAGACCACAGACTAGACCAGCAAGTGTCGAGCCAGAAGACCGTAAGCACGTGACCTATAACATAGTGTGCAAACCGAGCAAACCGCATCCAAGGTGCGCGGTCCGGTGCCGTCACTATCATTTTCTCGTGGGCGGGCCAATACTTCACGACACCCTTCTCTTCCTCCATTCAGTTAGCAACAATGCTACCCCCACGACCCATTGCCGGTCGAATACCAGGTCATCTTCGACCGGTATATCCTTCCCGTACACCCAGTCCTGCCATTCGACTGCGGCCATTCACTCACCGGAGCCGACTCCTTCTCTCTCCGCCGCCTGGCCGGCCTCAATTACCTTTTCTTTCACCACTCGCGCCATCGCGGCCGCTCCCTCCACTCTCCATTCACCTCCGCCAACACTTTGGCCGCCTAATATCCACTGAGAGCCGCGACCACTTCAAGAAAAGACTCTCACGCGGCGTGAAGATTGGCCTGTCCTTCTACGCCATCCTTGTCCTATGGCAAATCATAAAGCTCGGCGTGTACCAAGAAGATATCGAGCATGAGTGGCCCACACCACCAGAATGGTCCTGGAAGTCCCGGTGGTGTCTGCGGTCCGCGCAGGCTCTGCAGAACCCCGAGCACATCGGCAAGCTGATGACCAATTGGCCCATGGTTGCTGGGTACCTGCGTGAGCTGCTGGGCCGCCTGGAGGATCCGCAAGGCGAAGGCAAGGGTATTTTGGAGCAGGAAGATGGTGGGCTGTTGGTCGAGGGTATCGGCCGCACGGGACTCGATATCTCTGCGAAGAGCGAGCCCTGGCGCCGCGGGTACTTTCAGACCCTCATGGGCGCGGCCAAGGCCGCCGAGAACCTCGATGGCTGGATGACGGATCGCAAGCAAAAGATCTCGGCGCCGGCAGAATATGTGGTTGGACCGTCGAATCCGCGGCCGAAACCGATGCCGGCGGGGCAGAAGAAGGTTCCACAGGAGGAGGACTGCGAGCTCGCGTCCCCGCCGCCAGAGACATTCTATATGAAGATTTTGACGACTAAGGGCTTCGACTCGAGGCAGAAGCTAGATGCCGCGCTTGCTTATGCGGACTGGCTAGATTTCCAGGGGCTGGGCCGCACCGCGGGTGATATGTACACCTGGGCGCTGGACATTGCAGTTAGCGGGCTCGAGGGCGACACGAGTAAGCTCGTGGATCTAAAGACCGGTGTTTTGAAGAACTCCGGCGTGGATCTCCCGTCCGAGAACCTGATCCGCGTCTCGACTGCGCTCGCAGTCCACAATGCCCGCGAGGGCAACCTGCCCACCGCCCTCTCCCTCTTCACTTCCGTGCTCAAGGCCCGACGCAGCCTACCCCCGGCGCCAGAATCCAACACACCCTTCTCTCTCCCCTCCCCAAACCGCCCCGCTAACGATCCCATCGCCGCTTTCTTCAAATCCCTCAAAACTGTCCTGATCCCGGTCGAATACCCGGAGCCCCTCCCCTCAGGCAATGCCCCGCCGCTCCGCACCACCAGTTCCGCGTGCGAGGAAGCCGGTTTGATGACATACATCGGCGAGATCATCTACGCCTCCTCGTCGCATGAGCACGGCCTCGCCTGGACCCGCGACGCGGTTGAGATGGCCGAGTCTACCATGCTCGACCTGAGCATCACAGAAGATCGCGCCGCGCGCACCCGCTGCGCGCAGTGCCTCAAGGTCGGCCTTGAGAACTGGAAGACAATGGTCTCCTCGCTTGTGGCGCAGGCCCGCAAGGAGGAGCAAGAGGCCGCCCACAAGGCCGCTTCAGCCTGGTTCGGCGGCGCCCGCCGCGCACAGGCTAAGACCGCCGAGCTGACGCGCTGGCAGGCGGAAGAGGCTATTTTGGAGGACCGCATCCGCCGGCTTTTCCCCCTGTTGGAAGGGGAGACCGGGTTGGATCTGCTGGCCCCGGATAGTTCTCTGTTCGTGTGAGGGCTTATTTTCTTTTTCTTCTAAGTTCTTTCTTTTTTTTGCATATATCCCCACGGTCGGGGTTTCTGTCTCTGGTTCAGGGGCGAAGGGCGGAGTTGGTGTTTTGATGGAAAAAGCCTCTAAGTCGTTCTGGACTAGTGCTGTGTATATGTATATATATCATATCTATCTACCTTTTTTTATTGTGTATCCTCTCCTACTGGCCGTATGCTGGAAATGTATCGATATTCCTATCATTGGGACCCATGTCACCTCCCTCACGCTAGGCTTCCTTTGTCAGGAGAGAGACTATGTCGTAGGAGGGGTGAATATTATAGCAATGGAGTGGGAAGAAGGAAGTGGATAAGGTACGATTAATGGGCCGCCTAAGTAGAGGCGAGATACAATATAATGAACACGTAAGATGGTTAGAAGAGGCTTTTTTTTTTGATGCGGACGGAGAGTTAGGGTTTTTGAGAGGATGAGCGGGGCGGCGATCATTTGTTTATAGTTCCAGTTGGGCCTGCATTGGGCCACTTGTTAGGGACCGCAGACTTGGCGGGGCTTGGCGGGTGGTAGAGAGGATGATTTGGCGGCCTGTGATGCCATTATCAATGCATTTATACATATATAATCAAGTAATGATTGACACCAACAACACCCTGCCCGTCCTAGTACATGTAGTATACAGTTCATGTCTATGCACCAAATCTGTTCTGTTTCCCGAGTCTCTCAGAAACAGCACCACTCTATACTTTCAACTCTTCCCCTTCCTCGTCCTCTTCCTCCTCCTGCCTGACTACCGGCCGATTAAACAAAACACCCACGCACACAACTGCCTTCCCAGCAGCACACAGCAACAGTGGAAACTGTGATCCTACGCCACGCTGCGCGAACGCGCCCACAAAACAGCCCGCCGTCAACATCATCAAAAACAGTACTCGCCGGGTGCGCCCCCGATTCCGCAGCCTCCCCAGCCCCGGATCAACCACGACATCGACAAACGCCGCCGTCGCCATCGCCGTCGTGATCTCGGGGACGCCCAGCCCGCGACTCATGGCCACCTGGGCGCCAGACGAGAACGCTAAACACGCAATGACGCTCATGGCTGCGGGCCCGTCGCGGCGCACCGGGCCGGCCGTCTGCACGAGCAGCGCGACGAAGACCAGTGCGGTCTGCACGACGTTGCTGGCGAGCAGCCAGACGCGGCGGCGTGGGCCGAGCGCGTGGCCGAGTTGGCCGAAGACGAGGGCGCCGGCGACGAAGAGGGCCAGGCTGACGGCGATGTTGGGGACAGAGTAGGCGTTGTGGTGCAGGTTGGCGGCGGCGATGGCGAGGAAGAGCGCGTTGCCGGTTTGGTTGGAGGCGAAGCAGGCGTAGTCGGGCCAGGCGGCGGCGTCTTGGATGCCGGTGGCGAAGGAGAGGAGAAGGAGTTCGGACTCGAGGAGGGCGTCGGTGCGGATGTCTTCGAGGAGAAATGTGCGGACGGTGGTGGTTCGGGACTTTAAGAAGGGGCGGTGGGTGGTGGGTTGGGGGAGTTCATGTTGTGATTGTGGTAGTAGTTGTTGCGGTAGTAGTTGTGGTTGTGGTTGTGGTAGGGGTTGGGGTTGAAATTGGGACATGGTGGACTTCAAGGACGGCTAAGGAGAAGGATCTTGGGTGGAAAGTGGAATGTTAGTCTGGGAGATGGATGGAAGTATGGATGCCAGTAGGATATAGATTCCGTTTGGGGGAGTTATTTACCTGAGTTGAAGAATGGGTCCGCGAGATATAGAAGACGAGGTGGTGGACAGGGGAGTCGAGCAAAGAGAAGGATGTTAATTTTTAATGAAGTAGATCCAGTGTGGTTGACAATGCGAGGTATAGGGTATTTTTGGAGTATCAAAGCGCAATGATCGATGTTGATGCCGGGGATGCTTGAATGGAGAATGATGCGAGGGAAATGCTTGTTGTGGAATCAATATCGGGCCGGTCAATAGATCGATTCACTTTCGCGCATAGGGGAAGAAAGATCTGATGGAAACACGAAATTCTAGATGTAGTGCATCGTCTCCGGAAGGAATACTTACTTCTGTTGAGCGCTTGTCCGAAGCTTCTCAGAGCCACACACATTATATATCGGCCGGTCGAGGGGCCCTCTGCATCTTGATCGCTCCCACTCGCTCTATTCTGGCGTCGATACGATCGCCCACCCATTCCGCGCTGACGTATAGGTCTGGTGGCTCTGCGAGAATGTGGAATTCCATGTCTCACAAAGACCGTGAGATCGACCATGTGGGTGGAGAGTGCCAAGCTGTGTATACATGCCGCCGCGCCGATTTCTCCAGGCCGAACCTGTCTTTGGCAGAACCGGCAATCCCATATGGCCGATGACGCGCACACCCAGCCGATCGGGTGTCTTATCTCGCGCCTCCCTTGTCCCTCTCTTTCCAGATTGAGGGAGAGGGAGGAATGGGTTCAGGGTCGACGGAATTGTGCCCTGATAGAGCGCGAGGGGGAGGGTGTGTTTCATTAGGGGCTTCGGGAGAAGCATGCTGGTGTCTTCAGTAGAAGACCCTTGATTCCTCAAGACATCGATGTCGACGAGGGTGGGTGGAGAGAGATTGCGCGTACGGACGAGCAGGAAGAAGTGCTGCGGTGCATGCTAAATGATGTCTGGGTTCCAACGCAGTGTTGACTTCCGCGATTGGCCACTTGATCATGGCCGCGTCTGTCGCATGATATATTGCACGTAATTGGGTCTTTTGTACGGGTCGATCCAAGATGCATCGATCTTGACTCTTCGACCTCTCTCGTCGCGACATTATTCCTCCTCTTCTCTCTTCCCCTGGGATGATCTGGGATGATCCGGGATGATCCCGTCGATGGCGGCTGTCAACCGTGGAAAGCGCCCATGGAACCCTGGATGGCTCGGATGGTTCAGGGGGCGTGTGTTCGTGGGTGTAGGATCCGCGGGTTGACGGGCCGCGACCGACTCTTTCTCGTCTAGTTGATATCTGAAAGGGCCTGGAATGGTCTCCGATGGCGATGGCCACTCCGGACTCCCGCGCGCGCGAGAGAGTTGAGAGTTCTACGAGTCACCGCCGAGGTTGAGTCTTTGGGCCGCGCACTGCACAGTCTCCGACCACTACGGGAGGCTTGCCTAGACTCGTGCGTACTGCGTGCTCGTTCCATGCGGATGAGCCATGGACCTGATTGAATGCCTGTTTGAATGCCTGCAGTCGCGGGTCGAAAGGGGACAGGGCCTCGTTTCAGACAGATTCCGACTTGAGAGCAGGATGATGGCCGCAGGGCACCTTGGATCAGTGTATAGACTGTAAGTGTAGAGACTCTTAAGTGTAGAGACTTTAAGTTGTAGAGACTATAGGTGTATAGACTATAAGTCTATAATGCAATCCTCCAATCAGCCGCCTCGCGTGCAGGCGACCAGGCCAAACACCAAACACGGGCAGACGACCCAGACTGCACTTGTTCTGGTTCTGTTGGCCATTCGCGCTGGCCATTCGCGCTGTCCACTCTGGTCTGCGGCTCCCCGTCATTGCTGCGCTCCAAACGGCCTTCAAACGACCATCATCCACTCATCTCCCGCCACCACCGACTCCTCCACATACAGGAGGGCATATTGGGAAAACACAACACACATATCCTCCCCCTTCTATCTTAGTTCACTTCCCATCTCTGCGCCTCTTACCCTCCTCTCCACTCTCAACTTCCCCTGACCCTGCTGTGAGATTGTGAGATTGGGAGCGGTCTCTTCCTCTGGCCCGTGGTCCCCCTCCTTCTCTGATGAACGCCCCCCGCAACGGAATTCGATCGCCATGCCGACCAAAGACTTTCGGCGGGACCTCACTCTGGCTTCATCGCCGGGTCGATTCACGTACCTGAACGCCGTGGATGCTGGTGAGATCGATGGCTCCATTTCCTTTACTTTCACAGAGGGCCCGAGTGGGCCGAAGATCGACTTCCAGGCCATCGTTCCGGGTACGAGACCCCCCCCCCCCCCCCCCGGGGATCTCCCTTATCTCCCCCATCTCCCCCGCCGCAGGCGGCTCTTCGAGGCAAATGGACCCGCTCGTGGGCTAACCGTCCGGTAGATCCCCACGAATACCCGTCAAGCCACACATTCTTCGTCTACTCCACGTCAGACAACGTCACGCCAGCAATCACGAAGGCGGTGGAAGATGCCACCCCCCTGCTGAGAGGCTCCTCCCTCCATGATGTACTGTCCACCATCGAAACCATTGTCCGGGACGTGCTCCACGGCACCACGTCTCCCCCAAGATAGGTCATGAAGATCCGATGGAGTTCGATCGCAGCGACGTCGACAACGACCTCGCCGATGACTACGACAGTCCAGGTTGGTCAGATGAGGATCAGAGCGGAGGTGTCATGGCCACGGCCCAGAAGCCCTCCAACCTCCGTGGAAAAATCCGCCATGATCTGCGCTTGGTCAAGAATGCCAATTTCAAGGTTGGCTATATAGGTCACCTGGCCGGCGCCATCATCATCTCAGTAGCCATCCGAATTGGACAGCTCGGGATCTCCGATGAGGCCATGACGGCATGGAATGTGTGTCCGGGCGAATACTTGGTTCTCCTCCTCCGCTACCCGACCTACATGACTCAGGAGATGCTGTACACCTCGTCCGATCGGGGCCCGCAAATACGGGTCGGCCTCTGCAATTCATACAAACCATCCACGAGCGCAGCCATCGCATCTTTCCAAGATGCTACATCCGGTAACGAAGAACATGCCAAGCCAGAATGTCCTTCGGGTCCCCTGTTACGAGAGCTGTTCATTGGGGCTCCACTGCACAAGCTGCTCAATGAGCGACTGCTGGGCATTGTGAAGGTGCGCCTGCGGTATGGATTATCGTGGACGGGAGCGGAAGTGTTTTTCCACAACAGCCAGGGAAAGGTCCTCAGTCCGGATGATGCAAAGTCAGAGCAGTTTCAGGTGCCAGATAGCTGGGTTACACCGGCGCCACCCTTCCTGTTGGTGGACCATTTGGCCGACATGGGTCTGGATGTACCCGGCATGTCTTTCCCGCTGATCGCCATGCAGTTCCTCCTGCGACACTTTGTTAGGTGTACCGAGTTTTGCCTCGTGTGTCATTGCAAGACCTACGACGATTTTGAGGCGGTTAAACCCTACGTCTGCTCCAGTGGGCTGTGTTTGTTCCAATACATCACCTTTGGCATGGGCACCAGTTTGGAATATGAACTCCGCCATCAACCATATGTCGTCGATTTGCTGATTTCCCTTGCATATGCCCGAGCTAAAGCGGGCCTTCTGATGGATTTTCCCACCGGGCTGGGCTTGAATGTTCCCGACACCGGCGTTCCCGATGCAGACCAATGCACATATTTTGATCCAGATGTCAATTGTTCAATGCAGGGCACCTGGAAGGCGCAGAAGACCTATAAGGCAGCCTTTAATTTGGAATGCCTTGAACTCTCTCATGCTTACCCTCCCAAAGTGAAGGTTGGCAATTGGATTGTGATACTTGACCTACCTTCGATATCGCAGGACAGGAAAGTTGCATGGCATTGTCGGGTCCTGCGGATTGGAGAAACTTCGGGACATATCTTCCTTTCTCCTCCTGTCAGTCGAGGAAGGCAAATTCCAAAGGAGATAGCGCAAAGGTACCCCATCTCAAAGGTGACCTACGTGATCTATAACACAAATTTCGATGACCTAAAGGCGGATAGAAAGCGGAAGAGCATTGTGATGCTCCTCAGTATGCTCCCCAGTGTTGATCTCATGACTTCATATCTAGGCCAGCAGGATTCAGGGAAGTTGCTCTCATCATGGAGGGATCAATTTCCCCCGGCTGCATTAGATCTGGTACGGTGGGTTGTGGCCTCAAATCGATCATGCATCATGCAGGACACCAATGATCCGGAGCACCTGGTGACTGGTATGGGTGGATTCATCCAGTTTCGACTGGTACAAGGAGCTCCTGACAAAGAGCAACGCTTCATCCAAGAGATCAATGCCAATTCCATGGCCTCCAAGCCCGCATACCGGACAATATTTGCCTGGCATGGTAGTCCTGTGCACAATTGGCACAGCATTCTCCGAGAAGGGCTTCATTTCAAACAAATCGCCCATGCTCGTGCTTATGGAAATGGTGTTTATTTTTCCAAAAAATACCAGATCTCTGCCGGTTACTGTCATAACTCTAGCTCCAGCAGTTGGCCACAAAGTCAGTTGAATATCCAGTCCATCATATCGCTGAATGAAGTCGTCAACAACCCTTCTCAATTCAAGAGTGTGACCCCGCACTTTGTGGTTCCGCAGTTGGACTGGATACAGCCTCGATATCTCTTTGTGAATACTGGACATGGCAAGGCCTCCACCACACCGGCGGCGCCATCTGCCATCTACAGGCAAGATCCACAGCATGAAGCTTATGGGCCTTCGGGGGAGGTAGTTAAAATCCCCATTTCAGCTATCACATCGAAAAGAAGAAAGCAGCTAGTTACGTCCCCCAAAACTACGTCCGCTAAGAAAAAGTCAGATCTGCCGGTGCTGATGGACATTGATGGCTTTAATGATGCCCTCAGTGTCACAACGGAAATTGAAGACCTGAACATTCTCCTCTCTGATTCAGACTATGTCTCCGACTCGGAGGATGAAGCGTCTCAGCCGCCCAAGGGATCAAGCAGTGAATCCGATCAATCTCCTTGCCCCAAGACTGACTTTGTCCCTGGAACCCTTAATGGGAACACCTTACCTCTTCTTGCACCACCACAATATGCCAGCACGCCCGCCACAAAGCTACTACAAAAACACCTCCGATCAACTCTCAAAACCCAGGCGACCGAGCCTCTTCACGAGCTGGGCTGGTACCTGGATCCAAACCTCATCACCACCGTCTATCAATGGATCGTCGAATTACACAGTTTTGACCCCTCTCTCCCACTCGCCAGGGACCTCAAAGCTTGCAACCGGAAGAGCATTCTCCTCGAGATCCGATTCCCACCCCAGTTCCCCATGGACCCCCCCCTTTGTCCGAGTTATTCGCCCACGATTTCTGGAATTTGCTGCCGGTGGTGGTGGTCACGTTACAGCCGGCGGAGCGATGTGCATGGAGCTCTTGACAAACTCGGGCTGGTCGGCAGTTACCTCAATTGAGAGCCTGTTGCTGCAGGTGCGGCTCGCGATCTGCGCAACCGAACCGCGGCCTGGGCGACTCGCAACGAATACGTACCGACCAGATTACTCGGTCCATGAGGCGATCGCTGCGTACAAAAGAGCCTGCCTGGCTCATGGGTGGGCGATCTCCAAAGATATGGCGAAGCTTTCGTGGTGATCTTCCCCCCCCCCCCCTCTCTCTTCTTTCTAGAGACTATTTGTTTTTTGGCAGAGACAGACTGTTGCAAGAATTCCAGATCTATTAAGCCATTGTTTCTAATACCAATATTGCTAAATATTGCTAGTTTGATGACAAACTGCCATGCTGCTTATCTTTCGATTATAGTAAAATAGTAATGTGAATGCCCAGCCCCATTTCTGTCGATAATGGTAACTGTGAAGGATTCAATTTCTAGATGGCTGTATGTATTCGGTCTATTCAATTTAGCAAGATGTAAACCAGGTGCCCAAGTTTCAACGCAGTATCAGTGCTTCGAATCTATACTTGAGACGTGTCTATCTGTGCTCGTTTCCTCGATCAGAGTTCTAATTTACCCTCTTTGTCACACCGTATTGCAAAAAGGATCCTGAACCACCAATAAATGTCATATTGATTCATCCAATCATGCCATCCAATTGTCTGTCGTTTCACCCGATCTTGTAAGTACTCCCCGTTTTTCAGTCCGCCGAGTATTCCAACCGACGTGGGTAACAACTAGAATTATTGAACACTAGATACAAGGATTATAAATGTCTTTCGAAAGAAAATTTATCCCATTCCACCAAACCCAAATTCCATAATTAATACCACCAACCCCTCGACTGTAGTATCATGTAAACACCTTGAATCTGCAAGGCTCGAATGCCTGAATGGCCAATAAAAAGACACTTATAGACCCGATGGCGTGCCACCAATCATCCACAGTCGCTTGGGATAACCTCGCCCCCGGGGCTACAGATGATCATTTTATTGGCCGGTTCGAAGGCTTAATGGCGACAAACAGACCCACTCATCCACCAGAACCAAACGGATTATTTTTGCGGACCTGTTCAGATTAGCACTTTTTTCCACGGATGAGAAAAAAAAAAGGAATTTGCCGGATGGCCTCGAAGATAAAACTCCGTAGCTTAAAAAAAAAAAAAAAAAAGAAAAGAAAAGCCACGCCCACAAACACGGAAACCCATCACCTCGGGGGTGTATACTACAACCCAGCAAACCAACCACCTCATGTCTCAGGTCGTATATATCACCACGGAGACGGCCTCTGAGCCGGCTTGTGTAGATTACATCCATCCGAATTTAATTGAGATTGCCGATCCGGTCAAAGGTCGAGGGTTCCGTGCCTCGGAGGTCATCCCGAAAGGCGCCCGACTGATGGTCGACCGGCCCTACGCAATCATTCCCACCGTCGATGAGCCAGCCAACCACGATAATGTGATTTGCAGCAACCCTGCTTGTAATCATCGCACACTCCAAGACGCAGGACGTTGTCTGTGTCCGAATAATTGTGTTTCGGACGTTGTATGGTGCAGCAATGCTTGTCGGAATGCCGATAGAGCACGCCATGAGTTCGAATGTACTTGGCTGAAACGATATGCACAGTCAATTCGATCAAAACGAGGCGAGTACGACTTTGGAATGCTCTGGTTGATTGTCCGGCTGCTTGCTACGCGTCATATTGAGATGAAAAAGCCATCTCTATCTGTTGATGGCTCCGGCTCTGCCCGGGAGTGGAAGTCGAGTTGGAATAGCATTGACCTGTTGTGCGGATCATCAGACTTTTGGTCTCACGACAAGGTCCGGTTATGGAGTACTCTTGTGAAGAAATATCTCCAGAACAGTTCAACTTTGCCTCATGGCATGAGCGCCGACCGCCTGCTTCATCTCATCTGCCAGGAGGAGGCCAATTCATTTGGTCTGTATCCGCGCGAAATGTGTATTGATCCTCCGTCAAATATGTCTCCGTCCAACTCTAGAGGGGAGCAGTTCGCCGCCGGGGTGTATCCTACTGCAGCGATTTGCAACCACTCATGCTCTCCGAATGTAAGTATCTCCCTCTGCCCTCTCTATGAGGCTGAACATTTGTAACTAAACGATCTGCAGATCACGCACAGACCGGATGATAAAGGCTGCATGGTCTACACCGCGGCCCGCGACATTCTCGCGGGGGAAGAATGTTGTATCTCATACTTTGACCTAGCCCAACATACAGATTTGACTTCTCGCCGCGAACATCTTCGAAATTCGTTCCGATTCTTGTGCAAGTGTGAACGATGTGTCTCAGAAGAGCCTGTGGAGGAATCAATAGAATGGACTGAGATGCCTATTTTGGATATATAATGACCACTGATGAATGATACCAAGACCAATAAAACAGCCTTTGAAGAACCTTTTCAGTTAATGTCCGTCAAGACTACGAAGCTTGAATAATACATTGAATCAGTATGAGCCATTGGCTGACCTTCAAATTGAATGAACTCTGTATAAAACAATCATCAATATAATACAAATCAGAACCATTCAAGGCGCCCTCTCTCTTCGGGTCTATATAGTTTAAGATTAGCAAGCTTCTATGGTTTATGCTGCTTAGAAATTCATCTTGGCGACTCATTCCGCCGCCATCGCGGCCTTCCAACATTCTGAAATTCGATTCCAATATTGTTCGGGATGCAATCTCATATGACCGACGTGCGGTGAGCCCTCGAACATTTCGGTGTCAACAGCCCGATATCCGAGGGTTTTAACCTGCGCAACGTTTTCTTCCAAGTCTTCATAGCCAATGATCTCGTCCTCTTTGGAGTAAATATAGAGCCTGCTCGACTTTCTTGTTGTGAACGATTCATCATTCATCACTCGGTTGGCCCACACGCCCGACGGCTCTGAGCCACTTAGCCATTCTAGAGCCCAGTTTGCCCAGAGATACGTATACCACAGAGCGTGGGTGACGACAAACGGCCAGGGAAGAACTTAGCGGTCCCAACTGCCATTGCGCGGGACCAGCGGCCAACCTGCGTCGAGAAAACCAGGCCACCGGGCGTGGAGTCACACACCAGCAACTCATGTGGGAGTCTCTGGTTACCGCCATGTCGTTCCTGGTATGCAGTTACAGCCGCGGCCACAAAAATGCCGCCGGTATTCGACATGGCATGCAACAGGACGCGCTCCTCTTCGGCACCGTCGCCCGTTGGAGTCGGGAATACGGTATCAATGATGGGCATCATGGCCTTGACCCTGTCCTCGAGAGGCTGCTTGGATGCTTGCAGGGTGGCTGACAGGACAACGACAATCCGAGCGGACGGGTAGAGATCATGAAACCCGTCGGAGTATTTGGCGACGTGCTTCGGCATGCCGTCGCCCCAGCCGAAAATGATGATGGTCGTGGGCTCGTCGGCCGGGGCTGGCTTAGTATTCTCGTTCCCATTGCGGAGGTACACCCGGTCCGATAGAGGGGTGAAGCCCGGGAAGGGCAGTGGCTTTGCGGGCATGGCTGGCTTGCCGTGGTTTATGTGCTGACACGCGCCGTGGGTTCTCGCGTCCTGCGGTTGGGCGGTGCTCGCGACGGTCGTGGAAAGTGATGAAAGGGTTGCGACGCGATTGAATTTCGCTTTTTAAAGAAATCTCACGTTCCTCCGCAGCTGGCCACAACTCTCTATTTGGTAAATGATCCGCGGCGATTTACGGAGTACTCCGTATCTGCCGTTGCGTTGGTTGTCAGCTTGTTGGGGGGGTGTTCGTGCGCCAATGCGGTTGCGAGATGTGGGTCGTTGGGAAGAATCTGGAATCCTTTGACAAATGAGATATCGGTATCATCCCTCGGCTTTTGCCTCTTTCAGATTTTCAGTTAGACCCACGTTTTAGTGCATATGGATTGGTTGTCTGAGATCATCAAAAGATGGGGGGATATATAATCAGACGGAGGCTCTTTCCCCCGACCAACAGTCTAGTACATGCTATTCCTGAACCTGATGTTCAATCATCTAAGACCCTTTTCTGTCAATTGATACGCTCTGCACCACTCGCATTCTACCGTTTTGCGTTTTCTGACCGATGCCAAGCGACCTTTCCTGCAATCAATTTGGCGGAAGCGGGGAGGGGGGCGCTTTAATGGTTCATTATCAGATCAACATGGCCACGCCCAATCTACTACGTGTAATAGGTACCGGAAGAATAGAGAGGGGTGTGGATCTGACCTCAAGACCAATTGACTGCCTACATCTTGGAGAGTTAGATGTTACTCCAACGATGTTAACCCAACCCAGGTGTTTTTAAATATGCGCCTCCCATATAATATCGAACTCATCTATGTGGAAGGCTATTGTCATCATCCAAGTACAGCTCAGCCATCCCGAAGTCCATGCAAAATCCTCACTACACTGACACGGGGTCTCGCGTTTAGGATTGATTACGACGTAGATGAAATTAGATTGCCTTTGATCATATCCATTCATCTGGCTAACGCTTGGGTTCGGGTATACATAAAAGATCTCCAGGTTTATATTCGAGTTATCTCGGTTTCCCCCCGCATGACACTCCATGGAATCATCTAAAACGCTCCGGCAATGGCAATGACAGCAGCGGCACCCAGCGGTGCAGCAGTGATCAAGGGTTTCAAGGCCGCAGGCGCAGCATCGGGAGTCTTGGTAGCAGCAGGCTGAGTAAGGGAGGAAAGACCGCCGGTGATGAGCATTCCACCGATGGATAACGACTTGGTCGGGAGGTTGGAGGACGAAGCAGTAAAAGACGTGCTGTAAGAGGAACCATAACTGGTTCCAGTGGCCTTGTAGCTCACTTCGCATGATGCAGAGAGGGTGTATGACTTTAGCTTGCAGTTCCATTCCTCAGTTGCGGTGACGCCGTCAGATCCGCTGATCCATCCCGTATAGACACCTGTATAGCTGACGGTTGCTGGACCCTGAATGAGCGTCCAGGGATCTTTGATGTCACAAAGGGTCGTAGGCGCGTCCTTCAAGCAGCTGATCAAGTATGTAGTTGCAAGAGCATCGACTGCAGAGACGCTACCAGCGGTGCTGGTGTAGTAAGGAACCGTGAAATCCCATCCGGGTATCACGAGGCCAACAGTGGTAGTGCTGCTATCGGCAGCGACTAACGCAGCGAGCGCTGATGCGAAGAAAACGGAGAAGCGCATTTCGGGTGTATTTATTCGTTTCGTTGACAAAGCTCAAAGATGATCACTAGCTTAAATTGTATGAAGAACTGAGAGAGCGAGTCCAGCTCAATGGTTGTGATTAAGAAAATCTCTTTCGCCTAACTCTGGGGAAGAACCCAGACTCTTTCTTTAAGCCGCAACGACTGTATTACCTCTCAGGCAAGCCTCGCATAAATCTATAGGCCCCTGGACCCATTATTTACGACCTAAGCAATCGCCGAAGGGGCGAGGAACTGGACTAGTTCAGCCACAAAACTGGATGATGTGAAATCATTGGACCCCTACCAGGTTGGAAGAGGACTTTAGCGTGAGCAAAGGACCAAAGGGTTGCATTTTGTCTCACTTTGGCGCAAAAATTATGAGTTATCTCTTATTAGCTGTAAATCATGCTTGGCCTGGAGTAGATATTATGTCCGCGCCCTCGGAACAAGGTACCGAGCGTGATATGGACAGCTAGGTGGCTTGGCAGAGAAATACCTGAGGAAAAGTTTTACCCCAATTTCCCAATACATTCAAATTCTGCTTGAGTGAATTCCGCAAATCCTGACTCGATGAAATCCAGAAGCCGTGAGTCAGAGGGCGGAGATGTGCTCTCGCTAAAAACTTCCATCGGTCGGAAGCGAAGCCTTGTGATCCTAGCGTTGAGGCTAAGGGGATTTTGGTGGTCCCCGCGGATGTGCCGGGTAATCGGCATAAGCGAAGCATTTACCCGTCGATCTTGCTTGAAGGTCGAGCTTTGAACAGCTTTGCAGTATTGTGTAACATTGAGTTTGTGGGTCTTTGCTTGAGAAACAACCCAGTTTAAATGTAGCACAGTACACATGCGGCTCCTCATGCCTGTGGATCTCTAAAGTCAAGGTCAATGTGGAAGGAATCCTTCCTGCTAGAGAGTTTCCTGGTATTTTTGGATTGCGGGTCTAGTGATGGGATGATGAAAGGCTCCGTCTGTAGGCCGGCCAGTAATATATGGGCTAGTAATGGGGGCGAAAACACTCCCATGGGTTCTTGCATAGTTATTGCGGACCCTTTGGTTGAACATCTCCCGAACTATCAGATTAACATAAGCTAATGTAGATTTGATTTCAAAAAAAAAAGAATTCAAAAATCAAAGTGGGACATAAAATCTTCATGTCAATGAAACTGTGATTCGCCTCGTATTCATCTTTCATTCTCCTTCAAGGTAAGGTTCATCGAGAGATATGTGGACATGCTTTCTCCACTGTTTAATAGCATATGGAATGGGTTCCTTGTGTGGCCCGGGGCTATTCATCATCCCTCTCTTCAGATATATCTCCTCAGGGATAGCATCTGGCACATCCACATCGTCCCATGTTGCATGGACAAATTGGTTGCCATTCAAGATGTTGTTGATATTGAGCATTATGCTGTACATCACGCCCCAACTTCTGGCATGTTCAAAGAACTCTAGAGCGACATCATCCTCCGTATCAAGAGGCTGTTTTGAGTACTCGGCGGGCTTATAACCTCCTGTCATGGAGGGGTATGGAGCAAAGCATTGGAGGTACCCATGGCCACACATACGACCCAAAGACACGTCTAGTTCAGCCCCGATATCAATCTGCTCAGCGAGCCCGCCTGGACTGACCGAGAGAGCAGATAGAATGCGCTGAGCACCACGGTAGCTGACAGCGTAGAATCGTATACAGGCAGCGTCGTTAGCAGTACATGTGAGACGTGCATGATCTGGCCGCTCAAATCCCTCGAAGTCTGGAGGATCGCGCCAATAAGGAAGGAAGTGGCGGGGCATAGGAATAGTCGGGTCGTGTGGGGTGACGAAGTAGGGTTGGTTGGTCTTGCAAGTAACTCCGCAGTGTCCCAACCAAAGGATATCCCAGTCGTCACCATAAGGGGAAAAGGTGGAGTTGTGATGCGTCCCTTGAAGCGATCGGATTGCGACAGCGAAGCTTTGAAGTTGAGTTTTAATGGATACATCCCAGTCGGCATCATCTACCATAACTATGGCACTCTGAAGCCTTTGCTGAACAATCCTAATAATCATTAGCATTCCGGTGTGTCTAGATACGGTTTAGACTGCCACCTACTGTTGCATGACATTTAAATGCGCTCGCCGGCGGGCATAATCGATCGATGAATGGTCATAATTCCAGTTCTAAAATTTGGTCCAGTCAGATGCGGGGCAATTAGGCAATGAAGAAGTTCAACTCTTGGACATACGTATGGATATGTTTTGGGGTTGATTCCTTCTGGGCTCACACCATCAACACTGTCGACAACAAATCCGCTCAGCGAGGAGGCCAAGATAATGTTATCCCGTTTATCTGTTCGATCTGGGAAGTTGATAACGAAGACTTTTTGAACCTAGAAGAATCCCTGTGAGCGAAAAAGAGCAACACAGGTGTATTCTCTTCATGGACATACCCCTAGAGTTCCATTCTGGATGTCGTTGAGATTGTTCCAGGCCTGCTGGTCACTCTCTGTCTGTTGGTTGTCCCAGGCCGGCTGGGGTCCCTCTGTCAAAAGATCAGGGGGGGCACGAAGTTTCAGCCAGGAAAGAATGACGATAGTTAGTCCGATCCAGAGTAATGCCCACCGCATAGGTCGGGCTTGGGCTGTAGCTGAGGCCATGCTCAGGTACCCCAGAAAGAGAGGCAGCAGAAATTGCTGTTCATCTGAAGTTGATGAGAAGTGGCGGCCATGCCATTCAAATTCCCTTGAACTACGGGGGCGCCTTGTGAACTAATTACCACCAGGGGAGAGACGGGGCCCTACACAATCTTTTAGTGGGTCCGTCCCCTCTGCTCATTTCCCTACTGGAGGGACCGGGAATCTTGACCCCTGCACAAAACGTGATGAAACGATGGCCTTTCGCGATAAGAATTACATTTTGGGCTACTGTCAGGGTTCTCGCTGATCGAGGGTATACTGCTTGTTGAACTAGGGGTTTCCGTTGCCGATCAAAGGGAAAATATCTATCGAGTTGCATCTGTTTAGCATGGATGTTTCGGCGCTAATCTCAATAATCCGAATGGTGGGTCCGAAGCGGCTGGCACCCAGTTTAATTTGCATCACTCCGAAACACCGTTTGCTTCAGGAGAGCGATCACCCTCCTTAGAAGGCAACGCTTGGTCTATGCGTATTCAAACTTCGTGTTCAGTCCTTTGGAGTTGGAAGTTTATTAAGGGTCTTTATTCACATACTGTCAAGGATATCATTTCGAATCTGTTGATAGCGGCATCGGGATTATTCGCAACTGCATATGAACAGCGAATATTCACCTAGCAGGTTCGTTTAAAGGAAGAGGTTTTTTCTCGACTTCTATATGGTTTAGAATTATGAGTAGTGTCGTCCAGCCTGGTCTTCTTTCATCTTATGATCTGAACCCCGCTCTATGATATAAATAGTGGTTAACTTTCGAATCTGGACTTCAATAGTAATCAACCATGCTACGGGGGCAGATTCAATCAAATCAGAGGACCATTATCCCACGAGTACTACAATCTATCAGCCAAGTCAGAATCCTGCTATCGGAGGGCAGATCTGATCTAATTTAATATTCACTCATAGAGAAGGGTAATAAGTGGTTTGTAGCGACGTTTTCGCGGTTCTAACAAGAAATATCCTATTCTCTATATAAAGTAGCACCTAGTTTATCGAAAATGATAATGAAAGATATGGTAGGCTGCGAAATTAGAACATTCTGGCTGGGTCTTCTATGTGTCATAATTTATAATGAGTTTTTACTGACAACTCAGGTAGCAGACACTGGACCGACATGATACTCCGGGAAAGAAAAACATCATGAGCTATCAGTGAGCCTCGCCATTTCTAAAGGTCAAAGCCCAAATGAGAGAGGGACTGGGAGAAGCAAGATGAAAGTGTTCTACTGTAGCAACCAGGAGCGGGGAGCCGAGGAGAGTCAAATAGCCAGCAAGCTATCTATTTATCCTAGGCGATGATGGAGTAGATAATGGGGCATAAAGCCTTGTAGGAGATGCTGACATCTCAAAAGGGAGATATTTCTTTATTCCTGGATCCCTCAGTTCTTCCATTTTGCTAACTTACACGCAGCAACGTGTTTGAACTGGATGTAAAATGCAAACCGGTAGTCATAACTTGCTTCTGAATTCCGAGTGTGAATATCTATTCATCTCAACCAGCTTCAAGACATATGATCCAAGAGCTCAAACCACTTGAAAGACTTTCAATTAAGAAGAAATTCCTTGCAGCCAAGCAGCATTGATGCCTTTGGCAAATGAGTTCATGGAACTCCATATGACATAAACCATAAATTCGGGCTCTTCGGCACTCTTTTACCCCTTTTTATGAGGAGTTTGGGCAAGTAGGTCAATGTGTAAAACTTGTCCAATCAAGAGGGCTTCTTTACCATAGTGGGTCGAAGAACCAGCAGAAAACGGAGATTACCGAAATTAATCTTCGGTCACCCCCCACTCAACAGCAGTCTGGCCTACCCTCTTAAAGGGACCGGATACAGAGCCTCACAGTAATGGAATTCAGGGTCTCTTGGCCAATAATGACATAAGATACTAGCAACCTCTAAATACAGAATGCTTCACACTAGTAAGGCCGTAGCCCTCCGGAACCACACTTTCGATTGAGAGCTATTAATAAAATAAGGCTCAGCCCCTTCTGTCTCCAAGTCGCAAATATTTTCACCATGAGCCAGTGACGCAGGGAATTGATCACAATGCTTGTCGAAAATTGGAAGACGGTGTTCGCCGTCACTCTGCTGACAGGCAGCACATCGGCGATCAATTTGGACATTAACAGTGAATGTATGTCTTCTATCCGTCTTTCTCCAAAGAAAGGGCGCTGAATTCCAGTAGCCTCGATCAAAAACGCAGCTTCCGTGGTTGCTAAAAATACGATTTCGGATTACAATGACAGAAATTCGAACAACATCCCCGGATATGTGGCTACAAGCTGGGCAGAGGGTGGTGTATTATTCGAATCTATGATCAGATACTGGTATTATACTGGTGATTCCTCCAACAACGAGCTGATTAGTGACGGAATGTATTGGCAACGGGGAGAAGACGATTACTTCCCAGCCAATTACTCCTCATATCTGGGAAACGACGACCAGATTATGTGGGCTCTTGCTGCAATGACGGGCGCTGAGCTAGGCTTCCCTCAACGATCTTCAATGCCTTCTTGGGCCACACTGGCGAAAAACGTGTTTGATGAGCTCATTGTCCGCTGGGATGATCAAAACTGCAACGGTGGCATGCGTTGGCAGATTTGGCCCTTCGAGGCTGGATATACGACCAAGAATGCCATTACAAACGGTGGATTGTTTGAGCTCGCTGCTCGTCTAGCTCGGTACACCAATAACCAGACATACTCTGATTGGGCCGAGAAAGTCTGGGATTGGAGTAGTACTACGCCACTTCTAGAAACTGCAGACTGGAAAATCGCAGACTCGACGACCTGCGAAACTAAATGCACTGATCATGGGGACTGGCATTGGTCTTGGAACTATGGCGTGTATATGACAGGTGCGGCATATATGTACAATATTGTGAGTCCTACTCAGCATCCGAGGTCAAGAGACACCAAAACTAAAATCATATAGACCGATGGCAAAGGGAAGTGGAAGACTGGTCTTGATGGTCTTCTGAATAGCAGTTCTCAGTTCTTCCCTGATCACGGGTATAACAACGCTGATGGCAAGGTCATGGTCGAAATTACGTGCGAAGCTGTCGAAACATGCAATAAAATTCAACAGTATATGAAGGGCACGTTCCTACAGGACCTGGCAATGATTAGCGTTGTCGCTCCATACACATCTTCTGGAATCCTGCCATTGCTGAAAGGCACGGCGACCGCAGCCGCGCAGGGATGCACTGGCGGCAAGGATGACACTCGCTGCAGTGGTCGCTGGTATATAAAAGCATATGATGGAGATGATAGTATGGCGAATCAGATATCCGCATTGAGTCTGTTTACCTCCAACCTGGTCGCCTTCAACAGCAATACCCCCTTTACCCAATCTACAGCATCGAATACTACAACTGGCTCGGTGACAAGCAGTGGAAGCGAAAATTCTACCAGCTCGGGGACTGTGACAGCCACAACTACTGGAAATAATGCTGCTAGTGTGCTGGTTGGTGCCCCTGTTAGTATCACTGCTGCCATGTTTTCTGCCCTTCTGCACTTCTTCTAGGACCTTTAATGAAAATTTGAATTGAGCCTCTCGAGAATTTACATCATTAGTGATTTCAACAGGTTTTGAACCGGATTTATATATAACCCTATATTCAAGAATCAGCAAAAGGTCATCTTTTCTCACAAATGCTAGATCAATCTTGCGGGACCGAGATCATTTCGTAAGTCTGAATTGGCCGAAACTTAGTCAAAGCATGATATTCTCGTATGTGACATGAGCTGCAATACATAAGACGAAAAAAATGGAGCCACTCCAATGTCAATATAAATTGACGGAGCCTCGGGGGGTATTGTAGTCGTCGATTGGTGGACTTACACTGGACCCAACAACACTCTCCACGGGGTCGGATCTGTTCCCGGGGATTCAGCGGGTGTGAGCCCGAAAATTCATCGGGGACCACTACTACTGGGGAATATTTACATTTCTTTGATCCACCAAGAAAATTTAGTAATGGAAGATCCCACCGCGGCTAAATAATCACCCCTCAACAAGACATCGTTGTATATTTCTGCGAATATTGGACTTTGCGTAGTGGGTTGGTGGAGCGGACTCCGGATTTGGGAGGAGGCTGCATACGAACTCAGCCATTGTTCTGAATGCAGTTGGGCTACCATGGCTTTTGTTTTTCTCTTTCGATATCAGTTGTATCAAATTTTGATACTGAGAGCTCGATTACATTTTGAATATTTAAGTACATGTGGTGGACATAGAAGATGACATGATATTGCTTTCAGCTTGTCTAACAGGCATCACTTATCTGCTCCGGTGAACAACTCGGTCGTAGCACAATATACATGTTACGGCGTGATTGATAGTAGTGCAAGAGAATATCACTTTCTTATCAAAGTAGCCCTGTCCAATGTGAATTTTGGAAATGTTTCTTCGTGATTTTTGTGACAGTTTTATGGCTCAGGGTGCAGAAGTAAACCATCTCGTACCAAAAGAGCCGTAGGTGGATGTTAAGGTGTTCCAACCCATGCAATGAAAGGCCAATGAACGACCAATCAAAGCCTATCAACCATTCTGCTCAGCGGTTCGATTCATAAGCCGTAATTTTCCAGGAAGGTTGTAGCATGGTGGATTTGTACCGAGCAACTTTAATTCCGCGCGGTTCTGGACTCCAAATTCCTAGGGGAGGTGGGGGCAGGCTTCCAGAAAAAGCCGATCAGCGCGGTCCTGCAAGCTGCCGTGCCTATTTTCCTATGGTTCCGACTTAACGAGACTTTTCCATTGACACAAAGGGGCATAGAGCCAATTTCACGAACTCTAGCGTCCGATATTAACACTTTCCTGAACAAAGGACCCGGTGGAGTCGTCCCAGCAAACCCCGGTATGTACCTCGGTGAAAAACGATTATCTTTTACATAGGCAGATTTGGTCAGATTTCAGAGAGATAGGAACCTTCGAGGATGGCCCACTGCTCCACCTTGACCCAGTCATCTCGGAGGCCAGATAGGAGCAACCTCCTATTCGGACAACCATGGCCGTACGGTGGCAAAAGGGTCGAGATCATGAGCGTGAAGAAATTGAATCAAACCTCGATCTTCTCCAGGATTCGCCTTTGAAATGTGCGCTTCTCCATGTTTTTGTAGCACAAACCGGCCAACTTACCCCGAGCAGACTGTGTCTCCCCGCGCGAGGTGGATATACTTGGGACCAATAGGGCGGAAAAGGAAGGATAAGCTCCGGGCGTCCGCCCTGCGCCATGTTTTCAGTTTCGCCGGGCGCGGGAACCCAACGCCTTGATCGACAAAAGGCCAACTTTTTCGGTGAGTGGCCAAAATCGCCGTGAATCGGCCATCCAGGCCAATCAAAAGCCCGGGACATTATTATCTGGGGGCGATCGAAACCGCGCGATGAGTTCCGGTTACCCCAAATCCATTACCTAACAGGGCGCGATTGTATGATGGTGTGCTAACAGCCCCCCGCGTTATTCGGCGTGGAGAAGACTCGGACGGAAGGTGATAGTCGAATGCGTGTCGTCATGTCGGACCGATATCCTTTTCTCTGCGCTTTCCCCCCAAGCCTGTCAGTCTTCTTCCTTCGCTTTTTTCTTTGCATTCGGGCAGAAAACCAAACCCGTTAGAATGAAAGAAAACCTCGACGATGAGACCCAATTGGCCCAAATGGGTCACAAGGGCGAATTGAAACGCCAATTCTCCTTGTTGTATGTGAAAGCTCTTTTGATTTTGCGTATCGACGGCCTGATCACAGATTCAATTGTTCTGATATCTATTCTAGATCAATGTTGGGTCTGGCATTTGCCATTTTGAATGTAAGTGCCTTGTCGTAACCCATTGAACCCTATTTTCCTAGGAATGAATTACTGAAGAATTTCTGGCTGGCAGTCATGGACCGCGTTGTCCGCGAGTTTGTCCCTTAGTTTGCCATCGGGAGGCCCAGCCAGTGTTGTCTGGGGTTAGTCACTTTTCGACCTGGTCGTCCGCTGGAGATTTGCTAAACTATGAATACTAGGCCTCGTGACTGCAGGTGTTTGTAATTTATGCATGGCTGCATCTCTCGCGGAATTCCTGTCCGCCTATCCTACGTGGGTGCCATCAACAAGAATGCATTAAAAACGATTCACAGTCGAACTAACCATAAGGATAGTGCCGGTGGCCAATACCACTGGGTGGCAGTTAGTAAGTTTATTTCTCCATTTTTTGTTGTAATCTGAGAGACAGACTGATGACTAACTTTTCATTCAGTCTCTTGGGAGCGATGGGTGCCTATTCTTTCTTGGATCACAGGCTGGGTGAACTGCTCCGGCTGGGTGGCCCTGGTGGCAACCGGTGGATTGCTCGGGAGCCAGCTGGTGCTGGGAGTTATTTCTTTGATGAATCCAGTAAGTATTCTGTCTTCTTAGTATAAAGGTCAGCTCTAACATTCTAATAGAATTATGAAGCCCAGAACTGGCACCAATTTCTGATCTACGTTGCCTATAACATCGCCGGATTCACCATCAACGCTCTGATGAACAACATTTTACCATATTTCAACAAAACTGCCTGTGAGGATCCAATTAACTGAGAAGTTGTTTTCATCTTCACTGACGGGGTATCCAAGTTATTTGGTCACTTAGCGGTTTCACGGTTATTTGTATTACTGTTCTCGCTTGCTCCTCACCCAACTACAATACTGGAGAGTATGCATTTTCAATTCTAAGATTCGTGAAAAGTTCATACTGATGTGTCTAGCTTTGTTTTCCGTGACTTCATCAACTCGACCGGATGGCCGGACGGTATTGCCTGGTTGCTTGGTGTAAGTAACTCGAGCCATCGACGATTAGGCGTTGTCCAATAACAATGAAATAGCTCTTGCAAGGTGGACTTGGTGTGACTGGATTTGTAAGTGATTGAATTATTCAAAGTATTCCTAGAAAAGAGGGACTAATTGAATAATAATAATAATAGGACGGTGTTGCCCATATGATTGAAGGTACCGAGAAACCTCAAAACTTATGGTGATTAACAATTGAAGCTGACAATTCTCAGAAATCCCTAATCCTTCGGTAGAAGGACCCAAGATTATGATTGCCTGCGTGGGGATCGGTACTGTGACGGGTACCATTTTCCTGGTTGTGCTGTTATTTGTGGCAGGTAACATCACCGATATTATTGACTCTGCGGCTGGTCCCCTCCTGGCAATTCTGAAGAACGCAACTCAAAACAATGCGGGCGCTGTCTGTCTGTTGATTTTTCCTCTCGTCTGCATGCTTTTTGCTACTACTGCGATCATGACTACTAGCAGTCGCATGTGCTATGCATTTGCCAGAGACGGTGGTCTTCCATTTTCTCATTTCTTCGCCCGAGTCCACCCGAAGCTGAAAGTCCCTTTGAACTCACTTTATCTCAACTGGATCCTTGTTATCATTTTCGGCCTAATATTCCTGGGATCTTCTAGGTAAGCATAATTGTTGAACAATACAAATTCAAACGCTTACATCTACTAGTGCATTCAATGCTATTGTCTCGTCGTCGGTCGTTATGCTGGATCTTGCATATGGTATTCCGATCGCCATTAATTGTTTCCGAGGACGCAATATGCTCCCCGAAAGGCCTTTTGTCCTCTCCAACTGGCTTGGCTGGATTCTAAATATTGTAAGGCATTATCTGATCAAAAATAGAGAGAATTTTACTAACAAATATGGCAGATATCTTTGGTCTACGTTAGCTTAACTACTGTGCTTTTCCTCTTCCCTCCGGAGTTGCCTGCTACTGGTAGCAACATGAGTATGTCATTAAACTATCTTCATCAAGATCTTAGAAAGAATACTGACAAACAACAGATTACTGTGTTGCAGCTTTTGCAATCGTCTTCATTATTTCCACAATCACCTGGATCTTTGACGGTCGCAAAAACTTTGTTGGCCCACGAATCGAGGTGGAGGTGCTTTCAGGGCAGGTTGGTGTCCAGCCCGAACAGCCAATCCCTATGGTTGAACAAAAGGCCTAGATGAATATAGATATCGATACTTTAGATATGTAGATGATTATTTAGCTGAATCAGACATAAATTTCGCTCTTTAATATTTACTTCGAACAAGTGTATACACCAAGGTCACGTGAGTGTATTACGTCATAAACCCATGGCCACTCATGCCTTAGGCCAGTTCCCAACAATCGTGGATCCCAGACTCCGTTGAGATGGAGATGGGCTGATGTTAAAAAAGACGCTCACGGAAAGACCTACTACAGAACTCACCACAAAAGGAAGTCATCATATCTTAGCTTTTGTTGACTCCCAAAGTGCATCTCGCGGTGTGCACGCTTCGCGTCTCGGGCTACATTGAATTTCCCCACTGGTGATTGAACACAGAAGCCACGCAGAAACGCGCCACGCCACACCAATCCGATAATGTTTCAAGTTCCGATACCTTCATTGCGCTCCCTGAACATATTTTCTTGGGGCCAGAAACAGGCTATCCATGTATCATCGGTCAAGATTCACGACCTCGAGGCAGCTCATGAGAAGCCCGCACGGGCGTTAAAGCACCTGCTCAAGCTCAACCATGCGAATCATGCTATTCTCTACAACGACCGAAAATTCCATAATCATGCTCCTCACGTACGTGTCATTATAGCTGTTCGCTCTACTTGACATTCTGGCCACCTAGCTGACTCCGTATCTAGCTTCTGAGTGCTGCGTACCTGCAAGGCGCAGACGAAGGTGATCTGGCTCGGGTTTACGAAAGCGAGTCTAAGCTGCTAGATGAATGGGTTGACTCTCCTGCAGAGGTCACAAATTATGACTGGAGAGACCATTTAGGACGTCGGGAGTATGTTTCCTTTCCTGGTGTCCTCATACTCGTTCTGCCCCGCTGATCGTTACCAACTCCCCCAGATACCAAAAGGCCTTCGTGGACTTTTTTGAAGATGAAATGGTTCGACTCGGCTACGACTGGAAGCAAGTAGTTGCAGAGTACTTATTCTCGGGGAAAGAACCTGTGTTCAATTCCATTATGGCTGATCGTATGGCAATATCCTTTCTAGAAATGTTGTTATCCAAGAAGAGAGCAAGAAAACTAACCTGTTCTGGATAGTTGGTCATCCATTAATTCACCTTGCCTATGCATTTGAGATGTCTAGCCGTGAGCTTGCGATGGAAGCTCTAGGTCTAGCAGCAACATGCTACAATAGCGTTCACAACTACCTTGATGACCCGATATCCTCACAGACTGAGCCATCTTATCATTCAACTTCTTTCTTGGAGATTCTTGATAAGGTTCGAGCCGACAAGAAGCTCAACGGGCTGTTCGTTACCCCGGGTGACCACAATATGCAGAAGCTTTTTGAAAGCCATGAAGCTGTACTCTTAAATCATTGGAATGCCTGGAAGGTTGAGAATCCAATGGAACAGTTCCGCGAGAGCCAAGAGCTTGCCGCTGCCCTCCTCGTCGCAACTCACGAGGACTCAACCGAGCAGTACGATTTTTTTCTTTGTTCATGTTCTAACAACCAGTCACGCTGTTAGAGTTCTTCTACCATTGATTCCGCCAAAATTCCAAATTTCTCTCGTGCGACAATGGTGGCTTGTGACACTGGCGATATTTATCTCCCAGTTGCGCCCCGAAATTTCATTTGACAAAATAAGCAAGTTCGAGCTGAAAGGAAGAGGGTGGAGCTGGGCATCGAAACAGGCTGTCAAAGGGAAATACTCGACTGATTCACATTATGTGAAGGCCATTCGCGCATTGCAAGAAGCTGCTTCAACATGGGGCGACCATGAAAGCTTCTACTTGAAAGCGGCAGTGAAATTTGCTGAGGAGTTCAGTGGATGGGGCGGTTTTGTCTAATGATTTCTTCTAATCTTGCTCTGCATCTTTTTCTAGCCTGAACTTGCATGTCGTACTTGACGTTTTGAAACTCCGGTCGAAAGCTTTGCATACAGTGTCGGTGAATATTTCCCAGTGATTGACTAGTTCCGTCTATCAAAGGATTCACTTTTATCTTGAATATCATGAAAAGTTTAAATACCTGGTTCATAACGCTTGCATGTTTTTCCACCGATTGTTTAAAACAAGCCAAAAAATACGTAGGATAGTTGAGCTGGCAATGACATGGTTCTGGGACGAGAACCACGTGACCTTGTTTGCACAATTTGTGCCCAGAAATCCCAGCCGCGACAGTGGACAACGGTGCTGCTTCATGCCACGAAGGCATCACACACAAAGTTGCTAATCTCATCCAAGCTCCTTGATTCCGAATTGGAGGATCGAATTTGCCCTCTACTAAGACTCGGGGCGTGTGAGAGTGGACATGTCCAGTGTAACAGGGCCACATGATGCAAATGTGTCCCTGAACCTTCACGCCGAGCTTTTGCCGAACATCCGCCAAATCACACTTTACATCTCCTGCCCGGAAAGCCGAACGTTTGATGGAATCCAGCCCCTAATCCAGCTCTCAGAATCTCGGAGTGCAGTTACAGTCTCTTTGCCTGATCCGTTTCAGCATGTGACTGAAACTATCAAGCTGCCAGCACGCGTCAGCGATGCAACTCGGCGGACGCTGAATCTAAACACAGCCCCCACAGCAAAACCACCTGGCCCTGGGTTCAATCATGAATACTCTTTCAGGATGCAGATTGAACCAAACGATCAGGCATTGAAGCCTCGGGATGAACTAATAGATTATTATGTCCCATGGACTGCTGCAGATATGTCGTCCTCGACGCGAATTCGATGCCGAGTATGTGGTACTGGGTTCTTGAATACAGCAAAGACCGATCCAAGTCAGCATAATCAGACCCAAAGTGGCCCGCTGGAGTGGCTTTGGAAAGACCTCCCCAGTGGAAACTGGGCTGAGATGATGGACTTTTGGCATTGCCACAAGCCTGATCCCCACGAAGACGACATCGAGGCCCAAGCCACTGCGGCTCTCAGGATCGAGGAGCAAAATGCCCAGATCAAGGGATATGGAGCTGCGAGTCGTGTAGAGGCCATCTCGGGAACAGTTCTGATCGACGTGGCTACCTTTCTTCTTGCCGAAACCAACTGTATGAACTTGAAAAAGGTATACTTTCTACCCGCCCCCTCCCTTTCATTGTTTTTGATTGGATAAAACAACCCTTTTATTTGTGACATCCCCACGCTCCCCTTTGCTGTTCTACCGGGCAACTCAGAAGGAGGCCACTTCGTGTCCATGGGGTGGCCACCGATACTATTGCCCTAAATCAATACACTGTGCCACGTCGCACTTCGATTCGGACGCTAACCGGGTCGGCTTTTTGGTAAAACGGCTTTGTGTGTAGTTATTCTCTCTCGCTAGATGAATTTCACTCTCACTGCTCACTGCCTTCAAGTGTACTGGCTCTCGTCCTCATTGAATTGCTACTTCTGGCACCCTTTTTATTTCAATGACAGTTGGGCTCTGGGTTCCCATCCCTTTCCCAGAGTAGTGGAACTGTTGTGATCTCGAAGAGGTACATCTCACACTTGTGTGCCTATTTTCTGATTCTGTGGAAGATTTTCTTGTAAACACCAAACCCTGAAGTCAAATACATCGATTGCCCGGAATTCATAAGTTCCCATTGTCAGAAAAATAGGTCACTAACAGTACGTGTATCTCAGGGAGATCAAGAAGACAGTACCGGTTCAAATCAAAATGCCTGGGCAAAGAGGACGCTCAATTGTGAGAAGTGCAACGCCATTGTGGGAATGGACGATCCATCTGCCCATGGCTGGCGGTTGCTCAAAGCAAATGTGTCGTTAAATACCCGCGCATGGGGCGATGTCACAAACAGCGAAGAATGGCAAAGCCATCCAACAGAAATGATCATCGCCGCCCAGTTGTTGGAATTAGTTGAAAGGGAGAGCGCACGACGATTTGTAGTTCACCGAGGACAGAAATGTGGTTTACTGGTACGTATAGAAATCGCAGACTTTTGATTCACAGGTGCTAACCCAATAATCAGCTCTGGGTATTCAATCCAGACTTGATATATTCCAACTCTGGGTCCAGCCATAGTTTCAATGCCCAGCAGGCGATGAAGGTCTTATTTCAAGAAGTGGGCGACGTTGATAAGTTGCTTGCACCTGATCTTGGTGTACCGTCGCCTTTGTCTGTGGAAGAATTAGAGCTGCCGTCGATGATCTACGATGCTTTGAATGGTGCTTTGCGTGGAAGCAATCAAATGCTACCTTCGACAGCCAGACGGTTCAACGAATGGCAGGTTGGACTGCTGAATCGTTTTAATCGTGATCGACTTCCTTAAAAATCACCAGGCGCTCAATCTTGTACATAACTAGTGGAACTGGTCAGCGAATTACAAATAGTTGCATAACTACAGTGCTGGCAGATGTACATGGCTACGCTTAAGTAGAGGATCGCACTCAAGGACATCTGATCTCCTAGTGACGCGCCGCTGTCTAGCATTCAACGGTTCATTTTGTCGATCTGGTATCATCATAATTTAAAGCCGTTCAGGAATTCTCCATCAATCACACAGAACGGTCTCCAACCCTTCCTTTATCCCTCGAACGGGGTCTCATAAGGCGCCTCGGCTTGTGGTGTGAGACGGGCGATATGCCGTCTCTGACCATCTTCCCAATCAAAGACGGCGGAGTGGCAAGCGAGGCGGTTCTAGCACCCATTAGTATCTGCTGGAATGGCCAATTGCTGGCATCATCATTTCACTTACATCCCACACAACAACGGTCCCGGCCTTCCAGCGGATACGGGCCTGCAGGTCCTGCGACAGAGCAATGTGGTCGTACAAGAACTTCAGTAGAAAGTCGGATTCTTCTTTCTTATATCCAACAATGTACCGAGTAACTGCATTCCCCATCCACACACAGTCAGCATATCGCTTCCTTCGCACCTACATTCTCTTTCTACCTCTCTCTCTTTTTCTGGGGGATCCACTCACACTGCGGGTTGACGTAGAGCGCCTTCTCCCCCGTCACCGGGTGCGTGCGGACAATCGGATGCTCCGAGGTAATCGGCTCGCGACGCGCAATGCCTCCCCCGTTCAGACTGGCGTTGACCTGCTCCACGCCCGAGTGCACCGCACGCAGGCCGTGCAGTCGCTTGCGGAACTCGGGTGATAGGCGCTTGTAGGCCTGGACCATGTCGCCGAAGAGCGTATCGCCGCCAGTCGAAGGACCGTCGAGAACATACAAGAAGGTCGTTCCGGGCGGTTGCCTCTCGAAGGTGACATCCGAATGCCAGGTAATGGTGTTGGTGCGCTGCTCAAGGAAAGTGGCGCCGGTGCGGTCGTCTGCGCCGCGGAAGACGAGATGGATTTCAGGGAAGCCCTTGGGGGCTCCGGAGGTCTGGTGAATGTGGTGGCGGCCGAAGTAGCCAGCGTAATCGACGGCTTCCTGGATCGGCAACGAGGCGAAGTCTTGGTCTCGGAAGGCTGGAGATTCATCGCATTGTGTGATTAGTCTACCAAGATTTATAGATGGTGATATCTTAAGATATCTACCTGGTGCCGCGGTGGAGGATGGGGAGGGGGAAGTGCGTGATGGGTGCCATACCGACGACTCGTCGCTGGGCCACATAGAGAGCCAATTGATCCTTGCCGGCCTTGGATAGCTGGCTTAATTGCACACCGTGGATCTCGGAGCCGATGAAGGGTGTAATCTCGTCCACTTCCGCCTGGCCCTTGGGAAACAGGTCAGGGAAGGCTGGGTCGGCATCCTTGCCATGGTCATAATGCTCAAAGGGTTCCAGAGGAGGGTATCTATTGATCCAGATATCCATACATGAGTGTGGTTCTTGTTTTTCAATTTTCTATTTTTCATATTTAGTTTTTGATGGCTGGACTATACCTTTCGGTCTCGTTATCCCACACGGGCAAATAGTTCGGGAAGGAAGCTGGGGGCAGCTTATCCGTTCCCTTCAGCTCGGCTTCTTTTTCATACTTGTATCCGATCAAATTCTCCTTGTTGTGGCCCGTGCCGGTCTTAAAGGGCACTGAAACAGTCGGGGCGCGAAGCGAGATGGTCTCGGTGATGGAAGGCGCCATGGTATACGTGTGTATGGAGGAGAGGGGGGGGGAGTCGTGGGATTTTTTGGGATCGTCCAGGTGCCTCGGCAGTCGAAAAGACTAGAATATATTATGACTGAAATTAAGATCTGATACGGCTTGTATGCTGGCCGCTGAGGTAATGACTATGCATTTGGTGAAAAGCCACCAACTCCGCCTTTATATACATTGTTCGGCATCTTGAATCCGAGAATGGCGGATGATGCCATGTCTGCGGGGGTGAGACGTCGGCCTATCGGGCGAGAGATGAAGGTTCAAGGTTCTAGAAGGTTGCGATCAGCACGAAATGTCCCAACTGCGGTGCTACGATTCTCGCGCCTCGTATAGGGTTGCCGGAATGGACGCGGACGTGGAAGGAGTCTAATAAATGGTATACGTAGGGGATTACGGAGCATTTGTCTATGAAAATATGGTACAGGGCACGGAGTATAGAGCATAAAGCATTGCGTGCACATAGAGCGGACGGGTCGGGTGTGCTAGTCGTGCGGCCGTGCGGGTGAGTTGGCGAGGGTTTATGTTATGCTGGTGGACTATGGCGTGCTGGCATGGCGAATCCCGAAATACGCCTTCAGCTTGCGTGCGACATCTCGACAACAGGAGCGTTGTCGATCGGGTCATTTTACGCGCCCCCCCACCTCCCCTCGAGTTCCTTGGGAGTACTTGTCGTCTTTCAAGTGTCTTTTAACCCTAGACGCCAGGATGAGAAGGTGATCCTGGCCCTCCATTGGGTCGGAATGGCGTCACAGACAACTCTTGTCGCAACGCCTCCCCACGGTCCGTCTATGGCCTGGGATCTTGCGCTAACATGACTCTGCATCGTCCAAACTTAATCTGTTATCTTGCCTGATACTGACCGTCGACTGACTGGCATATCGTGTGGGCAGATGGAGTCAAGTATGGAGTAGGTAGAGGCAAGACTGCAGGCTTTTGGCGCTCGAATGGATTGGCAAGAGAAAGCCATAGGAGCAAGTTCTTTTTTTTCACATCAGGGAAAAGGATCGATATCATTGGTGTCAATTGATTCAGTCAATCTCGGTTAAGGTGGTGTTTGGAAGATTTGAAGGCAGTGGCCCAATTTGAACCTTGAGTGCGTGTATTGGAGCCAACCAGGATGAGCTCAATAGACCCTGGGCACGACCCCTACAAGGAGCCCCTGGTCATGATTCTGGAAATAGATGCACGCCCAGAACCCAGATCATAGCTTCCAATGGTACCGATACAGCTCAGTATATCCGTGCTCTCAACACACCAGGCCGATCGCAGCAGGTTGTGCCACCACTTGGAGGATATAGAAGCATGGCAAGCCAAGCCCACCGGAGAAGAAAAGGGTGGATTGAATCTCACCCACACCTTCATAAAACATACATTGGGACGATATACCAGCTTCATCAAAAGCACTAGGTCCCACGAAAAAGAGTCGAGAGAGATGAAACAGAGAGAGGTGAGATCACAGCAGTAGCCGGCAGGTCATAGATCCCCAATAGAGGGTCTAGATCTGTGTCCATATCTATTCTCCATTTCCACGCGTCTTCTTTACCTGTACTGGATCTTTGTTGCTCGTGCAAGGTTCAATCCAGCCCCGATCGTGAGCACGGTCGTGCCAAGCAGTATGCGATACGCAGTCCTTCCTTTTCTATCTCTGGGCGTGTTCCGTGTTCTGGATTCTGGGTTGACCACAACTCCACTGTATCGATTCTCTCAAGGAAATCCACCCTACCTTGCTCCATTCAGCGATTGATAATGCCTGGGTCAGGAGTCGTAGCAGTGGAGCCCCGCTTGAGCCAGTGGAGTCGGAGTTCAACCCGACGGGCCGCCCGCGACTCGTCCAACCTCGCGTCACTTTATCTCCACTTGCGTGATCTGGCCAAAAGTTCAATCCAGCGGGCATGAGAAGCCGGCTGTTTCGACTGTAGACGTACAGAACAATGCAACGTGCTATCTCGCCAAGCGATCTGATCATGCCTAGAATTGGCGTTGGCGGATTCGTCCCCGTCCGTCACCAGCGCGGCATCGATCCGCGCCGGGTCCGACAACAGGGAATTCATCCTCGATTCCAACTCCGCTGCCATGTGGAGTGGGAAGAAAGACGCCATTGGGACTCAAAATGACATTTGTCTCTTCCCCTCATTCCAAGACAGCCATTTCCGACACCTTCCGGGTTCTACCATGAACGACTGGCCGAGCAGATCGACCTTGTTCGCGTTATCTCCACCTAACGAGGGGCAACCGCGCAGGTGAAGGCGTACGCGCTGAATCAACTACACGATGGCGTGCTCGAGGGTCGTGAGCTTGAAGCTTTCTTGATCGCCGTTTTTGGAGCTTTATAGCTGGCCCATCCGCGGCACGGGAAAGCCCATCCATAGTTCCAGGTCCCAACTCCTATTCAAATTCCCGTCAAGATGACGATTGAGGAGACCAAGTTTGATGCGGGTGCCAAAGACTATGGCTCAAAGGATGCTTCTCAGGTCTCTGCAACAAGCGATTCGGCCTCAGTGTCGTCGCTGGAGAGCCGAAGGGGACGGATCAAGCCGTCCGACTGTGCATTTGACACCACCGAAGACCCTCGATACTATAAACCCATTCCCGAATATGAGGGCATCCATCGCTGGGACCCGGAATTTGAATGGACAGAGGATGAAGAGAAGGCAGTCGTAAAAAAGGTATGGTAGCAGCAGGCACCTCGTGTCCATGATTCAATCTCAGCACTTAAAAGGGTGACTGACGCTCTTCCATAGATTGATTGGAGAGTCTGCACATTTGCATGTGTCACCTTCTTCGCTCTCCAGCTAGATCGAGGAAATGTGGTTCAGGCCACATCTGACAACATGCTGGCCGATCTGGGCATGAACACCAATGACTATAATACGGGACAGACGATTTTCTTCCTGACTTTCCTATTTGCGGAACTTCCGTCGCAATTACTGTCCAAATGGCTTGGACCTGACCGCTGGATTCCCATCCAGATGGTATCCTGGAGCTTGGTCGCAGCCTGTCAAGCATTCGTGCGGAATCGTAGTGCTTACTTCGGCCTGCGAGCGCTGCTGGGTCTGCTGGAGGGTGGCTTGTAGGTTGTCCCCGAAAAAAAGGTCGAGGGAGAAAAGGCCGCATACGGAAGGTTAACTTATCACAGCATCCCCGACACCATTCTCTTCTTGTCATTCTGGTATAAATCGAAGGAGCTCCCAATCCGGCTCAGCTATTTCTGGGTCGCGTACCAGGCCACTTCGATTGTGAGTGCCTTTTTAGCGTTTGGCTTCCTCCATATCCGGAATTCCGATGGAACAGGAGGTTGGCGGTACTTGTTCGCCTTTGAAGGCCTGATAACCGGCGTGATTGGTGTGATCGCCGCTTTTTGGATGCCACCATCCCCGACACAAACAGCTGGCCTGTTCCGAGGAAAGGACGGTTGGTTCAATGAACGCGAGGAAAAGATCATGGTGAACCGCGTGCTTCGGGACGACCCCAGTAAGGGGGGCATGCACAACCGTCAACCAGTTACGCCCCGCATGCTCTGGCATGCCCTGAAGGATTATGACATGTGGGTCATTTATCTGCTTGGTCTGTCGTGGTTGATTCCGAACACACCCGCCACGAGCTACATCAGTCTCGAGTTGAAGTCCCTCGGCTTCAGCACTTTCCACACCAACCTGCTGAGTATCCCCGCCTACGTTATCTTCATCGCCAACTTGCTGTTCTGGACGTGGGTCTCAGAGCGCTTTAATCAGCGACTCCTTCTGGGCGTCGTTAGCGAGGCCTGGGCTTTGATTCTTCTGATTGCGCTTGAGGTGCTGCCTGATGGAGCCAGTACCTGGACTCGCTGGTCACTGCTGACATTGCTGATTGGAATGCCATATGTGCATGCAATCATTGTCGCCATCACCTCTCGCAACGCAGGTACAGTACGTACAAGAACTGTCGCCACCGCTCTATACAACATGATGGTCCAAGTGAGCAATATCATCGGTAACAATGTACGTACAGTCTGGTGTCATAACAAGTGAGAAATCACAGTGGATGTCGCTGACTTGAGTTGTAGATCTACCGTGAAAACGACAAGCCCTATTATCGCACCGGCAATAAGGTGCTGATTGCCATTGCAGCATACAGCTTGGTGATGTTCATTGTAGCCAAGTTTTACTACGTGTGGCGAAACAAGTATGTTGATGGATTATGCTTAGTGAAGTTGATTGTTGCTAATATTGCATCCAAATAGGCAAAATGCTGCAGTCTGGGATAATATGTCGAGTGAAGAAAGAGAGCGATATGTTGCTGAAAATCAACATCTTGGCAATAAGAGGTGCGTATCAGTCCCATCCAAGGCTCTCGAAGACAAAGTACTCACATTTTCATAACAGAGTTGACTTCCGCTTCTTGCATTAGAAAATTGCTAAGACCTTTCTGGCGTATTTGGCTCAAAATTTTCAATATTCGACCATTTTGTCAATCGTTCGCAATTCATGAGATAAAAGAATAAATAAACTATACACTTCTATATCACTGAAGGATGTTGAAACATCCATGACATTATTTTCTTCGCATATTATATCAGAAAATCCGCCATGACATTCAGAGATATATCATTAATGCAAGTGTCGTTGAGTAGATAGAGGGCACCGACCACGCTTAGCTCCTACTCTCCAATGACATATTCACATCCATCCTCCCCAATCCAAACTTCATGAACTTTCCCAGCCGGTACATCGATTCGTGCTCCGACACCAAAAGTCTCCTTCTTGACTTCTCCGTTATGCAGCTTGGCATTGTCTTCTGGATAGGTGATCGTCAGAGAGCCCCGGCGGATTAAATGAGTTGTAAGACCTCCGTGGGTATGAGGAGAGTAGTAAGCATTGCTAATAACCCTCTCTCTATATCAGCACACAAACCCTTCCTGCTCATTACTCGTAGACGAGACCATACCTCCCATCTGACCAAGTAAAGACGTGGCGAAATCCCCACTCCTTCACCAGACGCTCGCTCTCAGAGCGAGTGCCGATGGGGTAAGTTTGTGACATTGTGCAGTCCAAATTTCTGGTTTTTTTAACGGGCTGAAGTTTCTGCCCACTAAGTTTAAGTAAAACTGAATCACAGGCGTGAATGGAAGACGCTGTTTACTAATGAAGACGCTGAGAAGAAAGGGATGATGTCAGCTCCACACGTCACGTGGCACTAGATCTATGTATTTGATCAAAGGTAGTGACTGTCAACGTGGTTGCTGAAGGGAACAGTGCAAAAGTTTTAGTTTTGTTAATCACAAAAAGACTTATTTCAATATCGAATTAATATAATCATAAAATCATCGCAGAACATAACCCAGGAAATTCATCATGAGGGCGGAGTCGCAGATGGTTGACATGACAAAACCGAAAGTGAAATCAGAAAAAAAAGACGCAAGCAGCAAATCAACAGAAAGCAGCAAAGCGGACAAAAAGCGGACAAAAAGCAGGCAAGAAGCAGGCAACAAGAAATAGAAAATCCAAGTGATCGACTTAGCAACCAAAGCAAAGTGAGAATTGTATGGGAACTGCGGCCTGAGTCTCATTCCCCTTCTGGGTCACTACAGAACGCAGGGCTTTTCCGTATACAATTCAAAACTCCGGTATAGGAATTATAAGTCAAACGTGAATACCCCTTCCAAGTCCACAACATTCCTCACAGGGCAGTTGAATGTCCTGATCTCTTTGGTTCTATTGTTGTAATCATTTTCTTATCCCCTCTCCCCGTGTTTAGAGCAAGATGCATGAGAAATCATGCACATGGTGTGTGACAGATATGGCAGCTCTTTCCAGGAATCACCCAGACTTCCTGGCCTTGGGCCATACAGTTTGGGCATCGAACACCCGGCATCTATGGAACATGTCAGAGAAAAAGCCCCAACTGCGACACTTAAAGTGCAAAGATCCGGTGTTTTTTTTTTCTTTGAACAAACCTTGCTATCAGCCGGGGAGCTCAAGCACCCAGAAGCGGTACACTCAGTAGACTGAGTCATGATTTTGGTGCAGGACGACGTGATGGAGAGCAGCGAGTAATAGAGTCTATGATGAACCGAAGATGGACGGTCAAGGCCGCGGGGTGTCTCAAATAGTTTAATGATGGATAAATGCCGTTGTACTGAATCCCAATAATGGGCTGAGATAGTTTGGATTCTTAGTTCAAGATGATCGAGTCCGTCGAGTCGGATATGGACTTTTATAAGGCACACGGGCAAGGAAACCAGAGGGCAATCGGGGGCGTCTCAGCGCCTTAGCCCCCCACGATCGCGAACCAGAAAAATCTTATCGAACTAATCTTTTTGGGCCAGAGAAACCAGATCAAAGCGACCCCAAAAGAAAACAAAAAGTCAAACTCTCAGCTTGGTTCCACTTTTGCACGGAGTGGATTCGGAAGTTCCCGTTGGGGAAGAACTGCGAAGGCAAAGCTTCGCTCCAGCATCGACTCGTCCAGCAAACCTGCCGATATACGACCCTGGCGACTGACGGTTCGGCTGGCGAAGGGTTAGGAGCTGATGATCCCAGCACGCCGGGTTGCGCGTCACTGCATCGTACCAATCATCGATGCCTCTTCTGCCTCTCCCGAATAGCCCGGATTTAGGGTGTTTGCGACGAGCTTGTTTGTCCTGCTCAGCGCGGATAGGCACATCTCAAGGCACCGAGTCATTTCGCTCGTCTGTTTGCGACAGTTTGCGAAATGGGCCGGGATGGCTTTGCTCCACCAATCGCGATACCCTGGCACGGTCGCAAACAAGCGACTCAAGGACAAGCTGCAGAGGCCGAGAAGTTGACCTGTCCTTCAACCCATCCCCGGACAGATCGTCATGAATCTCGCTCGGTCGATTTCGGTGCCACCAGTCTGTAGTGGCGCCGCCGGTGATTTGCTAGTGGAGTCCGACAGAGAAGCCCAATCACTCCTGAAGAGTCACGGGCATTAGATGGTGCCCGATCATTGGCCTATCGACAGGGAGCAGGCTTCCTGGTTCGTTTGTCCCTTCTTAACTTCCCCACCATAATCCAATTACGGCCGGTTATGCATACCTGTTTAGCTGCCACTACTCGAAAGCGGTTCTTGCGCAAACTCCCCCTCCAAGGAGGGGGCATGAAGGCATGAAAGTCGAACTGTGATTCCAAAAAATCGAGTTCACTCCTCGGATTGCGGCTTCTTCAAGCTCCGGGCGCTTGCCTGCAGTGTCAAACATTAGGGCGACACGTCGACGACGCCGACACTTTCTCGAGCGTGGCCGGATGTTTCCCCGGACCTCTGGTGTTGTATTCGTGCTCGCCCCAACCTTATCATCACTATCGGAAGATTTACCGATCACCTCTGCTTGTCGGTCTTGCTCCACTGCCGATGTTGATCAATCTGATGCATGCCGCTTGGCACGTTGATCCGCAACTCTGACTGGCTCAACCAGACCCCGGAAGGGCCCTCTGTAGGTGCGTACCCGTCACAAATGGCACACGCTTGATTCTCCCACGTCTCCAGGAAGAATTGGTCTGGGGGCTCCTCACCGATGTTCCTGGTCTGAGCCCTCGAGACCCCTCACTAGTCACCCACGGCCAGGGGATTGGGGCAAGTTGACTCTGGGAGCTGCTACAAGATCTCGCTTCGCAGCAGATATGTGGAGGCTCGATGGCGCGCATCATGCAGGAAAACTTTCTTGTTTGCTTACAGCTGTATGCAACAGGGGGTAGACCGTGCTTTGTGGCTGCAGTTGCTCATTTGATGTCGCACTAAACACTTGGCTTTCCACCATTCCAAGAACTCTAGCTCAGCTGTTGAGCGCTTCCCGAGCGACGGGGGCTATACTGAGCAGGTGGCTCTTTAAAATGCCATGAATTTTCTCTTTGAGTTACTCCGATCTATAGTATGTCAAAATCCATGGCTCCATTGAAAAAAAGCTGTTATGGCACTTCTTTCCCCCACAGGGCACGCAGCACGTAAGAGCCGTGGATGCCGCAACAGAATCTCGGACCCTTGCGTGCAGTCTACGAAGAATGCATACGCTGATGGCTGCCTCTTTAACCATGCCCAACAAATACCCTGTTCGACTTTGCTTTGCGTCACTGTATGGCAATCAAGCCACGCATCGGATCATACAGAAACCATGCAGCCAGCGATTGATCTCCACAGGGGACCGTGGCACAACATTCCTCCTTCTTTGGACAGGTGCCTCCTTACTTCAATAGGTGTGGTGCCGATGCGATGCGGACGGAACATTTGCTAATCTGATTTCAAAAATGAGTCAAATATACGATCGGCGAAGCCCGATCCCTGCCCTCAAGCAGCTTCAAATCGGGCCCTACATTTCTGCAAGACCGCCTCACATATCCAGCCAACAGAATCGAGTTTGGACCGCTGAACGCTCGATGACATGTACTGTGTCATTTGTTTGTCGCCGCATGGCCCCTGTACTTGCACGATCTGGCTTAATGTGTGGTCATGCAAGTCGGCACGTCTTGCCTCTCCTTGCGTCTGGAGAATCTATACCCGGTGACCCGCCAGAGCGGTTTTCAAGAGTACGCTGTACGACAAGAAGTATGGATGCCTGAAACCTTGAGACTCAGGCTGGTGAAATGACTAGAATCGCGAACTCTGCTACCTGGTGCACTCTTTCGAAAATTCCAGAAAAGTGATCTATCAACTTATTACGCTGATTACTCGGTTACCTGCTTCTTGATATGAACCAATAGAATACCCCCTGTCTTCTCTCCTGTGCGGTCATGAAGGTGGACGAGTCGAAACCCTTCGCGTAATCGGTCGAGTCGAATGCATGCCCAGGCAGCCAACGAGTCCCGGCCAATTTCGTCGTCCTTGATTTTGAATCTATATGCAAAGCGGGGTTAGCTGCATGGATCTGGAGATGGCATTTTGGAAGTTTCACAAGTGTGGGGGGGAGAGGGGGTGTTGAACGGTGCTGCACGTCTATCATCAATCACAACGCTGCACCAGGAACCCAAACAGGAAGCTGCGAGGGGTTTGGGCTGCATGTTGGAACTGTAGGGCTTGGAGATGCAGCTAGCCGACTGGGCCAGAGAAATGAAAAAGCAAATAACTCTCAGGAATGGCATTTTGGCCGCATGGCTGCATAGCCGCATAGCTTTGCCTTGCATCTCACCGAAGAAAGAGGGATACTGACCGGACAAAGCTCAAATCTTCAATAATTCCTTTTATGGTAGGGAAGGCCAGTGTTTGTCCCTCGAAATCCGGATTTCGACCACTTGAGCTCTTCGTGCAGCGCCGATAGCTGCTCTTCTCGGAGTCTGAGCTGGCATCCTCGCGACCAGTAACGACTGGGCCTTCGGGCTCTTCGACGTGCAGCTGGCAATTCACATAGGGGCGAAAATTCCTTTCCTTCCTATTACCTGGCGGCAAAGCCAAGTCCTGTGCTGCAAAAACTTCTACCTTCAAATCGAGTGTGCGCCGGCAGATGATGACCGGGGAGGGCTCCGAGCTTCGATACCCTGATGGCTTCATCTCCCAGCCCGGTGTGCCGAAGAACATTCCATGATTGAGCATCATTCCTTTGTCTACGTTTTGCCAGTTCAGCGCCACAAGCTGTGCGCCGCGGCGCCAGCAGAAAGATGGGTCAAGGTTAGACGAGTTGACTCGGAACGCGTATGGGTAGATACGCATCAGGGACGATCGATTATGTTCGAAAAGTGCTTCGCGATGGTTGTCGTGAGCCTCGCGACATGCCTTTTCGGACAAGGAGAAAATATGCACCGGAATTTTTGCCTCTGGTCGGGGTATTAGTATGAAGGGAGCATCGTTTGAAAACCACAGACTCGCACCTGGCTGCTCAAAGTGACTGAAGCGATACGCTTGCGTGTAAATAGCCATCTTGGCCAAGGCCTCGAGGACTTTGACTGGCTTGACGGGCGGCTGTACAACGCCAGACTGACCACTTAATTCCTCAGATTCCAAAGGTACTAGTGGTTCTTCCTTCTCTTCAGTCGGAGTCAAAGGAATAGATTTTGTTTTGATCAAGATCTTCCTTCTCAATTCTGCCAAAGATGGTAGTTTATCTGCTTCGACATTCGGTGAGAGCTCCACCAGAAGGCCTTTCCAGGCCTCTCTCATAATATCGACCATGATTTGTTGTTGCTCCAAGCATGCGTGGACTTCGAAGCTGATGATAACCGGTAGATTACTCGCCACAAAGGCACTATCTCGAATAGCATATGCGATTTCACGGAACGAAGTTCCTTTCGTCAAGGTGTGCCCGTGCAAGACCCTCGGTTCGCCTTTGATAGCCTTTTGGTTTGGGAATGCCTCTTCGCTGGGGGCCGTCACCGAAGCTGTGGCGGTTTTTCGGCGCAGGGCATCTCCCAACCTTGTCGAAACTGCTTGAGGGACTCGACTGGCAGACTTCTCTTGAGTTTCAATCTTTGACATGATTCGCTGCTTGATGCTGGGACTGGGCGTTTTCTCATTATCGTCACTGTCATCGCTGGTGTCACTGTCACTCGAGTCTGAGTCGTCAGACTCTCCATCCCATACATCAATTTCAACAGAGCGACAGCCACGCAGAAGAACCTGTGAGAACATCAGATGTTGTGCATTCACTAGTCATTTGACTGATATTCAAGGGTATTCATGGGACCGGCGCTGGGGGAGCAGGAGAGCGTGTACTTACCGATGTGTATGCACTTGCGGCTGCCTCGCTATACAACTGATTGCCGGTCAAATAGGTGTTATGGCTTGAGGACACAAAGTAATCCGAAATAGGAGCCGATAGATCTAGATCCTTCACAGCTGCTTGAGCGCAAGAAGTTGAATTCTTCATGTACGCGCGGAAATCATCCACCGTGACCAGAGGGTCCGCAGTTGGCTGAGCAGCAGGGCCAGGTTCCTTTTCAACCGTTCTGAGGAACTCACTTCTTGATTGATCGGAGATGCATATCGAATCATAAATTTTCTGCAAGTGACCGTCGAGAGTTTCATGGAATTTGTCCACGGGCTGTATCTGGTGCAAAGCCAGGCAACGTGCCCGCTCCACGAGGCTATCGACCTTGTCCATTTTGTCGCGTTGGGAAATATTCCGAAGACTCGTAAACCTCGTACTGGCCACCTATCAGGCTGCTCGACTGGAGATTAGAGCAAGGCCGTTCTAGCACACCGCTAGTTGCAGTACTTAGCAGGGATGTGTGCCTTAGGCTATACCGATTGGATCAAGGATGCCCCGCTTTGATGGACTCAGGAAAACGCAACCTCGGGATCCCACGATAGAGGAATCTGAAAATCGCGATAGTCCAGAGGTGTAGTATGAGAAGACAGTCTGTTCAGTTTCAACAACGAAGAAGGCCCTGGGGGTTGGACACGTGCGGTGTCCCCCATGATCGACTCTCCACTCAGCCGCAGACGTGGCTCTATCGCTAAGCTCTTGGCCGGACCCCCCACCCTGCTCACTTGTACAGGGTACACCTTCGAGATATCAGGACCAGTACACAGATCTGTGGCCCGCAGGAGGGCTGGTCTCTGATTACTTGGATTATATTTGCGGGATTACGCGTCGCAGGCTCAATATACCCGTTTATACTGGTCGCGTAGGCCGTCCTGGCACAGCCCCAATCCCTGGTCACGGAAGTTATTTGCTGATCTGGAATAGTAGATACCTAGTAGTAAATCACGGTGTTTTCCATGAATAGCGTGGATTCCAGGATCATCTCTTATCTCGGAGCCCAGTCCTCGAACGCTCTCGAGGCCAAATAAACCAAGCCAAATCCGGCCATGGCTGCAGCTTGAATGATGCTTGGCTGAGACGCCATTGAAGGAGAAGTGCATGCTTTGATATAAGATCTCCGCGAAAGCTACCGTCGCAATTCAGGTGATATTCGGTGGGATTCTTGCTGAGAAATCCAAGCGGGCCGATCGACCCCACTTCTCAGTCGTATATGAACCCCCTCAGGTGGTCGAAACAAGCATGAGAATATCTTGATTTTCTCATAGAGCCTGACAAGTCAACCTAAGAAATAATTGAAACACCAGACCAAGATGGCGGATTCAGAGCCTGTTCAATTTTTCGACATCATCTCCACTCTACCTGGTACGTCAACTTGATACCGCGTGGACTTGAATATATTAAATAAGAGACTATTTTAGGTACATCCAAGTCATGGTCTCCCAACACCCTCAAAGTCCGCACCGTCTTGAATTTCAAGGGCATTCCATATACTCAAAGCTGGATCTCATACCCTGACATTGCTCCGCTTATTAAGAGCCTTGATCTCAAGCCTAATGAGACGGGCACTCCCTACACGCTACCAGCTATCATTCACAAATCCTCGGTGACATCAAACTCCTATGGAGCAATGATGGATTCGCTCCCAATTGTCATGCACCTGGACAAAGCATTCCCGTCACCACCACTCTTCCCTTCCGGAGACGCTAGCTACGCGCTGCTGGTGGCCGTGGGCAAGATCGCAACTGGCATGGGCCCCGCAATCCGATCCCTTATCATTCCCAATGTCCCGCAACACTTGGATTCGCGTGGTCAAGAATATTTCATTCGCACACGAACGGAGGCTTACGGTAAGCCCCTCTCTGAGATTCGACCTACGGACCAAGAGACCCTCGATTCCATGTGGAAGCAAGTGGAAACGGAGGCTGCGGCACTACTGAAGATGCTGAAGGGTCGGGAGGGTAAGAAAGGTCCATTCTTCGAGGGAGAAAAGGCGGGCTATGCAGATTTGTTCCTGGTGTGCCATTTTGCTTTCTTCCATCGTATGGTCCCAGAATACTTTGACAAGCTGATGGCGTTGGGCGAAGGCGAATTCAAGGCCCTCTGGGATGCTTGCTTGCCTTGGATAAATGGCCAGGGAGAGGAGAAGGAGTGGCCGGTTCCGTCCATCGCTTAAACTATTTGCGCCTTTTCTTGGGCCTAGCCAGCTCCTATGAGCGGCGATCTACGATCGAAGGCATGGTGCGTTATGTAGGTCGATATCATTTGTATTTGAATATATAGCACAGTTGTGAAAGGAAAAAAAGAATCAAGATAAAAATACATCTTGGATCCCGGTAGGGCTGTCTTATCCGGTGTCCATATCAGCGGTATGTTGTACAAGACCTGGTCACTAGCGGAGAAGCACATGGTTGTCATTCCAGTGGCTCTGACAAAAACCCAGTGGTACATAAAAATAGAGCCTACAGGCCACGGAGGAAGTTGGATTCCTTGATAGCCTTTCGCCGAGCTTCTCTAGCACTCTTAATGACCTCTTGGCGCTTTCCGAGACCCTCGGTAGCTTCAGCCAAGTTATCCTCTGCTGGCGCGGTACGGTTATAGGATGCGGGAGTGATGTCGTCAGCGTGGTGATGAGCGGGAATTTTGGGGGCAATAGGGCCGGTGCGGGCAGCGAGTTTCTTCTCGTAGCGCTTCCGTTGCTTCTTGTTGAGAGCTGCAATATGTTAGATCCTTGATGCGATTGCATTATGCCATACAAGATGCACTTACTGCTCACATCGACACCACCCTTATCAGTCTTCGACTGCTTGCTTGCATCACCTAGCAGATCCCAGAGCCAGTCTGGATATTCCGAGTCCTCCATGGCGATGACATCTGGTTTGTTCTTGAAATAATTCAGGCCGCTCATCTTAGTCCCCGCGGGACAGCTGCTGGGTGGGCGCTGGATGATGGGCTTTGTGGGAGCGCTGGGCTGCGCATCAGTATGAACACCCTCTGGGGTGCTCAAGGGCTGGGAAACACCGGGGGTGGCCGACGAGATGGAGGAGGGAGTCGTCTTGTCACCGCCGATTGTCTGGCGAGGAGCCGGGGGAGGAGAAGGTGCAGCGGCGGAAGGATTGGTGCCTTTGTCGCTGTAGAATCGGGATTGGTTGCGAAAAATTGGCAGCTGACGCGCCACAGATGATGCGGTCCGGATCACAGCTTGCGGCTGCTGCAGCCGGGACAGCATTGTCGTCCGGCAGCTTCTGCAGATCATGGTGATATGTGGCGGCAATTTATATGGAAATTTGACTTAAACCCCAAATATTATGGTTGGGACAAGCTAAAAAAAGTCCACAATGGGCCTGTTGTGTTGAAATTGACGAGAAACAGGAAGGAACAGCAACAAGACACGATGAGGCAGAAAACTGCGGCGCGGATTTGATGCCAAGCCGGAGATCGATCACGTGACGTGAATGTAGTCAAGATATACTTGATGCCAAATGAAGTGAAGTTATGCTTCTCGGTCGCCACGTTTTTGTCACGAGGCATTTTAATTTTATTTCAACGCCTTTAACCTCTTATTTTCGGTGTAAGAATATACAGATTTATGCGATCATTGCTTCAGGTGAGGAAAAAACTGTTAATCTTCCAGTTGATTATTGATCACGTGGGTGTATTCTCATTTGGCCTTAAGGCCTTGAACTGATGGAGCTGAACTTTCTTCATTATCATTATTAATAAAATTAATAGTTTGCTACAGCTTATTGAGCTCAATTGAGATGCAGGACAAGGATCCTAATGCAATTGGTTCCTGTGGTCTAGAGCTCAATATATTGATGTGAACATATTAGCTTGACGAACCAAAGGATCTAATATATAATGGAGAATGAAGGAGGAAGATTGTTGGCTAGAGTGCGATAAAATGACAACTGGAACCTAAAGCCCACACACTACATACATTTTCTCTTCGGAGAACTCTAACACCAGACCGTGAACAAACAAATACGAAAGATGATAACGAAGTCACTGCAGAGCCCACGAAGGGATATTAAGAACAAGGGAAAAATCACATCGAACAACGTAACAAGGCACACTGATTAATTTATGAAGACAGACCACTGACATCCAGAAAATTACAGATGTCTTTGCACGCATCCTTGAGAGATTTCTCTGTTTTCCACTGCAGCTCTTCTTGGGACCTGCTGACAACTGCGACACAGGAACCAACATCGCCAGCACGGCGATCAGCAGCCTTCCTGGGAATCGGCCTTGAAATGACATCCTCCATGGCATTGACTACTTCCAGGACAGAATGACCGGAGCCAGTACCCAAATTGAAGGTTCGGAAGTTCTCGCTGAGTTTGCCTTCGCTCGCAGTGCTGAGAGCGGCGATGTGCCCACGAGCGAGGTCAGTAACATGGATGAAGTCACGGATTGCAGTACCATCAACAGTGTCCCAGTCTGTTCCAAACATCTGGAGCTCTGCAAACTGGCCTGTCATAACCTTGACAACCACTGGAAGGAGATTTGTTGGCACTTGTCTTGGATCCTCACCGAGGAGACCAGATGAATCACAACCAACAGGATTGAAATATCGCAGGGCAACAATGGTCCACTCTGGATCTGAGGCAGCAAGATCTGCCAAAATTGTCTCACAAATCCATTTGGTTCGCCCATATGGATTGGTGATACCTGTACAGCCAGGCTGCACAGTCTGCGTGTCTCCTGAGTGATCGGTGTATACTTCCTCTTTGTGAACACACAGCTCCTCTTTCAATGGCAAACCCGATGTTGCTAGGGTACCATACACGGTGGCAGAGGAGGAAAAGATGAAATTTTTGATGCCAAACTCTCCCAAGGTTGTGGCAAAGTCGACTAGGCCACTTACATTGTTTGAATAGTATTTCAGTGGCTCCCTGATGCTCTCTTCCACAGCTTTGTAAGCCGCAAAGTGGATGACACCTGCGATTTTGGATTTTGTGGATCCCCATCTTGAATGAAGGCGATAGTTTTCCAAAAGCCCTTTAAGAGCAGAGGTGTCACGATAATCGTGAGCATGCAAACGCAAAGAGGGCATGGATGTTCCATTTTCTTTGTGGAACTTTTGAGCCAAAAGACTGATTCGTTCAAACACATTTTCAAAAGCATTGCTGAGGTTGTCGATCACAATCACGTTATAGTTTGCTTTGAGCAGCTCCAATGTGGTATGGCTGCCAATAAAACCCAAACCACCCGTGACAAGGATATATTGATTTTCAAGAGGAAGTCTCAGAAGCTCATCCAAATTGTCAAAAAGGACTGATGACTCTGTGGCAGGAGTGTCCACCGAGATTGGAGAATCACTCTCTATAGGAGTGCTAGCATCTGACTGTCGGCGACTATCCATTATGGATGCAAAGAGACCAAATATTTTTCAAAGAGGTTTAACAGGAACCCGAGAACAAATTTGAGCTTCCCAGTAGGTTGTATGAAGAAAGGAAAGAAAATAAGACAAGGTACTGGATGATATCTGAGACAATGATTGAGAATTGTTCGGACCTTCCAAGAGACGACAACGAGAGATTTATACACCGTGCGAGACAGAAAAAAAACCACCCCTGTGTTGCCTTGCTGCTTCAGGCTTCTCGTTTAGTTCTCTTTTGTCGAGCCCTGCTTAGTGAATGAGGAATCAGCGATGTCCTACTGCCGGCAAAAATGGAAAAGAGAAGCTGATGGAACTCGCATAAGCCCGGAACGAAGACAAGCACAGGGTCGAGAAGGGGGCGAATGAAAGAAAGCTGGAAACAGACCAAAGAACAACCAAGCAGAATCCCCGTGGATGGTGGGCCAGACATGCGGCTAGGCTTTGGGATGTTGTCGTCCATGGCCGGATGCCCTAAGCGCCTCCACCATAGACGGTACGTCAGGGCTCTCAGCTCGGGCTAATGCCCGGATCATACTACAAATGGGTTTCTCGCTACAGGTCTTTCAAGATGCTCCTGCATTTCATTTGGTCGAGACCCGCCTCGGCCTCTTTTGGTGGAAGGGCGCAAAGGGCTAGGCTTGAGCAGCCTTTTTTTCCTTTTCCTTGGGAGAAGGCCATTGGAAGGGATTATTTTTTAGTCCGAAGCATCCTGAGCAATATGGGTATAATTCAATCGCTATGGTCAAGTCCACTATCTGTTTTTTTCAAACCTTTCTTTCCGTTCCCACCAACTCTGTGGCCCCTTGTCCACTATGTTGACTATGGCCCCCAAGGAAGAACACGTGAGCAAGCGTGCTTGTCTAAAATCAAAACGGTCTCGATTACTTTTGATCGTGAGCATTTTCATTGTTCTTTGTGTTGCTATCATCCCGGCTGTCGTGGTTACCACTCTTCACAAGAAAAACAGCATGGGTCCGAAATCGAAGGTTTTCGTGCCTCTTTACGTCTACCCTTCTCCTGGAGCATGGACTCCACTGGAAAATGTGTATGTTTTCTGTTTCATTTCAGCCAGACGCCATCTCCGATCCCCTCCTCGATCCCCAAAACAGGATTCCATTCCAAGTGGCCGGTAGGCCGCCACATTCACGGTATGAGAAAAAACGTCATGCCGTGCTGGTGCTAGCACCCTATTTTGCATCTCCTTTTCGAAAAAAAAAGAAATCAAGTAAATTACTGCAGAAAGAAAAGAACGTTGCTAAAACGCCACCAGGATTTCCGATCATCCCGATGTCAATTTTACCGTCGTAATCAATCCAAACAGCGGACCAGGGTCAAGTGCATTGCCCGATGCCAATTATACCCGAGAAATTCCAAAGATTGCCTCGTACGCCAATGTACGCCTTCTGGGGTATGTCCACACTTCGTATGCGAAGCGCAACATATCCCTGGTTCGCAAGGATGTCGAAATGTACGCAGCCTGGCCCTCCATATCCTCCAACTCGAAGTTGGCCGTCCGGGGCATATTCTTCGATGAGACCCCTGAGGAATATGATGCCAGCGCCTTTAATTACTTGAAAAATCTGACTGGTCTTGTGAAAGACCTGGATGGGTTTGGCTCTGATCCGTTTGTAAGTTGCATTTGACTTTCTTATGCAGGGGGCTTTTTGATATCCTCCGTTTGATTTGTCTCACACCCATTCCCTTGTTCATTTCCGACCGATTTGGTTCACAAGCATTCTCTCCTCCGCAAGTAACTCTTGCTGCATTACTTGTTGGCTACTTTTAGCCTTCCCAATCAGCTAAAAGAGTTCTTTCGTTTCTCCTCTTACTTTTTCATCTTCGATGAGTCTTTCGTCAGGCATTTGGGCTGATGGATATTATCAGGTGGTTCATAACCCAGGACTTGTTCCGGATTCCCGCTATCTGTCAACAGCAGACTCAACAGTCGTATTTGAGGAGACCTACAGTGTCTTCCAAGAGCGCAATGGAGCTACACTCTTAGCAGCCATCTCGGACAGCAACCGTACTCAGCGGTGCGCTCTGATCCACTCCGTACCCACCTCGGTAGAGGGATCGGAACTGCGCGGTCTAGTGAAGGAGGTTCGCAAGGTTGCCGATGAAGTTTTCATCACCCACCTTAGCTCCGATTACTATTCTAACTTTGGATCGAAGTGGGCCGAGTTTGTCGATCTGATGGCGGCGTGAAGCTAGCTAGGTCCATAGAAAATATCGTGATGGACTTGTGTAATGAGGTAATGCAATTTCACACCATCCATTAAGAGGCCAGCATTATGATTTTTCTTTTTCTCATGCATATTCCTTTGTCAAGCTAAAGGGAATTGATTCGCTTCTGAACGCTGCAAGCTAGCAAATGTCGATACCAAAAATATCACCGCCACTTTCTTGCCTTTCCATGCAATTTCAAGGAAGGCATCCAGGATCAAAAGCAAAAACCTGAACAGCGCTAAAAAAAGTACAGGCAAATTTTACAGGGAAAAAAGCAGCCCGGTGTAGGTTACTCTCTTGAGTATCTGGAAGTCGGGCGGCAAGCATCTGTGTAATTTTCAAACTAATCTTGGCGTACTCAATACATCCAGGTGTTACATGTAAAGTACGGCTGAAATTACACCCCCCTCTATACTTCTGAATCCGACAGGCTTTGTCCTAGCATTAATACAAAAGTTTTCCCAGGGCTTGGCGCAAACGTGATCGAATAAGGCGAGTTTCTCTTTAACATAGGCTATGAGACATAGTGACCAATCGATTAATCAAAATGGCTCCAAGTGGAAAAATTTAGAACAGGTGCGTTGGTTGAGGACAGACCACCTTCCATTCCTAGTAAATACCTTCTATATTTCTTTTCTTTTCTTTTGTTTTGTTGTTACCAGTCATTCTATAACAGATTTCCTGAAATCATACACGTGCATAGGGGAATCTGCGTAGAGGCTACCAATCCCACGAAGGGTTCACAATGTGTCTTAAATATCAGGGCACAGTGTACAAACCTACCAGGAACTTGACTGGTGTCTGAGATCAAACTACAGATGTCCATATTGCTTTTTTTCCTGAGACGTTCGGCGGAGCCTGCATGGTAAGAAATGCAAGACATGAAGGAGAAAGCCAAGGGGCCTCTTTTTCGCTATTCGAGATGGTCTGCGCAGAGATACAGTGGGTCTCTTGAGAACTAAGACAGCAGAGTTGTAGATTCAGCCTGACAAGATGACATGACTGAGCCGGGTGGCAAAGACTGACGTAGGTATCATGACATTACACTGCGATGGAACTTGGGTCGAGGGGAGGGGGGGGACCCTTGGGCTGGTTGGCAATGCAATGTTATTTCTTTTTTTTTTTTTGATTTGGATCAATAATCAAGAAAGATGGGCTCGACGTGGCAATAGCCACACAGAATAATCTCCTTGACATCTGTGGCAGTGCATCAAATGGAAAAAAAAAATCGTGCCAGCGTCAATACGTTTGCGAGAGATACTAGCTTGCCACATAGGTTCTGTACGCAGCTCACTAGTGAAATACGCTCATGTTTTGTTTGTCGAGTGTAGAGCTGGACTGGGAGAGTTGCACGGCTCAAAACAAATCTCATTGGACTATGTTGTAGTTGCATCTGAAATAGTCTCTCAAAACTTGCTGCCATCGAGTTTGATCGAATTAATCCAGGTCCCCTAAGTGTCATCTACTGGAAAAGCTGACTGTGACATATTAGGGCGATTGGTTAACATTGGGTAGCAGAGAGAGGCGGAGGCCACCACCTCGTGGCAGGAGCCGGGTACGTTGGACAAGATGAGCAGCCCCATTAGAATACCCCCCAATAACTTTCGATGACATGATCTCCTGACTGGCTAGTACGGCGGCTTCCAGTCTCTTGTGGTCACGGTCCAAGTGATCGAAACGGGTCATTTACCATGGTCAGAGCACTAGTAATTTTCAATATAAGAAAGGGTGCAGTGCCAACGCTCTTTGGCGTTTGAATCCCTAAACCTCCTCCCCGATGAACACGAGCTCTCACCGACCAGTGGCATTGGATGCATCAGAAATACTAATTTTTGAGGATCAAGATATTAACTTTGATCGTTTGCCCTTGCATATTGTTTGCTGGCTACTTCGTACAAGTTGTGATGAGAGAGGCTATCCAATCGTGACGATCTATTGAGATCAAAGAGCCCTGGCCAGTAAGGTAAAATGACTCGGGGGCTGGCTATTCAAACCGGACTAAAGCCCCTTAGGGCGATGCAGTCGAGGATCTAGGTCTGATCTAGCACATTTGATGAATTCGGTGAACTTCGCTTCTCTATTCGCCTCGTCTCAGGGCTCGGAAACACCGGCACAATAACCAACATGGTAGTTTGTGCTCTAGCCGCTCAAGATGTGATCTATCACGGGTCCACCTCAAATCTGGATGGATACGGCGGACTGAGTGGGCACGGAAAGCAGATGGGAAAGTGTTGGTTCAGGATACAGCGCATGGATCGGCGTGCAAAGTGGCTCCGAGGCGGATCTGTCCGGCCCCTGGCCACGAACCACTGTCAACACGATTCATTGGATGCTTGCTATGCCGAATGAGCTTCTCTGGGGTTGATCTTGTTGGGCTTCGACTCCACTCCTCCCGGCGCCGCTCCATGATGGGGCCGATTCTTACCCAAAGGAAACTGGACTCATAACTATGGAACAGTGGAGAGACAAGCTATGCTTAAGCGAATCGCGCAATTGCCCGCTAACCTCTTGTTCCCACCCGCCAAGTCATTCGAGAACCTCATAGCCAAGGCCTTCAGAAGGGTCGAGAACGGTATCAGTGACAAGGGCTGCATCGGAGCATTTTTCTCGCCACTGATGGTATTATGTACTCCTCCATCGTAGGTTTTCCTGTCTCATATCGACTCCATTGTCGTGAAACCTCGGCCCACTGTCCCTGACAGAAATCAGAGCACGAAAATTGCTGGAGGCGTGGAGGCAAAGCGGCATCGAGGTTACCCGTTCCCCGCCCGTGCAGATGGTGGAATCAGTTCGCCCCACACCAGACAATAGCCATCCAGTCCCTTCAATGACCCTACCTCCAACGAGAGACGAGAGGCTCTAACTTTACTGTAGCTTGGGAAGCATTTGTAATCCATTTATGGCTCCACTTGTACTTCGTACCGGAGCAAAACTAAAAGGAATTGCTCGCGGGCCGTCGACATGGTCAACGGACTCTTGCTTCATCAGTCCATAGTCTCCTCGGCAATTCGGTGTGTACTTTTGCACTAGACCCATTTGTCATGGTCCCTGTCACTTTATCCTGGCGAAAAATTTCGTCGAAACATGGCCTATCAGACCCATGTCTAGGCCACAGGCCTCCGCAGATGCCAAGACTGCCAAGCTATTCAACATTGCCATAACTTACAGCATTATTGCCGCTTACATAGAATGGAAGAGCATTTCGGATGAGAGCCGAGACAGACAACCCCTCACCCCTATGAGACGCTATAGTTGCCAATTCTGCCAAATCCAACGCTGTACATGATCATCCTTGAAGAAAACAGGAAATAACAGCAGGAAATCCGAGCAGAGCAGTCCCATCTTCTTGGGTGGCGGAAATCCCCAGATCTATTTTTACCTGGCGGCTAAATTGGGCTTCCAGGGCCTCCAAGGACTCGCACCGAGAGGCCCATCACACTGGCGGGAAAGCCAACTGAGTCAATATCTCACGGTTGTAAGTTTGGTTGGATCTGCCACGGCGTCCATGGCAGGCAAGGGGACGGGATATGGCGCTAGGGCTTCGGCTTTGTTCGTGATTGCTGACCGACGTGGCCTGTTTCTCGTATTCCCCTGGTTGACAGTAGCGTCGAGCACACGAATCATGGAAGCCCGCTGTATGGCGCTATTCAAAGGCTCGGCAATACCAATATATCATTGCGGTAAGCAATGGCGAGCGAGAAGAAAAGAATTTGTTAACTCCGGTGGGATCTTATCGAAGGGGACTCGAATGATGACAAGATGCACCCCCACGACGGCGTACAGAATAGTGGTCCAAGGAAATGACGGACGTGATTACTTGAAAATAGGGTCAGACTAGCCGGGCTCTTGTGATTTGATTTTGTATGCAACACAAACTACCAATAAAATTATACAATGATTGGGTTGAACATGTGTTCATCCGCAGTACTCTACCCAATTGTCCAGATCCATATTTTTGATGACGGTTGAGAAATTGCCCGAGCTGGCAGCATTGCAAGCTGACGACCTCTGGGTCGTGGTGACTGCGTTGTTGTTGTTCGTATCATCTCCCTTGGGGTATTCGATGTGGAAGACGGGCTTGTTGGCATCGATGAAGGCCGAATATGTGTCACACTCTTTGTATTGCGCACATTGCTCATTGACGGACCACTGCATGTTGGAAATGACAGAGTCAATTATATCGCCTCCGTTCTTCAGACCCAGAGACAACCCTCGCGAATGAGCCTGCGACGCGAGCCAGTTCACATAGTTGATTGCGTCGTCTTCGGTCAGCTTGAGGCCATTCGAATTGTCGTAGGCATCGATGTTGTCTGGATCCACACCGTCACAACCTTTGGTCTGGGCAAGATCCAAGCGGGTCTTCATGATCTTACGAACGTTGTCCGAGTTGGTGTCTAGCCATCTTTCCCCGGGCCAGTCATCGAGATTATTGCCGAGGTCTGACTTGGCGAAGTCTCCCGCATCCGAGCGCCAGGATTCATATGTCCCAGCGGAGAAGTAACAAATGACCTTGCGGCCCATGCCTTGGAGCTTGGAGATCATGTCCTTGTCATTATCGAACATATCGATGTCGTAGATGTGCGCATCCACCGAGGTATCGTTGAGCGCGTAGAGAAGCTCGATCTGCCACTTCACTCCAACCTCCGGCTGCCACTTGACGGTCGTATTACCTCCAGTAGTGGTATTTCCTCCGCTTCCCTCATCCTCGCCACCTCCGCCATGGTTCTTCAGCCCGATTCCCAGGCCGACGCCGAGTCCTACACCGATAGCAATGATAATGAAGCCGATGATCAAAGATACGAAAATCTTTTTCTTTGCGGTCCATGCCGCCATCCCAGTCTTGGCAGGTATTTTGTCCATCCTAATCGGCACAGTGCGGGTGGAGAGAACCCCGTCAAGAAAGCCCAGGGCGGAAGGTCACGGTGTGTATCAGTGGTCCGACGGAAGGGTCAGCAATGGCAGTCGGGCATAATAGAATCAGGGACTTGTGGGAAACAAAAGATTCACAAGAGATCGCAGATCACTGGAGGGGATATGAATCGAACAAATCAACAGGCTATGTGGGTAATAGGCGTCTTTTAGCTCAGAAATTCGAGGGTCCAAAGTGGCCCGACTTCAGGGTTTGGGGGCGGAGGCTGTGGCGATCCTTTTTGTGATCAGGCACCACAATCACCGCAAAGCTCCGGATGTCACCTTGTGGAGACTGATTTTATCTCTGCACTGTCTAGGTTGCGGAGACTCGAACCACAGGATCCCCAAATTCTAGTGAACGACCGGTAGGCGTGGACAACGAAGACAAGACTACTCCGTACAAAGGAAAGGGGAAAGGGAAATTCGGAAGCCTGGAGCGACAAGGCGCCAAGGTGGCTGAGACTGAGCCACTTCTGCAGCTGATTTTTGGATAGCTGCACAAATTGCATGAGAACCCGCTGGTGAAAGCGGATGAGATGAAAAGCAGTCCTTCGCCTCACAGGGCCTAGACAGTTGGCATAGGGCCGGAAATAAGGTGGTGGAACCAGTGCTGATCTGATCTACCGAGGGTTGCGAACCGATCCTCGTCCGTCGATTGGGGCCCAGGCACTAGGCAACTGAAATACAGGTCGGGCGGGTTGGAAAGAATAAATCCATACTTGTGCTGCAAAATAACAGAGTGCTAGTTCTGTCTTACTCTGTATGGAGTAGCTTTGATTGATTGACTCTCCCAAGTCAGGCAATCCGGAAGATATCACCTTGTTGAGGGCTATGGTGCAAGAGAATAGGCCAGGCATCATGGCCAAGCCCAAGAGGACCAAAATGGAGGGGGCTCAGACAGACCAAGTGAACACGCGCTGTGCCAAGACAAATAGCTCACGCCTCACGAAGTTGATGCTGCCGATGCCGGCCGAGACCGTCACAGCCCCAGAGTCGAGGTTGAATTGGAGCGGACGAAAGGGGCCGGCAGACAAACAGCACAAGAGTCGCCCTCAGCCAGCCTTTTCAGGGACAAACCGTACTCCCCGAGCGCCCACCCTTAATTTGACCGGGCCAACGGTGTCTTGGCTCAGGGCCGGTCAGTCCCAGAGTGATCCCGCACCAGACACATTAACTTCGGCCGCCCATGCATCGTGAGCATAAAACATTGCCAATGAGCATGACCCGGATGTATGCGCTGGCAAGCGCCCGGAGATGTTGAGGAGACGGGTCGATGGGCGGGGGAGGGAGGGGGTGAGTTTTAGATCCCCGATCCCGCGCTAGTTTTCCGCTTCTGCAAATACCAAATACAACAGGGAGAATACTCGTACCAATACACCCTGTATGGAACTGTTCTCGTTATCGCTCATACCTCATGCATACTATTCCCCTCCGGCCTCCCTCCTCCACATTCTTGACCCATCCTGGGACCACCCAGCAGGGGGCCCATGTACACTACAATAGCTCGAGAATAGATCAGTCGAGTTCACAATATCGGTCTCCAGCCCCATACCCAAGTCAAGTCGGGCCCAAACAAGGAAAAAAAAAAGGGATCGAGATGCGGCTCCTGACTTGTCGGGGTAAAGCCCCGAACTAGATGCAGCCGATGGAGGCCCCAAAGGGAAGCACTTGACTCCCAATTTGGGCCAACTCAGACTATGAGACTCGCAAAGTTAGAGGCTGCTCGTTCGCTTCTTTTTGCCCCCTTTCTATCTATCCAAGGGTCCAGTATGTTTGTCGTTTGTCATTTCCAGTCATCACCTTCGAATGCACTCGGCCGGGGAAACTGGGGAACATCAAATGTACCGATCAGGGAGACCCCGTGCACCCGGATCGTGTCTTAGATAACCCAATCGCGGGTGTCGTTCGCTTTCCGCCGACCCGCCCGCAGCCACACCCGTCCCTGGAGTCGGTACGGACCAGGTCTACAACGGATACGAGACGCCCTAATATCGGATCGTCCGGGAATTGGATACCAGCTTCATGCCAAGATCACCCATAGCCGCCCCAGGATGACAATTCACTCACGCCTTACCCCTTTTTCCTCCCCAGGCGGACATATCCTCTGCCGTTACCAGCGCACCATGTCAGCACCTCGCTATGTCGACCCACGCAGAGCTTTTGCCCCGCCCCGCATATGCAGGATTGATGCGACGGCAGAGCGGCAATGTCTAGTAGCCCGCACGGTGCTCCCTTTCTTGACGGAGTTTGCCCTCGCATTGCCAATGGACTTGGCACGGGATGGCTCATATTCTCCGGAAGGCTCTGCCGAGATTTCCCCTCCCTTGGCGAGATGGCGTGGGTCTTCTTCCAAATCCAGAGCGCCTTAGTTCAAATCGGTCAGGCCATGCACCCTCTCGGAGTCAACCTTCCCATCTCTACCCAGGACGGCTGTCCAACGATGCACGGCGCGCCACACTTTCAGGCACGAATTCCCCGAGGTCGGTATTCCCCGAGAGGTCAGCGCGGGGCTGGGGGGGGGGGGGAGGAATCATGAATTATCAGCCTCGGGTGCCTGCCCCATACCTGGCCGGCAGAGAGGTAAGCAAAAGGCCAACGCAGAATGAGCGAAGCTCAAGGGTAGGGATCTATATCCCTGCTTGGGTTTATTAAATCTAATCATCGCGATCTAAACATAGTAAAAATTGATTGGATCCACGGAAATCAGTGAGTCTTTACAGAAGAAGAAAAAGTGTAGCCCCTTGAGCCCCATCCAGGATAATCAAAGAAATACAGCCCCTGCTCGGAAAAAAACTCGATCGACATGCCCATTGTGCAAGGGGTTGGGGTGTGGCACATGATTTCACTCGCTTGCGACAGAGTTTCAAGCTAAATGTATACGTAAGAAGCTGTCAGACCGCTACTTGAAGAAGGCTTTCGTGAAGGCTAAGCCTCCGGCGTGCATTATTGCGTCTCGTATACGCGGGAAATCTGTCAGGGATTATGGACTTTGTTAGATTGGGGTACAGGATCGTTCCTGCGGGGAAGAAAAATATACGAATGGACAAGGACTTGAAATGTGAGTGGGTAATGAAATCGCATATTAGTGATGATAACCAGTGCTTCCATCAACCTATCTTCGGGCCATTATATAGACATGTTTGGGCAGGAGAAATCACACAAGAGCAGATCCAAAACAAGAGAAAAAAAATCAAATATTCGCATAACAGCTCACATAACTATAAGCGTCCTTTTTTTCTTACGATAAAGCAAGGGCATGACCCAAGGTTATATCATCTAGGATAGGGAAATCGGGGTAGACAGCGTAAAGGTGACTGGGGAGCCGGAGAGCTGAACCCAGACGGTGGTCGGGTCGCTGCCCAACTGCTCAGTGGTGAAGCCCTTGGTGTCAGCCGGGGCAACAGGGAAGGTAACAGGGATGAGCTCGCTGCAGGTAGTGTCGGTGGCTGTAACAGTGACACCAGTGATCTGCGAGTTCTTAGTGATGTAGCTCATGGAGTAGCCGCAAGCATCGCGGTTGTACCGGGCCAGGAACTGGGCCGACATATCAGCGTGCTTGAGAGTAACTAGAGGCCACTCGACGAGACGGACAAACTCCTGAACCTGAGTCTCGACCCAGGCCTGAAAGATGGAGTACTTGGCGCTAACACCGTTAATGGTGATAGCGTCAACGTCGGCATTGCGCAGGTTAGCCTGATGGAACATGTAACCGTCATGGTAAAGACCGAAGAAGTGGCGCATGGTGTCAGCCTTCTCGGTAGCCAACAGGTCATCGAAAGTGCCACTGCCAGCAGAGGTATCGATCCACTCCTGAGTAGTGCAAGAAGGAGTGTCACAATTGTAGTAGATACGGGTCGCCCAGCGAGGGTTAACCTGCATACCATCAAAGCCGTCGGTGGAGGTCACAGTCCAGTACGGCCACATAGCATTCTGGGTGTTCAAAAGGGCGGGACGAGTGTTGTCACCAACGCAGTTTGTGATGCCATTTTCCCACCAGGCACGCAGCGCATCACCGTTGTGCAAACCAGTGATCGCAGGAGGAATAATACCATTGGCGGTAAAGTGCGTAGACTGATCAATTCCATTCTGCTTGAGCCAAGCCTGGTTGAAACTAATCTCCTTATACACATCAGAGTAGGTCGCGTTATTCTGCTCCTCGTGAGTGAAAGTATGGGAAATAGAGCCAAAACTATTCAGGTTGCTGGAGGTAGTCCACCATTGAAGCAGAGGATCCCGCTGAGTGCAGCCGGTAGTCCAGTCATAGACGGTGGGCGTTGAGGGCCACAGATTGGTACCAGTACCGAGTGGCTTCTCAAACTCTAGAGCAGTGTCTGCAGGAGAGTCATACTCAATAGCACCATCATTGCAGGCAGTATAGCCGGCATCAGTGTTGGAGGAGTTCTCAATATTACCATTTCCGTTGTGCCCGACTTCGGGAAAATAGACGCTACCAGCATTCATCTTGGCTAGGATGGTCGGAATCCAATCACGGACATTGTCGAGATCCTCGTTGCGGATGCGGAAGGTGGTTCCGTTTGGCTGATAGATGTCGGTCTCCAGGAACATATCATCAATTTGAGTGTTCATGTTGACACGACGGTACCCAGCGTAAAGTCCGCGCGTGATCCAGGTGATCCAAGCATGCTGCAAATAGTTGGAGGTAGCACTCCAGGTAGTGTCAAAAGAAATGAAGAATACCATTTGCTGACGGCCACTGAAGTTGTTTATGACAGCGGCAACCGAGTCGCTAGCGGTAACAGAGTTTGCAGCAAAGGATGCAATCTGTTTGGTAGTAGTGGTGTCGCTAACCGTAGCAGGGTAGTGCCACAGACCCTCAGTGCTTACACCGGCACCAGTGCGAAGTCCAGACGTTGGGAAGTCGCTAACGTCAGTGAAGGAGATTTCTTGCTCAACGCCAGTATCACAGCATCCGCCGCTCACGACTGTAGCGCCGTAGTCAGGACCTGGATAAACATCATACTGAACCATGCGAACACCATATGCAAGTTGGTAAGCATAGAGCTGGTTCCATTGGTCAGTGGTCAATGCGCTCTGGTAGCCAGTGGTACCACCGTAGTCATAGCTGACTTCGGACGCAACAACAATACCACCGAAGTTACCTCCGGAGCTGCTGTTAAGAGTAGGAAGAGAAACACCAGCCTGTGGAACAATCAAGGCGGTGTAGGGAATGCCATAAGCATTCAGACCAGAGTAGGCGACCTTCGCAGATGTGTCATCTTTGGCAATCACCAGGATGTTAGCAGCAACGCTCGCCTGACTGATTGCAGTAGCCGAGGCTGATGCCGTAGTCGACAAAGCCGTCGAAGTCATGGAGGTGACTGGGGTACTCGAAAGTACAGGAACACTTGAAGTGACTGGAGTACTCGAAGATACAGGAACACTTGAAGTGACTGGAGTACTCGAAGATACAGGGACACTTGAAGTGACCGGAGTACTCGAGGATACAGGAACACTTGAAGTGACTGGAGTACTCGAGGATACAGGGACACTTGAAGTGACTGGGGTACTCGAGGATACAGGGACACTTGAAGTGACTGGAGTACTCGAGGATACAGGGACACTTGAAGTGACTGGGGTACTCGAGGATACAGGGACACTTGAAGTGACTGGAGTACTCGAGGATACAGGGACACTTGAAGTGACTGGGGTACTCGAGGATACAGGGACACTTGAAGTGACCGGAGTACTCGAAGATACAGGGACACTTGAAGTGACCGGAGTACTCGAGGATACAGGAACACTTGAAGTGACTGGAGTACTCGAGGATACAGGGACACTTGAAGTGACTGGAGAAGATGATGCAACCGAGCTAGACGTCGCACTGCTTATAGCAATACTCGATACTGATTGCGATGAGCTTGGGGACAAAGTTCCAATTGTGGAGCTTGCCGAAAAAGATAGAGAAGTACTTCCAAGCAAAGAGCTTGACGAAGGACTCGATGATGAGGCTCCGGAAGATGGAGTTCTTGTACTAGAAGACGACCCAGTGGAGGAAGATGTCCCAGGTGAACTTGACGGACCGGTGACAGTGCAATCAAGACAGCCTGATGTCTTTATGGGCGAGACCGAGCTTGAGGTCTGAATGGAAGAAGCCGATGTCACGAATGTCGAGGAGGAAGGTGTTCTAGAAGATAAAGAAGTCTCAATGGATGTGACAATCGTATTTGAGGCAGTGGGAGAAGAACAAAAAGATGAAGAAAAACTTGAAGAGAAAGAAGATGCAGAAGAAGAAGGCAAAGATGTTAGAAAAGAAGTGGAAGTAACGGCCTCGGTTACCGAAGAGCCTCCAGTAACACTTGTGGTACTTGTAGTATGAGGTGGGTGGGGATGGTGATGAGATGGGTGGGGTGCTTCCCAAGCAATAACAACAGGCTTATGCTTGGGCCAAACCCCGGGGCGAGTATTGCAAGTTATCAGGCCATAGAAACAGCCAACTTTCAAGGCCCATATAGGAATAGCAACCATATTGGTGAGGACCAGGGGTACAAACGGCGAAGAAAGAAGGGACGCAACGCACCATGCACAAATAACGATTGACAGATAAACTGGGCCCGAGTGCAGAACGAAGGAACTTGGCTTGCATCTCCAAGGGAAGCACGGCTGCAATGCTGTTTATGTATTCGAGGTGGAAAAGAACAAATCCTCCAAGACCTATCGCTTTCTCTGACTAGTGTACTCGGCTTTTGCGAGGAATAGCCTCCACATTCAGTTCATCCTGATCCTTCTACTGTGAATCCAGGTGGCGTGCATGGCCACTGTCAGATTCCTACAGTAGATGGAGATGTTTGCACCGGGCTGTGAGATGTCTGGTCGGTTGGCAAGAAGCTGATGTGGTCTAGATACATCGATACAATCATGATGGCAAGCTCACAAGTATGTAATTGGTTAATATACCAAGGGTCATAGCATGGTAAGTGGAGATACTCCTGCAAATTTCGTGATCGTTGTGCATCCCAACCATGTGGAAAAGAAAAAATAAGCGAATATGCCTGAAATAGGCAGGAAATACAAAAAAGAAAAGGAAGACAGGGATTTCAGCTGAGACATCCACATTTGCTGTAGTCGATCTGGTAAAAACGTCCGAGATCATCCATCGACTCGGGATTTCTCAACACAAAGTGGTGCGAATGCTCGGCCATCCTTTCTTTCGGGGGATGTATACTCCATCGAAGGCACGGCTTTGCGGAGCACGGGGCTTAGATGCATCTATCAGGGGCCCTACAGGTCCAGAGCTTGGCGCTGATGCAGCCAAGGGAAAAGTGGTGAGCCACTGTGCCTGATACCGTATGATACCAGAACAGTCGTAACGTAATTTTCAATTCCTGTTAATACGCCTTGAAAATATCGAATTGTAAAACCGCCCACGCTATGCTGATTCAAGTCAAGCACCTCAATATCACAGCTTCGGCTATTCTGTTGCAGGTCATTGACACCGGCGCTAGAAATTACGTGTAAAGATAAAATGAAAATTATCCCAGATATTCCAAAAAAAAATTATTATCTGGAAAAGATCGATTAGGAACGAAGCCCCATAGCGGCCTAGAATTCACTGAATCTTTTCATCCGAGCGGGTTGTTCCAGCCTCCATCGATGCCGTCCTGTCCTGAGGATATTGCTAGCTCGTTTTTTGCTCAATGCATTACATCCGTTTTCCAGGGCAGTAGGCAAGCCTCCCGCAAAAAAAAAAAAAATAGGAAAAAACAGACCAATGAATTTAGGAAACTCGACAAGTCTCAAATTATTGAGCATACAAGTCCGAATGACTGGGGTAAAATGGAAAACTCACCCGTTTAATGCATTGTCATCAGTCTGCAAAGGAATACGACCACGCTACTGATCGCATGGGGAGACTGGGGTCTCTGCCACACACATGGCATCGGATTCTCGCTAGCTGCACGTCCACGCTTGACTCCACCATGTGTCTCATGCCTGCATATCTTAGCGAGTTTGCTGGCCAACATTTGAAAAGACTTTTTGGTGGCGTGCTATTTTTGCTCATTGAGTCTGGAAGGCTTGCCTCATCCCTCGACAAGAGTGTCACGGGCCATCATTTTCCATCCAAGGAACTGGAAGGGTCAGAGAAAGCGAGCGGCTGATACGAGCTGCCTTTGTTTTCCTTCCTGGCGGAGGCGAGCTACAGTCTTTTGGAGTACGGCCTGGCCTTGAAGGCTGAATTGTTCGCCCCAGCCCATTTCTGCTCATATTATCTCGCCTGCTGCTGAGTTGGTGCAGCTTTTTGTCTACCTCGTCGCTCGTTTCTTGATGCTGTCCAGCCACAAGAGCAAGTCAAACATGTTGTAAGAGTCTGGTTTAGACCGCCAAGTTGCTTCTGGACATCGGCGCACTTGTCGCTATCTTTGCCAAATCCATTCGTTGTTGGAGTATTAGGAGCCAACTCTGAAAGCCAAGACTTCCATAAATCCGGCATCATGGCACAGATTCTATCTGTACATGCCCTAGGATGGGCGGGCATGAAAGGTCACTGGTGGCAGTTTGTATGTTTTATGATTCGCTTTTTGGTTCCCTTCAAAATGAAGCTTCTGTTCTGGTCTACAAACAAAATTGGTCAGGATACTAATAGCAGTCTCCAGGTATTCATTGGGATTTTATTGGCTTGCATTACGATTGGCTGTGTGAATATTCTTTGGTCTTTTATAGGAAGATTGATCAAATATTATCGGGTAAGTGAACCTTCTATGGCACTAGAGATACCAAAATCTGAATTTAACCTTGGCTATTGGTTCCCTAGTTGAAACCGGTGTCGGATAAAATTTCATCAGATGTGTCTCAACGCCTTCAAAAACTCGCCAATCGAGAACTCAACTTGGCCGACACCTCTCTTACCAAACGAAAACCTTCGTCGTTCGGCGTATACTTAGGCAGCTTCACTCAGCCACCGACAGCACCACAAGCAGCGTTGTTGGGACAATGGGATCTCCTGATTGTTGACCCGTTCCAAGATGGTGTTGCAGAAGCAATTTGCGGAGGCGCTTGCACTAGAGCTCTGGGTAGAATTGATCTTGCCGATATTTCAACTCCCGGAGCTTCTACCTTGGATACTATCCAGAAGATTGAAGAGGTTCTTGCCAATTACTTCAAGGGTACCTCTTTTTCTGGTATTCTTTTCGCTAATTGGGAAGATTTGCTTTCTCCGGCTGTTCAAGCGAAAATTTTCACGATACTCAATGATCTAGGATTGGAGGTCTATCTAGAGGTGCAGCCACCGCTCTTCTTGAGGAACAGAAAAGCGCTGCAGAATGACTCTGTATCCGGGTTAGTCGTTCGCAATGCCAGCATCCTGCCGCAAGGGGAAAAGCGTGACTATTTCCAGATGAACACGCTCCAATCAACAATCAAAGCATTTGTCTCCGAGGCATGTATGAGAGACTTCGTCGTTCTGGCATGGGAGACTGTGAATAATGATGTGACTTTGTCAAATGCAATTGTCCGCAGGTCTCTTCAGTGGTGCAACTTCTACAGTTCGATATCCTGGATAGGGACTGAGGCTGCTCTCAAAGACGCCTCTTTCAACTATCCGACGCTTGAGCCCCTCCCGGCATTTGGCTGGTTGAAGGAAGCAGATATCATGAAAACTCACGATATTTGGCGTTCTAATATCCGTATATCGCAACGTTCTGGGGCTGAAAGCGGATGGGATATCCTTCGGTCTATATTTCCTGCGGTGGACGCGCTGTTAAATTCGAAGGAGCACAAGACGAAGTCTCCGAAAAGCCAAGCGCTTCGCCTGAGAGACCCCCCCGAATGGGTAGCACAAGTCAAGTCGCAAGGAAATCCATTATCGGTGTCCATGTCAGGGCAAGAATACACCAATCTCGGTTGCTTTCCCTTGGGATCAGACCCCACTCCCATGGCATTTGCAGAGATTCTTCAATCACAACAACGCTTGAAGGCACTCGAGCTTCTACATCCTGTTCCGGCAACAAAGATCCAAAGCATTGGCGTAGTCCTGCGCACTTTCTATGATACTTTGGCTCATTCAAACAATGAGACTCAGTCAAACGACGAAAACCAGTTGATAGCGGCGATTAATGAGCTATCAGACTTGGCGGCCAACGGGTCGTTGCGCGTGAGCCTCGCTCTGGATTCCGGGCTCAGAAAAACTTCAGACTGCCGCTTCTGGAGTGTTTATGAGAACGAGGATGATAAATTTGATGTATTTGTCTCGAAAAATGCACAAGGTCTGGCTGGAACCGTTTTGCATACATTTCTGTCAGCAAAAGGGTTCTCTCGGCATGTTTGTTTCGAAGCTGAAGCTTCTTTGGCAAAATTGACCAACGATATTGCTCCTGGCACAGATCTTCCCCGTCGATTAACTCAAGATATCGATGTTCTAAGTCCTGAGGAGCGATTGCTACTCCTGCAACACCTGGTACTCACTGATTCCCACAGCGACATCAACGACAGGGTCTGTGCGTATATTCGACAGAAATTGGTGGACGCACCGTCCTTCTCGCAACTCAAAGAGGCCAACACCGTCCAATATCTAAACGGTTCGGCTTCTTCAGAGTACTTGGTGCGGTCTCGAATTAGCTGGTATGAAGAACAGGGTTGCACTTATCCTGGTGTCTCGAGTTGTCTTGCCCTCTTCCAAGAGATTGATCAAGTTTTCGCAAGAATCTTGAAGCAGCACCAGGAAGATAATCTTGCAGCTATCACAAAGGGCCTTTGTGAGCTCATTCAACAAGGAACATTAGATGCATACGCCGATATGGTTGCTCTTTCATTGTTTTGTGCTGCTAGAAAGGGCGCCTTCGATGAAATTTATGCAGAGGTGACCGACCGAAATCCACTTTTCAACCACCACTCAGACCAGGCTGCCGCGTTTGCCGAATCTTTTGCTTTAGGATCACGATGCGAAGCATACTTCGATGTTTCGCCTAGCGTCTTTGGAAAGCTGTTGTCCGATCGATTTCGAGCGTATTACAGCCAGCATCAGCCTCCAAATTGGGTGAACGGGGCTCCTCAGCTTGCAACTGCCTATGCTGGCGCTCAAATTGATGTCAACCCAGATGACAAGACAAAGACGATGCGAAATTACCAGCGATTCACATTTTTGAGTGTTTTTGCCATCCCAGCTCTGATCGACATCGTGCTGCTCACCACCATTGGGCGTGGCCTCTATCTTTCTGCATATATGACCCATCAAGAGCAGGACAGTGCCACAATGGCATTGATGATTTCGCTTCTGCTTTCGGGTGCCATTGGAACGTGGATTGCATGTGGCGGTCCCTATTATCTCATTTCGATGGCTTTTGCTGCGGCAAATATGTTCGTCTTAATCCGTCTCATTGCCGGAATTGCATTCACTGTAGGTGGAGGTTTAATTGGTTTCGTCGCACTGTCAAGTGTCAGAGGGCCCCGGGCAGGTATTATCTTCTACCTTTACTTGATCGCCCTGACTATATACTTCTCGACGTTTGCCTCTCTGGCGAGTTTCAGCTACCCCGGCTCCACTTTTCTCTCGGGTCGCAAGGCTATCATCATGTGCATTCCTATTCTTTTCCTATCTCCCATCATCACGACATTTGCAGGAAATGATTCAGCGATTTACCTAGCAGTTATATACCTGTTTATTGGGGTGCTTCTTCTTGGATTGCGGTCTACAACCTCCAAGTGGGTGACTTGGTATCAATCCATTCGACGCACAGATGATACTGAGATTCGCAAGTGGTATATTTCTGCCCATGGTGGGAATGATGAGAAAGTGTTTGCCAGCATGAGTGATCCTGCTGCTCTCAAACTAGCGCGAGAAGCCTTGCTGAAAGATGTCATCACCGAGAAATCCCGCGGGTTATTCTCCAAATCGTCCAATGACCAATTGATCAAAGAGCTTGCTCGTGATTGGGAGTCCACTAACTTCCTTTTGGATTGGTATTGTCGCTATGCAGACGTCCCTCGCCCAATTCCTTTCAGTTCTGGCTGGAACATTCAGACTAAGGTCGCATTGGACACGCTGCGGAACTCTCAGAAAGGATTGCGACTGCATAATGCTTTTGTTCACTGGCGTCAATCAAGCAAAGAAATTGGCTGTGGTATCTTGTACTTTATCCTTGCCCTGCTCGACAAGTGGATGCAGCTTTTGAGTGGTAACCATCTATCTGGACTACTAACAGCGTCTTTGACCGATGCAAATCGCATGGCCGTTGGATTTGCACTTGCTTATTATCTGATCGGCGCTGTGTTGATTGATACCAAAGCACAAGAACTCCATGAAGCCATTGGTGGGAAAGAGCCCACCGCAGTGAAGTTAGCCAAAGACATCCGCCTTTCGCAGAAACAAGATATCCAGTTTCGACGCAAAGTGTATTGGCGAACTCTCTTAAAGTTCTTGCTCTGGCATGTTTGGAGTCTGGCTATTTCCACTGCCCTGATCTGGACGTTTCAATCATCTGTACAAGCCATGATTATCTTCTTCGCCTACGTGCTTGCCTATACAGGATTGATCTGGTATCAATATACCAAAATTTTCACTGGGCCCCATGCTTTGAAGCCGTTGCTTATTGGCGTCTGTATCGGCCTGCCAGTCGGGATTGCCTTAAAGATTTGCCTTCCGCAGTTTTTATATTCCGAAACAATTGGGCTCGGAACTGCAACTTGGACAGTTGCCATCCTGTCTCTTTGGAATGCAAAGATGGGTATGCCTCAAAAGGTTGACTCGCCAGTGGAGCTGGGTAGGACTTTCCATGCCTTCACTACGCCCTGGGCAGATCCCGAGTGGTCGCAGCAGGAACTTCAAAGCTACTTCGAAGGTGTTGCATTGCTCCCAGCAGATTCCCGTTTCAAAGTTGATCCAACTCTTCATCCAGGGGTGGAGATCAAGAACGTTCTGCTTTCTCGCAGATACGAACCGCGCATTGAAGAAGCCTTTCCAAACTCAAAGGATATCATCAGCAAAGCCATTTCCTCGTGGGAAAAAGGCGATGTCAGTCTTGAACTTGTGCCCTTGGGTTCAATGGGTCCTGGTATCCGTGCCCTTAGTTGTAACACTGGAAACCAACTCAAACTAGCCATCTGCGTGAGAGGGCTTCATGACGAGCGACTTGATATCAGCGCCAACTGCCAGATAATTGCAGAAACGCTGGTCCACTCCGTCGCCGAGATGATGATGGGCGTCCCTCACGAATATGCCGTGTTGGCCGAGGCCATCGTCTCGGGGGGTGTAACCCATACCATGGCTCGACAGCTCCGTGAAGAGGTCAATACTTCTCTTGTTGTGCGCTGGGCCAAGAAAGAGCTCCTTCGACAGCTTTGCCTTGGGTTCGAGGCCGACATCCACTGGGACAAATTGCCCGTGGAGGTTCGAGATCTATTGCTTGCTCGCTGCTTGGGACAACAATCTGGTCTTCCAGATATTCCACGACGATGGCTTCAGCAAAGTCTTTGCCAATTTGACACCCAAGACCTGGATATACATGTTGCCCGATGCAATCTAGGAGCGGCAACGGCAGTCAGCATCCTCGATTACGCGCATTATGGAACCGGTGAAGCTGCCATTCCTAAAGAATCCGAGACTGCCAAATTTATCCCCTACATCCCCCGCAAGCTGCCCGCTCCTCTTGCACTCGTCCGATCTCCTTTCAGTTACATCTATCATAATCTAGGGTTGGCTGTCAAGTTTTTCGTGATTGCCCTCGTTGCAGATCCCGAATTTCAGAGGGAGTTTGACCATGTTACAAAGGAGTGGCCGGCGTTCTTCCGTGCTCCGACCGTGTTTTTCCTGAATATGATCTGGATCTATGCAAAAATCGTCCAGGACTTTGGTTTGTCTTTCTTCCTGTTCCATGGTCGCCAGAACGTCAAAAGACTTTGGGAAGAGACCAAGGGCATGACGATCCATATCAAGAAGAGTAGAGTCTTCATCCAAGGTCTGGATGGGACATTCACCGCATTTCGACACCAGGAGACCGATGGTGGCTTTAAGGTCTATCAATACACCGGCGAGCACAAAACTGAGCCGAAGGAGGTCAACGCACTGAAGTATATCAGCAGCTACTCGAGTGATATGCTGCTTCTCATCAAACAGGAATTCAAAAATGGCAAGTTGATTAATGAATACCACTACGACTACCAGGCGCCCGCCAAGAAAGGTCTCAAACTTGGAAGGTCAACAAATGGCCGTATGCCGCTGGGTCGACGTTGCGTTCAAGGCGAAAATCACCTGCAAAGCATCCAGTACAACAATAAGGGCCTTGTCGATAAAGGTTCATACATGAAAGACGGGAACTTGATTCGCTTCCAATATCACTATCGCAAAAACCCTCGCTTTGGTGATGAGCTTCTTCGAGCCGAGTTTTCTCTCTCACACATCACTTGCAACGTATCTTGGTGTGCACCTCCGCGTCGGCATCGGGATAAGGAACATAGATGGATCCCACACACCAAAGTTACCGAGGCTACCTTTGTGCAAACCGCGAATGGGGATGTCTATGAGAGTCGGTGGCTGTATGATCACAAGTTCCATCCTACGATCTTTACCACAATCAACGGCATGAAAGCGCAGACACCTCCTATGATTGAACACGATTATCTGGGAGTCCTCACCAAACCCATGTACACCAGTTTTGTGCATGATAATCCATTCTTCTACTGCGATAGTCTTCGGTCAAACTTCTTCACACGTCTTCTGGGGCTGACAAAGAAACGGTTCATTGTTTCCACCTCTCGCTCTCGGTCATTGATGTGGAAGGCATGGAAGGATCGCGTTGACCTGGACGGTATTATTGTCCGTTGGATGGATGACCGAATTCTTCGCAAAGATGAGGTCCTTGCACCCTACTGGCGCAGTCGAGACTGGGGAAACCTGAGGGCTGCAAGGAAGTATATGGAGCTTCGGGCCGATGCAGTTATGGCCAGTGCAGATCTTGACAACAACATCTCCAGCTGGACTCCTTTGGCCGTCAAGATCAGTGACTTTTTCAACTTCGGTCCTGGGGGCGATGCAGTCGTCACAACACGATCCAAGGAGGTCAGCTCTGACACAGACAAGACGCTTCACGTCATGGCTGCTGATAACGGAACTTGGCCAAATGAAGGTGGTGGTGTCTCTGCTTGTCGTCGTGATATGATCAATTCCCTGCGCACTATCAAGTGGCACATGATCTGTGAATCTGCCAACGACTTTGGAGTTCCCAAACACCAAACAGAGAGAAATATCCAGTCCTTGAAGGTTATTCCACTTTGGGGGTTGGACTTCCTGACTCCAACTCACGGCCTATTCCACAATAAGTTGGATTCTGAAGTTGATAACGTCACGTCCGCAAGCGAGTTTGATATCAAGATGAATTTCATTCCGATTTTGACTGCCTTGGTCAAGGGTGCACGTGCAGTACATCTCTCCAAGGCTGACATTCATCAGGCAACTCGGGCGTTAGTGAACTTGAACACCTTTTTCCAAGATTCTCGCCATTGGTCTCAGGTCTGGAATAGCGAAATGGTCAAGCAGAGTTGGCGGGATCTGTGGCTCACGCAAGAGATGCCCAATACAATCCCTTCTTCCGAATGGCTTGATACCGAGCTCCCGACCTTGGCCACGATGGATGTGGCTCTGGAGCTCTGGTACCGCTATCTGTTCATATTCTCCATCCCTGTCCCCGAAAAGATTCCTGGTGTTTTCCAAGCTTCCCACCACAGTGTCAGTGCTTCATATGGTGTTGTTTGCAAAATAAAGAGGAACTGCACTCTTCAGATCTGGGATCATGCTATCAGTTGGAGAGAAACCAATCTCTGTCTTTCTTCTGCCTTGTGCAAGCTTTCGCCATTCGTTCGAAATGCCCTTCTTGGCTTGATGAGAATCACTTCAGTCCTAACGCTGCACCATGCTGACATTATTCTGCCTTGTGCTGACTTCTTCAATCCCGGTTGGGAGGTTGAGATTGGTACCTGCCAGGGCACAATTGAGCATCGCAATACCTTCCGTCGCAAAGTTGACCCGGTTGTCAATGGTATCACAGATATGCAGAAGTTCGCACCTGTGAACACAATTAAATCCGAACGTCCAACAGTGACCATGCTATCTCACGTCTGGTATGCCAAAGACATCAAAACTGCACTCCTGGCCGCCGACATCATCATCAACCAGTGGAAGTTCGATGACTATCATCTGGACATTTATGGCGCAATCGACAAAGCCCCAACCTACTCCACTGAATGTCAAGAGATCATTGCCTCTAAGGGTCTTCGAGGCAGAGTTACGCTCCGCGGAACGGCTGATCCCATGAAGGTGCTCGAAAATACCTGGCTTTTCTTGAACTCGTCCTTATCCGAGGGTCTCCCACTTGCATTAGGTGAGGCAGCACTCACTGGAGCTCCTGTTGTCTGTACGGATGTTGGTGCCTCACTACGTGTGCTTAGCGATCCAGACGACTTCTCACGATACAGTGCCGTTGTGGCACCGAACGATGCGCAGGCATTGGCAAAAGCCCAGATATCCATGCTTGCCATGCTTGGAGAATGGGATCAGTATAGTGATGATAACGGGCCTGTTCCAGTCCTGACCTCGTCTCCAACTCCCGAAGAAGTCAAAGTAATCACCGAACGTATGTATGCAAAGAGCGAGCAACGCCGTAAGCTGGGAATGATGACTCGCGGTATCGTTCAGAAATCATTCAGCGGCGATCGATATCTTCGAGAACATGAGCAAATGCTCTGGATCGGAAAGTCGGTCAAGATGATGGCTAGTCGGGCAGCAGGTGATGCCGTTGAACCAACTGACATCGCAACTGCAGTCGAGCAGACAACAGCGACTGTTGAGGAAGAAATTATCACGATCCCTCCCAGTGCTGTCCGATCCTGGCGGTCTTCTGCAGCTTCAGGCATGTCAACCGTGTACAGCTCAGTATCCAATTATCCTCTGCAGGGCGGTCGCACTAGACCTATCTCCAGCATCTCTGCTCTCAGCCTCAGCAATATTTCCACAGATACGGAGTCTTTTGCTCGTCTTCCAGTCTTTGCGCCTCGTCATTCTTTTCTGTCTTTCGGGAGCTCCCCCGGCAGCAGGTCACCCTCGGCCCTTGTGCCGCCCCAAAGTTTCCGGGTCTCCATGGGTGCTCAGCGTCGCTCTCAATCTTACGCGCGGTCGATATCGACCAATGGTCGGGAACAGCTACGCGGCTTGCATCGAGAGGATCTGATGCAGTACCGCAATTCAGATGTCAGTACCATCATGCGCGATGACTTCCTGCGGTCTGGTATACATTTCGGTAATTAAAAGTTGCATAAGGGTCTTTTTTGTCTTCTGTTTTTATACATAATTCTGATGAATCTGCCACAAACTTTGTTTTAGCTTGGTTCTATATCATTTTGTCATCCGGAGTTGTGATATGTTTTAATGCATCATTAGCGTGGCCAGTATTCAATTGCAAATGATAATGACACTCAATACGAAAAATAACCCTGAAAATGCATAAACTATATAGTGAGATAAAAAAAAGGTCTACTGATAGAAATAGAATCAATAATGGGGCCGGTATTATGAGTCCCCGAGGTGGGCAAGCCAAGACCGTTTGACACGCTTCCATGCAGATTCTTCCGGCTTTGGATCCAGAATACGATGCCATTCGCCATTGAATGCATTGATGAGCCAGCTCGAGAGGCCTAGAAGAGATGTTAGAGGATGGACTTGTCTTGAATCCGTGAGTTGGAATAAAACGCAAACTCACGTTCATACACCACAGTGTGTCCGTTATGGAAGTTGATACTGTGGTCCGAGTCCGGGAAAAAAGCCATATCATAATTGTCGATGTTGGACAAGTCCAGCTTGTCAAGCAAAGTGAGGGTGTTTTGCAGGTGAACATTGTCATCTGCGACACCGTGCATGATCAGAAACCGTGTGTTCTCGCCTAACGCATCAACCTTGTTGATACTGGCGCTATCATAGCCTGCAGGGTTATGCTGAGGGGTATGCATATAGCGCTCGGTATAAATAGAGTCTGAATGACTGTCAATGTCTGCAATGGTAGGGCCTGATTCTTTGATCGACTTACCATAAAACCTCCAATCGGTAACCGGCGCCACAGCCATTCCGTATTGGAATGTCTGCCCAGCATCCTGCTCAAGAACTTTCAAGGTCATGAAACCACCATAGCTCCAGCCCCAAATAGCCATTCGGGTTTCATCTACGTAGTCCTTGTCGGCCCATATTTTGGCCGTTTCAATCTGATCATTTGCTTCGTAGTGACCCAAGTTGCCACGGACAATGCATCGCGCTTCTCGGCCAATGAATCCCGTACCCCGACCATCCACGGTAACGACAATATAGCCTAAGCTAGAGGCAACATAAGATTGGAAATCGACGGTGAACTTGCGGTCAACTGTCTGGGACCCAGGTCCGCCATATAAGAAGAAGAGTACGGGGTACTTTTTCTTCGGGTTGAAATTAGCAGGACGGCGTTCAAGTACTTGGAGAATATAGCCATCGATAGTCACGTTGCTGTATATCTCTGCTGGGAGAGCATACTCCTCGATCATACCAGACAGCCTTTCATTCTTCTCAATCCAGACTTCATACTTCATCTCCTCCCCCTGTGTATTGACAACAGCTTGCCAGGGAACAGCCGGGCCTTTGGAACTCAGCAAAGCGTACCCAGCCCCTTCAGAGAAGGAAACATCAAAATATCCCGGTTTGGATACATCAGTCAAGGAACGAAGGCCAGATCCGTCCAGTTTGACCTGATAAACGTGTCGCTGAGTGGGTGCCTCTTTTGTCGCAACAAAGTAAACCAGATTCCTTTTCAGGTCGACAGCAGAGGGAGCATTAACCACTTCCCAGTTGCCCTTAGTGAGCATGACAGGCTCAGAGCTATCAAGAGGTGCAAAATAAGCCAGATGATCATAGCCTTCATATACCACAGTATCGATATATCCATCGTCAGGCCGGCCATTTTCTGGGTCTGCAGGTAAAAATCGCGTGGATTGAGAGGGTTCGACCCATCCTCCATCCAAGCCAGCAATGTCATCCGAGCGAACAAGCTTTCCCGTTCTGGCCTTGGTGTCCATTAAATAGATCTTGACAACATCGCTTTCGCGGTTTGTTTCACGCACTAGAACCTTACCCTCCGATGCCCACACCACTTCAATGATAATCCGATCATCATTGGCAAAGTCTTCTGGCATATCGATGACAAAGACCTCATCCTTTTCCACATCGTAGAATCGGATATGAACCACCGGGTTGGGGGCACCAGACTTGGGGTACTTGATTTGTCTGACTTCAGGGTATTCCTCCAGTCCAGCCGGAGGCTGTTCACCGGATGGTCGAGAGAGAAAGTACTGGACGGGATATTCGGGAACTTCAGACTCATCAGTTTGCAAAAATGCGATGTATTTACCATCGCCAGACCACCAGGTACCGCTATTACCCGCAAAGACCTCTTCTTCATACACCCAATCAGGGACACCGAAGAACAAGTCCTGCCCTCCATCTTTGGTTATCGGGATCACCGTATTCAAGGACAGCTTTCGCAGATACAAATTATTCTCTCGGACAAACACGACGGAGTCTGATTGAGGCGACCAGGTAGCCAGTTGGACACGGTCACCCAGGTTTTCGGGATCCAACGGCTCTGCCTTTTGCGTCGCAACGTCTAGAATCCAATATTTTCCATAGAAAGAGTGTCGCCAATTCGACTGGTAATGAGACATGACCAGAACCTTTTCCAAGTTCGGACTTGGCCATGTTTTCACGGGAGAGACGTATTCATTGCCAACCCAGAAGGATGATTTCTGCATCAATACTCGGGTTTCAGAGCGCTTGGCTCCGGACTTGAGGCTGTGAATATCATCAACTCGCAGGTATCCATCTCCACTCTCGCCCTGCTCCACCAGCAGTCCGTCCTCCCCATTTGGGCCCCCGATCCAGGAAATCTTATGCGACAGCGGCGACCAGCTCCCCTTTAGCACTTGCTCAAGTGTTACCGGCCTCCCGTAGCTCGTACTACCCGTGGCAGAGCCAGGTTCGTGAACGCTCACGGTCGATACCGAAGAATATTCCCCCGCAGTAGACCGTTTCTGTGTGAGGAAGAGCACGGCTGCGAGTAGCCAGCCTCCGCAGCAGAGCACAACCACCAGCCAGAATATCCGCCGCATGCGAGTCCCTGACGCAGACTTCTGGTTGGAAAAAAAGACTCGTCCAGCCTGGGCTCCGCTCCATCCTCAATGTCCCGGTATCGTTGCGTTTCTCCTGCTGTGCCGCCCTCTCCCATGAGCTCCCCCTTATGGGCGTCTAGAAAGGAGGCGGATGCGACCGAGAGACCTGAATCGGATGTGGACTGCGATGTGACAGATGCCGACCGCTGCCGAGTGAGTGGCACGGCCTCGGGGACCCCTTCGTCGTCGAGTTTCCCCATGGTCGCCGTTGGTGGTTGGACAAGTGCGGAGCTGGCTGAGATGCTCCCGATCGAGCTTATCGGTGGAGCTGTGGAGTCCCGATAAACAGCCCGTCTCTTCGGTCACGACGACGGGAGTGTATACGATACAGGGATACAGGGCTTCTTCAAAAGCTATGAGATTCTACGAAAAATGATCTTACAGTTTCAAATCGCTTCTCACAGCAGAATAATTTCTTCGGTCTCTGGCCTCGGCGCTTTGGCGCGGACAAAGACCAGACTGAGTGAATCGAGGCTCTGTTGACACCCGTTTTTGACACGGTAAGCAGAGGATCCTAAAGACAAAGGATTGATCACTCATTTCATTCTGCCGTTGCAATCAAATATCCACTGCGGCTCTGATCCATTGCACAAGGTTGGCCCATTCAGGCGGAATACCACCCTCAAGTGGTTCTAAAATACCTAGAACTAGTCTCCTCCCCGTTTCTCGAGCAAACCACTTTCTTGACATAAGATGCATCCCCAAGCCATGAAACAGAAGTAGTATGCGGGCCATCCAATTTCCTTCTTTAACTTGGTCAAGAAACGCATCACTGATCTCGATGGGCCACGATAAGCAATCCTCAGTGGGCCAGCCATCAATGCCCTTCAAAAGCAGGGCATGTGTGTTTTGATATAACTCTTGATGCAAATCTGAACGTTGGTCGATAATGCTTCTTACCGAATGAAGCTTCTCTAAGATCCCCCTGAAATGATATATTAGCCTTTAAATATCTCCGTATAAAATTGTAGATTGTACTTATGCAATTCAATCATCTTGGGGTCCTCACTGCAAGGCATTCAGCATCTCAGAAATTGTACTCTAGTCAGAAATTTGAAGTCTTGGGGTACAAACTCTTCTGTAGACACTGCTGATCTACTGTTCCTTTCACGATGAAGCCAGGGATCAATACTCGTTCTTTCCTGGCCATGATATATTTGCAAAAAAAGAAAGGCAGTACCCCCCAAGAAAGATCGCATCGTCAATATCTCACGCAAAGGATTGACGGGGTTGGCATCACCGTTGATTCCCGGGTATGCTGTGACAAAAATGACGATGAATATAGAGCAGGTGAATGTCGCTTCATAGTTTTGTTTGCGAATAGCGAGATCTTGGCTAAGACCCTGAATAGCTCGATTTTGGTAGGTGAGAGCAATTTCCAACCAGGACGCTAACTTTTCGGGCTCTGTGGATGCGCGATGAAGAGCACCAACTGCTAGGAGGCCGTCCATCACGTACTCATGGCTAGTTGCAATCTGAGGAATCACGGATTGCCAAAATTGACGGTCCATTTCATGGTTGACAAATGAGAGACTTGTCTTCATGGTCATATGGTGGAAGAGTCGCATCTCCTCCAGCCTTGAGAGTGCTGAGTTGGGGGTGGGCCTGGGTTTGGTCGATGCGTATTTCACCTCGCTTTCTAGATTGACAGTAGGCTTTCTTCTTGGCTGAGGTGCTAAAAAGGTACACTCCAGCTCACGTTTCATGCACTGATCACATCTTGGGTGCTGTTCGCCACACTATTACCTTGTGTCAGAAAGCGGGTGCTTTGACAGGATACAGCTGTGATATATAAACTAAACTTGAATCTTCGAAACTGAAGTATGCTGACCTTGACATGCCTCTCTTTACATTGAACACAGCCTTTTCGAGATTTGGTATGACAGCGCCGGGGCATGGTGGGTGGTATAATGATGAGATTACCCCCATTTTGCTGAGGTGGGAACCTTGAAGAGCAGCATGACAGGCTCGGCGAACCTCCTGGCCCATCATCATCCAGCCCCTGAGGCTGAGTCAGCCAAGCAACAACCCGAAAGAAAATATCAATACTAGGAGCTTTCCAGATTTTATTGATTGACATGACTGATAATCTGTAACCGAAGATCCATATATGGGTGATTTTCTGGTTCTTATGCCGTGGCGTCGTAGACTCTTAACACAAGACAGCTGTACAGGCAGCGACCACTTGACCTCGATCTCCCGAGTAGATATATGCACGCAATATGAACCGCATAAGTTGTTAAGATTATAGAATATTTAGCAGTGTGATGATCCCTGGATTGATCTTGCGAGGTCAACACCAACTAACAAATTATCTGGCGTGCCTTCTCTTCAAACCAACATCCCAATCACATTATTGTCCCTCTCGCCATGCCATCATGTCTGATTTTAGTTGTATCATCTCTTCTTGGCACAAGTGTCTAAATGGAGTGCAGCAGAATAATGGTCACCACTGGTGGAAAATAATACGCAGCGCTGGGCCCAGTTGGCTTATCAAGATATCTATCTTCGGAGGTATTCTTTCCCTTCCAGTCCAGGCTGATGGTACTTAAAGAATTTGAAATACATACACCTTGCGTTTGACCTACTATTCGTGAAGTCATTGCTCAGAAAATCTAACGGAATAGTTTTCTATACGTGCCAATATGGTTATAGTAACAAAGATGACCAAATATTGAGGTTAGCTTCGTCTCCTCGTTGTTCGTCGTTAGCATGATATTCCACATTCAGCTGAAAGGGTATGGAGCTAAGCTAGAGCACTAAATATATAGTCTCCTGGAAAGAGTACGAATGGGCAGTATAAATTGACGGTATGCTCATGTTGGTGATATTAGCTCTTCAATTTGCGGAGTGTCAGGAGATGGCCAGTTTTTCATACATGATGCATTTCTCGAGGTTGTCAGTATGATAGTGTTTGTTCGTCTTTTCAGGTGAAATTAGCCACTTACTTCACGAGAAGAAAAGTCGACCCGAAGCCGAGGTTGTGGAATTTCCCCCACCATATCCTACTACCTTAGGATACCGAGGACCTGAAGATCATGGGACGGGATACAATGAATCTGGATATAGGCCTCGAGGAAATACTGCCACCAATTGTGATAATACCCGGTTAGGTGGCGCTCGGCCCTAGATATACATATAAGACCGAGCATGATGTTCTTTAACTGAAGTGTTCCTTCTATTTGGGCATCAGAGATCTGATAGGTGTGATGAAGTAGTTTCATACAGGAGAGGCAAGCACAGGCACGAGAGTTCTATGTGAAAATTGAATCATTTTTTGGTAGTAATTACTCATCGCGATCTCATCGCGTGTCATCATACAGCTCAGAGAAGCGGCCCTCAAAAACTATTTACCGCGACAGAGCAATGTCGTCAATTCTCATGATCATCTTCACCGTTTCAGCAGCCAGCTCGATAGCACTGGTGCTCACCAGCAACGGCTGCAGAATGTTTTCTTCCGTGATATCATCCTTAACACCACCACTGCGGATGCTCACGCCAGCATTGTGCTGGCCTTGAGCGTGACGGTGGCGCAGGTCAGTGACCACCTTGATAGAGTTGAGACCAGCGTTCTCAGCAAGAGTGGTAGGAATGACTTCCATGGCGTCCGCAAATGCCTTCCAGCAGATGGCCTCAGTGCCGGTAAGTTCACGAGCACGCATGGCTAGTGTATGTGCCACTTCGACTTCGGGGGCACCGCCACCGGCAATCAAAGCGCGCTTCTTGACCAGACAGCGGATGACGCAAAGGGCGTCGTGAAGAGAACGCTCAGCCTCATCCAAAATCAACTTGTTGGCACCACGGGCAACGATGGAGACGGTCTGGTTGGCAGTGGCAGCGGGCGCCTTGATACCAGTGATCTTGACGTAACGGGCACCAGAAGCCTGAACTTCTTCGACAAGATCAGCGGTACCAAGCTTGTCCTCGGTGAAGGAGTCAACATTGGCAACTGGCTTGCAGCCCAGGCTCTTGCACAGGAACTCAACCTCATCACGCTCGATATCCTTGATGGCAAGAATCTTCAGACGGGACAAGAAGTGCAGGGAAAGGTCATTGACAGCATCCCGAAGAATGGACTTCTGGATCAGAAGCACATTACACTTGGTCTTTTGGATCTTTTTGACCATGTTCAGCAAGTACTGGCGCTCCTCCTTCAAAATCTTGTCCATCTGACGGTAGTCGTTCACAACGATTTGGTTCTCCATCTAGGCGAGGGGTCAGTTGAGATTCATGCAGAGCGCCGTAGAAACCATGTACGTACGTCGGGTTTAGGTGGACTCAGCTGGAACTGGATCAAACCTATCCGAGCTTTCTCAATTCTTGTAGGGCCACCGCTGCTCTTGATGACGGGCTGGTTCAGAACCAAGCCATCAATCATCTCACTGTCCTCGATTGTGCCTCCAACCTTCTTAATGATCCGAATATTGCGCAGATCGACATTCTCAGCAGTCTTGGGATCAACAATCTTCAACACGGAGTCAACAGCCATCGGACCCAGGAGGCCAGAATGCTGGGAGACAATCTTCGACGAGAGGGAGGTGGAGGCAGCTTGGAGGAGGGTAGCACGGTCGGTCAGGTTGATCGGTCGAGACATGTTGTGGAGAATCCCGACGGCAGCATTGGCTGCACGCTGGAAAGACTCGGAGATGACAGTGGGGTGAATGCCCTTTGACAACAATCGCTCAGCAGCACCAAGCAGACTACCAGCGATGACAACGACCGAGGTTGTACCATCGCCAGCTTCCACATCCTGTGCAGCACTGAGGTCGACAAGCATGCGAGCGGCGGGGTGCATGACGCTCATATCTTTGAGCATGGTATTTCCATCGTTGGTCTGCGGGGGGTTAGTCGGGGGCGTCACGAGGGTAGAAGTGGGCTTCGTACGATGATGGTGTTTCCCTTGGGTGTTTGGATCTAGATTGATGATTAACATTCGACAATTATCATTCAGCAGGGAAGATTGGCTGTAGAGAGCATACCATCTTGTCCATACCCCTGGGTCCCAAAGACTGTTTCCCCGTTAGACTTAGCCCCTCAATTTAGGAGCCCAAATTGTCTGAATATGACATACTGTTCGAATAGCATCGGCGACAGCTGAAACTTGTTAGCATACAGCTCAGAGCATATGAAAGACGAATTGACATACCCCGAGCAGCAAGAATGTTGGATTGCCGCACCGCCATGGGCTTCTCCTTGTCCTGGACACTGTTTAGCAGCTGATCCGCACAAATAGATTTTCGCGAGGCGCACTTTGAAGGTAGTGTTGCCAGAGGCTCCCTGAGCCACTGCGGTCGCCATTTTGAATATCGAAATCCAAATACAGCCGATTAGAAATGACCGAAATGGGAAGTCAGAGCAACGGTGATGGTGGGACACTTGAGGAAATTCTGCGAGGTTCTGGGGCGGTGATGAAGCTTGGCGCTGATTAGTGAGTTGAGCTTCGACCACCACAGCTCTGCTACATCACCAACCCATCCGCTCGTATTCTATTCACTGTCCTACCACTCTTCAATTCCGGAAGATCCAAAGATCCCCATTTTCTTCAAATCTGCTTCTATTTTCGCCCTTTGATATCCTCCTCCTGTTTTACCCCTAGCTCCTCGGCCCTAGGCTGTCAACACCTGCATCATGCCTAGCGCCACGGGAGCGAACTGGGAGAAGTACCAGAAGAACTTCGCAGACGACGAGGAGCCAGAGAAGAAGATCACCCCTTTGACAGACGAGTAAGTTTGCTCCGTCTCGTTGATTTGGGATGGCTCTGGGTTTGCTTGATGATGGATGTGGCTAACGTTCTCCGCAGTGATATCGCAGTACTCAAAACCTATGGCGCCGCCCCTACGCCAACGCTCTCAAGAAGCTCGAGAAGGATATCAAGGAAAGACAAGCAAGTGTCAACGAGAAAATTGGTGTGAAGGTAACGAGAGGACGTGTCAACTCTGCCCCTTGGAACGTTAAAGCTCATATGCGCTCAGGAATCCGACACCGGTCTCGCACCTCCACACCTTTGGGATGTCGCCGCCGACCGACAACGTATGGCCGAAGAGCAACCGCTGCAAGTTGCTCGCTGCACAAAGATTATTCAGGATGAGAAGGACTCAGACAAGAGCAAATATGTCATCAACGTCAAGCAGATTGCCAAGTTCGTTGTTAACTTGGGAGAACGCGTCAGTCCGACAGATATTGAAGAAGGCATGAGAGTGGGGTATGATTTATCGTTTTGGTTTTATTGTGTGACTGAGAATCAACTAACTGATGTGGCGTTATAGTGTCGACCGCAATAAGTATCAGATTATGCTGCCGCTGCCGCCCAAGATCGACCCCAGTGTGACGATGATGACCGTCGAGGATAAACCAGATGTGACATATGGCGATGTGGGCGGATGCAAAGAACAAATCGAGAAGCTACGAGAGGTCGTAGAGATGCCTTTGCTATCACCAGAGCGTTTTGTCAACCTCGGCATTGACCCACCCAAGGGTGCACTGCTCTACGGCCCCCAGGTACTGGTAAAACTCTCTGTGCTCGTGCTGTGGCCAACCGAACAGATGCAACTTTTATCCGTGTCATTGGTAGCGAATTGGTGCAGAAGTACGTCGGTGAGGGTGCCCGGATGGTTCGTGAGCTGTTCGAGATGGCGCGCACGAAGAAGGCTTGCATTATCTTCTTCGACGAGATTGATGCTGTCGGTGGTGCTCGTTTTGATGATGGCGCTGGTGGTGACAATGAAGTGCAACGTACCATGCTTGAGTTGATCACCCAACTGGATGGCTTCGATGCCCGTGGTAACATCAAGGTCATGTTTGCCACTAACCGGCCGTCTACACTCGATCCAGCGCTGATGCGTCCTGGACGTATTGACCGCAAGATCGAGTTCTCCCTGCCGGATGTTGAAGGCCGCGCCAACATTCTCCGTATTCATGCCAAGAGCATGTCCGTCGAGCGGGACATTCGATGGGAGCTGATTTCCCGTCTATGCCCTAATGCGACCGGTGCGGAACTCCGGAGTGTTGCGACCGAGGCAGGCATGTTCGCTATCCGCGCGCGTCGAAAGGTGGCGACGGAGAAGGACTTTTTGGCGTCCGTGGAGAAGGTTATCAAGGGTAACTTGAAGTTCAACTCGACTGCTACGTACATGCAGTACAACTAGGACTAGAGATTGGTGCCGGTTTTCTTGCATAGGCATGGCGGATGGACTGTATGATCACTCTAGTTTTGTTATTTCTAAGCTTTTTAAGCTCTTTCCGTGGACGAATTTATAATGTACCACATTTAAATTCTATTGATGAATTGTCTCTGAAGCTTGTTGTGTTTAGGCATCACAGCAAGGGCACTGTATATTAATATTGCAGTCCCCTCTCATTTGGCCGGAGTTTGAGTTCGGTGATGAGTATATTTCCGATCAAGGTGACATCACGTGATTGATGTATAAATCGAATTGAAGATGCTCGGGATACTCAAATGGGTCCAAATAAACCATGGGATCCTTAATTTCGCTGCAAAAGATACAAAATTATCTCTTCAATCGCGGCAGCAACTCTGCAGGTCGTTTTCGGCCCATTCGATCTCTTGCCGTTCCATCCCGATCCTCCACTATGGTGGCCGGCAAAACGAATTGCGGGTCACGTGCATCTGGCCAATCACGGGCGACCGGCAGCCCGAGGCTTTCCCCCATTGCTTTCCATTGCACGCTACTTGATTGGCTACTTCGGCCCCGGTCCTCCCCGTCGGCAAGTGAGAAAATGCTTAGGTCAGCGCAAACTGCCAACCGCAACCCGATCACAGAGCAATTGTCCTGGCAGGAGCACTGTTCCCCCAATCCACCTCTCCCCTCCTATCTAATTCTCGCCGATTGCCGGTGTCATTTTTGCTTTTCGGGTTTGGGAATCGTCCTCCTTCTGACCCGTCATCATGAGCTTTCTAGGCTCGCGGAGCTTGGCTCCTGCCTCTAAGGTGAGTTGCCGACGAGTGAACGATTTTCGGCCCGGAGTGCGTGTTGAATTACTGACGAATGCGCTGTTGTTGCAGGTTTCCCGTGCTTTGAGGGACCAGAGACGTCTCTTCTCCTCCTCTCGACCTACTGGTACGCGTTGACTTCGCCCACCCCTTCCGTCCTATCTTTCCTCAACTAACCATCTTTCCGGTAGCCCGGTTATGGACTCCTGGTCCGCTGCGCGCCAAGGAGGCCAATGGCTTGATTTCCGACAAGTACCCTGTCATTGTAGGCTCGCCCGATTAAATAATATTGAGAGTTGTGAGATTAAGCGGTTCTGACTGGAACAGGATCATGAATACGATGCCGTCGTTGTCGGTGCCGGTGGTGCCGGTCTTCGTGCTGCTTTCGGTCTGGCCGAAGCTGGCTTCAACACTGCCTGTGTTTCCAAGCTCTTCCCCACTCGTTCGCACACTGTCGCTGCTCAAGGTGGTATCAACGCTGCCCTTGGAAAGTAGGTTGCCCCCAATCGCGTCTGGCTAAGATTCACCGAGCTTCCGGAGCTAATGAGACGAATAGCATGCACGAGGATGACTGGAGATGGCACATGTACGATACCGTCAAGGGTTCGGATTGGCTAGGTGACCAGGATGCGATTCACTACATGACCCGTGAGGCTCCCGCCTCCGTCCGTGAGCTGGAAGGTTACGGCTGTCCCTTCTCCCGTACTGAGGATGGCCGCATCTACCAACGTGCCTTCGGTGGTCAGTCCAAGGAATTCGGCAAGGGTGGCCAGGCCTACCGCTGCTGCGCCGCTGCTGACCGTACCGGTCACGCTCTGCTGCACACTCTTTACGGCCAGTCTCTGCGCCACAACACCAACTACTTCATCGAGTACTTCGCTCTCGATCTCCTGATGGAGGATGGTGAGTGCCGCGGTATCATTGCCTACAACCAGGAGGATGGTACTCTGCACCGTTTCAAGGCCCACCACACCGTTCTGGCCACTGGTGGCTACGGCCGTGCCTACTTCAGCTGTACCTCCGCTCATACTTGCACTGGTGATGGTATGGCCATGGTTGCCCGTGCTGGCCTTCCTAACCAGGATCTGGAGTTCGTCCAGTTCCACCCTACCGGTATCTACGGTGCCGGTTGTCTGATTACTGAGGGTTCCCGTGGTGAGGGTGGCTACCTGCTCAACTCTGAGGGTGAGCGTTTCATGGAGCGTTATGCTCCTACCGCCAAGGATCTGGCATCTCGTGACGTTGTGTCTCGTTCCATGACTCTTGAGATTCGTGAGGGCCGTGGTGTCGGTCCTGAGAAGGACCACATCTACCTGCAGCTGAGCCACTTGCCGGCTGAGCTGCTTCACGAGCGTTTGCCCGGTATCTCCGAGACCGCTTCCATTTTCGCCGGTGTCGATGTTACCAAGCAGCCCATCCCCGTCCTGCCTACTGTTCACTACAACATGGGTGGTATTCCCACTAAGTACACTGGTGAGGTCCTGAGTGTTGATGAGAACGGTCAGGATAAGGTTGTTCCTGGTCTGTACGCTTGCGGTGAGGCCGCTTGTGTGTCTGTTCATGGTGCCAACCGTCTGGGTGCCAACTCCCTGCTTGATCTGATCGTCTTCGGTCGTGCTGTTTCCCACCGTGTCCGCGACATCGCCTCCCCCGGCAAGCCCCACAAGGAGCTGGCTTCTGACGCCGGTGCCGAGTCCATCAAGGACCTTGACTTCGCCCGTACCGCTGACGGCCCCAAGTCTACCTTCGAGATCCGTAACGCCATGCAGAAGGCCATGCAGACTGATGTCAGCGTTTTCCGTACCCAGGAGAGCTTGGACGATGGTGTCAAGCGCGTGAATGAGATCGACCAGTGGTACGAGCAGGTCGGCACCAAGGACCGCAGCATGATTTGGAACTCCGACCTTGTTGAGACCCTGGAGCTCCGCAACCTGTTGACTTGCGCGTATGTGTCCCCTGGATGAATTCACGCTTCCAAGATGATCGAGCTAATTCTCTTTTTTTCAGTACTCAAACCGCCCTGGCTGCCTCTAACCGCAAGGAGTCTCGTGGTGCCCACGCCCGCGAGGACTTCCCCGACCGTGACGACGAGAACTGGATGAAGCACACTCTTACCTGGCAGAAGAAGCCCCACGGCAAGGTCGATCTTGGCTACCGTGCCGTTGAGGCGAACACTCTGGATGAGAGCGAGTGCAAGCCTGTGCCACCCTTCAAGCGTGTCTACTAAACCTTTCGTCTTGCAAGAGAAATTTTCAGAGACGGGGATGAGAATACCAGAGATTGGTTTCAGATGTCATTTGAACAGTGGCTAATTTTGGGTTAATCTGAGACTGAAATTAGCCTTTGGATGTGACGTCGGTGGAGGAGTCCATGAAAAGATGTTTTTTATTTGACTGTGTTACTTACTATCCTGTATAGCCATATTTTCCTTTATCTTACAGGCGAAGAGTTGGTGTACTGAGTGTTTTTTTTTCCCCCTCAGTTTGTTTCATATCACCTGGAATTTTCTTTTTTTTTTAAAGAAACTAATCGTCCGTTTCACAACCAATTTTGGCTTTCGTAGTCCTCAAAATATTTGTATCGATGTTTCCCTAGCCACCTATCATATGGACTGGTGGAACTTCTGGAAAGTGAATAAAGAAAGTGAACCACCTCGTTTCGTATTACTTTTTCCTTCAATTCTTCTTCGTCCTGTTCTAAGCCGTCCAATCCCACGACTTGGCAGGCCGCTGTTCTTTAACATACACGCAGCCACATCGGAATAAAACGGCACATCCTTATAACGCTGGTTTCACCTCTCTGACAAAGAGAACATGCGGCATGAAACAGTGGCTCTGTTACTTCTATTTATGGGACTTGCCTCCAAGTCCAGGATCCCTGAACGTCTCAAACAAAGCAACCTTTCTCTCTGATGAAATTACGTCGCAGATTTCAGGCTTAGTAGTGTCTGAAAATAATCTCTATGGAAGCCAGTCATGATGCACTTGATCAATAGATGCCTTTTTCTCGAGGAACCCGATTCTTGAACCTTCACTTTCTCTCATGATGTTGAATGGGAAACCACTTGCTAGAGTTGACGTCAATCGTCACCAAACATAGCCATTACAACACGGGTCAACACTGCCAGATGGAATCCCTGGTATTAAGATCAGACAACAGGGTTTGTACGGGGGGCAAGCAGTGGTATGTCTGCTCTATTGGAAGTTATACAGGATGTTGTTCAAGCGATCCCTGCACGTCGGGTGTGTGTCCCGACGGCGACAGTTTGAGCTCGTCAACCACCGCCCAGACAACATCGACATCGCAGGCATCTAGTTCAAGCACACTATCCCGCACAAGCTCAACTACATCAACCTCCACTTTTACTACTTCAGAAATATCTGCTCCATCAACTGCATCCATTTCATTACAAACCACTAGTACGAAAAGCTCAACCTCTGTACTAGCAACTGCCCAGTCCAGCATAGGCGCCATAGTCGGTGGAGTCTTAGGAGGAGTCATTGGTTTTCTTCTTGTTGCTTTACTTCTTTGGGTTTCTTGCAGACGAAGAAAGAATAAGAAGTCGCTTATCTTCCAATTCCAACGATATGTTGATAATAAATCTATTCATGGTGATCAAGAGGCGTGTTCAAGTTCGAAGACGAGCATTTCCTCAAATAATCAAATACGGCAGTTGAACAGTAAGCATGACCTTCAACTATAAATTTCGAACCGACAAATGATTAATGTTTAGGTCCAGACGTTTTGCGAAGCCGTACAGATCAATCTCTTTCCATATCGGGATCAGAGGCCCATACAGATATCTCTGATCCCAGCCAGGCCATGGCTCTGACCATCAGAATTCCGAATGTTGCTGAACCGGAGCACTCCTCGTGCTTGGGGTCCATCAATAGCCCCTCGCTGGCTCATATACAACTCCAACAGAAAAGAAGCTCGTCCAGTGAGCTCCCGGCGTCCATACCCCGAGGTGCTGGTTTTACGCCCGAACTTTCAGACACAGGGTTTTACCGACAGCGGGCAGAATTGGCATCTGTCTCCCAAAGTGAATTGATAAACGTCTCCCTCAGCCAAAGACTCCGCTATAGTCTAAAAAAGACCGATAGAGCAACTCGTTTCTCTGATATTTCCCCTCTCTCCTCCAGGTGGAACGGTGTTCCTAGCTCAAATTCCAGCAGTAGCCCCCAGGTGAGCCCGGAGCTCATGACTCGACACACAGCACGGCAGATGGTAACCGGGGAGGGTATAGTTATGAGCGCAAATCTAGGCCGATGCTCTATTGGAGAGGTACCGCAGGATGATATAAAGGGAAAGGAAAATGTGCCGAGGTCGCAAGAACACGTCATGAGCTTCATGGTTTATGATGGAGTGGTTGAAAGGATCCATAAGAGAAGGCTGGAAGGTAGAAATAACACTGATAGGAGTGGGACAGCTGCCAGCGCGCCTCAGTCAGTGCCTTCAATGGCCCTTGAAGAAGATAATATTTCCCTTATGTGTGAGGCGCCACCAGCATACGAGCTCAATGGTGTATTTTCAGAGCAAAACGAGAAGTCTCCAGCAGCGACAATCGGACTCGGATGATGATAAGTTCAGGGCTAGCCATATTTCCTCATCGACAGGTCTAAAATCACGAAGTGCTTTAAACTTGAAATTGAAAGAGATAAAATGTCATTTTTGTCTAGCCGAAAAGTTCCTCCTTAGCACACCGGTATTGCCTTCCTGATATAATTCCAACTGAAACACCCTCAACCCTCATATTTTGCATGTTTGTATATCTACAGCAGCTTCTTCAGAACAGAGGTCTGCTCAATAACAGCCCGTTTGCTGGTGCCACCGATAGCATCCTTCAGCTCGACAGCCCGCTCGTAGTCGAGGCAGGTTTGAACGTCGGCATCGAAGCGAGAATCAACAGTCTGCAGCTGCTGCAGCGAGAGTTTGTCCATGGGGATATTGGTCTGTTCAGCAAGCTGGACAACACGACCGGAAATGTGGTGGCCCTCACGGAACGGCACGCCCTTGCGCACAAGGTAGTCTGCGATCTCGGTAGCCAGCATTTCAGGGGCCAGAGCAGCGGCCATCTTCTCGGGAATGGTGGTCAACGTCGACAGAACACCAGTGGCAATTTGAATGCTGTCGCTGACCGTCTTGATATGGTCAAGCAGAGGCTCAATGCTCTCCTGCAGGTCCTTATTGTAGGTGGTAGGCAGGCCCTTGATGGTCATCATCAGACCGGCCATTTGGCCAAAGGCACGACCGGACTTGCCGCGGAGCAGCTCCAGGCTGTCAGCGTTCTTCTTCTGCGGCATGAGGGAAGAACCAGTGGAATAGGCGTCTGACAGGCGGACGAAGCCAAATTCCAGACTGCTATAGATGATCAAATCCTCAGCCCAGCGGGAGATCTTGAGCATGAATGAGCTACCCCACTGCATGGTCTCCATGGCGAAGTCACGGTCCCCAACAGTGTTCATCGAGTTGTACAGGAGATCGTCAAAGCCAAGCTCTTTAGCCATAGCCTCGCGATCAATCTGGAAGGGGTTGCCAGCTAGAGCGCCGCAGCCGAGCGGGCTGCGGTTGACACGGCGGATAACCTCACGCAGGCGCTGCAGCTCGCTGGCAAATGCGGTGGCGTGTGACAGCATCCAGTGGGACCAGCGGACGGGCTGGGCCTTCTGGAGGTGGGTGTAACCGGGCATAATAATGTCGATCTCCTTTTCCGCACGGGCGATGGAGACCTTGATCAGGTCGCTTAGGTGGCTGTCAAGAATGCGCAGCTCGTCGCGCAGCCACAGACGCATATCAGTCGCGACCTGCTCATTCCGCGAACGGCCTGTGTGCAGCTTGCCACCGATCTCTTTGCCGATGATCTCACTAAGACGACGCTCGTTGGCAGTATGGATATCCTCATCATTCTCCTTGGCTTCGAAAGTGTTGGTGCTCCACTCGATGGCGATTTGCTGGAAACCACGCTCGATTTCGGCGAATTCATGCGGGGTCAAGATACCGGTCTTCATGTTGGCGCGAGCGAAGGCAATCGATCCAGCAATGTCCTGCTTCCACATAACACGATCGTAGGGTAGAGACTGGTTGTACTGAACCATGAGAGGATCGAGGCCCTCTAGAGGTCAGGGTTATCGTAAGTTAGTCATTTGCTGTAGCCTCTCATTTCTATCCTAGCGGACAGCGAGGGTGCTCGTGGGCTACGTACGGGTGAAGCGACCTCCCCAGAGCATGTTTTCAGCGACTCCCTTGGTATTGCTCATGATTGCGGGTTAGAACCTGGTCAATTGAAGGGTAATTGAGTGTAGCGAGCGAATTGAACGGAGAACGAGGTGACTCAAATGACTGATAATCTGTGGCTCAACCGATTATCGGAACGCTAATCCCCTTTGGGAAAGATCGACCGTGGGGGATTTGTGAAGCGGCGGGCAAATATCGACATAGCTACACCCGGCAAGACGATGAAAGTTTCGTGAGAAATTATAAGAACGAGATGATAGTATTCTTCGAACGAGGATTGGCTTTTAGCGACTTGGAATATAAACCAGAAGTGCCTACACTCTAATTCTGTAGGTAATGGACATGGAATTTTATAAGCGGTGTGATTAATAAAACGAGATGCCTCATTTACAAGACGACTATCATCTGAGCATAGGCAGTGCTCTTGGCTTACTTTACTAAATCATGCCGTCCGTATTTCTGTTAAGTCCGAAGCGAGTTGGAAAATAGGAATATAGAAGTTATCTTGACCGGGGTCCTGTTTTGCGTACCAATTCCCGTTTTCTTCCACGACGTAATTGGGGCCGAATCCCTCGGCAGTCTTTGTAATATACTTCAAATAGTCTATGAGCACTAAGCACCTAATTTTCAAAATTGCCGCATGGAGCCATTAGAGGACAGTCGAGCGGAACATCAACACAGACTAGAAGCCAGTGAACAAAAGAATTATCGAAGAGTTCCTCAAGCAGATTTAACATTGATATCTTAGGAGTCATCATATGTCTGTTTTTCCCGAGCATTTTCTGAGAGACAGGTTCAATCTAATAATCAAGTTTTTGATGGAATCAATACTATATTCAGAGGCTGTTATCTGGGGGGCCGGTTGGGTGGAGGGCAGGTATAAATTTCTTCTTCTGGAGAGCGGAAAGCTACCAATTAATGTATATTGAGAAGAGAACTGGTCTAGGAGAACCTGCATGAATTTTCTATTGACGATGATAAGAAATATTTTAACTGAAGCTCTTACTGGATGGTGTGAACTTTTTCATCGCCACAATGTGTATCTGTCAAATATTTTCAACCCTAACAATTTTCCTCTTCTGCCACGAACCATTGATCGCCAACTCGGAAACCAGTGGGCCAAGGATCAGTTGCATCCAAGACATATTGCTTAAAAGAGTTGATCCAAGCACTTCCCTTTACAGTAGGTTCGATGGCCTCATACTCTCCAACCGTTGTCGTGCTACGGATGTGACATTCGAAGGTGCTACCAATGATACTGCGGTGCACGAAACGCTCACCCACAGCAAGCTCGCCGCGGGCATGAAGAATAGCCATTCTTGCACAACTGCCTGTGCCACATGGGCATCGATCAAATCGACCGGGAGATACCACAACGGTATTGATGGCTTCCATTTTCCCTCTATCCATAGGTTCTGTGAACTCAAGAATGCTCACCCCCTTGATACTGGGATTTTCTGGGTGAATTGGAACGTAGTCGGGGTTTTTAAGCGCGCTCTTGATTGCCTCAGCGATCTGAATCAGCCTTGGACCATTTTTGTGGTTGATCTTGATGCCAATCTTTGTGGCATCAACAACGGCGTAGATCATGCCACCCCAGGCAATATCGAGTGTAATAGTTCCCAGCTCTGGAAATCCAGGGACTTTTATCGGAAAATCCAGCTTGAACACAAACGCCGGTACATTATTGAAGGAAACAGCCTTGACTTTCCCGTTCTCGCAGTCTGCATTAACGGTTACCAGCCCAGCTGGTGTATCTAATGTCAAGTTTGTAACAGGCTCTAACATATTCACCATTCCTGTCTCCAGAAGAACTGTAGATGTAGCGATCGTATTGCCCCCTGACATGGGTGGATATTCATCACTTTCCATAATCAAAAATCCAGCATCAGCTGCGGGATTCGCAGGTGGCAGGATGAGATTCAAGCACATAGCCGAGCGCCCTCGAGGCTCCTGCATGAGAAGTTGACGAATATCATCTTGCTTATCCCGAAAGTGGACCAGCTTATCGTACATGGTGTTGCATCCTGCCGGATTCATTACACCTCCGGTAATGACATCGCAAGCTTCACCTGCGCAGTGGCAACCGACCACCTGAATATGGCGTTTCAAATTCACCATGTTGGGAGACAATTAATTGAGAAGCAGGGCCAGAAGCTAGGTTGCTTGGAAGGAATAGGTTTGAGTATGTCAACGTTGCAGTTGGGGGGACGTTGTCGCTTATTTTATATCGAAATTTCTTTCGCAAAGCATGAAATACTAGTGAAGGAACCCCGCATTCCTTTGGTTCTCCAGATAAACATGTAGAATATACGGTATATGAAAGTTCTTCAAAGGGGTGGAAGAAACAACTAGTTTCGGTCCAAAATTAACTTCGCGGCGATGAGACCGAGTCTCGCGGATGTGTCCCCGAGTCCGAAATGACAAAACTTCCACTGGGTCACTCGACTCATTGTAAAAATGTTAGGATAGTCACTTCTGAACCGAAATTTTGAACTTTCATACTTGATAATTCCAGAGATTGGAGATGGTCGGCAACTTAGCCGATCAGATATGACGAAATAAGTGAGAGTGCCACTCCAACTGGTGGGTAAAGCGCCGCCACGGCTAACTTCCCGAACAACACATATAGCTAGTCACCTGCCTTAAAAAGCTGCCGCTGAGGATGTGCTGAATAGGCTATTCGTTTTAGCCAGTTTCATTAACTACTTGCTTATTCCTTTGAGATATCCGCAAGTGCGCTTCTTCTCCCACGCACCATACTTCATTGACAAGTGAATGCCGATCTGCTCCAAATGGATAACATGCAGTGTCTCGCCAACGATACCGTTTATCAAATATTAATAAATCTCACCAAAGATGAGGCAACTTCCTTCCGAAATACTATCGAGAAAACGCTCGAAGACTTTTCTATGGGCAGCGAGGGCCAGTACCAGCCTGAGCCTAGTGCCATCAGTCGACCCAATGGTCAAAGGACTCTCTTTCGAGGTTTTACCTCCGATGCGAGCGTCGGTGCGAAGATCATTGTTGAGCCTGCGCCCGTGCATAATGGAAAAAAGGAAGCTCTACATGGCATTTTGATCCTGATGGACGGAAATGGAAACCCCACTAGTGTTCTAGGTGCTGAGGAAGTGACTGGCTATCGCACTTCTATGAATGTCATGGTGCCCTTCTCCTGGAGGAAACATGTTGACAGTATTATCATTTTTGGGTGTGGAGTGCAAGCCTTATGGCATGCTCGCCTCATTTTGACTCTTAGAGGTTCTGAAGTCAAGACCATCACTTTTGCGAATCGTTCCAGATACAAATTCGATGAATTGATCGAAACGCTGTCTCGTGAAAACAAGACCCGTTGGATGTCAGGCTGCTCTTTTCATCATATCGATACCACTGCAACCGATTTTCAACAGCAGATCAAGACTTGTCTGAACGAAGTTGACTGCATCTTCTGCACCACTCCTTCTCAAAAGGCTCTTTTCCCCGCTGACTACTTAACTCGAAGGAGTAGGAACGGGCAGCGCCAGCCTTTCATTTCAGCTGCTGGTTCCTGGCAGTCAGATATGATGGAGCTCGATCCCGCATTGTTGCACCATGCTATAGCCACTGAAGGCGGTTATAACCCCGTTAATGGCAACGCCCATGGTGTCGTGCTTGTGGATGACCGAAATTATTCTCTTTACAATTCAGGAGAGGTGGTTCAGAGTAAAATCGCCGCAAGAGACATGGTTGAATTGGGGGAGATAGTTTCTCTAAGAAGCGGAAAAACCAAGCCTCTCAACAACCAGCACATTGAGCTGACAAATCGGTTTATTTCACAGGGCTTCGTTGTCTACAAAAGCATCGGGGTCAGTCTCACTGATTTGACGGCAGCAAATGCCATTGTAGCACTCAGAAAGAAGAAACAGAGCCAGTTTTAAGACAGCGATGGCTCGGATATTATGTTAATTCCGCAAGTGAAGGTAATAGAATTTCCAATGTTCGAAACGGGTTTCATGTGGGTGGCTTAGTTACATTCGTATAGGCTATCACCATTAATGAACTACAGAAACTTCCATTTGCCTGAATAGATCATCTAGAAAGATGCTACCAGACATCTTGGTTCATCATAGCGCTAGATACCCATTCGGAATCATCAATCTCGATGGAATCCGCCATTGCCATGATTTCAGCAGAAGTTAAAATGTGCTCAAAGCCGCAATTTGTTTCTAACGACGAGCCCAAAATGGTAGAGGGTGCGTTGCAAGAGTTTCGGCTGCTGGGTGTTGGAATATGTCTCATCGTCTGTGAGGACAATTGAGGACCCACATCGGACTGCCAAGAGATATTAATTTGAGCCGCCATACTAGCCTTGTCTTGAAAAATGGGGTTCAGGGTCTCATTCAGTTGTTGAAGTTCCAACCACCGGAATTTGGCCACTTTGTTTGTGGCCCCGACCATATCTCGGAAAATTGCATAGGCTTTCTCAAGCCAGGAGATATGATCCACTAGCAATAGATGATCAATCACTGGCACCACGAGGAGCACCACAGTGGATATAAAGATTGACTCTAGATCGAAATTGAGAAAAGTTTCTTGTAGAGCTTATTAGACGAATGACCGAGGGCTGGTGTGAGATATAAGGTTCCATACCAAGGAGACCCTGAGACTTCAGACCATGAAGAATCCCGACGCTATGCTGCGCAGAATCCAGGCACATTTGGATCAAATTTCGAATGTTTTGAGATTTTTTGAGAAGTTCTCTACATCTTTCTAAAGAGTCGAGGCGTATTTTCAGGAAGCAGAATAGCAAAGGTCTTGTGGCGATAATAACACACTGAGAATTGATTAATCATGTCAGTAATATAAATCAAATCAGTCCTGTAATGTGAAAATCCTTTGATCGACGACACACCTGTTGGTAAAGGAGATGTAAATACGCGGATGTTCGAGAGATGCCGTTATCCGTGTCATCCAAGTGCAGTGGAAAGGATTCGGAAAGTTTGTCGGCGAGCTTTGCTATACGCTCCAATGCCACTTTGGTGCTCAACAGAAACTTTTGGTTGATTCGGCCATCGAGGCCATACACTGCTGTTCAAGATTGAGATAATTTATCTGAATTTGGGAGCTGTAGGTCTCTTACTACTATTGATATCGTCAATGCTTCGGCATAGTTTGATATGCATGTCCAGTGCCTTATTTTTCTCTTGTGATTCCGAGAGTGAAGGTAAATTGGTTTCCACAAATCGGTCATCGATAGACTGAGGCAAGCCTTGTATGATGCTCATATTTCGATCTAGAATGTAGACCGTCCACCAAATTTTTCGACATCTTTCAACAGCGTTTAACCCCAAGTTTCCAACTGGCATGCGGGTGTGCATGCCATGCGCCATGGCTATGCGCAAGGCCTGGCCGACCTATAGCATTAGTTAGCTATATCACAACAAATTAAGTCTTTTTTGGGAACCTCTACGTAATTATGTGCCGGGCTTCGGAAATCAAGAGATTGGTAAAAGAGCGCTATACAGCACAAGATCTCAGTCGACATCATCGGTGATGAATAGAGTAAATGGTGATCTGGTAGAATCTGCAGGGCTTTGACAAAGTACTTCGTCCCCGAAGGATTCCCATCTTGAAGTGTGGGCTCAATGAAGCTTTTGCCAAGAGCCAAAACCAGGAGAAAATGTATATACCATAGATTTTTCGTTTTTGCTGGCTGGGCTTGGGAATAAAATTCAGACAAAGATACCATGAAATCGCTTTCGTGGAATAGGTGATATAATTGCCCGCAACGGAATTTAACTGTGTTGATCAGGTGGAGGGAATGATCCAGGCTCGGGATAACGGGGTTAAATAAAATCTCATTTGTTCGCCATCCATCCCAGCCCAAGTCATAGGAAGCCCCCTCAAATGTCAATGAATCTGTTCGCAACGCTTCTTTGTGCAAGTGTTGATGGACTAAGCTGAGCACCCGCCGAGTAAATGACCAATTCGAGGAGGTTCCTAGATAAACTAATGATTCGTCAAATCGATTCGTTTCGAAAAAAAAAAAGAAAAAGAAAAGAAAACTAGTGTCAGCGCACAGATTCTTCCATTTCCTGGCGACATGAAGGTTGGCGGGTCAGCTACTATTAGTGCCTTACACCGCCCCCCCAACCCTTCCGGGTTGTGGGTGCGCCACACACTAATTTCCACCCACACACTAATTTCCATTTTCCTATACCTCCCTATTTTTTGCTTCCCTATCCAACACCACTATCTAAATATGCCTAATTTCGACGAATCTCGTATGGCTGAGGCCTGCCTAGCTGCATCACGAGAGGATAAGCCGAATATAGCGCGTTTAGCCCGCGAATATAGCGTGCCTAGGCGTACGCTTGCAAACCGAGTCAAAAAGCATACAGGGCCTCGTACAGCTAGAAGCGGGGTTGGATACGCTCTAGAAGCCTATCAAGAAGAGGCCTTGATTCGCTGGATCCAATATATGAACGATTGCTATATGCCTATCACTCCTAGGATACTAGAAGCGTGGGCGAATCGTGCATGCCAACGCGTCGGCAAGCCGCCGATTAGCAAGATGTGGGCGTATCGCTTTATTAATAGGCTTCCTAAACATCTTCAATTAGGGCCTACTAAGCAGTATACGAAGGAATCAAAGCGAATCCTAGCAGAAGATCCAGCAGCATTACAACATTGGTACGATCTTTTAGCCTAAACAATCAAGAAGACTACACCAGCACGCTTAGTCTACAACTTTGATAAATGCGGCTTTCAACCAGGCGAAGGAAGATCTAGAAACGTTATATCTTCTACTACTAGTAGTAGGAAGATAGTAGATCTTCCTCAGCCAGACCAAGGCGAAAATATAACGACTATCGAGTGTATCGCTGCCGACGGGTGGCAGTTAGAACCTTGGTTTATATTCAAAGGCAACGGGATCTTTATAGAATCTTGGTTCAATCAAACAGAAGGCCTACCACCACATACTATAATCACTACATCGCTAAACGGTTGGATAACCGACGATATAGCAGTTCAGTGGCTTTGATTCTTTATAGAATCAACACGCGACCGTACGAAATCGGGTGAAAAACGTATCCTAATCTTCGACGGTCACGGTTCACATCTTACATTCGAATTCCTATACCTTTGCGAAGAGAACGATATCCTACTAATAGGATTCCTACCACATACTACACACCTTTGCCAACCGCTAGACGGTAAGCCGTTTCTAAGCTATAAGCAACACTTCCGCTTAGCGAATAACGACCACGCGTTTTAGGGTAGAAGCCCTATCGGAAGATCGGAGTTCCTTCGAATAATCGGTGATATTCGGAATAGAGCGTTTAGCCAGCGAATCATTCGTGAATCGTTCAAAGATCGTGGGATCTATCCAGTCGATAGTAGAAAGGTTATTAATAGCCTTCCTATCCAAGAAATCCCAGATCTCCTAGCGCTAGATCTACAACCGCTTCATACAACAACACCTTCACCACCACCTATATCTTCTTCTAGTATCGACCAATCGCCGCCTAGATCTATACAGGATCTAGAAAAGAATCAAAGAAAGATTGCTAGATATCAACAAGAAGATCTTACACCTAGGCAGCAACGCAATCTTGACCGGTTATTTTATCATAACAAGATTGCTATAGAGAACCTAAATCTAGCGAACGATACTATTCGCAAGATTAGGGAAGCTCAACAACCACTACAGCGCCCAATCACCAAGCGCCAGGTTAAAACACCGCTTAGCAAAACAGGGGTTCTCTCTATTAGAGATGCAAATCGTTCTATTACTAAAAGAAAGGAGAAGGAAGCGGATATAGAGCGGAAGCGGGTAAGGAAGCAGTGGAAGAAAACATATGGAACATCACCACCACCAGAACCTACACAGGAAAGCCAGGCATCGTTGGATAGAGCAGAGGAAGCACGTCAGAACGGGCAGGGTTTCTATATAGATACTAGTAGGATGCAGTAGTAGATAGGGGAAATATCAAAAAATGGAAATTAGTGTGTGGGTGGAAATTAGTGTGTGGCGCACCCACAACCCGGACGGGTTGGGGGGGCGGTGTAAGGCACTAATAGCGGATTGACCAATCCAGACTCAGGGTCTTCCGACTCCTGAAGGTGTCCAGTGTCATTTGGTAGGTTTGGCCTTTCATGGCTGGGCGTATGTTCACGATCTAAACAGTCTGTTATAAGTTAGTGATGTCTATCGGACAAAATCTAAAATTGTCTGAGGTTCGAATGAGGAAAGTTGACATGACCTCCACGCTTTTCAACAAATGCCGCTCTGTGCTGTAGCTCTGAAATATATCTAGATGAAGATCAGCCATTTGATCTTTACTTGATCATCGAAAACTTGACCTCCGTGTGACCAAAACTTTTTGGTCCATATCGCTAAAGATGCAAGGAAGACCGCGTCTGTTGCAGCCATGACATGGTTGGGAGCCAGAACATTTGATCTTTTGTTTCCGGCATCGGACACAGCTATTCAGAAATCATCAGCAACAAAGGTGACTTTTCTCCCCGCCTCCGACATACACGCTTGCAGATCTGTTCCTAACCCTTTCAGGTCCGACCATCTTGATTTCTTTTCACTTCGATTCAGATTATTTGATGGGCAGCAATTTGGAATGAGCGCCGCTTTGGTACTTCCCTAGGTTGACCCACGGGGTGAATTATGTGTACAAAATGATTGAATATATAAAATTTCAGCGAGCCGTAGATATCGGCAATGATCCCGACGAACACTATGAGACGGGCCCCTCCTTCGCGTAGCTTGCCGAGAGGCGCCAGGACGAGAGGGGGTCAAACAAACTGCCCCGCTTCTTGGTGAGCGGGGAAATTCTTACGAGCTCTAGGGTTACAAATTTGGCTCAAATTTTTCTGAGGAAAATCTCTGAAAAGTACAAGCATCTACCAGGCTCATTAAAGCAGCCAAGCTAGATATTTTGTTAAGAATCACACTGCAGATTAATTAGCTCACAGGAACGTCTACTTATCAGGCAATCATTCAACGAAGCACCATCAAATCAATTTGCGCCCATAGACAATTTTCATTGGCTGGCTTATGAGGATGCAATTTTAACTACTTTTCAATAAATTCGCCCGTCCCGTCATTGAGTTATATACTCGCAGCTAGGATGACAAGATAAGTTATTAAAAACTCCCGAGAAGCTGGTGAGAAGAAAAATCTTCTTATCTCCCTGAAAATATGACTATGGATGTCTCAAATCCATAAAAATACTTTGATTGACTAATCCGCCCATGAATTTATTTATCACAGCACAAGACGAAGCCTAGAACAAAGAACAAGGATTCATAAGAATGGTTGGTTTATGAAGCTAACTTGAAGTCTTGTGCGCTCCGTTGTAGTTTGTTGAAACTACTTCAATCCTCATATTAGCAACTCACATATTAGTGCCAAGGGAATCACCTCGACTGAACAAAATCTTAGTATCATCGCTAGTTGTTTGTGGTATCCCTCCAAAAGGGCAGCTTTGACCATTATTTGCTCGCTCGGTGACAATATTTTTATCAACGATACTTCTTTGGGAATACAAGCGAGCGTGTTAGTGGGCAACTCAGTTGTAAGTCTTGTTTTTGCTGTGATATTCAAAATATTTGTGGCGATTGAAGCTCCCAGCGCATCACCCAAGATGCGTAGCTGAGTTACTCCACCAATAGCAACGGTTAATGTGGTATAGGTATATTAGCATTATCGAAGTAGGATATCTAGATGAAAGAAACGTACCCAAAACGCATCTTCCTGCTAAGGATGGTATAGTTTTCATAAGTGAGGTCAGACTGAAACCTGTCCCCAGCCCGGGCGACAATTTGATATTTGGAGATCCAGACGGGCAGACCAGCGTTAGCCGGAACCGATTACAGTAGTTACATTCCCAAGATTTGTAAAGAAGCAGCTATCACGAGCACCCCAATGACTGGAACTACCTTTGCTTGTAAAAAAAACCCCCCTACTATGGCAAAACCAACGCCTTGGCTCAATGTGAAAGGCAAAATGTGAATCCCTGAGTCAAGATCAGATTTGCCATTGACGCTCATGAAACGAAGGGGCGATTCGAGCACCAGGGTCACAAAGGATGTTCCTGACAATAATGCGTTACCATTCCCAATGGCATTATCCGCAGAAGTTCATGACCAAAAAAACTCCCTAAAATTCGCTGGAGTTCTAAGATTGAATCAATCATCATTGAAAGAGAGTACTCACAGATAGATTCCCATTAGTAGCCGCATCTTCATGAACTCCTGAGTGATGATTGGCTCCCGCTGGGACTAAAGATTGCACTGCCATAGCCCCAGGGGGTGTTGGGGGCCGAAAGCCCCGTGGACCTATCATGATCATCGATATCCAATAATATTGATACCCACCTAAAGGCCTCCGAATTAGATGCCCAAAAGGGGTTCATGCATTAGTCGATCTTTCTAAAATGTTTAGTTAAGGCCCACTATTGTTGGCAACCACGAGTCTATGAAAAATACATACCGTTAGACAATGTCGATCTGACTCTCCGCTCTAGGAATTTCTATTCGCCGCTCAGGAAGCTACCGAGAGCTTTCAGGCGATCGAAAAACGTGGTCTCCGTAGACATCGCTGGAATATCCACTAGGCCTTCAGGAAGTATTAATTGGGTCTAGTTAATTAGCAAGACACATGTCATAAATGGCTCCGTGCCCCAACCTTCGCGAGTCTAAAGTATTTCACTCCCTATTATCACGCTTCTATTCACGTAATTTGGCACAATACACGATGAGCTCCCCCTTTCATATCTCCGAACATGTCATTGACGCACAACACATTCGTGAGAACTCTCGTGCCACAGCTACCCCCAATGCTCCTTTGAAGCTTTGCATCAAAAAGTACACGCCGATCGATAATCTAACTCCCAAGCCTGGTGATGTGACCTTTGTCGCTTCCCACGGTACTGGACTTCCTAAGGTATGCGTTTAAAATCTCCATGTTCGGCCCCCTAACTGACCTCCATACTAGGAAGTATACGAGCCTCTATGGGAAGAGCTCTTCGCTCGATCCAAGCAGGATGGCTTCCGTATTCGCGCAATCTGGATAGCGGACTCGGTTAACCAAGGCGCCAGCGGAATCCTCAACGAGCAACACCTCGGAAACGATAGTCAGTGAAGCATATAATAAAACCAAAGAAGTCTAGATACACGACTAACATTACCCAGGTACTTGGACAGATCACAGCCGTGATATGCTTCACATGATCTCCCATTTCCTCCCTGAGATGCCCCAGCCAATAATGGGCATAGGTCATAGCGCCGGTGCAGTGTCGCTGTCAGTACTTGGTACTATCCTGGCTTCTAATGAAATATCTCCACTGACCAGTCTCAATCCTCAGTCTATTCGCCTCCTTCTTCCATCCAGGGGTTTTCACTTCCCTCCTCCTGATAGAGCCCTGGATAACTAACCAACCCAGCGCAGCCAGCGGTGCCCTTGTGCTTATTATGGCGGCCGAAAAGCGCGACACCTGGGCTTCACGTGAAGAAGCTGTCAATAAATCCCGCAAATATCTCGGAGCCTGGGACCCACGTGCCTTCAAGCGCTGGGCGGAGTTTGGATACCGTGAACTACCCACGGCGATATATCCATCAGCCCCTGCCGCACCTGGGGCCGTTACTTTAGCCACAACGAAACATCAAGAGGTCATGGCATACACTTATATCAATCCTCGAAAGGAAATGATAGTTCAGTTCCCAGGCGAGAATACAGAAGAGAACAGTAACAACCAGAAGTCAGTGATCCCCGGGAGACAGGTATCTCGGCCCGAACCTGTCGTTGCCTTCAAGATGATGCCGCATCTTGCACCGTCGACACTTTTAATAAGTGGGTCAAAGAGCCCGCTTCATAAAACTGGAAGACATGCAGAGGCAGTTAAAATCGCCGGGACAGGTTTTGGAGGAAATGGCGGGGTGGCTGCTGCTCGCGTGCGCCATGTTGTTATTGACAAGGGGACTCATACTCTTCCGTTAGAGAAGATTGAAGATACTGCAGAGGCCATGGGATCATTTATTCAGAAAGATATTCAGCGATGGAAACAAGATGAGGCACAGCTGGCGCAGGAATGGGGTCCACTTTCTTTGAAAGAGAAGTCGACAATTACTTCACAGTGGACTAATATTGTGAAAAATCCTCTGAAGGCAATGCTGTAGATGAATTAATAATTCAGAATTAGTCCAATGAGAGACCTATTGGTTAGAAATTCGAACCGATTATATGGCATGCATGAGTATCAAGACTGAGAAACGCATTTGGTTGAGTTCAACCAACTTTATCGGGGGAATAGATCTATATCGCCGGAAAAATAGCTCGAAATTCCCCGACAGGACATCTCAAAAGCGATTTCACGGGGAAATACTCGACTTCACCCTCTCTTCGCGAAGCTTTATTGGCACCCTCCTATGTAGTGCCTTGCTACGGTACCGTCCCCGCGACAACACCACATGATGGGCCGAACAAAGCCCATTTTCTTGGTAGTCTTCAGAAGATGGCATCCCTTACCATTCCAAATACTGTGCTGCAATTTGAATCGGGGCTTGTGAACGTACTCGAGAAGGAATCTGAAATACTGCAGAATATCACCGACCAGTTTGCTCCTTTGATGCCGAATTTCCGTGTCTTTTTCTTTTGGGAGCAAGAAAAAAACAGATCTCAAATACTACAGAGAATATATTGTGAATAAAATGAGTGCAGCGCCCATTCTCGACAACACAGAAAGATGCGGCATTGGTGCAGATCATCAAAGGATGTGCAAGTTCCAAAGCCCTAATTACCAGGGGTATAGAACAGCGGTGGCAGCTCTACGTCGCTATGCTCGAGAAGCACCCAAAATGATTCAGAGAAGGTGCCAACGAGCTTCAAACCTGTATCGAGAGGAGAAGTTGGTTGAGGCTGCAGAGCTATTAGGGATTGCTGAAACAACAGGCTCGGGTCCCCGCTAATCTGCCTAGCATTATTATCTTAAAGTGCTGTTTTCTAGGCCTAACTCGATAATTCATAGCCTAATTCTCAGCCCTAATTAAAATAACAAAGATTATATGCCGAGGCCGATGCGGAAGTATCTTACCTCGCTCAATGTACTATGAGGCCTTCTTAACAGAGATCCTGAACTGCATCCATAAGGATGGTATCAACATAACCGGTGCTATTTGGCTCGCTCGACCAACACTTCGGTATGCAGGTGGTCGATCGTAGTACCCTAAACCGCTATTACAAGCGTTTCTTTTTGACCTGGTCGATTTTTTCCATTCACATGGTCTATAGTGTTGAAGTGGAAAAGAGTATTTTTTTCACGCAGATATTTATCAAATATCATTACACTCGTCTCTTTATTATCACCAATAACTTGGAACAAATTTAAGCTTGACAGCGTCAGATGTTGACCCTAGTCTCCCCAGCCCCCAGTCATATCAAAATGAGAATTGCCAAAACTCGTCCAATTACGGGATCTCCAAGCTAAAAGAAAATATTTCGAGTCAACTAGTTCCATTATTCGCCTCGTTTCTTTTTCAACGAGTCTCAAAGAATCGCTATGCCAAATAATCTAGCTACTCTAATTATCACTCTAAGCCAGTCGGTGAAAGAAAGCTCAGTGGGACTCAAAACTTTTTTCGTCCCTGTAAGCCCCACATCGATCAGATGTTCGACTAGTTGAGAGACCTGTCAACACTTTATTGGAAGGAAATTGAAGAGCTTGGATGTGAAAGAGAAGATTGGGAAAAAAATGAAACGTTATGTCAGAGATCACCCACGTAAATATGAATCTGGTTAATTGATATTATTCAAGACAACCTGTAATTTAGGCCACAAGTTCTATTCTCTAGTCTGGTTGCTCAGTGTTGATCTAGATCACGTGATACTTCATCATCAATATGGGTCTCCTTACCTTTGGACCATAACTCCAAGAAAGTGGTTGCTGACACAGAAATTTTACTTTCTAAGACTCCATTATTAGAGTTGGTGCGTGCTGTGTCTTCTTTTCTGTTGGAGACATTATTCTGATCCGGTCCGAGAGTTGTGCTTCGGAAGCGAGAACTACATTGGACAAACAATATATGTATTTTATATCGACAGTCGTTTCACATATCAAACCAGATTCGCAAACCCAATGTTTCCATAGACCTGTCATTTGATCTTATACTTACGTGCGACACGTTGTTCGTCATGTACCTTTTCAAACTCGACTAACAACCAATGCCATACATGTATGTAGCACCTATTTGCTGTATATAGTCGAAAAGAGTCCTCTCGAACTTTTACTGCGACAATTCATGCTAATCATATCTCATGCCATTCATTGATTCATAAGCGTATCAGGCTTCAATATGTAAAAAGTGGCTATATACACTTTACACGGTTTCCATTTGCAGGGGAAATCTATAAATCCCAACCCCATCACAGCACCTCAACAACCGTCCACATCACCGTCGACAACACCTCTCCGCCAATTTTCTCCATCACCCTGGCACTAGCCCGATTATTTTGCGCAACCTCCGTATGCACCCAATCCGCACCGCTGGCACCCTGCACCCCAACATCCCCAAACACACCCTCCGCATCCATACCGCAGCGCATCGTCTCACGCGACAACGACAGCGCCAGCCCGCGTCCACGATGCGCCGGCTCTACGAAAAGCGTCGCGACGGCGCCGTCCATGCCCAAGAACGCCCACGCAATGGGCGCCTCCTCGGTGCCGGACTCGGCATCGCAGTACACCGCGACGCTGGGCATGGTGGAGAGCTGCGCGCGCGAGCGCGGGATGTGTGTGCGGCTCTGGACGAGGTCTAGGTGGGCGGGTTGGACGCCGAGGAGGCCAGCATTGTTGTGGTAGCGGTAGCCTGAGGGCAGGGGGTTCGGAGGCGTGCTGGGGTCGGCGGTGGAGGGGGGGCTGAACGCGGAACGGGGGAAGAAAAATTTGTTGTAGGGGGGTTGTCGATGCGGTGGATGCGCAGGCCCGGGAGAGGATTGAAGGGTTGGTTTGGGGAGGGAAAGGAGGAGGAGCAAGTGAGTAAGGTGTAGAGGGCTGTGTGGAGGGCGCCGATGAGGAAGGCATGCGGGTCGGGGGGCGGGATGAGTGCAACGTCGGAGGATTTGGGGGACGAAGAAGGAGAGGAAGAAGAGGAGGAAGAGGTCAATAGACTGGAAGAAGAAGGCGGAGACGAGAGTGCAGGCGCCATCGCGGACGGGGCTTCAGCTGATGGCGCTGCTGGCAGGGATGACAGGTACTCGGGTAGGAGATGGGTCTTGACATGCGCGAGCAGGGCCAATAATTGGGCCCGGACCGTGTCGAGAGCGGCCGGGGTGGCCGTCGCGAAGGTAGCGGCGTAGTAGCTGATCGTATCGGGACCCGGGGTGGTGGTAGCGGCGCCATTACACTGGGCGACAGGGCTGATCGGGTCAATTGACGTGTGCTCCGCTTCGAGGCTGGAGTAGATGAGCATCTGGGTCTCCCGGCCACGGAAAAGATCCACTCGCGCAGCCAGCCACGGGGTGGCCGTGGCCGTCGGGGTCACGCCGGGTGGGAAAGTGGCCAGGATCTTGGCGGTGGAGCTGGGATACGCGAGGCCATGCTGGAGACGCCGGAAGACGGTGATGGAGTGCGGCAGATGCGCAGCCAGGACCGGCAAGATGGAGTGCGCATCATGCGCATAGAGACATGGTGCTGGAGTGGAGGCCGCAGCAGGATGAGTAGGCGACTGGGTCATGCTGGGGGATCAGGACGATTCTGATTTCAATTCGAGCCGAGATTCCCGACTACCTGGTTGGCGGCTTTGGAGGTGTCACACCGCGTGTAGTCCCTGACGATCGGGACCCTCGGACCCAGTCTCAAGAGGGATGAGACGAGTCGGCGGATGGGCTGAGGATGACAAGGGTGATCCGACAAAATTTTCGAGGAGACGACGTCGAAGTGGTCCGAACGTGGGGAATCAAAGAATCAAAGTGGACAGAAAAAAGTGACAGGTTGGCCCGTGACTCATAAGGGGGATGTCGACTAGTGAAGTGGAGTCATCCGGGGCTACGACGGCGCATACAGGGCTCTTCACTGGGGTACAGATGGAATACTGGAGGCACATGAGCTTTCAATACGAGAACTGGTTCATATAGATCGGGAGGCCTCCCGGTTCCTGGTTCCTGGTTCCTGGTTCCTGGGTTTTGGGGGTTTGGGCTTCGTTTAATTGTGCTCTGGAGTCGACTATCCCTGTTGCAGGTATTTGTCACGCTTGGTCTGTGCCTGTGGCGGTGCGCGACTATTGATGCTAGTGATTCTGACAGGGGATCCGCCGGGCGATCCCTTGTCACCTACGCCGATCATGATGTCGTGGTCAATTCTTTCTGTTCTAGATCCACTTGTTTCCAATCTAGTTCTCGATTATCAGTCTTATGGAAATTGACTTCCCCTCTCTCTCCCCACTCTACGCGTGTCACTGGAGTGGCCTAACCACTACCTGTAAAGATACACAGAATCATGAAGATAAAAATTAGTTCAGAAATCAACAGATGATATTTGCGGGTGGATCCCCAAACGCCAAATCAGCCATTAATTGCAAGGTCAGAACTTTTCCTCGACAGCACGAGAAAGAGAGCGAGAGAGAGAAAGGGAGGTTAATATCCCGATTTTTTTGGTGGCCTGGGCGATCCAAGCTAGAAATCATCAAAGATGAGAGAAACTGTGAACAAAAGAAATTCAGAGAAAAGAAAAAGACCCCATAGAAAAAGAAGAAAAACCCCAAATTTAATAGAAAAAAGAAATAGTGTCATGTCTCATCACTGGGGAAGGTTGAATCGCAGTTCAAATTCCCCCGCCCCCAGTATACCGTCCTGGCCCTCTCATTCCCGGTCTCTCGTAAGTGGTGAAGTGGATAGATAAACCGAGTAACTGCTTTTGGAAGCGCTTCACCAGGGGCTCCGGGCCCCCACCATCCAATCTTCCATCGCCAACCACTCACTCCAACGGGCTTCGGCGGCCCGTATCTCCTCCTCGGAGGGGTCGCGCAAGGGTCGGAGGAAGGGGGTCAACTCGTCCGGAGCGATGTCGTAGGCGGCCTTGGTGTCGGCCCATCCACTACTCTTGGCCGTGAAGAGATAGTTCGTGCGTTCCTGCTTGTAGATACAACCGATGCCCGCCTGCCAGCCATCGCCGAAGAAAGCCTGCAAGATAACCGGGGAGTCCTGCGCCGTCACGATCAGACGACGGATATAAGGTCGGAGGGAGACAAAGGCCGCGGGATGCGTATCCAGTGCATTGGGAGGATTCACAGGGCGTTGAAAGGGGAGTCGGATATTGATAAAGGCAGCGATGGATTGAACTGTTGGGTTTTGTTGCCCGCACTCCACGAAATACTGCACGCAATCTTTGTAGTGGGGGTACCAGCCGGTGGTATCAAGGCGGCCAAACTCGCTGTCGGCCAGGACGGGTTGCGCGTCGGAGGCATAGATCATATCCTCTTCGGCGGGACGGCGCCTATCGGAGCGTTCAGCGTCTCGCTCGACGGATCCTGGAGGAAGGGGAAAAGGTCTCAGAATCACAGCCATGGTGGGAGAAGGTTCCAGGAGAAGGTGGAGGGGAAGTGGATAGGGTGACAGGGGAGGGAAATGAGGGGGTTCAAATAGGGCTATAGCGCCTCTTACGTCCATACGGGATCTCGATTGAGATCAAGGGAGGATGGAAAGAAGTGCAACCCGGGGTTTAGGGGGAGGGGGCTAGGGAAGGGAACCTGGAAGTATAGAAAAAGGAAAACGCACTTGTAGCGTGAGGTTGCTCGCGCGAGCAATGATCGCGTAGGTCCATATGTTGAGAGTTTTCCCAGCACTCTCTTCCGGAACCCTGCATGCTCAGTGACATGGTCGGCTCTCGACATATGTTGGAGAAACAGAGTTGGAGAGCAAGAAGGAGAGAGAGGGCGAGATCGAAAAACCGGAGAGCACAGATCTAGAATTCCTAATTGGCCAAAAGCGCCTTTAAAAAGCAAATGACAGAGCCCCTCACAGAAAAGGGCAGCACTAGATGGGAGCTGGGTGTGATGATATGATATGGAGACGAAAGAAGTATGGGATACGGGATCTGGAGGAACGAGGGGGAGGCGAAAGGCGAGGCCCTTATAGTTCCGGGGCGACATCCTGGAGAACCCAGCTGCCTGTCACAACGGGCAGACCGAGGCCCTCCAGGGTCGGTGTGATGCCCAAAGCGATCACATCTGAAGATCAAGGGCGGACTAGTTCGGGCTTGACGGGCAAGGAGTGGATCGGTGGAGTCGGCATGAGGGAGCTATCGAGTAAGGCGACAAATGGTCAAGCCACAGCGATCCGAGTTTTTCGTTTCTTTTTCGGAGAGCTTGAGCCACAGTTCGCACTAGCCACGGCGTGGCCGAGATGTGGCTCGTGCGCTTGACTCTAAATAGCAAGGAGCATGCGGTAACCCCTTTGAGCGTCCTACAGCATCCTACATGTGGCTGAGGCGTCGGGGTTACTCGGTGGATCCCGACAATGAGATTGTCGACGAACCAGTCAGCGCGGCCCGTCCGATCATACCGTCTCCTGTGATTCGGTAACTCCGGCTAGCCCGCTTGACCAAGTCAATAGTCTCGTTGGTCCCGTGCAAACTAGGATTAGTCTCCCCTCTAGTCAGTCTTGTCCACCGAGAGAAGGTCAGACTGAGTCGCGTCACCGCGACTGAAAGAAGTACGATGGAGAGCAGGAAGCGTCCCTCCTGCGGCCCAATCGACAGGGATTCAAGAATGATTTGGAAGACAGACCCCGGGAGGGGATCGTCACTCCGCTCGCCCTCTCTCTCCCTTTTCCCCACTACGCTAGTCTATAGAGATCAGAAATCGTCGTCGAAGAATGATTCTAGTGCTACGATGCCTGAAAATGGCTAGGACCGTCCCTATGACCCTGATGTCTGACGATTGCGGGACACTTCGCGACAATTGACCTGTGTCGCATTCCTGGCCGCCCCACTGAGTCGACTGTATAGTTCAATTAGGCCAAACTCAGTCGACCTGTGCAAAGCAACGGATGAGTTCGGGGGCGATCGCAGCACTGGGCTATCTCTGTCATCTCTCTATTGCCATAGCTAGTATGGAAGAGAGGGGGAGATCGACGGCGATGACCTGCCCTAACGAGTCGATTTGGAAAAGCGCTCGATCAATAGTGATCAGTAATCCGTAATGAGAAGATCATAGACTATTTGTCTGAACATCTTAATTCCACGATTATTGTTCGGAGATCTCCAAGAGGGGAGGGGGCGAAGGAACCATGGCTGTGTGACAAGCGTTCCTGGACTTCACAATAAACGTGGGACGCGGACAAAGGCGATGCAAGGGGGGTTGGGAAGGAACGAGACAATCCAAGTACCGGCAGCATGATTGGAGTCATGCACCTCGACCAGTGCGGCGTACGGAGTAGAGAAGGTAGCTGTAGCATTCAACCGTGCATTGCTATCGGCAGTCAGCGTCGTAGCCTTTCAATTATGATGAAATTATCATTGTTATTACACTGAACCGTTGTAACTATTTGCAATTGATATTATCATCATTATCGACGGTAGACAACCTTTCCCTAATTCCAACAGCAGTGACCAACACCAATTCCAACACTGTTTACGTATGCTGGAGTGACGGGATGGTGAGGTCGTATCCTGTTGGCAATGATCACGAGCGGCGGGAGTATAGGCCCACTATTGCGATTGACAAGACACACACACACACACACAGACACACTATCTCTCGCTCTCTCTCGACGCTTCTACTGATGATTATTATCGCTGGGATGATCCCAGATGAGCTGCAGGGACCCCTCGGCTCGGCATGACAAAAAAATCCTCATCAAAATCCAATCGTCCCAGCCCCGAGCATCACCAGATCAGATCTCGTATTGGGCTACCAATCACCGCGCACCTGGTCATAAAAAAAAACAAGGCAGATTAATTTCCATCCATAGAATGCCTTGATTTAATTAAATTCCCACTTAACCGACACTAGACCCGTCAGGCACCTCATCCTGGCGGTAAAGGCAGGCTCTCGGGGCCCCCGATCGATCACTGGGCCAATCGACGCTGACGCCCGAGCGCCGGCTCGCGCTGTGACGGGGGCCAATGATCACCCAGCGTCTCGCTTGACCCATCGCCAACTTCCCATTTCCTGGATACCACCAGCATTGCTCGCCAAACTAGCCTCGATCTGCCCAGAAAAAAATGCAAATCACAAAATGGATCCCAACTGACATCCCTGAGTTCGGCTAGCCTGAAAAGCCCTGTTGGTGATGCCCCGCTGCCTGCGGCTGAGGGGATAGGATGAGAGGCCCAGTGGGGTGTTCGGCGATCGGGGCTGAGCGGTTGGCCTGGTTCGCCCTGCGCAACTCGAGAGCTTTTAAATATGCATCTCGACCTGCGCTTGCATCTCAACCTCTCAACTGCATTTCATTCCTTCCTACGGCACGAATTGCCCTGCAACCGGCCCTCTTTCAAACCGGTCCCGAAAAAAAAAAAACGACTCTCGTTATTTGTCCCACCCTGCAAGCCCTACCATCTATCCTCTGCAGGGCCAACAACACGCAAGCCTCATCAGACGTACGCATTCTTTTGGGACGCTGAGATTCGAGATTCGACCTCGGCACTTGTCATATTATTCAACTTCATATACTACGGCTTCGACAACTGCTCCGCCGCAGTTCCACACTTTCACATTCTTTGCCCAAACGATGTACAAAACCAACTATGAGCTCTATGTATGTTCGAACAGCTCCCATGACTTCACCGACCATCATCTAATTGACTTATATTAGGCTCGCGAGAGCATCGATAGTAGGCGCTCGCCCCCTCCAGATGAGCTGCTTGCCCCGTTAGCAACGCTCTACCCACATGTTGCCGCCCTGCAGCCGCAGTACGACCCCAACAGCTGCACCTTCACCGGTTACCGCCACACGGGCTACTGGGCAGCGGCCTACACCACCCAGCCTCTCGAAGAGACACATTTCTCGCCGCGGCGGGCCAGTGGTACGTTTGACTTCTTAATCTATATCTTCAATATATCTGCTGGTTCTTCTTCTCTAACGGAACGCGTCCAGATGCCATTTCCTGCCGCTTTGCCTCAAAACTTTCCAAGCTCCGGCGGTTCCTCAGTCGAGAAGATCTAAATCAACGACGATCGGAAGCGACCACCTAAACGACACTATCTATTCTTTCCTTTCTCACTATTTCATTCATTCGATCTTCCAATGGGCCTCAGCATACTGTACCGACCATCATTTGCGCTTTTTTTCCCGTCTGCATGAGAACAACTCTCCTTCGAACTTTGCATATTCCGAGGCGATTCCTCACACATTCAGGCCCCAACGAGCGGGGGACATCCTGATCAGTTTTGCTTTTTTTGGTGCTTTTTGGCCCCTCATATGTTGGATTGTTGACTCCGCGTCATCTCCCATCTATACTCTCAATTTGTTTCTTGTATTCTCTAGCGATGGTTTAGCGCGGCGTTTTTGTTTTGGGGATTTTGCATGGATACGAAGGATTCCTGTATGATAACACTTGGATGTACCATTTTTTTCGGATGTATATAAGACTGTCTCTATTCTGACAAGAGCATACAAACATTTTGCTACTGAATTCTTTCTTCTCTACTTCCCTCTTCTCCAATTTCAGAGACCAGACAGTCGTCAATGTTTCTAATTTTAACTTGAAACAAGAATCGTGGTTACTGTAGTTACCGGGGCTTCTAACCCCCACCAACCCGCCACCCCCCAAACCCCCAAGTGTGATGAGTTTGGGGGCCAACGAGAATCTTTGGCCCCAACGGGTTGTGAAACGTTCGTCACACTTGCAGCACTGGTGAATCAGAGGAGTTTCGCCCCACTAAAGCAATTCTTCAAGGCTGAGCCACACTTAGCTTGATCGTCACTTGATGCTGCTCCCACAACGTAAGGCAGCCCTTTCCCCCTAGTCCGGCAATTACTGCGCAGGTGCTACGATAGTAGGATTCTGGGGACCTGGAAGCCGGGACGGTCGTACTACGGAAGAGAGAAGCAAAAATAGCCAAGCGGGTCCATAATTCCAATTCGTCCTAAGGGAAAAAATAAGCAAAAGAACAGCTAACTCTAAGCCCAAGCTCCACAACTCGCAGAAACCCCTTCCCCCCCTCCCCCCTGCGTGGATCAAAAGCCACAACCCCGCCCGGGCTCCCATCCCTCGACCTGCAGCGTTGATCGCCCGGCACACTTGAACTTCCTCGTTTCTTTTTTGCCCAAAGACCCAGGTAGCCGATGAGATAATTCTGAGGCACTCAATTAGTGATCTACCTTTGCCGACCGATATCCCGGATGATCAGGGACAGTGAATTCTCCATTCCCATCGACCTAGTTTCCCGCAGACTAAACCAAAAACCCTAATTTCATCGACAAGACTATGTCACTACCGACAGCAAACCAGCCGATCCCAGGCCATAATGACCCTCCCACCGATTGCACAACAAGGAACGAGCTTCCTGATAGAATAATCAACAAATCAAAAATTGAAATCATTCAAAAAGTCAAATTCAAGAAGCAAACTCCAAACTGAACCTACAACTCCCCAGCTCCACGCTGCTCGGTTTTGAGAGGGCTGACCCGTGCAGATCCAATAGTGTGGACACCTCCCTCCCCTGCCCCTATCCTGGTCTCTATCCTATGTCCGGTATTTGAGATTATCCTGAGATAGCATCCACCTTCCACGCTGGGCAAGCAACCATGCAATCATATCAAGATGCCCCGACCTAGATTCGCCTGTTGTGTGACGTCGATGAGGGGAGAGGGGAGCAAAATTCCAACTGCCTATCTGAGTACCTGCCTCTTCCTACGCAGGTATACTACAGAATCACGCGAATTCACGCATATCCTCTGCACGTAGTTGCACATTGAACACTTCCTCACCAGGTCCTATGGCTAGTCTTCCTGTGCGCATAGACCAAAGCCCGGTTGTTCAGATCGAATCCCCCTCCACCGGCCTCGTTCCCCATCTCCAGTCCGGACACTAGTTTCCGGCCCGGATCTTAATTACCAGGGCCTCCGAGCTCAGGCGCCCCGTTCCCATCGATTCTCGTGCGCCACTCAACCTCCCCCTTGCCCCTGCATCCCGCTCCTCCGGATCGTTCTGTCGGATGTCGATTATAGTGCTGCGCCCCAACGCCCAGGTGTTCGGGTTCGGGTGTAAGTGGCAAGGGAGGAGGGGGGTGGGGGGATGAAGAGGAGAGGGACAGTGGTGATTGACCCTGAGTAGGTTTTCATTGGGAGTGCTGGGGTTCTGATTCATGCAGGGGTGTGGAGACTGAGTGCATCTTGGAGGACTTTGTATTTGGAAAGGGTACGATAGTGAGTGGAGAAACTTGGGAGTTTGGGGGAGGGACTAATGATGTCTACTCTAATTCTGAAATGACGGTTGGTACTACTGTACTACTGCCCAAGATAAGCCTAGCATGGCCTGAAGATCTTGAGTAGAGTTATTTTTTAAACAACCCTTTTTTCCCTCCTCGTCGATGGCTCTTTGTTTGTAGATTTTTGAGATGCGGGTTTTGAGCTTATATGCAGCTTGGGGTTTCACTGGCACATGAAGCTATTGGAATGTACCATAGACTCTCGGTGGGCGTTTCGGTGGGCGTGGTGCATCCCAGGTGAGATGGTTGGTCAAAAATTCAGTAAATGATAGATCCTGCTGGTGGTCTTCTGCTGCAGTCATTTCCTGCCAACGGATCAGAAAGGAACTCTGATTTTTGATTATTGAGAGAAAAATGATGATGGCTGATGTCTTGTGGCTTCGACATATGGATGCAGGGCTGTAGTCTAGTATACTTTTTGAAAGGCTAGGTGAAAGCGTAGACATCCCTCTCATGAAATGGTATTGCCTAGCACAGCAAGCAACTCATATGGTGTCCTAACTGTCAGCTTACAATGAGCAGCAATGAAGAAGCCTGGATGATGTAGAGGCGATGGCCTCTCAGCGCTAGCTACCATGTACCAATCATGCCATATGGCCTGGACCAAGATACAACACCTATCTTTGAGTCTAACGAGGCTATACATACTTCATTCCATCACTTCTACACGGTGCAAAATAAACGTAGTTCAAGAGAGGGTATAAATTTAAGACCAAGATAATCACACCACTTGCATCGCGCACACGACCACTACCAACAACCACAACCCTTCGCAGGATGCAACCATCCATAACTCCAAAGCACCAGAATCATTGAAAGAGAGACCATGACAAAGAGATAAGAAACCCGAATCAAATCACCCAGGTTTTTGCAGACCTTCCTCGCAAAAAAAAAGCGAAGAATGCCTGGTCCCATGCTCATTGAGCAGGAATAGGGACATGGGGAGAAAAGGAAAGGGGCAAACAGGAGACACACATGCGTATCATTCAAGAGAGAAGTAACAAGGGAAAAGAAAACAGAATATGAAAAGGAAAAGAAACAGAAGAGACATCATTTAAAAAAAGAGGACGCTGAGTATAGCGTGTGTATGGGGCTGTTCTTCCTTCAGCGCCATAACAACACTCATACTCTCATCATAACCATCAGGTCGTCGGCCGTTTCATATTTCATATTATGACTACGCATAGGACTCGTTTAGGCCAGGCTGGCAGACCCTGCAGCAGCAGTGCCCCAGCGCAGCCTCTTGAGGCTACCACGGACTGCTTCCTGACCGCATGCCGCTGATGACCTGGCGCTTGGGACCGTGCCATCTCCCATAATGCCCATCTCTGCTCGCCCAACCTCTTTGCCTAGCATGTACCCGGCAGAGAAGCTGATGGCAGAGAAGAGGACCACGACACCAGCACTGATGACCCAGGTCATGATTGTCGGGCTGACAGGACCATTGGGGTCTGTCATGCTGGCCCGGCGGCTCTTTCTGGAGGTGCCACTGCGGTCCTTTGGAGAAGTCGAGCGGCGTTTCTCTTTCGCGACGGGCGGGGTAGATGAGGTCGTGGAAGCAGGATGTCTCCGGCGGGACGGGCCCACCGGTGGGCTGGTCTCCGTGTATCGGGGCGATAAGGGACCTTCCTCGCCACTTTCTTCGCCCATCGCGATGGATTCTCCTACCAACCGGAACGAGGCGGGTTGTATAGGCGCTGATGGGCCGGAATGTATCCGAGGCGAATCTGTTTTGGGGAGTCCACGTGCAGCGGCGGCACACGACAGAAGAGTGGAGAGGCTGGAACGAAGAGCAGCGTCATGGTCAGCATGGTGGGATGGCGAGATCATGTTGTATGGGCTATGTTGAGAGTTTTGGGATCTGTGTGATGCTCGAGAGCTGGGGTATGACCCTCTCCGAATCGCGGTGCGACGACTGGAGTTGGATAGGACACTGGGCTGCGAACGGCGCGATTCGGAAGGACGAGTCCAGGAGGGATCGTGGGTATTTGGCGGATGAGAAAAGACATTTGGTTGAGGGACAAAGGGCGACGGGCTAATGCCCATCCCCAGGGCGGTTGATGTATCATCTTCATCGTCACTCGACATATCCTCGGATTGAGAAGGGGCGGGCAAGGAAGCATGTAGGGTTGGGCGATTAATGTTGATGTCTTCGTTCGAACTGCTCATCGATGGATCTGGCTCGCTTTCACTCTCTTCATATTCTTCTTGACTGCTACTTGCAAGACTAGCATCTCTTGGTGAATAGTCCACCTGGGCTGTGGTGACAGCAGCCAAATGCTGTAGGCGCCGTCGGCGACTTCGGTGCTGATACATGCCTGCCTCACGATGTTCCACCCGGAGACCGGTTGTGATGATATCGTCATTTGTGGCGGCTGACGAGAGAGATGAGGAAGATGGCTGCGATGATACTTCGATCCAGGAGTCTATATAATAGCGTAGTGAGTAGATGGAATACATAATGGAGCGCTGTCAAGTTAAGATCGATGAAACATGACGAAACCAGATCGGCAGGGGGGACAAAGGAGAAAAATGAAATGCTAGATCCTGGTATAAAAGGGATACGAGGGGCTCAACATACCCTCTGATCTCATGGCCGCCGCACCGGATGGTCGGGGCTGACCATGCTGTTCGCGCGGCTGGCCATCGCGCATCAGTTGACTGGCGGCTCTGGGCTCCCGCACCTGACCCAGTAGGTCGCAGTGGTTTGGTTGCATGGCCACCGAGATGGAAAAGGGAGGAGGACAAGAGGGGAGTGAGAGAGGGTCAAAAGATAGAAATAGGGGGAGAAGGAAGCGCGAGATCAGGCCACCGCGGTGTCTAAGGAACAAGAGCGGTCAAGCGTGGGGAAGAACATCAATCAATGAGGTTATCTTATCAATGTGGAGAGTGGAGATGGGTGATCGGCCCCATCCCTGGTGCCCAACCGCTCTCGGCACCTGCGATCCCTTCTATCTTAGTCTTTGCACGCAGAGGAGTGCTGACCGAGGGAAGAGGATATATAGATCGCAAGCTGTTGGTAAAGGAGATGAAAATGTGAATTCAGGAAGGAAGGGGGGAAGATTGAGAAGTGGATGATGAGGTGATCAGCAGACGGGACAGGTGATTTGCAGCCCGTGACGGAAGCCACCGAAGGCCACCCCAAAAGGACGCGAGGAGGGGGCAAAAGCCGACGATGAACAGCCACACAGCAGGGAAGGAGAGGAAGAAGGATAGCAAATGGAGAGGATGTTTTAGTTCTAGAGCAGAGTAAAAGATTTAGGACTATTTTAAACCAGTTGACTCTACGACCACCAACGCGAAACGGACGTCCGCACGTTCGACGACTTTGTACAACAAAGACCAACATTCAATGCGGGGAACACAGGGCGGTGGGGGCCGGCAGTACGGACTGACCTCATCAATTGATCGCCATTGACGGTGCGGAGAGGAATGCGCAGGTGGATGTCATGGGGCAGGTCTACCCTACAAACAGGGTCGAAATAAGGGAGCGAAGGTGCAAATTCAAGTGTTCAAATTCAAGATCGTCACGTATGGAATTACATTCAGCCTATGGTGTGCAAACTATAGGACTATGGAGCTATGAAGAATAATAGAAACAGAAACTTTTAGCGACCCAGCTTACACGCAGAAAATTTGCAGGAACAACGAAAAATCAATTGCATGGCAAGGCTTAGAAAGTGACCTTGGTGCCCTTGAACTCGGGAATGCTGCCCTTGGCCTTGTTGAGACCGCCGCCACGGCCGCCGAAGCCACCGCGACCGCCACGACCACCGCCGCCACGGCCACCGAAACCACCACCACCACCACCACGGCCACCGAAACCACCGCCGCCACGGCCGCCGAAGCCACCAGAGCGCTCACCAGCAGGCTTGGGGGTGCTGAAATCCAGGCGCAGGGAACGACCCTCAAGCTCGTAGCCAGAGAGCTCAGCGTGGGCAGACTTGGCCTCGTCGACGGAAGAGTACTGGACGTAGCCGAAGCCCTTGGGCCGGCCGGACTCGGGGTCGGTGGGCAGGCGGATACCGAGGACGGTACCCTGAGCACCGAAGACGTCACGAAGGGCATCCTCGCTAGCACTGAAGGGCAGGTTTCCGACGAACAGGGTGTCGCTCTCGGGGCTGGTCTGGTCACCGTAGCGGCCAGCACGAGACTGGGCACGGTCACGGCCACCCTGCTGGTCGCGGGGCTGGCGAGCAGCGGCATAGTCCAGGTTGATGGGACGGCCATCGATCTCAGTGCCACGCTTGGCCTCGAAAGCCTTGGCGGCGTCAGCAGCATTGGTGTACTCGACGTAGCCGAAACTGTTCGACGCATCTCAAATCAGCAAGTGGTTCAAAAACTCCCGTGGAGACAGACAGGGTGAAATAGAAAGGGAATGGACAGGAAAGTGTGAGTGAATAATGAAAAAAGGCGTCAAACTTACCCACGCGAGCGACCAGAGTCGCGGTCGGTCACGACGCGGCAGCCAGAGAGCTCACCGAACTCGGCGAACTCACGCTGGAGCCAATCCTCATCAACGTGCCATGAGAGGTTACCAACGAAGAGGTTGGCGGAGGCACCCTCAGGAACATCCGCGGTCTTAGTCTTCTTAGTAGCGGTCTCGGGCTCCTCGTCGGCCTTGCGCTTCTTGGACACCTTGGCGGTATCCTCGCTGTCCTCGGACTCAGACTCGGACTCGGAGTCAGAGCTGTCGGAGCTGTCGGAGCCGGACTCATCGGAGGACTCCTATAGACAAGAAAACATATTAGCGATCAAGTAGTTTGTAAAAGGATTAACAATGTGCATACCTTCTCGGCCTTCTTGGCCTTAGGAGCCTCATCCTCGGACTCCGACTCCGACTCAGAGTCGGAAGAGTCAGATTCCTCCTTCTTAGCAGCCTCCTTGGCGGCGGGCTTCTCATCCTCGGACTCAGACTCCGAGGAGGACTCGTCGGAAGACTCAGCCTTCTTAGCGGCCTTCTTGTCGGCCTTCTTGGGAGCGGGCTTCTCCTCCTCGCTCTCGCTCTCGGACTCGCTCTCGCTCTCGGAACCATCCTTCATTTCCTCATCGCTGTCAGACTCAGACTCAGAGGAAGACTCAGCCTTCTTAGCGGCCTTCTTGTCAGCCTTCTTGGGAGCGGGCTTCTCCTCCTCGCTCTCGGACTCGCTGCTAGAGCTAGACTCGGCCTCCTCATCGGACTCGGACTCGGAGGAGCTGCTGGGGGTAGGCTCCTTCTTCTTGTTCTTGCGAGAAGACTTCTCCTCCTTGGCAGCGACCTTGCGGGCAACGTCCTTGCTCTTGGCAGCAGGAGACTGGGTGGCCTTAGCGACACCGGCATCCTTGACCTTGTTCAGTGCCTTGGAGGCCTTCTTGTCAGAGCCCTTGGCGGCGACCTTGGTCTTCGACATCTTGAATTACTATAAAGCAGAATTCATGTTAGCATTCCGTTCAAAAGACCCACAGGGCCTCTTTCACATCCCACGTACTGTGGTGTTTAGGGTAGGTATGTGTTTCAGGTGATGTGCTTTTTCTTGCTCTTTGCTCGGATTTTCTTCTTCTCTTTTTTGTGCGGCAGAGCCAACGAAATCCCTCAGTAGCAACCCGTGATTTGAATGGGACAGAAAGTGAAAACAACCCTCAAGAGATGGAAAAGACAGCCAGGAGTGATCTGATCACAGCTGGTCGATACCCACAAGTAACCCGCAACGGACAGAGTTCAAGCCCACAGAGACCGGCGATACGCAACTAAGATGAAACCCACGAGGAATGATGTCCCACAGAGCCCACGAAATAGAAATGCAGTATTTGAAGCCCACAGCCCTCGATGTGAAAAGCCCACTTAAAATGTCTGTTGAAGTACTTTGAAAGTACGGAACCCACGCAGCCGCGTCAGTTAGTGGAAGGGGAAGGGGGAATGTACTTATTTGATTGCAGGAGTGGGATGATTGAAATAGAGAAAAGGCCTAACACTCGAGCTGAAATCGAAAGTAAGGCAAGAAGATGGGAGAGGATGAAGGAGGAAAGAAAAAAGTCCTGCAGACCGGGCGAAGCTTCTGATAAGAAAAAATCTCTGAGAGAAAAAAAGTCGGGGGCTGGCAGAAACGCCACTCCGCCTGCTTAAACAAGTTAGTACCAGACACTAGCCTCAAAAAAAAAAAAAAAAAAAAACAGAGAAACAGCGCAAAAAGCGGTCGGCGAGTGGAGCCCCAAGCGGGTACCTCGAGGAACTTCGGCAAGTACTCACGTTATCAACTGTTTGTTCAGTTTGACGGCGCGGTTGCCGGTGCACCGCCCGCCACTGCCCAATCCCGTGTAACTCTACGTACTCGGTTCTGCCGGCCTTTTGATGCACCTTCGAGTCCCGAGTTCTGGGCCCCTTCAAGGTACACTTGTTATTCCAACAACGTTCACACTTTCTCCCCTCGGTTTACCACTAGACGGGGCTAAATTGCCCGATTTATTGTGTGTTGGTTCCTCCTCTCCAGGCACCGGTCAATGGGACATATTGAAGTTGCTACCTGGCCTGTCTCGTGATGGCCCCTCCCACTCCCTCATCCCATCGCCCTCGTAAGAAGAGGAAGATCCCGATCGCGCCCGGCTCGAACAACAATCTGATCGTGGATTATGGAGATGGTACACAATCCCCTGCCTTCCCGCTGGTCTCGTTTCTCTGGGCTGCTCGTGCGGGTGTTTCGCAATGGCTTATTCTACCTCTCATCTTGATGGCTGTTGGCCTCTTCCGATGGGCTGTCGGTCTCTGGGGTTATTCCGGTGCGTAATCCTAGCCTTCGAGATGTGTTTAAAATGTATGACATCTGTGAAATTTCTAATACAATCCAGGGTTCAATGTACCTCCTATGCATGGCGACTTCGAAGCCCAGAGACATTGGATGGAGCTCACCACGCACTTGCCAATGGCAAAATGGTACCTTTATGACTTGCAGTACTGGGGTCTAGACTACCCACCATTGACTGCATATCACAGCTGGCTGTTGGGCAAAATGTATGATCTGCCGACCTCCACCTCTTGACCATCGGGGCTTTACTAACCAAAATAGCGGCACTGTGTTTGATCCGGCGTGGTTCGCTTTGGACAAGTCGCGTGGCTTCGAGAGCCCGGATTTGAAGGTCTTTATGCGCGCCACGGTTGTAATCTCCGAATATCTTGTCTACATTCCAGCCGTCGTCAATTTCCTTCGCCGTTACACCCGCATGCAAGGTGTCCATGCATGGTCCGCCTCCATTGCTCTCGTTGCGATCCTCCTCCAACCCGCGACCATCCTCGTCGACCATGGCCATTTCCAGTACAATACTGTTATGCTTGGTCTTATGGTTGCCAGCCTGGATGCCATACTGGCCGGGCGGATGCTCTGGGCTTGCATCTTTTTTGTAGGGGCTTTGGGGTTCAAGCAAATGGCTCTGTACTATGCCCCTGTCATGTTCGCGTACTTGCTGGGTGTTTGTATATTCCCACGAATCCGAATTCTTCGGCTCATCAATATTTCTCTGATTACGGTCGCTGCTTTCGCCCTCCTATTTGCCCCTCTTCTGTTGGGTGCCACGAATACCGAAGCCCGAGAAATCATCGCTACATCACCGCAGCCTCCGCTTCTTCAGGGACTCCCCATTTCGCTGGAGAGGAATTCTGTGGCGTATGCGTTGCTCTTCCAGATGGCACAGACCATTAACCGTGTGTTTCCATTTGCCCGAGGTCTCTTTGAAGATAAGGTCGCCAATGCCTGGTGCGCCATCCATACTTTCTACAAGCTGAATCGTTTCGATGCTTCCTTGTTACAGCAAGCTTCGCTCGGTGCCACCTTGGCCTCGATCGTCGTTCCCTGTGCTATCATTTTCCGCCATCCTCGTGCCTCGCTCATCCTTCCGGCGCTATCATGCGTCTCTTGGGGCTTCTTTCTCTTTTCTTTCCAGGTGCACGAGAAGAGCGTCCTCCTACCTCTCCTCCCTATGACACTTTCCCTAGCGGGCGATGGTGGACTAAGCAAGGAAAACCGTGCTTGGGTAGGCTGGGCTAATATTCTTGGTTCCTGGACTATTTACCCCCTCCTCAAGCGTGAGGAGCTTCGAGTGCCCTATATTGTTATGACCTTGCTCTGGGCGTACCTGATGGGTCTCCCCCGACTTCCTTTGAGATCCTTCGTAGTCGTGCTTCTCTGGAGGATCCCAGCGCTCAGTTCGAACCTCATCTACTGAGCAAAGTCTTGCACGTTGCATTCTACACCGCTATGGGTGGATGGCATGTTCTCGAGGCCTTCGTTCCTCCACCACCCGGCAAGCCCGATCTGTGGGTGGTCCTGAACGCACTAATCGGGGCCGCTGGGTTTGGACTGGCATATCTATGGTGCATGCAGAAGCTGATCATCCAATGTCGTCAAATCGATCGGCTGGCAGCGGAGGAAGAGAGCCGTAAGAAGAAGCAGTGATAAATGCCTTGGGTTGACCGTGTGCTTCAGTGATACCCCATTAAATGCGAATAGGTCGATGTAGAGATAATGGCCCTAGCAAAATTCCAATTGATTGATTTTTCCACCCTCGACAAGGTTTCCTAATCAAAGAGATGAGATGTTGTATTCGTGAACTGGCCTCTATGCTTGTCCGACGCAAGAAATGCTAGCACGGATTTCCAAGACCTCAATTTGGGCGCACTTATCCAGAAGCCCATGTTGTCCACATTTAAAAGAAAATAAAACTCCAGTCACATATGCCAAATCCTGCTATGTTACAATTGCGGTATTATACAAGTGATTGCTCTTCCCATTCCGATCTAGACCTTGAAGCCAAAGCCAGCCATGCATGTCTTGTACTGTTCGATCATAGGCTGACACTCTTTGGCGGGATCATCGGACTTGGAGAAAAGCATGCAGTCATCGCGGGCAGTCTTCTCGTCTTTGCAAACGCAGCAAGGCTATCGTAGAGGAAAGGTCGGTCAGCATTTAGGATCTTCATCTCGACTCATGTCTTCAAATCGTCCCGGGGAGTACCTTAGGCTTTTCGGATTGAGCAGGCTGAGCCTTTGATTCAGGGGTAGCAGGTGCACTCTTTTCTATAAATGGATTGTGAGCAAACTGTTATTCCACGATCAACGGCCAATCTCGCGGGCCCTTGCGCCTTGCACCAGTAGTCACTAGATGCCGGGTCCGCGGTTGGCACAGATACAGTGCAATTGGCGCTTACCACTGGAGGAACCAAAAAGCCACGACATTTTGCAGGTGATAGTGGGTGTGTCAACAGAGAAAGCTTGCAGAAAGAGTGTGGAGAGGAGGTTTGATTGAGTGTTAAAGACGTCGGAGCAATGGCGATGAGACCATCGCAACATTATTATTAATGCGTGCGCCTGCGCAAATGGTCCGCTCTGGTCACCGTAGTGGTTTTTTTTGTTATCGACAAAAACACCCCAATTGCCGCCCTCGAATTTGCCTTCCCCTTCTGCTTCTGGACTCTCCTATCCTACGAGCCTTGTTTCCACTGCTCACTGCCTTTCTTCTACTATCAATACCCACCCCAATTTCAACCCACAATCCTTTAATCTGAAATCTTCGTTTCCCCCTGAAACTACTACCCCGCCATGGCCCCTCACAAGGTCTTCACGCTTGAGGGCAAAGGCCTCAAGCTTGACACTGCTGAAGACATTGAGTCTCACATCAAGCCTCTTGTTGAAGACACCGACTATACTGAAATTCGGTTTGGCGGTAACACTCTGGGTGTGGGTGCTTCTGAGCGCCTTGCAACCGTCATCGCAACCCAGAAGAGCCTGGAGATCGCCGACCTCGCAGACATCTTCACCTCTCGCCTTCTGTCCGAGATTCCACCTGCCCTGAAGTCCCTCTTGGATGCCATCCTCGAAATTCCCTCTGTCCACACGGTGAACCTGTCCGATAACGCCTTCGGTTTGAACACTCAGGCACCCCTCGTCGATTTCCTGTCGCGCCACACCCCACTCCGCCACCTGATCCTCAACAACAATGGATTGGGACCTGCCGCCGGTACTCTGATTGCCGATGCGCTGAGCAAACTCGCCGAGCGCAAGGAGGAAGCCCGCAAGGAGGGCAAAGATATTGCTCTTTTGGAAAGCATCGTTTGCGGACGGAACCGTCTGGAGAATGGCAGTATGGAGGCATGGGCACGTGCCTACCAGAAGCATGCCGCGGGCATGAAATCGGTTAAGATGACCCAGAACGGCATTCGCCAGGAGGGTATTTCCCACCTTCTGAAGAATGGTTTGCGCCACGCAAGCGCCTTGGAGGTTCTGGATTTACAGGATAACACATTCACTGTTATGGGCTCTACCGCTCTAGCCAGTGTCTTGGAGGGCTGGCCGGCTCTGATCGAGCTGGGTGTGGGAGACTGTCTGCTCTCTGCCCGCGGTGGCGTAAAGGTCGCCCAGGCTCTGGCTGCCAACAAGAACCAGAAGGTCCAGACCCTGCGCCTGCAATACAACGAAATTAAGGCCGATGGTGTCAAAGCCCTCACCCACGCCGCCAAGACCGCTCTCCCTAGCTTGCGCCGTGTTGAGCTGAATGGAAATATCTTCTCCGATGAGGATCCCAACATCACCGAACTGCGTGAGCTTCTGGAGGCTCGCCAAGAGGAGCACGGTACCGATGAGGACCCCGAAGATACCTGGGGTGTTGATGAGCTGGATGAGCTCGAGGAAGAGGGCTCCGAAGAGGAGGAAGAGGAAGAGGAAGAAGAGGAGGAGGAGGAGGAGGAAGAGGAGCGCAAGGCGGAGAAGGACCTCAAGGATGCTGATCGTGCCGAGGAGGAGAAGGTGGCCCAGAAGGCGGATAAGGATGTCGATGAACTTGCTGACGTACTGGGCAAGACCGGTCTATAGACCCGCCTCGATTGCTCGACTGCCGATGCTTTGGACTGTCTCTGACTCTCCAACACCTACACGGAATCTAGAGTCATTGACCTTGATGTTTTGACTTGATGGGCTGCTTCCACGCACCGGGCACAAATAAGCGTCATTTTTGCCCTTTAGCACGATTGATGCGCCTGCGCTCTCGTTTCATTTCCACTGCATGAGGTCCCGACTGACGACCCTGACGCCATCTCCTTCCACCATTTCCCCCATTCTTGATATACCCTGTTGACGATGATGACTGCACATAATCCCCATTGCTTTTGCCCATACCATATGCATAGCCATCGCGAGCTCTGGTGTCTTGGGAGGATACAACATTAAAAAAAAGAAAACTTTTGCTCCATATAGATGTGAATACACGACCGGTTTTTACCTGGGTGGCCATCTCTTTTAAATCCTGTCTTTTTCGCAAAGCTATCTGCGATTCCACTTCTCTTAATATACTTTAAAGAAGGCCCTGATGTTTCATGGCACTCAAAGTCGATTTTTGTATACATGACACTTGCGGGGCTTTGATGGAGTGAGAAGTTTCCGAATCGGGCAGTCAGGTCTTGGCACTCGACCTCCGGAGCTTCCCACTCTTTGGTTTTCTTTTGATTTCTTCAACTCTTCCCCCTGACGACCAAGATTTCTCCCTCGACATCCAGATTCTCGATAAATCTCTCAATCGCTTAGCCACACTTTCAGCTCATCATCGTTGGTTGTGTCTTGGGGGTAAGTGCCTGCGCAAACTGCTCCATCCTTTCCTCGCCCTGTTCACTCCGCATCCGCGGTCGCAAAGCAAATTTGAAAAGCGCATCGTCCCCTTCGACCATTCCAAACTTCTCTCTCGATCTATGAGAAGCCCATTCAGATTGGAGATGGTGGGCATATGCGCTGTCCTCCTGTGGTAGAATCTGTTTCTGCCTCGGTTTGCGCTGTCTCCTAGATGTTAGGGCTTGTGGAGGGGGCACGAGTCTTGCGACAATATAGCTACATACCCCTCGACCTTCGGCTTGTGAGGACGGTGTGAATGAGATGCGCATTGTGCACTGCATTTTTGTATCTCAAACCGCTCCTCGCAGACCCCACTATGTCAATTTCTGTGGTTTTAGTTCAGATTTCACTGACAGGTCTTTATAGGCTGCGACGCAACGGAGACACTCACACCGATCATTCCTTACCCTCGATTCTCGTTTGATCACGCCCATATCTACCCATCGCTGCATCGTGGTCATGGAGGCCAGCAAAATCGAGGAGGTGGCCCAGTCCTTGCTCAAGGCCCAGACACAGGCCGATACTGCCGATATCCTTAGATTGCTCAAGGAACTGAGAGATGGCGTGAAGGCCACTGAAGCTCTTTTGCGAAAGACCCGCATCGGTATCCTCGTCAACAAGTTCAAGCAGAACCAAGATCCGGACATTGCCCGATTGTCAAACGAGATCGTCACGAAGTGGCGTAACGATGTCCACAAACAGAAGCCCCGTGCATCCGCATCCGCATCCGTAGCGAGCCGGGGCACCAGCGGATCCCCACGACCGGGACAGAATGGTACTCCATCTTCTACACCAACTTCGGCAAAGCCAAAGTGGGCCCTGGATCCCGAAAAGCGGACATGGAAGGTAGATGAAGTTGATACCAGCGTGACTGGAAACCAGGTACGCGATAGATGTATCGGTTTGATGTATGATGGATTATGCTTGGGCTCGACCGAACCCCCAAAGACCGTGCTTTCAAAGGCCGCAGAGGTTGAAGCTGCTGCATATGACTTTTTGGGCCCTGAGTCCAAAGAGGACTACCGCACTAAGATGCGCAGTCTCTTCCAGAATCTGAAGAACAAATCAAATATGCAGTTGCGTATCCGTGTGGTCTCAGCTGAGATCAGTGCCAACGATTTCGTGCGCATGACCTCCGATGAATTGCGATCTGCGGAGCAGATTGCCAAGGATGAGGAGATCAAGAAGAAGAATATGAACGATGCGATGGTAGCCCAACAAGAACGGAGTATCAGTACCAGCTTGCAATGTGGCAAATGCGGCCAGCGCAAAGTGACCTACACCGAGGCGCAGACCCGCAGTGCTGATGAACCAATGACCCTTTTCTGTACGTGTGTGAACTGCGGCAAGTCATGGCGCCAGTGATTTGCAATCCAAATATGATCATCTGGGGGTAATCCTCGCTTGCGAATGCATGTTTTAGCAGGGGAGTGTGTTTACCACTTCACCGGGGTCTTGGTGTTCTCTGTTTGCCCTCTCTCTCCCTTGGCAAATCTCTTTTTTTTTCATTTTGCTTCTCTTTTTTTTTCTATTTTTGAGAACTTTGCTTTCACTGCGAAAGCCGGCATTGGCGTTTCGTTGTGGCCTTTTCCAGGGGATGAGCTACGATGTGTTTTATTGCGGGAAATGGAGCTTTTGAGTGGACAAACTTTGTCTGATGTGACCAAGAGTGTTTCGGAACTGAATGGCAGCATTGAGATCTGTATCATCACAGGATATCCCTCTCAATTTTCCTTGCATAAGAAGTCTTAAAATATCAAATATCTGGACGTCATTGTTATGTAAGTTCCAGCATACGGACCGCTCGGTTCTACGATTCCAAACTCTCCCATCATTCTTCATCTGTCGTCCATTTACGCTTAAGTCCTCAACCTATGATCACTTCAACTCAATCTCAACTTCATAGATCTTCGTCTTCAGCTACCTGCTTTGCAACCCCGCCCCCCAATTAACATCTCTCGAAAGATCTTCTTCTCTGCTCAATTCCCTCTCTATCATTCATCTTCTGCAATTCATCATGGTCCCCCGCACAACCCTTATTGAACCCGTGCAAGCCCTCCTCTCTGCCCTCACCAACTCAACCTCCCACTCCCCTATATCCACCCTCCTCGCAACTTTCACCACCCAGCCCACCCCACTCGTCCATGAGCATGGCCTCCCCCAGCTAGCCCCCTTCCTCGGCCGCTCCTTCACCGGCCAGGATGGTGTGGCCCGCTACTTCGAGCTCCTCGCCGACCACCTCCGCATCGAGTCCATGGCCTTCGAGTCCGACGACCTCTGGCTCGTCGACGACGCCTCCCAGGCTATCGCCCTCCGCGGCAGCGCCACCTTCACCTGGAAGGACACCGGCCATGCCTGGGACGAGACCTTCATCTACCGCGTCGCGTTGGCTGAGGATGTGGGCCGCGGCGGCGGCTTGCGCGTCTGCGAGTACCGCGTCTGGGCGGACACCGGGGCAGCCTATTTGGCGCGGCTCGGGCGCTTGGATGAGTTACTGGGCGGACGCGGCGGCGTTGAGGGCATTCATTTGCCGGGAGAGCAGGATGATGGCACAGGTATCCAGAAGGACGGGCGCGAGACGCGGCGGTCGTTGGATCGCAAGCGGAGTGGGTGCCAGGATGTGATGGGGGGCGGGTTGAACGTGTACGGCAGTTGCGGGTAACAGTGCACTTTCGAATATGATACACACAAGATGGGATGAAAGATGAGATGAACAGCGGGAATAAGATATCTGGTAGTTGTATACACAAGGCTCTCTCGACGTATTATCCTATCTATTCCACGTCCACGTCCATTTCAAAAAAGAGTGTGAGAGAACCACCCTTTTCTTGCACGCCACCCCATCTCCCTCATACATCGCCTTCCCATCTTCACTTCGCACCCACCGTCTCCCAATCAATCCACCCCACATTTCCAAACACTCCCGCCTGGTTCTGAAACACCCTCGCCGGCTCACTATACGGCTTCCACCCGGCACTCCCCAGTTCCGTCGTCACATTCCCCTCCTTCCGGCCTGTCGCATTAAACCCAGGCCCATACACTTCATACTCCGCCATCAGCGTCACGCCGGGCTCGTACCGCGCAACCCCAGAGACCACCCAGTCGATATACCCACTGGGCTCGATACTGCCGTCCTCAAATGAGCGCGCAAAGATTGACCGGTGCTGCGAGTTCCACGGGCGGCCGAGTGCACACGAGCCCGCGATATCCGGCGCCACGGAGGTATTGGCCGCGCGCACGTTGCTGTCTACAATGTAGACGCCGTACTTGTTGGTGAAGGTCGTGTTGGTGCCTTTCCAGGCAGTGATGCCGCCGCCGCAGCCGCGGAGAAGGACCTCGCTGGACTGGATCCAGGCCGTGCCAAAGCCGTACAGGAAGTCGGTTTGGCCTGCGAGGATGGACTTATAGAAGTAGGCGTTGCCGAATTTGCCGACGTAGACCTGCGGAGGGCTGGTTAGGGCTAGGTTCGCAGAAGAGAGGAGAGAGAGAGAGAGAGAGAAGGAAGCGGAACTATACCGTGTCTTGATACGAGTAGAACCCGCAGTAGTAGAAGCCGCCATTGGCTCTGCTGAAGCTCAGCGCGTGAGCCGGGCCGTCCGAGTACTCGGCCCACGTATTCGTGAAGTCGATATTATACGCGCGGAAGTTCTTGTTTCCAAAGGGGGTGTCATCGGGCACAGCATAGCCCGTCGTCCCGGAACCCGTCAGGCTCGCGTCCAGAGTGGGCGCCACGACAAGCACGCTGGAGTAGACGTTATCGACACTCTGGCCGGTGCTGTCCTTGTTCGCTGCGGCCCAGGTGATAGTGACTTGGTTCTTGGTGGCGTCGGTCGAGGCATCGGTCTGGCCGAGCAGGGTGATCGGCCCGGCGCGGGTGACGTTGAGCTGCTCCACATACGAGCCGGCGAGGATGAGAATCGTTTGCGTGGAGCTGTCATCAGGGAGAGAGGCAATGGCAGCCTGCACAGTTGTGAAGTCGGCGCGCTCGTCAGAGGCAGAGACGATGATGGTCCCGGCTGGGCAGTGCTTGCCCGAGGCCTGGCATTTCTGGCGCGAGACTTGACTCACGGCGGCGCCATGCACAGTAAGGGCATGCCAGACGAGCGTGAATAGGGTGAGAATGTATAGGTGGAGCATGATTGCTAGAATAGCCGGCCGGGCCCTCTCGTGTTCGGGAGTTTGGGGGAGGGCGCTGGGCTCGAGAGACCCCAAACAGTGCGGTGGATTCTGCTATGCTTTTATACGCTTGTGCCTAGTAATAAGACGCCAATTGCAAGATCTCTGGTCATTGCGGCAGAGACGGAAAATCTCTTGATTCATATCAGTCCAAACGAGACTATGCCCAAGGTGGTGGTCGTCCGAACGTAGGTTGGGGGTCGAACATCGTGATCCCCGCATAGTCTCCCCGCGAAGCTGGGGTTGAGACAAAGCTTGCCTTGCCCCCGCATGGTGGAAAATCTCACTGGAAATGGCCGAGGAGAGATATTGGGGGAGCGGAGAATTGGGCTTCCACCTGTGAGAGGCCAAGGCCGGGGCCGGGCTAGCGGAGAGCTAGAATTGCAGAGAAGAGGGGGGGGGGGGGGTTGTTTGAGATGCAGAAACAGTGCGATGATATTACTGTAAGCGGACACAAGAAGACTTCGACTTCCCTTCTCCTTCGAAGGACAGTCAAAGAGCAAAAAGAACAGTTCAATTACGAAAGGAAAGGATTACACGAATTGGATTTACAATGGAGAGCGTTCATATTAAATCCCTTGGTGATTTGACTAAGTACCACTATTAACGACATACATACACGTAGAGAAAGAAAACTCGACTCTATCAACTCAAAAAGAAAACAGAAATCAAGAGGTAAAGAAACACAAAGTCTATAATACGGGGTAAGAGAAAGGAAAGCAAAAAGACACGGTAATCCGGCCTTTTGTTTCCCACGGTATGCATGTCCATAGATGGTGCAAGCAATAGCAGAAGATTGCGTGGTTTAAGACATAGCAAGCAGCACACAGGGGAAAGTGAATGAGATAAGGAAATTAAATTTGATCTCGGACCAGGAGCGAGTCAAGAAAATATCAATGCCGGAGGGCAGGCAATGTACAAGTGCTTGAAGAAGAGAGCATTTACTCGTCCTCCTCGATCGCCTCGGCGCGAGCACCAAGGGTGTAGCGGGACTTGCCCTCGGAATCGGTCTCCATCTCGATAGCCAGCTTGGACAGGTGGGCGATCATGTTCTCGATCTGGGTGTCGGCCTTGGAGCGGGTCTTGCGGCCAAGGTTGTCCAGAGCGGGGACGATGGTGAGGAGATAGTAGACGACGGCAATGATGACGGTCACACCGATGGAGTAGGCCCAGATAACAACGACGGTGACAATGTCGACATCGTTGTTGACGGAGAAGCCCGGACCGGCGGGATCGTAGGGGTGGGTCTGGGTCCATTCACCGGACAGCCAGCCGAAGACACAGAAGAGGGTAGCCAGAACATCGACAATGAAGATGGCAATGACCAGCTGCCACGAGGGCCAGGTCTTACCACCACGGGTGACGAAGATCAGCCAGTTCTCAGTCAGGGCAACCTCAAGGAAGAGAATCTCCTGGGGAGAACCGAAGTTCTGGATGATACCACCGTTCTCGAGGAAGAGAGTAGCACGGATAATCCAGGTGGCGGCAGCCAGAAGAACACCAAGGACGACGGAGATGACCCAGATCTTAGGCAGCTGCCACTCGACGGGACGGGCCTCGAAGTGAGCGTTATCGTAAGCGACGGCAATGGTGGCAAGATCGGCGAACAGGGCAATGAAGACAATCAGATCGGAGCGGATGGTCTCATCAATGATGATCATGGAGGTAACGAGGTAGATCTCAAGGTGGAGACACAGGGCAATACGGTACTGAATGTAAGCCTTCATACGCTGGAAAATCTGACGGGCGAGCTTGATAGCATCGACGATGGTGGAGAGACCGGGGGCAAGGAAGACAATATCGGCAGCAGCCTGGGCAGCCTCGGTGGAACCCTCGACAGCAATACCACAGTCAGCCTTCTTGAGAGAGGGAGCGTCGTTGACACCATCACCAGTCATGGCAGTCAAGTGACCACGCTGCTGGAGCATCTCGACGACCTGGTACTTGTGCTCGGGGAAAACCTCGGCGAAACCATCAGCCTTCTCAACGAGATCGTGCTGGGCAGAGCCGGCAAGACCACCGTGGATCAGACGCTCAGAGTCGTAAACCTTGGTACCGAGAGCAAGCATCTTGCAGGTCTCCTTGGCGATAGCGATGGCGTCACCAGTAAGCATCTTGACGGACAGACCGAGAACCTGAGCCTCAGCGATGGTGTGGGCAGTATCCTCACGGGGAGGGTCGAACATGGGGTACATGCCCAGAAGCTGCCAGGGCTCACCCTCCTTCTGGACGGCAACACCGAGGGAACGGAAACCACGGCGGGCGAACTCGGTGGCCTTGTCACGGTAGTGCTGGGCCTCCTCCTCAGAGCACTGGGACATGTTGAGGATAGCCTTGGGGGCACCCTTGGCGCAAGTGTAGCGGACACCGTCGCAGGTACAGATGGTGGTGATACGCTTGGAAACGGGGTCGAAAGGAGTGTACTTCTCGGTAATCCAGTTGCGAGAGAGAATTTCACGGGCCTTGGGGTAGCGGCGCAGAGTAAGGATCGTGACCTTGTCAATGGGATCAAGGTTCTTAACGTTGTGGGAAGAGGCGATAGCGGCGACAGCCATCATCCAGTTGACATCAACACCCTCAGCGACGTAGGGCTCACGGATGGACAGCTGGTTGGCAGTGAGGGTACCGGTCTTGTCAGAGCAGAGAATGTCGACACCAGCGAGGGACTCGATGGCAGTGAGCTTCTGGACGATAGCCTTCTGCTCAGCGAGGTAGGCAGCACCGACAGCCAGGGTGGTGGTGGTGACAACGGGCAGACCGACGGGGACACCAATAACGAGCAGAATCAGGGTGTAGCGGAGCAGGGTGTTCTCAGAGTCCTCGGGGGTAGCGATCTTCAGGTGACGGAAGAAACCACCAATCCAGGCAGCGAGAATCCAGAACATGACGAGAACGAGCAGAGAGGTACCGATGTTGTCCATGACAGCCTTGAAGTGACCCTGGTCCTTGGCACCCTGCACGAGAGCAGCGGTCTTGCCGACGAAGGACTGGCGGGCAGTGGCAGTGACGATGGCGTAGGCCTTGCCACGCTTGCAGCCGGTGGTGTAGTAGCAAGTGTCGGCCATGTACTTATCGACGGCGAGAGACTCACCAGTGATGGCGGACTGATCACAGGCAATGAGGGAGACACCGGTGTGAGCCTCGTGGGCATCCTCATCCTCCTCATCATCCTTCTCCTTGAGGGTGTCATCGTTGGCAGTAACCAGGTACTCCTTGTAGGCCTCGAACATCTCGGGCTTGGAGTAGTCGCAAATCAGACGGACATCGGCAGGGATAACGTGGCCCTCCTCGACGATAACAATGTCACCAGTAACAAGCTCACGGGCGAGGATTTCCTCCTCCTGACCGTTACGGACAACGACAGCACGCAGAGCAATATCACCCTTGAGAGAAGCAACGACATCGGCAGCCTGCTTCTCCTGGTACCAACCGACGAGAGCGTTGAGGAGCAGAATACCACAAATGACACCCAGATCGATCCAGTCACGCAGACCAGCAGCGAGGAGGACAGCAAGTTCCATAACTAAGAAACAGAATACACGTTAGTCACCGAGGAAAGTCGACGGAAGTGACACGTTCAGACCGACGCGAGAGCAGCGGGAGGATCAACGGGGGAGAGAACGGGCAAGGAGAGCATTGATGCTAGAGCTGAAGCTTCCTCTTCCTCTCTCTTTTGCTCTCCCTCCCTCCCTCTCTTTCCTCTCTCCATCCACGCTGTCTTGCATTTTGGTCGGGCGTTGCAAGGACTCACCATAGAGAATAGGACCACGGAAGTAACCGATGAACTGAATGAAGATGTTGGTCTTCTCGGTGACCAGCTCGTTCCAGCCGCACTTCTTGCGACGGGGCTCGATCTCGTTGGAGCTCAGACCGGAGCGCAGCTCGGTGTCGAGCCACTCATCGGGGGCCTGCCAGCCCTCCTCGACGGTGTCGTCGCTCTTGCCCCAGAACTTCCAGAAGGGCTTCTTCTGGCCCTTGTTGCTCAGCGCACCGGCGCTGGAGGTGGAGCCACGGCGGCCATCGCGGGCAGTCGAGATGTAGCGGTTGAGAGCCGAGTACTCATCGAGGCTACCGTCGTTGATGTCACCGGCCTCACGGTGACGGTCGCCGTTTTCGACGTCGGGAGCATAGGAGATCCTCCGCTCCGCCATTGTTGCTGCTGCTTCGGCTCACAAAGCCTTCGGAACCCAACGATATGAGCAGATGCAAAAACACCAACACACAATGGCAGGTATGGCGTGAGACGGAATTAGTCCTATGGAAGGAAAAAAGAGAGAAGAGAGAGAGGGGGGTGAGAGGGAGTGGACTACTTTATAATACCGGGGGGGGGGGAGGGAAAGCGAGCGAGAGAACCAGAGTGGGTGTGGTGGATAATGGGCGAATGGGTGAATGGGTTTTTGAGCAAATCGAGAAAATCCAAATAGAAAATGGGAAAAAAAGAAAGAAAAAAGAAAAGAAAATCCCGAAAATGCTCAAAAGAGGATGGTCTCAGAGGGCAAAAAAAAAAATAAAGGCAGGAAAAAAAAAGAGGTATTTGGGAAGTGGAGAGCAGGGAATCCCGTGTGAAGAGAGCTTTCACTATGGGGGAGGGAGAACTGGGGAGTGGATTGCCAGGTACCTCCAGTGCCCTAGTGCGGCACCTAATGTGTTGTGTACCTCGCTCGTACCTGGTTGCTGGGGTGAAGAGACAATGGTCATGAACGGTACGGCGAAGTGGGGCGGTTGGTTTGGGCGGGTTTCGTTCCCAGTTTTGGTTCCCGTTTTTCCCGTTTTGCCCCTGGGCCTTACCGTACGGATACTCGGCCAACCCACTCTCGCCCACCACTGCAGCGCTCATCCAGACACTATAAATTACATGATTACATGGATTACAGATTTTACCCGAAAGCGAGGGAAAATTTCGAGGGCGAAAAAAAAAACTCTTCCCGCTATAGACACACTATGCGCACACACTATGCGCAGAACCGACGTCGCCCGGCACGGTTCTGCCGAGTGGCACTCCACGGCCGTCGCGCTCTTCTCGGTATGAACCGGTACGCCCCAAATACAGTGCTTCCTAGCCTTGCCGAGCGCGGTGCCCCCCCCCCCCCCCCAAAGGCTCTCAGGCTTGACTATGCGCGATTTTCTTGGAGCAGCAGCGGTAATTTCCAATGGTTTCGTCGGGGCCTTTCTGGGCCAGTTGGGCCAGTTGGTCCATTTGGGCGATTGGGACTCTCACTCCCCCCCCCCCCCCCTCCAAGACCTTCCAAGACGCAGAGAACGAGACTAGAGGCATTGGCACGGCAAAGTGTGTGAGAAGTGTGCAAAATGTGACAATCCGGGCCTAAGGGGACCAAGATCCAAGATACGCACATACCGATCGCGAAACCTACGTACCGACACGTCGGAGAATATCGAGGAATTCATGCCCAGCCTACGATCATAACACATAACAGACGAGACAAGTGGGAGTTAGTCGCATTGTGATGGGCGTTATCGCGTCACCTATTCGTCGCGAGTCTCTCGTCATCGTCATAGCTAATTAAAATCAGATCTCTATCGCCCTTGCAGGAGTTACTCCATCCAGCGACATGGCCCGAGGAGATACCCCCAATCGGGCTGGCCCAGACACCCCCCCTCTAGACACAAATCCCGGCCCCAGATACGGTCCGTGGTGCACCAGCGTGTTCGGACAACCGTGTCTACCGCATTGTTCCTCGCGGTGTTGCCCCTGGTTCCAAAAATTGCGAACTGCTCCCGGACATGGCTCAACGTCAATGGGTCCTGAACAGGCACTCTGTCCAGGCCAAAAGAAGTAGAATAAAACTCTTCTCGCCGCAAAAATAACCTTAGAGCCGTCGTATCCGATCTCATTGAACCGGGGGGGAGAGAGAGAATTGGGCAAGGGGGCACCGCAACCGGCCAAGACCGGTCAGATATGTCCCTACATACTACCTCACCTCACGACCGTCCTCTCCCCCCCCCCCCCCGAGACGACACGAAGATCAAATTATAATACCATTCTAGCATACTATATTACCGAAGGCACCACCAGAGAACCACCTCACATATGTAACTCCAGTAGATCATCACCCCCAAATCCCCAATCCCATTATGTCACTGGCGCGCCCGTAGCTCGGTATCGACACGTCTCCGGCGCTACCGCCACCATCTCAGACAAACTAGAGGAAAACTCTTCGCCCAAGCTGCCTCCTTCGTATCTCACCAACCATGGTCGATCTTTACCCATGCACCTCGTCTCTCTGGGGGGGGGGGGGGGGGGGGAGAGTGGGAGGCACCTCGTGGAGGAGCAGGTCCCCAACAGCGTCATTTAATTCGGCGCGCCTGACTGGCCAGTGACACCGGCCAGGTCCCCGCCCGCTAAAGCCCGCCTAGTCTCGACAGCACCGGGCGCACATCGAATCACCGGCCGCCGAGCTGGTCGCGATGATTTCATCGTTGCGGATCGGCGCCCAGGACGACTCGACTCGGTCACTGGTCGCTGGCCGCTGGCCGCGGACTGGGGATTCCGGATGGGGAAACTTGGTGTGACCCCCTGTTTGCCCATTGGAGCTCTCTCAATCCATACCGCTTGGGATTGACTGGAAGGCGAGAATCGCGTTGGTCATAAGTTGACGCCGTTCCAGAGTGATTGAACGGGTTGGACCATTCAGTATGGAGACTCTCCGTCTCCGCTACGAGGAGGGGGAAGAACTATTACGGAGTAGGTGAACTCCTAGACGACGGTGACACGCTCGTGATACGTGTAGTCAATTAGCATCGGTACTCGCCCAGAATGGGGATGCTCCTTCTGGCAAAATTGAGACGATGGCGTATGACCGACCGAGGCCGACGATGGAAGTTGTCCGAACGGGGGACATCGCGAATGGTCTCCCTCGTAGCCTCGTATCGCCCTGATGGGAAAGAACTTGAGTCTATATTCTGTTGATGCGGGCCATGTTGTAGATTCGACACTCGACAATCAATGCCGCTGCGATGCTATCGCTGGACTCCGTATCAAATATATCAAATATCTGTGCCTCTCTATACACGATCTTCACGTTTACATGTCTACATATCCATACGCCAAGCCGAAGTATCAATAAAGCTTCCTCTCCCCGCTTCCCCCAACACAGGGACCACTACCCTTCTCCAGATGAAGATGAACCGGACGTTTTCACGCTGCGCAACTCAGATCGCCTGACGCAGTGCCCGATGGCCCAGCCAATCTGCATCTCCCCGACGAACAGGGAAGAATCCCGGTTCGGTGCTGCAAGCTTCAGCCCGCCCTATAGGAACAACGCCTTATAGGAACAGCGCCCGATCCGGCAAAGAACGGCTCTCGGGACCCGATGGCAAAAGGGGCCAAAAGAAGGACGAAGAGTACATCGCCTCTGCCAGCAGCAAGCACGGGAACATCTCATAACGCCTCCCCGGACAGCGCGGGATCGTCATATTCGGGCATCGCTAACGGCTTCAACTGAACGCCCGCTCTCCCTTTCAAGCTTCCTGCACGCTGTACAGGATGACGATTGGCCCCCGTCGATGGCATCCCGCAGGACCAGTTCAACTCAAAATCTCCCCGCGACTCACGGATTGGATGGAGACACCTCGGGTTTGGCGGGATGCGACTGGGCTGGTTGTTCCCCAGACCAACCTGGCATTGATTCCGGCTGAACTACGAGTCAAGAAAGCAATTCCAGGTTTTTTTTTCACCCTCCCCATCCCATACTTCCCCAGAAAATAAGGACCGGAGGAGGAGGGGCTAGAATGACGGACTTGACGTCAAGATTCTGTGTCGGCGCACGAGCCTAGCTAACTAAGGAAGCCTGCGCAGTCCGACGTACTTGTAGTAGGAGGTAGAGGACGATATGATAGACTTTCCATATCCTGCTTTAGGACTCGGGAATTCCTCATTGATTCCATCGTCACTCGCTTTGGTGGTATGATACATGAAGTTCATCCAACTGCTCCCACCACTGCGTCTTGAATTGCCATCCCTGCATCCTTTGCTATGGCTTGAACCCTCCGAGTAGGTAAATCCCGGCGCTTTCCGCGGCTGACGTGCCGTGCCAGCGAGACCGGCCAATTGAGGGGGCATATTCAAGTCCAAAAGGACTATGAAACCGTGATTGGGAACGACTCTGTCCTGTCGGTATCTATCTAGTAAAAATAACCAGGCGGGAATGTCGAGCGGCAGCTCTAGGCCCGTGGAGAGCGGCAACACCTCCCCTCCTCTGATCAGTTTACATATTTGGATGTGGAGGGCCTACTACGCCATATAGGGTACAGCTCGACTCCTTCCAGGTCCCCACTCCTCTCGCTCTCTGGTCCGAAACACAGGGCCGTGCCAGCTCGAGCGTTGCTTTGATCAGTATTTTCAGAATCCTACGCAGTGATTTAATAGTGATAGACCAGACGCCAGTCCCGTTCAGGAAACCCGATCAGCTCTGCTTCGAGCTGGTCGCACCCTCATCTCATCCTGCCTCTCTCTCTCCTGCACGTAGCGAACAGACTACGCGCCCGGTCCAGCAGGATGCGTGATAGTAGTCGCCCCGAGCTAGCAAGCTTTCAGGAGAGAGCTCCAGTGGGAACGGAAACCCCCAACCCAACCAACCCCCAAAAAATGTGGGCCGGCTTCATCAATAATAATAATGCGGCTGGGAAGGGGATCAAAAAATACACTCTCAAGCTCGCGACGCGGGACAAAAGGCCCGGAGCTGTGACGCGCCACGGGCGTAGCGCATCGGTCCCCGGTGACCCCGTGCGAAAGGGCCAGGACGAGATCGCCCTCTCCTGGAGAGAATCAGTATTTCCGGGGGATTCTCGCCGTTTTGGTACTGGCGCAACATGTCAGCCAAGCATTGCTGTTTGTTTTGCACTTGCCCCCCTCCCCCCTTCCCTAAGATGCCGATGCGATGGGTGTACGATTTACAAGATGTTTTCCTGGAGGGGGCGGGATGCTAAGTTATTACGAAGCTAGTTAGATAATATTCGGTGCGATGTTAAAAAGAAAGAAAGGAAGAGTCTGAATACGATAGTTCTATTATATGTAGGTTATAACTAACTAGTTAACTTAACTACTTAAGCAATTGATTACGTGAAACAGTCACCGAGTATTCAGCATTCTTTCTTGAACAGCCAAGAATAACATTATCGCTAATCTCTATCCAATACGCAGCGGAGTAAATCCACAATTGATACTTATCCCCAAATATGGCTGGTATTCTAGACCAGGCATCGGTATGGGCTGAATCTTTGCTTAAGCTAACCTGAGTAAAATATATCGTGCATATGCTGTATAGGACAGTCACGATAAGGTGCCCCTCTGGAGGACGACGCGCTGAAACCCAAATAATATAGGCGATAGGCACAGAAAGCGGGCCCTCGGGATCGAGGACACCCTATGCAGGAAGAGTGGAGAGCTCTTGGTTGTAAGGCCCGAGTTTCCCGATTCTGGCATTGCTGCGACCGAGCGGCGATGAGGCCCGATTCGCTTCCCTCCAGCTAGCTAGGGCTGGGGCCGTCGGTGTCGGCGTCAAAATCTCAGGCTCGTGCACAATTGGGATTACTGTAAGGAAATAATCACTTTCATATTGGATGCTACGCAAAGACAGCAAAAAAAAAAATCAGGGTGGATTGGGTCTGCGACACGCTGTGTCGAACAGTCCAGAAAAACCCACGTCCCCCACGCGCGACCCATGGAACGATCGGGCTGGGTCTTTTGTTCCACATGGACCCCAGTGATAAATAATCAGACAGGGTGTGTAGTCTGTCAGAGGTAAATTATTAGTGTTTGGGATATCATATTCATATATGTCTGGGTCTAGCCCTCCCGTGTAGTGTACTATGGCGAGAGAAGGAACTGGGAATATATAGTATATTCAAGATGCTACTCCAGGTTAATGTGACGTCGCGACCGAGCCGCCTGTTGCGACAAACGAGAACCCATTATGGAAAGGCAGATTGGTCTTTCTAGACCGTGATGATCGGCCGTCAAAGTTTTCTTTCTTTCTTTTTTTTTTTCCACGCCTCTCGGTGTTCGGATATTACGGTGATGGCGGCGGCAAGCCTTTGGTCGGGCCTACCGCGTGTTGGATGTGATGATGATGTGTGTGATGAATGGGCGCTCTGCGTCCTTACGTGGGAACAGGCCGAGTTAGGGACGGGCGGCGCAAAGACTGGAAGTAAGGCCAAGATGACCAGGATCGGGCGTGATGCATTCAGCCTTGGGACGATCGCGCCGCTGATGTCGGCTGGGATGGGATTGGGTGGGCTTTGATGGCCTGGGGAACCCAAGCACGGGCGGCCACAAAATGCCTCATGCTTCGTGCTGCTGATGGTGGGTTGCCCGAGTTTTGACACCACAAGACTCCCGCAGATTTTTTTCTCGTCAACCCACCTCTTTGCCCCGTTGCCACCCGGAGAGAAAAGAACGGTGTAGAGTCCGAATTCTTCCTCAGGAAAGCCACACCATACCTCCGATGAATCTGATATGGTTAGATTAGCACTATACTCCGCAGGGAAAGACGATAGATTCGTATCTTCGTTTATTCGTTTATTCGTATATTCATATGGTGGTACATTTGTACCTGTGCGGAGTACGTAGGCGACGACCATATGCAGACTACAACCCACTTGAGACGACCACGAAGTATGAGAACACACCATGTCGAGCACTGGCAGGATTAGGGCATTGGCAAGGAACGACCCTCATCTGAACACATTCTCCATCAAACACCCCGTATCCTCCGTAATCCTAATTCTATTCTCTTCTCGTCCATCCCGCTCTTTCATACCCCAGTGGGGTCGACCTCACTCCATACGCACTACTGATCCATTTTTACCCATTGTTCACCGGCACCGAATCCGCCTTGGGCAGTGGAGCCAAGCTGCACCTGTGCGTGTCCCTAATCTGCCCGGTTATTCTCGACGTTTTCTAGAAGGCTTCCTCTCGGGGACAGTTCCATGGGTGAGCTGCAGCTGGCAAGGCTTACTACAGTACGCCTCTCTTTTATGTTTTTGGCTGGCTCGAAGTTTGTTTTGGGTCGTGGAATGCTCGGAAAACTCGGGGCATCGGCACTTCTATGGCCAATTCGGGAGGCCCCAGGGACGTACTAGCAGATAAGACGTGAGCGAACAGCAAAACCCTCACGTCATGGACAGCTTATCATGCCGTTTTCGCCGGGCTCGCTGGCGCTGGAGCTTGGACAACCCAGCGAAAATCCTAGATTACCATATTACCAGATTACCAGACCAGACCGTATGGGCCAATCTTACGGTGCCGTCATGACCGGAACACCCCCAAACACCCAAAACAGGAAGAAAAGTGCCCGTTACGGTTAAGCGCATAGGAGGCCGCTCGGCGTCCATTGACCAATCAATTCCCCCAGAGTGTGCTGATTCAGCACCGCGTCTGCCGTTTTTCCCGTTTTTCCCGTTCACGTATCGGGAGAAACAGGCACCGCCAGGAACGGGCTCGCTGTGACCTCAACACAGCTTGGACATGCCTTATCCACCATTGCCAGGCTAGACAGAAGAACAGAAAGCTTCAATTGAGATCTCCGACCTCAAAGAACATCAATTGGTTCTTCTAAGAACGGGGGCAAAAACTCAATTGGCCCCCTTCCTCATTTCCCCGTATCAAAATCACCACCCGGTCACACATTCATAGTTTCAAGTTGTGTCGGCATTACATACTCGAACTGACGCCCCAATATTGAATCAATGAACTAATAACCACCCCCTCCTCCCCCCTCTTCTCCCCCAAGGAACAAGCTAGGGCCCGTCGGGGCGAGCGACCATCTCGTCTTGGCTTTCACCGCGCAGCCGTGTACCTACGTTAGCGGGAAAGGGAACTGCGCCGATTCCAGCAATTCCAGCAATCAGACGGCCTCGTTGCGGCCAAATATGGGTCCTGGCCATCTGAATCAAACCCTCACCGGTGGGCCAGAGGAGCATCGTGAAGGGGCGCCCCACTAGACGATCGCCCGCCTGCCAAATCGTTGCTTGGCTGACGCGAGGCGGTCCCATCGGCCTCCAGTCCGAGGGCTCGCTGGCGTACCGACTTGTCCCTCCCCCCTCCCCCCAGTCCAGTCCCTTTTCGGCCTCTTCGTGAGGCATTTTCTTGCCCAGAGACGAGGAGGGACTATGTACGGAGTACGGAGTACGGAGTTCTCTGTACTGCTCGGCATGGGGAGATAATCTGTAATTGCTTCTTGTACTCTTTAGTTCTGCCCCCCCCTGTATCTCTAATGTAGTCATTTCGGTTTGTCTTTTTGTTATCATTTCCTAGTCATCCCGTCTGAAGCTCGTTGTCACCCGTACTGCATCTCTTAGCTTAAAATGAATCCAGTCAGCAGAGAGCTTGCACTCCTATAGTCCCCCTCCCAGCCCAATGCATTGCACACGGCCCTGTACAATTGCGCATAAAGACTCACCATGCCATCGCCGCCTCTTTCCACTGTCCCTTAGATCTAATTTTACCGTAGACTATACCTAAATCAAAACTTGCCCCAACGCCGGGTTCGCCAAGCGATCCCAGCGTCCGTCCGTTCCAGATTTGCTCGCTTTCCCCGGGTTGTGATGCCCATGGAGAAGCAAAAAAAGCAGCCCGGTCTGGAGCTCCCATCCTTACTGGAGCAGGACACCGGGGAGCTATGGAGAGTGCAGGTTTAGCCCTGGAAACAATTCCAACCCGACTAGGAAAGTTTCCATGCGGTTCCCGCGCCTGCAGGCAAGCTTTAGAGTTTTATTTTATTTTTGTTTTGCATGTGTATCCCTCTCGACACCGAGCGAGGATTAAGGGCGTCTTCCCGACGTGGTGCGTGCCATGGCCCTGCACGCTGCAAGGAGATGAACGTGGTTTAGCGGAGGATCGGTGTAGCTGGAGGACCGAGCCCGAGATGCGCGATAAAAAGTGCTTCAGGGAAAACCCGGAGAAACGGCATGTACGGTGAGAAGTACGGAGTACGCTATCACTATAATTTATGAACTATACCCTATACTGAACTGGGGAGTTGGTACAGTTGTATAGGTATCCCGGGTGACTTGGCGGTATATCTGCGGTGAGAGATTTGATGGTAATTATTTTTAAAAGCCCCTGCAACTCATTTTCCTGTACTGCGTCACTGTGTTTTTCTTTACGCCCGTCCCGCGTGCCTTCTATCCATTTTCATACAAGCTCCTATACCCGTATGGAGTCGGTAGCTGCTGGTAAGAGTCGCGAGGAGGGGCGCTGGGGCAAAATTGACCACCTGAGGTACTACGGGTCCTTCCTATGCCCTACTATCCCAACGCGGTGTGCCGATTGCAACCATTATGGTCGCCGAAATGGCTCCTGCGCTGGCCACCATCGTCATCGCCGACAACCTGGAGTCGGAGACCATTCCCGTGTCGTCTGTGCTTTTTTAGTGATGTGGTTTAAGTGGGCTAGCATGGTGAGCGGGTGCGCTGTTACGGGCCTTAAGGTCATTGATTCTCCTTTAAGTTACGTTTTTTTGCGCTCCCCAGTGCCCCGTCAGACTTGGCTTGCCACTATTACCGTTTACCCTGTGCGCTATTGTCTTGCCTCCCCAGAAGATCCCCCCCCCCTTCCCAATTATCAGTACACTCGGCAAGGCCGAACCTGGGAAATCGGCAAGTTGCCTCGGCCCAAAAATTCATGATTAGACGAAAAAGAAGAGTTCGAGACCGCGCCTGGGTGCGTGCCGTGAAGCCGTCCCAACTCGGCCCCTCGTTATCGGCCGGAATCCCATCCCAAACCCGGCCTACGCGGCAACGCGGGAGTCGGCACCGGCTTTTGACGCGACATGCGGCAACGCCGTTTTGTGCATGGCTGGAACCGTGGTTTCTGCCCTGCCCTCAAACCCTAGGTGATCCGATCTTATGGTAGCATGTAATTACCTACAAGCGAAGACCTACTCCATAGGCGGTACTTCGTGTCGTAGGGCAATTTCTGCGGTTCAGGGACCGGGTAAATTAATCGGGCCACGAAGCAAAAAAAAAATCGAATTGCTCGGACTCCACGCTCAGCGATCGTAAGAGGCCAGAATTGCCTGAGCATTTGGTCATGCTCAGCTCTGCGTAACCTGTTGCTCTGGACGCCGTGTTGCGTATACTATGCTAGACCAGCGGAAAGCCAAGAATGGTGTTAGTTGCTGGACAGCCGCTTTGGTAAGTCAACTACTAGTGCTGCACATAACACATAACATTGTGTTTCTTGGTACTTTGTGAAAGATGCTACATAAACTACTATGCATATGTATAGCTTCATGAACATAGAGGTCTTTCTTCTGGCCCAAACCACCAATCCCTGTGTTGATCCGTAGCCAGCATTGATCGTGTCCCTGTAAGCACAAGGAATTCACTAGAATTATGCACAACACCCCTTCAATTAATCATACAGACAAAGGCATAGTGAAAATTATCCGGCGTTCTAGCTCGGTCATTATCCCATTAGGAAAGGAGCTCCTTAACCCCGACTTGAGTTCCAATTTCCCTCCCACTTTGGCAGCAAGTACAGCGTGAACGGTCGACAATATCGAGACCCCCTTATTTCGCATTTTAGCATCGCTTCCTCCTCTGTAGCATCTGGGCCGCAGCCCATCCCGCAGGGACCGCGAACCCGACTGTCAAAGGCCACCTATGATGAAATACATGCCCCAACACAGGGACAAAAAAAAGGGGGCGGGGGAACTTAGACTATGATGACATCGTACAGAGCAAGTAACAGTCAATGAAGGACAGCTCCCTCCCCCCAAAAACCAAACACGTCAACGCGTTGGTCGACCTGACCCCCAAAGCAAGCAACAGAGACCACATGTTTAGCGTCACTATTTTGGCCCTTGATCGTCAGGAGAACCGACAGCTCCGACCAACGACAGCAGAGAGAAGCACCGGCCCCCTCTCCACCCTGACTCGGCGCGAGCGCTCACAACAGGCCAAAGGCGAACTCTTTTTGTGTCGGAGGCGCTCCATAGCGCATATCACTATTACTTTGAGAGGGGGCGGGGGTTGGTGCGCGCCTAAAAACCTGGTCTTTTGAGCAGGGCGAGTCTGCCTTGGGGCTGTTTTGGGAGCTCTGGCTCTAGCGATGCCTAGGGAGGGGCGTATTTCGCGCTATTGCTATTCCTTCTGCACAGGTAAGACAGTCCTGTTTCCGTTGCTGTCTATGCTGTTGGTCACATTGGGGAATGACGCTGCTGCCCATGCAGTTTGAGCAGAGCCGCGGTGATCAGCGGGTATGCCTGACGCAAAGGTGCGATTTGGGGTAGGTAGGCCGACCTCGATCGTGCATTTGGTGTCTCTGTATCTCCGATTTGAGTAACTACTACCACTTGCATAGTATGTTTCTTGACGTCGATTTGGTGGGCTCAGGGCGGTAATCCTGGAAGATGAATTTTGCCGAGTTGTTTAAAGTTTATTTGTTTGAACATATTGTAAAACATGGCCGTGCTTGGTTAGCTACATTCATACATACATGCCTTACAGTATCCTGTACGGAGTATGGGATACGCTTTCTTCAGACATCGACTGTCTCAACTGCGGTGCAATACGATCACTGGCGTTTCATGAATACCCGAAGATCCCGGGTATTTAGTGGCGATGGTGTATATGACGCTGATTTCCGAATCTGGACTGCGTCTGTGTTACTATTTACGGGTAATTATCTTGCCTGCCAGGCTCCGACATATGCATAGCCATTGCAGCATCGTGGCTTAGAGCCAATGCAGTTCCTCTGTCTGTTGATGCCCAATATAGGTATGCCTTTCCGACTTGGGCAAGCGGGTATACTATTGTTGCTTCTTGGAACTCCATGTTTCTGATGCAGAATAGACTGGGCCTTGGGTCTTGGTCAAAAACCATGGACAACGCCAAGAAGGCAGGGGTGCCTTTGTTGAGGTTTGTGGAGATCAATGTGTTTCCTGCAAGCCTGGTCTCCATTGAGAGTATAGAGGTGCTGTATTTCTGTAGATTATCGTATCAAATGCTGTGCCGAGCATTGTCACGATGCTATGTAAACGGGTCCCTCTATATTTTCAAAAACAAATACACCGGTTCAACGGCATGCAGTACAAGTATTATTGTATGAGACCACAACCCCGGATTAAAAGAAGGATTCTCATGCCGAGCCTGCCTTGGGTTCTTGGCCAGATAGTCTGCAATGCCACTAGGTGCCAATAATTGAGTCTGGTTTCAAAAAGTGTTCTTATCTACCAAACTTAATATCCGATACAGTATAGTAGCCGGAGTTTGGGGTTTAGCTGACGGCATACTCTCAAACAAAACAAAAAAAATTTCCGAAAAGAGCATTGAAAATGCTAACACATGTCTGACTATCTTCGGCGTGGCAATTACAATAATCAATGACAAAAACATAATTTCGCAAATCACTGCTGCGCTCATCAAATCCGCTCAATGCCTCTGGGCAATCAATCTTGGCGCCAATGACGCCAATGCTCGCCAGGTAATACTATGAAGATGATCCTAGTCGATCTTAGTCGAGGATCTGCTTCGCAGCTGCTTGGCTTGGCTTGTATTGCTGTCGTATGTAAGCTCTACATGGATATAGACTCATCCCGTTTTTGCACTACATCAGCTCTCCAGCCAACCATCCCTTGATCGCCTACCAAGAATACCGGTGCTATAGTGATGTATTTTCCCGTACACCCCGATACCATATCTCAGACGCGGGCCATGTTTGTTTGTTTGTAACTTCCACCAACTTCCCCCTGAATAGCATAGACACCTTGCCAAGAATCACGCCGTGCATCCCTCCCGCATTATCGTCTTGGCAAGCATTCGCTTCTCGGCGCACTCACTTGTGTCCCTCCCCCTCCCTTCTTATCTCCGGAGGTCCGCGGCATCATTCAACTAACTCCATGGACACGGACCCTGGTTCCCCTGATCTGTAGTGATCGCCGTGGGGTGGGGTGGAGAGGACTTGAGGCTGTAGGCGAAGCTAGCGCGAAGACAAGAGCAAGGGCGGGATTGGCAGTGAGGGCTGGGCAATGGCAGTGTGCATAGTATTCCATACTCCTTCGCTCTTGGCGGGGGCTGTACACAGTGCTGCAAGTTCTATTATGGGCTCGTGATGCGCCTGAATTGGCAATAGTACGCATCTGCCTTGACCGGAGGCGACGCTGGGCGTAATGAAGGGTATTCGTTCGCTGCTACTACGAAATGGCGAGCTTTTATGTTTTGGTGATCTTCAATTGCCAAGATAATGTATACGAAATAGGGGAGCCTGTTAGGTAGGTCACCTCTTCGGGTACGTGCTGCTTCTTAAGTATACTGGCTATCTTGGTGTGTTCTTGGCTGTGTAATGTAGCCCGAGATGGGACTAGGCAAAGGCAGATTATGTGCTGAACTGGGCATTTAGTTTGTCACACTGGCCGAGTGATGGCTTTGGCTTGTTCATGGTATCAGTTCCTCTGCTCAAATCATCATGGGCTCCTATTCGTTGAATCCCCTAGGAATATGTGAGGCAGAACATATTAAGTTGGTCAGGCTTTAGATCAATCGCATGGAATAGAGTGTTCGGCTGAGCCTAGAATGTAGTACTGAAGAGCGGCCTCGGTTCCTAAAGACCGAGACATACACGTAAATATACATCCTCCCTTAACTGTACCATGAACGAACTTGTAAACATGGCAATCTAACAGGCAGAAAGACTGAATATGCCCGACTAATGAGCCAGACATATTGATTCAATTTATTATATATTTAGCTTCGGGGTTATTGTAGTTGCTCTCGACGTTCATTTTACCGTCACTTAGCATTGAGGTGTAGTATTAAGAAAGGTAACGATTGAAATGCATCACGAAATGATGATGGTAATCGATATATATATACATCTATCTATATATCCTTTTCGGTACTTCTAAACCGAACCAAAATGACTGATCGCAGATTTAGATCATAGACAATTGACATCGATAGAAACATATCAATTGAGTTCAATCTAAAATTATACATGTTTCATAAGCCATCTAGTACTCTATTCTTAACCTTCTTAGCCTCTAATCCGTTGCCCACGAGAAGAGGTACTGTCTACTCACTTTATCGGCTCTCATTCTACAAAGCCCCGAACCCAAAATGGCAATTTTCGACAATCAATTATTCCTGGGAGTCATACTCCCGATCGATTAAAAAAAACGCAACAAGGGGATTCGTGATTTCAGATGATCTCGAACCACATTTACAAAAAGAGTCAAGTATGCCGAGGTCACGAGCTTCAAGTGAAACCTTCTTTCCCATCCCTTGCTAGAATGAAAGGTTGCTATGAACAACTTTCCGGCATGCTGTTTCATATCGAACCCTGGATACCCACGTGGAGACACAACCCTGTAAGGAACGAGCAAGATGCATACCAAATCTCGAGTTCCGGACCTAATAGAGGAATTAGGTCCAGATATGACAGGGCCTTTAGAAGGCAATCTTGATGCCAACAGTACATGGGACTAGTGTGCCAGGCATCTTATTCTCAATAGCGAACTTGGTTCGCCAGCCAGAACAGTGGCCGGGCATGAGCACTGCTGGATCGAGACGTTTTAGATCGGCAACCGTGCTGTCAACCTGTGAAGGTTCGCTCATGGCGAGGTGGAAGCCGCCGACCACGGCATGCAGAGGTGTGGTTTTGCCGGCGAGTTCGAGGGCATTTTTTGCGGTGTTGATGACCCCGGCGTGCCCGCAGCCTGTGAACACGACGAGACCCTTGCCTGTGAATGAGTGAGTGACTGGAAATATCACCTTATATTCAGGCAAAAACGGGGGATTTATATTCAGCAAACCCACCTTTTAGGTTGCAAGCTAGAAAGCGCTCATCGGCAATGATCTCATCTGAGTACCAATCATTTTCCTCCGGATCAAAACGCACGGCGTTCTTGAGGCCGGTTTCATAGGGAGTGACTCGTGGAATCTCTCCCGAAATGAGAAACATATCGTCCAGAACGGTGTGGGCGTCGCCATTCTTGTTCACGACTGCACCAGCATTGGCTAGCTCCTCAAAGCTTGGATCTGCCTGGAGGGATATGATATGCTCGGGCAGAGCGATCCCTCGGTAAACAGGTCGATCTGGATGCAAGTCCACGACCAGGTCATCGGAACGGCTGTGGGCCCGTTTGGCCTCTTTGATCAAGCGAATGGCGCGAGGAAGACCGCCTTATGCTTGTATCAGAACACGGAAATCCAGTGACCATCAAAGGTCACCAGTGGAGGGAACATACCCGAGTGGTCGCGGTGCCAGTGGGATAGCTGGATGACCTCCACGGACGAAAGATCCGGCCGGAGACGTTTCACATTCCTTTCCCAGATATCCTCCTCTGGGCCGGCATCGAACAGCATGGTGTGCTTTTTGTCTCCTTTGGTTGCTGTCTACATCAACCGACATCCCCGCGCAATCCATGAGTTTCCGTACGTCTCTCATATTGGGGAGTGAAGGGTGTTCATTATCTTACCACCATGATTGACAGGCCATGCGCCGAGCAGCAGATATCTTCCATCCGCAACTCTTTGCAGGCACCGCCACGGCCGGTAATGTTGTTATCTGGCGAGGTCATGGCGATGTTGCCCAGGTTTCCCGCAACCTGGACCGTGTTGGGCGCGGGAGGTGAGAGGGGGTCTAGTTCATTGTCGATGATGACGATTGCCTCAAGAGTGTCTACCTCCTGGAGATTGAGGGTATCACTATCCATGGCTATTGAAAGAGAAGAACGGTATATAGTGAGTCTCTTTGGGAATTGCCGGGGCTGGAGCCCGAGTCTATAGCCCAGTCAGCCTGGATGACGATGACAGGACGGCTGACTGTATCCGCCCCACGGGTGGATTGGGGCACAATGGCGCGGCACCGTACACGGAGATAGTGAAGCTGTGCTCCGAGACACTAAGACACCGAAATCCCCTAATCTGCCAATTGGACGAGGGCCTCAGAGCTGTGATATACTTCCCGTTCCGGTAATCTCATTCGCGCCCGTGGGGCAGGATCCCAATGGACGATTCGCTGGTGAATAAGAGCGAGGCGTTACAAGAATTAGAAAATCCAGAGAATAATCCTCGCTGTGCAGGGGATCAGGAAAGCAGAAAAGGAGAAGAACAGACCACCAACGTAGTAGAGACGTATGGAACTGTCGCTGGCGAATGACTGGAAGTACTGGAAGTTGCGCCAAACATGGCGACGGGGACTCGGGGACTCGGTGGGGTCAGGCTTTGGGTGTCTATGGAAATCCTGGGGGGTCCCTTTTTCTCCGCACTCCACAATCCTCAATCTACAACCCTTAAACCTGAACCTTCAACCTCGCGGAAAAGCTTCACCGGCTTCTTTTTCAAGGTTCTCGGTTCTCGACCACGATCGCCCAGTCGATCTGTCAATCTATCCCGATCTCCTCGCCTCTTACGACAACCTGATTCGCCGTCTCCCCTTTTACCTACCCCCGCGATGCGCCTCTCCATCGAGCGGCTCTTGCTTCTGCTTTGCCTTATCCTCTCGCCTGTCGCTGCATTTGTGAGCCCATCATGTATCAAAGTCGTCTCTGCGCTTGTCGGGCGACCGGGTCACATTTTCAAGAAATTCCAGAGTGAAATCTGCGAACGCGGCTGTGAACCGACCATCCCCCACTGGGACCTCTGGACTCGCAACAACTCGTTCGTCCCGGCTGTGCGCAGCTTGATGCAGCGCATGAATGTGCCTCATAAGGAGGAGGCACTGCTCAAAATGGGCGACGACGTGGCGGTCATCATCAAAGAACAATGCGCCCCGATGCTGCGGGGGCACCATATCTGCTCCGACCCGGAGACGCTGGCCGACTTTGGCAACTGTTTCAAGCGCAACTTCTTCAAGGCGTCGCTCCGACATCTGCCCATCCTCCTGCCCATGGCCTCAGAGGCGGCGTGCAAGGAACAATACCAGTTTCTTCAGGGAGAGGAGTTGTGGGAGGTGACAATTCCGAACAATATGCGCGAGTATGCGGGTGTATGCGATCAATTGGGTCCTCACAAGCACGAGGATTTGTAAATTCTAGGAGGTTCTGTTTCGATTGCAGTCGGTATATATGTTATGTACGCTATTTTCTTGTCAATCAATAATCCTCGATATCTTACTCTTTGCCCTGTGCCACCCGATCCTTCGATTCGTCAGCTTCGTCCGTCGGCGCCGATGATGAATTACCCCGAGTCCGACAATCCGCGGCGTCACCGCGGATGACGACACGCCGACTCTCCTATCTCCGTCCTTCTGCTTTTTCTCTTCCTGCAACCCGTTTCAGCTCGGAATTCATTAGAGAGAATCATTCGCTTCGCCCTCTCTCAGTTCCCCCCCCCCCCTTTTTTCTTATCCTCCCCTCTCTCCCTTCCCCCCGCGCTATGCGTTGATCGCCTGTATCCATCATCATGGCGCACGCGACGCTCCTCCGCACTCTGCGGCCCTCAATCGCCCCTCGTCCGGGCTTATGGCGCCCTCGATTTCGTCGCGACGTCCATGCAGGCGAATTCCAGCCCTTCATTCCCCCCTCTCCCAGCTCCCTCGGAAAACCCACCCCCGCGAAGACCTACACCCGGACCCGGAAATGGCTCCGCCGACTGTTCTACACCTCGCTCGCCACGGGTGTCATCTACGGCATTGACAACCAGTTCTACGCATCCTCGTTGACTCGCACGGCCCGAACTTTCTCTCTCGGTCTCTTGGTTGCGCTGGACTACAAAATCAACTTCCGCCCCCACCCGCCGCTGGCCAGCTCAATCACCGCAGTGCATGCTCGCAACGCCGAGCGCCTGTCGGACTTGCTGCGGCATAATGGTGGACTGTACTTGAAGATGGGCCAGGCCATCGCCATGCAGTCAGCCATTTTGCCGCCCGAGTTCCAGCATATGTTCTCACGCATGTTCGACGATGCGCCGCAGAATGAATGGAAGGAAGTCGAGAAGGTTATTCGCGAGGACTTTGGCAAATCGCCCGAAGAGGTGTTTGGCGTCTCATTTGACGGCGAGCCGGGCAAAGGTGTAATGGAACGCAAGGCACGTGCGAGCGCGAGCGTCGCACAGGTGCATTGGGCGCGATTGCAGGATGGCCGGGAGGTGGCGATCAAGATCCAGAAACATGAAATTGTGCAACAGTTGGCGTGGGATCTGTGGGCCTTCAAGTGAGTCTTCTTTTTGTGGGATAGCCATGCGCGATAATGGTCGATGGCCGATTGAGAATGGGAAATCAGGGAAATGCTAACTTATGGCGGACAGGGTCGTGACCTATATCTATAGCAAACTGTTCGATATTCCCTTCTATAGCTTGGTTCCCTATATCAGCGAGCGGCTTTCGCTCGAGACGGACTTCGAGAACGAGGCGACTAATTCCGAGATGATGGCTCAGTTTGTTGCGGGCGAACCTCGCCTGCGGGATCGCGTGTACATCCCCAAGGTTTTCCGTGAGCTGAGCTCAAAGCGAGTCATGACGGCCGAATGGGTTGAAGGCGTGCGGCTTTGGGATAAAGATGCTATAACCCGGCCGTGGCGTGGTGGTTGGCGCCAGGGAAGCCCTGGCTGCCACGGCACACCTCTCGATCCCCCCAAGAGCCTCTCTGCGCCGCCGACATCTCAAGCAGCGAAGCTAAAGCCCGAACGCAACCATTGGAAAGGCCAAAACAACCGCGGCGGGCTAGGCCTATCGCTCAAAGACGTGATGACGACTATGGTCGACCTCTTCTCGGCCCAGATGTTCCTCTGGGGCTGGGTGCACTGTGATCCGCACCCGGGCAATATCTTCATCCGGCGCAAGCCCTCCGGCCAGCCGGAACTGGTTCTCATCGACCATGGCCTGTATATTCATATGGAGCCGGGCTTCCGCCATCAATATGCGCGCTTCTGGAAGGCCCTGCTTACCTTCGACAACCGTACGCTCGGTGAGATCGTGAAGGGCTGGGGTGTAAACAATGCGGACATTTTCGCATCAGCCACTCTGATGCGCCCATACCGCGGCGGTGATCTGTCCACCAGCCGCGGCATCGAGGGTCTCAGCAAGTCGGAACGTGCCGAACGCCACTATGAGATGCAGCAGGCTGCCCGCAAGGCCGTCCGTGAGATCCTCGGCGACGAGACCAAGTGGCCGCGCGAGCTGATCTTCATCGGCCGCAACCTACGTATTGTCCAGGCCAACAACCAGTTCCTCGGCTCGCCGGTCAACCGCGTTAAGATCACCGGAACGTGGGCGTCGCGTGCGCTAGTCGAGTCGCCCGACCTGCCACTCGCCGAGAAGATCCGGAATCTTGGTCGGCATGTGGTGTTCCGGATAGTTCTGTTCACTAGCGATATATTCTTCTGGTTTACCAAGATCCGGCAATATCTGCGTCTAGGCGGAGGGATGGAGGATGAAATCGAGGCGCAGATGCAGCACATGGCAAAAGATATGGGCGTGGAATTGAACCAGAACGTGTTCGAAGGATAGAAAGCCTGCAACCGTCTTTCGTCCTGTTCTCGTATCCTCGCCTTTATACCAGACGGGTGATCTCTATTCATCGATCAACCTATATATGTCAACCCTCTCCTCAAGTTATGACCTACCCATGCTCGGGTATTGGCCGGCGTGCATCTGGCTACTCAGTAGATAGTGGCAAGCTATGCTTTCCACTTGGCATGGATTGGAAGACTCTACTAAAAGAAATAAGGGGAAAAGCTCGCTATTTGAATGTAAAATATTCAGATGTCGGATTCGCCATCTAGAGAATAGAAAAATCTCCTAGACCACCTACTATCCAGTCCGAAACACTCCTACCTACCCATGCTAAACGTCCATTCTAAGATCCAAAAGACGTACCGTACAGTCAAAGCAAATCACACTTGGAAGTGCAAAGAAAAAAAAAAGAATGTATAATGAGCGTATTGGCTCAAGTTGGATTATGTGCATGAAGCCGCCGGATAAATATCGCGGCCCCATTAGATCAAAATAGACCCAAAAAAGAAAAGATAAGGATAGTATATATAGACAAAAATGCCGCCACCAAAAAAAAAAACTCCAAAATTAAGCATCCGCAAGAAAAATGGTAAAATGGGTATCGGAGATGGTCGCTAAAGAACGGCGGGGGTATCACTCTAGTAATGCATCGGCGTCCATTCTTGGCCTGGATACGCCGTGGAGGACATAATGATCTCCTCGCTGGAGTCATCCTTGGTGAGGGCGAGCTCGACCGGCTCAGCTGTCTCATTGAGGGATCGCGCTTCGCTGCGGTGGGGGTGGGCTGAGAGGTCGATATGGAGGCTTTTAGGGCTTGAAGGCTCGGAGGTGGGGTGGTAGGTGCTGCTGTGATCGGCCCGGGGATCGTGAGGTTTGTCGGATCTCAGGCTGAAGCCGGGGCTCGGGGCTGAAAATTGTTCTTGTGCGTGGACTATCGGGCTTTTGGCATCATCTAGGTAGATATTGATTTGGTATTGCGCAGGGCCATCGACGAGATCTTCCTTGTCGTTGAGCTCGTCATGCTCCTGGTGAGGTTGTGGCTGCATGTCATGTTGAAACGGTGCTTCCGGTTCAGGCGATTTTGATAGAATTGATGATGGCTCTCCCTCTTGCTCAGCCTGCGAGGTCCGTTCCTCTGCTTCATTGACATCAGAAAGAGGCCGAGATGACCAAGATACGCCGTTTGCAGACCCAGCTATTGATGACATGGACTGCTGACCCGGCAAAGGTTGGCTTTTTGATCGATTGTGCTGAGAAGATGGTCGAGATGGAGAGGTGGAATCGCCAGACTGAAAGGAGGAATAAAACCGACTCGCTATCATAGAGTTGGCAGATGGGCTGGACGGAATCTGCATGCTCGCATGTTGGCGAGTATCCTGCACAGGAGGCATTTTGTTATTAAATGAAGATATTGGAGGGGACGCAGAGACCGGTGGGGCTGGAAGGTCTTTGGTATCGAGGGATCCTGAAGGCCGTCGTCCATTCGCCTTGAAAGGTTGAGAGGGTGCTTTAGAGGATACCTTAGAGGATGCGCTAGAATGGCCGGTGGAGGAAGGCGTTGATGGTTTTTTCGTTCGTGTTTGAGGTTGACGCTTCTGACCAGAATTGGTTTTACTCTTTGAAGGCTGAGTTTTTGAAGGCTGAGGTTCAGGTTGCTGTTGACGATTGAAAAGGACCTGATTTGGGTTAGAAATAATACGCACCAATTCCAGGGCTGCTAGGGAAGACTTACACCAAGTTTCCCCAGTGCTCGATTCTTTTTGTCGGATCCTTGGTCGGAAGAAACGTTGTTCTTCTTTTGAATGCTCGCTTGGGGCCCCTGATGTTCCTTCTGCGACCCCCCTTGAAATCCCGACAAGACATTACCCATAGAGGTTCGTTGTCGCTTCCCAAAGTTCTTCAGTTTGTTGATCTTCGAGTTGCTGTTTTGAGACGGAGATGCCGACTCCATACGATAGGGAACCTCTCGTGCACCCTTGCTGTTGTTGGTGTTCTGGCGGCCGAAGCTATTGGAGCTGAGCAAGGTGCCCCGGGCCGCGGGTGAAAACCGCACTTCATTTCTCAGAGGACTTTGGACACCGGGAATAGATGGAGCTACACCGCCGATAGATCGCCGCTTTGACTCCAGAATTTCATCGGAGCCGGGGGACTTGGGGAACGCCGGAGCAAACTCTCGTAGGTCCAAGTTTTCTTCAGCAACTTGCGGGGAATGACCAGAATATTTGGCGGAAGGTAGACTTTTGCCATAGATGGGATCATCAGACTGGTCTTCAGTTGCCGTCTTCGGGAGCAGATCTGGAGAAGGCGGGTTGCGGAGCTCTTCAGAAAGACGGTCTGGAATCTCCTCATCGGCACCGAGCGTTGAGACAGATGGCTTGCGAGCCGTATAGTTCGACGGAGGCACAAGATGTGTCGCAACGGGCTTTCTACGCGGCATATCCTTTGGCGGGGGAGTCGGCGGCACATCGTCCTCTGAAGAATCGTCCAGTGAAAAGGTCATGGGAGGAAGAATATGGGGGAGAGGGCTGTTTTTTGCTAGAATGAGCGGCTTGTTGCCAGCATCTTCGTCGTGAACGGGGCGGATAGTCGGAATCGTGGGCATGGTGGAATCGACGGCACTTTGAGGTTGCGACTCTACCATATGTGATAAAACAGAGGCATCGGGGTGCCCGGGGTGTTCGAAGGGCTTGGGTTGTTGGGCCGATTCGCCAAAAAGGTGCGGTAGACTTTCCCACGGGCCTAAGTTGTTAAAATTGGAAGCGCCAGTGACATAATCGTTTCGGTCGCATTCTCGAGTACCAACTTTTGCGCGAGGATCGGAGCGCTGTTGGTGAAGCGCCAACCCCTGACCGAAGCCGTTGGTGAGACTCAGGGCCAACCGCGGTTCGAAAGTGGTTGCCTGAAGGGAACGAGGTTGGCGAGACTCAGTTGGTGAGAGGCCAAGCGCAGCAATCATCTCCTGCTCAAACTCAGATACATAGGAGGCTCTGTTAAACCCTCCGCTTGTGTATTGATTCCCATCGGCCAAGGGGAAAGACAGGGGCACGCTTTGACTCCGATCATGAGCGCGGTCCTCAACCCGACCTTCTCCCGATCGCAAATAGTCCACCGAATCGTTGAACCGGAGGCGCTTTCCGGCGCGTTCGTCGCCTCGCGAGTCCCCTAGAGACATTTCGGCAGGGTCTTTCGCGTCAGGGGCGCCGGTAGGATTGCCGTTTCGACCGAATTTGAGGAGGGGAAGGCTCCCAAAGGTGACGGACTTGCGCAATGAAAAGTTACTGGTAGAGGAATTGGGATTGCCGGACCCCGATGGGAACACGAACTGAAACTGCAAACTCCTACGGGGAGTAGAAGGAACAGCAGAAGCGGCAGTCGCAGATCGATCCTACAGTATTACCAACATCAGAACCAACACGGGAAAAATGGGGCCGGGATTCGGGAAGCGCGCGGGGGTGGGACAAGGGTGAGCGTGATGAGAAGAATAAGATGCATCAATCGTGTCGCATTCTAGTTCAATGCCAAAGCGATGGGAAATTACATCGTGGTATCAAAAAACAAGAGAGAGATTGGAAAGAAAAGAAGCAGAAACAGGAGGCGATGGAAACAACCATCGCGGCGCTTGACCTTCCCGCCAATCCCAGCGGCAAATTAAATAACCCGGATAGATAGAAAAAAAAGGGAACAGAGAACAAGAAAAAAGAATCATGTATCTACCTTGTCTCCGCCAGCTCGGAATCTGCTTCGACCTTTGGCAAAGAGGCCCTTTGCAGCTTCCCCCGCCTTACCACTAAACGCTCCCGCTGTGTGAAAGAAATCCTTGCCGCGCTGCTCCACATTTTGCCGGTTCACGATCGTTCCAATGTGCCCGGACGGGCGCCTGGCGTGGCCGGCACCGGCTGGGGTCCCATCATCCTTGGATGATGCAAGATTGCCCAGGGAAGTGAGCTTCGGGAACTTCCTGGTGATGGGAGAAGTCTTCGGGAACCCAGAAGACAATGTCTGACTGGATTGGATTAGACCCGCATGCTCTGGGTGCTCCTGGATGGTCAACTGGAGCCACTGGGTCAGACCAGTATCCAGAACAGCAAACTGATCTCGTGTCTGATCGAAAGCATGGATCCGGTCGGCCGGAGATGGTTTGTTCAGAATGTCACGGAAGCCCTGTAGTTTCTTTTCATCAATCGACGTGCCTACATCGGCAGACACATACTTTTCTTCACGTGAAAGCGGCCCATCGGTCGGACCCATGATCTGCTCCGGTGGGGAACTGCTTGTGGGAATCGGGGGGACAATGGAAAGTCTCGGTTTCTCTACACGGGCATCGGATAGTTCACTGTCAGTCAGGGGCTGCTCTCGCCACATTTTCTCGGCCATCAGGGTTGAATCGTCAGGAATGGGCTCAGGCTCTTGGTTGGCTAATCCTGCGTCTAAGGCAGGAGCTGCAGGAGCTTGAGGCACAGGCTCTTCCGCCGAAGACGCTGATTCCCAGGAGAAACGTCTGGCGAGTCTAGGTTTCGTCGGTAATCCAGCAGCTGGAGGTGAAGCATTAGCGACAGGAGTTTGATTAGTGGCATAGGGATCCTGGTTCGCCAAAGGATGTGCTGCATTCCAATCTGGGTGGGCTTCGGAGACCAAAGGCTTTGGAGCATCATCCGGGTTGGGTCCAGTCTGCCCATCCCAGAATTTTTCATACTGGTGTGGGATGGATTGTGATTGATTTGCTGTCGGGGGCTGTTGGTTGATAGACTCGGGTTCCTGGGAATTCTCCCTACTCAATGATCGCATGATTTCCTCCCGTAACCGATCGTTGTCAGTGTCATGTGGAGAGTTGCCTGCAACATCAGGGATAATCGTAGGAATTTCGCCCCGGTAGGCCTCAGATGCCGAAGTTCCCTGGCTACCGAGTTTGAGAGGAGCAACAAAGTCTTCCTGTCCCGTGCTGGACGGTAGTGTTGTGGACGTGTTCGGCGGGGATGCTAAAGCATCAAGGGACATTCCTGGCGAGGTAAAATCGCCCGGAGACTCCGATGTCATCTCTGCTTGACCTGCCGACGGGGTATCATTGTCGGTGATAACAGGTTGCTTTGACGGGCTGTTATCTCGGCTGGGAAGGCTCATATCACGTCGGTGACCAGGCTTAAAGAAAGGAACGTCACCCGCAGCATTTTGTGAGGCAGCTGTCGGAGTACTAGACTCGGTAGGTTCCTCAGGAATAGTAGGAGTTTTATCAGGTTGCGAACGAGTACTGATGATAGGGCTGATGACGGATGTCCCATCACTATTGGATCGTGCCACGCTGCCGGAGACGGACTCTGGGGTTTCCGGAACATCGAAAGCCTGGTGAACAACCGATGTGAACCCCTGGGAAGCCTGGGAAGCTTGGGAAGGGTTGTGTTGCAAGGGGGGTTCCTGGGATTTGGGTCTCGTGTTTTGCTGAAAGCTCGAGTCTCCACCTCCAAGGAAATCAGCACCAAAACCCGACATTCTCTTCAATTCCGGCAACCCTATCGAGGGGATCGTCTGTGTCGGTCTCGATGAATCATCGTTACTGGCCGGACTTGGTTGCGTAGGAGGACCACCTGACTGCACCGGGGTCGGCAGAGAATCCGATGTACCGCGCGGAGACGGATTATTGTTGGTATTGTCTTCGCGCATACGTTTGTAAATATCCGCGGGCCTGACGAAAGGGAGTGCCTTCTGATCACCGCCACTGGCGTTTAGTTTGTTGTCGGTGGATGAACTTCCTGTTGGATTCAGTGGCTGAGACACCGCAGGAGGCTCTTCTTCTTCGTCATCTTCGTCGCCCCAGTCGCCACCATCGTATGAGTATTGCTTTGCTTCCACCCAGCGTTTGGTTTTTGCGCGATTGACGTTGGTTCGAAAGGAGATGGGATTACCGCTCGCGCTGCCTGGTGTGAGAGGGCTGCCTGCGTTGGGCTGCGAAGAGCTAACGGCCAATCGTTTTAGCTTCGGTGCGACCGGAGACTCGAGAGTAGATCTCAAGAAATATGACTTACTGGTTCTGAGCCGTGCGGCCCTGCCACGAGTTCGAGTCCGCCATTCACAGAATCGAATCCAAGGTCGAACTGATCTAGGTATCCAGCATCGATTGCTGCCTGGTAAATTCGAAGAGAAACCTGGGCGTCGCGATGGTTCACAAAGGTACAATTCAAACAACCCGGTAACCTTTTCCAACCTTCGACGACTGTCGGGGACCGCCGGCGGTTTATCTGAAGGAAGACGAGGTGGCGTGAGTAACGTTGCGAGCCAACTGCGGGCGCCGATCCGATCGGGGTAGGTGGCTGGCTTTAGTTGGAAGCGGCGGGAAACAAGATTTATTGTTCAGTTGACCGAGGAAGAGATGACGTGGGGCCAAGCACCAAGTATGTACTTCGTATATGCACAATGCAACAATGTTGAAAGGAGTACTGTGAGAAGGGAGAAGAGAGGAACACATGAAACGCGAAAATGAAAAGGCTCGACACTGCCCATTCCTTCCTTTTCCCCTGACTCCAGTCTGGGGTCACAAATCTAAATTTATCGGTGGCGGTGCTGCTGACATCAGCGGTGGGCCAGGTCACGTGCTACGAATCGCCGCGATCGACGTGTTTCGTTTTGGGTTGCGGCAGGGAAAGAAGGGCCTTCCTGAATGCTGCTAGATCTCTTCATACGAAGCCTGCCCTGGATCTGAGTTGTCTTCTCTGGACTGATTGCCCAAGCGCCTTTCAACGCCCGCCACCGCAAACGGAGGTTTCTCCCCTCTTTCTCCGCCCCCTTATCGATTACCCGGTTCCACCAGTCCGTCTTGAAACAACCACCCACGGAGTCCGTCACTTGTTCATTCGGTTCTCTGGTTCCCTGAAAGATAAGACATTCGGATTCCCATAGTCGCCAGAGTCCCGCTGGCACAATGACCGGACCCTCGATTCAAGATCGCACGAGCGAGTTCAGTGCGATCCTGGGCCAAGCCCAAAAGCGGCTCGCAACTTCGAAGGTCGGAACACAGCGACAGGCGCTGTTGACGGACGCTCAAAAACGACAGGCCAATGGATCGACCCCTGGTACGCAGGAAGGAAAGGGCAGCAGATCCGAGTTTGCGCGAAAGGCGCGTGATATAGGAAAGGGGATCACTGGAACAACTGCGAAGCTACAACGATTGGCAGAGCGTGAGTTGCTTCTTCCTGAGGTTACAAAGAGAGCCGAGGCGGGGAGGATCCTTGTCCCTTGAAGGGCAGTATAAGCTAATATGGTGTTTGATAGTGGCAAAGCGAAAAACACTTTTCGATGACCGCCCCGTGGAAATATCCGAGTTGACATATGTGATCAAGCAAGATCTGGCTGCATTGAACCAGTCGATTGCGTCTCTGGCAGCGCTGACCCAGGCGCAACATCCGAAGTCGAATCGTTCCAAGACTGATCAAGAAGGAGAGCACAATGACAATGTGAGTGGGGCTATAGACCCCGAGCGAAGCGCATGGACCATCCCTGACTAGACACTATCTAGGTCGTTGTCATGTTGCAAGGCAAGCTTGCCGACGTCGGAGCTAGCTTCAAAGAAGTCCTGGAAGTCCGCACGAAAAACATCCAGGCGTCCCGCTCCAGGACCGAGAATTTCGTGTCTTCTGTATCATCCAAGTCGCAATCCGCGCTCGATTCTCAACGTTCTGATTCACCCTTATACAACACCTCAGGGAGGCGAACTCCCCAACCCGGATATCAAGGAAACTCATCCGACCTCTTGACACTCGACCCATCCAACCCTTCACCATTGGGACGCCCCTCGATGCAGTCAGATCAACAGTTGCTGGTCATGGAGGAAGCCCAGTCGAGCAATTCCTACATTCAAGCCCGTGGCGAAGCCATCGAAGCCATTGAGCGAACCATTAATGAATTGGGCGGCATCTTTGGTCAACTTGCTCAGATGGTCAGCGAGCAATCGGAAATGATCCAGCGCATTGACGCTAATACGGAGGATGTCGTGGACAATGTCCAAGGCGCTCAACGAGAACTAATGAAGTACTGGACTCGGGTTTCTGGCAACCGCTGGCTTATTGCTAAGATGTTTGGTATCCTGATGGTATGTCTACTTATTACCGCACCTTGATTATCCTACAACTTGCTGACGGGCTTCACAGATTTTCTTCCTACTGTGGGTTTTGATTTCCTGATAGATACAATCTTTCCACGTTTCCCTCCCTTACTGTATTATAATACCTCGCTGTCTGTAATAAACCAGACAAGGCCCATTTCTGCATCCAGCATGTTACTTTTCTTCGCGTTCTGGCTAGACTCTGGGATGCCTGATCCATTCCTTTTTTTTTCTTCTATTCTTTCTTTGCCCTCTACCCTGCTGGGACTGCGTCCTCATGAAGAATCATTCAAGTAAATATAACCCTGTGCTAATCAAATCAAATCAATGACTCTACCGGTTTTTTTACACACAGCGATGGATTTTATGAGATTCGTAGAAGCCTCAGTCACAATATTGAACTCATTTCAAGCATTCTATAATTGTGTCATGGCCTCCCACAACTCTGATTCCGCCCAGCCCAAGGATGGTTGATTATCAAATAGCTCCCACATCAAGTGATCATCCCAGCCCTCCACAGACGACAGCGCACCAGAGGTTTTGCTGCTAGGCATCGGACTTGGGAGCGAATTGAGAAGTGGACCAGCGGCATGGCGTAAGAGATCTGGATATGCACTTCTCTGACCAACATCCCTTCTCCCTGTGCTAACATCGTTTATCAAAGGAGAAAATGGCTGTCCAGGCGGGCCAAGAAGAGGTTTTAACTTGATCAATGGGGCACACAAATCTAGAAACTTGGCAAATAGTCCGTAAAGCTTCCCGATAGATGCATTCGCTTTCGCAAACTGTCGCAGGTCCCCTGTGATTTCCCGGATCATTTCGAAGTCTCTGCGGTCAGATGTTGCAACAACGTTACAAAATAACACAAAGAAGGGAGAGAGTGGAAATAGCAGCATGGTCCTGGGCTTTAAGTCAGTATTAATCCTCAGAATAAAGATATTGAACCCAGTTACCAGGTCAGGAAATATGGATAGGAATCGACAGAGGTCGCACGGCTCGCGAAAGCCTCCTGCATGGCCCGAAGGGTTGTCAGGGCCTTCCGAGCCGCGTACAGGCAGTCTTCGCAGACTAAGCGGGACTTGAGCACAGAGGAGCGTGCCCGAATGATTGAGGTTAATATTGAGTAATAGTTGAAATCCATGGACAACCATTCGCAACGAAGAACCGCCCACGAGGAAGTGAACTTGATTTCTTGACTGCTTCGGTGCTATTCCTTGTTAGCCTCTAGTCCCGTGGAGGCTGTGCCACTTTGATTTGAACCAACCATCTGTAAATTTGTGTGGATTGAATGGGCCTTGGCGACAAGATCAGATAACTGATTTGCTTTTTCTGCATCTTCCATTTCTTTCCTCTCGAGTAAGATGTTGACCAGAGAATTCTTCAAGTGTGCGAACTCAACAATGCCTGTAATCATCGGTGTAGTGGGTAAATCGGGATCCATGTGGATTAACTGTGAGGGATCGATTTTAAGCTCGGGCAATGAAGGAGGTCGGAGGAGAAGCAAGCTCAAAGTCTTGTCGAAATAATAGCAAGTATACACGCATGCATGTATATCTTCTTCTATTTCATTCCGAGGCACGGTATTGGTGATATTGTGGTAGTTGAGGGCAACAATGATTCGAGAAGCAAGCCCAGTGAACATCCAGCAGCGCGACATGTTGCCTAAATATTGCATTAGGCGTTTCTATCTAATTTTAGCCTATGTAGAAAGGTCAATGTTCGAATGAATCACATACTCCAGATAGAAGGGCTTGAATCAAAGTCAGACTAGGAGAAGCAGTGATAGGAATTGCGTTCAATTCCTCAACAGCTGCGGCCTCATATTGCTTCTTCAATGTCTTGAAGTGGTATTTTAGGTGCGGGCTTGATATCAACGGTGCCAACTTGGATATGCAAGATATAGCCTTCACCCATACGCTAATTCGGTAGAATTGAAGCACTTGTTCGCTTTCACTGCTTTCAATAATAGCTAGTCCCATTCGTTCCAGAGTTTTATCCGAAATGTGGTCTGGCCAGGTATATGTACCTTGAGAATTGGTTTTCTTATCGGGACCTGAGAGAGCATAAGGAATCTTAAATTTTGAATCAAGTCAAGAGGTCATACCGGGTAACATCATGTAGAGTAGCTCTGGTGTGAGAGTTGGAGGGGATCGATAATCATGAGTCTCTAATTCCTCATCGCTGTTGTTCCCTTGACGGTGTAGACCTGGATTCGATAATTGACTGACAAACTTCCGAGCCATTTCCAGCGCAGTACGTCGGTCCTGAGAAAGTGCTGGATTGCATTTAAGTTCATGCTCAATGAATTCTCTTGCCTCACTGGCATGCCTCGTTGAATCTGGCGAGTGACGTTCGCTATTAATCTTCGGACCAATGCTTTGCGAACCTCGTCTTCTTTTCTCAGATCGCCTCGGAGGACTAGACATTTGGGAGGTTGCTGCATCTTGATACGTTCTTTTTGTTCGAGCATTGGAAATGCTTGAAAATTTTGCTTGTGGTGATGAAGGAACGGAATGAGATACATGATTATATGCAGTGCTTGACCGTGAGGAGGAAAATGTTAAGTCTTCCCCATTACTTGACTTCTCAAGCTTGGCCAACCTTTCTGCTATTACGTCGAGCCTAATGACTGTTAGATAGATAAGAAATCAATATTCGACTTTGAAGTCATGTACCGAGAAACTCGAGGCCTATGAATCCTTGCTTGTCGAGTCCGAAGACAGTCTGCTCGCGCATCTACACAATTCATGCATGGATCCTTGCGGTCACATTTCACCTGCGCAGAAAACCACCTCCTTAGAACGAAGCGTTTTAAACAGATCTGGATGCTTTGTTTTAACCTTTCTAGTATGACATAAGTCACACTTGTTGAAAATTAGCAAAGCCCACGGCAGAAAGAGCGAATCTGATGTTTAGAAAGAGAGGGAAATTAGTTGGATTCAACCCACCGCTTGCATTGTTGCCATCAATGTTCCGTGGGAGGCGCTGCAAGAAATAATAATGAAGCGAAACAATCAATTCTTGTTTGAAAAGAGTTCAATCGTTCTATCGTACGAAACCAGCAGTTGCTCTCGAGGAGAGGAATCGTGCAGGAAGATGACCGACGTCGGTGTAGCCTTGCCGCTTATCTCGGAGATCCGAAAAGCCGAGCCCGGGCGGGGACTAGGTTTAATGCACCCATGGCCGCAACGGAGATCACCGACGCTTAATGCAGATGAAGATACAATTAAAAAATAATTGAATGTGCATGTTTGAAAGAGAATTGGACGGCATTTTAATGTTTCCCTATTCGAAATTTATTCCTCGGTCCAGCAATATTTACAATGCAGAGTCACAACAGATCCATGAAGAACTGGAACGGAGTCCTCCGCCGAATGAGGGACGGCTCTTCGTTCAGTCATTTCCTGATATGATGCTCCAAACCATATATCGTTCAGAGTAGGTCCAATGGAAGATTCACAACCAGGGGTTTGACTTTTCGACTCCATATACTTGATTAGATCCTCGTGCATGTGCCACAAAAATTCCTTGCGATGAGACCAGGTAGAATCTGGGGACATGCAATGCTTGTTATCGTCATCTTTTGCAATAGCAAGAAAGAACTCTACCACCTTCTCAAGGGTTGAGGTGAGGAGAAGAAGAGCGACCCAATTTTCCGAAGATGAGTGGGGAAAGTCCGGGCTCATGAGGCGTCGAACAGTCGAGCAGAGAAGCTGCATGCAATGCTGGGTCGAGACAAGGATTGTGGTATCCGTGAATGGTGGTTTCTGCAGAATTGAAAGTTGGGTTTCCATCGATGAGGATATTTCGTGCGTCTGTTCAGAGCATTCGGATCTGGGAATGTCGGATTCCGCTGCAGACGACTCCAGAAAAAATATTGCATAAGCTCTGAGTCGGGTTAGTCCAATGTTTTGGCGTTGAACGTGGGCTTGCCACTTACACTGAAGGTAACAGCTTCGCCTGAAGTGAGATCACCGCTTTACTATATACGACCTCTTTCTCGGTTTTGGAAGAAGACCAGAGCGACCGAGCACACATGTCTGTGTCCAAATGATGGCGAATCTCGTGATCTGCCAAATGATAGGAAAGTCGTAGACAGGTAGCCCAGCAGCACTCGAGGTCCGCTAAGTATCCTAGGGAATACTCGGCATCATCATGGCCCTCGCCAAAAGCGTACTGAGGAGGAGGGGGAGGGAATAATTGGGAGATAAAAGTCAGATCATCCCCCCAAACCCCACTAGATTCACCTGTGGTATCTAGTATATCGGCTTTTTTCCTGATATTCAAATATGCCTTTGATATTGCGAATTCTTTTTTGAGAACCCGGTGGTGTAGCAAGCGGCAACTTAGTGCTAAGGATGTAATGCCTTTCAGGTCGCAAAATGCAAGTATGGAGACAAGGATATTGTCTGGAAGCCTTTTCCATATCGTATCTCCATGTCCGAATGAAACCGATGCTCTTTTCCTTCGCCGGGAGACTACCGCACGAAGCCGATCACGAAAGTGCATGTTGATCTATCTGTACTCGAAGAATCATGACGTACGTAGGGGATGAAGAACAGATAAAACAAGCATTGTGTGGAGAAGAAGGGTTGGCCCTCAAAAGAAGTCGGATGCCCCTCAGGGTGGATAATCCCTCTAATCCGTTCATTTCAATGGTCTGTTGTCAGACAAGCCGAAAGTCGGGACTTGAAACTGACGTAGACCCGCCAGAATACGGCCCAGGTAGCCGGCACTAAAAAAAGGTGTAGGTGGGTGCTGCCAAGAATCACGTGTGTTTTGAAATTTGTGGTATCCCAGTTAATTACATTCCTGAATTGATATTGTTTTTATTGCCAAAAATTGAGCATCTTATTAAAATAAGACTGATTCTTCCCGCTGATGATACAGTTAAGAAGAATAACAATGCTTCGATTAATCTTACCGATCAAATAGCATAAACTCGTACAAACCTAGCTTGATAGCCCATTTATACTACTTCAGAGTTGGAATCCAGGTGCCCAAGACAAAAGAATATCGGAAATTGTTTGCATTTATTACTCTGCCTTTTTCAGGAGAATATTTGTAAAAAGAATTGTCACAAAACAAGTCTCACAAAGAAAATTACAATCTATAAATATCCAGGTTAACGGCAAAAAAGCTCTCTAGTAGATATTCAAAAATAGCTCTGTTACTCAAAGTCAGTATCATAAGTGTAGATCACCTCACTTTTAGAAAAGCGTCGATTTCTTATATCTTCTACTATATCCGGCAGTTCCAGCTCGTTAGACCCCTGGTTTACGTATTATACGTAAGTGGGCCATTTCACTTTAGATATGTCTCCCAGGCTTTCCATGCTCTAATTTAGAGTATACCTATTAGTATCGCGACTTATATAATTTAAATATGTTCGTTATATCAAAGGTATATAACGAAACTATTTAAACCCAATGTTTCGGCCTCAGTAGGAAGAAGGTAAGGTATGGTAAGAGTAATAAAGGAAAGAAAGGTTTAGGTAATACTGCTAGTGCCGCCTACTAAGCGGTCAGTAGACGCCTACTGGGCGGTAGTCACAAGGCCCGTTGAGCACCCGAAACAGATTGTGTTATCACCCGCGGACACAATGTATCAAAACTAGCAATCCTGAGAACTTTGGATACTAAAAAAATAATCGTTTGCTTTTCAGTTGTTGTTGGAGCAATGGAGAGGCGCGGTAGTAAAGTAGCGGAGGCTACACTAGCAATCAGGGATTCGTCGCCAAGTTCATCGAAGCCGTTCTCGTGTGTGGTCTGTCATAAGAGGAAGGTAAAGTGTGATCGAAATCAACCATGCTCAAATTGCACAAAAGGCAGCGTCAATTGCATCTACGAACCTCCACCGCCGCCGCGCCGTCGCAAAAGAAAGTGCGACATGGTTAGTCGCGCGTCACAAGAACGCGAAAAATCGCCACAACAAACAAAAAGAAACCGGAGTTTGGAAGGCCCTACAGCAAAGAACTTGCCTTCAATAGGACCCGGATTAGCTGGTTCTGAACCGGAGAGGAGCGGATCTGGGCCGGGGATGATGATCATGAGAGAGGGCAATTCGATATATCTTGACGAGTTCGTGAATTCAATACCCAAGATGTGTAAAGCCAAGACTGATTCCGGCAGTAATCTTTGGACAAGTGTCAGCCTTGAGGTGAGTGGTATTTATTGTCTTGATGGCCATCTCTAACCCTATCCTAGCTTCCAGATGCAACAGAAATACTGGACGATGAACCAGACGAAGGTGAAGATGATGCATCCCAGGATAATACCAATGATTCAATCATGCTTCTGAACACCTCAACAAAAGAAAGTCTGATAGAATTCCATCCAAATCCTCTACAGATATTCAGACTATGGCAGACTTTTCTCGACAATGTTAATCCGCTTACCAAGATTTTACACGCCCCAACAATTCAACAACAAATTTTAGAGGCCATGGGTGATCTATCGAGAGTAGGGAAAGATCTTGAGGCACTGATGTTCTCTATATACTGCATTTCTCTCGTCTCGTTACATGCTACAGACGTCGAGAAGTCATTTGGAGAAAGCAAGAAGAATTTTCTATTTAGACTCCGGCGGGGAGCTCGACTGGCTCTGAGAAATGCTTCGTTTCTTCGAACATCGAGCACAATGGTCCTCCAAGCATTTATGTTGTATCTGGTACGCAAGATACCTTTGAGCCATTTGAACCAAGCCTTACTAATTCATGCCAGCTTTCCCTTCGCGGGTTCTCAGACCCCCATACAATTTGGACTTTGTCTGGCACTGCAGTTCGAATAGCACAGAGAATTGGAATCCATCGAGATGGCTCTGGATATGGGCTTTCTGTATTTGAGACTGAGATGCGACGCCGGATTTGGGTCCAGCTCATGATTCTAGATGCTACATCGGCACAATCTTGTGGCATGGCTGCTGGCCCTTTACCGATAAACGCTGATACTAAGCCGCCCATGAATGTGAACGACAGTGATCTTGACCCGCGCATGACAGAGCTGGCATGCGAAAAAGATGGTCCCACGGAGATGTTCTTTTGCCTTGCCCGAAGTGAGTTTGGGAAATGGCTTCGTCGTTGGAGCCAGGTTTCTGGGAGCTGGCAGTCGTCCTGGGCCTTTCTTTCTTCGCCGTCGATGGCCCTGTCGGAAAAAGACAAAGCAATTGATGACTTGGAGGGGATTATGGATCAGAAGTTCTTGAAGTATTGCGATATATCTATTCCTGTCCACCTGGCCACTTTCCTCATGGCTCGCTCGGCGATCGCCTATACCAGATTGATGGCACACCATCCACGCCAATACCAGGAGCCGAATGCTCGCATTCCCCAGCCAGAAAAAGATATCATATTTGAAAGCTGTTTCAAAATGGTGGAATATACGAGTTGTGCACAGAAAAACCCGGAAGTCCGGCGATTTTCATGGCATATGGTTAACCACATGCCGTGGGACGCTATGATCTTCATGCTGTCAGAAATGCGGCATCGGCTTGACCGAGAAGAAAAAGAAAAGGCCTGGCATATGATAGGAAAAATATACGCACGCCATCTCCGTCAGTTGGACAAGCATTCCCGGATGCCGCTTCACACGGCATTTCAAAATCTAATCGTCAAGGCATGGAAAGCCTACATCGAAGACTGCAATGATCAAGGCCAAACTCCAACGGAATGTCCTGAATTGGTGGCAAACTTGTTAGTAGACTCCAAAGGTTACACGGAAGCACAACCGCCGGAGGAAAATACAAGGATTTCCGAGCAGGATACTACTCCCTTGCCAGTCCAACTTGGTCTCGATAGCTCGACCACCTCTCTCGATTTGGCAGCCGAGCGAATTGACTTCTTGCTTGATAGCCCAATGGTTTGGAGCGAGTGGGATGCCCTCATGAATCAATTTCAAGAATCGCTCGTTGACGACATGACTTTGGTGCCGGGACCTCTATGAGCTCTCTTCAGGCGACCAGCTTCTCGTGCCATCCCATGTGTTGCCGCGTCACCTTGATTCGCTAACCTGGTCAGTGTGCTCCCTGCTGACGGATTAGTCGCCAAGGCTCCATGTTGTGTTGCAGGCGTGCAACTTGTTTACGTTGGAGGAGCTCGGCCCGATCGGCGAACGGTGTCCCGATTTTGCGCGGCGCGGCGCCTCGGGCTTAGCCTGACCGAACACGAGATGGACAGGCCAGGCATGGTGCCTATGAAGCATAATCCAACTGCAGATCGCAACTGCCTAGCACTGAATTATAAAAGCTCATATTGATCCTTGGAGAATTGCCAACTTTCTTCATTTTTCTAGACCAAAAAGCATTATCTTATCGGGTCGTGATTGACGAACTTGCTCTTCTACTATCTTCATAATCTTGACGTACCAAATGTCTGAAACAGATGTTTTGATTATTGGCGCAGGACCAACAGGTCTCGTTCTCGGTCTCTGGCTCCAGACTCAGGGTGTCAAAATACGCATTGTTGACTTGTCGGATGGCCCTGCGCCAAACTCCCGTGCGCTGGTTGTCCATGCGCGCATTCTGGAGCTGTATCGGCAACTTGACCTGGCCGACGAACTGCTGAGTCGAGGATACAAGCTACCAGCTACTAATGTATGGGTTGATGGTACCCATCGCGCTCATATCCCTTTGACAAAATTCGGCGAAGAGTTGACACCTTATCCCTACCTACTCAGCCTTCCACAAGATGAGCATGAACGCCTGCTTGAAAGAAAATTAAATTCATTTGGCATCTTTGTGGAGCGACGCACAAAGCTTGAAAGTTTCGTGGATAACGGGAGCAGTATCATAGCCAGACTTTTCCGTGAGGAGGCTGGAGTCGAATCTACCTGCGAGGCCACATACATCGTTGGATGTGATGGGGCACACTCCACTGTCCGACGTGGGATCGATGCAAACTACGAAGGTGATACATATATGCCCCTTTTTTATGTTGCCGATCTTGTGGCCGAAGAGCAGGACAGCCCTTTTTTCAATGGCGAAGCTCATCTCAATTTTGTCGACGATACTTTCAACCTCATTCTACCATACGTTGGCGAACGTCACGTCAGATTGATCGGGACAACAACCCCAAAAACAAATGGTAACCAGCAAAGTGACATGTCGGAACCTCATCCAGAAGTATCTTTCGAGGATGTCCTGCCTGAGATTCAAAAAGCCTGCAAGCTCCAAGTCAAAAAGATCAATTGGTTCTCAACTTATCGCAGTCATCATCGAGTGGCAGACAAATTCCGCAGTGGTCGTGCATTCATCGTCGGCGATGCGGCTCACATTCATAGTCCTGTTGGCGGTCAAGGTATGAACACTGGCATTATGGATGCTATTAACTTGGCATGGAAGCTTGCTACGGCCATCAAATACCCCTCTATTTCCGATGATGCTAAGGACAAGCTTCTTGACTCCTACGAGCCCGAACGCCGTGCTTTTGCGTTGAAAGTTGTTGGAGCGACGGACCGTGGCTTTACCATCCTCACATGCCCGGGAATTCTGCCTCATATTTTACGAGCTTGGGTTATCCCTTATATTGCTCCTCTGATCACCCGTTTTCCTTCCGCGCGTGAAGAAATTTTTCGCCGTGGCTCCCAACTTGTATGTTGCTACAGAGATAGCCCTCTCAATCAGCCAACTCATGGCTCTGATACTCTTCAGCCTGGCGACCGGCTGCCGTGGGCTAAAACTGAAAAATGCGACAACTTCTCCACATTGCATGAAATTTGCTGGCAAGTTCATGTATATGGCGACAACGACCCAGAACTAGGAACCTGGTGCGAGGAAAGGAACACTCGGTTGATTGTCTTTGATTGGGACGAGAAATTCAGGAAAATGGGGCTGAAGAGTAACGCTGCCTATTTGCTGCGGCCAGATCACTATATTGCAGGTATATTTGAAGGTCCACCCTTGGGACCGAAGATAGAGGATTTCTTTACCTTGCACGGTTTGGTGTCCTGAGTAGAACTGTTGGTCAAGTCTGTATTTTAAGCTTCTGTTATCTCCCTTCTTCTTTTATCATAATTTTTTTAGCATTTGAATTTCAGTAAGTGAAGCAACACATTCAAATAAGGACTCTGAGAAGACCGAAAAAGTATTACTCGTCTTAAGCTTTTTTGATTCCGTGAAATTTCAGAAGAAATGAGAACTAATATTTATTCTGGGTAGATCTTGATTCTATAGACATTCAAAAGCCTGAAGTCTAAGCCAATCTACGTGCACATCGCTAATTCCGCGGAGATGTCTTCGGAGCCGGGGTTCGGATCCGAGTATTCGGACCCGGAGTAAGCTGGGCTTCTCTGCGTCTACCTATGGCTTACCAGGCTGGAGGATCAGCTGAGCCAGTCAATGAATACGAGATGGAGAAGATTATATATAAATTTATTTCCCGGAGATGTCATGTATATTTTTTACAAGCACAAACACAGCTTGAATATTATCGCACTATCATAACTCAATCAGACGAAGCGCTTCACTCATAATTCCCATCTTATTATCGCTTTAAAATGGCATCAAAACATATTGCGATCATTGGCGCGGGCCTTTCAGGCCTGACTCTTGCCCTTGCTCTACACAGACAGTCTATCTCATGCACCGTATACGAGTCGCGTTCAGCCTCTCTTGATATCGGCGGGGCTATCATGCTCTCTCCCAACGCTCTGCGTGTCCTTGATGTTGTGGGCATCTACAATAAAATCAAATCTCGTGGATTTGAATTCACCAGTCTACATTTTTACACTGACAAACCACTCGACTCGTACGAATTCGGTGACCGCAAAAAGTACGAATATGATGCGCTACGAATCTACAGATACGAATTGATCGACGCCCTTCTTGACGAAGTCAGAGCACAGAGCATCCCGATTGAGTATGGGAAGAAATTCACTCGAATTTTGACCGAAACTGACACTGAAGTGACCTGGGCTTTTGAGGACGGTACGGCTGGTCGGGCCAGTTGCCTGGTTGGAGCGGATGGCATCCATTCGTGCGTCCGCAAGTACTTGTATCCGGACCTGGAACCGCGATTCACCAACGCTATAGGCGTGACTGCTGCTGTGCCAACAAGCCAACTCAAGTCCACCGAGTCATACAATATGCCTTTGACTATCATGAATGCTCAACATGGAGCCTTTGTCATCGCCAAGCAGCTTGCAGACGGATCTGAAGTTCTAATCGGCAAACAAAAACGTGCGGCCGAGTTAGATCGCGAAGGATGGAGAAGACTCATGAGCGATAAGCAGTGGTGCATCGATTTTCTGCGCGAGGGAGCTGAGGATTTCCCCGAAATAGTGCAATCTTCGGTGACCAACATCCCGCTGAATAAAATCAACCTCTGGCCATTCTATGTCGTGCCCAAGCTGGACACCTGGACCTCGAAAAATTCCCGCGTTGTTATTCTTGGTGATGCAGCTCATGCAATTCCACCGACTGCTGGCCAGGGTGTCAACCAGGCATTTGAGGATGTCTACACATACTCTTTGATTCTAGCCAAATGTCAGGAGCATACACTGGAACCTGGCTTAAAGATCTGGCAAAAGGGCCGACAGGAGCGTGTTGACCGAGTCTTGGATCTCAATGCACAAATAGATGCCCGCAGGATGCCAATGAGTCCCAAAGCAATGCCCAATGACTTGGACACCAAGCCATTTGACCTAGCGTGGCTATATAGCCCCAATTTTGATCAAATGGTTGAAGATTGGCTTACAAGCATGACAAATGCATGATCAAAAAATCATACATAACATCTTCTGATCTGAAACAGTATTCTATGAATGACGGGTTCGACTTTCTTTTTGTTCCGGTAGCCTTCTGTCTTCCAGGTTTTATTTTTCACTGCCCAACGCAATTTGTTATCCTCACATGTTGAATTTCTTCGGGATATTGGCAGACATTTTCCGTTTCTCTTAGCTGCGGGCCGAGCTTTTTGGAAATCGAAGTCATATTCGATGATTTTGGTAACCAAGCCAAATGAAATGAAGATGCTGAGTGAAGGAATGACTCTTTAAATTTCATACTAGATTCTTGAAGAAAATGCAGACATAATGACCAAATTGATGCATTTATGTCCGTTATGTAATGTTAACATTGGAATGATTGCAATAATCTTACCTCCATTAGGAACCATAGCTTTTGGAGCTCTGAAGGGAAATAAATGCTTGTGCATACGGTGTGTGCGAAAACTTGTGCGACCTGACTCACCTCAGGAGTCTCCACTTTGTACAGCCCTTAAGCCTATTAATCTGAAGTTCTAGTACAATTTTGGTGTTTGGCTTAATTTTCGATAATCTTATCCCATTGAGGTGAGCCGGATCATCCCTCTTGTCTCGCTTGTTTGAAACTTCAAATTTCCCGTTCATAAAAAGCGCTTATAACAATAATGTATCATGTAGATATTGATCAATTCAGTATCGAGGACGTCATCAAACAGCAGATATCGTTTTTCACGTGCAGATAGTTGGTCAGTTGTGCAACTCAAAATAACCAAGCATGAGCAACCCTAACATGGAACATATCTGTAATATCAATACTATTACGGCATGCCCATACATTCTTCTAATATCTCCCTTGTAATCCCTCTCCAGACATGGAATATAGTTTGCTGTAAATCGGGCTTTCTGCTCTTATCTTTATGATAGATAAGCCTTTAAACTTCATTCATGTTATTTTTAAGTAAAATCGAGTAATCTTATCCCTTTCAAGACTGGCAGGTACAGGCAGCACAAACCGAATACTCCAGCAGAGATCATAGACGTCGAAAATAGTCCTGGGATCATCAAAAGAGGTAAATTTTATACAATCATGTATCTTGGAAAGGAGTAGATTAAGGATGTGATGGCTATTGGAGAGGAATGTGACCAAAAACGGGTATGGAATCCTTGAAACAAATACCTCGGGATAGAATTTCTTTGATAGGAAAGATGATAAGCGCGGCGACAGGCTTCGGGCCCGCTTCCTGGCCACATAAAATGATTATTTATTCATATAGGCTCAAAACCTATAATTTCCAGCTTGAAATGTTAAGTGACTAGATTAATCCGATCTGAATATTTGCTTTTCGCATAGTCTCGTCACTATGAACACATATCACGACGTCAAGGGCTTATTCTCTGGTAGCACAACTAAGCCTCAGGAGCAGCCCGAGGATCTTTTCGACCCCGCAGTATGTTTGACGATGTTGCATATCCAAATTTTGACAAAAGCTCAAGTTGAATAGATACATCTCCACTATGTTTGCCCCCAGAAACATTTTACGATGAGAGAACTTCTCTTGCCGCAAAGTGAAACGGCCTCTCCGATCGCAGGAACTGTTCCCTTCCCACTACTGTCTGCGCAGGGTGTAAGAGCATATCGTAGGGCAATGTTTCACCCAGAAGTTCTCAATCATTGTGCCAGCTCCCCATTTCCCGGGACGCTGGTTCTCCGCAACGCAGTGCAACACTCCAAGTTCATCAGGGATTTCTGGACACACCCCGAGACCTTGAGCGCAGTCTCTCGGGCTGCAGGGCTACCATTAGAGGTCATTATGCCAACTGAAATCGGACACACTAATATCCAGGTTGATGGTTTAACTATCTCCGAAATGAAAAGTAACCTTCAATTCGAGCCTTCGAATCAAAAAATCGAACTGAGCCTAGAGGATCGAATGTACGACCCATTAAAAGATGATACGGCTATAATTCCATGGCAGTGAGTTGAAGTTTCCTGGAACCGTAATATGATTTATTATTTGGTGCTAATATACGATAAGTTATGATTCGTATCCCTACGTCTGTGTTTTAATGTTGAGTGAGACTGATGGCATGATTGGAGGAGAAACTTATATCAAAAGGGGAGATGGAACAGCTCAGAGGGTAGGATCAATTTTTTGACAAACACCGATCTTGCATTAACTCACTGCAGATCGAAGGACCCCAAATAGGTCACGCAGTAGTGCTCCAAGGTGGAGAAGTTGAACACCTAGCTGCTCGAGCAAAAGGTGTTAAGGAACGCATATCGACTATCACATCGTATCGATCTAAGGTTCCAGCCACGTACGATTCTAGCTTCATGACGAATATCCGCCCATATGCCGATCTCGATGCATTATACCCAGAATGGATCAAATACCGACTGCAAAAGTCAAAAGATGAGATTTCTCATTTCATAAAAAGAATTGAAGAACAACCAAAACTTGCTTCAGACCGGCAAGGTTTAGATGACCTCATAAGCAAGCAGATTGCTTATTTGCAGCACACGTCGAGGCAGATTGTTGAGCCGGAACTGGAATCGCAGATAGTCCAAAAGTTTGGCCGGTCAACTTATTATGCCGCCCCCGTGATATGGAAAAAGGCGCAAAAACTCCCCGAGTTCGAGACACTTGCAACTTTAGCCGATGACAATCGGACTTGGAGATCGGATAGTGCATACTGGATGGATTTACAGGTTTCAATAGAGTTCATTCGCTTAAATAAACCTCTTAAGGGCGCACTCGGATGTCAGAGTTGGAAGGGAGGGAGGTATTACATGGGAGATGAGCTCATACGTCAAGGCTTAAATGAAATGTTCCTCGAGTGGTTGGAAGACTCTGGGCTGTGGAAAATTTTAAACCAGACGGACCTAGTAAGATAGGCGAGGTAGCAGTGAATTGGACGAGAAATTATGCAAAGAGAAGAGCTGTCCATAGGTTATTCGTCGCGCATTATTATTCAAATATAATATTGTAATTAACAGCTTATCCTTTTTCTCCTTGCCTTGGGAGAAGGGCATGGCTGTCCTCCTCGTGTCCTCTTATATGCGGATTTAGATCAGCGCTATATGAGTCGGTGTCATCGCCTTCGTTATCGCTGTGATCATCCTCATCTAGCCCAAGATCGAAATCCTCCGCGTCCAAGTGATTATAGTCACTGCGGCGGCGCCATGTGATAATGCCTGCAGCGATTATTCCCAGAACAAGTACACCAAGCCCAGTAGCCAGCAGGGCTATTTGGGTTGACGAGAGCTTAGAAGCTGACGCCTTGCTAGGTTTCCTCTCCAGCGGAGAAATTGCCGTTTCAGATGTATTATACAAGTCTGAAGCGACTGACAGCTCTGTGGTATCCAGATCAACGATTTCGGTGACGCCGAGGACGTTTCCATGGCTATCCACAGCTTCTGCCCACAAATACCGCCACACCGTCTGTCCAATGGTCAATTTTGTTTCAAAGCCTGTTCGCCGAGACTTTGCCAGAACGCTTCCTATATTGTGGGCTTTATAGCCGACTGCCCCCCGAACAATCCACTCCGCCACTTCCGTCGCACCGTTCCAACTAACGTAGACTACTAAGTCACCGTCTGTGTTCTGCCTCGGTGCGATAGCTGGTGGCCACCATGGTGTTGCGGACCAGTTCATTTTATAGGCGCGGTAGTTGTCGAGCGCATCGGGGATTTCAAGACTGTGCCAGGGAGAGAACTGCACGTCCATGACCACGGCCCCCGAAGAGTTATGTTCAGTAAATGTGGGACATCGGCCCCAGCCAATGAAGACATTCCCGATGTCATCGGCAGTAGGCGAGAGAGGTTGCACACTCCCCTGGCTCTGGGCCTGAAGCCGCGATGGGTGATGAAATTCTTGCAAAAGCTGGACCGTCGGAGGCGAGGCTGCATCATTTATAGCAATGTGAAGACCACGCGAACAGTCCGATATGCACTCTTCATGTGAGGTGATTTTGACGTGATTGTCGAAGAATGTCATCTGGGTCTCGTTGGTTCCGGGCACGAAACGCGCATGGTGTTGCCAGCGCATAGACAACAAGGGCTGACTGTCCTCGAGGCCTTCCGCTGGGGGTAGTTCGACAAAGTCATTATGCACGCCGCCCAGGGTCCAGATGATATCACCCGTCTTCCCGTTGATGAGCAATATGGAATGAATATGACGGATCGAGACGAGATAATTGCCAGCTTGTGTCTAGATATATGGAAATGTCAGGATAATTCCCTTGGTTGCCATCGTTGAATGAAATCGCTGTTACCTTTTCAATACTATTCATGTGGTATGCATCCCAGCCGCTACCTCTCGGCTCGGATGATTCCATAGGGTTGATATGATCCAGAGCGCGCCAATCAAAGATCACTTCGTTCGTTTCCAGGTCAATTTCCTGTAAAATAGCGTCCAGGACATCAAACCGGTGAGGTAGATTCCAATCTTCCCTGTAGTCAGACCCGCGCAGTCGGAGCATATTCACACCTGTAACTAGAGCAGATCCATTACCCGTGAATGCGAACTCATGCAGGTCACTGTGCACTTGGATGTTCTGTGCCCACACTTTATAGGCCAAGCGGTAGTTCTCATCGTAGGCAAGCCCATAACCATCTCCAATCCCATTGCCCTTCTCTCCTTCCCAAAAGGTCAAGTATTTCTTTCCGAAGTTCTCCTGGATGCGAGTACCGAAGACATTTTTGAAGGTGCGGTTCATGAACACCGCGCTCAGGTCGCTGGCGTCGAGGATGAGCGGAGATGAGAGTGGCGAGGTGTCATTGCCATCGTGTCGAAGAAAGATATGGGAACCCGACGGGGAGATATAATCCCGATCCCATATGTTGGCTTGCAGGATCGGGGAAAATTCGCGGCTGGAGTGATATTCTAAATGCGGTCTATGGCCAAGCGAGCCATCATTGTAGGTATCGTAGTCGGTCGAGACATAGTCTCCGCTGGCGGTTCGACAGAGCGCGAGCGCGACAGTGCATGCCCAGAGTAGTAGTAGACAGGGCATGATGAGATCCTCTGGAGCAAGCACCAGGGCTCAAATATGAGGTGATCAGGGTCTTTCCTGACGACATTCTGCAAAACTCGAGACACAGTCGTGTCAAATGTATTGACAGCCCTCAAGGCTGAGCCACGAGCGTGCCCCTTTCTGGTCGAGTGGGGGCGGGGACAAAACATCGTAGGCCAGTCATCGGTGGGAATATATCTTGGATCAACGTTGCTTGCGTACGTATTCGTCGAAGTATCGTTATCCTGGTGGCCCTAATTCCGCTCACAGACAGGGTTGTGGACCAGGAACCCACTTGAGCCATCGGCAATACTCCAAGAGATGATCAAACAGGCCTTATTATTTTGTAAGCAACAACTTCTCAAAACAATGTTGGTGGGTCTGGAAAGATAAATCACCTCCGATCTGATTCAGATCTGGTTCTTCGAGAGAGACAATCCTAGATGTCGCGTGGTCGCGCCTCGCTGAGTACGAGCGGAATTGCGTTTGTGCCTCGTCATCGTCGCGAGGTTTTTCCCGCCTGTGGGGCGCACCGGTGGGCCATGCTGGTTATCTCGTCCTCGTACTCGCTCCGGCGCCGGAGCATGGCGCTGGGTCTCCGCTCTTCTTGGCTTCCGGCAAAGGCGACCCAGTGCCTGGCCCTCAAGGCTTACCTGCCCACACTAATAAGTTAACACCTATACCATTTAAGCAATCCGCATGACAATCTACTTGATTCTCCGACCACGCGGTCGTTTTCCTTTTTCTGCCCAGTCGATCGTTCCCCATCCCGCCCAACAGCACCAGGGGTCAACGTGGCTTCTCCTCCAGTAGTATGTACGGAGTAATCTCTGATCTCTTGGAGTGACTTTTAGCGCAGGTTTGGGACGCCTATGTTTGATATTGCGATAGTCCGCGTCACGGAGCCTCGCATCCTTCTTGTGCCTCCACATCTCCGATCCTTCGGGAATACTCACCCTCCATAAATCTTGCAATTTTGAGGATTCAAGTACGGATGGGTTTTGATAGAAGGCGGGGGGAACAATGAATCAATCGTGAATAGCCTGCCTACTACTCGCTTTGCCTCATTATATAAGCTAGTTCTAAAATTACTAACAAACTAGTGGTAGATGGCTTGAGATCTATAAACACAATTTATTCGCTGTCAGCATGTAGTCACATCAACAGTCCAAACGTCCACACCCGAAAGTGCGGCTCACTACCCCGGGTCAGTACCATTACCTCGAATTGGGACTGCGATCTCTCTGGGATTTGCATCTGCGTCATAGTCTCGGCTGCCCCAAAGGCATACTTGCCCTGGCACTTTACCCGGAAACCCCCTTCCCCCCCCCCCAAACCCCCATACCAGTACATCACGAATGGGAAAGGCATTCAAGCCACAGCGAGAAAGGCTGGCACAGTGCTAGCCCAGGGAATGTCGTGACGCTCATACAATTATGAGGTCATTTGACGTCGCTACTTCGCAGGCCGAGTCCATATGCACCAAAAATCGTTTTCAGACAGAGATCTCTGGGCCTTGAAGGATGGCTTACAATGAGCATTGTCCTCAAAATACTATTCTCAAACATATTGCTATCTAAAGTACCATGCAATGAACATTTCATTTCAACTCAAGCTAAATTATGCATCATTCACACTTTTTTTCATTATTGTTGAGCATTATACACTGGAGGGGCTCTCTGGTCCAAATTGTGCGTCCCAGTATTTCTTTACATCACTGCAAATTCCAGTTTGGTTTTTCCAGCTTTCGAATTGGGTCTCTAATTCGCACCCGGTCCATAGAATCTCGGCCCAGAACTGTTTTTCCACATCAGAACCGAATGCTTTGATTGTATCCTCGGGAATAGTCCATGCGCGTGTGTAAGTTCCATCGTCATTGAAGGCAGGGTTAACTGCCTGTTTCGAGAACACAGTCGCAGGATTGAATTTCGGGAAGTTGGCGTGGATAAAGAAGGGGTGTGGTGCTGGGGCCACAGACCCATTCACACGCCATTGCCCCTTTTGAGTGAGCTTATAGTCTTCCATTGGATTGAACTGGACCATAGCAGACCCAGCAAGCCCGCCTTCTGTTTGATGTCCCATAGCACAGATCGGTTCGCTGACTTGATAGAATGGCTCACCGAGGGCGGCTGCCGCAGTGATGAATGTTTCCTTATCTCCCTCTCCTGCTGCGCCTTGTGACAAAAGACGGTAATAATGAGTTGGTCCCCAGAAGTTATAATAGGTACAGAGAAGGAGAGTTCGCAGATGGGTTTTTTTCGAGATGAGCATTTCACCTGACTCGGTTGACTGTCGAGAATCCATTGGCGTGACTGCCTGTGATGAAATCTCATAATAGTACGGCGAAGCCGACGATGCCCAGAAATCTGGCCATGTTAACATCTTCGTGCTTTTGAATGGCTCATTCTCAAAAAGCGATTCGGGCTTGGCGATTGGAAATGCGTCGGCATCCAGGAACAATATCTCCTCAAATGAAGAGAAGAGCATGGCAAACGGCTTTAATTGATATTTCTCAATCTTAGCTGCTCCAGGCACAGCATTCATGATTTCCGACATGACAATGCACTTTGCATTCAAGGCAGGTAGAACCTGGTCACAGATAGTCTGCTCGTACTCATCAGGCGTTGCTAAGAATACCTCCATAGGTAATTTCGAACCCGTGCGGCGTAGCATTCGTAATGAAATCACCAGCACCGGTAAATAGGAGCCGCCAGCAGTTGTAACCAGGCCTCTTGTGTCGGGAATATACGAAATTTGTGGTGGATCCGTTCTGATGGCTGTCACAAAGTCGTCGTGGGCGTTTCGCATCCTCAGCACATCATGTGCTGGCATTTTCAAAAGTTCTGGTCGAGAAATCGGGTCCCTAGGCGTGAAGCCACTTGCTGGTGCATTTCCAAGTCTCCGTGGGGGCTTGCATTGCGGTTCATAAGCAAGTAAGAGTGGTTGAAGCTGGCGCCAGAAGTTGACATGTTCGGTCGTATTGTGTGGATAGAGCCGGTGCAAGTCTGTGGATGCTCCAATGGGGTACTCAATTTGCTGAATTGTGCCTCTTGTAACTAGGTACCAGATTGAGATAGCAGCAAGAGCTAGCGCACTCAAGACACGACTCCGACGTGTCACTCTTGCGAAACTCATGGTCGCGAAATGCAATGCATCGATCAAAACAAGCTTGTATCAAGGGAGCAACAAATCAAAATGTCGAATTTGCCTGTTGAGTCGTGGGGTGTCAAAAGTCATATCCACCCTAAGTATTAAAGAGAACAAAGTTTTGTTTGAAAGTCAATGTTTGCGTATAGCCAAGGTCATTCCTCTTACACGTTGATGTGCTGCTCATCATGGCCGCATTTCCCGGGGTCTGCCGGAAGCGGTCATTTTGACTCCCGACGACAAAAAGGGAATCGAGGGGGAGCAGCCGCGCCGGAAGCATTTCCCGTTTTCGATTACAATAAGAGATGAAACAGATACCTAGAAAATAGAGTCCCTGAATAAAAGAGATGTGTTGATGCGATTTTAAGGAGACCTGAAAGCCTTTCTCAACGCGTTCTGAAGGCGCTGTGGCTGCATGCGGGAGATACCTGTCTCATGCAACCCGCGACAAGTCCTAGAATTGAATAAGATCAAACCGGGTTTATCTTGCCTCAAGTAACAAGATTTTCCCTTCATTTCATGATTTCGGTGCCATTTCCCATAAAATTGCGGTCGGCCTTTGATCTGCATCTACGCCACAGTAGATGATCGATCCTATGATTCCGGTATGTATTTTTTTTTCTTTACCTTTATTTTCTCTTGATCACAGCTCCCGCGCATGTGTTCACATAAGTCACTGGGCTCAAAAAACCGGAACATGCATAATACTTACCAAATCGCTCTATCTAGGACTTCTCGAATGGGTTGCAAGGCACTACTACGACCATTACTGGTCGTGACGCTCATTATTTGCGGCGTAGTAAGTGAATTTGAGGAAACATGAAGGCAGAAATCTTACCACAGTTGGCAGCTTACATGGAATCTTCTTACTCTCCCCTCGTCAACCTGGCGACCAACATGGAAATCCAGTCAAAAAACAGAAAATAGCGTCAATGGAGAAGCGAAGGCCGAGTCGGGGAAATTCCTTCACATTCCGATCCCAGACTTTCACTCCGCAAAGAAAAATATCGTGATGGTCACTGGGAGCTCGGGCACAAACCGGATGCTGGGACTGCCACACATCAAGGAAATGATCTATGAAAACCGAATGACTTATGCTGAGAAACACGGGCTCGAGTTTATGTGGGCGAACATGACAAGCTACAATCTGCCCGATGGTGCTCCGATATATTGGAACAAGATTCCTATTTTGAAGGAGGCTTTCGCTCGATACCCACATGCGGAATGGATTTGGTGGCTGGACGTCGACATTATCGTGATGAACATGTCACTCAGCATTCATGACCATGTCCTATCCAAAGAAGGACTGGCTCGCAACATCCTCCTTGATCGAGCAATGACTGGTGCTGGCGGTGGAGAAACCGGCTACCGCACGCCTGCATCTTACAAGCCCGATGATATCAATTTTGTCATCTCCATGGATTCGTGGGGCATGAATGTTGGCAATTTTTTAATGCGCCGTGGAGACTGGAGCAAATGGCTGCTAGATCTATGGATCGAGCCACTTTACATTTCCCAAAACTGGGTGTTTCCGGAGAATGATGCTTGGACACATATGTGGCAGTACCATGATATCGTTCGAGACCATACAGCATGCATGAAACAACGCTCGATGAATGCATATCCGGATTACAATTTTCTTGGTGAGCACTGGCAGCCAGGTGATCATATTGTCCACTTTGCAGGCTGTGGCGATGATCCCATATGCGAGATTAAGTGGAGGAAATACTGGGATATGCGTGAGCAAGTAGAAGTCCCGATATCTGTGAAGAAGAAGTTGGCAGATGGTACTGCGGAGATTGAAGATATTCAAAGCGGCGTTGGGCTACCAAGCAGCCCATAGTCCTTTCAAGATAAACAAGCAACTCAATTCACAGTAACTACATTACAGCTGAAAACATCTCAATCCTGCCCTGATTTTTTCTTTTTCACCTTCTTGTCCTCCCTTCTTGGACATTGGAATGCTTGGCATGCCCTGGTTGGAATGTCAAGAAAGTCTCTCCTCAATCGGACATTAGACCCTTAATAAGCGATCTCAGCGGATGCCCTTGCCAATGCGTTAAGCACTGCAAACAGAGTTAACCGGTCGGACCTCACTTGGTCGGAGTCAAAATGATAAGTCTCCTAGCAGAAAAGAGGCGTTCAGATTCCTTCCCCATACTTTCGCTCGTTTTTCACAAAGCGAAGGCGATAACATAAAGGACAGAAGCTTTTATAAAATATTAATCAAATATTTCTTTAATTTGCTGCAGTCTTTTTTTTCTTCAAGTTGATTCCTTGTAGGTGCTGAATTCGGATAGAAGATCTCCAATTAGCCTTCCGTAGTCGGCGTTGTGGTAAAAATGGAAGAACGAGTCATCTTGATTGCGTTCGGAACCAAACACCTCGAGACTTATTTCCTTTAGTCTAATGCTCCTTCTATTAGTTTAAACATCCCAGTGCCAATGATTCTCTTTCACTAAAAAAGAGATGGCGCGACAAAAGCGAGGTGACAACTGGGTTGATGTGAGTTTGATTTCTTTTAGCTCAATAGCGTGGACTTCACTAATACTAGAGCTATCTCAGGGCCTCCGGGGCATTGCGGCTTTGATTGTCGTAACTTACCATCTCTGTTCTTGCTTCGCAAATTGGCTCAACTCCCCAGCAATAGCAGAGAAGGGACCGGCCAGCCTATTTCAATACCCTATTCTTCGACTTGTGGTTGGTGGCCGTCTTGCTGTGTCGCTCTTCTTTGTCATCACCGGATACGTGAGCTCTCTCGGTGCACGGAAACATATTCGAAATGGCGACACCGACGTTGCACTTTCCAACCTTTCTAAAAGCACCTTTACTCGAACCGCAAAGTTGGTTGCTCCAACAAACATTGGTGTCTTCTTGGCATGGCTGGTTTGCCAACTTAATGGATATCGACTCGCAAGCAAAACGGACTCCAACTGGATCAGAGGAGGTGCAAATACCCCAGGGCCTACGTTTGGAGCTGCTTTGAACGGTCTGTTTCGAAACCTTGTATTATTTTGGCACAGTGGTGGATCCGAATATGACCACACTTATTGGACAATCCCTTTCTTTCTCAAGGGCTCGATGCTTGTATACCTCACGATACTGGCGACAACGTTCACACGCCCAATATCCACAAAAATTATTTTAGTCTTTCTCTATCTTTTCGCTTGGTCGGGTGGACAGGGTGAGTTAACTTAGTAAGTCTACAAACTGGTGTTAACGATGGCTAATTTCTAAATATAGCACTCATGGAAATGAATATCTATGCCGGGATGTTTTTGGCGGAGTTGAATTCCGACTTTGGCAGTCGAGCTACATCTCTAATTCCAGCCCCCATATCAGCACTTATGATATTCATTGGATTATTTCTAGCGTCTTTTCCCGATGAGCACCCCGAATGGATGCTCTGGAGTCGCACCGTCAACACACTTGCAAGCCCATTCATCCCGAACGGTGGCGAGTTAAATCGATACGTTATTTCTGTCGGAACAATTATCTCTGTGGCAGGTGTATTCTTCTCGCCTCATGCGCGTCGATTCCTCACGACTCCTGCTATGAATTTTCTCGGGAAAGTCTCCTTTCCTATCTATCTTCTTCACAACACCCTCATACGCACCGTGTTGTGCTTCTTTTTATACCGAAACTCGGTCCTGGCGCAAGGACTACACCCAGTGAATGCAAAAGGTGAGCCTGCATGGCTGGAGAGAGGAGGGCCTTTGACATTTGTCATCACGATCACAATCTTTTACACGACTCTTCTTTACACCGCGCATTTATGGACAATTCATGTGGATCCGCGATGTGAAAGAGCCGTGTCTTGGCTGTCGAGTAAGGCTTTTGGAGAAAATAATAGCCCAGATCTGGGGGAAATGGAGCCATTGGATGGAATTTTGAAAGGAATGAATGAGGAAACCGGCCCAGCAAATGGCATGGATCTGAGATAGATGAAGGCTCAAATCTAGGCGACATTTTATATTTTGATTTTCTAATCTGACAAATTTGAGGGTCGGGATTCATAATTTTAGCTTGTAAGCGAAATTTGAATAAGCATTGTCATAAATGCAGACAGATATTTTCGTCTGTTCCTTCTGTTGAGATACGTCAGTTCTGGCTTATAAAGATTTCCGGGGTTATAAAACTTCCAATACATCTCATTTTATTTTATTTTCCATAAACTCAAGAACTCATTGGCCTATTAACAAGACTGTCTTCCTTGTGAGATCTGAGTAAGTATTTCGCCACCTCCAAATTGCTCCTACTGCTCAGAATAATAATACCTAATATCGAACCGGTTCGAGAGAGGAGCCAGAGCCATAGCTATTCCAAAGGCGAATACAATGGCCATAAGACCGGCGCGCAAATTATTTCAAGATTGATAATAGTTAGGATAATTTGGTTTAAGCCGTGGAAGATCAAGAGTAGGTTTACCTGGCTTGTCTCTCTCGGAGAGCAGTAGCGAAATTGAAGTCTCAATCCTTGTTTAATGTTAGCAGCCTGTTTAGAGAGCGGATAGGGAATTATTGTGTGAGTCAAAACTTTAACAAGCAGACGAAGAAGAGGTATTAGCAAAATAATATAGAAAAAAAAACATACAACAGCATATCTAAGGCAGTGGTCATCTAGCGCCCACGAATCAGGCATAGGCGGCTCGCCGCTCTCCTTAGTTATCTTCAGAGCAATACGGGCAGATATTTACCTACCTGAATATTCTTTACCTGAACGTGCAGCAGAAGGCGTATTTGCGCTTTTTAAATCGCCCTCCATAAAATTTCTAGTAGGTTTTAATTCTGTTTCTCCTCTATTTTTACCACGAAACTATAATATAGATAGTAAGTTAAGTATAACCTAGTATTAAGCTATATAGGAAATATTCAAGTGATAGGCTTTGAAGAGTATAATAATAATATAATCTAATAAATAGTTCTTCTACCTAGTATAGTAGGGAAGTGGTATACAGGTATAAACTAGTAGTATAATAGAATATATAATACATAGGGTATATGTCAGGGTGCTACTTGCAGGGTGTTAGAGAATAACTACTTGTACAGGGTAGAAAGCCTGTCGACTAGGTAGGAAGATAAACGTCAAGTAAGGAAGGCAAAACACTGTTTCTTGCTATCATGGATCTCTCTATAATCCTCAATTTATGTACAGGCTTTAACACCTTCCTATATAACCAAAGCAAAGACGATGGATCACATTATAACATGCAGTCTGACGTAGCCTATATGTAACAGAGGTAAGTAAAGGCTACAGGAAAGAGGGGTTCACGAATCCCTAATATAAGGGCACCGAACCCTTGTAGGTTATGTATCTATGTTAGGGAGAAGCAGGGCTATTATAACGAAGCCTGACCGACAAGGTGTCTAACTGACACCTGAGGCATTAAGTTTGGAATAGCCTCATGTTGCAATATCATATGACAATAACCCTCTCTATTTTTACCTTTCCACCTTCCTATTTAGGAAGTCTATCGATATCAAACTTCGGATTTTCCTTCCTTCTAATCTAGGTCTAGTAGCTAGTCTTGAACGTGATTGTAGCCGCCCTAAACCCTGACACTATCTAAAGAGATAATAGGATAGAGCCGAGTCCTAGAAGAACCTAACTCATAATTTGGGCCTTTCGGCTCTAAAATAACCCTAATAGGACTGCAAAAGCGACCGATGTATAGGGCCGCTCGAACTCAGCTTTGAAATACGTACTAAACTCTATTCTTAAATGCGCTTATCTATCTTTGATTTAGCCTATTGCAAGTTTGTCAAACGTAATGTAACAATAAGCCCACAAAGAGTGGGCCTGTAATTAACTAGAAATCAGAATACCGTTATTAACGGAGATCAAGGCACAGTAGCAACCTCGAACGCGACCGGCCGGACTACCCCCTAACCAAAGTTAATCCGCGTTCACTATGGCTTCTACTTTATTATTTAGCGATTGAGATCGGGCTTTGTATGCCCCGTCGCTGTTGCTTAAGGGACTCTGATGGGTTTACCACTAGGGCTGCAGCTACGGCTCGCTTGAATTGGTATTCTTTATAGCCCTTTAATTGCTTTCCGGCCCTTCCGGCTCCTGCTGGCAGCTGATAGTCAAAGCCCAGAAACCCATTAGCGGCACGAGCGAGAGGGTCGCTCTTATGAACTTATGAACACTCGTTCTCGAGGAATAATGCTAGGGCAGCAAAGTGGAGCAGCCATTGAATGAATTCTTAGCCAGTCACATCCATATAAGTAGCTAACTGACAGTCATAAGCACAAGCGGGTTCACAGAGGCGCAAAAAGTAGTTCAGGATAGCGCAACCGCCACCAAGCCACCCCTGCTCTCATTGGGTAGAGTTGATCTCCCGTGGCTAGCTGAGCACCGTTGGGCAGTGAGATTGGGCAACGAGACTTCTAACTCAGCAGGAGAGGAATGTCCAGTCGCTGAAAAAGTGTATAGAGTAGGGGCGTTGATATAGCGGCGTAGGGAAACGGCAATCTCAGCTGGCAACTGGTGCCGAGAGAGAGTAAAGCTATAAATATTATGAGTTCTCTGCCGTGTCTCCACCCTTTTGTGCCTCATCATCTCAACGCTTCCACAACATTGCAGCACTTCTTTCGTTCCTTTTAATTCTCGAAGTCATGGATCGGTCCGCATCAAACCTCACCGGAACCGGGGTCGACTTCGTTGTCGCCACCACCCAGGCGAGCATCAACTCCAGTATGCTGGAATATTTGGCGGAGGGCAGTCAGCCGGTGATGTATCTGTGTTTTCTCGCGGGCCAACAAGGAAACCCCACGGTGCAGGTCACCTTGGAGGAATTGATGGCCAAGACCGAGGGCATTAATCCATTTGACATCCCACAGGATCTCGATTATATGGACGCTCGCATCAGACCTGTAACCAAAGCCCGTTTTGTCGCGGGCATCAAGTTGCAAATGGGCCTTCCTCCGGGGGCCAACCCGAAGGATCTATCTGTGGTCAACTTTGAGGGCACCACCCCCAATAAAGTCACATTCACCATGTATTGTGCCCAAGCCACTGTCATTCACAATAACCGGGGTGGATTTGATGACCCGACATGGAACGTTTGGAGCCAGACGGCGGAAGAGCCGTGGATTGCCCGCGCAGAGGTTGATCTCGTGGTAGCAGATCTCGACAGCAATCTGGAGAACTCGCCCTATCTGCGAGGCCGGCCTGAAGTCAAGGAACAATTACAAAAGGCGTTTGTCAACCTCTCTGGCTCTGCCTTCAGCCTGCAACAGTTGCTCTTCGACTTGGACAATGCAACGATGCAGGAAAACTTCAAGTTCACAGGAATCGATCCGACCTCGGATGCTGGGTTTTTGGTGGATCGGTATTTTGTTGGCATGTACCAGCAGTCTGCGCGAGAGCATGGCCTGCCCCTTCTGGCCATCACAGCTGTCTCCCAAGATCCGGATCCCTCGTCACTGCAGATGACCTCCTTTGAGCGGACACTGACACACCCCATTGGTGGCAGTGGCCCAGCCACTACATTAAATTATCTATGTGCCATCAATGATCATCCTCGTCCCTCCCCCTCGACCACCTTTGGCTGGAACTGGGTAGACCCTGCGGGAATCGATGAGAGCAGCGGCGTAATCGCGATCCAACGCAATGCGTTTATCAGATTCCTGGAGGACAGCGTACAGAAACAAGCAGATAGTCTATGCTATAGACCGTGGGTAGACACTTCTTTAATTGATTTGCTCAGTCCCACAGAGAGCATGCAGCAGTCGAAATCTACCACGGTGGATGCACTGTTCGATCTGGGATATAAGGCCGAAGACAATGGGAAATTTGAGCCGTATCGCAATGGATTCAAAAGCCAGGTCTCGCTGGAAGTGTCCGCAGCTGTGAAAATCACCTTTGAAGGTCGACAAATCAAGGTGGTGCAGTGGCTTAGGGTTTACATGGATTGCGCTCATACGATTGGACACGAACAACCCGATGGAAGTTGGGTCGACGTCCCGGACCCAGCTTCGAGTACATGCTTCAATGCGGTCTTTAAGACGGTGACCAGCCTCTACAGCTTGGCAGTCGACGAGCGGGGATCGCTGCAGCTGGTCCGGGAAGGGGATAACCAGGTGGAGGACCAGTCTGACGAGGTTCCGTCCTGGACCAGCGACCCCAATTGGCAGGTCAACTACGATACAATGCGGAAGCTTCAAGAACAGACCGTCTTTAGGGGCGTCGATCTCCACGAGTTTAAATTCGGGAACATGCACAACTTTATCTTTCCAGGTGCCCGGGTCTTCACCTATAAGAACCCTTGTTTTTCAAAAACTGGGGACTTGCTCTGTGAAATCATTTATCTCGACCCTACTGAGGTTAGCCCAGACCCGCAAGCCCAACCTGAGCCCCAGTCTCAGCTTCAAGCATCCTCTCCTTCGTTACCCCCAACTCCCTCCTCCGGGAAGCTGACAGTCTCGACAGAACTGATGCAGAATTATGTACATGGAGAGATTGTCTCTCCGAGGGGCAAGTTTGAAGCCCTGCAGACGGGCAACGGTCACACTTTGCTGTTTGCGATTGACTCATCCGGGGTGTTCCACGTCATCGAAGAGCAAAGTGGGACTTCCCACACGGGATGGCACGTTCACGACCTGTCGACAGAGGCCATCCAAGTTCAGTTTCCCGGAGACGCATCACGGGCGGTGGTCCGGACATTTGACGTTGGCCAGAACGTGGAGGATGGAACTATCGGGATGATGATGGCGGTTCACCTGGACGGTAACGACCATCTCTTCCTTTCACTGGGCAACTCGAACCAGGATCTGTCGTGGACCACTCGCCCATTATGGACTATGGCCCCGTTTGATCCTGTCAATGAGACACCACAAAAAATCACAATTGCGGGCGCCATGTTCGCCGAAACCCAGGAAAATCAAACCCAGGGGAAGAAGATAAAGAAGCAATACTTGATTGTGGACATCAACCGCCTCTCGGAGTCCAGAATTGTGTCGGAGCCCCATATCGCTCGCTACCAAATCGATCCCGAGCGCACTACGACCCATTACTGGGTCAAGCATGATGTGACCATCGATCTTGCTGCCGGAAGCTATCAGAGTGTGGTAGGCCGGATACACAACAAAACCGTGGATGGGATCTATACGGCCGGAACCGCTGGTGGCCAGCCGCAATTGATCTACGAACCCATTATCAATGAGTTTGGGTCAGGCCCGGTCAATCCGCGGCGGTTGAAACTGCCCAAGGGAGCGATTCCGTCGGCCATTACCACTGCTCGCCACCCGGAGGATGGGAGTACAGATCTCTACAGTATCGGGGGCTCCACCCTCTATTACTTCGCCTCGGACCAGCAGTCCGAGGCAATTGAGCCCCCTAGTACTATGTACCAGTGACTTTCTGGCCGGGACAGACACTATACGGGCCATGACGAGCCGCGACGGCGTCACCACACTATGGGGACGAAATCAGAGCGATCAAGTCTACTATCTCTCATGTCCCACGAGCCAGTTATCCGAACCTACGGCCTGGAGTGCGCCGTTTCCAATCCTGTCGGGGATCGAGCGCATATCAGCCTACGTCAACTGTGTAGACGGGGGAAATACTATCTTTGCGGCTGGAGAAGGAAAGGTTCAGAAGGTAATCCAGGGCTCCGCCATCACGGGTAAGGTGTGGCGGGCTCAAGAGATCACTCTCGCCGCGGCGCCAGAGCAGCCATGTACGAACTTTCTTTCGTACACGACCACAATCCACGTCACGCAGCTCACATCAAATGCCCCCATTCCCAAGGCCATAGTGGAGCTGTCGGCCAACAGCCGTGCCCCGGTGTACATCAATGGGGTCTACTACGTTCTCTCCACAGAGACTCCGTTGCGGGTCCTCACGGACCAGACCGGTACTCTGACAGTGATAGAGGCGACAGACAGTCTCCAAGGGACTGTGTTGACGGTGTCTTTGGAAAACACTACCATTACAATCAACCCCATGGATCACAGTATGGACAGAATCGCTGCTTTGGACTCGGCGGAGAAACTGCGCAGCGCGCGGGTCCCTACGCACACCGTTGCTGGTGGCATCGACGATTCGACCCCGTACATCTCTCTTCTTGATCCATCGACACACGAAGATGACGTGGAGGCAATGGCCCAGAGTTTCGGACTGCTAAAAGAAGCTTATTTGAAAATCCAGGGCCCCGAAAAGACCCTGTGCCAAGATCACGGCGGGGCAGAACTCGTCACTGCGTCCCTGCTGCACGCTACAACGACTAAGACTCTCAATTTGAGTTTTCTGGGAGATCTGTGGTCCGGTGCGGAGGTCATCATAGGTGATATAGCACAGATTATCGGCTCAATCGGGGGCGCAACCCTCATCTGGGGGGGCGACGCCTTGCAGTGGCTGAAGAATACCGCGATGGGAGGTCTGACATTGATTAAGGACACTCTTTCCGGTGGCCTGCACCTGTTAGGAAATTGGGCAGGTAAGGCCTGGCATGTGGCGCTCGACACCTTGAATACATTGGTGGGGCTCGGGGAGTGGTTGTGGGATCAGGGCAAGAAGTTAGCCCGAAAGGCCACAGATTGGGTCACTGTCCTGCTGCACTGGGGCGATATTCGGCGCACCAAACAGGTGACGCACAACCTGATCCGCCTGTGGATGCAACATCAGGTGGATCAGATTCCCCACGTCGCTGCCGGGTGGAATCAAGCCATTACTGGACTGGAGCAGACAATCAACCAGTGGGCGGGCACCACTGACTTTGCCCCCCTCGGGGCTGATGGCGACGAGGTCTTGAGAAACCCTGCGGTCCAGGGAGCGGCCAACCCCAATGAGGGCCAAACGTCGGCTTCGAGCCTGTTTATCAGTCACTACCGCAACCATGCGCACCAACTACGGGTCGTTGGAGACAGCCCGGCTCTAAACGGGGTAGAGAGTCTGCTGTTCGATCTGTTGGATGCCGTTAGCACAGAGGGGAGGGTTCTTGGCGAACTCTTCGCTCAATTGAAGCTACTGGTCCAGGATTTCGCCAGCTTGAGTCTACAAGACGTGCTCAAGCGCATGATGGGGATCTTGGCCGACTTTGTGCTGTCCAGCGTCCAGGGGGTGGTCGATACCCTCCTCCAGGTTCTCCACACCCTGACTCAATCTACCCTCGCCGTGCTTGACACCAAGATCCACATCCCCATCATTTCGGACCTGCTGAGCTCTATCGGCATCCCCGATATCTCATTCCTGGACCTCTTCACCTGGATCATTGCCGTTGCGTTTACCATTGTGTACAAGATCACCCACAACACACATGCTCCCTTTCCCGACAACAGCTCGGTGTCTGCCCTCATCGCCGCCAACACCTGGGAGGGGATTTCCCGCCTGTTTGGGAAGTCCACAGGGAGCTTCGCTTCCTTCGCACTTGCACCTCATTACTCGAGCAAGCTCGCCACCGAAGGAGAGTCTTCCTCCGAGTGGAGTAGAATGCTTTTTGCCCCAGGTCACTTCCTTGCGGGCCTCGCCGGCTTCGTACTGGGCTCCGTCACCGTCTTCGAAGCCGAAAGCGAGACGGAAGAGAACCCATTCTCCACCCCAGCAATGATCCTGGGTATCATCAGCGCCGGTATGCAGGGTATTACCAACCATTTCGCGCCGCGTGACGAGATCGAGAACACGGTCGTCGAAGGCTGTGAATATGCACTCATCACCATTGAGGTCGCGGTCAAAGTCTTCTTCTCCGGGACCGCCCAAGGTGGGCTGACGAAACTCAGCGACAAAAGCGCCAGTGTGGGAAAGCTCGTGGTCAGCAATGCTCGGGGGCTCGAAGCCATCGTTGACGCGGTGCTAATTCTCCCTGGCATTGCAATCATGGGCTGGCACATCTATGAACTGTCTAAGAAGCCGGCTGGTAAGGTCAAGTCTGCTGCCATCTTGGAGGAGTGTGGTAAGGTATCTGCGTGGATCGCGCGGGTCGCCTATGCTGTCGCAGTGAACGACCCCGAGCCAGATTCGAAGGAGATTGCTGCTGGAATTACCGGCCTAGCCATATGGGCTGCTGCGGGATTCCAGATTGGCGAGGCGGAATGGTGTTGATCCATACGATGGTTAAGGGAAAGCTGACATTCACTTTACATTCCTTTCAGCTTCTATGTTTTCCTTCCATATTTTCTACTCTCTTTGTGAAATGAGGACCTGAGTAGATCGCACAATTTATTTTACTATTTGCCTTTCCACCCCAGTCCGACAAAGGCCATCTTATTCTATCGCTAATACAGTTAATTTTCAACTGCTATTAACCAGTCAGTGGTGACGCAGTGTGTCATTCATCGCGTAAAGAATCTTTGAGAAATGCCTCGCCACTTTGTCCGGCCAAGTCTTCTCAAAAAACAACTGCATCTAGAATATTAAGTACGGGAGGGGGAAGGAGAGAGGAGAAAGCAAGAAAGGGGCCACTTAGAGGCGTGCTTAATTCTACTCAGTGAGCAAAAGCGGCGAGAGAGGGTCATTAGAACGGAAGGAGAACGCTAAGTGTTGCCGGACAAAATCCAGGATAAATGCACGTTCGGCGTCGTCGATTCCTTCGCTTGCTGCTCCTTGTCGCTCTTTAATCGCCATGCTCTACGATGTATTACCACATATTGCTTTACTTCTTTTTTGCTCTTTACAGTTCGCTCCTCTACCTTAGTAGAGCGATAACCCTCCACAACAACACTAATACGTCGTTCTTGCCATGATTATAGTCGTTAGGTGCAACTATTCACCCTCCGCATTGCCCTGCTTATCGACACAGTAGCCGACCGTGTTTGGCGTGCTGTATTCATCTTCCTGCGAGCCTTTCTGACCTTCTTCGTAGGAGATATTAGGTCTCTCATTCTTCTTATCTCAGTCATAGAAATCTTTTTCTTGTTTGCCCTGCTTTGAGTCGGCGTTTCAATTATAGGTCTAGGGCATCTACCGCAAGCATTCCTAGTAAAGAGCGCCACTAGCCTTGAATTTTCAGTGTGCTTAGGGGCCATCGACATACACCCCATAGTAAAAGTTTTAATTTTTATTGGAAAGACGGGCTGCAAATGCATTTCAGGGCCCATAAGCTTCCACAAACCCTTTCGAATGGTCGTCAGAGTCATATCCCTGGCTGTTTGGAAGAAGTGCTATTTAGGCTTCCAAGTTACATGCTGCTTCAAAAATCCCTCGTTGTTTTCTATCGTCATTGAATGAGGCTGAATGCGAATTTTGCCGGTACATGGTGAAAGACCTATTGTGCATCTAATATATCATGAATGTGATTTCTCTTAGCTCTTTCAGTGTAGGTTACCTTCATGAATACTAACGCTACAGCTACGGTATCGACCATTCAACCCTTCTCTATTTTTTACATCTGCAGCAACTGTTACCCTCCAAGCCAGGTCACATGACCCAATGGCATCATCTTAGCTTGTTCAGAGCATAACCAATAAGATCACCTTTACATCTACGGACTCTGTCACAGCAACGGTGGCAATCGGTTATTCATCAGGCCGTGTCATATTCCTCGCACTTTCATAATATAATCCCCTATCTAGGGTATAAATAGCATTTACTTCACTTCAAATCTAGCGAGTTTTCCTCTTCATCAAAAGCGGTAGGTTTGCATCTATGAGGTTAGACGTAACTATTGTAGTGGGGAAATGGCCAACATTAGGGAGATCTCTGATTGGAGGATATCTTTCCTAGTACACAGTGTCTTTCCAGGATATAGCTTCGCATCTCCGATAGGGAGAGAATCAACTTTCACACTCTCTTCGCTTCATCTGCTTCTGCTTTCCCTTTTGGGAGGCTTCCTCTATCGTGGTGTGTGATGGTTTGTTGGTCTGTTCACCGACTTATCTCATCCTGCCTGCATTCTCACGCTTGCCGTAGAGCGCCCTGGTTCACTACTATCAGTGTCTACCGCCTACCCACACACTGATTCAACATTTTTCCTACCACCTAATTTTTGCTTCCCTATCCAACACTACTATCAAAATATGCCTACTTTTGATGGATCTCGTATGGCTGAGACCTGCCTAGCTGCAACACGCGAAGAGAAGCTGATTATTGCGTGTTTAGCACGCGAGTTTGTCGTTAATCGGCATACGCTCTGTAATCGAATCTAGAAAGGTGCAGGGCCTAGTACAGCTAAACAGGGTGTTGAATACGCTCTAGAAGCCTATTAAGAAGAAGTTCTAATTCGATAGATTCAAAATATGAGCGATTACTATATACCTATCACTCCTAGAATCCTAGAAGCGTGGGCGAATCGTGCATACCAACGTATTAGGAAACAACCTGTTAGCAAGATGTGGGCGTATCGCATTATTAAACGGCTTCCTCAACATCTTCAATTAAGGCCTGCTAGGTAATATACGAAGGAATTGAAGCGAATCCTAGCAGAGAATCCAGCAGAGCTAGCGCATTAGTACGACTATGTTAGGGTGCTACTAGCAGGGTAGCGGCCTGTTTGTCAGGTAAGGAAAAATTAATACAATATTGAATCGTTGTAGAATTGAAGAAGAATATTAGAGATAGATTATTTCAATCGCTGAATCTTGAAGAGATTCAGTTTCACAAAAAGGGGGATTCTCTTTCTATAACCTAAAAATCGTCATTCCGCTGCTTGCCGGAGGAATGACGGGCAAAGGGGACTGATGCCAACTTGTTCTCCTTCATGAACAAATATCGTCATATACACGATTCGTATCCGAAACAAGCCGGTCGGCCGGAGTAACATCAAATGTGGTTGTTCCATAACATACGCAAGGAAGCAGTGGAAGAAAGCGTATAGAACATCACCACCACCAGATCCTACACAGAATCAAGATATAGCACTAGAGAGAGCGGAGGAAGCACGCCTGGAAGTTAATATTTTCTTGGTAAATACTACTGGGATACGTTAATAGACAGTGGAAATAGGAAAAAATTGGCGGTTAGTGAGTGGGTGCGGTGTAAGGCACTAATAGTGGGAGTTGTTGATAGATAGGGTAGGTAGGAAAAACTTTCCAACCCAATTAAAAAAAATATAGGTGAACAAAACATACAACAGCAGGGATTCGCTGGTGGTCACCCACCCAACTACTAACCTGCCGGCGTGTGGCTTAAGTACGGCTGAGCGGACGGGAAGCCCTGTTCTCCACACCCTGTGGTCGTATGTACTAGACAGGTACAGAAGTAGATCCAACTACACTGTTGACCAACACCACTCAAGAAAAATGACATACCCATAGCGTGATAAAGGGTAATCAAAAGAAAGCTTTTCCTTAATCGGTATTATTCATCATTGATCTCTCCATTCATTACAGGATAGAGATATCATTATTAGCTATATCGTAAAGTTTGAAATTGAATTGGACACCAAAACACGCGTTAACGTCAATATATATATTACTCTTAATCGATCAGTTGAGTGATTGTGTCCATTGGAGTTGAGTATGCATATAGAAAATTCCTCCTAGCAAACCCATCGCAGATGTTACAAGAGCCGCAGCCAAAACAAAGATTATGAAACGGGTTACAAATGAATTGTTGTTTCTTTTCTTTTGGTCTATAACAGTTCAACAGAAGTCCCCATAGTTTTCAGAGCTGCGATAATCATCCTCATGGAATCTATGGCCTCCACTACCCGAAATACTCGCGAGAAGATTTCCAAACACCACGGGCGCCCGTAGCAATGGCATCTCTCCCATCGTACAGGGGGAAGATGACAACGGCGCCAAATGCAGCAAATTGCCACATTATGGCAACTGTCGTCCAACCAGAGAAGAATGATTTGGTGAAAATGTAGTCGCGATATAGCGGAAGGGGCCAGGCGACGATTGTAACAAGAACAATAATGACAAACATGACACAAGCAATCTTCAACCATCTGTGTAGCTCCTTCAACGTGGCATCATCAAATGGATGCTGGATGTCATCCAGGCTAAGCTGTATAGTTGAAACTGACGAGGCAGCATGCTCAGGGCCCTTTTCGTTGTTAACGTCAGGGCTACCGTCATTTGCTTCGTCAGAAGGCTTTAGTTGAGCAGTATCTGGAAGCTGCTTAATCGGTGTATTTTTATTCACATTTGTTCGTCTTTCCTCGTCACTGGTATCGTCAATCGTGGAGGTATCAGACCCGACCTGAAGCTGTTTCTCGTCTGCGAGTTCAATTCGCAAGAACTCGCGCCAGTCAAACCTATATGGCTTGTAAATTGACAAGACAACAGAGTAAAGGGCAGGCGAGAAAAATGAAGCTATAGCTGCATAAAGTGCGGGATATTCGTTTGATGTAGTATCGATATTCACCGCACCGTACATGGATTTGGCTGTGGCTAACCATACAGCAAGGCCTGTGAAAAACCCAAGAATTGGTGAAACAATAGCAGCCAATCGTGTTTGACGTGACCAAAATAGCGTCAACACCAAGGGAATAATTCCGGGACACGAAATCACGGGCCGCAGGTAGTTGATCCAAGTCATGTTGGCCCCTCCATAGTTCATGGCAATTGAGATTCCAGTGATGAAGATACCGTGAATAATTACAGTCAAGTGGCTCACTTTAACAAGTCGTTTGTCCGTGACCTTGGGGTTGAGATAGGTCTTGTAGACATCATAAGATAGAATGCTACTGACCGCTATCATGGAAGAGGAAACCGTACTGGTTAGTGCCATGAACAGCAGGAAAAAGAAACCGATAATTCCTTTATCACCAATTAGGGCTTTAATAGTAAAGGGCATTACCATGCCCGTGCTGACTTCAGTAGAAGTGAGCTGGCCCGGGTAGGTTGGAAAGATGGGGGTATTATGGATAGCTCGAGCCGTGAGACCGATCACAGTCCCAAGCCCCCACGGGATACCAAAGACAGCCAGTGCAGCAATATTGTACCCTGGTACTGTCGCCCGAACCTCAGTCGCAAATGACTTTTGCCAGAATGCGGTATCCTAAATTGGACTACATTAGCATCGGAACGAAACTGAATGAGAAGATGATTTGAGTTATTACCATAACGACGAGTGCCAAATTTCCAAATTTAAGGATCAACCCCCAGATAATTGCCCCTTTCGACTTGAAAGTAAGTAATGACCCCTCGTAATTTCCTGACACATAGTTCTCGCTCGCAGCAGCCACTAATTTGTCATACAGACCACCCAAACCACCTACTGCCTGATTTGTTAAAACAGCAAGGGTGAAATAGATAATAAGAATTAAAGCAATAGCTGTGTGGAGAAAGTCTGTCAGGAATGTGGCCTTCAAACCTCCAACGGCAGTATATAGGACCACTAACAAGAATTTAGTATTTTAGGTAGAAATACGGATTGCTGTGTTGGAAAACCTACCTCCTAGTGGAATAAGTATTGTCGCTGCCACAAAGTGCATGCCAGAAACATAATGAATGAGTTGTGAGCCGGTCATGATCATCGAGGCACACCCAAAAACATTATTCACCAGGTTCAGAACAATAAACACAAGATGTCCAATCTTGCCATATCGCATCCGCACGATCTCGAGGGAGGTATGCGCGTAGGGGACTCGTATTTTGGCCATCACGCCGAGCGCAGCCATCAATGCGATTTGAAAGCAAAGGCCAGAGCCCCACCACTGAATATTTATTAGCCTCAATGAGGCTTTGAGGAATAGCGCTCGGAGGTGATCCGTACCAGAGGAAGGGCCAATCCATATCGATAGCACATTGCCGCGGCCAGCACAGTCTCATTAATCCACATCCATGACGAGAACACAGCCGATGCTGTTAAACCTGTCCCTACCGATCGATTGGCGACCATGAACATCTCGGACTTGCCCGAGTCCTCGGAGAGATATGCCTTTTGGATTTTGACGGCTATGAGAATCACTCCGCAGAACAAAACACCCAGTCCAATGAGCAAGCCATAGGCCGCTCCTTGTGAAATGAGGACCAAGTTTACCGTGTCTGGCATTGCGGCTGGCTAGTTCATGGAAAGTGAGTAGAGCAACTCTCGATGGGCCGGACATTGCGCCGATCAAGTATTTATTGAATCCAGGGTCTCTTGCCTTCGCTATTATTGACTATATAGACGCTAAGCGTAGACTCGGCGTCCAATGAAAATGGGCGACAAATGAGTTGGCGCGGAGTTTGAACGCCATGTGGGTGAGACCAGTCACGTCGTTCGGCGATTCAATGGCGTGTGGAATGGCCAAGCACACCAAGAGTCGGTTGTTACAAATGTCCAAATACTCTTCAAAATAGTGGGCGTAGGTAGCACTTTCTCAATCAGCAGATCGATTTCATATCTCCGCCAATTAAATCCGTTCTTGAAGTGCGCGATTCTGTCACGATGGCGTGCAATCACGATGCGATGGCGAGAAAGCGACCTGGGCTCACAAACCAACAACAGGCGGTACCGGGTACCCCACAATGCACTGCGCGCAATCAACCTTCAACCTACATCGTCTGTCGGCCGATAGGAAGAGATTCGACATACGAGGGTCGAATAACGAGCTGATGCCGATGACGAACTGGAGGGATGGTCGCAACAGGCCAAGGAGTGGGCGAAATGATGACAGATTCCAGGAACGATACTACGGCTTCGAACCACGCAGAAAACACATTCTGATCATCGGATAAATCACCTATCGTACCGTTTCCATGGTGGGTAGAGAGAAACATAAAGCCATCGACGGCCAAAAAGCAAACCATCTTGAATAATTTCGTGATAAATACACCTGGGCACTTGGTGCCAGGACTTTGTAAATATCCTCGAAACCAAACCGATCAATATAAAAGGCTATCCTTCTGGGAAAAAAATTAGCAACATTACTAGACACAGCCAACTTCCATGCGATGTTCATTGCCGACAGACTGGGCCGATACGATATTAACAAAGGTTCTGCCAATGTTATCCCGGCGCTTGCCTCCGAGGCTCAGTTTCCTGTTAATAACCCGCTGTATCCAGTGCCACCAATGGCTGCAGTAACAAAAAATCTGATCTTTGGAGCCGCTGCCAGCCTGACTTATGCGAAACCATACGCGCTCTCAACCTCCAACTTTCAACGGTGGGCTAGCGCAGATCCGCAGAGAACAGGTAATCTTGATTCATCACTCGAGGAATGGTGGTGAGCCAAGAACCAGGTTTTGAGTGATGTATGTCCCCTTGTTACTTCGGGTCCGACATATATCTCGCTACAAGATATAATCAATCATTAGGAGACCAGATACTATTGACCTGGATCTCACAACTATGATAACCTGCAAGGGGCGAGCAAGATCTATCATACAAATGTCTATATCGCCTGAACTTGCGAGGGTACTAGAGTTGGCACTGGTAACAGGCGACGGGGACACGAACGCCCTGGCTGTGCGACACTGACACAGTAATCATAGCTCTATGTAAAGCTCTCTTGTGTAGGATACTGTACATACGACCACAGGGTGTGGAGAACAGGGCTTCCCGTCCGCTCAGCCGTACTTAAGCCACATGCCGGCAGGTTAGTAGTTGGGTGGGTGACCACCAGCGAATCCCTGCTGTTGTATGTTTTTGTTTTTATGATTCTTTTGATCTGATGGGTGTTATGCACTATCCAGGCCATTTGCTTGAATGCCCTGAACACCACTATTTTACACCTGAATATCCTGCATGTTTCTGGAGCGCTGACGTGGCCGTCCCCTCCCATGCTGACCTTTTTCTCGTAGCTCTATTTGATCATCTCTACTTATGCTAGCTTGTTACCTTGCGTTGGTCACAAGGTGTCAGGAAGGCCACGAAATGGGAAAACCATCGCGGTTCAACCTCGCCATCTGGTCCATAATTCTTGCTTCCAAACCTTCAGCAAAATCAACCTCACCAAGTTGCGAAGCATATTTCAGCCTATCAGCTGCCTCCTTGAGCTTGGTAGCCCACCTTTCGTATTCCTCTCTTTGCACTTCGCGCCTCGCCTTCCATAATTCAAATTTCCTCTCCTCCTCATCCCGTCTGCTTTTGTACGCAGCTCTTAGGCTGAATACAAGAGTAAGGAGCCCTGCAGCAAGAGCGAATGCTTGATCTAGATCAGTGATTGATGATGAACTCTTGGGAATGAAAAAAAACGCTTTGGTGGGAAGATTGGAGATCGATGCTCCATAATCCGTTGCGCCAAAAATGCCGGTTGCGCTTGAAAGTGACGCCAGGAGTAGGACTGGCAGAGAGAGCATTGTGACTAGCCCGCTGGCCATCATCGCTCTGAGCTCAGCTTTGTACTCCCGGACCATTGGGTCTTCTGCGGATTGCCCAGGAGGAAGAGGAAACCCAAACATACACACTAAGAAAACGATGGCTGTGAAGATAAGGAAGACGAAAGCAAGGGCCATCCCCCAAGCGAAATTAAATATAAATGGCCGGACAAAATTTAGCGTTGAGATGCGCGTATTTGCCGATTGCGCGAAGAGTAGAATCTCGGTCGAGAAGCTCAGCAGCCCCACGATTAGGACAACTAAAAAACGCCGGTGGTGACCGTTTCTTGAGGCGATGGCAGCGAAAACAAGTGCAAAAGCAATGTACGTCTCGCAAATAGTGAGCGGGGCTTCAACGGCAGCGGAAGCCTGGTCGATTTGTTCCTCTTTGCTAGTCAAGAGTTGCGTGACTGGCCATGGTGAGTTTGATATTTCGTAGATTAGATGACCTGCTGCCACTGCCGGAAGTGAGACTGTGGCAATAAAGTCGTTGGTGATGGTGTCCTTGCTTCGGCTACGAATATTGAGCGTCCAGGTGATGAAGACCGAGAGAGTAGTAAGGAGCCAGCATCCAGTAGTTCCGGCGCCGTAGAGTGAGGAAACACGCTCGAGGCGCTTGGAATCCTCCATTTTGGCGACACCTGAAGAGACTTGAACAAGAGTCAGCGTTCCGGAAAACAGTTGTCAGCAGAGCATGTCGTGTGCTGGTCGAAGCGGCCAGAGGAGACAGGAACAAGAGCGTCTACAGGAGAATGTGCTTAAATACGCTGCAGGTACAAGACAGACAGATAAATATTCTGTATTGTGATAGAGAGGGGTTGTTGGGAAGACAAAAGAAAGAAGAGGGAGAGGAGCTGATCTTCCTATAGAAGTGAGTAGTCACATGATGTCTCTGACACCTCCCACAGCGCGAAACCTCATAAAGGCTAATGTCGTTTAGTGTTATTTTATATAATAAAACATCTATCCTTAATTTTCTACCTATGAATTCAAAGCTACCACTTTCGTAGTCCTTCAAAAATAGATAGAACTAGACAAAGCCTATAGGACTAGCCATAATTTACTCCCTTATCTAGAGCCTAGTATAATTTAACAGGAATTATATTAAGCACGTATTTTATACTTAGAGTATAGACTAAGCGTTGGTGAAGAGGGATAAAAAAAAGACTACTTAAAGTGATATCCTTCAAAATTTGTAAAAGCGCCTTTTGCTACACGGGCTGAATGTTCACACGGATGAAGATTCGCCTGGATTGCCCTGAAGCGGGCTAAATAGAGCGGCGAGCCGCCCACACCCGGTCCGTGGGCGCTAGGTGACCACCGATTTGCTGTTGTATATTTTTGTGATCTGTATTTAATTGCATTTTTTTTTTAAAAGTTTTAGGGAAATTTCCCCGCAAAGTTAATAGGGAACCATCTTTAAAGACCCGAGTAGTAGATTTGAATCAATTCTGCTACAGCCCTTCGTAAGCGGAGCTATAAGGTTATTCTGCGTTAGATAGATTAAAGGAGCAAAATGACCCCGTTCCGGCGACGAAGTGGCCACTTCCAAGAGCTTCTACAAATATTCAGGATCTGTTGAATCTGCGACTGGGACGAATTCTTCTCGAAGGCCAGAGTCGGATGTTGATCATACGTGTCACGTAAAGGCATCTAAATTAGCGTCTCAAGAGGCCCTATGCGTTTACTTTCTTTAAGCTTTCGATAGAAATATTGGCAGCTATGCTAATTGGGATCAATTCGGTCCGATCGCGTCACAGAAAATGTGTATATTAGTGCTATGTGAATTTTACCTTTCACAGGATTTTATTAGTATCGATATTAGCAGAAGTGTTTCCTAAGATAATAAGATAATAAGCTTGTAGATAAAAAATTTGGCAAAGTAAGGAGTGCTAGCCAGTAGAAGGTACGCAGTGAGAAAAATCAATTAGTTCCAGAATTTCATATGGTTCCATTACCACATCTATTTCATATCGTAACTGGCAAGTGTGGGAAGTATGACCTTAACAAGCATACACCAAGCTGGGAGCTTAGAAAGTCCCGTCTGATTTGTGCTCTGAGTAAGAGAGCCTTTATATCATCTCTCTAGTTGTTCCCCCCATAAATGGGTCGTCCAATCTTCTACCAATGTTCCATCAATCTTCCATACAGTCACAAGGAAATCCGGATAATCCTGTGCATCCATGAAGGTATCAATCCTGAGAGGGAAACAGAAAATCCTATCTGGCGGAGTGGTGCTTGATATGTTCTATGACTAAGGAGCGCCTGTTCTTATCATCCCGATTCAGCCTTGGTCGTTCCCATCGTCAAATCCTCGAAGTCCCTTCCTGCCACTTTTCAGTCCGCCACGGCCTCCAATCTACTGTAGGATCAATAAAGCCCTTCAGCATTCATTGCCCTGTTTTTTTTCCCCCTAAAACGCTCACCGTCTCAGTCTATGCAAAGTCACTATACATATACCGTGACTAGCACGGAATAGTGTGGCTGGCGACAAAGAATATGATGAAAACAAGATAGAGCATGAAATAAAGCAGTAGTAATAGACGCTGCCCCCAGCTGAGGAGTTGTCCTTTAATTGAAAGCTTCGTCTCCAACCTGTCATAAAATCATAACATCGTATAACCGATCTTACAAGTTCTACAGGTTCAATACTCGGAAAATCCGAAATAAGTCCGACGATGGTCGACACGGCTTCTCTACACTCCCTCCGCTCTATGGGAACCTGGACCGCACAGCATGTGGTATGACACGATAGCTAAAAGTATAATCATAGATATCTCGAATAATGAGCCTTTAATGAGAGCTCTCGAGAGTCTGCCCAGCCGATGCAAGAAACTGCAGCCACCTCGGATGCAGCGGCGCCTCGAAGCGCGAGAACATGCATGCGATCTGCTCGTAGGAGATCGGTCCGGAAAGGGATGCACAGAAACTTTCGAACGACACTGTATCCAGTCCATTAGCGTTATCCTGTGGTACTAGCAAGTTTTGTTTATGCTTGTGATATGATAGGGCGGGCTGGGAATGTTTACAAGAAAGGAGCCTCGCCTGCGTCCAGATGGTCCCAAAATGCTTGAGCTGCAGATGAAGCACGGTGATGTCATGGTGAATACTCGAGCGAAGACTGTCATCAAGCAGCGGCCCCGATTTACTGTGCAGATAGAGGAAGATGAGGGTTGTGAAAATAGTGAACGTGATAGCCGGGTCCACCGTGAGGCTGAATGCGCTATCCCACTGGCTCGCCAGCGCGGCAATGTCCTGGCATGTCTCGAGAGTTCGCTGCCAACTTGATACCCAGTCATCTGCTCGTCGCTGACCGCAGTCCACCAGGGAGACAAGCAGCTCTGCCATTCGCAGATGGAATACAGTGATAAGCCTGGCGTGATGGTCGACCGGAGTCTCGTTTGAGAACGCGTTGCGCCGCGGGTTAAGCCAGCCCGGTGGGAGGGCAACACGGAGTGTAGTTAGCTGGCGTTCGACTTTAGTGAGTTGCACCGGTATACCGGCTCGCCATCGCAGCATATGCATGCGGAGGACGATGCCGGCTTGACGCATTGTGGCGATTGTGACGTTGTGAATGTTATTTAGCAAGGTCTCCGGGTCTGATGTGATTGCTGGGAGAAGTTCGGAAAGACAGTCCGAGTTAGGCGGTAGAAGAATCTCCTGAGAGGCACTTTTTGTCTCACTTAAGGTAAAAAAGGTGTTTATGACGGTATCGTCAATTTGATATGGTGTCCCTAAGGCGAGATTGGAGTATGTGTCGAGTCGATAGATACACCACCATAGCGCCCGCCATTCCTGGATATCTTCATCGCTCACTATGCTCCAGTCTGGATAGAGCAAGCGGATATGGTCAAGTCGGTCCAGGCCAATACGATAGGCCATGCGCGTTACTCTACCAATGCGCATCCAGGAGTGGTGGCCTGGGAATTGATGGAACTCGTAAAAGGCCAATATGCAGGCTTTGCGGAACTGGTCAAGAGATAGGGCGTCTCCGACCAAGTCATCCTCTAGCAGGCTCGAGCTGAGCAGTGAGTCTAGTCCTGCGTCTAGATGTGGTCCGTCATCACGCCCGGCAAAGTGGGTCAGCTTTGTGGCAATAATGGCCATGGTAGTGATGAGATCCTGACTACATAGCGAGTCATGGTAGCGGCGGAGAAATCGATCCTTGGAGAAAATAGGATTCGCATCCCGAGCAATATCAAAGAAGACTCGAATGCTACAATAATACCAAAACTAATCAGCTTAGCTTAGGCGAATGAGAAAAGGTACCTACAGGCATTCCTCCTCCCGCGAGGAGAAGTTCAAGTAGCTAGAGCAGGAGGGGCTAGTACTGAGTGGTTGTGAAGGAACTCCAAGGGTCGAGTCCTGCGAGACGGGATCTGTGGGGGTGGGGAGGGAGCCTGTTGGGGATGTCATTGGGTCAGGCTCTGGAAGTGTAGCACTACGGTCTGGGACTGCTTGACAAGGAGTGTGATTAATTTCTCAGTACCAACTGGAGGGAGATAGGTGAGCTACCAGATGGAGTGCGGGACTTAGATCGGCGAGTAGCATAACGCGAGCCTCGAGGCGGACCGGGCTTTCGTCTTGCTAGTGTATAGGTGCATACCTTTCCCAGGTCGAAGCAACGAGAGCAGGTCGGTCTCGCCAGGTTGCCTACGGACGTTTAGTGAACGAGACTCTTAGATTGTTGGCGGGCCCTGGCGCACACTTGACCTTCTTACTGTGCGGAGAGCTTAGCGTGAGCACTTGATGGAGTTCTGGGGGAGAGTGGGTTACCGGATGCACCTATCGCACACCCTTAATGGCATTGCTTTGGGCTCCAGACTCGCCGGAATAGGCGAGAACGGTCTAAATTGGGGATAGCTAGCACTCCGAGAAAAGAGCCACGAGCTTGATGAATGTGCAAAAGACGATTGCCGAAGCACAGGGTTCAATTGTGGGAGATTCTGCAAGTTCAATCATTCGGCGGCGGAACCCTACCACGTGGACTGGGGTCTGGCGAGTGATCGCTACGTCATCCATAGGGTCCAAGTTCCTCCGCGGCGTGTCTTCTTCACCAATCAGATCCCCTCAAAAACTATCTCCTAATAACCGGCCAATCGACTACTTCAAAGAGCCCAGCTTGAATTTGCGGGACAGGAACACATTCTGCGTAGGTTCGTCAGTGCCCTAAATAGTCCACACATGGGAAGGCGACTCACCAGCAGCCGCGACGGCACAAACATGAAGATCAAGCGAAGCATCTGCGCCATTCCTCTTTCCCAGATCTCCGGTCTCGCGCGTCGCCTCACCAGCTTGTCAACAATCGATGCCTCATACTCGCCGGCATTCCGTTCTCATTGCCCTGGTACTTGGTATTTTCAAATGATAGCTTTGACTGGGAGACAAATCGAGTCATCTGGCGCGTAGAGGCCGTGGTGAAGAATGGTGCTCTGCACAAAACCTGTCACGATTTCGATCACCTCGATCTCTAGCGGTTTGACCTCCTGCAATTTAATTAGATGCCTTACGGGTCATGTGGTTACCAGTCAAAGGGTCCTCAAATACTGACTGATCGGCGCCTTGGACGTATTGTATGCGTTTCGCCACACGACTAGGATGTCCCGCATGACGCTTCCAATCTGCACAATGTATTATTGCGGTGACTGACCCAGAAGGGACATAAAGATCTAGCACAAGCGCATGACAGCAAAACAATTGACTTGGAAAAACAATTGCTGCATCAATGGTTGCCGGGAGCCCCGCCAGGTTCGACGAAGCCTTCAACACCAGCCAGGAGTATCTGCTGCGCCGCGTCCTCGCACAGCGGTTTTACTGGACAATCAACACGTCCAAGTGTCGTAACACAAATGCCCAAGTCCACAGGGTCTTTGGCCACTACATGCAGCTTGCGCTGCTGTCCGAGCACGCCGGCAAGGCCCAGAAAGTTGGCCATGAACATGGCCCTGGGCGCTGTGTGTTTCTCGAGGCGCTGGCGTCCGGGACTGATGATCCCAAGCTTATCCGCCACAATATGCTCAATGTCTTTCTTGCCGGGAAGGACATGACAGCTAGCCTGCTCAACTCGGCTTTCTACTTCCTTGTGCGTAATCCGCAAGTTTGGGAGACGCTGCGAAGTGAAGTAGTGGGCAAATTCGGCGACCGCTGCAGACGGGGAACGAAATCACGCATACGAGGGTGAAAGATCTTACTCATCTGCGCTATGTTCTGAACGAGAGTGATTCTGTCCTTCCTAATCCGAATAGTCTATTAGACTGACCCGGCTAGCGCTCCGACTGCTCCCACCAGTCCCAGTGAACTTCCGGCAGGCCCTCAAAGAGACATCCCTGCCGGTTGGAGGGGCCAAGCTCGGAACGCACCAATTGATATTGAGAAAGGTGACATAGTAGGGTATAATGTCTACGTAATGCACTGGAGAACCGATATCTGGGGGTGCCGACGCCCACACGTTTCGGCCTGAGCGATGGGCGGAAAACCCACCACGAGGATGGGAGGACCTGCAATTCAATGGCGGTTCTCGAATTTGCTTAGGATGCGAGTCTCCCTTCCCTGGATTATGTAGTAGGTCCATGATAGCTGACGTGTTCAACAGAATAATATGCGCTGGTAGAGGCTAGCTACACCATTATTCGGCCACTGCAAGAATTCGATGTCTTGGAGAATGCATCGGTAGATCAGTTGGCAGAGCCGTGGCTGCAGGCAAATCTGGTGCTGGCCCATCACGACGGGCTCAATGTGAGCGATATTCTTCTACCACAGTCAAAGGGGAAAAGAGGGGCCTGAAGAGCGGTTGTGAACTTTCACAGTAGTATAGGCTTAAGATTCTCCAAAGATTGAGCTGAATACGCCAGGGTATGCCAAGTACGAATCAATGATTGTTTGAGAGCGCCGTGCTACTAGTAATCCGTCTTCAAGGTAGGACTCATAGGATAAACCCAGCTAATCTTGCCCTTCATCCGCTCCTCCCCAGGCACGTAGTCCAGCACTTGGCCCTTGCGAAACTCCGACGCCATCACATACTTCATGAACAGGACTTCAATCGCGTGCGGCACCGTCAGGTACCGCGAAAGCAGATAGTAGCAGGGGTTGTGCCATGCGTGCATTCTCGTCTCAAGCCCAGACTTCGTAACGTCCCCTTCAAGCGAGCACACAGAGCTCATCCGGACCGACTGGTACTTCTCGAAGATCCTTGTTAGCACCTGAGCACTGGGCCCCCCAATCCCAGACGCTGCTCGAACAGCCTTGCGCAGGCTATTGCACAGTACCACAATATCCTGAATTCCATGATTAAACCCCAGACCGAGATGCGTTGTCATCTTGTGGCACGCATCACCAACAAGCACAATTCTCCCGAATCTCCAGTGCTTAACAATCCCCTCATCTAGATTCGTCAGCCCTGCCCCCAACATCCGAGTCCAGACATCCTTGACCTTGACTGTCCGTGTCAGTGGAAACTCGGCAAACTCTGCCGCGACCGCGTCAACGTCCTTCTGCGTGTACCTCGTCCGCTTGCTCGTTGGCCTCGGTAGCCGCTTATACAGGAAGAACCACCCGCGCTCCAGCCCGCTGAAGTACATGATCGCCTTCCCCTTGGACTGGATATCATACCCCTGGCCCGCCGGCGACGGCGATGGGAACGACCCGAAGAGGAGCTGGTATGCCGCTGTGTATGGGTACACGGGGTCCCACGACCGATTCGCATCCTCCTCCAGGGCGAGGTCGCGCATTATCTGCCGGGTCTTGCTGTAAACGCCGTCTGCACCGATGATCATCGAGCCGTGGAAAATGCTGCCGTCGGCGCAGGTTGCGGTGGCGCCGCCACGCGTAGTTTTTAAGCCGGTCAGTTTCTTGCCCGTGAGAATTTTTCCTTTGGCTGCTTCGGGGAGGCCATTGTACATTATTTCGAGGAGCTCGGCGCGGTGGAAGACTACTGGGCTGTGACCGTGGCTAGAGAACGAGACAGATATTAGTCGCAATCTCTAGGGAAGAATAGTAGCCGTGGTGCATCTTTATACGGAGTAAAGAGAACTCACTATTCACGTATCAGGCCATAGCGATTCCCTTCGGCGAAGACGTGTCCGTCGGCTGTAAACGACAGGTGATGGTTTAACTCCGCGCCGCGTGGAAGCAAGTTGTCGAGGATACCAAACTGATACAGGACGCGCAAGGTATGAGGGTGGACGACGAGACTGGCGCCCTTATCCTCGAAGATTTCCAGACGGCGCTCAAGGACGACAAAGTCGATGCCGGCTAGATGTAGGGCGTGCGCGGCCGAAAGCCCAATCGGACCTCCGCCTATGATGATGACTTTGAAATTGGTGCTTCGGCTGCTCATTTTGGGGCTCGAGTTGCTAGTCAATTAGACTCTACTCTGCGGACTAGGATCGATTTTCTATTGTACCATGCAAGTTTGCGCCGAGGGATCATAGATTGGGCAATTTAGAGGAGAAAAGCCCATGGTGGGTCGAATGGTGCAATTATAGAAGTTCTTGGGAGATTATTTTGGCCCTCGGTTCGACTACCAGAGCGCTGTTGGGGCCTGTGGGGAATATATAGCCAATTGGCGCTGCTTGTCTGGGGAAGATCCTCCGAAGAAGTTGTACCGAGATGAGCCAAAAGCCTAACTGTTGTAGTGGGTCTCCGCTAGGTGGTCTCTGATTGGAGAGCAGATTTCATAGTACACTGTCTTTACAGATATAGCCTCATATCTCCGATAGGGAGAAATATTACTCGTACATTCTTTTAGCTCAGAAAGTCTCTGCTTCCTCTTATGGAGGCTTTCCTCCATCGTGGGGTGTGGTGGTTTGTTGGCTTGTTCGTTGATCCATTTCATCCAGCTTGCATGTCAGGCTTGCCATAAAGCGCCCTGGTTCAAGATTTAATTAAACGTTTCTCCGCCGGAGGATCTTCAAACGCTTCAAATGGTCCGCTCCAGACCTGTAGCGCAAAAGGGGCCGTTCTCCTCTCTTTCAAGAATAAGACTGGTGAAGCGTCCTCGAAGCGTGCTCCCTACATCCTGAGCGAATATCACCAACCCGCCCACCACCATGTCCAAACGCGTCTCTGTGATAGTCATCGGCGGCTCACACGCAGGCCTGGCGGTCAGTCAGAAACTCCTGCGCCAAACTCTCAAAGCCACCATCACGCTGATTAGCCCCTCGGATGAGTACTACTTCAATATCGCCGCGCCCCGCTTCCTCGTCAAGCCCCAAAGCCTACCCCCAAGCAAATACCTGTACTCGATCCCGGACGCGTTCCATGATTATCCCACGGGCTCCTTCACCTTCGTCAGGGGACTAGTGACCAAGATCGACTACATGACCAAGTCAGTCGCCGTTGCTCTGTCTGCAAGCTCTCCTGCTGGTACTACCACGTCTTCGTACAATTTCGACTACCTCGTGATCGCATCTGGAAGTTCGACGCCTGCAACGCTCGGAAATGAGGGCATGCGGCTTCCGTTCAAGGTGATGGCGTTCGAAGATATAAGGAAAGCCATATATGAGGCGCAGGCAAAGCTGGCAGGCGCCCAGACGGTTGTAATCGGCGGCGGGGGGCCCCTGGGCGTCGAAATAGCCGGGGAACTGGCCGAGGCGCCAGGACCGAAGAAAGTTACACTGGTAACTCGGTCAAATGTCTTGCTAGAGGGGGCAACTGCGCCTATGCAGCGAGCGGCGATGTCACTTCTGAAGGGCAAAAATGTCGAGGTCTTGGCGGGGACCGCGGTTGAGGAGGCCGTGTACGAATCCCACACCCAGACGTGGAAGGTCAAATTGTCCAGTGGGAAGACGTACATCGCTGATGAGTACATCGCGACCACGGGCACCGTTCCGAATAACGAGTTTATCCCAAAGGGCTGTCTTAATTCCCAGGGTTGGGTCAACGTTGACGAACAGCTTAGAGTCATCGAGAACGGCGAAAGTCGCAATGACACGTATGCGGTCGGTGACATCACTTGCCATCCATATCGACTGCTCTCGCGAGTCTCTCTTCAGGGACAGACGGTAGCATCGAATATTGTGGCGGCCATTGAGCAGAGCTCCCGGATCATGACATACTCAACAGAAGCACAAAAGAAGATGATGGTCGTCCCTGTGGGACAGTCGACGGGGACAGGGCATCTCGGTAGTTGGACCCTGTTTGGATGCTTGGTTTGGTTCTTCAAAGGGAAGGATTTTTTGACTTATGAGGCGCCCAAGTTCTTGCAAGGCCAGATGAGATGATTATAAGATGGTTGTGCTAGATAATTATTCCATGCTATTGAAAGAGTTCAACTGTGATCATATATCTACATCACACCATCTGCGTACATCTCTGATATCTTTCTCCTACTTGGCCATATTATCCCCAAAATCTCAGGTTCCCAAATAGACAACGGCCCAACTGGCTCTCTGCGCGTCGGGTTGTTGCAGTTCACAAAACCCCAATCGGCGTAATGCTCGACCATCAATTTGGAGCAGTCATACCAGTAATCGAAAATCTGACTCCCCAGAATTTACCGTCCAAAACCCCAAACGCTCTTCCACCCCTTCTGCGCTAGATAATGATTGGCAGTGAACTCTTTATTCAAGACGCCATGTCTCTCGAAAGATCCAACGAAAGCTTGACGCAATGTAGAATATCAGAGAAATGGGCGTTCAACTCGCTCGGCGGCTATACCTTGCAACCGGGCTTGTTGCGTCTTGTCCATAGTCGCCTGCGAAAGTCTGAGCACGTTGTTGTCGATCACTGCTTGTATTGGGAATAAACCTCTTGTGGGAATGCAATGCTGGTTCTTTGGAATAGACGGTATTCCTGCCAACCTCTTGTATCTTTGTCGTAATGTACAGCCGTAGGGTATGAAGCCCAAGAGCTCGTCCTATGGAGATATCACAACGACACATCTCAGAGATCTCGTGCGAGATACTCCAGCTTCCAGCATACTCTCACAGTAATACTCAAGGTCATATTCGAAGATGGTCCGATTTCCTACCCTCGCCGGACCTGCGAAATTCGCTGTTTCGGCATTGTGCACGTACCGGCTGTCGCATCCGACTTTAATACTGTCCAACGCAGCTAACACAACCTGTTGGAAGGCCTGTCTGCGTTATCCCCAAGGAACGGCTCGGAGCTCGATCTGTCGGGAACGACAAAGGTCGAATGGTCCTCCTCAGAGTGGGTAGCACCATTGTCGCACATTCCATTCCCATCCCAGTTTGAGAGGTCAACGAGAATCCTATCCTAATGGATGCAGCTCCGACCCTTACACCTTTAACATCTATCTTCTCAACAAGGACATAATCCCCAGCTTGTATCTGAAAATCGCATCCAACCTAACAACCTCGGACGATGAGTACACATTCGACAGCGTTGACGTTCTTCCTGGGTAAGTTAGCTTTCCTTTTCTTCCGCGATAGAGAATTCAATCTTATTGCGTAGGTACTGGAACAGCTACATCTAACAAGAAAATAACCCAGATCCGGTTACATCTTCGCCTTCAAAGATGTCTCATCCAACAATACCCTCGCTCAGTCCGGAGAATTCAGCATTGTCGTTCATGCAGATAGTACCACTGCTTCAGTGGCCACCTCTACGGCCACGGCTACAAGCACTGGTACAGCGACGGGCTCAAGCACTGATGCGCAGACTGGGGCTGGAGCACGCACTTTCGGGCTGCCCGTTGCTGAGGGTGCGATGATTGTTGTTGTCGGGATGATATTTGCGCTACAAGGGAACCCTTGATTGATGTTGGGGTACGGCTTTGGCATCGAGGTGATTGGCCGTATCGTATCGTGCTTGTTTAAACTATGTGCCGCTTGCTCGGATGAGTACGTTCTTCGGGTTTAAGTGCGTAATATAAATGAAGAATGCCGTTCCTCGAGAGATAAGAGTGAGGATGTACGAGATAGAGGCTGCAACAAAGTTCGAGATTAATTTCATTCCAGTCCCTAGATAGACTTCTTTGACGTCAACATCTTCATTTATTACCAAGAGTTTCAGATCCTAAAATATGGCTTGTCCATTTCCGGTGTACCTCCAACGGTCAAAATACACATTACTAGTATCAGAAGGACATTCTGAACCAGAGCCTATACCGTTGCAGGTAGCGTACATACCAATCAAACTTCCAACAAATGTGCCGCTACCTCCACTCACAAACTGAGCCGACATGATTCCAATGCGGATCGCAGCGTTTGGATTAGCGGAGGGCATTGCGGAAAACTCGTAATGAGTCTCATTGATTGTCTTGATCTGAAACCTGATTTTTCCTCCTATCCAGGAATGCGGAACAGGGACAATCTTTGGAGGTGGAGGACTAGCTGGAATGACGGGACTATTATCCATAGTTTGTGCCTCCGTTTTGAAACGGAAGTATAGCCGGGATGATGGGTGGCCTTGAGAGGATGTCTGCGAATTAAGAAGAACAAGTCCGAGATCAATATGGTTCATTTGCGTCAAAAATACCGTCACTCCAGCTTCATGCCCAACAGACGTGGGATTAAAAGTGACATCAACCGTGAATGTGAAAAAGGTGTCAGTTTGGCGACGGCCTATGAAACCGAGACCTTTTTGTCCATTGAGCTCTGGATCGTCTGAGGAACCTGTCAGATTACTTCTGCTGGGAGTGATCTCTAATCCCTTAGGAGTAACAGAAAAATCTCCATTCTGAGGGACCCTGAAATGTACCAAATTGCGTGGTATATCTGTGCCGAACTCGAAATCATAGACATCAGGATCAGAGTTGAAGGGGCCTTTTCCAGGAATATTCCGAGTGGGTGATGGTAATGGCCATCCCGTCATCTGGCCTCGGACAGTCTCGAGAACCGGCCATTCATCCTTCTTCCAAGTCACTGGGAAAAGGACGGTCTCTCTTCCCATTGGATAGACCCTCCAAGCTGGTCCACCTCGAGTTGCCAGACAAACACCCCACCAATTTCCATTCGCATCCTGAAAGAGGTCTCCGTGTCCAACAGTCTGAAAGTACTCATTCGTACCTCTGTTTGTCAATATTGGGTTATTTTGGTATGATATATAAGGGCCCCCAATCTTTGTCGATCTCGCTATGCTGATTGAGTGATTTAATTCAGTTCCTCCTTCAGCAATGAGAAGATAATAGAACCCATCTTTCTTGTAAAGATGAGGGCCCTCAGGATAGACTGCCCCTGTACCATTCCACATACTCACCGCGTCGCTGAGATTTCCGGTCTGAATATCAATTTCCTGAAGAGTGATACCTGACATGACCGTATAGACCTTGCCATCATCATCCCAGAAGAGATCTGGATCAATGGACCCGGCGTCAAATATAACGGGATCACTCCAGGCAGAGTCATTATATGGATTCTTCGAAGAATACAGAACACCTGTTTGAGATGGTGCCCCGAGATAAACACAGATCACGTAGAAGGTGCCGTCATGATATCGAATAGTTGCTGCATAATGTCCCAGTTGTTGGCCTGCAGTCCCCGCACTATATCCAGGAAGTTGACTTTCGCGATTCCATGCATGACTTACGAGCTTCCAGTCGAGAAGATCTTTTGAAACATAAATTGGAAGCCCTGGAAAAACATCGAAGGTTGATGTCACGCAAAAAAATAACTCATCCACTCGGGTACAGGAAGGATCAGAGTGCCAACCTGGTAAGACAGGATTTTGGTAGCTGGTATTGTGCACGGTAATGGAACGCACGCCGGGTAAGATCTGAAAAGAGAGCAATAAAACCAATATACGAGGCAAGGCCATGGCGAAAGAGATCTAGTGGACATAGCCAGGATGAATTGGATATTCTCCATTATTCCTGGTGCAAGGTCCCATTTAAATTTTTTTACAATTGATACCTAACCTCCAGATGCTACCTTGAACCCTGGAAAAAAGACCCCGCATGAAGAAATTTTCCGAAATAGAGCTGATCAACCCCGCTTCTTTTCAGCCAACAGCTCTACTATCTTCTATTAGCTCATATGAATTGTCATATAAATAGGCTAAATTCAAAGGATGTCTCACCTTGTAATGTATGCGCTTAATGTAAGATCTATCTCAGAGACAGAAAAATCAATGAATGCTCGCTCTACACCAAAGCATCAAATCAATGCAAGAGACAAGGATGTAGAAGGATTTTATAGGCAGAGATCTAAAGCGGGGTATGACCCAGATAAAAGACTTAAATTTGAAATTTATGCTGCAAATCGTACTACTTGTACTTAACTTATGACAATTGGCGCCTTCTGATATCGTCAGGTCTTAAAGGTTGCATTTTTCTGGTAATGAGGATAATCATTGCCAAGGTGCTGGTCTCTTCGACATTTTCCGGTTGCCTAACATTTCGAGTCTCCGATCTATGGTCTGAATTTTGAAATTTCAGCATACGCAAACAAGGCTCTGTATGTACGGAATATGACTGGGAAAATGAGGTCTTGGGGTCTAGGTGACGTGGTGGGGAAACATGCTGGATCTCAGTTGATGTTATATTTATTGTACAGCTACATATAGCTTCATCTACTTGGAGATGTGAAACGAAACAGCCGCATATCTTTTCCTTTAATCAGCAGCTATTTCTTCTTTGAAAAGCAAACCTTCAGCGTGGTGTGCAGTGGTTTGTTGGGTGGTTTGTTGATGCCGACTGGACCTGTTCTGTTCTACTAGACTTGCCTGCAAGCGCCCTGGTCCAAGCTTAACACTCGCAACATTTGGTTCTTGGATGTGGCAAAATTACTTGAAATCTCAATAAAATGAAATGTATGTCTGAATCTCTCACATATATGTAATGGAATTTTAGTATCACTTATGATTATATATATTCAAGCTCGGTCAAATGAAAGAAGTTTCTAACAAACTACTGACCAATGGGTGTAACTACGCTGAGTGACATAGTCAAATAACTAGTATACTTCGTCAAGACAATCACCCCCTGTCCTAAAATACAGTATCAAAACGCAATAAGTCACAACCTAATATCTCAATAATTATGAAATAGTATGGTATCCTCTGGTCACTGCTATACAAGTGTCTAATATGTTGAGGAATGTTTAAGCATAAAAAGAATGATTTTATCCTCACAATATCTAATAATCCCTCTTTTGTATGTGACAAATAATTATCCGATTTGTGCAAGCATAATGATAAGTTCCTCTTACTGGCCTTCCTGTACTTTGATAGGCTGATCTATTCCATACATGCCATCATCGCGGGAGAGTACCATGCAAAATCTGGAAGAATTTCAAATGGGGAGTTTATGTGCTTATACTCATTTTGTCAGACCGATATACGTATCATTATGTGTGTCCAAGCCAGTAAAACATTTGTATATCTGGGGGCCATACCATGTATGACAGAGCTGCACTGCATGATGCTTATGATCATAGCTATTCGCTGTTGCCAATGAGCCAGTTGTCTCAGGCAATGAAAATTGTCTATCGCACTCTCACCATTGTCGTCGTACTCGCGCAACACTGAAATAGTAACTTTGTGCCTATGTATATCTCTCTTGCAAATTAATTGATACATACGACCACAGGGTGTGGAGAACAGGGCTTCCCGTCCGCTCAGCCGTACTTAAGCCACACGCCGGCAGGTTAGTAGTTGGGTGGGTGACCACCAGCGAATCCCTGCTGTTGTATGTTTCTTATTTTTTTGGCCCAGTCAGGAAACTATCCCTATTGCCTTGGCCCTCAAGCGCTGCTAGGTCCCCTCAGCTAGACCTTCCCTAGCCCTCCCATGTTTTTGCCACTTCTTGTCTGGCCCTTATTTTTGCTTTCTGGGCGCTGAGTTGAAACCAATTTGACACTGGAATACAGATAGTTTATAGCAACTACCACTATTGGGTCCAGTCTTGGTTATCTCGTCTTTGGAAAAACAGCGAAGAATCTCACGGCACAGGTGTGGAGGCGAGTGACTTGGGTAGAACAGAAGCTCTGAATGTCTATCCCTTTAACAGATCCCTCTTCACTCATGTCAAGGATTGTGTTAATAGTTTAATAAATGAATCGCTAGAGAGTATTCAGGCGGAGTTGCTAATTATAATCGGTGGAAATCAGTATGATGCGTCTGAGAGGACAAGAATGACGGGACAGTTTTTAGTTCTTTATTATGTCTCATGGTTTTGTAGGAAGGATGACTGCAAAACAGTCCCTTATCGTGCAGTATAAACAGGTATTGGGGCCATTGTCCTCGTACTAATCAAGTTTACTAATGATAGAAGGCTAAAAATGAGTCGTCTACCCACAGGAAGGGGTATTACGCTCAATTCCATCTCGATTAATTTACTGATGTTACGTTGCAATGATAACCTGCATTTATCGTTATAGCTTGTTTCCTGTGTAGATTCCTCGGGGCTGAAGGAAAGCACCTCCGCCCAACAATACGCTCTTGCTCAAAATTGCGGCTCCTATCTGACACCTAGGTTTATATAAGCAGACTTACAGTAGTCACGTAAGACTCTATTTCTATCTTCTCTAAATATAGTTATTGTTTCGATACTGAGTACCAAACGCCCCTTTTCGAAACGGCCCCTTCCGGCCTACGAGTTGATTTGGCCCGCTGCAAATTTATAGTATTAACCGAGGCTTGGAATTTACTGATATACAAATGCAGACTCTATTGTTCGGAATGAATTAGTCACGGATTCATAAGCATTAAGGTATTACTCCAGTTTAATCCAAAGGAAATCTTCTGATTCTAAACAGTTTCATTACGATTGCTGCAGGCTTCGTACATCACTATCATGTCAGCTACGAAAGCCTGCCTTTAGGAGCAATGCCACATCTCATTCAAGGAGGTGAGAGTATTCTCGATTGGGATCCGATAAAGACGTGAAGCATGAAGCCCAAATGATTGGGAATCAGAGTAATTCAATCAGATGTAGTACCAACGATGCACTGGCGCAACCAATACGTATGACTATGGACCGTGAGGTGGAGGAGACTTCCATCAGCCCTCGCACCGGCTTCTGCTCCTCAATTTCTGTGTGACATTCATATGTATAGATCCAAGTCCACCGCTCATACGAGTGAATTTATCGGCCGCACAAAATTGAGGGGACATATTCCGAAAGCTCGACATGGAAAAGAAAATAGGGTATGCGCTCAGCCGTAACTTGAGCCAGGGAAGAGGTTGACAGGTGAAAATAACCGGAGAAAAAGGGGCCCAAAACTTCGAGATGGGATATGAGGAAAAATAGTCTGATGCTCTAGCATATGGACGAAAGGGTGTCAGCGAAAATGTAAATGTTTGGGCGTATTATTGTTGAAGATAAGGAGTGTATGTTGATCGCCATAGCCATAATGGGGATAGAATGGCGGAACCACACAAGCCTAGGTACTTGCTATTGATTAGCTTTGTGAAAAATTCCCAGATAAGCCATGACTGGCTCTGAGGGGGAGTGCTTTGAGAGAGGGTTTAGGAGCCGCGTCCTGGGATCGAGATCAAATCAAATGCGGCGATCGACGGATAGGGTCACGTGATTTAAATATAGGGTCATGGCAGCCAATCACAGGGCTGGCTCAGCCCTCGTCTAACGCCGGGCATCATGTGACGCACAACCCACATTTTCGGCCACAAAAGAATCTTGTGGACTTCGACGCTCTCGCAACAACCCCAACGCCAACGACAACGACAACCTCCGAGTCACTTCACGGCAAGATGACTGTCATGAACCAGGGTATGTCAATACCCATCGCTTGAACACCAATCGACGTTTATTTTTCCGTGCTCCGTTTCCCCCTTATGATTTTTATCTTCGCCAACTCATCTCGAAATTTGTCTAAATATGCTGATGCACCGACTAGGCTTGGCTTCCTCCCGACGCAAGTCGCGCAAGGCGCACTTCTCGGCCCCCTCCAGCGAGCGCCGCACTATCATGAGCGCCCCTCTGAGCAAGGAGCTCCAGCAGAAGTACAATGTACGTTCGAACGACCCTGAAGCGGATTGCGGACCACCACGAAGTCGAAATTGATTCGCGTCACCCATCTCCCCATTGCCATTCGAATTGGCTTTTCTCAACCGATCATATCGGAAAGCCTCGAAGAAAGCATCGCAATAAATATCAAATACGCACAATGCTGATGCAGTTTTGAATAGGTTCGCTCTATCCCCATCCGCAAGGAGGATGAGGTTCTCGTCGTCCGCGGCTCCCAGAAGGGCCGTTCCGGCCGTGTCAACAGCGTCTACCGTCTGAAGTGGGCCATCCACGTCGAGAAGATCCAGCGCGACAAGAGCAACGGCCAGAGCGTTTACCTGCCCCTGCACCCCTCCAAGGTCGTCATCACCCAGTTGAAGCTCGACAAGGACCGCGAGTCCCTCCTTCAGCGCATCGCCCAGGGTCGTGAGGCGGTCAAGGCCAAGTCCGCTTAAATCGGGGGTTTTGGGGTTATGTTCATATTGTAATGGCTGTGATGGCGCGGGAGTTCTGAAAGACTCGAAAAATGCGAGATCCAACCTATGATCAGGATACACCTGCCAAAGTGGGTGCATGGCGATACAATGAAAAACGAAAAATTTTATTTCCATCTTCAACGTGCATCACAAGGCTTCTCAAATCTCAGCGTTGAAATGTTTCTTCCTGATCGTGCGTCCGGATACTTGATTGACGAAGATCTAGCCTAGAGCGCTACTCTTTTGGGGTACTTAAGGCTTGATTCTCGACAGCTTTTCCGATAATATATCACACGCAGGCCCTTGCCTTTGGATCGCTATATGTGGTGTCAAGATAACTAGACACTTCCGTCGACATTCTCTTTATACGTAGATTATAAGGTAAATACGCGACGTAAAGTAATTGCTGATTTGGAGCCATCAATTGTGTCAGTTCCTGCCATAAGTCTAGTCTCCGATGCCTTGATGCTTTGCCCATGCACGATTACATGTCAAAGCACATTTACTTCACGTGGATGGCATCTGTAAATTATTAGTCAGTGGTTACACCTTCATCTATCCCATAGACTTGTGCCGGCAACCTGAGCGCTGCAATTGAGGGCATTCCTGTCCCTGAATCGTTCATCAATCAATTGCATACGAACTTCCACGCAGCCACTTAACCATTGGGAGTAATTAATGGTAAGAGGTGATTGAAATTCGATAGAGTGAGAATTAATTATTCACAAAAGCGAAGGCAAGCCTGGAAGGCGAACTTTTGGTCTCATTGCCGCTTTCCGAAATCGAATCGCTAAATGGGCGAATGCAGACTTGAACTTTGCAGGGCTTCGAAAGTCTTCACATAGCGTTCCATACTATTCGGCGAGTGAAATTGAATTATTCAAAAACAGGCCCCTGGAACAGAAATTGATTGCGTCGCCTCTCTTTAGAGGTGATTTCATAACCATTCAGTCACCTGATTCAAATCATCACCGACAGTTGTATGAAGCATTGGATTTTGGCGCACGGAATAAGATCTTTTAATTGTATAATTTATCCAGCTCGAGCTCACGTTCAAATTCATAAGGATGACAAGTTAGGATCGTGGACAAGGGAGATTTTTGTCCAGTTTTGAACGCTGACGTGTCGCTCAGACCAAGCGCCCATCTTTCCCCGCACCGCCGTTGAATCCGAAAGAGATTGAACATTCCGTCACTTGGGAGGCTTATCACCTAATCTTGCTCTTGGCACTTCGTGTTATATATATCAATCTTTGCCCTTTCTAAAAGTGCTCCATGAAAGGTTATACATGACTCAGTGTTGGGTTCGAGATGCGTGGTCTATATGTAACATGTCTTTCTGCACTCACTACTCTAGCAGTGGGCCAATCTCCTTCATTACAGCATCCGCTTTCTGCCATGACAAGGCCAAACATTATATTTATTTTGACAGATGACCAAGATGTTCATCTTGATTCTCTCAAATACATGCCCTTCGTCAAAAAACACCTCATTGACCAAGGGACACATTACCGCAGTCATTACTGTACAACGAGCGTTTGCTGCCCGTCCCGAGTGACCCTATGGACAGGGAAGCTAGCACACAACACAAATGTAACCGATGTTAATCCTCCATATGGTAAGTTAACTGACAAGACATATTGATAGATATGTACGCATGCTCAAAGTACCGCAGGCGGTTATCCAAAATTCATATCCCAGGGATTAAATCAGAACTACCTCCCTGTTTGGCTGCAGGAAGCGCAATATAACACATATTATACGGGGAAGCTGTTCAACGTTCATACAGTGGACAACTATAATCACCCATTTCCAGCAGGATTTACGAGCCATGTGGGTGCCCGAAGGAGAAACCTTTCAAAATCTTGATCTTTCTGACATTTTAATGGCGCAGGATTTTCTTCTTGACCCGTACACCTATGACTATTTGAATAGCACATTTCAACGAGACAAGGAAAAACCGCAAAGCTATGAAGGCCAATACACCACTGATATTCTAGCTCAGAAGGCCTATGATCTTCTTGGTAAAGCGATCGAGGCTGACAATCCTTTTTCCTGACAATTGCTCCTGTAGCCCCACACTCCAACGTCTTCATGAATGGAACAGGACTAGATGAGAACCCCACCTTTAGCTTTGGCGCGCCTATTCCGGCAAAGAGACACGAGAAATTGTTTGAGAATGTGCAGGTACCTCGTACGCCATCCTTCAACCCAGAGCGCCCTTCAGGAGCAAACTGGATCAAGTCATTGAAGCGTCAAAACGAGACCAATATTGAGTACAACGATCATTTTTATCGCTCTCGTCTTCGTGCCCTTCAGGCTGTAGATGAGCTTATAGATGGCCTGTTCCATCGCTTAGAGAATTATAATATTCTGAAAAACACTTACATCATCTTTTCCAGCGATAATGGTTATCACATAGGTCAACACCGACTTCAGCCAGGAAAGTCGTGTGGATACGAAGAAGACATCAATGTTCCATTATTTATTCGTGGCCCCGGTATTGCCGAAAATAGCACGACTGATATCGTAACCACACATACCGACCTGGCGCCCACATTTCTTCACATGTTGGGTATCCCACTACGAGATGATTTTGACGGCGATCCTATTCCTCTGACACAGAACGACATCAAAGAGGCACATGGAAAACGACAAGAGCATGTCAATGTAGAATACTGGGGATTCGCGGCTGGAGAGGGAATTTATGATTGTACTGTTTCCTGAATCCCTATCTACTCCCTATCATGTTTCTTCTTCGAAAAACCTAACACCGCAACAGTTGATTTATCAGCCTATAACAACACCTACAAAGCTCTCAGAATCAAAGGGGAAGGATATAATATCTACTATTCAGTGTGGTGTAACAATGAGCACGAATTATACGATATGACGGTATGATATTTGAGTATATTTTTAACATTGTTGCTATTATTTTGCTCACAGCAAACAGAGCGATCCACATCAACTGAACAACTTGTTCCTATCAGACGAGAATGATCAAAAATCACGGCGAGATTTCCTAGGAGTCGACTTCGCGAAGGTTGTCACAAGACTCGACTCTTTGCTCCTCGTATTAAAATCATGTCAAGGCGCTATATGTACCAAACCTTGGAAATCCTTGCACCCTAATGGTGAGGTTACTACCTTAAGAGACGCATTAGACGCACGGTATGACCACTTTTATGAGGCGGAGCAGACAACTCGAGTTTGGTTTGATGAATGCGCGCGGGGATATCTTATACACGCAGAAGGACCACAATTTGATTCTAAAATTAAAATAGGCGAAGATAAGTTCCTTCGAGATGGACTGCCTTGGTATGAGTGGGTTTGATTTTAAGCTAAGGATGAGTATCTTCACACATAAAATGCTCAGTTTTCCACCAGAAGACCTTAAATACTGAATAATCGTTAAAAATTGACACTTTTTGTGATTCAGCAAATCGAAATTTAATTGCTTATTCTATTCCGTTCATCATTTTTAGAAACAAGATGTAAAATATTCTCGGCCATTGTATCCCATTTCTCTTTGCGGTGACGATTTCAAAGAACATAATAGATATTTGTAAAGATATATAAAATCTTGACAACCAGAAAAGATTAAAGTACTTTGTTACCGAGTGAGTAGCGGGAAGAATTATTTACCGAAAGACAAGGAGGTGACTTATTAGCAAGAACCGGCGAAATATTCACCCCGATAGCTGAGACATACTCGCCTGATAGATATTGCCGGCGATTATGGCACCGACCTGGTTGATCATATTGTAGATAGGAGCTTGAAAGGTTCGGGAGTGAAAAGCATAAGATTTTCGGGAAACCAGCCCACTGTAATGCTTGAATTAGTTCAAGTAAGTATTTGACTCTATATGAAGCGTCTAATTTGTGACATCTGATATTGAAATGAACAAGAGGAAATACACCCGGTAAATAAGATGAAAGCAATAAAATTATAGTCAACGATTTCGATTTGCTTATCATCATTATGTTCCTAGAATTCGTCTTAAAAGGAAACGGAAACATTATTTGACCGAACAGAAGCCGAGCTCACCCACAGACTCCGAGAATTAGGTCGAAAACCACATCGGAATAATTAGACATACGATTATTATCTCTTTGAATTCAGGTAGCATATTACCGACTGTTTCCCGCAATAAGAAAGTTTAGAAGACGCGTATGAGATTGAACACTCCATGTAATGTAAATGGCTTTTTGATGAGCTTTTTTATAATATCATTCTCCTGAATTTGTTGCTTGACTCGGAATTGATGATTTAAAAGGGTTCAATTCTTTAAGTTGGGCATTCGAACAATCAAAACAACACAATGGTCAGATAATTCTCAGCATGTCCATGGCGCGCACTGGAACAGACTGTTCAATGAACCGAGAAAGATATGTATGGTGGATTAGATAGAGCCAAAGCCCACCAGTCGGAAGTCTAAGCTATGCAGTTCCGAATGCAAGTCACGGAACAAAAATTATACAATGGTCTAAATGCTGACGGTGGGAGATATCCTTGGCTGCATATGACAACGTTTGATCTGCGGGGTCGGGCGCGGGGAAAGATGCACCAGTACGCAGACTGGCTGGGCAGCATATCCAATTGCCAAGTAATTCCACCGGGTTTCTAGCTCTCACAACTATCAATGTCCCAATGAAATGGCTCAATGCTTTGCCACCATGGACCTAGACCGAGCTGGCCCTTTTGTTTGCCCCGCATGGAGAGCTAGAAATAGGCCTATCCACACTTCCTGATTAACGTAGTCTGACAGCTTCCCCCCACATAGCCACGGATATACATGCTGTTCCCCACAATGATCAAGAACGACTTCTTTAGTGACAAATGACAAGGAATGGTTATAATCCAATCAGGCTTGTTCCTGAATGTGATATGTCATATAAATCCCTGTTATGCATATTACAATACGCCCTATGACTCCTGTACGCACTGACCGGCAAAGTAGTTCCGAAAAGCTATTCAGCTATTTATGTTGACGAATGCCTCTATATTTATACAATTTTTTTTTCTTTTACCTACTCAGGTGCTCGGAGAACTTTAGGACCGCGTTTATTGAGACATTATTCGGTATAATACCAGATTGAATTCCATATGAAAGCTTATACTTTTACTTTCATAGTCTGTAGCAAGGGTCCCAAAAACCGGTAAAATAGTAGGAAATCAACAGAAATAATCCATTATTCTTCCGTCAATATACCTTGCAATTAGAGTGTCTCGGTGAAATACTTGAGTAATTTATGACGAGCGAGAAACATATGATGAAACCGATTGGACTTGCTTGAGACCTTACCACAAAAATGCTGCTGATGTATAAAGATTTGTACAAAAAATACCACAGAAAGCGGAAGGGATGGGTTGGGATATCAAAAATATATCGCCTCTAGCTTCTAGCACCCAAGCCTCACTAAAATCATACCTCATTTCCCCCAATGTAAATAATGTTACTGATTTCAACGTCTATTTCGTTCAGTTCAAGATTACATCCCAGCCTACAAAGAATGATTTCAGTCACGGAATACGTGTTTATTGCAGAGAAAGCCACTTTGGAAAGGCTCAAGTATTAAATGATGTAAGTAATTTATGGTGCAGCAAAAGCATCAAGTAGCAAGGATGACTATTGGCATGCCCCATCTGTCACCTCTCCGCACGAGGGGTCGACTTGTCGCACCTCCCTTGAAGCACAGTTCAGAAAGAGGGGGTTATGACAGACTTGGCGGATACCCAAGATATAAATAGACCCCCTACAACCTCTGCTAACAAGTCTCTTTTTTTGAAACTCAACCCATAATTTCTTGTCAAGCTATCAAAGCAAGAAATCAAGTTTCAATCTAAGTTACCTGCTCATTATGACTATTCCGGATGAGGTAGATATCATTATCTGTGGTGGCGGCAGCGCTGGGTGCGTGCCCGCTGGCCGCCTCGCAAATCTCGACCATAATCTCTCTGTTTTATTGATCGAGGCAGGAGAAGATAACCTTAATAATCAATGGTAAGGGCTACTTGAATTCTCAACTTTCAGTCATGAGAATAACTCAAAGGTATTAGGGTATATCGCCCCGGCATATATCCAACTAACATGAAGCTTGACTCGAAGACTGCTTCTTTCTATCATTCTCGACCATCGGAACACCTTGATGGTCGTCAAGCTATAGTGCCTTGTGCTAACATCCTCGGAGGTGGAAGCTCAATTAATTTCATGGTGAGTTGTTTGGAGATGCCCCGACTCGAGAACATCATGATTAACAGTTTTGTGTTGTGTAGATGTACACTCGTGCATCGGCTTCTGATTATGATGATTTTCAGGCAAAGGGGTGGTCAACTGATGAATTGCTGCCTCTTATGAAGAAGTATGAGACTTACCAAAGATCCTGCAATAACCCGAGCCTGCATGGGTTTGAGGGGCCAATTAAAGTTTCATTTGGAAACTACACGTACCCAATCACGCAGGATTTCCTTCGGGCGGCCGAGTCGCAAGGTATTCCCACCACAGATGATCTTCAAGACTTGAAGACAGGGTATGATGACACTGATTATCCCACTAAGTTACGAGCTTCTAACGAAAATGGATGGTAATAGCCATGGCGCAGAACATTGGTTAAAGTGGATCAATCGTGATACTGGTAAGCAAGCCTCTTATAAAATAACTTTGGCGGCGAAAAGCTTCGGTTCTGAGCTATAATCTGATGAGTAATCAACAGGTCGACGAAGCGATGCAGCCCATGCATACGTTCATAGTACCCGAGCCAAATACTCCAATCTTCATCTTAAATGCAACACTAAGGTTGACAAGGTTATTATTGAAAATGGTCGCGCAGTGGGCGTAGCCACAGTTCCAACAAAGCCCCTTGATGGGAGCGACCCACCCCGAAGAATCTTCCGAGCACGCAAACAAATTATCATCAGTGGTGGTACTCTGAGTTCACCCCTTATTCTTCAGCGATCAGGAGTTGGTGATGCAGAAAAGCTTCAGCGGCTTGGCATCAAGCCTTTGGTGAATCTTCCAGGAGTTGGTCGAAACTTCCAAGATCACTACCTCACTTTCTCTGTGTACAGAGCAAAGCCAGAAGTTGAAACTTTTGATGATTTTTTAAGAGGAGACCCAACCGTCCAGAAAAAGGTCTTTGAGGAATGGAATACTAAAGGTACAGGGCCACTAGCAACCAATGGTATAGACGCAGGGGTCAAGATCCGGCCGACGCAGGAGGAGTTGAACGATATGAAGAAATGGCCTACCCCGGAGTTTGTCAATGGATGGGAGTCATACTTCAAGAACAAACCAGACAAGCCCGTCATGCACTATTCAGTTATCTCGGGGTAAATATTCAATTTCTCTTTGTATGAACAAAACAACTAACCGGTACATACACAAGATTGTTTGGAGACCACATGTTGATGCCTCCAGGGAAGTTCTTCACCATGTTTCACTTTTTGGTAAGAGACTTTGTGTTTAAGATCAAGTTTGAACTCAAATTGGTATTCTCAAACTCAATTGGATATACAGGAGTACCCATTCTCGCGAGGTTCAACCCATATTCAGTCGTCTGATCCATACGCTGTGCCTGACTTTGATGCGGGCTTCATGAATGATAAACGTGACATGGCGCCCATGGTATGGGGATATGTCAAATCGCGTGAGACGGCCCGTCGCATGGGCGCTTATGCTGGAGAGGTGACAAGCATGCACCCTCACTTTGCTTACGACTCAAAAGCTCGAGCATATGATCTGGATTTGGCAACCACCAAGGCTTACGCTGGCCCAAATCATCTTTCGGCGGGCATTCAACATGGTAAGAGTGAACCATGTTTTTATATCGTTTTCTTTGATCTACGAATGACAGAAAAAAATGCAGGTTCATGGACTCAACCCCTGGAGCCTGGGAGGTCGTCGTCGACATCCACTCTCAACTCTAATCGCCATGAAGTTCGTGAATCTCTTGAATACAGCAAGGAAGATATTGCACACATTGAAAAATGGGGTTTGTAGATAATAAAAAACCCGACCAAGATTGATCATTCGTGTTATCTGACGATGTTCTAGTTCAACGTCATGTCGAGACCACATGGCACTCCCTCGGTACTTGCAGCATGGCACCAAGAGAAGGAAGCTCAATCGCACCACATGGTGGTGTTGTTGATGAGAGACTCAACGTTCACGGGGTGAAGGGACTTAAAGTTTGCGATCTATCTATCTGTCCTGATAATGTAGGCTGCAACACTTTCAGCGTGAGTACCCAAGAACCCATTTTTCAAAAAAAAAAAAAAAGATGGAAACATACTGATCATTGTCAAATCAGACCGCTCTACTGATTGGTGAAAAATGTGCTGTCCTCGTTGCAGAGGACTTGGGCTACTCTGGCGCGGACTTGAACATGGACGTGCCAAATTATCATGCACCAGGGGAATTTGGCAAACTTGCTCGCCTCTGAATTGACAAAAGGTTTATGTCAAAGATATGAATCAAAGTTTTGCATATTTATCATGTACTGAGCAGAATTTTATGTCAGCTAAAGCCTTCAAATTGTCTTCTTGGGCTTAATTTACTTCACTTTACTGAATATCTTTCTGGGAAACAGTCGTATAAAAAACCTTAATATATAGAATTACTCTAAATTTCGGAATAGAACCTCTTTCTTTCAATCATTAATTTCCATTCCAGTGACTTGCAAGACACGATATCCATAGATATAGAGGAGACATTAGTTGCTGTCCAGAACGATGACTTCTGCCTCCACATCACCAATACTCTCCACCAAAAGCGAATCGCCTGCATTGACTTGTGTAATGAAAGCGCCATCTCCTTCTTCCAAAACAATATCTTCGCGGCCATCAAGTTTGACCTTTGATTTGCCTTGTTTGGTCATAGGCAGATGGATATAAACATTGCGCTTCTTCTTGGAACTAACAATGTCACCGGCACCAATATTCCACTTGAATGTGGAAGCTGGCTCAATAATACCAGCGCCCATGACAAAATCTGCGTGGATCGGAATTGTACCCGGGATTTTTGGAACAGCCGCATCTTCATCTGCGGGTGTAGCCTCGGGGCCCGCTGCAAGAGGCGACAAAATTGGGACAAATGCTTTGCGCTTCGCTTCCTCACTGAAAGTCATCGTGTGATATTGAGGCTTCAGCCCATATTTCCAGGGTAGAGCCCAGATCTGAAGGAAGTGCACTGGCTTGTTGGATTCATTTTGCTCCGAATGGGCAATTCCTGCGACTGTTAGTTCAAATCTCTGAGAGAACAATTTTGGGAAAGACTTACCACTTCCACCAGTTGTAAATTGAACATCACCTCGCTTCATACGATAGAATTGCTTGCCCTGTTCCCCCTCGGCGCCTTTTTTGATCATGCTATCTCGATGGGTGAGTTCGCCACTGAGGATATAACTGAAGATTTCGGCATCGCGGTGCGGGTGTGTAGGGAAACCATTCCGAGCGGCAACACGATCTTCATTCAAGACACGAAGACTGCCAAAATTCTGAAATTTGTGGTCATAGTAACCGGCAAAGCTGAAAGTGTGGAAAGTTTTAAGCCATCCGCCGTGCTCGGCATATCCGCGTTCGCTAGAACGGCGCAAAACGATCTTGGCGTGGGCGAGTGGGTTTGACATGGTTTGTTGAATGAGACCTCCTCGTATATAGCTGGATAGTAGCAGCGAAAATTTTCTTCGGACAAAAAAGTGATTCTGATGGTATGGGTAGGCGAAAACGAGCTTTTTAAAGAGCTCCAGTCAGGTATCTAGAGGCTTATGGAAAATGTCGTGGATTATCCAAGCATTAGGGATCTCAAGTCATCGATCCGCAACCATCGCGCTAGTCCCATAAAGGTCTAGCGGACCCACATGTACTTGATGATGTGTTGCTGACTTGGTTTCTCGTCCACTTGATTAAGCAGGATTAGAAATTTTGGCCGGTTGGCCAGAAGATGTCATGCTCTGGGGTTTACGCTTCCAACTGCGGCTGAATCAAACGTCTCTAGATTGGAAATAGGACCTAATACTTGACAAATATCTTGGTCAAAGACGATAAAATCTCCACGAAGATTCGAAATCTCTGGAGAGAGGCTGGTTTTGCATCAGCGCCCGCACCATCTCAATTGGCATGCGGTTTCCCTTCAAGAATTGATCGTGAAAGTCTTTTTCCCTGTAGTGTTTGGACTCGACCATTTCTTTCCGTAATGCATATATTTGCAATGCCCCGAGCATATAACCAGCCTGATAGAGAGGCGAATACTCGCCGTTCAGTGATCGTCTCACTTCCCCCTCCGCGGTCGCGCGTTCGTGTCCAACATCATTGACAAGAAGATCAATGCAATCCTGAGCGCTCATTTGGCCAAGATGAAATTTGACAGAGAAAATGATCCGGGCGCATCGATGCAGTCGCCAAAATAGCATGCCGATGCGATTCTGAGGTGTCTTGATCCATCGCTCATCATTCCACAGAAGAAACTCCCAATATAGCGACCATCCTTCGATCCAAAAGGGTGTATCAAACAGCCGGCGATATGGACGATGTCTTGCATTCATGTACATCTGTAAGTGATGACCGGGGATCATCTCATGAAAGACGGTAGCACGGGAGAAGTGAATATTGTTCCCTCGCATACTCATCAATTTCGCTTCGTGATCCATAGTGTCGGTTGGATACGATACAATAATGCATTCGCCACCAAGGAAGAAAGGATTCACTTTTTGCCTTTCTGGAGACATCATAAACATCTGCCAGGTCTCCTTCGCAATCACAGGCACTGTAACGAGGTCATGGCCCTCGACGAACGAGATAGCTTCCTGCACAAGATCCCGAACCAGCTGGGTTTGTTTCCCAGGCTCAACAAAGTCATTCTTCACTTGTTCCAGGGCCGCTTGCCAGTTAACACCAAGGCCCAAGCTTTGTGATGCCCGTTTCATCTCTGTCATGCACCATTCGAATTCCTTTTCTCCAATTCTTATTATTTCTTCGGGGGAATAAGGGATCATTTCCGCGTGAAGCTCAGCAAGTAAGCCGTCACGCCCGATCGGTTGGCCAACTATGGCATCGTCATTTCCTGGTTTTATACCGACCAATACTTCTCTGATTACTGCAGCAGCATCATGGAGGCTCTCATCCATGACTTCATAGGGCTGCGAAACCCACCAGTCAAATGAAGGATCATATCCCTTGTAAAAGCCAAACCATTCCTTCAAATGGACTCGTAATGCGGTAATATGGCTGGCTGCACGAAATGCACTGGTTTTGACAATCGATTTACCATAGGATTCTGTTTTGATCGCTTTGATCATAGCTGCGATTTTTCCCTGTGATTCAAATAGCTTCTGTGCCGCATCGCGTGGCTCAATTGGTATGACGATGGCGCGAGCCTCACAAAGATTCACCAAGTTTTGTGCGAATGCGAGAAGTGGCTCAATTTTTTTATCCTGCTGCGAATCTAAATCGAGTCCGTGCAGTTGCCGTTCCAGATAGTTTTTGATCAAAAGGTAATCGACTTTACCTTGCTGGTCAAGAACGTCAAACTGTATGTCATGCAATGATTTGAGCTCGGAGACAAGAAACTGATGAATCCTTTGTCGTCGCCTTTGAGATATCAAGACCGGATAGAATTGTTTGATTTCTTTCAAGTCTGCTGTGATACGTTCAATCCTGTCGCGAACGTTTTCGCTGTGGGCGCGCCGAATGGCGACACCGCGAGGAGACGCCACGCAAACCATAGTAATCACTTTGGAAGCTACCTTTGGTCTTGAAAGCTCGCTTCTTACAAGAAATATCTGGTCGGAGACTGCTGGAGCGACGCGTAATTGACTTAAGGACGAAGATAGAAATCCGACCAAAGAGAATCACGTACCTCGAAGCGATGATAGAAGCGACGATATGCGGCAGATATGACGGTAGTGTGATACTGAGTCGGCGTGTCGACCCGACAATATGCTGATTGTCGCTGGAAGATCCGAGTGGTTGTTGTTGTTTTAGCTTCGAAGTTGGCTGTCTGGCCGGACGGGATGGAGAGAATGAAGTGGTCTTACTCCGCAGTTTTGCCTAAAAAGGAAGACTTGTTATCGGGATTGCGGGCGAGTTAGGCTTTACCGATCTGCTAGACCGACTTGCCACCCCTTGGCAAGAATTAGAATGCGGAGAAAATGGATGAGGGTTACATCTTTTTGGCCAAAAGGCTTATCTTCGGGCGCAGAAGCATTTATGTGGCGGTCTTCTGAGGTTTATTTCTCCTATATATACCTCGTCGTAGCTACATATATTCAAATTAGCGAGGAATTCATTCAACCAAATTTGAGTATGATTCCCTCATCATCTCTCAATAGCACTGAGCCATTCCAGGATATGCCAGAAAATGACAAGCGTGCAAAAGATAATATTGAAGAATTACACAATATTGAACTTTCGCACCAATGGGATCCAAACTTGCCCCAAGAGAAGCTCGATGCAATCAATGAAGCAGTTAACACGGGGGATCAGGAAAAAGCCGCGGAGCTGGATAAGTCCTTTGCTCAAAACTCTCAATATGAATCTGTCCGTGCAGCCGTGCGTCCTACCGATGGTGGAGAACCGGCAAATACAGTTCGCGCCTGGATACTGGGGATGTTTTTCACGACTGTGGGGAGTGGACTGAATATGTTTCTCAGTATGAGGTGGGAAAATTTGTAGCCTCTCCAATTCTATGATATTCAACTTGACGGATAAAAATAGGAGCCCAGCGATTTCTTTTCCTGCAATAGTCGTACAGTTGCTTGTTTATCCTATCGGCTGTTTATGGGCGAAGTTGATGCCTACGAGAGAATTTACTACTTTTGGAGTCCACTGGACTCTGAATCCCGGTCCTTTCAACATTAAAGAGCACACGGTAATTACGGTAGGTATCTTCGAAAATGGCGACTGATAGATTGATTCGCTGACATTATTTTTAGATTATGGCAAAGTAAGTCGGATATAGACTGTGTTATCTTGGCTGTTGATAACAGTAGAACTTCAGTGTCTCCATTGGTTATGCATACTGTACCGATGCTCTTCTGGCACTCCAGGCTAAACGTAAGGATCCTTTTTCTCCTTCCTGAAAATTTGTTTCTAACTAACCCGTCGTAGCACTATACAACCTCAATATAGGCTGGGGATTCCAGCTTTTATTTGCGCTAAGTAGTCAAATAGTTGGGATCTCTCTTGCTGGGATTTTCCGAAGATTCCTAGTGTGGTCAGTCAATTAAATCTCAAACGTTGAGGCAGCTACTTAGAATTTTAGGCCGGCTGCAATGATCTGGCCAGGACAGTTCGCCAACACAGCTTTGTTCTACGCTCTTCATGACAAACGCGGATCCGACCCGTCTCAAACCAATGGCTGGAGATTATCTCGCTATAGATATTTTTTGTATGTTATGCTGGGATCTTTTGTGTGGTACTGGTAAGTTTTGGTAACATTGAAACGATGTGAATTCAGCCTGAAAGGTCATTACAGGGTACCTGGTGTGATATTCCAGGGACTGTCGGTTTTTGCTTTCATTACTTGTAAGAAGAATCTTATATAATCTTCACCGGTAAATGTGAACTAACCTTTTCAGGGATCAAACCAAATAACGTCGTTTTAAACCAGCTATTTGGTGGCTTTACCGGTCTTTCGCTCATACCCATAACGTTTGATTGGACGTGCGTGTGCATTCAAGTTTGGTTGTAAGGGTCAGAGTTAGCTAACCATCTTCATAGATATGTTTCAGCTTACCTCCTGGATCCCTTGCTTTCTCCCGCCCATGCAATTTTAAATACATTGATTGGTCTTGTGGTCTTCGTCCTTATCACAACAATTGGCATAGCCTATACAGGAGCTTTGTAGGTGACAAGGAATCTGGTAAAAGCAAGGGCTAACTCATGTTACTAAGGTACTCGGAGTATCTCCCGATAAATACGTCATCTACTTATGACAATACTCAACAGTCTTACAATGTAACCAGAATCCTTGGATCGGGTTTCACATTCGATGAGAAAGAATATAAGGCATACTCACCAATGTTTCTGGCGCCGACCTTTGCTTTGAACTATGGACTTTCTTTTGCCGCTCTAACGGCTTCCATTGTTCATATTATCCTGTTCCACAGGAAAGAAATATGGCACAGATTCAAGACTGCCAAAAATCAAGAGCCTGACATTCATTTGATTCTGATGAGGAAATATAAGGAGGCTCCAGAATGGTGGTATGCATCTTTATTTTTGATATCGATGGCTCTCGGGCTGGCAGGCATTCTGGGATATGATTCCCAGCTTCCTTGTACGTGTTGTTCACTGTCACAACATATTAGACAGTCACTGATGACTCAAATAGGGTGGGGTTTCTTTGTATCAATTATTGTCGCTGTCGTATTTATTGTGAGTAATTTCGCTACTGGATTGCGGAAATTTTTGCTTATTGAGCCTTGCAGATTCCAACTTGTATGATCCTCGGAATTACCAACATCCAACTCTGTATGTTTTGCAATATCAGATATTTGTACTTGAAAACTGACCTCTCCAGCACTCAATGTTATATCGCCTTTCTTGGCCGGTTTCATGATTCCGGGGAAGCCTATTGGGGTCATGGTTTTCAAAGTGTTCAGCACAATTACTCTTGGACAAGCGTAAGTTTCTATTACTTTTCTCCACGGGCATATACTAACGAGAAGTTAAGACAAACCTTTTGTCAAGATCTAAAGGTATGATTTCTTGTTTCTAGGATTGATTTTGGCTAATGTCTCACCGTAAATCTCTTAGATTGCCCATTATATGAAGGTTCCGCCTCGTGTTACTTTCGTGTGCCAAGTTGTTGCTACAGTTTGGGCTTGCTTCGTTCAAATTGCAGTTATGAACTGGACTCTTGGAAATATTGACAACGTCTGCACCACGTACGTAAAACCCTAGAGTTGCAAACGCGGCTTCGATATTGAAAGCATACAGTGACCAGACTGCACACTTTACTTGCCCGAACGGTCGCGCATTTTTCTCTTCCAGCATTGTTTGGGGTCAGTCAATGTCTATCTTGATTTCATAACTCTTCAGAGCTTCTTTTAAACATTTTATAGGCGTGATTGGTCCCAATCGCATGTTTGGACCTGGGGCCATATATACATCGATCCAGTGGTTCTGGCTGCTTGGAGCTCTGCTGCCCGTTGCATTCTATGTATTGATGCGTGTCTTCCCTAGGTCAAAGCTCAGGCTACTGAATGCGCCGGTGTAAGTCATCCGTACCCCCTCCGCCCAAAAGTCTTAGCTAACTTTGCTTGAAGAATGCTTGGTGCTATGGCATGGCTACCTCCGTGAGTTAATCGTTACCCTAACCATAACTGAAACGGCCTTCTGACATAGCCCAGAGCAACACCTTTGAGCTATTCATCATGGGTCATGTTTGGTCTTATTTTCAACTACTGGATCCATCGCCGGTGGGGTGGCTGGTGGCGTAATTATAATTACATTACAGCTGCGGGACTTGACACCGGTCTCATTTTATCCACTATCGTGATTTTCTTTGCGATCACGTTTCCTGGTGTGGCTGTTCCAAATTGGTGGGGAAATACAGCCCCTTTTGAAACAATGGTAAGCGAGATTCCAAAGCGATTATGACTAGTTCTGACAAGAGTTCCCAAAAGGATTATCTCTATACAGCGATCCGAAAGACAGTGGCAGAAGGGCAGATCTTTGGACCAGCTACCTGGTAATCAGGCAATTAATGGTATTGAGAGAGGCAGGTCTGAAACAGGGGGTTGATGCATTTCTTTATCTAGTCAATGTTGAAACGGGAGCTAGTATAATCCGATTCCAATCCCTTTGCAGATTCGACCCAATTATACCAATCTATATCGATATTTAAGTCCATGTTACCGTCCACTGGTTCTATGGTTGAATTTGTACAAAATTCATCCGCCCATAGCCAAGGATCGACACTAGCACTGGTGGATTCGCCGGAAGGCAAGAGTCTTGCGGGTTCAGGTGGTTCATATTGGGGGCCCACTAGAGAGAGATCGGTGGTTCCAATTGCCCTTGGAGACACGGATGTAGTGACCGTGAAGTTGTGACCGAGCTCAGAGCTCTTGGGTTCAATATCCGTAGGACCAATATGGGGTGCAAAGTCCGGGTTCAAATATCGGAAATCAGTTAATGAGGCTGGCTGTACATAACTTGAAGTCAAACTTGATGGTATAGAAGTGCCGGGACACATAGGAGCAGAGGCAGATGGATTTTCCTGGACAGAAGAATCAAAAAGTCCTTGCCACTGTTCCAAATAATAATCTGCCGAGTTAGAACCAGCAGAATATAAGCCGGGACTCGAAGGCAAAGGTGTATTCCGATATTCATATTCGAGATTTTCAATAGCCAGCGCATCTTTTTTGAGCCGATCAATTTCCATTGCTCGATGGGCTTTGGCTTTGATCATCAGCTTCCGCAGAGGAAACCACATGCGAAGGTTTCTTATGCGAGACTGGGTCGGGATGAGCCAAGTGCTGTGCAAAGCTACCCATCCTCTTTCCACAAGAGGTGACCATTGACGGCGGGATATTTCAATCAGGATATAAACAATAGCATGCCAGTGAGTATATGTCTGAAATAACCACCGCCAGTGACGACATGCATGTTCGGCATTCAAAGCATGATTGTATTCAGAGACTTCGATCGCCGCAACAAGTAGCTTAGTTCTGACCTGCTCCGAAAGCTGCTCGCTTGGAGAAGCAAACAGAATTGGTAAATAGATAAAAAGCGTCATCTTAGCTATTACTAGCCGAGTGACCATGGTTCCTACCCACGATGTAATGGTTGATTCTGCTGTGTATTTCAGATAGCCTTCCTCGAGACCCTGGTAAATCCTTTGTAGCATCTGGTCTTGTTCTTCTAAACTTAAAGCATCAGAGCCTCTTGCCATCATGAGTCTCACGGTTTCGGAAGTCTTGCATGAGACGAGAGCCAATGACATGTCAGTCAATCCCTCTCGTTCAACAGGTTTTTGTTCTGAGTCTGGGTCTAAATCTGCATCGTTAATGTTTAGGGGGATTTTTGTGTCAAAACTGCCCAGCGGAATTGTGTACTCCGTCCCTTGGTCTTCGGATGCTCTAATATCAAGCATACACAAGGCCCACCAGACCCGTCGTCGCATCTCAATATCGAATGGAGATAAATTATTGAAGTTGGCCCCGTCGCGGTGCAAACCAAGCGACAAACCCATTCGAATGGCAAGTCCTGTCATCATCCAGACGAACCTCGGGCTATCGTGTCGCCGGACTAGAGTGAGAAATATCGCGAAAGCCTGGAGCAATACTAGGTCTGGCACATTCAAAAAATCAGCTTTGGCGAGAGCATGCTCCAGGCCGAGGCGATATTTCAGGTTTAGTTCCATCTTGGTTGTTCCGAAGTTAACCATAACATCCTCCTCCTCCATAGAAGTCACGGCCGCATAGTATATGGAGAACATTAACGCCTCGTTAGGAGGCGTTAAGCCCGTCATGTCACCGCGCAGATCACGGATCATCTTGGTGACCGTGGGAATGTGGATGTATTGAACAAAAATGTTCACATTCTCAGAGAAGACATCCAGTAAGAATGGAATTTGAGAAGGCAGTGGATGAAATCCACGGAGGTCGGGAGCAGCAGAACTCAAGTTGTGGCGAAACAGGAAGGCATGCCGTTCTTCTGGCTCGCGATCAAACTCTTGTGTAGACAGTGCATTTTCAGGAGACCAGCCTTCTGATTCTGAGGAGTCAAATTCTTCATGATGAGAAGCTCCCCCTGTGTCCATTTTGATTTGGTTAATCTGTAGTAGAAAGTCAGATAACCATTCGTCTGAACCTATCATGTAGAGGCGTATACCTCGTCGTTGACTCGAGACCAGAAGCCACTACCAACATAGCGACTCTTGTTCGCATCTTGAACAACTAACCTCCCGAATTGATGTTGAGCATAAGGTGAATTTGAGACATATGGGTTCGCCTGGTGTGCGGTCTCTTCAGTAGATCCGGCGGCTGAATGAAGCCCGGGAGATGAGCCGCTTAGAGAAGCTGCCCTGGCATTTGCCTGCTCCAGCTGAGCAGTGAGATCTCTGACGAGATTCTCCAATGTTCGAATTCGCTCCATGGCATCGTCAGTCAGCGGGCGCTCGAGACGCCGGGTCCATCTTGGTGGACGATCTGTCGGCGGGAAAATGCAGGCAATATTCGCGCGGCGGCAATTTGAGCATGGTGATTGTTTGTCGCAACGAACCTTTCGGCTTCTACAAACGATGCAGCTGCGTGGCTTTGGTGCACGCGCGGGGGTCTGCTTGGACGTTGGTGGTTGGTCCCTGCCGGTGGGCACCCTCGCGTCTTTCTCGGGGATTGAGGCCGAGCCTGCCGCGATCGCCGACGCGGACGTCGAAGACGACGCCGCGGGAGAGTTCTGTAGCATACCCGCGGCTTGTACGGTCTAAACACCTCTAGCCTCGCGTCTCACAGTTGGTCATCCCACATGGCCAGTATGATTTCGATTATTCCGATGTTTCATGTTGGTTGAGAGCAAGTGGCTGCGTGACAGCGACTGGCGTTGCGTTCGTCTTCATTGGTGCGGATCCCTCGCCGCTTTAAGAGCGCCAATGCGATCGTCATCAAATCATTCTCTCGAGAAATTGCAAGCTCGGTCATTGTATATAAACGAACTGGGCGGAGAGTCGAAGCAAAGCGCTCAATGATTATATGCGACTAATCTTAATTTCCGCTGATGCACCGGCATGGAGTGGATTCGGTTGGAGCTCTGTCTCCGCTTGGAATCTTGTAGAAACTCCGGCATCCTAATGGAGGCCGAATTATTCGGAGTCAATCTTATCACTTTGGATCCTCGTCCAGATCCCAAGGAGAATCTCCCTGAAGCCAAGCCACTCTCAACTGTCTGAAAATGACCGAAGCCATCGCGAAGTATACTCCACATGCGGTTTAGCGTGGCTGACAGGCTTTGGAAAAGGCCGAGAAACGCGCGCGATTCGCGGATTCAGCAAAACAAGTGGAGACGATGACTGTGGCGAGAACAAGGCGACGCCAATCTGACGGTCGCTCGAATGCTTGAACAACTCGGTGAAGCTTCGGTCCTTCTCGTTCTCGAAGGCTTATTGGGACAGCCGGAATGTAGTTATAAGGCGCTTCCTTGTCCAGTTTCACGGAGGATGAGCCACGACGCTAGAACCACATATCAACGTGAACCAGTCTTACAACTGTCATAATACCAGTGGAGAATCGCCTTGAACAGAGACCATCTTGTCACAAATCAATTTTATTTCCCTCGAAAATTCAATTATCCTTCAAGCTTGCAGTTTCAATTAAAATTATGGACCCCAAGACTCAGACTGTGGCTTTCTTCGGTGCCAGCACTGGCGTTGGCCTTGCAGCCCTCAAACACTCCTTGGAAGCAGGGCTTCAATGTATCGCGCTTTGTCGAACCCCTGCAAAGCTCACGGCCATCTTCCCAGAAGGTTCTACACCGAACCTGAAGATTGTGAAAGGAGACGCCCATGATATTACCCCTGTGTCTGAGTGCCTCCGAACGAAAGATGGAAAGCTCGTCGACATGATCATTTCGACTATCGGCAGCAAGCCGGTCTTGTCCAAACTGTCAGTTGAGGATCCAGAGTGCTGCAGAAAGGGGGCAGCTATCATGATAGAAGCCATATCCCAGCTTCGAGCCTCAGGCGTGACCGGGAACCCTCATATTGTCTCCTTTAGCACCACCGGATTGTCCCGATTTGGCCGCGATGTTCCTTATCTCATGATCCCACTTTACCATGTGGCCCTGAAGGTTCCACACGAGGACAAGCGGATCATGGAGGATCGCTTCGTTGAGAGTGGCGTTACTTTCACGATCGTTCGTGGAAGCCTGCTCACCAATGGAGAGACCACTAACACCGTTCGAGTTGGCATTGAGGACCCCAAGACAGGACGGGAGTCAAGTGCCATCGGGTATACTATCTCCAGAGAGGACTCCGGAAAGTGGATTACAGAGAACCTCATTTTGCAGAAGAATGAGAAGTATACAAACAAGATTTTGATGATTACTACTTGACGGACATATGTTTTCCTTTTGCTTTCTCTTCCTTTTCTGTCCGAACTGTTTTGTTTCTAGTGATTTCTATTGAACAAGGCTGGATCTAAGTGTCAGTCTTCAAGATATTTGATTTTAGCGATAGCTATTCATAGAATTCTTTTGGATATCCTCGCTTTCGCCTCCAACCTTCAGTAGATTCTCAATGGTCATTGCGACAAAAAGAGCCAGAGCATTGGATGTCTGCCTGCACGAAAGAACTCATTGACACAATCTAAATTTCTGACAGTCTAGATATGTTTAAGAAAATGAATCTTGCAAATTGACAGCCTCGTACCATTGTCGACTAGTTGTAGCTTTCCAGAGATGGCTAAAGCCAAGGGGTGCGTCTATATCTCTGTGTTGAGATTCATTAAAACTTCACTGCGAATGTTTTTTTCTGTTGAATATATAAATTGCATTATATTGGGTTAATTTTGGATTTTTTATGCTTGTTTACTCATCGACAGCGAATAGGAAGAAAGATCCAAGCTATGCTGAATGAGCCTAACATTTCCACTAGCACTGGACTGCCAATACTCTGCAAAAAAAAAAAAAAATTACAATGCTCCAGTTTCTAAGCTAATTTTCTGGAAATCCGTGATCTACATAAGTGGAGTTTGGTTTTCTCGGACGTTGAGCCTAGAATGTTATCACTCGAACTTAAGCACTAAGCTTCATGCCTCACGCTGTGCGCCCCATGGAGAGCACATACATCCGGATTCTAAATTAATTGATATTTTTAACAAGACTTTACTAAATTTGAAGGCGGTTGTAAAAGGTGCCTCAATCCCTCGGCCCTTCCAATGCGTGAATGTGTAGAGAGTGGCTGTTTCTAAGTTGGATATAAATATGAGCCAATTGACACCTGAGGCAAAAGGCTAGTCCCAATCGGGTGTCAATCTTGAGATTCTCGAGCTTGTCATCCACCGCCGACCTTGGACACCTCTGTTAGCCAAACACCTAACTGACAAAACAAGATGACTTCGTCGCTGAGAATGGCCTCTGGTATTTTGAGCCGAGCCACCCGTAACTTGGCTGCCATTGAATCCGCCCCATCGCACCGCATCCTCCCTATCCTTCGAAGCAGTAGCCGACCGCAATGCCGAACCTACACGCAAGCGCAGCGACCGCAGTGCCACCAGGTTATGCAGAACGCCTTTTCTGCGCGAAATTGCTTCTCCACGACAACCTCCCGTGCCAAGAACAAGACAATGGGCCAGTTGCGCCAGCGCAACTCGACCGGTCCTTTCTCGTGGAAGGCCGCGCTGCTCTTCGTGCTCACGGGTGCGGGCATGGTGATCTATTTCCGCGTTGAAAAGGCCCGTCTGGAGCGAAAGCGTATTGCGGAGATGAGCAAGGGTGTCGGAAAGCCCAAAGTTGGCGGTCCTTTCACTTTGATGGACCTGAACGGAAAGGAATTCACTGCGGAGGATCTCAAGGGCAAATACAGCTTCGTGAGTTACCTCGAAGGGTCATGGCATATTTGCCGAATGTTATTCAAGCTAACAGGATCTTCAATTTGCCTTATTATAGGTCTATTTCGGATTCACCCACTGCCCCGACATCTGTCCGGACGAGCTGGACAAGATGGCTGAGATTATCGACAAGGTCAAGGAGGCCACTAAGGACGACAAGGTCTTCCTGCCTGTTTTCATTACGTGTGATCCCGTCCGTGACACCCCCGAGGTTCTTGGAGCATACCTGAAGGAGTTTCACCCGGACATCGTCGGCTTGACGGGCACCTATGAACAGGTCAAGAACGTCTGCCGGCAGTATCGTGTTTATTTCAGCACTCCCAAGAACGTGAAGCCGGGCGAGGACTACTTGGTGGACCACAGCATTTATTTCTATCTAATGGGTAAGTCCCGACGGTCTTTGAGTTAGGTCATAGGAGGCTGACATTTAATACCAGATCCCGACAATGATTTTGTGGAATGTATCGGCCGACAGGATACGCCGGAATCTGCGTCAAAGGTGATTCTCGAACACATCAACGACTGGAAGAGAGAAGGCAAGCCGATCAAGGTCGAGTAATCGCTTCGCGGTGTATGTATGAAAATTGTACTATAACAACATTCCCTGAATCTAAATACCCTACTCATTGAATTCCATAAATTGCTCCAATGCTGCTTTGGCAGCGACTACCCCCGTCGTATTTGTGTATCTCAAATGATGCTCTATATAGCGAACAAATATATAGACATCACTGCGCCGGTATTGAGGCCCAATCGCTTTGTGCTATCATCCAAGGGCGCTGCTAGTGAGCATCAGTATAGTAGCATGCAAAGTCAACCCATCACGAACCTTTCAACGCCATAAATGGATATTCCAATGTGCCTCCAGTTGCGCCTGCAACGCAACTCCCATTTCTCGCTTCATCCAAAGCCCTTATTGTCGAACCAAATTTCCTTCCGCATCGCGATCGGCGTTGGCCCTCCACTCCATCCCACCGTCGACGAACTCCTCCCTCTTCCAGATCTCCGCTTTTTCCTTACAGGCCTCCAAAATCTCCTCGCCCGCCCGCCAGGCCGCAGCACGATGCCCCGAGCTTACTGCAATGGCAATAGAGGCTTCACCGATAGGAACAACCCCCAACCGATGCGCAATGCTCACACCCTTGAGTTGGTGGGTCTGGATGGCGGCTTCAGCGATCGCCGTAAGGGTCTTGAACACGAGGGGTGGATATGCAGTATAGCTCAGCTGTGAGACAGACCGGCCTTCAAAGGTATCTCGTGTTGTACCAAGGAATAGAATGTTGGCTCCGGCGGTGGGTGAGGAGGTTTGCGCGAGGTAGGTGTTTGGATCGAGTGCAGCATAGGTCAATGTTAGGTGGATGTTTTGTTGCGCATCCTGGCGAGTGCGCGGATAGGTAGCTGGGTCCAGATGCGCTGGAACAGAGTCATCATCAGCCGTCATCGTGTATACATGAGTGGGGTGTGTGAGGAGTTGAAGAATGTATTCACAACAGTCTCCAAAGGGCTGTTATCGACTGCGGGGAACGGTGGATAAGTGCGCGCCGATAGTGGCGGAGGTCACCGAAGGGGCAAAATTGCACTGTTGGCCTCACATTTTGTTATCTGTTATCCCAACCCTTGTTCTAACTAATATTGTATGTACAATATCCTCGATATCCATTGGATCCAACGACCTATTCAGTGTGCTGCGTTCAAAGAAGCAAAACAACTGCCTCATAGGGCCGAAGAGGCCAGCTTCCTCCGGACAGACGCTGCGCGACCTTGGAAGTGCCCTCATAGTTGTTCAATAGCACTTCCTTCACTTCAGAGATTCCATTGATAGAAGCATCCCACTCTATGCTGCTCGCGGTCCAGTTGCAGAGGACCAAAGCTCTCTGGTTCTCATACTGACGAATATAGCCAAATACTTCCTGACTGGAACCGTCAACAATATTCCAGTCGCCATAAACAAAGACATCCAGGTATTTCTTGCGCAAGCCTAGCACGGATGCCCAAAAGTGGTAGGTTGAATTAGGGTCCTTGACCTCTGCTGCGGCGTTGATTCGCACATAGTCGGTGTTGACAGACATCCAAGGCTTGACGTCTGGGCCTGTGAAGCCCGCATTCGGGGCATCTGACCATTGAACAGGGGTTCGTGCATTGTCGCGAGACTTTTTCTGGTATTCCTGAAGGGCAATTTCCTGTGCTTTTGTGTCAAAGTGCTTCTGCTTGATCAATCTACGGGATGCTGTCAGATGTCGTTTACTTGGGTGTGCTAGTAATCTGGAACGTACCTATTCCAATGGTTGAGACAGTCGATGTCTTTGTATTCTTGAATACCCCACGACGGAGGAACGTTGCGCATGCCTAGCTCTTGCCCCTGGTATATGAAAGGGGTACCGGACTGAAGTGCAAGAGCAGTGGCTAGCATCTTAGATGCGACGAGACAATCTTCTTCACGAGCGTTTGTAAACCTATCAATTGATCGCGGCTGGTCATGATTCTCCCAATAGAGAGCATTCCAGCCATCATTCTCATACATAAACGTCTGCCACCGCTGAAAGAAGGCCTTAAGATCAGTTAGTTTCCAGCTGCCAGGCTCGAATTTGTCATATTTGCCGTGGTCAATATCAACGTGCTCGAAGTTGAAAATCATGTTGATCTCATGGCGGTCGAACTGCACCGCGCGTAGGACCTCCTTTTCATCCTTGACAAAAGGCATCTCTCCAACGCTGAATGCATCATATTCTTTGAGGATCTTGCCAAGATCTTGCAAATATTCGTGAAGACGGGGGCCATTCGCATAATGTTTGTCTGCCCATTGCCATTCGACGTGTGAATTCACAACTGGCGCATCCGGGAAGCCCTGATCTTTGCTGATGAAATTGATCACATCCATGCGGAATCCATCGCAGCCTTTATTGAGCCAGAATCGCATGATATCATGAACTGCCTTGCGGACTGGCAGATGCTCCCAGTTGAGATCTGGCTGCTCGGTAGCGTATAGATGGAGATAATACTCGTCTGTAAGCTCATCGTATTTCCAGGCGCTTCCTTCATCGAAGATACAAGTCAATTGTCACTGTCCTCAGTCAGTCGGATTTTGGGAGAAATTCGCATACCCTGAAAATGGGAAACCCAATTGTTTGGAGGCTGCCGATTTCCCTGCGCATCATAGCGTGGAGGCTTCCAGATATACCAGTTGCGGTACTCATTGTCCTTGGAGCTCCGTGATTGCTTGAACCACTCATGTTGATCACTGGTGTGATTGACCACCAGGTCCATCAGAAGCTTCATGCCACGCTGGTGACATCCTTCAATCAACTTTTCAACATCTGCGACCGTACCATACTCATCAGCGATGCTGTAATAGTCGGCAATATCATATCCCATGTCAACCTGCGGGGACTTGTACGAAGGGCAAAGCCAGACAATGTCCACACCAAGATTCTTAATGTAGTCCAGCGCAGAAATAATGCCTGGAATATCTCCAATGCCATCGTTGTTTGAGTCTTTAAAGGAGGCCGGCCAGATTTGATATACTGAGCACTCTTTCCACCATGCCCGGTGGATGGGCTTTGTGGCCGATGACATTGTAGATTACCTGTGAGATGACTAGCAAAAGTATGAGAGATTCTGTTGGTCTCCAAATCCCGCTGGCTCTTTCAATGATTTAAATAGCAACCGAGGGGGGTCCTGCGCTGTGTCAGTGGGGTCTGTGATTCCAAAGACTAGAGCGCAGGAGCCAATCGCTCATATCACATCCATGCATCGAATCCCATCGCGGGGCATGGTGGAGAATCAACTCTCAGCAGGGGATGCAACCTGTGCTGATCATTCTGGGTCTGGTTGTTCCCACAAGGTCGCGCACCGGTTTGGTTACAACATACGCCACTTGGATTAATTCCATACGCTTTTGCGACCTCAGATTTAGTGGATCATCCCCACCAGGTGTGCGGCGGTAATAGTCCTATGATGCAACCCGAGGCTCAAGCGGATCAATGTCCCGACACGGCGACCATTGCCCATAAGTGTTAATAATAGAAGAATATGTAGACTTTAAAGATAATTTCTTCTCTATACTCTAACTAGGTCTTCTTTTCCTCCCTCACTTTCGTCCTTCATGATGACGGGCTGATTCCATAAAAGGTGAATACTTGTTAAACAAGATTTAGTATGTTCCAAACAATTTGGATGGAAGAGGATGAAAAAGGCTGCATGAGAAAATGTTTCAAGACACTTGTTGATTCAACATGAGTAATCCATAAAAAGTCAAAAGCTCATTTTTATCAGAGAAATCACATCGAGATGTGAAGAGACTAAACTTCATACTTGCACACATTCCATCCTTGTAGCATACCTCTGCCTGTGTACCTCCAGCGGTGTCAATTTCTATTGTGCCACCTTTTCCAATCACTGGAGGCTTGTTCTTGTATAGGCTGATAGATGATATTTTAGTCTGCAGATGCGACAGAAAGCTGAGGGCTATATCTTTGATGATATAATCAAAGGCCAATTTGCATCTCAGGTACAGCCCTGACAGTGCACAGAAACTACCTTGTTATAATGTAGGAGTCTAGCTTTATTGACATAAAGATATCATATTTTCTAGACCAAAATCATTATAACTGAACAGACGCTAACTCATTCTTGTTCCAATCGAGATTTTGCAACTGCGGTTGTCAGCCCAACTCATACAACCATGTGGGTTGCGACCTATAACTGAGTGTGATATAGGCGGTCAGTGATTCTGCCACATGCTATCACGTATCAGTTGGAGCTTTCTTGTCGCTGCCGGTCTTCCTTTATTGCTCCAACTCCCCCATGCATATTCATTATGGGACATCCTTACGCAGACAATAATAGGCAATATTCTCACCCGCACCTTCGGGCCTTAATACCCACTGACGATCGGGATGGCCGTATGTACGACGACAGATCCCGTTCACGATCGCCTGGCGGTATGCGCTCCTCCCCGCATGGACCGGGCATTTGAGCCATGGATATCTTCTCACATAGAAGAAGTCTCCCAGATAAAGTGTGATATAAAGCTAATCTGTTATCATTGTGTTTGAGGACCAAAGGCCGTTCTCGGTCACCTCCCCGTCGGCCAGCTGAGCGCAAACATGAGTATTCCAGGGACTCAGACGCCAGATTAGGCCACAGAAGCCTAGAACGAGATGACTATCGCCAACAATCATCGCGGTCGCCTCCATCACGACGAGGTAGACAGGCATACAGAGACCGTGACCATGAAGGGTATCGCTCCCCAGAGTATAACCAACATCGGAGTTATAGTCGCAGTCCTCGAAGAGGTCGGTCTGGATATGGGCAGGAGAGTCGGGAGATCATGATGGAGGGATTTCCTGTAGATATGACGGAAGATGATGTAAGTCGACTTCGGGGCGTATTGTTTGATTATTGAATCTATAGTGAATCCATTTGCTGACATCTGTCCGGATACAATCAGATCGGGGCCGAACTTCAGAACGCATACCACATTAGTGGACTGGAGGAAATTCGAGTAATTCGAGACCGTCAAACAAGTAAGCAACCAATATTATGGCCAAAATGGTGTGCTGAGCTGATTGAAATCGCTTTTACAGAACTTTCTCGGCAACTTGGATTCCTTCGATTTCACTCCGTTCACGACTCACGGGCCTTTCTGGAACGCAATCACCCATTCATTTATCTTTATGGACCTAGCGCTGGAGAAAATGACAGAAGCACGAAGGTCCGCATAGCTTACAGCCGCGAGAGGGATGACCGAGGTCGGGCGAAGGCCGAAGGTGATTGGACGTGTCGAATGGTAGGCTACTCGTCATTCGACCATTCCTGGGCTTCATTCTGGACTAACTTCTGGTCTTGCAGTGCGCGGTTGTAAATTTTGCGACTCGGTCAAAATGTTTTCGTTGCAACGCCCCTCGACCCGGTTTGTCTTCTTCTAGTCTACTGATTTGTTCATTTACTAACGCGACCCAGAGATGGCGTCCGCTGGTCCACCTGGGGTTCCGGCTCCAAAGGTTATCAACAGCGGTGACAACGATGCAGCCGCCGAAACCCAGCCGTCGCAATTTCTTCTCTTCCGCGGCCTGGAGCCCTCTGTTTCAGAGGAACTTTTCGCCAAAGGAGTTGCTAAACTGTATAGACCGCACCCAGCGTCGAACGAAAATACTTCAAGCAATTTAAAGAAAGGGGCAAAGGTGGCATCGACTACTGGAGATGCTAACTTGGGGGCACGAGAGGGCTCGATCCGACGCGTCTTGCTTGTTCGGGACCGCAAAACAAATGAAAGCTGGCGCTTTGGATTTGCTGAATTTGCGAATGTGATGGTATGTCCCGATGATCTCAACTTCGACCTTTTCTAACAAGAATCTTCATCCTAGGATGCTCAAGCTGCCATGACACGGTTGAACTCGTTTGAAAAATTCACAATCTCGTCCCGTCCGGTTATGGTCAGTTATATCCACGCTGGAGTTTTCGTGCCTGTTATGGATCCTACGCCCAGTAGAGCCCGGTTCACCTTCAGCCCACTGGGAAACCCTTCTTTGAAGCTCATGTACTGGGATGATGAAGGCTACGTAGCTGAGCTCATGCTTTCTTCCGGCGAAGACGACATAAGCCAGGATCATCTCAAAAGCTCCAAAGCCTCGGGAACTCAACAGGACGCTCAATCAAAGGCTCCAAAAGACACCGAGAAAGCAAAGAAAAGGAAGGCTGATGCTACCACGAGTGCAAATGCGAAGAAGCTTGCTATGCCCTCTTACCTCCAGTTCTGGAGTAATCGACATGCCGAGCTTCATGGAATTCCGAAAGATGGTGATGGGAAACCAGCAGATGCTGGAACGGAAAGAGGAGATCTACCTGTCGACCCAGACGCCCCGCCCACTCAATCGTATGCGGACCTCAACAGAAACTGTTGTTATCTCTGCATGCGACAATTCAAAAACGCCGCCAATGTCAATCGCCACGAACGACTCAGCCAACTTCACAGAGAGAATATTCAGAACGAAGAAGCAAGAAACAGAGGAATGGCAAAGCTAATCAAGCATGGAATTGTCCCACCACCCGCAGAGTATCGCGATCGTGCCAGAGAACGTCGCAAGGCATTCGGCCGTACTAAGACCGGCGCCTCCAAGAAGCAACCCGTGCGAAATGAGGAGCAACACGACCCCCCGGTGCAAACCACATCGAAGGGTGCCTCTCTTCTAAGCAAGATGGGCTGGTCAGAGGGCTCTGGCTTAGGCGCTCAAGGCACTGGTGTAACAGCCCCCATTGCTACGGAGGTTTATGCACAGGGTGTTGGGTTGGGAGCCCATGGCAGCAAGCTCGGCGATGCTGTTGAAGAAGCCGGACGGAATACACGTAGCCGATACGATGAGTTCCTGGAGAAGACCAGGGAGACAGCTCGCCAGCGCTATGATCAGATGAACCGGTGATGCACAGCCGGGACCTGGTTTCTAAAAGAGAATTGTACAATAATGATATCCCAAATCCCTTGATCTTTCGATTGAATTCTGAGTATCAGCTTTCCATCTTCTACATCATACTACGGTCTGGAAACGTGCGCCTGAGAGCCCACAAAATTCAGAATAAATATGGTCAACTATTGGGAGAAAAATGCGTAGTGTACAGGATGATAATGTAAACGAAAATAGGCATGAGCAGAGTGTATTGTAACATTGGAGATTCGCTTCAATTCAATTGTCCGTTTTCTCTTGATTTTGTTCAGCCGATTCTCGCTTCTTTGCGCGTTCCTTCTCGAGCTGCTTCTCGAATCGGTCGCCAAGGACACTGGCTACCCATTCTGTTATGTCCTGCTCCAGCTCCTCATCCGATTTGCCGGCGGCAGCGTTTTCCAATCCGCCCCGCATCAGTCTCCGCATATCCTCAATTCCATTGACATCCAAAGCGTACATCACTCCCCCGGTAGCCATAATAGCAAATGAAAACACGTTGATTGTTGCAAGGTTCAACGCTTCAAAGGCCTCCATTGCCCCATTGGCCTTTGGTTGGAAGTATATCGAGCTTGAGTAGAATGGTGGTATGCAGGCGATACGTTTTCTGATGCTCGCGCGACGTGTTATGTATACAGAGAGTGTGACGAAGACCATTCCACCAAGCATGAGCTTCAGATTGGTGTTAGCTTTAGTAGCAGATAGTTGGGTTGGTTGCACTGTCTGTTGAGGTGGCGGGGCGGAAGAGGAAGGTATTGAGGATGACAAGCCATCTTGCTCGATACTGGACGGTTTTAGGTCTTTGGAATTGAGCGTATTCGAGTCCGACTTGGAAGAAGAGCCCCAGCCGAAGAATGATAGCATTGTTGGAGATGGCTATGTAGATTCGTCAAGAAAATTCGTCAGAGGCTCGTATGAATTATTGTGATTGACAAGCCAAAAATAGTGTAAAGAAGCCAAGCAAATCAATCATATGAGATTTCCAGAGCTGCCCACTTCAACAAGAGAAAAGAGAGTCGGGATGGCGTCGGGATGGCGTCGGGATTGTGTCTGGCGATGATGCGCGTGAATTTGCGGAGGCGGAGTAGCGCTGATCTTATCACGTGATCTATAACATACCGGGTTTGCGACACTCCCAGCTGCAACCAAGTCACTGCGCGGATTCAACGTGAGTTCATTTCAGTGTGATACGTCCGATAAACTGTGTTGGAATGTTCTCTTCAGGGATAAGTTGATTCCTGGTGGACATGGAGCAGACCTAATTATATCCTCGCGCATCGGATATCGGACAGTAGCCAATCCGAATGTTCGCTTCTTCTACTGGCAGTCAGCACAAGCCATTCATCCGTGCCCATTATGGTGTATAGTGGGAAACCGAGTACAGGATGTCGGAATTGTCGGCAAAGACATATAAAGGTGCTTCCCATCTCCCTCGCGCCCACTTTAACCCTACAAGACTGACCATTTAAAGTGCGATGAAACTCGCCCACATTGCAGGGCATGTATAAGAACCAAGCGGACTTGCCCAGGATATCCCCATCCTTTTGATGTTATGCTACGAGACCAGACGGCTTCATTCACAAGGAGTACAAGGTCACCCCCTTTATCTAGCGACCAGTCCAAATCCAGCATCGAATCAGATCAATCAACGCCTGAGCCGGTATCACAGGCTCTTTCACATGTTAGTTCTGATCGGAGAACAGACCCCTGGCCTCCTCCTTTAGGCCCTTCTGATCTTTACTTGCACGCTGAAGACACAGTGATTCCTTTGTTCTTCAATTCTTATCTATATCTTCCCAAAGATCCCCACATACGCAATGGCTTCATGGAGATCCTGCCTGGAATGTTCTCAAATGTTGTGGCTGGATCTCACCTTCACATTAGCACCCTGGCGGTTGCTTTCTTCAGTGTAGCAGCATGGACAGGCCGTTCATCATTACTCAGAGCCTCGGAGCGATACTTCATCAGAGCATTGCCTAAAATCCGAGACTCACTGAAGAAGGATGATAATTCCGAGTTTGACAATATTCTCGTATCTATTCTTCTTCTATCAACGTATGAGGTAAGAAGGACTTCCCTCTCTTACCCAATTAGCGATACCAGTTGACAGAAGCAAAAGGAATTTATCGCAATAAAAGATTGGGAATTGCCTCTAAAAGCTCACCTACGAGGGGCCATTGCCCTAATTAATAGCAAGCGATCAAAGGTCTTACAAGCTCCATCTTCTATCACTATATACAGTGCCGTTGAAGCCCAAATTGTAGGTAATGTTTTTGCTGATTTAATGAAGTCTTCAACTAATCCACACCTGCATAGATCAAGACAACGCGAGGTTTGATTAACCCGATGGTTCCAACACCAAAAGTCTGGCCCTTGTCACAGCCAACTGCTCGTCCTTCACCACGAATTTTACTTTCAGCGGTATCCTCAGAACTTGTCAACTTGCGCCATTCTTGGGAGAGAATGATGACCCGGCCAGCTGATGAGACCGAGGCAACAGTCATCCTCGCTAAAGCAAATGCGATTGACATCAAACTTGTTTCGTGGACGTACGCGGTTCCCCAACACTGGGTGCCGATAGCAGCTACCGTAATTCCACAATCTGTGCGAAATGCCGGGCTTTGGAGAAATCGCTGTGATTGCTATACAGATTTGTGGATTGCGGCTACCTGGAATACTTTCCGTGACTGTCGCATTCTATTACAGAGCATAGTGCTTAGCTGTCTGCGTATCTTGTCTTCCCAGGATCCGGACGGTCGTAGGATTGCTGCAGTCGAGTCTACCATTCGCAAAATTGCGGACGATATCTGCGCATCAGCTCCATTTTTTCTTGGGAGTCAGATTGAATCTATTCGTATGAAGTTCGGGCTTGTCGAGTATCCCTTCGCGGAGACACGACCGGTAACTCTGACTCATCAGCAATCTGCTCCTTTAATGGGTCCATGGCACATGTTTCCATTTCTGAGGAATCTCCAGAGTGCTGAAATAGGATTACCTCCTGATCAGCTAGCCTGGGTGACCCAGCAGATGGAAAGAATTTTGGTCATATATTTCCAAAGGTGATATACTTATCAACACAAGAGCTGGAACCAAGACGAACATAGTAGCTTCCCTGTGATACACAACTTTTAATGTTATAAGAGCTTTCGGTATCGAGATTTTTTTGAAATTCAAAATCATAGATGATTTAATTCATGAACCCGAGCGGTTATCGTCAAGAACCGTTGCCGAACCTCCCTTTGCATTCAAATTTCTTTTTTATGCCATACAGTAATCATTGACTTTCGCTTGCCCTCTATTTCATGATTCTGGAACATACTGGACTCCAGTTAGATGAATGAACTGTCGATAATCTGAGTTAACAGCGATGTGTTAACCTTACACTCGCATTGGCAGCACCCAAAGGCTACCACTTGGAAGATCGGGTGATTTTACACAGTGCTCGGTAACAAAGTATAAATCATAGTTTTGTGACATTATGCTCGCTTTATGTCCGTTGCTAGAAACCCGAAACATCAAAGAATAAAAGTACACACATGCAACCACGCCAGAAATGCGATATGGAAAAAAAAGCAAACATAACATCTCACGGACAAATCGTGTCTCTCATTTCCACCTGTACATCATCACTGGATCAAAGCAAAACAAAAGGCAAGAACTAGCAGAAGCAACGTGAGTCACTGGTTCTAAACAAAACGCTCAGAGAAATGAAGCAGGTCATAGCATCATGGGATGGAGTCTAAAAGGCACATGCAAACATCATCCTTTCATCGTGCCCGTCGTAATCAGCATATCGGTCCGACCGGGGCGATGGAAACGGTCAATGCCGAGATGTTCCTTGCCATCACGGCCGACATAAATGCCAAACCCGTACATAGGCAGCAGACGCTCAGATGGAGGGGCCACAATCAGTCGGGTTACCAGGTCAGTCTTGCTACGCGGCTCGCGAAGAAGCTTATCCGCCAACAGCGGGGACTGGTAGAAATAGCTCATCAAATCGGCCAGGGTCGTAATATCGTGAGGAAGATAGCGGCAGCGACCGGGCCAGGTCGCGAGGAAGGAGATAGCGTAAAGACCGCAGAAGGCAATCAATGCGTAGAAAGCAGGCAGAAGAGTTGACATTCGCACATCCTCATGGTTCGGGTACCAGAGAGCAATGAAAATACCACCGGCGAGGATTGGGATTGCAATAGAGACAATACTCATGAAAGAGATCCAGGCCACTTTGTAGTGGCCGTTGATAAGAGCTTGGAGGGTGATTTGGATAGGCAAGGAGGAAGGATAGGAGAGTAGGATACTTTTCTCCGCAGTCGAGCCATTAGGGCAGGCGAGCTCAACAAAGGGCTGAAGAGCCCGGAAATAAATGTCTATCGGCTGCCATACGAGGAAGAGGACATTGCCGATCAATGCAGGGATGAAGCTGTAGAGGAAGTTGGAAGAGGAAAATGCACTGATCGATGGAAGGGTAGGTAATCTCGGGGGGAAGCCGTTTTTGATGGCATTGTGGACAAAGCTCACAACCACGAAAGCAATGAAAAGAGCGAAGACAACAACCGTCCAGACAAAAACGGAAGGCTTGCGCAAGAACCAGGGTGTCCAGCGATACCGAATGAAAGGTGAATAAAGATGATGATCAAACGGGTCGTTGGCAAAAGCACCATGATGCTCAAGATCAAAGCAAACTTTTGCAAGGCCATGCGGTTGCTTGTCACGACTTTTTTCTGTCTGGTGGAGCGATGGTGTGCGAATCGGGGCATCTACTTCACCAATTCCGTAGAAAACCTCGGGCTTCATGGATAATTTCCAGTAGCCAAGTCGAAGAATGCGAGAGTCCAGTGACTCCTTGACAGATGGAACCGTCTCAGAGTGTTCGTAGTCATGTAGAATATTGGATCTCTGAATAATGGAGATCAAATCTGCTAAGCAGACCGGGTCCCACATGAGACCTGTCCAACCACGAGCAAAACGTACTACCAGAAGCAACAGTCCGATGGTCATGAGCCCATATGATGCAACGACAGTCCATCCAACTGCCTGAACAGAAGCCCACCTCCACACTCCATCATAGTACTTGGCCTGGAAAAGGCAGCTGAGGAGGGGAATCGCGAAGAAGTTTGACAGCCAGATCGTGAAGAGTGAGAAGCCAAAAAGAGCCTCTCCATACCGAAAATGCGAGAGGTCAGGGAACACGAAATTTCGTGGGAGAATCGGCAAGCCTTGCAAGACAGATCCACGTTTCCGCTGAGCGGCCATCATAGCAAAAGGCGAGATGCGATATACCGCGGCCTGAACCACAAAGGTCCAGATGATAATAGGGGCAGCCAGTATTTGAGGCAGGAATTGCATGACAAAGTAGCGTGAACCACCCTGGCCGTCGTAGTTCCAGAGACCTTCGTGACGGCGTGACCAGATATTGCAAAACACGACACCCGCAATCATGAGCAGGCAGCAGAAGATAAGTCCAAATAAAGCCAGCGGCCTCAAAACAAAAGGTAAATAGTCTAGGGGGGGGTATAAAAGACTCTGTTCTGGAGGATCAACCGCAACAAATGACTCTGGGTCAATCGAATCAGGTCTTTGGGGCAGTGCTTGTGGGGATGGCGATTTCAAGTCTGGTCTCGGGGGTGTCTCGGTGTGCCGGATTGGGGTTCGTGCGCGAGTAAAATAGCCCAGACCTTGATCCCACACGAGGCGATCAACAGGAAAGTCATCTTTGGTCGAAATAGAGTCCTGTCGTCGAGGCCCGTTCACTTCTTCATCACGAGTCAGTTGATCTATGGCGAAGCGAACGTAGGGCGAATCATCTAGACCCGGAGTAGGTGCTGGGCCGGCATAGTCGGTCGTGATTCGCCGAACCGTCTCGTCAGATTTGGGACTAATACGGGCGATTTTATCTTCTCCGAAGCGAACTGTACTGGCGGTGGCTGGTCGGGGAGATCCAATATCCTCGGCGGTATGTTGCTGCATTTGTTGCTGGAGATGACTGAATTCAGCCATCTGGCGGTGCTGCGGTTCTTGTGCGCTGGGCACTGTGGGAGAGGATGCTTGAGAAGATGGATGTGAATCAGGCGTGGCAAATCTCATTGCTGTGACTCGACTTTCTGGACTCGAAGAGGCCGCTCGGTCTGAGAAGGAATAGTAGTCGTCCGAGGCGGCAACGGATTGCCGTGACTCGGTTCGCTCAACTTGAGGTTTGCTTGCTGCTGACCAGTCAGTAAAAAGGCTTCATTGCAAGACAGTTTCTCCTGTGCTCTTAGTATGGCTTGGTATTGTTCAATGTTTCTTCACTTACAACTAACGTTTCGTAGACTGAAGTTTCGAGGGAATGGAGAATCCGACATGACGGCCAAAGGAATGGGGGGTAAGGAAGCTTCCAGAGGCGAGAAAATTTACCCACGAAGCATTCCACAAAAAACTGGAGCTCTTAGAGTCAATTAGAATTTGAGCGAGACGTCAATTGCAGCCCGGTCGGCTTTTAGTTGGATAGCGTCGTGTTGGTGGACGGACTCCCAGCCTCCCCCAGCCTCCCACGCCACGACAGCAGGGCCAATGGGGGATGATTAAGACATGGGAGGTTGTCGAGTCAGACACGAGTATTTGCATTTAGGGCGATAAATCACAAAAAAGAAATAGCGTTAGTCGCCGAGGCTGATCAGCCTGACGTTGGCCAGAGTGAAGCGTGTACTCCGGACCGAGTACTGTGCACGGAATGTACTTCGCACTGGAGATTACTTGACGGCCGCCCATGCGGTCTGGCGGCCGATCTCATTCCCCGCCTCACGACAACATTTCTGTGGCTTCGGCCTGGACCTGATCGACCGTACAGATCAGATATTCATTTTTAAACTTCCTTGTCCTATTCTCATTTTCTAGGTTTTGTCTTGTCATGTCCTCACTTGAATGCAATTTAGTGTGTGCCTACAGCGGTTGTTGTGAGAAATTGAGTGTGGTTCCAAGCCGGGCTGCTTGCTCCGGCACAGGGTGTAACAAACAATAAAGAGGTGTCTCATTCTCGCAACCAAGACCAGTACACCTAATCATCGCCAGACACAATAAGCCCTCTATTGGAACTTTCATTTTACTCTGATTCTGATACATCAAGTGGTGGAAGGGCGATCGCGGTCTCCCCTCCCTTGCTGGTATACAACGTGGCTGGGCCCCTATTGACTACCCCTGTGTGTCTCCTAACTACTTTGGGCACTCATTACAAGCCCTCGAAGCTGGGCTCTCAAAACATGAGGCTGTGGACAAAGGACTCGCCCAATTGGAGTCTAAAATCATGAGGCTCGTGTAGGGATGCGACCGCTAATATTGCTTCGAATGGCTTGACTCCGGTACATTGTCTTGATTCAGAATTCCGATTTTACCACTGAGCTATGGGTGCTGGCAAGCATCCCTGCAAAGAATAAGTGGTCATCATTCTCATCAGGAGATTGCATCAATTGCCACTTGATTGTCTACGCCCCAAAGCCCTTACCCCGGGAGCATCATTAACGCCCTAGTCAGGACAGCGATGCTGGTGTCGCACGAGGCCGGGAAAGATCTTTCGTTGAACTAGACACTGCCTCTTTTGAAATGATTCGGAATACACGGGACTCTCTATGAGGGCTTTTCTCGGATATTTATCCACCTGAAAGGTATGGTAATGGGATATAGTACAATGGACAATTTGATGTTTCATTTCTAGTCCGAATGTTGAACAATCTTAGTCTTCTCTCAAACAGTACTATTAATTCTTGACAACTAATCCGAGTTTCCATTATTTACCATCAAGTCCCATTTTGACTGCTCTTTACCTTAACGCGCAATGGTCTGGATGGTTCGTCCATTGTGTGAAAGGACCCTACCTTCCCTTATCAAAGTCAGAAATCGTCTGCTTCAACGCAATCACAAATCAGGAAGGACGCCCAGAGAAGGGAAGCAGGACTTGCGCATGTTTCCAGCCCCACCAATGCCAAACCGCACGTATCGCTCCTGTAGATGAGATTGCGACCTGGGGTCAAGTGTCTCATTCCTCAAGCTCATCTCCCACGATTGGAGCAAAGTTGTCCTTCCCGGTAAAAGTGAGCAGTTCTCTTCATCTGTTTTTCTAGGTCGTTTTGTCCATGGCCAGAATCTCCACAAGCAGCGCATATTGATTTTGTAGAGATAGTTCAGCGTTGCTGAAATTTTGGTCTGTTAGAGCACATGAATTCCACACGGTAGGAGATTTTGATGACAAGCTCCAACTCACACAAAATGCCCTCTATTGTGTTTGCAACCCGGTCAGCTGTCTCCTTCTCGATCCTACGTTAAGGATTATGGGATGATGCGGCTGGGCATCTTGCTGCATTTAAGTATCAGGTCCCTTGTCACGGGGTTACTCAGACATTGTAGAACACATCCATTCCCGATGCCGTGCCTTTAAAAATGTCTAACATGGCAAGTCCGAGCTGAAGCACGTACAGAAAGAGAGGAGGTGCATATTGGTCCTCGTAAAACCCATTCGTCGACGCTGCCGATATTTTAACAGAAAGAAGTTATGAGTGAGAATTGTGGAAACAAAGAGTTTGTCAAAATTGATGATTATCCGGCATCTGCGAAGGCTCTCATTGCAACAATGCCGTTGTCTGTGTAACCCATATCCACAGGGAAGCTGGTGTTTGTCGGGACACATGCATTCTGGAATATACGAAACAGCGATGTAGATATTAGCCAAATGATGTATGGTAGAATCCGGAAACCAAATCTGAGCTTCAAATTTTTATCTCATCAGCTCCGATGGTCGCGTGGCGATTAGCATAAGCTTAATTTAATTAAACTCGGCCAACAGACCCAAGAGATAAAAATCTCACGTGCATGAAATACCAAAGGAGAGCTTATTTAGCCGACAATTTCCCTACGAAGCTCTCGCTTCCCTCTCCATTCTTATTTTCATTTGCAGAGGATGTACTTACATACTGATTAGTCGGGCTCCGAGCGACAAATGTCATCTCACCCTGTTACTCTGGACGGCCTGTGCAAAATACGGCTAGGTTGAGCTAGTGGAGCGCGGGTTGTTTCAACTAGAACGTGGACAGTGGGCCGCAGCGGCACCTCCAGGGCGGTCTAGGCATTTTTGGGTTGCTCGACCTAGGAGGGACGTCTCTTTGGTAGGCCTGTGTAGATGCCGCATGATATCCCGTGTTTGGGACGGCCAACGGGACTACCTAGACTACCTCATCGTTAGATTGATCCAGGGCGAGCATGCCAAGCCAGGTTTTAGATCTGGTTGCAGATGCAGTTTTTTGGAGCTATCAAATTGTTTTGAGTCTCCTAATGAATCGTATAGATTTCTCCCAGTGTCGATCTCTGTTTCACCTCAGGGAATAAAATGCTGTTGGTCTGGATTCGACAACATTGCCATTTAACCTTCAACCGCAATTTGGTTCGTGGCGAGCAAATTATCCTTGGAACAAGTACGAGCGGAACCCAGAGGGAAAAGTTCTTTCACGGCCATTCTCTATTGGGGCACACATCGCGATAGGAATCAAGATAGACAGAAAAGATCCCAGCCGCCAGTGTGCCGGTGCTTCGTTCAAACCGGGCCGATGGGACTGTGGGGAGAAGTGACTCGTCATTATACGGAATCTTGGAATCACTGCACCGAGCAGGTCTAAAAAAGTCACTACCGAAGGTGATTCCGCAAGGCTTGGCGCAGTCAAGCCATGGAATCAATGGCCCCGAAGCGACGCCTCTACGGGATCGGCGAATGAGAGGCCGAGTCCTGGCTGCGCCCACGAGAGGGGAGGATCAGTGCTGCTGCAGTCAGCCGGCTAAAGGCAGCAGCGATTCTCGGCCAAAGAGTTGAGTTAGGGCTCTGGAAGCAACGAAGCTCTGAAATCTAGTCATAACGGAAGCATGGACACGAACAGGATATGAGACCACGTAGTAGCGAGTAGTGAGCAACATAGAGCCGTCGAGTTCCAAGGTTGAACAGGAAGAACACTCTACACTGAACGCGAGTCGGTGGGTCAGGTGGCCTGGGGCCTCAGGTTGCCAAACGGCGTCCACGGTTTCCTCGTTGCCTCCGCAAATCACGGCTTATCACCTCGTCCTGGTCGCTTTTGTCCCCCCGTCACCTTGTCACTCTTTTTCTCTTCTCCATGGCGGCTTTTAGTGTTTAAAACGCACTCTTGAACTTCCCCTCATTTGGATCTTTCCGGCCATTCCTTTTCAACCTCTCACCACCACTGCCCCCCCCCCCCCCCCCCTCCCGGCCGACTTCCGCCCCCTCCTCCCCTTTCCTCTCGGTCTCAGAAGACCTGCATTGAACCTCATGGTGGCTTAAATTACAGATCTCATTGATTCATTCAATTTGCGCAATCCGGAATTCGCTCGTTTTTTTGGTGTGAGAGATAAAGGGTTTAGAGGGCAACTGGAGCTATCGCCCTTCGCCTCACCATGTTGCTCAAGCCCGCCACGCCTCTGACCATCTTACTATTGGTCGCATTTGCGCTACTCCTGATATCCTGCCTGTCGACCCCAGTTGTAAAAGGAATTCCACTCGCGACATACAGCAATGTTGATTATGGCGTCTTTGGCTACTGCCAAGGCGACAAATGCACCGCGATCCATGTCGGATACACCTCTTTCCCTTCGGACAGCAGCTCGAATGATGATTTCAATCTCCCATCGAGCACCCGCAAATCCCTTTCATCGATCTTGATCGTCCATCCGATCGCTGCGTTCTTAACCCTCGTCTGTCTCTGTCTGGCCGGCTCCGCTCACTTTCACGGCCCCTCCCACTCGCCGCGATTTCTACTCGCCCTTCTCATTCTCTTGCTCCCAACTCTGCTGGTGACGCTACTTGCCTTCTTAGTCGATATCTTACTGTTCGTCCCACATATGCGATGGGGTGGGTGGATTGTGCTGGCCTCAACCATCATTCTCGTCTCATGCGGGGTGGTGACTTGCGCGATGCGTCGAACCTTGGTCAGTCGGAAAGCAAGGAAGCGTCGAATCGCTGAAAATGCGGAGATGAGCGGCGAGAACTATTACAATCGACAGAATGCTGCCGCCGCAGCCCTCGCTAACGAACCTGTTACTGCCGAGACTAAAGAAGCCATCGTGTCTGGGTCTCCGACTTCGGAATCTGGCCCTACCTTTGCTGCATTCCGCACAGAAACCCGTACCAGCGACGATGATCGGACCCCGCTAAACTCTCAGAATGGAATGAGTGATATCCCACCACCCCCAGATGCTCAATACCCCAGTCGACATGGCACTCCCTACCGCGCACCTCGGGATGATGCGGGTATGCCGCCTTCTGGTCAGTACGGCAATAGCCAAATGATGCGCAATCCCTCCGATCCTCGGTTACGCCCGCAGTACTCAGATGGCAGCATGGGCTCTAGACGTGGAGGAGGCCCGCCTGGGTTTGCTGTGCGCGGTCGAGGAGGGTATCCTCCTCGGGGTGGCTATGGACGCGGTGGACCGTACATAGGAGCGCCGCGCGGCCCTGCTGGTCCTCGAGGAGGCTACATGGGAGGACCAATGCCCTCGCGCGGTCGTGGGGCCATGATGTCTAGTCGGGGCGCACCCCGTGGTGCTCCAGGCTATGCCTCTGGACCGAATCGCAGCTTTGATTCATATGGCCGACCTGAAGATGATCCATACGATCAGCAAGGCCTGGGATCGGCTGTTCCAATGCGTGACCCGTCTCCTGGTCCAATTGGAATGGCTGTATCTTCTGAGCCTATTGGTCAAGCCATTGAAATGCAACCCCAAGCTCGCCATTATGACGCGCATGGATTGGACCCGTCTATGCCCAATGAATCCCAACCGCATGCCTTATCCGTAGATGGACAAAACGCTCCTCTCGAGAGTCCAACCAGTCTCTACAGTCGGACTGAGTAAGTTCTGCATTGCCTGATAATCTCAACGCTTTCTAATTGAGTCATTCGCAGGTCATACGTTCCGGCCCGTGCTGGATGGGGCGCGCAAGACACACGTCGCACACTCTCTCCACGCCCAGGGCCATCGCCGGTGCACGAGGGTGGTCGTGTTACACATGGTACCAACTACTATGAAGACGTCGACCCTCGGTTCGCTCGGCGTCCTTCCCCACAGCATGATTCCGCAGTCCCCTCGTCTCTGACTCCTGGCGGAACCCACTGTAAGCCTTTCCAGGATAGCGATAGAGAGCCCTGTTACTTTAATTCAACCACGGCTAACATATCTCCAGTTTGATGATTTCAATCTCTCAGTGGTTCAACCTTGCTCTCCCATGATTCCACCGACATTGACATGCTTTGCGATACCCCTTTTTTAATTCCCTGACTACTCATCTTTTGGACATGTGATATATCTTTCTTCTCCTCTACCTCATGGCAATGCGGGTCATATCGGAGAGCGGAGTTACTGGCGTCGTTGAATTTTCTGGTGGTTTTTTTTTCTATTCCGGTTTTTTTTCTTCTACTTTGCTCACCCGAGTGATCAACGGGGCCCTTTGCTCTTGCGCATCAACGGATAAATCAAGTGTCAAGGATACAGCTGGCTGGCTTTTTTTTCTGCTATTCCTGTTACAACACTCGATATGTACAGCCTTCGATGCGATGTACAGAGATCAGTATTTGCTCCTCATCCTTTTTCTATCGAACTTGATCAAAAGCACCTGGTGCGATTCCCTCCTTGACCTTTTTTTCCAATCCATCTTGATCTTTCTCCCTCTTTTTCACTTCGTTCCTGGACAACTGTTATCTATGTCCAATCTAAATCGCATATATTTCTTTCTCCCTCTTCCTCCCAGAAGATTGGACTTTTCCTGTTTTCTGATCGCTCAAGCCATGGAACTATGTTCCTAGTCCACGTGATATGACGTCGACCCTAACGCCCGATGCCGTTATTTGACCAGTTTGTGATTTCCGTCGATGTCGATCATGACGGTCTTGTTGAGTGCCTTGGTGACAGAAAGCTTGATTTCAGAGAAAGTCAGTAGTCTTATACACGGCGGTGGTTTTTTCTCAACTCGATGTTGGGTAGAGTCATTCAACTATGCTACCGTCATTCAATTCCCATCATCGTTGTGTGATATTTCCTGTTTAGTGGCATTCCAACCTCGATGGACATCCTTCAGCGTTACCACACAATATGAACGACCCCGGTCTTGACGATGCCATCACTGACGAGGCGAACGCTCTAGACCACCAAAGCCAACCCAGTGACCAGCCCCCGGGAGATGCTGAGGATGGCAAAGGGCATCAAATAGACCCTCGACATCCTCATGCGGCCCGGTGGTGGCTAGCAAGCACAGCGTATCCATTAGCGGCAGTATGTCACATTCTAATTTGAGTGAATTCATGCCTAATTTTTTTTTTTTTTTTTAATGTTCTCTAGGGAACCTTTGGTCCGATTGCGAGTGCCTTTAGCATTCTCTCGTTGACGCAGACTTGGCGCATGGAAATACTCAGTGGCGGTGGGAGGCGAGACATTAACGATCCAAAATGGTGCGTTGGAGAAGAGTTCCTTGTATGCCACGATTCTGGTTTAAATCCTCATTTCTCTCAGGGTTACCGCAATCAATGCAGTCTCGCTCGTGTGCGCGCTGGTAGCAAATTTTGCCCTTTTGTTGAACATGACGCGCCGTGTCTCTTTTGGGGTCTCGCAGCCGATCATTATTATTGGATGGCTCCTTTCATCGGTGCTACTTATGGGAATACTCGTCGGATTCGGGGTCCTCATGTACAGGCCCGAAAACGCCGGGCGGCTTTACACCCAAGCATACTTCTACGGGGCATTTGCGGCCGGTGTCCACTTTATCGTCGCGTGCTTGATGGTCATGACTGCTTATGGAGCCTGGAAGGGCCACTACAGTCGTGAATACAAATTGACAACCAGCCAGCGTACACTCATGCTACAGACTATACTCTTCTGTATCTACCTCCTTGGCGGCTCAGCCGTCTTTGCCAAAATAGAGGGCTGGAGGTTCTTGGACGCAATCTATTGGGCCGACTACACGCTACTTACCATCGGTGTTGGAAACTTTGTTCCCATGACCCATCTTGGCCGAGGTCTACTCTTCCCATATGCCATTGGTGGCATCATTATTCTGGGTCTAATCATCTCTTCTATCCGCACATTGATGCTGGAGCATGGGCGACAAAAGATAGCTGATATGTTGAAGGCGCAGACTCGCCGCATCTTGGTGAAGCAGGCATTCTCTGATCACAACCATCTCCAAGGACTGGTACCAGATCTGAGTAGTGTATCTCAGCAGGATAACCAGATGGATGAGCGCGAGAGACAGAAGCGAGAATTCATCACAATGCGACGGGTCCGGCAGCTTGCCACTGTGCAGCACAAATGGATCTCACTCGTCATCTCGCTTGTTGTCTGGATGGCCTTGTGGCTCATTGGCGCGGTCGTCTTCTGGCGCTCTGAAGGCAATCGCCAATGGACATATTTTCAAGCACTCTACTTCGCCTACACAACCCTGCTGACCATCGGATACGGTGACTTTTTCCCGGTCAGCAGCCTGGGCAAGTCGTTCTTCGTCTTCTGGTCCCTGCTCGCCGTGCCCACCATCACCATCCTAATTTCCAACATCGGCGACACTCTCATCCGGTTCGTCCGCGACGTCACCCTTTTCATCGGTGAGATCACCATTCTCCCCGGCGACGAGCCCTTCATGGATCGCCTGAAGGATATTCTGCATATCAACTGGAGAGAGAAATGTCTCCAGCAAACATCTGGCGAGAAGAATAGTGTCCAGGATATTCTCAGCAGCAACGGAGAGACCAGACACGGGGACTGCGAAGCGCGCAGCACCATCGAAGCCGAAGAGCACAAAAAGGAAGAATTTGCGCACATCCGCGGTGATTTTGCGGCCGAGAACGTGCACCACTACCACTACCTGCTCTTCCGGGAGGTGCGCAAGCTCATGCAGTACGCGGCCAGCAACCTCTCCAAGGAATTCGACTATCTGGAATGGGAGTACTATCTTGCGCTGATTTCGGGGAAACACCGACCTTCGGGATTAGAGGACGATGGCGCGACCTGTGAAGACGAAGATGCGGATCGTGCACTGCAGGACTGGAGCTGGATTGATACTGCGAATCCGCTGCTAGGGGAGAAAAGCGAAGTTGAATGGCTCTTGGGGGCGTTGACGGAGGCTCTAGAGCGGGAGTTGAAGCGGGCGAGTCGGGCTTATCATTCGCCTGAAGCAAGTGAGGGAGTTGAGGATGCGACTGGGTCGGACGCGGATAAGGGTCTGGAGTCTGGAAGTGCAAGAGCAGAATGATGAGACTGTATGAGTCGGTTTCAGATATAGGACTTCGGATCTTCTTTTTGCTCCTCTTCTATGACGCCCAGTGCCTGCTTCTCCATCATTTGGTCATTCCATCTACCCTATTGGTGCTTAATGAAACCAGAAGACGGGCAGCAGTAACTTCAAGCACAACTCCAGCTAACCGAACATATCTGAAATCGTATAAAGAGCGCGATGTGATTCCATGCGGTGTCATTATCTTTTTTGAATCAGTATGTTTTCTATCTATCTATACCCGCACCAAAATATACTGCATCTGCTATAGACGACTCGAGATATTTCTTCCACTTGAGGCTGGAATAGGAAATATATATATCAACCCGAGACTTCATTCTGTAAAAAATAGTAATAGGAGCTGTAGATTTATTCTTGTCTCTTGTCGGACCCGTGAAACCCTTGATGAGCAAGGCCACGGAATCGACCCGTTCACACTAGCCCTAACTCCCAACGACAATCCCAAAATTGCCTTTCAACGCAATGCAGTCATATCTCCCGATTTACTCGACACTTTTACGAAGCCGATAGCGAAGCTGCTGGGAACAGAAATGAAATAATCCACGGCATTATTACCTATGATCATCATAGGATGAAATAACGTAGCAAGTAAGTCACAGAGGAAACAAAGAAAAAAAACAGAGGGTAAAAAAAAAAACGCCAGATCGGTGACGACAAGAATCATGCACCAGGAACCCAAAGACGGGAAGAAAGAGGCCATGGCCACAAAGCAAGGAAGAGAGGTCGAAGAGAAAAGGAGAAAAGACAGGGAGACGCTCGTTCGTACCAGAGGGAATGAAATGAACAAAAAAAGGGAAAAAACAAAACAGCAGGACAACCCCAACCCGCTTCCCCGTTTTCGATCTATGTACCCAACCGCCGCGATCAAGATGCATGCAGGCTTTCAAATAGCGCAACGCAGAAGGCAAGATGGCAACAAGAATGACCCATGCCGTATTGCCTTGGGCCCCGGGACTAAAAACGTATTCACAAGATAACCCCCCCCCCCCGGCATCTGGCACTCATATCATGCTGCGACTAGCCTGACTCGCGCGGGACGGGCTCGTCCGGCTGGGCTCGTCCTCCTCGAGCACGTCGCTTAGGCGGGTCGGGTGACGGTGGCGCGGAGTGACAGCCTCCCAGCCAGAGCCAACACCCCAGCCGGAGCCGCTGTAGTCGATGGTCGTGGGCGGGTACGGTGCCTGTGCGGGGGCGGCGGTGGTCGCGGCCGAGTACGCCTCCGAGACGTAGGGGCGCTCATCACCCGCCTTGTGATCGTAATCATCACTGGCCTCGGACAGCGGCGGCGGGTAGGCGTAAGGGTGTTGAGCCTGCGGGTCGCGTGCGTAGCCTGCGTACTCATCGTCGCCGGCCTCGCTGCTGCCGACGTAGGAGACGCGGTCAACATCCGGCTCGGAGGTTGGCGCATGGTAAGCAGCGTTGCTGTGGTCTTGCGGGTGGTCGTGCTCATACGGCGCTCTGCTCGCCGTGGGCGGCTGATTTTTCTTGGGCTCGATGAAGGGGTCGGAGCCAGTTGGGGACATGGGCGCGTTGTCATCGTAATACTGGCGGCCTGTCGCCGGGTCGGTCGATTTACTATGGTACTCAGTGCCCATCGAGGCGGCGGTTGGTCCACCGGGATAGGGACCTTCGCGGGTGGGTGGGCGTGTGGTGTGCCGACTGGGCAAACCTGACATCATGGGAACGACCTGGACGCCACCGACGAGAGTGGGCTCGCCGTTGCGAAGAGAGTTGGTTCGATCTCGCTCTTGTTGTTCCTGGCGGCCGAGCTCTTCCCATGCGCGACGAGCTTCGTCCCGGGAAATCTGAAGCTCGCGGCGCATTTCATTCAGAAGATCTTCCGCGCGGGTCTTGTCTTTCTCGGCGGCTTGGGCGGCAGCGAAAGCGTCAGCGCGGCCTTGTCGCTCGGCCTTTAGTTGCCGCTCAAGATCAGCTTGTACCTCTTTCGCGCGTTCTTGCTCTGAACGAGTATCAAAGAACCAGCGCTGGAACTTACGCTCCGAGGATGCACGGAGGCGCTGGAGTTCAACAACAGCATGGAAGAGGTTGGCGCCGGCCGCGGACAAATCGGTGATTTGTCGAGCGAGCTGCTGGCTCAGAGGATCGCGTTCCAAGTCCTCATTGTGCTGCTCGAGCTTCCGGATCCAGTAGCTGGTCAAACCCTCCCAGTGTGAAGACAATGTCTCCCAACGTTCAAAGGCATGGGGGAAGCCGGCACGCTTTGGCTGCTGAAGAGTCTGAGAGGCGCCAGTCTGAGGCACTGTGCCTGCGGTGGCGCTTTGTGAGCGAGCATGCTGAGTGGTAGATTCACCCAGGCGCTGCTGGCTGGCCGATGCAGCTGGCTGGGACTGGGGAGGCATAGCGGGACCCGCAGGAGGTGCTTGATAGCCTTGTCGGGGAGCCGCTGGCGCGGCGCTAGTTGTTGGGCGGTAGCCGTGAGTGGGCGGCGCAGTCGCTACACCAGGCTCCTGTGGGACCTGAGGCCCTCTTGAAGCTCGAGAAGCTTGCGCACGGCGCTGTGAAGGTAAATCGGCGGCAGCACCAGCAGCATAATGTTGGGCCTCAGCTTGCTCTTGCTGCTCCTGCTCCAATTGTTGTCTTTCCAATTCCTGTTTTCTCTCTTGGGCTTCTTGTTCGGCTTTGCGACGCGCTTCTCGGTCTCGACGTTGTCTCATAATATCGGTCGGGGTTCGCACGCCACTAGGGGGTTTGTTCGAAGATGAACCAGACGTCGGACCTGGCATCGCCCGCGGGTCTCCATTATTACCTACGGGCCCGGTGGGACCAGCAATGCCTACCATAGCTGACATAGAAGCATTCACTTCTTCCCAATCGGTGGTAAGGGGAAACGGACGACGGATGGCGTCCTCGAGCGCAAATAGAATAGCCGACGCGGTTCGGGACGAGACGTGAGTGGTCCTCCGCGGCCAGTACGAGGAGTCGAGAAGCTGGTACGGGTCGTCGACGGTCGATCCGTGCTCGTCGGTTTGGACTTCGGAGAGAGCTGGTCGTAGTCCTGCAATCCCGTGGCTCGGCTCGGGACGAGAGACGAAGGACGTCGGATGCGGTGGTTGAGATCGCGGTAGCTGTCTACCGGTAGCGTCTAGGGAGACTGTTCGCCGGTGTGGGAGCTGGCGAACTTCAGGCTGGCCACGAACTCGGCGCAGGGGACGTTGATGTTCGCTCGCAGAGGGCGGGCGGTAATCAACCGAATGAGAGGAGGATGGGCGAGGGACGGAGGGCTGCTGGCGCTGCCGCGGAAAAGTCGTAAGCGTTGCTGGGTCGTAAGGGTCGTGGACTTCGTGAGACGCTCTGTGAGTGTAGCGAGACACTTCTGGCACGGTCAAATGGATCGAAGGGTTCGACAATGCGAGAAGGTGTCCTGCGTCGGGGAAGCTGAAGCAGCGGAGCTCCGACGGGGAATCGCGATCCGCGGTAGCTATTCACTCGGGAGGTCTAGAGTATGCTGCGGGCTCGTTCGTGACTGAACCCCGGAGAATTGGCAGTTGAGAAGGAGTGGGGTTCTTTTTGCTCGTTTCTTTTGGAGCAAGAAGGAGAAGAAGAAGAGTCGGGGGGTGATTTGAGAGGTTGGAGTGGTTTGGGGCGAGGACGTGGTGGCTGGATTAATTGAGATGGCTGGGGTCGCCGCAGCGCCTGCTGCAGCGCACCAAACGTGTCGTCGCGCGGACCATGAAAGCGCCCACGCTGCTGCACCAGTCCAAGATGCAATTGCAATCGCCGGAGAGGAACACCAGGAAAAGCTGAGACGAGGCGAAAAGGGAGTTGGGCTGTGGAATGGAAGAAGTACCCGCTCCGGATTGCTCGATTGCTCGATGATCACGGGAATGTTCGCCTCGGCCTCTCCCACGTCGCCAGCACTTCCACTTTCCTACGTTTCCAGGCCACCCAAGGAGAGAAACAGGAGGGTCGCGACTACACCGTTCCCTTGCTCCTCCCGTGGATTTCGTCTCCAAGGGATCCAGTCGACGAACTAGGCGAAAAAAGCACTCCCTCAATAATTGTCTGCAACTGGGCTCAGTCGGTTGCACAGTGGGCGATCGGAGCTGGCACGGAACTGCCTAGTGTTTGACAATGAAGCAGAACAGGCAGAACAGCAGAAAGACACCAGAGAAGTCGTCATTGGCGAAACAAAGACACAATTGACAGAAGCCCAAAGGGTCGATTTCCCGTTGGAGCGAAGGCAGAAGAAGAGACCCTAGCCAAAGACAGAATCGATCGCAGCCCGGAGCAATCGTCGGCAAACGAGTCCACAGATGTTCGCAATGGACCGGCGGACCCAGACGATCCACGAAAAGGCGTGGAACACGATCTTAAAACGATCTCGATAGTGCCACGGTTGGGCGAAGCTCGAAGAACGAGTGGGCGACAGTATATTTCTTACGCAAGTGGGGGGGGGGAGGGGCCTTCCAACTCTTGGGGGTCAAATAGTCTACGGGGTTGAATGGTATTAGCAAAGCCGGGCCCATACGGAGCATTTTGACGTAGATCTCGAAGCAGACAGCCAGAGAGCACTTGGTCCTCGGTTCTCCAGGGGGGTTGTATAACCTGCATCCAGTGATGCGCTGGCACGTCGGGCAGCGAGTGCGCCGCCACTAGACAACTGGCTTCCTTATAAGCCCTACTATTCTAGTTTGCCTATATTAATCCCGATGATTCGTGTTCTGGCACTCCAAGGAACCAGTCACTTTAGTCCCTGGCTGCCGTCCCCACTTGGTGGACTGAGTGGACTCGATGGTCCATGCGGGAGGAGCTGAGGATGCTCTCGGCATCGTGGACAGAGTACAGAGCAGTAAGCGTAACAGACGCTCTCGAGGTCACCCCTCTAGCATCACCGGAATCCTCGCTAGAATTCCACCGAGACCCCCCTGAATACCACTAGGCGCACTGGTCCGAGGTTGTCCATGGTTCTTCCAACACCGGTTCGCGCCGAATTTATGGATCGCGATGGTTGCTTTCCCCACACGGAGATGTACACTAGTACCCATATATATTTCCGATAACCAGTTACCTCTGCTCCACTCCACTTTAATGACCAGTTCACATAATCCATTCAATTTACGGACAAATGATCTGAACATCTTTGTGATATAACATTCTTTGATAAGTGAGCTCAGCTAGAGTCCAATTGCTGCCCTGGGTGAGTCTGACGAGTTCAGTCTCTGGAACTATAAAGGACGGAAACCCTAACTCCGCCCCCGAAAGTCTCCCCCGCCCGGGGTCGTCCAGGCTATCGGAACTATACGCTCAAACTGCAGGCAAACTACAGTAACTTCAGAACCTAGAGAGGTCGCTACAGGAGCTATAGAGAGCTATAGGAGCCATCGGCCCAGTTCTCAGCTCTGGAAACCCTGGACACTCGCCGTAGCCTCTCCCTCGCGCAGGGCACCTCATTCTCCCCTTCAGGACGCCTTACCAAGGGAAGCTGGCTTTCTCTACACCTCCTCACCCTCTTCCCCATAAGACTCCTACCAACTCCTTCGACTCCTACTAGCCCCTTAACCCTTAACCCCTAAAAACAAACAAATAAACAACGCGACCCCCGGCTCCCAGAACGCGTCTCAAACCCAAGACACCGTTGAATCTAAATCCGCGAGACATCCCATCGGGTGTGGAACCGCTCTACATCCGCCGGAAGACAACGCTGCAAGGGCCACCGAAAAGCCTCTTCCGCGCACAGATCCGGGCCACCTTTCGGAAAATTTGGACCTCGTAATAAACTCAAGGGGAACACGGCCGTTGCATCCGTTGACGACGGGCGGGGGAAGATCGAGAAGGGGATGGAAAGGGGACAGGTCTGGTCAAGCGTGCCTTGCAGGACGCAGGCCATCTGAGATCGCGGCCCGGGACTCGGGGCCCGGTTTCAGGTGGGTTTGGGTAGTGTGTTCCAGGGTGTCGGGATGGATGGGGGACGTGCGAATCAGACGCGACAGAAATGAGACATGGGATTAGGGAGATGGAAAAATATCTCTACTTGGGTCGGAGGGCTGAATTGAGGAGAGACAGGAGATATAGGGAGAAAGTGTGTGTGCGTGTGTGGAGAGAGAGAGAGAGAGAGAGAGAGAGAGAGACAGGGAGAAAAGGAGAAGAGAGAGGAGGGAGAGGAGTCTAGATGGATCTAGTCTAGAGATCTTCGAGTTTTGTCCGAGGTCGAGGGTCAACTGGAGGCATTGGAATCTGTCTCCTGTCGATGGTTCGACCTAGGGAGATAGGGAGTCCCTGCAATGCTGCGAGGGTGAGTTATAGACTGGAAATGTGCCCAAAGGGCAAATTCGCACACCGTGGTCTTATTCAGGAAAGGACCAGGGCAGTATCTCAAATCTTTCTACATGGTGGCAGGTCATCCATCCACGGCTGCACTACGACTCAATAAACAACCGCCACAGCGTCAACGGCGGCAGCCGTTCTGGCAGCAGAAGAATGTGAGCGGAAGAGCCCAAGCGAGGGTGATGCAGTAGCGACGACGTTGGCTGGGCAAACCGCAGCCCTCGGCGCGTTCAATGCAATTACTACAAGAGGCGTCGGAGGATATTGAAGACAGCCTGGTGATTGGAACTGCCGATCAGGGGTCCGGATGCAGGCGGGTTCGGGATGTTGGATAATTATATAGGTTATTTGTATTCTTGGGAGGCACTTTATGTACGATGGAGTAGACGGGCAGCTTCCGCGCTGTATAGCGGGATGCAATGCACGACAGAGTTTTCATTGGAATGTGGGGAGCATTGAATGAAAAGAACAATGAAGTGCAAAAAGCCTGTGCATGGTTCATGAGCAGGTCAGATCCTCAACCCGGGTGCTTTTGCGAGTGCACTTGGTTTCCTGGGAGTTCAACCAGTCGTTCGTCCTCATCCTGGTCAGGGATCTAGATCGTGTTTCAGGATGGGCACGGAGGATGTAGGGAGTGATATCATATTGTATACCGCGTTCGATGGGCCACACGCTCAGATGCCACCAACAGGAAGCTCCGCGAAAGGTGTCTGTGAGCGCCTCTGGGGCTCGGAGCAGTCGATTGGTGCGATCTCTACAAAGTTCTATCCAGGAGCCAATGGCAGCTGTTACGGCGGCTGCCTTTTCCTCGGGGGTGCCGGGTGGATATGATTGATCGACTGTCAAGTGCATACGTGTCGCGCTCGGCCCAAGAGATCAAGGGCCGGCTGGGGCCAGAGGCAACCACCCCAAAAGTACAGACCTCAAGAGTCAACTACAGTGGGCGCCAAAACCGACAAAAAAGTCCTTAATGCACCCAAAAAACCTAGGGTGTTTGATCCGACGAGCCACGAGCCAGGAACACTGCCATTGAGTCACCGAGGCCATGACGCTCTCTGCACGGACGGGTGGTGAAATGGGAGACCGCGAGCATTCAAGGCGAGGATGGACATGGAGGAGCTGAAATACCCACGCAATGTGGAACAAACACGGCCCCGTGGGTGTGACGGCAGTAGTGGAGAGAGAGAGGGAGAGCAGTTAGTATGTGGGAAAAAAAGTAACCTGGAGAGCATTGAGCCAGCCACGGTCAAAAAGCAAGTCCGAAGCAAGTAGGAGGCATGACGTATTGTATAATTGAGAGTTGGAGGAGCATGGGGATTGAGTATGGGGGATCCAACGGTGGACAATTAGAATAGACAAGTATTCTGGCGATGAAACGTTGCAAGCCGCCACCAGTTGGACCAGGGCTTGGAGGCTCTCGAGTTCAACGCCGTTGCGCGGTTCCCAAAAGAATGGGAGAGTTCGGGAATGGCAGCACCGTGCACAGGGGGGGGGGGGAGGGGGAGCACAGTTGTGGCTGTCACTTTGGTCTTCGCCACGGCCACGGCGAGCGACCGACGAGTGGGCGGCGGCATTGGGCGCTGAGCCCTGCCGCCCTGAGCCCTGGTGCTCAGCGACGGCGATCGGTGGAGCCGCCAAAAGGACGGACTATCCTGGAAGTAGTTTAGTGGCTGATCCGGAAGACCCTCCGCACGGAACTCGTCGCTCCCAGGACACAGGCGACGCTGATATCTCACATTCTCTGGGAGTCCAGCCTCTCCACAGGATTGTGGATGGCGCGGGCTGCACTAATTGGGGCGTGATGGACAAGCTACCGCTGGGCTATTGTTGGCCATGGATGCAGTCAAGATGGAGTGGGGGGTGGTTTGTGCAGTCAGACGTCAGAAACCGGGTCGTACCTAAACACGCGGTGCTGAGATGAGATCCATCCACGGCCAGAAAGCGAATGAAGTTAAAGATGAGCAGGACAATGAGGACCTGAAAAACTGCAGGCAGAGGTGGGATGGTGGTACGAATAGTTCGGAGAGCCAGAGGGGGAAGTGAAGGTGGGACGTAGGAGCTTACAACTTAAACTTGCCCTGACGCTGACTGTGACGAATGGCTTCAGACGCGGCGAGGGAACACGAAGGCGGAGAGTGCTTTTGCCGGTCTTGGGAGACTGGGACGCGTTGCCAACATCCTCGCCCTCCGAGCATCACACATCAACCGTGTATCAAACGACAAACTACACGCTACACACTACACAGCACCAGATCTACAAACTTCTAATGTAAATCCAAACTGAATCAAACACCACCCAAAAGTCCGGCCTTTTGACCGAACCATGTATCCGCGCGCCCTTGCTGGGACAAAGAGACGCGGCCCCGACGAACTGGTCCTTGCTGCAACCCATCCCTGCCATCCTCGGCTCCCCACCACGTCATGTAAGGTCGGATAGGTCAGGATCGTCTGTGCTCCCCGTCCTTTTGTTTACATACAACTTGCATTGGCATGCATGGATCTGTGTTCCTCCCCGGCCACTCAGTCCCGCATCCCGTGGCCAAGACTGATTCGGGGGTCGAACGCTATAAACATATTACCTTCTCCCTCCCCCTCCTCCATTCCTCATTCCTGTTCTCCAGGTGGTTCTCCATCGCATATTTCCAGATTCGTTGTATCTTTTCTTTTCAATCTCCGTTGGGTCCGCGATCCAGTGCATGAGCCATTGTTCCTGGGACCTCTCCGCGTCCGAGTGTCTATCCTTTTTACTTCCAACAATCGGCGGATCATAGTTCCATGGCTCTCGGAGATCCATACGGTTCCGGCGACTTGGACGCGTTACACGCAGACCGGAACAGATCAGAAACGACCATCTGCTTGCCGTCCCCATCTCCGGCGAAGCGAGCCTCCACATATCTCCCCCAAGCTGGCCCCAAGGTCTTGGAAGAATCCAACACCGATCCATTCTATCTTGAGCAGTCATTAGCTGCCACCCCTGTCTGGGAATCCGACTCTTACTATCACCCAACTATTCGCGATGATCAATTCAGTGAAGACCATAGCCAGTATTATACCCTGTCACTGACGAACGAGAAATCGACACCCGGTCCAGATCGGTCGACTCTCGTCCAATTGGAGCGGGAAAACGACCTCAGATTCCATCGCTACACCTCCTCGTCCGAAGACAACCAGAGACGCTTGCACAGTAGCCAGCATTCATTCAGCTCTGTTCAGACCGATAGCAGCACGCCGGATCTGACCCCGAGTAGTTCATTCTCCTCCACTTATTCCTCTCCCGCTTGCCCGGACGCAGTCTTGCAAGCGACGCAGAAGCTCTATCAACACGCACAGCGAGCTAAATCCGAGCCTCGTCGTGCTTTCTACCTTCCTCCATCGACCCCTCCTAAGCATTCTCTGCCTCCTCCTCCCCCTGTGCCTAGCCTTCCCAGAGCTCAGACTCGACCCACCACACCTGTTTCTGAACCCTCTAACGACTCGACCACAACATACACCATGAAGTACGAGACATCCAGCATGTCCTCTTCCTCCCGAAGGAGGAAGCCTCATCCTACATTGCCGAATCTGTCGCGTGGCACCAGCACCCACAGCTCTCGGAGGAAGCAATCCAGCCCGGGCACTCGTCCTCCATTGGACCCTTCCATGATTTCGCCTCCGAGCTTGATTAACCCTGTCACCATGGAGCCACATGCAACCCATTTTGACCAAGCTCTCTTCATTCCCGCCAACGAATGCCCGAGTCCAATCCCTAGCCCTTCGGCCAGCTCTCCCCCAATCTCTAGACAATGGACCGCCACATCTCTGGAACGCCCTTCTACCTCTACGATGGATGCTTATTGTGAGCAATCTGTTTGGGAGTCGGACTCAGATAACGAGTCCATTGGCCACAAGTCACTTTCTCGGAAACCCATTGATACCTTGCGGAAGGTTCGCAGCCGAGCGAAGCTGCGTGCTGCGAAATCCCAACCAAAGCTCCATCAAGCCATGTTGGATGACGAGCTACCTGAGAAGTTCCCTTGCATGCCTGAAGATGCCATGGGACAACCTATTCCGGATCTATACCGTGGTGCCAGTCTCGACCGCCCCAGTACCAGTCGAGATGGTCTCCGACCTCGCCCTCTCCAAACCCTTCGGCTTGTGGCACCCTCCACTACATCACTCCTCAAGCCTCGATCAAGAAACAATAGCACTGTTCCCGAGGCCGACATTGATCGCTCCACTGCTGCCGCAATCCAAGCTCGCTCTAGACGTCGCCAGCGTTCTGACTCTCCCGAGTATGTCAACCATGACAAGGAGAAGCTGACATCGATGTGTTATGAGCAACAATCACAAGGTACTCTCCCGGAGGTCGAGCCAGATTCGCGTCCCTTTTTCCGCCGAGTCTTAGACTCTCTACGTGCCTTGAATTGCCACAAGGCATCTACCAAGACTAGCCCGACCACAATTTGATACCAATGATACCCCGGTGGAGTTCCTCGGGTGGGTCTGGCGTTTTTGCGTTTTGTTTTCCGATACTTTTTCTGCAACGGCCTTATTCTCTTCTTCAAGCGACAACCGCCATGATTTCCTTTTCTTCATGCTTTTAATGTGTTCTACGACGACGAACACGTCAACACTCACCACGCCTCATGTTTTCCGATGGGGTAGTCTATTCTCCCTGCGAAAACTTCGAATGACCATTATGATTGCCTCGGGGCTACTGACCCTCGACTACGGCAATATGTCACGAATGTTCCGTTTTTCGGATACATCTTCCACGAAAACAGTCACGGACGACCTGATGCCGGCAGCTATGTCTGAACGGCCATTATTTCCTTGTCTGCCCCTTCCGGGCTTCCACTTTCCTTAATTTTCACTCTTTTTTTCATTGCAAGGTTTCCGATGAGAATTCGTACTGAACGGCCTTGCCATTTCCTTTATTGTGCACCCATTTGGCTCTGCTGTACCATCATTCATCTGCTGCCACCTTTGGTGAGGTCTTCCGTAATGCCTGTACCGAATTGACCTGCTTTGATATCCATCATGTTACTTCTCTTTTCCTTGTCTCAACCAGAACTACTTCTCTTTTCATGTCTGTCTGAAACTACCATAATGACTTAAAGCACTATGATGTACGGGGTATACGAATCCGGCCCAGGACTGCATTTTCGATTTTACTACATTGGAGAACACAAAAGCATATTCTATTTACTTCATGGGTCTATGCCTCTATAGGCACAATTTACTTCACTATTTTTGAAATGCAATGAACAATGATGAACCCCCACCTTCTCCCATACTCTGAAACCTTGTTGTCTAGGTGATCCTATCAAGTTATCCTGGAATGCTAGAACTCCGATCAGCCCTACCTCGGTCCTCCCCGGTTGCAACTACAACGGCATTCATCAATACGACGCAGATTTCTCTGGCCCATTGTTTCACTCGGTCTCTTCTTTTTGGCTTCGATGCCAAAATCCGTATGCACGGGGTCTGGTCAATATGGGCGCCTTCGCCGCATCTACAATAGGGCATTGTCTCGCCCACCGCATAGGCAATATTCCACTTATTATTGGGTGTATGTCTGAGTTAAATCTCCGCGGCATTTTCTAGCTGGATCCGACACATGCATCTCTAGCCCCATATAGTACTGTACTCGCAGCTACCCTGGTCCCTGGAGGTACCATGCATATGTATAATGTCGAGGCCAAGGTGTGATCCCTGGTACTGGGAACCCACTGGGTTGGAAAAAAAAATACATGGGTACGTATCACCCCCGGAATGTGATCATCGAGGGCGCGCCAGGTACTTTGTCCCTACAACCGGCGCACCAAAGAGGATTCCGTTAGCTCGAGTCTTGAGATCTGCGCCCTCTCGGCGCACAAATTTTCTTCCTGTGCTCTTCTGCCTGGACATATTCATCATATGGCTCTGTAAATCCCTTCTGCTCTTAATTTACTATCAAGCATTGTATTTTTCGGCTTCTCGGTGCAGCTTTTAGAAACAACGTATGCTCTTGTTGTACATCAAGAGATAGCCTGTTTTTTTTTTTAACATAAATGCAGAGCATATTCTTAAGTCAGTGACGACTGTTTTAATTCCAAAGTCCCAATGGACCCAGCGAAATATTATTGCAGTGCCTCCTCCGATTTGAAACCGGGTTCTCACTAACGGCCCCCCTTGCATAGGACCATCAACGCCTGTCTCCGCCACACAGTACTTTTTTTAGGTCTCGATTGGTTCGGTCGAGACTTACTTCATGAGCTCAGCCTTTGACGTGGCCATTTGGAATATTTTTAGCATGAATAAGCCACCAATTTGATATGATATCATCTCCCGCTATAAGCTATCGCCATGTATACTCGTCTATATCAAATTCTCATCTATTTCGACTCCTCAACAACCTAGCCCAAGTAGATCGCGGACAAGAAAAAAAAATAATAGAAAAGAAGGTTAAAAAACACATTCAATTTTGATTCATATTGGCTAGAGACCCGAATCCCTTCCATCAAAGCCTCCGGTCTGCGACACGTAAGGTGCCCAAGGGCCCGCTCGCCTTCCTCTAGAGTTCCCTGAGCCTCGACGGGTTGGTGGTCTCAGATCTAGCGGAGTTTGCTCTCGCGTCTAGATCCACCAATGATGCGGGTATCCCGATATCGGATAGACAAACAATAGCGGATAGCCGAGAAGCTAGCCAGTGTGCCCTCGCGCGAACACGATGGCCTCGCCGCGAGTGGATCTGTGGCGACGTGATAGATCGTGCTGACGGCGCCCCTCCGTTGGTATCTGAGTGACTGGCTCCCATAGTCACCCTCGTCAACTCGCTCTACTTAACCATGCTATGCTCCCCTTCTCACGGCTCCCTCCCACGGCCGGTCTGGGACGTGGATAAACAATAATCAAGTCTCCCCCTGCACAATAAAGGAGTCGTGTGCTCCACCATGTGTCTCGGAGAAACAAGGCCGTTTTGCCCAGTCGACCCTGTGCGTCCCGGACCGGCCTTCCGCTGGCTGCGTCTGCCTTGCAGCGGCTGCGATGCTGTCCAGGTCTCTGGGTTTCTGCTCGATCAAGGGCCATCGTGCAGCAGCGCGGGACGGCCAGCGGGGCCGGTGCAGACTGCATGACCCGATCTGCAGACTGAAACCTCTCCCCGGGGAACCCAGTAGCTGCCCGCGAACTTCTGGACAAATTGCGAAGTAAACAAGGCCGCTGACAGCTATCTGGAACAGGGTAGGCTCGTAGCCGGAGGCCCAGAACAAAAGCCCCACAAAAGGCGCTGGCAACCCTTTCAACTCCGCTCTTCGACGCCCTTGTCGCCCTCCTTCGATACCTGGCTCTCCTTCATCTCCAATTTTTCCATATTCTCCTCCCATTGCGGCACCGCAACTCTCTCTTCCCACCGCGCCACCGCTACATCGCCCTTCTTCCCAAGTTGCGTCTCCGCCAGCTCCCCTGCCTCTGCATCAACCCCTGCCCCTATCCCTGTAAACACAGCCTGCACATCCAGCGCCGCAGTCGCCTCTTGATAGAGACGGAGCACTTGCTCCCGCACCTGCCGGCGTGTTGCTTCAGCTTCTGCGTTCCTCTCGTCTGTCCGCGCAGAGCCCCGCGCAGCAGGCTTCTTCACGACGCCGCGGTCCTCAAGCCCGCGTGCAATGCCCTCTAGAATCCCAAGCACTGTGCCCGCGCGCATGCCTAGCTGCGCACCCACTGGGAACCCGGCATCGAAGCCGCGCTGGACGTGTTCGCCCTTGGAGGTCGACACGCCGTCCCGGTACCCCGCGGTTACATGCTGGCGGCGCAGTGAGGGCAGATCGGAGGGCTCGGTGGATGATGCTGCATCCATCTGATGGGATAAGGCGGGCGCCCTGGCCTCTTGGGGCGGTGAGGAGCCGAAGATGTCGTCGAGTGAGTTGTCGACTGGCGGGGGTGGTGCGTCGGTAGAGTGCGTGGAGGTCATGGTTGTGGCGGGGGATGGCGGAGCTGAAGGCGCGGAACTGGAGTCGGTATGTATCGAAGCGGGCATTACCTGCACTGGAGGTTGTAGATTACTGAACTTGAACCTTGTGTAAGCGATTCAGAGCCAGGCCTGTGCCTCGCGAGGATTTCAGTAGATGGATGTGGGATGACGTGGTGGGGGGAGCGATAAGAAAAAAAAAGTTGCGATATGCGGATTTGGATCCACCGGTGCCGTTTTGCTAGGTTGACTCGGCTCAGCCTCACTAGCATCGTTATCGATACTCTCAAAATGGCTACAAAATACTTAACGTATAATTTGCTGATCATGTTTTGATCATATAATATAAATGCTCTACGAATTGTCTATTTTTATATGGGTGTGATTAGCTCAAAATATGCATTATGAAGCTCCGAAAGTTGAACTATATGATCTTTAAATCAGGTGTCGAACGGATTAAAAGGGATTCTGCCTTGCGTTGAAAGAGACGAATGGCAAAGGTGCCCGTCTAAAGAAAAGATGGATCCTTTTCACTTCTATCTAAGGCCAATTGCCGATTAGTAGGGGTGCTGTCCTGGAATTGACACGTTCATAGCAATTTCATAGCACCAGGGCGAATCCTTTCACACGCTTCCCTATGGGGAACGCTCGTGTCGAATGGTCAGGATTAGAGATTCACTCACATTTCTCTAGCACAAAAGACCTGGTCTCGCAGCGAGAGAATGGCCAGAATTCAAAATGATCAAACGGGCCACATTTTGCTCTGCCGATAAGATGAAACATTCATCTCGTCTTTGATTGGTGTGCCCGCTATAGGGCTTGGCTCTTGGAAGTCCCCTATGCAAAAGTCTTTTTACCCATGAAATCGATTGCTAACACTCATAATACATACACAATCTTTGTTGATCAGTGACGAGAAACCACTCTTATCGTCAAGTTATTACGGGTTCAATCCATTGTGGAGTCTCGCTCAATTGAATATCAGGTTGATTGTCCCCGTAATTCTCTTCTGATTCATAGTCAGGAGGCAAAACCTGAAGTTGCCAATCCGAACGGTCGGGAGATTCCTCTCTGACCTCTTTCTTGGACAAAGACGTGGCAACTCTCTCAGAGAACTGTTTTGAATGTCGTAGTCCGGCCTTTACTAATGTTTCTCGCGCAGGTGATGTCAAAGGGATCAGGTCTAACACTGTTTTACCCCACTTGTTAGGCTGGTTGCCCTTGTCCAAAAGTCTCTCAAGGATGAATGGTAGCGTGGACTCATTGTTGCCACTGGCTGCTAGATGCAAGAGCGTATTCCCAAAGGCATCTATGAAGCAAATGCCATTGGCCTGCTTTCTCGCACCCAGCACAATCTGGAGAATTGACAATGGAGCAAAAGCTGCAGCAAATGCGAGGGGTGTTCGACCATGCCTGTCAACCTTGGTCCAATCGACAATTTCCAGCGCAACAAGGTATTTTACTAAATCCTCATTCCCTGATATTATAGCACGATGCGCTACTGTCCATCCCATCAAATCCTTTTCGTTGATAATAGAAGGATCTTCAGTATTCTTGAGAAGAAGTCGCAGAATCCGTTCATGACCCCGCGCAGCAGCTAGATGAAGGACAGTTTCACCAAAGGTAGTTCGACCCCTAGGGCGAGCGCCTTGAGATATCAAAAGCTCCGTTGCATGATACTGCCCTTCATGAGCTGAGTAATGAAGAGCTGTCATACCCCGATTATCAGAGGCCTCAAGAATGGAGCAATCCTTTGTCAAAGCCAGCTTCAAAGCATCATCCATGCCAACAATAATCGTCCAATGGAGAATAGTCCTCCCGCTTGAGTCACAGAAACCATCGATGTTATCCAAACGATTGAGAATTGAGAGCACGATTTCCGTCCAGCATTGGCATGTTGCATTGATCAGTGGACTTTCGCCCTGCATCCTGGCCTTCGCAATGTCAACTTTCGGATTTTTTAGCAAAGTTTTTGCAATTGCTTCCTTTCCCCAATGAATAGCGAAGGTCAATGGGGTACGGCCGCTTGAGTCTTCCGAGTCAAAATCAAGCTCTGGCCGTGTCATCAATGCATCTAGTAGTTCCTGGGCTTTTTGAGGCTTGTGAATTACAGCCGCATGGAGAGGTGTCATTCTCTGACTGCCACCTGCATTGACATCAAATTCAGGATATTTCAGTATTTCTCTGAGATCGTTCGCACGACCTAGCCGAGAAAGATTTGTCAAGAACGTATATCCGAGGGAGTTGACAGCGTTCATATCTGCCCCGAGTTCAAGGAGAACTCGGAGTCGAGAAGTAGTTAAATCACAGCCCCATAGGTGAACTATGGAGGATTCTCTATTCAATGCATTAATGTCGTGTCCATCTTCGACCAAGCGTCGCATTAAACCGAACAAGTCAGCCTTGCCTGCGGTGAATAATGGCAAGTCTTCTGCTGAATGGATATGTCTTGAGAAACACAATGCCTGGTAGCTTTTCTTATTCCCCACTACTCGCAAAAAATTTCGATAAAACGGGAGGTCATCGTCCACGCCTTTGATATGCGATGACCAGAACAATGATGCGTAGTCCAGAAAGATGTATTTCTCCAAAAAAGCAGGATTTGGGTGGCGCACATTAGTATTATCAAGGAAAACCCAGATCTCTTCTTTATCTTGGGCCAATTCTTCCAGGCCAACATATACCATACAATCCCTGCCAAGCTGGCGGTTTGCTTGGATAATATTGATGTGAAACGGGTTAGGCTCCTTCTGGTTAATATAGCGTACTTGTAGCAAGAAATCCTTGAAAGATTGATGGACAACAGTAAGCATGCCCGCTTGATCTATTCGAATCATATGCGGACATGTTCGTTTAAGAAAAGCTCGAAGTGAGACCCTCACATCCATGTCTTGAACCTTTTCAGGCTCCTCCTTTAAGGCTAGAGCCACTGATATTTCCGCAATTGAAAGAGGTCGCCGGGCGGCTACTAGCCAATGGAGAATGTGGATAAGTTCCCACTGAACTCGTTTGTCCACGGTGCTTAGCAAGCGGAAATAGAGATTTTCCATCCCTGGTGGAAGCTGTTGTAGTTCCTCGAGCTTTTGGCGCAGAACAGTTATCTTCCAAGACCCAACGCCGTCCTTGAAATGCTCCCAAGCAAGAGAAGCCCATAGAAACATTCCATCTGCACGAGTAACGAGCTCTTCGCAGATCGTGCGGGTGATTTCTTTATCAAAAGAATTTTCCGCCGCATAGTCGTGGACGACATCCCGGAGGAAAATTGAAAGACCACTTCGATTTCCTGAAGAGTCATTAATAGTCAGGTTCACAGCATTCCAGCTAGAGACGATTTTTTCTATATCAGGCTCTGTCCTGCTTGTAATGAATAACCGGATATTTCTCATTGATGGTGTAATGGTGTCTCGGAGCTCTTCCAGAAACGTTCTCCATGAAGGTTTCTCAAGCTCATCAAGGGCGTCAATCACAATGTAAAGGGGACGAGAGCGTAGATCTGCCAGCACTAGACCAAGAACATTCCATAGTTCCCAAACTGATCTCGTAAATTCATCGGTGATTGTTGTGTATTTTTTCTTTAAACCTTTCGCCAACTGAGGATCTTCGTATAGAAGCTGATAGATGATAGAGGCGACAAGATTTCGGGGACATTTGGCTCGATCATCCGTATCGGAGCAGAAAAAATAGCAAACCAAGGGCTTGGAAGAGCCCGTGAATTGACCTGAGCTAGCATATTCACTCAATGTTTCCAGAACAAACTTGGCAACCACTGATTTTCCCAGGCCTGGATAGCCGTGCAGCCAAAATGCATTGCTAGTCTTACCGTCCCTCCATTCCAAAAACGATGGGTTATCTATCACCCAAGAGCAAGTGTTTTGGTGTCTTTTGGGAACTCGAAAAAGAAAGCTTTTGTAATCAAGCATGTAGAACCGGTCTAGATAGATGTAAGGCTCATCGGCGGAAGTAGTTGCTGAAAAAGCATCGAGCGAGATCAGTTTTCTCCAGTGACAAGCTGGTTTGATGAAAAGTAGAGAAGTATATAAAATACCATTCACGCACATTCTAGTTCACTCCTTTCTTGGATATCATCGATGTAGCCCTTGACAACTTCCGAAATTTCGCGAAAACCGGCCATACGGACCATATCCATGTGATTGGCGTCAATCGTCTCCGTTGTCTCCAAACCATATCCCAACCGGGAGGAAAAGTCATTCACTACCTGCATCCTCAATCAGCGATACGTAGTGTGTAAAGACATTGTAACTACGATTTACCTTTCCACTAAATCCCTTGATTCCTGCAAGTCCACGGCTTTCTTGAAACGAATGCACTCTGATGAGGTCTCCATGAAGTATCCGTAAGAAGTCCTCCTGTATCAAGTCCAAAATCTGTGAGTCTACTTGAAGATCTCCCAGAAGTCCATCATTGGCGCTTTGCAAAGCTACAGTCACAATATTTGCCGCTAGTTTTCCCCATGCAGCCGCATCGGATCCTCGATGGGGTGTTCCGCAAAAAATAATCGCATAAACACGTAACAGCAATTTCGTATATCTGGCTTCGAGGTTGGTCTTGCACCGCTGCATTGCCTTTCCGAACCCAATGAGCTTGGAGAACCCCAGTGATGATACTTATTAAACTCACCGCCTTAACAATGATTCCTCCAAGACTATGAGCGATGAATACTATGGGCAACTTTGTTCGATTAGCGATGCTGAGCTCTGCACAGGAAATACGATTGGAAAGAAATTTACATACGTCATTCTTAAGACCTCGTTCCAATTTAATCATCATATCGTTTGCGTGCTGTATGATACTGTTTCTGTTGTTCGATAGAAATAACCCCTCGATAATGTAGCCATAAGTGAAGATGTTTGCTTGGGGCACGATAGTGGGAAGAAATTCGGCTGGCCAGAACACCGAGCTCGAGTGATTAGATAGATTCTGAGGTGGGACAGCTGAGCTAGTTGCAACCTCTGCATAGATTTTTGATTTATTCTTGGATGATGAACTGTGCAACCGACGCCAGAATGACTTTTTGATATGCTTGGACTCGTCCGAGTTAGACGATTTGCTCTCAGTCGAACTTGTATATTCCCAAGTGCCACGGGGGTGGCCGCGGAGACCATGGACAAATATCACACTGATAATACTTTAGTCTCACCTCTGTTTCTCACCCAAGAGGACCGCATGCCGCAATTTTACATGTACATACTTTGCAATAGGAGGCTCTTGGTTATGACCACTGTCGTCCGAGGTGGGAGAGAGGAGTGTTAAACCCGAACGAGGAATGCCTGCCATGACTACTTGTGTGAAAAGCCAGATGGGTCCTTCCGGACTAGATCTGTGCCGAGTGACATGAGTTCAGCACGAGTTCGTATTCCCCGCATGCGAAGGTCAGCAAGTTCATCACGTGCAGACCTTCATGCGATTTGTCAGGGAATAATTTACAACGGACGGTTCATAATTCTAGCCGATGCGTGTATTATCACTGGATAGGACCTTCCATAGGCCTGTTCCCGTATAGTTGCCGGATAATGAAACCATGCAGAGCCATCTCTTTTCAGGGATGAGTCCATATCAATGCCGAGCCTGGTAGAAAACAATACCATTCACCCATGTAGACATGAATCCTCATGATCTATTTAAACTATTTGTTAACTGTTTTAACCAATTCAAGATCATTAGATATCAGAGGAACATCATATCTTGCATCTCTTCAACGGGCCCCATTGAAGGATCCCACACTGTTGGCCGACCATGCATAACCTTTTGCCACGCTGGACTTTTTACGTTCACATCTGCCCAGACCTGGAGTTCCTGAGGGACAATATCGGCGTTACCAGCCTCGATGCAACGCAACACAAGGGGAAGAAGATGACTATCGAGTACGGTAGGGCCCACTAGGGCGCCAAATGTCCAGTCTCCCTCGGTGTCAGAAGCGCCGTTTTTCCTGCGGTGCTCTATTATCTCATGAAAAATATCACGCAGATCTGTATGAACCTTGGTGATGATAGCTGGTTGGAAGGCAATACCGTAGTTTTTGTTGTGGCTTAGTTGAGAAAGAAGTCAGCTTAGGGAGCAGTTGACGTTCCGCAGCAATAGAAATAAGAGATATCCGCTATAGATCAAAGTAGTCAAGGGGGCATGACATACTATTCCACTTTGAAGTTCAGAGCTGTGCGATACTCAGGGCTTAGATCAGTCCTCTTAAGTATATCCACTGCCGGCGAAGGGTTATGTTTCATCATGTCTGTCGTGGGATTCTTGTTGCTGAAGGCTGGACCGCGAACAGCATGTAATCTCCGAAGAAGATCTTTGATGACGGCAGCGTGTTGCACCGGTAGCATAGCGGGGTAGTGTTTCTCAGCCATGTAGATCGAGATAGAGAGGCTGTCTGTCAGTGGTCGCTCAAGGACATTTCCGGTCATTGCAGGGACCTGGCCCTTGGGATTCACTTTGAGCAGGTATTCCTCTCTCAGATTCTCGTTCTTGCGATGATTGACGAAGCTTAGCGTAATATTCTGCGGTGGCCGCGCACCATGAGTTGCCGGCCCGAGTTGAAGGGTGTGGCGGGCCATCATCGAATACAGGGAGAATGGCGAGGAATAGATGGTATACTGTGCCTTCTGTGATTCTGCCATATTTTTGGGTCCAAATAGCTTCCTTTTTCCTTTTTTCCCCTTTTCTTGTCGTCTATGATGTGCAATTAACACGGTGAAACCAGACGCACCAAGAAGATGTGATCACTGTGAGTCAGATTTCTACAGGAAAGGCGTTCGAAAGGTAATCACCGCACTCTAAATGAACTCCAGGATCAAATTAGAGGATTTTCATGCTCTGGACCATTTCAAAGTGATTCCTATTGGGCTATTGCCTCCTAAGGTGTTACTTAGTCAGTCGACCGGTGTGCGCTTTAGAAGAGACCCCGCACTGGGGGTCGCAATCCCGATCCTCTCGAGGCTGACCTCAGGATACTAGACCTCGATCAAATCGTTGGATGGCAACTATAAGTTCATTATCCCTAAGGAAACTTTAGTGATCAAACCACTCTTGGTATAAATTGCCAGTGGGATAGTGATGCAGTTTTTCAGTATCATTATCCAGAAACAATTTCATTTCAAGTTAAAGGTTAGGTTATTCTATCGAAAGACATAGGGTGAGCCCGATAGGACGGAGAACCGATATCAAAATTTAAGTGAAGAAAAAGAAAAATTTCAGCATTTTCTCACTGTGAAGGCTTTCCCCCATCAGACTAACTCTATCAAGCTCGGTCCATTGACCAGTCACCTGTCGCAGCCGAACAGATGGTCTGTCTATTCATCTCACGCCCATAGATCTGGATTATGACGAGACTAACCCTACACCAACCGCATTACCAATATCAGTTTGAAAGATCTGGATATATTACTTCAAATTTGCTCTTAATCTATATGGACTTGGTCCGCGGCACAGCGGTGTCAAACGGCCCCCGATTTTCGTTTTATCCCGTCCAATACCGTTCGATTCGATCATGGACCATTTGGATGAGTGCCCGATTCCCCGTATATAGAAAACCCAGATATATCTGTCATTGATTAAACAAAATGGCATTTCATCCATTTAGACCTTCTCTACCACTGAATTTACGTGTTCCGCATACAGATGCTTTTCAATGTAAACGGTTGATGAGAACTTGGATCATAGGTGGGTCATCGGGCTCGGACTATTTTGAGCCTCACAGCTGACCAACTTTGGTGCTTCTTCTCCCACCCGAGTTTTCCCAGACCAAAGTCCTATTTAAATACGAACAGATCAAAATTCCGGATCCTCAAGTCTGTTTCTTCTAGCTACTTCTTCTAGTGTTTCTTCTAGCCAACTATTCCTCCATGGCCAGGCGCCTTGCTAGTCGTGTGGTCGGCTATACCACACTAGCCACCGCCGCTACAGCTTACGGCGTGCACTGCGGGCTCTCCTATCTAGAAGAAAAATATCCAAATCTATCACCACATAGCGTCACAAGTGCCGACCTCACCAGACCACATATACCGAACCAACAGCGCGTCGCATACACCGACATCTTTGCGGCGCGGATACCTGTCGCAGCCCTCAAGGTGCGAGCACGCTGCACGGACCGGGACACTCAAACATCATTGGAGAACATATGGGCTCGGTCTATCCTTGGTGGCCGTATTCTAAGCACTGAAGCATCGGTTATCGGTTTTCTGACGACTGGCAAGTACCAGCCTGGTGACGTGGGAGACGACGGGTTCGCAGCCGATTCAAGGAGCCCGCAGAAATTACTTCACGGCGTCGCTACCACGCAACAGGCTCCGGGCATAGACCGGGAGGGCTATGGGTTACTAATCTCCTGGATCATGTCTGATGAGCCACGGCTGTTCTTTGAGAAGATCGCGCGCTGGGGGTATCCGTGGCGACTGATGTCTGGCGGACGGCATGAGATGAGCGTGTCGCGGCCATATACTGTAGATGGACAGTGTGATTTTGTGGATGTGCGGTTTGCATCTGCGCATGACTATGAGATTATCGAGAGCGAAGGGCCTGACGGACAGAAGATCATCCCGATGTGGGTAATGAGGCTTCATGCTGGGTATGCGCGACTCATACTTGATACCGCGGTCCGGGAGGTGCTGCAAGACTATCAGACGAGCCGACAATGAGGGTTCTACAGGCCAAGTCGTAGCTTTGGAGGATATTGCTGCGAACGATTAAGATATTTATGATTGAGATCATGATTCTGACCTAATTATAAGCACCGACACACATTTCTTCTTTCCTTGTAACCATGCCACCCTAAACACAGGACGCGCCGTGGTCCACCACGGTGAATCCAACCCAGCCATTGTATGGATAGCACATCTCCCAGCTACTCGTAATGCTTCCCAGAAGACTCGCCGCCCCGCCGGAGCAGTCGGCTGTGCTCCACATGCAGAGGTCGTGCCAGTCATCCTCGCTGGGGCTCTTCCAGGACAAGCTTTTGACGTTTGTAGCGTTGTACTCCGTTGTATCTAATGCTTCGCAGTCTCGATTGAACGCACCATACCGATGCAAGATGCTATAATCGAGGTTTGAGGTGTCGACGTCGCAGGTGGGGATGGCGACGCTGAGAAGTCGTAGATCCCACTGATTACTGGTTAGCATTGGGATCAGAGGATAGAGCAAACTGGACGTACGCTTCGATAGGCGAGCAGCTCGCGCTTAACGTGCGGCACGGCTGAAACGCCTGTTGCCACGAGGGCGAGGACGGTCGGGAGTATATTGGATGGCCGCATTCTTACGGCGGGAGAGAGAAAGTGTGGGATGGGGAGATTATCAATTAACGAGGAGACTACCAAAGCGAAGTTTCGGAATCTGAGCTCAATATAAAGACTGTGGAAAGGGAATAAAAACAATTTGAAACCCGCGCGACGAAAAGGAAAAAAAAAAAAAAGCAATTCCCATCCTCTTTATATACTCGAGCTGAGCACCCGCAGGTCCCCCGTCGACAGGACCCTCTGCAAGCACACAGAAAAAGCAGACTCGGATGCTAGTCCCAGGCCTAGACCTCACGGTGCGATTTCCCGGCTCGCATGCACTTAAGCAATCTCGTGGACGGTAACATTTAGGTCCCGTTTCCAGCAGCGAAGAGGGGTCTGCATGAAGCACTCTTGGCGACGGGGAAGCCGAGCAGGCGCGGCGCGCGGCGATTGGGCAGAACCATCTGGGTCCCTGGAAGCTGCATGCGAGACCCTTTTGGCAAAACTTGTCAGATCGCAGCGTGGCGTCATTGATTGGATGCGAGGGTGGGCAAGTTGACCTGGAGCCAGGAACATGGCGAATGGGGGATTAGATGAGATGTGCGCGAGGCGGGTTTGGGGCTGGGGTCGATGCAGACACGAGCAATGCTGAATATCCGGATATTGCATGTAGCAGAGACGGGATGATTGGAAAGTGTCGAAGAAGAGCAGAATGAGAAGCCAAATGCGAAATGTGACAAACACTAAATAAATATGCTCTAAATGGCGATTCGTGGTGGATAAGCATCGCTAGATGTTGGTTACAGAGTGAATATTGAATATTTAGAGGTTTTAATAGGAATTAAGCGGATTTTTTCATTATTTTGATTGTTTTGGGTTCGGGGAGTCATTCATTCTGATGGGAGCTAAACTATATCTTGCCCATCGAGTATAAAAGTACAGGGCCATGTCGAGAGTACAAAATTACAGTACCCGTGAACACGAATGTTAGTTCCTATTGTCACTCGCGTTGGGGACCTGATGTCAGCCGCCAAGCTCGCAGCGGTAGGTTCTGGAGCTTGGTGGCGGCAGGCTTGATGAACATGACGAAGGTGATGGCGCCGATCAGCACGCAGATGATGTTGGTGATGTAGTAGCCGTCGCGGCCAACGACGCAGGTGCCGCCACCGTTCACACAACGGTTCTTCTCGGGTTCCAGGGCACACGAGAAGGAGGATGTAACGAGGGCGTCCTTGAGCTGGTCCACAGGAGGTGGTGTGGTTGGTGGGAAGCAAGTCGCCTCGGTGAGGAGGTCAACGAGCTTGAGAATAAAGAAGCGAGGGAACGTGCCGCCCAAATTAGACACACTGGAAGCAAAAGGTTAGATACGAGCATAAAATTTGTAGGAGGCAATCCTGCTCAGAAGGGCTGCAAGTGTGGGGGAAAGGGGAGAAACTCACGTTGCAAGAAGAGTCATATAGGTCCCGCCAATTGCGGGGTCGGCAATACGCGCGTGGAAGGCAGAGATGGCAACGAACATGACAGTGTTCATGAAGGTTGAGACCACATGTTCTAAGATGACGGCGATCAGATACCAAAACGGCACCTCCGAGCCACTGGGATATATCATCACAGTCAGCTGAGCCAGCACTGCGGCCGCCAACCGGCCGACAAAGGCCCAGCCCCAGAGCCGCATCGGAGTGTACTCGGTCGACCACTTGCCAGCATAGTAGCCCAGCATGATCTCAAAGGGGAAGTCGATCAATACGACCAACGCCATGTTGTCTTGTCCGAAGCCCTTGTCTAGGAGCTTCAGGCTGGTGACGCCATCATTTGCTTGAAAGCCAATCTTGGCGATGAGGTGAATGAGAATGATAGTCTGAATATTTTTCAGCTTTAGAACACTCCACATGCTCTTGTAGACATCAAGGATGCTGTCACGCTCCTTGGTGCGGTCTTCTTTCTTCAAGACCGCTAGACACAGCGTCACGATCAGATATGTCCAGCCCCAGAAGGTCAAGTAACCACCTAGGGAAAGCAGGCCACCTTCGCCGGGAGTGGTTCGGAACCACCGGTTGGCGAAGTCCTTGGAGTTGAACGCCAAGAAAACCGTATACGACAAGAAATGTCCGGCCGTCAAGCCCACGGTCTGGGCAGTGGATGCATAGGAAATATTAGGCGGCGACATCAGGGTGATGGCCCAACCGTCAACGGCAATATCCTGCGTTGCGCAGAAAAAGACCAGCATAAACCACCAGTATGTAAAGTTCCAGACCCCGGCCCCGCCATTGGCGCCGGCCTGCTCCATCATGTCACCAATACGGGTTCCCATATAGATCATGGCCAGCCCGGCAATCACTTGGATCGGGGTGATCCAACTCTTGCGACGGCCAAAACGGGGGCTCCACACGGCGTCCACAATAGGGCTCCAAAACAACTTGAGCGAATACGGGTAGGACGCGAGTGAGAACACGCCGATCTGGCCGTAGGACAAATATGGCTTGAGCAGGAAGGGCACGGAGCCCGTGGCCAGGCCCATGGGAACGCCTTGCAGGAAATAGAGGACGCAGAGGAGCAGAAAATTCCGACGATCACTGGCGGGCAGGTTGTGGAAGCTGGTGGTAGTCATGATAGGGGTCTGTGGGATGACGGGAGGTTCATTATCGAGAGAGAAGTTGGGACTCCGTAGAACGCGGGACGTGCGTTCGGAGGAGGATTCGGTGGAGGTGTCGCGTTTGCGCATCTCTATACTGTTGTTCATCTTGCCGTTGGCATGGCCGTTCTGGCCGGTTGCAACCTGCAAGCTCGGTTTGGAGCGGCGTTTGGAGAGGGTGGCGTTCCTGCGTGTCATTGAAGAGTGAGCGCGACAGGGTCCAGGGTCAGCCCGGGTGCGAGTAGATTGATGGTGATCGAGATCAGGACACGCCAAATCTTCCCAATAGAAAGTTGGATTGTATTAGGATTATGAAGGAGAGAGGGTGTGGACGTTTCGGATCAAGGGTAGTTCGAAGGGAGTCGTGTAGGGAAGGTCGGACAAGAGAGAGTTGGGTTGAGGATACCTGTTCAGCAGGTTCCGTGCGTGACGGTCGGAGAAGAAAGAACGAGTGGCCAATGCATGGAGGATAAGTTGATTGGAAGGGAGAGTCGGTCCTCGTGAGGCAGTGGGGGAGACGATCGAACCCTTCGGACGCGGAATTTGGGCGGAGAGGCAAGCTGGCCTCTTGCGGTCCCCCGGAGCCACTCCAGGACCCTCCCTAGGCACTAACCGCCCACAGTGGGCGGAACAAAGCAAGCATCTCGAGATAGCAGATCGTCAAGGATTTCTGGCGATTTGAGTGGGTTGCCAAGGGGATATGGTTCGGGTTGACTCATGCTACTCAGAGCAAAGTGGCTGAGGGAAGACGAGGTGGTACAATGTCCCCGAGTTCAGTTCCCAGGACATGTGCATGGGCGAACTATGAGATCAGCGGGGATCCTGCCAGCATCCCGCATTGGACACAAGTATCACTCGATGTTGTGGCTGTGATAAACCCCAGTCTGTTCGACAGATTTCTCAATTTTTCATGAGGATAATTTGGTGTCAACCGATCCCTTCGTTTACAGAATGTAAGCACGATATCTCTCATCCACCGTCGGCCACAGGAGCTATTTGTTACGGAGTCACAGCATCGGTCCGCTGATGCTAGTAGCTTTTAGAGAAGCGCGAATATTGAGATTGGGAACTTTTCTCAAGGGATCACATAGTGATAAGAGTAATAATAATTGCCAGCAAAAGAGCCATAATAACAACTCCCTCGACCTCATTCCATTGCCCACAGCGCAGTGGTTGGCGCTCGGTTAGAAATACTTCATTATCGACTCCAGTGGCGTAGGCTCACAATTTGCATGTCCAACGCCGGAACTTGTCTCCTTGGGTCGCTGAAAAGCTCCCGATTCCATCTTCTCATTCACAAGATCAGGCGTGAAGCTTCCCTGCCAGCCTCAAGCAGCGGCCATGCTCGCGCTACAGTATCTCGCCAACGGAATGCCTTAGGCCCTCACCTGTGCGGCTCACAGTGTCATTTTGGCGGCGGCCATGGTACGGACTGTAAGGGGGATAGCGCGGTTGATAGTGCTGGATAAGCTCTTCGATAGAACTTCGCTCATAAACTAGTCAGTGTTTGAAATAATTGTTTTGATCTAATATATCTAGTGTCCGAACTTCCACTATTGAACGGGTTCGTTATCGAGATCGCGTAGAGAGTACAGAAGATTCCGTTTAAGCAGCGCAGTGGGTCCGATTGCCTCTGACTAATCTCTCCGATAAGGGATCGGATAACAGGGTCACATGCCTCGTATAAACAAACACTCCCGCCAGTTGATCCTCCACCTGCACTCCAGTTCCATGCCATTGCCGCAGTGTCGGCTTGAATCTGTTACAGATAACAATCAGATCAAACGCAAACGTGACAATCGCAGGGCCGGTATTTCCTGCCTTCCTCATGGCCCATCTAACACACCATGCCCCCGCATCCCTAGTCTCCCAAGGGCTGGACCTAGACTCGGAAATCATTTCGATCCGCGCAGAAAGTAAGACCCCCCCCCCTCTCTTCCCAGCAACAGAGCCGACCCCACTAATCACCCATCTTCCTAGTCTCCAATCTTCAACGGCGCAAACGCGTCCTCGCATCCAGCCTCCTCGCCGCGGCTCCCATCCAAAAGCTTACCCGCAAGCCGCCCCCGGCCCTTACCTCGATCCACGACGACGTGTCTCCCCTCGTCCGTGCCGCCGGCAATCATGCCCAATCCAATCACTACCGTATCGCCTTCGGCGCAACCGCGTTTCCCTTCACAGACCCCTCCCCTCAAACACCGGACACGCTCCTCGGGGTGCGCATCGACGTCTGTGTGCGCAGCGGCCGCTTCGCGAAGCCGTACTACATCCTCTTAAAGCGGGATGGCCAGCCAGGCGATAAGCAAAGGCGCTTGCGCGTGCACAAGCATACCATTCCGGCGTTCATTGCGGTGGATAGGCTGGAGAGCGTGTACCTGCGCGTGCCGGGGTTGCGGAAGCGAACTCAGGATGAGATGGACACGGATTCGGATATAGAAGATGGGTCAAGTGTGACGAGCAAGAAAAGACAAGCCGGGTCTCTAAGGCAGGATTTGCGCGGCTTCGTGCGCGAGTTGAGGCGGGACCTTGTCGCATGGCACTTGCGGTGCGATGCGGTCGAGCTGTTACGGGAGAAGCTAGGGCTGAGTGAGGAAGAAAGTCAATTAGACGAGTCGGAGCGGTTGTCGCCTGAGAGTCGGGGTGGGGTTGTTTCGGTGGCGGAGACTGCAGTTGAGGCGCGGTATGTGCGGCTGGAATGGGAGGACGGTCGTGTTGGGCGGTTTAAGTTAACGAATGCTGGCATTGTTGAGCGAGCTGTCGTTATCGGGGATAATGGGCGAGACAAGAAGACTGAGGATGCGATGACCGGATCCGGCGGGCGAGTCGAGACGCTGCTGGAGCGATTGAAGGATTGTGGCCCGGGTTTGGGATTGTAGGTTGGAGTCAAGCGCGGAGCCTGTTTTTCTTTTTTTTTTTCGTTCATTTTTTGTCTATATTTTGCCTCTATCAGTTTTAGTGATACCCGAATTGTAACTAAATCAAATGATATTAAATATCTAATCAATTAAACCGTGTTCCATGTAACAGAGATGCATATGGTCAAAGTAAAGTATCTATTGAGTAGAGCCGTAATATCCCCAAGTTAAATGCGATGCACATCTGGAAACCCAAAAAAGCCGCCGCAATGCGATATGTATAGACATCGAACACAAAATCAAATGATTCAAAGGTAAGAATGGTCAGGGGAAGCGGGTATCTCCCAGTATATCCACAGGCAGAAAAAGGTGATTACAATGAAGGTAGAGGGGAATCAAAGGTTGAAGGGAAAAGAAGACGGGAAATTATCGACGCGATGATTGATGCTCACGGAGAAGAACAACTGCGCAGCTCTCGCAGATGGCAGGTATTAATAGGGTAAAAATTCGACGGTGGAATGCAGGTAGGTGGTCGCGAAAGAAGGGCTTTATAGTGCCTCACTTCTGGCGTCCGGGTCCAAGTGGAGAGGGGTCGTGTCCGCCGATGGCGGGATCGCGACTCTCGGTGGAAGTAACACTGAATGATACAGGCGGCAGCGGGCCGTACAGTTGTCCATAACGCTCCTCAAGTTGGCCGCGTAGGATCGCTTCTTCCAGGTGCCATCGGTGACGCAAGGCAGTCTTTTTCGTGTCCAGATCTTGGATCAGAGCTGTTTCTTCACTGCGATGCTCCCCCTGCAGAGTCACAACCTTCTTCCTATTTTGTTCGCGCAGGTCGTTGAGCTCGCGCTCCCAGCGCGCAATGGTCTCCTGCAGCCTGAGCTCCTGTCTGTCGCGCAGGACTTTGATACGGGCCTCATGCAGCGCATCCATCGACTCATGGTCATGGTACTGCTGTTCGAGTTGCTCTTTATGTTGCTTTGTGAAACGGCGTGTCGGCGGAGTTGTGTCACCTCCGGAGAAGGAACCGGAGGATCGTTGACCGGGTTGCGCAGGCGAAGGCGGGGGACTGGCGTTCCGAAAGTATCCTTCCATGTGTTTGATACGAGTGCGGGAGTTCATTTTGGCTCGATCGAATTCGCGCTGCTGTTCCATTTCAACGGCAAGTTGACGCTCTTCCATTCGAATGGCATCAGAGGTATTCTATTGTGGTTGCATTGGTTAGCAACAAAATCGGCGGCACCATAAACGTCGTCATGTCGGGGAGTACCTTTTCTTGCTTGGCATCCTCCAAGCGCTGGTTTTCCAATTGCCGCTCAGAGAGCGCCGCCTGGTGCCTCTGTCGGAGGATGCTCAAGGCCGTGGCTTGAAACGTGAGGTGTCGATCCCGCTCCATATGATGTCGCTCTCGCATCACACCCAATTCTGAGTCCTCCAAGCTTCGCTGTAGGGTCTCTTTATCAAACATGGGGATCTCCAGTTTTGTTTCCAGCGGGAACTCCAGCTTTGAGAGGGACTGTGTCGAGCTATCAATATTAGGGTATACTTCATGGCTGGTTGCCGGGCGTTTGGGTCGACTCTCTAAATAGACATGTTCCACGCCCCCGCCGTCGCCTTTCGAGACCGTGATCTGCGAATGAGGAGGCAGGACGACGGTGGACGGTCTGCGTTTCTTGCGGAAGTGGATGCGCCCAATGGCATTCTTCAAGCTGCTGCGCCGCCTTTCCTTCTTGTCGACCGAGGCAATGCTCAGCATGGACATGCGGTGCGGCGATGCCACGAGCGGCTCATGATTACCCAGTCCATATCCACCATTGATGGCACGACTCTCACTCGAGCAGTATGAAGTGGGCCGGGTCGATAGGGAGGCCAGTGACCGCGTGCTGCCGGGCTTGATGCGCTCCGAGGCGATTGTAATCTCCGACAACGACGACGCGACCTGGTCGAGCGGGGACGGGGCTGGCGAGGCGGGGGAGGAGGGGGAGGAGGGTTCGCGGGACGGGGTGATGGAGCCGTCGCAGATGGAATTCCGATCGGTTGAGGAGCCCGACGAGAGGACTGATGAGGAGAGATCGACCATTCCAGAAGCAATCGAGGCGGCCAGCGGCGCGGACGCCTCAATCTCCAGCAATTTCAAGCCCAGCCGGCGCGCCTCATCAGAAAGCCGTTGCGCCCGCGCGTGTTCTGCTTCCAGAGAGATGCCCAAGACCTGCTCTCGGTATTGGTCCTCATCCAGGAGGGGGAGCTCACCCGGGTGTGCGTCCATAATGTGTCTATGTACAGGACCGAGAATGATCGCAAAGGGCGCCTAGCCAGCGGGCGCACATGGACCGGGAGAGGGGAGGATAGAATGCGCTTCACGGGTAAAAGAACGGACTCGTCCACGGCACCACGAGCACGGTGGACGAGAGCGAGGCGCACAATGACGGCATCCGCCTTTGGAGGGGGTTGAAGGGATGGTGGAAGGATGTCGTGGATTGGAGGAAGTGCAGGAAAGAAACCGGAATTCGTGAGAGGGGCGGACAAGCGAGTTCCCCTGGATGTCCACGATCAGCCCTATTGATATTGACCGAGACACGGAAAGGAGAGAGAAAGAGAAAAGGATTATCTGATCATCTGCGTCCGCCCGAACTCCTTATTACATCGTCTCATGAAACCGGGTGACCCACGCGGCGGCGGCCCTGAGGCAATCCACGGGAGACTCGGACTCGAACAGGAGCCTCCGAACCAATTACTCGATGCCCAAATAAAAACAGAGCGCGCTATATACACCCCAAATTTACACCCCCATGCCCCTATATACGTCCCACAGTCTCACTCAAAAGCCCTATTGGCTTCGTAGGCTTGTGCCGCCATGTCACTACCCCCCATGCGCCTAATCTCCCGCCCCTCGTTCTGCAGGATCGCCACGTTGGGCAGGTAGGGCTTAGGGTTGACAGGCCCCGAGCCGCGGCTCGCGGGAGACCAAGAGACCAGAAACCATGGAAATCACAGAGAATGGAGTCGGGATCAGGTCAGGCACGGGGAATGTCAAACAGACTCAGGGTCCGGTAGGGAAAGAGGGAAGCGACCGACGATTGATGCTATGACTCGTTCAAAAAATCAACCGCCAGCCCATAGGCCCGATCTCTAGCCTGGCGTTGCGGGGTTCCCACCCGTGTGCGCTTGTCCCACGCATGGTTACAGTCGGCCATGCGTTCACGCACCACATGCCGTCCCGGCAGCTGCTGAAGCCTCGCTGCCAGCTCCTCCGCCTCTGGTGCCAGGAAGTCCTCCTCGGCCGTGATCATCAGGACCCGCGAAGGGAAGCGGTTGGAGTCGGCGAACCGGGGAGACAGACGCGGGTCGCGTTTATCCATGCCAGGGGGCACGTAGCACCGGGTGAACAAGCGGGCGATTGGTAAAGGGATAACTTGACCACGCGGCTTCGGTGCGACCTTGGTGGCGGCATCCTGGTTGAGATCCAGTGGCGGGTACAGCGCGATCAGCGAGCGAAACGTGTCAGGGGGGAAAAGCGTGGCCGAGGCCGCGAGTGCAAGGTTTCCTCCCGCGCTGAATCCAGAGAGTGACACGCGCGTCGTATCGAATTCCTCCGGACGGCCCAGCGCGTAGCGGATTGCATCCTCGACGTCGTTTAGCGCTGCTGGGAACGGGTGCTCCGGGGCTAGGCGATAGGGCACGTCTAGCACGGTACATTGGGTCTCCTGGCTCACACGGCGACAGAAATCATGGTCGCTTCCATGCAGCGGTAGCAGAAAGCCGCTACCGTGGAAGTTGACCAACACCGGGGTGGGACCGATTGTCGAGGATGAACGGTACACATGGACTTTGATGGTCCGCCCAGTCTCACGAGATGCGATATACCGTACTTCGTCCGGACGGGCACGTCTTCCTCCCAAGGCGGTGGCTAGTCCGACGACCGACCGTAGAAGGATCGCACAGACTTTCAGATAGCAGTAGGTGAAGATAGACATGACCTGTGGAGGGGAGGGGGAAAAGAGAGGTCCCCGACAATGTCAAAGGAACCACCTCGAAAAGGTCGTCGCTCGAGCCGAGGTCAGTTGGCAATCGAACCACGGCGGGGGTTCTTCACATTACTCCAGATTCTCTTACATAAGGTTATCCTGACCTATGTCGATCCAAGGGGTCGACACTGTGGTTTCAAAGAATAAATGCATGTGTTCAGCACTATTTAGTAGACCATATGGGTTTGGCCAAAGGTGAGCGAAGAATAGGCGAAATATATGATGTAGGTATTGCATATTTCATCCTCAGAAGAAGAATATCCATGTCTAAAGACTTTGGGATGCGACCAAATAGACTAGCAGTACATATGGTGTCGGCCTTTGATATCAGGGGCTGTCTGAACAACTCCTCGGCCAACCTAACCTGAGCTTCCAGTCTTTTGGGCTATAGTTCGAGACCGTCAATATTCGCCAGCCGTCCAAGAGATATCTTCGATCTCCGGAATGTCATGAGAATGTATTGCGAGCCATGATGAAGCAAAGAAGCTCCAAGGACCCAGCAAAGCATTCGTTCTATTCTGAGGGAACATAATTCAACCAGCTCATATGGAGGAGAAATCCTTGGCTGGGTACATACATACCATCCTCGGTACAAAAGCCACGATGTATCGTCAAAATTGCACGTTGCTTAGAAAAATGATGGAAAGACTGCCCTCAATATTCAACCCATATGGTCATTATTGTTTTCTTTGATTCAAAGCCCTGGAGCTCCCGCTGGCTATGTACTGACCAAATGTAACTTTCTTGAAAATGAGGGACAGCATTCGGTTAATTGACGCGATTTTCGGGGAGCTTGGGGATCAAACTACGTCAGTAGTTCCTCTGCTCCTTGGCATATGCACACTTGAGCTTTCTTCAGTTAGTGGGACCATATCTAGAACGGAGCAATGAAATCAAAAAATAATTATCGTTAGCTTATATCGAGGAGTTCCCACGACCCAAGCCAAGGACTATTAACCGACTAACCGTGAGCAGGGGCATCCGAAACTAGTGTAAACCAAGAAATCATTCGTCGTGACCTCAAGTATCCAAGTCAATTGAGAACTTTTATTAGAGAATCGAGTACAATTAGAGAGAAGGGAGAGATCTTGATTGTTTTCTTTTCCCCAAATATGCCCCTATCTATTTCTATAGGGTACAATTGTGGCGTTTTAATCTCATCCCTTGAAGCTGTATCGACCCCACAATTCGGCACAATTCACGGAACAGACTAGTTTGATGCACCAGCGAGCAAAACTGGCGTTCCTGGCAGCACAGATGACGAAAGAATTTGACAAAAAGCAAACAGGGCCCCTGGACGTTATCCAGATCATAAAACAAGGACAGAGCAGGTTGAAGACCCTTCCAGTTATGATCTGACTACATCGGGCCGCTCCACATGAAGGCCGACCACTTATTCTTTCTATCTTTGAAGACGGAGACTGTCTCTCCCAAGTTTTTTTTTAGAAAGAAAAAGCTTATACCAGCCACCGAATCCAGGTTTCAAGGGTTGGCGGTTGCTTGCAAGGAAAAAGTTGGCTTAGCTAGTTTCCCCGCACTTTTGCCGACGACCCGAGCTTTTACCCCTAGTATCCGATGCCATGCAGGAAGAGGTTACAAATATCTTTTTTGTGTCGCTGGGCGAGACCAGAAACTTCTCCACCCAGCGATCTGCCCCCATTGTCGACTGGCTGAATCACACCTAGCCAAGGAATGTAGGGAAACAGGAACCATGCAACATTTGGTTCCCAATAGGGAAATTTTCCTGAAGGACCAATTTTTAATGCCTCAGATCAATACCAGTTTGGGTTTAAGATCTAGAAAGCTCCTCTTGATTCCTCCGGCGGAGAGCCCAGCTAGTCAATACTCGTAACAATAGGAAAGCTATAAAAACTATGAGAGATACCTGTCCTATGGTACATTCGAGTGAAAGAGGTTCAAAAGCTCCTAGATAAGGGAACCCGCCATAATGGTCTCCTCTGTCTTGCCATCACTAGCTTTGGCCTGGCTTACAGGCCAGGCACTAGCAGTCAACTTGACGGTATCGAAAACCGGTGGAAATTCGTCCAGTCCGCTTCTCTATGGAATTATGTTTGAGGTCAGATTTTCTCCTCGGATGATATGATCCTGTACTAAACTTGCACTCACAGGATATCAATAATTCAGGTAACACTCTGTACACTCAACATGTACGTGCGATACTGACATGGAGCCAAACAAAGGCGACGGAGGAATTCATGGCCAGGTGCTTCGTAACAACGGTTTCCAAGGCAGTGATCCAGGGCTCACCGCATACAGCTCTGTAGGAACTGTGGAAATTTCTCAAGATACAACTAACCCCCTGAGCAGTGCCATTGCCTCCTCACTGAAGGTCAGCGTGCCATCTGGCACATCGGGCCTCGTTGGATTTGCTAATGAGGGATATAATGGTGTCCCTGTCCTTGACACCACTTACTTCAACTCCTTCTATATGAAGGGAGACTATTCTGGAGATGTTACGGTCAGACTGGTGGGCAATTCGACTGGAATTGTCTACGCAACCCAAAATGTGACTGTTGACAGTACTGCCTCCAAATTCACGCTCTATGAGATTTCATTCGTCTCTACTGAGTCTCCAGATGCCAACAACGTGTGGCAGTTACTTTTCGATGCATCCCAGGTGTCAGGCAGCTCGCTGAACTTTGGCTTAGCGCAGCTCTTTCCGCCAACATATAACGGGCGCGAAAATGGTCTCCGGGATGATGTGGCTAGTTTTCTTGCAGAGATAAAACCATCATTTCTTCGTTTCCCGGGAGGCAATAATTTGTGAGTCCAAGGGTGATGTAAGGTTCCTTCTAGCTCAATCCTGACTCATTTCGGTTTACAGAGAAGGTGCGAGTCCAAGTGACCGATGGAAATGGAATGAAACAATTGGAAATGTTGTCGACCGTCCTGGTCGTGATGGTATTTGGAACGCTCTGGCGGTTGGGAGAGAAACATTCTGATGTATGATCATAGGCGATTGGGGGTACCCAAATACTGACGCACTTGGTAAGTCCACTTCCTTTGATTCAAATTTTGAAGCTAAATTATACATAGGCCTCGATGAGTATTTCTACTGGTGCGAGGACATGGGAATGGAGCCATTGCTCGCCGTCTGGGATGGCTTATCGCTTGGTGGAGGAATCGTAACAGGATCTGACCTCGACCCTTATGTGGATGATATTTTGAACGAACTCGAGGTAAATAAGACACAAAATCCTGGTAATGGATGCTCCATACTTACTTAAAACAGTATGTCCTTGGTGAGACGGACACAACATACGGCGCCCTTCGAGCTAAAAATGGTCGTGAAGACCCGTGGTCAGTGAGATATATTGAGATTGGGAATGAGGACTTTCTCCAAGGCGGATGCGACAACTACGGGAGTCGATTCATACAGATTTATGACGCTATTCACGATAAATATCCTGAACTGACTATCGTTGCCTCCACTGCTGACAGCTCTTGCCTCCCATCTACCTTACCGGATGGTGTTATTCAAGATATGCACCACTATCTGTCCCCTGATGACTTCGTTGCATCGTTCAATGAGTGGGACAACTGGTCGCGCGATAGTCCAATTCTTGTGGGTGAATATGCTAGTACTACTGGAAATGATGGAAGTACAACATACTGGAGCAATATGCAGGGAAGTTGCAGTGAGGCTGTCTACATGATTGGCATGGAGCGTAATAGCGACGTTGTCAAGATGGCCAGTTTTGCCCCTCTACTAGAGCACTTTGACATGGCCGAGTGGTCGGTGAGTCTTTTAAGCCCGCATGATAAAGGCACCTTGTTCTTCAAATCTTACTGACTTCTATTAGCCCGACCTTTTTGGTCTTGACTCTAGTCCAGACTCCATCACTGGATCAACATCCTACTATGTGCAGAAGATGTTTTCGACCAACCGGGGCTTGACAATCCTTCCTGTCACCTCAGACAGCGGATTTGGCCCTGTTTACTGGGTGTCTTCGGTTTCAAGCTCCGGGACATATTATGTGAAGCTCGCCAACTACGGGTCTGATACCGAGACAGTAACCGTAAACATTGATGGCGCAACTTCGGGGACTCTTGAACTTCTCTCGGGTGACGAGACTGTCAGTAACTACCCGCACGACATTTCTATCACAACTTCCACAACGAGTATTTCAGGAAGTGGAACTTTCACTGTACAGTTGCCTGCATGGGCTGTTGCTGTATTGGCTGTGTCTTGATGAATTGTTATTCCGCCGCTGTTTTTGAAAGGCTATGGCGACCAGTCCACTCATATGATCAATAGAGTACTCTCTAAATGCGAAACTGAAAATAAATAATTAGCATTTGTTGATATCTCATAAAATAAACAATGGTCAAAATAACCATTTTGAGAATTTGGCAACAGAGTGGCCATTACTTTCGAGGTTATGGCCGGAAAATAGCTAAGATTGCATTGGAGCCAAACCATGCAGATTTATTCATGAATAGCAAAAGCCGTAAGGTTGAGAATACAGAGAAAGGAAAAACGTTATCGTCAGTCTTGGAGATGTCTGGCTGACTGTTTGGTAGAGTAACTCAAGTAGTAGTTATATATATCATCTGAAATAGACTCAGAAATCAGCGCCGTAACGCGCTAGTTAGCGAGGCAAGAGATGTTCAACACTCCCTGCCAGATATTATTAGTGCCTTACACCGTTTACCCAACCCTTCCGGGTTGTGGGTGCGTCACGCACAGACTGCCAACCACACCCAGGCTGCCAATTTTACCTGCTATCCTATATTTTGCTTCCCTATCCAATACCACCATCAAAAATACCTGAACTTGATGATTCTCGTATTGCTGAGGCCTGCCTAGCTGCATCACGTGTTGAGGAGCGGAATATTCCCCGTTTAGCACGTGAATTCGGTGTACAGGCATACTCTACATGATCGTGTTAAAAATAAAACAGGACCTAACACAGCTAAACGCTCTCTAAGGCTATCAAGAAGAAGCTTTGATTCTCTGGATTAAATATATGAGCGATTGTATGCCTAACAATCCTAGAATACTAGAAGCGTGGGCGAATCTTGCATACTAACGTGTGGGTAAATAGCGTGTTAGCGAGATGTGGGCGTATCGCTTCATCAATAGGCTTCCTAAACATCTTCAATTAGTCCTACTGAGCAGTATATAAAGGAGTATAAGCGAATCCTAGCAAAGAACCCAGCAGAATGTTAGGGCGCTACTTGCAGGGTAGCGATCTGTTGGTTAGGCAAGAAAAGAATGAATAGAAATATTGAATCATCATAGAATTATGGAATAACAATCAGGTATATTATTTAAATAACTGAATATTAAAAAGATTCTAGCTCGAAGTAAAGGGAGATGTTACTTCCATATTAGTCTTAATATAACTATCATAGCCTTCACTAAATGCATAACGATAAATGAGACCTGATTTCGTTATATTTACGCCTTATACGTGTAGTGTTCGATGATCGTGTGCGTCATACATACGATTCGTATCCGAAGTTGACCCGAATAACATCAAGTATTATAGATTCAGTTGTTCCATAACACTTTTAGTACAGGCGATTGGGGATTTCGCCGATTCAACGAGAAGAAGCGTCAAAAGCGCACACGTTCAAATCGCCAGGTATCTAGCAAGATTCAACAGTCCGCGAATCTATATTTCTAGATTCAACGTTGCCAGCATGCGTTGAAGGTATTCAAAACGATACTACAGAGCTTGCTCAACAGCAAAATATAGGCGCTGAGCCTACTACTAAGCGTGTTTTTCGGTATTCTAACTGTAATATTTTATTTGCAGATATAAGCATGACTGAAACATCAAGCTGATTAGTCACTTGAAAGAAAAGACCCCTTGACCAACTATCAAGCTGTTATTTCTATATAAATTTCAATAAACACTTCTTAATTATTGTTTAGAGGATAATATACCGTAAAAATTCGAGAAAGTATTTTGTCCCAACACAATTTTGTATCTTGTGTTGACCAGATAGGTGTAGTGCGTTGCTATAATATATGCGCGTACGAATATGATGCCCACATTACAAATGAGAGTATGTCACGCAGTGAAGGTGTAATCTTACGGCGTCTTGGCATAAAATACACGCACTATATGAGCCAATCAAACGGCAACTTTGCCGTCATCACTCTCCTCACCACAATCCTACGCCAACACTTCCTGTATCTCGCGGTCTCATCGTATCTGAGGAGAAACAAGACTCTCTCACATTTAATACCTTCTTCCCACACGTATCCTTCAAATAAGAACGTCTCACATCCTCACATGCTCTCATAACTACGCTCCAGTAGCCATATCCCTGATCGCGTTTTGGAACAACGCTCCGCTTAACCACCATCACCGGGCATACGCTATGGCGATGAAGACAAGCGCTAGCGATACAAAGTTCACAGTCTTCATAAGATTACCGTTTGAAAGAGGTGATTTTATTGATCCTCCGCCGGTAAGTGCCCTTGAGGGCTCAGTGCATACTGATTAGCCCACATCTACTGACCGAATCAGGTGGAATGGAATGCGGTAAAGGACCAGGCTCTTTGGGACATCCTTTCAAGGCCTTCGAAGGGCGACGATATTGATTGTATGTGTATCTTCCATACTGTTGAATATTTTAGCCCCTGTGTCTGTATTTATGGATCACTAATATCTGAAGCAGGGAAAGCACTGTATGAATCCTGTGCACTCTGGTCGGGTTTGTCAGTAATTGTTCAGACTAATATTGGCATAATAGCGCCGAGAACTTTGATGTCGATCTCCAGTTTCTGCTGCAGCAGGCAGCATGGCTCTACGATCGGAAACTGTCCATGGTTCGGGCGCAGATGCGCAAGGTCCCGCCAGTAAAGCCGAGTGAGAAGTCGAACATAGTGGCATCTGTGCCCGTTGTAGAAAGTGCCACAGCGAGTAGCCCACCTCAAAAAGGGCAAATAACTTTAGGTCCGTCTTTGGTGGCAATGAATATAGTGGATCATGTATGGGAAGCAACCGCTAATGATGGATTCATAGGCTTTCGAGCCCCAAGCCGGCAAGGGCCTCCCCAGCAAGATGCCTCTCAACAAGGTAAAGATAGTTATCCGAATATGCATGTTATAGAGATTCTAACTCGGCTTAAAGTCCCTAGCGGTCGGCGCACTAGTTCTACTTCGACGACCACTGTCAATCAGTTCCGTCACAATTGGGATACTTCTCGCACTGACACTCCGACTGAAGGCAGGGAACAGAGTTGGGAGCAGTATGTCCGGCCGCCGTCCGTCATGACAAGAGACCCATATGCCACGCCGTCATTTGGACGGTCACCTCCCATTGAAGAAGACGATTATTCCTCTAGCTCGGAAGAATCAGACTCTTCGGAGGAAGCTCCCCGTACAGGTCTTCGGTTCCGCAAATTCGGCCAATTCTCTACCCAACGTGTCGGTTTTCGCGATGATGACGATGACGACGACGATGATGCCCCGGCTTTTGCACCCCTGACCCGAGATTCCGATCAGGCTTCACGAGACCGATCGGGCGAAGAGCTTAGTGCAACCTTGCGGATGGGTGCCGATAGAGCGGCTCGGAAACGCCTGCTGGACCGGACGGGATCCCGACAACCTCCGGCTACAGAGTCATCCACGAGCTCATTGAGCTCCGGCGTTCGAGTCGAATCAACCCATAGTGATGCTCCTCGACCAGCTGGTCAGCCGTCTACATTGAGTCCTCACCGTGCAGGAGAAGCGCCCCGTCGAAGCCCTCGTCATCCTTCTGCGCCAGGACGAGAGCCTAGTGATGGGACCCCCAGTATGGGAAGCAGCTTTAGCGATCTAGACGGTATGTTCCCTCTTCCCTGAATCGCTCGTACTCAATTTTTCTTGAAGTTCCTACTGAATGAAGGGGCTCTTAGATGCTAGCGTTACACAGTCTGCTCTGGAGGAGGCTCTCGCCAGTAACATGCAACACGGAGGCATGGCCAGCCGCATGAGCACGATCAGTCATGCATTTCGCAGTCGGTATCTGCCATAGCATGACAGTTCCCGATCCGTTTGACAGGACTCATTCAAGGATGTCTTTTCTGACCCACGGACCCGATGAACCTGATAGTAGCTGCCGATGGGTCACTCTTCGAAGGGTCTCGGTACCGGTACTCAAGACTTCGTACTATCGTAGCCATCCCCTGCCGCACATACAAGTCCAGAAGCCTCCAGTCCATAGTGATGAAATCTACTCCGTACATATTCTCCGAGCTCTCCTTTCTTTTGCTTATCACGATGGGTCCCAGCAACATCAACTCCGTAGGCCCGAGTGCTCCAATGTACTCGGTACTTCCCGTCCTCGGTGTGTCTCCACGTGACCTCAACGGATCCGGGCACGCCTCGGCATCGGCGATGTGCACCAGTCATCGCGTAGACCAGAGCATCCAAATTGCATCGAATCAATCAGCCTGTCTCTAGTGCTCTAGCGTTGCGGAGTGACATTCAGCTTGTTGTATCGGTCCAGCGGCAGCGCTAGTGCTGGAACAGGAAGCTCTAGATCTCCACTGCCGTCAAACTTGACGGCGGGGCACTCAAGATTGCTAAAGCTTCAAGCAGACTCCCGAAAGAGCTCCTGGGCTATAAAGCAGGCCATTTCTGCTGCGTTTGAGCCATCTCAATCAACATTACATGTGAAGTAGCTATTGGCAACTGTGCTGTGTTGCTTGACAAAGCCACATCTCCCGGTCGCATCCCACCGATATACCCCTCCTACTAGCGGCAACCTCGGCTTCTTATTCGCGAGTTCAATTCGCCGAAGCTCGGTGTCTGCGATCAAACATTTTGACCTTGGTCGCCGAATCATCCGGCCTTCAACTGCTCCTCAATCCTCTTTCTCCCCTATTTCATCGCCATGGCCCCATCACTCGTTGACATGGAGCCTGCGGAGGCCGAATCCGTCTACTTCAATGAATATCCACCACCCAAGGCACTCCCCAAACACGAAGCTCTTGCGCGCGCGTTCATCGCTCGCCATGTGGAAGCAAACCGACGCGTAGTGCTCGTCACCTCAGGTGGAACGACAGTGCCGCTAGAGGCGCAGACTGTGCGCTTCATCGACAATTTCTCCGCGGGTACCCGTGGTGCCACCTCCGCAGAGTACTTCCTCCAACAAGGGTATGCAGTCATCTTCCTGCACCGTCAGTACAGTCTGTTGCCATACTCGCGGCACTACAGCCACTCGACCAATTGCTTCTTGGACTTCATGGATGAGGCCCCCCAGCCTCTGATTCAGAAAACCCCGACCATGGCCGGATCGTGGTGCGCAGCGAATACCAAGATGAGATGCGCGATGTGCTGCGCAAGTATCGCTACGCGAAGCAGAACAATTTGCTCCTCCTGCTTCCCTTCACTACGGTCGCTGAGTACATGTTTGAGCTGCGGTCATTGGCGAAGCTGATGCGGCCCTTGGGCCCGAATGCTTTGTTCTATCTTGCTGCAGCCGTGAGTGACTTCTTCATTCCACGAAGTCGTATGGCGGAACACAAAATCCAATCCTCCGAACTACCCGCACATCTCGATAAAGATAACGCCATTGGGTCCGATGATATCTATACCGGGGAAAATGAGGCCGAGCCTCCGAAGAGCCGCAAGAAGCTTGTCGTCAACCTTGACCCTGTACCTAAATTCTTGCACCGACTGGTTGACGGATGGGCTCCAGATGGAAGCATGGTCGTTTCGTTTAAACTTGAGACAGATCCCACACTCTTGGTGTATAAAGCACGGACCGCTCTGCAACGCTACGCGCACCACCTCGTTATCGGTAACTTGTTGTCCACAAGGAAGTGGGAAGTCGTCTTCATCACACCTGATCCGCCCCACGAGAGATGGATCCGAGTGCCCAAGGCCCGACGCAGCAAGAGCATATCTGGAGTGGAGGACCAAGTCGGTCTAGCCGAGATCAAGAAAGGGGGCTCTGGGTCTGCTCCGGAGACCGACCAGCCGCCTGCGTATCCACAGGGTGGCGACGATGGACTCGAAATCGAGAGTCTGATCATCCCGGAACTGGTGAAGCTGCATGAAAACATGATTCAGAAGAAAACAGAAGCTTCGTAATGAATGGATATTTTTCGGGCTCGGTTACCTTAGCATACATAATGAAAAATCTTCAAGGAATGCATTTTATCGGTCTCTGGGGGTCGATTACACCCAGTCATTCATTTTTTTGTCTGAACTTCCTCCGCAATCATCCTCCTCACAGCTAAAAGAGAGTAAGGCGGATTGCTATTCGGGCGAGACATACAGCCAGCAGGAGCAGGGTAACACGATAACCAGACCAACAGTATCTTGATCGGAGTCCTGGTGAATGAGATTTCTGGCGTTTGGCTAAAAGCTCACGAATTTCGGGATCATGGCCAGATAAATGGCTATTTTCTCTTTACTATATTGTAGCATCAGAACGGATAGTAAGAGGCGCGTTGATGTACAGAAAATACAGTCAGTCTACTCTCCGTAATAGGCCGCCCAGCCTGCACCATGGTGGACGGACTCAATCTTACGCACTTGAAATACACAGTCTATGTCAGGATGGAATTGGTTCGATCTCACATAATCAAATTTCCATAGTCCTGAGATTGCATTCTTCAGGTAAACGTGGGGCTTTCCCAGGGACTAGAATTCGCAGTGACCCCCGCAGAGCATTGAATAGTACTAGTAGCTTAATCTATAGTACGCTATGTCGAAACTCCACTATAGTCCACAATGCCATCCATCCACGGTAGTTTGAATAAATTGAAGAAGGTCCCTAGCGAGATATGTGTGTGTGTGTGTGAGAGAGAGAGAGAGAGAGGGGAGAGAGAAAAGAATCATTCTAGATAAGAAACTGGTCTCGATGCAGCCACCCCTTGCTCACATTCCGATCCTGCGTCTCGTCGTGCTACGCGTCCCGCTGTGTCAGCAACCGAACGGCAGACGCGGCCTCGTCGATCGCTTTAGCGCCTCTCCTTGGATCGTCCCTTGTGCAGGCGACCTGTTCTTTCAGGGACGATGACCGCCAGCCCTGGTGATTGACAAATTCAGTCTCTCAGCATGGTCCCCCGCCGTCGATTCGGCCGTCGCTTTGCTGCCATTGCTGCGGCCGTTGCCCTCTTCTTCCTGTACCACGTCTTCTCCCTACAATCCAATCTCTCGCAACCACGACCATCATCATCCGTCCCCAACAGCGCTGGCGCCCCCGTCTCCGTTCCCGAAAACAACGCCGACGAATCCACTCCATTGTGCCCGCCACTCCCCGGAATTAACGATGTGCTGGTGGTGATGAAAACCGGTGTGACCGAGTCTAGAGACAAGGTCCCGGTCCATTTCGACACCACCTTGCGCTGCGTCCCGCACTATGTGATATACTCTGACTTTGAGGAGGAGATTGAGGGTGTTAAGATCCATGATGTCCTCCGTGACATGAGTCCCGAGGTGACGGAGCAGATTCCTGACTTCAACATCTACAACCGCATCAAGACCTATGGTCGCAAGGGTCTCGAGCAGGACGACTTCGCCGACGAGGCCAATTCCGCCATCGGCAAGCCGAATAATCCGGGCTGGAAACTGGATAAATGGAAGTTCCTACCCATGGCCCAGGCTGCGCTGCGCCATAAACCCAATGCCAAGTGGTTCGTCTTCATGGAAGCCGATACGTACGTCTCGTGGCCAACCCTGCTGGCCTGGCTCGCCAAATTCGACCACAACAAGCCCTACTATCTGGGCACGGAGACCCAGATTGCCGACGTCATCTTTGCTCACGGCGGCTCGGGATTCATGCTTTCGAACCCCGCCCTGCAGCGAGCCTCCGACCAGTACGCCGTGCACCAGGTCGACCTGGACCACTACACCAACGAGCACTGGGCCGGCGACTGTGTCCTTGGCAAGGTCCTAGCCGACGCCGGCGTCAACCTGCACTACTCCTGGCCGGTCCTGCAAAACTCCAACATCGGCGAGCTGGACGAGTTCACCACCGAACTCTACCGCGAGCCCTGGTGCTACATAGCGATTGCACTGCACCACCTGAACTCTCAAGACATCGAGAACCTGTGGAACTTTGAGCAAAAGCGCTGGCGCGATGTAAGTCCTCTGTCCGGGCGAGTCGCCCACGCAAACTACACAATCCATTGCTAACCATTTTCCCTGCCCCTTACCAGAAAAACAAACGCATTCTCCTGCACAGCGATATCTTTCGTGAATACCTCTTCCCCGAGATCGCCCAACAGCCCACAAGACTCAGCTGGGACAACCTCGCCGCCGACGAACAGCCTTTCGCCACATCCCTCGAGGACTGTCGCCAGATCTGTGAACTCCAAAAGACCTGTGTACAATTCTCCTTCCGCGAAAACAAGTGCTACACCAGCGGAAAACCGCGCCTGGGCAACGTGGACGCAAAAGGAGGCGCGTCAGGCTGGTTCACGAGCCGGATCCGTGACATGGTGGATCGGAAGGGGCTATGCAAGGCGCCGGAGTTTGGCGGCCCCTAAAGAAAAGCTCTGGAATATACGTGCTGCTTCTGTCTTGTTTTTTTTCAGCATTCTTAGATCTTCCTTGATTTCTTCGGTGCTATGATGTCTTTTGGTTTGGGCCATTCTGCTTTATGATTGCATGCTTGAATTGGCGAGTTCTTGGGACGCGGAGTATAATTATGTGCATGGCATCAGCCCGGGGGGTTTATCAGCTCTGTCTGTTAGTGTGACTCCACTTGGCTCACGATGTTTTTTTTCCTTCGATTGTTACACTCGCATGGACACTTTGGGTTACAGAAAAAGAATTCTCATGCTTTGAAAGCGGCGTTTGTCGTGGGCCTGTATGTACATTGCGAATGACATTGTTGGAGTCTGATTATCTTCTACTGGCTCTGACTTCCCGAATCCTCGTTTTTTCGTGCGTCAAGAATGAGATTCCTTTTGTGTCGTAATGAATTTTGAGTTGGTCTCTTCTTGAAAATTTGAAGGAAAAATGGAGGCCAAAGGATGAATTCAATATACCAGTGTCCACCGAGTGAGTGACAGAAGTATAGACTTAAGGATAAATGTATAATACCAAGAAACGAGAGACGCGCCATCTCGACATCTATACAAAAGCAGCTGCTATTTCACTTTCACAGCGGCGGGCTGTTAGGATCCTCCAGGCACTGATCGATCCGCATGACTGTGAATCCGACACCCTTGACGTGTCGAATGAATTGTGGCAGATACCCGACCGTCGTGGGATTCAGGAAGTGCATCACGGCGAGATTTCCGCCGCGCGCAATGCCCCGGTAAAAGGCTTCGAGTTGTCTCTCTGGGGTCGATGTGTTTGCCCAAAGCCAATCTTCCACGTCGACACTCCAATTGACAATATAGGGGTTGTGGATATGCTTCGCCAAACGCTGCCGCATGCGCGCACCGACGGTTCCAAAAGGGGGGCGGAAGTATGAAGCTGGATCGGACATCATTAGCATTGTCTCCTAATTAGTTGTTTCTATTATCTTACAGCCAATATTGAGATTGTTTCTAAGGGTTCGGATCGATTGGACAATCTCCTCATCAATCTGGTCTTCCCTGGGAAGAGCCTCCATTCTGTGATCGGTTAGCGTTGACACAACAGACTTGGTATCTAGGCAGGAGATTTCAGTTCTCTTAGTAGCAGACTCACTTTGGGTGTGTGTTGGAATGCAACGCAACTTGATGCCCCTTGCGTATCATCTCCCGATAAAAGTTAGTGAAGTTCGTCGAGGAGTCGCGAAGACCGGCCCCAACCGCGAAGAAGGTCACCCGAACATCCTCATCGTCGAGAATTCGAAGGACTTCCTGCGCATACTGCGGTTGTCCGTCATCAATACCGAACGCAAAGGAGTTGGGACGACTGCAGCGAAGGATCAGTTGTCCACTCGGCAACTTGTCAGGAATCATGAAGTGATTGTTCTCCAATGAGGGCGCTGGAACATTCGACACAATCTCGACTCGGTACAAGGTGATCGGTTCTTTGGAGTAGAAGCCGGTGAATGAGACAGACACAACTCGATTTTGATTAATGTGGAAATGAGAGAGAGGAATGAAGAGCTCTGTTCTCTCTGGCGATGCGGGTGCTTGGTCTCGATCATCGTCGGACTCATCGTCATTATCATCGCGGCAGCTGTCCTTGTTGGGGCGCTTCTTCTTCGTTCTCGTGGACATACCAACGTTGTTCGAGTCATTCCATCCATCTGTATCATCTTTTTCCCGACTCCCTGATCGGGTCCTCATAATGTACCTCGATGCTTCAACGCTATCTGGCACACCTGGGAATGGGGCTCGATGCGGGTAGCAGTCCGCATTGTGCTCATTCAGCGAGACCGTAAATTCTTCGTTTCCTTCGAAAACGACATGCAAGTATTGATTATGCCAGGCCAACAGGCTGAAACAGCTCGCCGTATTGAACTGGGTATGGAAATTCTGATCTGGATCTGTTGGGAAAAGACGCATCTGGCCAGGGCGGTGTTGGAGCGTCAAGTTTTCACCGGTACCATGCCAGAATCCCAAGTCATTGTGGAGTGGATCTTGAAAGGTGTCTATAACCAGCGATGGCATTGGCCTTGGTCTTTGGGGTGCGCGATGTGTATCTTGTCTTGTCTCAAACCAGTGATGTTGTTCATAAGATCCATGGACCAGACTCGTTGCCGAAGAAACCAACAACAACAGGGCAATGAGTGGCGTAGATAAGGAAAAGAAGTATTGCATGATGAGAATTGGCCTGTATCAATGAGAGAATGCTGTGGTCGGTCGGCCAAGTGAGAGCAACGTGCAAACAACTACACTGGATTGCCCGGAGTCGCCGGTGGCTGAAGAAGTTCAGTGGATAGTTCTTCGGAAAGCACGATTGTACAATTTTGCATTTGGGAAAGTGGCATTTCAGCATTTTTGACGCATCTACATGACTTGAACAAATATCTTCTAGAACTGGGAGATTTTTTGTTGATATTAAAGACTACCTAGTCTTTCGTATTCAGAATTCTCGCAAGCCTCGGATCCTTGTAAGCCGTAAACAGATTCCATTCCTGACTGAAATTCTGCGGACCGACCTTGAAACATTCATGAGGCGATGAATGCCCCGGAGAACGCATAACTCGTATCTTGTACAAAGTGGAGGCCATGTAGAATTTGTCTATCGAGCTGGGCTGTTTGGCTTTCCTGGAGGTAAGTCTTGCTTCCGAGGTTGTGTAAAGCAAATCGAACTCCATAATGCAGAATTGGATAAAGAAATACCGTTATTATTTCTCATTCTCTCATTCTCGTGAAAAATGGTTTTATGAAAGTCTCTGAGAAAGCAAAGTGGAATCGAAATGAAATGAGGTAGATATATCACGTCTACCACTCGACGTCGTTCTTCCAGGATTCGTCAGCAGAAACTTTCGGCTTGGCACCGAGATTGCCTTTTGTTTCCTCATTCTCAGACTCATCTGAGTCCCCCTCGCCCCAGTTGAATCCTGGAGATTCTTTCTTCTTCTGTCGCTCAGCTTCGCTGTCTGTCGTGTCATCTTCGAAGGTAAGTTGAGCCTCAGAGGGCGCAAAGCCTTGGAGGAAGTCAGGAACATTCTGATTACTCTCCATGAGGATCTTCACTAAGTCTGAGGCAAGGTCATCATCGCGCTCGTTGTAAAAGGATGTTGCAAGCCCTTCGTTCCCAATCCGCGCTGTGCGGCCAATACGGTGCATATATTCGGTAATCCCACCCTGGGAAGCACGAGGGAGATCGTAATTAACCACATGCATCACGTTGATAATGTCGAGACCACGTGCAGAGACGCCAGTGGTAATCATGATCGGACATCTTGCTGTCCGGAATGATCGACTTTGAAGATCTATTAGTCGAAAGCCAATATTTGGTAGAGAAAAGGGTCATCAAATGCGTACATGGCATCCTCCCGCTCTCTCTGGGTTCTATCTCCATGCATAGAAGTAGTAGGAAGCCCTTGGTTAAATAGAAAGTCATCGACATAGTCAACTTCGCGCTTGCTGTTGACAAATATCAAGGTGCGTGTTGGGACCAGGCTCAGCAGTAAATCGTAGAGAGCTTGCTTCTTCTTTCGTTCATCCACAAAATGAACCTAATATTGCATGAAATTAATTGAAGATAAATTAGGCTTCTTCTGGACAAACAGTACTTACCACTTGCTGAATATGTCTGACCACACTTCCGGGACGTGAGATGCGAATTCGAATATGATCGCGCCCCAGGTAATTTCGAGCAAGCTTTCGACATTCCTTGTTGAACGATGCGGAGAACATCAAGTACCGATGATCTGAATCTTCATTGACATCTAGGATCAGGTCAATCAGTTAGGATCGCGAGTTTTTGAGAATGTTGATTTGAAAGAGAGAAAAAAAAAAAAAAAAAAAAGAACCCTACCCCCTCCAGACATGAGCCTTTTGAAATCATCTTCCCAGTCAGACTGTAGGAGCTCATCCGCTTCGTCGATGACAGTATAGCTTGACAAATATTAGTATGCGGCATCTTTGGGAGTTTATTGAACTGAAATGCACTCACCGAACCCGACGAAGAGACAAAACATTAGGCTGTCGCATGAAATCCAGGACGCGGCCTGGGGTCCCTATGAGAATGTCGCATCCTTTTTGCAATTCCTCTCGCTGGAAATGGGCTGGGGCACCTCCATAGACGACACAAGGACGAAGCATGGAACGATAACATAACCTCCGTGCATCGTCAAAGATTTGGTTAGCTAATTCTCGAGTAGGGCAAACAATGAGAACCAGAGGCTCTGCCCGTACTGCATGTTCAGCAGGATTCCACTGTTGAGCGATGTTAGGACGCGCGGCTGCCAATTTTTTGGCCTTACCCATAAGCTTCGACAGGATGGGAATGAGAAAAGCACCGGTCTTTCCGGAACCTAGAAGGGGACATGTTAAGCACACGAAAAAGATCAAGATCACAGCTACTATGACAAACCAGTTTGGGCAATTCCAATGACGTCTCTGTCCTCTTGAATCGCCGGGATTGTGTAGCACTGAATGGCTGTTGGCCATCCATACAGACATAGATGCAGATTCTCTAAGAGAACCGGGTGGATACCTGCATCTTCAAACTATAAGTCGTCAGCAGTGAGTTGACCAGCAAGTGGGGGAAGGACATTTACCTGAGCAATTGGCTTTAGTTTGAATTCACTCTCGATCTTAACATCATATGGCTCTTCTCGCCCAGATATCTTGAGTCTGCGAACGATTGTTTGTTAATTTAACTCCCCAAATGGGTAGGAAAAGAGCGAAGCATACTCGTTGAATCGGCTTCCAGCCCGTGGAATAAAGTCATCCTGGAACAGCTGCTTCTCCAGTTCTTCATTTCGAGGACCAACATCACCGTACTCATCCTTCCATTCATATCGGGCCGCCACACCAGCCCAGTCTGTAAACTCCTTGCTGTTGTAGGAGTCGTAGGTAAACGGAACAGGATCGGTCCACCCTTGTTTCCGAACCGCTTCAGCAGGCTGTCCAGTCTGTTTTTCGCTGGATGATGGATATTTTGGTGCATTTGAGATATCTCCCAATGCATCCTCAACTTTGTCGAGCTGATCCATCCTGGTGGAGATGAACGATGATGTTACAGTTGGGAGCTCGGAGGTTTGTTAACTGTGTGGTGAGAAGAACCACAACACCAGAAATCAGGTTGTAGATAGAACGAGCGGCTCCTGAAGTGTGTTGAAGAGATATATGTGGGAAAGAATTGACAACGACCAGGCAAAGTGTCGTTGCAGTACTGGTGAGAAGATAAATGGCAAGAGATAAGGGGAAAGTGTGGAGGGTGGGACACGGATGAGTGAAGTGAGAAGGTGGATGAAGAAGAAGAAGAAGGAGAGGAGAAAGAAGAGAAAGGGCAGGCAAGAACGTCAACAAACACGTCCGATGAGGTTCTTTCCTGATAAGAAAATGTTGATGGCAGGTTTGTTGCATGTCATGCCCGTCACGTGGGAGGGTTGAGAAGGCACAAAATAGCGAGACACTTTTGGGAATTGGAGACACTGAGTGATTGGGGGATGTGGACGATGCCAGCCCACCAGCTTCAGCACTTGGAACCAATAGTGAGACATTTTCATGTATAATTTTGCCTTGTCTGATGTCCACTACAGAGTATTGTCATGAGAGGGGCTCTATATCATGTTTGGTGAGTGAGTATATTACACCTTCTACATGTCACAGTCTAGGTTGACTACATGGCACATTTTCATGATCATGTTGATGTCTGCCTATCCGTATGGTGACCAAGTACATCTACATCTAACCACATGTAGGTTCATGAAAGAGAGCTTCTTCGTGATGGACTTCTCAACGTATCCATGTTTTGTCCCAAATTCGAGAGCAGTATACCAGGTACTGGTTGATGTGGGGGGCGTGGTATGACTATACAGCTCATGATGGGTGCATCCATCACTAGCGAGCCAAATATTATGATCAAGAAGGGCCAAGAATCTTGTATCTGGGTGCATCTCCATTGGGCTCCCTGTACATAAGCGGTAAGATGGTACGTGTCCATGGTCCGTATACGGGCTGGACCGTTGTATTTAGCTACTTCCCCTTATATACGAACATTAAACCGAGGCATCTGGAAATCTCCGATGGGAACCCTCCTGGCGGTTGCGAGGGTATCAGTCCAAGAATATAGATCGCCCATGAATACCTTCTCTGTATATTTGCCAATTCCCATACGCCCAGTCTAGGGAATGAACTCCGGAGCCCATACGGGTCGACTAGACAGGGAGTCTCTGTCTGTGTCTGCCCTGCTTCGGCTTCTGGGGGTGACCGGTCGGGAATTCAACGCTCCTTGGGGAGCCTCGGAAGCCACTGATCCTCGGCACCCCTCGCCCACAGGGAAACTGTTCGGCCCAGTGGGCCAGCCAAGGTTCCTCTCGGCGGCTGCGACTCAGCCGAGAAAAACGAGACGAGCGATCAGAACGATGGCAGTGGAACGAGTGGAACCCCGGGTGGAAGGAAGACGGTAGAAGGAGATATACGCGGTAAGCGTGGGCACGGGACCAACCTCCTTGCACTGCTCTCTCTCGTACATCTACAACTCCCCTCCTATCGCCATGGCTCCCTCTGATCGCATCGAGGAGCCCGACGCTCGGCGCAAGCGCCCGGCGCGTCTGGAAGAGGCGATCACCAATCCCGGCGCCGTCAAGATCAATGTCAAGGGCGCTTTCATCGTCGATGACGAGCCTCGATCGCGGAGTCCCGTTGAGGCTGACGGCGTGCACTACGAGAACAAGGATATCCGTCTACCGCATCATACGGGAGTTGTGAGCCATGTCGCCGTCGATGTAAGTTGAATTTCCTCTTTTCAACACACTCTCTCTTTCCTCATCCCTCTTTCCCTGTCTCGCCATGTTGAGCTTGGTGCCCCGCACCTGCGACCAACATCCCCGCAATCTCACCCGGCGGTCCGGAAAAAAAAAGTCACACGGATGGTGGCGGATGAGAAGGACACAACACAACTAACCACAATGCTTTCTCTAGATCGGAGGTTCACTGGCCAAGCTGGTCTACTTTACCCGAGAGCTGGACGCCGCCGACAATGGCGGTCGCCTTAATTTCATCAACTTCGAAACCCACCGGATCGACATTTGCATCAACTTCATTCGGCAATTGAAGGAGGAGCACGAGAAGCGTAATGGCACTGCTCGCGACGAATTATGCGTGGTTGCTACAGGTGGAGGAGCCTTCAAGTTCTATGATAAATTGAAGGAGGCGCTGGACGTCAACATATTACGGGAGGAGGAGATGGAATGCCTGATCATCGGTAAGTCTCCGGTTGGCTAAAGGATCACCACAAAGTCACCACATCTCTAACTGTGCTGTTTCCGTCAAATTAGGGCTCGATTTCTTCATCACCGAGATCCCCAACGAGGTGTTCACGTACAGCGACTCTGACACAGAGCCCATGAAATTTGCCGAGGCTCGACCCGACGTTTACCCCTACCTCCTCGTCAACATCGGCTCCGGCGTGTCAATGATCAAGGTGTCCGGCCCTAGACAATTCCAACGGGTTGGTGGGACTCATCTCGGCGGAGGAACCTTTTGGGGGATCATGTCCTTGCTAACCGGCGCCCGAACCTTTGACGACATGCTGGCCATGGCGGATCGCGGCGATAATAGCGGGGTAGATATGCTCGTCGGAGACATCTACGGGATGGACTACAGCAAGATTGGGCTGAAGAGCACTGCCATCGCCAGTACTTTTGGCAAGGTCTTTCGCTTGAAGAATGCGGCCGAGCGTGGCGCTGAGGACGGCGAGGGCTTGATTCATGAGGATCCTGAGCAGAGTAACGGCGGTGTCAATTTCCGGCACGAGGATATGAGCCGAAGCCTTCTCTACGCTATCAGGTATGTGGCTTTTTTCCGCGGCCTTGCATAACCGGCGAAAGAGTCCATCTAATTACAGACGACGACCTAACATTTTCTCAGTAACAACATTGGCCAAATTGCCTACTTGCAGTCAGAGAAGCACCAAGTCAAACACATTTACTTTGGAGGTTCTTTTATCCGAGGCCACCGCCAGACCATGAATACACTGTCTTATGCCATTCGCTTTTGGTCCAAGGGCGAGAAGCAAGCCTATTTCCTGCGCCATGAGGGCTATCTGGGTGCAGTCGGTGCTTTCATCCGCCGCCAACCTCAGAACTGGGGACGCCGGAACAGTATTGACGAGGTGGCAGCACCGCAGGCGGTCCGAAATCTTGCTCAGAATAATGTCTTGGATCATGATCATGATCAGAATGGTGCATCTGCCTTCTCATGAGTCTGTCCATCTTCAGCTACTTCCTTCCCCCTACTCTATATTTCTCACAGATGATCGACTGGCGCCCAGTTCAACATATACACATGGACGCCTCTATCATCGCCAGCTGACAAAGCTGCCATTATTCAGCTGTTGACATAAATCAGCCTTCATAACATCTATGCTGCGGATCCCTTACTCCGTTTCTCTCGAAGACTAAGAGAATCAGAAAAAATGGGCTACTTATACCCAAAGAAAAACACCCCACAACCTTTCGTCGATATACCCCACTGGATATTTCATGTCAACAAATATTACATGTTAGAAGAGTTGTTTGCCAGATAGAAACGATGACAGGATGCGTGTCTTTATTCCGGCAGACTGTTGATGTATTAATTAGAACGCCTTTGGCAAATCCCATAAGTGCATATTTGATAGGAGGCATCATTTGAAAGCAACTGATAGTTTACTGCCCGGTACAAGCAACGACATAAGAGTTACCGTTTAATAACATCCGCCATCTTGCTGTGGTTTGTACGCAGTGGTGTGCAAGGGCAACAGTGTGACATTGCTGCATGAGATCGTTCGATGGACTCTTACTTTAAAAGGCCGCGCTTCCTTCATAGATTCATTCATATCTCCTACAAACTTTCTTCTCTGTCTTCCTTCACATATTGACAAAATTCTTTTTCGCACCTCTGTCACAAAATTACTTTTTTTTCAATACTGCCGAGAACTAACTCACGGTATTTATGAATAGTAGCTCCCTCTTTCAGGCTCTTTCCACTAACCATCCTTGACAGCAAACAATCCTGCTCCTCTTCTCTTTGAAGCGGCTATCCTTGCTTTTCAAGGAAATGGAGGAAACAAAATTACCCTCACTCAACTTCAACGGTCGTGACTTCGACTCGCTCATAGGGGATGTCAAATCAGGAGATGACACTAGTGATTTGTCAGAGATATCGATCGAGGCTCCCTTCAAGTTCTCCGAAGTGACTACATCTTCACCTCCAAACCAGAACTTATCCAGCGATGTCTATGATCCTTTCTCTACACCTGATCAGGGCAAGACCAGGAAGGATGGAAGAGAGGAAGTCAAAGTCAGAGTCTCGTCAAAGGAAGAAGAAAGACCAGATGCGATCATGGTGCCCAAGATGAAGGACACCTTAGAAATGAAACGCTTGAACAGCCCTGATGGAAAGGGGCCAAACTTCGAGTCTTCTGGTGTTTCCGAGATCCCGGAAGATGCCAATTTCGGAGAGATAAACATGATCAACCAGAGGGAAATAACCCCATCTGAGCTGCAATACCATTCTCCTTCAGCTCCGCGAGTCACCGTCTCAGTCTCACCGAAAACTGGATTGGCTGAAATTAGTGAAGTGGACATGAAAGACCCTCGGAATGGGGAATTAACAACATTTTTCAGTCCACAAGACAATAAGCTATTTGGTTTCTGGTCTCTCAGTCAGAATAAGAAGCCTTTCCCTGAGACTCTATGGCCTGAGGTGCACAAGTATGAAATGCAACCCACGAGCTCCCAGCTTCCATTCCACCGGTATCTATCTCACACGAATTATGGAGATAGCCAAGTATTTGACGAAGATGGGGATGAGCACTTCTATGTCACATATCAGATGGTTACAGGACAAGACAGCATCTCCAGAAGGCGCAAAATACAAACTTATTACATATGTGTCGTGTTCTTTGAGAATGGACCACCGAAGTTTGTCAAAGATGTTCCCAAGGCTACATGTTTCCAAAAGAGGATACGCGAAAATCAATGGTATCATGAACTTGGAGGATCTGTGGATGGAAAGTATCTTGTTGCATGGTCGAGTGAGAGGGGATGCTTTGAGAAACGCATATGTGCTGTGCGAGTTTGGAATTCACTAGGCACACGGCTTTCTTTTGACAAACGGATGTTTGATCATGCTGCGAAAATTTCCAAGGAATCGAGGATCTCTCCATGTGATGAAAACTCTGTCCACACTGATGAAAAATCGCGCAAAAGATCCTCGACTTCTGTGGTTACAAAATCCAACGGAAAGGCCGCGGTCAATTTCGAGTTGTCTCCCAGCCTGGCTCTGCATCCTAGCAAGAAGATTAAAATGGAACAGTATGCTGATGAAATTTCCCCATTTTCGAAGCCAACTGCAACCCTCCTATTCGGTGAACCAGAAATCAAGTTCAAATTCATTTCTGAAACTTCAAACTCTGTTCGGGTGATCAAGGTGCACGGCAACGATATTGAATCTGTCTTCAAGAAGGCCAGGGAATTCTACAAGGAGATGGACCTTCCCAGTGAGCTGGCTCTCCTATGTAAAGTTCCTGGTATGGAGGGCCAACGTTTCATTGGGGAAGGTTGTCAGGATGAGCTTGATTCGCTGTGTGACGATATCAAGCAGCTTTCCCTGGGGAAGGAGAAATTTTTCACTGTCAATGTGACTCCTGCTGGAGTGCAGTGATTTTATGGCTTGCTTGTGAAACTTTTGTTGGGGATGAGTATCAATTTTTGAGAAATTTCAGGAAATCATTCTGAGTGTCATGTAGGTTTAGGCTGTCATGATCACTTGCTCTTGAACATTATCTAGGTTGTGAATGCCAAGAATTTTCACTGGATATATCAAGTTCCAATTTGATTGCATATAGTGGAGAACATGCAATCGAAAAACCCTAGACAGCACGGAGGATAGGAAGTATAAAACCGTTGCCTGAACAGGAGGCCAGGGCTGGTCAGAGTCACGTGATTTAATACTACATCTCCATGCACGTGGGATTGCGCGTTCTGCAGCGCAAATCATCTTCACACCTTGCGAGGCCAGGTTGCTCTTTTCACCAACGCCATGCATCAATGCTAGTTGCCTCAGCTCGATGAATTCCCCACCATCATCGTTGTCCCCAATCCCGCCGCCCATCCCCGTCGACACTCACCCTAATCGAGCCTCTGGGGCCAGGCCTCCTGAATCAGACCGGATCCCCGACCCCGATCGCCTGGCGCCGGAAGATGCATATTTTGCACCGGCGCTGTCCAGAGCACGCTCAGCCCCAGCCAACTACGAGGATAGCCTGCAGTCTTTGAATCGTGACGGCTCGGTCGGTGCGACGTTACGGCCACCGCGGAGGGTGCTTGGCGCGGATCCGACTCGGAAGGATGTGCGGAAATTGGGAGGCGTTGGCGGACGCCGGAGACGAAAGGGAGTTTGGAAGAAGTTGCTCTGGGTGAAACAGTCTTGTATGGTCTTAAAAGCACGCTGTCCTGATGGAAGCTGCCATTAAATGGAGGATGCTGACCGAGCGATGACCAGATCCGGACAACTATACCGATACCGAAACCTTCTTGGACCACCTCCAACGAAATCCGCGAGTACGCCCATACGATTTCTGGCCTTTGGTCTCCGACTCAACTGTAATTGTACAGCATGTTTGTTCCGTTGTTATTTTCGTTTGCTGCTTCGTTGGCATTGTCCAGGACCGAGTGAGCCCTGTCTCTATTGTCTGCTGGGGAAGTGTGGGAACGGCAATGGGTTGGATTCTGTGGGACAATTGGATATGGACCGAGCAGACCGAGCTCCTCCTGAATGCCAATGGCGCCATCGGGGGTGACGATGGATCCAGCTCCAGTTCGATGAACAGTGCCGTCCACGCCTCCAGCAACGGGCCCATACCTAACGGAACGAAGACTAGCCCGATACATGGGCTCGGTCTGACTATGGCTGAAAATGAGTTGAAAGAGCAGCTTTCCCTGGGGGCTGCAGAATTCAACGGCGGCTTGGGCGGAATGGTTCATGCCGCACTACAGGCTGGTACATCTTCCATGTCACCTAGCGTGGCTGTTGACAATCTCGATGCTGAAGATGATGATCGACCCTTTTTGTTCTCGCCGCGCAATCTACAGCGCCTGTCGACTGTCAAGTCAGCTTTTTTGATTTATTTCTCCCTGTTGGGCTTGAGTCCGATCTTGAAGTCCTTGACCAAGTCTACTGCGAGTGACTCTATCTGGGCCCTAAGTTGCTGGCTCCTAATCATGAACATCTTCTCTTTCGACTACGGGAGTGGCGAAGGTGCCGGCGCGACGACCAAATTCCCAGCCTCCCTGTCAACCAACGCGGCGGTGATGGCGTCCACTGTGCTTGCATCTCGCCTGCCATCAACTACCCATGTGTTTAGCTTGATGCTATTTTCCATGGAAGTCTTCGGACTTTTCCCCATTTTTCGCCGTCAATTGCGTCAAAAGTCCTGGACTGGTCACGTCCTCCTGACTCTAGCTCTCGTCATCATTGCAGGGGGTGCCGTTGGCACCACCCTAGGTGGAGGCTGGGCTTCTGCGATCATTGGGTCCATCCTTGGAAGCATCTTGACTGCACTCGCAATGGGTGGCTGCAGTTGGTGGCTCATCAGCTTGCAGAAGTACAAGAATGTGGTCATTGGGCCTTGGGATCCAGCACGTCCCATTATCAGGCGACACTGGAACTAACATGGTGCTCTCAACCCGATACTTTTCTCTCCGATTGCCCTTGGCCGATGCCATTCGACACTGTGACATAGACCCGGCGTTTCTCTGAGTTTCTGTTTCTTATACCCCTAGATTACTGTGTTTATTTCCAAAGAAGTTCTCATTACTTTCTTCTCTTTTGATCACCATTGAAGGACTGGCCTTCTCGGCTACGTAGTACAACAATCCCGCCCCAAGCACGACCCACGCTTTTGGAATCGTGGCCAGACCTTCATCTCATTGAAATGGAACCCAGGTCAGTAATATAACATCCTACTATTGGAGCACTGGGAGTGCTGAATATTCGGTGACGCTGTTGGAATGTGAGTGGTGAGGGGAATGAATGCGCCTGCGACCTGGCATGCCAGCGCAAACCCCTGGTCCAGCGGCGACGCTTAACACTCTCCAATCTCGAGATCTAGCTCTTGATCATTATACTTTCAATCATCTCGGTAGCTCCCAGGGCAGATCGAGGAGAACTGCTTTGCCTCGCCCAGCGACCACGGTTCCTAGGAAACAAGCCTAATGCCACCCGGTGTGCCCGACATTCCCAAGACCTCCCTAACCTTCAACCTCTCCTTCCCCAAGTTCTTCCGCGGCTATTGCCTCGTTGCTCGAGGTCTCCACTTGTGCGCAGGGATAGAATACGCGCCCCGCAGTTTGATCCTGTGGACCTGATTTCGCTTGAGATCCCGAGGATGCGCGCATGCGATAGGGCATTGCGCCCTTCGGCCGAAGAACAGGCCAAGCTCGATGGAACGATGATCATTCTGAGCATGTTTTGCAAGGATGTCCATTTTGCACATAGTTAATATCCGCGTCTCTCGGCCTTGCGCGAGGTTTGTGTACCGTTCTCTCTATCCTCTCGCTCGTGGTTCGTGTTTACTACAGCTCCGTGCTGCCCTTTCCCCTTCCCCTACCTCCGTGAGCTGGGCAATTCCTCCGGCCTGGTATTTTGTTTCATAAGTCATTCTTTTCGACATTGATTTGTCTCTTTTACCTTCAGAACCTTGATTCATTGACCACGATTGCTCCGTGATATCGGCTTTAGACATGTTTAAGGAACTTGCTCTCGGCTTGTTGGCCGCTCAAAGCGTCGCCGCAATGCGGTTTGCTATGTACATCGATGAGTGTGTGCCTGTGTAATCAATATTGTGACAATATTGAATTGGATCTAACCCTTCATGAAGGTACCATACAACCGATCTCCCCGGTACCAACCAGACCATGAACATCGATCACGCCATTATGGGCTTCGCGCCTACAAAACTGTTTAACTCGGACTCGGCGCCATCTTTCACCCCTTTTGAGTCCGTGGACTCGATGCGCAAGCGCTTTAGTCCCAACACCAAAGTCATGATTGCTATTGGTGGATGGGGTGATACCTCGGGCTTCTCGGACGGAGCGAAGGATGACACAACCCGCAAGCGTTTTGCAAAGAACGTTGCTTCTATGCTCGATGCTAACGGATTTGACGGCGTTGGTATGCGTGTATTCATCTTTAAGGCTGTCATTCTATCTAATATATTCTTTAGATATCGACTGGGAGTACCCCGGCGGCAATGGCCAGGACTATAAGCAAGTTCCCAACTCGGATAAGGTCTCCGAACTCGAGACTTACCCCAAGTTCCTGGCGGCGCTCCGTGAGGCTATCGGCAACAAGACCCTCTCCATTGCTGTACCTGGCCGTCGACAGGACATGATGGCATTCACCAAAGAGCAGGGCCCTGCGATTTTCGAGTCCGTCGATATGGTCAACGTTATGAGCTACGATTTGATGAATCGCCGCGATAATGTCACTGCCCACCACAGCAGCGTGGAGGGATCTCTGGACACCGTCAATGCATACCTGGACATCGGTCTGGACCCCGAGAAGATCAACCTTGGCTTCGCCTACTACGCCAAATGGTTCACAACTGATCCCAACTCCGACTGCGACACTCACCCGCTGGGCTGCCACGTCGTCAAGCTAGAGAACGATGACGGAAGTGACAATGGCAAATCCGGTGCTCTAACCTTTGAGAAGAGCGTCCTCTCGGCTCCACCAAAAGACCTCAAGACCTCATATAACGGCAAGTGCGGTGCTAGTGATGGAAAATGCCCTGATGGACAGTGCTGCAGCGCATATGGCAACTGGTATGTCTCCTCCTACAATAGCATGAAGATATTTCTAGGGACCACTTCAAAACTAACCTCGAATAGCGGCTCTGGCGATGACTTTTGCCAGGCAGGCTGTCTCTCGGACTACGGCACCTGCAAGGGTGTCTCGATCATCGAATCCTGGCGGCGCGCCTCGAAGGACGGCAAGACTGACGACGAGGCTGGCGGCCAGTACTACTGGGATAAGGACACCAACCTCTTCTGGACCTGGGACACTCCTGATCTGATCACCCGCAAGTTCAATGATATCGTTACTAGCAAGAAACTCGGGGGTGTGATGGCCTGGAGCCTGGGTGAGGATACCTACGAATTTGCTCACCTGAACGCGATGCAAGAGGGCATCAGTCAGTCTACCCAGCAGGATGCGGATGAGTGAAATTGTATCGATATGTCTGGTGATGTTGGTGGTGGATGTTCTTTTTTATTCCATGGAGTCTGGGTGATTCGTATGCATCGAAAATCATATCTTGATATACTAATTACATTTGGTGGCAATCTATTAATATGGCCAGACCGTGGTCTAATGTTAATTCTCTAATCGCGGATTCTCAACGCTTTTTCTCTCATGATATTGTTTTCAAAGATTGACAGCATCATACCATTTCCGAAGGCTTCACCTCCATGAATCTATTTACTCACAGATCAAAAGCACATGCTCTTTATTACATTCACTTGCAAGTAAAGCTTTTCCATAGATCATCATTTATAACGAAGAGTCCGACTTCCCAGAAATGGAGGTACAAGAAAAGAAATCCACAGTCATGCTATATCAGAATCATTGTACATGTCCATTAAGTAGCCAAAGAACATACCTTTCAAGTAAAAAATGACTCAGTGTTCTAAATACGGCGCGTCTGACCTATATGAGATGATAAAATATCCTTGATATCTCCTTAATATGGAACTATAATACACCGACATATAGCCTATGTGCTAGAGATATATCGCCCTGGATTTCCTTAATATGCAACTATAGGACACCAACATATAGCCTGTGTACTAAAGATACGTATATCTGACCCACATTACATCATCCCATAGCTCTCTCTGCGGACTGAGCGAACAACAGACAAAAGGATTCGACTAAATCGAGCTATTGATGGAACCACTAAAAAAATTTTGTTTGCTTCGCTGGAAAGAATCCTGTATATTTCACGAATATTATTATAGCTCTCTTCTAAGATGTCACCAAAATTACCAGACCGAATCGCAAGATAACATCTGAACCGCATCTTCATAAACCCTTGCTTTCACGCAACAAAGGACTCTAAGAACAACCAGAATCCTTCCTCCTACCAGGGTCAGTCTAGAAATCTGATCTTTGTACTATCTATAACTAATTTCTAGCGACTTCCTGACCAGACAACAACCATTTACTAACATGGCATCGAAATTGGCAAGAGATTGCAGTCAATCAGCGCCAGATGTAAGCGGTCAAGCTCAGACAGCAGAAGCTGTGGGTGACATGCAACGGGCCTTGAATCGGCAGAAGTATCTTCGTGGTAACAAAGATAAACAGGCGGGGCGAAAAGGGGCATTGGAGTCTATGGTCCAGGAACCCGTTCATGAAAAGGATCCCAAGAAAATCCAACAAAGGGGCGTCCGCCGGCCTGGTCTTCCTCAGCAGTAACTACTCTGTACGAACATGAGAAATAGATGCGGGCAATGAGATCAACTTCCAAGAAATATTGCTTGCAATTTGAATCTTCATATTCATGATATTTGTGTCTAGTTGCACCCTCCGGGTCACTGTAAGAAGGGTCCTTTTTATCGATTAAGGATTCTAGAGTAACCTCTGGGTCTACCCCTATCTCCTCTCTTAGTGCGTACTTCGATAATAGCGGCGGTCTTCGAGCAGAAAATCTTGTATTGTTCCGAATGACGGAAATTGAGCATAATTGACAGAAACAATGGGTATCACGCAGCAAAAAGCAATAAATAAAAGCAATTAAAAGAAAGAAAATAAAAGACGTAGTCTCAGGTGTTCCTTATCAAGCTGGAAATATTCCGTCGAGAGCCCAGCTCCACTTAATTACGAGCTCGACGCAAGTGCCACCAGTGCTTCTCGCCCTCCAACGTCCACTCGCGTTGCCGATTGTTCCAGGCTCGTAGCTGCCGCTCGTGCCCAAGCAAGCGCACCCGGTCCCGGCCGCGATGAGGATATCGTTCGCGCACCCAGTACTTGAGGACGAGCTCTAACAGCTCGAGCATGAAGTAGGCGATAGGAACGAGAACGAAGATGAACAAGGCCAGGCACTCCGGGCCATGACGATCGATGACATCCAGCACATCTACCGTCCGGGCGTAGGTGATGGTACTAGTCGTGAGATTGAAATTCAAGTGCGAGGCCTGGACCAGGGCGGAGAGGTCCTCATCGCATGCATGCTTGTTGGAGAGGAGTTTGCCTAATCGCCCGAGGAATGCGCCATAGCGGCTTCTGGACCGGGTTTCTGGGTTCTCCTTGGGCTCTGAAGGGGAAAGAATCTGGCCCTGGGTCCAGGGCGAATTGGTGGCGGCGTCGACTGTTTCTGTTGTCTGTGTTTTGGTACGGATGTGTTTGACGTACTGTTGGAAGGTTGGTCGATTTGATTGTTCACTTTCCCGGCGAGGAGCATCATCGTTAGGTGGGCTGACGTGCTGTGATAGGGGCCGGGGGGTGTTTTTGAAGCGAATGCTTGGAGTATCGCTAGTCAGGACGATTTGAAAGGGCAATGCAGCGGTGACAGCCGCATAGATGCACAGCAGCCACAGGCAAGGGACTTTCATGATGGGGTTTGGGGGGTGTTCCCCAGAGTGTTAGCCGGAGACATGGAGAAAAGAGAGCGAGAAGGGGAGACCCTGAATTTAGAGCCTTCCTAACTTTCAAGGGCGTGTTGAGCATCGTTTCTTCCGGGTCCGTTGGAGACCAGCCACGCCGACATGTGGTCGGTACGGCCCGCTGATTGGGCGCTGGGCGGGCCGGGGTTGGTGGAACCCCTGCTTATTCCGGCAGCCTACGACGATGGCCGATGAAGCCGATGAGGGCGTCCTGCTTGCAGCCTGGGGGTTGAGAGTGTTGGCTTGAATCTTGAAAAAGTCTTGACTGGCCGTGAGACCAATGAATGGGAGAAGGGCCGTCATGCAGTATTCGACGTCCACTGAGATCATTCGACAACTGCTGCTTACATCAGGAACTAGGGAATTAAGAATGATCTGCCACGCGTAGGCCCAAAATCCGCTTCATCTCCTTCTAGCGTTCTATATAACCTTGAAATGAGCATGTTCTGATGAAACATATAAAAGAAGGATCTCTTGTCTCATCCACGGGCAGATTTCACGAGCATCGCGGGTCTTTCTTGTCCATACAGTTCGCATACTCGAGACAAGACTTGCCCCCTTCGCCCACCATTCCAACCTTCGCAGGCATCCCTCCTCCCTCCCGGTTTCCATGGCCGAATATACGTGGTGCGAAAAGGTGCGAAAAGTAAAAGTAAAAAAATAAAAATAAAAATAAAAATAACATGTCTCCATCTTCATCCCCACAAGGCCTGTAACTCGAAACCAGGCTCATGGAAACAGAGTTGCCTATTGAATGCTTTCGTTAAGTACGCAAGGCACCAGCATTTCCAAGAACCCACCCATCCGAGTCATCAAACTAATCAATCAATTCATTCACTCATCATGTATGCATTTGAGGATGTTCCCACGGGGGAAAATAAGGTAAAAAACAACTGGTAGAAAATCAAACGCCAGCTTTATACAAGTCGGGCAGGAGCCAAGCATTTCCCGCCAAAAAGCTTGATTCTTCCCAAGCTCCGAGCTTCTCTCCTCCTCCCCACAAAGGCGATCTACTCCGCAGTCCCCGTCAATACGATCTCCTGCATCAACCCTGTAAAACCCTCTCCAATCCGCGCCAGCGGCGCCTCAATCGCAATCGGTGCCCACACAAAGTACTCTCCGTTGACTCCGATCCTCGTTGTGAACTCCATCGTCGATGCGCCCCGCGGTCCAGACGACACGCTCAGTCGCGTGATGTTGCCCTTACCGACAAGGCGGACGTCGGTCCATGTGTTCAGCGGCAGGGTATAATTCAGCGAGTAGGGGTTGCCGCCGGAGATCAGGGTCGCGTTGGAGATGGTGCCGTTGCCGTGGGTGAAGATCGAATCCGGGCCGGCGAAGAGCGTGCCGGGTGTCGATGATGTCGGCTTCACCCGGAACGAGAGTGTGTAATCACGACCCTTGCTGCCTAGGGGCGTCGAGAGGTAGCACCCGTCGCGGAGGTGGAGGGTCGACGAGGAGACTGTGCATCCATGGAGGGTGCCGTGGTAGCCGTTGCCGGAGTGATCAGTGACCGTGGAAGAGCTGTCGTCGGCAAAAGTATACCGTAGGATCGTGTTTGTTTGGCTAGGAATCGCACGGTCTAGATTCTGACCCGGCACGGCAGCATGAAGCGCGTCGAAGATGGCCAAGTATTCAGACTCGGTGATGTTGCCGCCCCATTGCTTGTCCGCAAGAGCCGGCAGCGCGTCGCGCCAGGAGTAGTACGTTTGCAGGGCCGTGGTAGAGTTGGGACCGTAGTCGTTCCAGAGGGCGGCCAATTCGCCTAGAACACGGGGGTTGTTGCGGGAGGGATTATCCCCAATGGTGCTGCTGTCGAAGACAATTGGCGAGTAAGGGGCGCCGAAGGGTCCGTCGAAGATCTTGCCCAAGTCAAGGACCTGGTCGAAGGATCCGGACCAGCCGCCGACTAGGTAGAGATAGTCGTCCGAGTTAAGAACGTTGTATCCATTCTCGATGTAGTCATAGTACGGCTGGTCGGCGCTAACGTCCCAATGCTGGTAGGAGATGGATTTTGATACATTAGCACCCTGCTTGGGCGTGAATGTGCCCCAAATCCGCATCGTCTTGGTTCCACCAGTCTCATCCTGGATGAAGGTGTTCATTTCATTCACAAACTGGGTGTAGTCAGATACGAGACTGCTGTCATACTCATCCGCGCCGATATGGACCACTTTGCTATGGAACCACGGCAGGAAGGTCTTCCAGATCGTCTTCATCGTCGGGATAGTCTCCGAATGGCTGATATTGAGCATGCTCAGGTCGCCCAGACCCAACTGGGGCTTCCACTGTACGATGACGAGTGCATGGCCAGGTGCTTCAATCTCCGGGATGATGGTGACGCCGCGCTTAGCGCATTGCGTCTGGACGTTGTCGAATTGCTTGCGGGTGTACGACTCGTTGCGACGGCGATTCAAACCCGCCACTGCCTCGTCCTCAGACCACAGGCGGAACGCAGCGTACAGCTCCATCGAGTCTTCAGTGGAATACAGGTCGACATTGTTGTAGAGGTTGTCACTTAGATGCACGTGGAATGTGTTCTGCTTGAAGAACGACAGGTACGAGCACATTTCGATCAGGAACTCCGGCGGATGGTACTTCCGGCCAGCATCAAGCTAGACGGTTTAGTCAGATCAGGTTATTGGGCGTGCACAATTCTCGATTGTTCCAGAAGGAAATGAACATACCATAGCACCCCGGATGCCCCATGCAGGAGCGTCAATACCGGTGCCCTTTGGCAGCGTCGAGTTTCCAGCAACCGCAGCCTGGATAATGGACCGTGTTGCCCACCACGCACCTAACGGACTAGCTCCAGTGACGACTACGCCGCTGTCGTCGACGCGAAGCTTATATCCTTCGGCAGTCCATCGGCCTGCCGCATCCCTGAAGCCGGTGTTATTGCGCAATGTCACGAAAACGGTGTTTGGTTTACGGGTCGCGCCATGGGTGAGCTGCACATCCAGGCCAAGAGTTGATTTGAGATCTTCTTGAAATGTTTCCGCGAACTCATGGAGAGTCGGCGGGATTAGAGTTTGGCCATGATAGTCCACCACCTTCGCATAGCGTGAATCGATTACGATCTCTGTGAGTTGGGACACATCATAGGTCCCGCCGGCCGCAGTGAACGGTGTAATCGGTACAGTCACCAAGCGTGATTGAGCTAGCTCCCGATTGGATATATGTTAGTCGGCCTATTCCGAATTGCACATTGGCCATCCATCTGGCAGCAACAACAACGACGTCAACGTACCACCTAGCCACAACAATGCACTCGCAGTGCTAAAAAATGCTCGGCTCAACTGCATGATATCGAGGCAATTGATACCCACTAGCAACACCACTCAATGTCAATGCTCAGTCTTCCAGCCGCGCGATAAGAGGGGCTTCCGCCGGGAGTACCAACTGCGATTCTTATACTCTGCGGACGGAAGGTGCGGAGAAACGTACACCCATGTAACATGGCACACATCTCCGTATAGAGTCGCATTACGCCGACGAGACCTTGTGGTACAACCTGGGAGTTTGGGAGGGGTTGAGTGATCGACGCGTGTCGCAGAGGGGAGGCCGATAGCTGCGACGATCGTCGGCTGTGGCCCAACCAGCGTGCGTTGAATTATCCGGCACGCAGTGCAAGTGTCGGCATAGCGGGGAATAGGGTAATTTGCGTTCCTGAGACTGTTTGACCTGGAGCTGCTGTTTCAAATGTATAGATTGCTTGATGCCAGGGGGAGGAGAATAGTATTGGGCGAAGTGATTGCGGAGTTTAACCTTTTTCGTGCCAAGAGTGGGGAGAGTCAGTCCTCATTACGGGGGCTGAATTTACATCATGTTAGAGCAGTTCGATATGGTTGCGGAGTTTGATAACTGCACGCGATAGTCCATTGACGACCATCCGAGTAGCAGCAGCTTTGGTATCAGCAATCTCAATGTCAAGTGGGTCTTCCACGACTACGGGAGAAGGGTCAAGTGCAACAGTATTTGACCCCCACTTTCAATGTCGGGCCTGCCCGCGTCTCCACCACACCGCGGCCGCTTCCTTGTCGACTCCTTGCCGAGTGCGAGCCCTTGCCGACATCATGCTTGACTGGGATAATGTAAATCACAATACGTAGACGATGAAATCAAACTCTTGGAAATGGAAAAGATATGACGTTTTCTTTTCTCCGATTCAACCAAGTAGAACGAAAAATAAACAGAAGGGTTTCAAATTGAAATCATTAAGCAAAGAAGTCTTTATAGCAGGCTATTAAATGCTATAGGACATACACTAGTGTCCATTATCACAGTGTAGTTATTTACATATCTATAAAAAGGTCGGTTTTTGTACAAGGAATTCTGTTCGCAAGTCCAGAACGTTCCAACCCCTAAACACGGCACAGACGGCCATTCTGATCAGGAAGGCCATCCTTGCTGTCCACCGTCCAGTTCTCACTGCCGACACCGGTGGGAACGTAGAACAGAGAGCTAGGGTCATAGCGCTGCTTCAACTTATATAGGCGCGCATAGTTGCTGCCATAGAAGGCCTGCTGGAAGTCGGGCTCCAGAATGTCAGCCTCGGACATGTATGCACCGGCATCCGGGCAGGTGGCACGCCACTCGCCGAGAATCGTGTTGGTAAAGTAGTCCATCTTGGTCTTGATGGTAGCATCGGAGCTGTCACTATCCCAGCTGGTGGAGGTGATGGCGTGAAGCAGAGTCTTCCGGAAGGCGGGGTTTGCGGAACTGGCGGGGTAGCCGTCGACCAGCTCGGCCTTCATGTTGAAGGCGAGGAGCGCATAGCCTTCAGAGACAGTCGAGCGCAGGGCCTTGAAGGTGGCGTTAAATGAATCAGTGCTCTCCCAGTTGGCACGCGGGAACAGGCGTGATCCCGTCATCATGACCGACGAGGCAACGGTCTCGAGAGGGAAACCGGCGCTCCATGCGTCATAAAAGTTGTCGTAGTAGGTTGAGTTGGGAGTGAAAGAAATGCCAAGTGCCTCGAGATCGTCATACCACGGCTGCACGAGGGCATTGTACTCAGCCACAGTGTGGTTCACCGCGAAAAAGGGGTTCATCAGGAACTCAAAGGAGTCGGTGCCAGTGTTCAACACCCAGAAGTAAGCATAGGTACCGGCATCGGCATACTCGGCAAAGCGCTCCATATAGGCGCGGACACCGGCCCAGAAAGTGTCAGCGGAAACGCTGGTGCTAGTAGCGAAGTTGAAAGTTGAGACGGTCACACCGATCTTGGGGTGAACCCGGGAGATGACAGAGGTGACCACACCATAGGTACCTGAAGGGATTGGATGTCAGTCATCCGCTGAAAATATGCATATTTCGTTCATCAAAGCTATTTGACGGGCAAAAGACTTACCACCACCGCCACCACGGATGGCCCAAAACAGGTCCGGATCGCTCTCCTCAGTCACCGTGACAAAGCGGCCGCTGGCCAGAACAACCTCCAAAGCAAGGACCTGGTCGGCAGCGAGGCCGTACACGCTGGATAACGGAGAGTGGCCGCCACCAAGGACGTAACCACCGGCAACACCAACGGTCTGGCAATGATAGCCGTTAGCTTTGATCATACATCCGAACGGACCAATCGGGAACGTACCTTGCCTTCACCACCCACAACGGTGAAGCCGAGCTCGTTCGCCTTCTCATAGATCTCAAAGGCTTGCACACCGGCACCCATCTTGACAGCGGGGCCCTGGTAGCTGGAGCTACGATAGTTCTTGATATAGTCGATCTGCTTGAGGTGGTGAGTCCAGATACCCAGAGCACCGGCACCGGTGGATTTGCCGCTGAAGTCATGACCGGTGTTCTTGACCACCAGACGCAGGCCAGCATTGCGAGCAAAGTTGACGGCCAATTGGATCTGCGCAACATTGGTGACGTTGACCGCATAGCTGCTGTAACCGCCCACCGTGCATGTTGCAGAGGCATTGGTGGTGGGCAGACACGTCCGACCCTCGTACAAGGGCCACATCACAGAGGCGGGATCAGCCGCACTGGACAGAGGCAGTTGGTCAGTGGTGTGCTTTACTCCAATACATCGAATGGGAAAGGACTTACTGGAGATTAGAGTTGGTCCAATCGTCCGTGATGGTATCGCACTTATCACTGTCGTACTCGGGCCACGATGAATAGCACGGTGCGGCCAAGGGCACCGTCTTGATCAAGGCACCACCGAGCAGCTCATCGAAAAGAGACCACACCCACTTCGCGGGCCACAGGGCGTCTCCCGGGAAGACCTTGCACTCGGACCGGGACCGAGTGGACAGCGTCGTGCCATTGCCGAAGGTGAACAGGGCAGACTGGTTCTGGCTCAGACCCGAGCTGGACAGCGCCTGCTCGGTCAATTGCACGGTCTCGCTCTTGAACAGAGGCGCACCAGCACCTGAGACCGATGAGACCTGCTGAGCGGCGACTGCAGCCTCTCCGGGACTGGCCAGATACAAGGCGCTGAGCAGTGCACCCGCCAAGAGAGATCGAGGGGCCATGATGAAACGTCAAGGGAAAGACAAGACCCGCGGAGGATGATCAACGGATCAGCAAAATTGGAACTGCACCTCCCAAGATCGGCGAGATGATTACCACAAGAATGGAATACAGTGGGAATTAGCCCTCTTTTAAGGCATCTCAAAAGGAGTCGCACACGTTCGGCACTCGTCGCATCCGAACAAGACAAGCTTAATGGCCACGAGGTTGACAAGTTCTGGAGCTCCACTGCATCTGCGAGGAACGACCGGCACAGGAACCCAGGAGCATGGGCTATTGCTTGCGACGGCCGGGTGAGATGCCTCCAAGTCTCCACTAACAACGCTTCGCCGTGAGCCAGTCCGGGCGTGTCTCCCTAAGAGGACCCCACCGGCATGTTGGAGGCCTTCGCATCTCGGCTCTCGAATCTCGACCGCGCCGGCCTCTGGGCGGTTCTCTCGATTCATCCTTTGCGACCGATTACTTCTCCGAGACAACACTTCCCGCTTCGTGGACGGTACTAAAAGGACGCTATTCGAACGCTATCCGCGCTGGATATTCGCCTGGCACGCCACGGTCCAGCAAGTCCAGCCTCCAACGGACGACTTGCTCGACTTTGAGCTTGGCACTGTCCATTGGAGCCCGGACTTGTTTCCGCAGGTGGGTTGGTACCCTGTTGCTCATCTCCCGATCGGCCCCCACTGCGATGCAACGGAATATCCGGTATTGTTCTGGCGCAAGAAGAAAAAAAGAGACGCCTTTTCGGTTAGCGTGGAACTACCAGTCAAGTGCGAAGCCACAATATATTCATTGCCGAAGGAGCAAAAGAATTCTTAGCCCACGCGTCCTCCCTGTTTCTTCAGGAGGGAAATTGTTACTACCTGTTTCCCGTATCTACTTCGGCTGGAAGAACAATGCCTCTCTCGAGTGAGTTTGGAAATCGCGAGAGTCCCCACCCGCTCCACTTGGCAGTCTCCGAACCGGCCGGATTGACAGTGGTGGAGGGGAGGATCTTTAAAGACGCTTGGACAGATCTGACCGAGGTAGTAAGCGAAATCAAAACGAGTCTCGAGCAATAGGCTCTCCGCGGTCATGGGGCCACAGTCCCATCGGGGCGAATGCAATTATCAAGGGAAGATTGAGTTTCTTGCCGTGTCCGTATACTTCCGGAGAAAGTACGGAGTAAACAAAGTCGTTATTGCCACCTCCCTTCGGCTGTGGCTCCCCGAACCAGAAAGTTTCTCTCGACGCCCCCGGCAGGAGTCCGAACCCCGACTTTAATCATCAACCGCCAAAGTCAATGGATTCGTGGATCAAAGAATCCCTTTGAACTTTATTTCGCATTCATGGAACTGGATTGAATTAATCCCTCCTACATCCCACCCGTCCATCGTTTGTGCCGGCCATATTTTCTCCAGAGAGAGTGGGGAGCCTCGGTACTGTCGACACAAAGGGACATAATTGTCTCAGGTGGAATGGCGCCAGGACAATTAGGGCTAAGAAGCACCCAGAGGCGCTTCCATGCCAAGCAGAAACGTGTTATGCAGTCGAAGGCCCGAAGAAGTTCCATTTCATATTTCTGTTTTCAAGGGCTTTTGTCTGATGGCCCTTTGGTTTTTACTTTTTTTTTCCACCACAGAGCCGAGGTCCTGGGCCTGCAAGTTACAGGACACCTCATTGTCTCGGAGCATTTTTCGTAACAATCCCATGTACCAGACACGATCCTAAGTCTACAGGCAAGCCATATCTGCTGCTTAAGCCATGACAGCATCCCTCTTTCAAGCAGGTAGTCCCGCCATATGCTATCGCACGGAGATGACAGAACGCCATGTTGAGCATGGCTCCCACGAACCCGAGCAATCGGCTCACTATCCAATTCCTTTCAAAAGGAAACAGAACTAAAAAGCCTGGTGGAGTCTCGACTCAACGCCTTCCACAATTGGCCGTCGGGATATCCACGGCCGTGGGCGCGCCAATTGGGGTCCAGAATCACACCAATTTCCATTCAGAGGCGGTATCAGTACGTGAGAGGAAGGAGGCGTTTGAGCAGATGCCGGGTGCTAGGCGGCCGCTGTAGTTATTGTGCAAATTCTTGACTTGTGGCGGGGAGTGAGAATAGAGTGGCCCGCGGAGAGACTTTTCTCTTATTGACTACGTATAAGACCTAAGACCTAAGGCCGAAAGCTTGTGGTCGGGCCTGATTAATATTTGTTTGACCTCCTCCCACCCCCCTCTTCAGCCTGTGATGCATAACGATGGTTGACACCCATCAACAGAATACGGCGCTGGGGGTCGTGGTTGCCTTCCCCATTCTCGGGGGTCTTGCGGTTATTCTGCGGCTTTGGAGTCGCCGGTTATCGCGATCGACACTCACCAGTGGTAAGCAGGGGCCATTCGTCTCCACGGATCGACAAGGGAGGCAGAGACCTTGACCGAAGGCTAACGGAGATGTGATAGACGACTATTTGATTGTATCGGGATATGTATGACCACGAGGCAGCTGAGGATGGGATTCATTCAAGAGATACTAATTGGCCTGAGGTAGATTCTATCCGTGTGTCAATCAGTGACTTCATGGTATTGTAAGTATATTGATGAAACTAGTCGCGCCTTTCAAGTCGATCGACACTTCTCGTGGACCTGTTGCTCACATCGACCAGATATCAAGACCAACTATGTCGGCATCCATTACTGGGATATCCCCAAGGACCACGATGTCAAAAAGGGATTGATAGTAGGTAATCCAGACCATTTACGATATCCTGCGAGCATCGGTGCTAATTACTCTTGTTCAACAGTGGAACTTTGTCAATCAACTTGTCTATAATCCAGCCCTAACGCTCACAAAAGTCTCGATCCTAGTGTTTCTGCGTCGACTCGAGTCTCGGTCCCGCATCGTCAATATTCTGTTCTGGACGTCCCTGGTCATGGTCGTGGGACTCTTCATCGCGGTGTTATTTGTGGATATCTTCCAATGCAACCCCGTGGCGTATGTCTACGACACGTCGATCCAGGGCGGCACCTGCATTGAACAGGGCAGCTTCTATGTCTCTAGTGCGGCCCTGAATCTGTTCACAGACATACTGGTGCTGTCGATTCCCATCATCATCACTTGGAGCCTGCAGATGCCGCTGCGTCGCAAGATTGCCGTTTGCATTATCCTGTGCCTGGGTGGAGTGTAAGTCCTTCTGCATTCATTGCAAACAAAACGAAAAGCACCCAACTCCTGGGTTTCTCCTCGTCTGAATACTAAGTCGGCGTTTCTCTCTCGCTCTGCAGGGCCACGGCCATCGGTGTCTGGCGCATCATCATCCTCGCCCAAGCCTTCTTCTCCACCACCACCTCTCCCGACTACACCTATTCGATCGGCTTCTGCAGCTCCGCAATTGAGGTGAACGTCGCCGTCATCACCGCCTGCGGACCGTCCATGAAAGCCATCGCCACCAAATACCTCCCACGCCTGCTCGGCAGCTCCAACGGCGAGACCTCCGGCTACGGCGCCGGCACCAGCGGCTCGCGGGGCCGGTTCCCAGGCTCAAAGATCTTCTCCACGCGGCAGGCATCGCACCTGCACTCGAACGCCGACGACGGGTACGAGATGGCAGACCCGGCGGGCGGCCACCGCGTAGAGATCGGCGCCAATTCAGCAAATGCGTTCGATATGCGCAAGTACCGCCGCGGCGGGGATAGCCCGAGTATCTCAAGTGGCAGCGAGGATGGCGTCACAGGTATCGTGAAAACCATGGATGTCTCCGTCAAGTATACGGTGGGAGAGGTGGCGTCGACGGAGGATGGCCGGTCGGATGGCCGGTCGCGCGACGGCAAACATGGCAGTGTGGATAGTTTGGTGTAGACGAGGGCGACATCGGTGTGATCATGATTGGTGTGTGTGAATAGAAGCCAGAAAATATATATAATGTATAACGTATAATGCCGTCTGAGGGGATCCTGCCACTATTTCGGCTGGAGTAATTATTAGGATCATAGCGCTATAGCACTAGAAGTATAGAGCTTGCACTTGTATTTGGTACCTGGTTTTTTTTTGGCCTCATCAAGAACGTTGTGCGCAGAGCAGGTACTCCTCACGCGGGCGGTACCTTCGTATCGGTCCAACCCTTTGGAAACCGGGATCTCGAGGGAAAGCGAAGGAAAGCAAATAACCATATAACCGGGATTAAACAAGGTATCAGGTCCCGACTGGGCTCCCAACCCCAACACGAGTTGGACGGCGCTGGATATCAACATGGCCGATCTGGTTTGGAGGCGGAAACTTTGCCTGGAACTGGCATGAGGGGCTCCAGTTTTACCTCGGGGCAGAAACATGACCCCGACGAACTACATACTCTATCTACCCCGCCGACACGCTTTTCTCTTCTTTTCCTCTGCATTGATTTTTGACAACCACCATGGCGACTCAGTATCAACTCCCATTCAAGGTAAACTTGCCATTAAATGATATTGATTATACTGTCCCCTGTTTTTTGACGGTGAAGCCAAGGGAGAGGAGCTAAGGTGCGGCACATCGGCGACATGTCCGAACTGTGTTGACCGATAGAGCTTGCGATGTATTCGAATTGGGACTGACACTTTACTGAGTAAAACAGCTCGCCGACCCGACCCTACTGCGTTTCGACTCAATCGTCGGCGACCAGTGGGTTGCCGCGCAGAGTGGAAAGCGATTTGAGGTATTAGGTATGTTCTCTACGCTACGCTAGATAGCCCGAAGAGACACGATGGGCTGATCCATGCGACCTGAAGATCCCGGCACAGACAAGCCCTGGGCGAGTTGTCCCGCGAACGGCGCCGAGGACGTTGATGCTGCGGTGCAAAATGCACACGACGCATTCGAGTCCTTCCGCAAAGTTAGCCCGCGCCAGCGTGCTAAGTGGCTGCTCAAATGGCACGACCTGACCACCGCGGCTCGCGATGACCTGGCTCAGATCGTGACCCACGAAACGGGTAAGCCGCTAGCGGAGTCTTACGGTGAACTGGACTACTCGCTCGGCTTCTTGTGGTGGTTTGCCGGCGAGGCGGAGCGCATCCAAGGCACAGTATCGATGCCTGCAGCTCCAAACCGCCGGCTGTTCACGATCAAACAGCCGATCGGCGTCGCAGCAGCACTGGTGCCGTGGAATTTCCCCGTGGCAATGGTGCTGCGGAAGGTCGGTGCCGCGATGGCGGCTGGGTGTACAATGGTTGTGAAGCCCAGCCCAGAGACGCCCATCTCGGCTCTGGTGCTGGCAGAGCTGGCACACCGCGCGGGTATCCCGCCTGGCGTACTGAATGTGTTGACGACGGACTTGGAGAACACGCCGCCGCTGAGCGAGGCCCTCTGCAAACACCCGCTCGTCAAGAAGGTCACCTTCACAGGCTCGACCCGCGTCGGCAAACTGGTCGCCTCCCACTGCGCCCACGGCCTGAAGAAGCTGACCCTGGAGCTCGGCGGGAACTGCCCCTTCATCATCTTCGACGATGCCAATCTTGACCAGGCGCTCGACCAGCTTATGGCCTTGAAATGGCGCCATGCCGGTCAGGCGTGTATCACTGCCAACCGGATCTACGTCCAGGCCGGCATCTATGATCGCTTTGCAGTGCTTCTGAAGGAGCGTACTGCGGCTCTCGTCGTGGGCCACGGTGCATCCAAGGACACTACCATGGGTCCTCTGACAACACCACGTAGTATTGACAAGGCGATTGCCCAGGTGGAGGATGCTCGCAGTCGCGGCGCGAAGTTGCTATTGGGTGGCAAGCGGCTGACCGCGCAGTCCGGGTATTTCTTTGAGCCAACCATCCTGTCAGACATGACTCAAGAGATGCAGATCTCGCAGGAAGAGTCGTTTGCGCCAATTGCGGCGCTGTATCGCTTCGAGACGGAGGACGAGGCGGTGCGACTGGCGAACGCGACCAGCATGGGTCTGGCCAGTTATGCGTTCACCAAGAATATTGACCGAATGTGGCGGCTGCTGGAGAATCTAGAGGCTGGCATGGTCGGAATGAACACGGGTAGGATTTTCCCATCCGTTGAGCGAGGCACATTGAAAACATAGCTAACGAGGGGGTGCGTTGCAGGGAATCAATCGGCAGCCGAGTCACCGTTTGGAGGCATTAAGGAGTCCGGGTATGGCAAGGAGAGCGGAAAGGATGTTGCGGTGAACGAGTATTTGGTGACGAAGACAGGGACCTTCACAATCGAGGGCCAGTATTGAGTAAGGCAGGCCTGAAGGGATCGCATTGTGTTGTTTTGATAGGCGGTCAACTTTGCATGAATCTGGCCAGTGTTGGACAGTGCTGGGCGGGCCGTCCCGATAGGATAAGCCAGAATGTGAACAAACTTATCGAGAGGTCGTGATTCGGTGCCTCGACTGTCCTTGGTGTAGTCACTAGTCGACGTGGGTTTAAAGTGCAAACTTCGGCAATGCGAACGCAGTGATTGGTAAATGGCGCGTCGGTGGGCTCGTGGAGCTGGCCAAGTTCAGTATGGTTGACGATGCACGGACTCCTCCTGCAGATGACGGATCACGGAATAGTATTGTAGGAGTAGACGCAAAAGAGAAGAAGAAGAAGAAGCAGCAGGAATGGAGGTCTCCAGAGAGCCGAGCTCGTGATCTGCGTTGATGGTCTCAGTCCTGGTCTCCGCCCTCGTCACGCATTTCGACGTCCAGCTGCAAGTTAAGACCTCGGTCTCATCCATATCCACTACGCCCACTAAAACAGCATCGTCGCGCAAGCTAAGCTGGCTCATCCGTATTTTGAAACGGTCCGGTCGAATGCGCCCGGCGGTAGCGTTATAAGATACGCGACGGATCCTCGGCCTCTCTCTTCCCCTTTACATCACCATGGACCAACAACTAAACACCCTCCGCCACCTGGTGCAAACCCATCCGCTGATCGATAACCATGCGCACAATCTACTGAGTCGCGACGTGGCTGATGATTACGAGAGTTACCCGCTAGAGTCCATCACCTCCGAGGCCCACGGTCGGGCCTTGGAAAACGCCCGCACCACGCTGCCCTTGCTGCGCGCTGTCAACCAGCTATCTGACCTCTATGGTGTATCCTGCACCAATTGGAATGACGTGGTGAACCTGCACCGTCAGTGGGTGAAGCGCGACTATGAGGGCCTGATTCGCCGGAGTCTGGAGGGCACTCATACCCTTCTACTGGACGATTTACTCTCCGATGACGATGTCGAGTCGTACGCTTGGCATGACCAATTCTCCGTGTCAGCCACAAAACGCATTGTCCGTATTGAGGCGGTAGCAGCTTCGCTCCTCGGTGAGATCATGAATGCGGACCGCAAGGCGGGCGAGTCGGTGTGGAACCTGTTCCGCCAGCGGTTTCTGGATGCTCTCGCGCGTGCCATGGACGACCCGGCCGTCGTCGGCTTCAAGTCCGTGATTTGTTATCGTACCGGGCTCGACGTCGACCCCAATTCGCCGGACAAGGATCTATTGACAGCCTCGCTGCACCGCACCTTAGACTCCGGCACTAGGAGGTCAGGCTACCGTGTCGAAGACAAACCGCTCAATGACTGGCTTGTCCAGCAGACGCTGAAACTAATTACATTGCGGAAGAAAGCGGGGGTCGTCAAGCCCCTGCAGCTCCATACGGGTCTGGGTGACAATGATATCAATCTCATCAGGGCAAACCCCGCTTACTTGCAACCTCTCGTCATTCAGTATCCCGATGCGCCCATCGTCCTGCTTCACTCTGCTTATCCCTATACCAAGGAAGCGGGGTATTTGGCTTGTGTTTATCCCAATGTTTATCTAGACCTGGGCGAGGTCTTTCCCATGGTGAGCCGAGAGGCTCAGGAGACGATCATCCGCGAAAGCCTGGAGATCACGCCAACGAATCGTCTTTTGTGGAGCACAGATGGTCACTTCCACCCAGAGACGTTTTGGCTGGCAAACAAGCAATTTCGACAGGCTCTTGAAAAAGTAAGTTAGACGTCCATATTTCTTGTCCAAGGATCATTTCTCACGGTCTTTCAATTAGGTTCTTGTCGATTATGTTCAGAATGGCGACTATACTATAACTCAAGCGAAGACAGCTGCCGCCAATATTCTCTTCCATAACTCTAATATCCTGTATGGACTGAAGCAGACGCCCCAATACACACCTGGCTCCGTCGTCACAGTGCCAGTTACCAGCCTAACTCGACCAGTTTCCTCCGATCCGTTGGATGAATTCTTATACAAGCATTCCAACATTGAGTACGTCTGGATTCAATGGGTCGACTATACCGCTTCTGTCCGTGTCCGGATACTCCCCATTCAAGAGTTTGTACGTATCGCAAGAAAGCAGCGGAGAATTGGAGTCTCTCTTGCCGTATTATGGATGCTCCAGGATGATTCGGTCACTCCAGAGGGATCTACGACCGGTCAAATATACTTGGAACCAGATCTGTCCAGCATTTACCTTAATCGGAGCGTATCGACACCAGCTGCTGCAAGTGCAACAATCATGACCTTTTGGCGATCAGAGGAGGGTGAACTGCTCATTGGTTGCCCAAGGACCGCGCTGCAAAGCGTCGTCACTCAGCTGAAATCGCAACACCAGATCGACATCCTTTGCGGGTTTGAAATCGAGATTATTTTCCTCAAGCCCATAACCAACACAGAAACTGGTGAGGTCACAGGCTATGTTCCAGCAACTAAAAACCACTCCTGGTCCCAGATGACAGCCGAGACGCGCAAGATCGTCCCTCTGCTCGAGGAAGTCGACCGGACTCTGGCGTCCATAGGCATTAATCTTCAACAATTCCACGCTGAGTCGGCGCCAGGCCAATTTGAATTCGTACTTCCTCCTGCAGAGCCCCTCGCTGCAGTCGATACCCTTATTACCGCCCGGCAAGTTATCACGGCTGTCGCAGAACGGCACGGGTTTCGAGCAACACTACATCCACGCCCTCTTTCTGCTGGAGCCGGCAGCGCTGCACATTCTCATATTTCTATCAATCCGCCTACTCGCGAGGATCAATTTCTCTCCGGGGTTCTCAACCACCTTACTTCGATCACGGCATTCACGCTGTCTCAAAACGCGAGCTATGATCGCATCCGATCCGGAATTTGGTCTGGTTCGGAATGGGTCGCCTGGGGGTTCCAGAACCGCGAAGCGCCCGTTCGAAAAATTGGACCTGGCCATTGGGAGATAAAGTCGGTCGACGGCGTGGCTAACCCCTACCTTGCTATGGCTGCTCTCTTGGCAGCTGGATTGGTCGGATTGAATTGTCAATTGCCGCTCACAATGCAGGAATGTAAAGGTTAGTTTCTCAATCTAAACTAAATATCTTAGACTTGCATCTGACGTGATGTCTTTCAATTTTCAGTGGATGCGTCAAGCCTCACACCAGCTGAAAGATCTGATCTGGGTATCACGACGCCACTCCCGAAGTCCCTAGCTGAAAGTTTGGGTGCCCTGGATAAAGACAAACCATTGAGATCGGTACTGGGAGATGCTCTTGTCGATAATTATCTGAGTGTCAAGCGTTTGGAGTCTGTGCGCCTACAAGCAATGCCGGCAGAAGAGCGGAGATTGTGGTTGATAGAGCGTTACTAAATGCCGAATGAAGAGGCACTAGGGCACGTGGCCTCGTTTGGCCTAGGTTCTTCTATATGACTAGAGTTCAATTGCTCCACTAGCTACCGTACTAAATTTTCTGCTCCTGTCAGCGCTTGTAAAATTCGGGTGCTTTGTAGTTTACGGGTGTCTCAATCAGATCATCAGATCTCTTTGGCAGAGATACGTGACCTTTTTTTGGAGGGATATTAAAGTTAGCCTTGCTTAACAACTTGTATAACATCAGTTTCTACACGGAGGTCTTTCGTGTTTTGTTTGAGTATTGAATCTCATGATGTCTTACTAGTTTGTTACAAATCTGCTATTTTAGCTTGTTGTCAGGCTTGTAAAAAACTCGAGCCGATGCTACATTACTATTTCTCTAGTCAGTTCTAGTGGTCTAGAGCAGAGTGCGATAGTAGTTCGCCGACCAGTGACAATCGGCAATAGACAGTTTGGCGGGCCCGCTGTGATCCCGAGCTTATACCCGATGCGCGAGTCTTCAGGGTTCCTGAAACTAAATTGCGTTAAGGATGGCCGCCAAGGGCCGGGCTCACGTATCGGTCCAGAAATCCCATTGTGAAAATCCTGGTTGGAGGGGCCTGAACCTGTCATTCGTCCCTTGTTAGTTGGTGCTTACTTGAGCTTAACACCACTCCACTTTCAAGGTGCTAGCTTGGACTGGGCCCATGAAACGGCCACGAACCACTGGGTGGTGTCCCTACACCCATTAAGGACCAGTATTGGTTCGAGTGAGCTCCTTGGCAATTTTATGGCTTCTTCGGCCGCGTCATCGTTGCTGGGCACTGAGGACATGAGCAACACCGCCTATTTCCCCACCCACCGTAAATGGAACTATATAAGAACTCTTGAATGAAAGCTTTTTGACGAGAATCTTGTTAATTAACTAAGATAAAAAAAACACATCATGAAAATCACTTCATTCTCTTCTACTCTGGCCTTTGCCTCGCTTACGCTTGGGGCGCTCGCTTCAGTGACGCCTATGGTGAAGCGCAACCCGACCGGCTCCTTTACTTTGATTGCTTACAGCCTCGAGTCTTCTTATATCAATATCTTCTACTCTGATGGTATTACCTTATGCCCTCCTGAGATTTGAAATATCCGAGAAATCTAACAACAGATTTAGGTATCGCTTACGCCGGCGACTCTTCTCTGTGGACCTATGGGTCTGTCACAACCGATGTCTCATGTATGGCTATATACCTTTCAAGAAGAGCGGGATGTTGATATCCTGTTTGCCACATATCTAACCTTGTTGCGTCCTCTAGTTGAGATGAATGGCACCCAGCTCGTCACCACCGCCACGACGTCCGGCGTTACCCTCGACTCCGACACTTTGTTCTATATTCGCCCCACAGCTGATGAAGTCCTGCCAGTAGGATTTACAGGAAATGGAATCGACACCCCGTCAGATGCTTCAAGCTCTGATTTCCTTTTCTATGGCACTTGGCTGATGTGGGAGGCAGACGACGGAACGCTGTCGGACTCCTTCCGTGCTAAGGCTACCAATGTTTCTGGTGTTTATGAGCTTTACTGGGACACCTCAAACCTGTATCCTTCCGGATATGAGATCCCCACTGTCAAGTCGCACCAGTAAAAAAATGCGATTGAGTTCGGGTTGAGATGATGATTTTGATGTCACTGGTCCTTTTACTCCGAGTCCAGGCCCCATTCTCTGTCTTCGTTATCGACCAACGGGGTCCGCTTAGGAGAGTTCAGGTAGAAGTTTCATGAATTACCGATCGAGTCGTTTCTGTAGATGTCCTATGGGATCTAAAGGAGCTAGCTTTATTCCTAAACATAAAACAATGTCTCTATCTCTGAATAAGAGCTGAAATGTGCCATATTCTTAAGAACCTTAGATTTTGCAAGTGGAATAATCACCGATTGCAAGAACTCACGAATCACCTGCCTCGAATTTTCCAAGGGGATATTGGCAATGGTGGGATGGTGGTATATACGAGAGCGAATATAATTTACAAGGTGGTGTCTGGGAGATTCTACGTTTTCGGTACTACCTACCCCTTCTGGCATGTATTATTTGAGTCGGCCGGAAGGAAGCCAAAAAACTTTGTCTCTCTCTCTTCAAGGAGCAACATCCAGCAGACCCACTAGGTCCCGATGGTATAGCCTGACACTTAGTGAGGAGTTCATTGATTAGGACATGGGAGACAATTTCCACATTTTGATATTACCGAGATAATTGCTGATGACACATGAATGCCGGGCCTCTTGTTTTCTACGCTGTAATGGATTTACAGAATAACCGTGGGAAGTTTCGGCATTATTAAATATCATCATGGGAATGCCATTCAAGTATATCCTTTCTATCACGTATCCATGGATTACGATGCAGAGTAGTTCATACCACGCCATCAGTGGCGAAAAAGCCAGGAGACGGCTAGACTGTAATTGACATATGCCATATTATATCTGAAATCATGCCACCAAGCAGGAAAGTATTGAAAGAAACAAAAACTCCAGCCGAAGCTTTCCGTGTATCCCGCTAACGACCATTATGCAATTCACCAAGCACGGAAAGGAAAATCATAAAAACGTAGAGGCAGAGAGAGGGTTAGTGAGGACAGCAGAGCAAGAACGGGTATCTTAAAACCTAGTGTCTGCGAACACTATGATGACAATGTTATAATGTATGGTCAAAAATAATCGCCAATCAGAGGGCTGAACCCCAAGTTCGTGAGGGAAAGCCCAGAATTCAATATGGGAAAAATAGAACCAGTGAGGTAAGGAGTAGGGGGGGGGCGAAGCAAACGACCGGAGATGATGGATCGGCGCTTGAAAATAAAGGATGCAGAAATAGTAGCAAGCTAATTCAAACAACCGTCAAGATATATTTCATAAGTTTGGCTTCCGTTCATCTTTCAGTCCATCCTTTTCCCACTCATCAAGAAGACGTGAAACTTCTCGGAAAGACACGGGCTTGGTCAGGAATAGATCTACACCGGATGCGAGGGCCTCCGATTCATCACGCGAGCTGCTCAACCCGGTCAAGGCGATAATGATTGTCGATCCGATGCTATCTCGCTCTCTCTCTAGTGATCGAATTGCGCGAGTAGCTTCAAATCCGTTCATAACAGGCATAGACATGTCCATGAAAATGATATCAAAGTGACATGGTGCCTGTTCCACTGCCTCAACAGCTAGCTTGCCATTCTCTGCGGCAGCAAAATGGGTCAGGCTGCGTTTCTTCATGAATGTCATCATGAGATTGAGATTAATTCGATTATCATCAACAACGAGGACTCGTGCATGTCTGGATGCATCAATGCTGCCTTCGGTCAATGGTGCTGGTAAGGGGGCGGTAAGAATCGCGTCAGGCGATGCGGTGATGACCGATGGTGCGTTTGGGGCAAGTTCCGTGCGGGCAAGTGGATCAGTGCTGACGAGTTGCTCCGATGCGACATCTGGAATAACAGGAGAGGCGACGTGTGAATCATGGATCGGAGAAGTGGCAGTCGAGGAATGGCCAGCGCTTCGAATGGGCATGTCCATCGGGTCTTTCAAAACCAATGAAGGAGTGACAACTGTCGACTGGGAATTTTGTAGGCACTTCAAAATACTGCGGGCCAACTTATGGGGCCCACATGGTCGCCGGATTATGTCAACTGACGATGCAAGAGGTAGCCACTCAGATCGTGCCATGCTATAGTCGACTGATTTGTGGCAGAGAATGAGAAGGGAAGGCAAAGTTGCCGAGAAGCCGGTGTTGCGCAATTCTGGAAGATCAGATTCATGAACTAGAAGAATGTCGAGAGGTAAGAGGCAAGGCCACCCAAAAATCTCAATACCAAACCATTCTGTCATATATTTTGCTATCTCTGCCCATGTAGAATTTTCAGCAATAGTCGCAGGATCGGCGCCCCAGATGGCAGCTCGCTTGCCAGGATATCCCTCTCTCAATAGGAGAGTTTGCGTCAGAGTTTCGCTCTGCTGCGTTTCATGGGTATGGGGCTCGACAGGAGGACTCTCCTCGCCCACCGGTCTTGCGAGGGGGAGCGCAACACGCACGATGGTGCCTTCTCCAGGACGACTGCGAATGCGAATATTTCCGTTCAAGGCCTTGACTAGGCTACGGACGATCGACAAACCCAAGCCAGTTCCAACTGCAAGAGAATCTTCTTGGGCAAACGGGGTATATAGCCGTCCGCGAAGGAATTCTTCTGAAATGCCTCGACCGGTATCCGTCACTGTTAAAACTACCATGTCCTCTAATCCCTGACGTCGAGAACGACCATCAGAGTGACATGACGCGTCGAGCCTTAGGGTAACGCTACCTGAATCGGTATATTTCATCGCGTTTCCGAAAAGATTCATGATAATCCGGCGTAAAGCACCTGGCTGTGTGCGGTAAACCCAGTCACGGTGGGCGATATCGATGACCACATCTACATTTGACCGGCTGTGTGGCTTCGACGATCGCTGCGGCAAGAGAACCGGTAAATCGGCAGCCGCGGTCGAGTTTTGACCGTAAGCATGACCCAGACAAATGCCCTCCACGACTTCCTCAGCCAGAATAGCTAAATCTGTCACAACGTATGAGTCCAGGTGAGACGCCAGCTTATCCGTGCCTTTGAAATCAAGGGAGTTTCCCTTCTTCGCTTCATCGAACGCCATGTTCTTTCAAGTGAAACCACTTTGCTGAAGTCCAGTACCTGATTCATAGTATCGAGAAGAGTCCTGCCGCAGGCGTTGATTGTTTCAAGCAACGAATCTTGAAATTCATTGAGATTCGTGCCATTCAGGAACTCGGCTGCGGCTAGAATTCCGTGCAATGGGCTTCGAAGTTCATGTCTAAAGAACAACGGTAAGTTTTGCGAAGTATTGACAGGTTTGTTCAGTGGATTAACTCACGAGATACTTCCAATGAAATCACCTTTCTGTCTATCAGCAATGAGTGATTCCACTCGGCTGTATTCAGCCATGACGGAAGATCCAAATCCGAGGACAGAGCTCAATTCAACAGACGAGCTAAAGACCTGTGTCTCGACAGTAGTCCAGCAGAAGCACCCAGCAAACCACTGGGAGCTCACAGCATTCCACAAAGGCACAAAAATTATCTGAGTGGCACCAGGGAAAAATTGATTCAGCACAGAATTCTCTGCTGCCTTCATCCGCTTCCCTATAGGCTTCACAAGATCTATCGGCGGAGCACCAGGAAAAGACCGATTGGTATTTGCGGCAGGTGAGCCGTTGGCCTGAGGCTCTCGGTCATCGTCATCCGATGTCGAAATAAGTCCATCTTGGTGAAATGACCAAAGCTTGCCCCGTGGGTAACGCCGCAGCATTAAGCGTAGGAAGGATCGATCCAAATTGGCAGCCGGGCAGCTAGCCATTGATCCTGCTCGCGGGGAAAACGGCTCGTCCACAGTCGACATCGAGAGGACTGTAGCGGGTCCACCTGTATCACTCCCTGATAAATCACTTCCACTATCGCCATCCATCATAGGCGCATTATTGGCTTCGAAAAAAATGACGCCCCCATCGCTACTGAGATCAAGACTTTCACGGAGTAAGTTTGCAGCTCGGCGAAAGCACCACGAATTCCCATGAGAGTCATCCGGGGGAGTCGGTCACGGTTGCTGCTGGTGATCCACTCAGGCAAAGAGCTCATCCCACCCGATGTGCTGGTGTCGAGTTTAGACTCGGAGGTAGCAGAAGCGCCAGAGCCCACAGATCGCCCGTCGTTGCTGAGGGACCGATCATTCGGTGGGCTGTGAGAAGCTTCTTGCGAAAAGTGACCAGTACTGTGGCTGTGACTACCACGAGAACCCGTTGACACGCTGATGCGATTATTGCTCAAGGGTGGTGTTGCAGAGTGTGGGACGCAGCTGTCGGCTCGTGACGGGTCCACACTATCTATGAAGCTTGAGCTGCCCTCCACGAAGAAACTGAGCCCCTTGGAAATCCGAGCAGCCCGTCGACCCTCGGAGGCTTGTCGACAGACTTTGAGATAGTCCATCACAAGCATGGACAAAGATCCCAATGTGTCCTTCTCCAGCGATGTCAGCCCCTTGCGGGGCGAGGTGTCGAGAACGAAGAAACATCCCAAGTTGATGTCATTGTCCGTTGTTAACGGCGTACCGGCATAAAATCGAAAAAATGGCTCGTTCTCCACAAAGGATAGATACTTGAATCGTTCGCTTTCTTTCAAGTCATTCACAATGAGGTGTTCATAGTGGGCGGCTTCACGATCAGAGGGAGGCAAGGCAACAGTTTCCTATCGAAAGTTTTGATCTGTTGAGCACGGTGTATACAGATGAGACTGGGATGGAGGGCATCCAGTCTTTAGCACATTATTAGGGCTTACCTGACACAACGTCCATGCCTTGTGGCTTCCCGTACAACCAACCCAAAGTTCATCCTTATGGTCATGCAGAGAGGGATCATTCAAGTTGATAGATCTTGTGGCTTCAGCGAGAATATATTGCTTGTCTCGGTCGAGGACGCAGATGAATGCGCGCTCGACGTTCAGGCGCAAGGCAGCCAGCTGCGCAAATGAGGTCAGGGTATTGTTGGAAGAGCCCAACACCAGCGTCTCCGGACCAAATGCTGTGGATGGACGAGAAGTTGTGCTGCTATTTGCTTTTTCTGATCCTTCAGTATCGGGAGGGGTAGTTGTGGTGCCTGAAGAGGGAGTATGGGTTGATGGTATCTCGTCACCTGTCGGTAACCAGGACGGGACCAAACCACTCGGACCAGCCGGCTGGTAATAGCGATGGAGCTCTCTCACTCTGCGGTCCACGACATGTTTGCTGCGCTGTTGCCCCCCAGGGATAGCCTCCATGGTTTACCGCTGATTCTGGAGGAACAAGGAGGCAATCACGCATCCTTCAACTCCAGATTCAAAGATTGAGCGCAGTGGAGGCGTTCTCGCTAGGCACTGTCGCAATCCTTCGATATGCGCAACGTGAACTGTGAGGCCGTGTGGAGGAGGCGTGAAGATGATGTCCAGTGTGAAAAAAAAGATCGAGGTAAATGCTCGAGGAGTGTTGAATGGTGGCCCTGAGGAGCGCAAGACGCTCAGTCATTGAGTAGTCGGAAAGAATATCTGTCGTTGGAGGGCCACAGCGAGGGAGAGAAAAAGTGAATAGATCCAGGACACACCCCCCACTTGCTCGCACGAGAATAGGAAAGGGAGGCGCAAGTAATCACCAGAACCAAGGGACTGCGGGAGAAGGGGGATTTTGGCCGCAACGCACAGCGAGTTCCAGGATCTTGAAAGTGTCAGGTGGGGACGGGGCTGACCAAGGCATTGAGCAGCAATCACCAGTGAGGGAGAAGAAGTCCAGCCGATCTGATTAGTGAGATGGAGAAACCTTTGGGTTCTCGCAATGTGACTCGATCGGTTGTGCACCCTGTTCCCCACCGCTTCATCAGCTTGCCGGGCGGGCCCCTCCTTTGAAAACGGACCGTCCACAAGCTGCAGTTAGATAGCATCGCATTGGTCTTCGCCATGCCTGCCATGGGAGGGGGACGGACGATCAACAAGCCCTGAGCGCGTCGAAGCTGCTGAACGGGGTAGAAGAAAGGAGATCATCGGCGCGACGCCAATCAAAGCAGACCGCTCAGATCCAGTGACCCTGTGGCAGCCTCAGGCCACTAAACAACCCGCCTCACGATTCGAGGGATCCCCAGGCACCCTCGAATATCCACCACACAATTGCTGCAAGTGGAGAGGATGGAGCAACCACATCTCCAGTGAGGGCTATTGAGGGCTGAGGCTTCCGATCCATGAACCAGTCAGCATTGTCGAACTAAATGCGGGTGCTTTTCCCCCAATGATGAACGATATCCGAACGCCCCTGCAGTCAGTGGCGAGATTGATGTCGCCGATTTAACAATTTGTACAACACCATCCAACATCGTACCTCCGCCATTGCGTCAGAGAGAGGGTCTGTCGGTTTACAGTTGTGGACAGAGCTCGGTCTCTATTAGCTGGGTTAAAGCGGTGGCGCACGCCGAGCCTGACGCGGTGGCGGTGGCAACATCCGCTAAAGGAATTTTGGCTTGGTATGTACCGATACATCAACAGTCATCGAATTAAGCTTGGAGCTAAGGGTTCGATTCCCCCCACTTGATGTACCTGTACATGCAAGTCTAATCGCCTATCAACTGAAGGTTTTCATCCAGGTACACGCGCTGGCCCTGTACATAGTAAAGTGTCCACAGTGGCAGCATGACCCTCTCACGTGTTGATTCTAGATGGAAAATTCAATCCCTCAAATGATCAAATCATTAATACCAGATCACTGGGCGTTCGCTTTCGTTTACGAATTATGCCCAGTCACGGCGCCCCAAATATATGCTACCCATCCCCCAGCTATCAGAAGTAGTAACGCTCCAAAGCAGGCGAGAGACACTCTCCGCGTGCGGGGAGCATGTAACACCAGGCTTCGCTCCTTATTAGCCTCGATGATTTCCATGCCAGTAGTGAATCGTTTTTTCCGAGTCCATTGCAATGGTGCCAGATTATTTGTCATGAACGAGCCGATCAGCAGTGCCGCGCCGACAACCAGAGACGCCGTGGCGAGAAAAAGGTAGACCTGGATCACCCGACGATAGGAGTTGTCGTCTGCGTCCTGCAGGGCCCCGGTGATGATACGGATGATGATACTCATACTGGAACATACATGAGTGACCGCTTTATAGCATTGGGAAATAACTTACGCATTATTCATAGTGACCTTGAGCGAATATGCAGATCCAAAGACGGATTGGTGCCAAAGAGTTGTGCGGATGCCATCAATAATGGACGTTGGGCCAAATGACATCGCGATAGCATAGATGCCAAAGGACGCCCCGGTACCTGCCTTGGAGGTAGCGAAATTCAGGAGAACCATACTCAGCATCATTCCAAGACCACAGGTAAACACTGGTAGTCAAAGTTTAGCAATCATGAGAGTGCTACAAGCCATTGTCAGGGTTTATACTTACTTACAGAAGCCCGATGTCCTAAGATATCAATGAATATACCGAGACACGGAACAATGAAGAATCCTAGGTGGTCATGTTAGCACATCCCAGGATCCCTTGAAATATTTTTTCTTTCTTTTTTTTTTCAAACGCATACCCGCATACTGTGACAACGAGCTATACCATCCTGCCTGAATGTCATCGACCTCAAATCGCTGTTCTGCCAGTTCCGTTGCATTTTGACTAAAGATGCTTGCTGTGCTGGTTTGAAACAAAGAGAAAGCCATGATGGCCCAGAACATCCATGGCAGCTCGAAAACCTTTTGGAATTCAAACTTTCTATTTTTCTCCGTGAGGTGTTCTTTCGTTGCCGTGTCATGTCGTCCCCGGAAGTGTCGATTGCTGTACTGGTTGAAGAACCAGAACACGACAGTTGCCGCGTTGGTGAACAGATTCATGAAAACAGATGTCCAAAAGACCCAGGCGAAGTTTCCGGTTTTCTGCGATAGGACTCAACACTGGAACATGGGATCACTTTCTTGTCAGTATTAACGAACCTTGGCAATAATATTGGCTGTGGATTTTCCCACAAATCCACCAATCTAAACCGTCAGTTTATTGCATCCTGCATCTCTCAATCATGGGTCATACCTTCCCGATGGCCAATTCAAAGCCCAATGTGGATGCGAAGCCATTGCTTGGAGCAAACCACGAAGAGAACATTTTATATTGTGCAATCTGTGTAGCAATATCCCCGAGGGCCAAAACCACTCGACCTCCAATCATAAAGTTGAACGACCGAACGGTGGTAGCAGCAGCGACTAGGATCGAGCCGACGGTATAAACAATGTTTCCATACACGATCATCTCTGAAGCCATCGTCTATCAGCCAATTTTGCAAAGAGTAGAGGGGGCTTATGGCTTGGAGAGCATACCGGCGCCTCCAACACGATCCGTCACGAAACCGCTGGGAATTAGAAGCACTGTGGCCATGAAATCTTCACTTGCTTCGAGAAGGGAGAACTGAACATTGTTTATATGCATTTGCTGTGAACAAGGTCCTGCGGCTTAGCCTTCTAGTTATGCATATTGGACCTTCAACTCATACCTTTTTGATTGTGCTCTTCATCGCTCCTGTGACGCCCGAGCTCCAGTGTGAGCCGAAGCTGATACATGAGATCAGAAGCACCGCAAAAAGCTTCGCTACCAAGGGAGGCGGCTTCTTGTCATCCTCAGGCTCGCCTGTCGAACAGACATTGGAGCTGGATGAGCTGCGCAAATTCTGAGCCCCAGTTTCCGTCGTGACATCTAGCGCCGACTTTGAGATAATCTCCTTGGTTGCCATGAGAGTAATTGCCTGGTCAAGATCTTCTAAACTCCAGAGGCTCCGGCAAAAATTAGCTGGGGTGATGAGGGCAGCATCCTGTTTATAAAGAGCGCCTCGAGAAACTAAGAACCCCAAGAAAAGGCAAAATATACTCAACGGTGGGGCTCGGGATCAGATAACGGGCATCGTCCGATGATCTTATATCGGAGGATGAACCCCGAATCCAGCACGTCTCCAACAAAATACGTAAATGTGGACACCGATGAGAGACTTAGGAAGCTTAGCAGAGCGGGGCCTTTATCTGATTAGATGGTTGAGACCGGTGCATTAACCTGAAGAGAGATAACGGAACACTTTTATGGTCTAGCTCTTCATTCGGTGCAACGTCGGTGAATTGAAAGATCAATGCCAAGCGATTTTAGAGGGTCTCACAGCTTGTCTTCGAGTTTAGCTTTTTTTTTTTTTCTCGGTTTCAGCTTTCCCCTCATGATAAATGGAGTCCGAATTTTTATTATTAGCTGAAGATTTAAGCTGTGTACAGAGTAGACCACATGGCATTGCCGATCCAAAAACTCCACTTGGCGATGTCCGCAAGTTTCCTTCCGTTCGTTCCCGGTACTATCGAACGCCTTAGCAAATAAGTTTGGGCTACGGTGAAGAAATACAGTCAGTAGCTATGATCGGGGGTGGAGACCTGATGTCTTATAATCATCCATTTGATAAATTATAATGTCAAACTGAGAAAAATAACAAGAGAAAAAAAGCCAATGGTGTCTGTCATCTCTCATGCATCTCATGCCACATCTTTATATGCAATATAAAAAAAAATGCAGATCAGAAACGCTCCATCAAGCGCTTACGCACAGTCCACATACGCGCTCGTTTGCCATATATGTACATGGGGATCGTCATTAGCAGGCAAAATAGTTGAATACCACCAATAGCCAGGAACACCGTCCGAGAACCATCGGATTCAAGCCAATCTACAATGAATAGAGAGAAAATGAGGCCGTGCAACACGTCTGCCACATATGTTAGGGAAGTTGATCGTAATCAAATCAAGGGGGTCGGACATACTCTTGCTAAAGTTCAGTGTGACCAGCGCTTCTCCGGCGTACTGGCGATAGCTATCCACACAGAATGTGATAGCGGTAGTGCTACCAAGACAGCACCCGAAAGAAATCATACCAAAAAAGATGGTAGGCACTATCCATGCATCACGCAGCTGGGCACTCCAGCCAAAGCCCATCAGTCCAATCACTGTGGACAGTGCGATAGGAATGGCCATCACCAGACGAAACTCGGGCTCATATATACCACCGTTCCGCTTTGTTAAAAAACGGGCAACGATATCTGATACCTTCCCTGCGACAGCGGTCCCAAGTAAGCCGCCCACGAACGGAGAAATGTAGATCAATCCGGTCTGTAGGGCCGTGAAGCCGTAGTGCTCAGAACTTTCATAAATGACTGCAACAGACTCCGAAAGTACAATCAACCAACCAACAGACAGAGAGTAAACCACAGTTGACCAAAGAACCGACGGATAAGCAAACAGAATGAACGGTCGAATGGCAATCTTTATCCACTTATCTCGTGCAATCCGCCCGTTCCAAACCTTAAGTAACTGAAGGTATGGAACCTTTGGACGCTCACGGAGTCGATTTGTGTATTGCAGACTAGAACTTAGTTGTGCTCCCGGGGAATGGGATTCGCTGCGGGCAGGGGGAGAAAGTCGGACTAAGTCCTGCTTCCAGTTGAGTGGGACTCAATGGTGTAAGGAGTGCTGGAGATGGGTGAATAATATGTCTATCACCATGCTCTGCTACCGGTGTGGACGGTGCATCCACTATCTGGTCACCAGTAGAACGCTCCACTTTTTCATGGTGATTATCAGCCTCCGCCTGATGTGGGTTTGCCATCTCGGTTCCTGTTTCATCAGGGATTCCAAAGTGGGCATGCTTCTCCTTCCTCGGTGATGGGAGCAGCTCTTCAGGTTCATTCACTTCAGCAGAAGAATCTGGGACCTGCAGATGGGGGCGTCGACCCCGAAAGCCATGCGATACAAGATCAGACACGGTGCGGACCATATGCGGGCGCTTGTGATGGCGCCGAGGACGAGGTGTACGATCCCAAAAGGTCTCTGGAACGAAGAAGAAAAGTAAGACCATACAGCCACCAACAATTATAGAAACGATCCAAAAAACCCATCGCCAACCCAAGCTGCCAATGACAGCAGCGCTGGCTAGCGGGACCAGATTCTTTCCACCTAGAAGCAGCAAGGTATAGACGCCCACGCGGTATGCTCTTTCGTGCAGGAAATAGATCTCTGCAATTGTTGCGGACGGAAGACACTCCACTGGGCTCACGGCAATTCCCTGGAAAATGCGTGCGACTACCAGGCTGGGATAATTAGGAGACAGCGCACACCAGATTCCCGAGAGAATAAACAGCACTGCTCCCATTAGATAGACAGGTCGCTTTCCAAACAAAATCGCTGTGGGAGACATGATGACAGAGCCGATGCCAAGGCCCATCATGTACAAACCAGTTGTGTAAGCAACGTCTTGCTTGGTGACATCGTAGGTTTTGGCGACATTGTCGAAGCCGGCGGCCAAAATAGTGGTCATACCTCCGCCCATCAAGCAATAGAATCCAAGTGACAGTAGCGCCGCATCTCGTTGCCATACAGGCCAGTTGAGTGGATCATTCACGGAGTCGTCTGGTTGTGGATCGAGGACGATTTGTCCATCAGCTGTTCGCTTCTTCTGTGGAGGAGGTGCGGTCCGAGAGGAGGAGCGGGATGGGGGATTTGTGGAAGGAATAGACGAAGTCGACATCCGCTGGGGTTGATGTCTCATTCCCAGAGGCTCGTTGCGGTTCGAGGAGAGAAGAAGAATCGTGCCTATGTAAAGGAAACGAGATCATGAATCAGTTGACCTCTTCCTAAAAATAATATCTTGTCTTTCACTATTACTCGCACTCACCAGGTACTTCATCCGTCTGCTTGTCGCTAAGAATGCCCAGTGTAGATTTCGCACGATAGTTTCCTTCATTCTGGGTGTCCTCCTTCGTTTTCTCTCCAAAGAACCGTCTCCATCCTGGGAGTCCTGATTTTTTAGTACCATCAGATCCATTACTAGTCTCAGCCTTTGTAAATGGCGGAGATTCCTCGGGCGAATCCATAGTCAACAATCACGATAAGATGTTTGTAGTAGGATGGAATATGTAGCTCGATATGTAGCTCGACGCGTGATATGCTAGAGCTTGGAATCAGTTAAATTCTTTGACCAGGAAGCATGCTACTTTCTGGCATAACATCATGAAACGGTGATGGGGAGAATTCTTTGGAGGCAATGGCACCTTTCTCTGTCTGTCTGTAACAGACCGGATCAAAAGCTCGAGTACAACCCACGATAAGGTAGCCAGATACCCGGAGGGTATCCTAGATCGATTGAAATGGATATCAATATTCTCTGGTTTGGGGAGAATATGGGTCCGCTGCCAGGCGCAGAGTGAATGATGGACAGGTCGTGGTCTGAATTACCGCTTACGATAGAATCCAAGCAGCGGCAACTGATGGGTAACGCTCCAGGACATAGCTTGGGTGCGGTAGAAACAACAAAGAGTTGGAAGGATGACAAGCAGTCAAAGAGGTTCAGTCGGGTCCTTGAAGGGCAAAGACCATAAATAGGGCCGTTAATGGACGTCAAGCTATCATAGGTTGAAGGCGCAAAAAGATGATCGACACTCCATGTGGTCAAAGCCGGGGGCGGCAGGCGAAGCGGTGAGGCGCCGAAAGACTAACTTCGTGACTTGTTCTCCCGTTCACTCATTTGTACCCGCCGGACACGCCAACGGTCGATCAGTGCAGCCGATTTGTTGGATCCTTGTCCATAATTATACCCTTCGCCCGAATTGAAGATTCTTCTACCTTCTATCTCTTACCACATTTTTAGGCCCGGTGTCGACAAGGGGTATGGTTATCCGGGAGCATCCCATACTCAGCCGACCACATCCACAACGTTTTCGGCGAAACTTGCCTAGACAAGGACGCTGTGTGGCAGCGTTAGGTATTCTCACTGGCCGGTGAACGGGCAAGACCCACTGGGCTCGATGCAAGATAATGCGATCGCAAAGCCAAAATATGCGCTCAGTGTACGGGGCCCAACAAACCTGAGAAGGCCAACCCGCAGCCTGTGCGTGCGACCCATTCCTGAGACATTGTTACCCAGCCCCCTCTATCGAGCGCCTCAGAGTCCGGTTGGTATGTGTTGCTCAACACCCAAGGGCGCCAAAGCACGCGATGGCTGTGACCATGGTCTCCTTTCATAGCTTCCCAATAGGCCATACTCGGCTCAGATGATTCTGCCCAATCCCCCTCAGCTGACTCCTTCCGACACTGTCTGCCGTCATCATGCATCCTGACATCGCGGGGAAAGGCCCCTGTGTCGTGGGAGTGTCCAAAAGTCAACTTTGTTTCACTAGCTCCGCACCAATGTGCCCATCCTGTTGATGACGTTGTATATGGTCGCGGTATAGAACGGTCGCTAAGTCCTTGATTCTAGGATATACGATCCCAGCTTTCGCTTGGCCAGGGGCTCGCACCTGAGCTGCGCATCTAGTGGACGATATAATCTCCCCTTTTTAGACCCCTGTCATATCTCTTTGTAACGAGACAACCAGGTCAGCCATATGCGGGGTCCAGAAACATTAGTTGGATGTCACCATGCATGGTCATAAGGGATGGGAAAGCGCTGCTACCGCCGTTGGTTTTAATGGCCGGACACGGTTTCGCTGGCCAAACCGGTCGGGGGTCTTAACCATTTTCGTTGGCTTGGTCTGCATGTCTCTTATAAAATGTCAGGTTCATCTCATAGTCGAAGAACAAATTGACTACGTATATATACCGATTCCACTGTCGAAATCATCAAGTACCGACCGGTCGGATGGCTTAGGGGCAAGGCTCGGCACGGCACGGAAACAACCCACCCAACAACTTCGTTGAAGTTGACCTGGTAGCTCACCCCATCTTACGTACATAGGACTTAACTTGTTTGGTGAAATATTGACTACGAATTCTGATTATCTTATAACGAAATCCTTTCGATTCATGTGCTTATGGGTCTATTACAGGACCCTGATTAAGAAATCGTGACCGAATCCTGTAACTGCTTTCTGCTGGCATTGATTACAACTGATCTAGTACTTTGTTGCTCCCCCTCCCCCTTCACTGACTTGCTGTACACGCCTAAGCCATGAATCAACTAGGATTCTTACATGGTTGATGGGCGCTTCTCTCCACACTTATTTCCTACACTTCTTCCTCTTATCATCTAGAATCGCTTTATATAGATACCGTCATGTGCAGAATGTATCGGTTCAGGTCTTCATATAATCCTGAACATTCTTAAGAATAAGATCTGGTGAATCGAGTGGTTGACAAGCTTACCGTTTCTGTAGACGATCTAGTATTTCTTGCGATATTTGAGCGATATGAGAAAGAGCCATATCTTGTACAAGATTCGGTATAATCCTATTTAATAACAAAGCAAGGACCTATTTTTTCCAAATTCGAGGGATTATACGATAGACGTAAATCTTCATTTTGGTATTTCTTTAAGGCTTTTGCTGTTTTAAATGTGATCAATAGCGTGATAAACAGCCGTGAATTATGAAGCCTGACTAGCGCTAACGCGATTAATATATTATAGTAGTCAGATAATATAATTCGTTCCTAAATCAAGAAAAATCAAGTCTTAGATACTATTGTTGTGTCGCATGCCACCTACTTGTGTGAGATTACTATAATACCCAAAAGCATCAGCTAGATCGCCGACTAAAGCGATCCTAGCAGTAATGGTATAAGGTATTTCACTAGCGACTCGCTAGTGTGCGCGGTTCGCTAGTGAAATATGTTATATAGAGAGGAATCTAGGTAGCTCCTAGATCGCACTATCTAGATTTTATCCAAGCTTTATTTGTAAAAATAAATGACATCTCTAATTATTAACTATCTAATATTGATAAGCCTATACCCAACGTAAACGCTTTTGCAACGTTGATATCCTTGAGTATATCTAGGATCAAGTGGTAGTTCCTGAGTTGCTGGAACCGCTGCTATACCACGTTTATAAAGCGCACTCTGGAGTGTTTTACCGCAAATAGGAAGCTCTAGTTCAGCAACTATCTGAAACACGGCCTTGCAACGATTATCAAATGGAGCACATATCCAAGTGATAATATCATACAATAGATTTTCGGAAAGTTTACGCTTGCGATCACGGCCCTTGGGACGTGTAGCTTTCTGTTACTCGTAATTTACCTAGCGCATTGTGGCACCGATCTTGTTGGCAATTTGTATATATGAAAGGCCTTGCTCGCATAGTGTCAGTATAAGAAGACGCGTATCGCGATTTAGGTGCTTGAGTATAGCCGTATGTTCCGTATTGACAGTAGTAGTAGAAGGCCTACGCGACGTTTTTTTGCTTATATATTGTACTGGACAAGTGGCCTCGGGCGGGAACTACTGTAGCGAGTGTGACAGAAAGCTGTAATATGTAAGGCTGCCCTGCTGTATATAGCAACCAAGACGTCCTTTCTTTTCTACTACTATCACTGGGTGTTCTCTCAGTCTTCTCTTCATCAACCCTTAGAGGCGTTCCTATTTCGCAGACAGCGGACCTCTGACCCCAGTTCAATCCGGAGTCATGAATTACTATACTATAGAGGCGGAATAGGGGGTGGAAAATATTCCCGACCGCCCAATGTCCGTATTACGTTACCATTTTTTGTATGGCCCCTGTAGCTGTGGGATGAAAATTAACGGTATACAAACGTGCCCTCAATTGGAAAATTTTCGACACTTATTTCTTAGGGCATCGAAATCGAGCCATACCATAATTTGATCCATAGAGAATAACACCAAAAGCAATCTGGGCGCTTCGTATAGTCATTTGAGGAACAGAAATCAAGGTTCTAAATGGCTAGATGGTCCGCCCCCACCTCCTAACCTTCTCCAGTCAAACTGCATCAGCCGTGCCACCTCCTTTACCTCGGACCTCGTATCTTGGCCTATTCATCTATGAAATGAAAGACCATGAAATGAAGAAACGCCGGAGAAATATCACGTCGCGCTCATTGAAGGGATGTCGGACATGTCGGTAAGTATCGGAGGAGTGCACAGTCACAGGGTGGAAGGCACGACCATGGACTAATCCACAGCGCAGTACCCGTCACATCAAATGTGATGAGACACCCGGTGTATGCAATAATTGCAAGTCCACTGGTCGTAAATGCGATGGGTACGACATATCTCGCTTGAGCGGCACAGTGCTCCCTGTCGACATCATCCCAAATCTCGGAGACCAATTAGGCTGGGTCACAACCACGGACGAGACTCGGTGCTTTTCATACTTCACACGCTGCTCAATTCCTGGTCTGGCAACATTCTTCCACTTGCCACTCTGGCAAAAGCTCGCCATGCAGATGAGCCGTATCGACCGCGCTGTTTATCATGCCGCGACTATGTTTGGTGCCATCCACGAAGACTCCGATCATCATCGGATGCGCCTATTGGGGGAAAACCTAGGCAAATCGCGTCATCGTTTTGCCCTCGAACAGGCCTCTAGAGCATACTCCTTACTCCAGAATCGCTCGACTTCCAATGACCCCCAGTTTCGCGAAGTATTGTTGCTCTGCTGCCTCCTTTTCCTTCTCTCCGACCTGCTTCTCGGGCGGTATGACCATGCCTTCATACATTTGCGCGGTGGTCTCACGATCATAGAAGAGGCGGGAGATCAATATAACTTTCTGACTGTGCATCATGAGGGCTCCCTGCAGAATTGCTTGGTGCAGATATTCCAGCGGCTAAATTTCGAATCTGCTCTCTTCGGGGAGGGCAGACCGTTCCTTTCCTTCCGTAATGAGCGGAAGCACGATTGTCTTGATGCATGTTTTCCTTTCACAAGGCAGGGACAGCAATATGCCCATCAGTCCATTAACAACATGTTGGCTATGGGTGTTCCATTTCTTACTAAGTGTTGGTTGCTCTCTCGCTCTCAGGTTGAAGCTGATTATCAGGAATTGTTTGAGAACCAACAGCGCCTCATTTCCGGTTACCTCCGGCTGAAGGAACGGATTCAACGTTATTATGATCATTTATATCATGAATTCGACTATGTGGAAAAGCAAGGACTGGAAGTTCTTCAACTTCAATGTGATGGTCAATTGCTTAGTATAAAGACTTGTCTCCTTGACGGCCCGATACCGGACAGTTTCACTCCCGAATATGTGAAGCTGCTTGAAGCCTGCGAAAATTTCATGTCAAAATTTCCAGAACGTTCCACAGTCACTCTCGACTGTGGTGTCGTCCCTAGCCTTTATGTGGTAGCATCAAAATGCCCGCAATATATGATTCGGTTGCGGGCAATCGACACTCTGTTTTCATGGCCGCATGTGGAAGGACTTATTAATTCCAATTTTGTGGCCTCATTAGCCTTGAAAATTATGAAGGGAGAACTGCAGGGCAAGGAAACCCGAGATACCTTGTCGTTGATCGATCAGCAGGCGGAGAAAGAACTGGATCGCTTTCTTTCCGAAACGCTGATTTCAACGCCACAGGCTATTAATTGGCCCTCGATTCGTGCCGCAAAAATCCTCAGCCCTTAGATTAGAGTAGTCAAAAAAATATCCGCCACACTTAGAAGGTATTGATTGATTCTGACTCTATCAATAATTTCATCATCCACAGATTCTCACCACTATACCACGCCAACGCAAAAACCCACCTGCACGCTAGGCTCACCAATGAATGTTGTCCGTTTCATTACAAAGTAGCTTCAAACACAGCACTGGATTGACCACCCGGGGGAGCTTTCCAGACATGGACTGTCCGGAATCCTGCTTTCTTGAGCAAATTAGTCCATTGCTCTTCAGTCCGTTCCAGGGATGAAAATATCTCCATCATATGCAGATCAAGTGTTGCTGCTAGAGGTGGAATATTGGATCCTTCCGGAAGCGTGTGTTCATGTATCAACAGAACAGAGTCCTCCGCCATAGCTTCACGAATATGAGCAAGGGCTTCCAGGGCTTGCTTATCCGGAAAATCATGTAACACTGTTCGCATGTAATACGCCTTAGCACCCCGAATCGGCTGGGGCTTGAACATATCATGCGGAGTTACGCAAATGTCACCTGACAGGGGCTCTTTGATTGTATCAATCACTTGTGGAAGGTCTTGGAGAGCAAGTTTGCCCGGTAGTTCCGGGAACTGCTTCTTGAAAGCGATAAGGTCATGACCCACGCCTCCACCAATATCAACGAGCAAGATTTGATCCGGCGAAACATTGAGCTTTTCTGTCACTGGATAGATTTTGAACCAATCTTCGCCACGATGGCTTTGACTCGTCGTCATCACCGTATTGAAAGACTGTTGGGCAGCAGGATGTTTTTGAAGCCACTTGAAATAATGATCGCTAGTGTTGTAGGCGAATTGGAAAGGTGCATCCTCGGAATTCTCTGGATTCTTATATCCTTTAGACTCGAAATAGTCGAATAACTTCGCGGTGACCTGCATATTTGTATGGCTAAATGAGGAGAATTAGAATTTTTGCATGACTTGGAAGTGGAATAATCAAGACAGCGTCAAAGCTCTTACAAGTGTTTGATCATATCTCCAGCTACCGATCCGAATGCCATTCCCAATGGTAATGGCCGATATGTCTGGTTTTCAGTTTCTTGGAAGATCTGGTGGGAGCAAAGGAACCGCATGACACGTTCTGAATAGCGAAGTCAATAGAGTGACATAGTATTGATAAAGATATGATCGCTTACTTAAAAGCACTTCATCGCCTTTAGTTTGCAAAGAAAGTTCATTTAAAGTCATCTCCGCATTTTTGGATTGACTAAATGCGTCGAAAATTCCCATGCCTTGAGCGACCCGAATAACAACAATACCATAGTGCTAACCAATCAAACAATTAGTTAGACGTGCAGATTTCAACATACGGAAATAGCATACCGAGAAGCAAAACCTCTGAATCGCCACCTGAGGTGGCTCTAAAGCCGCTTGGAGCTGACTTATTATTCCATAGAGCTGCATACGCTCGGCATCTTGAATCTTCTCCGGGGGCGGGAGGTTAGACAGAACAGATGTCAAGGTCGCAGTCAGATCAGCCGTGTTTGACATTTTATAGAGCAATATATGGTTGAAGAAGGAATAAGAGTTGAATTAAAAGAAAACATTGCAAAGCGAAGCAATGAAGACCTCTTTATAGCCCAGCGCTTGGGGCTGTGGTAGACCGTGTTCGCAAATGTAGATTTGGCAAGTGTTCCATAATTGGACCAATCAACGCTATAATTTCTTCATGATTGAGTGTATTTCATTGATTATTGTCCGCTGAAATCATGCCTGCCGTCTGTATTGCCCCGCTTTGGGGCCGCCTATTATTTGGCCCCCTGCCTCTTCACGGTTGGACAAATCATATCCGAGTTACCCAACTCACACTAATCGATACAGATTCAGTTCTTTGCCAATTTTGGTCTAGTTCCAATCCTACTTGTTCCAAATGGGGAAACAAGTATGTCCTAGGGGCGCAGTCAGTGATAATTAAAGTATCTCAACCTCTCCCAGAGTATCGATTTAATCCTTCTGGAGTATTTCTCTAACCCGCAAAATCACTGCCTTGAGAACCCTGGAGCCACATACCCCATATTGGGTTGTCTATTACAATTTTCACTGCCTTGGGACCCCAGCATAGATTTTGGGCTTCGTTGTATGACCAAACACAATTCCAGATGAAGGCATAGCCACAATCAACGAAATCACCCCTGAAGCTGCAGGTGTCCTTGTCAACAACTGGGTTCTTCTTAATAAATCCGTAGTTAGCGTTATACGTGACCTCGCTTTAACTTTGCCCTGACAAACTCATCCAAGTAGCGATGTTCAGCGTCCGGCGTAAGATACCAGATCAGTGCTTCGATACCACCCCTGAGCGATGATCATAGCTATATGGAATACCACACCCTGGATCGTCATAAAAATGCACAGATAGTGCATCGAACCAGCGCATATGTTTTTTGAGAACCGACCCGAGGTTTTTGTCGGGCCACTGGTATTCTGATGCGGCAGTCTAGAAGAATTTAGTTTCCGGACCAGCCTCTCTTCTCAGGACGATAAGCTTCTTGGTGAAGGGCCAGTAAGTCCCTTTATATGCGTGTCCTTGGTAATCCAACCCAGCCATCCGAAATATCAGCTCAATTGTCTAGTATGTTGAATCTCATTACTGCAAAGTATAAAACTCGGCTCCACTGACTTCAACATATTGGCACTTGTACCTTCTAGAAAGGAGGTTATTTTTCCAATCAAACTGTTACTAGAACAGGCCACCTTCTTAAGTGCGATATGCCTCTCAAGCGAAATGAGCTACGCCATAGAAAAGCCAGAGTTGACATCCCAAACTCTCCAATGGTCAACTTGTCTCTTTATCTCCAATACAGATTGATCCCTGTAGGCACTTTACATGGGATTGCACAGCATGAGAGAACCATGGAAGGTCGATTGCTGTACTAAGCATGACGAAAAGAACACAAAAATAATTCCAATCAAGAAAAACCGTATAGATATCTCTATTCAAGACTCGTGTTTTAACTGAACGCTCAAACTCTAAACCACTGTCACTAAGAGATATATTAGTCTATGCATTCGAATCTATGGAGAGAGTCAGTCAGCCAACTTTACAGACTCGGGTTCTCGAACCTTAGACTTTACAGGATTGCCCTTGTCGGCCCTGGCGAGACCCTTGTAACCTCCCGCAACAAGCAGTCAATCAACATGGGTAGATTAGCATTGCGACCGCTTGCGGTGGGGGTGTCACGTGGAATCGCCCCCTTTGCAGAAAGCAGGAACACAACAGCTTCATTTCCAACAACCGTCTTTCTCTTCTTTATGTTTCTTTTTCTGCAATAAACGATCTTAATATTGCTTTTGTCCTGTTTCTGTTTGCATATCCAATCAGGGAGTGGCCAAAATAAAATCTTCTCGCGTCAACCGCGCTCCTCGGTGTCAAACGGTCAAACGACCTGCGTGTCTTTTTTCCAACTTCGACCGAAACAATCTAGGCTGTTGGGCTTCGTTTGGGAAAGCCAGGAATCGTCGTTCATTTCACCAATTCGACCGGGAAATACAGTCGTGCCACTCGTTTTTCACGCTACTCGCCGCTCTTCCTCTTCACCATGAAACTCCACTTGTCCTCTTCCATACTCCTTCTCCTTCCTGCCATCACAGCTGCATCGGCAGACATCAAACAAGCGACTCCCTCAAGTGTCCAAATATCGTCATCCGATCTCGGTTCCCGCTACATCGATCCAGACTCAATCGCCTCCAGTAATGTCGCCAAAGGGTCGCTGGACGTCCCTGTGGACGGCAAAGACGGCAGACCGCATGCAGGCCCTTGGGTAGAGACTAATGCCGAGCGTGACCGCAAGAGCAACAAAGGCAGCGATGAAATAGACCTTGTCTCGACAAAATTCGAGACGAAGATCCCTTCGTCTCAGCATCTCAACACGGAGGAAGGGAAAATGATCCCGCATTCCAACGGTGGCGTGATGGATGACCCGAACCGGTCGGGCCCCAAGGAAGGCACCAGGGGCACCGAGGGTGGCGTTTCAGAGAAAGGAAAAGAGAATCAGTATGCAGAGAAGGTCCCCGGAAGTCCCAAGGAGGCGCTGCCGCTGCCGCAGAGCGAGAAACAAACACTGCCATCCGACATCGACGCGACAAGTGGAAGTGGTAGCCGGACTGCGGAGGGTGCAGGAAGCCTTGGAATGTTGGAGGTGCGATTTCTTCTGTTCCACGGCCCTTTTTTTTTTTTTGAAAATGATAGCAGCTGACCGTGCAACCTTAGAAACCGGCCGATCTTCCGGACACTCCTCACGATATCCCGCACCCTAAGTCGCCTTCTCAGGCCAAGGACGACCCTTTGGCCATCGGCCATGGCTCAGCTGGCTCCTCGTCGGGCTCACATGCCAGTTCCACCTACGAGAAAACCTCAACCTCCCTCGACGACGGCGATGGACTCCACTCTCTTATTTTCGCGTTCACCATGATCATTGTATCAGAAATTGGTGACAAGACCTTCCTCGTCGCTGCCTTGATGGCAATGAGACATCCCCGCCTAGTTGTTTTTTCCTCTGCCTTCTGTGCTTTGGCTGTCATGACTGTCCTGTCTGCCATCCTTGGTCACGCCGTTCCCACTCTGATTCCCAAATCTGTCACAAAGCTCATGGCTGCGGTTCTTTTTCTCATTTTTGGTGCGAAGATGGGCAAGGAAGGCCTCGAGATGTCTCCGGATGAGGGTGTGGGCGAGGAAATGCGTGAAGTTGAGATGGAGCTTGAGGAGAAAGAGCAAGAGCAGTTGCGCATGGGTCGTCGTCGCTCCTCTATCACCCCTCACTCCTTGGAGGCTGGTCGCGTCGGTGGTCGTCCTAAGTCGCGCGGCTCAGCCAACCGCTTGCCTTCACCTCCAGAGAGTATTTCCTCCTCTTCGTCTCGTGGATCGTCTCCCCACCCCCAGCGTCGCTTGAATGACTTTATGGTGGGGATCAGCAATCTCTTCTCTCTGCTTCTCAGTCCCGCATGGGTGCAAACCTTTGCCATGACTTTTCTTGGTGAATGGGGTGACCGCAGTCAAATCGCCACTATCGCCATGGCTGCCGGTCAAGATTACTGGTGGGTGACTGTTGGCGCGATTACCGGCCATGCGATCTGTACCGCGGCCGCTGTCATTGGTGGACGAGCCATCGCCGGTCGTGTCAGTCTGCGTGTTGGTATGTATTCAAAATCTATCCAGTCGTCATTCATTCCAACGCTAACAGTGCAACAGTGACTTTGGGTGGTGCTACGGCATTCTTGGTGTTTGGCGTCATTTACATGATAGAAGCTCTTTACTAAGGGGGCAGAGTATTTTCAATCGATGTGTCTTAATGTGTTTCTAGGCGATTAGGCCTGTTTACTCAACCTGGGTGTAAAAGTCGGAAATGTCCTGCGGGATATCTCTATAATAATGATATAATTTATTGCAATTGATGTATAATGTCCAACTGGAATAATCTATATCTAGATATTTCGCTTTTTTGTGGTAATTGAGCTGTCCATTTGACACGGCGATGTTGGTGCAACGCATCGGTAAGCAATAGCAGCCTCGGGCTATACCTAGTGTAGGACACGTACGCAACGTGTGGAAAGGTTTCGGGAGTTGAGTGGATGACAATATACAGCCTTATCACAATATTGTAACGGGTAATATGGCCATTTCTTGCTTCACTTGGTAATACATCCAGAGAAGCTTAGTGAAGCGGTCTACCGAGATCTATTCGAGATCAGCTCTCTTCGGCAGCGCAGCCATCAACTCCCTTCAAGAGTGTTACATGTTTGGGACATACCCCACCCCCGGTACTCACCCCGCTTACTAATTGATGGATACCAACCAATTATAAGACTGTATTGATTAGGGTTTAGGGTTTTGCCTTGTATTGCAGGCCAGAATATTACAGGTCACATGTTCTTTGTTTTTAATAGTCAAAAACGGTTAGCCTTGTCGGATCAACCATATTCCAGCTTGTTGGCCGAGTGCTTACCCCATAACCCCTAATCGCGTTCTTGCCTTCCCATTTTTCTTTGATACATCGTCCCGTGAATTGATTTTTGTACTCACCTTCATTCTCCCTTCAATTTGAGAAGTTTCGGGTTGTGTTTACGATAACCGATCATCTTGGGAGCGCCCTGGGACCGCGTTTGTTCCAAACCAATCATAACGTGTGACTCCAACAGGACTACTCGGTACACCGCCTCAGATGGCGCGTGCTGTGAGATCCATGCCTCAGCGTCGAGTGACCCGAAGCCAAAGCCGGGAACTCGAGGATTCGGTGCAGGAGCGAGGCCCTTTGAAAAATGCGGAGAACGGAAGATTGCCGACCAAGTGTGAGTGGTGAATCTGCTTTCATGATTGAATTTCCATTTGCAGACAATCACTCGTTATCCATGAAGACTATAACAGTCGATGCATCAATTGTTATGATCCATTGCCCATTCTTTTCTTTCTTTTTTCTCAATCAAAAGCTTCCATCTTATTTCGATATCGATCTGTTGCAATAGATAGCACTTTCTGACCTTTCGCAGCCCTTGCCCCGGTGATTGAGCAATCGCCTGCCTCGCGAGTTCCTGATGCTCCCAGCAATGAGGAAGGCAACACTAACATTTCAGGGACAACGTTTTTGCCGCATGATTCTGACTCTGAAGATGGGGCACTTGACCCCGTTGATATGGTTGATGAAGTGCAAGACCTTCAACAAGCTGCATCGCGTGTTCTGGACCTGGTCGGCACCGGCTCCTCGGATCCTAAAGGCATTGTCGAGGCAGTGAAGCTCATTGCCAACCCGATGAACACGGTCAGCAAGCGGCTCAAGCGTTCCTTGAAGAAGTTGGTAGACATCATGAAAGTGTTCGGAAACCAAGCCTTCATTGATGTCGCACGAGTCAAAACCATGATTCCCAGTGTGACTTTAGGCGATGAGGATAAAGTATGGAGTCCGATTCCGATCTTGCAGAAAGCCAATTGTGCTCGCCTGGCCCTTGATGTGATATTGGCCAGCTCCGGCTCCCAAACACCTCGCCAGGTTATAGAAACTCTGGAGAAACACTTTCCTTTGCCCTTTATGGACAAATTTGTCAAGAAGAGCCAATCCTTGCAACCTGGGTTTAGTGTTGCTGTTAAACCGACCTTCGAATTGGCGCTCGAGATTCGTACTCAATACTTCATCACTGAGCTGGAGAGATGCCAAGGGGAAAAGGGCTTCGACCCCGCCGCTATCCTGAAGGGGGTTTTTTACGACGAGCTCGCCCTGGAAGACGCCGATGACTCTCCCATCGACCCTGGCTCGCTTCGAGGATTCAAGCTTGCTCCTACTTTCGAAGACGAGAATGGATGTCTACCTGACAATTTCCAGGATGATGTCAGTGATCTAGTCAGCGAGCTAGAGACATATCTTTTCGACGATGATGGCGCTGCTAATATACAGGGCCTGAAAGCTGTTTTTCCCTGGCAGCGATTCTGTCTTCGCACAGCACGATTCGTCCACGCCAGAGACAAAGAGGTCAACCAGCAGCTATTGGCGATGCCAAGTTTTAGTGATATCCACGACTCCCTTGTGGACAAAATTGAGAACCAAATCCATGAAAGCGATAATCTTGTCGCCCAAAAAAATCTCCAGGAACAATTTATCGATTCAAACAACGAGACCGCCGTATCTAGCGATCATATTGTTAGCACACCAGAGCAATCCAGAACAGTGTTCTCTCCGGCTCAAATTCACGGGAACCAGAGTGCTCCTCGAGAACGTAGTGCTGCTGTCAGGTCTTCCGTGCAGAGTCGTCGGGTAACTCTTCCACCACGTGTTCAAGAGGGTAGCCTCGCTCATAGCTCATCGCCAGCCGGCCAGAATAAAGAGAAAAGGAAGAAGCGACAGTCTCTTCGGGAAGAGATGGATGAATTTGCTGAATTCTTAAGAGCCCGACGTGACTCTGATCGTGACTCCCATCATCTCAGTTCTCCCGCAGCTCAGGCCGTATCGGAACTCCAAGCCGCAACGCCGGAGGCGAACAGAAGAGGCTATCATGTTCCCCGTGAGACCAGCATCACTGCAGGCCGCACTGAGATTGCTGGTACTCCTGAGCCCGAGCCTGAGCCCCAGCAGTTGACTCCCAGGCCATACAAAAACACTCAGGGTGACAGCCCCGCAGTAAATCCCATTGACGAGGCCTTGATCTTCGGCCCACCAAGTGAGATCGAAGTATCGGCCAGTCCCGAGGGCTCCGAACGAATCAATCGAGTCAGCCATAATGCAGGCAGGTACCTTGTTTCCCCCCAACGAGGCCGATACTTCGACTCTCCGCAAGCCAGTCGAACTCGGGCCAGCCCGCGTCGTACAATTTTCGATCGCCAGCCAAATGCTTCTAGAGTGATCTTCTCGCCGGACGCTCCAAACGCGGAGACGCCCCGCGCTCCGCCCGATCAATTGGCCTCCAGAAAACGAGGGCGCGTGGATTCCGAGGACGAGGGGAGTGATGACGACGCGTTCACCCAGGACACCGCCATTCATAATGTTGCCGAGCGGAGAGCTCAAAAGCCACCGCAGGCTCGCCCAACCGAAAAGAGACCGCGGGTTGAGGATAACGTGTCTGTCGAGATAACGCAGCGGACACAAGCAAGCGACCACCGGAGATCGGCTCCTCAGGTGTCAACCCAGGTTGCTTCGCCCCCGGCACCCGCTGTTGCTCATGATTATGCACCCCCTCCATCATCGTCCAGATGGGCTGACCACATTGGTACCGGGGCCATAGCTCGCGGGGGCGGAGGGCGGTGGACGCAAGCCGAAGAAGACCGTCTCATTTTTCTCGCTACGAGACACGGAACAGGGTGGGCGGCGATCAAGCGTGCGGATGACATCTGCCCGGAGTCGGAAGGTGGTCCCTTGTTGACTCATCGGACACAAGTCAATCTCAAAGACAAGGCACGAACAATCGTGAACAGATGCATCCGGTAAGAAGACATGCTGCTTAATTGATTTGTCAACTAGTGCTAACTTGAAGGCCTGCAGGAATGGAGAAGCCATCCCCGTCGGCTTCCATAACATCAAACCTGTCTCGAATTAATTCCCATTGCCCCTGGTCACTTTCTTATTCTCGGGCTTTTCTAACGATGTGACGATGATTCCCCCTCCTCTTGCTTGGTTATTTGATTGCTATTTGATTGCTACCCCACGCCACCTTCAGGGCCAGAAGGTCTTACCAATGAGCTATGTCTTTATATGCTTTTTTCGGGGCTACTGTTCTTTTGCTCCCATCCACCAACTTTGTCGCTCTCGAGATGCATAGGCTTAATCGTGGTGTGAGCTTTCTACAATATAATGCAATGATCCATGTTGATCTTGAGTTATTTCAACGGCGCATTCTTATACCGAAAAAGGATTTCGAAGTCCATTCGGAAGGCAGCAAATGCCTAGTCTTAACTCTCTAAGAGCATAGTTCCACCTGGAACCTGTAACGAATGTATAATAGGCCTCATCATTCAAACCCTATCATTCCACTTTCCCACGGCATCCAGCGCCGAGCCCGGCCTGCGGGCCAGCTAATCCTGTCTATCGCCCATCGCGCATTAGGAGGCCCCCTCGTCTTTCAGTGAAATACGTAGGGTTTATCATTTCTGTATGCCCGGAGGGAGGTGGGGGTACACTATATAGCAAAGAATAACAGGACAAAGAAGGTGATCCTCGGTACCCCCTTTTACAGGAGCAGACCGAGCCCAGCAACAAACGCACCGGCCACGGATGAGCCTGCACGTAGTGACCCGGCGGCGTTGATGGTGGGCGACGGGGTGGCGCTCGAACTTGTCACGCCGGCGGTACGGGAGGCTGCGGCGCCCGAACTGGCCTTGGAGACCATCGAATCCGGGGCTGTCAGGATGCCGGTCGGCACGGAGGTCGGGTTCATGTTTGTCGGGGCGACGACGATGCCGCCGGCCGCAGTGGACGCGGTGGCGGTGGCAGTCGCGCCATTGTCGGAGTTAGAGAGCACGGCGTACTGACCGGTGCTGAGGACCATGTAGGCATTTTCGCCGCCGCCTGGAGAGAGGTTGGTATTAGCATTGAGTCGGACAACGCCCCATGGGGGTTTTGCTGGTACTCTCCCTTGGAGTGGAAATGGGAACGGTATGAGGCTTACAATGGTCACTAGGGTAGCCCGTGCACGCGGCTGAACACTTGCTGTCGTCAACCTTGTCCGAGTTGGGCGGGATGGCGTTGCTGCAAGCGCAGGTCGAGCCCTTGGTCAGCGCCGCGATCTTATACCCGGCCTTGGTACACCGGCTGAGACACAGGCCGTAGGCCTGGTAGTTGTCCTGGGCGGAATCAGTCAAGTCCGGGACGGTCGAATAGCAGCCGAGTTTTGTGTATCCGGAAGATGCCCCAGCGAGAACCGGCAAAGCGAGGGCAATTGAGGCCAGGAAGTGTTGCGGACGCATATTGAAGAAGAGGCTAAGACGGCGAATAGATATTCACGAGAGCAAGAGAGAGAGAGAGAAAGAGAGAGAGAGAGAGGGTGAGGGTGAGGGGAAAGGAAAGAAGTGAACGACTGAACTCGGATGGTCGAAGAAAGAGTGTATCAAGGGGATTGAGAAGATGTGAGAAAGGAGCATGCGGAATGCCACGGATTATAACGAGAAAAGCGTGGATGAGGGCGAGCAAAACCAAAAAGGTGAAGCGATGCTTTAACCCTAAAGCTCAGCCTGACATTGTGGTTCGTTCCGCCCCCAGGAAACATGAACCAGGAACGCCCGGCTCAATGGAGTTGATGGAGCTATACCGAGTGGATGGAGATTATGGAGCCTCGAGAGTCCCCGAAAAGCCTCAAGCGAGCAGCGATGACATCGTGATTGTCCAGGGATCAGCTCTGAAACACTAACCGAATGCTCTATTGAACTCTGCAGCTGCGCATTATTGGCCGGGTCGGCATTGATCGCCCTGATCGTCGGCACCGGAGGAAGACAAGTGGATGCCCTTGCTGACTGCTCGAACGAGCACCATCGCTAGTTTGAAACCTGAAACTCCGTCGGGGTCCTCGGGGCCCCGTTTGTCTTTGGGGAGTGGTTCATGTGGCCGCTTCAAACGGTTTGAGCGAACCCGCGTGGATCATGGTGGGTTGTGAGGCATAGATCGGATTGGTTCAATGGCTCGCCCTGGTGGCGCAGAGGTGGAGCCGAGGAAAAGAAGCACCAAAAAGGATGATTCTTCTCCGGTGATTGAGGGTTTTCCATAGGGATATTGATGATTTGTATTATTGTTGTTCACTGCTTATCACCAACCGGAGCGTCATCCTACGTTTGGGGTCTTTACCCCCTATTTTGGATCTTGCCCATCTTGGTAGAAGTCGGTATAGAGCTGATGCTGGATGCGCTCCGGGCTGACCTTCCGTGATTGACGCGTTTTACACTCCGAAAAAGTATCCTTAGGGCCGCTAACGTTCCCCAATGACGCAGTGGAGGATCCTCTGCGACAATCCTCATAGATGCCCAGGACCATCATCATATATCTGTGCACAAAGCACTGACTATGGAGTACAGAATCATCCTGCTGCCTCCCGAGAGAGGGTTTCTCAATCCCGCATAGACCCTGCTCGCGTGCCTGTTCCATGAATTGGTGTTCCATTCCCCTCGCGGTTCCAGGGATTTTCTTAGTTCGTTCCGCCGGTTCCACTGCCTTTCCACCCGCTGCCAGCGGAACACAATGCTTGGCTCAGGTTGGCGTTTCTGTACCCCTGCAGCCTCGGTCAAGCAACCACGTCTCTCGACAGGCCAATTCTTCATCGTTCCATTTTCTTTGCTATATACATCGATCTTCCTATTTATCTTTCCATCCATTGCCTACGTGACATTGCATTGCCGACCGCGTCGGCAACCAGCAAAGACCTGCCGATTGGGGAAAACGGCGGCAGCAACCGCCCAACCGACCAGCCGCTGAGGGGAAGATAAGCAGATAGCTCCGATAACGCCATTTCGTGCTTCTCATGGCTCTTACTTCTTCTCATCTTCCCATTTCTTGCACATAGCTTCATATAGAATTTGTGCCAGTATCGAGTATATTGACCAACCCCGGCACCATGAAGCCTCTCGCCTTCCTGGGTCTGGCCGTGCCATCGGCCCTCGCATTGGGCATCCCCGCACAACAGATTATCTCCCCCAAGAAGGGCTTCTCCAACGGGGCCTTTGAACCCTCGGCCCGAGAAACCTGCCCGCAGACATCGAAGGTTCCAATTCCGCATGATGGATTACATTCGTCCTTGGACTTCCTCCGAGATACAGGGTTCCGCGCCCGCCAGGCCACACGACTCTCCCGGGCAGTCCAGGTGCCCACGACCGTCGGCGACTTCGCGACGGACCCGTACGACGAGTCCTTCGATGCAATTGTGGAGTTCCAATCTCTTTTGGAGGAGATGTTCCCGCTAGTGTAAGTGGTGGAATGTGTGGAACGGCTATGAACGGGACAAAACGATCTGTATAGAACAGGACACTCGGGCTGACCATTCATCTAGGCACGCTGAAGCAGAGGTTGAGCACATCAACAGACTTGGATTAGTCTTCACTTTCCAAGGTGCTGATACGACACGGAAGCCTATCCTGTTCATGGCCCACCAGGATGTCGTGCCCATTGATGACCCGTCGGACTGGACGTACCCGCCCTTCGACGGTGTGTTCGATGGCGAGTGGATCTGGGGCCGCGGATCCAGCGATTGCAAGAACGTATTGATCGGACTCCTGTCTACTCTGGAGGACCTGGTGTCGCAAAACTGGCGCCCCCAGCGCACCGTCGTCCTGGCCTTTGGCTTTGACGAAGAGTCGCATGGATTCCTAGGCGCCGGGGCAATTGCCCCGGCCCTGGAGAAGAAATACGGCAAAGACAGCTTCGAGTTTATCCTAGACGAGGGTGGCATGGGCCTCCAGAGCCTTGGAGATAACACAGAGATTTTGTATGCACTACCGGGCGTCGGCGAGAAGGGCAGCCTGGATCTGGTCATGGAGATGGCTGTTCCGGGTGGCCACAGCTCCGTCCCGCCTGCGCACACAGGTATTGGCATCATGGCCGAGATCCTGTATGAGCTGGAGCGCCAGGACCTCTTCAAGCCGCGTCTAGATCCTGCGCACCCGTCGTACGGCATGCTCGAGTGCCAGGCACGGTACTCGCCCGAGTCCGTCGAGGCCTGGCTGGCCGACAAGCTGGCCGAGGGCGATGCTGAGGCGTTGGGCGAAGCCGTCGCCCAGTCTCGCGGCCCTGCAGTGCGCTACACGCTGCAAACCTCCCAGGCGGCAGATTTGATCCACGGCGGCGTCAAGACCAACGCCCTGCCAGAAAAGATCTCGGCGATCGTGAACTACCGCGTGGCGCTGCACATGACGCCCGAGCAAATCCGCGAGCGCGCAGTGCGCATCATCTCGCCTATCGCTCGAGCTCACAACATCAGCCTGACCGTCGACTTCCCCGGCATCGCAACCACCGAGGACGAGCTCAGCGGGTCAGGCGACCGCACTCTAGTCCTGTCTCCGCTCATGGAGCCCCTGAACCCAGCTCCAATCTCTCCCACAAACCCACTCACATCGAAGACGTGGGCCCGCTTCTCCGGCGTCGCGCGTAGCGTCTTCGAGTCACACCCTAACCCCCTGACCCAAATGACCCCAGCTGGCGAGTCCGAGTCGACCCCGACAGTGGTAGTGACTGGCGATATCATGACCGGGAACACTGACACGCGCTTCTACTGGTCTCTGTCGGAGAACATCTACCGCTGGAGCCCGTCGCGAGCCGGCGGTACTCTCAACATTCACACTGTGGATGAGCGGATCCGGTTGGACGTGCACCTGGAAGCTATTATGCTGTACTATGGTAAGTGCTCTGTCTCCACTAACCCACTAACCACTCCCCCCCCTTTATGCGACTGATATAGTCCGGGACAGCGCTAATGAAACCGGTCGGCAGATTTGATCCGTTCATTTGATGGATGGGACGAAGATTCAGAGTAAAATGCAGTAGTAGGGATTAAATACGTAGCACATTCTGCACATTATGGTACTTAGGGGATACAATTCCGTGTAGCCCTATGAAAGGCCATTACAATGGACATGAGAAGCTGATCTAGCGGTGTGAAAAGGTATGTTGTAAACGAGAAGAATCAAAAATGATATTTACATGTGCCTAGAGGGATTGAAAGCCTTGCAGATGTAGAGTGAATTCGTATGCTATGTGTAAACGCAAATGACTTTCGCAATGTCGAATGGGCTATTGAGAGAGAATGGGGGGAGGGGAAGGTGATGATGTATGGACGTCCCATACATATAAAGCGTATCACTGTTTATGATGGTCATTAACCGTAATTTGGATAGTATTCGATATCAATCCCGTCCTGATTAAACGCACTGTAGGAGCAGGAAATTGTCTTGACCCAACTGTTCCCCATCCTCTCTTATTCGTTGTCCGTAACTGCAATAACGGTCGATTTGAATTTTCTGGCGGAAACTCGGCGGCGGAACAAGATATCGCTCTCGCGGTAGGATCTGTTCTTGAGCTCAGGAAGGAAGAAGAAGGCCATAACCCAGCATACGAGAGCAGTACCGGCCCATACATATCCACACTTGCCAGCCAGGTTCCAGCCGGTCGTGTTCAGCATCTTAGAGGCGAGGTAGATCATAGGGATTTCCGCAATGTAGTAGGCAGCCCGGCCAACGGCGGTACTGAGAGCACGAAGACGGACCGAAGAGGTCTCGGAGATGATTGTGTATGAAATAGGTCCCTGGGTTAGGGCAAATACGAAGGAAATAATGACGCCTAGACTGGCCTGGGCGAGGTTGGTCGAGTTGTTCTGTGCGATAGAAGCGCAAATACCAAGAATGATGAGCAGGACCACGTTAGTGGCTGTACCCCAGAGGTAGAGGAAAGCACGGTCCGGAGTGATGCCAGCCTCTAAGCGAGAAGGTAAGCACTAGCATTATTTAATGACTATTATCAAAAGAGGAACACCACTCACGTTCGAAGAAGTAAGTTGCCTGGTTTGAAATGAGGTTACCAGCAAAATTTTGTGACATGTACATCAAGCAGATGATTGTAGTTCGTCGCAAATCAGTCCCCTTGATCAAGTCAAGAAGAGTAGGAGCACCACCTATTTCTTCTTCTATCTTAACTGTTCGCTCAATCATGGCAAGAGACTGCTGGGCATGTTCGGGATTCTTTTCCCCAAGGCGCTCAATGGATCGAAGTGCCTCCTTCTTGCGGCCGCGACGGATAAGCCACCAAGGAGACTCGGGGGCGAGAAACACGAGGATTAAGAGAGGAGTCTAGAGGAGTCAATCCTTGTACAGAAGAGGGGTTGGGTTTTAGATATGATGTAGGAAGGCTCACAGGGAAGATCCATTGCAAAGCGATAGGAACTCGCCATGCCCACTCATTTAGCTTCTTGTTATAGCCGTAGGTGGCGCCGGCCACAATAATAGAGCCGATAGACCAACTCATTTGCAGAGTAGCTGTGCAGGCACCTCGGAGGGAAATTGGAACAATCTCACTGGCATAGGCGGGGGAATTTGCAATGAAGAATCCCCAGGGCACGCCTTCCAAAGCTTGTCCAACCACAAGAAGAGTCAGAGAGTTGGCCTAGGATCGCATTTGTTAGACCAATGGAGGTTTAATGTCCAGTCAAACGAGATCAAACTAGACTCACAAAGAAGGAAACAAAAATGGTAGCATTCATCAAAATTAAAGCAATAATGGTTGTCCAGCGATAACCAATACGAGAAGTAATTGGGCCAGCCAAAAAAACGCCGACAAAAGCGCCACATTGTCCAGATTGGAAGAGGGCACTTTGCCAGCGGGTCGGGATGCTATAGCTGCCATCCGTGGTCTGGACCCCATACTTCATTTTAAACGGTGTGAGAGCGACAAAGTTGGTGTTCAAAAACATATCGAAGGATTCCATGACCTGAGAGGGGAATTAATCGATCCTCCTGTCGAGAACATCTCCATCTATCACCACGAACTCCGAATCTGGGGAAATGTGGGGGAAAATAAACTCATACAATAGTGAAGCACATGATAAAAGCCCATAGACATGCCCAGGGATGCTTTCTGGCTGCTCTCCAAGTGCTTTCGGCGTGCTCGCGGTTCTCACCGTCAAAGGCATCGTGCATGAGGACTGGGTCTTTCAGGGCCTCCGAATGGCTGATGTCTGTCTTTTCGGTGTGAGCATCACCCTCTGTCGGCTCATCTCTGGTGATGACAGCATTTGAATCCGTGGTTGACTTCATGGCTGGCTTCTCACGTCGCAATCGAAACCATGTGGGGAGAGGGAAGGGGGGCGCTATCTGGGGACTTTAAGTCAATCATGATATCTGCGCATCTACAACCGAACAAGCAGGGGTAGGCACGACCCAGTACCTCCAAGCTTTTTACTAAAGTCAGCCCCACCTTGATTCAGCCTACGGTTAGCTAGAAATTGCCCTATTGGACTGGAGGATTGGTCCTATGTCCTAGTCAGAACAAGGCTGACCAACCGGTGTCGCGAAGGACGTTAGGTATCCGCTGGGCACCACAGATGGTGCTCGAGTAACTTGCATCCTTGGCGGGGGTCAACAGGTTGAAGTAACAGGTTATTCGTTCTCAGGATTTTCAGTTCCGACCACTAGAAGGTCGAGTCCGAGTCTTTCTCGACGATAGTTCTTCTGGTCTATGGACCGATGGGCCCGGAGAGGATGTCCACTAAAACACAATGGAAAGCCAAGCAGGTAAGGATGACCACTTCAACTACTTATCCCGAGGCCTTGATTCTCATCAAGCGAGAATGAAAAATGACGCGCTACTTTGCTACTTTGCTACTTTGGGTGTGCTCGGTCTGCTAGTCTCAATCTATACCTAGGGCTCGGGGACACTGTCATGTCCCCCGATCACCCGATCAGCCCAGCGATCCATAGATATACGGCAAACATATCGACCGCATGATCCATTGTCGGAGTTCATAGTAAATTTTTCGGCCTCATTCTAGGAGCTTGGTTAATTTCGACTTGGTAGGCTCCACAAGAAGGCTTGTATCGACCTTTTTGGTAGGCTTCGTGAGCCTGGTAATGCTTGTTTGACACCCCCGCATTTGACCTTCCGCATGATCTCCACGTGAAATGAAATAATACGATGAAACCCAGTGGAATCGACCGAAGATCCTCCGATTCTCTTTTCCCCAGCCCATGGGCACCTGGTCGCCTCGCATGATTTTCTTGATACTTTGCCAAGCTTCAATCCGCGTCCGTCTAATGTGATCTCCGCCATGTCCGGCCTCCATCTGCCTCTTCTCCAGCACCCTAGTTGCTAGAAACTACAGTAAAAGGGAACCATATCCGACAAGACACCTACGTCCCTTTTGTTTCTTCCTGTCCATGCCATTCAAGGACCAGCGAGAAGAAGACATCACGCTAATAAGTATTATAAAAAGCATTGTGTGATGGCAGTTCTGTTGGTTTGATCAGGGCTATTGCAACTACGATTCATAAAGAAATCTGGCGAGCTTGTTTTTTCGTTCTACCAGAAGAGATTTCCGTATTTGCAGCAATACTAGAATCTCCGTCTAACATTGAAGCATGAATTCATAAGCACTTGTTAATAAAAGGTTCCATTTGGCGACATTGTGGTATCATTGTAAAGTCCTCAAACCCGTCAAAGGTATTTTTCTGCTTCAATACTACATTGCATTCTACGAAGCAACCCAGCCAATAACCAGGAGAAGCAGTCAATTGTGACGCAAATAGGGGTAGGTACACACAAACACACAGCCGTCAAGGCAGCACTAGTCCAACTCCCAAGACCGAACCCAAGCGCGCAAACCCAATACACAGGACCGTTATAAATGGATCGGGACATGGATGGATAGGCATCAAGTAGCCACGAGAGAGAGCAAAATAAAACACTTCCACGGAACGCGATGAGGGAATGACGATCCAAGACGACCTGGCACGGACTTTCCACGGCTCTTGAAAGGAGTGTTGACGGATGTTCATAGAAAAAAGCGGGGATGAAAGAGGTAGAAATAATATATAAAAATAGATACACAAGAAACGAAGGTGGTCGCGCCTTCTACTCGGTCACAAGCAGGGGTGCGAAGTAACCACCCACAACGGGCCGAGCGACGAAGGTGGTCGACGGATAGCTAGGGACTGAGTCAGCATGGGGGTCTCAGGAGCCAAGATGCAGGGGCATGGATAATAACATACTTTCCAGTAACAGTGTCATACAAATCAGTCAGGGGCCGGTTTGTTGGGGTGTTGTTGACCCATGTGGCCAGGTGATCGATGAACATGTCCCGCGTGTCGGTGGACGCGACGGCTGCAGCAAAGCACTCCCAGTCGCCTATGTTTCAAACCAATAAGACGAGTTCAATATTACACATGGTTTTGATGACTCACCCTTAGTATATGTGTGGCGTGTGTCGAGAGGAACCCCATAGGTATTCACGACAGTAGAATAGAAGTCACTCTGCATCTGGTAGACAGACTGAGGCACCAGGTTGAGACCCAGCTGCGCATCCGCAAAGAGATTGTAAAGAAGGCCTGCGTACACGTGTCAGTCTGAAACAAATATTAAGGGGTGGAGGAGGTGAGGAGTGCAACTAACCGTGGCTGCTGGAATTGCCATATGACAGGGTTGTGTGGGGTACGTCGGTGCTATCATCAATGGCCAGTTCCTGCCATTTGGTGATGTACTCCTCAGCAATACTGGAGTAGTTGGCGAAGTCGGCAGTGTGACCAGTCTCATTGGCAATAACAGCCATTGCCTGGATACCGATCATTCCTTTCAAAGCTAGGTTGGTTTGGTTGCTAATTATGCCAGTCAGCTATCGATTCGTTGCCTTGATTTCGGTGTATACTCACGCCAAGGATCCAGCGAAGTCATCGGTTGAGATCTGGTTCGCCGGGTAAAGAGCATCAGCGACAAGGTACCCAGTCCACTTCTTCAGAATATCGTAATGAGTGCTCAGGTAGTCGGTGTCCCCAGCATTCCTTGCATATGCGAGAGTCATAATTAACATATTTCCGCACTCCTCCAGAGGCATTGCTTCATCGTTTCCAGCATTGTGACCGGTGGCATTAGGATAATTGGAGCCGATGTCATGCATAGAATAAGTATTCGGATATTTACCAGCTTCCTGGTTCTCAAAGAGTGGGTCCAGAACCAGTTTCAAGAGCTCCGGGTTGGAGTACAGGAGGATGGGATATGCCGGGAAAATCACATCAACAGTGTTCACATTTCCATCCGAGGAGATTTCCTTCAGGAACAAGTACATCTTGTCCGTGGTGCCACAAAGCTGGGTAGCACCAAACGCCTGGCGGGCCGCAAGCGAGGTAAGCGTGAGGTAGTTCTGACCAGCAACAGCCAAGGAGTCCGTAGATACTTGATTATCAAAGTCTGCCGCCAGAGAACTAGAGTCAGAGAAGTCCTTGTGGAAGAAGGCAAGCGCTTCAAGCTCAGTGTCGAAGTAGCTCTTCCATAGAGACGGCACAGGGGCATATGAAGAAGAGCCCTCATACTGTACAGCCTCATCCTGGGTCAGGCCAAGCGAGAATAATGTGCTGACAGGAGAGGAGTTAACAGTGCCTAGGTTGGATGAAAAACCGAATACGGGCCAGCTGGTCGAGATTGCCCGATAGTCCGAGTCGGCACCATTGGTCAAGACACCATTAGACGAGAATTGCCCTCGCACTACCGTATCTTGACCCGACTGGTAGGTCATGCTGTCGACAGCATCTGTGGCCCAATACCAATAGCCCCACTCGGCCTGTTGATTAATTTCGGAGAATGCCAGCTGTGTCTGCCGGTAGACCTTATGGTAGGCAACATCTTCTGTGGTGCCATACTCCCATTCAGCAATGGCAGTGCGATCTCCAGAAACCCATTCTACGCAAGGCAATTAGAAAACACCTCTTTCGGGGATAGTACCGAGCAAAAGGGTTTATCTAGAAAACTCACCAGCAGAGATATCAGCATAGACTTGCACATCGTGATCGTTGCCATCCAAAGACGCAACTTCAACGTTCAGGTACGAGAAAATCAGCGATTGACGCTTGAAGTCCTGGGGCGTGATCGGCGACAAGAAAGTAACATTCATCTCAACCACTCCACCAACAGTCATGGTAAAAACGCTCTTGGTTGATGTGTATTCAAACGCAGTTTGGGTTACTGTGGTCGATCCAGGCAGACCCATCCAAGTAAAAGCCGCACCGTCCACACGTATTAACCCACACCAACCGGTAACTTGATTACTGTTCACGGTTAGGTGGCAGGAAACTAGCTCTTGCAAGTAGATCAAAACTTACTCCCAAAAGGTTGGCCATTGTCCGGCTAGATAGCCGCCGTTCCCACCATCAGAACCAGCATTTTGCCAGGTGCTCAAATAGGGCGACTTGACTGCCAAAGGCAAGGATGGTGGCCGTGCGGGTGAAAAGGTTGATGTTGCTCCAGTGGAAGCAACCAAGGAAGAAACCAGCAGAGCAAGGCTAAACAGCTGCATGGTGACAGTAAAATAAAGATGGACAGAAAGGATTGGACGGGATCAAAATGATCAACCCGGGCGAGCTCGTGCTCTTTCTTGTAATTAAACTGTCGACGTAAAAAGTGTGGTGCAAGGAGAGACAAGTGAAGTGAAGGTGAAAAGGAGCCAAGCTGTAGCCAGACGAGGCAAGACACAGGGAACGATCGGCGCTCTGTTTACTGGAATGCCAGGGACATTTTTATAGTCGAGACACTGTCCAACAGAAGAGGGGCGAAAGGCCGAAGACCCCGGTCCCGGGCCCGCATGCCAGAATGCTCTCTCCACAGTCACAATTGAAGAAGTTTAGCGCGATAGGGAATGGTGGTTACAGCAAGCAGCAGACCTGCATGAGGAGAAGAAAGTTCCAAGCGAGCACGTCGGCTGATCATTGTTAGTCCCTCCGACGACAAGAACGGGATAGCTACCCATGCGGCCATTTCGGCCACATGAAAAGGGAGAGAAAGGTAGGATGCGAGGGGGTGATAAAAAAGGGGTTGTGCAGCAGCACGATGGTAGGGCCGATGCCAACATTAGGCCGGACCGGTCCAGGACCACTGCCAGACCCTAGATAGGGGTGAGGGAATAACGCAACGGAAGCGCAAAAGCAATAAAAGGCCGACGAGAATAGGGGGTATACCAATTCAGTTTATCTCCGAACAAAAAAAACGCGGTCAAGTCGATTTTGCATCAACTTCAGGTTGCATGGAACAAGCGGCGGTCTATGCGGGATCGACGGTGGTCGTGGCGTCCACGGGAGCCAAGAGGCGCTCAGGAGGCCGTTTAGCCCTGATGGCGTCGTTCTGCAGATGACTGAAGACACGGGATAGCGCAAATAAGGATGTGGAGTGAAAAATGAAATGAGCGTGGGTGGGTAAGCCAACGAGTGTCGTGATAGTAGTTATGCAAGTCAGAAGTCTCTGGTCAGAGGGAGGGAAATGCTATACAAGTCTAAGTGTCGAGACGCGCTAGGGTGCCTGAGTTGTATAGAACCCCCCATCCCGACGATCGCGCCAGGAAGGAACTGGAAGTCATTCGCTCCGCGTCGTCCCCGGTTGCGCTGGTCAGTGGCTCCGGCAGGGAAAGAGCGAGGGCATCGTGATGCCATCATGCGGACACAGGCACAGGCACATCTCTTCTCCTTGGCTCTCGGCTTGTCGCCCTCCAGTGAAGTATATCGTCATATTTTGGTTGATTTTAGTGCCTGGCAATATCTGCGGGGAAAACGGAGAAATGGCGATCAGCAGAGGGGCCCGGGTGAGAGAGCCGGGGCGTCGTCAGCGTATCCCCGGGAGAGATTCATCATTACATTCCGCGCCGGCCAGCACGAGATGGTGAGCCACGGGCCAAGCTCGGAAAAGAAAAAGAAAAGGGAGAAGCTCTGGGGACCTGCAGCCGTGAAGATAGCGGCGTTACGATTTTTGCCAGTGTTCAAATCATAGCAGCTCCCCTTGCAGAGAAGACGTCCCTCCGCGTCAGCGCATCAGATTCGGGTGTTGGCCGAGACGGAGGAGAACAAGGGGAATGCATAGTCTCGATCGCATTTCATGTACCGAGTACATCTCAGATCCGGACAGAGGGTCGCGTGCACCGGGGTGTCGAATGGATCTCAAAGTATCCAGGACTCGGCGCCCATGTCGATCCACTGGACTATTGGCACCTCCTTGCCGGGGTTGTGGAAGATGATTCGTCAGAGCGGCCAGCGGCAGGGTGGAAATTGTTATTATCCGCCCTCATTGTCTCTCTTCTCGCTTCCTCATCATGGCCGCCATGGAATTGTGGCGTGTCGTATACAGCGGGGGAAATTCAGGAAGAGGAAAGGCTGGTGTGGTTGACCGATGTAACACCTGATCCCGACTTGGCGGGGCCGGCACCGTTTGGGCCCGGAGTATATCTGCTTGTGTCATTAACAATCTATATTTTGATCTATTTGTTGGAGGAGTTTTTCAAATTGGAGCAATTTTTTCAAACACCGAACTGGTACTAGAGTAGGCGCAGGACCAGCAAAGCCCGGATATGGTGAAATTGCAGGACTGAGTGTCTACCCACAGACCCTATAGTCTGTTTTTTGTTGAGCCCTCGCGCGAGACTGTCCGGATGAATCGGATGAGATGCGATAGATCTCATAGCGCACGTGTCACAGAGCTCGCATGCACTATCTGCACGTCCATCTCCTTCAGACCTCACCGCCGTGCTCGGAATGCAGCTGGGATAAGTCCGTGGGAGGTCCACATCAGTGGATCCGTGCAGTACACAATGTCATAGTGGGGCCCAGCCTGACTACAGAACATCTTCTGCAAGGCGACACAGTATGATGCGAATGAATAATTCAGATTGAAAGACTATGGTGTCTTGAGGCTTGATCCCAGTCCCATGTCCATCTGTATGACATACTGGATCTGGTGTCACCGCTGGGATTGGACACAACGCCCAAATCGGACGGCATCTATAGAATCAACATTTTCTTCTTCAATTCGATAATCAATCCTCATTAATGGAAGCAATGGATTCAATTTAGCACCTGACATAGCTCTCTCTCTCTTTTTCTCTCTCTTGGCCAGTTATCTGGCATCTTTCCTGCCCGAATCCACGACTATGAATGTATTTCTATGAATCTCAGGAACACAACTATTGCTCAGGATGGCAGCTAACGTACGCACGCTATGTGCAACGACGGCGGGATATAACTTGCCAGTCATTTATCATCCACCACATATCGAATATCGAGATAGACATGGATGTACAGCACCGACTCAAGAGCGGTAATGCGCCCCAGCGGACCTGAAATCCACCGACATGAAAGGTCATATCATTACTTATCCTTCTGGCTCATAATTGAGTCGACGAAAAGTCAACCTAGCAAACACACAAGCCAGGAGCACGCAATCACCAGAAACACAATAATATCTAACAGAAGACATTGTACATAACCATTTCATATCGAAGTCCCAGCCTATGCCGTTATATGCACTAAACATTAGATACACCCCCCTCCACCAACCTCCACTAACGCAGGAACCCAATTTTTCAGGCCCCGGTCCCGGTTCCATCCGACCTTTCATTCTCTATCACGTCGAAATCTGCGCGAGCCCGATGCAAAACTCGCCCCAGTCGCTGCCCGTGCTGGAAGACATAACCTCTTCGGCAATCGCCTCCTCCAGGCGCTCGTCATAGCGCCGCCGATACTCCGTCTTGACCTGCTCCAAGTGGCGTGGTTCCCAGTGCAGGCGGACTAGGCGGGAGATAAGCAGCTCGGAGCGCTCGCGGCCGGTGCGGGACTCGCGGACGGCTTGATGGAGGAGCAGAGCGTCGCGTAGGGGGCGATTGATGGCGCCGTTCAGGATGTGCGCGAGGGTTTCGCCCTAGGGAGGTTTGTTAGCTTGGGCTCGATATACTCACGGGGATAAGGCAAGTAAGGAAAGTCAGGAGAGAGGGAGAGAGACGGAGGGGTGAAAGGCTATATCGAATGAAGATTGTGTAAAACGTACCACCAGATTCTGCGACTTGGAAATCATCGCGCGGGCAAAGTTCTGCCGATAGATATCCTCATACTCGTGCAGTACCTCGCGCAAGTGCGGGTCACTTCGGACGACGATGATATTGACCATAGCTGTTTCGCCACCCTCGCGGGAGATCAGGGCGCGGTGCAGGTCCTGGACGTCCTGGCGAACGAGACGGGGATCCAACGGCTCTCGGTCATCCTGGCGGCGCTCCTCGAGAGCGAGCATGATAGCGGTGCGGAACTTGTCGGCCTTAAGCTCAGACTTCATGCAGCGTTCGAGCGAGTCGCCGTAGCGGGTGTCGCGGAAGCAGGCCTTGATCTCCCGGATGGCGGCGTTGGAGCGGCCGATCAGCGACTCAATTAACAGCTCGCGGCGCGAGGTGCCAGCCTGGTAGTAGCAATTGGCCCAGTAGGCCTCGGACTCCCAGCGGCCAAGGGCGGTGGCATAGGCAACCTTGCCGAAGGAGGAGTTGCCAAGCTTGAGGCGGAGGTGTTTGGCGAGGTTGATACCTTTTCCGTGGAGCTTGACCTTGTTCTTGTATTCCTGTCGCAGGAGCAGAATCTCGTCGCTGGTGAGCCGAGGTAGGACCTGAATGATGGTCTTGTTGTCGATGTTGCGAGCGTGATTCAGGGCGGACTGCATGGCGGATGCGTCCGCGCCAGCGTCGTAGAAGGACACGCGCTTGCGACCAGTCGTGGGCGAGATGACGATCATCCCATCTTCGGGGATGGAGGTTCGACTGCGACGCTTGTCATCTTTTTCTTTTTCTTCAATCTTCTCCTTGCTACTACGGGGACGAGATTCTTTCCCACTGGTAGAGGACTTGGAGCGGGTGTGTTTCTTGCGCCGTCTCGTTTCGGAGTTCGAAGTATCTCCGTCCAGCGGCTCCAAGTCTGAGATGTCGTCGTCCCGCGAAGGCATCACAATCGGGGAAGGCATCGGAGAGATCGTCTGGTAAGTACCACGGTAGGCTTCAAGCAGCGGGCTTGCCGGCGGGTGATGGCCTGCGTGCGTACTGTGCGCGCCAGCTACAGCGAGGTTATTCCCAGACGACACGGATAGACTATGCGGACGACCTCGTCCACCACCCGGGGTGATTTCCACAACTTGTTGCTGGTGGAGGTGTTGGGGTTGATGCTGCGGGTGCTGCGGAGCTGGGTGATGTTGTTGTTGCTGCTGCGGTTGCGATTTCTCTACAAATTGAGGATCGCGGCTATACCTATATGGATAGACAGGTTGTTGCTCTGGAGGAGGCGGTTTTTTGAACTGCTCCTGAGGCGACACCGAATAGGGTTGGACCGGAGTTGCCTTGGACGTATATCGAACATGAGGATCGACTTGAGCGTACTGATAGTGGGCTGGTCGTGCATAACCTGGATGCGGATCGTACGTGGGATGCGCAGCGTCGCTAGCAGAGGCAGTGCGATAATGCGATGGAGTATAAGCACCAGAGGAGCTCGGTGCATACGGAATCGGCTGCTGCGCGGGCAGGCCGGCATACTGAGGCATTGGAAACGTGGGAGCCGTGGTGGCAGGAACCTCAGCATAGGTAGATGCCGTTGGGAATCCACCGGGCATTGTGGATGGTACACCAGCTTCCGATGAAGGCGGGACAAAGCCTGGGCGTTCGCTTTCCGGGATAGAAGCCCAGTCGGACGGTGGGTCGGCATGAATCGGCTGGCGTGGTGCGACTGGTTGAGCATGAATGTAATGCGTCGGCTGCGCATACTTATATTTGTTTGGCCGGGCATAGCTTGGATGAGCCCCTGGAGAATCTCCATATGCCAGATGATCGTCTGAGTCCTCATCCGAATCGTCGTGGCGAGAATCGCGGCCAGGAGGGGAGGAGGGGCGACGCTGATGCGAGCGGCTCGTATACTCTCGCGACTCCCGCGCATCCCTTGGATCTCGCGAATCTCGCGGCCGGATAATCCTCACATCGCGATCGTCCTCATTTTCCGAATGTTCATAACGATCGTCACGGCGCCGTTGCGATACCTTCTCTACGTCGCGTTCTCGGTCCCGGTCCCGGTCCCGGTCCCGACGCCTCTTCGACTCGTCCTCGGAATCAGAACGGTCGACATCGAATCGCGCTGGGCTGCGAGGCGCACGGGAAACGATACTCCGAGGCTCGTCGGACTCGCGCGACCGGCTCTCCTTCACCAGCTTGTACTTGCGATCGAGCTCGGCATCATCGTCGGAGCCATAACCTCGCGGAGAGCGGGGGTGATTTCGACTGCCGGGGAACGCGAGCGCGGCGCGCGGGAGGGCGAGGGATCCGGCAAGCGACTGTCGCGCGAGCGGGGAGCGCTCACGGCTGCGGCCGGGCGACCTGGAACGGGTGCGCGACCGTGGGTCGTTGACCTGGAGGGACATGGTTGCTCCAGAGTCCAGGTGGGGTGGCGCCGGAATTGGAGATGTGTTTACCAGGAGAAGTATAAGAACAGTCTAAGAACAGTATAAGAGCCGTTTATGAAGGAGGAGTCCTCGGTCAGCGCCGGCGCACACAAACGAAATTGCCTGTCGCTCCCCGACCCCAGTCAATGTTTGGCTTGCTGATCCGCGCGAAGCGGGGAAAGGTGTGAAGGGGCGGACGAGCTGCTTTTGCGTCAGACCAGACCCGGGAGGCTGTGATGAAGCATTCAGCGTTGGTCTAGACGAAATACAACCGAAGACAGGGCAGGAAAGGGGAGGTAAGCGAGGAGGAAGCGGAAGAGGAGAAGGAGAAAACGAAATAAATCGGAGGTTGGAGCGTGAGTCTGGAAACATTCTCGTATCCTCTTTAAGCTGGAGCAATCGGGCCAGCCCACTGGGGATTCTGCACAACCCACTGGCCCCCAAAGGAGCCGCGTAGCAAGGCATTTCATTGGTTCCCCTGCAGACTCGAGGCTTACGATCGTCCTGACAGTGCATTTCAGCCGCTCAGGGATTCGTAGGGCCAATGCGCCCGCTGGGAAAAGTTGGCAATCCGGCCGAAGTAAGCCACTATGGAGGCAAAAAAAACCCTCTGGCTCAGGATACATCAGACGAGAAAGGGGGGTGGCGAGTCCCTATAGGTGGTGCAGCTTCCGTTGGGGTATGCAATCACGATTCTAGAAGTACACAGAAGTAACTCTGGTTGCCTACACACATTACAATGGGCAAAAAGAATACACAATTACTAGAGAACTTTCGAAGGAGCTTTGAAGTACAGGATAGGAACACTCCAGACGGTGTGATGTAATTTGCCAGAAGGAAAATACACAGCTCGAGGCAGAAGGGAAAGACAAGAAGAGAAGTGAAGAGAAAAAGAGAAAGGAAGTCCGCGATCGAAGAGAGACGACCGAGGCAAGAAAAAATTGGGGGGTATGTGCGGAAACTGCAAGCTATGCGAACAGGAGGGAAAGCAAGAGAAACAGGAGAAGAACCAGGAGAGGCAGACACGAGGACTGCAGGGGCAATAAGCGCCTCTGCGAACCATTGGACTGTTTTAGCGTGTGCGGCGACCGTCACGAATGGGTCCCATGCGACCGCCATAGACGTGCTTGGATGGCATCGGCGCCGGTTGTCCGTTGCGGTTGAGGCGGTTGGTTCGCCAGCGCTCGTACCACACCACACGGCTGGCCTCGCGAAGCTCGGAGCGCCATTCACTGAAAACCGAATCCTTGAGGCGCACAAAGTCACAGTGCTCTGCATCATAGGGGTCGGCGAAACCCCACGGGAATCGACGGCCGATCGGCTCTTCACCCGAGGCCAGGGAATGCGGGTCAGGGGACAGGATGGAAAAGGGAACATGCGGGTTGACGGCTTGCACCCCACGCTCACTCTGGCTGCGCTGCGAAGGCGACTGGGGAACAGGCACTGGCGCCTGTGTGTTGTCCTCTTCTTTCTCTCCTGTCTCGGTCTCGTGTTCCTTGGATTCAGTGCCATCCGCTTCGGTGGCTTCGGTGGTCTCGGTCTTATCTCCTTGTTCGGACTCCTCTTCCTCTTCATCGGCACTTTCCGATGAAGTGTACTCCTCCTGGTCTTCCAGGGTCAGAATCTCGAGGGGATCGATGTTAGCCTTCTTCAAGCTGTCCCAAACTGCTTTGCGCAGGTATCCCATATGAGCGGAGGTGATCGTATCTGCTTTGCTGATGACCGGCACCACAGTGGTCTTGCCGAGAATGGTGCGCAGCACCTGCAGATCCAAATTTTGATCCAACACTCCCAGAACGGGGTTGTCGGAGGCTTTGGGAGTTCCATTGGCGAGGCGCTCGGCAGCAGCGATGTTCTCATCGAGATGGACGGGATCCAAAAGCAAGAAGGTGCAGTGAATATGAGTATCGCGAGCACCGGGGGAGCGAACCACCTTCATCTCCTCAGCGAGAGTCTCTTCAAACTTGCTCTCCAAGAAGCCAGTCACCCCGCGCATTTGCAGATCGACGATATTGCGCTCCAGGCCGGTCGAATCCCAGAGGGTCAGGCCGACACGCTCTCCGTCAATCTCCGTCTCCAGGTACTGAGAGGTAAATCCTTCGTAGGCGGAGGTCTGGCTTTCCAGCTCCTCCAGCTCCTCGGGAGTTCGGGAAGGGTGCTTATGTGGGGGCATCGTCAAAGCCTTGCGGAGAAAATTGAGGAAAGACGTCTTGCCAGAGTTGCGGGCGCCCACCACGAGGACACTGTTTTTCAGGAAATGTTAGTTATACTGGTCTCCCTCCCTTCCTCGTTTCAACTCCACATCGCGTAAATAGAATAAATAGAATACCCCAACGATGAAGATCGGACAGAATAGAGAAAAAAAAAGAGCACTCACTTGTAAGGAGTGGGGTCCTTGCGACGGCGAATGCGACGCGGACTGTTGACAGTGCTGACAGCACTGCTGGCGTAGCTGTAACGGCCGCGATGGGTCATGCTCTCGGTGCGAGCATACGGATCGATGACATCTGCCGTGGGCGAACTGAGCGATGCAGATGCTGCAAGACCAGATTGAGGACGAGGCACAGCGGGGGGTGCGCCCAGCGTGTCGCGTTCCTCACCACCAAAGGTCTCGAGTTGCGGGGGCGGGGCGAGATCGGGCAGGCGGGGGGCGTGCTTGGGCGCATACGATTCGCGCTGACGGCGGAGTTCTTCCTCCATGGCCTGGGCCTTGGACATCTTCTTGCGACTGCCGGAGGATTTGCGTTCCCCGAGAGGTTCGGTGGATTTGGAGCGGCGAAGGAAGCCGAGAGATGTCCGGCGTGCGTTGGGGTTCAGGGAGGCCTGGCCGTTTTCCGTAGTTGGCGAAACAGGCAGCGCATCGGAAGGCGTGTGGCTGACGGGGGTCGTGGTTGCCATTTTGGGAACTCGCGCTTTGCCTCGCTTGGTGTCTTCGCGTCGTGTGTTTTTTTTTTTTCGTTTTGGGTTGAATTTGATACGGTTTTTTTGCGGTTCTCGGTTTTCGTTTCGCTGAAGTTGCGGGTGGGAGCAGGACTGTAGTTTCAGGCCATTCCAAAGTCAGCCTATGACCAATGCAGTGACAATCCCTTGAGCTTCAAAAGTATACGGGCCACGACTGCATTCTGCATGATGGCCCAGTGTACCCTACAACCCTGCTACCCGCGCAGGACTAGCGTTGTCTGCATACAATTTGCAAAACGCAGACTTCCCGCGCCAGCCAAGGAAATCAGGAAGCCTTGGGGGGTAGTAGAGATATATGTGGTATACATTGTGACAGAATTCCATACAATGTGGATGATCTCCACGTATGACATCGCCAGCCTTCCCCGCTATGCAAGGAGGAGGGGGTGGAGAAGTCACTCAGGTCGGAAGGAACCTGGACCCGAGGGAGGGGGAAAAAGAAAAGGAAAGCGATGCTACTCACAACGTCAAATCAAGATTTAAGCACTATGTATGCCAATTGTGCGCCGCAGTGGGATTGACCAAAGGGATGGAGTTTGAAATTGGTGGGGAAAAGGGATCCTCGGAGGAGGGTGTATATCAATGCTTCAAGCGAATTCAATTCGTCGGCATTGACCTCGCGATAGGTTGATCGGAACAGAATTGGCGTCGTCAGAGGCGAATTGGGTGTCGGATGGGTTTCGAAAAGGAACAAGGGTCTTGTCGAGACGGCGATTTCCGGTTTCACGAGAGAGCAAGAAAGGAACGAATGGGATGTCGGTAAACTGCAACAGCAGGGGGCGACGAACAAGTTGGAAACGAGGAGAACGAGAGGAAGAGATCCAAAGGCGACAGAGCTCCCAACCAGGGTGAGATTGTCGGCAATTCCGCTGTCCGGTCAACTCCTGGAGGACGGAAACAGGGGGAGGATAGTGTGGGAAGGACGAAACACGAAAAACGGGGTCGAGGTGGAATGGAAATTCGGGGGCGCGAACAAAGTTTCCCAACTTGGGGGCAACTCGGGGGCCTCGCGGTACTTTTTTTTTAGGGATTTTGTGGGGGAGATTAAGTGGTGCAATTGACAAATGGCCTGCTCACAGCGTCCGACTCGGGCGGCGCATGGAGAGAGATTGAAAGTAGAAAAAGGGAATGGGGGAGGAGGAGGGAGAAGGAGAGGAAATGGGCGAGGAGAAGAAGAGGGACATCCGAAACGTCGATGCGGAGGAACGTTTGGACCGGGTTAATTGGATTGATTGGCGGGTGGCTACGGGCCTGGGTAGTGTAGTTGATTTGGGCTCTGATTAGATCATTTTATTAATGTGATCCATGAGTCTACGGAGCCCGGAAATACTGGACTGGACTTTGAAGGTTCGTAGGCGACGCAAGTTGGCCCCGATGGAGCATCTGATTGGATTGTCGCGAGGCAACGCGAAGTACATACAGGTCGCAGATGTCGAGGGACTGGACAACTGACGCGCAAAATGTGACGGACTCAATCGGCCTTGCAGGGCTCACGAGCAGAAGACAGTTCAGACTGGTCCAGGAGCGGGAGTCTTCTCCCCTCTTCTCGTTTTCTCTTCTGCTGTGAGACGTGGGACACCACGTCCGGTGTCCAGTACGAGGGTCTCCTCAAGATTCAGTCCGAGATTCAGGGGTAAAAAAAACCGTCGGCTCAGAGCCCAGATCCCAGGGCAGCCGGGTGGTCCCCCACTTCGAGCTTAAGCAGGAGCGCTGTTTGGGTAGAAGCCAGTGCGGTTCGTTCCACGCCGGCGGGCAGCTAACGCCAGTTGGGAAGGGGGGGCTGTCGATGAATTGGCCGGAGCTGACTCGAGTGAGAGCTGGGCAGACGGGAGCTGGACTCCTCCAAAACCTGGCAAATACCACAGAGGGTGTCTGGCAGGGGGCGTCTTTTCGAATGAACACCTATATTCTGGTTCAGTCTCTCTCTCTGTGTTTTGTCACTGATATCTCGGAGACGTGCATCTGCCAGCTGCGGGCTTTGGTGTTGACACCACGAGGTTCTCCCCTGAAAACCCGCTGGCACGTGCGCAACGGACGCCAGGGGCCGTTTGCATTCCCCACTCGCGATCAGTGAGTGCTCATCTTCAGTATTTTGCTTTTTGCCGTCGCGAACCAAAGATGACACAGGGCACAATAAAATGCCACGGGCTATGGTTGTGTTAAGATATGATCACCGACATGACTCGTTTGACTTAGCAGGATTTCCACTGTGCGGGCTTTCGGTCGCTGGCGGATCCATTAACCAACATGTCAAGAGTGGCAGTTGGCAGGATGGAGCATCTTTATGATCAGACCTTTCATCGGAGACTCTCCGTTCTTCACTTGGTCAACTGTTACCGAGGGATCCCGGATGTAATAAGAGTCGTGGATCGACTCCATTGTAATTTGCCCAACATTTAGGTCACAGGAGAGGCTCAAGGCAAGTTGGTCTTGATAAGCTTGCTTGGCGCGTGGATTGTTTAAAAAAACGTGGGCAGCCCACGATCTTCACGCTGCATGAACACCACGTTGATTGCGCAACAGGATCACACACTAGCTTGTTGGTGAGTTCCAACGATTGGTTCACGACATTTTTGCTACCTGAACCAGTATCAAAAGCAGCACAGAGTAGCCTTCCAGACGGTCTTAGAAGATTTCAACCCTGAAGACAGCCCCTCCCCCCTATATAGGGCTGCCTTCTCTAATTACGAACACATCCGTTCCAAGACAAGAGCCGCCGCCTCCAACCTCGACCAAACACCTTTTCTTCTCAACCCATTATCTCCCGATTGTACCCAAAACATGTCTCGTGGGGCAACACCCAAAGCTCTGGCAGGCCCCATTCCCCGAGAGCTCGAACCCTGGTACCCAACTTTTCGGGACGCGCCCAATCCAGCTGCGCGCTATTAGCCCCAAAACCACGGATAACCTTGTTCCCCTAGGCTGATCCAGCACAAAAGAACCGAGTACAACCGCATTCATCTCCCGCACATTGTGGAATAACCTCTTATTGATTTCTATCTCGGTACGCTGACCGCCTAAAAGGGCCGCCCAGTAAAAGGCCTGCATGGCTCGTTTCACGAAACCCGCGCACGTTCCAGTAGTGGAGCCCGGGTGGGGTCCGCTGGCAGGCCATCGCGTGCAGGAATTGCCATAGTGGGAAGGGTGGAAATTGACGAGCTTCGACTGGGCTACGCTGGGAGTGCATGCTGCTAGGACGGCTGGAACGCATTCGCATTCCCCCTGGTTGAACGAGTACTCCATAGTCTATATCCAAGCAGGGCACAGAGGGAGACCACCCTATTTATTTGATAACTCCTCCTCTCGACTTGACAGAGAAGTCGACATACCATGAATATGTAGCTTTCCGGTCACTGAAAGTCAAAAACGCTTTCTCTCCTCACTTAGTAGTCTATTGCTCAAACAAAGAGAATGGTCTCTCTCCATTTACCCCACTTAGAAATTCGGTCAACGAGAAAGGTATCATTCTAGCAAGAAAAAATAAAGGATGCATCGGGCGAATCAGTCCCAAAATATAGGCCCCATTCCCCCATTCCCCCATTCCCAGACCCTCATACCAAAGCCCTACGGAGCAGTCGAGTTTACCGCAAAGAGACGGAACGGCAGCACGATACACGGTGTGGATGGGCACACGTGCGTTCTATTCAACGACTTGAATTTTGGTCCATTCGGGCCTGCGACATATTTGGCTTCGCCGAAGATAGACGGCTCGTTTGGCGGCTGGTCATCGCCCCAGCGGCCATTAAAGTTCAGCCAGGCGACGGGCTCAACGGTGGCGGCTGCAAAGACTTGTGTGGACGGGTCATAGGTGTAGGTGTAGGCATTGAGTATCGGGTCCCAGAGAATGCCTTGATCGGTGTAATCGAGCAGAAAGCCAACCGGGAGAGTAATACCCGGAAGAGTATGGTCGTGCGTCCTGTGCGAGGGAATATAGAGCGTTAGCGTAATGAGTTTTGCCATTGAGCAGTTTGATAGATGGGCATGACATGATATTGGGGATGCCCCGACTTACCCTGCAGTGGCGTAGTTGGCGTGGGTGCCATTTCCGGAATATGATATTGGCCGCTTGCCCCTCTTCTCCATAGCCTCGTAGGTATATGCTTGGCCGCTGGCGTGCTGGCTATACCACATAGCCTGGGGGTGCCGTTTGCGAAGCGGATCATGTTGTGCTCCCTATATTTCATGAGTTCGGTTCGGAAAGACCTTTGAGCTTCGACATACCAGTCACCAATGTGATCTCCAAACTCCAATCCCAAGACTTTGTCACCCTTGTTGTATCTTGAAGAGGTCAGACGGAATCCTTTAGGTTCAAGGCGATGCTATGATCGCATCGAATGTCTCACTTACGCAAAGAAATAGAAGTAAAAGGCATCCACATTCCCAGAACCATGATCCACGACAATAATTGCACTGCCCGTGCCATTGCCCGTCCGCCCTTGTGAGTCCGGGGTGATCCCTCGAAACCAGGCGGGCTCAGGGCTGGCATCAATCCCTTCATGAGAGGTCAAGTATACACTGGTATTGCCCAGACTATTGAGCTGATCTAAGTTGTCTAAAGTGACTGGCGAGGGGGCATTTTGTATCGCCGTCCAATTGACTTTAGGGATTGTATTGTCTAACTGCGCTTGGAGATCGCCAGGCCGGTATGGATCTTGGCTATGAAGCCACACTAGGGGAGCTATGCAGTGTCAGAGAATAGGAGGCAGGGCAAGGAGAGCACCCGGTCTAGAAGAAGGCTCGAAATACTTACCATAGTCATATACATATTGAGGAATAGATGCACTGGTGGGCTGAAACCTCGAAGCAAGTAGCGGGGCCAGTGCCGCAAAACGTGATATAAGGCGTCGCATCTCTTTGTGTTTCGATAAAAGTTTGTATATCTTGACCAAGTATTTCCGCGATGATTGGCTTGGAACAGGTGTTTCTAAGACGACTCGAAATCTCGTTGAGTCTTTTATCTTTTCTGGAATCAGCATCCATGATCTTGTCACCCGACACGGCCACAGGGACCCTCCTAGGAATTTGAGTCACCTTGCCACGACAAGAAGCACCTACAGATCAGAATGACAGTGTCGGGGAGCTCAATATTCATATACTCAAAATTAGTAGTAGGGATGATCGACGACAAGACCGCATCCCATAGAAAGCACCAGGCTTCTTTGCCACACGTCAATATAGAAGAACTAGAGGAAGATATATATATGCGCCACGAGAGCCACGAAACTCTCTCCAAGATTTATCGATCGCATCGGCGTACCCGAGTCCATAGGAGCGGGGAGGGTCTTATTTTCGGAATCCAGAAGGATCTCAGAAGACCCTGATGCAGCTAGGGATGGTTGCCCTGATCCCATCTTCTTGGCTACAGGACCAGGGATGCCGTGGAATGTGAAGGACCAACAGCCAGCAAGGAATCAACCAGGTGGGGAGGGGAAGCTTCTGACTCGGTGGAGAAAGCCCGCCCATGCAGATACAGTACCAGTCGAATGCATCCTAATGACCGTGTGCTTCTGAGTTTGTTCCTCGTTGTTTCTTGAGGAGGGGGGGCTCCTGACATGGTCATTCGGGCGTATCGGTTTTCGGCTCACCATACACATTCTCTCCCGAAGACTGCGGGGATTTAGGATCCGGTGGAAGGTCGACGCCATCATTATTTATGATCATTTGAAGACTAAGAAGGGCATCATTCAGCTCAAGATCCGCAGCTTCGGCGGCGGCCAAGGGCTGCTGCGGTACCACCCAGGAACCGGCCGATCGCTCGGGTGTGCAGGGTGAGCCATGACAAGCGCCGATCCCGCAGAACCCGATCGTCATGCAATGGCATGCCTTTTGAATTTTTCTTTAATTCCACTGATATATAATAGGAGTCATGAAGTTACACGATCTCAATAACCCGCTTGAAAATGCTAAACCCAATCCCCAAGAAACACACCAGCAAGTCTCTTACAACCGTCCCTGCTTCGCCTTCTCTGCCGCCGCCTCCTCTTCCTTCTGCTTCTCCTTCATTAGCTTGAAGATTCTGAGATCCAGCGGGATCCGATCCCCCAGCCACGTCGCCCGTTGCGTGTGATTCCGCTCCTCCTCCGTCTCGACCGTGTTCGGGTGTATCAGCGCGCTCAGAGGGCCCCGATTAATCACCAACCAGGGAACGAACGCGCCGAACTGCGCCGGTGTGAACAGGTTGACCTCGAACATGGCGACTGGGTGCGGGCCAACAGGCCTGTCGAAGAAGCTATAGATGCGCAACTCAGGGACTGTGGTTAGCAACGCACGGGTTAGCAGATGATCTCGCCCGGCCCTTGGGAACGGAAAAGAGGCTTACATTCACGTCGGATGCGCTCCCAGAGCGCTTTCGCGTGGGAGACTTGTTCTGGGTTAGTCTACGCGTGGAGCATAGTCAGCGCGGCTGCATACGTTGGGAGGCACGGGGAGGGCGGAATTCAATACCTGGAAATGATAGATATGGATGTCGAAGCCGCCACGGCGGTCTTTGCTAAGCGGATCGGGGAATTCTTCATAGGCTTTGCTCAGAATGCCGTGTTGGGGGTTCTTGAGCGACTTGCCGTCATCATTTCGCTCGCTAGAAGAGGCGAGTCTCGAATTAGCAAGGCTGACTCTTGTTGCAGAGACACCCTGTGCATTTCTCCTCCACAGGATGCCGCTCGCGCGAGACTCACTCTGACAGGGGCTCTAGGTTCTCGTAGCCCTCCAGCGGGGATGGGTAGGAGAAGGCGAATTGATCGGTCATGCTGGCGATAGAAACAGCCTGCTTTGAAGGTATGGCGGGGTTACAGTGGACAAGATCCGATAGCCGATAGTGTAAAATATGTTCTCTGACTGATCTGCAGTGGGATGCACGTTCATATATTCGATCGTGAGCGTGATGGTTTAGAGGGGCGAATGGAACCCGAGAGAATTTGATCACTATATGCGGGTTCGGAGGGAACTGGGCGTTGATATCTAAGCATATCTTAGCATTTGCAATTCGTGCCCGCGATGACTGATGTCGTCAGTCCGCCTTACAGATTTGCTGCTGGGCCCGCGGGACCGTTCCGCACTCTCCACTCATCAAGGGTACGGGAGGGCGAGAAATGAAATTTAACTGAATACGTATCTGTATCTGCCGTCGCCGAAATGCTGGTAAGCAAAACAATTCACTGATTAGTTTGGAGGACTATCATCCCTGAAATGTGACCTAGGTCGAACGAAATGGAAGGCTAGATGTATGGGGTGGTATCCGAAATCTGAAAACGGAGAAAAAGAGAAGAAAAACATACTAGACGAAACGAAACAAAAAAAAAATATAAAATAAAATCTCCCTGTAAACGCCAAACCCGAGGAGGCATAATGCATAATACAATAAGATAAAGCGGGCACACCTACCAGGTGGCCCGGACATCAATATGTCCTTCGTCGTCCATGACTTTCCCACGATCCCACTCTCGCCCTTCGCCTTTCTTCGACCACCGCACATCTTCAACACGGCCTTCCGCATCCATTCCAGTAAAAGCAGCATTACTCTTCCACCGGTCAATCGTGTCCTCGTTCATTCCGGCCGCCCGGAGTCGATCTTCTCCTTTCTGTCTCCAGCGGGCTCGGTCACGTAGAGCTTCGAGAGCCATGTCCCAGTCATCTTCCTCGGTCATGAGACCCGCCACAGGACGCCGAGAAGTTTCTGTCAGAGAAAGACTGTCATTTTCCAGCTGAACGTCGAGGGCAGGGTTATAATCCGGCGCAAAATGGGCATCAATATTGCTCGCATTAGGTTTGTAAGCCCCGCGGCCCCGCGACCGAACAGGCGCAGCATCCTTGCTATCGGCTCGGGGAGGTAACGGCCCGACAAGGTCTTCAAGCGGGTCAGAATCTTCTCCCGAATCTTGGCGAGGTATGGTCGTATTATTCTTCGAAAGAGACGGTGAATTGAGCTCAAAAGTTCGAGGAACCTGTCTAGTTGAGGACCGAGGTGTGCGCGACGGGCCCTTTTCCTCATGTTTGGACTCTCGCTTTTGGCTTCGTGTATTCTTCTGAAGGCGGGGCTGCGGAGAAGTAGTAGGAGATCTGACGCGATGGTCATGTTTCGATCTGAGATGTTGCCTAGAGGCGTGGTCCCGACGAGGGGAACGACTGCGAGAGGACGATGGCGATCTTGAGTATGATCTCTCGTAAGCTCGACGATCTGACCGAGAAGTCTCATGGCGACGGCGTGCCGAGTGTCCTGTCTTCCGATCTCGATGTTCTCTCCTCGCACGGTCTGAGCCCTCAGTGCTGCACCGATGCCTTCGGGATGAATGTCGCCCACTAGAGGTAGAACGACTTCTCTTCCTCCGCCGATGTTCACGGTCACGGTCACTCCGGTCATGTCTACTATCTCTCTCCGAATCTCGAACCCGGGACGGTCGATCATGGTTTCTGGACGAATGGGACGTGGATGTTGAGGTTGATGTTGACTGGTCCTTCAGCTGGCGCATGCGCTCTCTCGCCTCTCTCTCCTCCTTGTGCTTGAGAGCTGTGTTGTGGCTGTCTGTCTCCTTAATCAAGTGCCGAAGGAACCGAGTATTTGGCTTGGGAGCATTCCCCGTTGTTCTGTTGAGACTCGAGTTAGCTGAAGCTAGCAGAAGAAGAAAGCTGGAAGCAGTATCAGCTATAAACTCACTTGCGAGGCAAATATGCTCCAAGCCCCTCAGTTGAGTATTTCTGGGAACTGTCTCTTGCCTCATTGGCAAGGACTTGGGCGACATAATCATCGTCCATGTGTCGTTCGAGACACAGGCACGCAGTGGAGCGAGCCTAAGCCAAATTGAATAGAAGACTATATTGACAAGGATAGAAGAGAGAATCAATCAAGTCTTCAACACCATAATGGAAAGTACCCGACGACTAGTTTATGAGATAAGGTAATAAACCATGTCGATGAAGTTACAGCTATCGGCGCCTCCTAAAATTGCCACGACTTACCGCCCTTGCATATCGCACGCGCGTTATCGATAGCAGTTATTTTAGCATCCCGCGCTTGTTTGGGGAAACAGCGGGTGCCCGGTTCTCACAACAAACCTTCAACTCATCAACTTGCGGTTCTGCACATGATCGCAAGACCAACTCAATCATTACTGAGATATGGGTGTCAACACAAGTGATGCTCTTGCTGCACTCCAGCAACTTGAGCAAGAGCAAGGAGACATAAACGCGCAGCTCGCAATCATTCGTATTAGTGAGCCTATTTCAGATGTTGGTGATTTCAGTGCCTCGCCTGTAAAGCGGAGCTCTGATGTTTCAATTGCTGCTCTAAATGATCCAACACCGGCCTCTCTTGAGGCCGATCTTACACATTACAAAGTAAGTGATACGCCTGCATCGCAGTGGAATATTTGTGCGGCAAACGCTGACTCTAGTGTGTCAAACAGGAACTCTTTTCAAAGCTACGATTCTCCTACCTCGAACAAGTGACCAAAGAAAAGTTTCTCCGAGCGATTGTGGGGGAACCCCTCTCGTGGTTGGTCACAATGAGAACGTGGAGTTAGAGACACAGCTGGCGGAAGTGAAAGCGGAGCTGAAATCGCGCAAAGAAGAAGCCCGCCTCATGGTTGAGGAAATGGGCAAGCTAAGCCGAGAGCTAGCAGACCGTGAGTGTAACCCTTTCCCGATGGGCGTGCCATTTCAATCGCTGATCTTGAGGCGCATCGGTGACAGGATACAAAAGCGTTGAAGTGCAGTTGACGCAGCTCTCAACCCTTCCCGAGTCAATTGAAAACCTCGAGTCTACTATTGCAGGCCTTCGAGCCAAGCAGGTTGCTACTATAGATTCTTCTGATCCTCGATCATCCCACAACCTTCCACTCCCAGCTACGCTGTCGCTGTTATCGGAGCGAGAGGCTGAACTGGCTGTGCTCAATCGTCAGATCGCGGCGGTCCAGAACGCCTTGCCGCGGAAGACCCGGGAAGCCGAGGCGATTGAGAGGGAGTGCTCGGTGCTGGAGCGACGGAAGGCCGAGGCAATCACCCAGGCACGCGAGGCCCAGCGGAAAAAACAGCAGGGAGAGAGTGATGGGCTCGAAGAGATGGGTCGTTGGTACCGCGGGGCAGAAGACACTTTGAAGGAAGTGCTCGGAGTGGAAGGCTAAGTGTTTCGAGTGGTATGAGCCCCAAGGAGGGTTCTTGAATCTATGATTTAATGACCGGTGATGGCGTAGGAGGAATTGGCGAAACTGGCGTTTCCTGGGCGGGTCTACAGTACAGTATTAATGAGAACTACGAGAGATTATGACTCCCGTGGACGACGCACGGAGTCAATGAGAAAAAGTATCAACGTATGAAACGTATGAACACGAAGAGATTCGGGTTCCGAATTGAAGCCAATATGGCTGTGATATTGATTCATTTTGATTTGCATGATCATTTAACATGATACGCTTTATGTTGCAGTCACCATGAACCTCCCAGAGTGTTTGAGCTGCCCAAAGCGAAACCCGACCGGACTCCCGTTTTGCTTTTTTAGAGAGGCATTTACTCCTCATCCTCCTCAGCCTCCTCACCGTCACCACCGGCGGCGGCAGCGGCCTTCTTGCGGCGAACACGGCCGGGACGGCCGCCACCGAAGGGCGAGGTCAGGGAGAAGTCGATGTGCTTCTGGGAGTCGAGGCGGACCATGTAGGAGGGGACGTTGACGATCTGCTTGCCGACGCGGATGTGACGCTGCTTGATGAGGACACGGGCGTGGTGGATGGACTTGGCAAGGCCAAGCTTGTAGACGCAGGTCTGCAGACGGCGCTCAAGGAAATCCTCGACCTTCAGGGCAAGGACGTAATCGAGCTTCATGCGGGACTCATCGAGCACACCGATGCGCACCAGACGGCGAATCAAGGCATTACCCTCGAAAAGACGCTTGGGGTCCTTCTCGTCGAGAGTGAGCAGCTCACTAGCAAATAAATTGTTAGCATGCGACACATATGATCCAGTCTAGAGGAAGACTTGTGGGTTCCGGAGACTTGGCCGCGGCCACCACAATATCTCTCTCCTCCGGGCGTTTCGGATTGTTCCATTCCACATACCGAGCAGCACGACGAATCTTCGACAGGGTAAGCTGGACACGCCACACCTCACGCTTGTTGCGGAGGCCGTACTCGCCGACAACCTTCAGTTCCGAGTCACTAGAGAAAGTGGATTAGAATGGAACACACGACGTGAACAGAAGCACGCTTCTGATCAGTGGCCGGAGAGTACTAACAGACGGGCCGACTCGAAAGCTGCAATACAATTAGTCTCGATGTCAATGTCTTAGGAATTTCATCAGAATCGACTTACGGCGACGGGGGACCTTGTAGGTCTTGGAGTAGACACGGCTGGAATAAAACAGTCAGAATGCATGCGATGCTGTACAGATTGGTCTCTTGCACTCACGGAGCGGGAGCCATGGCTGCTGGGTGTCCTGGTTTGGCGGGATTGTCGAAAGCACACTTGAGGAAATTCGCACGATGTTCCTCACGTCTTTGGATTCTTCGGCTAGGCGTGGCGCTAGTCCCAATTTGGCCCGGTAGAGAAGGGTTGTCCACGGGGCTAACCCTAACACGTGATGCTGATGACTGATCAAATCACACTCTCCCGCCGCTTCAACTTCACTTTGACGAAGGTAGCCCGTTGTCGACACTTTTCAACACCCTCACACCACAACACCGCCGTCATGCCTCACTCGTACGGTCTGCGCGCCGGCACTCGGGTACGTCTATACCCTGCTCCCTTTTCCGATCTCGCGACTTTCGATGGACGACCATCCTTGTTTTCTCGACATTTGGATATGGGAAGAGATGTGAAATCGCATGCTAACGAAGGGGAATAGTATGCCTTCAGCCGCAACTTCAAGGAACATGGCATGATCCGCCTGTCCACCTACATGAAGACCTACCGGTACGCTCGACAAAATTCATCTGAAGACCATACGAAATGAATTGCCAAGAATCCGGGACTCTGACGAATTTTTCTTAACAGTGTTGGTGACATTGTCGACCTCAAGGTTAACGGTGCCGTCCAGAAGGGGTCAGTACAATCCGAATATTCCCTCCCATTCCACCTTTCTTTTGGAAGAAGAAGCGAAATGAACTTGCCTTCGATCAATTGCATTTCCCCTCCGCAATACTTCGAGACAAGAATGAGATCGAACAGAAAATATTGACTTGAAATTCGTGCTACAGTATGCCCCACAAGGTCTACCACGGCAAGACCGGTGTCGTCTACAACGTGACCAAGTCCTCCGTCGGTGTCCTTCTGTACAAGCGTGTCGGCAACCGCTACCTCGAGAAGCGCATCAACGTCCGCATCGAGCACGTCCAGCACTCCCGTTCCCGCGAGGAGTTCATCAACCGTGTCAAGGAGAACGCCATCAAGAAGCGCGAGGCTAAGGAGAAGGGCATCCACATTCACCTGAAGCGCCAGGCTGTCGGCCCCCGCGAGGGCCACCTCGTCAGCGCCGCCGGTAACGCCCCCGAGACCGTCGTCCCCATCGCCTACGACACCCACATCTAAGCGGCTTCTGCCACGGAATTGGGTCTTGTTGGGTTTCGGTGCGCGTGGTTGTTTGGTGTTTTTATTAAAACTGGGTTCTTTTTACCTCCGTGGTTGTCCTTCTCGGAGGGCGACACAATGGACCTCTGGCTGCATGAGACGACGCGTGATGGGTTTTCCGATTGCCCTGGCACATCTCTCGCCTGTGCATAGATTCCCCTGAATGAAACAAAAATCAAAAAATTTCCCGAGTTCACCTCCTAGTTATTCCATTTTGCTATGTATCTGCTTTTTTGGGCTTGTTTTCGGCCCTGGTGGTTTAGGAACAATCATGGGTGCGAAACAGCCTACAGCCCCCGATCTAGAACCTTCGTCGGCAATTGGATCTCAAACACAAGAGATCGTCAATTGCAGACCTGGTCCTTTCGCATCGAGCCAAGTCGTAGACCCGCTTTTTCTGAGGCCAGGTCCAGATTTCTAGATCGTCGCAGCACAGAATCCCCAAACTAGCTACAATCCCACATGGCAGATGCAGATGACTTCATCGAATTCGCTCCCCGGGAGCACCTCCGTCAACCACAGCTCAAAGCCTTTACTACGTCAGCTCTGCGCCATCACCGCCTGTCACATCACACCACTGCAACCAGGCCTCGCCAGTCTCCACCAGATAGTGTCGTATCAGCCCTGACTGTCGCCTGCGGAGAAGTATCTTCCCCCACGCGTGGACTGTGGCTTGAGGCGGGACAAAAGAGGAAAAAAGGTCAAAAGAAAAGGGCCCAGCAGATCGTTCGGCAGTCTAGACGCAGTCTTGTCATGCCAGATACATGACAGGGGACCTGGAGCGGATTCCAATGCACACCGCAGCACAGCAACCCTCCTCTCGCCCATCGGACACAGCCACTGCGAGACACTCGGCAACCGGTCTTGTTGGGAGCGCGCGAGTCAGACATTGAGAGGGAGTATACTGCGCCACGCCCACACAATCCAATGGTCGATGGGACGTCCACCGCTCCATCGTCCTGGACAATGTGCAGCAGGGGAGGGAGGGCCAGTCAGACCAGAAACTGAAAAACACCCAGCCCTGTCTTCCCTCTTCCCCAAGACGTGCTGGGGGTGTTGGGCTGTGGCCGTCAAACTAGCACCCCGCGCTAGTTGACCCCGGGTTGGAGACCAAAAAGAGGCCCGAGCCATGAACCCTGCCCGACCCGGCGACCCGAATTCTCCTCCCCTAGCCGGTCGGTCTTTGATTTGGGTTTGTCTTACAGGAAGACAAAAAGGGGGCGGGGTGGTGGAGGTACTATCTGGTTTCCGAGAAGACGGACTCTGCCTCGAAAAACCGAGGCCAGACCAGACGAGACAAGACGAGACAGGACGAGACCAGAGAATCCTTGTCCGGCCGTGGCGGGGGCTGAACTAATGGGCGATCACCACGCTCGTCGGTGGAGAAGCGGTGGGGAATGGACTCAGTCCTCCTCCGAAGATGTCCTTGGGAGAGGAGGATACAAACGGTCGGACAAGTTGTTCTACGTGTAGTCCGGGAAAGCGCAGGCGAGCAGTGAGGCCGCCGGATCTATGTACAGATTCGCGCGCAGGCATGCATGGAACCTGCTGCGGATGGGGCCTGTGGGTGCTGCTGGTGGGCCTCTCGAGAAGGAGGTTGGTGATATTCGCCTCCACAGACTCCGTCTGCAGGACCGGACACTCTGTCTGCAGGACTGGATAGTCCGTACCGGCACGGCCTGGATCACGGACAAGGTTCTGGTATTGTTGGAGGAATCCGTCTGACATGCACGACCGTACAGGGCCCGAAGTATCTGTGTTATCTTTGGGGTTGGGTGGGAAATTTGTTGGCAAAGTCGGTTTAGGGTATACAAGCGATGTATATGCTGCACTTCTCCACCCTTCATCCTGCTCCCGGGCCCAGAGGACCTGCATCTGCACCGAGGGCCGTGATTTCGCATGGAGACATTGATCTTCCATGCGGATGACGCGGAAAGAGGAGCATGCTCGGTCTTTTTTGTACTTTACGCCTCTCGCACAAGTCCCACATCCCAGTCACTTAGCCCGAGTAGCCTCAGTCCCTCGGTCTGTCAATACCTAGATAGGTAATGACTTACGCCTTTACGACAGGATCGCTATTCAACGCTCCGTTCATTCTATCGCGTTAGACCCGGGCCGGTCTGGCGTCAGCAGGGTGCCCGGCCAGGATCTCGCGGAGGGCGTTGCCTTCCGCCCCCGTGTGCGGTCATCCAGCCAAGTACGAAAGTACATGGACTTTTCCCTTTGCCCCGGTCTTTTTCAGTCCATGCGCGGGAAGACAGAATGCACAACAGGAAGTCGCGAACACCCAAGTACGGTGCATATTCCAAACATCGTGCGGGTCATTACTGCCGCGTTAAGTGGGGAACCATCTGAACTATGGTGCAGTAGGGCTGATTTCCGGCTCTTCGATGTTTTACTTTGCGAGATATTTCTTTTGTGGGTGTGTCGGCCCCGGGCCTCTCGCACGCGGACTTGAAGTTTCCCCGGAGGCCCAGCACGGTTGTTGGCGGAGGAAGAGAGACGGCCAAGACCCTGCAAAAGCAAAGATATATCTTCACCCCGGGGGTGTTCGACCATGCGCGATTTCCTCTGAGTGGCTCGTCCGTCCGCACCCCATAGACCAGACGTCAGGATGACAGGAGCACAGTATAGTCGGTGTGGGCAATCCTATTCGGACAAGAATTGACGAATACGGGCATCCTCCGGCTTGCTCGCTCACTAATTACGCAGAACATCCAGTAACTCGAGACTCGAGAAGCCGCAAAAACTCTAAAACAGGTCAAGCCACAGCCACGCTGCGCCACACGGTGGCGTAGCCCGTCTTTTGGCCCCGGGCCAAGCCAGTCGGACGCAATAGGTGGATTCGGAGGATCGATCATGGTCCAGTGGAGCCCCGATTGACTTCGGCCTTTTCTGAGCTTTTCTTTTTGGAATTGTCGCGGGTCTTCCTTGTTTTGGTTTCCGTTTGTTATGCGATATACGACATCCTGGACATCTAATAATACTTGCACGGTGCTGACGGTCGGAGGCGTTTGGCCCATACCGGCTCGCCCAATTTCTTTTTTTTCGGATCCGGATCTCAGGGTTTTTTTTTTTTTTTTCTTGGGGGGTTTTAATTTTTAATTTTCAATATTTTTTTATTCAGATTGATCACGACTGCAACAATTACCTGATCGTAATGATGACTCTTTCCCAGGGGAACGCGAGATAGGCGCATGGCCTTTTTCATGCACGCCGATACCCGAAACGCGAAACAATAACGCAAACGAGCGGAAGACAGGAACCTTCTCAAAGAAGGCAACCTACCGGGGTAGGTAGGCAGGGCCCAACTTCAGGCACCGAGCGGGAATCGGGTTCTCGCAGTGCTGCACACAATGGGTATCTTCCGAGGCGAGGGGAGTTCCAAGCATAGAAAGCGAGTAGAAAGGAGAAAAGCAGGGAAAAGGCGAGACGAGCAAGCCGGCCCTCGTCTGCTTCCCCCGGCCGTTCCTCGGCGTCTTGGGCCCACCCGCGATCTGGGTTCAAGGGATCTGCCGTGATGAACTAGATGAAATCGAGATGCTAGGTTCATGAAAAAGTGCTCCAGCCTCCCCCTGTTTCTCCATTACGTTCTAGCATGCTCTACCATGCCGCATCAGGTGCTATTCCGTCCCATCCTTGCCCCATTGCAGTCCCCTTTGGATATATCACCCCGCTCGTAAGCGCGCGGGCCCTGGCACCTTGACCCGCCACCGACGTGCTCATCTGCGATCAAATCCGGGAGCGGTTTAAGGGGGGAGGGAGGGTGATCAAGGATTCCTCGGCAGTCCGAACTATAGCGGTCACTATCCTTGCTCGGGTGTTTCAGGATTTCCTTAGCGCCAGACGTGTCGGTGGGAGGAGGGTGCAAGAGACGAAAGCGTAGTGTGCCGTTTGGAAACCCAATGCATACCGTAGCGGCCCATGGGTGTGTGTGGTTGGGGTCTCGGATGTACTTGATACTTGATGCACTGGTTGTCCTGGTTGTCGTGTTGTACTTCGGGCGTGATGGAGCGCCAAGTCAGTGAGGCGCTCTTTGGCACTATGGCAGCTGCACATCCAACACTTCGGTTCTCCGGGTTGTCTGCCTGTCTTTCTCGGTCTCATCCTACGAGTCTTGAGTCATGACAATGGAACTGTTTAATTGAAAGACCGAGAAACGCGCCCCGGCGATGACCAGGGCAATCTTGAAAACCCGTCATGCCCCCCGCAGAGCCATTCATTCCACCAGCACCGCCACTCTTTGCACCCGGGACTGTGACGATCGAGGCGGTTGTCAGTGGGGCTGACACTGAAGAGTGAAGGATGAACAACCAGTTTGACTAGCCTCTGGAATATACACTGTATCCTGGAGACAGACGACCCAAACCCCTAGATGATCCACAATGGCTGGATATTCCCCTGTTCTTGAGACCGGATCTACACTCACGGTTCTACCGGAGTATACTTTGAACTATACCGCCGCCTTCTCGTAATCCGTGTCTCCTTCCCTTTCGCTTCGAAACACCCAACACACCGACTTTTACCCACTGATAAGCTTCCCATCACGCGTCGTCGATCGAATCCTGCATACCATCAGATGACAGCCTAGTGACTCGCCGTACGGGTGCAGTTTCGAGTCTGTGGAGCCCGGTGCGAAGGGGGTCGAGCACCTGCTAGACACGGAGCCCTAACCGTCATCGCAATTCCTTCTCCTCCAAGTGCCTTTCCCCTTCCCCCCTTCCCCCCTCTTGGCCTCAAAGTGGCCTCACAACGTGCGAAGTGTACCGAAACATGACGCAATGTCTCCATAGGGATGTCGGAAGTAGGAACTTCGGAGCTCATGCTCTGCACCGAGCCGAAAGGCTGCTGCCATATATGGCGGCGTCGGAAGTCTTGGTCTTTGCTGCAGGGGTAATGGGCCTATCGTGGGATCGAATAGCTTCCTGACACTCCCATGGCCTCAACTCTTATATTATTGCCCACGTTTTTTTCTCATGTCTCCAATTTTTTATTTTTTATTTCTTTTATCTTATTTTTTACTTTTACCCTATTCTGTCATTTATTCCTTTTTTTTTTTCCAGATTGACCCTGCTTTTTCACCGTTTTCCCCTTTCATCTAATTTTCCTTCCCGGCTTTTGTAGTAATATTTGAATTTCTGGTTCCTATTATTGCCTTATTGTTATATTACTATCATATTCGAATATTATCAAAAGAATTTCTATTTTTTCCCCCAAATTCCCTCTGTTCCTGGTCCCCCTTTCTCTCAAGGCAACCATGCTCCTCGCCCCAGTCGGGCAAGATTCTGGAAAAGGCTCTTTGCTGGTCCCCAATTTCCGGCCGTGATGATCCACCCAAGCCCTTCCGATGTCCATCCGCCTTCTGGCCTCGATATGATTCCAAACCCTGGTGCTTGGGGTGGAAAACCCGGGTGGTCCTGGGAAATCAACCACGACCATGAGCAGTGTCTCGCGCCCATAATAAAAAGGACACGATGGTTCCTGGACAACACAATTTCCCATCCATCCAGCCCACCCAATCCCCATAGTTCGCTGTCTATCATTTTGCTGTCACTGCTGCACCCGCAGAAGAAGCCATCATCCGGTATAGTTGAACGTCCTCAAACTCTTTTAGCTCCTCAGCACCCCCCGACACACACAAAAGAATCTAGCTAACCGCAGTGCCATCCAGTTCTCGCCGTGCCAATTCTCTACTGTGACCGCACTTCTCGTCCAACCCTCAACCCTAAGTGCCACCAAAAGTCAATCTCCACGCACCCCATCATGCCTGCCTCTTCCCAGTATGTTAAAATCCATTAACTTTCTGGCAGTACCCTCCATTCTCTCACCAACAATGGCTAATGTTTATGGTCTATCTAGAACCGGCCACGACCTGCGCGGTGTCGGCGCCTGGGCCCGCACCCCCGCTATTTCCGGCAAGAATAGCAAACTGAAGACCATTGATTCCCCTTCCACGGCCTCCCTGCTACCCAAGAGCAAGCCTGCCAAGGGTAGCTCGGCCATGCTCGAGGCCTGGAAGCGCGAGCCGGCCTCTGCAGGGCCGTGGACGCCGCTCCGTTAAAAGCTCTGCTCCGTTAAAAGCTGGCGGCCCACTTTGCCTCTCGAGCTTCCCCCACGAGAGCTCCACGCGGTCCCCGCCAGATCTACGTCAGGACCTTCTTGATTCCGCCTGCTTTCCCCCCGTCTTTTCTTCTTTGGCTGTATCTTTTGACTGTATCTTTATATCTGGGGCTCGTCTAACTTATACGCAGGGGATGGCCTTTTGGTGCTTTGGCTTTTACAGGTGTGTTGGGTTGGAGAACTGAATCGGGCCAAGTATCGAGAGACTTGGGACTGGGTTTTTTTTGGTTTGGAAATTTCTGAACTGGTTGGACTTTTTTTTCTCTGGTTCGTTCCCTGGGACTGTTAGGAGAGGGGAAAAAAGGGGTGGCTGGTTTCGTCCAATGCCCGTCGACATGCTCGCAGCGTTGAGCATTTTACCAGGGGGATTTACGAGGCGCTTTTCTACTGCCACGGTGGGGCCCGAGTGTGCCCCGCGCGCTGAAGAAAGCTGAACAGGTATCTGATTTTGACCCACTCCGGCCCTGTGGATGGGGGGAATTTTTTTTTTTTCTTTCTTTCTTTCTTTCTTCTTTTCTATGTCGCGTTTGTTGGATTCTTTGTGCCTAGATTTTTTTTCTGCCTTGTGGATCTGTGGAGATTTCTCTTTTGTTTGTCTGCCTAAGGAAAAAACGCCCTATAGAGATAGACTGTGACATATGCGTCTGACCTAAATGAGTAACTTTTTTGTCGCACTCGCGTTTCCTCGTCCTAGGCCCAAGTCAGTGTTTCGGCCCCCTCATTTATTCAGCTGACGTCTGGCTTGATGAAAAATTTTTCACTCTGCATGATCTCTGTTCTGTGGCTCGCGTGGTTGGACGATTGCGAGACCAATATTTCGACTACCTGCCTCTTGAAGCATCGTGGGCAGCAACAATAACAGGAATTGGCCGATGAGAGGGAAGTACTCGCTGCATACCGACTCATACTGAGCGATTTAGAAAAAGGATTTGAAGAAAAGAGAAATCCCGATGCTGTGAATTTTGTTGATTTGAGAAAATAAAAACGAATTTCAAAGAAATTTGCAATTTCCGATTACCCTCGTTATTAGCTCATGAATTCCATGATTCTCCTTCCTTTTCCCGCGACACTACGTTATCCTCGCCTCTCATACCATGCGCATGATGGCTTTTGATTACGGGGATGATCCTCACTAGTAAAGATGAGTATCTTCCCTTTTGCCCTGCCTCTTTTCCCTTCGCGACGCAGTATTCTGGGTGCCTACTGGTCAACCAAAAAGAATTCTGGGTCCCCTTTCTCCCCTTGCAGCCGGGCCAAGATCAATTGCAATTTCTCCGGCATGTCGTCGTGCCAAACTCCCCGGGAACCACGATCCAGGGACAGCGGTACAACCGGTACAGCGGAGCCGCCTGTCGCCGTGTGCCGGCCCAACTGTTTGAACTTGGGTAGTGGGTGGGTTTGATAGATCGTGACATTCAGCATTCCATTCCAGCACCTCGGGTCAGCTTTCACAATCTTTTGTTTAAATTTTTTTTTTCCTTCGCTCCCGAATTTTTCTTCAAGAGGAAACAAGAGACCGGAGAATGCTCGAGAATGCTCGAGAACAAGGGACTCGTGTCGCCCGACAATCAACTACTGATCTGTTCCATCGCTTCTGCAGCGCAGACACCCATGCCGTAGGAAAGTAGGATAGTTTGGTAGTATCTCCAGGCCATGGAAGCTGTGGATGATGAAGTTGCAAACGCAACCATGACGAGGCCTTCAGAATTTTCCAGCGTGTCTCAAAGCTCATTGATCCTCTGCCTCCTCTCCGCTCCTTGACTCGCGTCCTCTGCCCAAGCGTAGGGTCTTGGCGACCTCCGCTTTTCAGAAACCGAAGCACTCATGCTGCTTCCTCTTCATCTTCTTCTACACTTCACACTTTTCTTTTTTTCTTTGCTCCAATTTTGATCCCCTCTTCTCCACCACCGCCCCCTTCCTTCTCTTTTGAGACTTTCCAGTTGTTTTTTTTTTTATCGGCGGAATATCTTGAAACACATCTCTTCCAGCCGAGTACTCCACTCTCCCCCAATCTACACCAACCCCGATTTTTAAGCCTCCCGAACGAACAAGAAAAAAAAAGGCCCGTGGGTTCGTCGATCGTCTGATTCTCTCACGACCACCCATCCCCTCCCCACCCCGGTCAATCCTCCATGTGTATTAGCCAAGCGTGCTGACCTCTCTCTTCCGCCGCGCGATTGGATCCCTGCCAGACGCATCTTGGAAAGTTTACGGTCGGGGGACCCGCCTCAACTTGGTACTTAAAATCGAAGGGGGCACGGCAGCTCGCCCGTCGATTGGTACGCAGTGGAAAAGGGCAGGCGCTCTGTGGACCATCAGACTGCGATCACCGCCGTTAGCCCGCCCTTCCCCGATGGAAGAGGAAGGCAATTATCCCGCCTGCGTTTGGAGAGAATCAGGTGCGTGCCGAGAAAATTTTTTCTTATTTTTCAAATTTATTTTTAAATTTATATTATTTATATTTATATAACTTTTTTTTCTTTTTTTTTTTTTTTTTTTTGCGTAGAAGGGTCTTTCCGGCGCGGGTTGGCGGCGGACACGGAGGGGGTTTTTCTTCTTCTTTTCCCCCTTTTTTTTTTTTTTTTTTACCATCCCCGTAGAGTATCTGGTGAACGGTAGATTGATTTTGACAAAGTCCGGTTCCAATGGATCAAGGAGTAACTAATTACAGTCAGGCGTTTAGTACCAAATGACGTGAAGTAAGGAGGACGGGGTCCATAGAATCCGCATGCCATCGACCCGCGTAGATGTATCTCTCTCTCTCTCTCTCTCTCTCTCTCTTTTTCTCTCTCTAAAAAGGTGCGGTATACTTGACCCCGAACACTCCGCAATCTGCTCCTACCCCAATCCTCCCCCCTCGGCCCCCTAGTCTCCTTCCAAAACCCTCCAAAAAGTAGTCTACCAGGGGAGGCTGGTTTGTCCTGGCTTCTCTCTCCCGTCGGAGTAGGATGGATGGGGGCGGCGCCCCGAGTCATGGTTCTTTATCGCTTTCCCTGGTCTCCCACGAGTCGAAGGGGGCCGGCGGGCGGCGGGTCTTTCTCCCCGTTATTGGCGGTTGGGTCGTGCCCCAGAATGGAGAGTTCCCCCGGGGGCATTGTATTGGCTCCCGACGGAAAGGCACCCGGCCTCGGCTGTCGCTGTCTCTGATGGCCTTGGTTGGATGGCCGCGATCGTGGACGATGCCTCGATGATAGATTTCGCGGATGATAGGGCCCGGGGCGTTGGAGTTGGAGGGTGAGACCGGCATGCTTTCCTCTTGATTGTTGTTCTGCCGTTACTTTTATTTTTTGATTTTTGATTATTTGATTATTTGATTAATTTTTTTTTTTCGGCTGGTGTTTTCCCTACCCGCGAGATGACTCTGGATCAGGCCAGAGGTTCAGAAATTGGAGTAAGTCGTCAGTACTTGAAGCGCAATCTCGAGGGCAATTACGGTCTCCATAGTGCCATGATGTCACTGCGGACGGAGAGTTCGCGGACCATGGAGACTTAATGGTTCGCGGGCCGGCCCCACGGATTCGACCACGGTTCAGCGCTGGTCCGATCGACGGTTACAGGACATCAAACTATAAACCATCTATAGGGAATACGATATAACATATAGGCGGTATAGGGCCTATCTGAGTTTCTATCTTGGGAGAGATGCGGTCTAGAGCGAGGTCCAGAGGGAAAGCACCTGACGGGCCTGAAGGGCCCGGAGGACCATATGGATTACCGAACATAAACGAGCTAATATCGACGAGTATTGCAGACTCGAAGAACCAAAACCGGAGCCGGGGAACTGCTGCGGCCGACAGTGTGACTGCCTCGTCGGGCGAGAAAGAGGAGGAGCAGAAGGTCTGAGACCCCTCGACGGACAGACTCGATTGGCCCCGTCGAGGAGCCGTTGGGGGTCCCCCTGTTGGTGATGGTGGTTGGTTTTTTTTGGTTCGTTTTTGGTTCGTTTTTGGTCCCTCGGATTCGTATTCGTGGGACTCCCGCTCTGTCGTCTACATTTTGTCGCTCTCCGATGGTCTGCGATATGGACTGTTGTTCCGAGGAGCCCCGGGGAGACGGGGGACAGCCAAAAGGTTCACCGTCTGGATAAGATGGGAGAGGATGGGTAATGGTCGCTCTAGCTCCTTGTCATCTGGTCATTTCTGCTAGGTATGCGGATGTGGTAGGTGGAGGCGCAGGGGGTGGAGGAGGGTCTCGCCCTGGTTTCCATGCACACACGACGGTCAAGTCCAAGTCGTCCAAGTCCCCAATCCGCCGTGATCCAGAGAAGGAGTCTCTGGGTTTTTGGTCTGTGGTATGTCCGCATAGGAGTCTCGACCCCTTTGGATCCCGGCTCGGCGTCGGGCTTCATCTACCGCCTTTGCTGCTCTCCTGCCACTGTCTGTCGATGCAGTGCTCAATTTTGATTTGATTTGATTTCATTGATTACTTGATTTATCTTTTTTTTTTTTTTTTTTTTTTTTTTTTTTTGTTTTTTGTTTTTAGGCTCTGCCAGTTGACATAGATGGGCGGTAATAGTGATGCCTGACAGGTCCTCCTCTGAAAGGTGACACCTCTATAGCGATTACACTTGGCTCTTGAACGTGTAGAGGACTGAGAAGCGAGTGACGAGCATCTTGTTGTTCGATACCTGGGACTCTTGGGATGGGTTTTCCAGAGGGCGACTAAGGTTTGAGCCCACGAGGAGCGGCGCCATCGTACTTGATCTCACCGCATTAAACTGGATTAAAGGCCTGGTCGCGACCGGGGATTGGAGCGTGCATAGTCGTACATAGTTCGGGGATAATCAGGAGGGATCGCGCCGACACAGACGATATCCAGCCAAGCCAATCACCTGAATGATAGCGAACATTCCTCTCGTGAGCACGATCACTCCGACGGAGACGCAGCAAGAGCAGGAGAAGCAGCACGAATGGGCGAGAGGCGTAGTCAGTGCTTGGTTGGGTGGAGACCCCAGGTTGGGCCGATCACTGTCCTGCCACTTGCGTGAGTTGAGCCTCCTCCGACGAGGCGCAGTCTGGTTGACAAAGAATGTTTCCTGTGTCGGGCGTTGGTGCTTCTTCGGGGTCCTGCTAGCCTCAGTTAGATCCCCTTGTTCCCTTGTTCCCTTGTTCCGCTGTTGTCCTCTTGTTCTCCTGTTCTCCGGCTCCCCTGCTCCCCTGCTCCCCTGCTCCCCTGCTCGCATAATGCCACGTTGAACCGGAACCTGGGCTGTGTTGTCAGTCGAGTTGTGGGCCTGATATTATCCATCTCCACGCTACATTGTTAGGGGAGCTGTCGGGGGGGGGGGGGGGGGGGGATTGTGCTGGTGTGCTGTATGGAATTGGGATCGGTCCGAAGTACGCCGACGTACTCCACAGAGCACGACAAATAATTATACAGAAAATACTTCTGCGGAATGATTTCTACTGTTCCCGTTAGGTCCTCCCCCCGCCCGTTCTCATTCCACCGTCATTGCAATCTCTCGTCCTGCTTGGCTGACGGGCCCCATCTCGCATCGACAGCCAATCCGGTTGTCTCCCGTTACCGCGCCGGTGCTCCTTGTTGGACTGTTCTGTCTCTGTCAGTCAGTTTGTGCCTCACTTTGAAAATCTGATTTACGGTGAAGACACTAGTAGTTGCCTTATTTTCGATCCCGGTAAATTACAAGCATCCTCACCCTCTCTTCCCCCCCCCCCTTCCCTGCCCAGTGATCGCCCATACGTCTCGGTCATAAAAAGCATGGCTCGGGGCCAACAGCCTCCCCTCCAGCTGATTGTTTCTTTCCCTCGAGCTCCGTTCCTGGTCGTGAATTTGATACCTTCAGCAATCGTCCCCCATCATCCTTCATCCTTGCCTCTTCACAGTTTCCTCGTCACCCTGTCCCTCATTCATACTTCCCCGCGCCGTCTGTCCCCCTGCTCCCTTCAGAAGACGCTTCCCTCTCCCGGCCTGATCTCCACGCGGTCTCGTTCGTCACTGCTTTCCCCCGGCCCGAGCACGCTGTTCCGACCAGCTTGAACCCCCCCTCTTCCCCCATCACTGGTTTGGGTCAAATAACTTTCACCCGGGCGAACCCACCGCGCCTGACTATATAACTTGTACTATACCTCAGGCTCTGCTACTCTATTTCCCTGACGTCCGTCTCCATCATGCATCGTGCCCCGAACGTCGTGATTTAACATAGAGCATTCTTTCCTCCACCTCAACTATAAAGTTCGTACCGGCCGGGTACAGCATCTTGCTTGCTTGTTTTTTTTCTTTTCTTTTCTTTTCTTTTCTTCTTCTTCGTCGTTTCCCTCCTCTTTTCCGTTCTTTTCTACTCTCTTGCCTCTATTGCCCCTCACTGCTTCTGATCTAGACGCGGCTTCTACTGTCTCTTCTTCCTCTCCTTACCTCCCCTCATTCCCGGTGCCCACGCTCGGTCGGACTGGACTCGCAAGTGCCTCGGAGTAGCTTCCCGCTACTCGAGGCTCGTCTTCCCGTCCACCCTAAAAAAGATGGACCCCACCATGTTTGGTTTCTCCGAGCGCGAGGACATCGACCCGATGATGAGCTCGTTTGATTCGGTGATGACGGTGACTCCCCAGACCGTCAATCAAATGCAGCCCATCATCTTCAACCAGATCTCCTGGCCCAACCCTTCCACGGTAAGAGTCGCGCTGTCCTGCCCGACAGAGAGCATCTTTGGCCGCGGTGGGCCATTTCCACACCCCCCCCCCCACTACCTCCACCACCTCCACCACCACCCAAGAGGCGTGTGGAGCATTGGCTCCCGCAAGCCATGATCTACAGCCATGATCTAGATGCATTGTAGCTGATACCCTATTTCTTCCAATCCTTTAGGAATCACCCGATTCTTCTCAACCTCCACAGACCCAATCCACCGGGTCGACAGGCGACACCAGCTTCACCGACGATCTTCTCTCCTTCTCCGGCAGCTCGTGGCACCGCGAGGAACCGATGCTGCCGGATCATGACCCGGCGGCCCTCAACTTCATTGAACAGCGGCATGATCTGGCGCAGCCGATCCCGCAGCATTTGGAGGATGACCTGGCAGCAGGACACGAGCCCGACTCGGCCCAACCCTCCCCGTCATCCCAGCCTTTCACGGACCAGGACCGGGCGGCGACGGTGCGGCCGATGATGGGAATCTCCAACCATACCGATATGCCCGCGCGACCGCTTCCCCAGCAGAGGGCCGAAGCATTAGGCCATCTGAAACAAATTAACGATGGTTGTCGCTTCGCGATTTTGAATACGCGGTGTGGCGCTGACGAGCGCGATCAATTGCGTCAGGCTCGCCAGAGCCTCACGTACTTCTCGGAGCTCATCGATGGGTTGATCGATGGCTCCGAAGCGCCTCGAACCGGCCCACCGTCGATCAAGTCAGCTAAGTCGGCCAAGTCGGCCGGAAATGGTCATGGCAATGCGAAAGTGTTATATCGCTGTATGGAGACCGGATGTCACGCGAAGTTCTATAACCGTGGCTCCTTCAAGAGACACATCGTCGACCAGCATCACCCCAATTCGGAGTTCCACTGCCCGAAAGAGGACTGCGACACTGTGCATCGGCGCAAAGACAAAATCGATTATCATTATCGAGCCCAGCATAAGCAGGAGCCCAACAAGAAAGAGATCGAGCGAAACAACCACCCGCTTCCCTGCCCGCCTCATTGCGCAATATGCTACTGTCTGGTCCACACCTGGGCCGGGTTCTACAACTGCTTCATGAAGCACTGTCTGGTGAACCCCACTGAGTCAAACCCGAGCTCTTCTCGCCGGTCAAGTCTCGACCAGAATATGGCAGCCCATGAGGAGACCCCCAATGGCCGAGACGACTACCCGCCTGCCGCCGCTCCCACCCAGGATAGTGGGCTGGCGCCTTCACGCCGTAAACGGGCTCGTGGCTCAAGCCCAGGTTTCTCCGGCCCAGGTGGCTATCCGAGACAACCAACTGTGAGACCTAATCCGGCCCGGTCGGTGTCCGACAATATCATCGACCGCCACCCTCAGCAGCAAGCGAACCAGCCTGCCGTTGCTCCCACTCATGGGCCTCCCAATGCTGGCCATCACCAGTCCATTCAGAGACCACCAACGACCGTGCCCTTTCGGACTCAGCCTCAGCCACGACAGAATCCACCCAATGATGCAGCTATGGGCCCTAAATGCAACATCTGTAGCCATCGGTTTGCGGACTGCCGCAGCCAAGAATGCCGCCGCACCACGGAGTCCGTGAATGGATGTCACATCTGCTACCGAGACTCGGCTGCAATATTGATGAACCAGATGGGCTCAGGTCCTTCCTACATGACGGGGTTTCCCTTGAGCCAAGACATATTCATCGATCCTCGTGACCTTAACAACGCCGGACTGCAGCTGGATACTAACTTTGCTGTCGCCGCCATGAACCCAGCCTACCAGACCCAGATGCCACGGATGTATGGACAGAATCTCAGTCCCGATGATATCATTCATCGCATGCAGCATTACCCGGGGTCGAACTCCAGTTCCCCCAGAAGCAGTTTTACAGCAATGGCCGTGACACATATCGAGGACTCTCCGATCAGCGAGGTGGAGATGGAACGATCCTCCGGATTGGGGTTTAAGCTTGCACGGCCGATCGAGGCACTGTTCAGCAGGATGTCCCTGGGCGTCCCCTGGAAACCTCGACCGTTCCGTGGCCTGAACACCCTTTCATATCCCGGTATGTGCTTTGCACCAAACTCCCTTTGCGCATTTTCCGATCTTTGATCCCCACATCTGTTTGCCACAAGGTTATATCATCACCTCGAGAAGCATCATTCACTGACCTTTGATTTTTTTTTTTTCTTTCTTTCTTGATAAGGCTTAGAAATCCTGACAAAAAAGGTTCTACGTCCCCCAATGCTCGACAAGACTGCCCCTTTCGAGTGTCAGTGTCCATGCCGTAACCCGTCGCAGGACACACACTCCGCACGGGTCCGCGCCGACCTTGCACCGGGCCGCCAAGTTGATATCCGACTGAAGCTGTCCCCTCACGAACGTGGACACCCGTTTCGAACTCGGGTCCAGGTCGTCGTAAAAATGCTTCGGCTGCGCTCGTCGGTCGCTAAATCTGCCGACGCAAAGGCGAAATGGAAAGCCAAGTTGGCCATTGAAGAGGCCTTTGAGTCGACGCTCAGTCGCTCGTCCGGGCAGCAGCCAGACGTCATTGACCCCGAGGAACACGATGATTCTGACACGGTCTCTGTCTGTGACTCCGACACGATGTCTGTCGCCTGCTCGACCTGGTCTAACGAGTCTACCTCGACCGCCTGCACGGAACTTACTTCGGATTCTCCTGCTCGGCCCGGTTCCCCTGTCGAGTCTGAGGTGTCCCTGTTCAATGCCCATTCCGACTGCTTCCATGACGAAGAGAAGGAACTCGAGAAAGAGGTCGAATTAGCATTCAACTTCGACCTCCAGCCATCGTTGTACAAACTCGCCCAATGGACAGGCTGGTACAGCGATGATCTGTCGTCCGACCTGACCAAATGCGACCCGGACCGTGTGTTCGAGTATTTCTTCCAATATATCCTCTTTCTGATCATGTCATTGGCTCGCTCGCACGACTATAACTTCCGCCCGTGTTTCGAGAAATAAGCCATCCTCTTTACGACTTCCTTCACCTTCATGTCCTCCATGTTTTCAACGTCCTTGCTCCTCGACCTCCACGTCCTCCATGTCCTCCATGTCCTCCATGTCCTCCATGTCCTCCACGTCCTCCACGTCCTCCACGACTTGTTTCGATATACGTTATACCTCCACCTCTTCATTCCGTTGATGCCAGCTTCTTGATACCCGCCGCCCGACCTCTCTGGGTACATTTAATATGTGCTCTTTTATTTTCTTATCTCTCTGATCGGCTCTCTGTTCTTTTCATTTCTGATTCTCCCCCTCCTCTTTCTTTCTTCTCTGTTTATGCTAATTGATTCTGTTCTTGTTGGCTATCTATTTCCCTCTTATCTTGCTTCTTTCTCCACTTATCTTACTTCTTCTACTTGTCTTCTTGGAACAAAATATTGGGTTCAAAAAAATTCGCTTCTTTCGCATTCCCCTTCCCTGGCGATCTTACAACTGGATTTCCCATTTGGTCTTTGGTCTTGACTTGTACAATCTGGTTTTGTATGTATGGCTATGGGAAACTAGACTCGGGGTGTTCTTTTCTTTTACCTTCCCTCTTATTCTTTTTCTTCTTTTTCTTCTTCTTCTCTTCTTTCCTCCTCCGCTTCTGCTACGACTTGGTTTCTGTTTCTGTTTCTGCCTATTTTGATGGTTTCTACAAGGCTGTTTTCACCCCCTCCCTTTCCCCCAACCTTTCGATATCTACCGCACTGCTAAACCACGGCACGTTTGCCCAGTGTTTGGAGCCATTAGACCCTCCGCACTGTTTTTGCCCTGCCGCCATTGATATCTGAACGACAACGTTCGCCTTCCCCGCATGATGTTACGAATCATTTTGGTGTTCCGTGTGCGCATATGTTTCCTCCCCGCCCCCCATGTCTCCTGGAATTCTGTCTTATAGACTTAAAACCGCGATAGGCCAATGGGCATTAGTCCACTTTTGTTCTCCAGTTTCTCCCTTTCTAGACTCTAGAATATCCCCGTCGTCACTAGAGCAATGGAACGCCCACCCCCCCCATCCTTATTCTCCGAAGCACCGATGGTGCTTCCACCTCTCTCGCACAGGTAACTGCTACTCGCAGAACACGGGGGAAAATAATAGGAAGGACTTAACCTGGACCCTTTCTTTTTTCGTGGCGAGGGAGAAAAGAGAGGCCTGCTCGGAGATGGGAACCATGCAGCAGAAACTCCCCAAACTCCAACCTTTCCCCCCGGGAATATCTTAAAAGGTCTACAGTGCGAAATGGCGGGAGAGCAAGACGAAAAATGTAACGTCACGGCTTTGAGAAAGAAATAGACGCACGACTGCGCTCTTCAAAAAAGGACCCGGCTCGGTCCTCCGCACGCTCGAGCTCGAGCTCAAGGTCGAATAAAAAGAAGAATATGAAAAATAAATATAAGTAGCAAGGAAAGAAAAAGAAAAAAAAGAATACATGATCCCGATTCCCCCCCCCTTAATCGATCCTTCTCTGTCTAAGCGCCCGTCAGCGCCTTGATCTGCGCTTCGATGGCGGGCACGTTTGCGCCAACCACCTCGGTAATCTTTTCCCCGCCCTGGAAGAACATAATGGTGGGCATGGCGCGAACTCCCAGTTCCTGCGCGACGTCACCGACCTTGTCAACGTCGATGGTGTAGAACTTGGCGGCTGGGTAGGCGGTGCTGAAATCCTCAATTTGCGGCGCGATGGCCTTGCACGGAGCGCACCACTCGGCGAAGCAGTCGAGAACGACAGGGTCGGAGGAGTTGAGGATTTTGGTGACAAAGTCAGCTTTGCTGGGGGGTTTGGTTAGCCGGGGAATGCGGAGCGGTTTAGTTTAGGGTTTAGGGAATGTACCTGGTGAGTGCTTCGACGGGCATGGTGGAGGGTGGAGCGAGGAATATGGCGTGGCAGCAGCAACAGGAATGGAGAATGAGAAAGATCGTATATAACGGAGAGAGGAAGTTTGAATGAGGAAACAGTTCAGGGCGTTTGTGAATCGAGAGTTGAGCAGTTGACTGTGGAACGTGATGACGACAGGTGGGGTGAGGTCGCAGCGGGAAAGTACAGTATACGTCCTACACTCTACCCATCCTCGAGCCCTATTGCATAGAAGATGTGGGCGGTGGAGATGGAGTCTACACCTTTGATGTCTATGAACTCAATTGAGGTTCCAGAATAATGCTTAGTCTCATAGGTCCTGGATACAAACGTAGGGGTACTTCAGCTGCTTGACTCGCACCCGACCTGCACGGCGACATCGCAAGCTGTGATGCGGAATGTCCCGTCCGCAGGGAGTGCATATGTCACCTCCCGCTCCAGATCCACTACATTTACGGTCAGAGTCTCGGCAGGAAGCTCGAGGACCTGGTCAATGGCTATTCTTTCAATCGAGTATGCAAGACACTTGGCGGCTTCGCACGTCGAGCTCGCCTCCATCTCGAGGTGAACATGCAGCGGACCGGCCAGGAAGAGCGGAGACGAAGCCGTCGGGCTGAGGATGCCGGTGAACGGCTCACTGGCTGCCAGGACGACCTCCCCGGCACTCTCTCGGACCAGAGCTCGCAAATACGTCTCTATTTCTACCGGAGGGGTCTTCATCTCCGGGGGATTGGTTATTGAGACCTCGCTTTCCACGACCGCGGGGATAGGAGAGACAGAAGAGACTACTGCCTCGTGCTCCGAGATGATCTGGGTGACCTCGATCGGATCTGGTATCGCGGTCAGGGTCGATGCCGAGACTACCATCGGAAGTAGCGTACTCTCATTCGGTTGCGGGCGTGCACTGGCTTGACCTTGTGCTCGCGCTTGAATTGTCTGTCGCGCATGGTTCTGAAGCACCTGGTTGAACTGATGCTCCAGCGTCTTGAACGACAGAAGCAGCGGCAATCGCCAACCAGGATACAATCGCCCATGCGTCCGTGATGTGTGCATCTTGCCGTGACGTTGGATCAAAGCATGGCATAAGAAACAGGCATCTTTGCTGGACCCGATGGCCCGCGGGAATAGCGGAGGCGATTGGATCTCGCAGTAGGCGAGGAGCTGGACCTCTGCGTGGATCTTGGCTTCCTGGAGAGTTTTCGTGGTTTGCTCGGCGAATTGGTCATTCGGGTTCTTGGTCTTGTCACTTGTCATGAACTGAGAGACCTGCGTGAGACGATATTGTTTGCCCTCGATCTTCCCCAAACGAGAGAGCGCAGTCGACAGGCTGGGTGAGTAGTTCGGGTAATGCGGTCGATCGAAAGCCTCCGGGGGAAGAGTTGCGAGACGAAGCTCGATGGTTCGGACGACAGGAAACTTCTTGGCGATGCGATGCAGCACCTGAGCCGCTTCCTGATACCTGGAGACTTTCCAGATAATGTTGAGCAAGGCAGTTGCGAAGACCGACTCCTTGATGATTTTTGTAGGACCAGAGGGAATCAACTCGAGCATTTGCTGCAGCCCGTGGACATTGCTTAGTTGGTAGATCTTTTCGACAAGATCTTGGAGACGGAACAGGACACGATGCTTGGACCATTCATTGACCGACTGGATCACTCGCTTGGACTTTTCTCTGAATAATGACAAGCTGCCTTCCAAGTTGGACTGGCGGAGCCTCTGGAGGTCAATTTGTCGAGTGCCTTCCATCGCCTTTTGCAGCATATCTTTGATGGATGGCCTGGATAGTCTAAATTTCTTGCCAGTTAGTCGTAATCGACACGCGATTCGGGAAGAGCACATTTGCACGATAGCCTCTAGGAGCTGTTTCGTGATATCCGTCGAACTGCCTCTTTCTGGCTCACACTCGACTCAGCAGCTACCACGAGTAAAAGTCGGCAGAAGAGACCAACGAACCATAAAGAGATTGTTTCAGTATCTTAAAGATATTCTCGAAGGCCATTTTCAAGGTTTGCAACAGCCCGTTCCCATCTGCGTATGTGCTCTTATTGATTGCCAGAAGAGCCTTGAGCCCTGTGCCACCGAGATCCTGCTCAACACATACGGCAGGAATATGATCTGCTCCATCTTTTGTTTTGGCGAGAAAGGAGAGGATTTCCACTAGCTCCTGTTCCTTGGCGAAGGGCAGAAGGTATCCTGGTTCCGACGCTTGGGCGCGTCTCGTGGGCTTCTGCTGTGGCTTTGCAGGAACCTCATGGAGTAAGTAGTTCAGGGCGATATTCTCTGCGCAAGTCACCGCAGCAATGTGCGCTTTGCGGGTCATTCTGTGCAGTTCATAGCGACCAAATCGACCAAGAGAAGCGGGCCGCGTGGAACTCGATACGATCTTATTATCTTATGAGGGCGCATTCTTGCAGAAGCCGAGTCCCAAGGGCAAACCGGCTGGGGTGTTGGAGGGGGGGGGGGGGAAGCCGTCCTTAATGGCAGCAATCAAGACAGGGCGAGCGATGCAGATGCAAGTGAGAAATCTGTAATCTGACCGATCAGATCGAATCAGAGAGGTGATTATGAATGGGAGGGCAGGGTATCGTTTCGATTGGGCTTTGTGGCCAGGATTGCAGGGACCCCTGCTGCCAGCCATGGCAAACAATGAGGCATTCGTCGCTATTGATGACGGCGCTATCTGATTCGATACCAGGCTATGTTCTACAATGCCCAGGCTAGCCCCGTTGTAGCTTGTGGGGCCCTGCATGCAGTATTTGACAGCTCGATGCAGTCGACTATTCCTATTTGCACTAGAGTATAGCATGTTCCAAATCCACCCGGAGCCATTCAGGGTCTGAGAATATTCCGAAAGGCCAATCAATTTAAATACAGAGAAGCAATGATATTTCCATGACATACAAAATGGACCGAAGGTCATTTGAAGTTCGAGGGACTGATAGTCGTGAACGATTGACTAAGATCTTTCGTCCCTCGTGAGTTGGGGTGGTTGGTTGGGACGTATTGCTTGATAAACACTGAGTTCAGGTCAAGATCACTCTCCTTTTTTTGGGATGGGCGGGCCGTGGTAATCCTTGATCATGACTTGCACTCCCTTACTTCCCTCATAGGGGTGGCCATTGAACATATCGCGCACGATGCGGACATCCTCGATCGTGGTGTCGTAGAGTTCCATTTCGAAATCTCTGAAGAGGGTTGACAGTCCCATGAGGATTTCAGCACGGGCGAGACTAGAAAATCCAGAGTTAGCACGGCTTGGGGGTTTCACTTTGAACACCACGGTCACGTACGGAATTCCAATGCACTGTCTCGTTCCTTTGCTGAAGGCCACTAGGTACTTTTCAAGGTGCCTGCGCTGAGCGGGATCCATCCAGCGTTCTGGAATGAAACTATGAGGGTCGGTGAAAGTATCTTCGTTAAAATGAAGGAGTAGGCTGGTCATGCCAACCGGGACCTATCACTCAGTTAGAGGAGGCCACACCGTTTCAGATATCCATGGCTTACCCCGGGAGGAATAACCCATTCTTTATACTGCATGGTCGAATCCGGCGAGCTTCGTTGTAGTCGAGTGGCCACCGCATTAGTAATTCTATAGCAGGTGCCATCGAGTCAGTCAACAGAGTAGCTGGAATGAGGATCTGCTTGGGGTCAGGAAAAAAAAAGGGAAGTCTACCTTAGGCCCTCAAGCATCACAGAAGTCTGTGTTCGTTAGTGATGATATTTCCACGCGGCTAGATAAAACTTTTCAAATACGACCAACTTACCAGGTAGGGCATTGACTCTAATTCCACGATAGTGGCCGTGCGATTCGGATCCAGTTCATTCAGCTCATCCCGCAGCTTTTGCAATTTTGAAGGGTTATTTAGTAAATAGAAAGTGAGGAAGGACAGGTTCTTCGCCGTCGTTTCGCCTCCGGCCGCCATGACGGTAAACACCTCTTGGCTGAGACGATCAGCTCCCTTCTCCTCGGCGGGCAGGTTGCTGTCGATCAGTGCGTGGAATAGGGTGTCCTTAGGCACATGAGCCTGGCTCTTGTTCTTCCCGTCGGCCTTTTTGCTATCAATTACCAAGTTTGCCAAGCGGATGCTCTCGAACTTCTGGTCAATAACGGGAACGAGATCCGGGTCAAAGATGAGCACCAGCCACCGGGGCAAGGCCTCGAACAACGCCATCAACCACCGAAACTGCTTGAACTGGGTACCAGCCTTGACGATGGCCTGCATGGTCCGGGACCATTGGGGACTGAATTCGGGGTCGTCGAGATAATGGAAAGATTCGCCCAGGGTGTATTCGGCGACCACATCGGTGGTGAACGCATTGAAGGCATGGTAGACGGGCAACGCACTCTTTCTCTCCATGAACCCGATCATACCCGAGACGAGCTTGTCCACCATGCCCCGGAGCATGGGCTCCAGCTGGCGGATGCGCTGCTGAGAGAAGAAAGGGTTCATGGGCTGGCGTCGCATGCGGTGCAGCCGGTGATCGACGGTCCCAAAGGCCGAGTCAGGGGCGCCGAACATACCGACGAGATGGACATACTTGTTGCGTGGCGCATCGCGGGCATAGAGCGTATCGTAGTACTCGGGGTCGTCGATATGCAACTCGTAGGGACTGATGCGGACGATGGGGCCATATTTGCGGTGCATCTCTTGAATGCGAAAGGTATACTGACCCCCGAGATAAGAATCATAGTAGAACTCATACCACATCGTCAGTGCGGCGAGTTTGGGACCAGGGAAATGGGCAATCGGGGACAGGCAAAGTCGGTAGATGGCCAGCCCTAACGCATACAATACGCCCACCCCGCCTAGCACCCATACCGGATGTGCGATGACAGCTTGCAACAACCACATTGTCGGTTTCTCCAAGTCTCCACCGTCGTGGGAGTCTTTGGAGGGTGAGAAGAAGTCGAGCGTGCGGAAGAGAAAAGAGAAACGGGAGATGGGAGAAACAATCTATTCTTCTAGTCTTCACATGACGACGCTATCCTCGCCCCCCCCCCTCCTCTCCTTCCTCTTCCTCCTCCTACGTCGTTAGCCTTTGACGCCAAACTCCTTGCGACACGAGAGGATCATGGTTGTGCAGGCTGCCCAGGCGCATGGGGACCCGGACAACTGGTGTCAGTGGATTACGCATCTGCAGCTCGACGCACTCAAGGCGGTTCATGCTCGCCCCCTGAGAATGGTACGCAGTGCGATTGGGCCAGCCAGCCAGGCGGATCCAGTGCACGGTGGAGTCGCGACGGCCTTAGCGACCGGGACGCTGTCCTCGGGCCCAATAAGCCGCGGTGGAATTCGTGCTGGTCCTACTCGTTTGGACTCTTGGGACCAACCTGGCCTTCCGGACAGTCGGCACACCCCGTTCGACTCGTCCCTAGCGGTGAATAAGCCGGATTTATGTCTTGTTCTTGTGCGCCAGAACAGACTTTGGATCGGCACAATGGTTCGCATTCGGGGCCATCGACTCGCCGCCAAACACCCTCTGCCCCCTCCCGCTGTCGAACCCCCTCGACCAAGATCCAGGCCAATCAGTCCCCTGGTCTCTCGAAGCTGCAACGGAGACAACGGAAGACATGGGGCCCCCATGAACGCCCGTCCTAAATATCAAGCCGTACTTTTGCCTTCGGACCGTGCCGGTGCCCCCGCTCTGTCGTTGCCCCTCCTTAAATGACCGATCATTCGTCCAGCCGAACAGTCTGGATGCTTTTCCCTTTCTTTTCTCCACCGCTACCGCAGAATCTTCACGAATTCAGGGATTCACCATGGCTGAGGGCTCTATCGCCGTGGTGGGTGGCTCCCTAACCCCCCTCCCCCCTACCCCCTCCCCCGGACTTCTTTTGAAGGACCTCGAGACTAACCAGGGGGTCAGGATCCGGATCTCTATGCCGTTGATGATCATAACAATGCCCCAGATGATTGGCGCTCGTAAGTCAAGGCCGCGGATAGCGCGTCGGAGTGTGACAGCCGCCGACGCCTGACTGCTCCCCCCCCGTCCCCTTTCTCTCCCTCGCTCCCCCAGCTAATATATTGGGGGCTTCTAGAGAAACCACTTCGATCGGCTCCTCGATTTATCGAGGTCTGATGGAAAATGGCCGACGGTAGGTGCTCTGAGGACTATGGCGACCCGGATGGACCGGGACCAGCTAGCTAAGTTTCCTTGCCCAGCTATCAAACTCTCCGCAACAAGGATTACCTGTAAGTGAAGCGATCGAAATCGCCAGACGACCAGCAGATAAGTGTTCGGAGAATTGACAGAACCCACTGGCAAAAGCATTCCGGCGGATGAAAGACAATGGGAAGCATACGAGGCCGGGTAGGCTCTGGACCAACTCCCCCTTCTCCAAATGAGCTCTCCTCTCTAATAAGCCATTCTCCAGACACCTGGTTTCTTTGATCATGGAGTCCGACACCGACAATCCTTTTTTTCGGGCGCCTCTGGGCCCTTCGCCCACACATATCCTTGATATCGGGACGGGACGGGGAACCTGGGCGATGTACGTGTCCCGCTCTTCGTACCTGGACATCCAGTCACCCCAACGCTACAGATGCTAACCGAACCCAGTGATGTCGCCGATCTATATCCCAACAGTATGATCTCTCCCGAGCGAGCGCACATTTCTTTTTTTTTCCCTGGGCCTTTGAGCTAATTTGCGATAGCGACCGTCCGCGGTGTTGATCTCTTCCCGCCGCCAGTCGCCTGGATGCCCCCCAATTGCGTCCTGGAAGTCGACGATGTCCAGCAGGATTGGACATGGCACGAGCAGTTTGATTTGATCCACATGCGCATCATGATCGGTTCCTTCGATGACCCCGAGTGGGACATCCTCTATAAGCAATGCTATGAGTAAATTCCTCCCAGAACCCCAAGTCCCAAAGCCCCCTTCCCCTTCCACCGACCAGTCCTCACCTCCCTCTTTCCACTGGGTTAATTCTGATAAACCAAACAGTAAAATCCGCCCCGGAGGCTGGATCGAACAGCTGGAAGTCAGCCCCGTCATCGAGACCGACGACGGCAGCTTGCCGCCCGACAATATCCTGAACGACTGGGGTCCCAACATGCTGGCCTGCGGGCAACGGGCCGGCCGTGGTATCGATACCTTCGACAAGATGGGCGCCAGGATCCGGAAGGCCGGCTTCGTTAATCTCCACCAGAAAGATTACAAATGGCCCATTGGGCCCTGGCCTAAGGACCGCCAGTTGAAGGAAGCTGGTATGGTCAACTACCAGCACTGGACGTCTGGCATGGAAGGCTGGTGCATGTGGCTGCTCACCCGACACGGCGCACCGCACCCATGGAGCCAGGAGGAGGTCCAAGTATACGTGGCTCGTCTGCGAGCCGAGCTAATTAAGCCACGCTTCCACATCTGGCACAAGGGGTAAGTGGCTACACCCTCTCCTCATTCAAATTTGATTAATTTCATTTCGACCCCTCTTCTCTCTTTTTGACTAACTCGGATTTGAAGGCGGCGCGTGTGGGCCCAGAAGCCCTTCAGTGAGACCCCTGAGAGAAAATGAACCAGCCTCCCGATTGGTTAATTGATTATATCATGAAATCTTTTTCTGGGTGCAATTCTGATTGTTGATGGCGACATCGTGGCGTGAATCATAGGAGTCGTGCATAAGGGAGGGTATGAAAGAGATGAGAGGCGAGGTGATGGAAAACGAGGTGTTTACGAGGAAGAGGAAATGCCATTCCCTAGCGAATCTTTCTGTCGTTTTGTGTGTGTGTCTTCTTTTTGATGTTGTATGGCCTTTGATCATTTCCGCTATTCACTCTAGGCGACCTTTGGGCCTTGTAACTGGCCACCTTTCACTGCATCAATACTATGGACTCTAATTATCCATCTGTAAAAAACGAAAGAAAAAGAACCCTTTCAAGTATCGTACCACCACCTCGATCAGGCCACACTACCGCTAGAGAGACTAGAGCTAGTTAGAGGTGCGCTCCACAGTGGGAACTCTACATTAAGTTAGGTAGATAGTTGGTAAGTCATTTATCCCAGTGTGTTCGGTTTAGTGTGCCGAAGGGCAGTTGTAGACGTATGATCAAGAATGCAGAGGAAGCGAGTGCCTTGATCTCATGAACAGCACCCGAGCAGCCGACGCAAGAGGAAGAGGAAGATTACGACGACAACAAGGATAAAAAAAGACGATGCCGGTACTATATCGCTTGGCAAGGCAGGGGTGCTGATTGTCCCAACCCCTAGTCTTCCGGATGTAACGATAACTCGGAACACGGGACTCGTCCAGGCCAAGCACCGTTGATCGACATAGAATGACTGAGGGGCAAAGAAGGCATATGAGCTGCAATATATTCAGGATTATTCCAGAGAAATCCAGAGTGTAACGCGCTCGTGAGGCTTAATGGGCAACAAGGGATTTTTCGAGGAAGTGCTGCACTTAAAGATCCGTTGTGTGCCTCGATTAAGTTCTTATTTCCTAGTAGGTTGTCCACACATATCACACATAGAGCAGCCCCCGAACTTTAAGTAGATAATCTTCTTCCGAGGATATGGTGACCTTTCCCCACCATTCCCCAGGTCTTGGCGGATACCAACTACCTGGCAGACCTTGATTTCGTCTTTAACTCCTAGACTTCCGGTCTGGACAAAGGCTAAATCTCGCTATGTATATTCTATTAAGTTGCAGTACCAAAAATAGTCAATATTGTGCATATTGACTACGCCTCAAATTTTCACAGTTTTCGCTTCTTGCTTGATCTATGATAACGTATGGATGGTAGAGACTAGAATGGAGGCATGTACTTTTCAAATGATTGAACTGAGGGGACGAGTGTCCTGCTCAACAACTATTCAAGGACGGCGCTCGAAAGAACTTCTAGCTCAATTGGAAAGTCACATTCTCCGTTTTTCGAGTACAACATTTCGTCTCGGGTTCTCTGAATGTGTTTCATCCCTAAGCAATAATCAATGGATCCATTTAAGCGGTTCGGCTCGCACTTATACAGGAGAGAATAATCGAGAGATTCTCGGTGCCCTGAGCAAGCTGATCCGGTCATCTCAATATAATGTCCTTTACCAAGAGAGACCCCTATACAGAGTCAAACAGGGGATAGACCACGGTCATTGAACGCAGTACAGAATTGATTGTCACGAAACTCATTTTCATCCAGATCGGTGCACTCCTAGTAGCCAGGGTGATGAAGAAGGTTCTGTTTTAGAGGTACGTAAAAGTCCCCATCATGGCGTCCCTCTGCGGGGCCGTAGAAAAGAACCCACGAGATACTGCTGGAATGATGAAAGTGCTCCAAGATCACTTTTCCCCCAAAGTTCGGAGATCAAGTTCAATATGGGAGAATCATCGCCGAAGGAACTTCTACTGTTGAATAAGAGACCGGGATATCGTGAAACGGTCGAGGGACTCCCTGTTAAGCCTTGAAGTGGCATTGCTTGAGTTAGAGGGCCATTCAATAGGAGCATGATACATAGGTTGACATACTACACCACCCCTAATCTTAGGCTGTCTGAACTGCATAGGTGTGGTGTATAACCAAGGATTGCGAGTTCTGAAGTTTCAGCTGTAGCATACAAGTATATAGTCACCAAGGTAACAGAGCCAAATGAACCAGAAACCAAACTTTCCAGCCACAAGACGAGAAATGACCCAAAACCAACTTTTCGCCGGACAGTATAAGTACACATGACGAGGGGATAAAAACACCGTTGAATTGCATCTAATACATCAGAAAGGAAGAGAGAAAGAAATCGAACCCGATTCAAACCAGAACACGCCCTATTTGCTCCCAGTTCCGTGATCTTTCTCGGCTTATCATGGTGAAACAATAATTGCTTTCAATCCAGTCCAGTCGTTGGCAAGGTGACTGGATGCCACAAGAGAATGGACGATCAAGAGGAAATGAGAAAAAAAAAGTGCAGATGGTATGCTCCGTAGCCAGACTGTATTGCAAGGGAAAAAAGCAAGCAAGAAGTAAGGTGCTTTACTCTTGTCGACTGCGTTTGGCTCCATGGGGGTTCCAGGAGCCATCGCCTCCGCCGCCTTGGTTGGCATTGAAGAAGTTCTGGTTGAAACCAGGGTTGGGTCCTTGGAATCCTTGACCTGGACAAAATTAATACATATTCATAGTTGGATGCAAACAGAAGAACAGCAAGAAAGATCAAAAGACATCAATCCTCACCTTGCATACCCATGTTACCGCCCATCCCACCCATCATGGGGTTCATACCACCGGCCATAGGATTCATGCCCATGCCCCCCATCGGATTCATACCAGGCATTCCCATCATGTTAGATCCACCCATATTTCCGCCACCACGGCCACCGCGCATGCCACCGGGACCGCCGCGCATGCCGCCCATCATGCCTCCACGGTTATTGAAGCCGTAGTTCTGCATGCCGCCCATGGGACCTCCCTGGAAGCCACCCATCATAGCACCACCTGGAGCGGCACCACCCTGGAAACCGCCCATATTATTGAAATTATTCCGGTTGTTGAAGTTGCCCATGTTGCCGCCCATCCCACGGTTGTTGAAGCCACCGCGGCCACCACGGAATCCACCGGTCATGTTCATACCACCACCGCCGCCGCCACTGCCTCCTCCAAAATTCATGTTCTGGTTCCCACTGGAGTTGAAGCCACTGGTCCGGTTGGCATCCTTGCGCATTGGGGCATCCTTAGGGAGAGTTCGGAAAGGGTTGGTGTGAGGGTTTGTGTAGTTAACCATATGCTTGCGTCCAGTGGTACCAGCGGCGCCACTGTTCTCGATTTCGCGCTTGGCGGCTGTTGCGGCTTGGGGAGTAGTGAATTCCACAAATACTTGACTGTCATGGGCAGATGGAAGAAATCACTGTTAGCCGAATTTTCGAGAAAACACAACAGAGTCGACCATGTAGCCTTGACAGCACCTACCCTTTGCTCTTGCCGTTCACCTTGTGTTCACTGAAAGTCACGTCTTTAAGTTCATCCTCGCACTGGGCCTGGTTCACCCAGCCGCGAATATCATCATCTGTCGTCCACCAGAAAAGGTCGGAAATGAGAAGGGCCGTGGTCGCGTCCGGGTCGGATTGCCGGTCATCATATTCCTTGCGCTTGACCCCATGGATAGGCGCTGGGGCATCCGGAGCTGATGTCTGCGGTTGTTGTTGCGGCGGCATGGGGTGGTCGCCATTTGCAGAGGGTGCGGGTTCACTCTGGGGTTTAGGGTCTGATGGGGGCTGGTTGGCTGTCGCCTGAGGGGCAGGCTCAGGGGTGTCTAGTACCAGCTCTCCATCATCCTGCTTGTAGTCACCCTGATCATTGGCATTGTAGCCACCACCGTCTCCGTAGATGTCAATATCGAAGTTATCATCTTCTGTCGCCATTGTGCAATTAGAAAAAGTCCAGTGGGACCACGGGCTTCAGAGGCAAGAATTCGATTGTGGTTAATGTGAGGTTGGATAATACACAGGCCCTTGTCCTTTGCCTTTCTGCTTGGTTTTGGGGGGAGGTTCAAGGAGAGTACATGTCTGTAGACACAGGCCGTCGATTAGCATGGAGAATGAACTTTCTAGCCTTCAAATCTCAAGTTGAAAATAACAAAGGGACTGCAAGACAGTGGCTGGAGGCCGGGCGGCGACCAGATGTTCCAGAATTGAAGCAGAGGGTGCGGATGAAAGGTAAGGAGAACACTGCAAACCCCGAGACCAGAAGAAAGAGAGAGACATGACCATACGTACAATCTGAAGCGAACAAGTTGTGCTCCCCAATTGAACAAGACCTGCGCCAGCTGATGAGGCGCGTACAGGGTGCCCTTTTGAGCTTAGAAGCGGAATACAGGAAAAGAGAGAATCGTGTCTGCCACAGACAGGCAACACCGTTGGCAGCACAGGAAACAGGGGGCTGCACTGTATATAACAAAGGAGAAAAGGGAAACGGGTCAATTCCTCCTACTTCGAGGTTAACAGAGAAGACCGGCGGGTCTTTATGTAGTGTATTAGCGCTGGGCGTGATGATGAAGGGGAGAAGACAAGGCGCGACGAGCTCCTAAGCTCCGCCCGGCAGAATAGTTCTTCCGGTCCTCCGCCGAAGACCCCAGAAAGGACATTTGGCCACGCTTCCGCTCTTGTGCCTCCCCCCCCAATTCATTCCCCAGACTCGCTCCTTTTCCATCAACCTCAATCCCCTCTCAGCCACCATGTCGGAGACTTTCCAAGAGCTTGCTGATATCCCCAAGGACTTTGTCCGCGAGGGAACCCTGTTCATTCGCCGCTGCACCAAACGTAATGTCGATCTCTCCCGGTCACCGTCGAAAACATACTGACTCTGTTACAGCTGATAAGCGCGAGTTTATCAAGATCAGCCAGGCCGTTGGCATGGGCTTCCTGGTTATGGTATGTCATCATTGCCCCTTTTTGATCTCCGGCTATCTGAGAGGTTATATGGTTGAGATCTAACTGACACGGAAATACAGGGTGCCATTGGATATTTCGTCAAGCTGAGTAAGTATCCTGTCAAGGAAGTGGGCACTGTGTTGCTGGAACATACTGCCCCAGAACACTTCACTAACCGCGCTCTATTCTCCAGTCCACATTCCGGTCAACCAGGTCCTGGTCGGTGGCGCATAAACGCGAGGACTCCATGCAGTCCGGCGAATTGAGGGTCAAATGAATAGGCAGACTTGGGGTTGGGAGAACAGATGGTCACGCTGAGATTGGAGACCGGGCCGTGCTTGAGTCGATTCGAAGCCCAGTGAACAACTCTATTTACCCTTGCTTGCGTGCGCTCTTGCATGCAAAAAGGGGAGGCGGTGATCAAGTCCCTTCGAGTGACCGCACGCAATAAGCTCCATTATGTTTTGTCTTGTCTCCGGGAGTTTATCGTTTCAAACTGGCAACTTTTTTTTATTTGGGATGCGATGAGAGGGAATGCATCGTCGCCGCCCTTGAGATACCACATACCACTTTCCTGTACCAATAAGGGTCTAGTACTTTTTCTTTGATTTAATCAACAACCCTTCATACCCATTTACCTTGCTTTTAATCCCAAATTGAAAACACTACAAATTGTGTCTTTCTTGCAGAGGACAGCTCTGTTTGCAACAATATAAGAATCGTATTTGTAGCGTCGTGGAATCATTATGCTTTACAACCGAGGACCAAATAGTTTATGTGCCGATATACCTGCCCGAGTGCGGAAACCACACGGACGAGTTTCTTGATCTTCAAATCCGAAACCGAAATGCGAATTTTTATGTTCACCAATCAGGGTCATCTTCTTCAGAAGCTCGAGGCACAGGCCGACTCCGGAGCGGACGTTGCGTGCGTCTGCGCATGCGGGTAGCCGGAGGATTATCTTGGTACTCGTTGAACTCTGGCAATGACCGTAGCTTGTGATCGTAGCTTCTACCAATTGGTGGGTCGCCTTCGTCTGTAGCAGCTCCGTCATTCCATGAGTGCACGGTGCAAGTCCCGTTGGACAAGCCCCATCCATTCCAGGAGGTTGCTGTTGCGAGCAATATATTAGCTTTGACCTGCGCAGATATAATTGAATCTGAACGGGGTAAAACACAGTACCTGCTAACACCGGGACATTCGGGTGCCAGCTTGCATCCCGAACACAAGTTCTCCACATCATATCTCCACCCATCTCCCATGTATTTGGGACGGAATCTGGTCCGCGGGGCCGAGAATTGATGGTAGCCATGCCGACGTCGATTGTTCCGGCCATAGTGGCATCCAAATTGTAAACATATACCTTACCATCTTCACTGCCGGTATATACATAGCGTGAATTGGTACTTCCCGGGGGCGAGAAGTGGCAACGGATAAGGGTCTTGAGGACACTGTGGCCGCGGAAGGTGACCACCGAGCAATCAGCCGGATGTGGTTCACGGTATTCTTCAGGGTATTCTTCAAAGCGGTAATCAAAGTCCGTCGCATACATATTGAAATCGATAGTGTCAGCTTTGCTTGCAGTCATCATTTTTCGAAGGTCCCAAAGTTTCATGGTCTGATCTTTGCTGTTTGAAAGAACGTATCTGCCATCACCTTTGCTGTCGACGTAGGTCAAACCCTCTGTGTGCCCGGTGAATACGCCAGCCTCGCGCCCATCACCCATGGATCGCCTGTCCCAGACTCGCAATGTTGTGTCATCGGATCCAGAATAGAGGATATGGGGAGACGATGTGTCACCAAAACAAACCGCATTGACATGATGTTGGTGACGGTCTCGCAGGCTCAGTACGGGCTGCCTAGTTTCCAGATCTAACACAATGACGGAATCCTCTGACGTGCCAGCGACAACTTCCCGCCCATCTCCAGAGAAGCGAAGTGACCATATCTTTGAACCCCGAGATTAGCAATGTTCTATATACCTCTTCGGTAGAGATCTTTGTAAATAACTTACTCCAAATCTAGATCGTGAAGTATTCCAACTCTGTCTTCGGGATTGGCCTGGTAAAAGAGAAAAGTCCAGTTCGCTGGGGTCTGACCCATCTTCCGGGTCTGTCGAAGCCAGATATGCTGCGCTGCGAATTGAACTATAAACAAGAAAACGATTGTCGGGACTCAGAGAGGCATCGGTAATTGTCCATTGACCGAACGGATACTCGACCGTCTTGTAGTATTGCCAATTGTACGGGTTAGACGTGTCATACATTCGAACCTTGAAGTCTTGCCCGCAACAGAAAAAGAAGTTCCCATCGTCTGAGAACTGGCCAGAGTAACTTCGTGCATCATAATGGATAATCTTATCTGCTGGTGAACCCGGTATCATTTTCTAAATTCATAAGCCATAATCATTAGCCTGGGTTCTTTGTCAATAGTAACAGCAACAGTAAGCGACGGATGAACTGGAATCAGTTCTTACCTGAAAGACAGACTGGTTGACTCTCCGCCGTACTCCATACGGGCCAATCCCGAGCTCGCGCCACATCAATTTGGTCGCGAAGGCTTGTTTGCGCTTCTTGATTCGATCGACATAGTATTGATTAGTCCCAAAGATACCGGAGCCCATCAAGTCGGTGCCAGCGCTGCTAGGGACTTCAGGCCATTTATAGCTTCCTCTATGCCGTCTTCCTCGAGGTCGACCTCCAGTATGGAGCGAATCATCTTCATCGTCTATTTCCTCTTCTCCCTCTAGAAGAGGTGGCCATCCATTGGCCCGAAGGGTATCACGCAAACCACTCAATGTCAAGAAATGGAATAGTCGAGCTCCTGAGACTGGATAGGTCAATTAGTAGCCGTTGAAATTGGAAAATGCGAGTAGAAGGACCACTAGACATACTGCGCATATAGTCGGAATCTCCATCCCCCGCGTCTCCATCATTTGAATCATCCGTTGTAATCTCGATTTGTATATTGCCAAGATTGATACGCGAAGACTCCCTTTCTAGCAGCGCATCTCGAATATCAGATGCATATGTACCATCGTTACCATCCGGATTTTCGATGCTTGGTTCCTCGTCTTCCTCGTCCATTTCATCCTCCCATTCGTCATCGTGGTCTGATGTTGATGGCGACGGCTGGTAGTCCTGGTCCGTCATCATTTCAACCTCTTCTAACCACTCTTGTGCTGGATGCCAGATTGTCTGATCTTCTGCTGATCCTCCTGCTTCATTTGGCGGCGATCGCGGAGAAGCCATGATGGAGCGGAGTGAAGTGGAGGTAATGAATGTGGTAGATGGGGAACGGCTTATCGATAGGACATCAAGACACCGCTGCTTCCCGGAGGTTTATGTCATCCCCCGCGCCAGCTGGGTCGAGTTCCAAGTTAACTCCTTTAATTCCGAGGTGGGGAACGTTCTATAGTGGATCATCCTACAAAGTGAAGTCTACATTTCGTGGTTGCAAATTTTGTATTTAATATAGGTAACATACTCATTTCAGTCCCGACCGATCCACCTCCATTGTCATTTATTCTGGCTTGGAGATCTCCACTTTACCGTGACCCGACACTCGCTATTTTTGACGAAAAAGCCCTCCCGCACTTGCGTGTCCTGGAGGTGCGCTCTTTCAATTCTATATACCTTGAAGATAGTGGCAAGTGTCTTGAGCATCTCCATCCAGGCAAAACTTTCAGTTGTCAGCTTTGGTCAACTGAATTTCTATCCCATGAAAGGGCAGCAACTCACTTTCGCCCGATGCACGCGCGTGGGCCTAGGGAAAATGGATAGAAGGAGTCAAGCAGCTCCGGAGAACTGTCGTTGAGCCATCGTGAAATGTCAAATTGACCTGGGTCCTGTTCGAAGAGTATCAGTATCCAATTGCCCTTAATACGTCGAGATACTTACTGCGAATACCCCGGGGTCATGATGAATGTTCAAAGTTGGCACACTGACCAAGGTCTACATCCGATAAGCTTATGTTACCCTGGAATGTCAACTCAAACATAGAATAGCAGGAAAATTACATCTTCGGGGATAAATTTTCCGGCAATAATCTTTCCTCCCTTGGGTGTTACTCGCTCCAACCCTGTGGAGCTAGTCGGCCTGAAGCGCATGGTTTCTCGCACAACGGCATTCAAGACAGGAAGCTGATTGATAGTTTTGTAGTCCGCAGCCCAGTCAGGGGCTACCTGGCTTGGGAATTCACGGTCCAACTCTTCCTGAAGCTTGTTTTGAATGTCGGGCAAGCGCGAAACAATATCAACCACGTTGGTCATGGTAGAGCTCGTGGTATCACTACCACCCACGATGAATGAAATGGACTCTGCGATGATTTCCTTCTCTGTTAGGGGAAGTCCACTGTCCGGGTCCACAGCCTCAAACAAGAAGCTCAAAAGATCTTTCCGGCTATTTTGCTGGTCTCGGCGTTGGCAAAAGGCAGATGTGCCAAAGGTCGCCAAATTAGATGTCGCCCTCAAGCCGTTCGGCCAAAATGGATCCATCACAAAGCACTTCATCATAGGCCTTACAAATTGTGGTAGATGACCTAGAGCATTGAGTACCTCTCCCCGCGCGTCGATGGTGGCAATCAGATTGAGATGGTCCTTCTCCCTGTCGAGAAACCCAAACGGTTTGCCAAACGCGTAGTCGCCTAGAAAATTTGTCATTGGAAAAAATAGGCTATCTTTAATGGAACGAACTAACCTATCACATCAAAGGCCAGGTAATTTACTACCACAGTGAGACACTTCTATAGTTTCTCGGGGACTAGAAACTCACAATACTCGTTGAAGTCTACTATAGTTTGTCCAGGGCCTTGGACATGTTGATTCAAAGACACCATCAACTTTCCAATTAGTTCCGACATGTGCGGTTCATAGTTACCCAAGCTCCTTGCCGAAAATGCTGGGCTGAGGTACCGCTTTTTCCGCTGATGAATCTTTGTGTCTCGAGTGTTAAACAAGACTGGCTCAACCTGGTGGAAAGGTGCACTGGAATATTAGCAGAGCACAGGAGTATGGTTGACATTATCACTTATCTTCATAGAAAGGCCCCTTCGTAAATCCAGATTTGTGTCCGTATATTGTCTCCAGCGCCTCCCGATCGGATATCGATATGTGATTGGGAGATATACGAACAAATGTCCCATATTTTCGATGCTGTTGGAGCACAGTGTCCGATAGTTTTGTCTTTCGGCATTGAAAAACGATCCAGAGAGAGGAAAACTTCGCGATCAATGGACCGGGAAATTTCGATAAAGGTCCAAAGAATACATGATAAACATAATAGCTAGAGATCTTGGTGGTTGAATAGAGAAATTGATCAATCAGAAGAATAGAACGTCGATCTGAGTGCTGCTCACCAAGACAGAAATAGCGATTAAAACAGATGCGGGCGGAACGTGGTCCCAGATGCTTGTAATGGCCGACATTTTTGCCCTGGAGTTCATCAAGCTCGACACTCACCAATTACACCATTCTGTCAGCTGCATCCGCATTTGGGCCTTATACATCCGGTCGGGGATACGTCGGAACATTATTTTGAGGGGTGACGGGCCCTTTGGGTTTTATCCCCGCACGATCTACAACACGGGCCGGGGGAGATTGAAGGTTTGCGGGGACAGACATTACCAAGAAAGAAGGGCTGCAAAGTCTCTAATTTAATAATCCAAGCTTTTTGCTATCGAAGCTATCCACGGCGTCAATGACCCCCATAGCTCTTCAAGCCATAACCCTGCACTTCTTTAGGTGTTGGTATAACTTGTGACCCACCACCAGCGCCCAGAGCATCGGGGACCATAATGGCGGATGATTAACCAGGAGAAATAACCATCGGAATCAAAGGTATTGGCAAGCAATCGAAGCTAGACAGCAATATCTTGTTCGGTGCATCCGTAAAGAGTGATATTCTAAAATAGGCATGCCATCTTTTTCGGGGACAAGTCGGGCCTGACCAACACTTATGAAGTTGGAATCACCTGAGAACGGCAATCTGACTAAAGCCCGGCGTGTTAAGTTTAGTTCTGTGATTATATACATAGCACGCTTCACAGCTATACCCTGAAAATATGGTCACGGTATTCTGGCAGCTGTTGCAATTTTGAGTGGTATTTCGAGATTAATTAGTTTCAGATGAAGATATGAGAGCTTCATGAGATTCTGATCCAATGGAGAAATCATTGGTTGTCTCTAAGCGCTGGTTCTAAGCGCCTGGCACACTACATCATGTTGGGTGCATCGGCCCCTTCAGAGGCGAATCACCTCGCCCCAGGCGTAGCGATGGATGGGTCGATCCAATAAGATTTGAATTTTCTAAGGCATAATTTGCTAGGATTCTGAAACAAGGGCAGGACGAAGACAAATGAGTCCTTCAGCCCAGCGCAAATTGTTGGCCCCCAAATGATCGCATACCGGGAATGGGCGCCTCTGATGATCGAAGATCACACTGGCAGATTCAGGGCATTTGTTTTAACACAATAAGGGCCCACCGTTGGTTGTTATAAGGAATGTCTACCGCCCAGTCTCTTCAAGGCGGGTTTGCAATTACGGGCTGCATCCTCTGTGAAACTGCTTTGCTCAAGAACACGACTTGCGGTTAGGTGTCTTTTCAACTGGGATCTGCGCAACACGACCAAGCATTATCCCCTCACGCTTGAGGCTGTCTAAGTTGGGCGTTTACATAGCTTCCGTGATCGACCTTGGCGCCTGAATGAAAGCCATTTGTGGCCTTGAATAGTCGAAAAGCCGCCTGCCATCCTTCTTTCTTGATAGACCGACGAACTCTGCTTACAGGAGCTTGCATTGCATCGACGAACGCAATGAAAGTCACTCTCTTGTCGCTCACGGTGGCCACTTTCTTTTCTATAGCCACCGCCAGTGCCATTAGCAACATCACCGCATTATTTTCCGACGGTTGCGCTGTAAGTTTCACGCTCGCTTCCACGTCATCGGACGACCACGAGACGTCGTTGTTGAAACCATCCCAAAATCGCTGGAAGCTAAGTAGATTGACCATAATAATAGGACTTTTGTGCCGCCGATCAGAATCAACCCACTGGCTGCGATGTCAATAGCGCTGAGTGTTGGTGCGACTGGTCCAGCTTCTATTATCATCCTGGCTGCTGTATCTCCCAGCTATGCTCTGAAGATATAGATGGTAAGTTGCTCACTTTCGTGAATCCATACGAGAATTCAACTGACGTATATGCATGGCCATGAATTAGATGTGGTCAGCAAGTTGCGTTCCTGGTGCTCTGCAGCGTCCGTCTCCATCTCCAGCAACCAAACGACCCCGAGTAATTGCTCCTCGTATGACTATCCTACCAGCACTCCATTGAGTTTCGACTCCGAAGACAATAGCGGAGGTCTTTCTGCGACGGCTAAAGCCGGAATTATCGTGGGTGTAGTTGGGGGTATCTCTTGCCTGGTGATAGTGTTCCTGTCGTGTCGCCGGGTTACGCATAAGGAAGAACCTATCCAGAACTTTCCACTGCAGTACATGCAACCGGGACCAAGGATTGCCTTGCCGCCCAATGTGTACATGCCTCCGGAGCGCGTGGCCACACCACCCCCGCCTTATTCTGCTGAGGCACCAGAGGTAGCGGACGACAAAGAGGCTCCACTAGGAAATGCATTCTCGACAGATTCTGCGTCGGAACCATCTTCACCAGAAACTTCTCCCAGGCGCGTCTCAAGCTAGGTTTGTGTGAGCCATCCATGACTCCCTCATTCGCCATAAAACCATGGTCTGGTAAAGCGTTGTGTTTTGCATTTAAAGGTCGTTTGGCGTCAGTGTTTTGAACTCTTAATAGAAACAAGAACATGGCTTTTTTTCCCTTTTCTTTTCAATTTCTTTCTTCTGCCTTTTCCAGCAACTAGTGGGATAGTTCGAGAGAAAGTTGTATAAAGAGAAAGATGAAGCGCGAGAGCGCCGATGCCGATAAGCTCGAGGCGGAACAACCATTTTCCTGCGTCGTCACTGATAGACGATCCGACTGGATCCCCCGCTCCCTCCACTTCTTCGACACGCGGTGCGGACATACGGAATCGCTGAGCCGGATTGTTCTTGTTAGCTCCCTCATCTTTGCTCTCCCATAAAGCTTCGCTCACCCGACATCTTTGCCCTCCTTGCGACCTGGGAATATCCCCGACCCCGCTCACCATGGAACCCGTCCCCGAGTCACGTATGCAATCCTTCGAGGAGATCTATGGGCCACCGGAGAATTTCCTCGAGATCGAAGTAAGTTGAGCGCTTCACTTAAACCCACTGCCTTTGTATCTTCCAAGCCCGGCTCGCCCTTGTCCATGTCGTCTGCGCGAGCTTCAATGTCTCCGCACAGACCGGATTTCATACAACCAACCCCTAATGCACACGCGACCTGCAAATCAAAGCTCAAATCCAGAGACCTGACTTCTCAACAACTAGGTGGGAAACCCTCAAACACATGGAACCTCCCGAAACATGTATACCTCGTATGAGATCACCTGCAAAACCAACATTCCCGCATTCAAGTTGAAAAGCTCCATTGTGCGCCGTCGCTACTCCGACTTTGAATATTTCCGTGATATTCTCGAGCGCGAGAGTACCAGGGTGACCATTCCCCCGCTGCCGGGGAAGGTGTTCACCAACCGATTCAGCGACGACGTCATCGAGCACCGTCGCGAGGGGCTCCAGCGATTCCTGGAAATTGTTGCAGGGCATCCGCTGCTGCAGACCGGAAGTAAAGTGCTGGCTAGTTTCATACAGGGTATGTCCCCGACTGTCGTCGCCTTTTGAATCCTAAAATACCCAGTGCAACAGTCTGTGGACTTGGCTGATTCGTAAACAGACCCGAACTGGGACCGCAATGCGTGGTAGAGTGCAGTGCACTGCGCCTTCCTTCATTTTTCGTCCCTAACTTCCTCTTTTTTTTTGCGGTTGCAAATCCACTCGGCAACTTGAGCGTGGTGAATTCTATTTCTTTACGTCCATGGAGTCTTCTGCAATTCCTGATGATGTGAGTGCAAAGACAGAGTCTCTCTGCAAAAGGAGCAGACAACTGTACGCTACATAGTCCTCTTGTCATGGTCTTCTTAGTTTGATATCCGATTTCGTCCCGCATCTTTTTGTCTTTTCTCTCTTGGTTGACTTCATGTGCCTGATTGACTTCTAATTTCCCATTCTTACCTTTCTGTCTTGCATCGTGGGAGCAACTTTCCGCTTACAGATTTGGCGTGAGACAGCTCTGTGGCATCTGGAATGACATAGCCTCGATTGAAATTAAATAATCTCGAAAAGTTTGCGGTGTAAATGCGTGTAGATTGCCAACGTATACTGCGGGATATCAAGTGACAAAAAAGAGATCCAACACCCGAAATGCAATCTTGAAATCACAAAGGCCGAAATAAAGTAAACATGAGAAAAAGGAGAAGTTTTTAATAGGGCATGCTTCGCTCGGAAAGCATAACTTTTGGCCACTATCCACATGCTGCTCAGTTAGCCCAAATCATCCCAAATCATAGGCGCGAGAGTATTATCTTCCCAAGGCGAAGACGCCCCTCCCGTAGAACTTTCGTCCATAGGGAATGAAAGCATGCCGGGGACTGTGTTAGCTGCAGAGAGCTCCGACAAGCTCTGTGGTGGAGGCAAAAATGCGGAATCTATGGATCCTGGATTGGAGTTCGAGGCCGTAGATGCATGTCGACTATGCATGTTGGGGCGGCGATGACCCGCTGCACAGGGTTTTGTCGGAGTTGAATCATTGCTGGGTGGGTGATCCCGGGGTCTTGATTCTGACACGCTTGCTGCTAGACTTTGGGTATTGTTTTGAGTATGAATGGCCTTTCCACTAACGGAGCCTCCTTCTCGATAAGCGTGCGGGAATTTCGTGCGAAATCGGTCGCGAAGGTCAGTTGCTCGGCGGTGACCGAGATTGAGTCTCTTATCCTGTTGAATCAAGGTCCACTGGAAGCCGTGGACGGCGTAGCCTTTTAGGAGAGCCTCATCTTCTGCGCTGGTGAACGGGCATCGTGACCGTCGTTTTGACTTCATAGTCATGTGTGGCTCTGGGATTCCGAGTGATGCCAATGTTGTGTGTGACTTATTGGATAGTGAAGATGGGGCTTTGCCCGAGGGGAACGTCCGTTGGGGAGTCTTCCCATTGTCCGTCTCTGGGGCTACAGATGACACGCTCGAGTCAGATGGCCTGTGTGAGCTGTTGGAGGGGCTCCCAGAGCCAGAGTTAGGCTCTGAACTGGCATTCATGAGACTTGGTTGAGGGAGGTGGATTTTGCCAGGGTTCCCATCAGAGTCCTGGGTTTGGGATTTCAAGAGCGCACTGGCAAGATTATCCCGTAGCCGTTTTCTGGCCTCGTTTGGATCAGATGCACTTGTTGATAGTTAATAAAACTTTGCCATGGTAATCTTCTTGTTGGATGTGCTTACCGATATGCCCAGGGACAACAGACTCGGAATCTAGAGAGTAGATGTTAACCATCTAAGAAAAGCCAAGACATGAGACCATCCATACCTGTCTTTCAAATTCGAGGCTGTTCTTTTATTGAATTGAAGTTCCGGCTGTGCAAGGATAGTCGTCCAATTGCCAATGCCGCATTTGACCACACCCCGAAGCAAGTCCGTAGTCTCCTGTTCGGTCCACCTCCGGAGATTCTTCCGAGAGCGACCTCGAGTTTTAGGAGGCAAAGGCTCATCAATAGCCAGTGCAGGGGTCGCCATAGTACTCTGTTCTTGAAGAGCCTCTCGTTTGTCCACAGTCATCTGAGGCACCTTCTCTGGATCATGCAAAATAATTCGTTGCACATCATCGTTCTCATGGTCGTTATCGTCGTCATCATCTTCGTCAAGTGTAGTATCAAGAAGCTCCTCAATTCTTGCCTCTTTCCTCTCTACGATCTGGCCTTCAGCGAGTGTACCACCTGTAGAGACCAAGCTTCCAAGGTCCACGACTGTCGCATCATTTCGAGTTGGTTTCGTCAGAAGTTGCGTGATAGAGGAACCTGCTTCTATTGGGGGAAGAATGGCCGCATTTGGCGGCGGCTCATTCAATCCATTCAAAATTGCGAAGGGCCCAAATGGTGGGGGACGCTGTTCTTTTTGCGCCTGTGGAATTGGCAGTTGCAAGTGTTCGCTGAAAGACTCGGCCTGAAAGTCTACCCGCCGGCGCTTGCGTTGTCCATGGAGGGCATCGTCATCGAAAGAAGACGAAAATGGAAAGCGTTCTATAGCACGGAGGTTTACAAAAGCTGGAAGAATTGGTTTTGGTGGTGGTTCCACATTTGACTGGGAGTCTGTTGCGGGAGGTTCGGTCTTCTTAATTCGTGCGGCATTGAGAAACTCCTTCACAGTGGGAAGACCCGCTTTGGGGTTGGGAGAGATGTTTGCATTAGAATTCGTAGATTTGGAGATGGCCTGTGAATCCCTGGTACCACTAGCGTTTGGTTCTAGTGGTGAAGGTACACTGAGTGTCCGAGAAGAAACCGGTTCCCTTAGGGGAGCGATACGAAGAGACAGCTGAGGAAGCTCGCGGAGTAAGGACTCGTCGAGGGGCCGTAAAGCCCCAGATGAGTCCATCGCAGATCATTGACCAGGGACCACTAGCAGATTGCGAGTATATTGGCTTGTAGCATTTCCACTGAGCCAGCCATGATGTGTGTTTCACGCGATCGTTTGCTGGATATTTAAGGGAACGGACGTTGAAGCTCTTGATCTGATGCGATGTTTCCGTATGGGCACCGATAGGCACCACTGGTGCAGTTTGGGGTCGAAGTCAACCAGCAAAGGTTGTTCCCACGGGTCCTTTTTAGCAATTCTCACTTGAAGCAATCCCCGCAGTTTCAAATATCCCAAACATACAGCTCTCTGGTTTATCTCCACAATATCTGTTGCAAACCAACCCGATCGTGCGTTGTCCCACACTCCTCTCCCGCCGCAGATTTCTTAGGGGAAGCTAGAGATCCCCGAGGTACTCCCTATCTGCTACGAACAAACTGCAAACTCCGAACGGGCTGATAGCAGAACAAAAATAACCAATAACCATTTGCAGTCTCAATCCAAAATGCCCACCATTCTCCCAACTTGGCCACATATCCTGTTTGGAATTGTTGAGCCGATTTCACTGTAATTATTGCCTTTTCCCTGCGCATGCGCTCCGCATGGTACATCCCGCGGAGAAGCAGCCTCTGACTCTGCCTATCACAGGGTCCTCGGAAGCCTGGGCCCGATTTATGACCTGGATGGCTTCATCTCGGGCCAGGCACCTCATGTCGACGCGCCTGCACCCCATCCGAGCAGTGTCGCGCTGGCCTACCAACTAGGTAATCTGTATTATCTGCTGTTCCTCGTCGGGGCGGCTGTGTTACATACGAGCACTGAGCCCAAGGTGCTGCGTAACTACCTGATCGCGCTGGCCATTGCCGATGTTGGCCATGTCTACGCCACCTACCTGGGTTTAGGCTGGGATGCGTTCGTGGACGTGGGCGCATGGAATGCGCTGACGTGGGGGAACATCGGCGCAACCGGGTTCCTGTTTATTAATCGGATCGCTTACTTCCTGGGTGTCTTTGGGGTTGCGAAGGCACCCAAGGTATCCGGGAAGCAAGAGTAGATGTAGGGTTCAGCCGCGGCTTGTTTTTGGTGGAGGAGAAACAGGCTAAAAAATTAGGCATCATGTCGTGTTATCATAGTATGCATCATGACCCATGGTACATTGTACTTTAGTAAGATAGGGAGGAATATGAATGACTAGGAAATAGAGAAGAATTCTTCAGAATGGCATGGACTGGCGCTTCGGGCGCGATGGATCAGATGTCATTTGCAGGGTTTCTGGTGGCACGGGAAGAGGCCGTTGCCATTCACCCAACCACTGCTCGGCCAAAGAGGGGATATTGGCCGTTCTTGCAAAATGTAGAAGAAATGGACTCAATCTAAACGGCTCCTAGGTCTTGGAATCGGTGCTTATCGACTCCTCGTATGAGGTATATGGGATGGTGATCAAAGTGAAATCATAATAATAACTGATCCTATGGAAAGACAGACCAACGCCAGACGCCCAGCGCTGCAGATGCTTGCATGGGTATAGCGTGGAGTTCACATTCCCCCAAAATGAAACAATCTAATAAGCAATACATCTTATCTGTCGGTCATGCAGCCCTTTCCGGTCATTGGTTACAATAAGGGGGGCCGAGGACAAAGACAAACAAAAACTTTGAAACAGTCCAAAAGTCCCATGTCTGCGCGCGGCGAGCATGATCACCTGCAGCCACTTTCAGCCACAAAGACTGGCCGCATCTTTTTGTTACCGAAATCAGCAAGGAGTATAATTCGACAGTCGACCTGGTGATCATTTTTCGGTCGAAGAGATTTGCAAATATTGGAGCAGTGGCTGGATGGCGATCTCCCCGCGCTGCTGGAACTCCCGAAGGTGTGGGATGAGAAACGGAATCCCCGGTTTTAGGTTATAGTGTTGCCGATAATTGGTATAATTTTGAGCAGGCTCGGTGATAGCGATGAGTTCTGGGGGGAGCATGGGATCTAACACCACCATGCCACCAATTGTGCTGTTCAGGCCTCGAGATCGGGCGGTGGAAATGTTGTACCGATGAAGGCCATCTAATAGGGCCGTAAGAGAATGGTAGTTGTGGGAACTGAGAAGTCTCTGCAATGTTTTTGATCAGAAATGGGCTTGATGAAAGTAGCCAAATCGCTAGCGGGGAGCCTTTTGTCTCGTCTCACCTGGGCACAGTCTCGTAGATAAGGCACAGTATCAGGGAGAGCAGAACAGCACTCCCATACTGAGATGCGGAGCGTATGCCAGTTCTCCAAAATGCCTCTTACATGTGCGTCGTTGGTAGCGATACTCTGTCGGGATAACCGGGAATAATCGATTTCATCCGCACCCGTTAGGGTACTAGCCAGATCCATAGGTGATGTCGAGTTGAGGTAGTCCTCCAGAAATAGAATTGTGGTATCAAAAGATTTGGTCCACTCCATCTTGGGCGTATGGATATACTGCTGCCGGAATCTAATTGCCAACACGCTGAAGATTTTAAGAATAGACTTCAAGCTCGGAGGCTGGTCTTTGAACAGACGCTGAATAGGGCCTGCGATAAATTCGAAGCCTGGGGATGTGGGTCGAGGCATATGCTGCGTGGCATCTGGCTGCACAGTGCGGATACTATGAACCAGAGCCTTATGTGCGAAGGGACTTTTGTTTCTCAGGTGCTTGTTTGGGGAAAATATTCTAGTCAGCGATGTGATCTTGTCCGAAACACTATAGGCAAGAGAGAACTCACTTTCTCCACTTCTATATAGAGAGGGATCTCCTCGGGATAAATTTGAAGGTGATCAAGAAGATGAATGTAAAGCGACGTATGCTGTAGCAGAAACCACTCGATTGAGGGTGCATGGTATCCCAATGAGGCACGCACAATTTCCTCGAACACAATCCTACCGAACTGAAAATGACTTGCAGCTTCAATAGCCCCCGCAATTGCTCGAGCATCGAGTGAGTGGCCTGGAGGTGGAGGACACCAGGTCCAAGGCACAGTTGAGGGCGGCTGAATACGCGATCGCCGCAGAATTTCCTCGACTCTTTGAAGATGTGAAAGGGCTCCAAGAAACTGATGCTCTCGAGGATCGGACAGTGCGATCAGAAAGGTGTCGATAGCGTCTGCATTTCGACTCAATAGGGAATTACGTGGAGAATTTTCATCCCGAAAGAGCGCAAAGCGGATCACTTGACGTATTTCTGGGATGTTGAAAGCCCACAGAACTGTGGTGGCTTCATCTTCCCACCAGCGATACTGGATCGCAAAGCGAGGAACTTCTGCCCCAATCTGGAAAAGCGACGGGTATGATTGTGTCGAGTCTACAGCCACCGTTTGGCTGGTTAGGGTTTGCGACATTCCGAGAATTGTTGCGTTGCGTTGATATTTGGGTCTCTTGCGGGGAGGAGTGGGCATGTATCTCCCTTTTGAAGGCAGGTTTAACTATATGGTAGCTCACCAGTCGATCACATTAGCGTGTTTACCACACCACCAAGCTGGGTCTATTAAGACCAGCACATTGGGCAACCGATTGGTCTGAACCGCATACGACAGGATGCTTGACCGGAGATGAAGAGTAAAAGAATGAGGTTTGTTCAGGGACAAAGAACTCGAGGTAGTAGAAAGGTTAACGTAGAGAGATTAAAGTAGAGGGGGACTAATGATCAGACCGAGAGGATGGAGGGGGGGGGCAAGCCTTCTAGAGATGTGGAGGGTAAAAGAGATTGAAGGAATTAAATCTCTATATATGGAGATATACGGAGAGTTAGTTTGCACTAGAACTATCGGGTCTCTCGGAAAGGGCGAGAGTGATTGGTTTTAAAGGAACCAGTCGATCTCTATGTCTTTTATCCCTGCTCAGTGCTCAGTCGTCCGCCACGTTCGACACATCACGAGGGGATATACTGGGGACACCAGCAAAACAGGATGACTGGACACATTGAAAACGGGGACGCGCCAATCCTAGTTCCAGCCTGCTGGGAATCCCAATGGGCAGGGAGACTTTGGGAAAAGGGGGCAATGATTGACCATCGCAAAACACGTATGCTTCCTTAAACCGGCCCCAGATCAGCCGGGAGGTGGGTGGGGGGAGGGAAGATGCGTGTCTCCACCGCAAAGAATGGGTCCCCTGGCCGTGTTTCTTTTGCCCTGACTCGCCCTGACTCGCCTCGTTCCTTACCGAATCGAATTCCCGTCTTCTATGCCGAGCACTTGTTTGGGCTATAAAGCAGTCGAATTGACAATAAGGCAACTTGACGTTGTTTTCCCCTTCTACCTGTTCGTTTCCTTCGAATCGTCCCTGGTCGACGGACAAATCGGTTGAGGAGCGGTCAAACAGCGGAGGTGGTTTGGACTAAAAAGAATATGCTTTTTTTTCTAGGTGGCAGCAGTAGCTGTACTAAAATTACAGGCACCCGGAAAATGCTAATTGAAAAAAAATCAAATAAAATAAAAAATAATGATCTCGGCATCGGGCATGATTACAGCATCAGAGTGCAGTGAACGTCGGTCAGAAATCAAGAATCTCTACCTCCCCCTTGTATGAACGAGGTGGCTTAAGGCATGTTACTGTGGTATTTGTATTTTGATTTTTCACGCTTCTTTGGTTTTACTTTGATTTGATTTGATTTGATTTTTGGATTCTTTTTGCGATTTGTATTTGGGGACCGCGGAAGAATGTCTCTCAAAGTCCGAGCCAAAATCAATGCTTCGTGAAACCGAGCATGAGGATCGTCCTGATTTTGGGATGACATCGACTGTGTATCATCCCAATCATGGACTGGCAATTCCATAATTTCATACCGAATAGGCGGAGCCCAGGCCCATAACACTAACCCGGAGCGAGGGACAGATACGGACGATCATGATGGAATCCAAATCGGTGGAACGCAAGCGTCGAAGTGAGGCGGTCGGGAGGGAACCCATGGATATTATTGCACTTTTTTTTCTATAATTTCATGAGGGCGATGCCCATTGGCTTCTGCCAACCCAAGCAACCCACCTGTACCCCGGCAGTTTTCCATCAATCCCGATTCTCTCCATTGATTGTTGCGGTCTGGAATCGGCAGGGCCAGTGAGAGGGCCTTTCACAAAGATGAGGGAGAGACGTATCCCCCCATACCCTCCCCATACACCGCTGAAAGAGGCCCATGTACCCTGTCACGGAGTCCAAAATTGAGCAGTCGGGCTCTCAAACTTCCGGGCCCTGACTGGTGATCATCAGACCTTGTCATTTTTATGATTATTAATAAGGGAAACTTTTGAATCAAAAAATCAACAAAGAATTGAAAAGCTATCACGCATCTTCCGCAAGGATGACACTGTAGTCGCCACGAGAATATTGCCAAATTGTTTGTCTCGAGATATCTTGTTCTACACCGCCGAAAATTTACGATCGCTGGATGACTTGGCTCTTGACAACCAAAAACAAATATAGGTATGCCTTACACATTCTTCGTCATCGTCGGAGCAGCCCGCGTCGAGATCACTCCAGGCGGTCCCCGTAGTGGCGCTGGTGGAACCATCCTAGTGCTCGGAGCATCGTGGGCTATCCGGAAACGCAGGAGATAAGGACAAGAAACATCCTAAACCATCATGGTCTGGTGCACACGCAACGTCATTTCCAAACTCTCTTGCCACGTGAATGTTTTCGGAAGCTCAGGAATTCGATGGGAGCGGCTCCAGGAGCCCAGGCCCAAGGTACTGGGAATCGGATCTCGGTTGATCCACACGTTCCAGAGCTTGTGGTGGATCGTGGGGGAGCATAGCAGTTGCTTGACATCTTATTCTGTATCGTGAAGCTCAACCCAAGTTTTCTATCCAACTTTTCGCTCAGCTTCTGATTCTTTAGACCGACAGACGAAAACCTTCGGAGGGGGGGGAGGGCAGGCTAGCCGTCCTCAGTCATGCTTCCAAGCGACAATGTTCTAGGCCCCACCCGCGACTGTTGGTGGCTACTATCACTTCGCACAGTGCAGTAGCCTTAGTCCTCTTGTCAATGCTCCCTTCTCGACTCTCAATGGCTGATGGATCCTATCGCTCCGTTGAAAAAAAAAATAAATACGAGTCCTTGAGATCGTAACTCTCCTATTCAGATTGACTTCACTCTAGTGGTCGATCGGATGAACTGTGTACATGGACAGTCCTGTACGAACGCCCCTACGTCAGGGATTTACCCGCCAGAGAGAGACTGAGAAGGGAATGGGGAGCGCAGGGATCTGGTAGATCTCTGATTTCTCTGCCGCGACAAAACTAGTTCTCTCAGCCGTGTGCCCTGTGTAGCAGACACGGATTCCCATTTCCAGGATGGCACCGCCCATCTCCCATCCACTGGCCACTGAGCGTCGCCTTGAGTGCCCACACGAGAGCCAACGGATTTTGCCATATCCCTCGCAAGGGCCTAGGAGGCGCTCCTGCGCCCAGGTTACATCTTCGATAGGTTAGGGATTTTATTTCCTGTGTTATGCTGTCGTGCATATTCCGACACCGTGGCACTTGGGATTGCGGAGATCTTTTCCTGGTGGAATCGGGGAGGACGCAACGGACCGGCCAAGAGTTGATGCGTCAAATTCCCCAGCGCACAGCGGACAACCAAGCCTAACCATAGGTTCGCGGCTCTCAAAGGTTCTCGGAGAAAATCACAACGATGAAAATGGCCTTTCGTTGGCCTTTCGTAGTCTCTTTCTCATGCTTCGCCGCAGGGTGGCTGCGGGTTTTGTGGTTGGATCTATGTTTAGGGCCATTCGCCGGGGACGCCTCGAGCGCCAAACACGAAAATGAAATCATCAGGACTACTAGTCGAGAGATCGATAGCTGAGGCTGTAGATCCACTCTAGTGTGTCGACTCTCACAGGACGGCCAGTTCTCATACGCCGATCAGACTGCCATTGATCTACCAACTTCCTGCACTTACGAGAGAGTCCGGCGACAAAGGGGAGAAAGAGGGGAGGGGGACTTTCGTCCACAGCGCCGCACAAAGAAAAGCCAGGTAATGTTGCCTTATAGTATATGCTTGGATGCGACATTTGTTAGCGCCTGTTGGTCCTTTCGTGGGCCCTGCAGCTCATACATGCGCATGTGCGGAGTACGGTACGGAGTCTGCCGTCGTGAAGCGTGTGTGAATCTCCACAACGGAAACTTTCTGCCGAGGCGTCACAGTAGGTGGAGGTGTCTATTCTAGACCAAATGCCTCCAAAAAAGCAACGGTAAGGGATGCATGACTCCATTGGCCCCACACATTGTTTCTTTACTATTGTTCCTGCAGCCAAGTGGGGCTCGTCCCCCAATATCGCCTAATGGATTGCAGCCGCCGGCTGTTGCGATCCTACATGATTATAGGTGATGGTCAACTTCAGAACCATCTGCGCAGTGGGCAGAGCTGAATAGCAAATATCTTGAACAGATACAACCTTTGGTATCTAGTGGCTGGTGCTGGGCTAGGACCAAGTTCTCCGCGTACCCGTGTGTACTCCGTACTCCGTAAACAGATAGGTCCAGTACAAAAAAGAACCATCTCATTTGATTTTTCATGCCGAAGAGTCCTTCTGATCCAAAATCATTGCCCCATATTATCCTCAAAAAATCAGCTGTACTTCGTTTCGATCTATCCAATCTTTTAGTATGAAATAGTCAATGCTTGGTGTTCACCCGGCTTGGGAGTACTTGGTCCAACATTTAGAACTGCGTCTCGACGGGATTTTGAATACGAAAGACAGCTGTAGATTGGGAATAAAATCCCTGGCGATCATGTATAGGACTGGGGCATATATCATATGCCGTAAGGATTGTTCGATATACTCGAGGCATGCACAGAGTGAGAAGCAATGTACAGGAATACATATGTGTGAAGCTTACAAGTTGATTTATGTATATCTAGAAATTAACATACGTGATATACATTTTTATAGATATTTGATTTGTGAGATTAGAATTCTCTTAATCTCTGCCTTTCATTGCCTTCTTGCGAACAACCGATATTTCTGAGTAGCAGCAAATGATTTTCACATCCACATGATATCGAACAGGAGACGAGAAGGCAGACCTCAGGCCAGCCTTACAAAAACCTACAACATTGAATCCTTGAACGACATTCAAATGGCAAATGCAAGGGATAAAGAGCATCACCAAGGCTCATTTATTTCAAATAACCCGTGAATGCTTCCTACTACTGCCACCTGGGCTGCATCATTTGCAGGGTTTCCGTTACCGAGAATGTCCATGCACCTTGAATGCAAAGCAGAGCAAAAGCATCAAAGTACAATCCAGCCCCCTCACCGTTTGCCATGATATCAAGCGAAGGCTGTCAGAGCTAGGATTTTGACCATTCTCGAATACTCGTCCCCAAATCCGTAACCGAAGTCAGAGAGGGTCGATTAGAGATGAAAAGGGCTCCAGAGACGCCTTTAATACGAGATCTTGATCAAATTGAAGCGCTCACACTGGCTCGATAACTTTAACTTACTTTTCTTTTTTTCTGCCAAGTCTCTTTTGATTTAAAATCCTATTTACTGCCTTATCAAAGCTATCCATATTTTGCATCGCGATTCGTGGAGACCCTACAATAGAACTCAATATCAATATTACCTCTGAAGGTGCCTTCTGTTCATGCAAATCCTTCGCTTGCACTTCTGCTGGTGAATGGGGTCAAGACACTTTCTTTTTGCTTTACTTTACACTGCGTTCCTGAACGGGGCTTGATAGGATGCATCCGCAGCAAAAGGGACAGAAGCAGAGCACGGACTTCGTGGATAATTGCTTCTGGCGAATCCGAGTTTGCTACAGGTGGAAGAAGAATAGCTACCAATGAAAGTCATAATACTTGAAAAAAACTTTGAACCAAGACGTCTCTATGATTTCGCTGGTTGCTACATCATTCTTCTAAATTTTTTTCAAAATTTTTAGGACTCAAAGGTGTTGGAAGGATGACGAAAGGGAAGATTCCATCCATGTCAGACTGGAAGTCGAAGAGAGACTGAATTATACAGATAGATGTAATGGAAATGAGATTCCAGTTTATGTTGTCCAAAGTTGTGTATATTTAGCAGATTTGCATATTGACAGATGTTGAGACAAGAAAGAATTTCATTAATAACCGCGAAGCCTTTTCTACGAACTATACACTCCTCAAGTCTTCAAGGGCTGGCGATATGAATCTTAAACACGGAGTGGTGAGTTAGCTCACCAGGCCTGGAGTTACGAGGGTCCAACAGAAAGGGTTCAGGCAGAGAATAGTTCAACGAACGAGGGGAGAGAGATTTAAGAGACCCAAGGATAGTCAAAATACAGTCATTAAATCATTGAAGAAACGATAACGTTAAAATAGGTATCATATCACTCGGAAACGAGACGGTGATTCCGTCCCGGTTTTGTTTGCTATGGTTCGAATCTACGGAACTAAGCATCATCCAAGCCCATAAAGCAAGACAAGACGCCGTTTCCCAGCTACTGTTTTATGCTTAACAATTTTTGTTTTATTTTGCTTTTCATCACCAGACTGATGATGGCCAGCATGCCCATTGCCAATGTCGAAAGACATTTAGTTGGCAATAGCCTGGGCGCGGCGACGGTCACGCTCCTCAGCAATGGTGAGCTATCAGGAGAGTTAGCTTCTGCACAGTGGACGATATAGATCGAGGGGTTCTTAAAGCATACCTTGACACCCTTGCCCTTGGGGAGGGAGATCCAGGGCTTGTCCTGGCCAATGACGAAGACGTTGGACTCACGGGTAGCGAAGGTGTTGTCAATAGCGTCCTTGACGTGGACAATGTTGAAACCACCATCGTGACGCTCACGGTGAGTAACGACACCGACACGACCCATGTTACGACCACCAGTGACCATGCAGACAACACCGCTGTCGAAGCGGACGAAGTCAACAATCTTGCCAGTGGCAATGTCGACCTTGACGGTGTCGTTGACCTTGATGGCAGGGTCGGGGTAGCGGATGCTGTAGAGAAAAGACTCGAATTAGCAAACCTTGTTCTTCCCTGGTTGAGAGCTTACTGAAGTTCGATTCGTCTTCGGCCGATCAACCAAAGCTTGGTCCAACGACTGAATGACACGGAACTTCGTGGAGAGTTTGCACTCACGTTCTCGCATCGTGCGTAACCAAGAATGGGATCCCGCCCTTGCCAAGCTGAACACGCTTGACCTTGCAGAGCTTGAACTCGGCCTCCTCAGCCTGGATACGGTGGACGGTGAAACGGCCCTTGGTGTCGTAGATGAGACGGAAGTGCTCGCCAGTCTTCTCGAGGGAGATGACGTCCATGAAGCCAGCGGGGAAGGTGGTGTCGGTGCGGACCTTGCCGTCAACCTTGACCAGACGCTGCATCATGATGGCCTTGACCTCACGACCGTTCAGAGCGTACTTCAGACTGATCATAAAGGTGTTAGTTTTATTTCAAGAGAGCCGTACGTTTCTGCACATCAAGCGAAAGAGGGATATTCGAATCGTACCGGTTGCGGATGAAGACAATCAGGGGCAGGCAGTCACGGAGCTTGTGGGGACCGGCAGAGGCCTTGGGGGCATAGGTGCCGGACATTTTGTCCAGCAGCCAGTGCGAGGGCGCGCTCAGGCGCTTCTGGTGCTTCTTACTGTAGACGCATAGTGGTTAGCAAATTGTAGATGTTTCACCGGAATTTTGTTAGAATTCTGAATTCCGAAGAATTGCGTTCTGGACGCTCAGCAAGAGCACTGCGAGCAGGACGAGAATTGCTGATAGTGCAGGGTCGGAATGAAGCAGTGGCATAGCACTTACGGTCCGCGAGCCATTTTGAAGAATTTGTCGACTGGTGGTGGGTGGTCGAAAAATCGCGATGGAGGAGAAACGAATAGCGTAGATTAACAAGGGAATTTCGCTTAATTTGGGCCGTTGGGTTGTGCCCTAGTGCGCACTAAGCCTATTCGGGTGGCCCATCAAAGATTCCTTCAGTGTACCCACCTTCCTATTTGGGTAATGACATGACATTGGTATGCTTTTGGAGTGATTTAAAGTCTATGTATTTTTTTAATGGCCAAAATAGTATGTGACATCGCTGAAGTTCTAGTTCCTACTATCCCGATCCGCATTTAGATGTATCCCTTGATGACCGCCACCTCGGCGTTGAGGATGGACGATCCGGCAGCGCCAATCACAGTGTTATGCGACAAAGCAGCAAAACGGATATCAAAGAAGCCACCCTGGGCACCCTCACGAACGCGGCCAACACTGACAGTGTAACCCCTTGAAATATCACGGTCCAGTCGCGGCTGAGGACGGTCGGGCTCATCGAACACCTTAATCGCCATCTCTGGGGCAGATGGAGCACCAAGCTTCTGAGCCTCGGACTGGTATTCCCGCATGGCTTGAACAACCTGCTCGGCACTGGGAGTCTGGCGGTTCTTGAACCGCAAGGAGACAAAGGCCATATGGCCGTCAGTAACACCCACTCGGGTGCATGTGGCGCCGATGCGCAGACCGGCCTGCTCGTTAAATGCAGTGGCATCGGCGTTCAGGGAACCAAGAATCTTTTGGGCTTCATTCTCGAGCTTGTCCTCCTCGCCACTAATGAACGGAATCACATTATCAACAATGTCCATGCTGGGTACACCAGGGTAACCGGCGCCGGAGATGGCCTGCTCGGTGAACACCTCGACCTCCTCAACAGGGCCGAACTTGGCCTGGAGGGCAGCAAACGGGATAACAACGCCAATGACGGCACAGTTAGAATTGCAGACGAGGAAGCCCTTCTTCAGCCCGAAGTGCTTCTGTTGGTGAGGGATCAGGTCCAGGTGTGAAGGGTTCACAGTAGGGACCACCAAAGGCACAATAGGGTCCTTGCGGTAGTTCTTTGCGTTAGAGAAAACAGGAATTTCTGCCTTGATGAAAGCCATCTCTGTGACAGGGCCATTAGTATTTCAATCTTCTGCCAAAAGGAGGATCGTGAGCATGCTCGTTGGGTTCCTTACCAGTCTCGCCAGCGATGTCGCTGTTCAATCCCGAGAAGACCAGATCGCAATCCAGGAAGTTCTCAGCCTTGCACTCGCGGAGCACAAGGTTGCTGATCTTCTCGGACATGGAAGCAGACTGCTTCCATCTGACGGCATCCTTGTACTTCTTGTTGGCTGAGCGCTCCGAAGCACCCACTGCATGAAGCTCTAGGAAGGGGTGATCTGCCAGCAGAAGAATAAAACGCTGGCCAACTGATCCTGTGGCTCCCAGGACACCTGTTAAAGTTTGTTAGACTACTTGATCTTATTGCCATCGGGTTTCTTCAAGCCATACCGCACTTCTTCTTGGGGTACGAGGCTGCCATGTTGTTTGCGTGTTTGAGAGAGAGAACACGATTATCTTGAGAATACAGTTAGTTTCATCTGATACGATTGGTCTTAATGCAGAGCATATGGAAAGAACACGGCCATTCATATATCAGATGGGTGATCGGGACGTTGGAGATCTTATGAGTCAAGGCTTTGACCATTGCCCCGCATTGTGGATATGAGAGCATTGCAAGCTCGATTGCCTCACAGATCTCCCCATTGCTTCCTGTATGAAATACCGACACGGTATAGGTAGGGACCAGGCAGTACTCACCACTTTGGCTTGTTGATGAAGATGAATTGCTCGTAGCAACTTCCGAAGCATCTGCGATATCGCGGCCAATTATCGTTGCCCCGCGCTGACTCATCAGGCCCTGGCGCGGGCAAAAATTTCATGTCACACGATTGGTTCATTGCCGCTGGTTGCCACCCCGCTCACGCGCCCTCGCCGGAGTCGGACTCTCCTCTCCGAGGACAAAGTATACACAGGCACACTTAAGTTGACCGGATCCTGATTCGATTATGGAGAGTTCGACAAATTATATCGATTGCAGTCGGGGTCTCAACGCTATCAAATACATACTAGTTCCGTACAAACCGTCTGACAGTTTTCTCGAAACTGCATCTTCGGCTCCAGATATCAATGAATCAATATTCTTATTCCTGTTATGGCTGCCTCACAAGTTGTCCGAAATAGGGCCAAAGCATGTTCGAAATGACACAGTACCAGTTTTTGGTGGCTGCTCTCATTTCAGACTCCGTGGTAGTCTCGGCAACTCTCTCCTTGGCCACGGTTTTCTCGACTAATGCAACATAAAACTAGTGATCGCCAGCTTCCCTTCCTGTATATACTGCAAGACAGAGATAATAAATTGACCATGTGCAGCTTCATTGATAAGGGTGAAGCTTTGGTGACAATCATCCAAAATAACTGTACACTGACGCACGATATATAATCGAAAAAATTGCTTTCGAATATCCTATTGGAAATGAAGTATCAAACCTGGCTGCTGTGACGCGTCTTAGAGACTTGAACACCGGTCTGACTAAGCATCCCAGAAGTCCCAATAACAGTCTTTCCTTCGGTTCCTTGCTCTCGATATAGTACAGCAGCTCGTTCTTAAGAATGGTAGTAGGCTGAAAATCACCCAGTGCTGGCTGTTCGCTGAAAACTCTGAGGACAGGAATCGTTTGACACCAGAACGGAGAGCTGCATCAAGAGCCTGCTTTTGGCCATCTAAGCCTGCTGTTCTTATTGTAGAAATAAAAACATCATAGCCTGAGAAAGCAGCTTCGAGACGAATTGGCCTGTATTGAATCCAAGCTCGAAGCACGAACTTAGAAACATTCTATTCTTTACATACACATCTGTATATTTGAGAACCTTAAACATGCACAGAAAGCTAGACATGTGTCTTACAAAATTCTTCCAAGCTGAAAAATGAATTCCATTTAAGAATTCTCATCTGCGTCGAAGATCTTGCCCGGATTTAGCAGCCAGTGGGGGTCCAGAGAGCGTTTGACACGACGCATCACATCAATGGTATCCGGTCCAAGTTCTTTCTTCAGAGACTCCTTCTTACCCAGACCAATTCCATGTTCACCCTGTAGTCTGTATCAGTGCATGTATTCACATCAAGCAGCTTCAATTCAACATACCGTGCAAGAGCCCTCCATTTCAAGAGCTCGGTCGACCATATCATAAACCACCTTCTCAACGCGCGCTCGCTCGGCAGGATCCTGACGATCGTACATGATGCTCGCATGAAAGTTTCCGTCGCCTATGTGTCCAAGGATGCTAGCGAAAATTCCTAGATCGTTAAGTTCCTTTTTAGAGATATCGATAATATCGGGCAGCCTGGAAAGCGGCACAGCGACGTCGGTTGACCAGACCTCCGATCCCTCCTTGCGCAATGCCATCATGCTCCACAGAGACTGCTTTCGTGCTGACCAAAGATCATGGGCTTCCTTTTCGTCCTTGGCGAATGTGAATGTTACAGCATTCTGATATCTCCGTCAATCATTGTCCTCGTACCTTTCATCCGCATGGGCCAAATACTTACATTGGTTTTGGCAAGCTGCTTCGTCAAATTGATGCTATCCAAAACGCCTGCTGTGGTGCCAGAGAATTTGAAGAAGAGAGTGGGAGCGACACTCCATGAACGACTGGTTCCACCTGCCCGATTGATCACATCCATTTGTACATCATCTAAAATTTCCATGCATTGTACCTGGATACCTTTTCGGATGAGCTGCATGGCAGTAGAGGCGCAGTCACGGACAGTAGGGAACGCGGCTACCCCCACTCGGGTCAACTCAGGGATCGGCGCCAGCTTCAATGTAGCTTCAGTGACAATGCCCAGTGTCCCCTCCGATCCCACGAACATCCCTGTGAGATTATATCCAGCCGATGTTTTACGCGGCCGTCTGCGTGTCTTGATGACCTGGCCGTCTGCCAGGACAACTGTCAAGTTGATGACCCAGTCCTTCATTGTTCCATATCGGACTGCATTGGTTCCACTACAATTGGTGCCAACCATACCACCGATCATTGCGGATGGGCCAGGGTCGACTGGGAAAAACAGACCTGTGTCCTTGATTTGCTCGTTCAGGTCCATCCACTGGATGGAGGGTTGGACCACTATATCCATGTCCTCCTGATGAATATCGAGAATTTTGTTCATCATCGCAAAGTCAATCGTCATTCCGCCATGTGGTGCCGAGAAATTGGCCTCTAAACTAGAGCCTCCGGAGTAGGGGATCATGGGCATTCGGTATTTGTGGCAGATCTTGGCGATTTTGACTACATCTTCTGTGGTCGTTGGATAGGCAATCGCAACAGGTAGTCGATCGGCATTCAGACTTGACCATTCCGAGTATCCATGTTGCTGAAGATCCCCCTCGTCTGTGCTAATGGTATCACCACCCAAAGTCGCTCTCAGCTCCGCGATGGCCTTCAACGGTCAGTCCTGCGGCCCTATACAAATCATCATCACGTAAAACACTGTACCTTTTCGAAGTCCCTTGCCGAGCCATACTGCGGCTTTTGAGCCTTTCCTGGTGCCGGCTGGCTGTAATTCGCATAGGCGTAGCCCAATCCCGCCGCAAAAGCGGAGATGAGAAATGTTTGGCCAAGAAACCTGGGGGGTGCATTGTTTGCCGAGCCTGAACTTGAGCTTGAGCCACTGCTTTGGCCTGGATTGCTGCCCACACTACTTGTCGTATTGGCGCGAATAGACCTGCTACCAAAAAGACTGCGAGGTAGCGAAACCCGAGGACGGAACTGGGATACGCGAGGAGCGGAGCAACCCCGAGGGAATGACAATGACGCTTTCATGGTAATGACGCAGAGCGAACTATAGAAACGGGGATATTCAATGGAGAGCTGGAAAACGGGCACGGTATCGCATGGCTCATGGGTTCTGGAGGGTAGAAAACGGAAAACGGAGAAATGCCCATTGCTTTCACGAAATCGCTAGCTCCGATGATGTGCCCGACTCTCATCTTCGCTAGCCGGAAGAAAGCATAGCGGCGCATGTTTCTTCCCCGCTTCGGACTTCGGCCGAGACGGCATTTCGGGGTACGCTTCCATTCCGCAGACGTGGGGGTGCCGTGGGGGAATTTGTTTGGCTGGCGTGCTCGGGGTGATGTCCTGGATAGCTATTGGTGGACTGGAATGGCCTTTGGATTTGAAGGTGCCTGTCGCTGCGCAGGACAATAAGACAATGGAGGTAGATATACTTTGTATAGAACGGTTCAAGGGCCGAACTGATGTTCATTGGCAGAAGTCGGCCCTGGCCCGTTGAGGGGGCAACCACGACAACAGACTTCGCGGCGGAGCAGGCGCTCATGGAGGCCACACCCCGCCAAAAGAGGCCGATCCTATTCAAAAACATCAGGTAGAATCAGTATGAATGAAGGGCTCATATGTCTGGTGCGCGAGGTTGAGCGGGTCGTGACAGCTCCTTATATCCCTTCATTGCACGTGAGACCCGGATCTCCTGGGGATGGGAGACGATAATACTCACCCGTCGCAATAGGATCTATTTGAGCTAGTGCAGCACAATTCGTCGATACCAATAGAGTTATGGGCACTTCATAAACCTTGTCAAGTTGGCTTGTTGGTCGAGGTGTTGATCGAAGCCCTATCACGGTCGCGAGTGGCCCTTCCTTTGCTGGCGGCTTTCGGTATATTCCACACTTGGATGCCGGTTCTTTCAAAACTCCTGAGACTAACATTCCTTAGCATCAACTACCAGCGTCCGTGACGCATTGCTTGAACATTATCCAACTATTCTTGATACCTTTCTCGAAAAAATCCTTGATGGGGGAGAGTCCGAGGTGGGCACTAGTTCAGATTGTTCATTCACCTTCAAGGAAACATAGACTCACAGCATCAACAGTATCATTCAGCATGCATCGCATTAATTGCGTCTCCTCTTCCCGCAGGGTTCATGCCACCCTTCCGCTTGGCTCAGTTCATTACGAGGCTAGTATCAGCTATGGCATCTGTTCCATGCTCGGAGACGATAGCCCCATTGCACAGCCTGATGACTGGGTTGCAAGGCTCACCTAATTTCCTGAAGGAAGTGCCAACGGAGGTTATGTCAAATCTACAGTTTGAATTGACCAACACATTGCGCAATTTGGACGACCACATGGGTAATCTCTTGGGTCTAGCGACTTTCGCCCGTATTGCATCGATCTACAATCAACAGCCTCGGAATAATAAATCAGAATCACCATCATGGCTTCTCAGCATTCGACATTTTTTCGGCGCCAAGCGAGGTCTTAAGACATTGGATCTAGTCGTCCTGCGTGTAATTCTTGCGTGCTCCTCTAACAGCAACAATCTTACCATATCTAAAGCTGCTGAAAGTATTCGCCTTGCAATTCTTATTGCAGATGCCATTGATCCAGACCAGAAGGCAGCCTGGATTTTGAACAGCACTTCAAAGATTGCCAAACTATCTGAGAAGGTTTCTAGAGAGGGGCTTAGCAGAGAGATTCAACTGATGGTACGTTCTCGAACTATCTTGGCTGTGCTATTTCTATCTGACTCAAAGATATTGACTTTAGGGAATTGTCTTTCTGATCTCTATTCATTCACTTACATCTCTGCCACTGAAAATTCGTGATCTTGGCTTACGTCTTCTGATATCAAAGGATAGCAGGGCAATTTTGAGTACCATGCCACAGTATCTCGTATTACGTTTCACCAGGTCGTTGATAGTAAGAAAAATTCCTAGAATTGTGGTCTTTCCATCTCTGACATCAAACATCATCAGGACTGCGATGAATCAATTGTGTATGAGCTTCTTCGGTTCACAGTCGATACATTGAGAGAAGAAGCTATTCACAAGGACTCATTATCGGATCTCTATGTTGCAAAAGTGTTGATTTCTGAAATTCAATCAAAGCAGTCCCGGGCCATCAATTCCTCCCTCCTGAATTCCGACGCCACCAAGCAGACGCTTGCCAGCCTACTCGGAAAGTTTCCCTCGGTACCCATTTATCCTCAGTGCCAAGGCTCCCAACTATGCTACTGTGCATATAGTGCTCTGCAAAATCAGGTTCTGCTCGAATTGTTTGAAATCCATTTTACTGCTACGCTGTCTCAAAATGGAGACACTACGGACATCACTATTATGAAGTCATTCGTGGAGCGTGCTGCGAATTCTATCACAAATAGAAGCTGCCAATCTACAAATTTACGCTCCAGAGATGTTTGCACCTTGAAAATGGCTTCATATGATCGATCGGAATTTTCAACTGGATTTCAGCCTAGTCAAGATTGGCGTTCTTCCATCAGAGAAACTTTTATCCAGAATGCTGAGGCTTCTCATCAAAATATGATAAAGAAAGTTGAGGGTATTTGCTTTGACTTGGAGCGCCGATGCTACGATGTTGAAGGGCCTGTCCGGGCCGCCGAAGAAGAGCGTGATCAATACAAGCTTGAGGCCACACAACTCCGATCTCAGAACCAGGGGTTACAAGCACAGCAAGAACAGTTAAAAATTGCAATTCGCGCCCTTAAAGAAGATCTAGCGCGTCTGGAGGATCATGCTGAAAGTGCGAGTTTTCGTTCGGAAGAACTAGCCGCGTCCCTTGCATCTGCACGTCAAGAGCTGCAGGACCAGCGTCAGCGCTCAGACGAGACCTTTCAAATGGAGCAAGACAGGGCTCGAAGTCGAGAACTTGACTTGGCTGCTACTTGTACCGCCAAGGACGACCAGATCGAGGAGATGCAAGAAAATTTCCGTCGTATTCTAACAGAGAATGAACAAGCCCAACGGACCCTGCATACAATGTGCGGAGAAAAGTCTGCCTTGTTGAAGGCAACAACTGCATTAGAGCAAGAGCTGATGGCAACTAAAAGTACCCTCAGTGAAAGTCAGATTTTGTGTTGTGAAAAGGAAGATGAAGTCAAGCGCCTTTTGACAGAAAATAAGGATATGCAAATGGAGATAGGTGCTATGAAAGGAACGGTGTGTTTACTTAACTCAACTTGAAGAAAATTGTTGACAGAGATGCTCACCAATTTATAGACAGGGGATCAAAAGCTTGAAGTTGAAAGGCTTCACGTTGCACTTCAAGAGGCAGAAGAAACTGCTAAGTTCAAAATCGAGAAGCTCCGAAGTGAGCAAGAAGCCGAGACATCTCAAACTGCTTCCCAGGTATGAATTGCCTTTTATACGGAGCTGAAAAGACACCCATCCATAATTGTTACTAAATATACATCCTTTCTTTAGCTTGTCAAACAGAAAGAAGAAAACCTGCGCCTGCAAAAATTGATGCAGGTAGCCGCGTCTGATGCTTTAAAGGAGCTCCAAACAAAAGAGAAGCGAATTAAATATCTAGAAAGAAAGGTATACCATATGCAGTTGCTTTGGTTTTGTCATGTTCTTAATTCACTGACCCTCCATTTATGTAGCTCCAATCCCTCCGAGATGAGAGATCCTTGAAGGCCAGGGAATTTTCTGAAGCCCAACAACATATCGGGAGGCTCATGAATGTTATGGGATTTTCTGCCAATTTAAGCGAGAAGTCCTCAAACCAACCACAGAAAGGTCAGAGTAATGATGTCCATACCACTTCAGACCGTCGCCAGTCAGCTGGCTATGATGACGAGGAGAGTGAGTTAGTTCAATCTTTTGAATCTCTCACTTCAAATCTACAAGCACCCACTCCCAAGCGGCCTAAGGGGGACCAAAAAGGGGCAGCTGTATCACAGGCCGCAGCTCCCAAGACACCTACACCAATCTTTGCCGATATGGACTCCCAGGACTTCCGTCCACAAGTCTCTCGGCAGCCCCTTGACGAAACAATTGCCAACACTTCTGCCAAGTTCCATTCAAGTGATTTGAGGACAAATTTACCTAAAACTGGTCCTTCGGAAAGCCCAGAGAAGCACCACCTTCAGAGTTTAGACTTGGATATGGATATAGAGTTCTCGAAGGATTTTATTCTCACAAGTACTGCCTTTTCTGGGTCAAAGGATTTGTTATAACCCACGTTGAACTAGGTCTCAAATTCACCGAGATCTTGTGTTATCTATCCACCCGGCTAATGTGAATTTCATGGTACTCATCAAAATACCATCCTAGAGCTTTCAAAAAAACGTTCTTGTTGTTTGTTAAATGCATGTATATACCCGTCCGCTTTGAATATCATGTTAGTGGGGCCTGGACCTTTTTCCTTGGGCTAAAACATGATATCTCTAATGCCTTTTCATTTACTTGCAACGAGATGAAGATGAAGAGATCCTACCTCAAAAATTGCTGATTAAACACTGAGCATACGTGATTGCACATAGGTCATCAGAATCAAGCTATTCTCTGTGATTTCTTCCTTTATGCTTCTGCTGTCTTCCACCATATCAAGTTTCTTTGCTAACATCTTCATTGATAATCTATTTTAGTTCACTGTTACATGTCATAACTACTCTTCTCTCCTTCTCCTTCTCCATTAACTATCAATTCAGTTGACATTTGAATTTGACATCAATGATTCAAGATATCATAAAGACTTTTTCAAAACACAGGGCTCTAGGCATCAACAGTTCATTTATCACCTATCACCTCTGGTGACTTTCTAGAAGGCCTGAAGGACAAAGAAAAACTTACCGACGACTAAGGAAAGAGTGAATCATACTCAGTGGAACAAAGGCGTCACTGCCTTATATGCTCAATCTCAAATACCAGAGCAACAACCTCACCTGCTCACTCTCATTCTCGTTTCCTTCATTTTCGCCCCAACGTTGCCTCATCATAATGTCAGCACCATCATCCAGCTTTTTTGCTCCTCAAAATCAGAATGTTGAACAGAGCTGGAAACTTTGGGAGTCTGTTGCTCTGAACCTCTCTCAGTTGCCCCCAGTGATCACCACTTGGGACCTGTGGCAGACCTTCGATCATGAAGGCAAAATTATCTCTATTGATATCTTCGACAACCTCCAAGGAAATAGAAGCGGTCGCGGTCGCATTCGCTTCAGGTATGTCTTCAATCTCTTCTTGATTACTCGCTATCCTGTCTTCTATGCAGTTGTCTCCGGCGAGCTGTTTTGCCCTCTTTATACTAATCACATTTTATGTATTCACAGCCCACCTCCCACATCTGAATTCTGGCGTACTGGAATCTACAAGGTCAAAATTCGTAATGGACACATTGTGAATATCTATCTGGAGCTTGTAAATGGTTACCAAGATGGATTTATAAAAAGTCCAGTCCGTCATGGTGTTACATATCCTTGGCGACTTGTGAGTATTTCAGTGTTTCCAGACCACATGGCACAACGGAGTTTATGTCTTCTTTAGCGAAATGCTAATATACCGTTGAAAAAAATTAGGAGCTTTCTGCATCTAAATTGGATATTGGCGTACGTCTGGGCGAGTTTACAGTCTCCCCTATGAGGACCATTGCAGAGTCAGGATGCCCAAACCTGGTCATTGATCTGCGCTCTCGGGCTTTCTTCATCCACTTCAATCTTGCCATCAAAACTATAAGCAAGGCACCGGGAGGTACAGAATCTGTTTCCCATACATATAGGCTCAAGATTCCATTCCTTCAACTGACCCAGATTTGGGACCTGCATGATCCCGAGGCAGAGGAAGTCTCCTATCTTACTGTCCTCGAGACTCCTCCCGTTTATCACCGGAAACTCATGGACATTCGGCCTTCATTTGGAAGTAAAACAAGCTGGAGAGATGCCGAAACATGGTATCGGCAGGTCACAGTCATGCATTTCCCAAACACGCAGAATGGAACAACCACCAACTTACGAAGATCTGGACAGGTTATTGATACTGGTGAGTTAATTCCCCTTCCACTCTCATCTTTATCTGGGTAATTTTGCCATTTTAAGGGATACATTTTTTTTAACTCTATCTCTCTATTCGTCCCGTTCAGGTCGATGGAACACATTCAAGATTAAATTTTCCATCGACAAGATCGGCAGGGGCAACTTCAAGCTCGTCAGTGAAATTCTGAAAGATCACAACATCCTCATGAAAAATGGAAATCATTTCCAAGAGATTCAGTATCGCCCTGAGTCTGTATGGAGATGGATTGATTACTCAGAGTTCAAGGGTGGTTCATCGCTTTCCATGCTTTCCGATCTTACCACCAGTGACTATGTACATCTTCCCTTTCCTCTACGATACCAGCTTGAAGTCTGTTTGTCACAGGGGCGTCTCTCTGAATTTACCATGTCTCGGGAATTTGTTCTCAAGCTCTTAGATCTCGGGGAGTCTCAAGCCAGAAGACTTTTGGAGCAAGTAGCTACAGAGGAAGAATTCTATCTTGACCCGATGGAGATTTTCAAACTTGAGGTGCTCAAGGGTGCCAGTGATTCAAGCCTCCCAGCATACTGTTGCTTCATGAGGACTGCAAGGATCACACCAACAACAATCCACTACAGTACTCCAACTGTCGATATCTCGAATCGCGTAACCCGTCAATACCGAGAACTGAACGAGCGGTTTCTCCGTGTTCGTTTCACGGATGAAAAAACACTTGGTGGGATCTTTTCGGCTAAGGGCCATTCTCAAGATGAAGTTTTCAATCGAATCAAAAAAACACTGGCCAACGGCATTACCATCGGCGATCGTCACTACGAATTTTTGGCATTTGGCAATTCTCAGTTTCGTGAGCACGGAGCGTACTTCTTTGCGCCCACAACCGACCTGACTGCAGCCCACATCCGAGCATGGATGGGCCAGTTCAATCATATCCGCAACGTTGCCAAATATGCTGCTCGGCTGGGGCAGTGCTTTTCAACCACTCGAGCTGTCCTCGGATGCCGGGTACGAGTTCGAAATATCAAAGACGTTATTCGCAATGATTATGTCTTCTCTGATGGTGTCGGAAGGATCTCTCCATTCCTGACAAACATGATCGTCAGTGACTTCAACATCAAGACTGTCCAGGACCGGTTCCCGTCTGCCTATCAATTTCGTCTTGATGGCTGTAAGGGTATGTTGACACTTTCATCCCAGCCGGGTCCCTCAGAAGTGCAAATTCGACCTAGTCAGCGTAAATTCGAGACGAAACATGGTGGTTTAGAGATTATCCGCTGGTCACACTTTTCGGCTGCAGCATTGAACCGGCAATTGATCCTTGTCTTGTCAACATTGGGAGTTCCTGATCGGATTTTCCACGATAAGCTGAACGTTATGCTGGATGGATTCAATAAGGCCATGTACAATGACTCTCTGGCAACTGAGCTGCTCCAGAAATTTATTGATCCAAATCAGATGACCCTGACTCTGGCTCAAATGGTATTTGATGGATTCCGCAGTGCGGACGATCCGTTTGTTACTTCTATGCTTGCGCTGTGGAAAGCTTGGCATCTAAAATACCTTAAAGAGAAGGCAAAAATTATCATTGATCAGGGAGCAACCCTTCTAGGTGTTCTAGATGAAACCAGAATTTTAAAGGGTTACTTTGAAAAGGAAATCCCAAAAGGACCAGTACTTTACGAGAAAAAAGTGAAAGCCTTGCCAGAGATCTTTGTGCAGATCACTCTTTTTGAACAAGGTGTTGTATCAACGAAGGTCATTGAGGGCGTTTGCATTTTGGCTCGTAACCCATCCTTGCACCCTGGTGATATTCGTGTTGTCCATGCGGTCAATCGGGATGAGCTACTGCATCTCGTTGATGTAGTCGTGTTCCCACAGACAGGGGATCGGGATATTCCAAGTATGTGCTCGGGGGGCGATCTTGATGGTGACGACTACCTAGTCATTTGGGACCAAAGCCTAATCCCTACTTCTTGGTTTACCAAGCCAATGGAATATAAAAGCCGTAAGGTCCCAAAAGAACAGGACCATGATGTGACCGTTGATGAGATTACCTCATTCTTTGTCACGTATATGAAGCAGAATTGCCTACCTCGAATTGCCCATGCCCACATGGCTCAAGCAGATCGGCTCGAGAGAGGTCTATATGACCAGAAATGTCTGCATCTCGCAGAATTGCACTCGGTTGCCGTGGACTACAACAAGACTGGGACTCCAGCCGTCATGCAAGATGAGCTAGAGCCGAAAATATGGCCGCATTTCATGATGAAACGACATAGGAAGAGTTATCACTCAAGAAAGCTTCTAGGCCAGCTCTATGATGCAGTAGAGACTATCGACTTTGTTCCGAATCTGAGCAAACCTTTTGACAAGCGAATCCTTGAAAGCGCCCTTCTTCCGTTCAGCGAGCGGTTTCTTGACACCGCCAGGGAGGTGAAAGCTGAATACGACGCAACTATGCGCCGAATTATGGCACAATACGGGATTAAAACCGAATTTGAGATTTGGTCCACGTTCGTGCTCGAACACAATTACTTGTGCAGAGATTACAATTTGCATGAAGATCTAGGCCGAGTTTCGAGCACTATTCGAAGCGGATTCCGTCAACAGTGCTATGACAAAGCTGGAGGGAGAGACTTTGAATGCCTTGCTCCTCTTATTGTCGCTATGTACCGTGTCACTTATGAAGATACCGTGAAAGCTTTGAAAGAAATGCAATCCAAGTCATCCAAGCCAATCAATGCCGACGAATTAAATGATAATTCTGAAATACCATCTGACGGGCCGATCCTTGAAGACCGGAAACCAAATCCATTTGCCTTGCCGCTGATAAGTTTTCCTTGGATCTTCCATGAATTTCTCGGCCGGATCGCCAAGAGCCAATTTGAAATGGATGACTTTTTAGCGGACGGGGCTGCTTTGACCCTCAAAAGGAATCAAGGAATGTTCTTCACTCACAAAGATGCTGAGCAAGCTTTTGCTGATCTAGCAAAACTTGATCTTAAACCTTCAAGCGGCTGGGAGCACACTCACATCAGCCCTCCTGTCAACCTCAAGGTAACAATTTCGAAAGCAATCAGCGAGGAAGTAGATTATGTGCGGCCTCAGACTGGTGGTAGTGTGGACTCTGTCACAGAAAAAATCTTTCACGTGGCAGAAGAGACCCCAGAGAGCACTCAAACTAAGAGAGTTGGGAGTGACGGTCTAGTTACAGAGACTGGCTTTCAGCCCTCTGGACTGGATCAAAACCAGAGAGTTGAAGATGAGAACGTAGATTCTGGTGTCGACATTCATGAACAGGATCTTTTCGGATACTCTGAGTATGAGGATTACACTGACAATGATCGATTTTCCGACAATCCTCCGACGGACAAGGGCAAAGATAGTGATCTTGAGATCGAACAGATCATTGAGGTTGAAGGTGACATCCAGGTATCAGCCATCGACAGGTTGATGTCACTGGTCGCAGGTGGGTTATAAGGCGGTTCTTTGAATTTCAGACCCCAGGCACGTTATGATAGTATTTTTGTTCGCATGGCATATGAGCATTCTGCGTTAAGGAGGCATTCTGAGGCCGTTTCAGTGTACCAAGTTGCTTTTCAGGACTCTGGGAAGGGCCTGGGAGAATGCAATGTTCTTATCAGGAGTTTTTTTTATTGGAAGCAGCATTTAAACAATATCAAGGTGTCAGTTACGCCGTGCTTGGGGTATTCCAAACGCCTGCGCAATAATCATCCCTGACAATTTAGACCGTTTCACACTGATATAGTCAGATTCACATCCAAAACTCCGGCATATGAAATCCGATAACTCCGGCAGCATATTTCAGTTACCAATCCAGTCCTTCGTCTCCCGTCTTCTCCAGTAATTCTCTTACTGGTCCCAAAACAGCCCTCAAATGTCGCCAATTGGCTTTGTCTCGGGTCCGGCAGTAGAAGACAGGACAATCCATACTATCACAACTAACAATATCACCGGCAGGAACACCCATACAAGACCGGCACACAGTTTCCAGATCAACGACACGCTTCTCTGCACGCTGCATTCGGGAAACAACATCCAATAGCGCAATATGAGGGCTCTGAAGACATTTGGCGCACACTGGAACAGCAGTATCAGATAGTTTAGTGCGACAGACGACACAAGAAGATGACCGCATGTACGACTCAAGCGTTTTCTTCGAGATTCCGAGTTCGCGGTTCGGACGTGAAAGGGTCGAGGAAAAGGTAGTCTCGACTCGCCGGATCCTCTGTACTTTGGGCATCTCATCATACCATTGGCGTACATTTGCACCAACAAGGTTAAAGATACGCTCCAGTGGAGGAATGATGTTCTTCGAGATATAATATTCGGCATCCAGTTCCATTTGTGCATCATTTAGCAGTTCTTCCGGGGCCACACAGCGGTCGATGAGTCTAGAGCCTGGTGCACCCGTGACAACGACGTAAGGAATTCGCTCACCGTACTGCGGTTCCAGGCGGGGGTCTTCGAGCATACGCTTGGTGCTAATCATTGCCCCGGCAGGAAGTGTCCCACGTTCACTGTAGGTGCCTAGGCGAACTTCACGAGCAAAACAGAAGTCTTGTACCGAGACACGACCTTGCATGATCTTGCTGCACTGTCGCTGAAAGTAAGATTTCACTTGACTCAAGTCTGCGGTACGGAAAAGGATCTTGAGGGCTTTCTCTTCGATTTTTTGCTCAGCAGGAGTCCCATCGCGCCGAACGGTCTCAATGCCTTTGGCGTCAAATTCGGGTTCGGTTTGTTTGCGATGTTCATATTTAAATCCGACGTAGCGCTTCTTGGCTAGAAGTACACATGGATGGTAAACTTTCTCGAACTTCAGCTTCACAGGGCGAGGATTCATTTCCGTGACTGCTTGAGCGATTTCTTCACCTATGTCGAAAGCCTGATCACGTGTGCGGCCCTTGAGATACACGAATAAACTGTCAGTGTCTCCGTATACAACTTCGGCACCCCATTTCTCGACTGAATGAATCAGAGCAATTGCTTTTTCGAGCGTCTCACGTCCGGATTGCACGATACTATCTGCAATTTCCGAGCATGGCATTCGACCAGAGAACGATGCAGAAGTATAGCCATATGTGACATTGGCAATCAATTTGAGAGCCAATTGTCGATTGTTGAGCAAGCTTTGCAATATTTTGTCCTCCTTGTCAGCTTTCATGCCAGTTTTGACCATTACACGGGTTTCGAGAATCTCGGTAAGCATCTTCGCCAATAGAGACTGGCGTACTTCTCGTTTCGCGTACATCATTCCATTTGGTGCGATATTGATCTTATCTTTGAGCAGTTCCAGCAACCGTGGTCGTCGCTTGTAATTCAAAAAGCCCATTTTATCCCGACCGCGCCATCGAGCCGCTCTACCCAAGAATGTCGAGTAGCAGTAATTATAAGCAATCATAACGCTGGGGTAAAGTGACTGAAAGTCGAGAACCAGAAGAGGGCTCGTGTAAAAGTCACTTTGCGGCTCCATAACTAGGGGCAAGCACTCTAGGGCATTTTGCTGCCCAACTTGTTTCCTGCTGGGTGATACAAGCAAAAAGTTTTCCGGCTTCGCGATTCGAAACATGAGGGACTCGACTTTGAACTGGGAGCCCCGAGAAAAGACAGAGTAGAAGTCAATTCCGAGTAGCCTGGCCTGCTCACTGGTTCGTGGGATCAACTCCTTGGCTTCAAGAATTTCAAGATTCATTTGAACACGGGACGTGAAATACTCAATGACTTTCAGCACGTTACGAGGCTTCCCGCTCTGGTACCACTGTGTGAGATTCTGTGCTGAATAGTGAGGAATTCGGCGCTGCAGCAAGTGGAACACGACATTCTCCATAGTATACTGCAAAAGATTGAGCTCGCCTCTCATGGCTCGCCAAATATTGATCATGTGCCGACCGGTTACTCGAATTGACGATGCGTGGTTGAAGCCCCAGCGATCATCTTCCTTGCCAAATTTCCCGTGAGATTGTGACTTAACCCTAGCCAGCTCATCACAAAGATCGAAATCGTACTTCTTTCGAGCTCGTTCAATCACGTATCCCCAGGAGCCGTTATGAACTTCGTAACCGGTGATGATATCTGGATCATGATAACGAACAATATCAACCAATCGGTTGATCAAATCAAGTTCTGTCGGTTCGTGTTCGATCTCAATTCTCAAGGCTTTGGAGACTGTTGATTCAGGTCTCTTGCCTTCACCCTGGTACACCATTCCAACATGCGTGCCAGGTATATTACTATTGACCTCCAAGTCCTCATCCTCGGATTGAAGGCACCAAAAGATGCAAACGATCTCATCCTCATCTGGATTGGCCGATAGAGCTCCACGGTTATTTACATGCACTTCCAGGCTCATGGTGCTCATGTATTGCGTTTGGTGCTCGACGCTTGTAGTCTTTGCCTTTTGAGAATATTTGAACCCGTATGGATTTAGTTGTGTTGGGCCTTCGATCTGTGACAACGCCTCAATCTTTCTTTCGGATGGAACACTGGGCTTTGTCGATGAGGTGTTGTTGACGTTTGCTCTGCGACTCGCTTCGAATTTATCAAACCACTCGATAACCTCAGATCTACTGGGCGGAACTGGCGCAAATTCCCACACTTTAAAAGTGCATGATTCTCGGAGCTTTTGGTCAATCTTGTCTTGTTGGTCTCGGTCGAAGAAATTTGAGGGCTGTTGCTGTTCGTCAAACATAGCCGGCAGATTGGCAGACGGGTTGAAATCGGGCAAAAAATGTATAGAATTGCTCTTCAATCGAAACTCTCTACCGGCATATTGTCGGGGTCTTTCAGGTACATCGGCATCATTACTATAGTAAGCACTTTGATAAACCACCGCGGGTTGGCCATAGTCATTCATAGTCAAGGCAACTTCATGGGCACTTGGACTGGCAAATCTGAAAAGACGCAGAGTGCTCTTTTGGTGGAAATGAAATGACTGATTGAGCTTTGACTTGATTGTGGCGACATGGCGATTGAGCTCAGCGACGGGCTGTGCTACTGTTAAGGAAGATCGAGTCAATGAAGAAGTCATATCGACTTTACTGGCATCCCCTGATATGCCACCAGTTGTTGACTCAGATGGAAATGAGCTGAGCATCCGCTGAGAGCATTCCCGGTCTTTCCTTGGCAAGGTATTTGTATCCTCTTGGCTGAATCGCAAAATTGTGAGCGGATCATTGGGGTCTTTCACAACGGGGAAATTCAGCCTGCTGTTGGGTGTAGTATTCATGGGTTTCGGACGAATTGTTCTCTGGGATGATGATTTGGAGTCTGAGGATGGCGTAATATCTTCAGTATGATGGTCCAAGTTCCTTCGAACATGGATGGCTTCACCAATTTCGGTATCTTCGGGTTGATTTACTTTTCCCTTTGACTTTCTTGCCGAACTAGATATGGTGGATTCGCTCCAAAACCTGGCTTTCTTGAGAATGGGGGATTCTTGATTATTGACAGCCTCATAGCGTCGTCTTTTCAAAGTAGCCTTGTTTTCATCGATCGAATTGGTTTCATCAATCGAAGGATCTGTCGGGAAATTGTTCTGCGCATCATCGGAGCCCTGAGGAACGGGCTTGGCTGGTTTTTTCTCCTTCGGCAAGTCCGTCTCTTCGTCCACTTGAGGGAACTCATCAAATACACCATCATAGAAGCTCTCCTCTAGGGGTTCACTTGCTTGAGGACGGAGTTCTTTTGATTCTTGTTCGGCCTCGTTTTCCCTTGATGGCTCATCCGAATATTCATGGTCAGATTGGTATGGCTCATCTGCCTGGGAAGATAGTGCGAGGCTTTCATCAACAGAAACATGATTTATCTCTCCTCCGGCTGCTTCCTCGAGATGGTGATTATGAAGTGTTGAATTATGGAACTTGTCTGGATAAAAATCTTCCACGCTGGCAAAAGCTGTCTTGATACCTTCAACATTTGTGTCATCATCTAGGAATGTTTCCAAAGCAGTTTCCTTGTCATTGTCTTCGTGCTTCTCATCAACAGTCATTTGAAGGGCCATCTCTCGGAATTCATCTTCATGGATCCAGCCTCCCTTGGATTGGTTCCTTGGGTCAGCAGACATCGACACTAGTTCTTCAGGGCCGAATGGGCTACTGTCAGGATCAGTAATTCCCATTCGCTTTTTTCGCCGCCGAGTCTCGTCTTGCCAGAGTCCAGCCACACTTGGGACTAATCGCTCGTTAAAAGCAACGGGTCTCAAAAGCTCCGAAAAGTCGTGGTGCAAGGGTCGCTCTTTCACATCGAATCGATTTAAGATGTCCTGTACACAAATATCTGCCTCAAGAGGGCAATGACTTTGTTTCTGGAGAGCTGGATCATTGAGAATACTTTCAATGCCAATGGAACGGTCGTGCCAGCGATGATCCAGGCTATTGAGCTCAAGGTATTCCGGTACCGGTGATCGAAATCTGACTTTGCTACAATCCATGTATCCGCATCCATATAAATTGTAATCGCACATCCACTGTGGGACGTACTGTAGATGGCTCTCATAGGGTTGCAGCGGTCGTTTCATCACTGCCCCTTGGTGAAGCAGGTCTGCCAGTCGCGTAATGTTGAAGGGATTCAGCAGGTAAATTTTGAGGAACGACCGGTAGCCGACATGATAGCCGTAGAAAGGGATTCCTTTGACCAGGCTGATGTGTGCCACGTAGGCAGTCTTCCTGTCATAGGCATTGCGCCGATAGCTAACAGCTAGAGCATGGTCGATGGAGAGGTGAAGCGTGCGAATCGCCGAGCTCACTATGCGAAAAGAAGATGGTGTCAGCTGAATGACTATTGCCAGCGAACACAGAGTAAGTGTTCAACGTACCCGCTTCGGGCGCCAAGGGCCCATTGTATTCAATGTACAGATAAGGAAACGCGCCATGCACATGCACGCAAACGCGTTGGCCAGTTTCAGTGGCCCCAAAGATTCGAATCACTGGTAGTCTGGGTCTGTAATCGTTTTCTGTGACGCCATCGCGGAAGGGAAGAGGAGGATCTAACTCCGACGCAGCCGCCTGATAGTGATCAATACAGTTGAGGCGCACGCGAAAGGGCTCCATCGGGCCGGTATAGCTTGACCACAAGATATCAGCCACATCGCGCAAGATAGCGCCGAAACTGAAACTCTTCCATGCGTGATCACCCCTTTGCTCGAGTAGAAGTATGCGCACGCCACTTGCTGACAGAAACCGAGCCTCAGGTATGCTGGAGCAGGACACGAACGCGCATATGCAGAGGCGCGAGTGGGAACGCCAGATCACGTGTGGTGCGGGTAAATTCCAGAGCTATGGAGGCCGATCAGTTCGGGTCCTCACTTCCTTGAACCTCGCCTTGGCCTTTCGCCGAACCCACGGGGGCATATCCGATATCTTTTGCTCTGCGCCTTGATCCTTCTATTTAATCACCCATCCTCATTACCACCTTCCGTCTAGGCTGAACTCTCCATCATGTCGCGAAAACCCGCCGATGTGGCGTCCAAGGAGCGCAACGAGTACATTCCGTCCTTCATCTCGAAAAAGCCATTTTACATCGACGACGAGTCTGGAAATGATTACCTGGAGCACCAGCGTCTCCAAAAGGCGACACCAGATCAGTCGAAATGGTACGATCGGGGACAACGTGCCGGGCCCGCGGCGACCAAGTATCGGAAGGGCGCATGCGAGAACTGCGGCGCAATGACACACAAGACCAAAGAATGCCTCAGTCGACCGAGAAAGCACGGTGCCAAGTGGACTGGGAAGAATATTCAAGCAGATGAGGTTATACAGAAAGTCGATCTCGGGTGGGATGCCAAGCGAGATCGGTGGAATGGATATGATGCCAGTGAATATCGACAGGTTGTCGATGAATACGAAGAGCTGGAAGCCATTAAACGAGCAGCTAAAGAAGGGGCTGATATGAAGCGGCTTCAAGGCGGAGAAGATGGAGAAGATGCTGCAGAGGAGGATATTCGCTACGCCGAAGAGTCAGACATGGGCCGACAACAAAGCACTGCCACCCGTAACCTCCGTATCCGCGAAGATACCGCCAAATACCTTCTGAACCTGGATCTCGACTCCGCAAAATATGACCCCAAGACTCGCCGGATGGTGGATATGGGTGCTCAAGAGGATCAAGCTTCAGCCCTGGTTGCAGAGGAGAACTTTGTCCGTGCGTCTGGCGATGCTGCCGAGTTTGAAAAGGCTCAGAAATACGCCTGGGAATCACAGGAGAAGGGTAGTTCACAGATCCACCTGCAGGCCAATCCGACCTCCGGAGAATTCCTACGGAAAAAAGAACAACAAGAATCCGAGTCCAACCGTCAGGCCCAACGCAAGGCCCTTCTTGAAAAGTATGGAGGCGGTGATCACTTCCAGGCCTCGCCACTCCGTGACACTATGGTCGTCGAAAATGAACGTTTTGTGGAGTATGACGAGTCTGGCGCCATCAAGGGTGCCCCCAAGAATGCCACCAAATCGAAATACGCAGAAGACATCATGGTCAATAATCACGCTTCAGTTTGGGGCAGCTGGTGGTATGAGTTCAAGTGGGGATATGCATGCTGCTATTCCACTGTGAAAAATAGCTACTGCACCGGGGAAGACGGCAAGAAAGCATTTGAGGAAGAGGGCAACATGTTGTTGCTACAGAATTCAGATGGCAATGATGATGGAGAAGAGTCTGTCACCGTCGCCGATCAAATTCAAGAACAGGAGTCAGGTGCCAGTGGAAAGAAGAGAACCTTGGAGGAATTGAAGTCTGGTATTACCGAGGATGAAATTGAATCATACAAGCGAAGCCGAATGGCTGTCGATGATCCAATGGCGAATTTCATCGGAAAAGATAGGGACTAAGACGGCGGCAATTTCATGATTTTCTAGGCGTTTCATTTTCATCATAATACCCCTTGTGACATATTGCATCAAACAATGGACCAAACTTATAACATTGTGATTTTCAATAGGCAAAGATTGAGAAAGGGAGTTGGGACTAGCAAGCGATAGTTGTAGTCATTCTAGAGCACATTCGTAGAATGATTCATGCACTCAGGCATCAATAACAATTATACTGGTGTATTATCACGTGATATTGTTCACATGGACCATGTGCATGTCATGTGATGTCAGTGTCACGTTACCAGGGTTTGTGCCCTCGAGTCCCGTGATTGCGCACCTCGCTTAGCCGGGTCATCACCACTCTGTGGGTTGAAGTTTTGATACGCCTAGCGACGACGACACCGACCAACAGCCCTTCAACGGAATTGCCAGGTACGTTCGCATGCTGTCCCTCTCGATAACAAAATCACTTCTTCAGTCTATAATTTACTAATATCTCGTCTTCTTTAGTTCCCGTGATTCAAAATGAGTACGTCCCATATCGAAGCCTTCGCATCGCGCGATTCTCCGCAACGTCGAAACCGAACAACACTGACAATCACCAACAGCCAAGGGTACCTCGAGCTTCGGTAAACGTCACAACAAGACGCACACTCTGTGCCGTCGTTGTGGTCAGTATCTCCATTATCCACGATCTCTGTATTCGATCCACCCGTCCGGTCCGAAGTTCGCGAACAGAAAAATTCTCTACGATTTATCGGGGTCGGACTACCAGCAGACACGAACCGGGTGGACTTGAGTGCAACGAAGCAGAACAGCTTTACTGACTGGACTTTTTTGCGTCTTTACAGGCCGCCGTTCTTTCCACATCCAGAAGTCCACCTGCGCCAACTGTGGCTACCCTGCCGCTAAGACCCGCAAGTGTACGAATAATCCCCCTTCTCAGATGGTCTCCGTTATTATATGGAATTGAAATATCGCCGTGGAGGAATTCAATTTGGGTCATCCGGACGCATAGGCTGACTGATTTTTTCTTCTACAACAGTCAACTGGGGCGAGAAGGCCAAGCGCCGCAAGACCACTGGCTCCGGCCGCATGCGCTCCCTGCGTGACGTCCACCGCCGCTTCACCAACGGCTTCCAGACCGGCACTCCCAAGGGTGCCCGTGGCCCCGAGAGCCACTAAATCACCCACGTTTTTCCCATTCGGCGTCGCGTTTTCGTGGTTCGGAGAGACTGAAAAAGGAATGAGGGGTTGGTCGGACATCATGGCATGACATGGCCTCGCATTGCGAGATAGAGAATTACTCGAAATGCAAAATGGCAATTCCGAAATTAAAAAAAGCAAAACCTCTTTTCCACATGGAGTTGGTGTGTTGGGCGATCGTCGATCCCGACTTTTGTGTTCTGCTCGCAGCTGCGGTAGTCACAAGCAAGGATAATTGTTGGGAGGCACGGAAAATCTGTATGAGAGGAGGACGGAGTGGCATAAACGTCAAGATCTCAAAGTCTTGAAGGAATGCACGAATTTCCTTTTTTTTACTTTCTCGATTTCTGAATGGCGAATATTCCCATGTCATGACAGAATAATGCGAGGATTCTCTCTTCTATAAATTTCCCAGTGCAACTTCTGTTCCACCAGTTCTTCCGATTTGCGTCATCTTCTCCTTGGATGAGACTATCAAGCGGATTGATTTTCATTGTTACCAGACTCGCCTGAAGTGCCTTTCTAACCGTACTTGATACAACAACTCGAAATTTTAAGTTTCCCCACGCCCAAACACTCGGACCCCGCCATCACGCTGGATATAGTACAGCAACTCCTTCTCGTCCAGGGCTTCCTTCGGTTCAGCAGTCCAGCCCCCACCTCGACTGATCCTCAGAACCCCGCTGACATCTCTTGCGGCCCCGGTTTCCAGGGTTCGTAGCTGCATCACCGATTGAGCCCGATGCGCCATTCCGATAGCAAAGCCCGCATGCTCCGTCTCTGTAGGTGTAGACAGTTGATTTCCAGATGTAGACATATGTATCAAGGGGGAATCTGCCGCCAAGGTCAAAACGGTCGCATGCACTTGCTATCAAATAGTCAGCCCTGTTCTGCTCTCTTGGCAAAGAGGTTTAAGTGGCGTTACCTGCTGCAACATGGTGATCCAATCAGCCATCTCCGTAGCACCAATGCCCATGTTAGATCCAGTTGCCGCAAGAAGAAAATCTGGCTGGTCAACAACTAAAAGCAGTTCATCCCCAGATTCCATGGACGCTTTTTGCTGATTGATCACCGAAATGATGTCCTTCTCCAAAGCAGCCAGAGCTGCAGTTCCCTGTCCGGAGAAATGTAACTTCTTGGCGATTCCTGGCTCTTTCTGACCGCCCGTCGTATTCCCAGAATTCACAGTTGGTGCAGCTGAAACTGGGGGCGTGCGGCCGGGAAGGGCACCCGGTGATGACCGGACTGGCACTGTTGTGCGTACCGGGTTCCCCATGCTTATAGGAGACCTGCTAGGAATAGGCGCTGCTGTTTGTGGGGCACTAAATAGCTCTGAGAGACCATCTATAAAAGCAAATTGATGCTTGTCTGATAAGCGTGCAAGATCGAGACCCTGATGAATTTGTTAGCATGGAACGACGTCTGAATTTCACATTCAGCTGAGGATCAGAAATCTGAACTGCTCATCTCTCTATACATACCAATCGCTTTGCCTCGACCTTCCAGAACTCCCATCCACGCAAAAAGCTCACAAGAACGACTTTCCTCTTGTGGCCATTGGGCAAGTCATCGAACCCTAATGAAGCACTAGGACTTGGTGACGTACTCAGTGACGCATGCAGAAATCTCAGGACGAGCCAATTTGACGTGGCCCCCAATATGGAGGAAACCACTGTGAGAGAAGACTCGGGGAGAGCTGATACATAAGGTGTAAGGAGGGGCGGCAGTGGGGGTTGGGAGGGCATGGTTGCGCCTCGGTCTGGCTCAAGTTCTCGATGTCCCTCAAGATGTTTGACAGCACCAGATCTAATTGAATGCCTGACACTGGCTGCGATAGGCCTTCTTCGGCTTTGCGTGAGGTGTGCTGCTGATGGTGATTGCAAAGAGGGAAAAAAATGTATGGTCGACCTGATTGGCCCGAGTGGTTTGTACCCGTGCCAAGAATATCAACCTAGTGCTGCTGCAGTGGGTGGAAAAGCACTGCAGAGTATACTACGATGGGTGGCCTTCGTTTCAAAAAAAAAAAAAAAAAAAAAAGTCCACGCACTCATTATGGATTGATTTACTGGTGTGTTGTCATTTGCATGTTCAAAGAAATAATCTGTAGACATATGAAGATAGTTGGCCAAGAAATGTAAGTATGCGTGGTTGATTTGCCAGAAATATATACCTCTTATTTGACTCACTTGAGGTAACCTAATCTTGCTGACCGCTACATATAACTACATGCCCCTGCGAAAGGATATACAGCTGGAAATCAAATGAAACCATTGAGATCTATCCACCGATCCCAAACATGACGATTTTCAACGATCCTTTCCTCGATCTTTCTGTTAGGATATGACGTGATGCACCAGATCTGGCGCCTGAGGCAGAAACGCCAGTTTTTTCTCTGACATCACATGACCTGTATTTCCCCACCATGAGAGGGGAGCGTTGAATGTGGCATCTCATCCATCACATTACGAGCCTATCTGATCAAAGTGGATCAATGATTGTTCAAGTGCCGATCGTGAGTTACCCGGCCAGATTGCGCAGCATTTACTGCAGACTCCATACATCACCTCTCTGTCGAGTCGGCTTGGTTATGCTATACAACTGCCCCTCTAATCTGTCTTGCCTTGCGTAGAGGCAGCATGCCGCCTCCCACCACGTCTGCATATTATTGGAAAATGTTACTGACTTTTGCAAAAAGATGACTCCTGTGTTGTGTCATGATCAGAGCGCATTGGACACACGACACCAGCTATCTGACCTGCTTCGATAAAGATGGCTAGCACTCGTGATTCCCATTCATTCGCTGTATGTATCTATTCACTCATCGGGATCTGGGGAAGAGAACGGCTTTGATTTGTAACATATACTAATCTCAATTTAGTGCGATGAGTGTCGCCTCCGGAAGTCAAGAGTAAGTACCTTTTGAGAATATTCAATATCTAGCCTCTCCGATTTATGCCTCGCTCACTAATCCTATAGTGCTCAAAAGAGCGGCCTGTTTGTGTACAATGTCGGCAACTGAACAAGGAATGCAAATATAGCCCAAAGGTCACCCGAAGCCCGCTAACTAGGCAGTAAGAAACCTTAGTCTCCGAAGAATGATGAAACAACACTAACAATGAGTGCAAGACATTTGACTTATGTTGAAGACCGTTTGCATGCATTTGAAACAGCCTTGAGCAGACTGTTTCCCGGTGGTGACCTGGATGCAACACTTCGTTCTCTTCTGCAAAATCCAGAAGTTACCCCCAAAGCTCCCTCATCCAAGTCATCATCCAGGCATTCAACACCAGCCAAGCCTGAAGCGGAGCGTACAGAGCCTGCACCAGAAGCTCTACCCCAACAGGCTGATGGCTTTGATTGGGCAGAGAAGGAGCTTGCACTTGGTGATTTGGCGGATGGCATGGCTGCATTGTCGATCAAGCCCGAAGGAGCTGGCTATTTCGGTTTGTGGGCTCCTTATGATAACAAGGCTCTGGATTTCCAGACTGACAATTGATTGTAGGAGCTTCATCTAGCGTTGTGCCATTGAGAGCACTCTTTGACCATGGGTTTGACCTCAACATACCTGTTCGTTCCTCAAGATCTGGCGGTATACCTCTCAAAGCACAGCTTCTAGAGAGTGCCCCTTCTGGCTTGATTGAGCAAGCATTTATCGACGCCTATTTTCGAAACTACCACACCAGCTACCCCTTTGTTCATGAACCGACTTTTCGTGCTCAATTCAATGAGCCGTCTTTGCGCCCTCATGGCACTGCCTGGCAAATCCTGCTAAATACCATTTTAGCTCTCGGTGCTTGGAGTATTGGTGATGACAGCTCATATATTGATATTACATTCTATCAAGAAGCCAGAGCGTATTTACAACAGGCATCTGTATTTGAAACTGGGAATTTGACTTTGGTCCAAGCACTGCTGTTGCTAAGCAACTATGCCCAAAAGCGCAACAAGCCCAATACGGGCTGGAATTATCTAGGCTTGGCCGTTCGCATGGCTATGAGTTTGGGCCTCCATAAGGAGTTCCCGGGATGGAAAATCAGTCTTCTCCAACGCGAAATTCGTCGACGATTGTGGTGGGGTGTATTCATTTTCGACAGCGGTGCTGCCAAAACCTTCGGCAGACCTATCCTTCTCCCTGAAGAAAGTGTCATGGACTGCAAGCAGGTTCTGAATATCCATGACGATGTAAGCTTATCTATTGTGATACTTCTATGCCGGAATAGAGGTGGCAAAACTAACGAAACTTAGGCTCTTACTCCTACATCAACTACACTACCCCTCGAATCATCTGGGCCCACCCTATACTCCGGGTTAATCGCACAAGTCCGGTTTCATCTTTTGACCAACAGTGTATACCAGCGTTTGATCTCCAGCCCCACTATCACTCCTGAAGAAACCTTGAATCTCCAAAAGCCCATGGAAGAATGGTACAATGGCCTTCCTCCCTATATGCAATATCCCCTTCAACCTCTTGCTATGCCGCCAACAAAACCTGATCCTGACAATCTTGCTCTCGTTCGCCACCGTATGCTCTGGCGGAAATGGAACCTGGTTATTCTGATATACCGACCGGTTCTACTTCGTTGGGCTGCGCGGCGCTGGGCGCCACATGATGGCAGCTCGGACGGCTCTTCCGTCGTATCCCCTGAAGGAGGTACCGAAGATCCATGCGAAACGGAATGCCGAGTACGATGTCTTCAGAACGCCCGCCTAACCATTACCTCTATTTCCGAATATATGGATAACCATATCTGCTCGAGAATTGGAGCCTGGTATATGCTGTAGGTTTACCCGTCCAAATTTTCAACTATTTTGTCCTCTATCTAATCTGGCGGCTTCAAAACAGTTACTTCCTTTTCCAAGCCGGCCTGATCCCTATAGTCTTCCTCATGACGGATCCTTCGAATTCAGATGCTTCAAGTTGGCTCCAGGATATCGAAACCACCAAAGCTCTCCTAGCTCATCCATCTCTTGGTGACAATCAATTGGCTGTTCGATGTTTCGAGGTTATTAATCGATTATTGGGATCAGGGCCCTCTGCAAGCTTGATGTCCGGTCTTCAAAACCACGGCCAATCTCTAGGTCAACCACAGCAGATTCCCTCGCAGCAACCACAGCAAGGATTTATCACATTCCCAGAACAACTTTTCAGCGATCCTGGGTTTGGAGGCGGTCTATTTCCTGTTGAACAACAAATGCCTAGTCCCGCTGGCATGGACTTTTCGGAATGGGTCAATTATCCCAACGTAGAATGATGGGGGATTGTTCGCTATATCAACAACCGGAATGCAGATTGAACAAAGGAACGTCGTGTTGTTTATAAGATGGCATTCTTGTCCATAGAGGATCCAAAGTTTTGGACATATGGATGCATCACTTTTTGCTCGCTTCCATATTCAAATTTCAAAAAATAATCATTACAAAAACTTTGAAAATGATCGACGATATTAGAGTCCAAGACATGAGGTCAACCAGGCAAACCACCCACGTCTCCGAGCGGGCCAAGAAAACACCTCATGAATCTGCTTTTCATTAATCAATCCATCGCCATCTTCAGCCGGCTCATCCATATATCGATCTGTCCGCAGAGCCGCGATAGAAACAACATTGAGGAAGAAGGACCCCTGCTGCTCCCCGAAAAAGCTAGAAATAGAGATCAGCTTCCATATAGTGGCAAACAAACCCAAAAAGGAGCAAAACTCACCTTCTCACCATAATTCCAAACCTCTTGATATTCTTCAAGTCTAGCGGCTCAACTCCCTTTTCGTCCTTTCCACGATACGTGGGTCGAAAATCATTCCACTTAATAATGATGGTCTTCCGCCCCGACGCTCGGAAATCAAATTCCCAGCTCACTGAGCTGCGTTCCCGGCCATCTGGCCGCTTTGGCAAGATTTCATCTTTAATCGTAAATGTGTAAAGCTTGTCATCCGCGCGGTCGATGACCAATTCAATTCCGTCGTAGGCGGAAAGATCCCACGTGCGGTCCTCGCCTGTGGTTCGCTGCGACGCAAAGCCTGCACCGCCAAGGGCATTTATGTCAAGATTCCCATGGAATTTTGCAATAAGAGACGACGGGGAGCAAGTAAGCTCTGATTGTGAGGCACCGCCACGTACACGGTCGTCGGAGGAGGTCCAATCGCTTGGGGTCCATGCTCTATTGGATGTAATTGGTTCAGTATTGTGCAGAGCTATGGCAGAATTCCCCCGATACTGACCTGACACCACCAAATAGGGGTAAATGTGATGTTGGCGCCATGATTGTTTGCTATGCTTTGGGCGAGGTTGATTGGTAAAACATTTACTCGCAGTGGGCAGTGGAGGCGGTGTCGGTCGGCGATGGCGTCATAGCTTTTGGCAGATCTGATGCGCGGGGGTCTGGGTTAGGTAAATGAAGGACACGGATCTTATTTTAAGGTTAATGTGAGACTCTACGTTTTTTTCAGGAACTGAAATTCTCGATAACAGAGGACCAAGGACAGTCGATTCATTCCAGAGAATAATTGAGCCCAGGGATGTTATAAACAAAGCCAGATATCAAGCGGGGGAAAGGGCACGCACAGCATAAGTGCAAATCCAATGAACATACTTTCTCGTCCTGCTCTGAAAGTCAGTCAACTCAGAAAGAGGATGTACTAAGCTATATTGAGTGGAGTCCAATGGTAATAAACGCAGAGTAGGTACTTCGGAAGTAAAATGATCAAAGACGTCGACATATTGGAGCGGTTTCGTGTTCGCTCAGGTGGGTATCTGAATCCGTTCTATGTACATAATGCTCTGTCTATAACTCCATCCTATGACAACCAATGCCTTCACATATGCGATTTTTATACAATATATCAACATTTCTCATCCAGGGTTAGCGCCACAGTTTCAAGATCACTGTGCAATTCATCAAGACCGTGAAATCCCTCTTCGATCACCCATCGCTGACCAACATCAGGGCGATGAAGGACATGGCAACTGGCACCGACTACCAGCAGACCAGGGGGACGAGACCCAGCCTCTTCGAATGCCAAGCAAATATGTTCCAAGGTTGAGCGTATGACTCGCTGATCGGGGCACGATGCGCGCTCGACAATCGCACATGGCGTCTCTTTGGGCCAGAGAGGCCGTGATTGTTTCGAGTCATCGGGGGAAGATACCGTTAGGGACTCAATAAGGGCAGATAGACGGTGAAGTGCCATCAAAAAGACCACTGTTTGGGTAGGAACATAGGCGGGGGGTTCCGGAGCAGCTCCCTTACGACCTGTGCCCGTACAAACCAGAACTTGATCGGAAACGCCACGATGTGTAGCCGGGATGTCTGCGAAAAGAGATGCACTCATAGCACTGGTAATACCAGGAAGCACTGTGGGAACATAGCCCTGATTCCGGAAGAATTCGAACTCTTCCGCGCCACGGCCGTATAGATATGGGTCCCCCTGCTTCAATCGAAGGACCTGCTGACCATTACGCAGCGCTGCAAGGCCCATCTGTAAGAATTCCTCCTGAGCCTGATCTGCATTTCCAGGGAACTTCCGTGCGATATGGACTTCTGTCCTGCGTGGAATTAACTCCAGCACCGGAGCCGGGACGAGCTTATCTGCGAGGATAATATCGGCACTCTGGATTGCGTTGTAGGTGGCTCGGGTGAGCAAGTCGGGATGTCCAGGCCCAGAACCAGCCAAAACGATCTTTCCCTTCTTTGAAATCCCATTGAATTCACTGATATTTGCAGCATTAATCTTTCCAGACGAGTAAGCTTGGAGTATAGCGTCGATATCGGCATCGGAGATCGATACGAGCTTTCGAAGCGGCCAGTATTCACAAATTTGAGAAAGCCAACGTATTCTTCTCGTCTTGGCGGCCGAAGATTCACTATCCGTCACCAAAGTGTTGAAAGTATGTTTTTGGCCTGTTGTATCATCATCATCTCCATCCAGAGCATCTTGACTGATCCCAGCTGCGTGATCCTCTTCCCAGAGACGCCGTCGCACCGCACCAAGTCGATCAATGGCAGAACCAAGATTTGCAGGAAGAAATGCAGCTATTTCTCTCCGTAGGCGTGATGCAAGTTTACAGCCACGACCCGACGTCGTAATTCCGATCTGCAGGGGGCCGTCCGAGTAGGTAGAGAGGAGAGAGAAGGAGCATAGCTCGGGGGTATCAGATACGTTGACCGGGATTCGCAGGCGGCGACAAAGTTTTGAAATATGCAAAGCTACATAAAATATCATCGTTAAAAGCTCATCGGGGCGAAAGACTGCACAAGGATCTTACCTGATGGATGATGGCCGCTTAGAGTAACGAAGACCGCATCTACCACACGATCTACCTCCTCTCTACCCAGGGTGGTCAAGTCTTCGTCTTGAAATTCATGACGAATCCATTGCACTGAGCCACTTGAAATATGCTCTGACAGGCTGAAATGTATGTCTGCAGTCTCCGGCGCAATGATGATAGGCTTTGCGCCAGCTTCGAGGCTTTTAGCACACCGAGCAGCCGCCAAAGGGTTGAAACCGACAATCAAATGCACTTGAGATTCAACATTCCAGGCAGTCATCAAAGAGACCGGGCCGAACCCGTGTGAAGCGTCCTTCATGGTATCGTGCGGTGCCGCAGAGTGCGGGTTACCCCTCCAAGTGGCGGCGCTTTCGATAACGGACTGGACGTACTTCTCAATTGGTGATTGAGGTACCAGGGATGAAAAGAAGGATCCTCGGGCAAATATATAACTGAGTCAGACCCTTGGCAGACCCTTTCACACTGTCAATGTACTGCGCTGCCGTGATTCCGCGGAGATAGAGAACGTTCTCCGGACTGAGTAAAAGGCGAGTCACGATTGGTGATAAGGTACTGATAAGACCACGACCGGGATCTTGAATGGACAATCAGGATGCGGCTGCGCTAGATATGCAGGAAAAGGTTTGAAGAATGTGTAAAGAGGGTCGGTAATTGATCACACGCTGCTCACGAAGATATTTTGCACTCTTGACATCTGCAGTGGGTTTTGTAGCCAATTTTTTCTATACATCTCCAGCGCCCAAAGCAGCTTAGGGCGTAATTGCGTGATTGCGCGATGTGCTTACCTAAGTGGGAGGTTCTTGGGTCGCCAGTTGGCTTCAAATATCAACTTGCATAGGGCCATCAGATGCTATTTGTGACAGACTTGTTGATAGATATTTTATCCTTGGTGTTTTTATTTATTATTTGTTGAAGCTGTACCACGCATCCCTGCAAAGGCAGACCATGATCGGCCCAGTAGGTCGATTCTCTCAATTATACAAGGATATTAAGAAACATAAGACCCCATCGAATCATGATTGAACCCTGAGATTTACGGGTTTGAATATTGATAAATATCACCCATCGGTTTTGACATGGCCAGCCTTAATGTTTTTTTTTGGAAATTGCCGAATAGCCTGGCAGGCTCTCGTCCTGGCCCGCTTGTGTTGACCTGATCACGTGAAACAGAGCTTCCAGCTCCCGTGAGGTCAAGGGCGGAGCGAGCTCCAACGTCTCCGTCACCTCCAACCACCCTCTCCTAACCCACTGCACTCCTACATCGCTGTGTCGGTGCCTCACAACCAAGAATCTGAGTCTTCTCACCAGATCATTCAATAGCTCCCGAATCGGCCCCCGAACCCTCAATCCACACTCGTCATCATGTCCGACGGCCTGTTGAAGCCCGAGAAGGACTTCTCCAAGGACGCCGACAAGCTTATCCCGGAAGCAGAGGCCCTCGCAAAGGTAGAATTATATCCACAGTCCTGTTTCGCGACCTCAATACTGATGGAATGTCATGATCTCTAGTCTGATGTCCAGGGTGCGATCGACAAGTTGCTGGTGTTGGAGAAACAAGCACGCCAGGTACGAAATGACCTTGAATATATCTCATCTGCCTTCATGTGCGCCCCTAGGCTAACTTATACCCTTAAAAATTGCGTAGGCCTCAGATCTCGCCACTACATCCCGTCTCCTGATCGCCATCGTTACCATTAGCAAGAACTCCGGCGACTGGAACCTGCTTAATGACCAAGTGCTCCTCCTCTCCAAGAAACATGCCCAGCTCAAACAGGCGACGACGCGGATGGTGCAGGCGGTGATGAAGTTCCTGGATGATACTCCCAACATGGATGTGAAGCTCTCCGTGATTGAGACCCTCCGAACGGTAACCGAAGGAAAGGTAAGATCTAAATTCATCGGTTTAAGAGGCCCTAGTTTTTGACCAATAAACTGACCTCGTACGTTCTCCGAAGATTTTCGTCGAAGTTGAGCGCGCTCGTGTGACCCGGATCTTGTCGAATATCAAGAAATCGCAGGGCGACCTCAATGCCGCAGCTGACATCCTTTGCGAGCTGCAAGTGGAGACATTCGGATCGATGACCCGAAGGGAAAAGACCGAATTTATCCTAGAGCAAGTTGGATTATGTATTGAGCGGGGAGACTGGACACAGGCCTCAATCCTCATTCGCAAGATCAACAAGCGGTATTTCAACCGCAAACCAAAGAAGAGTGCCGAGGAGATCGAGAAGCTCAAGAAGCAGGCAGAGGAACGAGAGAAGACCCGTGGCCCTGATGAGCCTCCGATGGAGGTGGATGATGATGTGACCGATCTCAAGCTGCGTTACTATGACCAGCAGATTATCCTCGCCAACCACGACTACAAATATCTCGATGTTTGCAAGCACTATAGAGAAGTCCTGGATACCGAGGCTGTGGAGAAAAACCCAACCCAGCTGAGTGCGGTAAGTTTTTGGCAGAGAATGTTGGAAGCTTAAAGCCAAATTTGTGCTAATTGCATTCTTTTTTTCTTCGTATTTAGTCCCTGGCGCGCATCGTCTATTATATCGTCCTGTCCCCGTACGACAATGAGCAGTCAGATCTGCTTCACCGCATCCAACAAGACTCCCGACTGTCTCAGGTTCCCGAGGAGGCACGATTGCTGAAGCTTTTTACCATCCCTGAGCTGATGCGTTGGCCCATGGTCGCGGAGCAGTTCGGTCCGCATCTCTGCGGAACTGATGTCTTTGATTCTCAGGCTCAACAGTCCACAGAGAACCAGGCGCATCGACGGTGGGAAGACCTTCGGAAGCGGGTTATTGAGCACAATGTGCGCGTGGTGGCTAAGTACTACACCCGTATCCAGATGGGTCGGTTGACCCAGCTTCTGGACCTAACCGAGGAAGAGACGGAGAAGTACATCAGCGAGCTGGTCACTTCCAAGACCATCTATGCCAAGATTGACCGACCCGCACGACTTGTCAATTTCGCCAAGCCCCGGGATGCGGACGATGTGCTCAACGAGTGGAGCAGTGATATGAAGAGCCTTCTTGGTCTTCTGGAGCGAATCGATCATCTGATCACCAAGGAGGAGATGATGGCTCGTATCCTGCCATCTCGTGGAGATAAGGCCAAGGCCCGTTAAGTGGGATGGGAATAGATGTGAGAAACCTATGTGCTGCCTCCGTGTATGTAAAGTATCGCCGGTAGACGCGCTATGAGAAACAAGCAAATGCACCAACCAGTGGGAAGAGATCCATTGACTCACATAGATTCTCTAATGTCTCAGTAGAAAATTAGAAAATCGGTCCGGGAAAGTTCAGATTTCGCATGAAGTCTATATACATAATGTCAGTAGAAGCTTTGTTTGATCTAGTCGATGCAACACTATCCAACCCGCTCTAATATATGCATGTATATATATAAATCTCTCTCTCTTTGGCTCAGAATGGCACATCCATATCATTAACATCCTCCTCTTCCGCCTTTCCTTTATCACCACCCCGTTCCAATTGCTCCCGAATAAACCGTACCGCAGCATCTAGATATGGTCGCTGGCTAGGCAAGAAGTGGCCACCCGGATGCCAAACCACAAAGCCATCCTTCTCCGGCTCCCCCACACATGCCTCAATCAATGCCCGACTCCTCGACTCCTCCACGACAGCATCCAAGGATCCCAGCACATGTAGCACGGGCGTCTGCACTGCCGGACTCTCATAGAAGCCTCTGTACCGTGGACCCGGCGACCGGAATCCGCTATATGCCAATGCAAACTTCAACGGCGGGTGCTGGAACCCTGGAGCCGCAAACGCACCCGGAAAAGGTATCCCCGCCGCACCCTCCGCCTCCATCTTCTCGAACTTGGCAAAGGCCTCCTTCCGCGCGGGCTCGAGCAACGCCGCAACCATACCGGCCATCGCAGCGCCCTGCGAGAACCCGATTACGCCGTCGAAGGGCCCTTCTTCGGAGAGCACTTTGGCGACGGCGGCAAAGCCGTCTTCAAGGCCCTGGTACATGGGCGGATTGGCGGTGTTGGACCGGCGGAACCATCCGTATGCTTCGATCTCCTCCGGTTCGGTGGTTTCGGACGGCACGTAGCCGGGGATGTCGCTGGGTTTTAGACGCAAGGGACCAGTCGGGTAATTGGCGGTAACTTCATGCAAAGGGAAGGCCTTTTGGATGTGCTTGATCAAGGCACGGCTTTTTGCGTGGAACAGCGAGCCGGACTGTGTATAGCCGTGGAGCATCAGGATTTTAAGCGGTTGGCGCGCCGAGGAGGAAGGATTGGGCGCCATGGCTGTGAAGAAACAGTTGACGAGACTGATTTATCCTGAAAGTAGAAAGAGCTCTTAACAAATGGTTCAGGAAAACGAAAAGAGGGAATATATGCGAGGAAAGAGGTGCGATTGGGGGGCGCGGATGGAATTGCGAATCGCCGTGATGCGATAAGATAGGGCGATAAAGGGGCGCTAGGCGGTGTTGAGTGCCCGCCCCTCTTGGTTTCTCGTTCCAGAATTTCTACTATGTCGTCACGTCAACAAAAGCCATACACCCATCCCATATTCCACCATGACGGCCCAGAATATAAATATTGAGAGCCTTGACAAGAAGATGCAGGCGGTGCTCGAGTATGTCCCTCTAGAAAAATCTTGAATCCACATCACCCACCACGACTGAAGAAGAAAAAACCAATGCTCGAAGTATCATGATCTTCACATTCCCGAAGGAATAAGTCTTCAAGCATCTCCCCCCTCCCCCCTATCTTTTCACAAATCATTTTCCCACAAGTTATCACTGCCCTGAAAAAGCCAGATGTTGTTAAACACAGATATAATAGTGCCTTCGAAGCCCACCCTTTGCTGCAGCCCCCGACGCCGCACCCAACAGTCTTCTTCCTTGCGGACTTCATTCGCAACTCGCACAAAACATTGAAGGAAGTCGACGCTGAGAAATATGCCTCAGGTGACAAAGAATCCGCCAGCAACGTTCAAGAAGTCGTGGGCCGTAACCAATTCGCGGGCGTGCTCGTCAACGACTCGTCAGGCAAGCTGGCCCTGCTGACGGGCAGCGACCCCGGCAGCCCCGTGAACTTTGGCTCTGACATTAAAGCCAAAGTGCGTGCGATGTTGGAGTGATTTCATTCTTGTCGGTGGCACTTTACGACTGCTATATTCCCTGAGAGCGCCATCGTCAATCTTGTGGGGGGTTCTTGGTCCAGTCGCTTCCTATGGACAAGTTGAGATGAACCTTGACAACAGTCAATTTCTCTTTTTTTATTTTAACCCTTCTTTACGATCTTTTTATCTATCCCTTCTATTATCTATTTCTTTCAGTCTGAGAAAACCAATCATACCCCCCAGAATTACGCGCAGAAGTATTCACAAAAAACGCTCGGAAATACTTAAATAACCTCCCAGAAATCAAACATATAAATTCAATCAATCGAGGCCGAATATATCTCGGTTGTCACCCTCCCCCCTTTCCCTATTACCTTCGTAAATATGCCCCTTACGTAGCCAGAACGTTCTCGACTGTATTTTGAGGGAGTCTGCGAGACCCTGGCATTGAATTTGCTCAGGACTATCCGGTGATGTCATGCATTGAGGTGTACCTGAACAAGAAGTTCGGCCGTGCGCTGTTACGTAGTTGCGCGGAGTGGGGAATGCACATCCTCGGCTGTGGAGGGTGGGCAGAGGCAAAGAGAGGCTGAGAGCGGGAGGGGGGGCAGCTCTTGCAGGTGGGCTCTGGTAAGTTCCTCCGAAGATTTCCTCCTGTATCCGGGACATGGTCGGTCGAGAGAGGCGTGAAATGACGTGAAGGCTGGCGTTAAGAGAGTGTGGTGAATATGGATCGTGCTACGTACGACTTTCTTGGAGTGGGGGAGGGAGAAGCTGGAGTTGAAGCTGAAGAGCTGCAAAAGAAAGCATTTGGTTTGGATCAGGCTCAAGTACAATGAGATACCGAAGATACACTATGAGCGCAGGTTATCCATGAATGGCCATAGAATAAGAACGACCTGGCAGGGCTGGACAGACTCCTGACGTGGGATACCATCGAGAGTGCATATGGTCAGGCTAGTACGACTACTACAATATATTTATGTTAGAAGGTCTACGCTTAATGGTCTGGTCCATTCGAACCAGCGTTGATGCAACAAGGTAGAAACTCGATTGAGTCTAGACCCAATTAACACATGCAAGTACACGACATATGAAGCAGAAGAAAGAAGAAAAAAACAGCAAGCAGAACACGGCGCAAAGCCCAAGAGCTCTGTGCCATGTGTGCCAGATATCCGGAACTCCCTCAGCTGGATGCTGTATTGCGTTTTTGTAGCCGTGGAAAGCATTTTCTTTTGTAACCGGACCATGAGAGGACAGGGGCGGAGTCATTCCATCTTCTATCTGTCATCAAGCGGGCGCGAAAACAAAAAAAAGAAAACAAACAAAACAAAAGTAAAAGGCGCTGTTCTGATGAAAGAAGGGGCATCATCAAGCAGGTAAAAGAGGCATATTAGGAAGACGAAGAACGTGTGTTCAAAAAGTGCCACATTTCAAATTTTTTGTTTTCAGGGAAGAGTTAAAAAGAGGCGGTATAGATCGTTAAACATATCATAGCTCCCCCGAATAGCGCCCGGCTCAATCTTCGAAAAGAATGCTTCATCCAAATACTTTCGGATCTGCTGGAGAACTCTTGACGAAGAAAGGGCCAGACAGACTGGGGAGAGTCCAATTTTTGAAAGTCCCGTGAAAACGCGGAAAAAAGGTTAAGAAAAAGGAAGAAAGGTTGATTTGGTATGTGACATTTTTGAACGGCGGACTCCGTAAGTACCGAACCGAAGCGGAGGTCAAAAACCCGGGACTGGTATTTTCATCCTAATTGCTCCATGCTATCCTCTGTGCGTTTCAACAAGACATAAAAAAGATGTTTCATTTGCGCGTCTCGTTTACTTGCGGCGGAACGAGCAGCCCTCGGTCAGACGGGCCTTGCCACCGGTGGGCTGGCACAGGACGGTCGAGCAGCCAGCGCAGATAACGACGGTCTGGGCGTGGGAGAAGACGGTGGTGATGGTGAAGCAACCGGGGCACTTGACGTCCATGAAGAAGGAGCGGGGCTGGGGCACAAGGGTCTGTAGAGATAAGAAAAGATTCGGTTAGTCGCTATTGCAAAGTTGTTGGCTGGATCCTCCATCATATCGGGTTCCATCTTTCAACATCAAGTTTCCTCCTCTTGTCGTTGGCATGGATTGAGCGGGAGAGGTCGGTGTTGATAGGCCAGGGTTGGGTCAAGAGGCAACATGCACATCGGCCTCCTCTCCGCATTCTCCATCCTCCAACTTCATTCTCCTTCATTTCCATTTCTCCATTCCTATCGAATTTCAGGTGTATCGTACCTTCAGCTTGTGCTTGCGGGCCTCAGCCTGAGGGGTGGGGTTGAGAAGGTCGACCGCGAGAACCTAGTAGCAAGACCCGTTAGCCGAGACTGATTTTGACGGCCCCTAAGGGGGAGAAGATTTGTGTTCGATGCCGAGCGGTCGAAAATCGAAATTTCGAAGGACAGGTTGAAAAATCGAATCGAGCCGGGTGTCTGGTATCGAGCAGAGGGAGCGGACTCACCATCTTGACGGTTATTGATCAGCGAGGGGGTTGATTAATGGCGCTGATGGCGATGGCCTTGTGTGAACACGGAATAGAAGGCAGGAGAAGTTTGAGAGGATTTGATGGGGTAGGGTTTGTGCCCTCGCTTGACTGTTCGTTTTTGGGCGGGCTCCGGTGGTCCACCACCCGCCAATAAGACCGCCCAAATCTCACCGCCCATGTTCTGCCTGCCGCGCTCCATGGTTCTGCCGGGACAATCGGGCAAGCAGTCAGGTGCGCGACAGGTGCATGTCAACAGTGTCGAACACGCAATGGGAAAACATTAAACTCGACTCTCCTTTCAGACACGGAACTCGATTCTTCGTCACGTCACACATTACTCTTGAATTCTATCACGCGGAGCAACCGGTGTTGAAATAATAAAACACAAAGAACTTTATGTACTGGCTGAAATCAAAATCATTAGGTCCGCCTAGATCTTTTTGTCGATCCTCCCCAAATATCGAGTTTCGAACGGCTTCTCCCCCATCTTGTTCTCTTTTTCTCTCTCTTCTCTGATGTCTTCATGGAATCGGTCTGCCGCTAGTCGCAATCAAAGTGCAGACAGAGACACACTTCGGCCCATGGTGATCGAGGTTGAATTGTCCTTAACTCACGAGCCGACTAGCCCCGCATACCCCAAACAATGCACGGCGGGGCGAGCAAGCCCGAGCCATCCTGGCAAAGCTCGGGCGATTAATTGGTCTTCTTTGTGGCACCCTCGACCTGTGCCTTTATAGCTGTGCCGTCCTTGCGCTCGGTCTCCTCGACGTACGGATGCTTGATGGTCAGGCACCAGATGTCGATGTAGTCGCAGATCGTAGTGATGACATCAAACTGGGGAAGAGGTTAGAACGGAAGAAGAAGATTCAAAGACTCCATCAAAGCGAGGAGCCAGATCAGAAACAGCAAAAGCCACTCACCACAAAGCTTCCATAGATACCAACCGCGAGACCGAGACATCCAAACACAAACATCACCTGGCGAGTCTCGCTTCCAAGCACGGGAGCCTCCCACAAACCAAACATCGGGCCCGCGCTGTCGATCACACCCAGCGCCAAGGGGTACAGCAAGATATTATGATACGGGAAGCCATGCTGCACGAGGTGGCCGACGATCATACGGCCAACCGCATAGGCATTGACCAAGCCGATGAAAAGGCCAAACGGAATCGTGTAGCTCTCCAGCACGGCCGGATTGAGGTATAAGTAGGCCGGGACAAGCGCCCAGATTGCAACGAGAGGAAGCAGGCCGTACAACGGGGAGATGGGGTCGAGTCCACGCTGGCGGCGCACCTGCATGACGTGCCAGATGCTGGAGCCGGTGGCGAAGAAGAGCATCAGGGCGCCATACACCAGGTACCACTGCGTGAAGGGCATGTCGTAGACCTGTTTCGAGAGGAAGGCGGGCTTGGAGACGCCGATCGTGGAGAGCATAGGTTGGTGCCAGAAGCTGCCACCGCCCATGTAGGCGGTGATGCCGTAGACGGTGCAGAGAGTGAGAATGCCCTCAACGGGACCTGAGATGATGCCGAGAGTGAGGACCTGGGTGTAGTACTCGTCCCAGGTCTGGACGTAGAAAGTCATGGTTGCTGGAAAGAAAGAGGGTCAGCGAGAATTGAAGAAAAGGAATTCAAGGAGCGTTCTTGCGCATCTTCTTTGTTTTTGTTCTGCTTGACGCTTGGGCAATACTTACACCCGAATAGACTCAAAATGGTCATCCAAGACTGACCGAGGTTCATTGCGGCCGCAAAGATCAGAACGCCCAAACCGGTGTTACACGCATCAACGCCTAAATGTCAATGTTAGTTTCCTCTATCTAATATCCCCAATGTACCGCAGATCTGTAGGATACGTACTGTGATCAAAAAGCTCTCCCAGCGGGCCGCTCTGTCTGGTTCTCCGTCTGTACAACCAATTAGTTAAAAGTCAATTCCTACATAGACCCTCGCAACTTAGGAGCCTGAAGAACGGGATTCCAGTAAACATACGCCTGCATGCCATCCACGGCATCAAAGGTCTGATACAAGAACAAGCCGACGGCGCAGCTAGCGTAGACCCAGGGCGGACAGTCGGTGTCCAAGTTGGGGTTGTACCACATCACGGTGAGGAAATTAATTACCACGAACAGGAATCCGGTCAGGGTGATCTACCACGAGAGGAATTAATGACTTGTTCCATGCTGGTACACCGGGTACTTGAGACGGGATTGGGAGGCGCTGGGCGGTCCAAGGCAAGCGAGGGCACTTGGCCCTGGGGCTCGAGGCGTGTTGGGGAGTAGGAATAGGGGCGGGGAGTAAAAGACACTTACGGCATTGGGACTGTTGCACGCGGGAAAGCCCAAGGGAAGCGGAGGAGCTGGTTAGCCGTGTTTTGCGCAGAGAAAATGAAGGCTCTGAGAGGTTGCTTGTGGGAACCGAGCTCGGTCGTATCAGGTAAATTCAAAACACTTACGCCATGCCCATAGGGAACAGATGAATCACGCATTTGCTATAGAACGGTTTGAGGATGTACCGACTGATGAGCGAGTGATCGATGCCTGCATATTTGTAGTTGCGCAGGTTGGGCAAGTGGTGTTGCCGAATGTACACCATGTCTCTGTATGCTTCTTTTGTTCCCCCCGTCTATTTTCTCTTTCTCTCCCTTGCCCTATCTCTATCTCTCCGGGGCCAGCAGATGTCCTGTTTCTCTGGCTTCGTGCCCGAGTCTTCGGAGTCTAGGAGTCGGGGTTGTTCGCAGTTGACGCTCAGCGCATATAATCTGTCGTTGTGACGTGGGTCTTTCCCAAATAAGCTTCGGCGGAAGGACGGAGCTTCTTGCAGAGTGTTTTCCGTTCTTTTCGAGACGTGAAGGAAATTAACAGATGATCGTGGAAATTCTCGCAGGGAAGAGCCAACTGGGCTTGTGTCGATTGGCGTCTGGAAAGGCGTGTGGAGGGTGGAGGGTTGGAGGATTGGAGTCGCGAAGGAAAAAAAGGAAGAAAAAGAAGGGAGACGGCGCCGAGCTAAATTAAAGGGCCCCGCTTGTTGCGGACGGAGCGAAGACCGGGTGGAAAAGATGGGGCCCGCGATGTCGAGATCGGCGTTGCTTTGGCCTGAATGCCAGCCTGTTCTTTGTGAGGTTGCGAGGTGAAGTGCCGAGCCTGTTTTTGTTTATCGTTCTTTACCGCCCGAGTTCGCGGGTCCCTACGCACTGGGTTTATATGCCCAGGGATCCTCCTCTGATCCTCGATCGATCACATCTATACGCGCCGACCCCCTGAGGATCCCAACCAACTCGTTGCCGCTCGGCAACCCACGTGCCTTGGCAAGTCGCGGTTGCAATACGGTGCCAATGAGATGCATCCCAGCGTTGGTGATCGGCCCTGCAAGAGGTGGGGTTTCCCGAGGCCACTCCGGTTAGTCTCAGGGAACCAAGTCCCCGGAGAATCACAAGGGCCATACGAAGGAGGAGGTCCAGGAGCAGACTAAAAAAGAAAGGGAAAAAAAGATCCGGGTTGCATTTCATGCGCCATGCCTAGATACATGATACAGAGAAAAAATGCAATGGGAGAGGGAGATAACTATCTCGCCTGAGAGAACTAGATAATCAACTTTCCCCGGTGGTTTGCGCGGGAAAGCCACAGAACATAGCGCACAACCCCTGTCCATACAACCCATTCTAAAGTCTGTTGTGACGTACAGGAAAGATGGACACATAAAAGCCCGAAGCAGTTGGATGCGGGTTGCCATGCTCGCTCTTCCGTCTTCGCCCCAATTCGTCGTCGGCCGGGATTGATCCATCCTTAACCCACGGGGCTCCAGGGCATCGGAACCAAGATTCGACTTTGCATGGACTGAATGAGGGGCACCGTCTTGTGAACCGTCTCAGCCCATCCTTCGACTCCCCATGACTGCTCACGCCGGATTTTGCGTTCCTCCAGGTTGGCAAACTGCCACAGGTGATGGACGGTGTTCAAATCTCCGATCTGCACGAACCACGCACCCACCCCTTCCATAACTTCCCGACGTGCCGACAGACCGCGTCGCCAGTGTGTCTCCCATTCCAAAAGGTTGCCCGGGTGCAGGGTGTAGGACCGAAGCTCAAACAAGCCACCCAACCGACGGGGTGGAGTTGTAGGCCAGAACGAGAACTCCTGCATCAATGACGTCTTCTTGCTCTTAATCAGACTCTTCAGCTTCCGGTCGAATGCGGGGAATTCGGGGTGTTGCGAAATGTTATGAAGGGAGGCATGGTAACCCTCGTAGCGCTGGTACTCCCAGATGTGGACTAGAGCAAAGCGGAAGCCATCAGTGGTTAGTCAAGTTGCATTCAGGGCTCACGCGACCGTGATGTAAGAGGAATCTGTTCCAAGAAGGGCAAAAGGGTCGGTTGGAAGTTTACCAAAGGTGTCGTTATCGCCAACCTGCGTGCGCCAGCTGCCCACCAGGTTGACCCGGTTTTCCTCGGTGCCGGCCATGCGGGGGTACCACTGGCCCACCAGATCCACATACTCATCCACCTTGTCGGGCTTGACATCATGGAAAACGATGGAGTGAACGTACTTGCCCCTAGCCAGGACTTGTGAAAAAGATCGCTCGATGTCCTTATCAAAGTGTTGACCCTCCTTGGTACCGTAGATGAGGGAGGACAGTGGGCCACGTTTGGACGTGCCATCAGTGCTTTGTTCTTCTCCTATAGAGCGGTGCAGGGCCAGTGAGCCTAATGCCTTGTGGTCAAGAGCTTCAGCTGCATCAAAGGCAGGGCGAACTCGATCATCGAGGCTCGCATTGCTCACATGCGGAGCAGTGGGAGCGGACTCACGGGAAGAGGAAATGGCAGACGAAGAAGGGGTAGAGGCGGAAGCATCGACAGACTGACTCTCTTGCAGTTCCTTTCTCTTGCGAGCCTCCTCGAGGTTCTCGCGAAATTCCTTCTGCCGCCGACTGAACTCAGCGGTGGAGTCGGCGGTGACGTCTCTGATGGAAGGGGAACGGTAGACCACAGCAGAGGAGCTGAAGGGCCGCACCAGCGAGGCTGTCGCCGGGCGGATCAAGCGCGGGCCTAGCATCGTCGACGATACGGCTCGAACGGACTCGAAGGGGACAACCTTGGTCGAACCTTAGGCTTGGAGAGTAGAAGATCGAACGAAGGGAGGAAATCAAATCGGGAATTGAACAAGGGAACACGAAGGAACACAAGAAACCGTCCGCGAGAAGGAAGGGCCTGGTTAAGTTTGAAAGTAGGCGGCGGGGGGGAAGGAGAGTGAAATTGGCTAGCTATAGCAAGCACGAAGGGAGGGGGAGGAAGAGAGGGGGAGAGGAGGCGATGTAGGAAGTTGTGGAGACCGGGGAGGGCGGAGGTCTTTAAGGATCGTCTGGATAATCCGCAGACGAGTGGAAGGCGCAGGTGGGGAATTGAGAGGGGAAAGGATGGACAGGGATCGCAGGGGAGCTATGGACCGTCTGGACACGCGATATTGTTCCGCGCAGTGCGTGCCCCGACTGGAAATCCGGGGGAGAAGAGTCGGTGCGGATCTCCGGAATCAGTGCAGCACGTCCTGGTGTGCTGATTTGCTGCGATGCTGCTTGTCACCAACGCTGACGATGCGGTGGAAGGTGATTTGAGGATGAACAAGTGAGCTAGTCTCGTGCGGGGAAGGCCGTTGAGAGGTGAAGTCACGTCCGAAGCGGGTTAAACGTCAGTGACTTTTGGACGGTCTGGAGCGAGTCGAGAGGTTGACTAATGGTAGGCAAGTAGGTAGAAGCGTAGAAAACGAGATCGAGGTAGTCGAGACCTTGGCCAGGAGTACAAGGATGAGCTGTTGCTGGCCTCATGTCTCCCGGAGAAGGGGGTCATGACGACATCGGGGGAGGGTACCCAGTACTTCCATCCGTCGACTGGGCCTCAGTTTAGGGATAACCGGTACTAAGATCTCTCGGCAAGCGCCTACTATGAACCATATACTGTACCCTCTTGTGGGTCGAAGTCCCAGTCTTTCTGCAACGCTGGCCTCAACTCCCTATTTACACTGAAGACTGCCTCTTTGAGGTCCCCAAGAGCCGTGGAAATAAATATCTGCGGTTCTCGGCGATTTTCCCCCTTGCCCCCATTCCCTCCGGGGCCATTCCTTTCCCCCGATCAACGGATGATCATCGCCGGTGCTGGTGCCTGTGGCCATTATGACGATAGGTCTCCAGTTAAGACTCCACCGAGTTGACACGTCTATCGCGCCGTTTGACCTGCGGGGAGAATAATGCGGGAACCTTGAGGCTATAAAAGTAAGATATATACAGGCCGAGTATAACTGTGGCCGGGTACACCCTGTCCAAAGACGTAATGACCACATTATTCACGGCTCGTGACTCGTTTACCGGCGGTTTCGATAAGCATTTAATTGGCCCAGCCTTGGGCCAGCGATATGTCCGAGCAGCGGCATCCGCAGCGAGCTCTGTATTACTTCCGCTGTATGGACGGCACTCTATAGGCTGATCAGCGTGGGCCAATCTGTGCATGACGTCGATACCTGACCTCACCGCCCGGCAGATCGTCGGATCATCCCACCTCTCGGACAGCGAGATCGTGGCTGGTCGCAGTTGATCGTAGACCTGGGCTTACCTCACTTCTTTGCTCCTTTCGTACCATCATGGCGGAATCTCTCAATCCTCCCCTCTCCTATGAGGCTTCCGATACCACCACACATCGCCATGCAGCGACCTCCCTCCCCACTGAGGTTGTCTCATGCCTGAAGAACTCTCGTTTCGTAGGTCTTCCTCCAATTCCTCCCTCATTCCTAGTTGATCTCCTGCTGCCCCAATCTTGACCGGAAGATCAGGCTGACTTAATTTTCAAATCCAGCTGCATCTAGCAACATGCGATAACTTGACCCCGCACATATCCCTCATGTCCTACACCTACCTCCCCTCGACTCCGTATGACCCGTACCCGACCATCATCATGACCACCAATCCCGCCTCGCGCAAGACCAATCACCTCCTCTCCAACCCGCGCGTCTCTCTCTTGGTTCACGACTGGGTTTCGCATCGGCCTCCGACCCGTGCTCCCAATCCGCATGGCGAACGTGAGGGATCGCCACCCCCAGCGGCAACCCGCTCCTCGCTGGCTAGCCTGCTGCTCAACCTGAACACTAGTGCGTTGTCGAGCATCTCCACAACCATCACCGGCGAGGCCCGATTCCTTGAGCCCGGGTCCGAGGAAGAATCCTGGTGTAAGGAACGCCACTTGGAAAACAATACCTTCGAGGAGGAGGAAATCAACCTGTTTGGCCAGCAGCAACGGCAGGATCCCCATGCTAGACGGCCCAGCATGGTTATTGACACTGATGTCCGGGTAGTTACCGTCCAGGTACGGGAAGGCCGCATCGCGGACTGGAAGGGTGGAGTTCGGGACTGGATCTTGCTCCCGACGGAGGAGGCCCAGGCGGGCCTTGTCAATGGCTTGTAGTTTCGAAATTGGGTAGCCAAGAGCTGATTCTCACCTAACACCTGTGTTGTGACTTGATCTCTGTCGTGAAAAGCACCTAGCATTCTGGATAGAGTATGAGAATTACGATGGATGAAAACAATAGCATATGTGTATATCTGTAATCCCATTGCTTGGTCTCCTTGATACCAGATCTCCGACCAATTCCACTTACGAACCAACCGCCTAAGAGTCCCACAATCCTCAGACCCTGGTAATAGTAATTGATAGGGTCAAAACAGGCAGTACACTCCCAGCCTAGCTGGCCGGATTTTGACATGGCGAGGCGCCCACCCACTATGAAACATTTTGAGCACGAACCCCTACTTAAATGATCCACTTTTGCTGACTACTGAGCATATCAGAGTGCACAGAAGAGACGTGGAAAGCACCATTTCAAGCAACTCAATTTCAAAGAGCCTCAGCTATTGGTCAAATGACCGACATGTGTTCGGAGGCTGGAGGTGAGTAATACATGAGTAATGCATTTTTGCATACTGCGAGCGGTCATGTTATCAGTAAGCTACGTCCCTACTAGAAGAAATAAGTAGGGATTCATTGCTGACAGAAGATCTAGCGTTTTGGCCCAAACAAGCAATCTCAGCCAGTGGTGTTATTATGAAGTAAATCGGGGTTTTTTCGAACCTGTATTTAATGTCTTTAGGTTTGTTTTGGTCCCTTTTGTATTCAGAAATGTTATACTTCCTGCTTCCTTGGCTCTCCTCCCAAATGACCACATGGTATCCGTAGTCAGTGGCGCATCAGACGAGATAGAAATGACATACCTATGTATTATCTCTCAAATCGAAGCGGAAGAATCCGTGGCAGATACTCAGGCCGGTCAGGCATTGGTTTCAGTAGCCGAAGTGTCTGGATATACTCCCAGTGTTCTGGGCACCAACCAGCATATTCCCAGTCAAGGATAGCTGTGACACGGCTTCCATCAACAAGGATATTCCGGGAAGAGAAATCGGAATGAGTAAAGACGATATCATGGTTATCCATCAGTGTATATATCTCCCAGGATCAACTCGTTAAACTGCTGTTTAGAATCAAATGAGCCGCCTTCAATTGATGCAATCTGGTCAATTATAGCCTGATCATGGTTGATCGCTCCGATGTAGTCGCCTTTCATCTCGCGGAGTTGTTTAATATAAGAATGAAGCTAGATGGCAATAGAGAGTTTCTGATGAGAATCTAAAGTATCCCATGCTTCATCGAGTCGCTTGCCAGGTAGGTAGTCTATTACATAGCCATACCTTTCCCGCCTTTGTAGTGAAGATGATGAGCTTTGGGTACAGATATTGTCGTTTTTGCTGCAATGAACTGAAGTGGTTGTGCTTTATGGGCGCGAAGATCGCCCGACTTCACGACGAGATTTTTCTCATATCGTATAATTGTGCGACCACTCAACGAATGAAGTCGTTCCTTCTTCGTTTTTGAATTCATCCATGTCGTATCAAGAATATTGAATTGTGATGAGTTGAGCAGAGTAGAGGAGCGAGTGTGAGCGAAGAAAAGTCGAAAGGTTTCCCAGAGAGAAAAAGAGGAGAAATTGATCTTGCTGACGGAGAATAAAGAGGATGGCGGGGCCGCATTCCGACTGATGAAGAGAATCTCATCGTGAAATAAGCAGACACGGCAGGATTTTCGTCGCAGTTGGCCCGGCTGATGAGGCTGAGGCAACCTGAATCCGAATGTCAAATTTTAAGCAAGCCCTTTCAGACGCTGCTAAATATGTCGTCAGCAGAAGATGATGGTGAATTCCTGGTACCTCTTTCCAAGGGATATGATGACCAACTAGATTTCTATTATAGGAAGAAGAATTGTATCATCATCCAGAGTATCATGTAGAAAATAAAGATAAAAACATACAATATTCATAATTCGCATACCGAAGCCGCTCTGGGTAATCCTGTAAGTAGTTTGATATGATCTTCATTTTTATGGTAATTCAGGACGCCGAAAGCTATACATCTCGCTAGAGCTTGATATAGAGTCCGCATGTAGCTCTCTCGGACGGATTATGCCGGCTGAGGGCTGAAAGGCCTCCCTCAGATCCTTTATTCTCTTCTCATACATGCGGCGTTGGAAGATAAGTGCTGCTATACTTGCTACAGCGCAGGCCCCTAGGGCAACACCCAAGCCAGCGCCAAGTGCAGTAGTCTTGGAGTCTTGACCAGAGTTTGATTGACTAACCGAAGCAGTCTGGTCTTCTTTATGTATAGATCCGGCCGTAACCTCAATAGCAGTCGCAGTCGAAGTGGTTGTCGCAGTCAACGAAGCACTTGTAGTGGAGGAGGTAGATGACGTGACAGATTCCGATGCTGTAATTACAGTTCCCATTTCAATTTCGAATGAATCGTCACAGCAATCATCGCCACTTGCGCTGCAACACCATTGATTTTGACCTTTACTAGTACATGGGACGACATACACAGCCGAATCCCTAGTATATGTTGCTAGAAGAGAAGAAAAAAAGAAATCTAAATTAGCTATTATATCCAGACATCTTGTCACAAGGTCATATATTGAATATCGATAATTACATGTATTGCAAACTTGTGGACATTCTGACCCCCAGGATTGATCATTGCAGGCATTCTGGACGATAAGTCCAGTCTGGGGCACAACTTGTATTAAACAAAGCCCATTTGATAGACATACATCAGGCGCCAGGTTGTCGGGTTTCGCAAGTGCACAGCATGGACTATTTTCTTGGTCTGGAAAGCACGGTCGCTGCTCATCGCCCTCCCTGCTGCTGATGCTGCTACTGACACCAGGTGGCCAGTAGCAATGGTCCCCACTCGCAATAGCAGAAGAGAAAATCGACGTTGCAACAACTAAGCCCAGCAGATTGAGTGGTGCATTCCGGTGAAATATCATGATCGATAGACAAATTAGAAAAAGAAAGAAAGAATAGGGACAGGATCGAAAGTTCAGGGGTTGCAATTTGAAATCTTAAGTAACTTTCAAAAACACCTACCGCATATCCACTTTGGGGGCCAAATTGACAAGGGACCAGTCCACAAATTTCACATTTGCACTAGAGACAGATTAGAAGCCGGAGGAATTTGGGGGGATTGCTATTTGATGGTATATCAATACAACATGCTAATGAAATGAGGCAAGGTACATTTCTCCCGAAGCCTGTGCTGTACGTAAGCATAACTTACTGCACATGGTGCTGTCAGGTCTAGTGTCACTGGTGTTGACCTCGGGACCCTGAATGCCCCACTAAGGACCCGCTTCCCGGACCCTGCCAGACCCTGGATGTATGAGGTTCCTTGCCAACCCTCTAATTATTGAAATAAAGGATTTTGTTCTGCCATTCGCTTTCTTGCCATTTGTCAAGATTCTACAACCTCAAGCACTATAATAGGGAAGAGCCGCGTCTGTATCATTCCTGTTTCGGCATAATATATTATAAAACTAGTCTCTTAATAGTTCGGATTAATTTCGGATCTGAATAAAGAAGGAAAATCCCCCATCTCCCCAATTGAATCTCTTCAAGATTCAGCTGTAGAATAAACTATCATCCTTCTTATCCCTCGATTCCATAAAGATTAAGAAAATATTTATTTTCTCCTTACCTAAACAACAGGCTTCTACCTTGCAAGTAGTACTCTAAAATTTATAATATAGGCTTATAAAATCCGCTAGAGCGATTATTATGAAAGTTTAATTTTTATAGCTCTTAAATTAAAAATATATTATTAATAAGTATCTATCTTAACTTATTACCATTAGTATCTTATGTATTCTAAGCCCCTCTATATACTAATTTCAAAATATTTCTATCCTTTTTCCGCTACTTAACCCAATTGAGAATTCCGCTATAGGGTTTAGCGGAATGCAAAGCGGAGCGCGAGCTGTTCTATCTAAGCTACCACCGCTTTTACAAGAGAGCTCATGATATAATCCCTGCTAGAATCATACCCGTAGTCGCCTTTCTTACCAGCTTTAGGTCTATAATAACCGTGATTTCGGCAGATTGAAATGGTTGGGACGGCTTTGAAAAGGTATAGCACGCAAATTCATCGACAAGCTATCAAGGCGATGCAGAGGGACAGCGTGGGGGTCATAATGGAATATTCATACACACATTAACTTCAGAACCTAAATGAGAACAACTCATCAGTAGCAGAAAGTATCCCATTCCCTAGAATTTCTCGTTCTCGTCATTCCTTTCAAGCTGATTTTTGATTTTTAAGACGCCTCCCTTATCTTTGAGTTCAAGATATGCGCGAAGCACCATATCCAGCTGCAACTTTGCAGCTCTCATGATATCCTCTATCCGGGGACAGTACATCTTGAAAAATGCTTCCTGAAATACCGTGTAATGAAATGTTGGCTGGAAGAACAGTCTCGCTCTGGAGCTCTAAAGAAATGTTAATGGTGCCCTGGCGTCGCATCTCATCCGGCCATGAGGGGGTGTTCAAGTCTACGGCGTTCTTCTGTTGTTTTGACCGTGTTTCTCCTCTTCGAGAACCTTAGCGAGGAGAGATGAACGAGAACAGAGTAATCTTTTCACCTTGGGGACGGGAATGGGAAGGGTGAGCTGGTGGAGGGAATGTTTCTTTTTTGCGGCGTTCCTCTGGGGCTTTTGACCGTTTTGCTTCCCTCCGAGATTCTGAGTGAGGCAAGAGTGAAGAGAAAAAACTGGGTGAAGATGTGAGGTGCAAGTTTCTAGTTTAGTTTAGTTTAGTTTAGTTTTTTTTTCTTCTTCTTCATTTTCTTCTCTTTAGATAGACCTAGCCCTCTTTGGAGGTAGCCATTCGAAGTATAAGATATCGGGCCTTCCGGGCACTGTCGTCTTCATTCAGATATGCATTTCGCGATTCACCGTAAACAATTTGTCCACCAGAAGGATATTGTAGTGAATCCTCATCGATCTGAGTCTCCTGATAGATGAACACAAATATCCAAGGCAGGATCAAGTATCAGACTTCTAGACTATGGGGACAGAGGAGTGTTTAGAAGAAATAGCGGCATTATGCGATCCATGTAGGTGCACATAAGATTGCACCGATATTAGCCGTCCCTCAACTATAGAGTCCGATTGCTAAGCTACAGATTGACCCACCAGACAAAATCCGCTATAACAATATGGAACTAAATATACGTCTATCTCCAAAGTATCAGCGCCCCAACTCATCGCGATTGGTTGTCTGTGTGCTTGACAATCGCCCTGCGTCGGAGAGCCCTGGTTATCAGAGCTTATCGGAACCCCGGAGCTGCCAGCTTTCTCCGCAACTCCAAGAAAACCCACTTGACCTCATCAATTCCGACTCCGAGGAAAACGCAATCCCACTCCAAGCCTCTCGATAATGAACCACAACACCGTTCGATACACAATTTTTCTCTAATCTCCTCACATCCTTCCACTACGCTTCTTTTAATACCATTGACGAATCCTATCAATTCTTCAACCGCGACCATGAGACTTGCGCACCTCCACCTTCCACACATTACGCCCTTTGCGCGAGTCTCCGAGCTCCAACAAGCCCTGACAACCCGCTTTCTCACCCACAAGAAGCTCACCTCCCCGGGCTCCATCTCCTCCCAAGATATCCCGCACCGCAATTACCTCGCCCAGCAATGCGCCTTACCACCCCCCGACCCAATTATCATCACTTTCACCCCCAATCCCGTCTACACCACCGGCCGCCGCGACCTGCCCCCCTCGAACACCTGCCCGCCCGACCCGCAGCATCTCTCGCTCCCGCCACCCCTTGAACCAATCCGCACACTACTCACCCCGGCCGCGCCGGACTCCGCGCCGCAAGTCGAGTACCATCCGACCCTGCGCGGTGGTCAGACGACATACCACGGGCCGGGCCAGATGGTCGGGTACACGATCCTGGACCTCAAGCGCCTAGGGCTCACGCCGCGGTGCCACATCCGAGTGCTGGAGAATAGCGTGATCGACGTGCTGGCCCGGTACGGGGTGCACGGGCATGTCACGGGCGACCCGGGGGTGTGGGTGGGCGAGGGCGACGCGGCGAAGAAGATCACAGCCGTTGGGGTGCACCTGCGACGGAACATTAGTAGCTTTGGGGTTGGGCTGAACGTGACAGAGGCGCCGATGTGGTATTTCCGGCAGATTGTGGCGTGTGGGCTGGAGGGACGAGAGGCGACAAGTCTGGAGGGGATGGGGGTGAAGGGCGTATCGGTGGAGGACGTGGCAGGCGTGTTCGTGGAGGCTTTTGTGCGGAGGGTGAATGCGGATTTCGCATGTGAAGGCGGGAAGGGCGGAGAGAGGATCGAGGAGGTTTATGAGGTTAGAGAGGAGGATTTGATTCAGGAGTTGGCTGGCTGAGGGCCTGGGTGGGAGAGGGATGGCGGCGTTTCAGGGAAATGGGCTGGCGATGGGGGGACATGTATATAATTTCCCAAGAATCGAGAATTGGTTCTGGGTATCAGGTTGGGCTTGAGTGTGACCATAAAAAAGAGATTGATCCAATAAGCATTATATAGATGTTTATAAAAGTGTAAAATACTAGAAATGGGTGGTGGAGGGTGGGTGGGAAGATAGAGCGCCAACCTCGCTGAAATGCTTCGACAACCAAGAGGCGGAGCCATGCAAAACAAATGTCAAAGGACCCGAAAGGTAGAAGAACAGTCCTGCCAGTTCTTCGGCATGTTCAGGCCAACCGGGAGGGGGAAAATGCCTTGACGGCTGAAAAGTCTCAATCAAATCCAAAATGCAGGGTGGGGGAATCAACTCGTGTGCAAAGGTATACAAAGGTAAGAAAAAACCAAGAAAAGGGAAGCAGACGGGAGCAGAATCGGGGGGAGCCAGTATCGGGTCCTGGTACAATAGGTTCAACACACGTCCATCAACAAACGTCACAAGAAAGATAGTCGGAACGGTGCAGAATCGGTCTAGAGGATGACACAAGACGAGCTGGATCCCTTCGCCCCGGCGGGTTTTACCTCCAGAGCAACCTTGGCCGCTTCGTAGAAGCTCTCTCGGATTCCGCGATTCTGGACGGCCGAACATTCTTCAAAATTTCCCATTAGCATTTTATTCCCTTCTCTGCTGGAAGTAATCAAGACAAAGAGTCGACATACCTAAGTATTTGACAGCACCGATTTCTTTGGCTTTCGCAAGGCCCTGGTCAAAGGTAATCGCATCGGGGTTATCGTTCTGCTCATCGTCCTTCCGCAAGTCGCACTTGAGCGCGGTTAGCACGACCCGCACGCCAGGGCAGTTCTCATTGATTTCTGTAATCCACTTTGATCCGACATTCTCAAACGAGTCACGGCTGTCAATCTTCACACCAAGTTGTCAGCAGCTTGGCTCTCTTTGCGCTTGCGCTTAGGCCGACTCCGCGCCCAATTGTCCTGCAGTACTTACACTGAAGCACAGCATGAGCACGTGGGTATCCTCGTAGGAAAGCGCGCGCAACCGATCGAATTCCTCTTGTCCAGCCGTGTCCCATAGTGACAGCTCTACATGGACATTGTCGACGAAGATATCTGTGTGCGCTATGAGCTTATGGCGATCCGGGAAAGGGGCGGCGGGGCCAACGGGGGAATGACATACCATGGACATAGTTTTCTAGAAGTTAATAGTTAGTGACCTCGTTGTTTTCTTGACACTTGAAGAGCAGGCGCATACCAAAGACCGTCGGCTCACTGGAGCGCAAATGAAACGGCTGCGGTCAGTCGATTTGTCCGGGAGGCAACAACGAACTTCAAATTTCGCGGCGATTCTGCTATGAGTGGGAAATTGCTTACTATACTGTGGGAAAAAATCTAGATCAATAGGCTGTTAGCTATCGTGGTCCAGATCCAGGCGCGGAGAGTGAAAGCCAGGAGGGGAGGTTTAGGGGGGACTTTGCGCACCCTCTTGTAAACACATTCAGCGCGGAAGTCTTGCCGCAAGCACCGTCGCCCCTGTTGATTCCATGTTAGAAATTGTTTCCAAGACGCCAACACCGAGTCGTTGCGGGCCAACGAACAGCAGCACCATCTTGCGCTGGACGACCTTCTGACGTCCGCACAGTTCCATTGCGAAAGGACGGCGGTTCAGGGGGAAATTGCCGAGGTCTGCGAGAGGTATAGAACGGGTATAGGAGATCGCCGGGAGAATCAGAGCAATCGGACCAATTTGGTGAAGGGGAAGTGTCTGAACGAGGGATCTGAAGAGGAAGTCGAGGGGGAGAAGAGGATTCCAGCACTGCCCGGGTCGATGACATCGCGCCCTGAAGGGGATCGGCGAATAAAGTACCACGTCGGTTTCTGTCCCCCGCCCCTCCCCCCCAACACTTGCGGGCTTCGGGCTCTGTGGCCAAGCCACACTTTTAGCTGATTTTTTGGCGATTTCTGGCGATTTCTGGCGCGTTGCTGGTTGCATCTATGATGGGCTCGGATTGTCAGCTCGTGGGCGCCAATCGGTCCATGCCATTGTTCTGCAGCCTTGCTTATCGCTGGTTTGATTTGCAACTTGAATGGCCGAACACTGAATGGGAATGAAAATAGACAGTTCCTGAGGGATGTGATTTGTACAAAGTACGCCTATGACAGTCTCGGTAGTGCTTACTAGCAGACGTCCGTTACGTCCACCGTTGCCCGTATCCTTCGGCTCCCCCTAATTCCCATCGCGATATGGCAGGGCGGGTTTCCCATAGTCGATTGAGTCCGCAACCCCCCTTCCGGGGAGATTTAGTTGCAATCTCGCCAATCATCCAGCCCTGCGTGCGCCTCTATCTATTTATCTCCGTGAACCCCGGATATATGATATCATTTTGCTGTGGCTCCCTAATGGTTCGCAAGCGTGAATTACACGCCTTTCCAAGTAGCGAGCACCAGCGACTTCGTTCCTCCACCTCGGCTCTCAGAGACTGGCTCCCAATCTTTTAACGTGCAGACCACCTCAAAGTTATTTTTCTCGAAGACCCTGACACTGCCTTTGTTCTCCTCAAAAGCAGCAGACTTGAGGAGCTTGATATTCATACGCGGCAACCCCCAATCGTGGAGAACCGTTCGTATTGCCTGCGTCATGATCCCCCGGCCGTGATGAGAAGGAGCCAGGAAGTCTGCAGGGGAGTTATTAGAAAAACCGACTGCTCAATGCCGCGGAAGAGATGAGAAGAAAGACGAAAAGAAAAGATTATTACCGCCTATTCCCCAAACAATCCGCTCATCCCCAGCAGGTAGTTCCTCATTCAATCGCTGCGCCTGGGCTCGTTCCTCACTGCCATGTTTATGCTCATAAAACATATACCGATTGACCCCAACATCGCCGATCAAGAAATCCTTCAAAGGGTGTCCGGTATGAGGGTCCTGCTCGGTAACTTCACGGATCACATTGAAGGGACAGATGTCAAAAAATTGCTGCTCTTTGACCAAGGTTTCGAATTCCACGCGCAGAGCATTGAGAACGGGCTCTCCAGCTTCGCATTTCATTTTCACATATTCCTCTTCGTGCTCGGGGAGAAAGGGATATGGAGGGCCGGAGAGATTGAGGTAGATCCTCGGGTCATTGAGAAGCGGGACTTTGGCTTCGATGGTTTGCTGTAGTTGATTCAGACGGTGGGGTGTGATGATGATATTGGAAAAAGGGTCTGCCAGGCGCAGGTACGGCTCCCTTGTGTCGGTGTTGTAGTGGACAGCCATGTTACCAGGCTGCCTTATGTTCAGTAATGAGATGTGAACGCAATATACCACGAAGCAGATTTCCGCGTGGGGAGTTGCAGGCTTAGATCAGATATACATGTATTGGGGTTTGATTTGAAATCCAGTGAACTAGTTGGTGGATGTCACCTCGCTGTGACTCATAGGTGGTGGTGGCCTGATAGAAACCTGGTCATTTCCCGTCCCAAAGGTGGCCTTGATTCTGGATCTTACTTCTAGGGGTTATCCGGTTGCTCTAACATACTGGTGGAGGATGATTATGGCCGGTAGCTGTTGCATATTTTAAATATCTTGTCATGGCTCTTGTAGATCCTGAAGTTTCCTTGCCCAAAGGATGCTTGATTCTGACTTCAACCATATCAGAGCTAGCACATTTAGTCGATGGCGCTGACATTCTTCATTTTCAATGATCCAAAGAAAGCCGACTTCTGTAGTCTCCCTGTTCACTCTTGCTCATAAATGGCATACTAAGGACAGCATCTTATGAATGCCAGAACCCAGAACCCTCATACCAGACCCGAGCATCAATGATCTATGCGATAGCCCGATAGGGGACACGTCAATAGGACCCCCTATCTCTGATTATAGAAATCTGCCCCCTCCCCGAACTGAGGCACTTGATTGATCGATCCAGTCTACTGTTTTGTGACTAAATTCCAAGGTTTGATCGGAATGAGTGGCCAACCCCCAGTTGCGTTATGGATGTGTTGATTTGGTTGCTTTGGTAGTCGGGCGGCGAGCTTCAGAACACAATACACATGCCAAGGCGGGCGGCACAGCTCTTGCGATCCCTCACGAACTCCCCGCAAGCACCGCCCTCCCCCATCCCTTCTCGACTGCCTTCGCTTCCCCCTGCTTTCACCTTCTCATATTCTAGCGACTTTTTGCACTTGGTCAAGCTTTACAAAATGTCGGACGACGATGATTTCATGCAGGACTCAGGCGACGAGGAGTATTTACCCCCGCCCTCTTCTCCGCCCCCGGGGCTTCCCAAATATCAAACGGAGCTGACAACCTCGCTCGCAGTTACGACTTTGAATACGAAGATGACGAAGACGATGAATCCGGTGATATTGGGATCGAGAACAAATACTATAATGCGAAGCAAATGAAGGTGGATAATCCGGAGGAGGCGATCGATGAATTCTTGGGCCTGCCTCCGATGGAACAAGACAAAAGCGAATGGTACGACGAGTTCCTGAAACCAAGTGCGAGGGAATTCTTTCAAGTTGACCGGTCTTCCACAGGGGCTTTAAAGGCTTGAAACAGGCGATCAAGTTGGAATTTAAGCTCGGACGATACGATGATGTATGGGAGTCTCTCACTCTCCGAGATCCGGGATTTTGACGGAGGAGGATCTGGATGCTAACAATTCGTTCGATCAGGCTGTCGAACACTATCGAGAACTCCTCACATACGTCAAGTCCGCCGTGACGCGCAACTATTCCGAAAAATCCATTAATAACATGCTCGACTACATCGAGAAGGGATCCGATGATGTCCAAGCCTACCAGTGCATGGAACAATTCTATTCCCTTACCCTTGCCTCCTTTCAAAACACCAATAACGAACGACTCTGGCTAAAAACGAATATTAAACTGGCCCGGCTATGGCTGGAACGAAAAGAATACGGCCAACTGGGAAAGAAGGTCAAGGAACTGCATCGGGCTTGTCAGCGGGAGGATGGTTCGGACGATACCAGCAAGGGAACCTACTTGCTGGAGCTCTACGCCCTCGAGATCCAAATGTACGCCGAGATGAAGAACAACAAGCGTCTCAAGGCGCTCTACCAACGCGCGTTGCGCGTCCGATCGGCCGTCCCACACCCCAAGATCATGGGCATCATCCGAGAATGCGGTGGTAAGATGCATATGAGCGAAGAGAACTGGGAGGAGGCACAGAGTGACTTCTTCGAATCATTCCGAAATTACGATGAAGCCGGTTCAATGCAGCGCATCCAGGTCCTCAAGTATCTCGTCCTCACCACCATGCTCATGAAGTCCGACATCAACCCGTTCGACTCGCAAGAGACCAAGCCTTACAAGAACGACCCCCGCATCTCCGCCATGACTGACCTGGTGGATTCCTTCCAGCGAGACGATATCCACGCCTACGAAGCCGTGCTGAGCAAGCACCCCGACGTGCTGGCGGATCCCTTCATCGCTGAGAACATCGACGAAGTTAGCCGGAACATGCGGACCAAGGCTATATTGAAGCTGATCGCTCCATACACCCGATTCTCACTCCAATTCATCTCCAAGCACATTAAGATATCCGTCCACGAGGTCCTGGAAATCCTGAGTTTCCTAATCCTCGATAAAAAACTCAGCGCCAAAATTGACCAGGAGACAGGTATCGTTGTGGTGGAGAGTGCTAGTGACCTTGAGCGCCTGCGCGCCCTGGAGGAGTGGAGCTCCTCTCTCAAGGGCCTCTGGCAGACCGCTTTCAACGGCGAAGGTTTCCGCCCTGACGACAATGGTCACGGCAGTGGAGGCGCTCTGTTTGCTCCGGGCTTCGGGGACGAGTCTCCTATGGGTCTCCGATCCCTTGCCCCCCGCGCGCGCAAGGACACCCGTGGCAAACAATTCGGAGGCAAGCTGGCCGGCGAATTGTAGAGCGCTCTGCATTCTACATAACCTTTCTCTCCTCTCCGCGTGGTCCTCGTTCCACTATCCGCTCTTGATCCCTATTAACCAGGTTCGATTTCAATTTAGCCGCATAGGTCTGGTACCCGCGAGCTTGCCACGTTGTCTTTTTGCTATTCTTCCACTCCTTCACAACCGAGCCGCACCTTTCTGCCTGATTGCATCTTAGTTTGAAACCAGGGTGGCTGGATGGAGCTTTGACCGTTCTAGACCGCACGCTCCAGGCCGAGACTGGAGGAGGAGGAAGAAGAAGAAGAAGAAGAAGAAGAAGAATAGGATGACGTCCACGTGGGGATGAAAAGGGGGCCTGGGCTCCAATCTCACATCATGTTTCTGTTGCCATTTTTTTCGGGGTCTTCTCTGCTGCCTTCGCTGCAGCGCATGAACAATGCGGCGCCGGGCCCTGGCAGCTTTCAAGCAGTCGAATATTCCTTTCCCCTTGGGGCTGAGCGATCACCGAGGAGTACGCGGACGAAGGCAAAGACACAAAAAAAAGATATCAATGGGTCCGAGAGACCTCAAGCTGAAGCATGCCCCGCAATTTAGAGTTGCTGTGACATAGTGCGCTAGAACCTCATGATAAGATGAATATGCGAATAATTGTGTTTTTGTCCTCTCATTTCCTTGTTTCTCTAGAGTTTGTGATGTGATTGTGGCCGGAGAACTTACATCGATGCTTCCCCTCAACTAGGCGGGAGGGATGCTCCCTGGCCCCTACCCGCTTCGTCAATCCCGTTTGCTTCGAACCGTGCGTGTCATCAATTATCGACTTCCCCCTGGCTTATAGAGATGTGTTAGTGATCGAGGATATGGTATATAGGTATGGTATATAGCCTATTATGTTCCCGGACCACCGATGTCAAATGTACCGCCGGGTTTACGAAGGGCCCCGGCCTTGAAGGAGATCAGAGGAGTATGAAGTATATCCTCCGTACCTATGTCACCTATGTATATCCTGTCTTTCCCTGCCATGCGACCCGTGTCCCAGAGCCTGGGTTTCGCTAGCCCTCAGCCACCGGCACCGAAGACAAATAACAGATGAGAATCAACCGCCCCCTCCCTTTTGCCCTGTCACCAATCGGCCGGATTCGCTATCGAACTCCTCCCCATCCCCACAGACCTCACACCTCACACCTCACACATCTCACCGGTCTTGGAGAGAGGGTGTGGGTGACTGAGATAGCCCTTGTATACACCATACGCCCGGTGAACTCAGGAGCCTCCGCACATTCGCCATTGGCGCCCAGCGCCTTAGTGTTTAGGCATCAGTCTCGGGAGTTTCCCCGTGAGTCGGTGCGCCGAGGGTTCCACTACTACGCTTCAAAACGGAAGATGCTCCGACGAGCGGGCTCGGCGATAGGTCTGCTTGGTTGCAGGAGGGAAGCTGAAGCAGGGAACAAAAGGGAGAAGGCGGGAGGGGGTGGGGGAAGGGGCGTGAAACAAAAATCAACAATACGAGCCCTGCGAAGGGGTACGAAGTACAGGGTACAAGAGGGGAGGGAAAATGGGGCTGGTGAAGGACGAGCGCTCAAAGCGCATGTGAAGAGGAGGGGGCGCGAACAAGTCGACGTCTTCGGACAAACCTAGGGCACGATGGATGGCGACGTGTTAATGAGCACGGATAATTGTCTGCTTACTCGGAAGCCACCATGGCCACCTTATCTCGTCTCCACCGCAAAACTCTAGTCTAGTCGCAGCAGGTACGCCTGAGATGACTGCAGGGAGATTGAGAGATGGGGAGATCGAAATCGATGGGGGCTGTGATTTCATGGAGGATACATGTATTGAAAGTATAGAACATATGGCAAAAAGTGTAGAAGGTTTGAGCAGCGCAGCCAAAATGGAAAATGGTTGAATTCAGAGATGATCTAGAACTTGAAGTTACCTGTCGGTAGCTTAATGGAATGTTCAGTGTTTCTGCGAAGTAGATCGATAGTATACCCCATCATAACAAGCTCACTTATAACCAGCTCCGAGCGTTGCACGAATAGTAGAATAATAGGAGCCGGAGTTATAGCAATAGTATGACTATTATGAATGTTCGAGACTCGGGTCCTTGACAAGCTGTACATTCTCTCGTCTTCCATCAAGCACCCGGATCTCACGGCGTTCAGCTTGGTATGCACTCACAGACGGGGGCATGCAAGGAGGCGACCTGTCAACTGTGTCAACGGGGTCTCGAGGATGGTACGTGCACTGATCGCACGAATAGGCGCCGGGGGCTCCCGGTGCGTGATCAGAAGGCGCATTGACCAGGGGGGCGAGGGGGAAGTTTGAGGTAATGCAGAAGTTGGAGACTCGAAGTCACTTCTCGACATGAAGCATGGTGTCCAAGGATGAAGAGAAAGAGGATCTATACTCCAGCTGGAGTGATTGGTACTTCTGGACACAGGATGACGACGGCCCCCATCTCAAGGAAGCTGGAGAGACAGACTACACAAAGTCTGCATCATCCAGGCGCGCCCGTTTTCGCACGTCCCCAACTGGAATGCACATCAGGCCCTCCCCCTCCTTCCAACGCCTGGGATCCTAGCGCCGAGTCGGGTGATGGACACAAAAGCAAGAGGCCGTCGATTTTTCAAAAATCAACCATATTACCGATGCCTATGAGCAGGGAAATGCGGAGGCGGATGGGAGCCTTTTCGCCCCCCTCCCAACCCCGCCGGGGGAGCTCTAAGCTCAAACCATAATGCCACAGCGAATGTGATAGTAGACTATTTCCGACCGAGGATGCTCTCTCCGATCTCTCCTGTTTTGCCTCTCGTGTCCTTGGATTTTACAGGTTGGGGGGGGAGGGGGGCTTACACTGCATCGTGATATCTTAGAACAATGGCGATTGTCAACCGCCAGTAGAACGAGTTATACATAGTATACAGAGTCCGGGAAAAAGACCCTCTCACACCCAATGATTCTTAAGGCGATCCCGATTACCAGGGACAAGCATCGCGAAAGATAGACAAGGTCGAAGCCACAGAAGAGAAAAAGGAAAGAATGGAAAAGAAAAGAAAAGAAATCCCTCTTCCCCCCATCACCTACCGCCGCATTGGGGACCACAGCTTCGGTGCATGGGGGCCCTCGTCCGTCCGCGAATCAGCATAGGACCATCGCAATCGGATCGCGATCAAACCACAAATCCAGGAACTTGCTCGGTTTTTCCTGAATGGCTGCATTTCACGCTGTCGCTTCACCTGAATACGAATATGAATGTCCAAGAAAAAAAAGACCCCGCTTTTTGTACGGAGTAAAGCCCGACGTGAAGTTGAAACAGCCCGATACAGTCCGAGATAGAGTTGACGCAGCCAGCAACGCCTCTTGCACCCCTTCTCCCCTTAGTATCGAACGGCTGGGCACATGCTGGAATAGGAGCTTCATGTTGTCCCACTTAGAAAGATAGAGAAATTAGATCCTTGTGCTTGGGCACATCTGGGGAGGAGGGGTGGGGGGTTCCTATATGTCGGTCGGGTTGTTCCCCCCCCCATTTCTTAGTTTCCCTGCTGTGCTCTCTGGGAGAAAAGTGGCCAGGACGCCTAGGATAATACTCGGTGGCGAATTGCATTGTTGTGTTTTGCTTTCATTTTTTGATAGCTGTATTTTGGGGGAGAAATAATTCATTCCATTATTACTCCGAGGAAAGTAGGGACGGGGTCATACTTGGGCATACTTAGGACGGAGACCGGCTACTGCCTCCGAGGAGGGACTACTGCACTACTAGTACTAAAGGAGACTAAATAGAATGGACTCAGTAGTCGTACTAGACTTCTTTATCGGTGGGGCCATACGGAAGAACCCAAAGATTTGATTTTACTTTTTGTCGGGTCTGGGAACGACGAAGGGGGGGGGGTGTTTGCATTTGGACCGGCAGATGATGACTCGCGCGCTTAGACCAAGACTCGTTGAGGTCCCGGGGATTCTGATTCATGATTTCAAGATGGTGGTTCTGATCCTTCATATCTTGTATTCGGGATAGGCGATCAAAGGGACTGGGAGGAATGAGGAGAGTGGGTTGTTGTTGTTGTTGAAGACAACCATACCGAAGTATACGCGAAATGTATCCGATCGTGTAGTATTTCAGACGATAGGGTAACAGAAGAGGAAGAACGGTTTTTTGGGGACTCATTGGGCGCGTGGAAACAGACGAAGGGGCGCGGGATTGGATGGTTCCTGACACTGCAGTTGTGCTGGAGGGCCTGGGTAAATCAGCATCCGCATGAAAGCTCCACTAGGCGAGGAGTTAGTTGCCTGTACGGTTGAGTTGGCAGGTGGACGATCGGCCTCTTCAGCGCCTGTCATGGATCTGTATGGACGGATGCCACCGCGGGCACGCATCGTTATTTATTACTTCATCGCGCCTCCATGTACATGTACCCGATGGACTGGATGCCGTCAAAGCCTTCTTCGCGCTCATTTGATTTTCTTTGTCACTGTGCCCTGTATGATTCCTTTCCTTTCCTCTCCCCTCTTTCCACGATCCGTATCGATCCGAGCCCCTTATAGGTCCTTGGCTTCCCACGCTTGAGGTTGGAGCCGATCGCCTGGTTTTTTTTTTTCTTTTTTTTTTTTTTCTTGTTTTATTCTTTTATTATTATTATTATTTTCCCTCTTCCGCTTTTCTCCCTATCTTCTCTCTATCTGTCTTTGGTAGCGGTTCTTCTTGATCGATCGTTCTGCTGGCCGTCCAGTCTCCTAGTTCCGAGTCCCCAAGGTTAATATAGGGACGGCTACTTGGATTAGGCCCGAGGCACGGGATCTACTTCCAGACCCCGAATCTGATCTCCCAATATCCTCTCTTTCTGGGAACCCCCGCTATCGTGTGTTGCATCTAAGGTTTTGGAGGGGGTCCTCGTCACTGTGATTCTCCCTGATTTTGTCTCGCTCTCTTGTCCTAGTGCCGGGATTGCGAATCGGGCGCATTGACGCTGGTCTCGGGGGTGAGATTGGGGGGGGGAGAAACGAGAGTCTCCGTCGAGAGTTTTACCTGTCAGAGAGTGTGTCCGAGCCAGAGCTCATCTGGCCTGGGGGATTGGAATAGGCCTCTTCATTGTCGTACTCCTATGGCTTTCTCTTGCGCTTAGTATTATATCCCGATTCTTCCTTCCAATTTCTCCTCTTTCGTCCCATCTATCACCCACAATTGGGTCTCCCTGGCTCTCTCGGCGTGCTCAATTATCCAGACATCTGCCGGTGCGCGTGCTCCTGCGCTTGCTGCCCTGGTTCCTGGATTCCTGGCGTCCTTCCCTGGCCCTTTCGTGACGCTCTGGTGAGTGGTGCTTTGATTTTCCTTCTTCTTGTGCTCCCGCCTCCACCGAGCAACACCAAAACAAAAACACCCACGGATCACGCTGATCCACCAGAGCCCGGACCAGCAAGCAACTCATTTGTGGTGGTTGGTCTTGCTCGTTGCATCCGAAACCACCGATACCGAACGTCGCGACTCCGTTTCCTTTCCGCCATTGAAACCGCTCGACGGCCACCCTTTCTCTCTTCCCTTCCCTCCCCTCTTTCTCCGTTCTCTCTTTTCTCTTGACCTCGTGTTCGGCAACTGGTCGTCTCCATTCGGTCTGCCTTCTTCTTTCTTCACAACTGCTTCGTCGCTCTGTCTCCCCATCCCCCTCCTCCCCCACATCTCCTCCCCCCTCTTGGTCGATGCTACGTTCATCGAATGTGTGACCGGTGATCGTGGAATTGTGAACACCAAAACATCAAGAAGTTCCCAAAGGTCTGAGCTCTCCCCTCTCCGTTTGCCCGCAGATCCGCCTATCCCTCCGCCTCATTGCTCCTGCTTCCTGCTTCTGCTGCCCCGATCGTCGTCTCTGCTTTGCTTTGCTTTTTATGCTTTGCCTGTCATCCAATCCCCCTGGACCATCGGCACGCGGCTCTGGGCGCTCGCTGCCATCCTGGCCGCCTTGCCGCCCCCGTCGTTCCCGTCGTTCCCCGTTGTGTCGTTCTCGGGACACAGCACGGCAATTCCATATTGGTTTTGCTGCATCTTCCTCCGATCAGCATCGGGATGCTTTCTCCGGTGCTTTGGAATCTCGGCTTCGTCTCTCGGAATCCCTGTTCCCTACCCCCTACCCCCTAACCCACCAATTCCCCCCCCCCTTTCCCTTTTCTATCTCCTCAAAGCTTTCCAAGTGGATCCCGGCTCTGGTGGTTCGTGCACCCTTCACAGCGGCAGTGCCGATGATCCCTCGGGGGCTGCCAACCATCTCGCATGGAGATAGCAGCCGTTGAGAAGGTCGACCAGCCCTGTCGAGGCTGACATCATTTACCACCTGCCGAGTCTGCGGCGCTGGACGAACTGCAATCATCACTGGTGATAGTCTGACGGTCCTCGTCATCGTACCCTCCTTCCATACAAGCCTCTCCCTCCAAGTCACCTCGCCATCTTCTCATCCCACCCCCCCCTTCCCCCCCACATCTCTCCCTCGACTCCAAGCCACTCCCCTGCTATTCTGTTTCACAGGGTTCTTGGGTCCCGCTCCACTGGATCTAGGTTTTTTCATCACAAAAATTATTTGAGTGTTGCCTATCCAATCACGGTACAGATCTCAATCTGTCAGTGCTTGAAGGAACAAAAAGCCTCCCCCCCATCCTTGCCACACTAACCCGGCGGCTGGGAGTTCATGTTTCCCCGATGCGAGTCTCATTGGTGCCCTTTGGCGACATTGGGTGACCATGCCTTTCATGTTGCCTCATACTGCCTCATGTTGCCTCATGCTCCCCGTTCTTGTCCAGTGAATCGTGCAGGCCAATCACCGAACTTGCATGGATCTTTCTTTCTTTGATTTTGATTTTGATTTTTAATATTTTGTATTATTTTGTATTTTGATCTTCCCTCTGCATTTTTATCACGTACAAGAGCATCATACTGAATGGTCCAATAGGCGTGGCGCCCAAAGAACCGGAAAAACTTGCAGCATACAGTCCCGTGTTGCACAAGGGCGAACGAGTGCCGTGGTTCGCCCAAGCAGGAAATCCCATGTGGAGATGTCAATTCATGTCAGGAAGTGTGAGTGTGCCTGGCTTCCACTCACCTGCCCTCCCCCCCCTTCTTCACAAATATTTTTGCCTCTGCCTGATTCGACTGGTCCACTCCAGACAGGTCGGCAATGACGGCTGGGCTTGGGCGTGGGCTTGGGCTTGATTTCTTATATGCTGATGTTGGTGTTAGACTGTCATTGAAGTATAAAACCTTCCTGGCAAGGATATCGAGTTCCAGCTCTCTCACCATCCTGCTCTTCTAAACATTATCACTTTTGTCGGTCGTATGCAATGTCCTTGTCAAAACTCCCCTGGAGTCATTTTGGTCCTCACCATCCATTCCTGGAAAAACAGAAGTTTGTCGGCTTTTACCGGGACGCTCCTGCCCCGGCTGCCCTTCTCCCTCCTCCCGGTCTTGCAATCCCAGCCGCGTTTGACCTCCCTGGAACTCGCAATATGAGTAACCTCAATCTGAACACTCTCTCACCAGATGAGATGGAGCGATTCCAGAAATTATCCAATGAATTCCAGCCCGAGGTACAGGTATGAATCTGGAGAGCGAAGGTATCCCTTGACGCCAACGGCATGGGAACTGACGGAAATGACTCAATCTACAGGGACCACTTGTATCGCCCAAGCAATCGAGCCATACTATTGCACTGGAATACGCTAATGCGGACCCGACACTTGCGACGAAAACCAGTGTAAGCCCAGGCATCCAGGCATGGTCCCCAATGCTATGTTGCATGACAGTCTAATGTTGTCTCTAGGCCCTTGCTCTGACCCATCCCATGACCCGTGTGATGAAAGGGGATGGAAATTGTGGTTGGCGAGGTGAGTATATCACATCCCACGCCAAAGCTAGGGTTTTCCTAATCACAGTGTAGCGGTCGCTTTTGGTTACTTTGAAACCCTTTTTGCTCTCCGAGATCCCCTGCGTACGCAACGGGAACTAGCTCGGATCAAGTCTCTTAACTCGCTGCTAGACCAAGTGGGCCACCAAGAACACCTATATGAAATCTTTGTGGATGCTACGGAAGAGGTCTTTGCCCAAACCCTTGCCGCCATTCAGAACGGTGACCAGGATGAATCCTTTCTGGTGAATGCCTTCAATGATGAGTATAACTCGGATGCCGTTATTACTCACTTTCGGGTAAGCTCGCGTCTCTTGGGAATCTTCCTTCCTAGAAACAAGTAAAATAGAGACCCACCCCCGCCCCCTCCACCAAAAAGATACTGACTGAGATTTCGATGAAAGCTTTTGACCAGCGCTTGGATGAAACTGAACCCACAACGGTATCAAGCGTTTTTGTCCCTTCCCCTAATTAAATATTGTGAGACCCGCGTCGAAACCGTCAGGACCGAAATCGACGAAGTTGGACTGCAAGCTCTGGTAGACGGCGTGATTGATGCAGCCGGATTCGGAGTCGAAATTCTTTATCTTGACCGAAGTGAAGGCGAGGCCGTCACACCTCACCAGTTGTCCCCCAACCGTCCCAGCGGCGCAACTATTCGTCTTCTGTATAGGCCGTGAGGACCTCCCCTACCCCACGTTTGGGGCCTCTTTCACCAGAACCCACCCTGACTGACTTCTATAGTGGCCACTATGATCTCCTTTACCGAGCCGAAGCTACTGTGAATATGGCACCCGTGGTCAATTACCAATACGCAATGACTTCTAACTATTCCCCTTGGGACCAAAGCGCTCTTCCCTTCGACGTTAATTCCCACTTGATGTCAATTCCAAACCTCATGGCCGACCCCGCATTTCCTCTGGGCGGTGCCCCTATGTCCCCGATTCCCTCAGTTTCTCCAAGCCCTGGAAGTCCGTATCGAATATCTCCAACCCAGGAAATGTATCAGTCACCCATGCAAGCCCACGCCCCCATTCCATCAATTTCGGCCCCTTCACCAACACCCGTCATGCCGCCAGTGGCACCGCCCTCGATGACTACGTTATCTGGCAGATCATCGAGTGGACCACAGATTCGGTTAAATCCACTGGTCATGAAACCTAATCTGAGTCATTCTTTACCAGTGACTACCCCTTTCAAAAAGTGAGTGGTCTCCTCATCTTTGATACGAAATAATGCCATTGTTGACACCATTACAGTTCCCCTTATAATCAGGCCCATTTCCAAAACCAGGATTTCGAACCGATCCATTGGGAGCCGAGTGATTCTCGAAGATAAAGTTCTATAGTTCTTCCAAATTGGACGCATGGTAACTTTAATTGAAGCCAAACGGTGTTTTCAATTCGCTGCAGTCGTTTTTCTCCTACGTGTGGTGTGTCCGAGACACGGACTTAGCGTTTTTTTCTACCTCTTTCTCTCACTTTCTAAGTTTTCCGAGTCAGGCTTTCATATGATTCTTTTGATTCTCTAAACTGGCTTTGCCTTTCGGGATCATTCGGTGCTTTCCATAAGGATAAGGATTGACTTACTCCCTTTTCTCGAGTTAGAGCCTGGCCTGCGACTCTTGATTCCCCCTTCCCCCCCCTCCTCCCTTCCCCTTTCTGTCCTTTCCCCGTATTTTCTCGATGACTATCTTCTTGACATGGAGTGCGCTGCACTCCATGTTCCAAGCGGCCACTCTACACTTTTCTCGTCTCTCTTTTATCAGATTCCCTAAATTGTTATACCGGCTCGTCTCCGCCTATGCAGCTCGCTCTTTTCTTTCGGGATTCATGTAAACCAGGAACGGCCTCGACCTTGCTCGTGGATGCAGATCCACGGCAGCTGTAGAAATCATGACAATTCTTTCTATCACCTATCTTCTCGTGGTATATACATTGTGACATTTGCACCGCTCAGTCGTTCTACTCAGCCCATAGACCCGAACCGTATAATTTCCTCATCTTTCGCCTCCATCACCACATCGACCATCTCATCTAGTCCCCGATCTCGGGCTTCACCGTCCAAATACCCCGCGTTGACGAACCGCTCAAGGACATCGCCCACCCAATTCTGGCTATTCCAATCGCCTGTAGCCTCCGGAATGGGGGTCCCCGATGCAGTCGCGCGTAGCGCGGGAACAGGCACTGTATCTGGTATAGAAGATACCCGTATTGCTTGTGCAAGACCTGGCCTTTTTCAATACTAGATAGTTCCCTCTAAAATAGAAAACGGATTCCAACGTCAATGGACGGAAGGGGAGGCTCACCAGTGGCCGGACCTGGCAAATCGGCGTTCACGCGCTCCGAAAAGCTGAAGAACCCGGGTGACCCGACGACCTCCATGACGGACGACTTGATGCTTAACGGTGCAACTTGACCTGGCACTCCCGTGGGTGTTGCAGTGTCATCGGGTTTCTCATCGGGTTTACCGAACTCGAAGTACAGCGCCGTGTGTCGGTACCGGGCATAGTCGAGTGGCGACGCAATGAACACCAGGATCGAGAGGTTGGTGGGCATGTATGGATTTTTTTTTTCGTCCTTTAAACAGCCAAAATAGTGAGGTTTCCTTCGAAATCGGGAAGTTGGTACTGGAAAGTATTGTTCTTATTTTGCGTTGGCGATTCTATTAAAATTGAAATTGTTTGAAAGTGAACGAACTCCTGTCTGTCGGGTACCTTGACGAAGATGATGCGGGATCTCGGGATGACGTCGGTGTAGATTTCGTGAGGATCTTTCTGGAACCAGTGGGTTTATACGACTCCGGTGGTACCTGTGCAAATTTTGGATTTAGTGCGGGATATTGAGAGTATTTGATGATGGAGGAAAAGATGACGAGTCACGAACCGTGTCGGTTAGGATGTTGGAATGGGATATAGTGCTCGCAGGCGGAGGTATGAATTTTCAAGATAATTTCTCACGAATGTCTTCTGAGGCGTTTCATTCCGGATAATATCGACTGCTATTAAGAGTTTCCACAGGTTTTTCATTCTTCATGTTAAAGAACTGTGAGAAGCATTCCTTTTTTCGCATCGTGTTTCTCATGGTGTCCCTCCGACGTTGGAGCCCGCTATGATATCATGGCCAGTGAAATGGTTCCATAGAACTGGCAACTGCAACCCTCATTCTCTCGACGAATCGACAATGTAGGCAGAGCGTCAAAGTTTATTGGATTTAAGGCTAGATTCAATGATGCAATCGAACGCGTAGATTGTCCGTATCAGCGACGATCCACCAACGGATCTCTACCGTGATGCGGTGTTTGCATATTTTCCATCAGCGTAGCCTCAAAAAAGACAAGTTTCCCATCTTGATCCCGTATTTCGGCTTGGCCTTCGCGAAGGCCATGTAGGGTGCAAGACATTTCGGGCTCAAGAACACCAACGGCGCAATGAAGTATCTTATCAGCCCATTTGTCGAGTAGCCAATGTCCCTGGTTCTGGAATACCGGGACACCTCAATGGGCTGTGATCATCAGTGCTAGGGGATGATGGGGGCTACAGCTCGAGAAATGCGTTTGAAAGAGTCACCGGCCAGGAAAAGAACAATGCCCAGTCTCTTTGCTCAAAACGAGGTGGTCGCGAAGAAAGAATATAATTGTACTAGCGCTATATCTCAGATTTCCTTTCCTCATTGGTAGAACCGGTGCTTTTAATGAAGGCCGCTAGGTTGAGAGGCGAGAGACAATAGATTGATCGAGCTGCTCATCAGGTTGGTTGGTTAACCAGGCCGTAATTATTGGGTGCGTGATGTGAGGACAGGATACTGGTTGGAGCTGGTAGAAGCCACGAAGCGCAATCAACAGGTCTCGCAAACCGTAAATCGTCTCTGATAGAATCTGCCCACCAATGACAAAGGGCGATGCAATGCAGAGTAGGATTTGGAAAAATCTGAACGCGATCGTTGCCGTAGCTTTTTTTTGCATTAACACGGGAGGCAGAGGAACGAGACTGAGCCAAAGCAGCTGCGCCGCCTCGTTTAGATATAGATAAGCGCAGTGGAAAGAGGTAATGGCGTCGACTGAGTCCATGATGAACGGAGAAGCCTACACCTCCCTTAGAACTAGTACCGTCCAAAGGCTGTCCATGAAGCTAGATGTTAAGGCTGCTAGAGTGTCTGTCGTAGAACCCAAGCAATGACGTAGATTCTTGGAAGCTTGAAAAGAAAGCTCAGGGTTGGTGCGGATCCGCGAATGCCCACAGGCGGTCTTGAATACCTGAAAGAAAACGCGCGCCCGCACGGGAGCTGGTAAGTCCATCAACTTGTTGAAGACGCAGTGGCAACATTAACCGAATTTGTTCTCGACACAGCCAATTCCCAGGTGCAAACGAGTTTATTACGCTCACAGCCTTGGCATATTGGCTTCCGTTCATCACAATTTTTCCATCGTCGCCAACAGGATAGACACTTTATGCGGCTTCTCAGTCGTCGAGCCTGCGGCTGAGCTGGGTTTGAAATATGTCCCATCTTTGGTTTTGGTGGGAACAGTCATTTCGCTGAATAATAACTTGGAGATGGCAGCTATGAGCAGCGGGGCTTTAATGTACAATATCTGTCCAAAAGCCAGCTCGAGCTCATAGCCGACTCGGTGGTTTATGGCTGGACGATGTCGATCTCCCCGTACTTTGTATGCCGTCAATTCGCCCGATAAGCGTGTTTAGATAACATATCTGAGCCTTGATATCCCGAAGCAGAAGTGACGAGTTTGATCTTGAAGATCTTACAGCCCCTTATAAAAGCTATTTCTAGCCAGAATGCTCACATAATCCTGATGAAGACTGTTCACTATTAATTGTACTTGTAAACGGCGGACCTGTGAATTACTAGATCCGGTTAGTTTTGCCTTTTCTGGTTTAGCGCCCCAATACACTGTCTTGTAACCTGTGCTTCACACCGCCCCGACATAAAAGACCCGACCCTGCCCTCTCGTCCCCCTCTGCTTCGTTTCCTTTCTCCTCAACTCCTCTATGCTGCACTCATCGCCGCCCCCTTTCTTTCCTATCGCCCCCACAGGCCGACGCACTGCCCCTTCCATTTGACCGGAGATGCCGCTCGATCCGATTTCCAACTTGTTTTCGCCCGTTCAGTTGGAATTGGCAGTCGCACAGGGGCAAACCCAATGAGATGATCCCGCTAGCAGCGGTATCGTGTGACTTTGGGTCGATACTACTACTGCTTCCCTGAGAACGCGACTGCGCACCTTGCTACGAAGCTGTACCTGCCCTCCCTCTGCCTGTGCATCTCGTTCGTCTCTGATTCCGCCGGCCTCCACGTCCGCCAGGTATTCGGACGTCCTCGACACGCTACGCCCTGCTTCGTCCACTCAAACTACGGTTACACTGCACTGCCCCAATCCTCTCCGATGCCATCACACCCGGCCAGTGAAAATACGACTGCACGGCTCGGTGACATAGGCCAATGGCAAAAACGCCGCACGCGCCTCTGACGTCGATCAATGATGAATTGTTCGGACAATAGACTGCGACCGGGAAATCTACAGGGCGATCCCACCGTCACATACCGAATATCCAAGAAGGTTCTCACCGGCCGACGATTGGTATGGCAGGTGCGTCGCAAGAGCCATTGGTGCAAGTCACCAAGAATTATTGCGGTGAGCTGCAGGTAATTATCGGCTGTGAATGGGATTTAAAACCGATGTAGCTTCGTGCCCTTGCGGTGAAATGGTTTGGTTTACAACTGTTTACAGGAGCTAGATAGAATTTTGGTTTGAATCATCTGCCATCAATTTGGTAGAAATTGGCAATTATTGGGACTATGATGGCTGGACCTATCCAATATATCAAAGATCTTGGAAGGCATGCATGGTGTCACTAATTAAAAATGGGTCTATGACAGTCTCTCCAAGGTTTCCTGACCTTTCTCAGCCAGATTTGGGTACGGTCTCAGGTTACACATATCCGTCCAGAATGCCTTGGCATTTTCGTGCGCCTCGCCATGTGCGTCTAAGCGCCCTCGAAGCAACTTTTTCGATTCCACGTCCATGTCTGTAAATCCAAATGAGGCCGAAACATACTCATGCCAAATAGAGAAGAAGGCAGCGTATTCCCAAACAAGTATACTGACAACCTTCCTGTCTCGGACAATGATATTTCTCAAATTGAGATCGCAATGAGTAGGCACATAGGGCTCGCACTTCGGTAGACGTGTTTCAGATTCTCCCGAACTTGCCGAGGAAGATGGCAAAGATTCAGGGCCAGAGCATCCCACAGATCTTGGTCTGATTGAAACGGCCCACGGGGCTCAAAGTCGAAGAATAATAAGCCTGGGTAGCATGGGCTTTGATCGACACATTGAATAGAGGCCGACGTGACGGATCGAAGCTGTTTTCTGAGTTTGACGAAGTCCATCCCTCCTCGAACGTCCACTGATGCGTTCGTTCAAAACGAAGTAGCGCCCATCTCGATCAGCCAAGTCTCCTAAAACTTTCGGGATGTGAATATCGGTATTGCTCGCTAAATATTCCACTGTTTTTATTTCGATTCTTGCTTTTGGACCCTCGTCAGGTCGGTCTTTCAGTATTGCAGCTGATCCGGTAGACTGCCGCCTCGGGAAGCGATCGGCTCCCGGAGCCTAGCCTGAGTTAGATCCCCCGCCGCGCCCTGAGCTGCTCCCTGAGCTGCTCCCGGAGCTGCTCCCGGAGCGACCCTGAGCATCCCCGAGCGACCCTGAGTACTCCCGGAGCGCTCCCGGAGCACTCCCTGAGCACCCTGATCCCTCACCCTGGATGCTCCGGCTGGCCCACGCTTCTTTTTTTTTGTTTCACTTTTTTCGATGATAAGCGCTTTGCTGCCTACGGTCGCTCCTAGGAGTCCAGGCCAATATATGATCTCATCGTGCGCGGTAGATGTTCTCCTGCGCTTGCTCACTCTACTCTATCGCTTATTGAACATAATCTTTCATATCGTAACAGAAATGAATTTCTACAATACGATCTCCGAGGAATTTTTTTCAACATCGATATGTATGCGTTTCTTGACGGAGTGTTAAAACAGGGAATTCAATCAATCAATAATCTTATTCCTGATGGAGCTTCCTCTATATACAAGGTGCTATGCAGGGATTTGCGCCTTCTAGTGCTAGCCTAGTGCGCATGAGAAGATGCTATCGAGGCAAGGGCTAGCAAACGCTGGAACGAACAGATGAGATCGAATGACAAAGGAAAAATAAACGAAAGAAGGGATCCGCCTCCGCGGCATCCCGCGTGTCCCGGCGGAGCCGAGTGCACCTGCCATGCACTATAGCCTCAGCAAAACAGCTGCTAACACGAGCAGCTTGCAATATCCACACAGCCTTCATGCGGGCGGAGAAACTGTCGGCCTTATCTTGCAGAGTGATGATATAGCAGAACCACACCGCCGGCCTTATCTGTAGATTGATAATAAGGTTATGTAGTAGCAGAATCTCACCGCCCGACCTCCGTATCCCGTATCCTATATATACTATTAGTGCCTTACACCGCCCCCACCAACCCTTCCGGGTTGTGGGTGCGCCACACAGTC